ACAACATGGTACCCTATAGGGAAGAACGCGGTAACCTTGAACTGCACGTACTCATGCATCAACCTGTGTTCGACGCAATCATGCATTGCAGTTTTTTGAAGCCCAACTTCCTGGGCAGCTTCGCCTGATTCATACGCATTCATACACAGTCCGCTCGAGTCGCGCACCGCGGATATAGCACGGCAAGATAGGTAATATGTATCTGTGTTGGAGATAATTGCCAGGTAATATTACTAATATTATCTTTCCCGTATCTGAAACCCCTAATAAAAGAATTATGTTTCTCGTCAAGACAAGGAAGAGGAACTTTGGTGGCGGAACCAACGTAAGGACTGACGTCGACAAAAAACAAGTAGGTAGATAGGTAGGTAGTTAGGAAGTATCTAATGCAACTATCACGAGCCATCCAAGTATTGTTTCGTTTACTACTATTTTGAATATGTATCGGTTACGAGCACGGTAGAATGGATCATCGGGGAAGCTCACGTATCCCAGCCGGAAAAAGAGCCCGTATCATTCGATTGGCTGTTTTCCTTCTGCCACCGTAGAAGATCATCCAATGGATAATAGGGATAGGGTACCGACTAGGTGCATGTATGCCAACAAATCAGTAAACGCATTGACGGCTGATATTGAGGCTCGTGTCCAATTGGACTATTAAATAATAGAAACGTATCTGTACACGCATTTTTTCTCGAATTATGATATTTCATCGTATGATTATGAAGAACGGTAACTAATAAGTCGTTGTAGTAGAACTGTCAAGTGACCATGAAAGAAGGACGATGCTATCGGAACTAACCGTCTTGTGTTCCAAGAACGTGCATGGTTTGCGCATCAGGTGTGATTGCAATTACATACCTGTTTCGGGTCCTCTCTTCTTGATATATACTATTATTGCGTAGGTATGTAGGTATGTATGTAAGTATACTACCAGTACGTATGTACATGTAATATGCATGAATTGGACAAAGAAGGTCTATCGTCGAAATATGGTACTGTAACGGTAGTAATAGGTAGTGGTGTTCGCGCTTCCATGGTTCGAGGTTCATGGATCAAAAGCTAACAAAGTGCCAATGGGGGGGAATTTTTAGATGTGGTTAGCCCTGGTCTCTTAGGAAAAAAAAGACTGCCGGATGAATTGTGTTTGGCTTAATCACTATATGCTGTAGGTACCTAGGTCGTAGGTATGTAACATGTACCACAATATATGTAAGAATATCAAACCAAAGTGCATGTAGGTAGAGCATCCAGATTCCACGCAGCTGGAAAAGTATCATTTTTTAGAGTTGACTTAGCAGTTGAGCAGTACAGAATGGAAACTACAGTCTCTAGGGCTAACAATTGTACGCCTTTACTTAGGTAATTGCTATATGCAATCAAGATGCAGTCTCCATCCTCTTTTCTCCATTCTCCACCTTCCATCCATTCCCCATACTCGCCCGTCTCTATTTAAATAGTATAAAGTCCCCTTACTACGTACAGTAGCAAACACACCACGGTCGTGTCGTGCGACTATGCACACACACACACTCCTACACACACACATACATATATCTTCTCAACACGAGAGATAGATATCCTTTTCGCATCTGATTATCCAAAGTAGGTCAGAGGAGGCGATCGATGATTCAAGATGATAATTGAGCGATGTCAGGTGTGATGTGGCTTAAGGCGGCGACATAGGCGGTCCTATTAGAGCGACCATCTCTGGCTGAAAGGGGAACCAATTGGCCAGGCTTCTCCGAACCAAGACTGTACAGCGTTAGTTGAAGATGTCTGCGAGGGTGGTGAGAATGGCGAATCCGATTGAGCGCATACCTTGCATTGATTCTACCTACATTTTGAGTACATACACTTCGCATAGAACACACATAGAACGCACATATATAGTACACATAACCTCACCTTACATCGACGCATCTGAAATATGCATAGCTCAAGTGCTACATATAACATATATGTAGGCACATACATAGCGTCGACCATTCATCTAGCCATTTATTCTTCCATTCGTACATGAAAGCATAAGGGATGTAAAACCTACCGATGTATTATGTAGGCACGCATGTAGGATATAAGAAGTAGGACGTAGATGTAGATGTAGATGTAGGAGATGAAAAGTATGTAGGCCTCGTAACTTACATATTACATACTACACAGTAGTCATGATTCCGGCCCGTACCTAGTAGTCATGCCGACTGTATGTAGTATGTAATATGTAGAAGGAAGTATGTAGGATGTAGGCATGTGTTAGGGTATACAGCACCGTCCGTACACGTCGTAGATCTAAGTCAACCTTGGGAAGAAAAAAGAGTAAAAAATAGCTACGTAAGGTAGACGTGCAGCCAAGGTCAATACCTAAGATACAACTACGTAGCTAGTGTGGATACTTTACTGTGACTTTGTGACTTGGTAACTTGGTAGTCTATTGTGCCTGCCTCTACTGCTGCAGTGTAGTCAGTGCAGCCAGTGCAGCTACTCCTCTGTCTGTGTGCCTGCCACAAAATATTCGTTCGCGGCAGACCCTGCAAGGTCCGTGCGCGCTGCGTCGCTGCTGCTAGCTAGCCTCCCTCTAGTGTCAATTAGTACTAGATGTATTAAGTATTCATGTATTATGTGGTATGTAATATGTAGCCAACAGCGCGGCCTACCTAAGCCAAATTCGGCTAGACCAGCTAAATCTATCGGGTCCTTCTAACCGTTTGTGGTACTAATCCCTAGTACCCACATCGAGAATCCCTGTCCATATAGTTCTGCTTATAAGCATATTCCTGCATATTTCCATGCGTTTACCTCATTTGGAGCATAGCCTCTCATCCGTCCTCGTTGTACCTGTACTTGTTCACTTATTTTTTATCCTGACTCCTGCGTGGTCAAGGTTTCCGACTCGCGACGATTCAACTGATACCTACCTACTTACTGCCTAGGAATTGGTGATTTGATCGTTGAATTACTTTCCTCTCCCGCTTTCTAAACTTGGTATTTACTTTACCAACCTCGCTCTTGAGTAACTCGAACATATTTTCACATTTCTCCCTCTTCTCTCTTCCTTCCCTTTCACTCCATCAATTTGACCCGCGCGTTTTCCCGCTTCTTATCGACGAAGAGGACCCCCATCAATATTTGGCAATAGTGGATTCTCACCCATCGACGCGAATATCTACGAAATCTCGCCCGTTTTAGTTCCTGACCGCTTTGTAGGAAGGAGAAAAAAAATAATAATAAAACGATTCGTGTCCACGTGCAGCCAAACCTTGAAGAGGGGCGAAATCAATAAATTCTGAAATTCCGGTACCTTGCTTGGTGGACCTCGGGTTTGATGTAAGTGTCTCTTTCCCTTCATATTTTTTTCTTGTTTTTTTTTTCCCGCCTTCCTCATAATTTCTTATCATCGTTCGACGCGTTGAACGGCAAGTCGAAGACAAGCACCAAAGCACGCACCACCTCCTTCTTGAAGTACAGGGGAAAAAGTACCCTAATAAAAAAAATCTTATCCCGTTGCCACGAATTTGAATTTTTTACAATTTAAAGTTTTCCTGGACTTGCCGTTACCATACAAATACAGTGTCCGCTCAAGGTACCCTCCCAAATCTCATATCTACCCGCCTTAAGCAATCCACATCCACCGCGTTTCCTCTTTTATTTTCTATTTTTCCCTTTTACAACCTTCCCACTCTGCCACTTCCCACCAAAGCAAAAGCCCCCAAACCCAAACTTGACACACCCACCCACTTTGAAATTTGACTTGCATTTTGCATGCATCAAAAAATCTCGACGAGTCACCGTCATCCATCCCTCATCAATCGCATCCACTTGTCCGCCGCGCCAAATTCATTACGTCCACCCACCAACGATTAAACGGTTCTTTTCGGCATTCCAAGCCCACTTTTCCTTTTCAGGCTTGGATTTGGATTTGTACCTGAACTTCGCTACATGGTCTCTGAACTACAGTACATGACCTAGACGAGACACGCAAGTTGATTTCTGACAAGGGACTAGTAACTTCAGGCGAACCAAAATAATAAAACCGACCGAAACAAAAAAAATTATTTATTATTCCCACGGTTCTTTTCCCGCTTAAGGAAGAAGGAGGGTTAATAGTAATTTGATTCGGTTGAAATAAGAAGTCGCGACCACCACACCTCTCACCTCGAGGAACGTGGACCCAACTTCTCCACTTTACAAACACCATTTGGACCCCATCAGTCCCATCTTCTACTTCTGGGTTTTGGAGCCTCACGAACGACTTTCCGTCCACCTGCTCCATTCAATCCCCAATTCTACCCCAAAAACAACCTTCCCCTCATCACCGTTAAATTTTTTATTATTCACGTCTTCCCGTTCCCGCCTTTGAGGCATCACATCGTCGAGTCTGCCATTGCGCGATAAATCCACTATCCGCACTGGCGTCAACATCTACAACCTCAAGTCGGGTAACAGGCGTGGAGGAATTTATCAGGATCACCGGGTCACCTCTTATCAAACCACTGATTTCCACCAATTGACAAGCAACCAAGAAAAAAAAAGTCTAGCCAACGCGTTCCGTCGCCTTGCCCCTCACACAACCCACATCGCGCGCATCGTCAAACTTCGTTGCATCTGCACAAAAGAAAAAGTTTTTCGCGTCGACTCCCAATTGAGAATCGGACAATAATAAAGACAAGACGGGGCAATTAATACAATTGCAATATTCGGAGACCTAGAATTGTTCAATCAGAGCAATCGTGGCCTCAACTGCAATTGCCACGCAAACAATATTCTCGTAGGATATGGACAGTGGCCCTTCAAACCCATACTCGTCTAACAGCATAGGCACATCAGGGTCATCGTATCCATCACCAGCCGCCATCTCTCCTAACCAACTACAACACGCCGCCTCTCTCCAGCATACTCTGCCGCCTCTGCAGCACAACGCCCAGACTATGCAATCTATTTACGGCAGCCACCCTCACACCCCCAGGACGCCAGGTACTCCTAATACCCCCCAGCCTCCGACTATGAGCCAGTATCCTCCGCCGAACTCGGGCCCGACTCGTGGATCTTACGGTATGATGCCTAATCAGTATCAACAGCCACCGCAGGGCTACCCTACTTCCTCGTCGATGATGCCGCAGACTTCGGTCGCAGCCTCTCATCCCCAACCTATCGCGCCGGCTCCTGCAGCCGCGCGACCTCCAGTCCTCCGCCCAATGCCCGCGGGTGGAGTTATGCCGCAGACTGGGTTGCCTTCCCCATATAGCGGAAGCCCCATGATGCCTCACCAGCAGTCTCTGCTTCAGGACACCGAACAACCTACTCACGTGGTAGGATCTCAAGGGCGACGCGGTATATTGCCTAGTGCTCCCGGTAGACCGGCCGCCCAAACAGGTAGTGGTGCTTCTAAGAATACGGTAATCCCACAGAAGGACGCAGACGGCAAATTCCCTTGCCCCCACTGTACTAAGACTTACCTACACGCGAAGCACCTCAAGCGCCATCTACTCCGACGTAAGTCCCAACGGCCCACTGCGGGTATTCCCTTCCCCACTATGCTAACTTTCTCATGTCTTTAGACACGGGTGACCGCCCTTACATGTGCGTGTTATGCCGTGATACGTTTTCGCGAAGTGATATCCTTAAGCGTCACTTCCAAAAATGCTCGATTCGACGAGGAAACCCGACCGGAGTGAGCCATTTGTCTCATCCTCAAGCACACGTTAAGAAGCAGCAGCAGAATGCGCAAAAAGCTAATGATGGCGACATGGGCCACATGAATGGCATGGCTAACATGCCAGGTGATAATGTCGTACACCCATTCGGTATGGTCCAGATCCAAGATGGTATGGGAAACATGGCCAACGACCAGAACCAGCTTTCTAGATCAAGCAGCATGAGCCGGATGGACGATAACGGCAACCGAGATCGCAGAAGTATGACCGGCGGCTACAACGGCGACGTTTCTAACACGATGTCTTCGAATATCAACCCTCAGTTGGCCAACTTTAACATGCCTCCGGGCCAAAACGGCATGCCTACCATGTATGGAGCTTCGGGCTCAAACCAACAATCTGGCCTTGACTGGTCCCAGATGTTTCAACAGTCTGGTGCGCACCATGCCTACGTCAATCAGTACCCTCCTAATATTGGACAGAATCAGACCGCAATCAAAGCCGAGCCTAACCTCACTTCCGAGAGACCCCACGGCATACCGGGCATGGCCCCGAGCGATATGAACGAACGATCGCTATTCTTTTCGAACTCGGCCGTGCAGCCGTCGACCATCGATCCGTACATCCAGCTCTCTTCTCAAATCCATCTTTTCTTTCACCCTCCCGGCACCGTTGCCTCCAACCAAACCGCCGGCCTTAACGACTTCTTTTCCCCTAACAACATTAGAGATTTTCTTGATTCATACATCCATTTTCATGCCCATTTCCCCTTCTTACACATTCCCACATTTCGCATAATGGAGGCGTACACTGGTCTCATCGCCGCGACCTGCTGTATCGGCGCCTGTTATTCTAACCGCGTTTCGGCTTCTAACGTCCGAGATATAATGAATTTCCTCAAGATAGCTCTCGAACGTGATTGCGATTTATTTGCCACCAATGGGCCCCAGACTTCATTCAAATTTAGCAACGGCAAGGACAAAAAGGATATTGAGCGGTTACAAGCACTTATTCTTATGTCGGCGCTTCTTACTTGGCATGGTACGCCCATCCAGCGCGAAAGTGCTAGGAGACTCTTTCCTCTGGTAGCGGACATTTCGAGAAGATTTGAATTATTACAGGTCAAAAACGATTCGTCTCTATGCAGTGTTTTTCATCAGCCAAAAATTCCTTTGGACGCGTACAATCCTGGACGGTTTGATTGGGGCGCGTGGGTTGAGCAGGAATCGCGTATTCGTTTGATGGATATGGTGTATCTCCTCGATATCGCACGCGGTCTTTATTTCAACTGTGACCCTCAATTTGACAGCTTCGAGATTCGTATACCCTTACCTGCGGATGACGCAGCGTGGGAGGCACAGTCTGCATTGGATTGTGCGCAGGCATTAAGTTTATACGGTCCTGAGTCAGCGAAAGAGAAAAACCCGGATGGGTCGCAGCGCAGCAAGCAGCCTGAGTTGAACTTGACTCTCACCGCGCTGTTTCATCCGTCCTATCAAATTCATCCCGGAAGTACAAACCTCTACGGCAAGTTCATCTTGATTCACGCGATTCTTGCTCAAATCAGAAGCGCTCAGATCTCGGGACGTATTCCTTCATTGGATGGTACTGCGACACCTCTCTCGCAAAACGATTGGATTATTGCGAATGGGTCGGATACAGGGAGTGGGAACGTGAGCACCAATAACAGCGCAGCTGGCACGCCAGTGGCTGGCTTGTCGGCCCAGACGTACAAGACGATATGTACGGCGCTCGATAAGTTCAAATCGTACTGGGACATAGATATGGCGATGCAATTTCGATCTGTTTCTAATCCTCGGCGGTACGGATTTTGCCGTGATGGCATACACTTCTTTTGGCTTGCGAAATGGATGCTCAAGAATACTTCGGTGGCGGATTTGCAAATGGCGCCGGATAATCGTTTCCGGCAGGTCATGCAACTACTCAAATCTGTCAAGGCATGGGTTATGTCGGACGGGGCTTCTAGGGGTGAGGAATTGGGATCGGTATCTGAGATCGACAGCGATTACGGGGTGTCAAACTTGACTGTCGACATGGCGCAACTGTTCAGACCTCTGCCAGCGGTGGTTTCATGTCCCGGCATGCCTGCGGTCAAGACGGAAGTCTAAGGTTAATCTTGGCAATTGTTAATCGACTAAAGACCACTTACACATTACAAAAAGCATACGTGGGGCGTTTCGTTTCTATTTTCCTTTCATCTCATTTTTCATCATTTTTCCCTCTGGCCTCTCAAAAAAGTTTCGATTCTTCTCTGCATCGGATCGGGTTGACGGCGGCAATTTCTCTGCATTTCCGGGTTGGCTCGCAACAAACTACTAGACTGGCTGTGGCGTCTGCATTTAGACTCGATGATTAGATTCCGGCCTACAAACCCCTCATAGGAGGTGATCATGATGTTCACGTCTACGAATACACACACACACTCACACACACTTTACCCGGTCAACAACATTCAGGAGGTGGTCTCGTTTCTTGTGGTACGCATTATTTCATAAAGGAGGAGCATCGAGCAGAGTATGAGGGAAATGGGAGGCAGGTGTCGTTTGTGCATGCTTTTACATCGCGTTATGTCACGTATGAGAGATAGATTCACAGATCAGAACAAATTAGTACATGTTTCACCGTTTTTTTAAACCTAAAATTTGGTGTCGGGTTCCTGTTGAAATTGAGGTTGTAAAATTCGTAATTATTCTATGGTCCTGGATATGGATCTAGTGTTGGGCCAATTATGTAAGTCGTACAACGCCAGCGTTTGCAATATATCCATGGATATGATTTGAAACATGTCTTGAATGAGTTAATATCGAGTTTGATTCGTATATTTGCGAGGCCAACAGTCGCAATAAATCATTACAAATTTTACAATACCGATTTCCCACTCCAAAAATACTGATGGCAATTACACAATTACAACAGGCATTATCCTTTATCTATGTGTTACAATGAGATCAGTCATGCATAAATTTCAAGCCTCTTTTTTTACCCCTCAATAGCTATCTACGAATCCATAAATCATCATTCGATCAATTGACTCAAAAAGAACTTCTCACATTTAAATTTTTTCTCTCCTAAAATGAAGCATTTATGTATTTCACGAACACAGAACATTGAATATAGTATGTGACTAACCAGCCTCAATTGAAGTCAATTGAAAAGTGGACCGACTATAATACCACCACAGACAGATATAAGCAAGCAAGCAACAAGCTTTTTCTGGACCAGGTATAGACAAAGAAGAAAAAGCAAAAATGTGACCTGTCACATGGGAAGTGGACCAACCCCTTCCCACCCCCCGATCACATATACCCAAGGTCCCCCTGGCTATAGTCGCGGGATTCCTGCTGCTTGCTGCTGCTACGACATGGTATGGCAGAGTGTGGCTCGACATGACATACGCCGCATCTGTCGTTCACATCTTGCTTAGCCGCGAGCGGACCACCGCCGAACTTTTCGGGGAGAGGAGAGGGGAGGGGAGGGGAGGAAGAGGGGGAGGAGATTGAGACAGCATGGCATGGCATGGCATGGCATGAACAGAGTCGATTACCTATCGACTCGAATATTCTTTTTTCTATTTTATTTTTGTTTTAATATTTTTAATATTTTTATTTTGTTTCGACTGCCAAGGCTCTTGACAAGACAATAGGGTGGCCAGTGGAGATACATTGGATATAGCAATATCGCACCTCGACCCTCCCCGTTAGGGTCGCGGATTCGCGGTACAAGTAGCTATACATCGACGATATTTCCCCCCCTTGGGTCGATACACGCACAAAGTTCGGTTTCCTCTTGGGCTGCTGCTGGTGCGGACTTGGGTTTAGCGATCTAGCGGCACGATCGTGTCGTCCCCCTTCGGCAGCGACGAAAGGGGTAAGCTCCCGCGCAGGGACAGCAGAGATATCTGGCGACGAGGCGAACCACGATCTTGGCTAACGCATCTGTCATGCCGCGAGCAGGGCGGGGGGACGCCACGTAGCGGGCTCGAGGTACTATCGTTTTATTTTTTCGATAGATATCGGCGGAACGAGCACGGTTCTAGGGTCGTTGCTGTTGTTGTTATTGTTGTTGTCGGGCTTTTTCTGGTTCGGGGTTGAAGGGATGTTGTTTGAACGACGCACTTAGACGCGCCTCGTACCTGGTCCTGCCGCTTGGGCATTGGTTGGACCCTACGCACAAAAGTTGGGTCCCCTACCCAAGCCTGGGTTAGGGGGGTAGGGGGGGCGTCCGAACCAGGCCGTGGAAAGGTACGGTTCGGGGGGCGTATCGACCGTGTTGTTCGTCTCTTGTTGTTGTTGTTGTTGTTGTTTTTTTCGACATACATACATACATCCATCCATACATACTACGCATTACACGTACATGCGTGTTCGAAGAAGGATATCCCGAAACGTGAATATAGAACCGGCCTAAGCGTTGTGACGTGGTTATTTTCTTAGTTTAACTATACATATTCCACCCCCGGGAGAGAGACAAGAAAAAAAGGGCAGATCTGAAACGGGAAGGGCTGGGTATGGCGTGGTTGGTGCGGCGGCAAGCAGATGGGATGGATATGGATCTGTTAGAGGGCCGCCACGTTTTTGTTTTTCGGGATACACGTTCGCCAGTTTTTCCCTTTCTTATGACTTACTTACGCATTATACATATTACATTGTCTACACTTACCTCTTGCTGACACATACTTGCACATATTTCCACGCTACACGCTGTACTTGTCGAGGTACCTACCTACATGTCGACGGTCTCTCGCCGCCCTAGCAGCGAGGATCGAGCGATAAAAACAGAAACGTGAACGTGTATTATTACTCTCGCGGCTTTTCGGATAGGGGGCCCCAGGGGATCGAAGGAGGGGGATCGTTTCGCTGGCATCGTCGTTTAGGCGATGGTCCGTGGGCTAGAACAGCTAGCACGACGAACGAGAGAAGCGCCGATCCGGTTCGAGGTTTGGCCTCTTGCCTACTAGGCATAGTATGGTGGTATGTGTATTGCCGTAGTCTACGTCCTACGTGGCGAGCGGTCGATTAGTAGCCGAGGGCGGAAAAGTTCGTTACTGGGTTCAGGAACCGCGTGATCCCTTACCCTTTCTCTCTACGTACGAGGAAGATCTCCCTATCTAGGCTTTGATTGCCTTCCTACTCAGCTCCTAGCAGCCTAGCTGGGCTTGGGGTAGGACTATGGGATGAGGTGATAGACTAGGCTGTACGACCAGACTACTATACGTACGTATACGTGTGCCGAACTTCCAATGGCACACTATGGGTGATGATGATGGTGATGAGCACTTGGGATGATGGATTAGGCACACGAACTGCTTCGAACTACAACATCAACACCTAACCCTATTTGCCTAACACAGCCAGCCGTTCGTCCTTTTCGAGCAAAAAAAAGATACGCCCCCTAGCCTCCATACTTACCCGACCAAACCCTACCCTAACCTAGGTGGCGAATTCTTTTTTTTTCATCCTCCACACGGGCCAGATTCGAAAGCACGTATGTACGTATATTGTATGTAGTGTAGTGTAGTGTAGTGTGTATGTATGTATACGCAGGGTATAGTCGAGTACAGCGAGTACATACATACACATATACATAACGTATGGAACAGTAGATACATATACATATAAGTTGGTTCAGTCCTGTGGGTTTGGTAGCCATCCGATAGGTTCGTCTACCTACCTATCTAACCTGCCAACTAGCCGGCCAGCCCAGTTTCCGCCAGCGGGTTACCTAGTTACCCAGTGCGTTTCCTAGTTTTTTTTTCTCTTCCTTCCTTCCTAATTTCCTAGTTTCTACTCCTTCATTCCTTATGCCTTCTCCCAGCCTCCTACGTAGCCCACCAAGGCCCCTAGTTCCTAGTTCCTATACTTAGTAGCGGGCGGCGGGTAACAGCAAGATTTACGTACATTGCACTAAGGGACCTAGGCAGGCAGGTCACGCAGGTATAGTGCTGTAGGTGATTTATTCACCGCTTATTGCCACCATTCCCAGAACCGGAACTAGACCTGAAATCGGGATTAATGGGACTGGCGTCCTCGACATTGGCATCGACGGCGGTGATGCTAGGGAAAAACTTGGCCAGCGCGGCCTTGTCCTCCTCGGTAGGCGTGAGGCCGAACTGCTCCTCGACGCGGCCGGACAGACGCAGCCCGGCGAGGCCCCAGGCAAACAGACCCACGCCGACGCATATGCGGGTGCGGCGGGATAGGTTGCGGAAGGCTCTATTTACATTGTTTTTTGTTTATTTTTTGTTTCAATTGTGCGTTTGGTGTGTGAATTAGATAGTGTGTGGTGATGGGGTAACGAAGGTGTAGGTAGGTTATGTTGTGTTATGCGTAACGACGATGAGCATTAAGGAGCATTAGGGAGCATTAGGGAACATTGGGGGGGACATTAGGGGTTAGCGTAGGCGTTAAGATGTCGGTGACGCCCGAGAGGTGAGACGGTGAGACGTGAGTGGTCATATTGGGAGGTTAGGTAAGGTAGGTGATAGGTTAGAATGTAGGTGTGTGTTGTATGATGCAATGTCGAAAAAAATGCAACTAGATGCAACTTACTGTAGCAACGACATGTCCGTTACCGTCTTCCCTTCCCGAAGCTCTTCACCGACAACTTCCCTAGGCAAAAGAGATAACTATATGTCGTGTGCAGAGCGAAAGAGGCGACTTATCGAGACGTGTTTCGATAACGTAAGCTTGGGGAGACGCTTGTGTTGCAGTTTGGCAGACCAAGGCGGTGAAGGCCTTTTTTTTAATTTTTTAATTTTTCCCTTAATTTTCCTCAACTTTTTTTTATTTCCCTTCGTCCTTTTTTTCCAACCCCCCCTGGCTGTACCAACTGTACTGTGTTGTACACCGTAAAACGGAGAATAGGCTATTCTTGGAATCTCACGAAGTTTCCACTGCGGGTAAACTGTCCGAAACGCGGTCAATTGGCGGTCATGCGACTGATTGAGTCTTTTCGATGGTTTCGGGATTTGAGGTGTGCTAGGTATGAGGTGTAATCCTTGAATGGATGGTTGGTTGAACGAAGAAAAAGGAGAACGCGACTCCAATCTCTCCCGTAAGCTTCCTTAGTGATTATACCGTCTACCCGAATAATGCGTAGTGAATTTGCACTTAACCATACTACTTGCTCTTGGCCAAGACAGCGTCATCGTATGCTCAACATCAGCCTCGGTGAGGGCTGTGGATGATAGCAATTCTATTTATGCCTGACTTATGAAGTACCTAGGTATTCATTTCAAAATCCGAATTCCTTTTTTTTAATTGCCTGATGTATTCAACCCCGTGTCATCTTTCGTCTATTTGATTTTTGTACTCATCCAAACCCGTTTGTGTCTAACATAATAGTCCCGAGTCATTCAGATGACTTGATTTACTTCTATTTACTTTGTAATCTAATCGCTTGCTCCGAATTTAGTACGGTACGCCTCGATGTTCTTGATGTTGGCTTCTGAGATGATATCTTGCATGCCGTTGATAATATCGTCTAGCTTCACAATGGAGATGATCGGGATCTGGTACTCCTTTCGCAGCTGACCGATGGCGCTAGTTTTGCCGTCGCCTTCTGGGAGTGTCTCTTGACGATCGAGGGCGACGACAATACCTACGACGGTACCGCCATTGGCTCGGATCATGTCTATGGCTTGACGCTTGGCCGTGCCAGCCGACACCACATCATCAATGATGAGGACTCTCTTGCCCTTGAGAGGCGACCCGACGATGCTACCGCCTTCCCCGTGGTCCTTGGCCTCCTTGCGGTCGAAGCTGTAAGCGACCTTACGATACTTGGCCGGGTCGGTCTTGGCCAGGGCGTAGAAGACCGTGGCGGCTAGCGGGATACCTTTATAGGCAGGTCCGAAGATGACGTCGAAGCCGTCTGCAAGTTCGCTGGTGGCTATGGTTTGAGCATATGCGTCCATGATGGGCACGTGCAGCTCCCCCGTGTAGAAATCACCAGCGTTGAAAAAGTAGGGTGATATTCGCTTCGACTTCAATTCGAAGGCACCGAATCGCAGGGCGCCGCCCTCAACGGCAGCCTTGAGGAAATCTTTCTTATACTCGGGGAGACTCATGGCTGCTGCAGGTATACTGTGGCGTTGGGCTGTACAATATCCCCTGTGTAGTTCCTCTTAGTAAAGTTGTGGTTGTTCGAAGACTAAGTTGAGTATTAGCCACGAGAATGTTTTCAAATGCGTTTCAACCGTTATTAGGTATGTGTAACAACAAGAATATTAGGTTCACGGGATAACCTAATTTCGACTATGAAAGTTAGGTAGGTGCTAGGTATTCATTGATATCCATGGATCTTGAATTGTGCTCATTCCGAACGTTGATGTGTAACATCATGGCGGGGTAAAGGTGAGAGTTCAAATGCGAAACTTGTGATAAACTACTTACAACTTTCAAGTAATTTCAAGCACTATTTGGTTTCAATATCAATATATAGATCTTCAATATAGAATTGGGATTTAAATTTGGTCGGTTAGCTCAACTAATCGCTATATTCATAAGCACCGTCGTCGCGAGTAATTATTCACTTCTAGGCCTCTTCATAAATTTAGAGTTATCTTCGATAAGATAGGATATGATAAGATAATCGATAAGAAATTTTCTTGCCAAGATTTCGCAAGTACCCACTCCACCGTCCCTCCACTCCCGCCATTTTTATCAATTTGATAAAAAAAAGTTCGAGGCAAAATAGTCGAAACCGACGAACTTCAATCAACGTTTCCAACAGTATCGTCGCTTCGCCTGTCGCCCAAAATGAAGACTACTTGGAAGGATATCCCACCGGTCCCTACGTCGCAGGAGTTCCTCGACATTGTTCTATCGAGAACTCAGCGACGATTACCGACACAGATCAGATCAGGATTCAAGATCAGTCGTATTCGAGGTTCGTCTTCACAGACTGTGCGCGCGTCGCTCTGATGCGCTTTAGATACTGATAGATGCTAACCATTTACGACAGGATTCTACACTCGAAAGGTCAAGTTCACTCAAGAGACTTTCTCCGAAAAGTTCGCTCTAATCCTCGAGAGCTTCCCGCGACTACAAGATATTCATCCGTTTCACAAGGATCTTCTTAACACACTTTACGATGCCGACCATTTCCGTATCGCGCTTGGCCATCTTTCCACAGCAAAGCATCTCATTGAAACCATATCTAGAGATTATGTGCGCCTGATCAAATATGCCCAGAGTTTGTTCCAATGCAAGCAGCTCAAGAAAGCCGCCCTCGGTCGTATGGCTACTATCACCAAGCGATTGAAGGATCCTCTAGTATATCTCGACCAAGTTCGCCAACATCTTGGTCGTCTTCCCTCCATTGATCCCACCACACGAACTTTGTTGATCTGCGGATACCCCAATGTTGGAAAATCAAGTTTCTTACGAAGCATCACCCGAGCCGACGTCGATGTCCAGCCGTATGCCTTCACCACCAAGAGTCTATTCGTTGGTCACTTTGACTACAAATATCTCCGCTTCCAGGCCATTGATACGTAAGTTTTTATAATCTCTCCTACCTAGAAATGAGTACGGCTAACATAAGATAGTCCTGGTATCTTAGATCATCCTCTAGAAGAGATGAACACGATCGAAATGCAGTCTATCACAGCCATCGCTCATTTGAGATCCGCTATTCTATACTTCATGGACCTTTCAGAACAGTGCGGCTACTCAGTCGCGGCACAGATGCAACTTTTCAAGAGCATCAGACCCTTATTCTCGAATAAGTTGGTTTTCATCGTCATTAATAAGATCGATATCTTAAGACCCGAGGAGCTGGACGAGAAGACAGGTGGTGAACTTCAATCGTTACTCTCTTCCGGCGATGTAGAACTACTTCAACTATCTTGTAACACACAAGAAGGCGTGCAAGAAGTCAAGAACGCTGCTTGCGAGCGTCTCCTAGCCGATAGAGTTGCCCAGAAGTTGAAGGCAGGCACATCAAGCAGCGGTACTGTCGGTGGCAGATTGGCAGACGTTATGACCAGAATCCACGTCGCTCAACCTATGGGTGGCGTTAAGCAGGAAACCTTCATCCCCGATGCTGTAAAGGACATGAAGAAATATGACAAGGATGACCCCGAACGCCGCAGGTTGGCTCGTGACGTTGAGGCCGAGAATGGTGGTGCTGGTGTATACAACGTTGATTTGAAGGCCGACTACATTCTCGAGAACCCCGAGTGGAAACACGATAGGATACCCGAGATCTTCGATGGCAAGAATGTCTACGACTACATTGATCCCGATATCGAGGCTAAGCTACAAGCGCTCGAGGAAGAGGAAGAGCGCCTTGACGCTGAGGGATACTACGACTCGGATGAAGAGATCGACGATGCGGAAGAAGCAGATATCAGAGTGAAGGCAGAAATAATCCGTGAGAAGCAAGCGCTGATCCGCAACGAGTCGAGAATGAAGAGAATCAAGAACCGCGCAGTCCTACCTCGCAAGGCCCTCAGGAGACCATTATCTCAACTTGAGGACGCGATTGATAAGATGGGTGTTGATACCGAGGACCTACAGCTCAGAGGAAGACAACAGACGGTCACTCGTGGCCGTTCGATGACAAGAAGCCGCCTTGGCACCGAGGACTCAAACGCCATGGACATCGACTCCACCCCGAGAGAGAGACTACGGTCTAAGAGCCGAGCTAGAAGCCAGCCCGCGACGAACAGACGCGAGGATGGTGTAACAGATGAGTTGACGAGGACAAAGGCCGAGAAACAGGCTAAGTTAGGCCAGAGGAAGATGAACCGCATGGCCCGACAGGGTGAGGCTGATCGACACATCGGCGCTTCGAAGCCGAAGCATTTGGTACGTTATCTCCTATTTTACTATCCTTACGTATAGTTCTACGCTAACAGTAATATCATAGTTCTCTGGTAAACGAACCATGGGCAAGACGTCTAGTCGTTAAGATGTGCACACTTGCTTTCTTGCTGCTGTATATGACGCATTCGACGATGAATGGGATATCCGGTTTATGATTTTCGGGTTTCTGGCGTTCAGGCGGGAGGTACGAGAATTAGTTCAATGCTAGATGCTAGAGAGCTTATGCTATGCAACTAGTTCAGATACGGGGATACATAAATCTATTAAGAATCAATCTGGCTTGGGTTTCATGCGTGACTTGGTCATTTTAGGTACATGGTTGTCGCGGTGTTGACGGTAATTAGTAGATATGGTAGGTGCCCCCAAACGCTCATACTCATTACAACCCGACAGGTCTCAATAGCCATACCCTCTCTACTAAAGACCCCATAATCTTAAATAGACCACCAAGATAGATACATGTAGGCGACACTGTTGGGACCACCTAGTACGTAAGAGGTGTTCCATGCGGAAATATATACTAGGAAGATAGGTAGGTACCTATATAGTTGGATGTCTCTGTACATAATGCATCTTAACTACCTACACATAGAGTATACGAACTAAAAAGGGACGTATACTACCGAACTATCAGATCAACACACCTACTTCATTAACTACCTGTACAATGAATAAAGGCCCAGACCAACGATACAGGCAATATCTACATATTGACTTCTTTCTCATATGTATGTAAGCATCTAGATAAAGTAGGTACCCCTACATACCTACTTAATTACATATGTATGCATTGTCGCTGACTACCCAGGTACCTGCTCACCACATATCCCACATACCATGCCGTACCTATCTCGTCATATCGTCCTCACCCCCTTCGGGCTTTCGGGTTAGTATGAACCCCAGATGTGTATAACACAACAGGTCAGCTTGGACGAAAAAGGCATAATATGTACTACCAAAGTAAATACTCAATATCAATGGATAGGATCTAGTTTCTAGGTAGGTACTTCATTGTATTCATTTTCCCACGTAAGTCTAGTAGTGCACATCGCATGTTTTGATATAGTATCTATACCCAGCATCTCCGGAGTACCCCTCTAGGAAACACCCGCTCGCTCCGTCCTCACCGGAGAGCGTCAGCAAGATATCTGACGTGCCTATTTATACAGCCAAGACGCGGGCTACCTTACCCAGGAATATATAGGTATACCAACCTGTCGTATAACCAACTACCTTATAGTATTTACCTACCTACCTACCTACACAAGTAAGCCGGCTTCTAATCGGAGTACAGCTCAAACCCCCAAAAACCATTATAACGAAATCAAGTACCACCACATCCAGCACACAACATTACACACAATCCACGAACAAGCAATAAACAGCGAAAAAAAGAGCCATGAGTGGAAAAAAATTCATACGCTAGGTATCTCGTGTCTCGCAGTATCTAGCAAAGTCTATCTATCTATCATCAGAGGGAAGATCAAGCCACGACATGCCATGCCATGGCATCCGTATTTTTTCATCCACGCCGGCCGTCTTCCAAAACTCTATCTATTCCCGTAATTTTTTGGCTGTGTCTATGTAGGTATGTGTGAAGAAGTCAGAAGTCGTAAAAATCATCGCAAACGCGTTATCATGCATTTTTCCTTATCCCCATCTCCGTCTAATTATCATGATGAACTGAAAGAAATGCCGAGACCTCTTTCCCGGCCGCCCTCTTATGATTGGGTATCTTCATTCGCAAACTATTGCTCACGCGCAGAAGCAAACGCGCAAAGCTAATCTCATATGGTCGTCCGCATGAACTCCAAAATATGCCGTTAGCCGTTAGCCGCGGCCGTTCAAAGCCGCCACGTCACGCTCCTCGCTCATATCGAAATCTCCGTTACGTTTAGTCGTTCTTGTTAACCCATCGGTGAGCTCTTAGCTTCTCCCTCTACTTTGATCTCTGTGGCCGTTTGCCTCCGTAAATGGGTAGCTCGTCGACGCAGACCACCATATCCTGCCAACCTCCACCACCGAACTGGGCTTCGCTTGGTCCCATGTGACGAAAGTCGAATCTCTTGTAAAAGGGGACTAGATACTAAGATCGAATGAGGTTAGCCTACCATGCCTAACAACCTACCCTTCGCCCATACAGGGCGAGAAAGAAAGATAGGGACTTAATTGAACATACGTCTTGACAGATAAGTGAACAGAACCTAGCCGTCTCCGAGCCCTTGAGCTGTTGCAAGTAGGCCAGCATGATCATCTTTCCCAAGTGGCACCCCTGAAACTTAGGGTGAATGGCAAGCGAATGAATGCAGACGGTCTGGCCTGTCTCCTGATGACCTATGGGAAGTGTATGTTGCTTGTTCGTTCGGAAGTCGCGGGGATAATCCATAGACTCGTCTGTCACAACCATTGATTGCGTTCTCGTCGCAACAATATGTGCTACCAGTACACTCTTCGCTCCATCACTCCTCCCCGTCTCGACGGGCTTCGCTACAGGCAGCGTGCTAATCTCGAAGCCCTCGGCGCGGGCCTTGTCAGGGACGATGGTACAGAAGAGCCCGAGGCACAGCTCCGGGCATACGGAGAGGCGATATTCAAACTTCTCCCTCGTGCATCGATGTTTCGGGTCCTCAAATGCCGCTTCCTCCAACGCAACACAGCTCTCGAGATCCGATACGGTTAGTGGTCGAACGTTGGGGTGAAATGGGAGCGGCATGATCTCTTTCAGCCGGCGAAGCTTAGGATCACCATCACCACCCCTGCTATGAAGTTGCGACCGTCGTCCGTAGTTACCAGTTCCTTTTGCTTCTGCCGCATCGGATTCTGGCATGTCCTCCGAATCGTCCACTGCGTTCTCCCGTTCCTCAACTTGAGCACCCTCCTTGTAGCTGTGCAGGTTGCCTCGTGAGAACGTCGACATCAATCCTCCGAGCCCGAGCGTGGGTCTCGTGTGTCTGAACGGGTCATCCGAGTCGGAGTCGGAGTCGGATTCCTCCCGACTTTCATCAACGGGCTTTGCATCCTTTCGGGCAGGTGAATCCGGGGGAGTATGCGACATAGTTATTTCCTTCCTCCCTTCAACCTTCAACACTGTTTTCGCTTCGTTTTGGTACCCGAAACCCTATCTATTTAGGTAGGAACCCTCTGATTGGCTAGATTCGTCTAAGATGGGAAGGTTGTACAAGATCCTGTTTACCAAATGGGTACTTTGGTAAGGTAGCAGTCGAAGGTATTGACGTGATATCGGATGCGTTGGACTCAAGGCGGGGTGCAGATAGATACGTAGATCGGTCCTGATAGAATCGGCCCGCGTTCGCTCAGTTTTTGATCCGAGAAAGCTCGCGCGATAAAAATGCAACTATGTGACCGGGTTAATGATGAAAATCAATAGAATATGGCTTAATGTGTTGGTTGCATGTAAGATACGAGATATGAGATGTGATAGGAGTGCATGTGTTGTGAGAAAGTGAAAGTTGCAAATAAGAAAATTAAATACGGTGATATGAGATGAATGAAGTCAACTGTAACACCAAATTTTGTACGTAAGGTAATTGCAAGGCGGGAATAAGAAAACTTTGAAGGCAAACGTGACCTGAGAGGGGACTTTCCGCAAGCGTGATAAGCAGTTACAAGCTGGAATGTACGAGAAATGAAAGAGGAAAGTGAGGGAATAAAATAGCTTGAATTTGAGAAGGGAAAGCACAGCTATCATCATATGTTTACCCTGCTTGCACCTAGCACAGATAGGCAGTAATTACATGGATGCTCTTACCTTAAAACGTTATACCTAGAGGTAGGTATATGGCAAATGAAGTATAATCAGAAACGAATCGAAGCTCTTTCTTTCTTTTTAATACGTTTCTTTTGCCCGCGTGACTTTCCCCTAAAACTAGTACGGCAAGAGATTGACATATATGTACCCAATCAATTTGTTTACGGGGACGTTTCCCGTTTGTCTCCCTCGCCCTCTCACCATCATATCAATGCCTGTCTAAGTAATCGACACGGGTTTCTGTTGGGGTTCTGTTGCCACCATGTGAACTACCTAGTATGCAGGGAACAAGCCACCTCAACCTATACTGACCTATACCGACCTATACTGTAAAGAAAGACTGTGAATGTGAGACATAATACCGTATTTCTTCGAATATATCATTCGATATCATTCGTGAGTACCAAATGTGTATGGGAAACATGGGGAAAGCATCAATTTGTTCAGAACCAGAGGGTATCATTGCCTATCATCTCTGTGATATCGTACAAACGTAGCCTGCTAGCTACACCATCAATCGTTCGTTCGTGGTATCCCGCCTGCCCATCCTCCCAAACCCATATTGCAGTCTACCTCCCGAACCGTCTCTCCCTCCAATCTGCACCCTATTCTTTCAAATTTGGTTGCGCTCATCTCGATACGGAGTTCGTCCCGTATGCTGTTCGCCTCCGAATGGATGGTAAGGATATGTAGGGTATACGATGGATGCCTCCAAATCAAAATCAAGTCCTATAAAACCAACGCCGCTTGATCGAGCGAAAAATAGAAGCGCATCAACTCTGGTATTTTTCTGCCCGAAAGTGTGTATCAAATTTTCTGTGTGCTTTTCTGTGGTATCATCCGACGGCGTCCTCCCGCTCCAATCTGCAACGCCGTATTCCGTCTTGCGCAGCTCGTGGTATCATGTCCAGATGTACTCGTGGATATAAAGCGTCAAATAGAATCATCTGCAGCCGTCGCCTGGCTGCGTCGCAAGGCGGAATAAAATGAAGAAAAACAAAAGCAAGCAATCAAGCGAGCAAACAAACAATAGACTTTGGAACCATAATAAGGAATAGAGAGAAGAGAGAGGAAACTATAAAGCAAATAGAAAAATAAATATGAAACGCAGAGCCGACCGATGCATGATCATAGGATCGGGGTATTTTTACGCCAGGGTATATCCAGCCGGGGGGTATTGCTTGCACGTAGAGCATCTAAAAGACGGAATCTAACGGTATGGTCCAATTGGACCGGGGTATCCTGAATTCGTAGAATGAGAAGTTGACGGTCGGCCACTATCGCCAGACGCACGCGTGCCGTGGCGTGGTGTGATTTCGCCGCCGTGGGGGATCGTGTTGGGCGTTAGTTTGTTGTCGAACCCGTTACTGAAGTGACGAGTTGACCAAGGGTGGTTGTCATCATCTGGAAGATTGACGCCGCTATCATTCCAGGGGTTTCGGTCAGCGTTAAAGCTGCGAGTCGAATCTATAGAGATAAGAGACGACTTAGACACATTGTTTGAACCTTTAAAGAATGTGTTCATCGAGTGGGAGCTGTTCTTTCTGCGATCGAGAGAAGACAGCAGCTGAGACGGCTTTCGGAGCTTGTCAAAAATGGTGGTGGTTCGCTGCTGCGCCATGTCCTCACCAAACACTGGCTTGGTAGGCGAATCTGTTCCTACTGGAGTAGGAGCATGTTGGAGCAGTTTGGAATCGAAGTACTGTAGCGAATCTTCAAATGAGTCCGACTTGGGACGGGGGATGGCACCCTTAACGATGGTGGCATCAACGCTTGCGGCTGCAAACTGCTCCATGAGGAAGTCGATAGCATCACGAAGACCGCCAGTATTGTTGCGAGTGAGCCTCCACAATAGAGTCATGGTTCGTTCTCCATCATCGGTTTTCTCTTCCGCGTTCTCATGAACTTCAAGGGTTACCTCATGTTGGTTCTTCAGCTTGGACACGAGCTCGTTGACAAATTCGGGAGACTCGAGAAATTTGACCAAGGCTGGAGTGCGAGTGAGGACCAATTCGTGGGTTTCAGGGACCATACCCTTTAAATCAATGTTAATATTAGGTTTTTATAGGTTGTAAGGATCTGTTGGGCTTACCAAGAATTCATCAGCGCATAGAGGCACCTGCCATTCTGGTCCAGTAACGGTCACTTCATCGCTGGCTTGCTCAGTACTGGGGAAGACAATCTTGCAGTTCCACTTCTTCTCAAGCTCCTCGAGCTCCTGTAGACGGGAAATGAGTTGTCTATGGTAGAGGCGGTCGACGTGCACGATTTGTGAAGTAAATTCAGAGTGCTATCGATGTTCATTAGACTCCTGGTCCTTGCAAGTGAGGTATAGGATATAACTTACGGCTCTATCCACCATGTCCAGAATCTCGGTCTTTACTAACTCAAGATTCTGGGCATTTCGAGCTGGGGTTCGACAGATGACGTTGTCAACCTTGACATCATCATCTTCACGACCCATGCCGCCTAACGCACCTGTTAATAAGCCTCGAGCCCCGAAACTCCTTACGGCGGGATTCTTACCACGATCCATGGCGTTCGAGAACTTAACGAAGACGGAATGCTTCTTCATGATACGCTGGATGTGTTGACCACCGATGCCAATAATCCGCTTGTGATACTGGTCGGGAACATGGAAAGAAATAGAGGCAGGCATCTCCTGCTCAACCAATGTCATTCCCTGTTTCATAGAATCGTAAGACGGCGCAATCACGTCGATATCAAAATTGTATTCTCTGAAGCTGTCGAATATGATTTGAACATTGCCTGTATCACATTAGCTCGACTAAACATATTTATTCCATGCTGGTATGACCTACTCTGCGTCATGATCTTGTTGATCTTGCCATTTTTCTTGCCCGACACAAACTCCTTGTGTTCATTGGCGAGTTCAATCTTGACCCGAATTTGATGTTGAGTCTGGTTTACAAACTTAATCTGCGAAAGCACGCCCAAAGCCTGCTTCACGGCGTCATCGGAGCCATTAATTGTAAATGTCATCTTGTCGAAGGAGATGTCCGCATCGGAATTGGCACAAATATCGCAGAGCATGCTGCGAATCTCTTCGGGACCAGGCAGTTGAGATACGCCAGTTTGCTGGATCCACCAAGACGCAAAGTAGAATTGGCCGGCCTAAAATATCAGTTAGCATATACCAAATCGATATGATATCTGGAGACATACGAGTGACATGATTTCCTTCATAGTTCGCTCAATGTGGAGTCCCTCAACACCTTGAACCCTAATCATGTTACGCTGAGAGGCCAGCGGCGGGAACATGATGTAAGTGCCGTTCGTCTCCATGATCTTGCGGACTTTGTCCATTCGCCCAAGCAAGATACTGTCTATCTTCGGGGCCGAAACTACGGAATCCTTGATGAAAAGCTTTGTCCTATTGACCAACTCATGGATCTTGCGCTTAGCCAATTCTATGCCCTGGGGATTCTCGCCAGTGATAAATATCTCTTCAGGGTTTCGCCGATTCGCATTCGGTGGGCAATATCGGTGCAATTGAGCAAATGGAGGGAAGTAGATGGCCGTGTTCGTTATCGACTCAATCAACTTGATGTTTTTTCGTGAACGGCCACAAACGATCGGGTGCAACGTGGTCTCGAAGCGCATCATATCGAACTCGCGTTTGAGCTACAATAGGCATTAGCATCGTCTTTACTTACTGGTAATAAAAACTCAAGATTTAGAATGTATACCAATTTATCAATGAAGATGAGAACCTGGGTCTTGGCATGTTCAGTAGACTCGCTATCCCCATAGATGGCAACTCTCCATCTTTGATCCCGGATGACTTCTACGTCGCCATTGAGGCCGTCGACCGTGGGCGTGAGCTTTGGGCCCAGAATGAAAATATCTACCCCGCAAAATACAGCAAAGGCGTCTAGAGTATTGGTGACATTCTTCTGTAATGCGCCGGCTTGGGCGTCGACAATCAATCCGTAGTTCACGTCGACGGTAGTGCACCTCTACAACATCTGGTTTAGCCATCCCTTTCTTTGTTATATTGTTAAAGGAGGGCTATAATATGCATACCAACGCTAAAGGAGTATCGCTCAATATAGTTTCACGGCTCTTGTGAACGAGTTCTGGCGAACCGGAAAGACACACTGTTGTGACTTGGGACTTGCAGTTCTTTGGCACACTCGAGATTACATGAGCCTCGATTGGTAAAGGACCTTTCGTAAGCTCCCTGCATAGATTCTGCAAATTGGCCAAATTCTGGGCATGAACTGGCAATTCATAGACAGGGACATCATCGGGGGCGTCTCCCGGATGCGTCCACTTGAATACAGCCTCACCAGTCGCATGTAATATTTCCTCCGTATTGGGACCGGCCAGATCGGACGCGAACGGGACGTTGAAGGCGAAGTGGATGGTGGTATCGGCGGCAGGCGAGGGACTTAACGAAGCTCCCGGAGCTCCGGCTTTCTGATGGGGATTTATGGCGGTCATGTTCATATTCGGTCTCGACGACATGCCGAAGTTTGGACTCATCCTCTCGGGCCAGTGACGCATATTGGCGAGCTTTTGCATGGTGAAACCTGGGGCAGGGGGGATGAAGGGGTCTGGAGAATGGAGGAGTAAGTGGTATGATGAGGAGAGGGAGAAAATGGGGTATCTCGATGTGGAAGTAAAAAGAAGGAAGGAATAAGAGAAAATAACTAAATTAAGAAAAAAAAAGGAAAAAAAGAACAAGGAAGAGGAGAAAACCGAAGGTATCGTTTGGTGGTTTTCTCTCTACCTTTCTATCTTTCTCTCTCTCTCCTCTCTTCTCTCTTCTCGTAAAAAAAAAGAGATTGTAAAACCTCTACTACTGTTAGTGGGGAGGTTAGAGAGAATGAATGGTGAGGAGAAGTGGAATTGACGGGATGGATGGACGGATGGTTTTTTGGGACTTGGGACTGGGAACAGGACTGGGAACGTGAGATGTGGTGGACTGGAAGAATCGATGGAACGAGCCAAAAGCCCGAAGTGTCGGGTGTATCGAAAGCTGTGCTGTGCTTGCCAGTTGCTGCTGCAGTCAGCATAATATGTACTGTAAGCTGGTTGGTTTTCAACGAATGAGCTCGCTAGATTGTAGGGGAACTTGGGTAAGGAAAAGCCCTGGGATGGCACATGGCACAGGTTAGAAGCCCTTGAAAAGCCTTGAAAGCCCTGAACAGTGCGCGAGTTACCACCTAATACGTAGTACGTATCTACCTCTTACAAGGTATGGATGTACCCGGTAGGCTGTTAATAGCCCTAGAAGTACTTGCACAGGTATATCTTCAGAGGTAATTGATGCAATGCTAAAGCAACCTTGAATGCTTTGTGTGGGCTTAGCGCGGTTGGTCGATGGTCCAAACTCATTCTACTCATCGCTCATTCCCTCATTCCAGTCTCTTTCCAGTTCGTCAAGTCGTAGTGGGGGCGCCGGATACTGGATCCAGCTCCACTTAAGAGCCCTTGTTGCAGGCTTGCAGGCTTGCGGGCTTGCAGCTGCTGCGAATAAACCGTAGCGGTCGCTAGCACGAATTCTATCATACACTACCGACCTTGATACCTTGGTATACCTTGGTACTAGGTATCGTAACACCTGATATAGTATGTACCTCGTGATTATCATCGGCTTGGTACTTGCAGGAGCAAACGCACAAGAATTTGCTAACAATTTTGAGTTGGACCTAACAGTTGAACCCTAGAGTCTACATGAATAAGATGGACGATCATGTAGAGCGTAGGTACACGGTATCGAAAAGGTAGAGGTGATTTCTTTTCTCTCGTCATCATTAGCTGTGAGATTTTACCAACCGCCCTCCTTACCTATTGCCTATTGTCTGCCAGCCAGCCTACCAGGTAAAAGCCAGACCCGTACACATGTGAGCACTCCAGGAAAGATAAGGTAGAAGATAACCTATATTTAACGGTTCTAACTTAATTATTACCAGTCGATATAGATACCAGGTATAGCAAATATGTATAAATATACTGTATATAGTAAATAATATATAGAAATTGAATCTTGCCTTGGCTCTTGGCCCTTGTTCGGGCTTCATGCTAAGATCTCTTTTTCCTCAACCTGGAAGTTTAATGTACATAAAATATATACATCCATAGTACGAGGAAAAAGAGTACATGGATATTGCACTGTACTGTACTATATCGGTAGGTATATGTGGATCTTGACTATGATTATTCAGCTAACTACTACCTGGGTAGTACATATACATGTACCCGTGGGCCAGTTGACATGATTAACGCTAGGTTTCTTACTTACTCGAGTTCTATCGGATGTTCAATGTTTGGTTCAGTCGTTCGAGACTTCTACTACATAGACACAGTTACACGTCTCATATCTAACACTTCCAAGGTTATCGAAGACAAGAAATTGTGATTAATAGTCGTGATAGGTCTTGTCTTCGATGGGTTTTTGGTCCGTGCAAAAGACATGGAAGCAACATCTAAGTCAATCTTTGTCGAATGAGTGCAACACGAACTCAAGGATTATAAGGTATACAGGGATGTCAATTATCAAATTTCATATCTATGGTCCGTTCTACCTAGTCTACCCTATTTGAGGTGCATGCCAAACAGACATAGCCACGGTACACGGGACCACTGTTGATCAAGTACGGTACAGCTTCTACACTACGGATTCGTACATGTACATCGCAAGACTAATACTATGCGAAAATACCGAAACTACCAAAAATATCTACGTAAACACCAGATAAACTGGAAGCTCGAGCCGACAAAGAATCAAAGAATCAGACAATCAGATCGATTACGGCGCGTAACTCAGATATAGATATCTAAACTACTGCATACTACGGTCCTGTAGGTAACACATCTAATGTATCGATCTGAGTTGGCGGATCTCCCGCGCTTCCTCTCATCCCTTTCTTTATTAATCGTCCGGGAATTATTAAAGCAGGAGAAAACACGTAGCAAAAATAATGCACACATATATGTAGCATATGTAGCTATTAACTAAGTTAGTTAGGGTCCCCCCTCGTCTTTGCCTCGTGAAGCTTCAGCTGAGCATTTCCCCTTGTCGATTCTCATCAAGTTTTTTTTATCCTCCGTCTCTCCATCTCACTTAAGCTTCCAAGGAAGGAATAGGAATAAGAAGAGTAATAACAAATTATACGACCAAGTCAAGCCCGAACCCCTGAAAGAGTGCCACATAACAATACCAACAAATACCAACTACCTCACTAAGCATTGATGTCGTACATATTTAGCACCAAAGTAGGTAAACAATCTTCGACTACGAGTATGCCACGGAGCTTTCTATATTAAAATATTGGTCCCAATTCAAGATCTTGACATACTTCTCATGCCTCCTAATGCCTCCTAGTAACCCCTATTCCCATACCTTTAAGGGGCATCCGGGGCCGCGCGTCGTGCGTGTGTGATGGCTGCCGAGGGTCCGGTGGTGGGACGGCTTATACATGTAGGGCTGGTAGCCCCCATCGTAAGCTATGCGGTTCCGAATCCCGAGCCGAGCTGGACGATACTATATTTTATGTTTATTAGGCATTCAGGTATTCATAAATCAACGGAGAAGAAAGGAAAGATGATTCTTCAAAGGCCAATTGTTAATAGAAGTACCTACTATATACGTACATCATGGACAAATGACTTGAATATCTACCGAATACTTGCATACTCTTATTAGGCAAAGTCAGCCATCTTCCACCTCGACACTATACCTCTAGATAGCCGGATTGTGGACGGAGTGTATGCGTGTATTGCCGACCACCGCTTCGGTTAACATACCTACTGACATCCTACAACCACAATCAAATGTCGGTAACAATATGGTTACAATACATGCAAGAGGAACGCCTTCATACGTCCATCCCTTGTCTAGTTCACATATTGGCCTCGTCTATGCAGATCAGAGTTGCTATAATCTAAGATTAATAAAAATCATTAGCATGTACCGTGTCACTTTCACTCAAGGAATGCCGAATGATTTGGGGTCCTATGTGTGGTTGATTGAGGGAGCCTAAAATTATGTACAGTCGGTGCAAGTGCGTACATGAGCACCTGACTGTATCAAGCTTCGTCGAATAGGGAAGCTTGCATACCACCGCCCAAATTCCACAGGAAACACACTGGGCACTTAGAGCAATGCCTGAGTCCACGAACCCCCACCTCAATGCCAATGCCGAGCAGACTCACACTCGGCTACAACTGTATTGCAGTATAGTACAACATCGAAACCATGGCAGGGCTCGAACTCTTAGCCATGTCCGAATTATGCCAACATTGGCTACCTACCTAGATAGGTATGTAGGCAAACCAATGAGGCGCATTATCTCCCATTAGTCCTCCGCAGACTCGGCCATAATGTACAATTCGCATGCATAAAATCCTTGGGCAGCATATGCTCACTAATAAGGTTGACGTCGACCATTTTCTGTGTAAATAATCTCTGGCTGAGCTGCTTGAGGATGCTCAATGAAGGTGACGTCGTCGTCTATATGGAGTGGTCTGTTATAGAGACGATCTCCTGGGTGGACGCTATATTCGCGTCTGTGTGCATCACGTTCTACCGGTCTGACGCTAAACTCCCTAGCTACCGGAGGCACCGCGTCTCGTCTTACCTCGGGATGGACGCTGGCTGCATAGTGTCTAGGAGGTAAATCCGGTCGTCCAGTATCAGGCCTGTGATAATACGGTACAGCCTCCGCTGGCCGTACTGTTGTCGCTCTAGGGAGGTAGCCCCGAGACATATCTTCGGGCACCCGACCGCCAATTGCTCCTCGAATCGGCATAAAGTCCGGACTGGGTGCTCCTCCAATAGGTTGTATCGGATAATCGCGTTCGCGGTAGCTTCTGTAATCCACTCCATATTCTGGTTGTGTGACTACGCGTCGAGGAGGATATGTGGGCGACGCACGTCGGTAGATAATCCCATCTTCTTCAAATGTCTCCCTAGACATACGAGACGGAACACGCGCTGGGACTCGTTCGTATATAACCTCGCGTTCACTTGGTCGCGGACCTGGTACGGCCGAATGACGAGATGCGGTGCTAGCACGAGGAGGTTCGATGTACTCGCGACCATATTGATCAACTAGAATTCGAGGCGGGGGCGCAGGGGGTGCCATGATAGGCGAGCGTCTCTCAACGATCGTAATGGGCGATCGCGATCTAGCACGATCAGCATAAGGCCGCACACTCATTCGGCCATCCCGCGGGTAAGCAGAAAGCTCTCGATACTGGGGGTTTAATGAGTAACTGGCCGAGCGTAAAGGTCGCGACTCAACAACACTGTAGGGGGGCGCGTAGTCGTAGGGGGATTGGACGCGTTGAATATACTGCACAGCCGCTTCATCATGCCGTCGCTCCTCGTACACGGTGCGCTCTAATCTCTGGCTCGCCGGAGCTACAGACTGGCGTGCCTGTCTCGCGTAGGGATCATCCACTCTCTCGAATCCGTAGGGAGATTGTGCGGCTGGTGCATGTGTTGTAGTAAACGGTTCGCGACGCAGTACAGAAACTGGTCGTCCGATTCGCGTCTCTTCATACACTATCTCCGGCTGTTGGTGTGGGTCAGATCGTAATCGCTTCTGAGGTCTGGCAAATTGCGGTGCCGATAAAGGTGAAGGCGATCGAGGTTCGGGTTTGATGTAAGGAGATCCTGGGACATCTGATGTTCTCGCTTCAGCCTTTCTCTTGTTCTTCTTGTTGTTCTTTTTCTTGCTTCTCTTCTCTCCTTGAGGGGAACTCTCAGGACTAGTAAGAACTCCATGTTGTTGTCTCAGTGCGGTTACCTGTGCCGGCGCACCCGGCAAGATGCTGATTTCTGGATCAGACGCAGGCGGTACTCGAACTGTGGCCAACGACGAAATATGCGCAGGTTGGGGGGCATACGGCGAAAGGTCGTGGGCACGAACTAATAGGCCTTGAGGCTGCTGTTGTATTAAGGGAGGAGCAGGAAGTAAGCCGGCGAGGCGAGCTCTGTAGTCACCAGGCTGATCCGAATCTGTATTACCATTGTCTGATCTACTTGCAGGGCCGCTGTCTGAACTGATAACCTGCGGTTCCATAGAATGTAACTGGTGGAACTGTGCTACCAACGATGATCCGGGACCTTGGGTGGGCTTGGGTGGAATGCCGGTGCTCGGCGGCAATGGGCGCGAACTACTCGCGGTCTGGGTCGGCTGCTCGCTCTGACTTATCTGTTGTTGGTACGATGGTGTTGGGGAGTAAGTGGGCGGCTGAGAAACATACCTAGGCTGCGGCTTGACCATTGGCGTCGCATGTGGTCCATGTAGGGGAGTAACGAGGCCTTGCACTGGCACATCTTGACTTATTACCTTCTGAACTCGAGGTGAGGCACGCGAGACAGGGGTCTCAAACGAACTAGAATAAAACGTATTATCGTCGAAAGAATCGCTCGAGTCGGAAATGGTGGCAGCGTTAGGAGTACCGGTAGAGATCGGAGCGGTAGCTTGTACGACAGTTAACGCCTTCGCCAAAACATCTGCAAGATCTAAGTCAATATGCTCAGATGAGGATCGCCATTCTGATCGTTGATGAAGCTGTTGTTCGAGTTCCTGTTCGAGCTTTTCCCGTTGTTTCTCAAGATACCTTGCCTTGTCATTAGGGTCTCGAAGGGTCTTGTTATCATCTAAAGGTGCTGAGACACCTGGGATAAAAGTAGATGCTGCAGATGCAACAGATAGCTCTGAAATACCAGTCGCAGCTGAGGCGACAGCTGATTGCTGTAAGTTGGCCATGAATGAATTATAATTGTCCACCTGGTGAGAGTTGAGATTAGGTGCATGTGCATGTATATGTGGGTTTTGCAAGGCTTGGGGCTGTGCGAATGATGATGAGGATGCAACGCGTTCTGTACGTGCTGTACGTTCTGTCGCGGGCATAGTAGAAGTAGCTTGGGGTTGTTGAGCTGGAGTAATAGGCTTAGCAGTAACAACCTTGATACGAGGATGCTTGCCAGATACTATGGCATCTCGAAAACTGATAACCTTCTGATATTCGCGGATCCCTTCTAGATCAGCTGCTGTTAAGCTTCCATTCTGACCGCCCGGCTGATAGCCTGAAGCTATGGCGATGGGTTCTTGTGGGTTGCTAACTTGTGCCATGATTACGAGGAATCAGCTGGGCAACAGAACCATCCATAGATCAAGGACTACCACCGTGCAAGAATGAACAAGAGCAACAAATTTGTATACGATTACGAGACTGTTTTTGTTTTCGTTGAATGGATGCGAAGATCACTTGAATTGAAGATATCGTCTAGATGACGATATGATCAAGAGCGTTGTTTTAAGATGGAAAGTTGATGAGGAAGGAAATAAAAAAAACGAAAAGACGTGTCGCATGACGAGTTAAGCTCTGGTTGGAATTTCAAATGTTATTTTTTTTCTTTAGTGCAACGTGCATTGGTGGCCCACATTAAAAAGTGTACGTACCTCCGACACATCGACATTGTAACTTCCACATTTTAGAATTGAGTAGGAGTCAAGGTAACTACGATATTAATAGTACAATCTAATTCGATTTTGCTATTTCTTTCAAAGAACAAATAGTTTCATATGTCATTGTTGGGGGTTTATGTCAAAAATCAACATATTATAATTAGGTATATTTTGGGTATCAGGCAAAAAATGTTGGCGGTGCTGGGAATCGAACCCAGATTTACACGGGAGCAGTATCTGGTCCACAACGTGTTGTACTGACCATTATACTACACCACCCAACTCAAATTTGATGACTCAAAAGAGCAGAACCCAACTAAGGGACAGTGTACTGCGTTGAAAATCGGTTACAAAATTACGTCTATATACGCACTCAACCGGAATTTTGACTAGGATCCGAGGTTTGACCGAGTCCGTTTTTTACTAGTGGCCGAGTAGTCTGCCACATGCGTAACGTCTATTTGGAGGTAGGAGGGGAGGAAGGAATGAATTACAGTCCAGTACAAAGTAACTGTTATAGTATAATAGAACAGAGTTAAGCCAATCAGGGATACGGTTTTGTTAGTGCTCTTGGGTACTGCTAGGAAAGGTGGATTTTTCCAAGGGTCTGATTCTCGTCTGCTTTCAGATTACTTCATCGCTCATGATGTCTCGTTTCGCCGGTGACTCAACCCGGACTTGACTACAATATACCTAGTCTAACTACGAAGAGTTATCTTAAATATGAGGTGTTTATAAATTTTGAGAATAGACATTATTTAAAACAATGAAATGTAAATACCTATTATATCACATGAGGGGATGATTGTGATAACTGCTTAGTCTCTAAACCATTCTACTAAATTCCCCAATTACTTCGCTTCCTATTCGTCTCAGCGGGTGGTTATTCTCTTTAGTTCCCAACAACTCTATTCATTGTCACCCCTTTATTGCTCTTACTCACTTGAAGTCTTACCCCGAGATTCGTTTATAAATTACTTATAACCAGTTTGCATCGTTTATATAAATTTATTGCAAACTCTGTCTCTATATACCTACTACCTAGTACATACAAAATATTAAGCTATGGGATCGCAAACGGCAAAGCCCAATGGGGCGACAACATCCAGACCTGTCTTATTCTTGTGAGCTCCTCTCATACTACAGTATTCGGACTATTAGGTGGATACTAATACCTTGAACAGCGATATCGACAATTGCCTCTATCCCAGAAGTACGTTGAGCTATTATAAAGAACAAGTAGAGGGGGAAAATGAAGAAAACGACACATGCTAACTATTAGCCTAGGCACTAAAGTCCATGACCTGATGGCCGACCTCATCGATGTGTACTTTGCGACACATCTCAATATTCCAGAAGAGGAAGCCATCAAGTTGCACAAGGAGTATTACAGGAACTACGGTCTCGCGATCGAAGGGCTGGTGCGCCACCACCAGATTGACCCCTTGGACTATAACGCCAAGGTTGACGACGCTTTACCCCTAGAGGGCATCATCAAACGGAACCCACAACTGCGGAAGCTACTTGAGGATATCGATACCTCCAAAGTAAAACTATGGCTCTTGACTAACGCCTACATCACACATGGCCAAAGAGTTGTCAAGCTCTTAGGCATCGACGATTTATTTGAGGGCCTTACGTATTGCGACTATTCGAAAGATCCCATCATATGCAAGCCGCATAAGGATATGTTTGCCAAAGCGATGAGGGAGGCTGGAGTAGAGAGAGCCGAGGACTGCTATTTTGTCGGTAAGTAAAATAGTATTAATCACTAAATACCGAAGACCCGAAACCCGAACTTTTGGTAGCTGATTTTACTAGATGATTCGTATCCAAACGCAGTCGGTGCGAAACAGCTGGGATGGACAGCAGTTCACTTAGTCGAAGATGGTCTACCGGTCCCAGAAACCCAAGCATCTCAATACCAGATAAGGCATCTGGAAGAGCTACGAGGAGTATTTCCGCAATTCTTCAAATCATCAAATCCGGCATAAACGGCGCGAGGCATGGAGCTCGGGAAGTGTTGGTCGCATGGTATAGCCCAGTCATTTAGAGGAGATCATTAGCATCAGAAGGGCAATAAAGCCCATATCGCATAGTATAAACGACTATTATAGACCACTTTTGCCTTTTCCATAGCCTACTAGGAAGTAATAATGTCCAGAACGCCTAATTTGGTTAATCTAACCGGGTATCATATAAACATCTTTCTATCCATCATTCGATAATCACGGGCGTCTGATGCTTCGGATGACGGCGTCTAGTTTCGCCATGGTTTCTTCCTTCTCTTTGATCGCCTCTTGCCGTTGTGCCTCCGCGACCTTGAGTTCCTCTTCAAGCTCTTTGATGTTCCTCTCTTGGTCTTTTTCGCTGTTATCGAGGCCGGGTAATATTGAGATGAGAAGCTCGATCTGTTGCTCTTTCGTAATGAGGTCTTGGGCAAGCTCGACTTGCGACGCCTTAAAGACGTCTTCGGGATGCGGGTCTACTGTGTGGTGTATTAGTATATGTGGTAGATATTGAAGCCATTTGCTTATAGACTTGCCCTCCTCTTGTCCCGGCTCTTGTTTTACATCTCGGATTTGGTCGCCTGGACCTAATGTCTCCAGGTTGTGGTGTCTATCGATATAATGGATGCTAGCGACGAATTGCTGCGCGAGCTGGAGATCCGGAAGTTAGTTATTATTAAGAAGACCGTTGCGATATAGTCGCTAACCTGATCAACAGCATCCTGTAGTTGGGTAAGCCTGTCTCCCATGATGCATGCTCATGGATTTGACGCAAAATGATGATCCAAATGGTTGTAGCTCTGAGCTGAGCTTTTAAGTCACGGCCTCTTCAGCTTAGAAGTTACAGGGCACGGTCGGTGGGGCTAACAGTACAAGGATTATGGTGGAGTGCTAGGTCTTATCGATAAAGACACATCAATCCCGTCTACAGATTTACCTTGGGAGGTACCTCAAAATTCACCACTTAACTCCTACAAAGTTACCATGTACTAAATAATTCACCTTCAATGCACACCAGCATTTCAGAAAACCTCAGCGAATTTTGCCGGGAATGGAATGAGGTCTATTATACGCTACCGCCCACTATGGCGCCAGCACTACCCACCCACCACTCACACCCATAACCACCCTCTCAACCGACCTCACCATGCGCACTCATCTTCCACCTCAACCCACCCCCTCCTCTACCCAGAAATCCCAGGCAACGGCAGCTCGCACCACGACCTCGCCTCCTACGCCGCCTACGCCGCGCGCACCGGTCTAGACCTAACATCCAAGACCTACGTCGGCACACGGTACGAGTACACCGTAGCCGCGGCCCTCGCGCCCCTCGGCTTCGCCCTCCAACGCATCGGCGGCCGCGACGACTGCGGGATCGACTTACTCGGGACGTGGCGGTTGCCCATAACCCCCAGCAGCGCTTCTCCAACCCCACCACCCCTCCGCGTCCTCATCCAATGCAAAGCCGCCTCCGCGCAAAGCACCAGGATCGGCCCTCACCAGATCCGTGAGCTCGAGGGCGCCTTCGCTGGTGCCCCGCCCGCCTGGCGCTCTTCCCTCCTCGGCTCCCGGGGGCCTATCTTGGGCTTCTTGGTCGCGCAGAAGACGGCGACGAAGGGTGTGCGCGATGCGTTGGGACGTAGTCGATGGCCTATGGGTTTCGTGTCGTGTACGGCGGACGGGAGGTTAGAGCAGATGGTGTGGAATGGGCGGGCGGAGGAGGAGGGGCTTGAAGGGTTGGGTGTTGGGGTGCGGTTTAGTGAGGGTGAGGATGGGGTTAGATCGGAGCAGAGGTTGGTTTTGACTTGGAGAGGGAGGCCTTGTGATCCCGTCTAGGTCCAGGCCTTGGATCTCTACGAGGATAGGACGAGAAAACGACGGAGGGTTTCTCCGTGGAGACTTCTAATAACAGGTAATCGCGATGATGAGGATAAATATTATACAGTAGACCATACCCTATATAAATAATGTCACGCCAATATACACTGCATTCAACTCAAAAAGATAAATAGGTATATGTATTTTCTTAAATCTATTATCCCGTTTAAGTCAGTCTTCCGTCCCAGAGTCGCGTGAGCTTTTGCCCTTGGTATAAATATGTACGTGTAAGAAATCATATCCACTGAGCCCCTGAATTACGATCCCTCTCACCAGCTCCATTTTGAATCCATACAATTCAGGCACGTCGTCGCTTTATTAATGCCAACATCCTCTCCCATGTTCAGGTAGGCATACCTAGTACCTCAAATCCCAAAGCAGCCACTATAACAGCTACCCGCACCACGTCTTTCCAAATTCCCAATCCCATCGATTAATCCTCCCAAATCGCCGCCTTAGCCCTATCCTCCTCCTCCTTCCGCCTCTTCTCCGCCTCGCGCTCCTCCTCGCGCCTCTTCCTCTCCTTCTCCCTAACCGCACGATCGTACGCCCTCTGCTCCTCCGTCGGCCGCGGCGCTCGCACCCCCAGCGCGCTCGCGATCATCCGCCGCGCCACCGCGTCCGTTTTCTCCGGCCTCCTCCGCTCTCCGGGACCACCGTCGCTTATGCTGCCGCCGCTGGCGGGCGAGGCTGGGGGCGAGAGACCGGAGGGGGAGAGGGGGGTGGATGTGGATTGCCATGGAGGTACTCCTGTCCCGCTGTAGGATGGTGAGGCGGGCGTTGGTGGGGGTGCAGCGAATCCGGAGTCGTTTACTTTGCTGTTGCTTTTTGCTAGGGATTGGGTGATTGACTCTTCTGGTTCTGGGTCGGAGACGTCTTCGTCTTCCCAGGAGTCGGCTACTGGGGCTGCTGGTTTCTTGGATTTGGATTTGGGTTTTGGGGGGTTGAGGGATAGGTCTGACATTGCTTGGGTGGCCATGTTGATTTGATTATTGTGTGATGTGAGATTCGTTTAGAAATGGGGTGTATCTGAGTTGGGTAGGTGTATGAAGCCGAAATAGGAGTGAGCTCCGATATTGGTCTAACGGAGCACAAAGAATGTGAGATGGTGTAGTAGTTGTGTTATCGGCGATCTTAAATGTTATAGTATACCCGAATACCTGGATCTCAACGGGCGAGAACGATTGAACCTTATAGAATCAAGATCGAGGGTCGCAATTGCAGATTGCCGTACAGTGGAAGGACCGGGCTGACGTATGTAAATATGCAAGTCCGACCTTGAGAGCGAAGGGGTCGTCCTCGAAAGTTCAGGTCTTGGTGGGGCAATGCACACTCCACTTCCCCGCAAAGTCAAAGTCTACAAGCCGAAGCGCATTGACCCTCACTCCTTGTTCATAACTCTTGAAATAGTATATTAATCTTATATGCCTTTGTCTTCACTTGCTGCTTGTCTGACTTCGTTGTGATTTGTCTATTCTCATAGACATGTATTAGTCGCCGATATGTAGGTGGAAATGTTCTAGAACGCTCTGAAAACGGACTCCGGAGTAGCTCTGATAAAGCCAACGCAAAGCCACTGAGGCTTCAAGGTTGAGCCATCTTGTATATGAATGAGCAATGCTATTATTATATTAAATCTCCTTATATTGACTCTATTCATACCATTGTGATGATTGTTAAAAATCATAGATTATAAGGCTGATTGTCGGACCAGGAGGCTATTGATGTTTCTTATTATATTAGCATCAAAGCCTAAGTAGATAATGGAATTCAACCGACCATCAAAAGATGAAGTATCTTGACCTCGTATTCAGCTCAAGTACCCGTTAGGTGGCCATGATACCTACCTACCTAGGTAAGTAAAAATGCTTCCTGGCTTATGTAGGTACCTAGATAGGTATGTATCCAACTTGGTTCATAAGTTCTCCTAGAAGGTTGTATTATACAACTCCAACGCGAACTCCCCTAGAGGTATACCTAGAGGTATACCCCAACATCATCAGTTGGCTTCATGTACCTATCAGAGACATATGAGCGTCACATAAAAAGCCTTTCACAAGCCACATGAACAAAAGCAAGTGCCTTAATCCGTATCTTCCGTATATAAATCTACACCCACACCTCTAAGCGCATCGACCGCCCAAGTAGGGTATTTACTGCTATCCGTATACAAATCCGCAAAGAACCGTCTTAGGAACTTGGGGAACCGATCCTCTATAATAGCCTGCCTAACATCCCCCATCAAGTGCAGCTGGTACCACACATTATGCATAGTCAGCAGATGCGCCGCCACCGTCTCCTTAGCCGTGTTGTGATGAACAAACGCTCTCGTGATCCCCATCCCCTTCCCGTCTTGCCGACAGCACATACACCCACATCCCTCCTCAATGGGCCCGAAATCGTTCGTATATTTCGCGTTCCGCAGGTTTAGGATGCCGTACCGTGTTACTGCGTTTCCGAAGCGCGCCGTTCGCGTCGGCCACACGCAGTCGAACATGTCAGCGCCCAGCGCCACACTAACGACCAGGTCCTCGGGGTATCCGATACCCATCACGTACCGCGGCTTCAGCTCAGGTAGCAGCTGCGTGCAGGTGACCACGACGCGGCAGTAATCCGCTTTCGCCTCGCCGCCGCTGAGTCCACCGATCGCGATCCCGGGCGTGTCGCGCGCTACCATCTCTCGACAGCACTCGCGGCGCATGTCTAAGTCCAACCCTCCCTGAATGATACAGAATAGGTTCTGCGTGCTGGGGTTCGCGTGCGCGGCAATGCATCGGTCGAGCCATCGAACGCTGCGCTCCATTGCCTCGCGCATGCGCGCCGCGTCGGGGGAGGTCGTCACGAGCACGTCGTCGAGTTGCATTATGATATCGCTGCCGATCGTGTTCTGTAGTGAGATCGAGTGCTCTGGCGTTAGAAGCATGGGCGTGCCGTCGTGAGGGCTTAGGAACCGGACTCCTTCTTCGGTGATGTTGGCTAGTTTGAGGAGGCTGACCATCTGGAAGCTATTTTGCGGGTTGTCAGTTCGCTTCCGATCTCAAAGGACGATAGTTTGGAGGTATAGTACCCTCCGCTATCCGTGAGGATGTTGTGGTTCCATCCTTGTAGCTTGTGAGCTCCTCCTATCGCAGCGAGAACATCTTGGCCTGGCTTTAGTCCGAGGTGATATGTATTATTAAGACAGAGACGACATCCTGTTTCTTCTAACTGTTCAGGTGTTAAGCCTTTCAACGACGCCTGCGTCGCCACGGGCATGAACATCGGAAGTTGAACCGGTCCATGGGGGAGAGTTAAGATGGAAGCTCGCGCTCGAGTCGTCTGATACGGTGATTAGACAACCCCTTCAAATATCCTATGTAGCTGTAGGACATGTGATTCTCTCAACTCACAGAACATCTCGCAAGAAGCTCAAAGGTGAGAGCTGGAGAAGATTGAGAGGCGATCGTAGCCATCTTTCTCAACATTAAATTATTTACTGAATTAGGTACCGATGAGAATCTCTACGTCATAGGGTTTTAGGAATGCGACAAGGTTTACGGGTCCCTGCCTCAAGTGCTCCTGCTGCTCCTGGTACCTAGGTGGAGTTATGCGCATGAGGCTGCATAAGGAAGTTAATTAAGATGTCGAGACTGTTGGGTGAAGTTTTTTCAATCTTCTTTCTCATTTTTCATGCATTAGATGCCCACTTCTGAGAGGGATCTGGTAAGTTTTTAGGCGGTGGAAGTTGGACTAGGTAATCAATATGAGTGGTCCGTGTGTTTGCTAGCCTGTGAGATTTTACGGATTTCTATTACCAAGTTGTTAGTTGACAAAATGAGACATACTTTGGTAAATGATGTATGATGTATTATATAATTGAACATGATCTGATATGTATGTATGTACCGTCGACGATTGAGTCTTGAGCATGTACGCTTCGTCTAAGAAGAAAGGAAAAGAAAGGAAGGAGAATTGAAATTTCAAGTTTTCATGTGTCACAGGACTGGGATCTGACATCTGGACTTCTATTATCACAAGCGTAAACCTAAGAAACAATTGGGCAGTAACAACTTCCAAGGTTGAAATTTTAATGCCGGTAATAGGCTCCTTAGTAAAGGGCATTCAGCCCTTTCCAGAAGCCTTGCGCTCCACTTATAGGTAGTCGCGGGGGAATTACCTACTGTAAAGTGCGACCTGGAAAAAAAAAAAGTAGAAAAAAAACAGTGGGAAGTGGCCTGACAAGCCCTGTAAGCAGTTCCGAATTCGGGAACGTTCGGGCATTAACTATCCAACGACGAGGCTCTGAAAAATCGAGTTTAGCAAAACTCCTCCATCGACCTGCCACCAGACTCATCCATAAATACCAAAATCATACGATTCCTTACATTAATAGAAGGGGATTCGGGTCGAGCCCACCCGACTTTTCTTCTGTCGAATGGGATAATGAAACGCTACGGCGTAAAATAAGACGGTTCTAGCCTTTTTTATTCTTTTCCCATTCTCAAATCGGTATCTCATGACAGTTCAAAACACCGAAGGGAAAAAAAACTTCATCAACTCCATACAATAATATCCACTGTCATCACCGGTACGTATATTCATAATACGTATTTTATTCAGATACGTACAATACGTACCTCATGTAGCTACTCACACCAATATAGCTACTGGAGCATTGGGACATTGGAGACGCGTATCTGGTCACTACTTGGGCGTCGTCAATCTAACGACGACAACTTCGTGGTGTCGTGTGGTTTCGCTTCACTCAACTTGAACTTCGAGGATTCGCCGCGGTTATATTCATTCCTATTCTAATTCGCATCACATCCGCACCCGCATCCGCAATTCGGCAATTACTTGGATGAGAATACACTAATCGCTTATATTTTTTGCGTCATCCCGAAATCCCCATACAACCCCGTCACCCCCAGGTACGATACAGGCCGTCCCCAAGTGTCCCCAAGAAGAAATGGAGCTTAAGTGAGCTGCCTCACTCGGTCTCACCCTAATCCAGCCTGTCGAACCTATCCTATTCCACCCGGTCCTTGGAGACTCCAAAGTCTGGAGTCTTGGGGTACGTGTGTGGCTTCTCTTAGTCTCCAGGCCGATAGGAGAATTCATTCGATCTTCAATCTTGGCGACCAAAGGTGTAGTGCCCGGACGATCTTCATCCTTGGCGTTCTACATGGCCCTTGTGGCCCTTGTGGCCCAATCCAGATCAAGTGTCACGACCGTACCCGCGAAAATACTTCGCGAAAAAATCCCAAGTACTACACAAGAGCAAACAGGGACCATCCCTCCTCTATACGTACATTGTAGTTTCTTTACTACTTTCAGTTCGCCGCCCCGTGTAAGTGGGCTCTCTCCCTAGATGAGAGACCGCCTTCCTTGTCACGAGGGTCCTTGGCCTTAGCCATCCGTATACATATACCTTACTCAGCCTGCCCATTCGGTCAAGTTCAGTAACTTCACTCTCTCGGATCCCGTACTGTAGGTAGTCCCGATCTCGTAGTCGTCTCTTCGTCCTCTCGTGCCGTCGTCGCAGCCGTCATCGTCTTCAATTCCGTTGTCCTCTCCTATCCCGTCCGTGTGTCTCATGAGCCTTGCGACCACAATGTCAGACCTGGATTCATTTACTCTTTTCTCCCTGTTGCCTACAGAGTTGAGGCTTCAGATATGGCGACACACCTGCCACCCTCGGGTCGTCGAGGTCTTGTACGACGACCGAGCAGATGAGTGTGCGTCATCTACAGTGCCACCACCCACCCTGCATGCATGCCGAGAATCACGGTTCGAAGCCTTGAGGATATATAAAAAATCATTTGGCACCAATTCCCACGAACCTAAGATATACTTTTGTCCAGAAATTGACACCCTCTACCTACCTCGACCACCTTACATGGGCTACGACGACGCCATAAGATCTTTTACGGAACTTGTCCTGGACACCGACGATACTATCAACCTCGCCATCGACTATGTCAATCCTGATATTAGACGCCCATGGGAGACATACAACAAATATGCCCTGATGCACAGCTTCCCTAAGGTGAAAGAGGTCTATCTAGTCCTGGACGCAGACGCCCCGGCGGAAGAGCACATCTATGAAGATCACGATGACCACGAGGATATAGGACTAGTCGATCCAACAGGAGACATCATGGTTCTTTGCCGACTACTTTCCGAAGTTAAGGAATCATTTTTCTACGAGGTCGGGTCTACCTACACCGTCAGCGATACGAAGGAGGAGTTCTACGAGCAACCCGTCTTGCCTCCTCTGGTATTGAAGTCGAAGGTCACACACCATATACACCATGACCATACGCACCATGATCATTCACTTCACGACCACATACACCATGCATAGGGGGAGCGGTGAATGGCTGTCTCCTATGCCTAATATACATACATGCTAAGCTCTAGGTATAATTACAATGCTGAAACAAGCCAGCTTAATAATAATGATATAAATATTGAAATCCGCCTTCATCGTAGTCAATTATTAAGTACATGTACGTCTGCTGAAATCTACGCCTTCACCGCTTACGGGTTTCCTTACATTATCCCTTTGCTTTTTTGCTTCGACTGGAAGTCAACAACACTTCCCTGAAAACCAATAGTAGCTACATGAGGCTTTCTTAAAAACAGGGTCATACGTCCTGCGCGTCACTAGTTTGACCAGTTATGTTCATTGATTCTGAGACTTTGTAGATCATCAGACGTCCGTAGCAAGTGTACGCTTGCGAGTTAAACGATAGTTTCATTTGGTATTCGGCCTTCACGGAGCTGTTTACCTACCAGCCTACGAGGTTATACGAGTCTCTTTACCGCTAAATTGGTCTCTTCTCGATGTAGAAAACGGACTGCCTTCTATCAGAAGTTTTAAGATTCGTCGATCGCATTACGCAATCTGAGAATTGCTTCTGGGACTGAGATGTCTCTGATGGGGTTGTCTCTGATGCATGCACGTATGCGTCTGTTCCTACCCAAGGAACACAACTAGAGATCATCTATGGCATAGAACCAATGGCTCTCATTATTTCGTTTTCTCTTCAGATTCCTCGGAGTCGTTACTAGGATGCCATGGGTAAGGGTTAAGTTCGAGACGGTCATTACATTACATTTAGCGATATTCTCATATTTTTACTTGGACTACCTCCTTACCTAGGCAGCTAGGTAGGTGATAGCTCTTCGCTGAGACGGGCTAACGTACACGACTTGTTCAACAGCAAAATCGGGCTATCGCCGTGCGGAAGGCCTCTTTGGGTATAGCCGACACATTTGCCCGGCTTTCCACATAGTCAAAATTGATCCGGTTGATCCAGGCGCATAATGCTGTCTTAGAATATGTGGCTGAGCGTAATTACGGCACGATTAGGATCCTCGGCCTTGGCAGCTCTGACGGCGTGTGATATAAACTGTTACGTAGCCACATTAATGCAAAGGGTTGAAAAGGGTAGAGCTAAATATGGTGGCTTTCTCGCCTGGTATATCGTAGGTAGCGCATATCATCGAGGAAATGAACTTCCACAGGAGGTTATTAATGGGTGCTATGACGGCTCTATAGGCAAGTGTCTAGGCTGTTATATTGGCGACATTATGTGAAGCTCCTTCATGCTGAGCACGAGGGAAATGCTTTATGGGAGCAGAGGAGGCGTTGTAGGAGTGCTAAGAATAGCTAATGCCCAGGTCTGCCACTGCCAATATTTTTTTAATAGAACTAGTTACGGAGCTTTTGGGGTAATATAAAACCGTGAAAACCTAGCTCAGGACCTCACTCGAGGTCTGACATAATTTGTATGTAAATTATTGCGAAGATGGTATCTGTGTATTAATCTACATTCTATTCGAAAAGTAAGAATCGAGGTGTGAATGGTGACAAGTTTAATTGAATATGTGCCCCTCTTCCTTCGAATCTTGGGCAAATGTAGAAGCGGGTTGAATAAGTGTATGCCCTTTTCCATCCTTGACTCGTTTTCGATGCTGTTAGATGTGATGGAGAGATTTTTCTCTATCGTGACCGAGGTAGGTAGGTAGGTAGGTAGAAATCGCAAACACAATATGACGATATTGCAAACGCCTAAGGGAGCATCAGTAACATAGCAGAATAGTATCGTTTCTATTTGCCTGGTTGCCATTGGAGAAAATGATGGACCAATGATAAAATGGCCAAGTATGATATATAGATTTTTGTATTAATTAGAAGGATGTGTTAATCGATTTCACTTGAAAACTAACATGACCTTTGATTCATTTGGATTTGATCTGAGGTCGAGATTGATGTTAAGATCGATTATGTTGAAGAGAAGTCCCCAGAGACCCCTGAACAAATCGAATGTACCTTCTAGGGCTCAGAGGTTAAAGTGGAGAAAAGACCCATGCAATTAGCCGCACCTGCAGATCGATTTTCGTCTAAGAGGTACATGGAGGTACCTGTAAGTGACGTGCCCCGCGATTTGACTCACCCACCTTAACTTTTGCGCAAAACGTTTATGATAGAAACTTTCTGCTTTATTGACCGACGATTACCTCAGATCTATTATTTTTATATCAAGTGATTTCGACTTCAAAACGAGATAAACTATCGTTTCTATTGATAACCCGACTTCGAAAAGCCCGAGTCCATCTACTTGAACATAAACCCAAGCTCCAGCTTTTCTGCGGAGAGCTTTCTTTTCTTTCTCCTTCAACCACCAAACAGACCGCAACCATGGCGGCCATCAACCAAAACGAGCGCGAGCTCCCCATCCGCGATAATCCGGACCTCGAGTCCTTCGAGTAAGCAATATTTCATTTCCCTCTTCGCGTTTGCCCCTTCCAATCCCCCTCCCACAAAAGCTAACCTCCCCCCACAGCATCGTCAGCGCATACACCAAGCTCCTGCACGACGACCCAGACCTCACGATGCCCGTCGCAGCAATCGAAGCGCTAATCGAATGCCTCTCCCAATCCTCCGCCAAGACCGTCTTTGAGACTATGGACCTCATCAAGACGCAATCGGCGAAGCTGCGTTCCGCGGTGCGCAACCCCGTAGCGTTGACCCACGGCACGGACCTGTTCCAGCAATACCTCGTCACCTCGCTTAAGCAGCCCGGCCCCGACGGCAAGGAGACTAGCAGTCACGAGAACTTCGAGGTCGTGCGCCAGCACCTCATGCGCAACGGCCGCCTCTTCGCCTCCCGCGCCAAGCAGGCCCGCGAGCAGATCGCTACCGTTGGCCGCGAATATGTCCGCGATGACTGCACGATCCTTACTCATGGAGGTTCACGTGTCGTTGGTACTCTGCTTGCTCGTGCCGCGGAGTCTATTCCGGGAGATGCGAAGAGAAGATTCAAGGTTATCCATGTTGTCAACGAGGCGCGTCGCACGGAGAGCCTCCGCGTCGTCGCTGCCCTTCGCGAAAAGGGCGTCCAGGTCGCTACGATCCCCGAATCCGCAGCCGCGTACTCCATGAGCAAAGTCAACGTCGTGCTCGTCGGCGCCGAAGCCGTAACCGCGAACGGTGGAATCATATCTCGCATGGGAACGTATCAGCTGGCTTTGATCGCCAAGGCGCGAAGAAAGGAGTTCTTTGTTGCTGCCGAGCAGCACAAGTTCGGCCAGACGTTTCCGATCGATCAGTTCGATCTTGGATTCAACCAGGATATCTTCGACTTCCACTCGCGCAAGCAGGAGGAGAGCGAGGATAAGACCACGTCGCGGCCTATTGATGATCCGGTGGATTACACGGTATGTTTATTCAATGAATCATGGCTACTTAGCTATAATTTCCATGGTCTACTTTGCTAACAATCTCGACACAGCCACCCGAATTCATCTCGTCCATCCTCTCGGATAACGGCGTTCTTACACCTTCGGATGTAGCCAAAATGGTTATTGATCTGATGTACTGAAGCCTCGCTAAGATGACGAGATGATACCCCGTGGTTTTGTATTCGGACCACATCCACACCTGCTCTATACCCCCCCTTATGCATCCATACATGTTCATGTATGGTGAGATACAGTTCTCTACATAGCTTTGGCGGTGAAAAGTCATACTGACTACCCCATCAAGTGCAATAAGAGGGAATTATTACCTGCGTTGCTTGGGACTTAGTAGAATCCTGGCTAGAGGCACTGGAAGAAATAGTGTCCGTAATAAGTTGGCCGTAAGAAGTAAGCAATGGAAGGTATCTTGAGGATAAGCATAACTAATTGTAGCTTGGCATATACTACGGCGCCTAAAACTGATAATTGGCGTCATAAAAGGTGTCGGATAAACACCTATAGTAGAAGTTTAGATAGGCGATGGGTATAAATATCGCCTAGAAGTCACACAAGGAGTACTTTTGCATACCCACACGTATGGGACGAATAAATATATTCATAAATGCTTTAAGATCGTAACTGCGATCAACATATCCATGACGTCGAGCGAGCGAGCAGCTTTTCTCATTCTAGATACACCAATAAATGCACAGGGTAAATTTTGTGAGAACACACCACGATGCCTATCCCCTTTTCCCGTACTCCTAAAATGGGGATTTTGCCACATTCCTAAAACGAGAGGGCTTTTGTGGAAAGACGGCGAGCCGGCCTCATGACCGAGCGAAGGTTGAACTTGCTCTGGACATTGAAGCCAAGCCGGAACGGCGTAGATGTACACGACCGATTTGCCAGTTGTTGAGAACCGGACTTGGACCCTAGGGTTATGTATACATCGCCGGTAATGCATTGGTGAAACTTACAATATCGTTGGAACGAGGGCCCTAGATAAGAAAAGCTTGTGATTGATGAGTACATGTATGGAGCGATGGTTATGTTGGTTAGTCTGGTAGCTCCTAAAGATCACGGACAAGTCTGGCGCCGACCCATGCGTATAGGTAGTTGCGTTGGTACCAATTTACACTAGGTGGTATATTCGTTAGCATGCACTTATCGAATACATCATTCACTGATTGTGAAACTCGGGAGGTAGGAAATGGGTAACGAACAAGGTCTTTCTCCCCGCAATTCGAGGGTGCGTGGCCCAGGAGCCGCCAAGAACAATGTTGTGTTTCTCATCGAAGAAATCGGCTGTTGTATCCATGTTTAGCATATTCATTTCTTTAAGAGAGCAGATGAATCTTCATACCAGTATATCCTGGGTATAATGCTAGGGGCTTGAAGCCTTCGTGCGGCCTGAGTGTGGTGCTAGTCCATTCCCACACGCCTCCCATCTCAGCCTGGCCTGCTAGGCGATTGCCTTGAGCAGTCACAGCTACGGGGTGCCAATGGCGGAAGCCGACATTGGCATTAGTAAGGTCGATGAATAGCTCGTCATTTTGAGACGAGCCACCATCGACAAGAGAAGCGTTGGGTGGTGGGGTCTCCTCCACGCCGTCGTTAACTAGATGGCTGGTTATTCCCTAATATTAGCCTGGTTCCCATGCTCGGCTGCTATGAAGAAACTCACGCATTAACTGCTGGCACTGTTTTTCCTAGCTTGCGCTCTGCTTCCTCCTTCCTTTTCATACTATCAACATAAGTGTATATACTCTGCGCTTCCTCGAACGTGGGGATCCGGCCTCCTAGCCATGCGGCACAGCCTGTAAGTTCGTCATATGAGGCAAAGACTGGCCAGTCGAGCGCATATTTCAGCGGTACTAATCCGTAAACAGTACGCACTGCCTTACCCTCTAGGAATGAGTAAGGGACGGTTTGTTGACCATTGGTTCCGTTAGTATGACCGTTTGTATGGCCATTGACCTTCCCGTTTACGTGTCCATTACCATTAGCATGGTCCAAGTTCTCGGTAGCCCAAGAAGCAGGAGTCTTTGTTGTTTTGGTACTGTACATATACAGTGCATACTAAAAAGGATTAGAGCTGTCATATCTTGGGGTAACAATCAAGCTCACCTCCTCGTTGGTAATGGGCCTTCCCTTGGCTTGAAATTTGTGAACCTGTACACGCCTCGATGGCTTCTCGTTGTCCCTATGTATTACTCGGTAAGCATTCAGTCAAGACGTCTGACACCATGGTGTGGACTAACCATCCAAATTGCTTATTCGAATGCAGTACTTCATCTGGGTCGTCAAGTCCTATCGTAATGTCTTGCTCAGGTATGTCAAACCATTCATTGCTGACCCTTGAAGCATAGGCTTCCTGGGCTAGAGCTTCGAAATTTGGGCGTTTTGTTAGAGGTGGTGGGAGAGTTTTGTCACTCTGAAGCATCATGTAGAGCAAGGTCTCTAGATGCATGATCTCATGCTCAAAACCAACCCAGATAGCCCTTCCGACATTTCTGGGTATGTTATCCAATCCTACGGAGTAAAGGCTCTTCAACCTGTCCCTTACCCTCTCCTGGTATTCCAGAATATCTTCTAGGGGTGGCCATTCCTCTGGAATTTCCGAATGTTGGTGACAGAGCTCGGGGTTATCAACGTCTGGGTCTATTCCCCTCTCGAATATCGAGGAGTAGAATGCCGGCTCTGTGAGGGGATTCTTGGTCGTTTTAGTCAACTGTATGTCTAGGAATGTAGGTATATGGCCCAGATAGAAAACACAAGCGTTTCGAAGTTTGATGGGTTTCTCTAACAGCTCCTCGTTAGGTAACATTCGCCTAGTGACGATGTCCCACACGACCCATAGACTTTCGAAGTCGCTCAGGGATGGGATGTGAGAGCGAGCATATTCCGAAGCGATGGGGCTGAAAGACATGTTTGGCTTGGTTAAAAGATGAAGTCCTGCAGAGTGTCAGTGTACCCGGCTTGACAATCCACTCGAGAACCCACGGGGGGCATAGGGCCGCCCCGCATTTAAAAGCCATGGCTGATGGACGTAAGAATATTACAGGCACGCCTCAAAGACGTCAGGGTCTCCTGACTAGACTCACGTGGGCCGCATTCTGCAGGGTCTCATAAACGTGGAGAAGACCCCTAGTTTATTCGCGGGATGGGACGCTGCGGGCGTAGGACAAACTCCATATCCTCGGGTTGGACAAACATTCGTGGACCACTCACCGTAGTCTTCATCATCAGTCATCCAACGATCAGCTTCGATCATGCCTGCCGACCTCCACAGATTGCCGCAGCCTGCTTTCGAGTACTTCAGGCTCTGTTCAACCTGAACACGTTCCTGAGCTTTGATGGTTTCACCTAGCACGACAGTATCGTGGAGGGGCGAATAGAATGCTTGGTGGCGTCCCCCCTCGCTGTCATATACGTATTCGCCGATGACCTGCCACTCGTTCAGGTCAAATGCCTCGCGTCCAAGAATTTCATTTGCATGGACGAGCCCATTCAGGATGAACCTTGACCAGTTAGTACGTCGATGTACAGCCGGATGGACGTATGTATGGCGTCATCGGTAACTAACCTATGTGTGACGCCGTGCTTGTCTTGTAAGCGGCATACAGAATTTAGCAGAGTTTGACTAAACACAAGCTTCGATAATACAAACCGTTGTATGCGTGACTGCAGTTGGGCGTTAGCAGCCTGATATCATTAAGGGAGGACGCAACGGGGCGTTCCATCACTTACTAGACCTTGGAAGGATCGGTGCAGGAGTCCAATCCAATCAGAAAGCTATCCGCAGGCTGGAGAACATCGGCAAACCCCTTCAAGAATGAGGCTGCTTCGTCCCGGTGGAAGTTACCTATTTAGGATGGTCAATTCGATAAATCTGATTTGGTATCAGCGTACGTTCGAGTCCGTACCGATGCTAGACCCGAGGAACAAGACACACTTGCGCTTGGAAGCGATCTGCGGCCTCTTTAACCATTCGCGGCCATCATCGTACGTTCCCAGAAGCCCGTGACATCGGACGTGACGAAAGGACGGAAGCTGAGCTAGAGTCCTTGACAGCTCATCTTCTGACAAATCAAGGGCATAGTAGTCGATCGTCTTGCCGGCATCTTCAAGGGCTCGAAGCAACAGAGACACCTTCCTCAAGTTGCTAGCCGGGAGATGGGAGAGTCAATCAACTACCCCTGAGTTGTAAGAGGTGGTGCTATCACTCACCCGCTACCTAGCTCGAGGACAAGGGATCCGGATGGGATTGCCTTAGCAATACCCGCAGCCGAACGGCGCAGTACTTGGATCTCATGATTGGTCAAATAGTACTCATCTAAATATGTGATCTGAGATATAGGTCAGCATAATGACTTACAGGCGGGAGTTGCGTTTCCCTTACCTCCTCGAATATCTGGAGGCCCTTTTTGTCGTAGAGAAGCAGTGTCGGCAGTTTCCGAGGGCCTTCCTGGGGACGAAGTAAACTGTGGATCTCTTCTTTGAGGTTTATTTCAACGGCAACCTGCCGGATGTCGATAATATCAACGTTAGATAGTCGTTCCGCGGACTTACCAGCCCCCTTTTCCAGCTTAGACTGTAAAGTAAGGAATTGAGGCTCATATGGGGATTCGACAACAGATGGCATAGCTGTTGAATATTAAATTGCTTACTACAAACGGAGGGAAAAAAAAAGGTGTTTGTTAAGCTTAGGAAAAATAGTATTAACCACTTGGCAGGGGGTGAGATAGCCGTACTTGATATATAATAAGAGTTTAAACTGAAACTGGGATGATCACGAAAGCTGATGGCGTGGATAGTCACGGTACTCAGAATGTACCTACCTACCTACTTTGACCTAGTACAAAGTATACTATGGGATTGAGAAGCTTTTGCAAACCTAGTTGCAAATCCGCGCCCTCATCCGCCGAACAAAGGCACCAGTACGATAATGGTGATGTCAGTCCGGGCTAAGGGGCTGTCCCAGACCAGAAGCGGTAGGGCAAATGACCAAGCTACCAGGTACGCCAGCCCTAAAATTGGTCGGGCGAGCTGCATTCACGGTGTCCATCCTGGAAATGGGGATCCGAGGCAGGTAAAACGGGGAAAAAGATGGCGGCAGAGGTCACGGTGAAATGGATGAAGGGCGCCTGTACGGCGTACCTAATGCACAGGCGGGAGCATGTTGCGGTAGTTCGATTCGCCAAGTGTTGGAATAAGCAATCGATCAAGAGGTTAAAGGAACATCTGGACGGTAGAGAGCTCGGAGATTTGAGAAATTAGAAAAGTTTTGTCATAAGTTGATGCAAGTTGGACTAGACTAAGGCTTTGAGAGTGGGATGTCAAAGTTGAAGAACAAATCAAGGATCAGAAAAGCTAAGATGAATATGAGCTACGGCTTCCCCGGGTCTTTTGGCCCCGCAATAAAGGTGGTTCGGCGCCCAGGTGCATTCATGGATGTGTAACCGCCACGCTTCTGCACGCTTTACTGCATATAATCAATACGGGTAGAGAAGGTATTGGCTTACGCCGCTTAACCCTTGTTGCCCATCACTTGTAATCGCCCTTCCGTCTGTTGTGCGACAAGCCACGCTGCAAGCCCTCTACGCCCCTTACCCAGGTCCGATCCTGTCCTGGTTCCTGGCGAATAGCCCTAGATGTGTACGTACTCCCGAGGTCGTTCTAGACCTTCGCCAATGATATACCGAGTATTTGGCATAGCATACGTCAGGTATTGTACCTAAGAAAATGCTTGGGGTATGCCTTCCAATGTTCGTATGGTTATAAACTTTGGTTCTTTTTTTTATCAACGAAACTTAAATTAGGTAAGAGCTTTCTTATCAATCGATCTCTGGTAGAGATACCTAATACCTAGTACCAATTATCTTCCAAAAACCCCGACTCTGGGGAATTCTCGTTACGGTTTTAGGAAGCCGATAATAGAAATACACCCCCCGGACCGAAACCCCCAAGCTTACCAAGTAAGCTACGTCACTCGTATGTGACCATGACCTGACGATCTTTACCGAAACCCCCACTTTACCCCTCAACTACATACATAAAATGTAAAGAGCCTCTCGCAGCCAGTTGCAAGCATCAGAAAAACAACTAACAAGTATCGTACGTGAAGGGTTCTATACTCGGTAAGATTCCTCGATGGATAGATTTACTAGTATGGGTTTATTACTTGCAATTATTGCCTGTGGCGCTAACCGATACCTTACCGTTGATCATGGGATACATATTACATGGGATATAAATTGCTAACTTCATAGTAATTGCCTAACCCAGCGGCGTGCATTCGTTGCCGGACATCGTATTGATTATTTAGAACATTCTATTGCATATTTATACACGCCTTTGATTGTGGGACAGTGCCTGGATGCTACCCCCCAAACTGCACGTCAATTGTGGGGAAGTAACTCCCCGTGACACCCCTATGAAGTACTAGGATACTAAAATACCGAGATACGTTCTCAGTAACGTGGGAGAAGGAACCTCTCTCGAATTAGGGGTCTGGAATTGAAAAGGGGGGACTGCCTCAACTCCTTGCCACGAAGCGCCTTCAGTATCATCCATCATACAACTTCATCTTCTGCTTACCTACACTCCCGACATTTTTTCTTCCATTTCGATTTTTCTCGCGGCATCCTCGGTCATAAAACCAAAAAAGAGTTATCATAACAGCAGCGGTGAACTCTCCATTCAGCCAGCCAACACATCCCTGATCCGGTTCCAGAGCTTGGAAGTTTGTTAAGGTGCATGAACGAATCACTTTCGATGCTGTACGACAGTGCCGTTGTCCATTCAGCCACGGATTAATTTTCATAAAAAAATAAATTATACACAAGAGGAAAGTGAGGGGATGATCATCTTTTCTGGCTAGAACATCGATATTTTGGGACTGCGGTTTCAATACGTTTCAATACTCAACTATTTACTAGGTACCTAGGTATTTATTCAAAAGTCGTATCCTGCGAAACCTGTTTGCGAGGAAGCATTCATCATATAATCACGACCAGAAACGTCCTGAACGGTGTTAGCCTAACCATCTTGAGACATAAGCGTTTTTACAAAACCTTTTCCATCATTGGGTGTCCAGCTTTAAGCTTTCCGAACTCATCCAATAGACCGAGTCTCAGCCAAGAAATATCGTTCCGCATCTACTGTATCATTTGGCTGATTCTGTGCCGTCCATGTTGGATATCATAGGTTGGTTCGTCTAATATCATATGTTTCCAAACCTCAGAACGTGTTACAATTATTCATATTGTATTGAAAACCAGGTTCGTGGAGTTGCTTCAATAACACATTCCATTCTCCTACACTTGCCGTTGCAAACCGCTCAACGAATTTACGGTTAATTATCAATTATAGGATAGTCATATAATTAAATTCGACCCTTTATGATATCTCTGCCTAGGTATGAATCTACCTATATACATATTTTTATACGGTTTTGGTAAACATATCTCGAGTTTTATCGCAGCCGCATTAAAGGAGTTGAGAACACGTCGCTACACAAAAGTTCTCCGATTCGGTTAGTTTTACATAATGATCCGTGTCGGCATAAACAGCCCAAGAGCAGTTTGCATATGACTACGTCAATGATGATTTCATCAAAACATGATCAATGGCAAGCTCGAGCAGTTGGGAGATGCAATATCCAATATGTGGCAAAGGCTGGTTTTCTATTGCGGCCGTACGTCGGCCTACCTTCCTATCACAACGAGGATAGGATCCCCACTATGCTATAGTACGTAGTTCGTTATAGTATATTAAGGGTATGTAGGCTTGAATGCAACACCTCCTCTCTGGTGTTCACACCGGGGCCCAGCTATGGTTCCTGTGCCCTTTCGTATTCGCCTGCATATTTTCTTCTTTTCCGCTCTTGGCCCTTCCAAAACGCCTCCAGTATCTGTAAAGCCGGTTGCGTGTAACCTTTCGCCGGTCTTATTCCATCAAGGGGCGAGAAATCAAGCGGTCTTTCACCATGTCTACCTACCTAACTCATCTTCAGCTAGCTTTTACTCACGTGTACAATCACGGAATTGATCCGCATTGTCATTTTCGAGGTTTGTAAATCCGTAAGTCTCATTTTTTCGTAATATTTACAGATCATATTAATGGTAAAACTGACGAGGTGTCAAACCCATACTGTTTGTTATCCTGATTACTTAAGCATATCCCTTGCAGGAGCAGTTATGAAACCCGGTTCTCACTACGTCCCTAGGTAATTAAACAGAAGATACTAGGTACACTTACGACATCTAAGTAATCAGATCCTGATATTTTGTGAAAGATACTTACAGAATATTCCAGTCGTGTTATGTAAGATATATGGAAAGGGAACAGATGGTGTTTTTGGATCTTGGCACATTCAGCTGACAACTGAATGTAATGAGAATTATATTGACTTGAAAGTCCTGAGGTTCACAAATGCTACCTATCCTGGATACTCATTACGTATGTAGCCCCTTAAACAGTGAAATTTGAATGACTTCTCATATCTCATAAACTCAAGGTAGGACAACTACTACTTAATTCACCCTCATAGATGATTTACATTAAGATAATTGTAATAAGTAGGTACCTCACAAGAAATGCTATTGCTTCTTACTACCCCTAACACAGGCGAAACCCCTACGACGTGTAGAATGAGTGTTCTTAAATTATATGTAAGTTAGGGGTAAATTCACACTTTGTTCTTTCTAACCTAGGGGCTTGGTTTAGAATGAGATACTCAACTTCGAGTTAGATAGTAATATAAGTCACATAGCCTTGACTAAGAGAAAACTAGAATTCAAGAGCAGAGAGCCAGATTCAAGTTCTGCATCTCATAATTTATTCGCGTGACTGAACTTTTCAGTCGCGCTTTCATTAATATCTAAACACTTCTCACAACTCGTCGTGAAATTAAGGTTTATTGTATTCACTCAGCTAAATAACATTCTCAACATCATAGTTCCCCTCTAATATGGTTAAACTAGGTAGTTGTACTCACAGTTCTACATTGGATTATGAATCGTTACTATAAGAATTGGCAATAAGGGTGAACTAGCTTCAGCGCAACACCACAATTTCAAGGTAGGATACAAGACACCTGGGTTTCATATCACACCGTCATCACAAATTCACAAAAAAAAACCACCCTTCTATATTTAAAAATCGAACAATCCATTTTAGGGTATATATATCGCAACACGACCGAATCAAAAACCAATTCTATAAATAACCAACCTTGCAAACACCAAGGCCCTGAAAACCAAACCTCATCTATCCCTAGCGACCAACCCCAACATCTCATCCCCTAATTACGCGCTCGAGCTCGAAGGAAGCGCGCTGCTAAGAGAACCGCTAGGGGTTCCGCTGGGCGTGGTTCCGTTTCCGGTTCCGTTTCCACCACCGCCAATAGTGTATCCAGTCGAGTGGCCGCCCTCAGCATCAAGGTACGCAGCTGTAATCCCAAGTCAGCAAGACACCCCACCACATCACTTAAAGGGGGAATTGGATAAAACTCACCAACACCATAATACTCATCCTCGGTGTAATCAGCGGAGCCGTTAATACCGATCTGGATCCAAGCGAATAACCCATCGGAGATGTCGTCGCCGAGGTACACCCACTGCGGGATAGGATCGAACGAGGCGTCGGCCGAGAGGATCGACCACATGTCCTCGTCGTTGGTCGTGAGAGCTACCGTGTTCGTGTTGTACGGGTACGTGGCCTCGACTTCGGCGCGCAGGTCCTCTGGCCAGAAGAGTTGGCCGATGTGGCTTACGGGCGAGTTCCTGTTTTTGGTCGTTAGTTACCTGCTTTGGGTCATGGGATGGGCGGGAAGGGGTGGGATAAGTGGGTGGGGCGGCGATAACTTACCATACGGAAATAGTTCCGTTCGGCATAACTTGCGCATTGTTATGCGAGAGCAAGTGCGTGTGCACGGCACGGCCGCCATAGTGGCCGGGGAAGATAGTCTCGAAGCTAACCACTCCATCACCATCGGTGAGCTGGATGCCACGGAGGTAGGTCGAGTTATACCCTCCCGTAGCATAGTTGCCCTCGGTAGCAATACCACTGTAGGTGCCGGTGGCGTTGCAGTTCCAGATATCGACAGCGACGGCGGGGATGGGTTCGCAGGTGTTGGTGTCGATGTACTGGACCTCGAGGAACAGGTCGATGCCGTCGCAGTACAGCGCCTCCTTGACGTTCGACCTCATCTTCTCGCCGACAACGTAGTACGGCCCGTTGGTGATCTCGGGGGCTAGGATGCAGCTTGTGTTGCCGCTGAAGACTTCCTCGATCGAGGTGAACATGTCGTAGTTGTAAGTCCCGGACATGTTGTGGTTCACAGCTTCCCATTTCTGGAGATCCTCGAGCGTGCGCTTGTCCTTCCTGGCAGGGGCCTTGATGCCGCGCTTCTGTCGGATGTTCTTGACGGCGTTAGCGCGGCGCTTGATGGATCGGGCCTTCAACGCTTGGGAAGAGGCAGAGTTCGAGCACGAAGCTAGGGATCGAGCTCCGAGTTGTGCGGCGTTGTCACGTGCAACGAGTTCGCGCTTCATCTTGTGCGCGTCGTGCTTCTCGCCGGGGTGAGCGGCGGCGTAGCCGGCGAGGGCCGCGATGGCGAAGTTGGTGAAAGCGACCATGATGAATAAAGATTGTCTGAGCGACTGACTGACTGGTATGTAGTAACGACTGGATAGAGGACGAGATGTCTTGGGGTGAAGATCATTTCGAGAAACGGTGACACGGCATCCTTTTTAACTTGCTACCCGTTACCATCGGAGGCTCTTCCTAGGCGGCTTGCCATCGCGTCGGCCCGCCCGCATACACCCAATGGCGATGAAGGAGATATCGATTCGTAATACCGGTCATGCACCGTGGACCCCTATCATGAAAAAAGAGGTCTTGGCATCCCATATGTATATCCATGACTCGTAAAAAAGTGCCTTGCTTCCGTGATAATTGGGGTCGTCGGTGGGATGGAGAGGCTAAGATTTAGTCTCTATGAAGATTTCATTACGCGTCACTTACGAAGAGCAAGATTGCGCATCGGTGAAAGGCTGAGAGCCCTGCTCATGTCATGGATCTTCACTGGGAATAGAGATCCCCTAGCCGTTATGTCAGCCAATGAGGAAGATTTTATTTTCAAAGTACTCGGCCAATTCGAGGAGCCAAGCGTTCACAAGTTGCCTAAGTAGGCATTTTGGCCAAGACTCCATGAAACGAGCTGTGCTGGTTGACGAATCAGACCCACTTGGACTGATACCTTCAATTCGCCTCCCGGTAGTTGTTATGCATGATAGCTTGTTTCCCTGTGATTAGGATCTTATTTGGTCCTATTAGGTAAACATTTTTTTGTTTTTATATTCCGTGGTGTGATTATACTCCTCGGTTCAGGGAGCAATCATCCGAGGTTCGGATCATGTTCATACATTAGGTAGGTAGGATTCTACGACTGTATTCGATACGAATCCATAGAAGAAATATGGTGACATAAAGCCGCGTTTACATGTATCCTTCTCATCAAAATTGCATTTATCTGCGAGTATGTAACGACTAGCAACGACTGAAGCAAATTTGATATTCCGACTAAGGAGGCTCTAAAAAAGGGGGGCGGATTAGTGGAACTACCCCAGACTATGGATCAAAAAGGATATCACGGATCTCTTACGAGTACAGACTGATCCAAAACGGCAATGATCTGTTTGAAATAAAATCATCTCGGCGGTGCTTTTTTCTTCAATTTAAATATAAGTCTTGGCAACTCGTTGCCACTCTAGACTTCTTCGTCCTCTGCTTGCGTGGAGACACGAATCATTTTCCCATATATTTTTCCCCTGCCAACGGACATAGTAACTTCCCCATGAGAATTAGACATTATGGAGAGAATTTTTGAATTGAAATCAACGGGGAGAGTGCCGGCGAACTAACAATGCGGTGATGTCACCACCTCGAGCTATACACGCTAACTATAGCGTTGCTATCCATCCACCATTTTATGGCTCAACTTCAGACGACACGTGCGACACGTGTCTGTCCCTTGTTTGGTCGTGCTAACGATAGACTACCCAAGTAGCTAAACAGCACAGTTCCAAAACGGCGGATCTATCTTCTTTCTGAAGATCCTATATCTATGAGTGACTGAACCCATCCCACCCCTAAATGTAAAAGGGGCATAATTGCCTAAGCCTCAATGAATAGTCCAGGCCCATAACGATGCATGAATGTTTATGGCCTAAAAGCCAGCCTCCTTAATATACTGTAAATGTCATATCTCATGAGGGGCTGGTACATACCATGCTGGCGTACAGTAGTAGGATTTAAGCATCAACCTATTTTAGTAGGGATGGCCGGTCGTTTTCTAGAACCGCCTAAGGAAGCTTGGTTAGGTATCTATGGGTATCATAACTGGGGATGCTAGAAGGTTAACATTTTCTCCTTGTTTTTGCCGCTTTCATCATCTTAACCATGAACTCGGAACGTCTATAGTTCTGCGTCATTTACCTCAAGATTTGTAACCTAGGAACTACACTTGTTCTCGGTCCCATACAGGCGGAGGGAAGAAAATGTCCCGACCGACGAACGGCTGTAGATATCGGAACCTCTTCAGATATATACAAATTACGTGTTAGTCGATAATAGATGACGAAAAATACAGGTGGTTAAGCCCGAGAACGCGACGTATGAGTCTAAATGGTATCTTGAAGCATTCTGAATTGCCCCCTATCTACGTAGATATAAGGAAAATAATACTGACATGAATTATCCTATCATAACCATCGCAGGGAAGAAACTGCATCAAACCGACCTCGACACATCCTACACGATCCCGTTGAGTCCATACTGGCGAGGATATCCAGTATGTGTGACATTCGGATAATAATCCTCCCTTGCCTCAAAGTGCGTGGTACGGAGAATTCCCGATCCTAGATGCTCATACATCGACAAGTCCACCGAACTCTCACCGCGTAATAACGGGGATGGATAAATCCTGTATTCTTTGTCCTCCATCGATGCTTGTCCACCACTACTCTTAGACTGACTATGTCTTGAGCGTGGCCATATGTTATTGATGCTCCTTCTGCGTAAACCTCGTGGTTTATCTATGTGCACCCACGAGTGCATTGCCGAAATCGTTTTTGAAGCCTTCGCATTTTTGATAGCCTTGGGCAATACCGGTATGCATACAACCAAGAAAGCACAAGTCGACTCAGCTAAGCTACATAATATCACCGAACTTTCGTTGTACGTGAAATCGCGAGAGTGGCTGGAAATGATGGTCATCACCAGGCGGAGAGAGGCAGCAGTAATGGCCAGGATGCCGGCGGCGAATGTGGCAGAGGCCGCAGTTTTCCTGCTGGTTGGCATCTGTAGTTTCCAGATCATCTTCTGGGGAATGAGAAAAGCTAATATATCTGTTATTAAATTGACGGCCGATATCAACAGGTTATCCGTGCTTGTAGTGAAGCGGTTGCAGTTGCCACTGATGAACTTATCCCACAGGTACCGGTATGGCGTGCAGGCCAAATTGTAGGCCACGAGAATACATATGCAGAACATGATATTGATCCATATCAAGGAGTGGCTAGCCCAAAAAACGAGGTTACGAGTGCCCCTTGGAGCAAAGATGCGGATCCATTCCAGCAGGATCACAACCTTGGTGAATGTGATGCTGAAGGTATGAGTCGTCGACGCGATCAAGAGGTTCTGTGGTGCGTAAGTCAATGCGTAAATTATGATACATCATTGTTTCCTACCCAGAGATATGGCGTTATGGCTGACATGCGGACATCCCATTGGTGAACCAATGCTCCCGGGGAGCTGAAGATGCGGTAGCAATAAGCAAAGGAGACGGTATTAGTTGCCTGCGTCCGGAAGGATTAGATGGGAAAACACGCCAAGTACGCCACGAGTGATAAACCATACATATATCACTATCAACAAATCTGGTGCTCGTTAGAAATCCCTGTCCAGGTGGGTAAATACACCATTGTATTGAGGTGAGGTCTATGGGCCATACAATCTCCTATGAATAGTTGTCTCGTCGAGAATCTGACATATATCCGCCCACAAAGCGAGACTGTGGTCAAGATTAAAAAGATCGCAAGCGCAACCTGGCTTGGAATCGTACCGTTTGGCGGATGATCGAAATTGGAGCTTATGCCTGCAGGTGGCTGGAGAGCAGGTCCATTGAGGAACCTGGCTTGTTCGTCTGGAGATAGGGAGGTAATGTCTTCAAACATTATCGAAGACATACTTCGGGTATCTGCATCATTTACAATGGGTACCCATGTAAGCGAGGCTGATGCGTAGTGTATTGGAAAATCCAGCTATCTTAAGAATCATGTCGAAGCACACTTGGATGTGTTTATTTCTGAGAGGATCGAGATGTCGTATATTTATTCGTGTCGTGAATGTATAGCCTTGGAGGTATCTACCTAGGTAGGACTGGAGCTGAGAAACTCCGTTGCGTGAATGTTTGCTTTTGCAAAGGTGTGCTTCCCCAGCCTGCACGCTCCCGTCACTATTTCGAGCAATGTACCACCAATATTATCACTTCAGATAGGAGGGGGCGGGATCGTGGCTTCGGTGTCTTAGGTAAATTGTAAGATCACCTAGAGTAAGACGCTTGATAGGTACCTAAGCAGATACCCAAGTGTACCTAGCTCGGTGATAATTTTCAGCCCTCTCTCAAAATAATTAATATAAATCAAGCCATGAAACTGCTCCCGTAATACCCTATAGCCGTAGAAAAGGGGCTTCAAAAGACTCACGTAACTGGCTTAACGCCAACAACGCCATACATCCCAAAACATCAATTGATCTACTCAACTACCTGATTTCCCTTCACAACCCTAGGGAAAACCTGTTCCCGCCCTACCGCTGCACTCTCAACCCACTTCACAACATGAGGATGCAAGCCCAGCTCAGCCGCCCTCTTCGCCCACTCCGGTGGTGGTAACTCCTCGACAGGTTTACCGGTCTCTCTCTCACCCCTACCTAATTTAAGGAAAACTGCACTCGCTGGATCATCTAGTGAAATACACTCTCCACCGACGTAATGGCAGAACCTTACTCCTGACACCATCGAATCACCCGTCTTCACCGCGCCCATAATTCCAGCCACAACGTCCCCCAATCTTACCGTCTCTAGAAAGCCACGATAATTCGGCACCGCAGGCACAGCGCCCATTAGCGCCGCAAACTTGCGAATACTCCCTATAATGTCCCTCTCCTCATCCACATCTCCGCTACGTGATATCATCGTTGGCCTATGTACCACAACCTCCCACCCCCACCCACTGCCAGCCCCCAACTCCTCCTGCACCCTCTCTAAGAAACATTCACTAGCCCATTTACTCGCTGCGTACCCCTCAAATTCAATGCGTGGGGGTTTGGCTGCAGCGGCTGAAACCTCGGGGAACTCTCTGCAGCCCGTGTTTGAGGCATAGTACACACCGACTTGGGCGGTGGATATGTAGTGTAGCGGGATGCGGCACGGGAGACACAACTGAGCCAGCTCTTTTGTTGATTGCAGATTTGGCGCACGGAGTGACCGATACGATTGCGCGTGCGAGACCTGCGCTCCGGCGTGGATGACGCAGTCTGCCTCGGCGAAGATTTCGCGCGCGGTATCGGCGGCGAGGCCAAGGCGCGGGAGTGTGAGATCGCCGGCGTGAAGGTGGAGTTTAGGGTGCCGAGGGATGTCTTTGCGGTCGGGGAGGCCGCGGATTGCGATGCAGTGGACTTTGTGAATTTTGTCGTCCGCGAGGAGAGCGGATAGGATGGCGCGGCCGAGGAACCCTGTTGAGCCTGTAAGAACGATTACGCTGCTGTCTCGTGGTGCTTTTTGAACATTTGCTTGTGCTACTTCTGTGGTGGCTATGCTCGGTCTGGTTTCTTCATCCCAATCAATTGTATCCGAGGGAACTACTCCGTTATTTATCAACTGGGCCATTGTTTCCAGGGTGCTCGCTTCAAGCAAGTTAATTACAGGCAAATTGACGCCGAATGATTCGCGGATAGCCGCTCGGAGGCTAAGAAGGAGCAATGATGTGCCCCCAACGTGGAAGAAATCCGTGTCTGGCGTTATGAGTTGCGAGTTCTTGAACTGTTCTTGGATGATCGCGACCCAGATATCTCTCAGCTGCATTTCGGTTTCGGTAAGCATACCGTCGTAACTCTCATCGTCGCGTTTAATTATTTCCTGTAAAGGCAATGTGCCGATGGCCTTCCTGTCGAGCTTACCGGAACTAGTTCTTGGCATTTGGTGAATAGGAATGATGGCCGCCGGACACATATACTTTGGCAATGGAAATAAAGCAGGTAAAGATCGTAGGAGGCCCTCGCGCTCTTCTTCAGGGTGCTGTGAATCGAAAACGACGTGCGCGGCAAGGAATTGAGGCGATTCCGGTGTGGACCGACGAACCGACACTACTACATCAGTCAAGGAGCCACAAGCTGCTTTAAGTATTGCGTTTTCAATCTCCTTAAGGTCCATCCGGATCCCGCGTATCTTGATTTGCGTATCCCCAGATATGCGACCCTCGATTATGAGGGCGCCATCTTTCGTCCAACGACCCAGATCTCCGGTACGATGCATCGTGGTCCAACCTTTCGCTTTCGCTTCATCTGTCGCAAACACGTCGGGAACAAATTTTTCAGCGGTTAGAATTGGGTTATTGAGGTAGCCAATCGCGACACCAGGTCCACCGATATATATCTCCCCCTGAAATTCAGGGGGAACGAGACTGAGATCCTCGGAAACCACATAAACGGAATAATTCGGTAGCGTGAATCCTGCTGCAATGCTATCGTATAGTGACTCGGTATCTGCGTACTTTAGTTCCATAGACGTCGCTATCACAGTCGTTTCGGTAGGTCCGTAAGAATTGAACAAGCGGAGATCGGTCTTGCGCAAATCTCGGAATTGCGCCACCAAACCATGGGTGGCAGCTTCGCCCCCGCTTATAGCCAACCTCCATTTGCAAGATGGAAGAGTACTAGTATGCCTGTGAGTAAGCCAACTGGAATATTCCGTCGGAGTGGCAATAGTGAAGGTGATATTCTTTCGAGCAATCAAGTCAGTTATGGCACAAGCATCGCCGCGGAGACTTCTTGGCAGGAGATGAAGCCTTCCCCCGAAGTAGAGTGCGAAAAACATCTGCTCAAAGGACATATCGAACGTGCATGCGCTCTGCTGTAGTATGGTCTCAGCGCCAATGCTAATGCCATAGATCTCTTGCGCTGGCGCTATCCAGTTTTGTATGCCTTCATGTGTTAATGTGACGCCCTTTGGGGTCCCCGAAGAACCGCTTGTATACAGGATAATAGCAGGGCTCTTTGCGGTTGCTGAAATTGGTGATAGCTGTTGTGCAGGATGTAACTCTGATACATTTATGAATAGCATCTCAGGCCTTTGCAGCTCGTGAAACCCAAGCTTCGTGGCGTCATCGAGTAGGACAATATCAGGATTGCAATCATTCACAATCGTAGCAAGCCTCGCCCAAGGAATGGAAAGGTCGAGCGGTACATAAATTGCACCGATTCTCATAATAGCTAGGGCAGATGCAACCCAACGGGCCGTTGGCTCTTGAAGAGTGGCGATTCTGGACCCGACTCCTACTCCGGATGCGGTCAAAGTTGTTGCGATAAATGAAGACAGTCTCATTAATTCTGTATATGTCATGTTTCCTGTATTTTCTTCTATTGCCACTGTATTCGGGAACGTCTGCGAGATATAATGGATTCTGTGAATGACTGTTTCGGAGGATAGAGTGGAACGTTCTTGACCTCGACTGAAGTTCATCGATGTCACGGTATCAGCATGCTCGTACATGCTCGGCTGACTTAGGGCAATATTCGACTCTGTGGCAAATGCTTTGACGAGCCTTTCGTAGCTCTTGATGAGGATCTCTGCTTCGGACTTGCGGTAGAGGTCACTTCGTATGATGAATGCGACCAAACAATCTCCTTTCGGATCATCGTTGATATCAAGAGTCAAGTCGTAACCAGTCTTGGAGACATTAATTGAGAGTAACTCAAGTTCATTATCACCCCAGACCTCCTTCTTACGTTGGCCTTGTCGGTAGTTGACAGAGCATTGTAATATGGGGGTATGTGTAGTCGATCTCGGGGGTTGTAGTCTGTTTTTAACGTTAGCGATACTAGATGCACCTGTTTAAAACATGTAGGGCTTATTTACCTTTCTAGAAGAGCCTGGAATGGTATTCTTGAATTTTCCAGACCAGCATAAGCTATAGTACGGGTTTCTTGCAGGACATCTTCGAACTTGCTTGAAAGATTGGTGCGGAATCGTAGGGGTAACACATTATTAAAAACACCTATACCGCTCATCATCCTGTCTTCGGTCCTGTTGGCATCTCCAATACCAATTGACAGGTCTTCTGCATCCGCATACCGGGACAGGAGAGCGCGGTAACAGGCTAGGTAGAAGTGAAACGGTGTGACTCTGCATCTCCGACAGACTGCTTGGAGCTGTGACTTTGTTTCGAAGCTAATTTTTATTTCTACCCTATCGTCGTCGAATGTCGTTAGGCTTGGACGCGTTCTGGCACGCGACACGCGAAGAATCGGAAGCGGAGGTGGGAAATTAGGATATTGGGTTTGCCAGAAGCGGAACTCCTTTTCGAACCCACCAGAATCCAAGGCGTGTCGCTGTAGTTGAACGTAATCTCGATACTGGAATGTTTCTTGACTGACTGTCTCTTTATTGTAGTGTCGGAATAGATCGGTTAAAAAGACCTGGATTGACAGGCCATCCATGCAGAGATGGGACGTGCCCATGATAAGGCAATGGTGAGTAGGCGAAGAAGAAAGAAGAATTAGCCGAAGACTTTCACCTTCTTTAAGATTATAATGATATTTTTGTACTTCTTCTGCCGTTTGGATAATCGCTGCAGCCATGGCTTGATCATCTTTAATTTCTCGCCTCTCAAGCTTTATGATGCTTGAACCCATGATTTCCTGTAGTACTTGTCCATTCGAGACCGCAAAACGTGTCCGGAGAGCCTCGTGTTGTTGACCAACTGTCTTAGCGGCTTGCTCCAGGCTAGAGAAGTTAAGGGGTCCCGTAATTCGACATGCTCCGGCAAAGTTGAGGCTGGCTCTGTCTTCAAATAATTGAGAGACAATCCAGAACATGCTTTGCGCTGAAGATAAGTTCATTGAAGCGAAGACAACAGGCTCTGAGCTCGACGGTACGTGCGCATCGACAGCTAGTTCTGATAAGGATGATGTGGAAGCGGTATCATCACCTAAGCTAGCGGTCTCCGAGAGCATTGAGTCACTAGCGGATGACGATTGGATGTCGGCCTGGGCTGGTGTAGTGGAGAGAAGTTCGGGCGAACTTTCTACGCCTGGAATCATTTCTTGTGGTATCCCATCAACAGCAGCTTCTATTAGTTCGAAGATAGAAATGCCACTTAGTATCTTAAGAACAGGGTAATTGACCTGAAGATTCTTCAACAGCCAGGCGCGGATCTCAGTTGCCATTAATGAATCAAGACCAAGCTCGTCTAGGCGAGTGGCCTCAAGTCTGGCTTGATCTATAGTATCGACATCAAGTTGAAGTAAGATCCCCAGCTTCTCAAGTAGGGCTTCTTTGATCAGGCGACGGACGTCACCATGACTTTGTGCACTAAGGAGTTGTATCTTGAGGGGCTCTTTCGCCTTCCTGCCGGTGAAAGTGTTGCTCACACTTTCTCCATTTAGAAGGTAATGACTCATTAATGGATTTTCAGCCCAGATTGGCTGGAGTTCTTCGTCTATTCGAACTCTCCTGACGCCTGTTGCGATCTCGATCGAGTTGGAACGGCTGGCCGCGACGCCTTCGGTAAATAATTGATGAAAGTCTCGCTCCGACATTTGCATGTACGCGTATGGCTTTTTGACGGTCGCGATACTGATTTGCTGCTGGGCTATGTAACCTGCTCCAATGATCGGGCCAATGCCGATGACGGATGCTGCCAGACCACGTTGTCTGCGTTGCTCAGCTAGACTGGCCATGAACATATTCGCAGCTACGTATGGAGATTGGCCTGGGGTTCCAATGGCCACCGAGGCAGACGAGAAGAAGACGAAAAAGTCTAAGGTATCCTGTTGGAATAGATTGTTTAGGTGTATACTTCCGTCCACTTTTGGCCGTATGACCTTCTCAAATGTCTCAAGACTCGTTTCACTGATCGCAGTATCTTGTAACACCACTAAATGAGAGTCAGTATTACTCTCCTTAGTTATCGGATTAATGGGGGAGCTTACTGGCGCCTTGGGCAACTCCTCCTATCTGAGGAAGTGTCGAACAGATTTCTGTATACAATGACACTACCTCATCTTCCTTGGTAAGGTCACTAATGATTGGTCAGCTAATGTAAGATTGAAGATATGGAAAAAGAGAATATACCATGTACAGATCTTGATAACGGCACCAAGGGTCGCCATCTCTTCCAACCAAGAATCTTCAACCTTAGGTGTCCGACTCGACACGACTAGGTATCGCGCCCCATGGCGGACCATCCATTCGCATAGTGAAATACCAAGGCTACCGCTAAGACCGGCAAGCCAATATGTCTTTAAGCCCGAGAACATGAACTGAGAATCGATAGGCATTACTCTGGTCAATACTTTATCTTCTATGCTCCAGTCGACGATGGACTGTGGTGCAAGCATATGGTCGTATTCGGATATATCTCCAGGTTTGACTATTCTGTATGGCCGATCGGGTCTTGTGAGCTTCGGAAGCTCGTTGGTGGCGTCAATAACATTTCTATGTAACTGATCTCGAACTTTGCTAACATTTATTGATGAAGGTAATCGGCCACCTTCATCAACGTTTGCGTATATTGATTGGCACCTGCAAAAGGTGGTCAACTGGGAGCGTAATTGACCAGCGATATGCCTGCTTTCATCGGTACCAGCAAGATCTAGGAACGCAGTCACTGATCCAAGGTTAAGATTTCTCAAGGCTCGTTTAGGAGAGTTAGGATGAATGAGAATACAAGCTGTGGCTTTGTCATCGTAGCTAGTAGTGAACGCAACATTAATGTTTTTAGCTCGAGCCTTTTCCTTAACAATTGTGATAAATTCGGAAGTTGGCTCATGAATTAGGATTTTGTCGCCATCTTCAGCGCTCTCAAAGATCTGAGAAGCCAAGATGAGTAGGCGAGTTAAGTATAGGAATGACGCCTCCAAGCCCGGCGCCACTTCTACAGGGACTTGGAAGAAAGTATCCCGAGACAGTGCGGACGTATTCTTAGTCGAAAAAGCTACAAACTGAGCCCGGGATTCTGGCACTACACCAAGGGATAAGAAGAGTTGGCCTCGTCCGGCGACTTGAATAGGAGCTAAGAGTGAATGTGTAATGCGTCCAGCGGCTGAGTCCAAATTTACCCCAGAAAATATTTCCGACTCGTGTTGGAGATTGTAACCAGAGGCTGTAGTTACAAGACTGACCACATGGTTTGAAGGATCAATCAGATTAGAGATGGGGCGTCGAGAAGAGTTATAGCGATCGTTCAACTCCTTTTTCGGCAACATGCGAGGAATGACCAGTCGACCATCTTTCTCAATAATTATCTCTCGCTCAAGAGTAGTGAATGAATTTTCTTCAAACTTATGATGATCGCTGTGTTTCCAGTCAGCCACGGCTTTGAAGCGGAGAAGGGCTTCCCCGATTGTTCTAGCATCTAAACTCTTAGGATCTTCAAAGTCGATAAATTGAACATCGAGACCCGGGATCTCGTTTATCACAGACCGAAGCAGCCCACAGATCATGTTCGCATATGGGTTGGCTGCTCGGCGACCTTCAGTGATCCAGAGCACTGCACCCGCCTCTTGAAACATAGAAATCATCGCATCCCATGTCACTTTGTCTATTTCCTTAAAAATCGGTCTGTCTAAGTCTATAAGACTCAATATGACAGTTTTTGAAGTGATTTCAGCCGATTCTATTTCTGCTAGGCACTTAAAAGTCTTGGTGTTACCGCAAAATGGCCTTAGGAGAGGTTCCAATTGTGCTTTTAGCTTGGCTGTTTTAAGGCTGCGTCCACCAAGAATGACAAGATCCGTTATGAGATGACCTGAATTGAAGGCTACAAGAGAATTGGAAAGAGGGTCTCTGATGAAAGTCATCCTATCGTCGACAGCTTGCGACACAAACACTGTCATTGCGTGAACGAACGAGTCTGGATTGGGTGTAGTAGTGTCGCAGCCGGAAAATCCAGATTTGCGAAGTAATTCATCCCAATCTACGAGGTCGACACAAGGCGATAATTCGCGTCCCTCATTTTCGCCTACCCACCAACCAGGAAATGCGCCGAATATGGTACCAGTGCGAGCTGGCGCGTCATTTTGTACTTCTAGGACGACGAGATAACCTCCAGGTCGCAGCAAACGTCTAACGTTCCTTAATGTTTGGTGCAGATTCGGTGTAGCATGTAGTACCATAGATGCTATAATTAAATCGTATGAGTGCTTCTCGAAGCCTTGAAGGCAAGGATCTTTAGTGATATCAAGTACTTTAAAAAGCATATAGTCCGTAAGACTATTAAAAACACTTTCTGCAGAGTCGAAAAATCCAGATGAAACGTCAGTAAAAGTGTATGATGAAAACGACCGTCCTGTCTCTTTGAGGATTTCGATGGTGGCACCTCCAGTGCCTGCTCCAATTTCCAAGCATTGGAGTCGAGGAGACCGAAAGGTAAGTTGTTTGATTGTACGTGCGATATACTGTGTATATTCTTGCATCCCAATCGCTTCTTTGTAATACTTCCCTAAGAGATTATCTCTCATGCCTATTTCGATGGCTGGTGCATTGTTCATGACGATATCAGCAAGTCTCTGGCCTATAGCATGTAATAATCGAACGTCAATAACATCTTCGTGGGCGGTAGATGCTCTTATTATTGTTTCAGGAGTGTCGTTTTCCCACTCAGGCTCCCAGTAAGGCTTGCCGCGGCTTTTCGCGCGAGACAATGCGTAAGAGGCAAATTTGAAGAATGATATGTACGGACCCTCGCGCCTCGACCTATGACCAGGTGGAACGGCGCGAACAAGTTCACGTAAATAGAAGCAAGCCATTCGTTCGAGTACACAGGCGATATCATGCTGTTGAGGTGCCACGAGGCCATTATCGGTGACATCCATGGCATTTGGGAGCATATTACTCCATATCGTGGAAGAGAACAATATCTTGTCGTCTTTCTCCATAGCTGGTGAGAATGGAACACATTCTAGCCCTTCGATTTGAATCATAGCATGGTGTGAACCCTCTGGAAAGATGTCTACGTCACCCGCGATCGTCGAGATGCCATTCGGCTGAAAAGCGTCGAAAGGCAACCGTTTTCCTCTTGACATTTCCGACATACATAATTCTAGGTTGATAATAATGTTCTCTATCCTTCTCGGCACATGCATAGACCAGATCCCGCCATCCTCAGGAGCCGAGGCAGTCAGTAGCACGGATTGGAAAGACGCATCTAGTATCGCTGGATGTACAAGTAGATGTGACCCTTGTATGTCTTGTATAAACCCAGTAGCAGTGCCGAGCTTTCGCTCAAGACCTGACAGCGCAACGAAGTCATCGGAATACTGATATTCTAATTTCGCTAGAGCATTATAGAAATCGTCCGCTTTAAGTGCGATGAGATTTGGAGGCCGCGCACCCCTAGCTGGAAGTGCTACAGGTGAAGGATCGCCAAGACATATGCGAATATCACCACTGGCAAGTACGTCAAGTACATCTTTCTTTCTACCAGTTGCTGCATTAAATGTGAATTTGGCGGTAATCTCTTTGTTGCCGGTCCGATTAATATTTGATACGGAGAATAAAGTTTCTATACTTGAGTCAGCGTTGTCGAATGTGAGCGCCTGCCCGATTTCAAGTTTCGAAACCTCGATAGTCGAAGCGGAAGCCCCCTGGAGCATGACTTTGGATGCCTCTAGGGCAGATACCACATATCCTGCAGCTGGGAAAACCATTTGGTTCTGGAGCTGGTGGCCTTTTAACCATAGTATTTCCTTTGGTCGAAGTAGATGTCGCCACCTCATCTCTCGTTCAGTGGAATCAGGAGTCAAATGCCCAAGGAGCTCATGGACACTGTCTGATCGCCCGCGTACAGCTCTCGAGTATCTTGACTCGTGCCAATATTCCTTATGATTCCAGCAGTACGGCGGAAGCATCTTAACCAACTCCGGATTACCAGCACCGGACATAAAAGAGTCGTACGACTTGAAATCCACAAAGCCGTCTCCTGTATGTTTCGAGATATAACCAAGGCCACTTGCAAGTGCCTCTATATCATCAACACCACGCTGAAGGAGACCAGTATACGGGATAGTGCGGTCCGTGACATCCTGGATAACCTGAATAGTAGGTCCTTTCAAAGCTGGATGCGGCCCTATCTCGATAGCAATATCGAATGGACCTGTTTCGAGGCATGCACGCTCTACGGCCTGCTTGAAAAGTACAGGATTTAGCATGTTGCTATCCCAATATGGACCTTCGAGAGACCTCGTTAAATTAGCAGCATCGTCCTCATAAACGCTTGAGAACCAGGTACACCGTGAACAGGCGTTTGTTTGGATGTTGAGCTCTCGTAATGAACTAAGGTAGGCTGCCGAACATGGGATCATGTGGTGCGAATGATAAGCCTTGTCTACTTTCAGGAGTCTGGAGAACTTTTTCTCATCCTTTAAAACGATGCTTATTTCTCCGATAGCATCTATATCTCCAGAAAGTGTAACACTGGCCGATGAGTTGACAGCAGCTACACAGGCACGTCCTTCGAATTCAGGTTCTTGAAGGAGATCCTCCATATCATCAGCCGAAGTTCCTACTGCCAGCATCGCGCCGGCCTGCGCTCCTGGTCCTTGTGCTAACTTGGCGTGTAATCCACGGTAGTAAGCGATACATATGGCATCTTCGGCCGATATTATCCCTGCCGCGTAGGCCGCGGTTATCTCACCAGATGAGAAACCCACGGCAGCAGTCAGTTCAACATGAGATTCCCGCAGGATATCCACAAGAAGAATACCTACTGCAGTTGAAAGAGTCTGCGATAATTCTGCTTCGTTCACGCGAGAAGAGCTGGCCTCTTTTCTAAGTTCTTCTATGAGGAGCCATGACGGACGATCCTCGATCGGTAAACGAGTTAGCCGTGCTTGAAGCTTCTCAAGTACGCGTCGAGCAGACGCAGATTCTGTGACCAGTCTTGCACCCATGCGAGCCCATTGAGCACCCTGGCCTGTAAAAATTGCCAATACTTTAGGCGTAGTGTTCTCTGATGGTTGAGCTCCTAAAAGATCTCCACTGTCCAATTTTGATTTCTCGATATACTCATCTATCTTTAACGCCAACTGTTTTGCCGTACAGGCCGAAAGAGAAACCACAAAAGGAAATCTCGTGCGCCGGGAATTTAATGTATAAGCTAAGTCTCGCATATTTAGGCTTGCTCCGTTAGTCCTAAGATAATCGTAGAAAGATTCTAGGTAGCGGATTAAAGAAGTCTCAGAGGCTGCTGAGAATATGAATGGGTAGAATCCCTGATTATTACTGTTACCCTTCCTCGGGGGCTCAGAATAGCTTTCTAGGATGGCGTGGGCATTAGCACCACCGAAACCAAAACTATTAACACTCGCCCTGCGAGGACTGCTTTCCGATACAATAGGCCATGGCGTAGCGGTGGTAGGGATGTGTAAATTATCGTAAAAGGGTTTAATTTTGGGGTTGAGACGATTGAACAAGAGATTAGGAGGCACAACTGAATGCTGCAGTGCTAATGAAGCCTTAAGGATTCCTGCCAAGCCAGCCACTGCTTCTGTATGCCCTAAAATTGTTTTTATCTGCGATATAATGAATTAGTTACAAATTCGACTCATTAAAATTTCAAAAATTAATCGATAACATACCGATCCGACCAGTAGCGGTTCTAAACTCCGAGTCTGGGTGTTGTTTATGCTGTGGTTGAAAAAGACGCTGCTAATTGCTTCAGCTTCTATTGGATCTCCACTAGGTGTTCCGGTCCCATGAGCTTCAAAAAATTGCGGTCGGTCAGCGGGACTGGAGATATCTAAGCCAGCCCGGTTATAACAATCACGGATCAAGCTCGCTTGTGCTTTAGCACTCGGTCTGTTGAGATTTTATGTAAGCTTGAATTTCGACGGAGAAAAAAAGAAGTACTCAAATAGAACTCACACAGTTATTCCCTTTGTCCGTCCATCCTGATTCACGGCTGTCTCGCGAATAATGCAATCGATCTTGTCCCCGTCCTTCTCAGCGTCACTTAACGTCTTCAAGATAATAGCCGCAACGCCCTCTCCTCGCGCATAACCGTCAGCACTCGCATCCCACATCCGCGATCTGCTGCCGGGACTCAACATCTGCAGCTTACTTTCCCCGACATACCCAACGGGATCTAATAGGAGGTTGGCTCCTGCAGCAACGGCAACGCGTGATGCCCCCGAGCGGAGTTGCTGCACGGCATGATGTACAGCGTAGAGACTAGAGCTGCAAGCTGTATCGATAGTCATAGACGGCCCATGCCAGTCAAAGAAGTATGATATCCTGTTCGATAGCAGCGATTTGGCGGTTCCTGTCACGTGGTATGTACCCATAGAGTCCTCATCGCGGCTCATCATATGTTCGTAGTCAGAAGTCATCAAGCCAGCGTAAACCGCTGTATTAGACCCCTGCAGCCCTTTAATCGTTTGCCCAGCGTCCTCGAGGGCTTCATAAACGGTCTCCAAGAGGAGCCGCATCTGAGGATCGATGACATTGGCTTCCGTCGGACTGATCCCGAAGAATTGGGCATCGAAGCGCCGATGTGTACCCTCCCCGGATAGAAGATACGACTGCCGGACGTTCGTGTGTCCATGGTATTGTCCATTCTCATGATAATATCCGCGTGTGCTAAACCTATCCTCAGAAATATCACTGAGGAGATCATGGGGATTGCGGAGTACGTCAAACAGCGCTTCGGGCGTATTTGCGTTACCTGGAAAACGACAGCCACTTCCAATAATGGCGATGGGCTCTGGAATAGTCATCCTTGGCGATCCTTTCCCACCCGAGACGTGTTGTTGGCTCTTGGGTTGTAATCGAATAGGAATTTGATACTTGCGGATCCACCGGGACCAAGCGGTGATATCACAACTTTGCCATTGTCTTTAGTTGATGGAGATTTAGAGTGAACTAATATGACCCGCTAGGATAGAAATAAGAAGTCGTCAAAAGTCGAGAGAAGACCTTAGGTTACGGAGGCAATATCCGTTTTGGTACAGATAGTAACCTTAACCATCATTGACGTCAAACTCATCAACCACTCATCTACCTATGAAGCCTTGTTGCGGCGCAGTAACATCAGCGAATTGCTAGATTTAGAGACACCATAAGATAGGGACCGGTCGAAGTACCGGATAAGCAACCAATGCCGACATTTGCACCCAACAGTGCCGACGATCGGGTAACACAAGGGCCAGGCGTTATGATCCCCATGTTGTCGGGATAGTGGGCAGGATGCGAATCTGAGGATGGGTTCTCGCTTGAAAGGTGGGCGTCCTCTAAATCTGTAACTACCAAGGGTCATATCCTGGAATGGTAGAAGACTTCAAAAATGTATCCAATGACTAATGAGGATCTGTTAATACCCCAGTACATACCCAGGCACTTCTAATAGAGTAGGTACCTTAGGTACTATGTAGTTTACATAGTATGTTATGTAGCCAATCAGTTGACCAGTGTTTGTGGATACATCATGAAGACTTCCTCCATTTTAAGGTATAGCTGGATCATATTATCACCAGCGATGCCTTTTAAGAATATACTTGTGCAGTGGTTTGACGCCGTCGATTCCATTTTCGGGCCGTATTATTTATGTTCTTGAATCGATGCCTTAATCATTCTGGAAAGTTAGCATCGAGAACGCAACTAGAACCCTTGCAGCGTTCTTACGAGCTTATCCGGCACTTACTTGGTACATGTAAGGACTCCGTCAGCTCACGGAGACCTGCTAGGACTTAAACGAGCTTGGCCATTTGAGAGCAGCTGGAGCTTGCGACTAGCCAACCACACAATATGAAAGTAATGTCTCGCATCATTGGACCTAAAACAACACACCAACGCGGGAGCTATTTGTGGCGATGGGAAGTACCGAAACGAAGTCCTAGATGCACTTTACTGAATCGACAGTGTATTTTCTAGGTTTAGTGGGTGAGAATAGGTAAGATTGCTAAAAACCGGTAGACTAGACCAGGGATTAAATTGAATTTGTGGATTGGATCAATACTGTTCCGGCCGAGTGGCTTGCCAAGCCTAGATTGATTTTCGCTAAATATATCTACCTCGTCGTACCTTCTTCATTTTGCAAGCCAAACTTGGTTTAAGGTTGTGTTATTTGAGTTGACGTATGCCCTCTAATGGTAGCGTATTATTCTAGCCTACTACAACTTTATTTGATACCTACTCCGAGAACTCATAGTGGGGTTTAGACTTAGAATGGGCACACCCTTTAATACATCAGCGCTTAAGAGAACTTCAGCTTCGTGTTCTTAGCTAAGGTTCATTACGAGGAAGCACTGCTGTGAGCGTATGAGGCTAATTCTCTGATTCGACAGTTGGCGACCAAAACATGTATACGTAAGACCTAAGTGATCGAATCTCATGATGCCGCGCTTGGGATTCTCCGTGTTATCGACACTGCGTCAGCAACCATAGCTCTCCACCTACAAGATCGACGAATGAACGGAGGTGACGGGAGGATGTAAACTGCCTCGCCCTAGACTAGTTGGGTCTATGTCCGAAAACCCACATTGTTGGATATTGCGCCTCCTGCCGCTCTAGTGATGGTGTAGTGAATACCTACCAGAATAGTAAAATCTCGCAACATTCGCGCAAACGAAGCTGTCTCGAGTCGTTGTAACCGTCGCATTCAAAGCCATGTGGAAACAGGTATGAGAACGGGTTCTGTCCAACCCACCAACCCACCAGAGGCAAGGATGCAGCATACAAATACTCTAAATTAAGCTTGTTAAGAAGCATATTACGCACAGTTATGAATGGTCGTATCGATTAAGATCCGGCGCGACGGAAATCGAGTTACGAGCCCCATGTCCTACTACTCTACCACGATGTAAGCGCTTGCTCGATCTCACCTCGCCCGGCGTTATGAGTCGAAAACGGTGCATATGTGATGCAACGCTGATATCTTGTGGCTGACTTTCGGCCTTACATACAACAGAAGCATCGCCGGAAGTCCTTGGGGTTTCAAATAGAACAAGCAGCCTGATCTAGAATGATTTCACTCCAGGTTTCAATTATCCAATGACAACTCGATTCTGGATACCTTCATGGGTCTTATCCTATAGTGCTCTCGCGACCTACTGATTATCTAGGTGCAGTACTGCGCCTCGTGGGTGCTTTTGTCGACGATGCAGCGCGGGGGCCAAAAGAACATCGTCTGTTAAATACCCTGTATTGACACATAAGTCCAATTTGGGTTACATCTATTACCAATCCCCGTCTACATTCACGCGAAGGAAGGAACATGTTATTCGATGGTGTGGGAGTCAATTCCTAACAGTTATGGCACCTACCTAGGTATGTTGGCTATACCGGGTATCAACTTTCTATTGCCAACATAATCCATATCTCCCGTGCTTACTATGGATTCGCACTCCGCAATATAATCATCAAGTCCTGGAGTACCTTAGGTTAGCATGTGGAACACAGAATATCCTCTTTCCCGTGTCGTGTTTCCAACATAGTTGTCGAGTTTTTGACACGGCCAATCACTTCGACTTCAGCCACCACAATGGCTTTGAATGTCTTTGACGACCCTTTACAAGCCGCTGGCTTCGTTCTCATCATTATATTAACACCCTTATGTATATTGGCCACTGTACTACGCTTCATTGCCTCGTGGATGACCTTGCGTAAAATTGGTAAAGAGGATTGGCTGGCTTTAGGGGCGTTGCTGTTTTACCTTGCTTGGGTAATATGTCTGATTCTCATCGTGCCAAACCTCAATGGCACGGAAGATATCCTAACCCTCCCTATTGAGAAGACAATAGCGGTTCTAAAGGTTTGTCTATCTACATTCAAGGACAAGAAAACATAACTAACGAAAGGTTCTAGGATATCTATGTAGCAAGCCTCTTCTACCCGCCTAACCAGCTATGCGCCAAGCTTAGCATTCTTTTCCTGTATCACCGCATCTTCGCTGTCGAGAGGAAGTTCGCGATATGGATCAAAGTTCTAGGGGTTCTCCAGATTCTCATATCATTTACCAGCTTCATCTGCAACATCTTCCAATGCCGACCTATACATAAGGCCTGGGACCCCAGGGTGACCGAGGGCTGGTGCGTCAACATCAGCGCCATGTTAACAGCGACGGAGACGATAAACTCGCTCATCGATTTTGCCATGGCAATCTTTGCAGTATGGGCGCTGCGCGGACTTCAAACGACTCGGTCAACTAAGTGGAAGCTCGCAATCGTTTTCGTCTTAGCAGGAATGGCAGGGATAATCGGTTTTATTAAAATCGGATTAGCTTATGAGGCGACGATCTGTAAGCGCTCCTTCAATTATATCCTATCTGAATAGGAAACAACTAATCCCATCCACAGACAATCAATTGATGGAGGGTCTCTGGGCTACGGTCCAAATGGCGTTCAGCGTGTTCTGCTGCTGCTCCATAACGTACATGCCTCTTCTAGCGCGCATTGGCAACTTCGAGCGCATCAAGTCTAGGCTCTACGGTTACGGCAGCAAAATAAAACTACGGAAGCCATCATCGGCTAAGAGCGGGCAAAGTTCCCGCGATGGCTGGATTGACATAGAAGGGGGAAACCAACAGAAGGTAGATGGCTTCAAAGCGGGATATCCGGTGAAGACGGTTCACATACAGCAGAGCTTCGAGCGGATTTAGCCCGCGATTGGGAAACTTGGAATTGGAATTGGAATTGCTCCCTGATGGGTGGAAAGGCCGGGTTTGGAGCAGGATTCAACATGAGCTTGTCTAGGTAGGTAGGTAAAATAGATACTACCTAATACCATGTAAAAGAATCTATCAAGGTGCTGTCATTATCCCGAAGCTTCATGTCACATGTGTAACAATTGGGATTCTATCGAGCCACCCCCGCTCTGGAAGGAATGAGGTCCAGAACACCCTGGTAAATCCGCGATATCATACCATAATGGGATTGTATTGATAGTGGGGGAGAAGAGGGGAACTGTTCACCAAAAATACAGCACGATTCGGCCGAGTAGACCTATACCGAGTAAATTCCAACATAACTCGTAGAAGACTATCGTCGTACGCAAGACGATCGTCTGTTCTAGGTGTTAACTTTCACTGCTACTCCACCGTTACAATAGCTGAATCCCACGTGTTTTACCGGTTTTCCTTCTCGTACATATAGATGAATTAACGGGTGATCTCCCCGGAGCCAATCCTGTGAATGTCGAATGGCGTTCGTGGGCTGACGCAAAAAAGTAGCGATAATATTGGTCGCCCAATGTTAAAGCTAGCTTCCAGCCACCCGTCCTGTTCCGCCGAAGGTTACATCATGATACCCCTCTATCCACATCATATTCCTAGGGTCTTTCAAGGGTCTGGTAAACAGGCAGATAATTGAATTGGAAGCTTCGGAAGTGGGCGATCAGTAATACGGTCTTAGGACGGGGAAGAGAGGGAAAGACTAAAGGTTACGATATGCCGCGTCAAGTTCTGCAAGGGTCTGATCCTGCTACGGATCTGTAGACACATACGGGCTACCTTGCGTGGCCGCGTGGTGAAGCAGGTTCAGGGTTACAGCACTGCGAAGCCCGGAATTTGGAAGCCACCCTGCCACCCATATCCACGATCCAATAGACTTATCCCGTGCCGTCAGCACGCATTCATAGACCATTGGTCTAGTAGGCATTCAGCCTTACTACCCTCTTAAGCAAGTGGATCTCTGATCCGTTCCTGTACGGACCGCGCCTCGGACAGCGATAAGCATAAATGGGAGTTCCCACTGTACAGGGAACAGATCGGGGGCACAGTGGGGATAACTATTACAGCGAAACCAAATGAGGCACAGACGATGGCAGTGATGATCGGTATTCAGTTATACGTATAACAAGTACTTCTTTTTATGTACTAACCGAGAACTAAGGATTACCTCGATATGTACCGAGGCCTACATGTTGACGCCTGTCACTGGTCCCTTTGAACGGGATGAAATCGAACCCAGAAACTAGGCTTTTCCCACATCCCAAACATTCTGAAGTCTTTCTCGAAAATAATATTTTGGTTCGGCAACATCTCGACGTCAAAAGCCCAAAGCACCTTAGCGATGAATATTCTCGTCTGTCGCCACGCTAAGGGCATGCCAGGGCATGATCTTGGCCCCAAGCTAAACGGGTGGTACCCATCTCTAGCATCGTTTTTGAATGCGGGATCCCAGTGTGGGTGATCTTCTGGTAACCAACGTTGTGGCCGGTAGCTATTCGGATCGTGGAAGTAGCGTGGGTTCCGAGTGAAAGCTAGAACAGCGTATTGGACCTCGACCTAGAGAAAAGAGACCTGATTAGTACTATAGAAAAGGGGAGTTAGGATTAAAAATGACTGACCCCCTTAGCAACGTAGTTCCCATCAATCTTAGCCCCGGGACACAAGCGCGGTTGGCCATTACTCGAAAGTACGGTTATCCGCAGCGTTTCCATCAAAGAGGCATGGAGATACTTGAGAGGTGCTAGCGCATCCGCGTGGATATCGTCGTAGCTCTTAAATGCACCTCTAATTTCCTCGACTAACAACTTCAAGCTTTCAGGCTGTAGCAACGAGAACATAATTGTGCCAAATATCTGACTCGCAATCGGCTCGTATCCGGCAATAACCAGATGTCCAGTGATGACCTCAATATGTTTCTTTTCCTTCTTTGTTGGGACAGGCGCGTCGGCTGGGAGTAGTTGTTCAAAATGATCCAAGTGTTCCGTATTGCCACGACGCTCTATCCGCGAATTTAATGCTTTCTCGTTCATACTCTGGACTTCGTGATAGCTTGCGATTATAGCAGGTGGGACGAAGAGAAACTTTATCGGACTTAGAAGAGGGAACTTCTTGAAGATCTGGTTTGTGGTGACGAAAAAGTTCACAATCCACATTTGGTCAAGGAAATGCGTGCTTTTCACTATAACAGCAAGGTCAGTAAAAAGCTATGGCAAGACTTCAGCAGGGTTATCTTACTATTTCGTAAGTGATTCAACTCTCGACTGTATGCCAAATCGGCCGAAGCGTCCATGGCTACCCAGTCTGTCCACTAAATGCCATTGGATCAGCATCTCAACCTAAGCTCACGATATGTACCCCAATTTTGACTCGGAAGCTTACAGTCTTGAGCTCTATACCTGCATCATTACTTCCAAGTTCCCTCATCCTCTGAACAAACGCGTCAGTATACTTGTGCATCGTCGATTCCTTGGCCTTTAACGACTTGATGCTGAACGCGGGCGCCACCTTCTTGGCGTCTGTGTGATGTTTTACTGGATCCATCTCCCACGAGAGCCCATTATCACCCAGACCAAGGTCCATGAAGTTCGTCTTGGGGAAATGTTCTATCCCGCTTGTATGAGAGTCGTATATATCTATCATCCTGTATCAGACTCGAGCTTTCTATAACAGAGTCGAATTTTTTAGATGTGCCATACCATTGAAAGCCTCGGGCGTGATGAAAGCAAGCTCATTAGGAGCTACACGAACAACGTCCCCTACAAATTTTCTTAGCAAAACATGTCTTTCCTGATATTGAAATATTAGAAACCAACCATATTTCTTCAATGCTTCTGCAACTGCAAAGGGGTATTTCCCGGTAGACCAGTGGTAAGCATACCACAGGTTCGAGAAGGCCGCAAGTTTCGGGCCTGGAAACCTAGCCGCGGGGTGGAAATACACATTGTAGATGTAACGGAACGATGCATACAATGTTATCTAGGTGTCGATGTCATGAGTTGAATTGTGAAGAAACAAGCCAGGACATGTTAACTCACTGCTCCGAGACTGAAGATTACAAGGTCGCGGGTAGGGGTTTCAATGATGTGCTGGAATAGCCATGTAGACGCCATTGTGATATAAGCTAGGCTAGCTTAGCGATGCTACCAACCGCCTAGGAAATCTACACGATTTAAGGCAAGGTTGAATAAATATTATTAGTGATCATGTTCAACCATGAAAACTGCCTCTCTATCGAAGAGACGTAGACTTTTTTGCCATCATGACTTTGGATCAAATGCTCATATGCGACCGGGAGGCACGGTTCGCAGTATGTGAGTTGAAATGGTTGGCTTTGCCTTCTGTCAGATGTCGTAACTAAACCAAGTCCTTGGGTACAATTCACTATTTGCATATGTAGGTATGTACTAGTTAAAGCAATTATCTACTATATCCATATTGCATATCAAGGTATATACGGTGTACATATTAAATGTTACTGCTCACCCGACGAAGCCGTAGCGATCATCACTTTCAATGTGACCTCTCACATGAGGGGCAACGCTATTTATATCTGATGTGATTGAACGACGTGCCTAGGCTGCTAGGACCTAGGTATACGACATGTAAGAAATTTAAGAACGAATGAAGCATCTGGGCTGCTTGGTTGCCCGGTAAAAGGACCGGAATCCGATAAGTAAACGCCTATTCATGCATGCCGCTCTATGGCTCTACGCCAACAGGCTACATAGCCGACAGAACCAGCCCACCTGCGTCTTTGGGTAAAGCTTCGGGGCTTACATGGGGGCGGAAACATCGAAGACTTCGAAGTAACATGTATATTGAAGCAGGGGAAATCATACGTCTGATGAAAAGAGTTTGAGTGATACTATGATAATGGTGCGAATTACGGCTCGGGCAACCGAAGGCGCGATTCTTTTCTGTTGATGGTCTCGACTCTTAGTTGGTGTTGGACCATCATGAACGGAACTCCTAGCGCTTTGAGCCAGGGAGACGTAAAGTCCCCGAATCTTGCACTAGATGCCGCAACAAACAACGAAACCCCGGCTACACAAATGCCGTTGACTAACAGCGGGATGGATGATCCTGCCGATTCAGCTGAGCAAAGTGCCGGAGAGAACAAGACGTCCGCTGCTAAGCGGGATTTCCGATTTTGGGCTATCATCGTGGGATTATGCATCGCCAATTTTCAATCGTCACTTGAGAACAGTGTCATCGTGACATCTGGACCCGCCATCGTCAATGACCTGCAGATGGGCGAAGAGTTCATTTGGATTACAAATGCCTTCTTCCTATGCTGGTATGTTGAAATCGGTTTCCAAAATGGCTGTTAATAGCTAATTTGTGAATAGTGCCGCTGTTCAACCCCTATTTGGTCAACTGTGCAATATCTTTGGTCGTCGATGGCTTATGTTGTTTGCCATCGTCCTTTTCACCCTCGGCAGCGGCATCTGTGGTGGTGCAAGAAATAGCGCCATGCTGATAGCCGGGCGTGGCGTTCAAGGTGCAGGATCAGGAGGTATCGGCATGATTGTTAGTATTATCATCGCCGACTTAGTACCTCTCCGTGAGCGAGGCTACTTCTTAGCAATTATCATGATTCTATATACCGTTGGGATGACTTGTGGCCCAATTGTGGGGGGTGCTATTGTTGATGCGACTACCTGGAGATGGGTAAGTAATATGCCATGATTACAAGAAAATTTCATACTTACCGATGCCAGGTCTTCTGGATCAACCTTCCGATCGGTGGCGTATCGCTGGTGTTACTGTACTTTTTCCTACACGTCAACTACAATAAGGAGATGACGTTAAACCAGAAGCTGAGGCGCATTGACTGGGTCGGCAACGGTCTCCTGATGGCTGGTACTATCGTCATGCTATACGCGCTCACCTATGCGGGCGTTAAGTACTCGTGGGGTTCATGGCAAACATTGGTCCCACTGCTCATAGGTTTATTCGTTATTGTCCTCTTCGCCGTGTGGGAAGGGCGTAGTCTGTCTCCAGAGCTTGTGATGCCACCACAGCTATTCCGTCACCGTACCTCGCTCATATCGGCTATCAACACCTTTCTTCACTGGATGCTTGTTTATTGGGGCACATATTTTCTCCCTATCTATTTCCAAGCCGTATTGCTATTTTCAGCTGAGCGTGCGGGTGTATCATTGCTACCCATGACGCTCATTTCCATCCCGGGATGCGCTGTGGCTGCTATACTTGTCTCGCGTTGGGGAAAATTCAAGATGTTGCACTTAATAGGTGAAGCGGTCTTCACTGTAGGGTTAGGATTATTTGCACTACAGTGGGAGGGCAGCACTACAGCTGAGTGGGCTACATATCAAAGTATAGGTGCACTTGGTGGCGGTGTTGTTTTAGAGACCTTATTACCGGCTTTTCAGGCACCGGTTTCCGAGAAAGATCAAGCAGCTGCTACAGCGACTTGGGCTTTTATTAGAACAGTCGGTGGCGTTTGGGGCGTCGCCATTCCTGCCACCATCTTTAATAACCGAGTTGATCAACTAATTTACACGATTTCGGATCCACAAGCTCGCCAATTACTAGCAGGCGGCGGCGCATATTCGCACGCGTCCGCCTCTTTCATCACATCTTTCCCCGACCCCGTAGTCGCCGAGATTTGTGCTGTCTATAGAGAAGCATTGAAGTTGGTATTCTTGACGGCAGTAGCTTTTGGAGGGGTGGCTACTTTGCTTTTCTTATTAGAAAAGGATGTTCCCTTAAGGCAACAGCTCGAGACCGAGTACGGGTTGATGGAAAAGACAACCCTGGTAGAAAATGATGTTGAGAAGAACAATAAAAGGCCCTCGACGTAGACAGTCTCACGATTTTTGTTATAAACAATGAAAACATTAGAGACTGCCTAAAAATTCAATGCAGAGCAAAGGGCAAGGCACAGGTTAGTGCCAACGTACCTCAATATAGCAAGCCGCGCAAGTACCTAGTAGGTTTGTATAACGCTAGGCTAGAAGATGTCTGGTAAGAACTATTTGGTACCACCTAAAGCCATCAGTTCAGCACTCCAGGGCCGAATAAGGTACTACCTAGGTACGCTATAAGCATTTCCCTCTACAATTTTCAAATCCCCGGGAAGAATCCGTCTCAGCGCTTCCAGTGCTAAATCCTTAGACCCACCTCCCAAAAAGGGGTCGGCCTCTAGGCTGAGACATAAGACCCCGGGCTTCCCCCAAAAGATCCCGTTAGCACCTAGCATTCGCCTAGAATAATCACTACAGTGACTGTACACAACCGCCCGTAAGCACTTAACTGAAACATGCAGCCACCAGCACCCATCCCGGCAACCCAACGAGCCATCATCCAAGGACCGGCAGGCCAACCCACAATCGCAAATGATGTACCCACACCGGTCCTGCGCCCAGGCACGGTCCTAATCAAGACTATCGCCGTATCGCTGAACCCCAGCGACAACAAAATGGGCGCCGCCTTCCCATGCCCGGGCGCAGTCATCGGCATGGACTTCTTAGGACGAATCGTCGATATCAAGCCCGCGGAAGGCGTCGAGAGCCCTAGCTCAGACCTACGCCTCGACGACATGGTGTGCGGCGTAGTGCACGGCTCGAACCCGGGAGACCCCACGACCGGCAGCTTCGCAGAGTACGTCCGGGCGCAGACGGATCTAGTTCTTCGGGTCCCTGAGAACTTTCCCCTGGAGCAAGCGGTGGCGTTGGGAACACCGCTACTTACTAGCTGTGTTGCGCTGTGGAGCTCGTTGGCGATTACGGCGTTGCCGGAGAGCCCGCTTGCGAAGCCGGTGCCGGTTTTGGTGTATGGTGGGAGTACGACTTGTGGGACTATGGCTATTCAGCTTTTGAAGATGTGAGTTTGCGAAACTCGCTGTTTTCTGTGATATTAGATATTACCCCTGATAACCAAGAATTGAATGGCTGGCTAAACCTCAGCAGCTTGGGATATGATCCGGTCGCAACTTGCTCGTCCCGGAACTTCGATATGGTTAAATCGTACGGTGCTAGCGCGGTATTCGATTATACGGCTACTGATCTTGGCCATGCTATCAAGACGCATACGGGAGGGCGGTTACGCCATGCGCTCGACTGTATAGCCGACCAGGCGTCAACGACTTGCTGTTATGCTAGTTTAGGCCGGCCCGGCGGCCGCTATGCGTACCTCGAAGCCAGCCCGAAAGAGTGGAAAACGCGGGAGGCTGTTAAAGCTGATTTCGCCTTAGCGTATGAGGCCTTCGGGCATGAGGTCAAGTTAGATGGGGAGTATGGCCGGCCGGCAAGTCCAGAGAAGCATGAGACGGCCGCGAAGATCTTTAGAGCGTTCCAGAAACTTCTTGATGAAGGAAAGGTGAAAGGACATCCGACAGAAGTAGTCGGGCATGGGTTTGAGAGCATTTTGGAAGGACTCCGTCGGTTGAAATCTGGTTCAGTGTCAGGGAAAAGGTTAGTTGTTTGGATTGAGTAGGGACAATTGCTAGCAACGAAAGAATATAAGATAAAAGCCTTGTTATCCATTTCTCACCTGAATCACCGATTTATGAGAGGAGTGGGACCAAAAGGGGCACGTATGGACCAGCTTTCACAGTCTATCTGCCTAGTAAGTCTGCCAAAAGTGGCATTGCCATCCAGATTATATAAAGGGGTGGTAATCCCACCCTTTGCCCTTATAATCAACTGTGACTCGCCTTCACAAAAATTGTAAAGTTAAGTGTCAATGAAGCACTGATCTAAGCTTATGGTCATGTAGACAACGGTTTTCTCTTGCCGGCCCTGATGAAACGCCATAGCAACCGCAACTCATCACGGCAAAGGCCGCCCCCTGAATCCACGCCGAGATGCCAACTCACCGTCGTTATACTCGATCAACACCATCCAAGAAGCTATTCACCGGTTTCTGGTCGTCTCTTTTGTTTACATATCCTCTAATACCCCCTCTAGATTTACTGATTACCCATACCGATCACGTACGTGTCCCGATATAAAAGCATGTTCCCAAAACACGCTTTCCTTCCCTCTCATTTCTTCCTCACGCAACTTCGAAAATCCCTTCCTTGCGTGCTCGAAAAAAATCTCCAATTCAAAAAAAAACCTTAATTACTCTTGTCACTCTCACACTTACCATAACTCTCTCCCACTCTTCATGATGGAGAACACCGAGAACTACGGCCTCGAGAGCGCCCACCGCCGCCGTCCCTCAATCCGCGTCGTAATCTCGCGAAGCAACATCTACGGCACCGCGCACTCCACCATGGCCGTGCCCCCCGTCCTCACCTCGACGAACCCGCGTCTCGCCACCATCTGGAGCACAGACAGCCTCGTCGGCCTAGCAGGAATGTCCATCAGCACCCCGCGCGCGAGCACCTCCTCCTCGGGCGCCTCAGCCCAGCTTCTCGGAAACCACACCACGATCTCGACGAAGGGCAAAAAGCGCGCCAAGAACCTCTGGGCCAAGCTCAAGAACAAATTCAAGCGCAACAAGTCTCCCGGTCCGCACCCGTGGCGCCGCGTCGTCAGCGGTGGTTTCGGCGGCATTCTGGTGGGCAAGGAGACCAAGGTCGAGTCCGAGACCAAGCTCTCCGGCCTCTTCAAGTCCAAGACCGCAGGCGACTTCCGCCGCCCCCCGCGCCCGATCTCTACGAACTGGAAGGCGGCTTATGATAACCACTTCGACTTGGGAGACGAGCGCGACAAGAAGGCCTCCGAGAGCACTGTCGACCGCATCGAGGAGAGAATCGGCGGCTTGATTCGCTCGGCTTCTGCGATCTTGCCGCGTCGACATTAGTTGGGCGTCTAGCCTACTTGTCGCCAACGTTCTCGGTACTTGGTACATAGAGTCGCACGTACAGGCACGAGCAACAACGTCTTCTTAGGGGTATGGAAAATGGGGATTTGGTTTTTTTGATGGGTTCCACGTTTTGTGGATTGGACAGGTTGGACATACCCGGAGTTTGGCAGCTGCACTGAGCACCAGATCGTGGATGAAGGAGAGGGTTGTCGCTGTTCTGAATACTTAGCACGGGAGTTTCGGTTTGTACTTAATGATGCATGCCCCTCATAAGAAGACGTATTATTGAAGCTTGAGGACTTCGTCCATTTCTTTTTTTGCTGTGACTACTTGGAAGTACCTATTATTTTCGTAGAATCTTTAGCTCGCAGTCATTAAATGCGTACCGTCGAAGATCCGTCGACACATATTTGTTTATTCGAACTGAATCCCTTGCAGAGATAATAGACAAAGTAGATCTAGATATTAGATTTAGGTACCACTTAACTAGATCACAGTAGGTAAACTACACCGTCCAAAAACATCTCACTCGCGACTTCATGCAACCCTCCATCTAATTCTTCACTTCGCCAAAGCAGCCTTTACAGCATTGACCTCCTCATCCAAAGGCAAGATATCCGGAACAGGGCCTAAGGGGGTAATAGAATGCGGGTTAATCTGGGTGTGGCTGCGCATGTAGTGGTTCTTAATATGCAAGAAGTTCGTCGTGTCCTTGAATGCCGGATGCGTCCAGTACAGTCTCCGGGTGTACAGATGCAGGAGCGGATACCCCGAGCGGATGTCGCGCAAGTTGCATTTGAAGTGCTGGACATAAACCGGGTCGAAGCGAATGAGAGTCGGGAATCTATTTCTCCAGGTTAGTTTTTCCTTCTATGTATATGCGAATGATTAGTACCCGTTAAATTGAGCGCAGACTTACAGCCTAATATCCACCTCCGTAATCTTATCCCCAAACCAAAACGGTCCGCCCGTCTCAGCAAGATGCTTTTCCGCCCTATCTAGCGCGTCAAACAGCGCCGTGACGTTACGATCATACGCCTCTTGCGTCGTCGCAAACCCGCTCTTATACACGCCATTATTAATGTCATCATAAATCCAGCCATGCGCCTCCTCGATCTGCGACTGCAGCGGCTCCGGGTAGAAGTCGAGCTTGGCGTACTCCGACGGCAGCTGGTCGTCGAACACATGGTTGAGCATGCGCAGGATTTCGCTACTCTCATTATTCACGATCGTGTTTGTCTTCTTGTCGAAGAGAACCGGCACGGTAAACCGCCCTCCGTAGTTGGGGTCAACCGCGAAGTAGAGTTCCCGTATGTGCGTGTACTTCTCGTGTCCCGGGACCGGGTCCGGGATCACATTCTCGCCTGCGGCGTCCGTGTCTTCCGGGGTGGGAAAGCGCCATCCTGAGAAGCTGTTAGTTCCTTAGTTCGCATATACACATCTCTGTGGCGAACTCTAGAAGGTGCCATGGGTTTATTAAAACGTACCATTCTCCCCCATGTACCAATGGACGCTAGAGAATGAAATAAAGTCCTCTAGTCCCTTCAGCTTCCTCACAATTAAAGTCCTTGTAGCCTATAGATTGACGTTGTTAACGAACTTTCTCTCAGATTCGCACAAAACTTTAGAGAGGGGAATTGCATACCCAAGGACAAGCATAGCTAACATAAAGATGATACCGACCCTTCTCAGGCGGGAACTTGGCGCCGGGCTCTTTAGAAATCCAATCGCGAAACGAGCTGACCTGACGCTTGAACTCTCCGCTGTTGTCGCCGGGCTTAACCCAGTCAGTAATTTTCGAAGCCTGTTTTTCATATTAGCAGTTGGCTCTCCAGAATTTAATCGCACTCCCACCATTCTAATCTGTTTGTTCGGCTTCTTCGCAAGCTTCAAAGAAGGGTTTACAGCAATTCCTCCAAGTCGTGCTTCGTTTCTCGCTATTGACGAGATCCTTCTTCTATTAGGAATGATAATATCTCTTCTAAATACAAATGTTGAAAGCGATGAGTTTGCAATTGATCTCGGCGATGACGACAATGGCGCGACACGGTAGAGCGCAGAAGAGCGAGCTGTGTTCATGAATGCGGGGATCTCCAACTTCTCCAACTTGGGAAGCCTTAGGTGCTACCTCTACTTATATACTACTACCTTGCGAGGTTCTCCTGACTTGAAAAGCTAAGTGAATCTTCGAATCAGGAGTTTCGAATATGGCGTGCGCTGTCAAGGTGTAGAAGATTTGTCACGATCTCCCCTTATTCATCATTATACTACGATTACGGATCGTGACGTATTCAATTCCCCGAACGAGCGAGGACTAGCATATCGTTACTAATCAACTAGTATGGCGGGGCTAGAAACCATGTGGAGATCTTTATAGAGTAAGGGTCAGCACATTTTACTAATTACTAGAATCGAAAAGAACGTAGTCACCAATTTGATCTCTTGCCAAAAGAGATAGGAGCAAAAACAACTCTATTTTACTACTATTTGTCTTAAGCACTTTGTGGCAGACCTATTGCCGCCAGACTAATACCTAGAGTAAACGGCGCATGCTAAGTCCGTAACGTACAAGACAGGATACCCGTGCCGTGATCTGTGGAGCTAAGCCTCAATAAACCGTACGGGTGGGCAGTATTAAGCACCCTTCATTGCCGACAATTAGACGCCTCGATGATTGGGAGATTGATGGAAAATCCTGCACGCATCTACCGGATGATAGCCTTGATGTATGGGACCTCCACATCCTGCTCAGCTAAGTCCTCCGCCACCATCTCGAAGATGAGCTCCGTCTGGTGATCCGGGATCGGCTTCTTGGATACCGACTCAACAAGCTGGCTAAGCTTCAAGCCGTATCGCTCCTTCAACTTTCCAGGAGCGAAGAAGCTGGCGTAGAGAAGACTGACCCCAGAGCTCAGCATGCTGATGGTCAAACCCCGTTTCTCGAAATCGTCGAGGAGCTCTCTCAATGTTATATCCTGCACCTCAAATCGATCCCAGATCTTGTCCAATGTTACCTTGCCGTCCGGTCCCAGGTACTCGACCTTGGGACTAGCGATCGGTTCGCTGAAACCGAAGAAAGGCAATGCAAGGTTGACGAAGCCGTTCTTGTATTGTTCGATATCCTTCTTTCCATCGATGATCTTGAATAGCTCCAAAACTACAAGGCCGGTGACCAACGCGGTCGTGGTGGCGATGGCCGGAATAATCTTTCCGGCGATAAACTTGGTCTTGTGTCGGTCGGCCTTCTCGATCTTGTAGTTGTCTGCTCGTAGATTACTTGCTGCGGTGATGAAATCTATGTGATGGTTTGTGTCATCGTCCTTCTCGAACTCAACGGGCATTAACTTAAAACCAGCCAACTCGTTGGGGGCAGGGAGGCTGTCGATAATCTTTTGTATCTCGTTGTTATCATCAAATGCAGATTTGTTCGCGGCGTTAGGATCCTACATACAAGGTTAGTCATCATCTATCATAAATCCACTAAACGGCGCAAACTTACAGGATCGTTGTCATTTGCCTGGATCTTGACACCTGGGTCGGGCGAGAAGTCGGGGACGATCATGTTGTCCAACACCTTCAAGTAAAGACTCTCATTTACTCCCTTAGTGTTAATGTTGTAGTTGAAAGCGTGGAGATTAGCGGCCGAAACGATGAAACCAAAGTGGGTGGGATTCTTGGGGTCAAACTTCAATGGATCGGGGGCACGCTTCGGGCCAGACCAGAAGGGAGTGCCGCTGGACGACGTCGAGTCTTTGGGAAAGTTGTAGAGGAGTTGTTGGATAGCATTGTTATACTGTCTCTCAAAAAGCATCCTTGCCCAGATGATGCAATCCTCAAAACTTAGAGGCTTATCCGTTACGAGGTAGTCACGGATCGTCTCAAGAGTCGGCGTCTCGTTGCCACCTTGCTTCAGTGTTGTCTCCAGATAGTTAGTCTGGGACAAGTAGAGGTTGACAGTCTCAGCAGACTTTACAAAGGAAGTCTCGAAGAGTTCGCGGGCCCATGCAATAGTATGCTCGATCTTGTTGGGGAAACTTCGTAAGGTGCACATGGGGAACGACACCTCGGGAGGATCCTGAGATGACGAGTACGATTCGGTCAACATGGGAAGAACAACCTGTGTGTTGCCTTTGGTACCGAGAGTACCGCTCTCCAACAAAGGCTTACGGAAGAAAACACATCGTCGGTCAACGTATGTTCTCGCTTCCACGTTGTCAAGCGCATTAGTGACGCCATCCAAAGCCTCCCAGAAGGTCTTGTTGAAGATGCGCTCAGTCTCGGGACTAACTCGATCTTTCAAGCACTCGATGTGACCCGCAAGCTCGGGGTTCATGGCCTCGACAGCCTTGGCCGCACAATCGCTCTTCATCTGACCGACATCCTTGGGGCGGAATAGGAATTGGCGGTTAAGATTGCTCTTCTCGATCGAGTCCATGTCGGTAACGGTGATTTTGCCTTTGGGTCCGACGCCTAAGCCGATCATTGCCCAGTTCTTGAGCATTTCGCATCCAATAGCACCCGCGCCAACGAGGAATTGTTTCACGTTCGCGATCTTGTCCTGATATTCTTTACCAAATACTGCGATTTGACCGTCATATCGAGATCCGATCGGCTTGCATAGTTCCTCCGTTCGAGAAACACTAGTAGGAAGCGATTCTAGAGAGTCAAAGTAGAACCACTGCTTAATAGGATGGAATTTTCCTGACACGGCTTTGAGAACCTCTTGGGCGGTTAGACCACCAAATAGGGCGGCCATAGGGTTCAAGTCGCCCTGGGCCTGGTAGCTGAGTTCTTTAATAAGCTTCTCATCGATCTCGAAATCCAATTTCTCCTTCTGGATAAAGGCTTTCACGGACGCAACAACGACGGCGGCATCTTCCTCGTTCATTGGTCGGGGTAGACGACCTTGTGATTGGGCGAAAGCATGCAACGCCTCAAAACCAACATGGAGTTGGTGTGGTCGGTCGAATTTGGCGAAGTCAGATACAACGAATTCCGGCTCGCGCAAGGCGGTAGAGATTGTCTTGAATTCAATAAACTTGGGCATCTTGACCTGCTGAAACAAGCCACCACCCTTGTATTGACCCAATCCAGACACATCACCAATAGAAAAGGTGTAAGGGCCCTTCACTGTGACTTTCTTCGGCTCAGCAGTATTCAAGCCTTCCATACCCTTGACTTCGGAGAAGGTAACATAATCACCATCCTCTAATCCATGACGCGTCTCGTCCAGGGCAGAAACCAATCCATCCTCGTAAATATCGGCAACGATTCCATTGATAGGGTTTTCGCCAGTCGCATCGAGGCATGTGAACTTGGCGCCGAAATCGCAGAAGATGGAGCCAAAAAGTCCGAAGGTGTCAGCAACTACAAAGTAGATGCCCTTGGAATGGCAGTAATCGCCGATGGCCAGCTGAAGGTTGAGGGGGGTGTTGGTGAGGACTACAACCTGGTACTTGTCGAACTGGGAGAAGTTCTCGCCAAGACTGTTCATCAAAAGGTTAGCATGTGACATGTTTAGTAAGATGGATGATTTGCTTCGCATACCTAGGCGAATCATGAATGCCGACAGGAGTATAGGCGTTGAGTTCAGCCACGCGAGGAGCAGTGACTGCGTCGCGAGGCTTTCCAACATCGGCCGGGCGTAGGAAGAATTGGGAGGATAAATCGGCGATCGCAACAGGCGTTGGGTCGTGGAGAGTTAAACTCTTGACACCAGCAAGAGCAATGTTCTTGGATATCTCGACACCAAGACCTTTCAAACCAACTATGAGGACATTCGAAGCGCCCATGCGCTTCATAGCCTCGTGGCCAAGGACATAGAGCTGTCGACTGTAGAGGGACTCGTCGATCTCGGTCTGGCCTACAACGGAGTTGTCAACCTGGACACGGGTGACCAGGTCGACCTCAGGTATACCCGAAGCCATTTTGGTATCCTAAATTTGATAGATAAAAATTAGTATCAGGAATGAAATAGATGGATGGATGGTTTCATATCTAATAGCGATTAGATCGATAGACATATATCAACTTACGGTCATGGTTCTCTTAGGGGAGAAAGGCAACTCTCCGTTCTCGTGTTTTCGCTTCCCCAGCTTGGCGATGTTTGCTCTAGTGGAGCCCTCTATGCTGCTACTAGGAGATACAAACGCGCAGGCTACGGAAGAAGGATTGTGAATATGAGGATAAAGATGAGGTAGCCCGACGGTAGGATGAAAGATGAACGATGTACCCAAATTAACAACCCCACCACCGATACCTGGAACGAGGCTGACCGATCGATCTGTCAAGTAAATACTCTACGATACGAGATGACGTAGTTGGATAGCTGGTCCAAAAAGGAAAAAAAGACTGGTTGGTATGAGAGGAGGAAAAGACCAGCTTTCAGAATAAGGCAGTGAATGTTTTTGGGAAGTTGTTTTCGGAATAGTTCACGGTTCGACTCACTACAGAAGCTGCAGTTTGACGAATGTTGAAAAGGTTAAGGTGTGGAAGCTCTTGCCTACAGTGTACAGCTAAACGTTAGCCCGCGGGGTGTGCCTGACTGACGTTTTGACCAGCTGATTTCTCAGCAAATCATTCTCCGTTTTGGTGGGGTCAGATAGTGGCTCATCTGCAGGTGGAATCCAGTCATATGTGTGGCGTAATAATGGTGGCGCATTTCTAAATCTTCTTCGCGATTCTATCGCAATTCGAACATAACATCATGTGTACCTATGTACCTACCACCTAGAAATCAATGATGCGCATTCAAACAATCAATGTCTTGACTCAATTTGTGCCTTTCCTTACAAGCCCCTGTCGCGCAGTACCATCTTCAACGTCGTAGCAAAACATGCTCGACATGAAGCATGGTGTTGTGTGCACCGCCAACAGGGTAGAAACGGACGTTGGAGCGACGAAACTCGCGCTATGGCGCTAGCTTTCCATGCAGCCATTCCTCTCAGGCGCAGAGGCATGGCGTAAAAGATATCAAGCACTCCATCATGCCTCCATAGCTGTAACCGGCGATGGCATAGGGGCCACGGGGCTGTTTTCGCAGCATGTTTGTCCGGTAGCACGTCACGGCCTCGGCGATAGAGCGGAACCGCCGCTGGGTCGGGTCGAAGCCTGGTGCGCGCTGGCCCCACACAGGCCGGTCGTCTGCGCTCAAGTGCTGCATCGGGCCGATGGACGCTAGCACTTCGCCAACGCCCGAATTTACGAGCCAGAGCGGCGTCTTATGTCCTGCTAGTCGTAGAGTGACGATCGAGTCGTAACCTTCAAAGGCCGTTGAATCGGGAGGCGAGTTGGCCTGCTGACCGGTAGTGTCTATCGTATTCAAAGAAAATTGTCGAGACAACAAGTCGCGCAAGGCAGCGGCCAGCATACCCACTGTAAGAAGCCATTATGAATCTCATAAACTCTTTCTCTTGGGACGGCCTTGTTTATGGATTTTATTCTAAAACGAGTATTTGGTTTCTATGGACCTATCATCATCATCGTCCGTAAGGTACATAGGTAGGTACTTATAATCAGGTGCTTGGTACATACAGGTAGAGACCAACCTACATAATCACATCTTGATGCATATACAGCCTCGCCTGTTTCCCCACCCCGGGAGCCACACAAGGCAAAGGTAAGGGAGGTAGATAAGCAGCGTTGGCGGGGCATATATACCTAGAGGTAGGTAGTATATAGATGTATTTACTCCCTCGAGATTCCCTCAAGGTGAAAAAAGCCCATCCAACAAACCCGCACTGCTTAATCAACACAGCACACGTTAAGCAAATATGGAGACAATGACACCACGCATCATTGAACTTGTCAGAATTCTTAGTGATTCTGTCACCGAGGTCCAGGCGGCGCTCTCTAAGAAGAATCATCCTTCGCCGTCTTTCGATGAGGACACCCCGGCCTCCATACCGCCCGATTTGTCTGATCTACAGGACAAGATCCTCGACGCTTCGGCTGAACTTCATGACCTCTTCTTACAGCCGATTAATTTGATCTACAAGTATGGGAGTGTAAGTGCTCCAAGCCTTCGAGTCATCGACCTTTCTTTCTCCCTTCCGTTCGACGTCTAGAGCTGGCTGACCAACGCCGGCCTCCAGCACAACAATACGGTCTGTCTCCAAGCTATCAGTCGTTTTGACATTGCAAATCTGGTCCCCGCGAGAGGTCAGATATCATTCGACGATATTGCGAAGACGACCGGTCTAGGCCCGGTCATGACGCGCCGGATGTTGCGATATGCCATGACTATGCGTGTGTTTCAAGAGCCTGAGCCGGACATGGTAGCTCATACCAAGGCCTCCAAGGCTCTTACGGACATCGATGCCAGCAACTGGCTCAAGGGCGGGTGCGAAGAGATGTGGCCTACCGCTCTCAAAGTGAGCTTATCTTAGCACGTATTCACTTCGAGAAGCGAAGCTGACCAGTCTACGATTCTTCTAACAGATAGTTAATACAGTCACTAAATGGCCCGATTCTCAAAGTCCCAAACAATTGGTATGTGCTCCAAACCTTCCCTCTTCTTGGGTGTATCTGTCTTATCTCTCCCTAACATGATCGCCTTTTGCCTAAGGCCCTCGCTCTAGCTAACAACGGGGGTGGCGGGTTCTACGACATCATTGCCAACGATGTCGCACGTGCAGTGCGCTTCTCAGGTACAATGAAGACATTCGCCAACAGCCCGGCTTACAATCCAAAATTCATTGTTGAGCACTATGATTGGGGCTCGCTCGGACCTAACGCACATATTGTCGATATGGGTGGTGCGCGCGGTCACATCGCCATAGCCATCACGGGCCGGTTTCCAGGTCTGCGCGCGACTGTACAGGATCTTGGACATGTGATCAAGGGTGCCGAAAAGGAAGTGCCCCCTGGGCTTCGCGGCCGCGTCGTCTTCATGGAGCACAACTTATTTCAACCGCAGCCCGTCCAAGGCGCGGATGTTTACTACGTACGTTGGGTACTGCATAATTGGTCCGATGAGAACGCGATTAACCGTACGTTTCCTATAACTACATCCAAGTACTACCGATTCAATTGCAAGGGGCTGACTAAACGGGTGATTTAGTCCTCAGAGCGCTTGTGCCTGTTCTTAAGAAAGGATCTCGTGTCGTGATAAACGAGACTTGCATGCCAGAGCCTCGGAAGATTCCTCTCTGGCGCGAGAGGAATTTGCGGTATGTACATGATTTTTTTCTTGTCTGTCCCCTTCCATATCTAATTACGTATTTACTAACACGGCCTAGATCTGCAGATCTAAACATGGGTGCCATTTTCAACGCGCGTGAGCGCACCGTGACCGAGTGGAAGGCCTTAATCACTGAAGCGGACACGCGCTTTCTGTTGAAACAGGTTATCCAGCCGAAAGGTTCCGCCTTGGCCATCATGGAGGTCCTGTGGGACGGCAACGCAGAAGCAGGCGCGTAAGTCAACGCTAGAAATAAAGCGCAACGTCTCAGTTCTTCTGCTACCTCTTCTGAGATTGGCATTTAAGACTTGCGTTCGGCAACCTACTTCGTGCTTCCTTCTGCTGTATTGTATACAAGCAGGAATATCCGCGGAGTCTACCATGAAGAAGGATGAGGGAGGATGGAGAAGGCTACAGAGTAACGCAATTCCGCCATAGCAACTCAATTCATTTATTCGAGCGAAAGAACGTTACGTCCGGGCACCACAATTAGGGGTCATAGAAGGATAAGGCTGTGTACCGCTGTTATACAGCTTCGTCGTACCCTTTGTGAACGGCCTAGCATCATATGTCTCATCAAGCCTTTCCAGTTCGAGGTTGAGCTGCCGTAGTCGTAAAGCATACCAAAGGAGCTAGTACCACAGGCCTTCGAGGACGAAGACTCCCAAGGTGTCTGGACCGGGCGCCGCTATGGAAGAGGAATTGCTGCGCGGAACAATAGTCGACAGCTCGCGCGCTGACGAGAGTCCCAGGATGAGCGACAGTTCGGCGGTTAGAAATATGGTTCTTTGAGCTAGGATTACTTGAGTAGAGTAGGTGAGATGACGTCGCCCTTTGTGAGGAAATATGTGGTTAATCAGAAAGACTCACTAGGTACCTGATTATGCATGTCTTTTCATAATTTAACTGCAGACCGAAGTTTTTGCCCCTTTTAGATCATTACTTTCATATCACACAGTGGTTTAAGTTAGAGTAACCGTTTCGTTTCACTGAAGAATGTATTGCTCCTCAACATTTGGCGAAGGAGCCAGAGAAACAATACACTACTCCTAGCCGTAACCTTTCCTAGTAGAATGCCGTCTTAGTAGACTACACTCCACTTCCAATCTCTCCTGCAATTATGTACATCGAAGTGTATGTATAACCGATTGCGAGGTCTGCTCGTCTGCATCTTCCTCCCCCACCAAATGTACTTCAGTCAAGTCCATTAAGCCCATTAGGAAAATTCCTAATTCCTTTCGAAATATGCTAAATCATCAATCGCGTGTAGCCGTGTCGGGTCTTTGTATAAGGAGCGTAGCAACCCCAGGGGTATCATGAGTATGCCTTTTTGCCAATTCCGTATTATGCCCAATGGTGCAACTACCTAAGACATAGGTACCATTGCCGTGCCACCAGAGATTGTGAAAATGAGTGAACCCATACACGCTCTTCAGCCAACCAATGTCATGCCCAACCCGCCCACCGTGTAACCGCCATTAATGTATCATTAGGCCTTATAAATGTAATTGGCCAGAAGGATAGATATGAACTGAAAGTTTATATTGTTATTTTTTAATAGTTATACTATATTCAAACATTAAGTGTATCTGAGAGCATCAGATGAAGAATAAGAGTGAAATTAGGGCGAGGATGGAGTTCGACACAGCTTCGCCCCTCAGGGCGACAGCCGGGGCCCCAGCGGTGGGGATTGTAGACGGGGCGGTGGTGTTTCCCGGAACTGTAGCAGGCGTTGTGATCGTAGGTGAGCTGCTGCTAGTGGTGCTGCTGCCGCCGCTACCGGCACTGCTAGTGCTGCCACTGCTGCTACCGGCACTACTGCTAGTACTGATGCTGTTAGCACTCGAACTTCCGCTCGAGGTCTGTATAAAGCTACTACTCTCGGAAGTCGCCAAAGCGCTACTCTCCGAAGAGCTCGACAATGCTGACGAGGTAGATAAACTAGACGAAATTGATAGAGAAGTAGACGAAATTGACGAATTGGTAGATGAGATAGACGAAGTAGTAGACGAGATAGACGGAGTAGTAGACGAGATAGACGAAGTATTAGATGAGACAGGCGAAGTAGAAGTTGAGGAAACTTGGGAGACCGACGAAGTTGCTGATGCTGAATTAGAGGTGGGCAAAGCTGAAAAGCCAGTCGTGGTGGCCGCCGAACCTCCAATAACCGTAGAACCACCGGCGCCGGTGGTCGTAACCTCACTTGCAGGACTAGTTAGGTTCAGGACAGGAACAGGGTTGGTCGCACTGCAATAATCGAGGTATTGGCCGAGAGTAGGTATTAGGTAATCCCTGGTTGCATCTTCCCAGTTTACTTGCTCTGCGGCACAATTATGACAGGAATTCATGTAGGACCGGAATATAGAACCTTCGTTGCAAAGGGTGGCGCTTTTGCCAACTTTCTGGGCCTCTAATATAGCGCTGTTGCAACTATCGTAACAAGACGCCGGTAGCGTAGGTGAGCGTTTACTGACCGGTTTGTATGGGATATAGCTGTCTATGGCCGTTGAAAAGGCGGTAATACTTGCCTGGGAACCCCAGTTGCCAGTTTCGATAGTGGTAACGTAGGTTTTGCCCGACGATGTTACGGTCGTCTCAATATTTTCAACAGCGAACACATCATAGCTCAACCCGAAAGCAGGTGGCGCAAGATTAAAGTAACCGGGGGTAGTTTCATAGTGCCCCGTCTCGAAATTGGGCCAACGAACCGCGATATAGTCCGGAGCCTCTTTACAGTAGCTCAAGCTTTCGCAAACATATGACCTGTTTGGTGGAGTTGCCCAGACATTGCATCCATTCTCCATTGGAGGTGAACAGATAAATCCAGGTTGGCATCCCCAAGTTAAATTGGAGGTCACATCATATGTCGGAGCCGTGACACTCGGGGCATCAGAGGAGATGGTGCAGGTAGTTACGGCAGTGATAACGGATGACACAGTTACGGTCTGTGGAGTTTGCGTGATCGTGATCGGAGGACCAGTTATGGTAGTTGGAACCACATTCGTAATAAGCTGCGTTGTAGTAAACGTCGTAGGGCTCACTACCGAATCGGTAAGCGTAACCTCGGAAACCGTGAGGAATGTGGTGGTAGAGATGAGAGTGACAAATGAGGTAGTCGGCGAAACGGAGACAGACACATCAGTCGTTGTTAGAATGCTGGTGAGTGTCGACAAGACGCTTGTCGAGTATGTTGACACACTTGTATAAACAGACGTGCTGTACTCTGTTGTAGTCAAAGTCTCTTCAGAGACAACTGTAGTCGGGATCCGAGTTGTAAAAGTGAGGACCTCCGTCGTAACAGTGGGGACTAATGACGTGTAAGTAGTAGTTTGTGTTGTCGTCTCTTCACTAGTGAGAGTGAAAGAGGCTGTAATCGTCTCTTCCTCAGTCTCGGTCTCGGTTAAAGTGACTGAGGTGGTAATGAACTCGTCGCTTGTGACCGTATATCCATAACTAACAGTAGCGAAGACTGTGCTGACTCCACTGCAATAGATGTTAGCTCAATAGCTTCACGCTTTTTTCCCTCATTATACTTACTAGACCGTTGTCGTTTCATAGCAAGTCTCAACCTCGGTCTTAGTCTTTGTTTTTGTTTCGGTAACAGTCTCCTTTTCGCATTCGCTGCTGTGGGGGTACGTGGGATACCAATGGGCTTCTGAATAAGACGCCTTCGCGATTGAAGCCAAGGCGAGGGACAATGCCCCAAGACATTGTACTCGAACCATTATAACGTAGCTAGGAGCTTCGAGATAGGTTCTTTGATGACTCGGGATTTTGAATTGGTCCTAATTTTCAACGAGTGTCCTCGTAGCGAGCGTCCGTCTGTCCGTCCGTCCGTATAAGCGAGCGACTCTTATGCTAAGAGCGTAACGAGGAGTTTGGGCGATAAGCGACTGACGAAGTAAACAATCTAGAGCTCTTAGCTTAGCTTATATGTATAGTCGGGACGAAAGCTAGCTATGTAAGCGAAGCTCTCAGATTCCTCCAGCTAGAAACTCCGAATATCCAACGGGACAACGGCTTCGTGAGCTGACTGGACAAGAACCTGGCAAGCTGTACCTCGAAGGATTTTCTCACAGCACAACTTTAATGAGCAATCGTCAGCCCGGCAACAAGCAGCTAGGAAGCTCTTCCTAGCTTAAAAAATCAAGCCGAGTTATGATTTTCCGTCCGTATGACTAGCTGCGACCAACTTACATAAAAAACGAGAGCTGAAGGAAACGTGGTTCCATGAAAAGGAAAGCTACCAGAAAGCTTGGAAAGAGGGATAGCGCCATCAATAAGGCTGAGAATGAGAGTGGGCAGATGCAGAAATGTCAACACGAGCCATTGGGACCTACCCAGGACCGGCAGGTACCAAGCATACCTAGGTACCAAGCATGATCGCAGATCAAGTATACAATACATATATCTCTACTTCTAGTCAGGTCTCCGCGGCGCCGTGCGCAACTAAGAATCCCTGTAAGGAAGGAATCTGTCAGCCCGCCTATCGCACACCCGGGTGAGGATGCATGATGGAGATGACCACATGAAAGTTTGTACCACGGATCCGGTCCGCCATCTCCTACTTCCTTCGTCTACGTTCACGGCGGATAGAGAAAGTCCGGAACGCACTGATATTATTAAAGGAGCTCAGCCTTCCAGCCTACCCGACCTTGATAGACAGGGCGAAGCGAGGATTTGGCGGACAAACAAATGATGAAAATTACAAGGAAAATTACAATATCGCATAGGATACAAGATACCTATCAACTAGGTTAAAAATGAATTATCATATGAGCAAATAAAAGTAAGCACTTGACTGGAACCGCAATAAGCGAAGCCGGTGCCAGGGTTGGTAAAGCAAAAAGTCCCCTCAGTCAGATAAGAGGTAGGACCTAGCACTGGTAGGTATGTACCTACATGACAACGTATGCAGAATGTGCAGGTTAGCAAGACATCTGAGCGACGAGGCTCTTCGGCATCCAACGAAGGCAGCCGCATAACCCATCTAAGTGGTGGGTTCGGACGGGAAAGGATAACAAATCGAAAGATTGGTCAAGTTATGGGTCCGTATACGACAGCGGGGTATGTCGTGTATACCATCTCGCATACGTACATTATACAATAGCTCTTACATTCTCCCGTTAGAGCTGTGGCCAAGCCCGAAAGAACGTGTGCTCGGCGGGTCTTCCGGAACGGTAGGGCCAGGGTCGGTGAAAAATGAGTGGCCAAAGCCAGAACGCACCGCGCCTGTAAGTCAGGTAGCCAACGAAGAAATGAAGAAATCGCACGGGAGATGCAGGAGTACACAACGGCACAGCTTGCATAATACCACCGTTCGTAGCTCTTAGGTAGGATCGCCACTTGTCGACGCCTAATAGAGGGTTACGAAGAAGGACACTCGCAGAACTGGGCTTGAAGTCAGCCAATGAAGAGACAAGACCGTCATCTTTGCGCACAGATTAAGAAATTCGATAGTTGCGCCATGCGTTACACAAATCGGCAGCATCGAAGACTAGCGTTTTTATCTCCGGGAAGTCGAGACACTTCATTTTTTTAACCTCTTCTCCAAGATGCAAGGCAGATGCGAGTTTGTACCCGGCAGGCTGTCCTCTCGGCATTATCTTTTGGCAGTATTCGGCGGGTGTCGTATTGTCGTATATTCGTATAGCTGCTTTCAAGTACCTAAGAAGCACGAGGAGTCAAGATGTTCTGGTTGATATAAGAGTGGTAAGAAGTATAGCAGAACAGCGATGAGTTGACCGCCTTCAACGAAAGCGCCAACGCAACCTGTTCTACTAGGTAACTCGAAGTGTTAGAGGTGAGTAAATGGATATGCAACGCCAAAGACATCGAAGCCATTGAAGGGATTGATGGAGTCGAGTGGCACCCCAATCTTTAGCACCAAGTAGACTACATACGAGTGGGGTAGCGGTACCTGGTAGGCATCCTGGATTTTCCAAATCGAGATGAGTAGTATTATTGGGTCCCGATGAAATACCGAGACGGTGGAAAGACAGCTGAACGCTAGATATCATCGACAATACATCCATGGCTATGGTTGTAGTAAGGCTGAGAAGCTTCAACGAAGCTCGTTCACATGTATTTTGCCTTCGAACAGCTCCGGGCTATTTCTTACGAATTGAAATTTTGATAATATGCCGGGTGACTAGTAAATGATTCTTGTAAACTTTCAATATGGTAACGAAGCTTAATAGAAGAATGAGTCGAAGCTTGGAAAGAAATTGAGAAAGATCGAAAGGGTCAAAAAAGGCTCGGAATGGCGGGGCTGATTTGGTGGGGAGCACGAAATAGCGGGAAATAAAAATAGACGTGTAAAAAGGCTTAGTGTCTTTTAGCTCCATGCTAAGTAAGCAGCGCTAACTTATTAAGGCTATATGTACCTTACGAGCTCCACCTTATCACTCTACCTAATTGGACAGACAAATCACAATCCTAGACTATTAGGTGCAAACAAGGAAGTTGCAAGGCATTCGAGTCAAGAAAAAGAAAAGAGAAGAAAGAAAGGCGGCGTTGAATTTTCTAATATTCTCCCCACTTCATGGCATTTTCATACTAGCCACCTTCAACAAGCCTTAGTTGGGCAAAGTGGGATCTCGCCAAGGTTGGAGAACCTGAAGTATGCCCGATTACCTGTTATATTGCACAGGTACTATAGTTCCAGAACGTCGGAAAACCCTCGTGGTCGTCTTTCGTATGGGTACCTAGGTCCTAGGTCCTAGGTCTTACCTACCAGGTGAATGGTAACAAGTAACAAGAGAGACAGCGAGGCTAATTGCTCGACAATAACCTTCATTAAACTTTATGGTCTGTAACGTCACCTTTTCCTCGGTTAGCTACAGAGTCCGGGCTATGTAACGCTTAACATTAACTACCAGGTATGATTTTGAATATTTGGGCCATGGTTAGATTGTTATATACACCGGTGAGTGTTCACCACTTTGCATCCTCTGTTCCCCACACTACAAGATCTCTTCCGATTCTAGCTTCTATTGATTTTTGAGTAGTATCGACAGCTCATAATATCGTCGACTTGCACTAACACGGTCCTACCCACCATCAGATTATCTGCAGCCAGGGTACGACTCGTCCAATGAAGATGGGACAAAGAGAATATCACATCGACAACGACCCAATAAGAACATCTTATCCTTCAGGGATAATTCTTACGTGTGTCTCTTAATCTGTGTCTTTGGTCCGCCACCATAACAATCTTTGGTCCATCCGATGTCTTATGGAGTTGACCTACTTTGCACAGATTCTTGGCTGACTTCTTACTCCAGTCCTCATCCAACTCTTCCAACCGCTTTAGAGTCGGTTCACTTGCCGTGTACTATAGTGCCCGATACAAGCTGTCGCAGCATAGCTCTATGAACTACCTAGTACCTACTGATACGATATAGTAGAGCAAGTAATCCAATAGGTGATGGCCGGTAAAATCTTGATATGTTGTATCTCATCAGCAAGCACGGGTGAGGCTCACCACCAACCCAGATGTGAGCTGACCTACTGGCCTAACCAGACTGAGAGACCGGTACACTCTCCACCAGCGGCCATACGAGTGTGGAACATCTCACCCGAGCCTCGATCTATGTGAGGGGGGAAAAAACTTGCTTCTTTGTCTTTTAACTTGTCAATTTGAGTCGTTGTGTAATAATTACCCCTTCAGACGTTGCATTGATAGAACTCCTCGTTGGTTTCTTCTACTATCACTTGACTGGCAAGACTTGGACCAGCTGCCTCGTATGCAAGTAGCTTTGAGAGATCTTTTTGTCTTAGTTCCCCTAAGTTCACTATTGCGAATTCCCACGTTCTTGCTTTCGGGGTTGCCGTGTAAACCTCTTTTGTTAGTTGCCCTGGACAAAGACCCCTCCTCTTTGATATCATTGATTCGCTCTTTTCTCGGGTTTCAATATTCTGCTCAGCGATTTCCTTAGCAAGAGTATCACGACAAATGAAATTCAGAGCTGTCATTGACCAGGCAGTCTCGAAGGCTCCTTTGTTGTTGTGACCTTGCCTCGACCTACTCCCACGGATTTCCATTCTGAATACTACCCCTGCCATGAAATGAGCCTCAATCTATGCAACTAATATCTCTTCAACTAATCACGTAGTTGTTTCTCTATAACCAACATACATAGAGACAAGACACATTATGGATCGGTATAGAACAGCATGGCTGGCTTGTACTGCTGGCTTGCTGGCTTCGACTGTCTACGCCCAGGATCTCCCAATAGGCGGCGGATGGGGCGGATGGATAAATGGTCAGGCCAATTCAACCTTATGTCTATGGGACGGTCTTCGAGGTGAGGTCCCACGATAGCAATTCTATCGTCGTACTATGGTATTGTATATGTAAGTCTAACATCTAGACAGTTGCAACACTCAAAGATGTCGTTTATTTGGACGGGGGCGACCAACGATTCGTTGCCGGTAATATTGACGGGACGATAACAACACCTCTTGTAGGAGACGGTATGTTATACCTACCTACCTATATTTCTCAATCCACTATAAGCTATTTTTTCTCTAATACTTCATCACAGACAATCCTCTTGGACTCATTTGGACCTTCAACTTTAGTACTCCCTTCGACAAAAACACAAATTTTAGTACCATACTTGGCACTTTATCAAAAGCCCCCGGCGGAGGTGCTGCAACTAACATTGCGCCTAACTATAAGAATGGAGCATTGCTTGCTAACGATAATGAGTTCTTTCTATATGGAGGTACATTAATGACGACCTCGCTATATTCTCCGCCCGACGGCGAATCTGCGCTAGGTTACATAGCATCAGACTATAACAGCAATGGCCGTTCATTCCGCGCGGGATTTCAGACTGACGATCTCCCCGATGGCATTACTCGGTATGTCGCTTTCGGTGCTGCCGCCAATGCCCCTTCTGAGCAGAGAGCTTGGTATTTTGGCGGATACCGATCTTCGTCGTGGGGCCCAATTTACCTAAATCTTAACTCTACCTATGACCCTTCAACTGTTTCGAATACCCTCATGTCACTAGATATGACTGTTCAAGGACAAGAAGTTTGGAACAATGCGACGTTGCCGCCCGGAACACAGAGTCGTGCGGGTCCATCGATGGTATGGGTTCCCGTAGGTGAAAAGGGGATACTCGTAGTCCTGGGCGGCGTCACATATCCCGCTTATGATAATTCCAATCACACATCTCAAAACCCGGCACAGAGCGTAGGTTCAACCATCTTGATTTTCGAAAGGTACCTAATATTTACTAATACGATCACAGGAAAAAGATAGCCCGGGTTTCATGTCTAATGTTGATATTTATGATTATGCAGGCGACGCATGGTATCGGCAACCAACACAGAATGCCCCCCCTGCATTGACAAGAGGGTGTGCTGTACTTGGTACTGCGAAAGACAAATCAAGCTTCAACATCTACTATTATGGTGGCTATAACGGTCTTGATATAAATTCGGACTTTAATGACGAAGTATGGGTGCTTTCGCTCCCGTCCTTCATGTGGATGAAGGTCTCCCAAGGCACACCTGAACACGGTCGAGCCGGGCACCAGTGCGTTACGCCATATCCGGACCAGATGATAGTCATTGGGGGTACCACAACTACAAAAGGCGACACCGCCAAATGTCTCGATGGTGACAATCCATCAATGTTGCAGGCTTACAATCTTACCGAGGCGACGTGGATGGATTCATATGACCCAAAGAGCTGGGACGATTACGGAGTCCCTGAGATGATCCATGTTATGATAGGTGGCAGCTTCTCTGGCGGCGCAACTGCAACCACTCCAGGCCCCAGTGGTTGGGCCACACCATCGCTCGGCAGCGTCTTTGCTACTCCCTACACATCAAAAATAACGACGTATTATCCCTACAGCTCCGTAGGCCCCGGAAATGGTACTCGAGGCGATGCCCACAGCGGAGGCGGAGGAGGGGGTACACCTGGTTGGGTCGGTGCTGTATTGGGTGTGGTTCTCGGCCTTGTCTTCATAACGGCTGTTGTCGTTGGCATCATCTTATATAGGAGAAGAAGGCTTCTAAAGAAGAACGACAGCACCGGGGGCGACCAATCAACAGATGAGAACGGCAATAAGGTCAAGTCCTGGATACAAAATTTGAAAGCGCCAACGGTAAATACCGATGACAACCGCACGCAATGCAACGATACGGAGAGCCGGGGCGTCTCACCAAGCCATCCGGAAACGGCTATGTTCTCACCCGTCGAGATGCCAGATACGCAATTTTATGAACTATTGGGTGGTAAGTATTATCTAACGTTTCGTCTCCGTAGACATCCTCGGATCTAGTTGCTAAATATATACAGACTCTCCGCATCCAGGCGAATTATCAACCGGCACAGAAGGTGTCCATAGCCCACACTCAGCCTATGTAGTAGACCCGAAACAGAACCCCTTCGCCTCGGGGCCGAACACGCCGCACTCTATTATGACACCTGTCAGCCAATTTCCCTTCGGCGGTACCGCATCGCACGACCACGCTGCGAGCTTCGGCTCTCATGGGACGCCGCCGCCACAGTACACGCAAAGACCCGACTCGCCGCCCCTCGGAACGAACGACGCGCAATACGGGTCCATCGCCGGTATCGCCGTCTCCAGCAACAACATCAACAGCTCCGGCTCGGACATTCCCACGAACACAAGCAACAGCGGCCCAAATAACGGGGATAGGCCTCCTCCCGCGGGCTCGAACCCGAACCGCAACACCGTGATCAGTGGCGTAAGCAGCTTTAGCGACCGCGAGGCGGGACACCTGCGACAGATCAGCGACACAACTGTCAGTTCCGTAAACCCAGACGACGCACACCATCACCAACATCAAGGGGGCAATGTACAAAATAGCCCGCCGTTGCCAGTAAGTCCGCCAAGCGTGGACACCTCAAGTGGCGGAACGGATTACATAAGTCACCGACCGTCGCAACGTTCGAGGGACGGCGGGGATGGAACTACGAATAGCCCGCTTCGGCAGAGCATATTCGTGGAGAGCGAGGATGATCTAGGGCCAGGACGAGGGGAGGCGCGGTGATCTGTTTCAAGTGAAGTGAAAACGAAAAGCAAAAAATAACGATAAACCCAAAACGACAAAATAATGAAAATTTCCACGATTTTACACTTAATAAATTAGCTAAACTTCCTTTCCCCAAACCACAGTATAGATACCATGGCGTTGTTTTTTCATCTCATCTCATCTGGGTATTCGAGAGGGACGGGTTTGGGCTGGGGCTGGACCGGGAATGAGTTATCTACCTCAAATAGCAGGTAGGAAAGGAAAAGAAAGGACAGGATAGGAGGCAATAGGTTTATTTCCCTGTATATAAGTACAGACCTGCTCGGGAGGCAGGAGACATGTCATTTTGGATATGATTGGACGGATTGCGTATGAGGATGGAGAAGGGCAAGGGACGACGAGACGACCATACATATGCTTACAGTGATCGAAAGATCGATCAATCATTGACTCTTAAATTTAATAATGTGTTAATCCAGTCGTCGGTTGACTTGGACATTTCTCGTGAATAATTCTTAGATAAATGTTCGTCGCTTGTTGATTCCCATCAAGTAGGTAGGTTCTTATACAACTCAATAAGTAGGGGTCTTGTGGTCAACCTCTTGGTTTTAGTAAACCCGGGCTAAAATATTTATATTGTTTGCATAATACCCAATGCTGCAATAGCCTCGTCAAAATCGCAGCTGCCTGAGTAGTTCGTTAGCGAGGATATAGTCCAGCTAGGTGAGCATGATTTTACCTCGCTCCAAGGCTACGCTGTGCCTCAGTTGCGGTCGAGGAATCCCTCGCAAATTCCCTCGCGGTGTCTTTCAACCTATACACCATACCCGACAAAAGTATACTCGCGAAGCCCCATCACGCTATCTCGCATTATCATCGTGAACAAACACACCAAAATCCACTCAACCCTTCTTCCTCCCCGCCTTCCCCCGTCCCCTCCCCCTCGCACCTCTCCCCCTCAACGCGCTTCCCCTCCCAGACCTCGTAGTCGGAGCAACACTAGGTTCCTCCTTCTCACTCTCCTCCTCCTCCACCTCCTCCTCATTATCTTCTTCCTCTACTACCTCTTCTTCTTCCTCGACCTCTTCTTCGACATCGGGCTCTGCGCTCTCAGCCTTCGCTCTCGCGGCGGCGCGCTTCTGTTTCTGGGCGCCTCTAGTCCGCGCCGCAGGACTACTGGGCAGCGGAGTCTCCTGGTCCGTATCCTCGACGGTGCTCGCCCGCGTCTTCGTCGTGGTGCTACCCGCGACACTCGCCGCATCCGCCGTCGAATCCGCTGTGCCTCTTGTGCCGCCGCGCTTGCGCTTCTTGCCCGTTGATGGCGCGGGTTTGCTCGGTACATCGATATCCGCGTCCGACGGGGCTGATTCCTCGCCAGGCTTAGCCGCTGCGCGTTCCCATATCAAGTCGTGGAAATCGTGGGCTGGTAGATCGAAGTAATTGTATTTCTGCTCGGGCTCCTCGTCTTGCCCTTCGCCTTCGCCCTTGACGTAGTCGAAGGAGTTGTCGCGCTCGTCTATCGCTTCCATGTTATAGAAGAGGCGGAGCTTGTCCCAGATACACGGTATGCGCGTGTGCGTCTCGACGTCTGGGTCGAAGCCGTGGTTGCGGAGGTGTTCTGAGATCGAGATCATGCGGAAATGTTTGTGTATACCTATTTAGATAACATTAGAGATCGTAGTCGCAAATGGTAATTGGTGTGTGGCATATGACTTACCTGAAGGTTTCCAGCGAATAACTGCCTTAAACAGTGAAGCTTCCTGATCGTCGGTCCATAAGTTGTTCAGGATTTCAGATGGTGGTGGCAAATTCGGCTTGGAAGCTGTAGGTGTTTCGGCAGTTCGAGGAGTATCTGCGGCTTGCGGGGTATCTATATCCATAGCATCTTCATCGCGGACCGGAGTTGACGATGCCTTTGGCGTTGACACCTCTGCCAGGCTGTTGGCCTTGGACTTCCTTTTCGGCGGCATGTTGACCCTCCAAAGTGAATTGACTTTAATAGAGATGTCCAGTATATTTGATTCTAGCTTTTAATCACTTAAGCAAGTAGAAAGACATGCCTCGATACAAATAAGCGAATTGTTCCAAGATTCCGAGTATGGGTAAAAACGATGAGATGTGAATAGTGTTGAAAAGAGCTTAAGCTTTAGAGCTAGAGCTTCCCCAATTCAACAATTACAGCAGCTAGGGACCTGTGGCTTAGCGATTCTGTAGGTACTGCAGGCAGTTGCGGAGGACAGTCCGTCCTTAATTGATGTGGCTTGACTAATATTTGTGGCTTGTTAAGTACGCGACACCTCGCGCTGTACCAAGATACATACAAGATCCCTTCTTTCTCAACTCAATCAACTCATTCTATAAACTTGACACATAAACCTTACCTACCGGTAATCCGTCTTGACGAGATCTTAAGACCGTTTTAATATCGGGGACAAATGAATTCTAAATTATTGATTCCGAAGCCAAGATGGCAAATCAGTACACCGCCGACGTATTCGCATTTCCGGATTTCGAACAGTCTTCAAAATTGTTAACCCAATTACCCAGGTTGGATACTGAATTCTTTCACCTAGATTTTAAGGAATCTGATAAGCCGAGACAAGGTCATATCGGTGTCAAGCCCGCCAAAGCAGCCACCGATGGATTCTTCAAATTACCAAATTCTTTTATTCCACCTGAGGACCCAATTCACGAAGAAGTCCCTGCTACTGAACCGCTTCATGACGTGAATTTGCATGACCTTGATGTGTTTGACGAATCATGGCTAAAAAACGACGAGCCGACTAGGGCCGATGCCGAATATAAAACATGGGATGTTTTCCTATCCCCGGATATTTCTCAGGCAGCACCCTTATTTATTACTGAAGCTGGGCCTGGAGCGTACGATGCCGCATTAAAACAAGCTGAGGACCCTCTTGGGGTTGGAAACACAAACGGCAATGCCATTCAAACCAACCCTTACCTAACAGCACTTCTGGCACTCGCGTTCGGTAGAGGCTCGGTCTTTTTTTCTTGGGATGAAAAGAAGGCTAAGTTTACCCCTGAGTTAGACGAAATGAGAATATCTGGTTATTCTTCTGAAGTTCTGCAAGGAATTCAACGACTCTGCCTAGAATGTGGGAATAACACTCGCTTTCTCTCCGCTTATGTACAAGACACATACAAGACACACCCAGGTGCAGCCAGAGTTGCGGTCGCAACGTCCGTGGATATGACTTTGCTAGTTATTCAGAATATTCTTGGAGTCAAAGCAAGACAGGCACGGTCTCTCCTACAGCTTCAGTCTCTCATCCGACCTATCCAATCAGTACTCGCATATTTCAGAATCCTTATAATTAAAGTTTCGAAGGCGAAAACTGATGAGCAAACACTATCCCTTGTCTTCAGGGAAGCCCAAGCCCTAGAACATAGCAATGTCCTCCTAAGTGAGATCATGCGTGAAGTGTTATCACGCGTCTCAAATCCGTGGACTCGATTCGCAGAGAAGTGGATAGGGGTCAGATCTGAGGAAGGCACTCCATTGACCAAAGAGAACCCCGGGAACAGATTTGTCAAGGTCGCAAAAATTACCATCGTGGATGACTTTGGGTTTGAGACAGATGAGCGCGATTTCTTTCTCGATGACGCCCGCATGCCAGAGTTTGTACCTAGCGAAGTAGCTCTTGTTATGTTCGAGACGGGTAAAACTCTACGGCTTCTTCGTACTCATCATCCAGACCATCCACTATGCCAGGTGGGGTTCATCACACAGAATAACCCACCCCCTTTACAGTGGCATTTTGATTGGAAGTCCATCGGACACTTACAAGAAGACGTAAAAGATTATGAGAATCGTTTATTTGCGAATTTAAAACATTGGTCTGCGGATACGAGTACGTCCCAATTGACAAGCATGACGGAAAAAGCGACAGACGGACGTTACGCCTTAGAATTCTTTGGACAAGAAGAAGCCCAGCTCGAAGGACGGCTACTTGCATCTATTGCAGCTCTCGATAAACCGCTAATTAGCACTTCCGAAGAAGATAACCTATCAAAGGTGCTAGGATCTAAGTTATTCGACGAGGAATCTATCGCCAAAGAGACGATCTCCAATTTCTCGCCACATTGGTCATTAATACCATTTCACTCTTTCGGACCTCTTGTTGCGGCCCAGGCGCGGATTATCAACCGTGAATACATGAAATTGCTCTTCAGCGCACATCAGTTGCGAGATCATCTATCTCTGCAGAAACAATTTCACCTGCTTGGGAATGGCGTGTTTTGCAGTCGTCTTTCCCACGCGCTATTTGACCCTAACTTGGATACGGCCGAAAGAAAATCGGGTGTTGCTTTGACTGGTGGTGTGATGGGACTTCGACTGACCGGAAGGGATACTTGGCCCCCGGCAAGTTCAGAACTCCGACTTGCTTTGATGGGTGTGCTCGCGGAAAGTTATCTATCCCCTTCATCTAAGTCAATTTCTGCGACAGAGAAAAAGTACGATATTCCCGGTGATATTAGCTTTGCCGTACGAGATCTTTCAGATGAGGAAATCGATAAATGCTTGGATCCCGGCTCGTTGGAAGCACTGGACTTTCTCCGGCTATCGTACAAACCTCCCGCGCCACTCTCGCCAATTTTCCCTCCAATAATTCTGCTCAAGTACGATAAAATATTTAAATTACTACTTCGAGTGCTACGAATGCTTTATGTTATCGAGCAGCTCTTTCAGAATACTCTCGGAAGAACATCAAAGTGGCATGATATAGGTAATACTTCACTACGATTTCGATACGAGGCCCAATATTTCGTCACAAGTATAACTGCATACTTTTTCGATACGGGCATCGAGATTCCATGGGGACGGTTCGCAATCTGGCTTGACGGTGTAGAGGATAACGTTACGAAATCGGAATCCGGTCAGGGAGTGCAGGTACTGAGCCCAGATGAAGTCCGCGAAGAACATGAACGAATGTTAGATCGTATGATGAATACGTTATTATTGAGAAAACGACAGCAGCCTGTTTTGCGATTACTTGAGGATATATTTGCGGTAATTCTCAAGTTCTCTAAAGTGGCTCACATTGAAGCTATAGGTAACGGGGAAAATGAGGTGCAAGATTCATCACCTAAGAAGCTGTATGATGCTTTCAAGAAGAAGGTAGATGTTTTCATGACCGTATGTCATGGTCTCATTGAGAAGGGAGGGAAGTCAACAAGAAACGACGTGATGACGGACGACGGGAAACGTGGTGAAGAAGTGAAGGAGAATACGATTGATAGGCTTCTGCTTAAGTTAGAAATGTCTGGTTACTATGGGCACGCCAGAGCTTGACTGAGTCCAAAACAAATACTGAAGATACCCCAATAAAGAATTATTTCCATTTAATCCATGGATGTTCAAGTTATGAAGTGATGCTAGCCCCTGTCCTAAACTTTAACCCATCAGATAGGTACCTAATTGCTTGGTAGGTGCCGTACCTGGTAACGGTAACCCCCACACCCGGGCAGCTACCCCCGCATCGCGCTCCCTGACGCGCAGCCCTAAAACCCCGCTACCCGAACCAGTAAATTGTTGTTCAGCGCGCAACTTCAGAACCTTCTTTAGAACATTGAGCTTCACTCTTTACCTCAACTCTCATTTTACGCCTACTAATGCGAAAAGATGTCTCGACCCGGCCCATCTGCAGGTCGAAGCCTGACATTAACGGAGGAACTAGAGAGGCTTGAGCAGTCAATTACTCTCACTCTGCAAGAGATCGACTTCAATTTTAGCAAAGCACACCGAATCGTCACTACAAGCATTCTACCTCTCGTCGAACAGTATGGCGAGCACTCGAAGGCCGTCTGGGAAGCTTCCCAGGTATGCATATTACACCTCTCTACATATTACAACCCTAATTATAGGAGTATTTATTGACTTGCTGTACCACAGTTCTGGAAACAGTTCTTCGAAGCATCCGCCAACGTGTCTCTTTCGGGGTACGAAGAATTGGCAAACGACGACGAAACCACCACCGCCGAGGAGACTGCACTCGATGAGACCACGTCCGACTATAATAACACTACCGCTGAAGGTGACACCACAGCCGACCCCTCGAACTACGGTGATCAGCACCAAAGCCACCAGAACCTACCTGACGACTCTATCCTCGACGACGCCGAAATGTCGGGTAGCACGCCACGGCCCCCCGCCACCAAATCTATAACACACACCCAACAACCGCCGTCCCAAAAGTCAAAGCAGATATTCGCCGGCTTCGAATCTCCGTACGAGAAACTCCGGCGCGAATACGGCGGCGACACCGCCATCTTTAGAGAAGAAGCGCAGTTCGCCTCGGACTCCGACTCTGCTGACAACGAAGACGAAGACAAAACGATGGACCTACCGAACCAGCGCACCGGCAAGCTTCCCAATATGTCCATGACACCACGGTCGTCCTCCCTCCTCGAGCCCGACGTGCAGAGCACAGCGCGCCGGAACAAGGACCCGCTGCTCCACCGGGTGTTGGACAAGAATTACCGGCTACAAGCGACCCCGCACAAAGGCGTGCCGCAACAGCCGTTAGACCGCGGGTTCAGGGCGCGTCCGCTGTCGCCGGTTAAAGACGAGAGAGAAGCGAGACGGCCTGGCGAAGGCGAGGAGGACCGCACGCGCCGCGCGCTGTGGGCCGAGAGCCCGATGAGCTCGCCCGAGATGCCGGCGCCGAAGCTGCGGAGCGACTTGTACCATATGTCGCCTGTGCGGCTTGGCGGCAGGGGGCGTGCGGATGGACCTCGAACACCTGGGGTTAGCGTGCAGACGCCTGGGACGGCGCGGAAGACGCGCGACGTGTTTGCGGAGGCAAAGGATCGGGGGCGGAATTTGGGGGTCGATGTTGGGGCGGCGAAAGGGAAGGGAAAGGTAAAGGAGGAGATTACGTGGGAGAGCGATGAGGATGATGATGAGTTCGGCGCGTTCAGTCCCCCGAAGACTATCCAGTTTGCGCTGCCGCCGAGTAAGCTTTTGCAGACGCCTGGTAGGTCTTACTCTTTTTCCTTACCTTTTTTCGCCTTTTGTTTTTTATGAGTGAATAGATGAATGCTAATGGGCACGAATAGCTCGCGAGGCAAGTAAACGGATTGTTGATGATATTCTCATCACGGCTGGTGCGGCGCCGGAGGATTCGTCTGAGTATAGCCCGACTTTGGTCAAGATGAACCAGGATATCCTCGACGACACGTTCTAAGGTATTATCTACGAAGGTTTAGGCACAGTGTAGCGGTTTCGCTACTAATGAAGTATATGGCAGACGCATCAGGTAGCAATAGTTGTTATTATGATCGTAAGCAGACGAAACACAAGAGATACCCCCTTATTCATTGCTTCTCATCATTTGTTTTCTGGCTTGCTTATTCAGTAAGCAAAAAGAGACTGCCTCACTTCCCGAGATATACGCTTCATATATGTACCACCCAGAATTCCCGAAACGCCAAAATCTTGTTGGATCCTCCTTTTCATCGTCCAACCCGATGTCAAGTGCGCTTTCCCAGCGCTTATCGCAGCCATGACCGCGATGTTGGTGCAGGAAGAGACATACAAGTCTCCTCCTGACTAAATAGACGAAATAACCGCCGAGCAAGCTCCTATTGTTTTGTTCGTTAGGCCGGTATTCTTGTACCGGTCGCCCTTACACCTTAGGTAGGTGTACACTATCCAACCACGAGCAGCTATTCTCAAGACGCGGCAAGAGAACTCGCTACACACGCGGTTACTGGTAAGATAGTCAGAAGCCCATTCTTACTTGACTCTTCTGCGCGGTCCGCAATAACTCTGCTTCGGTAGTCGATCCCGAACCAGAGTCACTGTCCTTCTTGCTTGGCTTGCTAGACTTCTTGCTGGACTTCTTAAGAAGCGCCTTAGCGCTGCCGAAGGAACTCGTCGAGAATATGGAGGCGGAGTCGGATGACGTCTGCGACTGTTGTTGCGCCTTCTCGCCGTCGAGGATGGCGCCGAGGACGGCGGACGAGTGGGCTTTGTCTTGCGTGTGGCTCATGGTTTTGGCTTTGACTTTCGTGTGAGATTTCTCGGGGAAAATCGCACGGATTATGAGGGGTGCGAGGTTGTGGGTTGTTTCCATAGGCTTACTGAGGGTCGATGGGTTGGTGATGGCTTATACGACTGCGCTTGTTTGGTGTGATTAATAATCTAGTATAGGTATTGATATCTTGATTCTTGGTTCGAGTGTTCGTATTCAGCGAGACGAGAGAGATCTTGCTAAAGAGGGACTAGGAACATTATATACTAGATACCTTCCTACTTTGAATACTTCATGATTAATAAACAGGGTTGCTTTCTATAATGACTGGTATCCCGCCTTTACATTCACTGCCCTACCAGCCTTATTCTCTCCTCCCCGGAATACTACCTATTCGGGTATCATATGGCACTTGTTGGTCGATGACGCGGCGGTGCATTTTTACAGATGAGTCAGATGGCCGTGTTCAAACTGTTGTAGTGAGTTGCGGAACTTGGAATCCTACCTCTCTATATTAGTCTCGCAGGTTACCATCGTAGATCGCGCAAATAGAAGCAAGGGACTTCTTCCTCAGGCTACAGAATAATTGCTGTCGAGTATACGCAAGGAAATGCATGTCGCTTTCAGAAATAGTATCTCACCGCCAAGCCTTTTGAGTCGTCTAGACCAAGCCTATCTGGGTAGATTCCCGATCTCCGAGTCTGCGGTCCGGTCCTTGGAGTCGCAATCCCGATTATTAATGTCTAGGTACCGATGAAGTGCGTCACGCCGCAAATATCAGGCATTAGACGCTGGTTGCCTGGTAGATTACGGGCGTAATAAGTTGTTGCCTGATTCCCAATCGAACCTCGTCGGGTAGAGGCTGGGTAGTTCGCATCGTCCGCCTATGAGCCTCATTCTTTTTAAAGCTATAAAGCTTGTCAGGGGTACATCGTATATGGAGTTGTCTTTAGCAAATGCAACATCAATTCCTCGACTACGTGACTCACTAACCGAGACGCAGAACGCGCGTTTAGATGCTGTCAACTTCCTTCTCGATTTGGTTTCTTACATCGGGCTAGAGAAGAGGATAGGGCAAGACAATCGTCACGACTCGCGGTCGAGTCGAAGCTTTATGGGTGCCGCTGCTTGACCGACATTTTGCTTTGCCAAGACTTCAGATATGAGACATGCAGCCGATGGATGGTTATGGAACGTGTCATGCATCCGATGACGATTTTTCAAATACAACTTCATTTACATCACAAGCTTTTTATGACTTCTGAGTTGTTGGTTTTCTGATTCTGAACAACGGGAGTTTTGTCTTCAAGATATTGATATATACTTCGTAATTCACATTTGGTCTAGGTAGGTACCAGCAGGTAGGTAATGAAGAGAGCTTCACGAACTTCATGAGAATACGCTTATGTCAAGGCATTGCTAATTGAAAGCGAATAGGTGCCACGTCCCGGAAGAAAGCCACATGTTAGAAATCATAATGCGACTATTTGTATTTTAAGTTACACGATGATAGAAGCATTCCCCAATTCATACATGACGGCAAGCGTCCGAATCATACCGTAGCAATAGGTCTCGGTGCGTGAGATGGGTGATCATCAGTATGCCCTCTAACTACCTAGGTAACCACTATCATGAAACTAATATATATCAGGGTGAGTGTAACTTTCCATGTAGGAGCAGGTACATTATGAAAGTCCACATGACATTCATCGAGCGGTCAGGTAGGTATAATCCACATCTACCTATATAGCCAAGGAACCATCGTCGGTTGTTCTCCGAGAAAGGGACGCTGGCGAGCGTAGAAAAAAGGGTTGTCACGTCTGAGGTGCCCTTATGAGCTAGGAATATGTGCCCCTACCTACTAGGTATTTATTCTGATAAGGGAGTCGCTCGCGATGCAGTCAGGATAGGTGCCTGTGAACCTATCACGGCCTTGCTTTCTAAGAGGCGCGCTTGTGACACTGAGGGAAAAGCTCCCCGGACCTAGCAAGGAGACCAGTTCTCCCCCCTTTTCTTCTATGGGATTGCCTCCTCGGATAGGAGTTGTGCTCTCTCATAGAGAACCTCCTTAAAGGAGACCTGTCGAAACCCAACCTAATTCGAGTGTAGTAGAAACCATACCAAACTCACACCGAGATAGAAAGATAGCTCTCCTAGTTATAGATGTTGATAGATAGGCATATAAGACGCAAAGTGTCATGTCATGGGATTGAGCCTCAGGTTTAGTGGTTCATACCTGCCAATTGAGCCAAACCACTAAAGACGACAATCACAAGCCGGACAACTTGCGATCTATCACAGGCAATAAAGGCCAGCCTGTAACACAAAGCCTACCTTCCGACCTAGTATGAACCAAACTCATCGCCATCGTAGGTCAAACCAAGAAGAAAGGTTGAACACTTGGAACGATACAAGGTACCAAAAGTTCCTGTTGTCGACTGCAACAAAATGTAACTACAACCTTTTTATCACAGATGACTTTTCGTAGTATCTTTCGTCTTTGACCAACTTGTTACTAAATTGCTGTACTTAATACATTACGTATCAAGCCTAATCTATAGCAACACTAAGATTAGCCTTCGTAATTTCGTAGTATTTACACGCTGCTTACATAGTAGAACTCCTCTTTGAGATATCTAGAGAACTAGATCGTTGAAAAGGATTTTTGGTGCCGCATTCATAGAAATGGAGCTATGATGAACGTCTTATGAACTTTCGATGATGGGACCATGATGTGTTGATGGATGGCTTAGCTCGTTGGTGGTCATGGCTTTGGAAATCGAGACTCAGCAGAGCCCCTTTTTATACGTGATGCTTCCCTGGTATCCATCTGAAGCTTTATACCATCAATGTTTGCAAGGCCGACTTAGGTGCCAAGGCAGCGGTGAATGTAATCAGTCTGTAGATTACAAATTGCTCTCATTCTATGCCTCTCCTCTCATATCGATTGATTGGTTTCAAATAAGAAGAGAAAACCTCAAGCAAGCGAAGAGCCTACGTAGTTATCACTGAATATGGCCCAAGACTACCTATCTAGGTAATGAGTCGCCAAAATATTGTAAAATATGAAATTAATTCATGATATGCTAAAGTTAGTTTCATCATTACTGCTATAATGAGGTACCCTGTCCTGTATTTCCATGAATCACTACCTATAAATCACTTTTCTGATGGTTCTTAGTGTACCTAGATACTTAGGTTCTGTTCGTTTCAACTCGGCCGATTATAATAACTCCTAGCGGAGCTAAAGTCGCGAATGCTGTTTTCTTTTCATCGTGGAGAATGACGCGAGTACCGGGAGTCCGGGAAGCCGGGAAGCTGAGGCTGTATCCAATATGATATTAAAAGATAGTTTATTGTTTTATGCATGAAGCTGCAGGTGTAATTTAGATAACTAGTATTATCGAGGTATTGAGTTTACTGTTTACACATTTACCCCTGTCTTCTGGACCCCTAATCCTTGATTTGGCCATGCGCGCCGCTTATCCGGACTTTCTCCGTCGTATTCGTATTTTAGCTATTCTGCAAAGCGCAAGCTTGGACCACGAATTGACAAGCGGTGAGTGGAGGAGTGAGAGATTAGCGCTTATGATTGGTCAATTCGGTCGTAATGAAACTCAATTTGGTCAATTTGGCGATGGTAGCTCTCCGGAGGTGATTTGCATTGCATCACCAAGACAGGGGTGCTTTTCTTTACTTTTTTGATGAAGGCTTGGATGGCTAGACGGTTGGAATGGACTGATATCGACCTGCGTGTTGTATACGAATGAGCTGATGCAGTTTGATAATATCTTTACTTTCTCTGGTTCCTCTTGACAGAATGAGAAATCATCGTATCATCCCTACTTAGTTTGCGGATTCGCGGTAAGAAACTATTTCCGGCGAAGCAAATTAGAAATGGGATGTCAAGGTGATGGAAAGGCAGCCCTGTCAACGGATAGTTGGTTGCACAAATCAAATGTCTCCGTTATCGACTGGAGTATAGTGGGGACGGATTTATACTGAGCGGCAGAAAGTACCTACACAAGGGTACAAAATTCCATGCATCTTTTTGGATGCTTGTAACTTCCCAATGAACAATAAAGCGATTTAGGTAACAAGGACCAGTTTCTGCAACATTCTTGCAGCAGGAACGGCAAGCACATGTTTAAGCTGACCAATCAATGAGATGGAGATAGCCCTTCATAATCTTGAGATCAAATGAACCGAATGAACGGATATCGAACTATCCGATATTTAAAGTTTGTAACCGAGTTCCCATTGCCAAGGTGCTTAGAAGTACATCTTTCTCTACATAACTGTGCAGGGGTACCTTGGTATGAACGGCATGAGCCAGTAAGAAAAAAAGGGTTCTCCTCTGATAATCAAATAATCTCAATCAACAAAATTTAGCGTATTCCCTGCGATATCCACAATATTTCTCTTCTCGGTTTCCTTCTTTACCCCTTCACCCTCCTTACCCTCCTACCCTCCTACCCTTCTATCCTCCTTACGTCTACTCTGTTTTGAAGGGTCGTCGTCGTCCTATTTCTCCTGACCTCCTCACTCCTTTTTTTCTCTTCGACGGGTGTTGAGACACTCTTCAGGAGCCTCCTTTGTATTGCGAACGGTCTTCTAGATTAGTCGTCGCGCGGCGCATATATAGCACATATCGGTCTCTTTTCAAAGGTAGTCTTACACGACTCCTAGTCGAGGTCACCATGGCTGCGAACGCCACGAGTTTCACCTCGCCTCTAGCGGACTTTAAGTTCGCCGCGGGCAACCTACCTCCTCAGGTCGACTATGTCCTTGACACTATCGCAAACACTAGTGCCATGACATGGGTTTTCACCATTCTCGCCCTAGCTGTCGCATATGATCAGAGTATGTCTCGCGTCTTTTAGGAGATTCCGATGGTACCGATGGGATCGAAATAATTAACAAAAACTGTAATAGTCAGCTATTTTATGCAAAAGGGCTCCATCGTTGGGCCATCCTTCAAGATGCCTTTCATGGGCCCCTTTCTCGAGTCTCTAGACCCGAAGTTCGAGGAGTACTTAGGAAAATGGAAGAGCGGTCCCCTGAGCTGCGTCTCTATCTTCCATAAGTATGTTTCCCCATTCGCGACGCGTTTCCCAACATCACTAAACTCTGATATAGATTTGTCGTCATTGCCTCTACTCGCGATCTGTCTCGGAAGGTTTTCAACTCGCCAACGTTTGTGAAACCATGCGTCGTCGATATTGCAACCAAAATCCTTGGAGAGGATAGCTGGGTGTTCTTGGATGGAAAAGCCCACGTTGATTACCGCAAGGGCTTGAACGGTCTCTTCACCCGGAGAGCCCTCGAATGCTATCTTCCCGGCCAAGAGGCAGTCTACAAGCAGTACTTCGCCAGATTCCTCAACATTACCAAGGAAGCTGGAGGCAAGCCCCTTCCTTTTATGCACGAATTCCGTGAACTCATGTGCACGGTGTCGCTTCGAACATTCGCTGGATATTATATGCCCGACTCTGCTTGCAAGAAAATTGCCGACGACTACTATCTTGTCACAGCTGCTCTTGATCTCGTCAACTTCCCGATCATCATCCCTTACACCCGAACCTGGTACGGTAAGCAAGCTGCCCGTATGGTTATGGACGAGCTTGCCAAATGCGCTGCTAAGTCGAAGGTTCGCATGGCTGCCGGTGGTGATATCACCTGTATTATGGATGCCTGGATCAAGGACATGATCGCCTCCAAGAAGTGGACCGAAGCTACCGAGAAGGGACTTTCTACCGAAGGCATGGTGAAGCCGTCTCCTCTACTTCGCGACTTCAGCGACATGGAGATTTCTCGAACCCTTTTCACCTTCCTTTTCGCTTCTCAGGATGCCACATCTAGCGCTGCCACCAACATGTTCCAGGTCTTGGCCAACCGACCCGACGTCTTAGATCGTGTTCGTGAGGAGAACTACCGCGTGCGAAACGGTGATATCTATGCCCCTGTGAACTTGGATCAGCTTGAGTCGATGACTTATACCCGTGCGGTTGTCAGAGAGCTTTTGCGATGGCGCCCTCCTGTTATCATGGTCCCCTACAAGGCCAAGAAGGCTTTCCCCGTTACCGACACCTACACTGTTCCCAAGGGCGCTATGATCATCCCAACTACCTACATGGCTCTTCGTGACCCTGATGTATATGAGAACCCCGATGACTTTGATCCCGAGCGATATTACAGTGGAGACGCTGAAGAGAAGGGTGCCAAAAACTATTTGGTATTCGGTACGGGACCTCACTACTGTCTCGGCCAGCACTATGCTCAGCTTAACTTGGCCCTTATGGTCGGAAAGGCTTCTATCCAACTCGACTGGAAACACCACGCGACACCTGACTCTGACGAGATTAAGGTGTTCGCTACTATTTTCCCCAAGGTATGTTTTGTATTCTTTCATTTATAAGTATCCCGTGACTAATATTTCGTTAGGATGATTGTCCTTTGACTTTCAACGAGAGGAAATGGTAAAAAGCTGGTATTCCAGTAGGGTCTTGTTGAACCTTGGCGTACGTGAGGGTGAGACGAGACATCGTATAATGAAAGAAACGAAACCAAACATAGTAATTGTAATAAAGTCTTGTATATAGATTACCGCTGAGGATGGGTCGAGATCAACGACTGCTAGAATGTCCATAGCGCTGAATTAGACCAAACTTGAACAAACATGAAGACCTGTACAGATTCTGGTGAGGTGGTATGAAGGGAAGGGGTGAAGATGGTTGATGGATTATGTTATAGGTGAACCAGAAATGAAGAGGGAGAATCGGACAAAATGATGAGGTGTGTAACATAGGAGCCCAGAAATCAAGAAATGCAGAATCGCGTTTTCGAGTCGAATATAGATCCGTTGATATTCGGTAACCTATCCTAGCTGTTGTGTAAACCATCCGTGGAGCTCGTAGTAGCAGCCTTGGAGGTCACCGCATATACCCAAAATACGGACTTCCATATAGAATTGTGTACGTACCGATGGAAACTAGCGGGTCTGACATCACTTTGACAAATTTAGCTGAGCTTGTCCAAACTGACCAATCCAAAAGCTTAGAAAGAATATTTCAATTCTTCGACGTCGATAAATCAGTGATCACTCCTGAATTTACAATTGTACATATATAGCGCATAGCTACCTACATTTCCACAGTCGCAAGAGAGTATCACTACGATTGCGATGGCGACGAGACGATTAACCACCGCCGCCTTGCGCGGGGCAGGCGAAAGAGCTGTAGCCTCAACCGCTCCTCGCTCACACGTTCTGCGATCTTCGTTCAGCACAGCTTCTCCCTCCCTACGATGCCTAGTATCCCCAGCGCGCCCACGATCTCTGCGCAGTATTGCCCCTAGACGCGCCCAGTACTCGACGGACATGCCGCAGAGCCGATTCTGGACATTCGAGCAGGTGCGAACCCTCTCCCATTCTTCACCTTCCACCATGCCTCTCACACGCCCCTACTAACGACCCCCCTAGATCAACGTCGCCCGCGCAACCACCGAAGCCGCCGCCACACCCAGCGCCGCGCCACGCGTAACCCTAATCGACGTGCGCGAGCCGGACGAGCTGCACAAGACGGGGCGGATCCCCGGGGCCCTGAACATCCCGATGATGACGCACCCGGACAGCTTCCACATCTCGGCGGACGACTTCCGGGACCGGTTCGGGTTCGAGCGGCCGGGCGACGACGACCAGGTCGTGTTCTATTGCAAAGCTGGGGTGCGGAGCCGGGCTGCCGCGGAGATCGCGATGAAGGCTGGGTGGAAGAATGTCGGGGAGTATCCTGGGAGTTGGTTGGATTGGTGTAAGAATGGGGGGGATGTGCAGATGGGTATGAAGGTTCGGAAGGGGGATAAGGGTGGGGAGGGGAAGGCGTGAGGGGGATGGGGAATTAGGAATGAGGGATGATATGAAGATGGCATGAATATGATGTGTATGATGGGATGAGGAGTATCTTGCCCTTTCTATTCCCTACCTACCTATGTAGTTCTCATTCAAAGAATGGGATCGGGGGATGGGCTATTCGGGGTCATCTGTGAAATACATACCTGCATATTAGATAGTAGTGGTAAGCTTGAAGAACTAAGCACTCACTGCATAAGACCTATCATAGGACACAATACTATCTAGTAAGAGTCTAGAGTGACCGACACAAGATCAAGTAGATCGGACCAAGTTGATATTACATCAATACATAAAAGGTATCAACTAGCTAGTGTACACAACACTGTTCAGTTCGGTTTCTCGACCCTACCAAACGCCAGAAAAGCACGATGCCAGTCAGCCCAGTCTTGACCCTCGCCACGCCATATTGGCGAATATCCTCTTCTGTTTTCGTAGACTTTGGAACCTTATACACATACATAACACACACCCTCTTAGAACAACCTCTGTCCATCGCCTCCAGCAGCAGGTGGTGTATCCCCCTCCTTGCCTCCCGAAACCGGGCTTCCCGCCGCGAAAAAGAGTACCTTAATTGCGATCGCAAGGCCGCCGTGTAGCGCCACAACCAAAATCAGCAGGATCTTGCTGGTCTGGCGATCGGTAGCGCTGAGCACGGGGTACAAGTTCCTAAGCAGGAAAGCGACGCTGAGACCGAAGCCGACGCCGACAAACACCCAGTTGAGGATGGTGATGGGGGACCAGCTGATGAGCGCGACCGGGATCCAGATCAGGTTGGCGTAGCCGTAGAGGGCCCAGCACTCGAGTAGGTTCGCGGATTCGGAGCCGAAGTAGCGGAGCGCGCCGAAGAGGACGACGGGGAGGACGAGGGTGTAGCCGTAGATGAGGCCGGCGGCGCCTATACGTTTGAGATTCGTTAGCATGTGTTTATACCCCCCTTTCCTTCTATCTCTATTCTCCCCCTAACTGCACCCAACCCATCTCAGAGGAAAAGATCTTGATAAAACATACCGCTCAACAACTTAAAATCATAAGCAAACGGCCCCTTCCCCTCGCTAGCCAAATACTGACTAATCGTGCCTCCCAAAAACAGAATCAGAACCACCGTCGTAGCGATCCAAAACGGGCCATACAGATCCGGATTCCCCTCGAGCACATCGAGGAAGTTCGCGCGCGGATACAGCGCAGCCCAGCAACGGGCTAGCACGCTCGAGGTGTCGACGTCGAAGAACTGCGCGTAGAAGTGCAGCGACCAGAGATACCGCTTCGAGGAGCCGGAGCCGGAGCCAGAGCCCGCTGTTGCCGGGGGAGGGAGACCGCTGCCGCCGAGGCTGGAGCCGCCCGGTGCGCCTTTGCGGTTGGTGTCGTTGAAGTTCGAGTTGTGGAATTCGAGGTCTTCTTGGAGGTCTGTGTGGCCGAGGTCGCCCTGCGTGTTTGTGTGCTTGTTAGTTGTTGTATGCTTACATAGAAAGTATCTACTTAGGTATATATATGTAGGTATAATAGCTGCGTCCCTCAAGATACCCATGCTATGCTGCAAGCTCTAGAAAGTTGAAACGTACCTCGTCATCGATGTCAACGACGGCGTCGTAGCCTGCGTTCGACATCTTCGTTTACCTCCCCGTCAGGCCCTAGTAGACAACTGATTGGTAGAATATCGACACCGATGTAAAAATGTCTAAATCGCACTTGCTACCCGATATATTGTCGACGGATATTAATTTGCACGGTAGTTGAAGCTGGAGCTTCGTCGCTGTTTAAGGACACGGAAGCACGCCGATCATTGGCCGCGTTTAATTTACTTAGTGTAAGCTACAGCGACGGCGTCTGATTGGTTGAAAACGAAACTGACTAAGAGGTACCGAAGTACCCCTCATTGGTCTTGAACATCCTTGTCCGTTTCTTTATTGAATAAAATGTGTATTTTGCATGGAGGATATGGAGATGTATAGGAATATGAGATTGCTAGATATTTACCTAGTATATTCTCTCGTTTAGCATATCAAATTCCCCTATAATTAGTTTATGTCTTTATATGCTATCTGAACCGATAATATTGGACAGTTATACGCAATGATTCATAATTCCCATACGGCAATCTGTGTTTAACTTGCTCTCAAAGACTAGGTAGGCGTCCCACTAGACGGCGACGATCTAATCAACGATGGGAGGCGTCTATTCATCAAGCCATCGTGGAATAGAGAGAATCCCACATGTTCAGCATCCATAATCACATCCACTTCATAATCGACACATATTCGGATCATGTGCATCGCAATTTTCATTGCCACTGAACTAGAACTACCTAGTATGCTAATTCCCGCAAGAAGAATCCATCGCAGTGGTAGAGAGAATATCTATCCCACCCATTCGTATTCGTAGCGTGCTCATGATACACCCCAAACCAGTACGCCGAAGAAATGGGACATAGAGACGAATCGTTTACTTCAGCTTCTTCTTGGGTCGGAGCTGGTTGGTGTGGCCGCACTTGCGCTTGCGGCAGTTGGTGGCACGGGGAGGGAGACGGGCCTACACGAAAACATCTAGGTCAGCAAAGACTTGCAAAATACTATTACACACTACTAGAGCGAAAATCGAGAAAGACTCACGTAGCACTTGCGACAGATCATCTTGTCGCAGTTAAACTTTGAGGCAAGAGCCTTGAGCGAAGGCTCGATGATGCCACCACGGAGACGGAGGACCAAGTGGAGGGTAGACTCCTTCTGGATGTTGTAGTCGGAGAGGGTTCGGCCATCCTCAAGTTGCTTGCCGGCGAAGATCAATCGCTGCTGGTCGGGAGGAATTCCCTCCTTGTCCTGGATCTTTGACTTGACATTGTCGATGGTGTCGGAAGACTCCACCTCAAGGGTGATAGTCTTGCCCGTGAGGGTCTTCACGAAGCTATTTTTTCGAGTTAGTCGTCATTCGATTCGGTCGGTAGTCGATGCGACACGATGCGCATTTCGATTTCGTGGTATGGAAATAACTTACATCTGCACTGTAAACACATTTTAGTTAGTATTATAAGTCTATAATATTTAATTGCGATCATATGGTGAAATTTGACTTACTTTTGCTTCCTGTCGTGAATAAAGTGGTTTGGTGAGAAGTCGAGGATGATGTCGGCTTGTAAATTCGGTGGGGGTTACAAATTCCGCACAAACGAACCCTAGTGGATTGAAGGTCACCTGATTTTTATTTTTTGAAAGTGGTGCTTTGACGAGGAAATTTCTGCCAACCGCTAGCAGTTGTGCGACAGTACCCACTTCAGCTTTCACACTATGTACAATGTACTCCGTACTTGCTTTTGATCTTAAAGCCGATGCCCCCACTCTTGTGCTATAACAACTTCTAGATATTGACGATGTCAAGGTCGTTTTCATTCGTTCCTCAACTTAAGTATATTTTGTAGGTACCTTATTTAGGTATAAGTTGGTATATTACTATGCTGAATCATCGCCCATCAAAATCGCCTTACCCTTCCCCTTATCCCTTTCCCGCTTCATTCTCTGATTACACCAAGCTGCCAACCGATTCTCAACCTGTGCAGTACCTTTCATCAGTGTATCTAAAGGTATAGCCGCAATATTCGCTGCTTTTTGGTAGAAGACCTTTGCTGCATCAGGGAGATCCTCCTCGGTTCGCCAAACAGGGCAGAAATCTCGATCCTGCTTTTCCTTATTTCCATTCTCCAGGTCTTCAGGATCAGGAACTGGTTCGAGTACTTGCAGGGAACTATTTAAAGCTTCATATCTATTTCTTATACGTTCACCATCTCTGCCAGTATTAAGCCTTTGGTTAAGGGTGTTTGGCTTAGAAGGTCGCTTTTGGTTCTCGAAGGGTTCTCGAATCCGTTCGTCGGCTAGAAAAGGAGTTAGCACCGCCTAACTAACAAAATTTGTAGCGACTTACTTTTTGCATCGCCGTCCCCTATCCACATATTCTCAAACCAGTCCATGAAATCGTCTAGCTTTTCCTTATCCATAGTTAATACATCATCAGAAGTTACCTTATATTCTTCCCCTCGTCGTAAATTAGACGACGTTTCTGTCGTGTCATCTTGCATGACTTCCTGCCACTTTGCCCAGTTCACTTTGAGACTTCGAGGGTCTTCGTGGCTTCGGGGAGGGCGTTCTATGCCATCCAATGGATAGAGTAGCTTTACAGAAACTGCAACTAAACTTATTAGGAGAACCTCCGGGTTATCCATCGTCTGAATTCTTTTACCCCCAGTAGGATAAGAATAATTCGCCTTGAATATCTCGGTCATACACTTGACCGTCATGTATACCTCAGCTATATAAAATTAGCCAATAATCTTAGCTTTTTCTCTATTCATATCAGCCTACCAGGAAGAGTCAAATCTGTAATGAATCGCACAAGTATAGGCACATAATTTAGCGGCGGGAAGACTGTTTCGAAATTGACTTTGTACGAGATCACCAGCTCTCGCACGGCAGCCTGCAGTCGCCCCGGCGGGATGTGATCTCTAACCTGCAAAGCGCGGTGGTATTCCGCCGGAAGACGGTCCCGGACATTACGCGGGATGTCGTTGAACTAGATTAAGCAGCCGTATTAGCACGCTTGCATAATTCGTATCGTATAGTAGCGAAGGAGAAGCATAACCCATACATACCGCCGCAAGAAAGTCAATTTCCCCCCTTTGCGCCCAGCTGCAGAAATCCGCCGTCGAGGCAGGTAACCGCCTGACCAAGCAGCCCAAGTAACACAACGCCAGCGTATCGACCAGTCTCGGCAGCTTCCACCGCCTGCGCGCATCAGACTCTTCAGACTCGTCCCCCGACCCCTCACCCATCGAGCTAAACACCGGTTGACTCTCCTCCCTTTCCCCATCATCGTTCTCACCCCCCCTAACCGGCAAACTCCTAACCCGCAACGCCCAAAGCGCCCTGACAATCTCCTCGAAATCAGCCGGAAACGCCTTCTTCCCAATCAACCAGCGCACCTGTCTCAACAGTATCAACTGCAACACCTCGAGATACAACTCCCTACCCTCATCGCCAGAAAGCTTCACAGCGATCTTCTTCCTCTTCTCTTTCTTCTTACGGGTGACTCTGCCCTGGGTACCGAAATTGTCCTCATCGCCCTCGTGTTCGGCGAACCCTTCGAGTCGGTGGCCGTTGCGGCAGTACCGCAGCGCGTCCTGCGCGTACCATTGCCGCGCGCCGCACTCGTCGCACCGCTCGCCGGAACGGAATTTATGGTACTTGGTTGGTGCCATGGCCGCGTCTGGATTTCACGTGTACCCGCTGCTAATTATTCATAACGCCATGTAGGAAGGAAATAGTGATTTGTAACTCTTAGAAGACGGGAAGTTGAAGGAAGAGTGGGGGTTAGATTTTTTCTTAAAAAATCATGTTGAATTTAAGTTGTACACATGTTGTTTATGACTTGTGACTTGTCGTCTCATACAACATATGAGATAAACGTCTATTTAGTGTTATTATCGTAAGTGGGTAAATGTTTACGATTTTCCATCTCTTTCATCCAGAAAGCTTTATAAATCTAAATCTTATCAATGTTCGTTCATTTATGCGGTTCTTATATCCCAACTACAAACTTTACCTATACATATTTAAATTTATTCACATTTCGTAATTTCTAAGATATTATTGGACACTAGACTTCCTTCCGCGACTTGAAATCGACTAAGGGCTTACTGAGTAGGCGCATCTTGCTTGAGATCGGATTGAAGGTTTACAGTCTTACTTTTTTTCCAAGTAAGGGGCATCGGAAGTCTATCAAAATGACGTTAGAAATGCGCCATATTATCCCGACCCCATTCTTAGCGCCGTTCGTAGGTATTCTTCACGCACAATGCCTTGATACCAATATATTCTTCAATCACGTAAGATTGCTCATCGAAATCACTAAGGTTCATAAGATAATAAAAAGATCATATCGTAGATCCCGCAGGACAAGTCATGTGCCATTTTAACAGGAAACCTGTTTTGCTATGATCCTCCCAATGCACATCGTTTTGTTCCTCAAAAGAGATGGGGACAGATACGAGATCTGTAGGGTTGTCGTACAAACTGCCATGATCCGCCATGTTCCCCCACGGTGGATAGCACGGCAATGAATAAATCCTAAGGTGATCCGACCATGGACGACGGTCCACTACGAGCCTAACTACTAGTTTCCTAGTTAAAGAATCCCCTTCAGGTGATGTCCAAGTTGGCAGAGGCATTAGCAGAGCTTGAGGATCCGACATCGTCCGCACGAGCCTCTAAGTCTCCAAACGGGAGACTTAGTCCTTCTGGCTGGGCTCGTCGGCCTTGATAGCGGCCTCTTCACCCATAGCGGACTGAATCGTGACGACTAAAACCTGTTAGTCTCTCAAACTTCGCGTCTCGTATCGGACCCGAAATAAACTTACTAAGAGGGGTCTGGGCATCATCAGCAGCCTCGATCTTGTTGCCGATGTCACCCTCGGGAAGCTTGATGTCGCTGCGCTCCTCAGAGGTGTTCATGTCGTGAAGGACAAGGAAACCATCCTCGATGTGGGACTACAAATATTGTTAGCGCGACCTTTCATCCATCAATCTTAGCCGCGGTCTACTCACGAAGTTGTACTGCTTGGTCTTGACGACGGGGACCTCCATGTTGTGGGTGGAGGGGCAAAGTTCTTCAAGCTTCTTGCCGGTGAAGATGTCAATACCAACAAGATGGACCTTGGCGTGACCGTGCTTTCCGGTCTTGGAGGTAGACATGTCGACGATCTTGCAAGGACGGCCCTTGATGACGACGGCACCGTTCTTTCGGAGGGCCGAACATTGCATAGGGAAGGTGTTGGACGCACCGGCGTCACCCTGGTTGTCGATCTCGAACTGCGGAGAGGAAGAGGCTTGTCAGCATCATGATTATTTAATCCCAAGTAAATTTTTTTTCTTTAATAGCGGTCGCAATCTGGTAAAAACAAATATGAAACGGATATAATTTGTGTGCGATTAACGGGATATGATTTTGCCATCGCGGGGTTCATTGGCGATGCGTGCTATGCGTAATGCTTGATGCGGGGTGAATTTAAGCACTCTCCCGCCGCCTATTTGCGATCACCAGTAAAAAAAAAAAGAGGGACATGATGCTGCCACCATTGATTCGACTTACCTCGTCCGCCATTTTGAAGGATTGACCGAAGTGAAGGTGAGTAGTTGTTAAGTAGAAGAGAAAGCAATATGCGCAATAGGCAAAGCTGGATGTCCGAGACCAAACTTGAAGTTGGCGGACTTTATTGTAGAGGGAGGGGAGATTTTGAAGAGTGAAGAAGATCCAGAGGAGGGGGCAGAGAGAAAAAAAAGTAGAGCTGGACCAGGGCTTTGGAGGGGATGGATGTCAAAGGCAAAAAGACGGGTTTTATTTTTTTTCTCTCTTCTTTCCAGACTTGGGCACACACTTTAGACCCTTTCTGATAGGCTGATTGGCTCAAGACCCTACAATTAGCCCCAATTCTCTTAGTAGCTTTTTGTATTTTTTTTTTTCCTCTTCACTCTTTTCTTCTTAAGAAAGTTTGGCTGGGGCTGCTAGGAGCGACTTGGAAAGAATTGTGGATTTTTAAGTAGCCTAGGCCAGCCTGAGGAAGCACAAGTTACACAAAGCCGAGCACTAATTTTATTTACTGTAGCTGCGTCTCTCAGTGCCGTTGAATGTTTAGTGGTTTAGTGAGAGAATTTTAAAGTTTTTAGGGAACGAAAGTTCTCTTTTGATCATGAATCACTTCTAAGGTCTTTCTAAACTTCTACCTTATAGTTCAAAAATGTCTTTGGTACTGTATATGGTGACCGCACAGTTCTCTTTCCTGGATGATCGAGTACAATATCCTATTTTATACGGTACACTTTGGAAATTTTCTAATTGTTACTGCAAGAGATCAATTAATACCTCGGTATGTGCAATGCATCCTACATACAACATGTATTCCGTACAGATGTTTAACATTCAATGTTGAGGAATGAACTTCTAGCTGCCCTAGCTGCCTGGCTCCAGACAGAAGCAGAAGGTACATGACTGTACTTTCCGTCTGTACCAGAAACCAAAAACTGACCCACATTCGATCTTACCCACTCAGATTCCGTTCTTGCTTGATGGATTGATACCAAACATAAAACGAGTCTAATCCAAATATGGTAATTAGTCCCAATGACATGTGTCTTGAGCTTCGACCAATCATCGTTTTTTGTTCTGCGACTTAGAAGAGGCTGTTGCACGGCCTCGTCCTCTATCCTAAAGGGAGCTCTTAAACTAACAATTAATTATGTGATCTATCGCGAACAAGACGATTAGACGATTTCTATACCCTCCAACGCTTACTAACCCAACTGTCAAACCTTTCACATCAGCAATTGTATTTATATCATTAGTTTGCCGATACGGTTCACAGCTCGTAAAAGAGCCATGACGCGGCCCGACTCATAGTCGATTCCCTGTTCGCATATAGAATATGTGGCTCGATCGGCTTGCCGGTCAGTCAACCTCTCCCGCTCCCTCCCAACCGGGTAGCCGTTCCTATTCTCCTGCGCCTCGACGAACTACGAGCGGTCTCGGCCCGTACATCACTTCGCAACAAAGACCTGGCCTAGGCATCACTCCGAGATCATCATCGTTGTCGTTAGCATCCACCGAATCATCCGCCTCTTCCTTCTTGGCTTCTTCGAAGAGAGCCAATGGCTCGACATTAAAAGAATCGCGGACGATATATGCCGGCCCCGACCCCGTAGAAATACTCGGCACGGTTTTAGGCGATGACAAACAACATGCGGGATCAGCTACCAAATCGGTGGTTGAATCGGTCAGCTCCATATCAGCTGAAGATCTCCAGCTGGAATTTGATTTTGGCGGATTATCTATCAAAGAGCTAGCATTATCGGAGGAAACGGCAGCAGATGGAGTTGGTGTATATAGACCGCAGGCAGCCGAAGAATGTACGCCCCCTTTAATTCTATGGTCCTCCCCCTTTACCTTACTTATGATTATACTTCCTAGACGACCGAGATAAAGCCAAGTTTGAAGATTTACACCGTTCGATTCGAGCCTGTGACGAAGTATTAGGCTCAGTGGAGGTTAACTTAGATAATTTTCGAAATGACCTTGCCACCGTTTCTGCGGATATCGAGACCTTACAAGCACGATCGACCGCTCTAAATGTACGATTGGAGAACCGAAAAGCAGTAGAGAAAGGCCTAGGACCCGTGGTTGAGGAGATTAGTGTATCTCCTACGGTAGTATCGAAAGTCGCCGACGGTCATATTGACGAATCATGGGTGAAAGTTGTTGCCGAGATCGACAAAAGAGCAACTGCCCATAAGAAAAACGCATCGAGTGCACAAGGCAGCAAGGGTTTACAAGATCTTGGCCCCTTATTAGAAAAGTTAGTTCTCAAGGCTATCGAACGAATAAGAGACTTTTTTGTTTCTCAGATCAAAGCTCTTCGATCGCCGCATATCAACGCTCAGATCATCCAACAACAAAACTTCCTCAAATTTAGGGACCTCTACTCCTTTCTCCACAAGCACCATTCCGCCTTAGCCGACGAGATATGTCAGGCGTATATGAATACTATGAGATGGTATTATGCCAACCAATTCGCACGATATGAGAATGCCCTCAAAAAAATCAAGCTACATTTATTAGACAAGACCGATGTACTAGGGAATGAGGATACTTCCCGCAGGGGCACTGTCCTATCAAGTTCGAAAATCGCTGGTCCACCCCACGATGCCTTTAACTTGGGCCGTCGGATCGACCTTCTACGAACCAACAACACAAGCGCTCTCTCTTCTTACCTAGCCGAAGAAGATCAGTCCACCCACTACCTCGAAGTCCCTTTCCGCAACTTCAACCTCGCCCTCATCGACAACGCAACGGCCGAATATACCTTCCTCGCGTCCTTCTTCTCCCCCGCCCTGAGCTACTCCTCCATCTCGCGCCACTTTACCTACATATTCGAACCAACCTTCCAGCTAGGCCATACCTTAACCAGAACTCTGATCACGGATACGTACGATGCTATTGGCGTCCTACTAGCCGTTCGTCTAAACCAACACTTCCAGTTTGAGCTGCAACGCCGCAAGGTCCCCGCCGCGGATGGGTATCTCAACGGCACGGCTATGCTTCTGTGGCCGCGGCTGCAGTTTATCATGAACGCACACTGCGAGTCCGTCCGCGCCCTCACTACCGCCCTCCCGACGCGCCCACCGACCTCCAAGGCGGAACAAGGCAAGCTCTCCGCTGCCCCGCACGTCTGTACACAACGCTTCGGACAACTTCTTCACGGGATCCTGGCTCTAAGCACGGAGGCTGGGGACGATGAGCCGGTAGTCACAAGCCTTGGACGCCTACGTAGCGAGGTGGAAGCTTTTCTGACGAGGTATAGCACGGCGTTCGGGAACGACAGGAGGAAACGGGAACGATTTTTGTATAATAATTACAGCCTGATCTTGACGATCATTAGTGATACGCATGGCAAGTTGGCGGCTGAGGAGCAGGAGCACTTTGAGGGGTTGAAGACCGCTTTTCAGGAAGCTGCCTAGGAATTCGGTGTTGGATGACTGGGCGAACAGACGCGGTTAGATATGACAGGATCGAAGAAAAAAACATTAAATGAGACTGCAATTCCAAAGATGTTTGGATGGGAGTTGTTAAGAAAGTAGTCGCTGAGTTTGAATTTTAAATACCCCCGTGTTGTACTGTACTATGTTGTAAATTGTAACGTGTTCTAACGCCGGACTATTCGCCGTCTCTCTTCCTCGGAGGCGATCCTTGATATTTCTTCTAAGATTCAAAATCATATCCCGTGTTATCAACCAATTCGTCAAGGCATGCAACGCAACAACTCCCATCCCACTGTCAAAATCAAATATACGTAAATCTCGGACCTCACGAACCGTGAAGGCAATTTCAGCATTCGCACCTATTCGTACAACCCTCGTAACACATCTATAAATGACGCATCATCCTTGTTATAACCCAAATCCACCATCATTATCATCCTGCACCCTAGAAACTAGAAGTAATGATTCGGCATCGACCTCGAGACAAGATTCATCCAGAACGGCGCCTTCCGGAAATACACGGCGCCAATGCCGATGACCACGGCAAGTATCACCGTCCTATTCGCCCACACCGTCTTCATCGCCTTCTGGCGTCTTGCGGCCCATCTTAACTCTTTCTGCTGCATCTCGAAATACGCAAATCCCTCTGCTAACCCCTGCCTCGAGCACTCATCCACCCTTCTCCCCGTCTTCAACGCGCTCGCGTTGGATATCTTACCCCAATTCCTCAGCGTCTCAGGAGGGTGCTTGTCAAATAGGATTGCGGCGTCCCTAATCACTGCATCGAGGTCGAGGTCCTGTGGTAGCTTGGAGAGTGCGAAATGCAGCATATCAGGCTCGTCATGGTCGAATAGCTCAGCGCGGCGGGTAAGTACGATCTGCGCGAAGACATAGAGGCTGAAGACCTGCTCGCGAGCCAGAAGGGCGTCGAAAAGGCGGGCGATATCAGCGTAGCGCCGCACGTTGTGTGCGAACATAGTTAGGGTGTCGGAAAGCGCGAAGTACGGCTCCGTCCGCCCGACGTGCGCGCATAGCGCTGGGTCCACGGCCGAGATGATGTCCGGGATTAGCCGCAGCTGCGAGATCGCCGGGCCTAGGCTCGGCAGCATGAAGTCTCGGATGCGCAGCCCCGACAGGCGCGATACGGCGGCTGCGCGCGAGCTTGGCGGGAGCACTAGCAGGAATACTTGGCAGATGTCGTGGTACCCTTGGAAGTAGCTGAGGTACGGCTGGCGCCGCAGGACTTCGGTGATCAGGTCCGAGAGCGCGGTCTTCTTTAGGTCGAGCTGCGCTTGGGTGTCGTCTGTTGGGGTTGGTTAGTGTCGGCGTTAGCAAATTCGCGGTAGTGGAGGGAAAGGTTGCATTCCGTACCGTCCGGGTAGTAGACGAAGCTACGGTCGACGTCTAGCTTGACTTGGTCTTCGTCTTTATGTCGTGCGAGCTTCCTCCACGAATCGGAGCTACCGCCCTGCTCCCCGTGCTCGTCGACGGTGAATCCTAATAATACCGGCCCTGCCGAAGAACGTTGAGCCTCATGGTCATAGCTTCGATCAATTTAACCGGGAGCGAGTGAGAGTGGGAGGGTGAGAGGGTGAGATGCGGGATGAGATGATAGTGAGGTATGCGCGGGTCACTCACATGCTTGGCGACGGATGGCGTCGGAGAGGAACCCGCCCCTCGATACGGCTAAGACCTGGAGATCGTCGATATCCCTCCGCCTGCATGCATCTAGTATGCGGGACTCTTGCGCGTGGGCTAATGCGGGTTCATCATCATGGTGATGATCGTCTGCGCCGTTTATATCTTTCTCCTCTTCTCTGCCGTCGGCATCCTCCTGTTCCCGGGCCATGGGAAAATCGATCCCCTCTGCTGCTGATTCTGCACGTCAAGTTGCCTCACTGATTGCCGTGTTGTGCGTCCGTATCTGAATGGACTGATAACAGGCCGCTGCTCCTGGCAGGGTCGCAGCTGTGGCATCTGATACCATGCAGTGGGATAAGCTTCGATGTTTCCTTTTCTTTTCTCTCTTTCTTAATCTAAGACACTCCTACACGATAAAGATCCTTCGATGAGGTCGGTGTACCTAGACGGTGTCGCGCTACCTCCATACGCCGTGGGGAAGTCCAACTGAGCCGTGGTTAGGTATGTACTTGGTTATGTACTTATCTACCGGTACCTATCTTGATAAGCGTGGCCTTTTTTGAGATGGGTGTGATTATGTGTTTATGAAGCGGAAGCGAATTTGCAAATCAAATCAAATCAAAAAGAGTTATTCGATTAGTTGATTGAATGTATGACGTTTTAATATTGGATTTTTAGGTGATGAAGTGACGAAGTGATAAAGTTTTTAGCCAACGGATTGAGAACAAGTAACGACTTCCGTTGATTCATTGATGAAAGGTTGAAGGTTGAATGTATTTTGGCAGCTGGCCGGGGAGCTAGGGTGGGTCTTTCCGTTCCGGGAGGTACCCTTGCGGCGCCCTCGTGCAGGTGCCATGGGGGGCGACCCGGTGAGCTACGAGCGCTAAAAGTTTAACCTAACTGGCCTTAGCACTTGGTGTTTCTATTGTATTAGTACGTACATCCGGTTCTATGATTCCGTTCGAATAGGTTTACAGCCATTTCTGCAATATCAATGTTATAGAAAATGCCTCTACATATGGCCAAAGAATCGCTTGAAGTTTGGAGACTGGGTGATTATCCTTCATTTTGGTGTATTTGATGGAGATATTACTCAAGGCTTATGAATGGGATTGTCATTCTGCATCTGCAACAAAGAACCCATAGATCGTAAATATCGCGCCTGATCATCACTTTTGAAGCCACCTGATTAAGCAGTTAGGTACCTGAGACTTAAGGATTCAATGCTTCCAAGAAATTTATCTATTTATAATCAAATATGATATTAATATCTGGAAGTATGCGATCGCAACATGGTGCACTTTCAAATTAGATTTCCCTAAAATCAATATAAGGACGACTTTGGTTCCTTCAAGAAATGTTGAAGCTCAGGTTCGTTTGTGAGCTTTACCAGGTACCTCTGGAATACAATAGTGGATGTAAAATAGAGCCGGGATGTATCCTCAACAATGCTTCCGGCATATTACCTTAAAATAAACACTATAACTGATAGTATATGAATTATTTCTCACTAGGTTAACAATAACATGTATTTTATTCCCATTATAACTGTCGAGACAAATGTCAATGCTCGATCGACATTGAATGCTGTCCGGTAAGAGTGAAGAGAGCAAAGGTACATGTACCTAGGTACCCAGTCAGAGAACTGAAACTTCCAAAAAGGTTTAACCCCTCAACGTCGATTTCCTACATGTATCCATGATCCGGGTAGAACCTTCCTGTACGGAGGGGGGCAGCAGCAGCAGACATTTGTACGACAAAAACAATCCAGAAAACTGGAAAACGCCTTCTATATTCATGCATCTTAAATTAGAAACACGAAGCGTCCAGGAAGGTTGAGATCTAAACATTTCACTATGCACTTACAAGGTCAAATGCACGCGACTGATTGATCGTTTCCCCGCATCAAATGCATCAACTGCATCAACCTTAGAGGTACTGCAGCTCCCAAGCTACCCCCAAGCCCACTATACTTATCGTCCCTCGTACCTGTGGACACCCACTATTCCCCCTTTAATCGCTGACGCCTAAAGATTAGGCCTCGACTCAAACAACTCCGCCATCGATGACCGTTTCCCCGGATACAAACAGGCCTTAAAGAAAAGGAGAACAGCTATAACACACTGCAGCACGCTTAACGCTTCTTATCGAAGTCGTATTCGACCTGTTCTAGAGCCTATCGAGATATAGATCGGGGAATTCAAACCATACTTCAAACGATCCGTCGATGCTAAGTCAGAACTGTCAGGTACCTGACCCTCAAAGCTGGATAACTACAGCCTTCATATCGACTCGCGCCCCCAACGCCCTTCTTTGGTATCTCTAGTTCGGTTACATTTGATTTTCATCCTCGTACCAACCATCTTTCGTATGATTAAATAGCTCAAGTTACCCATCTTTCCTGGATACTTTGAGTAGCTAACTGGAAGGTATTCTTACCAATATTGAGGGTTTCCTTATGGTGGGAACCTACCACGACCCTGTGCTAGTCTCATATCAACGGATGGCGCTGCATTAACTTAAACATTAACTGCGAACAATTCTTATATTGAGAACGATCTTCCTTAGCTTACCTGTGCATGGTGTTGCTATTAGCACAATCTCGCATGCCGCAGCATCACCTTTCAGAATCCGGGTCCGCACATCCACTGAAAATACCTACCGACAATGTCTCTTCAGACTTATGTTCTTGAGGATGACCAATGGGTGGCTCGTACGGTCTCTGCGGATGAGCTTTTGAGAGAAAATACCACTGCTCGCCGTAAGACGGGAAGACAGTCACTTTCGAAGCCACCCACATACGGTTTGCTCACAAAAACGATCGTCGAAAGTCCCGTAATAAGATGGGTATTACCTGTACAGCTTCGATCCGCTCGCTATAACGATGTTGCGTTGATAGGCGTAAGTCTCCTTACCTATCCTTTTCTTATTTCCCATCCCCACTGTGCCTTATCTGTGAGTCAGTGAGTGGCTTTAGATTGCATACCTCGACATATTTTCCGTATAATTTATAAAATTTATAAAACCGTAGGGCGCCGATACGATGAAAATTCCCCTAACTCTATCCCCTAAAAATTCATATTTTCCCAATCTTCTATACTTAGCATTCGTCTTGTTTAGGTTCTGACTTACCGCTAGGATAACTGTGTTCAAATATGCGAACTTGGCCCAGATCGACAGCTTAAAGATGTCATCAGAAAGAAAGACTTCGGGTCCAGGATACGAAATGCGGTGGTTATGGGTTCGCCTCAATATACCCGAAAAGCTAACGAGGGCAACGAAGACGGTACACATGTCAAGACAGAGGACAGCGATACTGAAATGGCTGACATGAACAATGCAATCCCTGGATTTCGATGTGAAAATCCACGCCTTCCCCCTCAGCTACTGGTCCTGATGCTTGAACGGGGCGACTTGGTGTTTATATTTTTGCAGCAAGGGCCTAATGGTCGTTGGTCCTTCGTATCTTCAACTCACAGGGTACCTGGAGAACGACTAGTTTCTCCTGGATGGCATATGGCTATTGACCCTTCCTCGAATTATCTGGTTATCGGATGTACCGAGAATATTTTCATTGTATATCAACTGGAGTCGATGGAAAACCTACAACACCAATATCTGGAAGGAGGCACTTTGCATCCAATCAAAGATTGGGAGGCTCGGCATGTGATTGGCATTATACACAAGATTGAGTTTCTTCACCCGATCTATGGGAATGAAATACAGGTGATCTTGATGATTATCATGGTCCAGCCCGAAGTTTCCAAGTTGACAGTATACGAATGGGACTGTACTAGTACGAGTGATTGGAAGAAAGCGCTTCGCGAGGAGAAATCCGGTCACAGGCTTGACGACGAATACAGAATGCCGCTATTAGTCGTACCCCTTAAAGTCCGATATGCGTTTCTAATCATCACCGAAAGTATCACAGCTACCTGTTCGAATGTTTTAGGTGGACCGCCGACATTTGTGCAGTTTGAACTAGCGAACTGTGATAATACTCAACTGCATCACGGCATGGGAGATCCACTGTGGACTGCTTGGACTAGACCTATACGCCATCCACCGTATCACTCTCAGAAAGATGTCATCTATTTGGCAAGAGAAGATGGTCTCATCAACTTCCTTGAATGCGGCGATGAATCCGAGATTGAGACAAGTGTCAGCATGGGCTCCGTGGACTGCAACATCGATACGGCCTTTGCGTCTCTTTTTCACCTATTTGGTGACATTCTAGTTACCGGTGGAGATTCGGGTCCCGGAGCGGTTTGGAATGTTCGTGGTATATATCGGCTCCCATTTGGCTCGTCTTACTAACGTCATCGATAGGTTCAAGCGAGGCAGTCTCCACAGAGAATTGGCTCCATTCCGAATTGGTCACCAACAGTTGACTTCGTTGTAACTGTCGAGGGGACACTCGACGAGAGCAGCGACGGCTCGAGCTCGGATATCGGGCAAATGTCGCTCTGTCAGCCAGATAAAGTTTTTTCTTGTAGCGGTAGAGGCATAACAGGAGCTGTTACGCAATTTAGATATGGCATTCAGGCAAGGATCGGCTTGGATCTCACATATTCGTCAAACGTCAAGCAGTGCTGGGCTATATCAAACTATGACGGGGATGAAGAAGATGGCTTCTTTTTGCTTCTAGCACTCCCGAGTGGATCTTCCATTCTACATTTATCTCGAGATCTATCAGAGGCATCAGAGAAAGACCACGATGCTACACCATACGATCTCACCTCAACGACACTTACTGCACAGGATGCTGATGGCGTAGCCGTACAAGTGACGGCAAACTATATTACAGTTGCTACTCCGACTGGATGGTGAGTCTTCCCGTATAGTAAACTATGGGATAGAGTTTAACAGAAATTGGAATATAGTTCTCAGAATTCAACAAGCGAGATATTGCGAGACTACAATGCTGTAGTAACAGATGCGGCCATTGAAGGCAATATGATCGCTCTGGCAGTCTACTCTGGATCGGATTTTAAAATTGCCTTACTCAAGATTTCTGGTCTCGAGGTTTCCCTCAATCAAGCCTTTGATGTCGAAGGTGAAGTCACTTGTCTTACAATAGGAAAGTTTATTGGCAAGACTGTTGTCCTAGCCGGTTTTTACCAAGACAAGGATCCAATTCTATCAATATACCCTGCCGAATTAGGGCAAGAAGCTTCCGCAACGCCCATTTCGCTGAGGTTGCAACCAAGTATGCACGTCTCAAACACCCTCAAATGACCAGCTGTTAACGTTTTTAATAGGTGCAATAAGTTTAAGCCATGAATTGGTAACGGACTCTATGGGCCCCTCTCCCTTTGGGGCCCTCACAAGCATTGCTTACTTCGGCGAACGATCTAACAAGGCTGTTGTTGTAGCTGGAACTAAATTCGGGGACGTGCTTACGATTCAACTCGATCAGTCGCAGCCTGGGGATTATGGAATATACCGGGATAAGTTTAACGTATCACAGTCTCGAGTTTATTCTGGTGCCGCGGTGGGGGATCCTAACTCGATATTGGTTTGTAGCGATACTGAACTCGCGATGATGACAAACTACGTATCGCTCCGCGAGGGCCGATTTGAGGAGATATATCGCGTCTGGCCGACTGATGGAGATAGACCTAGCATGGCTTCCCCGCCGATCAATTCGGTAGCTTCGTTGCGCGAACAACTTCCTGAATTTGGAGATTCAACCATGGTGATGATTTCTGGCCCGCGAATAATGATCACCGAGTTTCAACGCCAACCAAAGCCTGTCCCACGCTATTTCCCCATTGGAGGGACACCGGTTAAGATACTCTACTCTAAGAGGTTGGGAGCTCTTGTTACGGTCGTTTCGAAAGATGGGTTGCCTTCCTTGCATTTCATTGATCCCGAAACAGGCGACGATTTATCGCTGCCTCTCGAGAGGAAGAAAATTGGCGAGGCCTATAATTACCACGAAGTAGAATATATCACAGGTCTAGGGAACATAGAAACAAGAGTTATGTCCCTTGCAACCTGGACCTATAGAAATGGGAACGTTCGCGGAGATTGGATTGTTCTCGCTATGCGGAGGAAAGAGAATGAGGGCCTCCTCTTGATAATTTCTGCGGAACGTGAGAAAGCATCAACTGACACTAACGTGTTCCGGCCGGTACGATTTTGGACTAAATTCGATCGAAAAATAAAGGATGGTCCTATATGGTCCGTTGCGACAGATGAACAAGGCGTATTCCTATGCGTTGGATATACCATCCAATACCATCAAATTGAAGGCGGCAGGTTCCGCATAACGAGACAGCATGAATTACCGTCCCCGGCTTCGTGGATGGAAGTAGTGAACGGACATCTACACGCTCTTACTACGCATCACTCACTAGTTATTTTCGACTACAGGAGGACGTTTGCCGAGGGAGGCGAGCAGATGATTCAGTTACATACAGACGAAATATGTCGACACAGTTTGCATGCTATTGAATTAGGCACACATGCTGTTCCTATAACTTTGCTGTCAGACCCGATGTGCGGTGTACATGGGTTGTGGGCTCCTGACGAGGAAGAGAGACCACTGTGCCTGGTATTTCAAGCGGAACTTCAAGCATCAATCAGGAAATTTGCTCGAGGTTTCACCAGAGCTGCATGGGGATCGGTTAAGAATCGACCCCGGTATGGCTGTGTTATAACTGGGTTACCTGGATCGGATATCATAGGTCTTACCATTGATGGATCTCTTCAGCATTTCTCGCTCCTGAACGAAGATGCCTGGAGGCTTCTTAGATTCATTCAAAATCTAGCTGTGTCATTCCCGGCAACTCGCTTACGATCCTCACTAGACGACCCATTAAGCCCAGCCGTCGCAGCTGTTGTTGAACTTGATATGGAACCTGATCTGTTTCCGAAATCGAACACCCACATCGATGGAGATATTCTGCGGATATGTCTTGATAGACGCGCGTTGGAGGGGCTTGTCTCAAACTCGAAATACCTGCAGCGATTCCGAGAACTCCTTAAACCTTTAGACGAGGACGGATATCTTTCATCTGAAGGGATTAGCAGTGATGGCTCGTACTTTGAGTTGGCTTACAGCATTCTCAAGTACTATCTTTCCCCTGTACTTTCATGATAACCTATACGTTACGAGTATATGTCCGCAACATGCTCGACCCCATACACGTTATCTAGGTGGTCACGCACCCAGATAGCTTTAATGAAATGAATGTTCCCTAATATTGACGGCTAGGATATCGAAAATGGGTTGGAAGGCTATGCATTAAAACGAAGCTAGATGTGATTCATATGACATTTGTAAGCTTAGCCCTAGAGATCAAATAAGTGGTGAAGGTGAGGAGAAGAGTGATAGGTAACGTGAAATACATAACATTCCTGATGCTTCTGTGCCTACGAATGAACTGGTTATTATGATGAGGAATTTCGTAAGACGAGTCGCGTTTATGCTCATATCTAATGGTGAATAGGGGGCGCGAGGATATACATGGTACGAATCGTGCAGGGTCTGTAGAGTAAATAGTATACAAGGATACATTAGTGTGACTATCACCTGGCGGTGACGTCGTCTTATCTAATCTGATCATATCGATAAGGAATGTGTTCGCTTAATCCTTCATAACTGTTGTGCAAACTTCATTCACAAAAATAATTGTTAGAAAGACAGCCAGTGATACTTTTTATAGGTACCGTCACTAGTGCTAACAGTATCGTTCATTACCCCACTAATGCGAAAGACAGTGACGGCCCTAACCCTTCCTACATACATCTTTCCATCCAATACTTCCGAATCATCTTATGCCCTTTGAAACTTTGAACGTTTTCTCCCGTTAAATTTCGTTAAATTTCAGAAGTACTAATTGCGAACTACTTTTAGGTAGGCGCAATCAGATTTATCTACCTAAGTAATTACTGCCAAGGAATATATTCGTCCGATTCGTTTACGGCTTGCTTTGACGTTTAGCGGACTTAAAAATTGCCCCTCGCTATAATTTTGCAGAGGGTCCACGATTTTAACCCCACCGTCATCGTCCTGACCATCCCAACTCGACGTAAATCCTCATTATCTTCAACGAGGATTTAACAGCAATTCTACTTAGGTACCTTCTACGAAAATAGCATAACAGGAATATACATTGCCTGCCTCAAAGTTACTAGTTCTTTTATATCCACACCACCGTCAGGATGGCGCCCAAGAAGAAGGGAAATAAGAAGGCGGCCGATGATTGGGAGGCAGATCTAGGAGAGTCGATCGCACCTACAAATGGAGACGCCGACGCTGCCCCTGCTGGAGCGCCGGAGGAGAATAATGAAGAAGAAGAAGCACCTGTTAGTGGTCTCATGGCCATGATGAAGAAGAACAGAGAAAAGAGAAAGAAGAAGGGATTGTCTGAGAACTTCATCGATGGCGAAAATGCTCCCGGCGCCGAACCCGCTCCCACAGCCAAAGCACCTGAAGAGGCGACTATGGATGATGAATTCGCACTACCGGAGAAGAAAGGGAAAGGTGGAAAGCAAAACAAGCAGCAACAGGCTAAATCCGCAGCAGCTGATGCAGGCGACGAGGAGACAGGAGAGGGCGGAAGAATATTGACTAAAGCCGAGAAGGAGAAGCTTAAAAAAGAGAGGGAGAAGGCAAGAAAGAGGGAACAGGTGCGTGAAGAATTAGGAGACATTGCCTCCATTCATTAACTGACTATCTACATCTTAGGCTTCCAAGAAAAAGACTACGACGCCCGCCCCTCCTCCGAAGGCTGCAGAGCCTGCGAAGCAAGCTGTAGAAGAGAAGAAAGAGGCGCCTGCACCGGCAGCTGATGCTGGGGGGAAGAAAGGAGGAAAAAAGCTCCCGCCTCATCTTTTAGCTCTCCAAAAACAGCAAGAGGAATTAAAACGACAGCGAGAGGAAGCCGAGCGTGCTGCTACAGAAGAGAAAGCTCGAATACAGGAGTTGGAACGAGAAGAAGTCGAAGCGAACAAGAGAAAAGAAGAAGAGAAGGCTCGCAAGAAGCAAAAAGAAAAGGAGAAGATTGAGCAACTGAAGAAGGAAGGCAAATTCCTTACTAAAGCACAAAGAGAAGAGAAGGCTCGAAATGAGAGGAAACTTCAGCAGATGATTGCTGCCGGTATCAAGGTTGGCCCCTCTGAAGAAGCTGGCGAGGGTAAGAAGAAGGTTGTATATGATAGCAAAAAGCGCGGCAAGAAGGCAGACCAAAAGGTATTTACCCCGCAACCCTTTATAGTGCCCGCATCTCCAATTCCTAACTAAACCCTTTGTACTAGGTCGACGAAGAGAAAGCCTTAGCAGAAGCGGCTGAGAGGGCAAAACAGCAAGCTGAAGCTGCGGCTAAGGCAGCCGAAGAAAAAGCAGCTAAAGAGGCTGCCAAAGCCGAAGCTGCAGCTAAGGCCGCTAAAGAGGCCGAAGAGAGTGATGTCGAAGATGATTGGGAGGCTGCCGCTGACAATGTTAAAGATAGCTGGGACGCCGACTCAGACGAGGAAGCTGAGGCTTCTGCCGTAAAATCCGGACCAGGTAAAGATCTACCATCAAGACCTAAGCCCGGGTCAGACGAATCAGAATCGGAGGAGGAATCCTCCGAGGATGAAGAACGGACGGCAAGGCAGGCGGCAGAAGCTCAACGAAAGAAGGAGGCTGCCGATCGACGTGAAAAGGCCCACCAAGCCGCCCTCGCCGCTAGATCGAAAGATAATCTCCGTTCACCCATTTGCTGTATTTTGGGACACGTCGATACGGGTAAGACAAAACTGCTGGACAAGATCAGACAGACCAACGTCCAGGAAGGCGAAGCTGGTGGTATTACGCAACAGATTGGTGCAACGTATTTCCCCGTCGATGCCATTAAGCAGAAGACAGCCGTTGTCAATCCAGATGGTCAATTCGAGTTCAAGGTTCCAGGTCTTTTGATCATAGATACACCCGGTCACGAGTCTTTCTCCAATCTCCGATCCAGAGGTTCGTCGCTCTGTAACATCGCCATCTTGGTCGTCGATATTATGCATGGCCTCGAGCCTCAGACTCTCGAGTCGATGAAGTTACTCCGAGACCGCAAGACTCCTTTTATTGTTGCCCTCAACAAAATAGATCGTCTATACGGTTGGAAGAAGGTTGATAATAATGGTTTCCAAGAGAGTTTGGCTCTCCAGAACAAGGGTGTCCAGAACGAATTCAGGAATCGCTTAGAGCAGACGAAGCTTGCATTTTCCGAGCAAGGTTTCAATGCTGAGCTCTACTACGAGAACAAATCGATGGCCAGATATGTGTCACTTGTACCCACCTCTGCCCACACCGGCGAGGGTATCCCTGATATGTTGAAGCTCATCATCCAACTTACACAAGAGAGGATGGTGGGATCCTTGATGTATCTTTCCGAGGTTCAGGCTACCGTACTTGAGGTCAAGGCCATTGAAGGTTTCGGTATGACCATCGATGTCATTCTATCCAATGGTATCCTCCGAGAAGGCGATCGAATAGTTGTATGTGGTGTGGAGGGTGCTATTACTACAAACATCCGTGCACTTCTGACGCCGGCTATCATGAAAGAATTGCGGGTAAAATCTCAATATGTACACAACAAAGAGGTCAAAGCCGCTATGGGTGTGAAGATCAGCGCGCCTGGTCTTGAAGGAGCCATCGCTGGATCTCGATTGCTCGTGGTTGGGCCTGACGATGACGAAGAAGATCTGGAGGAAGAGGTCGAATCAGATCTTAACAAGCTCTTTAGCCGTGTTGCTACGACTGGCCGCGGTGTTAGTGTGCAAGCTTCGACATTGGGTTCCCTCGAAGCTCTGCTTGACTTCTTGAAGGACTGCAAGATCCCTGTAGCAAACGTTGGAATCGGCCCTGTGTTCAAGCGAGACGTTGTTCAATGCGCGACTATGCTCGAAAAGAGCCCCGACTACGCGGTCATGCTTTGCTTCGATGTGAAAATCGATAAGGAAGCGCAAGCGCACGCCGACGAGAACGGAATTAAGGTATTCACAGCTGATATCATCTATCACCTTTTCGATGCATTCACGAAGCATATGGAAGAGCAGCTGGAGAAGAAGAAGGAAGAATCTAAGATGCTGGCGGTATTCCCTTGCGTCCTCAACACCGTTGCCGTCTTCAACAAGACAGGTCCTATCGTTGTTGGTGTTGATGTGGTTGATGGCAATCTTAGGGTGAATACCCCGATTGCGGCCGTTAAACAGAATCCTACAACCGGCCTCAAGGAGATCATCCAATTAGGAAGAGTGTAAGTAACTCAAGAACGACGGGCGCTTGAAGATTTTCTGTACTAACATCTGCGTAGAACATCAATCGAGCGAGACCACAAGCAAATCCCGGTTTGTAAGAAGGGTCAACCTTCGGTGGCCATCAAGGTTGAAATGGGTGGTCATCAGCCTACGTATGGACGACAACTCGAAGAAAAGGATGTGCTGTATAGTTTGATTTCTAGGGCCAGCATCGACACGCTAAAGGAATTCTACCGAAAAGAAGTGACCAACGAGGAGTGGCAACTCATCATCAAGCTCAAGCCGTTATTCGATATCAACTAAAGAGAATGAACTGGATAGTATGGTTGATGAGGGCACGGCATCAGATCGGCTTTTGTATTTAACAAGAATAGCTACCACTAATGGGTATTGGTAGTAGCATGGCACTTTTTACCCATTTCTTTCCTACCTGTACTTTCGCAACGCTGACGTGTAAGGGAGTGGCTACAAAAATGGATTTGGCATGAATAGGCTTGTTCTTCATACGAATTTCGTGTTCTAAAATGCCTACTAGGTACCTAAGTAGGTACCTAGGCAGGCAAGTGAGATGTAATGGCATGCTCCATGATTGCCCAGGTACTGGAGAACTTTATATGTTCAATAAAATCGGAATTGGCCTTGTTTGACGGAGGTAGGTAAAGTTCCGGTTCTCATTAGCTGATTACTAATAGAATCACGGCTGACTAAGCGCATAGAAAAAGGGTGAGTATCAAACTTTATCCTATCCACATATCAGTCTGGGCAAGTCTTTGAGGGTCGGATTCATATATATGGTATGGTGTTTGTATTATATTTTAGACCAAATGAATCTCTTCTTCAGGACCAGAGACTACCCAGGGTAGGAACTAAATAAGAGTTAGTCTTCTCAAGGTCGAGGCGAACGTAGGTAGTGGGGAGTGGAAAACACTGCATACCTCTTTTTTCGATACCGAAACCATACCGAGGCGGCGAAATTTTCCGTTCGATGGATCCTTACGCAACAGCAAGCCCTTCCACTTTTCCTTGATTATCGGTAGGAACCAACAATCAGTAACGCCGGCGCGATCTTCCAAGACGTCGAAAACGGCATTGGCAAATACCAGGGCTGGGGAAATAACGGAGCCCTCATCTTCAGTACTGGAAGAAATGGTGGAAGGAGTGTCCTGAGCTGGGAGGAGACCGAGCTCGTTTAACCGGGCGTACTCGGATTTTGCCGGTTCAAGAAGGACCATGTACCCCTGCTCTCCCATTTGACGGATCCGGGTCGGCGGGGCTTCCCACTTCGGGGTGAAGCCGGCGACTGTAGTCCATTTCGAACAGCGGACCTGTTTTGGCTGTCCGAGGAAGCAGAGTTCACAGTATGGCATATGTAGAACGTCGGGGCCGCAATTGGGATTGTCTAACGCTGTCCAGCTCAATATGTCCGATTCGTCATCGTGTTTATCAGTCGAGTGTGGTTTCGGCCTGGGCTTAGGTCGTATAAGGTAGTTTGCTGGATCCTTAAGTATATATTCATCTCGTGGTGTTGAGCGTTCGTGGACATGGCCTTGAATTGAGGCCCATGACCACGAAGGGGCTCTTACCACTGGCTTCCCATCCCAGTCAGTCGGCCTTACTGGTTCGATAGGGTCTAGAAGTGAAAATTGACCGCCGTAATCCTTCTTCACTTTCATACCAAACGAGAACCAGGTGTGCCATAGAAGGCCACGGACCATATCGACTTCCCATATGCCGGCCAAGTAGCGGGATCTGATCGACATTTCCGCCAGCTGTGCGATACCGCTGATAGCTGCGAAGATATCACTTGGATTCGTTAGCAGCCTTGGTGTGAAATCCCACAACAGCATCTTGTACCATATATATAGCATTTCGGACCGTAGTCGTTCCCGTTCTTTTTCGTCTATGGTGGAAGAGATATGGGGATTGGTAAGTCGAAACCCCTGAAATAACTGCTTCCGTAGCTTCTGCGACTCGATGGTCTTGCCGCTCTCCCAATGCTCCGTTCGCTGGCACGAGAAGCGTATCTCGGCGTTTTCGAAGATAAGCTTTCGCCTACTTAACACCGCCTCCTGGAAGCACCAGCCTCGCCTATGAAGTGGCCCGGTAGTAGGTTTTCGTGGTATATGGAGATAAATATTCCCCATGTCTTTGCCACTTGCATCCTTGGTTCCGAATGGTAAAGCTACAGGAGGCGCAGCTGAGTGTTGTTTATTAGCTAGGAACCCTTGTCGGCTATCCGCCGACCGTGCAGCGATCACAGTGAGTGTCGCGTTTCCATACACGATCGCCATCTTCTTGGACTCGTAGTTCCAATCCGCCTCATTCCCCTGGATAATGCACAGCGAATCGATCCAGACGTACCGAATACCGAAGTCACGAGCGATAGATATGCATTCCAGATGCGCGGCCGTCAATTTCGTCTCATCGATAAACTCCAAAAGAGAACCCAAATTTCCATCATTCAATTCCGTCGCGTGACGCACCCCCTGTCCCCAGCAATACGAAAGCGCTACATACGGCTCCCGAATCCCACGATTGAGCGCATTCACCAATTTCGTCTCGCCCGGAGCCGTACCCACGTCAATGACGCGCGTAGGCATCTCCGGATTCCTGTCCTCGGTCGCGTTCCCGCATTCGCGATGCCGCTTCTTACACACGGCAACCATACCCCGCGCGAACTCCACATGCCCCCGCGGGTTCCTGTCCGGGGATACGAACCGCTCGACGAAGAGACGCGCGGCCGGCGTGCCTATCCCAGGCGAGCGTCAGCAAGATACACCCAAGCAAGCAGGCAAGCAGCGGTAAAGAGATGGGCTAGGTGGTTACGGCACCTGGATCCGCGAATACGCCAAGGGTACTGTTGAGAAAAGCCTCCGAGTTCGTCGTCTCAGGGTCGTCGCGGTTCCCGCAGCTCACGTACACCTGGCTCCCACTGTCCGGGCCCGCGAGACCCGAAGAACTGCCCACGGAGCCCGACGCCTTCTCCGCCTTGTCTCTTTGTGCAGCGGCGACCGCGCGGTGCTTGTCTGAGAACGCTCCTGTGAGCCACACCCGCTCGTCGACTAGCGGTCCCCCGCCCTCGTCCTCTGGGCATTTGCCGGCTAACACGGCGGCGATAATGTCGCGGTGGTTTATCTTCTGCAGTGATGTCCAGCACAGCTGGCACATATCGCATCCGGCGGCTGCGGAGTCCCGAAGGGATCGCAGGTTCGGGTAGTAATATGTCATTCGGTCCCGGATCTCCTCCACCGTGAGGCTGGCGCAGATGGTGCAGCGAGCCATTTTGTTGGCGCGCTAAGGAAGCTTTTTCTTTAGTGGAATGTGATTTTGAGTGGCATATTGTTGGCGAGAATTGAGGTCAGAATATTAGGTGTGAGATACGAGGCTGAAGCTGAACCTGAGACGGGAAAAGGTGACAGGGTGACAGGGGCTCATACCGTCAGGGTCAAGTACCTTAGTACCCCTACATTCCTTTACGGGGTTAGTGCATTCGGTTCAGTTTAATGCACCGAAACTCTATCTTATTGGCTGTTTTCCTATTTCTTGGAAATCACTCTTAAAATCTTCATTATGTAAGCGTATGGCTGCGCCGAGGGGTACCACGTGATACCAAAATGCCCCGCACTGATTACATAATATTTTGTCAGTGACTAATCCTCTCGATGATGGCACGTGATACCCCCCAAGGTCAACATGCTTGCTTACTCATCATACAGAACGTACGGATTCCGCGAGGATTGGACAGTCTCATAGTTCGGGGACGACAGGGGCGACAATGAAATCGAATAAATTATAGGTAGCTTAGAGATAGTACATGGTGATCATTAACGAGGCTAAACAGGATTCATTTATGATTCACTAAATGTAAGTTAACTATCTCCATAGTGAAGAAAAACAAAAAATGAGCCATTAGGTATTACCTAGCTAGAAACATCCACAATTTCGTCCAGTAGACCCAAGTCTAGTCATATTTAGCTTTCCAGGAGACATACCTCATCACAGCCGTGTCATCAGTTACCTACTCCTTTTTCACCATCCCGCTTGACCCATGCTCCGCTCCCCATTTCCTCACCTTACTATCCATCTCCCACCGAATGAAAACCATCACTATAAGCGTTATCCAGCCTCCCACCGTGCTCTCCAATCCCCTCCAAAAACCTCCTCGCACGCTCCCTCCCATCACACTAGTCATCACCGCCCAGATAATCGTACTTGTCGGCACCAGTTCCTCCCCGCTTTCAAGCCCGGAAATCGCCCGCCGCGCGCACAGCTCCGGCGATAGGATCTGGTCGCCTTCTTCTAATGCCTTGGTTAAGTCGGTTTTGACGCGGTTCTCGTCTTCGAGCGATTGCGTCGGCATGGTGGCGGGGAATACGGTATGCACGCGGACACGGGGTAAGTCCGGGTGCGCTGCGGCGTAGAGGTTCATTTCCTGCGAGAGGGAGTCGGAGAGGGACCGGATTGCAGCCTTTGAGGGGCTGTACGGTGTAAAGCCGGCGAAGCTGTAGAAGGATACGAAAGAGCCTGTGAAGATGAGATGACGCGCCGGCAGTGGAGTGGGCTTAGCTGCTTTTGCTTGAGGCTCGGTCTCCTTGGTGGCGGCACTCGCATCTATGGCTGGTCGTAGCCAGGCGTTGAGGATTGCGTGTGACATGTACACGCATGAGAAGTAGTTACTGTCCATCATCGTCTGGAACTGGTCGATGGGCGTGTCGATGAATAATGTTGGATGCGCACTACCACTGCAACACCAGACGATATCAGGTGGACAGCCGCCATTCCATTCTGTGGCCTCGGCTACTACCCGAGCGCATTCTGGTGCCGTGGTAACATCGGCGACGATGTGGTGGAATCGTTGCGTCTCAGGTGAACAAGCACATTTCTAAGCAACAATCAACGCCTTGCTCAATTCAACCTGTCGCAATCGCATGAAGGGAATCATCTTACTGAGATATAGCGAATGCCTTCTTTTAATTTACCGACGTTTCGCGCAACGATGATGACATTGGCCCCCTTTTCCGCTAGTTGCCGGCCCGCGTTAAGACCTAGGCCTGTTGAGCCCCCAGTGATGAGGATAGTCTACAGTAGGTAATGTTAATACGGCATGCGCGACCTGCATTCACTTTGGATGGAATTGTGTGAGCATACCTGTCCATTTACTGGAAATTGATTTTTCGAAAAATAAGAACCCATTCTTTAATATGGTAGGAGCGATAAGATTGAGGTTGTTCGAACGAAGGTTTCGTCGTGCGGCGGTGTGTACTAGGAATTATTCTTGCACAGTGTGGCGTTTTTTTAGTGGCTATGATCCCTGAATTATGGCGACCATCCAGTGAACAGATCGCTATTGCTGCGCCGCTGCCCTCGGTCGCTTACTAACCTTGGAAGATAAACACAGTATCCCTATTTCTTATTCAATTACACACTGTATTGATACCCGCTGGCACCGAACGGCCTACCTCGTCAGGTACTACATGTAGGTACCTACCTAGATACCCAAGATATACTTCAAATTAGCTGGATCATCCTAGATACAACACTTGCGTTGATGGTGGTAGCTACTACTACTACATCGCGTATGGCGTCTAAGGGTGTTATGATTAATGATAGGGTTATGCTGTGACTGCTAGCACCTGGGAAGATAGAAGTGCCTTTTACAGACAATTTAGCATCTATAAGATTGATAAAAGTCACCAAGAGACTTGGCGAGATAGTGGATGAAAGAAGAACCGAAGTCCTAGAGATTGATTCGAGTAACAAGCGCTTAGGGGGTATGTAGGTGGTATATAGGTACTTAATGCACAGTAACGTGTCTCTAAATCTTCCTTGATTGAAGGGGTGTATCTGAAGCGCTCTAGCTATTAGAGCACATAACGGCTTTGTAATCATTAGTAAGTGTTCGGTAAGTTCGTAGGGGTTGGGGACGTACAAGGCCAGATTTTCTCGGTCAGTCAAATCTAGTTGTCTAGCATCAACGACTTCTTCCCGTCGCTCACCATCCTCATCTATATGTTCAATGACGCCAACCTCCCTGATCTCCCCTCGCTGAGCCAGTAGGTCCCTCCTCTTATTTTCCTTCACCAGATACCATCTTAGGTATAAAACGATGAATGTCGGCAGGACGCATGCGACCCAAAGGATAACCCACCAAGTGACAATATATCTTGGCTTGTATTTTTCCTGGAATAGTTGTGGTGATAGGATATTGCCGAGTCCATACCCAACATGGTAGAGCGCGATGACGGCGGTCTTTTTCGTGTGTCCCGCAGAACAGTTGGCCGCCCATATCATAACCACGCTGTAAGGGATTCCTCCAGTCGATCGGATCCAGATTGCCGAAATGAGACCCCAGCGATTACTCCAGGGGAGAGCGATAAGCAATATGCTAGATATGATAGGGGGTATGTATGCGGCAGCTGAGATCCACGCCCGACTGTTACGTGTCTTTGACAGTATCAGAGCAGCTGCACCAAGGGACACCAAAGATGTCAGGCCAGTGACGCAACCCAATAATGTGGTTTGCAACGTGGTGAAGCCGAACGATTTAATGATGAGCGAGTACTGGCTAGTTAAGCCGTTGGCCATTTCTTGGGACCACGAATGGAGGAAGAAGAGCCAGGTCTTTGGGTCCTTCAGTGCTTCGACCAATTGATGACGTTTGAATCTCTTTTGCTCGATTCCCGAATGGTTTGAAGCGATACGCAGAATGGCTTGCGCCCGCTCCTCCAAGGTTAAGAAGTGGGCGGACATCGGATTGTCGGGAAAGAATAGATACACGAAAATGCCGTAAATAATGGTTAAAGTTCCGGTAATGACTAAAGTCTGGTGTTAGAGAAGTTCATAAGACTATCACGGGCAACTTACCCATAAACCATTTCCAAGAGGAGAAACTTCCTGTATTGATCCATAGCACCCCATAAGACAGCAAGCCTGAAGTTATGGGACTGGAATTGCCCGAAGCCCACATGATAGGCATCAAGACTGCTTGTTCATCGTAGGTGAAGAACATAGATAATATCAACAAAAATGCGGGAATGATGCAGGCCTCTGCCAATCCGAGCAGGAAACGAACGACGAATAGAGATGCAAAGTTGTTACATGGTATGTGCAGCAGTATGATGCAACCCCTGTACCTTAACTTAGCACGTTGATGAACACGATATGTCGGGGGCTATCTCACCAAACAACAAGGTTGCCGGCCAACCATTTCGCAACTGGGAATCGTTGCAACGCCCAGTTCTGAGGCCATTCCGCTAGCAAGTAACCAAGATAGAATATCGAGGCCAACCAGTTATACTGGTTCGTATTCAAATTGCCATCTTCTAGGATACCGAGGATAGACGAACTTCCAAGCTAAGAAGTTTTTATTAGAGTCATGGGCCATTTCTTCGTATGTAGTCTCGTGAATAGGGCGTACTCACCGTTTGCTTGTCGACGTACATCAGATGGTATCCCACGCAAAGGAACGATAATATCCATCGGACGCTCTTTTTACGGATTCGCGCTGCTTCTTCGGGAGTTGGTGGCTCGACCTTAACTTGCGAAAAAAGTTTATAACTTTCGTCGGCGAACTTGTCTGGTAACTTGGGAGTCTCGACGACAATCTCTGTCGAGGAAGTCTCCCCGATAACATTCTTGGACGACATATCGTTGATTTTGGACGCTGCGGCCTATCCCGACGGAATGGAACAAGTCTAGTTACCAACGTCTTTAAGTAATGGGGGCCAAGATATATGAGAAGTTCCTGAATTGTGACGACGCCGACTAGGTTACAGTCGTCAAACCCCACAATAATGGCGAACACACCCTTGCCGGCGCCCAAAGCCGGGTACACGTCTCCTTGTAGGAAGGGCGATCCGATAACGATGATTAGGATCCGGTTTGTCGCACTATAATAGAGCTACAATAGAGCTACGATACAGCTGCGGCCCGTTTTGCATGGTTTACTTTCGGACTTGGCCCGAAATGGTGACGTTCTGGAGGGGATGATGTGGCTGGCTAATGAGATATTGGTTCGCAATTTGAGTGTAGTCTTGCGCCATCTCGGGTCCGTCCGGTCAATCACACAATCCCGAGCCGGCTCCGGAGACGATACTTTCGTATATCATCACGTCCTTGGCTCCCTATATAAACGATAAATATAGCGATAAATGCGACAATATCAGCGATTATATATTTGTCATATAAAGTCACATCCTGGACCATGACCGACTCTTCAAAGCTTCAGATTGCTATCATCGGCGCCGGCATCGCTGGTCTTGGTGCAGCCATTGCACTGAAACACCACCCCGCTATTGATGTGCAGGTATACGAAAAAGCTTCAGAGCTCAGGGAAATAGGTGCTTCCATCGCGCTTGGTCCCAATGGAATGAGAACCTTGGATAGACTTGGCGTTCAAAATGCTTTAGATGATGAAATCGCGTTTCGAAATAAGTCGAAATATCCAATGATCTATCGGTAAGTTTTCCTCTCTTAGCTCGATAATGTTCGTAGGTTAACGTAACATTCAGCCATTGGCAGACCAATGAGATCGTATCAACTGATTCTCATGCTGGAGAAGTTGAGTACCGTCACTTGACTTCCCGCTTTTATCGGGCGCATCTGCAGGAAGCACTCGCGAAACACGTCGATCCATCTAAGATTCATCTGTCCAAAGCGTTTGAATTCGTAAAATTTGATGATTCCACTCGGAAGCTTATAATCACATTCGCCGATGGCACCACAGCTACGGCTGATGTCATCCTTGGTGCTGATGGAATCCACTCACCCGTTAGAACCTTTTTCGTCCCTACTTCAAGCACAGCTTGGACGGGATGGGTAGCCTTCCGATCCGTCTTCCCCGTTTCCCACGTCGCTCAGATTAAAGATCTTCCGGACGAGGCAAACCATTTCTGGGGACCAGACCGGACGTTCTTCGTATCGAAACTCGGAAGAGATCTTTTCACCGTTGTTGGATCATACCAAGCCGACCCCAATGCTCCCGATGCACCTTGGAAGGATTCAACGTGGAATTCCGATGGAAACGTGGATACGATTAGGGAGTTCTATAAGGACTGGTCGCCGCTGGTTCGCCAGATCGTCGACGCGGTACCTCATACCAGGATTTACCCGAATTCATCAGCTCACCCGTTAGAAACCTGGGTTGTGGGAGACGGAAAGGTCACTCTCGCCGGCGACGCCGCCCACGCCCACGGAGGCGCGTTCGCAGCGGGTGGCAGTCTTGCTCTCGACGATGCATGGGCGTTCGCATCATCCATACTACACGTGTTCCCCGTAGACGCGAAGAAAAAGCCTACCGATGCGGAGATACAGAAAGCGCTGCGTATCTACGAGAGAACCAGAAAGCCGCACACGGATCGTGTGATGAAGGTCGTTCATGAAAATAATCTGAAGAAGGTGGCGCAGCACACGCAAGAGAGGAAACCGGAGACGGACGAGCAATTGAGGGCTAGGATAAAGAATCGCGCGGACCCGAGTTGGATCCATGAGCACGATGTCCAGGCCGCGTTTGCGCAGGCTGTTGCTGTGGAAACGGCTAGTCAGGCTGTGTCGAATGGACAGGCGAGATTGTGAGAAGAGGTTTTTGGTTATTTTGTCGTAAATGTGTGAAATGAATTTAATCACTCATAATGGCTTGAAGTTCTGTATCTCCTGCTAAGTGGCGCCTGAATGGGGCATTTGTACCGCGATATGCTAATGTCTATCCCTTACAATACTTACCTGAGTAATACGCACCTGTTTTGGCTGACGTGGTATGTGAATTACGTGATACGGGGGATATAGTAGCCACAACATAGTAATACTCCGTATCATATCTTTTTAAAGTGGATCATAAGGCCGTATCTGCCAACCCGTTAATTTAATTAATGTATTAAAATGTATACAATGTAATATAATATAATAACGTATAATTTAAAATATATTTTATATAATGTATTAAATTTTATAAAAATTTATAACGTTATAAAGTGTTAAAAATTTTATAATTTATAAATTTTATAACGTATTAATTTTTTATAATTTATAATTAATTTTTTAAATATGTAAAAAACTTTAAAATTAATGTTAAAATTTTTTAAAATTATTATTAATATTTTAATTTTTTCGAAACGAATTAAATAAATTAATTTATTTAATTTAATTAATTAATTCGATTTAATTAAATATATAATAAATAAATAAATAAATATATACGCGTAATAATTTAAAATAAAAAATATTATATAATATACGTTAAATTATATTAAATATTATAATAATAATATATAAAATTTAAAAACGATTATTAAATTAAAAAACGATTAATTTATTAATAACATTTTAATTAAAAAATAATTATTTTTATTTTAATAATAATTTTTTAATTAATAACGTTTTTTTAATTAATAATGTTTTTTTATTTTAATAACGTTTTTTTATTTTAATAATAATAATTTCATTTATTATTATATTTAAAATTTATATAATTATATTTATATAAAATAATTATTATAAATTAAAAAATAAATAAATAAATAAATTAATTTAAATATTAATTTAACGCGATTAAATTATTAATTTATATATTTATTTATTTATTTATTTATTTATTTATTTATTAATTTAAATAAACTTATTTATAAAATTAAATTACTTAAATTAATTTATTTTATTTTTATTATATTTAATTTATTAAAAATATTTTATATAAATTTAAATTAATTTAACGCGATTAATTAAATTAATTTTTAAAATTAATATAAAATTAAATTAATTTATTATAACATGTATTTATAAAAAATATATATATAAAAATTATATATAAAAAAAATAATTAATTATTTTAAAAAAAAAATTCCAAATTTTATATAACTTTTAAACTTTAATAATATTATTTAATAATGAGCAACACTAAATCTGCAGTACAGTTTGGCTATATCTGCAGTGCTGAGCCACTTTGGAGAGCCGAAGTTCTGCCGGAGGTCCGAGCTCAAAAGGTACACGTTTCGCCATACAATTCCACATACAAATACAAGTATCTTTTAGGCCTGAAAACCTTAAATTCCTCACCCAACAGGATACATCGGCTGCCAACTTCAATCAATTATTTCAACTTAAAGATATCTTCAATTTAATCGAGATCTGAAACATATATTAATTACTGTACTTTGCATCGAATGAACCAGGTTGCATCACTTTTGGGACCCGTCTGGTTGAAGGGGAGGTCCTCGAAGCTGGCTTGATTAGTACTCTACTGGTTTTGCGACCGGTGTTGTGAGCCACGCCACACCAAAATACATCTCGTCTATCTTCAAACTGTAATAGCTCAACCAAACGGTGTTTAATCATGGTGCAACCAGATTCATTCAATTGCCCTTGGAGTAAGATATAATATAAACCACTTTGCGAAAGATTTGAACCAGTTTTGATGGAGAGAGAATAGGTTGAAGACTGGATGTTTTTGGTGTTCTTGTACTGTGGCGGGGTTTCTAAAGATACTTTTATTTGTATGGGGATTTGTATGGCAAATTAGGTACCGTTCGAAAGCGCTCCCTCGCCACAATGTGGCTGACACTGCAGATATAGCCAAAGTATACTGCAGATTTAATGTTGCTCTTAATAATTTACCTTTTTATAAAAATAATTTAAATAATTATAAAATCGATAAAAACGTTATTAATAAAAAAACCATTATTAATTTAAAAAAAACGTTATTAATTAAAAAAAAACGTTATTTAATTAAAAATAATTATTTTTTTAAAAATAACCGTTATTTTTTTTTAAAAAATAATTTTATAATAATAAATAACCGTTTTCGAAAATTATATTTTCTTTTTATAATAATATTTATATAAAAAAATTATACGTTATAACTTTTATAAATTATAAAGTTTTTAACGTTTTATAACGTTAATATTTATTATAAAATTCGAAATATTATATAAAATATTTATTAAATTATATATTATTATATTATATTATATTATATATATTTTAATACATTAATTAAATTAATAAATTAATGAATTTATTTTTATAATCCGCCGTTTTTTTTTAATAATTAAATTATTTAAATTATAACGGCTTTTTATTAAAATTTATTATAATTTTATAACCTTTTATTTTAATTTCGTAATTATTTACCTTATTATTAACTTATAAAAAATATAAATAATATATAAAACTCATGAAAAAAAACAAAGAAAGTTTTATTTTATAACGGAATAATAAGAGAAATAAAATACCTGTGTATTATTTATCACTTAATAATTAAACTTTACTCCGCGGGGATAAAACAGAAACGGAAAAATGTCCCATACGTAAACTACCTACATTGTATTATCACAGTGCGATACAGTAATATTAGTACGGTAGTCTCTTTTCATCTCTATTCTTTCAGGGGTAATTGTGGTCACGAGGAGGTCAATTCCCTAACTTAACATAAAATATTACATTGGAGAAAGATTGAGCTAGATTTCAAGATCATTCGACCTTGGCACTGCTGCGCTGCAGAGCAATAGCCGTTTGTCCGCTAGTAAATACAACTTCGAGTTGCGACTATGCCCTATTCTTGGAATAAGACGAGGCCAGAAGCTACGTATGTAGGTAGTAATGAAGATTAATGATAAAGAACGTATGACATATTATATTTATATATAGTATTTATGAGGAATGTGTTCATCTCGATATACCCAGAAGCGTTTTGACGTTAGGGCTTTTAGCCGTCTTGAGGTATGAACTCATAGGCCAACCAACCCATGCTAATCCTAAACAAACGCGGATATATGAGATACTATGCAAAGATAGAAGGTGTCATAACCATGTATCATAGCCTCGCCCTGACGTGTTCCGCCAACTTACCATATCCAGACTACGTCTAAACATACAGTGGGCTCCGCCCTGTCTACGACTTCAGCCGCGTCAGTATAAATGAATGAAACCATAGGTACGGATCGAGATAGGCGGGGTGCATCATCCATCGCATTGGCATACGTGTGGGGACCAATCATCGGTCGGGTAATCTGTCTATTTTCATTATCACAGACCTGGTTCGCTCCCGTCTATGCTCCGCTGCTCGATCAAAACGTGATGAAAACGACAACTGCCGACGTCCGTAATAGATAAGGCAGGAACGGCGCTTAGCGGCTAATGAGAGAGCAGATGGATGCCTTAGCAAGACTCGCCGCCAAGGCGCGCGAAGATATATAAGGCGCTTCCTCGCTTACTGGAGGGATGTGAGCAGCCTAAGTATTCCCCCATAGGCTAGTTCATCCCGCCAAGGAGAAACACACGATGGGTATTATTGCTCGACTTGCTACGGTGGCGACCGTCCTCGCCGGCCGTGGTCTCACAGCTCCGGCTTCCGCGAAAGACCAGTATTGTGATACGTCGAGCGGTGTCTGCTATTCTGAAGTCACAGTTGGTGTAGCTCCGATCACTTGGCGGATCGCCATTCCCGCCGTAGGGGAAGGCCCCTTTGATGTCCTGCTCCAGATAGTGGCGCCGAAGACAGTCGGCTGGGCGGGCCTTGCTTGGGGCGGTGGGATGCTGTACAATCCTATCTCCATAGGGTGGGCAAACGGGAACTCCACTGTTGGATCTGCTCGGTTTGCGGGGTGAGTCGAAATCTCTGGATTAAGGGACAATGCTAAAACTTACCTAGTGCCCACATCCAACCGGACTACTACGAGGCGGCGAATCATACTGTTCTCAAAGGGTCAACGGTGAATGAAACTCACTGGACTCTGACCACGCTTTGTCAGGGATGCAGTACGTGGATCCACAACGGTGGTTCCAAGGAGATCCTCGACCCCGGCGCGACAGCTGCAAGCTTTGCGTATGCTGCGTCGGCGATACCCCCGATTGACATTACTGACCCTGGATCTCCCATCGGTATCCACTCCGAGCACGGTATCTTTACCATAGATCTGTCGGCCGCGAAGTCCACCCAGTTTGACTCGTGGGTTGCGAGGTTGCGCTAGACCCATTGACTTACGCCACTCCACCGCGATACTGGCGGCCTCGACGCCGTGGGCATGTACGATAAAACACACTGACGGTACATCGATGGATATAGTAGATGTGTCCCAGGACAATGTGATGATAAGGGCTTGTACATACGTTCTTTTGGGCCAAGTTCAAGATTAGGAGTCGATATACGATGTTGTTAAGATAAGATGAATGATGATAGCTTTCCGATTTGGATATTAACTTCTTTCTAGAGTGATATGGATATTATTAAAATTGCATGAATACCTATAAAAAGATTGCGTTTCTAAAAAAGGGGCCGATATTGGAAATGACGTTTTACTAACCTGCTCAAGCTCATATGAATCTTATGTCATTCTATTCCAACGATGACTTCTCTCTTCTTCTCTACCCATATTCCCCTCCCAACTGTAATACGATTATATAATCTTACAAGCGAGCCCGACGGAGCGTTGATAGGCCGTGCGGGGTGATTCATTCACCGCTTGACGAATAATGAAGAGCGGCGCAGCCCGGTTATATCACACATTGCGGATATTTTCTTGCTGGTAAAGCGGACTATTTGGCCGCTTTCGATTATGTGCGGCGGCGTATGTCCCGCCAAGAGGCGGTTGGAGAAAGAAACGGTTTGTAACGCCGGTGATGAGCGGAAACGTCACGTCACATGTGACCCCGTACATGGATCATGGAATGTCTCCGAGACCCTGCACGGATGGCGATATACTTAGTCCATCTTCCCGTGCCTCCCGTATGCTTGATATCTATTTAACAAGCTACCTCCAGTCCTGAATCATTGTCAAATCATATTCAAACCATTTGATAGAACTCAGACAGCAACCATGACATCCACCACCACCACGCCCAAGATTCTCCTCACCGGTGCCACCGGCTACATCGGCGGCACCATCCTAAGCTATTTACTCGACTCCTCCTCTCCAACACTCAGCACAGCGACCATCTCATGCCTTCTACGGGGTCCCGACCGTGCCGCCAAACTGACCGCGACGTACGGCTCCCGCGTCAACCCCATCGTGTACAAGGACCTCGACGACATCGAAGCCACAGTCGCCGCCGCCGCCGAGCACGACATAATCATCAGCACGACCCACGGGTGGCACGGCGGCTCCTCACAGGCTCTCATCCGCGGTCTCGCGCAGCGCAAGGCCGCGACCGGCCGCGACGTGTGGTTCGTCCAGACGTCCGGCACGTCGAACGTCGCGAGCAAGGCGATGACGAAAAGCGATGTCGAGAAGGAACACCGCGAGCTTGACGACCTGAAGGACGATATCTATGCGTTCGAGAAGGAGCGCGAAAATGAGGCCGCGTATGCGCAGCGGACTGTGGAGTTGGCGGTTGTGGACACGGGGTTGGAGCTCGGTGTTAAGACTCTGGTTATTATGAGCCCGACTATTTATGGTTTCGGGAAGGGCCTTTGGAATAAGTTGAGCATCCAGATCCCCATGATTGCGAGCGCTGTGTTGAAGAATAAGCGCCCCGTGGTGCTGGGTGATGGTCGGGGTGTATGGGATCATGTCCACGTAGAGGACTTGGCGGAGCTGTACTTGCTTGTGGTGAGGCGGATACTTGAGAAGGGTGGGGAAGGAGTGCCGACTGGCAAGAAGGGCATCATATTTAGCGGCAATGGACGCCACTCGTCGCTGGATGTGACACTGGGGGTGGCTGACGCATTCCAAGCGAAAGGTCTGCTCGATGACCAAGAATTGCAGAGCCTTACGGTATCCGATGTGAAGAAGGTTATGGGAGCTGAGATGGTGTCTGATGATATCGTGGAGCTCAGTTTGGCGAGTGATTCTCGGACCGTTTCGAGTGTAGCTAGAGGTCTAGGCTGGAACCCGACGAGGGGAGAAGAGGCATGGAAGCGTGAATTCAAGGACGTTGTGGAGGCTGTTCTGGCGAAAGCAGCATGATTGTTGCAAATAAGGATGTAGAGGGGAATTTGCTATTGGCCTGTAGTTAGGTAGATTTGTTTTCAGTATTACACCAACGAATCACCACTTCTAGTAACCATGATATCCCACCAGATTGTGAAGAGGCAATGGCACATACTAATAAGGGGATCAGTAGGTATTTAGTGCCAACGCACAAGTATTCTAAAAACCTACCTCTTTTAACATAAACGGGCATTAGTTATATGAAGAACTGGGAATTCCTTACCGAGCGACTAGACCACGAGGTCAGGTGACGCGTGTGACGCGTGCGACAAGACGACGTCTGCCGCTAGGCGTCACAGCGTCTATGAACGTGGGTAATTCTACCCAATTGGAAGTTAATTTATTACACCTTATACAATCTGCATCATGGCTTTGAAAGAACCTTAGCGCATTTTTGTCCTAGAAATGAATCGTGATACGGGTACTAATTTAGCTCACGTGTCGAGGCCGGAATCATTCCGGCCAACGGCCGGGTTTCACCGGATAAGGTCCCACTTTTTACCACACCTTGTCGGGGAAGTTGCTAAAACTCTTAGAGTCTTATCCCACAAAGACGAACTTGAGTTACGTAAATGTATTCGATAGAAAGTGCCGATGCTATCATGTGGTCCTGTCGGTGAGGAGGTATCCTATAAGACTTACGCAATTTGAAATTCTATCAGTCATTTATCCATAAGTGCCACTTTTCATCTCACTGAGATACGACGACATGCCGCAAGTACTTACCAAGGTTGGTAGGTAAATGTCAGAAAATTCTTGGAAAACTCTTGAAGACCACAGGAAGACCAATCGTGATCCAATCGGGTGTCGGTGTCGTTATCATCTTAGAGTTGTTAAACCAGCTCTAATCGCGTCGTGAACCCGAGTTCGGTGATAGGGCCAAGACTGGAATAGTTCCGGCCAAGATGCTTATCAATATATAATTGTTGGTTTGCTTGATGAATCCGGTCTCGCTTGTGGCCGGAATCGTTCCGGCCACAACGTGTCGGTCGAGTTCGGGGTGCTCGGACATGCTCGAGCGTGACTCCGCAATTTTGTGGTGTTGAGGCCGGAACTGTTCCGGCCACGGTCTATATTAGCACGCGAACCCGTCCGCAATCCGGTATACTATCAGCAACACAGCCAAAACTCTCATTTCCTCTCTTCCCTGAAGCTTATACATAAAATCTGAGCATACCTGTTTACCCCTCTTCACAGACCGCCAAGATGTTGATCCCTAAGTCGTCCTTCGAAGTCCTCGAAGACACTAAGCCAAATGACGTCTCACTCCCCGCGTTTATGGTCTCAACCTCCCGGGGCTTCCTTGCGCGTATGAACCCTATCGTCGTTCTCCCGCCTGAGTTTGAAGTAGTTGAGAAGCTACTTCAGGCGATGCCTGTCCTGACCTTGTCGGGCGAGCCTGGGCTCCTTGCCAATGGTCAGCTGGGCGACACTGTATTGCAAGATCTCCCAGACCTTACCGACGAGGTTGAGAAGTACCGTGATAACCTTCCTATCATGAATGCTCTCTATCGAGACTACTCTTTCCTAGCTTCAGCATTCCTCCTAGAGCCATGTCATATGAGGTTCATCAAGGGTGAACCATATGGACTTGGCAGGTCCTTCCTCCCAGCACAGCTATCCCGACCAATCGTTCGCTGTGCCGAACTGTAAGTTACCTATACGAAACTATGTCAACGTCTTTTCAAATCTCTAATATTTCTTCATAGCGCGGGATTCAAGCCGTTCATGGAATATGCCGGCTCATATGCTTTGTTCAACTATCGTCTTCAGGACCCAGAGGCTGGTCTAGAATATTCCAACCTCCGCCTCATCCGAGCTTTTGAACATGGCCTTGACCCCACTTCATCAGAGGCTGGATTCGTACTTGTCCATATTGACATGGTGAAGAACTCTGGCCCTTTGGTGCACGGCACGATGGCGGCTTTGAAAGCGCTCGAGAATGCCGATGGCCTCTCGCCCCGACAGCAGCGACAAGCATTCAATGAGGGGATGCGTTCTGTCGTAGGCGCCATGCAGAAGGTCAACAATGTCATGGAGACCATGTGGATGAAGTCGAAGCCGCGTTCCTACACAAGCTTCCGCACTTTCATCTTCGGCATTACATCGCAGTCCATGTTCCCAGACGGCGTGGTGTACGAGGGCATCAACGAGGGCAAGCCTATGAGTTTCAGAGGGGAGAGCGGTGCCAACGATACCATGATTCCTTTGATGGATAACCTCCTGCAGGTCCAGATGCCAGATACGCCACTCACTGAGATCTTAAAGGACTTCAGGGACTACCGTCCAAGTAACCATCGCCAGTTCCTCGGCGAGGTTAAGAAATGCTCCGAGGATCTAGGTGTCAAGGATTTCGCACTTTCTATTGATGTCGAACGCACCTCGTCGCTTGAAGCAGAGGACCTGGAGTCGGTGAAGGAATCTCGACGCCTTTGGCTCCAGGCCTTGAACCAAGTCCGCGATTTCAGGTGGCGTCATTGGTGTTTTGCTCGCGAGTATATCCTTAAACAGACATCCCACCCTACAGCAACCGGTGGCAGCCCAATCGTGACATGGTTGCCGAATCAACTGCAAGCCGTGATGGAGGAGATGAAGGAAATATCGGATAGCGTCGGCGCATTGAACGGTTCTACGGATCTTGGCGCTGGGTGTCGGGATATCATGGACCTTGTCGAAAGACAGAGTCAAACGCTGAACAAGGAGGTGGAGAAATATTGCCTTGAACGTGGCGTCGGTGTTAATTAAATAGGGGTAATGTCTCAGTCTGGCTTACGTCACCCCCGCACCCTACAGAGTGCGTTAGGGACGGATTGGCTGCCAACGCTTACTTCAACGCCTGCCAATAATTGTTTGATATTAGCGATCTCATCAACACGTGAATTTCAACTGTGATTGTACCTTGTAGGTACCTAGAGGTACATATTAGGAACGTGAATGGACTCGTTGAAGAAATATAGGAAGACTTGCATACCTACATGTACCTAGCCGTGAACATAATAGATCTATGCGTAGGTGCATATGCTTTTGTGAAGTGGCTAGCTGAGTGGCTCAGTGGATTATCCAATCATTAGATGCAATAACAAAACGTTTCTAGAAGGGGACATTCCCTACAAGGGTCTCTTAGATCCCAGTACCATGGTCCTGTTGTACAGGAATAGTGGATACCTATCTTCTTCATCACCAGGGCATTTTCTCAATTCGCAACAGACGTCGACCTTCAAATCGTTCATCGCATACCTGTAAACGGCGATATCACCTTATATTTCCTTTTTGATCGATCTCGTTCGCTATGTACCTAGTAGGTACGTACTTTTATGAAAGGTAGCTTTCCCTTGACTTACTAGACGATGGCCGTATCTTGCCTGGATAACTCCCGACGATGACTCTTTTCGGTCGGTAGCTACCCGTGCCATGCCACACTGCTAAGCGAATCGACTCGCTCGTTTGCTCATATGTGGCGGGGGAGATGCGTGAGCCTTATCAAAATTACGATGCTGCAGCATGCCGCGTGCAGTTGGACCGGACCGTGTTTGGCTTGACAATGATGCTTTACGCAAAATCCTTTTATTATTGCCACCTAGGCACCTCGGTAGATAGGTAGGGATAGAGCGCCATCCCTCTCATCATATTTCCCACCTTCATTGCTCTATGCGCCTACGATACCACAAGATTTATTCATTCAGTTCGAAACCACCATCTAGGCAGACCACGACTCATCGAATCCATGCCTCCAGAACGTATTCACAGAGCGCAACGAGTGAGAGGAGTTGGCCCATCTAACCTATCCCGACGCCAGGTTAGGGGTGCCGGTTGGCATCGGCGTGGATGGCGCGATAGAGGCTGCATGTGGATTAACGTCAAGGAGGGAAGTTATGGAGCTGTTCACGGTACGGATGTGAACGAAAACCAGACCTTGACCGAGTTCGTCGAGGATATTGCATGTGAGTTAACATATCATTTAGACACGGACTGTGTCTATTGACAGCATCATAGGGTATCAATCGCGGGGGGCGTGCTACCCACATGAAGAAGGGTGGACTTGGGATCTCTTCTTCCGCAGAAAGTCTCTGGTGAGTTTACTAGAGGAGTTCAAAGAGGAAGGCAGAGCCGAAGGTGATGACCTCGTTCGCGACTTTTTCGACGGTGGTGAAACTGTCATATGGAAGGTAAGGCGTGAGAGCATTTTGAAGAAACAGAAAACTGACGGCAATGGCCAGGTATACGACGAATATGGTGAAGAGCGAGTTTTTAATGGCGACTGGGAGTATCATAGAAGATGAAAGCTGTGTCGAATCAATATTTCGGAACATTGTTATAGGCACTCATTGGAAAGGGGGTTATGAACCTACAAGCGTGTTTACTTCTGCGTACTGGATTCCTGTCGCTGTACTAGATTAGAGATTCTCTTAAGATTCGTTTGACACCTAGATTCCACATCAATAATGCAACTAGGTAATTTCACATGGTACGATTTACAGTATAATCTTCGCGCCCCTCCATCCGGGAGCGTTCTTGTCGTGAATAGTTCGATTCAATCTTAAAAATGCTTGCGTAGGACTGCACCTTACACATAGGGTATTGACTCCATCATCCCATTCTCATACAATCCGACCCGCGTGTCCTCTCTAGGTAGACTACATCATACTGCCCATTTCTCGTAGTCTGGAAAATAATGATCATGAATACGCCCTGCGTAATCTAAGAGAATAGGGAAGCTTCTAACTTCGCTCTGGGAAATAGGTCCTCTATGAACACATTAGTCAATAGGTACGCATCATATCAAATTCATTCGAACTTACGCAGTGCATATCAAGGCCGAGACAATGAAACCGAATAAACAAGTATCAGCTTCGGTCGGGTGTTCTCCGCCCAGTACCCAAAATGGCTTGTCGTTATCGCTAGATTTGTCACTAGACCGTGACGCCACTATTTTGTAGTTAAGAGTTAGCGCTTTTATGTACCTAGATCAACGACAATGGGTAGCAAGAAACTCCATAATTCCACCTACGTAGTGCGCTCAACCCCTCCCAAATCTCGCGTCGAGATTCACTGATTTCTTCAGCTGTGAATCGGCCTGTTCCTTGCGAATGAAACATCGCAACGTTCTTTCGATAGACTATTAATCCTACGAGTACACGGATAGGATAAGGTATCGACCATAGAACGTGATCCCTCATTGTGTAGTAGTTTTGGATCCAACGTTCCCATCCCTATTTTACAGAATCGTGTTAGTGAAATGGTTCAAATAGTGGGTTGAAGGTTTAGTAAGATAGGGCTTCTGTATATACCTGTAAAAAATACAGCTTATTCTCTAGTAGAGCTATCAACCCCATATCGAGCGAACGTTCTAGAGGATCCAGCGCGCTATTGAGATCTGGAAGGATCTTCCATCCGACAAGAGTCTTAGCGATAAGAGTAGAGTCGCTTAGTAGAACTTTTGATTCCGGACTTTCTTCATGCACGATCGGGGTAGATATGGAAGAGACGCCGCGGCATTCGATGTAGGGAATCTTGCCCTTCGGTGCCACACTTAGGGATCCAGCTTCCGTCGTATATTTCACTCCTGCAAAACGTAACCGTGTTTCTAGCTTGGTCACGTACGGAGACCACACATATTTACCGGCATCTTTCCATCCCCGGAAGACAGTTATGCTTGGCTGCTTGCAAGCGTTCTGAGCGGCCATGATGATGAAGATAAGTATCGATACGGGACTTCCTATTGGCTGTAAGGAATGGAATATTGCCGGATTGGGTTGCGTTTAGGGGTACAGTAACAATAGGTGATTTGCTCTCGGTTGCTCTTATTTGACTACAAGAGCTTCAATCTTAAATGTCAAAGAAATGAAGGGAACTTTATATCTTAATATTTGGTCAACATACCTCTTAGATACGTTAAATTACCTAGTGAGTTCGCTGTTTTTGGTGATGTTCGTGAAGTCCTCCATTTCAGCTGAAGCAAATGTGCGGCGGGGCAGCTAGAAAGCCCACTAATATTTCCCAAGGTGCTAATAATAGCCCTGGAGGTGAGTGAAGCCTAGGGGTCAAACATGTCGCGCTCCCATATTAAACGCGAGAGCGAAAACAGAGTGAAGGGTGGTATGCATTGCAAGCTCTTTAGTAATAATAGTATCTCGCCTGGATTCGGTAATGGCGATATGAGATTGCCAAGTAGGCAGGTTCAAGGTTGACATGTTGGATTTATCATTATGTTAGGAACGGTCTAATTCGCACATTCGGACGGGGTCAATAGTCCGGCACTGGAAAGGTGCGCGGGGAGATCCAGACAACTTCCTCTTCCCACAAACATGCTTGAAGAAGTCAATGAAATTGACATCTCAACCTCATCTAAATCTTGACTAAGTAAGTAAAAAGTGATGGATTCCCAAATCGTTACCTGAATGATCACATAATTATTAGAATAATTTCAAATGGAGGTTTGTCGCGAAGAATATTTCGTCAACAGTCAACGATTGAGTTCCTTGGTAATTTTGGCCGAGTATTAATGGGACGCTCACGTACCGCGCTCCGATTGACGTACAGAACCTCTTGTCTTTATCAGAGGGCTTCGACTTCCTGAAGGAAGAGGGGGCAGTAAGATGAGTAATGTTTGGACGGGGTTTAGAAACTTGAATCCACCAATAATATTCATCAACCTTCTTTAACTATGGGTCGACGGACGTAAACGGTTCGGCATTATCGCCCGTCTTCTTACATCCGTTCAGCTCGGACATAATATCTTACGACTCAGGTTGAAAAAACAGCAAAAAGTCTTCGCATCATACAATATGAACCGATAGTCTCTTCTATGGAGATCACACGTAGTGATACGGCCGAGTGACTCTAGGGGTCGTGTCTATTCCCATGCAGCGACAACCCCATAGGCGTCGAAGGCCGGCCTTGTCGTGCCTTGAATGCCGCCGCCGCAAGATCAAATGCAACCGAAATGAACCCTGCGCTCATTGTATCTCTTCTAAGCTGCAATGCACCTACAAGGTCTATAGCGATGAGCCTATTTCTGCTACTAGCCCGCAGCCTCGCCAGGGCTATACCCGAGGTGCGGCTCTCAACAAGTTAGCTCAAGCGCCTTCTCCATTAACCCAGGCTCAATCATTCAACGCCCGGGGGCCAATCATAGAAGGCAACACTAGCCCACCTGGGGTTCAGACAACGGAAGAATCATCGTCGCCGTCTCTAGGAGAGCCAGTTGGGAGGGTAGGGCATAACAAGAACCCGCCTATCCTTGGTCGCATCGACCTCCAACAACCCAATCCCGCTCTAGATGTAGAACTGGGTCTCATCGACATCTTGAAACGAGGAGTGGGACTGGATAAATCATCAACGTCTAGTCCCATGAATGGTCTGACCGAATCAGGTAGAGACATCCTCGCGCGACAGCTAGGGTTACGAGAATCCCAGATAATACTGAATAAAACGAGGATGTTGGGATGGAGCCTTCGGATAGGCACGGCTCAAGAGGTATGTGTGGTTCATGTGAATCCTCAACCGCTCGATTTACACTAACGTCGTTGAAAGTTTGCGCCCATCGTCAACTGTTATATCAAGGCTTCCAATAGTAGAAAGGAATCCTCACCCCAAGATACTGAGCTTGGGACGCTGTACTCCCAAATCTGGGATCTCCTTCACAAATGTAAAACTATGGCACGCCGTACTAAGATAGGGCGACCTAGCCGATGGCTCTCTCATCCCGAGTTTGACCTAGAGCCTCCACCCCGTGAATTAGCGGACAGGATGGTATCTATATACTTTAAATCATTCGAGTCCACATACCGCATACTCCATGAATCTACCTTTATGTCCGAGTACCAGAAGTACTGGGACCAACCAGAAAGCGTCACAACAGATCTTCGTCTCAAAGTCCTTCTTGTCATTGGGATAGGCTCGAGCCTATCCGAACATATAGGGCACGATGTCGCGCTGCGAAATATGGTTAACCAATATGTTTACGCCGCACAGACATGGCTCTCTGGACCTTTGGAAAAAGACCGGTTAGGTGTCGCCGGGGTGCAGATCTATTGTCTTACCATTCTAGCAAGACAGATCTTCTCAATTGGCGGCGACTTGGTTTGGGGTTCTGTGGGATCTCTCATCCATATAGCCATGCAAATAGGTTTGCATCGTGACCCCAAGCATTTCCCATCAATGTCTATATTACAAGCTGAAATCCGTAGGAGACTGTGGGCCACTATTGTCGAAATGGTTGTTCAGTCATCCTTGGATACGGCAATGCCACCAAGGATGACCCTCGATGATTTTGACACGGAGGCTCCATCTAATGTCAATGATGATGAGATAGACGAATCAACCACAACGCTCCGGCCTCATTCTAGAAGCACTTTTACCACAACCTCTATCCAGCTGATTCTATTCGACCTGTTACCAACGCGCCTTCGGATTCTTCATCTGCTGAATAGTCTACATGCCGAACTTTCGTATCTGGATGCCCTAACATTAAGCGCAGAGATCACGGATCAATATCGGATATCTAACACTTTTATGAGGGAAAATGAACAGTCCGGTGCGACGCCATTTCATCGGAATCTGCTCGATTACCTAGTGCGCCGATTCTTGATCCCCCTGCACTGCCCGTTTGCTAGCGAGGCACGAGTCAACCCTCTGTTCTACTATTCGCTTAAGGTCAGCCTAGATTCAGCTCTGTCAATCATCTCCCCTGAACCAGACGAAGGCTTCTCCCGTCTGATGGCTATCGGTGGAGGCATGTTTAGGGAGGGTATCAGATACTCCATAACTGTCATCACACGTGATCTCATCGCTCAAATAGAGTCTCAGCGCGTCGACGGGACCCTACATCGTAACCCCCAGTATATACACCTGCTCAAACAAGCCGTAAAGGGCATGGTCGAACTGTCTATGGAGAGGGTCCGGCAAGGCGAGACCAACGTCAAGGGGCCCATGTTCTTAAGCATGATTATGGCTCAGGCCGAAGCCACAGAAGAGGGTACTTCGTGTGATCTCAAGGTCGCGCAAAGTGCCAAGGACAGCCTTGAGCTGTGCTATGACATAATGCAGGCGCGAGCCGGCACTATCTCGTCTCCAGGACCTAACACGGGACTCACTCCGATGAGTCTTAGCGGCGGACAGGGTGATTATGGGTTAGACTTGGATTTTGACCTGGATTTCTTCTTCTCGGGTGGAGCGGACTTCTCTTAGGTGATCGGCCTAGAATATGAAAGTAAACTCATTTGATCTAGTTCTAAACTAGAGGAATTTGGTGCCTTTTTAATAACTGTTATGTCCGCGGCCGTTAGAAAGGCGCTCCGGGTATCCGCCCCGTGGTCCACTTTAAATCGGCCGAGACGGTTTCACACACATCCCGGAGATAAACGGTCGTCGCTTCCGTCACTATATCGAACAGTATACAGATACCATATAAGAGGTCAGGTTCCTGGAATCATTTAATCATGTAGGATTCAGTTACTACAACCTCATTGATAGCTAGATCTCGTCTTTTAGCCGGTCCAACTTGACGATTATTACGCACGAAACATTCACCACAATCATGACACAAATGAAAGTCCTCATCAGCGGCGGTGGCATAGCCGGAAATGCTCTAGCATTTTGGCTCGGCAAGCTAGGCCACGATGTTACAATCGTCGAATGGTTTCCCACCCTACGAACCACAGGGCTCCAGATCGACCTACGCGGCCACGGCGTCGAAGTCTTGAAGCGAATGGGTCTCGAGCAGGCCTTCCGTTCAAAGAGTGTCCCAGAACAGGGCTCAGAGATAGTAAACAGCGCAGGGGTGCGACAGGCTTTATTCCCAGCCAACAGGTCGGGCAAGGGGCTACAGAATTTCACTACCGACTGGGAAATCATGAGGGGTGATTTATGCCAGCTTTTATACGAGGAGTGCAAGGATCATACGAAATACATCTTCGGCACGTCTATCCAAAGTTTCGAGGAGAAGGGTAACAGCATCGAAATTAGATTTACGAACGGTAAAACGGACCGATTCGATCTCCTAGTCGGCGCCGACGGCATCGGGTCGAAGACGCGCAAGATGATGGTCGGCCCAGACGCGGACGACGGGTTTCGCCCTCTGCGCAACATCTACATCGCGTACTTCACCATCCCCCGACCGATCTCGGCCGGCGAGGAGTACCTCGCCACCATGTACATCGCCCCGGGCGGACGCGCCGTCATGCTTCGAAGACACAGCCCGGATCAGATGCAGGTCTACCTCATGTGCAAGAACGACTCCAAGCGACTCAAGAACTCGCGTCGGGGCGACACTAGGGAGGAGCGCGCCGCGCTAACGGATATCTTCCGTGGCGCAGGATGGGTGACGGAGCAGGTTCTTGTGGATATGGATCGGAGCGACGATTTCTACCTCGAGCACATGGGCCTTGTTAAGCTGGACGCTTGGTCGAGTGGCTCCGTGACGCTCCTTGGTGATGCGGCGTACTGTCCTTCGGCGAACACGGGGATGGGAACGTCTTCTGCTATTGTGGGCGCGTATGTTCTCGCTGGCGAGATTGGGAGACATTGTAAAGAGGGTGTCGATGTCAAGGAAGGCCTGGCGGTCGCGCTTAAAGCGTATGAGCAGACGTTTCGGCCCTTCGTGGATCAGGTGCAGAAGGGGTTGTCGGAGGATTCGGGCGCTTGGGCGAATCTGATGCCGACGACGGCGTTTGGGATTCGCGTTATGTGTTTTGTTGTCTGGGTGATGGCACTCTTTAGGATGAATGTTATTGGGCGGTGGTTACTTAGGGAGGATGTTAAGTGGAATCTCCCCGAGTACAAGGAGATCCTGCGGAAGTAGGGTGGATTCCCGGACTTGTTTGAGTATTATAGATGCATACCTTGTATGCAGATTTCTCTATACTGATAGATTAATTCCCTTCTCACTTTCGGTAACTGACTTGGAATGATTCTGTACTTGGGTCCTACCGCGAACCCCTGGCTAAGCCTCAAGCTTAAGCTAACAACGTTGATAGTCACCATGCATGTTAATCACTGTTTATTTACTTCGAAATATGTATATACATCATGTATTCGATTGCATTATTGCCAATTTTCATTGATAACATCTACAATGACCCCATGGTCTTCATTCTGCTTCAGTCCGGAAACGATCACTACACCAACGATACCCTCAACGCCCTTGACGCGAACTACAAAACCAGCAATCAGTCACCATGATCTCATTAGGAAACTTGTTTCATGATCATAAGCAATGGAACTCCACTTACTAGGCACGCCACCACCATGAATAGCATAATTCTCAGCCTGGGCCGGGCTCATCCCAAACTTAACCCGGAACGCCTCCTCGTCACCGGCATACTTGCAATGCTGGAACCAAGTACTAGTGCCGAATCTCAGGACGGTATTCCTCTTCCTCTGCACCCACAGCTCGTTGTCCGGCACGGTGCCAGAGCCCACGGCGCATTGAAACACGACCTGCCCGGTGGCCAGTGAGATGGAGATGAGAGTGGGCTTCTGTGGCGCGAAGGGCAGGAGCCGCGCGTAGAGGTGATGTCCGAGTTCCCAGGCGTCCTCGACGGTGAAGGACTCGAACAGGAATGAATCGCACTTGGCCTTCACTTCGTCCGCCTATAGATGCGGTTTAGTCGATTGGTGAGCCTTTTATGGGTTTGCTGGACTTACGTTCTCAGGCGGACTGGGAATCGCGATCGGTCCTTTCGAGTACTCTTGGGTTGTGAGGACGGCTTGCAGGGAGGACCCCGGGGCCTGGTCGCGGCGACGGAGAACTTTTTGCGACATGATTCGGGCTTGACTTGATGAGGTTATAAGAATGGTAAGTTTTATGATCCTTCGTCTAGATGCGATATTGAAGATGGATTATGAGAGGTGCAATACATATTTGCAATGGAACCCTGAAGAGGGGGCTAGATAATAATCTTTCAAAGACCGAGTCGCTCCACTCTAGACTAATTGAGGCTGCAATTGGCCAGTCTAGCGTTTAGTTTTGTCATGTATTTTGAGATAACAAGCATCAATTATGGAGAAGTCACGATGCCAAGGCGTATTACGATAATGGGAGTTTTCGACGTCAAAAAGGAATTGCTTGGAAATTCGTCAACGTTGATGCCTAGATGTTCAAGGTTCATAGCACATCCAAGCACACGTAGGTACGTGGGTATGTTGCAAATGGCTTCGTAACATTAGGCTGGAAACCCATTACGAAGTGATCTCCTTGCCTAAGATTAAACCTAAATAATCCCATACAATATACCTAACTAATAAGAGTTGACATGAGGATTCCTAACACCGACATAGCAAGACTTCCCATATCGGATTTAGGTCTACGGTGGAACCGTGTCAACCTAAATATCAATCCTAATTGGCCAATTAGTTCATATGCTAGGACGATTGATGACCAATCTGTCTGAATGGCTACCCCTATCTGGCTAACAACATACAGTTGAGCTCCGTCGCTTTGAGATGCGAATATCGCAGATCTCAAGGCCTGCTACCATTCATGAGCGTGTATAAGAGCGTAGAACAGCCGGCTAGGTCAGTAGAATTGGCAGCTTCACTCATATTTGTAGCATCTTACGACCCCTCGCACCTCCTATTCATTTCCGAACAGAACTTGACACTTAATAACAAGCCGAAATCATGAACGAAGACCCAAGAACAGCTAGCGACCTCGCCGCTACGTACGAGTCCCAGATCAGGGGGAAAGTTGTTCTCACTACTGGTGTGTCCCCCAGCGGATTAGGTGCAGCCTTCGTACTCGGTATTGCGCGGTCGCAGCCAGCGCTACTCATCCTAGCCGGTCGCAACCTCACCAAGATGCAGCAGACAGCCGACGCTATCTCTGCGATTGGCGTCAAGGTTCGTATTCTCGAGCTTGACTTGGTCTCGCTAGCCTCAGTTCGAGCCTCAGCCGAGAAGGTCAACGCCTGGGACGATGTGCCTCAGATTGATGTCTTGGTCAACAATGCTGGTGTAATGGCCGTTGACTGGGCTTGCTCTGCCGAAGGATATGACAGCCAGCTCGCGATCAACCACCTGGGTCCTTTCTTATTCACCAACCTCATCATGGGCAAGATGCTAAAGTCACCCGCACCTCGCATAGTTATGGTGACTAGTGGGGGCCACCGGCTGAGCCCTTTCCGGTTCGAAGATTATAACTTCCGCGTGAGTTAGCAGTACACCCTCACAAAAATGTCTTATGCTTGCATGTCTGGTGGCTGATTGTTCTGCAGGACGGCGAGTGTTATCATAAGTGGCTGAGCTACGGCCAATCAAAGACCGCCAACATGCTCATGGCTATCTCTCTCGCGGAGAAGCTCGGTCCAAAGCACAGGCTCTCGGCTTTTAGCGTCCACCCAGGGGTTGTCCCGTCCAATCTATCGTCGCATTTGAAATTATTCAGTGAGGACGATTCAGATATGATATCCATGCGTGAGTTGATCCAAAGCAGGCTGTGAGGTATCCTATGTTGGCAGTTAAGTATTGATTTTGAATAGGTGACATTGATCGCGTTATGGGTAACGGGATTGGGTGGACCGGCTTCGATGATGTTTTTCCCTCCACCCCCGAGGTTGGCGCAAATGTGTATGTGTACGGAGCCTTCGACCCTGATGTCGTAGGTAAGTGCGGTGACCATCAACTATCGCAATAAAGACTAAATGGCTAATTTTCGAAGCACATAATGGCTCATTCCTCTTGAGTTGCCGTTTGGCAGATCCCTGGAAGGATACCGTTCGACCTTGGGCAACTAGCTCTGTCGAGGCCGAAAGGCTATGGAAACTCAGTGAGAAGCTTGTTGGCCAGGAGTTTCTGTCCTAGGTATTGACGTATTTTCATTAGAGAAATGTGCTTGAAATTAATCATTTATTAATAGGATGGGATAATGAGGATAGTATTCCGTTCACCGAATTCGATGAGCAGGCTACCTGTGCTGCCACTAATTGCTTTCTAATTGCTGCGTCGATGGGTTCTCTCTATATCCCCAAATGTGTTGATTGATTGGACACGAATATCTCACATTTTGTGAAGAGCCAACCAGGGGCGTTTATCACCTGAACAAGTCGAGCTATTAGGCAGGCTTGCCGGTACTTTGGGGCATTTCAATATTGACATTTTGTTATTTTCCAACGATGAGTTACGTAGCGGCGTATATCCCTTGATGCATGCATGTTTTACCAGTGGAAGTTAGGTACCTAAAGAAAGCCACCATCAGTACCTAGGTACCTACTTAGTATGGAAGACTTAAGCTTGTCGAGATCAGCACCTAGATAATCTTCATCATCTCTCTTAGTTTTAGTATCGTTTCCTTTCACAAACTTATCCCAATATCAAACCCCTGAAGTTATTTGCCTATGAAAATCGTCAGGAAGCTACCACTAATCATCGCCATTCGCTTTCTTGTCTGTTATCCCAATTCATAACTACTATGGAGTCTACGCAAATCGTAGCGTCAAGTAGTAGAGTCGTGTCAGAGGAAGAGTGGGACGCATGGAGGGACTTCATCTTAGATGAATTTCTCGTCAAAGACCGTGGGCTCCATGCAACTCTCAAGAGCTTGCAGCAGAGAAATCCACATGTGACGTACGTCTAGTAATCCATATGTTGTTCAATCAATTTCTATATTCTCTAACGTTCTTTAGACTCGCAAAATTTCGGACTAAGCTTAAGCAATGGGGATTCTGCAAGAAACTAAGCTCTAAAGACTGGCGATACATCAACCATGCGATCCAAAATAGGAAATCCCAGGGCAAGGACTCGACTGTCGTTCTGTCTGGAATTCGATTTACCTCCGAGGGTGTAAAGAAGCAAACCAACCGCCACAAATCCGTCTCTCTCTACAATAAGTTAAATCCACGTTGGTTGCCCTATTCTTTCATTAAAGTAATTATCTCGGAGTAAGTACTAAGGTAGCTAACATCTCCTTAGCACGAAGTCCAGAGCCACCTGACGAAGATATTCCCCTTTATATATGCACCCCTCGAGCTACTTCTCCTGATGTCGTTCCTTATCGCGAATGGCCCAGGAAGCTCCCATGGATTCAATTCAACGAATCCATGCTTCCAGAGCTATTGTCAAAAATTCGGCTATTACCAGAAGACGATTCGGAAACGGGCATCGCTGCACTCGATCATCAACAAAGGAAGTCGCGTATAAAGCGTCGAACGAACAGGTCGGCAGCGTGGACTGCTTTCGAGAACCTTACACGGCGAAGTATGGAGATCGTGATCGGTTCTGAAGAACTCTCTCAAGTCCTAATTGCGGACAGGAGCATCGACCGCATCGCTGCCTACTTTAATGATGTCATCCCGCCAACATATCTTGACGAGAATGTTAGACGAGCCATCGTATTATCTGGCGGAGGGCCGTATGAAACACAAAAGGAAATCTTGAAGATCTTGATATTTTTAATATCTAACCATCTGATCATGAACGAACCCTATCGTTCACGCGATACATATATACGTGATGCCCAATCATTCGTGGATATATTTCGATTTTCTGGACTAGCTACGCCGGCCATGCTATCAAAGATTATCGAGCTTTCACGCAACAGCCTTACTTTGAGAGCCGTACTTGATGGGCTATATAAGGCAGCGGTCAATTCACAATCATTCGATCTCGTTATGGATTTACTTTCTATTGATGATCAGATTGATCCTAACCGAACCGTTGCCTACCCGCACTTGGGTCTGCTAAAGGGATTAACATTGCTAGAATATATGGTTGTGTGTGGTGCTATCGACCATTTCCGCATCGAACAACTGACTCAATCCGGTGTCAACATCAATGGATACTATACAGAATGCCCGCCTCACGTATATGTCATATTTTCAACTCCTGACATGGCTATTCAAACTACGAAATTACTATTGGAGGCGTATACAAGTATGAAAGATCGGATATCCGATGGATTACCTTTGATTATTGCGCGAGGCAATTTCGACTTGATCGATCTTTTCTATGAAGCTGGAGCAGACTTTACTTCAATTACTGATTCGTCTTCCTTTCTCGATTTGAATTTGAAAATACGGAGATGCATCGGGCTTTCGGTATCTTATGAAAGTATATATCGTAGAGAATATCCTCCTTTCATTGACTGCTTAGGAGCGGCTGCTTCTTTTTCACTCATACCTTTCCCTTGCAACACTGGGTTAATGGCATTATTCGGCAATAAATGCAACCCTCGAGGCAAAGAATTCTGGGGCATAAACGTTGATGGCCAGGATACCGCTCTGAAGCTGGTGAAGCACATTCTCCAGATATGTGGCCCTTGTTTCGATATTGACAACAAGCTCAAGTCAAACGCAATGATATTCGCAGCGTTACAGGGACACACCAAGGTTGTATCATTCTTATACGAGAGGGGAGCACATGTTGATGCACGGAATGGTTTACTGTGTCCTGTATGGGCTGCGGTCGACCAAAACCAAATCGAATGCTGTCGACTTCTTCTGAAGCTTGGGGGCTCTGCTCGCGCTGATTACCGTCCTATAAGATGTTGCGACCGTGTTGTTCGGTCGGTCCTTCTATCCCCATTACATGTCGCTGTGGCTCATGGATCGCGCGAATTGGTAGACCTCCTCATTAGAGGTGGGGCGGATGTCAACCTCGCATGTATGGTGCCCGTTCGTTGGGCTGGGGATAGTGGTTTCCAGATTCTGAGAGGAGCGATAGCCGATTATTTCAACGACGACCCGAAAATAAAGAACCATTGGGGTCAACGATTTAGGTCTCCATTTGCTTTTGCAATGGAAATTGGCTCTTGGGAAGTTGCATTGCTTTTACTTGACTGGGGGGCTATTTCTACAGATTACGATCTAAAGCGAGCAACAGAAGAAGGCCAGTCTCTTCTTATAAGCAAACTTCTTGAAACTAGAGTACCTTATACTGAGGAGGATATGGTGCAATTTCAGGGCGTGCTCGAAACATCTATCCGCAATGGACACGAATCAATCGCATTGAATATTCTTGAGTCGGGAATATCAGCCAGGAATTCCACCCTGAGTACTGCATTACAATACGGGCTATATCGCACTGTTATGAAATTGATTAAAACTGGAAGCCGACTTTCTAGTCCGGATTTTGCCGGTGCTTTCCGGATTCCTGATGTTTCGTGGGTACAGTCGCTTACACGATGTCACTCGCCCGTTACTTTCATTACGGTGCGAAGTATAAATGGAAGAAGCTTTCTAGAGAATTCCATACTGAGTGGCGATGTAGACGTTATCAGACTCGCGCTATCTCTCGACGCTTTCTTCTACGATTCGGGGGCATTATGCGCGGTAGTCGTTGCTGCTGTCCAGTCGTCGTCGCCTGGCATACCTGAAGTTTTGACAGAAATCATTCGAAGGCGTGAACTTGTAGATCAATCAAATGTATTCTTTGACCAGATATTGGAGAATACAGCTGTATCTATCGCCGTTCACCACGAAAGAATCGACATTATTACGCAGCTTGGAAGATTCGGAGAACGTACAATTGAAGCCGCAGTGATACCAAAAGAACACATTTCCTTCAATTCCCAATATTCGAACTATCACATCTATACGCCCGAAGATCACTCCTGCACTGTAACGGACGAATGCTATATTCCTCTCTCTGTCTATAAAGGATGGAATAATTGGCACGACCCGAAAAGGGTATATATCTCTCCTTTATTACTAGCCATTAAGATCAAGTGCGAGCCTGCCGTCAAAGTACTTCTTGATCTAGGATATAAACCCGACGCCCACGCCCTCAAGGCCGCCATTTATCATCGTATATCACTAGACGTCACAAGGAGACTCGTACAAGAGTGTACGGATTTAAACGCAACCGAAATTCTTGAGCTGAGACACAGCTATACGCCACTGCATGTAGCTGCTTTAGAAGGGCAAAAGGAGGTGCTAAACGTCTTGCTGAAAATAGGAGCCGATCCAAATGCCGGGTGTTGGGAAGACCGTGAATTAGTACTTCAACGCCTTGTCGAATATAGACGGTTTGATATATTCGATATCCTATATCAATCAGGCATCGATATCAATGGTACACCTCCTGTTAGAGTATATAAGGATACTCTACTACAAGATGCTGCCGAATACGGGCATCTTGGTGCAATTCATCGCCTAATTAGCTACAATGCTGACATAAACGCCCGAGGGTCGATGCAGGGCGGAAGTACTGCCTTGGAGGTAGCGGTAAGAGGTGGTCGTCTTGATACCGTTCAGCTCTTGCTCGAATCAGGTGTCAATACAGAGGGTTCCGGACAAGTCCAGTATATGTTGGCAGTACATCGTGCAACAATATATGGTTATACGGCTATTGCAGAACTTCTCAAATCGCATCGACAATGGACGACAGATGACTGGGGGATTTATCATCAAGTAAAACGGTATGGATTGAGTGGCGGTATGTTCATTCGCCCAAGCGAGTATACCGAAGAAGAGACACTAGAGGTATTAAAAATTATATCTGAAGAGTTGGAATGCAGGCCCGGCAGAGTTGTTATTCTTGGCCGTCACAATATTATAGCCAAGACCCTACTTTCACGATTTTCGAGCCAAGATAAAAGAGAGTTGATAACCATCCTACATGACCCAGCCGATGGTAATGAGGATCAACTTCAAGATACAGCCGCATCTGCAGATTTAGTTCAAATTCCGCAAGACACGATTGAAACCACGGATACGCAGCTACCGGGGTGCATCGAAGAATCGGATCTCGAACCAAATACTAGCATATGTTTCAGCAATACAGAAGGGCTGGGAGAGGACACTCACGGAGGTACCCACTGCGAGATAGGAATGGATCCCGACAGAAGACAGCAGATTTTGGATGATATGGGAGGATTGGGAGATGCACCGGCGGAACCAATGGTGTGGTAGTGGTACCGATTATAGGAATACCAAGTATTCATATAGGTGGTAGGTAGTAGGTAGCATGTTAGATTTCCCTCGTCCTGTATACCTAATAGGTACCATCATAAGAATTGATTTTATTCGCGAACGAAGTCCAGGGAAATCCTACACTACATTATATGTCTAGAATGAGTTAACTATGATGGTATCTTAGGTGCCTACTTGGTGGGTACCTAGGTATCTACCTACCTGTGTCGCAGGATACTAGGCAGGGAGAGACTGACAGGTACCAAGCACTTTTTCTTGAATATACTGGACTAGGAGCTCTGGGTGAAGGGCTTTTCCGTTTAACCTCTCTAGTAGCTCATTGGAGGGGTATAGCGCTATGATGCGTCGAATGTCCGTTGAACTCACGTTCATCGCACCGTTGACGTGACTAGGAACGAAGCGAACTAAGCCCATAGGAGATGTTTCCCGTTTGCAAACTCTTACTCCTTTCATTCTTGTAATATACTCTGACTGGATCTCCTTTATTAGCCCCTTATAAGCCTCTAGGTACCGATATAAGCTTAAATCACTGATAGAGATAATTTAGGGGTTTAACTCACCTTGCTTCATCATTGTAAATGACAACGAACCAAGAAGCCAATCTGCTGTGTCCTTCGCCTTTGGCATTGCTCTTTTCTCCAAGTGAGAAAGCTCCTTCCAGGATTCGCAGCCTGAGAGGGGGGCCAGCAACCCGTCTTCGTGTATAAAGTCGGCTTTCCTTCCGGCATTACAGACAACTATGTGTCGAATATAATCTCGGAATTTCGGCTCACATGCTTGTCCCACGTGGTCTGGCCCATATAGTTGTATATATTCCATAGAAAATCCACCCCTCATGATATTTCTACGTAGATTATCACGGAACTTCGACGTCCCCCCATCCCGGTCATACACCCAAAGCCATTCATGTGGCCCATCAACTCCTGTCCATAGCCGGGCTCTCTGAGTCGCCGAGAAGTATACGCGATCCCCATATTCCTTCTTTTTGATGCCTTTTTCGCTTATAGGAAGAACGATCGCGGCGATGACATTGAGATCTTGAGTACACGAGAACGTGAGGTTCAAGACTTCCTGGTGGCCGCGATGTGGAGGGTTGAAGCAACCCGTGTACAGAATTATCCGATTAATTCTATCATTTTGGAGCTGTGGCCTGAAATGCCCGATCCTTTGGTCGAATATCGGACGCGTCTGTGGAGGAGGCATGCCATCGTAGTAGGTTTTCGTGATATAATCCCCCAAATCTGCAACTAAATGATGTGGACCATATCGTGCAAAGCATGCAGCACCAATAATCGGGAACTTAGGGCCTAAGTTAATGATATTTCTAGAGTTCTGGGTCGGTGTCTCATTTGGAGGAGTGTATTCATCATTTTTCGTAGAGTCGAGGGATAGTTGGTAATCGCTTGAGTCTCTCGACTGTTGGCAAATAGATGAGACTTTCGGCATGTTGAAGATGATAGTTTACCAATTCCTAGGCAACTAGTTTGTAACTTCCAAGGTTGCTAAGTTCTAAGTAGTTTGATACCTTTGTAGAGAATTTCTCTCTAAAAATGACAATAATTAGGTAGGCAGAAACAGGATTTGTAAGGTGAATATTTACGTCCTGGAAAATGCAATGGGGGCTTACAGGTAGGTACCTAGGCAGCCACTGTCCAGAAAAGGGTCGTTTTACCTGGGTATACTCCTGGCAAATCAAATTGAGCTTTTATATGCTTGAGTACCTGGGTACCTACCTACCTAGTAGGTATCGGCGGGTTACTAGGGGGTTGTCATCTATACTTTAGTATATTGATGATACATTTATGAAATCAGTTATGTTAATCCCAATAAGTAGGTAGGTACCTATGTAGGTGTAGAGTTATGCACAGTACCATGTCATGTTGTATGTAATCTTAGCTGCTAGGTACCTATACTGAAAACTTTTCGATTCCATTATAACTCGAATCTGGAAGTCAACAAATTCAGTTGGGCGTAATTGATAATTACGTACGGGTACCTACATACATTAATATCATAGATTCTTCCACAACCCTCGCTAAAATACAGAAAATCACCGTATCAGTAATCTCCTCATCACAGGTATCTTCGATTCTCCTTAGCCCTGTTGAAAGTCGACAATTTCATCTATCCTTCCCAGCCCGCAGTTACTCAAGGTGTACTTGCGTTTGTAGCGTCGTTTACCATTTTCCTACCTGGACTTATAATAACGCTCGGGCTGCTGCATATGCTTGTCTAGTAGGTACTAGGTAACGATGACATATATTAGAGAGGGGCCAGAGATTATAAGAATAGATCCACGCCAGCACAATGTCTCTAAGGGAGACGGGGGTGTCAATACCAGTAAATGCAGCTCTCTATGAATAGACATATTTGGTTTAATGATGGACAGCTAGGTCTGTAATCGTGAAAGGCAAGGGCAGGATATTGAATACAAGGGGTTAATATGTTGTATCTTAGAGGCGTATTCAGTGTCTCTTAAGCGCTATAATATATACCAGAATGGGGGAGGTTTTAACTCGAGGAATTCTTGCGTAATATTCGCAAGCCTCTAGAAACTCACCTAGATTATAGCGATCATCTGCCATAAATACGCTATAATTATTCACTAGCCCTAAGAGTTTACTAATTTTTAGGCTATTACTAGGTAGGTACTTACCTGGGTATATACTGTACCTGCACTCATACCGACCGGTAAGGCTAGTGAGCGTCTCGATGACGAATATGTTAGAGGCAATATCTGGAATAGGCGAGAGAAGGTGAACTATAAAAGAATAAATAGTTCGATAAAAGAGAGCCTTTTGAAAGGAGTAAGGAGTCAAGAGACGTGACGAAAAGAAAGTTGGCGTTGGGAGAAAAGGTGAAGCTAGCTGAGTTGATACTAGGTACTGTGCTTTCCAATTGGCATCATAGTGGCATCTGCAGCCGGAGTAATTTATGAGCACTGCTCCTTCTGTAAATTGGAGACAAACGCAAACGCGGGCTCTCAGTCGGCTGGTGGTCGGGGGTGCGGGGTGGATATCCGACGGATTTATGGTACCTGCGCCTGCACCTGGCAGTTAACCGAACACAAAATATGTGAATTGGAAGAAAACCTTATCGGATCTATTTTGCACACAAACTTGTCAATTAGATATCATATACCTATATATATATACCTTCATAATGTAAGTTATACAACAGATACCTGACTAACAATCTAGTACGTGGCCTTCGCACCATCTTTGCCCTAACTCTCCTCCGGAATCTTAAACCCGCCCTTAACCATGCGCGTAAACACCCCCACGGGATCAACCCTCTTCCTCAGCGCCTGCAACATTTTCACATTCTCCTCGCCATACCCCTTAATGACGTCTTGCCACGGCGCCGCATAGTCCAGGTAAATATACGGATCATACACGCCTAGCTTTTTAGCCTTCTCCTCGATATCGCTCATCAGCGAGCGCGCGGCGCTGTACACCTGCTCATCGTGGGCGGCGTCCGACCATGCCGGCGAGATGAGGCAGATGGCGAGCGAGGATTCCTGTTTGGTCAGCCCGAGAGCATTGGTGTCGGCCCCGCCACGCTTGTAAATTTGCGGTGGTAAGGGGGTGTTTGGGACAATAATCTTTTTTTGACTTACGGGTCCATAGTGGAGCTTCAGCAATAAGTTCAGCACTGCGTTTGTATGTATCAGTAGACTGAACCCCACCTAAATTTTGCTGGTGGATCGTCCCACAATACTTAGTTTAGTATCCAATCAACTACATTGAAAAGACTTATGCTTATTGAAATCGCGAAAGGACCTTTTTAGAAACTTATCTTTAGACTTATGGGGTTTTAAGCCCTGTAATGCGCTATATTTATAAGGGACTTTAGCGATGTAGTACGCTATATTTTCAGGGCAGTTTACAGGGGCTAAAATATAGCGCGTTGAATCACTAAAACTCCCTGTAATTATAGTGCGCCCATGCAGCCTTGTTGAACTGATTGAACTGAACTGTCGATCGAACCGTTGATTGAACTGTTGATTGAACTGTTGATTGAACTGTTGATTGAACTGTTAATTGATTTATGAGGCTATTTACAGTTTTAATAAGCCGATAAGGTTGCGAATAGCTTCAATTATTACTTACCTAATAATAAGTAACTTATGAACTTATAGACCACAAACATACGAAGACTTACCAACATGCAAATATGCGCTGATTGGTCTAAATTATAGTGGGGACTGCCCCATAATCTGGATCCACTTTCGCATACTTATGTACTAAAGTGTCACGGGCCATAAGTAAGAAAAAGATTATCGTCCCAAACACCCCCTAAGGGCTCGATGTTCGCGGCCCACATAAGTCCTGCCACACCCTCTAATAGCGAGAACGACGAATTGAAGGCATCGTACGTCGCGCGGATCATAGCTTCCGTAGGAATAAATGTTGTCGTTGCTGTCATGTAACTGGTGAAGGGGAGGGTCAACTGTTAGCTTCGGTTGCGCCTAGTTAGGGGGCGGGGCAGGGGTAAGGACAAATCCAGATCGTATTTACCGAGCGGCCTGTGGCTTTTGAAGTGCCACCGAATTCTGTGCAAGCGTTGACATACTCGCGGTAATAGTCGTCGCTAAAGCGTTGCTAATCGTAGGAAGCTCCAAAATAGGCTTATAGAACGGCGGAGTCTCGCCCTCAAACGGCTACGTGTAGACCAGCTAGTTGAGCGTGACGCTCAGACCCTATTGACTAGCGAAGGCCCAGCCAGTGAGAAAGGAGGCATTCACGTCGTAGTTCTCGGCGGCTATGAGCTTACTATAAATCCTAGCCTAATTATCGACTTCAGTGAGAGGGTTGAGGGTTAGAGTCGACCATAACAAGCTCCGCTGCTCGAAAGTCCTGAAGTTGATACGGGTGACGATGCCGAAGTTATTCGACCCACCCCGGAGCCCCCACCATAGATCCGCATTCTGTTTTTCGTTTGCCTCTACCACCGAACCATCCGCTAGTACTATCTCGAATGATATTGCTTGGTTGCAGGTAAGGCCCTCTCGTGGTCCGAAGTAAGATATACCGCCACCGAGGGTTAGGCCGCCAACGCCAACACCAGCGACACGACCGCCGGCAACGCTCAGACCCAAGGGGTCGAGTTTATCGTAGATGAGATCCCAGGTGGCACCGGCACCAACTGATACGCTAGACTTGTCAGCGCTGAATTCAATCGAATTAAGACCGCGCATGTCGATAGTGACGGCACCGGGGGCGCTGTTCGCATTGGCGAACCACGTATGGCCACCACCGCGGACGGCGAAGTCGTGAGGCCCTCCATTTTCGGACGAGGTCAGTATTTTAACCAAGGTTGAGACATCGACGACAGTCTGTGGTGTTACGAAACACGCCGGCAGAACAGCCGCAGCTTGCGGACTGAAATACGATGAGAGGGACGTATTGTATCCCGTGCTGCCCGGGACGAGGACTTTTTCTATGCCAAGAAGGGCAATTAAGGCTTCGCACTAGAGGTAGCATGTCAGCCAGAGGAAGGGGATGGGGGTGTTGAAACATACAACCGATATTTCCTCCATTTTATTTTTCTTCATTTATTTTCTCAGTATGACATTTACAAGTAGAGCACCCATTTAAGGTGCTCGATTCAATTAAATCATTTGCTTTATCATCAGAGCCATTCTATTCCTTCTCTCCTCCTCCCAACTCATTACAAATGCACGCTGAAATCTTGCAGCCAACGCCTTTATGGACTTCTTTTAGCGCCCATATATGCCCTATGCGTGCATTAAAAAACCACCCACCACCCAGCCACCATATCTTACACCCGTTACGCTGAGCATACCTAACTTTGCCGCAGCACCACAGCTCTCTTTCCCTGCAAAGAACCAAAGTCCTTCTGCCTCTGGTCCGCAAAAAGCTACAAATGCGATACCAACAGTTCCTTTCATTGCTACGACCAAAATATATGCTTATTTCAACATGTCGTGTCTTCACCCCGCTTACCTAGACGTAGAATACGGCTTTAACTGCATTCCACATACCTCCGCGGCGGCGGGGTCCTCCGAAACAGTATTCCACTAGGATCCCAGTAGGACGGTGCTGTGCCGGAAATTTTGGATAGCGCAGTGCGGTCACTGGAGATAGCGGCTTACCCTAACTGCCCGAACCCCACCGCTACTCTTTGACTTGGCCGACTGTCCCGGGCCACCGAATAATTGATTGCAGTCTAGATGCATTGAAGAATACCGGTCCGCCAATCGTGACTATGTAAACGCAGGTACGCAGCCAACGATAATGGCGATGTTGGTCATGACCAGTCCAAGGTTTCAATAGAAAATTTACCAATAGTATAAAAAAAACTCAGGGTCTAAATGGCGAGAGCTTACATTAACACCGTCATCACCTGAACGTAGTGCCTCCATCTATCCGCTTACCTTCTTGCTCAATTATACGCCGACTTGTGTGCTGTTGTCTCAGGATCAATGCGCCAGTACAGGATAAGGGATATCTTTAATAGGGTGTTTAAAAAGGTCAGGTAGGTAGGTACCCCTTTATATCGAAATCTATTGACGCTATTTCTCATATAGAAGGATTATTATAATACATATATGAATGTAACTCCATGCCAAATTCAATTATAATAATCGGGATTCAGTACCAATAAAAATATGTTCTCTTTTCTCACGTCCCATTTTAGCTGCAGCATTACAGAAGCGATAGGCTGGATTTCTAGTGTGCTTATAGGGGTAAGCATACCTAATTGGCAGATGTACGGCAACTGATTACGCGCATTGCAGTGAACTCAGTCGTGTCATTGTGGTACCCGTACATCAAATGAAACCCATGCTGCTAATAAGACGTGGACGTGCTCCCGTAACTACCGAAGTAGCTATAATCCCTCATCTCACAATCTCCCAGGATAAAAACCTCTACTTAAGCCAGGCAATCAATCTATCATCGTATACACGGAGAATGGAAGGCATTGAGACCCAAGCTCCCAGCGAAAAGCAGCTCTACGCAGATGCCGTACTAATCGGCTCGAAGAACAAAGATGCAGTATGGTACGATAAGACACTTCCCGGGGTCCCCGAAGACGCTCGAGAAGTACTCGAAAACTACTCGCATGTCCCCCCCAACGAAGTAGACGCCCACGTCCTCGCGATCGTAAGTCGTATTTACCCCAAATACACCAAAACCCCAAATCTAACTCCGCACAGAGAGACAAGGCATGGGAGATCTACCCATGGCCATGCGTCGGGAAATTCAAATTCATACACCTCAGCCTGTGCAAGATGCCGTCCTACGCATCTATGGTAGAGGGTCTCAAGAAAGGGGCCAGATACCTCGATATTGGCTTCTGTTTAGGACAGGACGTGCGCAAACTAATCGCCGACGGCGCCCCGGGGGATAACATCTACGGGATCGAGTTGAACGGGCCCTTCATCGATCTCGGATACGATCTCTTCCGGGACCGGGAGACGCTGAAAGCACAGCTGATGCAAGGAGACGCCTTGGACGCCAGCGAGGATAGCGTATTTGCCAAGCTTGCCGGGACGGTGGATTACATCCACCTCGGCTTTATCATGCACGTATTCGATCTCGAACAGCAGCAATTGCTGCTAGAAAACTGCCTGCGGGCTCTGAAACCCGAAGCTGGCGCGCTTATCGTAGGAGACGCAGTCGGCGACGTAGAAGGCGTCCTATCGCCAGCGAATGGTTTCTGGCACAGCGAGGATACGTTTAAGAAGCTGTGGAAGGGCATATCTGAAAAAACAGGTCAGAGATACGATTGCAGAGCGACTCTTGGCCGATCTTTTGGAGTCCCCGGGTTCGAAAGAGCACAGCAGCTTACTTTTGAGGTTGAAATCCTAGGGCATGAGTAAGTTGAAATTTACCACCCAGCCGAGTTATTGATCCCTTGTAAGACCGCCAAGCTGCATCAACTTGTCTGCAGGTACTCGCCAAGAACCATCATATGCCATACACGTCTCTCACCAAACATTAATAATCACCGAGGACAACCAGACAGGCAAACAGGTTTAATAACACACTTATAATCAAGTAGCCTGCATTGTCTGGGTCTATCTAAAGTCCACGTGCTTGAATTCCTATTGCCCCTCTCTGTCCGCATGATGTGGGGGAAAAATCTATTCCTCATGAACTACCTAGAAAATGGATGATTGATGAGCAGAACCCCTCTGAACGATGCCTAGTCCAGTATCCGCCCAACCACCCCTGCCGTTGTCATTATAATTCTCCTGTTTTCGTCCTCGCCATGCACATCAATTAGCGCCTGGAAAGGTCATCTATCCGTAGATAATAGTATCATGAAAGGCGGGTACGTTTTCGCCCAAGGGAGAAGACTTCGATCGCGATTACGATTGGGTCTCCTCAACCTCAGGCTTTGTAGCCTCGGCGTCTGTCATCTCTTCGTCCTTAGCTTCGCCCTTTGCGGCCTCAGCCGCTTTACGGGCCTCCTCTTCGGCGGCCTTCTTGGCAGAAGCTTCGGCATCAAGTTTAGCCTGTACAGCTTGACGGTCTGCTTCTACCTTGTCGAAGTATCTTTGCCTAATGGGACCAGCCATGGCTTGAAGCTCACTCATCTTGGCGATATAGACAGCCTTGGTGGCATCCTCACCATCCTCGTATAACCAATCCTAGATTTTGTCAGTTCTTTGTATCAAGTATTAGACAGGACCTAGATGCTCACCTCGCTCTCCGTTAGCTTCGATCTGAGTGTGTCTTTCTCCTCGTCGCTGGCAAAGTCGGCGTATTGATCGTCCAGTTTGTTTCGGAGATCATAGATATATGTCTCTAGTTCGTTCTTTTTCTCCTCTGTGTCAGCAACAAGCTTGTCCTCCATAAGCATTGCAGATTCCTTTTCTGTGAGGCTATTCTTGGTGGACGCATCTAAAGAGTTGGTGCCAGCAACAATAGGCAGGTCGCCTTTGCGAACTTGTTTCTTGACCTTTCGGGTCTTGGGCTTATCGGAGTCTTTCTTGTCATCAGTTTCCATAGCCTGCGAGTTTTGTTAGTTGTCGGGGTTTTATATAAAATTCTGTTTTAATAAGGCTCCATAAGCCGAAAATAAAATGGAATCACTTCATGAAAAAGGTTTCAACGTTTCATCGTGCACCAAACATATTTTGTGGGAATGAAATTCACTTACGTCAGGGTCCTTCTTATCCCCTTCATCCTTCTTCTCGTCCTTGACCTCTTCTTCGACTTCTTGGTCTTCAACATAATATCCACTCTCCACATTAAGGACACCATGGATGTTCACTCTAGCCTTGAGTTTGCAGATCATAAACTCGGTTTTAGGGTCGGCCTTAACACCCTTGACGGAGAAGCGACCAATGAATGGCGAGATCTTGCCAGGGAGCTCGTCGGGCTTAGCATATCTTGCCTCGAGGTCAAATGCCTGCTTTCGGTAGAAAGTCAAGATCTTGGTCGAAGGAAGGACGTTGCCCTTGTTGAACACCGTAAGGCTAGTGTCTTCATCTGGAATGTCAACATCCTTTTCCCAGGAAAACTCGATAGGGTAGTTGACGATATCCTGGACGGCGAAGTCACGGACCTTGAAGACGGGCGAGAGAATGGCGCAACTGAAAGCACAACCTCGAGCAACAGCCTCATCCTGGTTGAGGGTAAAGGAGAGCGGTTTTCCGAAGAATGCCTGGATTTGTTCTTTCAGGGCAGGAACACGTGTGCATCCACCGACCAGCTCAATCACATCAATGTCGTCCTTAGAAAGTTTAGCTTCGGCAAGGGCCTGTTCTAATGGTACTGTGGCGCGGCTAAGTAATGGCTCTACGAGCGCCTCGAATTCCTGTCGCGTAATCATAGCCGTCACATCGATATCGTTCATGAGAGACTCGATGTTCATAGGAGCTTGTTGATTGGCTGACAGAATCTTCTTCAGCTTCTCGGCAGCAGCCTCGACACGGACCATAGCCTTGGGGTTAGTCGTGATATCGATCTTGTACTTGCCCTTGAATTCCTTCTGGAAGTGGTTAACCAAAGCGAGGTTGAAATCTCGTCCACCAAAGTGGCGGTCATATGCTGTCGACTTGACACTAAGCTCGCCTTTCTTAAACTCGACGATGGAGCAAGAATAGTCAGCGTGGCCAATATCGATAAAGGCGACTCGGCGAGGCTTCTCTTCAGCGGGAGGAAGATCGAGCTTGGTGATACCATAGCCCAAAGCAGCGGCAGTGGTATCGTTCATAACACGAAGAACCCTTAGGCCAGCGATCTCGGCCGCATCTAAAAGACTTCTTCTTTGGACGTCAGTGAACCATGTAGGCACGCTGATGACAATTTCTTGCACAGGTAACTTGAGCTCGTTCTGCGTTGTCTGCTTGATCTTGCTCAAAAACATGGCCGTGAGTTGAGTGGCCGAAAACTTCTCCTTCTTGCCTAAGTACGACACTTCAGCGCCAACCTGGCCGCCGACATCAACGAGAGGGGCCGAGACATATTGCTGCTCGATCTGAATATCTGGGTCGTTGATGCTTCGTCCACCCAAGCGCTTTAAAGAGCTAACAGTGTTCTTAAGATTAGAAATCTCTTGCGTCTTTGCCGGTTCTCCGAGGTATCGAGACTTGGGTCCGAATCCAACTAGGGAACTGAAGATCCAGCATGTTAGTATGGGGTATATAGAGCGTCAGATTACGATGTCCAACTTACGGAGTAGCTCGATTCGAGACTTCATTTGTAATCTGTGCACGTTATTAGCTCGGCTATTCTTGAGCCCATATGCATATATAAATATAAATCTGTTGATAGATAGCATAGGGTAGTACATACGACATCGACACCTCGATTTCTGGCGACTGCAATGACAGTGTTCAGCGTTCCGAAATCGACGCCTATTTTTTAATGAGGTTAGAGATGCATTTTCTCACGATTGAGAAATATAGCCTGCGTTAGGTGAGCGAACATACCGACTACACTCATCTTGGTGGGTTTTGTGGAAGAGGACCGATAAACAAATAAAAGTTGATATTTGATTGCGGGGATGCGAGGAAACGTCGCAAGCCGTTACCTGGTTGCCGGATTAGAATTGCGAGAAAAATTCGGATCTATCGAAGACAAAAATTAAGTTGAATATGGCCTAGGTTTATCAGACACGAAATCCGTCGATGTTTCGTTGGAATGTCGTGTTTGCGGCGAAAGGGAAGGGGAAAAAAGATTCTTTAAGAAGAAAAAAAAGCTGCCCGAAAATGTGAAGTGGGAGATCGCGAAGGACTTTCAACCTTAGCGTATCTATTTGAACCCCTCATTTGTTACACCCCCCGGGGTATGATTCAGCCTTCCCGAAAGTTCTGGACATTTCGACATTCGTCTATGTCCAGGTGGGTATATCCAGCTGTAAGGCTTTTAAGGTTCCAAGGTCCAACGCTCTTGGCCTTCCAACGTAATATGGACGCCACACAAAGCCTCATCTTGATTGAGACCTAATAAATGATTATTATGTAAGTAATCTAGCAGTTCTGGTTCAAGGTTCTATTCACAGATTCTTGTTATGTAATTTGATTCATATATTTTCTTCCTACAGGTCATTACAGGTCATATTTGACCATGCATACATCCTTCCAGCTTTTTCGAGTCCAATCCATCTCATCGATTCGATAGTCTTGTACCAAACAAGAAAAAGAAATTCTGAAAAAGGTACATTAACAATAACCCAATTCAGCAAGCCCAATTATATATCTACCCCTCTCCATGCTATCTATCTACTCCGCCAAAAATACCCACCAAATTCCCCCACCACGACTAATGCCAACCTTGCCAGCCAAACGATGGTGGGGTTTTCTCATGGATTTCAAGATTTGACCGCCTGATGATGCTGCCGCCTTGCCGCCCCGCGACCCGAAAATTTACACATGAAGGTGTTATATACTGTACCTATGATACGTGGACAAAGATTGTTACACTTTTGATAATAGGTATGCTGGGTCTTGACGATCATTACGAATGACGAATATCGGGGAGATAGCTAAGTCATTAATAATTATGCACAGGTGTAATTTTCATCCTGGATATTGAGGACAATCGACAAGGGGATTTACATTACTCATCAATATTAACATGTCTACGGGGTTGCCTGGTGATACTGTGGCTGCCAATACTAAAAAGGGGATCGTAGTGAACCAAGATTTGACAAGGTAAATAGTTCCATTTTCTACGGTCCAGTGACACCCGTTTGTGGAACGTAACATCCATTTCGTCAACCAATACCTCAAAATATAATTCCTGTCCATAATTCAATACGCTTAAACTCCTCTATTTAATCGACAACAGGTTTGTTATCCGCCCATGACGGCTCAATTCCTCGACAGACACTCTCATAGTCTCGGAATTTCTGCCCGTCCAAAGCTAAGTTAGGAGTCGTCCAGAACATAGTCCAGTTCATGTCCTTGAACTTCAGCGAGCCCCTCGATCGTTCAAAATACCATTTGTTGACAGGGTTATCCTTCCTGCTTCTCCAGCAAACCCCTTCTGGCAAGCAGCCACGAACCATAGCATTGAATACGATATCGGCCACTCCTCCAGCTCCTTGGCTCTTGCGAAGAACGGCAAATTTATCCAAGTATGGCACGAGCCGCTTTGGGTCATCTGCTTCAGATCCATCTAAGCCAGGAGGTTTTTCCCATGTCAGTAACGCGCCTCCTTCATACTCTCCTGCGATGATGATGCCGGCTAGGTTTCCGTGGATCCTCTTCAGATAGTGATCTACGTCGAGTTTTCTGCCGAAAGAATCTTCAATCAAATTGACGAGTCTGGGAAGATCAATACACGGGTCCGTAAGGTTCAAGCCTCTCTCTCCTGGCATGGGTGGTTTCCATGGGGTAACTCGAGGATCCGGGAATACAGTTAAGGGCATCCCACGCTTGACTAGTGTCGTTAATGAACCAATCTGAGCCATACCATTTGGTGACGTAACGGGTCTAAAACGCTCAGATGGTAACGATGAAGATTGGACCGGCTTGTCGGTGAGAAGACTGTGTATCAATGGGTTCTGACCTCGTCGTGTGCCGACAAGGGCCCAATCCACGCTATTATCTTGTAGCCCACGTTCGTTTGCGACTTCCTGTGGGGATGTTATAACTGCGGAGGAGGTCGGAGGTAGTAGAGAAAGGACATCTTTCGTTAGTTCGGCATTTTCTAAATGCTGCAGACTATCCATACTTGGTCCATCCGGGCTTGTTGGTGTCGGGGATGTCAATTCATTTCGAACCTCTGGTAATTCTTGTTCTAGGTTCAGAAATAAGTGCCTTCCAGTAGCTCGGTTTCTGGCCGGAATCCCCCCTAAAGGATCCAATACAATAAGTCGATAAACCTCGGCTAGTCTTGATGTTTGTATCGATTTTGAATCTTCAACCGGTTGTCCTATGAACTGAAGGCCCGACAACTGTCTCGTAAGGGCCAATATAGCGTCGTTGACATCAACTGGTTTGACTGCGCAGGCATCGGATGTGTACCCGAAAGAGGAAATGATAGGGACCACCTCCTCTTGTAATGCAGCCATCAGATCATTGGGATTTCCGATAAACAAGCCGCGCGAAGTGAACGGTGAAGTGTCTCCTTCGGTTGGAGTGTCGATAGTAATTGGTGAGTCAATAACCCGCGCCCCGGGGGCGTCATATTTATCTATCGCCATAGCAATACGATTAGCTTGTATGGAGGCGGTTTGTCGCTGAGCGGCCTCATTTTCCCCAGAGGTACCACAGTCAACCACGACGATACTGATTAATCCAAGCTTCCGAAGTTGACCTAGAGTTTTTCCCACGCCATTTAGGGTGGCATCATCGACTTCTTGAGGAGCACGGAACTTAACCAGAGCAACGTACAACGGTAGTTGAATGGCGACATCAGCTTCGGGTTTAGGTCCCTGGATAGGGTCCTTTTTCGCGATGGGAGCATCGTTTATAGCCGTGTCTTTCGCAGCATCTTTGTTAGTTGCCGGACGAGTCAGTGTTGCACGCTCCTTAAAGCCTGTCGCCCCTTTCTTCTCCAACAACGGAACAAATTTGTTCATATAAGCCTTGGCATCTCGTTTGGTGACCGAAGTCCCGAGTACGGACAGGAAGAAATCCTGACAAATGGTTAAGACAATCTAACGTAGGGTGGAGGGAATCATTTAATACCCTATCAAGACTTTTTTTATGTTTTTGGGATTTGGAAATGGAAGTGTATGGCGAAGCAAATGTTACCGAGTACCAACCGCTATTTGCGGTGCTCCGCGCAGACCGGGATGGCAATGAATTCGAGCCATTGATCCTGCTAAGATCCTTGGTAGACGGCGTCTATCATATAACCAGTTAATACTACTTTCATTTCTTTTTGATTTTCTGACATGTTTAATGCTGAATGAAAATCGCAACCCGTTCGTCGATAGAAACGGGATACATAGTTGAAGGTACGAGAATCCAGAGGGTAGGGCGACTTCACTCACGTTCAAGTTCGAAACCGCCCTCTTCCAGGCTGTGAGTTGCATTGTCATAGCGCGCGAAGCATTTTGTTTGTTAGGAAATTCAACAAGTGATGTAAACTAGAACCACATATTGAAATAGACCAAGGTCAGGAAAGAAAAATGAGCATTGATGTACAGAAAGTTTTAAATTTGGTGGAATGGGAATTATACTCCAATATATCTGAATTCCAGTGAGTCAAAAGCTAGAATGATAACAATCGATAAGCCACGCACTAACAAAGCCGCCACGGGCAGGATAGACCGCTATCGGCAGAGTAAGAACTACCCGATCACCCCGTACACCTGCCTTATGCGCCCGTACTTCTAGGGTAGTCTAGACCCATGAGAGCCGTGTGACATCAGAGGATGCGAGGACTTTTTCTCCTTAGAAGCGACGCCCGCCGGATTTCCTTTCTCGTCTTATTCTTGTCGCATCGGATTTCTCTCGTCGAACGAAAGGCGTCAATCGGCAATTCAAATAATATCATATTTACGCATCCAACCAGAAGACAGAGATTATCTAGTTCTTGTTACACTTTTCAATTAAACATCCATACCTAGGTACCTACGAGCCGCCGATTGTTGGTGGGGTTTACATCCGACTCAGCCATTTCCCCTGTCCTGAATTGCCGCAAAGTGAAGATTCGCATGTCAAAAAATGTTAGCACATACGAATTCTTCCAGATCTTTTACTCATTTGACCGAGGAAGAGGTCCACCGCCTTCTAGATCTGGAAGCCCATTATATGATCGCAGCTTTCGGACGAACGCCAACGCGTCTCTATGGGGCGATTAATGCATACAAGCCAAGTTAAATGTGTTTAGCTTCTTTAACATCTAATTACGATACCTATTTTCACGTGTGCGTAATTACTTCCGGTAGCCTACGAGGTTTGAATGACAGATGGAAACGACATTAATCGGATCTTAACGAAATCCAACTTTCCTAAGAACAGTAACCTCTCCGAAGCAAATATGGATTATTGCCGTGATTCCAATCCAATTATGTGGGATTACTAACTACATACTAGGTACCACATATATATGTAAATGTTGAGGCAATTCCTCCCAATACAGAAGATTCAGATAATTCCAATGCCTATAAGCATTAAAAGATGACACCCGTATGCGTCTGTGCTATCTATGCGTACTAGATAGTCAGCTTACGTTCAGTCTATCGTGAAGCTAGATTGAATATGACACCAATTTTAAAGTTAGTCGTCCATCCTAGCAGTCATGACAACCAATATAAGACCCGTACGAGGCACCAAACCTACCAACACCAGCATCATCCACTACCCATAGTCAGAGTGCATCTACTAACAATACCACGATAACGAAAGAACGAATATTCTGACCTGAGCCACTAGTGAAATTCGTCCGTAAAAATAGGAGTACAAAAGATAAATAATCAAAACTTCTGATTACCTAAAGTCCAACTGCTAGGTAGGGAAACATCAAAGGGGTAGATAAATATAGTATATACCTACCTACCTATTTCCTAGCATCAAGCAAATTAATTCTTATTGAAGATAACCAGAAGCGTATGGCCACTGTATGAAAAACGTGTTTCCAAGATTGATAGCCATGACATACTGAGTGGCGGAGTCCCTGAATAAATAACACCCATTTTGAAGGGAGACATTTGTAGTGTGAACAGTGCCCATATGAAGCAATGATATCGTACCTGTTTATAACTGAGGTGTTCAATGATTTAATTTACAATCTCAAAGCATACCTACCTAAAAATTGACGGCTCGAGTCCATTACTAGGTAAACACATCATGTCTTTTCGCGACTTGGTCTGTTTGTTTACATACTAGGTAACGACCAACAACGTTTATGAATCTCCTACATACTTCACACCTATTTCACTTGTTACCACAACAATGACTATGATGCTTCAACTTTAGCTACCTTTTTGCTTTCCTTCTTGCTTGGAATACATCTATTCGCTTTAAGCTCAGCCGCGATGAAGTTTGGAGCAACTCCTATCGCGGCGCTTGTTGCCAGCCTTCTGCTTCCGCTTGCCTCCAGTATACATATCTTACCAGATTCCAATGGTGCCTTGTCCCTTCAAGACAGCTATGACTATATTGTTGTGGGTGCTGGGATAGGCGGTCTTGTTGTTGCCAATCGTCTATCGGAGGATCCGACAAGTAGGTTCACTCAGTCATCCACTAGACTATGAGGTCCCCCATGCTTACATGTATCAACAGTATCGGTGCTAGTGATCGAGGCTAGAGACCTGTAAGTATCGCGTCGCAGAATTATCCGTGGGGAAGGGCGCGTTGAGGCACCTTCCCAAGTCCATACTGTCTTTGTGGCTAACCACACGTCGCACTCAGGGATGACCGCGCCGAGGATGTCTCGATTCCGGGAAATATCGGACTTGAAGATCCACGCCGATATAAGGTAAAGCTGGATTTGGCAGTTCAAGAATTTCTTGACGGCAAAGAACGGGTCATAAGCCAGGGAAAAGTAGTTGGGGGAAGTACTATCGTCAATGGCCTTGTCTGGACAAGAGGCTCGATGGCCAACTTCGATGCCTGGGAGCGTCTAGGAAATCCAGGCTGGGGATGGGCAGGTCTTCTACCCTACTTCAAAAAGGTGAGTCCTGTACTAAATACCCGTCATGAAAACCCCTATTCCGAGATAAGCAGACTAATGAATAAAACGTATAGTGTGAGAAGTACACTGTGCAACCTAGTAATAGGCCGGCGCATAACTTCCCTATGGATGTTTACCCAGTCATCGAAGCGCATGGTAACAAAGGGCCGGTCGAGGTTGGTTATCCAAACTACTACTACAACCAGTCCTGTATGCCATCTCCATCCAGAGTAGTCCAATGAACACTAACCAAAGTGAAGGCAACTTCCTCGACGGTATCCAAGAACTCGGGATACCCGTCAACGAAGATCCCAATAGCGGCAATGCCACGGGGGCCAGTCTCATTCCCAGCAGTATGGTCGCGAAAAACCAGTCACGTTCCGACGCGCGCATCGCGTACCTCGACCCAGTGTTGAACCGCCCAAATTTGCATCTCGTTACCGGCCATACCGTTACTTGTATCCTCTATGATAACGATGGGGCTACTTTCCTGAATTCGACTTATATCCCTGGAGCTTCCGGGCTAAATATGATTGGTGTTGAGGTGAGTAATAACATCACTACTAAAACTTCTGGTAATGTATGTTACCACTAACAGTGCGTGGTACTGTAGTTTGCCGCCAACTCAACTGCGAACAAGATCCGTATCAATTGTGAAGTGGAAGTAATTCTTGCAGCTGGCGCAATCTTTTCCCCTGTCTTGTTGCAGATCTCTGGCATTGGGCCAGCTAAACTTCTAGGGAATTTAGGGGTAGACATCGCCATTGATCTTCCAGGGGTAGGTAGCAATCTTCAGGATCACCCTACTCTACAGCCTGTCTATAAATGTGAGTACCAACTGCCTGACTTTTTAGACATTTGCTAATTGCCCAGATACTTCGCCGGATGTGTTCTCTGCGTGGGATATTGTAGGGAGCACTCGGGATGCCGTTCGAGAGGAGTATTTCACTAATCGTACAGGTTCGTCGTAACGTTCTATAATATTCGACCAGTAGAAACTTACATGCAACAGGGCCCTGGACAGCACCGATGGTGGATATCATTGCGCTGCCTGCTTTAAGCTGGGTGACCGACGACCTTCAAGAGTGGTTGGATGAGGCTATGAACACCACAAACAACTTGCCACTTTTTTACGACGAGACTCTTCACGCAGGATATCTCGCACAGCGGGATGAGGTGATATCTATGCTTGCGCGAACCGACACACCAGCATATGAAGTTATGTCGACCTCATGGGGTCAACTTGGAGTGAGTGCCATGCAGCCGCTCTCTCGAGGGACGGTCCTGGCAAAATCCTCGTCGATGTTTGAGAACCAGCCTATCATCGACCCACGATTTTGCTCGCATTCTATTGACTGTAAACTGCTACTTCTCGCGCTCGGATTTAATGACCAACTTATCCAGACGTCGCCAATGGCAGCGTTGATACCAGTGGCGCCACCTGGCTTTGGTATCGCCGATGCTAGAAACCAGACGATGGTAGATGAGGCGATGCGGTCGATAATCACGTCCGGATTCCACCTAAGTGGAACTACATCTATGTTACCAATCGATTTGGGTGGGGTGGTAGATTCGTCCCTGACAGTGTACGGTACGAGGAACCTGAGAGTCGTAGATGCGGGGATTATCCCATTGCTTCCTGCCGCACATATACAAGCTGCGTTATACGCCATTGCTGAAAAGGTATGTCGTTCTACACCTGCTTGGAATGAATTCGTAAATATCCGCTAAGGAGACTAGAGTACTAATGATGATATGAGAATAGGCCGCGGATATTATCAAGGCTGGAAACTGAGAGGTGCTTCATGCCGCAAGACCGTGATCTGGGGGTTCGATGATTCATGACCAAGATCTCTCAAGGCCTCATCAAGGATCAAAACATTCCTCCATCTTCGTGCTAAATCGTCCGACTTGCAACAGCCTGCTTGATTCACTGGTATAAGTGGCCCCCTATGCTTGAGTTAGAATTCCTGAAAAAAAGTCAGGATGATGAACACCAAGGCTCCGATGAATAATGTATAATAAATCGATAAAAATCAGACTGTCTGTGTAAGTAGTTGTGATCCTATGAACGTCGATGGTAACGAGAATCGAATTCGAATTTATAAATGCATGGGTTCATGGAATAAGTAGGAAACTTGCGTTGATTCCTGATATCTTGAGGCTTGCCATAAAATGCTTGATTGCATAATAAACTTTGAAAGTATCATAGCGGCAGTGGGTAAGTAGATGAAATGGTTTTAAATTATAATAACGATACGGTTGGAGGGTAACGTTTCTTTTTAGAGAATAGTTTCCTGGGTTATAACGATTTCCTGCTATGTAATAGCTTTAAAATATTGGATTTTAATTAGTTAAAATAATTGAAAAATGGGTAAAAGATATAAAGGTATTTTCGAAAAATTTAAAATTTTAAAAAAGATAAAGCTCGAACTTAAGTTTTTTTATAATACGTATAATAAACGCGCATTATAATTAAGTTAAATAATTTTAATAAAGTAACTAATTTTATTAATAATTAAAAAAGTAAAGTTTAAAACTTTATATAAGGTTTATTTACCTTAGCAAATTAAAAAGTGGCCTTAGCGCTTAAAATAGGAAATTATTCTAAGATAAGAAACCATTTCCCTGAGTATAATTATCGTATAGTAAAACAACCATTTTGAGGAAACACCCTTTGCCGCTACGGTAGGTACATATGGATTCATAAATTTAAATATTCAAGGTACTTACTAGGTAGCCAAACAGCCAAGTAAGCTTAATCAGCAAAAGTGGCTGAGAAGTGGGGCTCGGATTACCATATTCGGTTGGCTGAGCATGCATAAAAATAATGCACCGTGCTTAAATGATTCATAAACTCTAAACCGTATTCGTAAAATACGCTTAAAATTTAAAACCTCCTTTATATTTGCTGACAATCGCTTGATTCGATAGTTTCAATTGTTCAAGCCAAGTTTCAGCTACACCTTACCATAAAGAGAATGGAGGACGGGAAAATACGAATGCATCGGCTCCACAGTATCCGAAATCGCAAGACGCTAACCCTCACTATCTTCATTAATGAGTCTCATAAAAGGACGCTCTTCCCGCCTTCGTCTCAATCAATCTTGTTCTAGCATATGAGCGAGGTGCATCGTACATCGTGGAGATGACCTTCATTTACAAAGTACGAAACACTCTTTATTATTCCTCGAAATCGTATCTCATATAGTTACACATACGGTCGTGTTTTCATCATGAGCATCGAGTTTTGCGGTGCCATGAAGAAGACTTACATATGCTATGAGGGTGATGATTCATTCGTATAACATTCTGTCTGACTATATCATTGCCGTTCTATTACGGATTATTCCCAGGTTGTCTGGTATTTATAGCTGGAGACCAGTTTTCAAACACTTTCAAGTCAGTTTGCTTTGCATGTTTCTGCAACCATCCGGACGTGCGTAAGCAAATGTGTCGGATCGACCATTGTGAATATACGTACTTAGAAGTTACATCACTCTGCCTAGCCTGCTAGGTCTCCTCCTCGCTACTGTAATGTGCATACCTACATACGCACAAGCATCAGGGTTCTATTATCCTAGTCTTTCCTTGCGTTCGGAATCGCGAAGTCGCACTAACAGTTAGCAATATGATTCAACGGCACCTGGCGTCTAGGTCGCATTCAGTTGTGATACGGCACGGCTAGCTAACGCGCAATAGATATCGATTTTCGTCTCGTTCTTATGCTGCTATGCCATGAATCAAATATATAGATAGATAGAATCTATATGAGGCTAGACCTCGGCGCGTTAAAAGCCTGAGAACGACAAAAGTAACGCTGACTCTGATCTCAATCTTGATTTGACACGTTCAGTCGCGGAAGTGTTCTTGTCACAACTTTGAGTTTTGCCTAGTTCATAGCCGAGGAATAATGGCGACTCGCGAAGCTACCGTGACCTAACGGGCTGAAGTCCATTGGCGCGACTCTAAGGTCCTTTTTTACTTTTGTAAGGGCTCATGATTGGGTGCGTGAGATCAGACTGCAAGCATAGCCACGATGGCATGCAGTTTTGGATCGGGATGCAACCAACGAAGACCATTAAGACCTTGTCATCCAAGCATCGGATCTTGGTCAAAACGTTGAAGCACTCTGCCGTATGCAGACGGGTGAATGGCAGATAGAGAGGCGGTCAAAAAAGCAAATCCAAAGCAGCTCATGTGCTTTCTGCGACGATGCGAGGCTCCGTCAACCTACCCGCGAATCATAAACTTTTCAATATCAATCACACGATCGTCTTGCAGGAAGACTGCCGCAAGTCCGGGACAATACAGCCAAACGGAGCATCTAATTCTTTTAAGTTTGTATGTCAGGGTCACTCCAGCAAACTACCCAATTATACGGACGTGGGATGATAACCCGGAATCTATCCCCCACTTTCACAACAAGACCTGAAGCTTTAGTTCGAAGAGTTTCATATTAGAAGCCTAGATTCTCGAGCTCATATATCATTTTTTGTCATTTTTTACTTCGTAACAACATCTCCATAGCATATCATTATTAAGACGGAAAGGGAGAGAATATTTTCTAACTTGAAACCTCTTCCGAGTCACTAGAGGTTAAAACCCCGCGGTGATAATATAATATATACACTAGATATATATGAAGTACCTACCTACCTTATATGTATAAAGATAGAAATCAATGGGATTTTATTTACCTATTTACCGTATTATACATACACAACGTCCGTTTTTTACTTGGCCACTTAGTGGTTTTACCGTCACAGGGAAAGTCCTGGTGACTGTCCCCCGCTCTTTAGACATATTCAGGTTTTCGAATCCTTAAGTTGACCAATAAGGTTGTGTTAACATGCACCCTGCTACGCACTGTGTCAAGGATGACTTAGATCCAGCTTGCCTAGAGACAAAGCTACCTCCGCTGACTCTTCCGTCATAACATAAATTCTTTCCCCTCATATTACAAACTTATACGGAATACCTACCTGCAAAGAATATTATCATCCACAGTCTCTATGCCTTTTCTACCTATCACCCACTAAGCTGCCTAGTAGATTGGTTTTTCCTCTCTAGATTTTCTTGTCACCGCATTGATTTATTTCTAAATCCTAATAAATATGGCTTCCTTCATTTGGAATATATCACTTCGAGAATGGTCTAAAAGGGACCAGATCCGGGAGATCACCCTTTTTTAATATGACCCTTAGAAATTACTCCTCAACCTCACATTCCGACTTGGTCACCTCGCTACGAAAAGTGACGGCCCTTTCTATCACGCTAATATTTTTCAGCCGTGGTGATCGAAACCGGAATCGAATTCTGAGTGCTTGACACAAAAAATGGTTGCAGGAGGTACAAAAGCATAAGTGACCAATTTTATTGGTTGAATTTATGCGCGGCAGTCTATCCCTCTTTTGGCCTAGCTTCTATCCGAGCATTGCCCAATGCGCAAGAAGGCTGCAATGCATCCTATGTGAGTGGCTTCCTTCCTTCTCCTCAGTGACACTTGCTCCTCTGTTCCCCTCGCTCGTACTTTCCCATTTTCCCCTCGACCTTTCAACTCTTCATGCTTTTTTAATAGCCTAGTGCAAGGTCTTCTAGTCATCCCAAACTCCCCTTGCTCTTATCGTTATCTTTTATTATTATTATTTTTTGGCCTTGGTATGGCTACAAATGAAATGTACAACAGGCAGAACATGTTGGTTGTGTCTCGACTCTCTTTCATTTCCTTTCCGCTTCCGCTCTCTCTCCTTTTCCTCTTTCGAGTTTTATCCACTTTTTATTGGTTGCAAGTGCTGCACCTTTTACCAGCGTCATGGAAAGCCTAGGTGAGTTTTTTTAAGACGGGTCCTTTTTTGGTGGTTCCCAGAACCAAAATCTTCCATGTGGCCCCGCATACCCGGATCAGAACGCACCAGCCAGCTACAGCAGCAGCAGCCACACATTGGAAGTAATGGGGCATTGCTGCTGCACCACAGCAATCTTTTTTTCTTATTCCCTTCTCTTTGTACCGGTACAAGTACATCAGTATGTACAATACACATTTCTAATATGTACATCTGCACATCCTATACATCAAATACGTGCTAGTCTTCATAGGCATTATTTTCCCGCTTTTGCTCCCATCGCTCCTCCTACTTCCCACTACGCACCACCCCAAGAACCACGCCAATTGGTGCTGATGCACGCACCACTACTCAAAATTGTCAGTGGGAGCTGCAAGAGCCCTGCAACGCTCGCGCTCCCACTCCGCTCTTGCAGGGCCAGCCCAGCAACCCGCACCTAGTACCAGCACCCAGCTCCCAGCACCTAGCAGGTAAGGAAAGAGTGAGGGACTGGGACTGTGACTGGGACTGGATTGCCTAGGTGGAAGGTAGCAGGTACCTAGGGTAGGTAATCTCTTTGGCGCGCATTCTCTCTTTCCCACCCGCCAACTCTTTTGGCTTTGGTCTACCCGGGCCTTCTAACTCTCCCTTCTCATACTCCATTACTCCATACTCCTCAATTCTCTCTCATCCCCCATCCTCACCCTCATTTTCCCGCGACAAGTCAAACACGAATTACATTTTCCTTGAGTACCAAGCGTCGAATCTCTCGAGATACTCTTAAACTTAACTTAATTCCGAACTCGTCATTCACGCCCGATCCGCTCTACTCCCATTTTTCTACGAGGCGCATTCTTTCCTAAACAAGGAAGAAGAAAAATACGAAAAAGCTCGAAATTATCATTTCCTGTCGCCACGCCTATTTCGCGAACACGCCTTAAATCTTCATTCCGCCATTCTATCCAACACACCTTATCGTGACATGGTATTTTCTTAGTATTCGCGATCAGACGATCATACACTTTCGTCTGTTCTACAAAAAACACCGAATTTCCTTTTGTCTGCCGTGCTGTCCTTTGTGTGCATCTATGCCCGTATCTCGAGTCCGGACGTGTCAAACGTGCTGAACAACAACAATTATTTCTCGACTCGACGCGCCGCGCTCTTGATTTGCTATCTCCTCGACAACCACGAATGATCTTTCTACGAGACGACCTCTTCACGTTCAAACTTTTTAGGACCGGTTACAGTCACGTCGAACCCGGATTCGTCGTCATGCCATCCGGGCTTCTACGATAAACCGCCATCTCCTTTCATATACCTCACCGACAATCACCTCGTGGGGTGCATGTTAGATTATGACTGACAGGCCCCCATCCGTGCCGACGCAATCAGTGACTCCGAGTCAGACGGCCGTCCTCAGTCCCAAATCCACACCTGCTTGGCCTCACCATGTCTCTCACAAGACGCAGGCGCCGATCGAGGAAGAACCCTATACGATCAAGTGTATTTGTGACTTCACTGACGATGACGGGAACACTATATATTGCGAAACGTGCGATACATGGCAGCATATCGAATGTTACTACCCCAACACAATCGACGAAGCCTTACGAGAAGATTTCGCTCACTCCTGTACTGAATGCCAACCTCGACCAGTCGATCGCCAAGGCGCTCTTGAGCGACAGCGACTACGAAGGAGTAAACCCAATACGTCGGAAACGTCCGAGAGGAAAGTCAAACGACCTCCGACAAAGAATAATAAAAAGAAGACCAAACCAACAGACCTAATACCGAATGGCCACACCACTTCTGATTCGAACCCTAAACACACCCACGACCACACCTCCACTCACCAACACAAAAAGTCCAAAAGCACCCACCGTCCGAACCAATCCATCTCCTCGCAGAACCCGAAACGCAGTCCTTCCTATGGCCAAAAAGCTGGGAATCCCCATGGTCATCCACCCAGCCCTGCTACAACACCCCCAGATGTCCCACACGAGTTCGAGATGCAATACTCGAACGCTTTTTTAAATCTATACAAGGATGATCGTGATGTATCCATTGTCCAAACAAATTCCTTCGCTAGTCTTTCTATTTCAAATGTTTTATCATTATGGCTACGAGATGGCGACAGATTAAGAGCAGAAACAGGATGTTCTTTAAAGGATGTCTTTCGACCTTTACCATCCGACATCGATTCAATTAAGGCCTCCACCCGAGTAGAATCTAAGAAGGTTGCCGTTGGATCGGACGCTTTCGTACACTCACAACATCTGACAACTTCCGAAATAATTGCCAAGGACGTGCCATTAATAGAACTAAACGGTCAGATTGGGATACAAAAAGACTACTGCGAAGACCCAGAGAATCGCTGGCAGGAGTTGAGCTCTCCGCTCCCATTTGTATTCTTCCATCCGATGCTCCCTATTTATATCGATACTCGGAAGGAAGGCTCTCTCGCTCGTTATGTACGACGAAGTTGCAAACCAAATGCAGTGTTAGATACTTATTTATCCGATAGCTCCGAGTACCATTTTTGGCTTGTGAGCGATCGACGTATAGTACCTACGGAACAGATCACCATTCCGTGGGAGTTTAACCTTCAGAAGGATGTGGCACAAAGATGGGCACAGCTGCTGGGCCTTGGTGACGACGAAGCTGGCACACAACCACCTTACAACGAGGAAGAAATGGATACCTATCAGAATATCGCCTCGTGGGTTCATGCCATACTTACCGAATATGGTGGGTGTGCATGCGATTTGGCAGAAGGCTGTGCATTCACTCGATTTCATCGAAATTACATATTAAAACCTCAACAGCAATCGAAAGGGACCAAGGGCACCAAGAAGAAACCCCGAAAGACTAAGACGACTGCTATCTCACCGACAAGCACCGGCCACGCTACGAATAGCCGCGCCCCTAGTGAAGGTCACGGCGATGATGGGGTGGATAACGATTCCGGTTCGTCACGTAGTAAACCTGGGAGTCGGGATATGACTCCTGCGCCACGGCAAGGTTCTTTTGATCAATTAGGTGTATTGACAGAACTTACCGACAGAGACAAGCGAAAGGTTCAAATGGTTGAAGACACATTCCGTCGAATGGAGCAACAACAGCCTCCACGGAAGAAGAAACGAATTTCAGATGGCTCTAACAATCCCACTACAGCCGCGAAGCCCAAGCCGAGAGGTTCGTCTATTCATTCCACCGGAGTTCCCAATGGCGTACCTGAGCGTCGCTACGTCGATGCTGGTACCTCACGAAGTATGTCAGGCTCCCCATCCAGCGCAATATCGCCGAACACGGTCAGCCATTTCAAACATGAGCCCCGGAATGGCCCTATGCAGGATCCATCACGGCCTTCTTCACAAGGGCCACGTCCGGAATATCGTGACATGTCCGTTCAGACTGATCCAGTTGACGGGCAGTGGTTTAGCAGTCTTAGGCAGGCTCCGAAACCAAAACGACGAGTTGTGTCCCTCTCGAAGCGATTATTAGAATCGCGCCATCGTTTGCGAACAGATGAAGACCGTAGGAAAGTGGTTCATGCTGCCTCACCTACATCGGTTGTGTCCGCTTTGGTGAAAATGGATCTAGAATCTCCCACCACAGAGCATAGTCCAGGGCCAGCTGTCCCAGAAGTTACAAAACAAGATAAGCCATCACCGATACCAGCAGAGCCGACGACCGATACGCCCATGATCGACGCCCCTTCTACATCACCTATAGATACCAACCCCCCGTTAGTCGTGGTTCCGACGACAACTGTTCCGATCAAGAATAAGTCACCTGAATTACGCGTTCAAATGCCACCTGTTCCCGCTTTCAATAACTCTGTTTCGCCGAGCGTGACAACTCCGATGTCCGCAAGCGGAACTCTAACTCAATCGCCCTTCTCTACTACTAATATGCCTAGCCCCTTTACTCAAACGTCGGTGAACGGTGTCGCAGTTCAACCTAGTCCGGTCAAGAAGAAGCTCAGCTTGAGTGATTATACGAAAAGTCGGATGAACAAGGCAGCTGCGGCGAAGCCGGTGGGACCCTCGCTGAAGCCGCCAGCTACAGTTATGGAGGAGGCAAAGTCACCTACGTCAACGGATACAGTGATGCTGGATTCTTCGACCGCCGAGAAAAGCATCGACTAGATCGCAAATATGAGTGGAGTGTCAATGTTGTGATATATAGGCGGAACATCTAGTGTATGGTTCTGCTATCACGGTCGCTCCATAACCTTCCTATTCCGCAGTCGGGTATATCTCTCAACCACGTCCTGCTTAGAAACCGCCGTATGTGTTATTGTGATCTGGAGGTGGATGGGCATGAATGGGCATGGATGGGCAGCATCATTTTCTGCATTAGGCGTTGGGGAGGGTATTATCAAATGGGGTTACCGGGTGGTTCGTGACGGGGAATTGTCATGAGGGTTTTCGCAAAAGATATCGGTTTATTTCGCAATCGAAAGCTTCATATCGAATCGAACATTTTCACGTGGTCGGATGTGAGGGTTCTTATGTGGTTTGGCTTTGATTTGATTCGGGCTGGATTGGATGTTGACGACCGTGCCATCATTACGGCTACCCAAATATCTACTGTTTGACGGATACCGCGGCTCTCGAGGGACCACACAGTTCGTAATGGCCGAAGGGGAAAACGGAGTCCAAAAGGTTGTAGAGATTCGTATATCGTATGTGTACTACTACTAGAAGTCGATACCTATACTATGGTCGCGGGGTGTAGGGACCGGGGAAAGGAGGTGACGATGCCTACAGCTGCATGACTAGATGAGGGCCGCAGCCCGGAATCTGCGGGGATCCTGTTTATTACGGGACGATCAATACCAACCGAGCAATATTTGTTAAAGAACCACGCTGCACTTCCGTGCCTCCACTATACGGTGATGATGAACCTCTTTGCATTTGGGCTGGACTTGGGTTTGAGATTGATGTGCATATCTATCAGTATGTATGTCTGAGTCAGATATGTGTAAGTACTAGTATGATTTGCTGTGATCTGGATGACCCTCATCAGGCAATGAGAGAAGGCATTTTTATGCGATAGCCTGCTAGTCCATTATACATGCATAGGGACATCCGGATCAGTGGTTTCGGTATGGCGGTGTCGATACCCTTCAGGGATACATTGGATAGAATGGCGTCCCAAACGTGAGCCTGTGGCTAGACCCTAAATGTTGGATTTATGTGTGGTAATAATATGGCGTCTGCATACATTGTAGATGTCGGTAGGTGCCGAGGACCGGCCGTATTATCCGTGGTATCTCGGCCGACGGCTATTACTGTAGTTTTCCTGTACATATGTGGATTCTTCCATGTACATACAGTACGTACGAACTTACCTAATTTCTAGAATTTGCGAAGATATATCGTAATCCGAAACAACTTAATCTCACCACCGTCGTCTGATGGTTTGTTTTAACGGATATTGAGCACTGACTAGGTCGGTATGTATCAGGTTTAGAGAACCAAGTCTTGACTTATCATGTTCCGTCCAATTAAACCGGACTACGCGCAATCTACCCACGTATATTCCCATACGCAAGCGTGCCCGAACTCCGAGGCTTGAACTATACCGTACTTAGCAAAAAGAGTCGAGCCTCCCGCCACATGTTTCTACTTCTGGGGCGCAATAGCGCAGACTTCGCTAATCGGGAAATCGATGGTTTTGGTTTGTAAATCAGCGGCCTGATACAGATCAGGCCTCGCGTTTTATTGTGAAGTATTTCACTTATGTACATGAAGTAGCTAAAGCATCCCATGCCAGCTATGATTGCATATCTTTCTTTTATACAGCAACATTGGGTATCTCCGAAATTCCATTCCGGTCTAGCTCTCGATGCTAGACCGCGCTCGTAATATTTAAGTTATCCTCTCTAAAGATGAGGAGTGCTAGTCGGTGTCGGACGAAGAGGCCAAAGAGGCCAAGGAGTGCTTGCATGGCTGTGATTTCCACGGCTAATCGGTCCTCGCGCATCGGTCCTCGCCAGACTAACCAGAGATTGAGAATCGTGAAATTGCTCGTCTCTGCGATTCGGCCTTCTTCATCCTCCTTAAGGCGTAGTAGCTTGAACTGCGCCAACAATCGCAAGGCCTGGCCGATGATGGGGCGGGGCTGCTTGTCTGTCTCCCACTTCGTCACGCTGGGCTCGAGCAATCCGGTTCGCGCGTTAAAATGCGGCAGTCGGTGGCGTGGGCACGGGATCAGTCCGAATAGTTGAGGTGTGCTGTAGACGAAATTGAAGATCTGAGGTACCAGGAGTAGTATCAGGGTCTTCGAAAAATGGCCTAGGATACTAACCACCACGAACACCATTCCGGCGAAGTAACAGTATGTATCTCCGCAAAAGGCACGGGCGGGATACCAATTGTGGATGAGCAGTGCGAAGCTGACACCTAGAAAGGGGAGGAGGAAGTAGAGTGAGAACAGATGCGAATCGGTGGCGGGGTGGGGATACGGCGTCAGGAGGTAAAGGGCATCGTTGAATGCGAGAAGTAACGCGATGACGATGCTCTGACTAACTTCAATCCCATTGATTCCTGCCAGAATATTTATACTGTTGGGACTAAATATGGAAAAGGCCGACATATATCCATAGTAAAGAATGCCCAGGTCGAACAATTCGCGGCCGACGTAGGGCTGGAGGAAGGTTGGGAGTACAATCGAGGTGACTCCAAAGTCGATGAAGTATATAACGAGGAGGGGAATGGAGGCAAAGGCTGGGATGAAGAACTTGTGTCGCCAGCGAATATCGAAGAGGTCATCGCCAATGCCGAGGAGGGTAATCGATTGAAGGGATATAATCGCGGATAGGTAAGAAGCGAGCTGCGAACGATTAGCCTAACACCCGAGGAGCAGTCCTAGGACAGTGAAGGGTATCCTACTTTGCTATGGGGAAACTTGTGAAGCAGTCGCCCCTGCTGCACAAACTCGACGTTCATAACGACATCACGGTTTCCACCACCACTAGTAGCGACCACTATGTCCTTATAGAACGGGAACGGGATGAAGATGATGATAGTTAGAAGATACACGACGGCGCAAATACCTCCCATACATTCCGGAATGTAGTGGTTGTTGTTCACCTTGGACATGTCGCGACCCTTTAATCCGGCCTTCATGAAGGTACGGCCAAGCCATCGTATCATAGCATAAGTAGCGGCAAAAGCCAAGCTACTAAGAGCTAGAGATGCGATGAGTGGTTCACCCTCACCATCGAAGGTTCGTACGAGGACGGCTACGCAGGCTAAGGTAAGGCCAGTAAGGTATAAGGTCTCGGTGTTCGAGAGCTGGGCAGATTGAACGGTGATCGGCATCTTTGCGTCTTTGCGGCGTTCAATGCCTCAAGGCATCCCTCTTTTTGTTAAGTGAAGGGAATCGGCAGAAAAGCCCGTTGTCCGCCGATATTTCATCACATTGGAAAGGGTACTTAGGATGGTAGTGATGAAATGTGCGTCGTGGCCTTTAGTGGTGGGTGTCGTGGATGTTGACGAATAAGGCTGAACGATAAGATAACACGATATTAATTTCGGTGGATAGAAGGAATTGAAGCCACATTGGCGTATGAATACAGAAGTACCTAAGTACTGCTAGGTACTTCGCAGCTTCGTAATAAAAAAAATCTACGAAATCGGGTAGGGGTCATCGCGACTACCCATAACCAATCACATCCGATCACATGCTTGCAAGACAGCCTAAGAAAGCTTCAATTATGGGTCTTGGCGTCAGTGCTGGCAGGTCCCCTGGCCCCCTAACGGATTACGTACAGTGGTCGCCACCAGTTTATGCACCCGCACATGGAACATCTGGGGCAATAACGAGATATTATAGTTTGCTACTAATTTAAGAATTGATCTCAAAATTCGACCAGCTGATCTCAAACAGGAAGTACCTGTACCTTTACTCGACTATTTGGGAGAGTTGAGTTAGTGAAACCGCGTCGATGTTTCCCCCTTTTGTTTACGTACGAGAGCTATGGTGCTCTAAATCTCTTTTGCCTTGGTAATCGGTTCGGCAATCTCTCAACTTCCAATCTTCTTGTCGAAATAGTATCCAGGCAACCTAATCTGGACTTATACATATATCACACTGCATCTTGATGGACTTCTTACATCATGATATAAAGATGGTTCTTAAAGCTATATTTGGTGTTTGCTCATTCGCTTTTCTTGTAGCACTGGAGGTCTGTGGCTCAGCATTGCAAACAGCAAGACAAGGTGATGTGCTAGAATCCGGACTCTCATTTGTGAACTCTAACTCAACCTACGGAATCCCCGAGAATTGCATTAGTGTTCTCAATTCAAGGAGACTAGATTCCTTGACGAAAGCAACTGAACAGCTCACACACAAATGAGGTCAGCTCCTTGGGTCTAGTAAGTGTCCCAGGATTGTTCTCCTCTGGCAATCTTATAGCTATTGGAATAGTCAGCAAGTAGAGGTCGGGGAAAGGCATCATTTAGAATGCCGTCCCGATCCCTCATGTTAGCAACTTTGGGGTTCCGAGAAGCTTTTCACATAGACTCAAGACTCTCAGATGATAACCTAGTTATGTCTCAAGACGGCACCATAACCCCAAGCCGTTCCTTCTTATCTTAATCTCATGTCCTTCTTACTCCCTAAACTAAATCCTTAAGTAATAATGTGTCTACTTAATAGCTATAATGCTTTGGTTGAATTGGCTTGTTTCCCTACCTAACCTACGGCGCGCCACTAACAATAGGTCAACTCCTGCTGCCATGGCAAGGGATATCGAAAACGGCTCGGGGAACAATACCGGGTCACCTTCAGCCTCGAACGAGAGAAAATCTGACTCATCAAAGGCTGAAGATGGTCAGAATGGTGGGAACCGTACTATAAAATCAACCGAGACTCCAAAACAAGATGAAAATCAAAGTCGTTCACCAAAGTCCGGAAGTGAAGCAGACCTAATTATCCATAGTTACAGACCAGATGAAGGACGCGGCGATTCACCCAACCCTAGGAATGGAACAGACGGTAGTAGCCGGACCTCGAGAGTCGACGAGGAAGAAAAAGCAGATACACCTGTTAATTCGGGTCGACCGAAAAGTTCGGTGCGACCTTCATTGGATGTCGTCCGCTTTTCTTTTATCCTAGACCGAGACCAAATACAGTCAGTTTATTCCACTGGAAGACTCATCCTAGACAGAGAGCAAATGAAACAGGTCCGCTCTACGAGCGCTCTGGCGAGAGAGGCAGAAGAGATAAACGAAAGACCGTCTACTAGGAAAGCGGATGGAATCCCAGCTACAATCCTTCCGCTTTCCGATCTTGATAACGCCGTCGTTGGATGGGATAGTCAAGATGACCCTACGATGCCCTTGAATTTCTCCGCGGCTCGGAAATGGGTGATCGTTTGGTCTCTAGCCGCAATCACCTTCATGTCTCCCTTCTCATCTTCAGTCCTAGCTCCTGCCATATCATATATCAACCACGATTTTCACAACACAAATCCGCCTGTGGGTCCATTCCCAGTCAGCATTTATCTCCTCGGCTACGCCACAGGCCCCTTATTTTTAGCGCCTCTTTCTGAGATATTCGGCCGCGCAGGCATACTCACCTTTTCCAACATATTCTTCTGCGTATGGCACATAGGATGTGCCCTATCTCCAAGCCTCGGTTTCCTCGTGGCATTTCGGTTCGCGGCTGGTATTGGTGGTAGCGGTTGCATGACCTTGGGAGGTGCTATCATCGGCGATCTTTTTCCTATTGAGAAGCGCGGCGTAGCTCTCTCGATATGGGCATTGGGTCCTCTCGTTGGTCCGACGGTAGGCCCTTTGATAGGGGCCTTCATCGCTGGTTCTATCGGCTGGCGTTGGTCATTCTGGGTTGTTCTGGCCCCTTCAGCTGTCATCACCGTGATCCTGGCTATCTTCCTGCCCGAAACGAACCATAAGGTTCTCATGCAACGAAAGGCGAAAATATTAGGCAGGGAGTTGGATCGAACAGATCTGAGGACATGCTACGAAGCCAATGAATCGCGAAAGGTGTCTCAGCTCAGTATCCTCACTATCGGCATGTTGCGGCCGCTGAAGATGCTTATTTTCGCACCTATGATTCTCATTCAATCTTTATACGTCTCCTTCATCTACGGATCCGTCTATTTGATGTACAACTCCATTCCTCCAACCTTCGAGACACGGTATGGCTGGGGTACTGGTGTTTCTGGCTTAGTCTTTATTTCCATCGGCCTTGGCTATATGGCCGGTCTCTGGGCTTTCTCTATGTTGTCGGATAGGACAGTGGTGCGTCTGACAAATGCGAATGGCGGCGCATTCAACCCGGAATTTCGGTTAACAATCATGATATGGTACTCTTTTCTCTGTCCGCTTGCCTTTTTCTGGTACGGATGGTCAGCTCAGGCGAAGACCCACTGGATTATACCGATCATGGGCCTGTTCCCGCTTGGATTTGGTGTAATTGGCGTCTTCATGCCTACCCAAGCTTACATTATCGACGCCTACCCTTCGTATGCCGCGTCTGGAATTGCCGCTTTCACTGTCTTGCGTAGCGTGATCGCCGCGTTTCTGCCCATATGCGGACCGGCGCTATTCGGTAATCTCGGGGTCGGGTGGGGAAGCTCGGTGCTTGGCTTTGTCGGGCTGGCTATGATTCCTATTCCCATCATTATCTTCAAATTCGGCGCAAGACTAAGGGAGAGATACCCAGTAAGACTCTGAGGCGCTTACCTGTACGTAATAATTTCGTGTATCTATGTGTATAACTCACGGGCGGAAAAAGGGGTAATATATCGCAACCTGGATTGAAATGCAAATGAGGCGTAAAATTTCCTAAATACCTAATATTCACTTATGAATAAAATAAAGCTTCATGCCACATTGTTTGAACGATGTCGATTAAGCATCGTGTTGTTGTCAAGAGACTGCTATGATTCCCAACCAAGCCTCACGATACCCGGAGTTTTCCTTTCTCCGCATGTACCCTAACATTTGCTTTTGTCTTGGCCTAAACCACCTACGCGCGCACACATATATCTCAACAAATCTCTCCCCTCTTATACAAAACCAGACTCATTTTCTCGACCATTTTCTCATCATGGGATAGTACCGTATCTTGCCTCCGCCTCCCTCTCCTCTCGGATCAAGCCGAGCCGCTCTTGAACCCTTTCAGCGGCTTCATTCTTCTGTAGCTTCGCACGGAATAGCCGGCCCTGGATAATGACATACACAGTCAGCGCCAGGCCAAGAATTGTTCCACCCACTGCCATCACAGCATTGATTAGCGTTGGGTCGTCTTCCAGCGGACCATGGGTCAACGCGTCAAGCCCAGATTGGACGAAGTTGACCAGACCTGATAGACAAGTTATGGTACCGTAGATCCGGCCAAAGGTCGCAAAACCGAAGATCTTGGTTGTGAAATCGCTCACGGCGCTATAGTACAGCGGCCGGAACAGCACGAACGCCACCACTGTCGCGTACCCGGCCCATAGCTGCGGCAAGCAGTTCAGCACACCGATCAGCACTATAAACAGCGTTATCACAGCGCTCGCAGTAGCCACGCTCAGGTTATTAAGAAGTAGCCCGATAAACGGCGTAGCGAAAACACCGCCCACGGGCAACGCAACGTCGAAGAAGTGATTTATATCCTCGGCCAACATGTCCGAGTGTAGCAGGTACCGGTACTGCGACCGCACAGTCGCTATGAAGTAATTCATCCGCAACATCTGCAGCACCGTAAGCAGCAGCAGCAACACAAACCACGGCGTCAGCATCTGTCGGTGCGCCGGCACCCCATGCAGCACACCCCAGATCCCACTCGCCGCGTGCCGTTCCTCCTCCACCTGCACCCGGTCCTCCCGCTGCGCCTCAGACCCGACGAGTTCCTCAATCTGCTCCAGCTTCGAGAGCCGCCGCTCCGCGCGCGCGCTGCGAACGCGTCGTATCGCCAGCGGACTGCGCAGCTCCTCGTCTGAATCGTGCACGTCCCGCGTCGCGTCCAGGACTTTCTCGATCTTCCGCTCTAGCTCCGGGGTGGAATGGTATGCGCGCGGGGGCATAAGCGCTATCTCCCCTACAAGCAATAATACGCCTACAACAGCGTACCCGAAAAAGAACCGCGCGGGCGCGAACGTGCGACCTGAAGCTTCCCACGCGAGCCGGTAGAACAGGAAGATAGCGGCGGACCCGTCGAAAGCGCCGGTGATCACCGCGACTATGATGCCGGAGTACTTCGGGAACGCGTTCGCGAGCTGGAAGCTGGGTACGAAGAGGAAGGTTCCGCCGAGGCTGAGAAGGATGTTGGCGATGATGTACCCGTCGAATTCGGGGATTTGGAAGGCGAGACCCATGAGGATACATCCGGTGATCATGAACAGCCCGGAGATGAGGTAGCACAGGCGACGCCCGTAGCGGTCGAGAGACCACCCGGCGAGGAGGGAGGAGGTGTTGGTTGCGATGGAGGCGGCGATGAAGAACAGGTTTAGACGCATGTCTTGGGCTGGGCAGGGGTGTTGGGTGGGGGTCGTGGAGGGGGACGAGGGGGGGCAGGCGGAGCTGTATACGCCTTCGGCGATTAGGATGGGCTTTAGTGAGGCGAAGCCGTAGACTATGCCTGCGGCGAACCAGCAGGCGATTATTGCGAATCCGACCTGGGCTGGTGATGGTTTAGCTATTGTCTTCGTTATGGGGATATGGTCGTGCGCTTATGGCCGTGTATAGTGTCTGGGTTTCTTACCAGCTCTCTTGGTAGCCGAAACCTTGTAGGCTGCGGTGTTAGGCAGGGCAGCCTCAGGAGAGACGATAGTGGCGGCGCCGTCGCCTGGTGGAAAGACATCGTAGCTGAGGGTTCGCCATAGGATCTCCTCTGTTCCGTCTTCCTCGTCCTCTGGGGGCACGCGATCGATACCTTCGTTTGCGGTGACGTGCTGGGCGAGAGACATCACGCGTTCACTAGTCGTTCAAGGTGGTCCTACACTAATACTCGATTGTTTGACGGTGACAATCTGATAAGCTTGGTCTCTACGAAGTTTCCATGCCCCCGCAAACCTGTTGGGCGAGTTCAACCCCATGTTCGCATTGCCCCCAAATCCTGCCGTGCGTCCTAGAATATTGGGGAATGGGGAAGATATGTGTACGAAATCATGTTGGAGTGTTGACGTCAAGGGGTCCACGTGGGAGACGGGTCTGGATTTCGGAGCTAGGACCAATAAGAATGCGCGATGAGACGTATTGGGACGATTTCCGTTTTTGGAATTGCAAGATCCCTGTGTGAGTTTATTCGGAGACCTTGCTTGGAGGGGAAAAACGAATTGGCCAATTGTCACGCCAAGATGGTGAATGAGCGAATTTCCACATATTTCGAGTTTGCTGGGGATAGCTCCGTGTACGGCCGGGCCCCTTCTCGCCCGAGTCCAGCTTATCTGCCCGGGTCAACCGTAACCCCGTTTCTCAACCAGATTGTCGGGACGGGATCGACGAAAGGTATATCTTTTCGGGTCTAGATGTGAATAGTAGACTAGTCCGAATTTTAGAGATATTTGACGGAACGGGAAGGTCCTTTTTCTCCACCGCGTGGTAGTGGACTCCATTCTCCATATATGCGAGGGAAAATGTGCTGGAGTAACGCGGTCACGCATACACAAGTGTTTGCGCTCGGAGTTTCGGCACTGTCGACGTCGGAGACTGTTTCGGGATGTGATGATATATCGTGGGCTTTCAGCATAAACTGCTAGCTCGGAAAAGTCACGATGTTTGTATCCGATCAGTGTAAGTTAGGTGAAATCCCAGGATTGCTTGCTCTGTTCTCCCTCCCTTTTCTTTTGATTGCATGGAAATACCCAGTCGCCGTACCCATCATGGCTAGTAGCCTATGTAGATACCAAGTTGTCACAGCATAGTGACTGTAGCGGCTCCGTATTGGAACTGAAGTAGGGCTCGAACCAAATTTAGGCGAAAAACTACCTGCTTTGAGGTAAATGCCCAGAATCTCGGTAAATCAAGTAGGGATATATACTTGACGACTAGATGTATTGATATACTATTTACCCCGGATCTTCTTCCAGGGAAATATACACGTCTTCCGAAGAGATTTATGGTATAATCTCATATCTCACTACCGGCGTTATGAACGGGGCACGACGCGGATATCCGGACGTGCCAAATAATGGGCCACAGACGAACAATATTATATGGGCTTTCACTGCCGTCGCAACAGCTTTCCTCGGCCTCCGTATGATCTGTAAATACAGGAGACATAGTCACATTTGGAGTGACGATTGGTTCCTGGTGGCATCCTGGGTGAGTTGGATGGGGGTATGAGTGCGTGCATTGATTGCGAAAATAGTATTTTGGATAGGCACTCAATCCGGTCACTGAGCTTACTCTTTTTTCTCCCCAGGTACTCCTCGTCATTTCGTGCATTCTCGTCAGCATCAGTATAACCGATGGCTTCGGAAAACACGATAGAGACATCAACCCGGAAGTTCTTAGCGATCTCGGATTACGTAGCGTCGTCGTGGGTTCTCTGTACACGATCAGCTCAGCGTGGAGTAAAACTTCGTTCGCAATCTCGCTGCTTCGACTTGCGACGTCACGCATGCGTATCTTGATCTGGTCTATCATAGTCTCCATGAACGTGTTCTTGCACATGTCTGCTGTGTTGACCTGGGCTTCTTGCCGACCTATTGAAAAATTATGGAAGCATACCCCTGAAGGAGAGTGCTGGCCACCGGAGATCATCATGCCAACGGGTATATTTTTCAACGGTACGTCTTCCCATTTCATGCGTGTTGGAGCTAGTTGTCCCTTGGCAAATAGCAATATCCGCAAGACGCGGTTTCTAAGTGCCGTTTTAGCGTATTCCGGCTTCGCGGATTTGGTTCTCGTTCTCCTGTCCTGGAGTATCGTGATGAAATTGCGGATAGACTTCAAAGAAAAGATAGGCGTTGGTATTGCCATGAGCATGGGACTATTGTAAGTATCGTTAATTTGAAAACATCCTAGAGCATGTCGTGGACAGGAGATCTGACATACAATAGTGCTGGCGGCGCGGCAATTTTCAAGACGATCGAATTAACCGCCATTGACGAACGTGATTTCAATTGTGAGTACTCGCCCTCTATGAAGGTTCCTTTGTCAATAAAGCTATCGTGAGGGAAGAGAAATTCATTGACGGCCGATTCACACGATTGTGACTGCAGACCAGGGTTCTAAGTTGATAGTCCGCAACGTAGCGGAAATCGCAACTACCATAATCGCTGCCTCCATTCCGGTCCTACGCACTCTTGTTTGTAACCTAGCTTGGAACCGTGGTAATGGTGCTGCAACAGGTCGTAGATATTTTCGATCTGTTCTACGTAGAGATAACAGAACGGCAAATGTCGAGGCTGGTATGATTAGAATGGAAACAATGAGCGGAAGTGCCGGCGTTTCTTCTGCCACGAGTGGCTCGAGGAAGTTAGGGTCGAGAGGAGAAAGTGGCCGAATAACTTAGCTGGCGACGAAAGCTTTCCTCATTCTATTAGACATGTTGGGATTTATATGGTGGATAATAGGTACTAATGCGGACCGAAAGTTATGTAAAGATCAAGGACATTTTTAAACAGGAATGGATAACATGGTAAACATCCAGAATCTCGGATTGGCTTTCTTGTCTTCGGTTTCGGTTTAGACTGGGATCCTGTTCAGTGTAATGTCTAAGTCAAGGTAGTTGCGGTTCGGTGATTAAACGAATCTGGGTTACCTAGGTACCTACTAGGTAACTACCTGGGTACCTAAGTACCTACCTAAGAGGTATTGGAACTGTCATGAGGGAACTTATTGAATCACCTTGTATGGCACTTCACGATAATGTCCCAGGAGCTTACTTTCGAAATAGGCAAGTATTTAAGTATCTAGTATTAACTAGAGACTTTTAGTTTTATGGAGTAGAAATGGCAACAACGAGGTCAGTGATAGCTTCATGCGTAAAGAATAGATCTAAAAAGATGACCAAGATGGTAGAAAGAAAACATCTGAATAAAGTACCTAGGTACCTAGTAGGTACTTGACTTGAAAGAAGCCTGATCTAGTACATGTGATAAGAAAGTATTAAGAGGAAGGAGTGTATTAGACAGAAAGTTAGTGATCGTAGGTGGTGAAGACCGCTAGGCATCATTGTAGGTTGGGGGTACCAGGTACCTAGGTACCTATACCTGATAGCCACGATCATCTCAAATAGGGGCACGCCACGAGCCAATGAAAACGTCAGATTTCTCACATTTTAGGTAATTACCTAACGAAATTCGAAAAAATAAAATAAAATTTAATTATTTTACTATGAGTATTAATATATTAGTCTAGTTTAGGGCTTGCGAATGATATAGGCCTTAAGTTACTGGATTTTACGTGTCTTTATGTAAAGTCTTCACCGGATCCTGGCAGGTACAAAGTACCTGATATTTCGTCGAGTCCGCTTATAAAGTGGACCCGCTTACCTTTAGGGGTAGTTGGGATAAGCTACAGCGCTATAATCTATAATTTATAGCGCACCCCGGTCTAAGGATAGTGAGTATTACCACTTACAATACGTACCTAGGTACCTACCGGGGTGCATTCGAGTTCAACTGGAAGCTACAACCTACTGTTTTCCAACAAAGGGGGATGGATGTTCCGGGCTTGTCTTCGTCGTGACTACTAGGTAATTGCTTCAATAGGCATGTATAACTAGGGTTAATCACAATATATGTTGTTCTTGTTTCACTGGGACTTTCGGGTTTCTATTAAGTAGATAGTCCTCGTGGAATATTCTCAAGAATACCCAAGACTCTACCTAGTAGGCATGACCCAGTCGGGGCCAGGTGTATGGAGTTGTATGTCCTTATGTGGCGATTAATCGGGATGATAAGATCTCGTGTTTGCTATGACCTACGCCTCTTGCGTTGGACAAGGTGCCATTCCTGCTCGGAATGGTTGATGGGCTCTGGTTGTGAAGTCGTGGAGAGGTCGTTTGTGGTGCTGATCAAGATTAGCATGTAGAAAATAAATAAAAGGTGCTACTGTATCCATACCTCTCAGATCTATTTTCATCACACTCTAGAAGTTCAGACTTATGTCTCGATAAAACAGTATAAGCATGCTCAAGTATTGTGATGAAGTGCTTATGAGATGCCGTAGACTTCTGCGTCGATAGGTTACTTGAGTGAAAGAATTCGTTGCATACTTTTCGCCCATCGATAGCTTTATGGAGAGCAGTTTGTATGTCCTCAGGAATTGTGCATATTTCATCTCGACAGCTTGAAACTATGTCGATTTGTGCTGCGATGTCCCTGGTTGTGATTTTCCCAGTCGCGTTTGGCTTCCAACCACAGGACAAGGCAGCTCTTTCGAGCCAATGCTTGAATTTCGCGGTATCACGCTTTAGGCTTGTGTGCTGGTGTCTGGCCTCTTGAATAGGCGTCGATGACATGGTATTGATAGATAAGCACAAGAGTGTGACGACGTGGTTGTGTGGAAGCGTCTGTGGTAAAGTAAAAGTCGAGAAAGAAAAAAGTTTGAAATAGGTGAAGTTTTTTATGTAACTGCTTGGGTAGGTATTTGCTGTATTTCGCAGGTGGACAATGTGGTGTGGAAGCTCAGCTACCCAGATTCGGCAGAAAATATGTACGGTTGTGCATGATTTCCGAGTCGATTTCTAAATGCATATATAGGATATAAGTGATTAAGTATTCCTTATATGTAGGAAAACCGATCATATTTCTACTATCATTCGGATATCCTTCTTAACTCCTTTTAAATTTCCAGGAGAAATTGATATTTCTAGTTGGTGGAAGTAGCAATGAAAAAGATTTGAAAATATTTTCCTCATCGACTCTTAGCTAGTAGGTACTCAGACTAGCTTTCAAGCGAAATATATATTTAAAATCTTTGTATACCTAAGATATTCTTCAACCTTTTCAAGATCACTCGCCTTTACATCGTGTTTCTGGTACCCGAAAGTCGTAATCCTGCGATCTTCAAAGGGCAGAGGACACGGCGTCTCCAACATAATCTCGTAATAAACTGGCAGAACTATTACTCGTGTGTCTATGGGGTCTTCACCAATAGGGATGGACACCCACATACACTTACTTCGAGGGCAGTAGTAACAATAAGCTACAACACTACCCGTGTCCCTAGGTATTGTATAGAACACCCAACACCCTACGCGGTGCTGCGGATTCGAGTTCAATTACATGGATGCTACAACAACTGTCCCCGAGTTTTCTAACCCGGAGAGGGGGAAGCTCTGGATATGATCAGTACGGGTAAAGATGGTTCCATTCTCAAGAATAGCACTGGGTATTATTATCCATGTATACCTAGTAGGTAGGTAGGTAGCGATCATTGTCCAGATCGAGAGATTTGTATTGAGATCTTCGAAGAACAGTAATAGCCCGTTCTAGGATGGCGATGAAGCGTTTGTGCGGTTTTGTTGACATTTATGTTGATATATTCGCCGCTTGGAAGAGCTTCGCCCATTCTTTTCTTTCCTTGACTGCATTATACAGGGCCGTATGAATATTATCGGACATGAAGCATTCTGGGTCCTGCGTCTACACCACAGAGTGGTGTTTCGGTAAAATAATGTCTGCGTGACCCAGAAGGTCTAAGGCCGTAGGGATTTGGTCGCGTATCTTTCGAATTTCGTGGGAAGGCGGCTTCGGACAATTGCCTGGGTAGTAGGTTGCTTTGAAGGTCTCGGTATCGTCTTCTATTGTTTTCTAGGTGAATTAATATAAATTAGCACACGGGAGTTTATGAGTTGTGGTTTATAAAATGGCAACGGCAAGGTAGGTGTGTAAAGTTAATACTTATTCGCGTTTGGCTCTGGACTTTTTATATTTGACCACCGTCCATCTATCATCTAAATCGCTATTAGATGTGTTAGGTGAGTTGGCCGGTAGGTTTGGTGTTGTAGCCAATGTTGAACTAATCATGTAAGTTAGTAGGTACGTAAAAAGAAATTTTGTTACTAGTTTGGTAGGTATATTAGAAGTTTGGAAATAGTAGACTCGTACCAAGTGTTCTGATCGTCCTTTAATAATATGGCAACAGCATGTTCAAGGATTGAAATGAAGTGGTTGTGATAATTGACCGATTTTTTCCTCATCAGTTTGGTTGTCTCAAATACTTGAACAGATTGCTTTCTCGTGTCGGTTGTTTCAACAAGGGCTTGACAAACGTGCTTGGGTAACACATATCTCTTATCTTCTGACCCTGCGACGAGGTTGATCTGTGCCTTGATATCAGCCGTCGGGGTATGATCGTCTTGAACCTTCGTCGAACCACATTGTGCGGCTGCCATGAACAACCATGATTTGAAAATTCTTGTTCTCCGAGTATACTGCACGTGGTGTGATTGGGCTCCTTTAAAGGTTAGTTGGTGCTGTTATGCCTAGTAGCGGTATTTGTAGGTTGGATTGTCGTATGAAATGTGGAACGATGTGTAAAAATTGTGTGTGGCGAGACTTTTTGTTGAAGGAGAATATGTACATTTTGGAAGGTGTGGTTAAAACTAGTAGGTAGGTGGAAGCTTGGGCAGCATATTTAGAACAGGGGGGAGAATCGAAGTCGTATTCCGGTACTTAGATCAATCACTACGTACGGGTGTTCCGTATAAATACAGAGAGGTTGTGTGTGCCTGCCTACGGTAGGTAAGGAACGCTGATTTTTTCGTGGTGACACCCACCGCGATGCGACAGGGGGCCCAAACAGGAGCAACGAGTCTCTAGCAGACCGGCTGACTGCCATGTATCTTATTAGAAGAGCAAAGTCCTCTATATTTCCAGCTTCATAAACCCGCACATTGTTACCGAGCGCCATTTTCAGCCGCGAGCTAAAGTGATTTCAACTAGATTCCTAATAGATACCTAAGTTGGTAGATCTAGAGCTGTCCGTCGCCACGAGAATACCTACCGAAGGGCTACGTGTTAAGGTACATACCATCTACATTTCTACTAGAATAGGTATTGAAATTACTGTTAGTACCCCTTAAAATTTGCTCTAGTCCATCTGAGCTTTATGATGTCTAATCCATTGCTCGATTCGTCATTAGGAGGTCCACAGGGGTTACTGAACATCACCTACGCTGTATCCATCCTATGAATAATCTGAATTCGAACGTAAAAGCACAGCAACCGTAACACTGGCAAAGACCTTGAATTCTTGTACTTGTACGGATGAACCATTTTTCTATTCGTTGGAGAAGCGCGAATAATTCGTACCCAGAAATCGCCAAACTCTTTCCTTCAAACTGGGGCGTAAGATTCCTCCTAGAGGCGCGAAGAGTTCGTGGTGAATGTCTGCGAAGTTCCCGCTGGTTCCTAGGTATATTTCCTCGTTGGCTACCTTGGATGCCATTTCTGCGAAGAAACAGGGCTTGCTAACTGCATAAGTAGGTCTATAGAATTCGATCGAATTTTGTGAAGTTTGGTCGGTATTTTTATGATCGTAGCTCTAACTTGAATTCGCGTCTTCCGAACTAGTAGTCGTTGGTAGTAGGTTGTCGTTATGGGTTGCTGTCTTCTTTCTAGGTGCTTCATCGATTGAAGTTGGTATGGTATGGATAGGGGGTTCTTGGATGTATGTTTTTTCTTAAATCGAACGGATAGGAGTGACAAGCGCGATGCTGTGCGATTTCGAGAGGTTTGCCATTTCTGTATTGTGTATTTCAGCCATAAATGTCCGTATGTAAGCGTTTAAGTCATGGAAATCAAGGGTTAGAAGTACTGACCTAGGCTCGCGTAATCCGGAGAAGTTCTAACCTCAAAAGCCTTGCTGTCGCGGAAAGGCAATCTCTGCTTTCCTAGGGACAATCAGTAGAGTTTTGCTATGGAAGGTTTGTAGCGTTCGAAGAGGTTGATATCCATTTCGACCATTGATGGCGTCACATAACATATTATTTTTCCGTATTCAGGTATGCAGAGTTTTAGGGAGATGGGATGGGATCGACTTGTTTCAATAAGTATGTTTCGTGGTAGTAGTCGACCCTGTAGCTCTCCATACACGATCGAAGTTATCCTCGTTGTGCCAATGTTGAAATTCGTCGATATTAAGTTTCGAATATACGTGTAGGAGATGCTAGAGACGCGTGGTGATGAGTTGCGACGGTGGCGATTGATCGGGGGACGAAGGCTTTGTGATACATGGGAAGATCGAAATGCAAAATCAAAAAAGAAAAATCGAGTTAGTAATAAGGAGGGTATGTAGGTAGCGCAGTCATTGGAAGATGAAGTAAAGTGTCCCGTGTCCGGACGTATGTGAGATCTTCCAAGTTCTCAGCAGCACTTATTAGGTAGTGAAGGACTGGATATTCCAACCTGCAGACAGGGGTAAGGCGTCTCTGGTTTTGACCATGATCATACATCGACCTCCAGACCCGCTTTAAACCGTACTTTCCCGTACTCAAGACTGTTATCGCAAGATTCCTCTCCTACAGGATCTAGAGACAGCATAATATCTATGTCTAGATAACACGCTTCAAGGGCGGGGAGCTCAATCTGTTGATTGAACATGAACACAAGTCCTTCTTTGCGGCGGCAGTTTACGATGATACAAGTGAGACATATTGGACAATGGGTATTCTGAGGGTTCTTGACTTGAATTAAGTTACGATTCAGTGCCCGACTCTAGGTACCTCTCAAGAAATGATTCCTACATGGTCCCCCATCGACCTAATAATACAGAAGTTATAAAGGACTAGGTATGATGTAATGTCTAAGTAGAAACGTGGCCGGGCATCTACTAGATATCTACCTAGTTAGGTACTAGATGGGTACCTACCTAAATAATTGAACCGTTTAATTCGGAATCCTTTCCGCCCTTAAAATAATCGTGCCTACTAGACTATGGAGAGGACCATTTCAATTAGACGTTATCCTATCGTAGCTAGGTACCTACTAGGTAGGTAAACTATCATTTATTATTATATGTTTTGTAGTTACTAGTAGAATACCGAGTAGAGTTTATGATCTACGTGTCCTATTAAAACCCGATGCCAGAAGGCATTTGCGAATAGATGGTGTTGATTTGTTGATACCTAGGTAGGTATTCAAATATTCAAATTATTATAAATGAGATAAATTGCACCTATAATTTATAACTTATAGTTAAAGATAATTTAAGTTGATATATATCTCCATGCTATGTACCATGTATTTATTCCTGGACAAACTTCCGTCATAGTTACTAGGCTAGTTACCTATTCCCTCTTTCGATTTACTTGGTTTTATCCTCTCCCTTTTCTGGACCCGTGCCTATTCTTATAGTTTCTTACAGATCTTCCTTTTCTACTCCAAACTCCAATATGACTCATTCCTAGAGGGCATGTATCAAACACTTAAAGATTTACAAACATCAAGTCACCTAGTTAGATCAAACAACAAATGTCCAAATTCCTAAGAAATAGATTGTATTCCATCTATGAATTGTTAAACAATTACCTACCTGGGTTACGCAAGGGGAAACCAAGACGATAAGATGAAATATGGCAAATACACGATTTGCTCATAATGTATGCCAACATGGTTGAACTCGTAATACAGAGACTTCTACGTGGCCTTGTGATTATATGAAATATGCTTGAACCACTCTAATATTCATATCATCTTGTATGGATCCTATTTATAATTTCTAGCTTGTATTTTCAGGAGGAAAACGTTTCTGCTGAGCAGAATACTACTAATCTTGATGACTTAGATTGGTATGTTTGAAGCTGGGGGAAATGCCGCCAGATAGAGTACTGGGGGTCATTCCACGATGGCTGGAAAGTCGTGGATAGGGAGCTATACAGCCATACCAATGACCTCCTGCTGTGAAATTGATTGGGTGGTTGTGCTGTATAATGAATTAACAAGCACCTGCTTAGGTGTATAACATATGAGAAGCGACTGATTTGCCAAATTGGTTGTTGACTAGACCCAACAGGTGCCATTGGAGGTTATTTCCACGCTGATCGAAAAGTACTGGAGGTATCTCTTTTGCTTGGGCAATATTACCCACATACTGTCTGATAGGCTTACCCAACGCTAGATCGGAGAGGTATTCGATGCTGCTGGTCTGAGAAGTCGATGTGCTTGCTAGGGTGAAGCGGGGAGACATATGGCCTTAAGTGGATGAGAATGAATATGTTTATTCTGCTCTGAATATCACGACAACATAAAATTGTAAGATCAATCGAACGCGTTCGTAGTGCAAATTTGGGTGGCGTAGTAGATAATCAGACTATTGCGGCAGCGTCGTATTGGTAGGACTATAAGGAGATGTACCTCAATCTTGTCGAAATGATTTATCGTAAAACCTATGCGGTATTCCGTGATCAAGATCAAAAGGGCAGTATGCCTTATAAAGTGACGACCTTAATCGGATTCCTACCAAGGAAGTGTCGTCCGTAGATAATTCAGCTCAGATTCGTGGGCGGTGCAGTCATTCGAGCCTTCATCATTCCTAGCTCCGAACTTTTTGCCCAAGTTCCGTCAGGTAGTTGTCGGTAGCATAGTAGCTTGCCCTCATCACCAACGCTTCCCAGGATTTGGCCGTCATCATCAAACCCAACTCTCCAGATGGGTGATCGGTGGGTGAGCTTAGACAAGACTTTAACGGTGTGTTGGACCTGTCCTGGTAGGTCAGTCGAGGTTCGTTCTCCATGCGTTCCGGACTTGTCGATCTCGGCTCGTATGCCAGAAGGAACTTGGGACTGTCTGCGAGGATGGTTGCTTTTAGGGGCAGAATTGTCCTCCGCTCTTGAGTTACCTAGGATGTCTGCAAGGGACCAGGACTTGCCATCATCCTTGTTGAAGGGGGTATCGATTCGGAATACCCGTAAGATGCCGTCTTGACAAGCGGTAGCGATCATATCATAGCCTCTGTAATTTCCAGGAGCCCAGGCGACATCCCGAATCAAGTAGTTGTGTTCTTTGATCTCGATGGCTAGATAAAACTCCCTACCCCTAGTAGCAGCGCCGAAAGAACTGGTGACGGTGTCACGCGTTCTGTAGATTTTTACCGAAGTTAATCCCGATACTACCAGGCTTAGGGCGTCCGTCGGTACGCCTGCTCTTAAGGCAGTGTAGCAAGGCTCAGGATTCGGATCGAAGCGAACCTTGAAGCACGTCTCCTCCCCTCGATTAGGTTTACCGAAGGCCTGGAAGTCATCGAATTTGACGTACTCTGTCAAGGTCTCGGGCTCTTCGCCTTCGTATACGGTGAGATGACCATCAGCAGCAAGGAGGGCAACGTAGGTACACCGCGTTGTTTCGTCGTGCTTCACTGAAAAGGACCTATATGGATAGCGGCCGGTGGATCCAAGGTCTGACACATTCTTACCATTCCCGTCTCTTGCGCCGAAACGCCTTCCTGGAGCAGCGGAGGGATCTTCGGCCCACAGTTTAAAGCGACCCTCTATACCAAGGGAAGCTAGTAGATTGGGATAAATAGTCGGCGGAAGCCATTGAAGCTGGATGAACCTCGTTAGAACCAAGTGAAACTACCCCGTATCCATTTCTAGAGATGAAGCTGACAAACCTCTAATATTTCGCCCGCGTGGGACTTCCAGTTATCACATAATCGCCAGACGCCATCTTGATGTCGGTTAAATACGCGGATCTTTCCGTCGACACTGCCGGTGGCGCATCTGTCGCCGTAGCCGTTGAAGGCTATGGCTTGGACTAGGTCTTTGTGACCATGCTGGATAATATCGAAAGCGGCACTATTCTCAGATATACTAGCCTCACTACTTGGTAAGGGAGCCATCTACACGATCAAAGAATTATCATCGCGGAATGAAAAGCGGGTGTTAAAGTGGCAGGGTTATCAGCTCAATTGTCGTCGCAAGAGAGTTTAGACACTCCAGCCACAATTAGAGAAATCAGCCAAATCCGGAATCGTTTTCCCGACGTTTAGCTCGCGAGTTATCTCAGTACTTAGCAAGTACATGATTTGTAATGGGAAATGTATGGATTATGGTTGTACTGATAAGGTCTTGCCCTAGTGGAAAAGGCTCGAGTTTAGTCCTTAGATAGATATACCCCTCACAGGGTCGAGTGTTACTTCCATTTTTGGAATGGGGTTTCGGCAAGTACTACAATGAGTGGAGTTAGAGGTGCTGCCGTATTGGTTGAAATAGGTGTGGATTTGTGCTACTAGCCGTACCCCTTCGATTCTAACTTGGCATTTGTTTGCTCCCTTTGAACAGCTTATTCTCATGGTGCTTTAAGGGTTATGCTATTCGCAGGTAAAAATGTCTTACTTAGAAGCAAAGTATTACCAGCATAGCGATCAAAGACCCAGGCGAGTATTATTAATTAGGTAACTTCGCGTGTTACTTCGTCGCTTTAACATAATAGAGGGTGTGTGTTTCGTATTAGAGGCGCGGATTGTGGAAATTCTCGTATTGTCGATCGTGGCGCAGCCTACAGGCCAATCACTCCCCCCGCAACCACGGAGGATCAGGTCAATCGTCGATCGACAGGGCGGTAAACAGGCAGCCGCTTTTCTCTAGCTAATACATTTAGAAGTTTCCCAATCGCTCACAACTCGCTCTTATATGCCATGTTTCAAGACCTACCTACCTAGGCTTATTGATCTAAAGTAGCGCTTGTTAGGGAATTATTATTTACTAGGTACTTACGGTATGGCTTCTCAAACGGTGACGGAAGCGTACTTCGATCACTCTGCCGCCAAACGAGTGAACACGGATACTGTCATCGTCAAGACATTGCGGCAAGAATACCCGAATCTTGAGCTAGTGATAGCGCCGGAAATCTCCAGCAACTTACTTGCTTACGCGTCTGCCGGACATGCAAGTTTTACCGTCATTGAAGATGGTGGCGATCTTCCATCGGTGGTGAGCTGGAAAATGTACATCCCATCGGCAAGGCGCATGGATGGTGAGAATGGTGTATTGGCAGACCAAATTGTATTTGGCAAGTTCTTGTACAAATGGAATGATTCCGAGTTCATCGTTTATCGGATTGAAGGTCGGGATGGATCTGGTGCTTACCCGTCGGTAAACAACTACTACATCCTCTCCACCGATATTCACAAAGCCAATTCTCTGTGTGCTGCCGTCGGTAAATGGAGCAGTGAACTTCATGGCGAAATTTGGGTCTTCGATGGAGGATACTGGCAGAAAAATGCTGCTCTGTACCAGAGTGTCATGGGCTCGTCTTGGGACTCGGTGATATTAGATGAGGATATGAAGAAAGCCATCATCAACGACCATTTGTCTTTCTTCAATTCACAAGAAACGTATAAAAGTCTGAAGGTCCCATGGAAGAGAGGTATCATCTATTATGGACCTCCCGGAAATGGAAAGACGATCTCCATCAAGGCCATGATGCACACACTCTACAGCCGGAAAGATCCTATTCCGACTCTATACGTTCGTTCGCTAACGTCCGTAAGTTTCTCTTAAAATTGCCCTCATAAGCTGTTTCTATACACTAACTCCGTTCAGTTTAATGGCCCAGAATTTTCAATCAAACAGATCTTTATCAAGGCAAGGCAATTCGCTCCTTGCTATTTGGTATTTGAAGACCTCGATACCATCGTGTCTGATAACGTGCGAAGCTACTTCCTAAATGAGGTGGATGGATTGAAGAGCAATGACGGCATCTTCATGATTGGCAGCACGAACCACCTCGATCGTTTGGATCCAGGGATTTCTGTAAGCTTTTCGTCTCCCTACTTCATACAAGCTGCAGCTACTTACACAAATAGAAACGCCCATCTCGATTCGACCGGAAGTACCTCTTTCCTGACCCAGATTTTGACCAGCGTATAGCTTACTGCAAATTCTGGCAGTCTAAACTTGCTAACAACAAGGATATCGAATTCCCCGACGAGCTCTGCCGCGCTATTGCTGGAATCACGGATAAGTTCAGTTTTGCTTACATGCAAGAGGCCTTCGTAGCCGCATTGCTAGCCATTGCGAGGAAAGAGGAAGGAATCGATCCTAGTTACGAACACCCACTTACTGAGGAGATGAACGACGGTTGGGTTGGAGTGCTTGGTGACGGTGATGATTTGGATGGTCTTGTCTTATGGAAAGAGATCAAGAAGCAGGTTGCGATTCTCCGGGATAGCATGGAAGAAGAGCAGTAACTTGCATCAACATTGTAACATCATTTCATTCGTTGTACATCGACTAGGTAGGTACTTTTGAGATACTAGATGCTCATTCCGTCGCCTCCGATCGCAAATTGGGATAGGATATTGGGATAGGGTTAAGGTTGAAGTTAGGGTTAGGGTTTAACCCCAAGATTGATGTAAGATTCACCATGGAGGTACGGTTCAGGAAAAGGAAAATTCATTTTCTAGTTACAGTAGCCTGTTTCTTCAGGTAGGTGCCTAGTTATATGTCCTGACCAAGGTGCGTACTTTTTCTTGTACTTTAAACCTTACAAAGTTTCAAGTATGAAAATCCTTCCTCATTATCGTCGCTTCCCCTATTTGTGAAGGGCGGATTTCTTCTTCTTCAGCACGGATATAGTAGCCTCGTCAAACTGTTTAGGTACCCAACCGGTTTGTCTAATCAGACGGACCTCCCACTAAAATCAGACGGACAACCCACTCTATTATACCTAACTGGGCTAGTCCAGTGGATACATAGGTTAGAGTACAACTCCCATATAAATTTAAGTACCTTCTCGACTAAAGTCTTTCCATCGCGAACCTTGCTGTCGCCCTTTTACAACCCTTTTTAATGCTGCCCTTACAAAAGCTCCCCGGGGTAAACTATTATGTAGTTGTAGGTTTCTCACTAGCGTTTATTATAGGCTTTGACTGGCGCTTTTGCTTCGTGGATAGCATCAAACATACTTGGGTTAGTATTGTGTAAGTACTACGCATATATCCTGGTAAATCTTATACGGCTTTATCTAGATCGATTCATATCTTATCCTTTAAGTTTTTAAGTTTTTTAAGAACCCTAATAGAAGCATTATTCAGTGCCATATCGAGGACACTGAGATCTTGGCTAAATTCGACGTCGTCGTCGATGAAAAGTGGTAGTTCTGTATACCTAAGTCTAGTACCTAAGGGTGTCAAAAAGGTACTTAGATTTATATGGGAAGCTGTACCCTAAAGTAGGTATTTCAAAGACTAACCTGAGTGGGTATAGTAAAGTGGGTTGTCCGTCTGATTTTAGTGGGAGGTCCGTCTGATTAGACAAACCGGTACCCAACGGTCAACCCCGTATAGCAATTAACCACAGGATACCCACGCCTCTGAAAACGTCGCCGGGACCATATCCTGCCGAGAGTTATGAGCCGCAGATGCGACGAAATTTCTCAGGTTTGAACTCGTATGATTGAACGTCAATCCGGCGAGTCCGAGGAGGTTACCATGTGCAGAGAGATAAAATAATGGTAACAGAGTTGGGTTAAATAATTAGATCCGACTATGGATCAAGCTGCTATAGCAGGCCCAGGGATCTTGTAATTCGATATCGACGACAGCTTTTCATCATTGTAGATGTTATATAGAATCCCTGGGTCAGTTGAGGTATAAAGTTTCGTTCCAACAACCCCATTTGGAGATTTAGTTCCAGTTCCAGAAATCTCAAGGTTTATGCATTGAGGGTACATCTGTGTTTGGCCCTCGGTGCCGCCACCGTGTAGAGCGATAAGTTCGTGGCGTAGGACGTAGTTTCCAGACTTAATAGAAGATGGAATAGCAATATTCCAAGTCAAGTTCTTCTCCATCATCATATCAGTCGCCCACTTTCCAGTCTTTCCATTACCAACACCTAATTCCAGCTGTCCCTTCTCATCAATCTTGAACCATTTAAGCTTCGTTTTATCAACCGAAGAGCAGTTCCCCCCACAATCCGCAAGGTAGTCAATGATAGGTCCTTTGTGGGATTCGGGCCATTGATTCCATTGAACTAATACGTTGCTACCTGCAGTGACAGGGGCAGACAGAGCAGCATTGGTGGCGCTAAGGTGGCAGATGATATCAGAGTTCTGAAAGGCAGAAGAGAGCACAAATCCATTATCAGAAGCACCATTGCTCCAAGTAATGCTGTCTGGCTGAGGTCCATAGGGCGCCCATGTCGGTTCGAATCCAGTATATGATTTGCTGCCAATCGTTACGGTGGAAACATGACCGTGACCGGAAATAGAGACAGCGCTGAAGAGAACAGCTAGAAGAGTGGATGTAAATTTAGAAGGCATCTCGAAATATTTGCACTCGAGAAAGTGTCTTGACTTGGTGCTAATGGGAGATAGAGGCAACTAGCTCCAAATAAGTAATTGTCCACCTAGGTAGGGAAAGACTTACTTAGGGAGGTATAATTCACGAAAAGATAGACTGGTAAGGGAGAAATTGAATGCATGAGTTAATGCATTGCTAGCCATACCTTATCAGGAGACATAGTCGTGCTTTGTATTGTACCCGAGATGAGGAAGGTTGTATCGATCCAACATCACGTCAAGCCGATACTATGTATTTACTAGGTATAAATATATCAATCAACCAAAAGTTAACATTCAGCCATTATCTCAATGTAGCAGAAACACGTTAACAGTCCGATGTCAAATAGCCAGGGATCATGTGTGGAATGTTGCCAAGGCGGAACGAGAATCAAAATGGTCTTGAACAGGGCCAGATTAGGCGCGAAATAGGGGACCGGGCGTCCAATATCAGCCCCAAGACGAACGCACCTTTTTGTAACTCTTACGAGAATTTCGGCTAAAAGCTTCGCATACAAGGTTACTATGCCTTTAAAAATCATATATTTTCAAGATAGAATACCAACATATCAAAGTCTTCTTCGAACTATTGATTCTAAATGTTCATTATTCAGTACTCGTTTGATATATGCGTACCTAGTAGGTATTTGATAGGTAAGCTGACTAATCCATCCAGGACGCACGTCGTTACGTAATAATGATTTAGCTTCAAGTATTCTTATATATCCTATAACATATACCCTGAAATGCATTCCGTATTATACAACTTTCAATTTCCTCATGATATCCTTCCACTAATCCATCATAAGAGCCAATTTGTATCAGTATGACTTCCTCTTAATCGTCCGACTGACGGGAGTAGTTCCCTGTCTCTGAGAATACAGCACGTATGCGAACATGAGGGCTGCCCCTGTTGCCAAAATAAAGACATTGTCTAAGTGAGAAGGTCAGTATATGGTGGTAGTATTATAGTTAAGATAAACCTGGACATACTTATGAGGAAAGCAAGGATACCCTCGAGGAACTGAATAAAAGATTGAAAGATGCCAACAATCACGCCGATGATCGATTGAAAGAAACCAACGACGGCTGCGAAAATGCCATGTGCCAATTCGACAATGGACTGGGAAAAGTGGCCAACTCCTGCTGCAATACTCATAATGACGTTTTCAATTGGTAATGTTAAATATATGACTAATACTGGGTAAGTGTCGTAGTGAGCAATTATCTTGGTGTTTTGTTCACATAAAAATGAATGGGGTAGCTTGAGCTTTTGTACTAACACAACATTCTCTAATGAGCCACCACATAACAAACTACGTCAACGATATCAGATAATGTAGCACCAAAAATTCCGGAAATTTTAGAACAAAGAAATCGTGGATCACGATATCCTGTCTGTGACGCCAGTACTACGATGATGTCATGACGTCACCTTACCGAATCGGGCAAAACAGCTCAGATTAGGCCATCTCATTGGTCAAACTCAGTAACCCAATCATATCTCGCTATACTTCGGAAATCACATATTATTATAGTCACAATGTTAGATGTGGTCAATTGTTTGTCGATATTTAGAAATATGGAAGCATATTCATTAGTTTGTGGGCTTCGAGAATTCATACGTCGAAATCCCACATCACTATGGGAATCATGGATTATGTCAGCTAATGGATTCTGATGGGCATACCCTTAAGCTCCCACTTGCCCCTTTCCATTTACCCAAATATGATATTTATAATAAATTTATCTAAGCAATACCATCCAGGTTGGTATATAATGGTATAGGTTTCAATGTAATTATGCTAGGTATTCATGTCAAAACGACATAGGAGAATGCTTAATAAGCATAGTCGCTGACTCATCGAGAATAATGGATTAGGTAATCTATTACGTAAGGTCTAGATGTGCAGTTTGTAAAAATACACGAGGGCCGATCGTAAGGTTAGGTACCTAGTACTATATAGCATTTAAAATTTGGGTTTAATCATCATAATTCAAGTAATTGCTTGAACAAGTTGGCTAATGGGTAACTAGAACCTCGAAACGAGAGAAGATGACTAAGTATTACATAATCTTGGTGTAACATGGTGAGGACTGGGGTGTAGAATAGAACCTTGTAAAGGTACGGATGGAAGATTCTTTGTAATTATTAAAGAACTAGGTCGTTTAAATTCAAATACAAGGAAAAGTTATACAAGAATATCCGTAAGTGGCCAGCAATTAAAGCTCCATCATGTGGTTAGTAAAACAAAGATACTTACGTACCATCAAGCTCAAGAACCAAACATCACTCCCTCACTCCAAATCGTAAATCTAGTCGACCGGGTGAGGCCGTAAACTGGTCCTTTAGATCAGAAAATAGCTTGTCGCCTTTATCATCTCCCCAAAATCCGACCTCAAACTTCTTCACCAGCAAGGCAATCACAAACCGCATCTCACTCATTGCGAGTGACTTTCCGACACAATTGAATCGGCCCTGAGAGAATGGTGCGAAACCCCGGGCATCCTTGATCATCTCTGGCTGAGTAGTCCAGCGTTCAGGGATAAAATGGTCAGCACATTCATAGGAGGAATCAAGGCGTGCTAGAGAATAGCGAGGCGACACAATGGTAACATTGCCCGGGATATATGTATTGTTGATAGTCATCCCAGAAGGTGGGGACTGGCGATAGCCTCCTGTAGGCACTGGGGGGTAGAGGCGAAGGGTTTCATTGATGATGGCCGTCAAATGGGCACATCCTTGAAGTTGAACGCGGTCGTAAATGTCTATCCCTTCAAGTTCCGAAAGCAACTTGTCTTGATGCCATGGACTTCTAGCAAGCTCATAGAAGGCAAATACGAGAGTCGGGGCGATCGTGTCACTAACTAGAATTAGAGAAACATGGCGATATTGGCCGAATTCTAACTTACCTTCCAGCAATGATAATGGTAACGGCGTCTCCGTTCAGCCATTCCCGGTCGGCTTCAAGCGAGCCTTTTTGTAAAGAGGCATCAATAAGCCAGTGTGAAACATCTGGTCTCGAAACTTTCGCCTATAGTTCAGTTAGACCAGGATAACAAATGTGACATAATAATAAGGAAAAAACTAACCTTTATCCTGTCGGTCATGCGGTCCCTACACCACTGCATCATCGCAAGCCAATCCTTAACGATGTACATCCAGGGGGTAATGTAGAACGCGATCTGAGCGATCCAAGGCACTGGGCTAAACGGCCCTAACAAGCTCATAGCTTTGCGTAGTAAGCGTACAGCAAAGTGCCACTTCTCGTCTTGAAGCATCCCAAATGAGTGCGCGAAGGCAAACTCGCCCATGACATCGAACGTGAACCAGTAGAACCAGTCAGATACATTGATCGGGGCTCCCACGAGGGCAAGTTTTTCAATTTGGGCTGCTAGCGTTTCGGCGTATTCTACCACGCGTTCTTCGTAAATGGCAAGCGCTTTCGGACTGAAGCCTCGATCCCAGACCCGTCTTCGCGCATTGTGGTCTTTTATGCTTCTCGTTGTGTTGAGCGCGATCTCAGGGAGCAAAAAGTCGTACCAGACGGCTTTGGTGCATTCGTTTCCGGGACCGTCAACAGCTAGAGGAACAGCAGCATCGATAAAAGTAAGTTCTTCTGGTCCGGTTCGAATGACAGGTCCGTATTGCTTGCGGAGTTCTTCGAGGACAAGATAGTTCTGTCCAGTACGACATTTCCACACATGCCAAAACTTTGTCGCCCCAGCCATCCAAGGGCCAGGAAAATGACGGAGACGGTGGAAGAATTTTCGGTATATGATGATGCTAGTGAACAGCCCGATAGCGTAGGAGCTTACCAGGAATGCAGTTGAAGTGAAGCTGGTATTCACATCTCCCTCAGCGCGGTAAAAAATGAAGAAGACTGTAAACGCAAATAAAGAATAGATCTTTACTAGCGTTGGGGCCTGCATATGCCATTCTCCTCTAATGAAGATTGCAAGATGAGATAGAACCCCTAGGATAGCGGCCAGGAGACCGGTTTCATAGGGTTCTATCGATATCATAGTGAGAGTTGGTTTCTTGGGTAAAATTCGAGATAACTTCAGTGACGTAGATTGCGCCAGAACGATTCGAAATACTTGGGAGATTCTTCCATACAGCTCAAGAGGCCATGAAAACATGACCTCCCGATTTCAAGACGCGGTGCACCGTGTCTTATGATATCAATTGCCGATTCATCTTCGAACTATTGAGACTGACCTATAGTATCGTGATGATTCGCGGTATGTCGAAAAATCACATGGTGGTCGAGCAGGTGTGGTAGTATCCTCAGGAACGCATGGTAGAGTTGCATTATTGGAACGACTGCCGGTGCCGACTTATACATGCAGAATTCCTGTATACTAGGTAGGTACCTAGGTAGATAGGTTGTAACCGTGGTACTCGTTTAGTGGCCATTGGAGCTGCTTCCATTCCTTCCCGCATCATGCATTCTCAATAGTGTATTTGAAACAACTGATTTAGGTTGATTGCATTTACGCAATATCTTTTCGGCAGATTTACTACCTATGTGAGGATATTACTAATCAGGGGTGAAGCTTATGACTAAGCAACTCTTGGCTTAGGTAATCGTTGCTTTTCCCTACTCACTCCATCAACCCCTATTCGTAAATTTATGCTAGGTAATTACCTAACCTACCTAGGTAGAGATCCCATTCTTACCTAGTACATAATTCAATCCTATTGTATGAGATTTCAAATTACCTGATAGGTTAATTGTCATATTTGCCGCATCTTACCGTTCGCGATAATATGATTGAGTTTAGATGCGAAAGGATCGGATTCCTAGTACAATGAAACGAAACAATTGGACCCTACAGCCTGCAACAATATCACCAATTCTAAGCATCTTATTGTTCCAACCAACTAAATACCCGAACGGTAGACCCAGAAATCCCCATGTTATTGCCTGCATATGGATTCCATGCATTATACCGCATCCGTACCTCCCTACGTAGTATCCTAGCCACCCACAGAGTTCCACCCACGCAGTTCCACCCGCGTGGTGTAGCTACCCTTATTGTTTCGTCTAACAAGACATCTCGTAAGCTTATTTCGATAGGGATCGATGATATGATGTTAGTTCATCAAATCTACCTACGTTGTTCGCCCTAAGTGTTGCAAACCGGCAAAGTTGATTGCCGTTAACACATTGGATCCTTTTACGAGTCTTTTTAAATACCTTCATGGCGTCATATGATTGATGCTCGAGTAGGTTCGCCACGGTGCCTTTTGTTATTCATCAGCAGACAATGTCTAAACCAGTCTTTGTTCTTCTCCATGGGGCGTGGCATAGCCCTAAATGCTGGAACAGCCTTATTTCCGAACTTGAAAAGGCGAACTACCGTGCCGTTGCTCCCGCCCTGCCTTCGACTGGCTCCACTCCGCCGACGCCCGACTGGTCAGGAGATGTAGAAATCATTCGGAAGACAGTAACCGATCTCATCCAAAAACATGATGTCGTCGTCGTCGCGCATAGTTTCAGTGGCATGACTGCAGGCACCGCTTTAGAAGGCCTTGGCAAGCAGACAACCACGTTCAAGGGTCTGAAAGGCGGGGTTCTAAGACTGATTTACATCACCGCGTTTTTGGTACCTGAAGGCTTTCAACACTCTCCTCGTGGCACTCGCGACAACATGGTTCCTGAAATGAAGACTGATCTCAATGTAGGCGTAATACTCCAAGCTAACCCCTCGCTTACGTTGATTAAATACGTCTAACAATTCGCTACATCTAGGCCGGCATTATTACTATCCGCCCGGAGGATGCCAAGGACATGTTTTATCAGGACATCGACGACGAAACTGTTGCTGAACTTGCCAAGGACTTACGCCCACAGAGCTTCGGATCTTATTGGAGCATTACCAACTACGCTTCCTGGCGGCATATCCCAACCACCTATATCCTATGTACTGCGGACCGACCAAGTACTGTGGTAGCCGCCCAGTATCTCATTGACACGGCCATAGCAAGTGGTCCAAATAAGATTGAGAAAGTCATTCGCGTTGATACCGGCCATTCTCCATTTATTAGTAGGCCTGAGTGGACTGCTCAGACTCTCATCAGCGAGGCAACCGGGGGATCCAAATTTACCTAGTGCCTATTACTAGAAGATTAGCTGAAGAGTAGGAGTCAGGATGGTTCTATAGTAGGCATAGAATCAAATTCAAGTCTATCTGCTTCTGCTAGATCCATAGGTACCTAACATACGAGAATCATACTATTTTAGCCATACTGTTGACTCCATGATTGTCCTTGGGCCTCATTTGAAAGGGCGCTGCCCGACAACGGTCAATCGGCCTACGTTATAGGCAAGTTTCTGCCTATTTTGATGAACCCCTGAAATCAATGCCCTACATTGATCACCAGAACCATTACGCATCGGGTCTAGTGCTTTGTAGCTAACCTCCTCGCATGCCATCAGTGCTGTATCTAGCTGGAAAAGAAACAGCTCTAGTGGGAATGGTCGATTGTTGGTTGCAATATTAGTTAGCCCATACTTCTTGAATGAATCTGGTAATCTAATCGGCCAACTATTACTCGGTATAACGAAATTAGACATATTCCCTTACGAATCATCCATTTGAAGGTTTACTTACTCATCAGCTGTCCAGTTGGGTCTCGTCCCCCCTAGTGTTCCTATCGTCCCCAGGAGCGGGGTTAGGTTATCCTCAACATCTTTTCCCGCCTCCGTTCTCATGATTTTCCAACTACTATAATCCATTTCTCCCCAGGAGATCCAACCTCCAGGCTCTAGAATTCTTGTAAGTATGTGTAGATTCAGAGATGTAGATACGCTCGGGAGGAACATACTGAGAAGCTTAACGAGATTCTGTATGATTGGTGCAGGGTCGTTGTTGTGCACTGCTAGATGAAACAGCTGGATATGAACTATGTCATACTGCTCTAGTAGGTGCTCAGGTAATGGCGCCACACAATCTACCTTATGCAGGGACACATTAGGTGGCAACCATTCCCTTGGAGAACACTGGCTCAAGTCGATATCAAACCCGTCAATATGAGCAGACGGAGGTAGGTATCGAGCGAGATCGACCAGCCAGATCCTACGAAACATGTTTCAGTACAGTAAAATGATTGGTAGACGGTAATGGAGGGACAATAATACCTACCCAGTGCCCACGCCAATTTCCGCCACTCGTAGATTTTCTGTATTTGCCGGTATGCTAGGGTGCAGAGAGAATCCCCCATCTTTCCACAGGAAGTATTGGAGATTAAGCCTAGTTCGCTCGTTAATCTAGAGATCACAATCTGAAGATCACACTATCTTCGGTGTGTAAGATAAAGGGGGTCAGACCTGGCATTTGCCGAAAAGTTGCGGCCGAGTATGTACGCTTCTTGCTCCATCCTGTAGAACTAGACTCCAGCACAGATAAAGGTGTAGATTCGGTGGCTTGATGTGAAACAAAAGGAGAGAAACGATTTCACCTAAGTATATGCAGGTGACGGTAGCGATGCAGGCTGGCTTACTATATCACCTTGAAGAAATAGAGTCGTATATTTGCATGTTTATAACATGCCATGTAACATTATGAGTGAAGGCCGTACCTACATGTAGGAAGGATGTTTTGGTAAAATGTAACCCTCGTAGCCTTTCTCCATGCAGATGGTATGGGGGTAGGCTTTACCTTTTATGTATAGACTCAACGCCCGGTTACGTAGGGCTGCTGCAATGCCTCGCTATCACGCTAATGGAAGGATTCTAAATAGTGACCCCCAATGTTACCTCAGAGCCTATAGACCCAAACAAAATAAAGTTATAAGTGATAGAAATCTGTGCATTGAATTGGATCCCAGCAGATCTGGCGGATCATTTCCATTCCGCAATTTATTGGCTCCTTACCTACGACCCTGGGTGCGATAATGCCGCGCGCGTTGCGGTAGGATTCTCGGTTCGCTCCCCGCTCTAAAACATACATGCGGCTCGTCCCTCGCGGTGCAAGGTGATGTCTTAGATGATCAATTCCGAGGATTCGGAGCCTGTGTCGGACATCAGGTATACACCTGGAGGATTCACTATTTCTCAAACACGCCTCCCACATCGTTGTCCTTGATACCAGCGGCAATTTCGATTTGTCTTTCCTCTGCCAATCGATAATTCACAAACCGACGAGAAAAATGGCGCCCTACAACACGAGCATGAGATTCCCTACCGCAGTTCTCATAGTCAACAGCTGTGGTCTTGCGCTCGCCTTTTTTGCCGTTCTCCTAAGGTTTTGGGCTCGTTATATCCGGCGAGTCAAGGTTAGATTATGCGACTACATGATTGTCGCCTCATGGGTGAGTGGAATAGAGTACTTAGAGTATACCAAATACTAAAGTCCTATCATTCAGCTGTTTTCGTTTGGCCTGGTTGTCAGCGAAAACTATTGTATCACGAAAGGAGGGATTGGCCAGAAAGTGATACACGTTACTGAAGAAGAGCTGCTCTTCTCGACCAAGGTAATAACACAGGAATATCAGTCATTCGTATAAAAGCCTTCTGACGTAAAACGCAGCAATTCTTAGTCGTTGACGTATGCGGGTCTCTGGCAGTGGCATTCGTCAAAATTTCAATCCTGGACTTCCTGCTTTCCGTTTTCTCAACCCATAATCGGTTTCGTATCGCAGCTTATGTCCTGATGGCAGCTACCACCGGATATGGAATAAGCTTCCTCGTGGCCTCGCTGGCTAGCTGCACACCTTTTGAGGCCAACTGGGATAAGACATCGTACCCGAACTATCATTGCATCAACACCTCATATTTCTACGTTGCGCAAGCAGCCATAGGTGTTACTCTAGACTGTCTAATCCTTTTTCTCCCTGTACCAGTTGTGTGGACCCTCTCATTGAAAATAAGTAAAAAGATTGCCCTGACGGTCCTTTTTACGATAGGAATTTTGTAAGTATCACATTTACCCTTATTACATGTAACCATCTTGGTCTTCTTATTCGTTCCGGCTAACCATCTAGGATCTGTGTTATCTCCATAACTCGCCTTGTTTATAATACTCGCGCAGAATGGATGGTGACTCACTTCACTGAATATGGTGGCATCGCATGTCTTCTCGGGGCATTGGAGGCGAACCTGTCAATTATCTGCGCATGTCTACCAACCATGCAACCCCTCATGACATCTTTCACGGGGAGGGTCAAATCGTCGTTCAGCTCTGACGCTGGAGGGCTAAAAGGGCTGTACAACAATTTCTCTTCTAGATACCTGAGGCCGGTCCCTGGCTCGATGAAGATCGGCTCAAGCACCGATAGGCGTGCTACGATGTACATTGAGGACGACTTGGAGAGTGCGCGACTTCAGAAGCACGTGGATAAACTATATCCTCTCAACACAACTCTGGCCAGTCGTACCAGTTTGAGTGAGGAAATCGGGTGGACGCAACAGACGAGATGCTTTACGCAAGTGGACTCGGCTAATTCTAAGAGTGGCGATGAGTCAGTGGAGTTGGCAAAGCTCGGGGAGAAAGTCGAACCTTACAGCGCGATAAATGTAACCAAGAGCTGGAAGGTCAATTCAGAGGAATGAATTTATACCATATTAATGTATACTAATATCCATATTTAATATACTTGGAAATTAATTCAATCTATCGAATAGGTACCTACAACAATTCAATGATGCACCTGTGGGCATGATAACACCAACTTTGCGCAAAGATGCGCTATAATCATAGGGGGAAGAGGGCGAGATACCTTGTAAATATAGCGCATCCATGGATTAGCCCTTAACCTATTACTGCAGCCTGTACACAATCGGTAGCCCTAGTAGGTAGCCGGTAGCTCTTAGGGGGCCGTGCGCCATTGTACACCATCCTTTGGAGGGGTTAAGAGACTCAACCAATCATAATTGAGCACAGGGCATTTGTGGATGCTGTATTCCGTAGACTTTACTGGAGGGGCTAGTACAATAGATTTCCAACAGTGCAGTTCTAAGGTGCTCTAGGGCTACCTAGGGTAACGAACCCCTGTATTATAGCACGTATATGCCTAGTACCTAAGTACCTAGCTGTACCTAGGTAGTATGGTCATGATTTGTCAACTATCTGCCCAGGTGCGTAATCCATTCTTTTATTAAACATATTACTTAGTAGACCAGTAGTTATAAACAATAAACTATCCATCAAGTAAACTAGATCAAAACCCAGGAAACACCTTTCAAAGATACGAGATATCGCGTCCGCTGAAACAATAAACACCGACCCCCAGAGCTACCACGCCAACGAAGAATATCCTAAATCAGACCAATAATCATGAGCGCTACTTCTTATAGACTCTTCCACTTCTTGTGCTAATTGTTTTTCGAAGGGTTCTTTTCCATGCCGATAATTCTTAAGATCCTCTATGTTTTCTTTAAACTTCATGTGTGCCGTCAATCTCAAGTCGGCCTCTCTGCAATCCAAACAATCCTGTCCTATTGCCCCTCCCATGGGAATCGTTTTCGGTATACGAGTAACCTCCGTGTAGGTGATCGGCAAAATCATGGCATCGTGCTTACAACCCGGATGTACCATACTGGTGCGGCAGACTGGACAATTCTTATGCTCCTTGACCCATCTGTCTAAACACTCATAACAAGCTACATGACCACATGGTAAGATCCCCGGCGTGTCGTATGCAATAGTCTTAGTCATCTTGATGTTTTCTCGGCAAATCATACATGAGAGATTTTGCGGCTGTTCGACTAAGAATGTGACCATCGGTGTCGGGAAAAAGCTTCTGTCGCCCGAATTTTCTTCCTGTCCATTGTCAACATCCATGGGTTGGGTTGTCATAAGATAGCTCTCAACCATAGACCAGGGCCTGCTTTGATTTAACAAGGGCATGGTGTCAGAATCTTCTTGGTAGTTATCTTGGAGATAATCTGGCCTCCTTTTTCTGTAAAACGAGTTGCGCTTGCCTTTTGGAAATCGGTAGCTACGGCCTGCGTTACTACTGTCAACCTCCTGACAAGGGCTAGGTTCGCGTCTCTTCACCGGTATCTTCCCTAAGATACTCCCAGTCCTGTCGAATATCACTTTCGTCTGCATCGTGAATGATAGTTGATCTAATTATAGCTTCTTCCTAAGGCCTAAATATAATGACGCGGATAAGATTATTGTTGATAATCAATTCACCAGATCTTGGCCAGTTTAACTGTTCAAGCACAGGTAGATATTAGGCTAAATAAATTGTCACATCTCTTTAGGTTAACAAGACCTTTGTTAAAGCTTCGCAAGCATGCTAGTCCTTCTTTGATATTTAGATAATTATAACAAAGGAGTCGTAACCTCTAGCTCCTATCTAGTCATACTATACCTTTCATAACTCTGAAGAGAACTATAAGACCGATGCACATAAGCTACCTGTACCTACTAAACAATAGTATCGCAGCATTCGAGACTTTCTGTTTATTCACAATCCAGTCTTAGTAGATACCTACCGAGATAACTATCATTAGGTAATACCTAATCTTGAGTAAATTAAACACAATAAAGTACCTAGGATATCTACATAATATCATAAGCGCCTCGGGTATTATACAGCACTTGCGCTTCACCTGCTAGCAGCAACTCATATTCTCCTTTCTCCCTTTACTTGTGCTTACTCTTCTCTTCTTCTTCCTTCTCTTCTTCCTCCTTCCTCCTCTCTTCCTCTCTTATTTTCTCTAGCTTCATCTCATACTCCCGCTTCTTCTCCTCGTTCATTTTCAGAATATCTTCTGCAGTATCAATGAGATCGCATAGGCCATTCGTCATATGACTAATGGCGTTGGTATACTCATCATCTTTCTGGGCAGAATCATTAGCGTCTAGCAACACTTTATTGGTATCGGAAGCCCAATCTCGAATCTTGCGGACATAAAGTTGGTCGGAAAAGGTTAGAATTTCTTTATCGCAAAGAACCTTACGAAAGAAACCCTTGAACTCTTCAATACTTTTCTCGGTGTCATCGATTTGGGTTTCTGTCACCCTCTCGTTGGGACCTATGTTGATACACGCACTCATTTTGTAAGAATTTCCTTGTACAATAATCTTTTGTGGTATAGATAATGCTAAGAAATGATCGTGTGGTGTCTTAGAGGCAACTGAAAAGAAGATTGTACTTGACGTGCGCACATTTTATAGACGAGATATCCGAGAAGCTCAGATCACAAGGACTCAGATTTCTGTGCTGTGTCAAACAACGAGCGTCACCACTGATTCGTGGTGTGCAGTGATTCTTCCAATTCACACGTGCCGTTTTTCAAGGAACCTCGAGCCATTGTTCATTGCCAAGGGAGGCAATACTACTTGTAAAGCGTCTCCTATTCCGGTCCTGTGGCCTGCTTCACGATAGCCGGTAGGAACTTACCAAATACACTCACAATCTAGTGGATTCAACCACTTACTCTCATATATCCACCTATTTTATGTTTCTGTGACATGGCAGAATGACAATGACAAGAAACCACATGTCTGACCTCTTAGTGGGGCATCTACCAGAACCTTCGCCCCGAATATCCGCCATCCTAATCACGACGTGCTCAGTCATAGGAGTGAGACCTATCCAGGTTAATGACTTGCCCTCAAACAGATAGGATGATGGAGCGACGTTGAAGCCAAGTTATGACATGGATTTTGTGGTAGCCACTGAGAATGACTCACTACGATGCATCATAAAGAGATTTTTCTATTAGATCATGTTTCCTCTACGGATGGACTGAAATTTGGCAGCAACCCAAAATTGGAATGCAAGTAACCATACAAGTACAACAATAACTGTCAGTGGCACCGTGACAATCCAATAAAGATTTTGGGATGGCTGTAATGCTGTCATCGCAGGAGTGCTGAAGTATGTCTTGGGTCAAAGTTTGGTTAGTGTCCATTTACCCCTTTTTAGGTCCCTGGTAGATAACTTGGGACTTACAGCCGTGAATGTGCCTGGGAGGAATATCATCGTCAAAACCGCAATCGATTTCATCGCCAAGCTATCTCGTCTCGTATCGCGAGCAATACTTGTGCTAGATTCAGCTAGTTTGCGATTTATTTCGTTATTCCGCTGTGCGAGTAAATTGGTGATCTATGTATAGGGGTTAGATCTAAGAATCACTAAAATAGGGCTGGAAATGACAAGAAGAAATAGAGAAGCCTACAGCTGTCGCTTGCACATTTGCCCTTTGTTTCAGATGGCCAACCCGAAGGAGCGCAAAATCTAGCGTTCGATTGGTGAAATCAAGTTGTTTGATAATGAGTTCGTTCTGCTCAAGGATGCGATCATGGTTGATTGGAGAGAAGCGCTGCCATGGGAATTCCAATAGTTCACTTTTGGCAGACCTTACAGTCAGTTGATGTCCTTGTATGTAGGCTTCAATCGCGAGTGCCTGCTGTGCCACACCAAGAACTGTAGTCGAGAGGTTGGGGTCTTCGCAATTTCCTCGGGGCATCGGCATTCCGTTCTCACCAAACATCATGATTCCTGTCTGGCCACTCCCGATCTCCACCTGGTGTAATCGATCGAAATTGTCGTCTATGGAAGCATATATAGCCTCCATGAGACGTTGACAGATGAGTGTAATAACGAGAAAAGGGTTGTCAGCTAAGGACACCAGGTGCTCTAAATCTCGCTGGAGCCATGAAAAGTCATTGCTAGAACCACTTCCTAGAAGTATGGCGTTGGTGACACCCGTACAAGGACTGTACGACATCGAGATTGCTAGTTTAATTCCAATCAGCAAGCTACTAAATGAGCTCATAGCCATTCCTATAATTCATAAAGTTCAGCATATTTCGGTATTTTTTAGAGGTTTTATTGATAACATTACCATACCGTATGCCGTATTCTCTTCCTTAGATGATATCCTTTCAACCTGAAAGTGACCCCTTATTGCTCTAGCGCCTTTAGTGAGTAGTATGGACGTTATCTTCGGCAGTCTAAACTTCTCCGAAACCATTCCGAAATGTTTTTGAGAGAAGGGTAGGGCGAACTCCGAGACGCCTGTTGCGATGTTGTCTCCAGTAGGCATCATGTAGTCATACTTCGTTCCTTTTCCAAGGTACCCGAGCCTAAAAGCTTGAAGTATTAGGGCATATTATTCACATCAACCAGAGGCGGTTTACATAATCCGCAATTTGCGCTTCGACTGTCCCTGGTTTTCGTCAATTCGACTCTGTGGGCCCAACAATCGCATTTTAGCATGGTGCCGAAGAGTAACTACCTAGATATACAATGGTAGGAAGGCATCTCGTTATACACTTACAAGCCAACCCTCTAATTCTTCTGGTTTCACTACGAACGACTGAACGGTTGGGTTTCCGGTCTGAGTACCTGTGAGTGAACCGAGCTAACCTGACACTCATTGCTTCCTTAAAAACATACCTCAAACCCGCCCACTTCGATGACTTGGATTTCAACTGGGTTAAAATCACGCAGGCACGTAAAGTGTCTCGCTTGAAGCTCTTGGAAGATGTCTGGTTTGAGATCTGACTTCATTGCGGAGAAAGTTTCCCAAAGTAACTATAAGAAAATAGATCGGCAGCATTTATGGTCAGGAGTAGGAGAAAATAGACTATTGTAATACACAGAAAAGTCTCTCTGATTCCTATAGTCTTGGTGCGGCTGAAAAGAAAGCCTAGGTGGCCTAGGATGACGGGCGACGCCACCAAGGCATCACACCCATATTCAGCTCTTCCTTTCGCGTAATTCTGCCCTGGCATCGTGCTCGAGACCTAGCCATAACATCTGCAATTGCATAGTCAATTAATGCTCGAGGGCTATCAAAGTAAATACTAGGTAGGTGGTGAAAATGAACTGAAGTTTAGTAGGGGCCTCTAAGCACACAATATGGACAATGAGTAAATTAGGGGGAAATGAACTGTAATTATAGCGGTTTAGTTAACTATTAACGAAAAGATGTGGCGGGGTGCGGGGTATGCGCCAAGATCCATACCTTGACCAAACGGTAACCTAGAACCTATAGGTGTTATTTTAGCGGACTTTGATTATGTAATAGAGAGAATAGCTCTTATAATTAGTGCATGGAAAGAATTTTAGCTCTTTCCTTCACCCAACTCATTCCACGGCTGCCCTCAACTGCAAATCCATCCGTATTCCTACTAATTTATAATGGAGATGAAATTCTTTCAGTAATTAATACATCTATATTTCAGATTTCTAAATTCCGGTTACATATAGAGCGATTATTTCACCTTGAATTTTGCTTTATATCCTCTAGTTATCGCAAACGAACCGAAATTCATTCGCAATTCCAACTTTGTGCATCGTTCACATCACCAACACCATCGTAAACGGCGTTCTTCGGATACGGACAAAGAGGACGCTGCCTCAATACCCCCGAACTTGTAACAGTCTGATTGTGCCATGTCGTCGCGATTAGTTGATCGACTGCCTTCCCACCCTCGACCCAGTCCATCAGCGCAAGCAAGGCGTCATGCTTCGGATCTTGAAACCCAGGCACCGAGTACACGTTACTTCCTAGGACCCAATTCTGACCCGCACCGTTTATATGCCACGGCGCGTCGACCGATGTTCCGAGACAGTGCGCCATACCTGGAATGAAGAAAAGGCGGAACCAGTCGGTAATTGGATGCGATACTCCCGTCGCCAGTTTGACCTGTTCGTAGAAATATGATGACCCCCGCGTGACGATCAAAGGATCCGACAATCCATGATACATCAAAATCTTCCCACCACGGTCTCGGAAAGGCGACATGTCATATTTATTGGCGTCGAATTCATTGACAATGTCGAGGGTTTTTACATGCTCATAGACACTGTTGTTCCATGCTGAGAGTGGCCAGTTCAAATCGCCAAGTACTCCATATCTCAAAAAATCGTAACCAAATGAGAGCGGTTCGGGAGGAAGAATATTCGTCGACCACCCCAACTCCGAGGAGATTCCGACGCCTTGGTACGCCAACTCTTCCCCAACATACCAATCTGAATAGATCTCCTGTAAGGTTTCTAGCTGCGAGGATGTAAGACACGCCGATGCGTTCGCAGATGAGTTTGTAGGGCTTTCGCAATTCAATACTTCGAAATCCGGATGGCAGCTTTCAGGTGAGCTAACGATACCGTCCTTAACACCATCCACCTCGTCGCATTGCTCAATCACCGTCTGGGCAATGAGGGGGAATAATTTCGAGGGAATACTCCTCGTGTTGTTTAGTGGATAGTAGACTTTCTGGATCCTGGTGATCGCGTTTGTCAGGTGAGTTACCCACCAGGCTGGCGCACCGACTAACATGCCGTCGAAGCTGTCGGCATCGACTTGTGCTTCCTTAAGCCCCTGTCGACCGCCGGTCGAGCAGCCGGTGTAGTAAGAGTATCGAGCGTCTTCGCCATAATAGGTTTTGATCAATTGCTTAGAAAGACCGACCGATCCGTGCATCGCACGCCAGCCCCAGTCAATCTCTTTTTCTGCGGCGTTGTAGGCCCAGGTAACATCATAGGGGGAGCTGCTATGTCCATTATCTGTCGACATCGCAGCAAACCCATAATGCGTTCCGATGCCCATGTCGAGGTAATTGAGGTATCCTCCAGTTCCTCCTCCGCCAGTAGTTAGAAGTCTCGAATTCCATTCTGAGGGTAGGAATAAAGCGAAGATGTACGAAGACGACTCAGATGAAGTTACATTAACCTTTACGGCACATAGCTCTGGCAAGCCGGTCGGGAGCATAGGCGGAAGATCTGGGGGGACTTCGGCATCACCGTAACTTCCATTTGCGTGGACGAAGACGGCCGATAGTATTGTCGCGTTTTTAGATACGGGGCTATTAATCGAGGACAGCTGGCGGTTCAGGCTGTCAAGAGAACATGTTGTATTTGAGCCCGGATAGGCGCAACTTGCCTGCTGTACCAGAGCAACGAGGGGAACAAGTGCTAAGCTCTTCAGTGAATACATTCTCGAGGTAAGTATATCGTCTACCTTAGTTAATACTGAACATTAAATGTCATCCTCAAGGCTCAGTTATTATATACATAATTCCACTTCTACCTGGTCTCCACATCATGAGTTTACCTAGTTGACGGCACAAGACACAACAGACGGGACAACGACTTCGGCACAATTGGTGACGCTATCTCCATACTTTATATTCCACCGTCTCCGAATTACAATTCGATAACTCCTATTTCCTTTTTCATGGAGCCGGACGACGGGACGACGTTGAGCCGCAGGATGTAATACGGAGTCCATTCGCGAACGATTGATGGCATCAGCAAAGGACCCAATTGACTTGATTGGATGATTCCGTGCAAATTAGGAAGTTATGTCATCTGACATCTCTATAAGGAACCTCTAACTACCTAGTATATTTCCATTGGAAAACGATCCCTGAATCTTCCTATTCCCGTATTACGTCATCCGGTAAGCAAGACTGGTGACTAAATCAACTACCATTCATCATTAGATACCCAACATAATAGCAATATTTTCAACGTTGCTGAGGGTACCTGTTTATCTCAAAGATTATGCGCCGGCTGCTAACTCCCCATGTTGCCTTAAATATCTATAACTATCACGATACTTGCCTTTAGACTATATTAGCCAAAGTCTTGCTATCGCTCTCCTGCCATGGATAAGTCCCTTCAAGCGATTTTATCAATGCTTCATGGTGCGGGGATCTTGGTTTGATAACATTCTTATACGGCACAGGGTGACGAATGACACCCGGCTCAAATTTGAGGATAGGTGAAATTTCCTGGCCATCCTTCAAATACTTGCTTATCTTGAACGTAGCAAGAGTCTGCACGATATTCAGGTACAGGGCGTTATCTGCCAAATATCGCCCGGGACATATTCGGCGTCCGAATCCATACGCAAACATGCGTGGGTCTGGTTCTGGCTTGTGACCGTCCTCCTCCAAGAAGCGTTCGGGCCTGAAAGTCATAGGATCTTGGTAAACCTCCGAATCATGTGTGAAATTCCTAACACGGCGTTAGATAAGAAGCATACAAGGGATCCCACCAATACTATATATGCTTACCAAACGTTTGGAAGCAACATGGACCCTTTTGGAATAAAGTATCCTTCGCAGACATCGTCGTCGATACTTGCGTGGGGTAGTGCCATTGGTGCGACAGGATGCCAACGGAGAACTTCTTTTATCATGGCTTCAATATACGGTAGATTATCCCGATCTATCATGGTGGGCAGCCGGTCTTGCCCTACAACTCGATCAATTTCTTCTTGCGCCTTCTGTTGAACTTCGGGATAGATCGTCATAGCTAAGAAAAAACAGGTAATCGAGGATACGGTCTAACCGAAATTAATACCAGCTTCAATTCAATGAGACGAGGGGGGAGCTTACGGTATCTGCACCAGCAGTGTATAACGACAAAGTCGTCCATTTGTTCGTGAACTCGGCTTGCGGGTCTTTGTCTCCAGCTTCTAATAGCTTCGACAAAAACGATGTCTCATTCTTTCCCTGAGACATCTGGTGTTTTACGAATGCGCAAGGCTTCTCTAAGACGTCGACAAGCTCGGACCCCCATTGCTGAGCGAGCTTCTGAAATCCCGCTCCGGGAATCCATTCAGGTATTCGTCGCACTACAAGTAATTAGATTGTGTCGTTCACAAAATTGTCCACTTATTTATCAGCCCACTTACAGAAAGGTAGTACGTCAACGAGGAAGGCTCCGGGGACTGCAGCACGTCCAAATTTGTCCATAGCATCACTAGCCAAGTCAACCAGGAGGTCCTCCTTGTGAGATTCTGCTGTGTAGCCATAAGCAATCTTTAAGATAACAGCGCCCGCTTCCCTTCGCGAGTAAACTCAGTCAGCGACAGAGTCCGTCGAGTTAATCATTTCGACACGATCGGGAATGATGATACGTACTTCTTGGCGTGGTTCATGAAGTCTTCCGGATTGTTTAGGAGATGAAGCAGGAAATGTCCTACTTCACTTTCTTGCAATTCGTTGAATTGAGAAGCCGCGTTCTTCGTACCAATAATACGGCCCATATTCTTACGGTGTGTCCTAAACTGATTGTTGTAAGGTGACAGCCCGAGCGAATTTTCCCAGCCAATCCTATTGAAACTTATTAGCTTCCCAATTACTTATGGCCCAGACACTGCTTAACCCTATTCAGGAGAAACTAACATTTCACCGGCGAATATCTGTCGAGGTCTCGACGAATGCTTCGCTGAGCGTTTCTCCAACAGCTCGAAGGCCAGTTTCGCATCGTTGATGATAACAATGGTTTGGCCCATCACCGTTATAGAGCTTAACGGACCTTCAAGCAGCTCATTAGTATAAAGCTTGCCAGCCAACTTGCGCGTTAATAATTAAATGATCAACTAACCATATAGTTCTTTATGCTTCAACCAATGATCACACTCCAATACTCCTGGCTGAGGTAGGTCATTCAGATTCCCAACGATGGGCAGACCCTTAGGACCTGGTGGTAGAGGAGGATGATTTCCATTTGATAAGCCTATGAACTTTGCGATAAGGTACACGAAAGCAACACCAAGTCCGAGACTGATGAGGAGTGATGATACACCCATTGTCGTCGAGACGGGTACCAGAACGCAAGGGATAGGACGGTAGAGGTTGCCGGTGGGCTTAAGATCAATCTAGGTTTGACACTCGCAGTTCTACAAGTATCATTGGTCTGGGCTTCCCTCGTCAGTGCTGAATCAAGAATATCATCATTAGAACTCACATTTTTCCTATGAATTTTCTATCATTCCTGTACACAGAAAGATATAGATGGTCAAAACAGATCGATACCTAAATACAATGAAATCCGCGTTTATATTAATAAAATTTAAGCGATAGATCTAGCTATAATGTGTTACACATGCCCCTCGTCTTAGCCTCCCTTGGCTGGTGGCCTATCATAGGTTGTATAATGGTCAACTGGAGCGTGTCGAGGGTATACGGGCTGCTTTCCTATATCGGCCAAGTGGAAGTCGTATGGGGAGCCCATGATACGTATCCAACCTATAGCGGATCGATTATATTTGCTATATTTCTCTGTGCCGCACACGGTATGATTCCCCGTATTAGCGTTTCAAGCTTGTGATCTTTCTAGGAAAGATGCACAGCTATAGCTCTGGAAAGTACGGGATGATAGCGGCGAATACCTAGCTAAGCTTCGATACCTGAAAGTCTAGCGTTAGATATGAGGTAAGGTAGCAATGGAAGGACGCTTGGATGAAAACCTTGAAGAATTCCTTAGCCGTCTACAACTAGGGAGTGAGGCAAAATACACCCACATATGCAGCCACAAAGTCCTCACCACGGCATGTGAAAGTATAGGTTAATTGCCTTCTAATCCCTGGCTGCAGACAGCTGCTAATTACCAGGTAGAGAGATAAAGTTCGGTGTGTTCGAGTTTGGAACAACTGCACAAATAAAATACGACATTATATCCCTTCTAATCTGTTTCCAGGTAGCACCTGCAGTTCTGGGTACCCAAGAACTTGGAACTAAGAGGATCCATCGTCCATGGATGTTACGTAATACACTAAAACACAGTACGAAATGCTTTCCCCGCACTCCACAATTGGAGACTGCTACTACTACTCTAAATTGGCGTCACAATTTTTTGTTTGAGCAGCCCGGAAACTTCAGCCTTACCGCATCAAAAATTTACACGCGACAGCATTCAATTGACCCCGACGACCTACTCCAACAACCCAATCGCTTCCGACTCGACGATTATCGGAGAGAAATATACATACACATCACAACGGTAAAGATTCAGCAAAGGCCAGCCCAACATGAGGCTCACGGCCGAGCTTCTCCAGAATTCCCCCTCGTGGCTAAACGCGTTGAAGGAGCGCGAGCTTGAGCTTCGAGGTACGTCGGAAAAGAACAGATACTACACTTTTTGATCTAGTAGAGAGCAGAGTTGATAGCGATGCCCTTGCCGGCTTTGAACAGGACATCGGATACCCGCCATTGAGAACTTGGGCGTTGCAGGCGTAAGTCTTCTATTATCCTGCTATTGCTTTAGATTACGTCGTATAAGGTAGTTACTAACTCTATAGCAACCATACAGCCTCAAGATGCCATAGACTTTGTCGATAACGACATTCAAGTATTGGGAAACCTCCCTCTCTCGCCACGAATCCAATCCCTTCTACTACAGCGTAACCGCATCGCCACCATACAACCCACCCTCGCCAACTCGATCCCGAACCTTACGAACCTACAACTAGAATCGAATAACCTGACCGAGCTAGCAGACACGGACCCCCTGGGTTCCTTCCCGCGACTAACACACTTGGTATTACGAGACAACCCGGTAACGAAGAAGGAGGTAAGCTTAAGAACCTACTTCATTCCCACCCCAACTATTCGAAGAATTAATGAATACATATTTACTGTATTTTTCACTGCAGCACTACCGATATTGGGTACTATGGCGCTGCCCCTCGGTACGTTTCCTCGACTTCGAGAAGGTGAAGGATGCGGAGCGTAAGCAAGCCGCAGAGCTATTCGGTACCGCCGAGGAACCGACGGAACTCGCGTCCAAGATCATGGGCATCAAGTCCCGCGCCTTCGATTCGGCACTACCCATCAACGGGGCCCCATCCGGCGCATTGCCGACACGCATGTCCCGTATCAAGCTCACCGACAAGGAGAAGAAACGTCTGCAAGACATGATCAAGAAAGCCACTAGCTTGGACGAGATTACAAGACTCGAGGCAATGCTACGGGAGGGCAGGATGCCGGCTGGTGTTCATCTGAATGACGAGATGGAAGAGTAGGAAGGATATTGGTGTTTGTGCATAAAAGAGAAATTGGATTACGGTGCTCGTGGTAGTGGCGGTCAGGCAAATAATGACATTAGCCACAAAATGAAGATTCGGGTATACCCATGGACCAGGCAATCCTAACTAATCCCTCACGTGCAAGAATCTATGCGTGTTTAATTATCGTATGTGTGTGCATGTTTGACCCGATGACTCCCCCAACGCCAGAATTCGTGCTACAAAGGTATCCATTCCAGGAATCAAACTCTTGCCCTTAAAACGGATTAGAATTTCATTCCCCAATGCCGAACAGACCCGATTCCCTAACCGGTCATATCAACATCCTCATCACGTCCCCCACGACTAGCCTCGCGCATCTCATTACGCAGCTGATCCGCGGGATCGACCTCCGTGTCCTCATCCTCACTCACGATCCTTGCACCACTAGCGCCGACAAAGCTCCCATTCAGACTCGAGCGGCTGGTGCTAGGTCTATGCTTCTTACTACTGCTACCCCCAGCTCCACCACCACCACCGCTACCGCTTCCGTTCGCTGTCTCGCGCTGCGTCTCGCCGGGTCGGTCGACTGCGGATGCGTTGCTCGACAGCTGGGCGCGGGTCGCTGCTGCTTCGGCCTTGATGCGCTTGAAAGGCACGGTTTTGGGCACGACGTCCTCGAGGAACTCGAGGTTCTCCTTGGCGGCGACGGCGGAGGCTAGGTCTTTGTACTGGATGTTGCGGCGCGGCTTGCGCTCTGTGCGTGCCATGTTGAAGCCTTCGCCGGCTAGGTATTGGATGAACATTTCCTGGGGGGTGTTAGTGGGGGTTAGGATGGAGGCGGGGTAGGGAGACTTACGGTAGCGAGGGTGATCACGAATGCGGCGTTGTTGGAACAGATTCCGATGTCCTGGTCCTGGGCAACGATCTTCTTCACTCGTGATACTGTGGGGTTGGGTGGTTAGTATGAGTGGTATGGGGTGACGATACGAGTTGGCTTACGAGGAAGCTGGGTCTGGCCGGTGACCTCCTTACGGGGAGGGATTGCGGTGGTGTTGTAAGGCATATTCATGAATTTCTTCTAGAGGGTGGTGTAACTTGTAGAAGAGTATTGGATCAATGACCTTCAGATTGTGGAAGGCTGTGGTCGTCGAAGTGGGCAGCTAGGAGTAAGTTAGTAATGGAAATCACAGGTATCTCTGAATGAGACGAATTTTGATTTCTCGTGGTAAGTGGGGTAAAATCTTTGATATGAAAATCTTGTCTTGGTTTTATAGCTAAGTTACTAGAGGGTATATGAAAAGAAAGGTCTTACATGAGGTGAAGAAATGTGGACGGCAGAATAATGAAGTGCGACCAAACTTAGATGATAACCGTCGTTTCTAGTTAGAGATAAATGGCAAGGTGCGGCTTATTTGATGTGGAGGTCTGGTAATCGTTGAAGTTTTTGAATTATGCGTGAACTTGGTGATCAAAAAGCTGCCGTCTTTTGTGAGCTTCAGTGAAACGCGATGAGGTTTTGGGAGAGACGCGATTCTATTAAACCTTAAAGTGGTAGGCGGTGAAATATTGTACGGTGGAAATGTGCATTGACGAGAAAGGATATACACTGTATAAGTTAGGGGCCTGTTAGGTCAACTTTGACTGTCCAAGACGCCAAGGGAGCACCTGCATCAATCTGACAGAGGATCGTGACCCAGTGCAATTAGCACTGTAGATCCCTACTGCTGGAAGGTGCTTGGCTGCACTAGCCCTAGGACCCCTGCCGGTCAGCCTCAAGGGCGATTACGTAGGAGCAGCATTTGATAACTTGCTCAACATTAAATCTTTAAATCTACCATCAATCCACCAGCATCCTAAGTTGTCCTCGTACACACTCGAGCAAGTCGCATTTGAATCATCTACCATTCATTCCCATTTTCGGATAGACGAGAATGATCACAACGACTCCTTAGACTAATGTCTTCCCGTACTACCTCCTTCTCCGTCACCCACCCACAGCTATCCCGCAGACCCTCCGTTAGTTCTAGATTGTCGATCGCCGTGTCAACTGCTGAGCGTGGAGAGGTAAATGGAAGCAATGCGCCGAGAGAACAGCAAATAGAAGAGGAGATAGCCGAAATCAAAAGATATGAGGTATTCTAACCCACAGGCAGCTTTCAATATGCCAATCGCGCTTCGAGCTAATATGTTGATAGGACTTTACCACCATAGGTATGCGCATCGACGAACCCCTAAACTAACCCAACGAAAGCGATCATTAACATCAACAACAACACAGATTGGGTGCAGGATGCGGCACAGGAGAGATTACGTAGGAGGACAAAACTAAAAAGACATGCACGCTTCGATAACGGAAAGGTGTCATGGAGATATAAGTTGTGGGAGTCATACGATGCCGCGCAAGGATGGATCGTGGTAACCTTAATAGGGGCGGCGATCGGCTTGAATGCTGCCTTTCTGAATATCATAACCGAATGGCTATCCGACATAAAAATGGGATATTGTACGACTGCTTTCTACCTAAACGAAAACTTCTGTTGTTGGGGCGAGGACAATGGATGCGACCACTGGCATCGCTGGACCTCGTTTGAACCAGCCAACTATGCGCTGTACATCATGTTTGCGGTAAGCCTATTTGTCTCCTAACGTTTAGGTATCGTCTCGAAACTAAACCCTCCAGACCATATTTGCCTTTACCTCGGCCATTCTCGTCAAATCATTCGCGCCCTATGCTGCCGGCTCGGGTATCTCCGAGATCAAGTGCATTATTGCGGGTTTTGTTATGAAGGGATTCCTAGGATTCTGGACTCTGCTCATCAAATCGATCGCCTTACCACTAGCTATCGCTTCTGGTCTCTCGGTCGGTAAGGAGGGTCCCAGCGTGCATTATGCGGTATGTACAGGCAATGTCATATCGAGGATGTTCGACAAATACAAACGGAATGCATCCAAGACACGAGAGATTCTTAGCGCCTGCGCTGCGGCCGGTGTGGGTGTTGCATTTGGCAGTCCTATCGGAGGCGTGTTGTTCTCTCTAGAAGAGATGTCTAACTATTTCCCATTGAAAACTATGTGGAGAAGTTACTTCTGCGCTCTCGTCGCGACAGCTGTCCTCGCGGCGATGAACCCTTTCAGGACCGGCCAGTTAGTCATGTTCCAAGTTAAATACGATCGATCGTGGCATTTCTTCGAAACGGTGCCATATATCATCATTGGCATATTCGGTGGTCTATATGGCGCTTTCGTGATTAAATGGAACTTACGAGCCCAGGCATTCCGAAAGAAGTACCTAACGAAATGGGCCGTCCTTGAAGCTACGCTATTAGCCATGGGAACGGCCATTATCTGCTACCCTAACGTATTTCTTCGGATTGATATGTCAGAAAGCATGGAAATCTTGTTTTTGGAATGTGAGGGGACTGAAGATTACCAAGGGCTCTGTGATAACGATAGGCGGTGGTCGAATATTATGTCACTAACCATCGCGACTATTATTCGCATATTCCTAGTTATCATCTCATATGGATGCAAAGTACCAGCCGGTATCTTCGTACCATCTATGGCTGTTGGGGCATCTTTTGGCCGAACTGTTGGCATTATAATGCAGGCGATCTATCACGCCCATCCGGATAGCGCTTTTTTCGCCGCTTGCCAACCGGATGTACCATGTATCACGCCTGGGACATATGCTTTTCTGGGAGCCGCTGCCGCACTCAGTGGTATCATGCATATTACGGTGTCGGTTGTGGTTATTATGTTTGAGCTTACAGGTGCTCTAACCTACATCTTGCCTACTATGATTGTTGTTGGTGTCACGAAGGCTGTATCCGATTTATTTGGCAAAGGCGGAATTGCCGATCGGATGATTTGGTTTAGTGGTTTCCCATTTCTTGACAACAAGGAAGAGCACAATTTTGGCGTTCCAGTATCAACGGCTATGACCAACGACGTAGTCGCCATCCCTATTCATGGAACAACGTTACAATCTATCGAAGACCTACTCAAGCAACCTAAGTACCAGGGCTTCCCCATCGTCGAGGATTTATCGACGAAGGTGCTTGTCGGCTATATCGGTCGCACTGAATTACGCTATGCTATTGATCGTCTACGTCGCGAGCGCTCGATTACTATCAGCCCGGAAGCTAGATGCAGCTTCTCACCACCGCCAGTATTAAATTCAGTTACGCCTATTACACCTACTGTTACTATCAGCAACGCGGACTACAATTTTTCCTCGACGTCTGTCGATTTCAGCCGGTATGTAGATGCGACACCGGTGACGGTACATCCACGGTTGCCACTCGAGACAGTGATGGAACTCTTCCGCAAGATCGGGCCCCGTGTGATCTTGATCGAGCACCATGGTCGATTATGTGGCTTAGTCACAGCCAAGGACTGTCTTAGGTATCAGTTTAAGGCGGAAGCAGCTGAGAATCCACGTGACGACCACGAGATTACCGAAGGATATGAGAAGCTCTGGAGAGTGATGATTAGAGTTGCCGGATGGTTCTCTGGGAAAGTCGCAAGTGTTAGCGGCGGACGCATACAACTTGGTGGTGACGGAAATGAAAGACGGCCTTTGGCGCGAGGAAATAGTAATGGCCAGATTATGGATGGCGATGAAGATGTAGGTGACATCGATGGTGTCGAGTTGGAGAATAGGTAGTGTCATATTTGGTATTCAATACTAGTGTCGTTCAAAATTTGATTTGCAGCAAACCTTCTGGGGTTATTTGATTCAATATGAAACCACATACAACCGACACTCTATAGATTATTGAGATACCTGAAGTCTTCTAAATATCCTCCATTACTGGGAGAAACCCCGTCTGACATATCGTGCAACCTGGGAATACACCAAACCGTTACGGCTTGGTTCACGGCAGATGCATAGCGGCAGCGGCCCGCACGGTGCTACCCATCCATAAAGAAATTCGGTGTTATGCGATGTAACTAACGGCCGCCGCTAATTAGCGTAGAACAGCGGGTCTGGTTATTGATTCAAGCAATCATTTCGTTCCGCTCTCTGCAGGAACATGATCACATACAGAAGAGTCATTGATGTACATATATATCTGCAGTTGGTGCAGGTAGAATATGTTACTTGATCATACACTGTGGAGTACAAAGTTCTGCTGCAAGTGATCGCCCTGATCGGCCAATCTGTAATGCCAAGACAAAAAGGCCACGCACTCACCAACTCGGCGATAAGAAATACCCAGAAATCTTGAATCGTTTCTACCGACCGGTACCTACCAGATCTCCCATAAGCTGAAACACTACGGCGTGCCAAATCGACCCGTGGCACATTCCATTGGTCCCGGTTTCCAGTTAGGCGGCGCACTTTATCTTTGTACCTTCCTTTAGGTACTAACTTGGCAGTTACCACACCCCGACGTATCCGGACTTCTACACACCTAATCCACAATGCCCCGGCCCCGGAAAACTCTATCTACCACTGCTACCACCCAAACTTCTTCGACTACGTCCGCTAGTTCCTCCGTTCGCCTAAGGAAGAAGCCGCCCGTTGCTGTTGTTGCCGAGGAGAACGAAGGTGTTAAGAATCTCGGAAACAGCGACGGCTTGGCAGACGATTCCAGCATGCCTTCTTGGACGACGAGGAATCAATGGATCGTGTTCGCGGTTGCTAGCGGCGCTTGCGCTGCATTTAATGGCGTTTTTGCTAAGTTGTGAGTCTCATGATATCCGTTCCGTAAACACTCATATACCCTATCCCAGAGCACCACTAGGTTTCTTTATTCTCTATCCCTCATCCCGCCTTACCTCAAACTCGTGATCATGAAATTTAATTACCTACCTACATAAGTTGACATCTTATCCAACTCGGAATTTTAATCCAAGCGAGACCAAGAAACATAATCTCCAACTCAGCTCAGTTCGACCTAAGACTAACTTAAACATACTCGCAGAACTACAAATGACCTATCCACTCACATAGCCCAAGGAATCTCCGGGTTTCTCGGGCTAACGGACCTAGAAAAGGTCGTCGAGGTCATCGTTCGCTGTGTAAGCTATTCACTACCAATTTCCCCCCTCCATCACCCTACCCCCCACCATCTCATATTCCCAAAATCTACCTACCTTGCATGAACTAACCCCCACCCAGGCCTTCTTCGGCCTGAACCTCCTCTTCAACGGGATCATGTGGTCGCTCTTCACACAAGCCCTCGCCAAGGGGCAATCCACAACACAGGTCTCCATCATGAACACATCCACGAACTTCGTCATCACAGCGTTCCTAGGCCTGGCTATCTTCGCTGAGTCCCTGCCGCCGCTATGGTGGGTCGGCGCCGCGATGCTGGTTGCTGGAAACGTGATCATTGGACGGGGAACGACAGAAGAGGGTAGTGAAGCGGAGGCGGAGGTGGAGGGGTTGCGGGACGGTTCTAGTGAGGTTGGGTACCGCGATGATGATGATAGTGATGAGGATCATGAGCACAGGCACAGTCACGATGATGTATCGGCCGCAGAGCGAGGCCGTGGGTCTACCGCGACGCCGCAGGAGGAGGGAATCTTGCCTGTGGAGAAGGACGACGAGGATGAGGATGTGCCCCTATTGGGGAATTTAAGCTAGGGGGATATATAGAGAGAAGATTCGATTGGTTATAGACTAGCTTAGAGGTTGATACCCGGGCGGTTATATGCATGGGAATCTATCCGGAATAGACATGATTGAACAGTCGCTTGCTTTTTTATGCTCGTGTGAAGTAGTCATCGCTGTTGCTTACTCCTGCGTGCGGATCTATCTCTAGGGTTTCTATGATATGGGGGATCATGATGTTACTTCAATAGTATCTAGTTGCTTTTTTCAATCCCTGGATTCATACCGGGTCTGTAAATCAGCAGGTCAGGTGGGTGATAACTTCCTAGCCAGCGTCACTAAAACCGACTAATCACAACGATATATTACAGACCTAAGAAAATAGAACATCATGCTAGAAGCTATCACATACATTTACGAGCGTGAATGTACGTTGTAGCAATAATTGCAGAAAGAATCACACTCGTTGATCACTTAGTTCATGCAAGCAACCACATCCAGAAATTTACCAAACCTCTTTTTATTAAGCGAAATGCAATGCATAATCCCGATTGTGCGTGCAAAGTCAGTACAATCTGAGGTTGCTCCGTTCCGTATAACGCCCTGAAAATCACTCATGATGTATTCCGTCACCGTATGCCAGCATCCTCATATCCGTTGCGAAGGAAATGAACCATAATTACACAGTGATGCCACCTTCCGACCTGAATCTTTGCCTCATTATCAAACCCGAAACTTCGCGAGAAAACCGTTGGAGTTGACCTTGTTCATCGAGATCGCGTCGGTTCGTATGAACGGGTTCGTAGGAAAGAGAAGGTAGTCGGAAGGATGGAGAAGCGCATGAACTAGCCGTTCTCTACGCATGTTCGTAGACGCATGATGTATCGTGATATAAAAGTACAACGCCTCCGATGTCGCCTCGTCGAATGCATGTAGCTCGTTAAAAACGAGACAGCCGACTTTCGCGATTCCGGAAAAAGCAACAGGACGCACTATGCGGTAGCTCCCGCAGGCTTCGCAGTGCACGACACTATCTTGACCTTGTCTGCCGAGACAACCTGTCCGCCGTTCTCCATCTTGAAGGTGACGTTCTTAAGCTGGAAGGTCCAGACCTCATCACAGAATCGGTATGTATCAAGACTCCCCTACAGATCAGATAAGATGTAGTGGTTAGCCAATGTCACAAGGCCATCACTGCAAGGGAAAATCTCAAAATATTCACCTTGAACGTCAGACGAGCCTTAACCTTATCTTGAAGCACCTCTGTTATAGCGCGATCAAAATTGGCCAGGATCTTCATGGCAAGCTGAGGGTCTATTCGATGATCGGTGATTAAATCATCGAGGGTATCGGTGAGAGCGGTACCGACGCTACAGTAAATAGTGTCAGCGCAGGCCAAGATGTGAACAGTTAACGAAAGCTGCTGCTGTACCTGCTTCGTCGGTACAGCTCGTAAAAGTTCTGGCTAGTAGCCGCCATCTTGATGATCTCTAGAGTAAATCTGGAGTTTGTGGTCGCAAGATTATCGCGATGATGAATTGTGCGATTGATTGTCAGATCTGCCCCAAAAAGTTTCGGAAGATGACTGGTACATAAAAATGGTATGTAGGGTTTAGGATTACGAATGATGGAATGTTTGGAGATAAGGTTGCCAGAGAGGCTGTGGAACTGTATGACTAAGCGAAATGGGTCTCCGTGCTAGGCACTAGCACGTTAGTGTGGTGGGGAACCTTACCAAATCTTGGGACAAAGTTTGCGACTGTGCAACATTCAGGCATTTGCAGGCGGGTACTCAGGGAAAGTACCCCTTTACGCGACCCCTGTCGATTGACGTTTTCGGCCATGCCCCCACACTACTTAACGCGTGATAACGCAGCTAACTCGCGTCGTCCGGGGTGCCGGGAACGCCTTTGACGCGCTAAACCTAGTCGATCAGTGCAATACATACGCTACCTACCAGTTGTGAAATCATCATTTTTCCTATTTTCTCTTCTTATCCTTAAATCGCATCTTCTTAGCGTTGATTTTTCTTTTGGGTCATGATCCAATATAACATCATTGTAACTTTTACTTTTTCCTAATCCTAGTTACCTCGCATAATCTACATTTCTTTTTTAAGATGGCCCGTTCGTCTTCTTCCGGCGTTGATTCTCTCAATTCCTCATCTCGTCTGCCTACCAGCGCTCCCTCATCGCCTCCGCAGGCCGACGACTTATATAACGTAACAATGGGTGTTACCTCGACCTTCACGGAGCAGCGGATGCTCAATGAAGAGAAGAAAGCTCGAGACGAGAACACTAGGGCTGAAGCAAAGCGACTTGCCGCTAAGAGGAAGCGCAAGAAGGTCCAATTATCGCCGCAAGAGCGCGCCCGCAAAGCGAAAGAACTAGACGAGCTTCTTCGCAAGAGTAAAATCTTTAGCGACATCCTTACACAGAAAACGAAAGCTCTTGGTCGTGTCGGTCGCGACTTCGATAACCAAGCATTGGCAGACGCTGGTTTACAATTGAAACAACAGCCTAAAATCATGAGTGGTGGAACTATGCGAGATTACCAGTTAGAAGGTCTGACGTGGATGTATGAGATATGTTTGCAAGGACTAAGTGGCATATTGGCCGATGAAATGGGACTAGGTATTGTTTGCCTGCCCCTAACTGGCCATCCCCATGCCTTTGAAGCTAACTCCAAATTAGGAAAAACAATTCAAGTCATCTCACTTGTTGCTTTGCTTAGAGAACAGGAGAGTTACTTCGGTCCTCACCTAATAATAGCTCCGTTAAGTACGTTGTCAAATTGGCAAGACGAATTCCAGAAATGGACTCCGACGATACCATTCGTGATGTACCATGGCACTCCGCAAGAGCGCCAGGAAATTTTCCGCACAAAAATAATGAGGAACTATCAGAAGGGGCGCCCCTCGCAGCGATTTCCAGTGGTTTGTACTAGCTATGAGATGGTCCTCAGAGACCGTGCCAGTCTCTCGAAAATCGACTGGGCCTTCATCGTAGTTGTAAGTATGTTGTGCTTATATCCATGCTTCTCGAGATTAATAAATTACAGGATGAGGGTCACCGAATGAAGAACGCCGATGCGAAACTCTTTAGGGAACTACAGCAGTTCAAGTCAGCAACTCGACTACTCATAACAGGAACGCCTCTCCAGAACAATCTCAAGGAATTATGGTCTCTCCTTCACTTTTTAATGCCAGAAACCTTCCTCGATTGGGAGGCATTTGAAGTATGGTTTGATTTTAGCGATTTGCAAGATGAAGAGGGCACCACGCAGTTCATCGAGGACAAGCAAAGTCAAGATCTCGTTTCCAAGATCCATAAGGTTTTGCAGCCCTTGCTACTTCGCAGAATCAAGGCAGATGTGGCCAACTACTTACCAAAGAAACGAGAATATGTCTTATACGCCCCTATGACGAAAGAGCAAACGGATCTTTACAATGTCATTGGAGACAAGAAAACCGACACCAGAAGTTACCTGGAGAGCAAGGTCGTCGAGCGGTTAACAGAAACTCGCAACAGTCCGAGCTCCAGGAAATCGAGTCGTCAGTCATCGCGTGTAACTAGCGCAAACACAAGCCAAGCGCCATCACCACCAGCGAAAAATGCGTTTTCGATGATGATGGGTAAGAAAGGAGGTTCGACATTGAAAGTAACGCCTAAAGACAGTTCTCCTGCGTCTCGTGTCAGAGGGACTAGCAAAAGGAAAGTCCCACCAACTAGTGAGGCTTCATCTCCGAAGAGTAGCAAATCAAGTCGACAATCCACTCCAGCTGGTAGTATTCGGGGCCGGCCACGTAGGGCCCGCGCTTCGTATAAAGTGGCGGACGATTCCGATGATGATAAGCTGGATGATGATGCATTTGAGGCGAAATTAGCTTCCGAGCTTGCTGCTAAAGATGACGAGTCGGATGAAGACCTTCGGGACGAAGAGGAAATCGAGCGAGCTGCTACTCTCGAGATGGCCAAGCTTCAAATCGCCGATAAGAAACTTGGAAACCCCATCATGCAGTTGCGGCTTGTGTGCAACAGCCCTCACAACTTCTACAACCCGTGGACATTCGACGACAAAGTACCCATAGACGAGAGCATTGTGACAGCTTCTGGAAAGATGCTGCTCCTGGACAGGCTCCTTCCAGAGCTCTTCTCACGCGACCATAAAGTCTTGATATTCTCCCAGTTCAAAACGCAATTAGACATTCTGCATGACTACTGTTCCGAGCTACGCGGATGGAACGTATGCCGAATAGATGGAGGAGTTGCTCAGGAGGACAGAAAGCAGCAGATTAAGGAATTCAATGAGAATTCTGATTTCAAGATATTCCTGTTGTCGACGAGAGCGGGTGGTCAGGGTATCAATCTAGCGAGTGCGGATACGGTGATTCTTTTTGATAGGTAAGTCCACAGTTTCTCCTGGTTCGCATTAGGGATTGGCTAACGCATGGGAATCAGCGATTGGAACCCGCAGCAAGATCTACAGGCACAAGATCGTGCTCATCGAATCGGTCAAACACGCCCCGTCGTCGTCTACCGATTGGCGACAAAAGGAACCGTCGAGGAAGAGCTTCTCATGAGTGCCGATGCAAAGCGTAGGCTAGAGAAACTCGTCATCAAGAAGGGGGGGTTTAGGACGATGGGTCAAAAGCTCGATAGCAACGAGGTTATAGACAAGGAAATCCTTCAGTCCTTGTTGTTGAAGGACGGCGAAGAATATCAGCACTCGGGAGGAGATCGGATCCTGAGTGACGAGGATATCGATGTTCTTTGTGATAGAAGCGACGACGCCTTCGATCGAGCTGCGAGAGGTGCCGGTAATGCTGATGGTTTCCAGGTCGTTGAAACGGCCGCCGATGGTATTACTCAGATGAAAGGAGAGTAGCTGTATTATGGACTTGAAAATGGGTTTGTTTTAACATATAGGTATGCGCTGGCGTTACTGATTGCCGGGTCGGATTAGATCGAATGGTGCATCTAGCATTACCAACACCATTTCCATGTACAACTGCTAATTAGTAGAACTACAATTAAGACGTTCTACCTCTATCCTTTCTCGGTCATTCCCTTCACTTGCGATCCCAATTGATTTATTCAATCTACTCGGTTAATCATATTCCGGCAGTATCACAACTATCCTTTCGGCGATAACGCTAACGGTCGGATTTAACAGGGTTGCGCCATATCAGGGGCACGATGACGACCCGAGTTAGGCATTCGCCCTACTGATCAGCGGGGCAAACTAACTTATCTCTCACAGCATAGTACGCGAAAGGAAGGCAGCCGTGAGGTTCACTTGCGTATCCAGCCTATCCGAACAGATGCATGCATCAAGGCTAGGAAAGTTCCCTCGGTTACATTGGAAGAGGATTTAGTGGGTTCTCGAGCTTGAGATACAAATGATTGTTCATCCGGTTCGCCTTCGTTCTCCAAAGGTTCAACTATCTATTAATAAAGGAAGGTTATAACGGTACGAAGTTTGTAAGGGATAACGGTCATCGGACGGGACTAACTGAAAAATATCTCATCTCGTCTCAAGAAAACACCATCCCAAAACGCTAAAGGCCTAGTTAGAATCAACAAGAATGCCTGCGATAGAGGAAACGGGAGGGGATCTTAGCTCTCTGAGCAACGACGTACTCCTAATATATTTCCCATATCTGGACTCGACGGGATTTGTGGAACGAGTCACCAAGCGTTTTAAGGGTCTTGAAGTACGATGGATAAAATCGAACGCGAGTCCTCTCGTTCCGCCAAGGGCCGAAGACCTTGATGCTAAAGATTGGGACGGTGTTACCTTGCTTGCCACATTCATGCCGCCTCCAGCAGAGTTCCTATCTAAGGTTCGCTACGTACAGCTTACCACCGCGGGAATCGATAGATGGCCGGTGCATTCGACATATCAAGATGAGAAGGTCACATTTGCCACCTCCAATGGCGTTCACGCGTGAGTCGCAACTATTTCGAGAAAATTCTTTGAATCGATACGTTGACACCATGTGAAGAACGCAGATTGCGGAATGGGTCATTGGTGCTTGGCTCATGCATCAACATGCCTTTCTTAACTATGCCGCAAATATGAAGACGGGCACTTGGCAGTCTCCCTTTACCGCGAAGGTTCAAGATTCAACAGGCATGAGAATGTGAGTCTATTCGGAAAGCTACCATATCCAATAGGCAATTAAGTATTGACACTGGCTTCGCTGCAGAGGCATTCTGGGATATGGTGCGATTGGGAGGCAATGCGCACGATTAGCTAAAACCTTGAGCATGGAGGTTTACGCTTATACGCGCAGCGAGCGAGCCACATCCGAATCGCGCAAGGACGACAGCTATTGCATACCAGGCACAGGGGATCCGGACGGGCTACTGCCGACAAAGTGGTTCCACGGCTCAGCCAAGGGAGATGTAGATAGTTTCCTAGCGCAGGATCTTGATCTGTTGGTTATCAGCCTGCCGCTGACATCGGAAACACGGCATATTCTCTCGCATGAGCAGTTCGAAATCTTAAGCAAGAAGAAGACATTTGTCGCAAACATTGCGCGCGGTGGCCACATCAACCAAGATGCGCTTATCAAGGCTCTAGAGACGGATCAGATCCGCGGCGCGGCGCTCGATGTCACAGATCCAGAGCCACTCCCTAGTGACCATCCATTATGGAAAGCACCGAACCTGATCATAACCCCTCACATTAGCTGGAAGACAGATGCTCTCTATGGGAGGCTGCTGGATCTCTTGGAACTTAATCTCGAAAGATTAGCTTCAGGGCAGCAACCCATCAACGTGGTAAACCGTCAGCTCCACTACTAATAGACTCACTTCAATTAAAATGATAGAATAAACAAAGTCAATTGAGCTGGTTTCACGCCACATTACCGCAGCTATATATGTTCGATTATAAGATTCGGCTATTTATTAATAGCTCGTCCGTTACCGCGAGCTCGGGCAGCCTAGGACATATTGTTAACGATGACCTCAGATCGACACCACCCTCACCGAAGGTCTAGAACACTACCAAGAAAAGAGAATCCAGACGAAAAAAAGAAAATTAGATGCTTTTCCCCACATGAAAATATATCGTTTCCACCGGGTTGAGGACAACACTCGTCATCAGAAGCCATAGGGTTTGTGTAACCAATAATATTCAACATATAGATGGCTCTAATCGACAGGATTGTGACTAAAAGAGGCAAAACGGATGCAGATCCTGTCTGAAGAAAAACTTTGCGGACCTAGATCAGGTAAGCATCTTCAGATTGTCGCTAGATTGCAGACAATATAGGCAATTTTTGTCCCAAGCCAAGCAAGCCTCGGACGTCCGGTGCGAGATCTAAGACCCCCCAAAAAGCACTTCGCGGTAGCGTTCAACGCTAAAAAAGAACAGCTGAACGAATAGCTGCACTTTCCGGGAACCACTACGTCGGAAAGTTCGCGGCTCGCGGGATATTGTGCAGATGTTGTCCCACCGCTGATGAATCATGTCGTGAACGACGAGGTTTGGCACGAGATGGGAAAGTCCGGGTAGGAATGGGCTTTGGGATGTTAGCCAAGCATTCGCGCACCGTATCAGGATCGATGATATGATAAGCCGCGAAGTTCGGTCCTAGGAATTGACTCGACGTGAAACTTCCCTTGTAGGTGTGTGGTTGTTCCGGACGGTAAACTTAAGGCAATGAGAGCGGCCGATCCTTTAGACAGGGAAGAACATGATGTGATATCCGCAATGTTCAAAATAGCATAAGAGAGCCCTTCCACCCGGGCTTCACGCGCGCGAAGATGCCCATTTCTCGCCCATCCATGTAGCTGGTTACCAGACCTTACTGAACCGTTCACCCCAAGACTTCGTAGCTTCTAGTCAACGCGAGACAGAACAATTGGGAAGAGATGGCGGAAGTCGAAAAGCCGGATATTATTCCTGGCACTGATATCATCTTTACGGATGGGAGCAATGGAGAGAATACGACACCCGGTGAGGTTGTGCTCATCCCACAGCCGACTTCCAACCCAGATGATCCTCTAGTGAGCTCCTACAGATTATACCCTGTACACCAAAAGCAAGAGATATCTAACATCATTCTTAGAACTGGAATATGACATGGAAGACTACGATAATCTTCAACCAGTTCATCTTCGTCTTCGTGAGCATCATGACACCGATGGCCATCTCGCCCCTCTCGCTCATCTTCGAGGAGGAATTCAACAAGACGTTGCCGGAAGTGAACATGTTATTCGGCGCTGCGGCTATCACCTTAGGATATGCCAACTTCCTCATCGTGCCCGCGGCAAACATGTGGGGACGACGTCCAGTCGTCTTGATCTGCGGCCTGATATGTATCCTAGCCAACATCTGGCAGGCTCTCGTCACGAGCTATCCGAGTTTCCTGGGTGCTCGTGTTATTTCTGGACTTGGGGCGGCTGCGAATGAGAGCATTATGCCTATGGTTGTTGCTGATTTGCTATTCCAGCATCAGAGGGGAAGTAGTATGGCACTGTACTTGTGAGTAGAATTCACCATCTCCCAAGTATGAGAAGATGTACTCACCACCTCGTAACTAGTTGGGCGTATTTCCTCGGACTTTTCATCGGACCTATCATCTCCGGCGCCATCGCCTCGCAGATCTCGTGGAGGTGGTTCGTAAGTGTTGACTATCGCCTTGAAATCCGAGTCCCAACCTTCTAACACCAAACTCTTAGTTCTGGGTTTGTACCATCTTACAAGGTGTAAGTCCTCCAACGCATCCATTCACCCCATAACAACAAACACCACGACTCTAACCCACCCAAGGCAAGCTTCATATTCCTCCTTATCGCACACCCCGAAACAAAATACGACCGACCGTCCGCCCCCACAACCAGCCGCAACTCCACCGTCATCACCATCCGCGACCCCAACCCTCACCCCAACCCCACCGCCGAAAAGCCCGAAAACGGCGGCGCTTCAAGCTCCAGCACCGAACTCCCCACCCCACAAACCACCGCGCACCACCACGCCATCGGCCGTCCGTCCCGCGCACAATTCTCCCTCCTCCACCAACCCCAAACCCAAAATCGGAGTCAGAGTATAACAGCAACCCTCCTCCGCGACATCCTCTCCCCAATCCAAATCCTCCTCACCTACCCCATCGTAACATGGGCCTCTCTCTCCATGGGCTTCGCCGCGAATTCCCTGCTCGCGCTCAACCTAACCACAGCCCAAGTCTTCGGCGCGCCGCCGTATCTCTTCACGCCGGACCAGATCGGGTTCGTTAATTTCGCGTTTGTGGTGGGCGCGGTGGTGGCGTTGGTTACGGCGGGCCCGTTGTCGGATCGCATTGCGTTGGGCCGCGCGAGGAAGAATGGGGGTGTGTTGGAGGCTGAGATGAGGTTGTGGGCGCTGGTGCCGTATGTTTGTGCGAATGTCCTGGGTATGGTGGTTGTGGCGGTTGGATACCAGCGGGCGTGGCCGTGGGAGGCGGTTGTCGTGGTTGGGTATACGCTCGTTGGGTTGCAGGTTGTGGGGATTCCGGCTATTGCTATTGCGTATGCTGTTGATAGTGTGAGTGTTTTTCGTTGTTTGTGTGTTTTTTTTTCCTGTCAAGCTTTTCTTTTGTCGGGTTGGCTTTATGGGATGTCTCAGAGCTATGACCATGCGGAATGAAGTCGTCGCGTATCAGGTCGCCCGCGTCGATTCTGTTATTGATATGAGAATCGAAGATTATGTTACTAACTCTATTCGATTATAGTATAAGACCTTACCTGGGGAAGTCATGATTGCTGCGACAATTGTGAAAAATACGTTCGGGGTAAGTCTATTCACTCCGATCTCCTCTCCCCTTTCCTGCATCATCGCCAAACCCAATCCGTCCAATCCGTCCCAAATCTAATTTAAAAGCAGTTCGGAATGATATTCTTCTTCAACGACTGGGCAGCGCAGTCAGGGTATATTAAGCCCGTGCTGATGATGATGGGCCTCACAATCGGCGTCACCATCCTTGGGCTGTGTGTCTTTACTCCCTGGGGGAAGCAGTTCCGCCGCTGGACCAAAGACTCCAAGTTGCATTCTTTATAGGCCCCATATAGATATAATCGATGAAATTCAGGGTACGGTGTGGCGCCGGAATAGAATTCGCTTTTCTTCCTGTTCGATGTTAATCGTACATAAAAATTGGGGTTGGGGTGTTCGGAAGTAGATGTAGAGCGTGCGAATTGATATCTTGCAATGTGAAGGTGTTGTTATTTAAGGCCACCAAGATCAATGTTCAATATCCAAAGACTCATTCCAACCTGTATGTACGAGAGTAAAATATATACAGGAATATGTTCACCGGATTGTCAAATATGTACCCCCTCCCCGTTCATCAAAATATGCAAAATGTACTTATCTGCAACAGAAGCGACCAAAATCCTTTTATACCCCAGAAATCGACTTCCCGCTAATAGTCAGCTGCGCACTATACAACTCCCTCTTCGCATTCCCCTGATTCGCCGCCAGTCGGCCATGGAACACGACATTCTTCCCATTAGGATCGATATCCAATCCTCCCGGACCGTACACGCTTTTATTATCCACAGTCCGGATTAGGATCCCGCGATTCGTGTAGCTGCCGTCGATGGTGCTCGAGAAGGCGTACTCGACATCGTAATCATCGCTGGAGTAGCAGTGCGCGCTGTAGAACAGCACATAGTTGCCGTTGCCGATCTTATACAGCGCCGGTGCCTCGACCACGCCGTTATTAGACGCTCCTTCGTTGTCGAGGATCGTCTTCGCGCTTCCTTGTAGCGTTATCGCGTCCCGCGCCATTTTCTGGATTTTTATAGGCGTTGATTTGTAAGATCCAGAGGGCGTCCCGCCTTGGCATGTCGTCGCGCCACCGAGGCTGTTGCCGTCGACTTTCCAGAGGATCCACCGGTCTGTGCCGTCGTCGTAGCCGGATGCATCGATTACGCCGCCGCCAGACGTATCGCAGATTAGTGGGTTGCTTTGCGGTGTGAATGGGCCGATGGCGGTGGTTGATGTTGCGACACCGATGCAGTGGCTGCCGCCGTTCTGGTGCGCTGTGTAGTACATCACGTACGTTCCGGCATCCTATACATAATTAGTCCCGGTTCATACACTTACATATTATCATTACTACTGAAAACATACATTCTTCTGCACATCCGGTGCCCAGATTCCCTTATCATTAGGGTCGACCCAGGAGCCCGGATTCGGCAAAGCATCGGTGCTGCTAAGCGTCCAGGACAAGGTGTCGGAAGAGGTAGCGACGGGTATAACCTTGCCGTTAGACGATGTCGCGTAGGCTTTCCACGAGCCGTCGCCCCATATTATACTTGGATCCGGGAAGTCGACGCCCATGAACGGTCCGGATAGAGCCCGGCCCTTAAGACTACTAGTGTCGGCCAGGTCGATCTTCGTTATGTTAGCTAGGCCGAAGGTAGGAAGCTCATCGGGAGCTCGAGGGGCATTATGTTGAGATGGGAGTCCCGCGACTAGACCGGCGCCCAGGGAAAGAAGAAGACTCTTCATGACGGGTAGTAAACCAAGCTATTCCAACCAAGAAAAACCAAAGCCGTCTATATCAATAGGTAGGAACAGCACGAGTGCATCCTCGCAGACACGACTCGTCTGTTTACAAGCCATGGCGAATGTAATTTATAAAAGAATCCAAGAATGCAATCGTGCTCGGCATTACTCGGCCATTCCCTAGCGTTCCTAGACGCAAGGTACGATTGCCAGCGCCGTGTGGCTTCAGAAGTTGAAACATTTTCGACGGCCGTCGGTCCAATGAGCGCCAACCACGCCCCCGCGGCCCTTGTAAGGGCAACGAAGTAAGCAGGACATGGCGCAGAACGTTTGGCGTAGATAGGGCCGGAATAGGCAGGAACTGGGGAAAAGCAGGATGTGCTGCTAATGTGCCATCCGTCTGCGCATCCAATTGGGATACGGCTTGCGATCCTGCGGAGCTGTCGCTCAAGCAGTGTGCTGGCGATGGCACGGTCGCTAGGTAATTACGGCTTCAAGGGGTGGTAAGGAAGATGTGGGCGCCTAAGCCCTAAGGCCTTAGATCTGGCCAAGCCTTCCAAGCCTCCCACGTCAACCCCGGATTCCCCTGTCACAGCTACCTTAGGTAGGTAGGTAAAGCTGGTTCTTGGTCGCGGCCATCAACGTTGCATGGGTCTAATTCATCTTAAAATCTATTTTCAGACAAATAGATATGCCTGCCTCATCCGATCTGCTTCCTCCTAGTTTTAAGTGCCTATTTCGGTTGCCCTTAGGTTATCTGAATGTAGCGTCTGATATTTTGTCGCGATACGTAACCCTAGCCCTTGTAGTGCAGTTGATCGTCGCTGAAAGTCTCCAGAATTCCTGCGTGGTGACAAGGATCGCAACATCAAGGTTGTCAATGATCAACAATCAATATTCCGGTTTCCTGGACGTCCAGATAAGATTCTAAGCTTAAATTAACAGCGTTAGTAGTGGAAGCGAATATGTCGAGGAATATATTAATTTATCAGCCGCAGTAATTGAATTCCTACCTATGAAGGACCAATGTCGAGAGAATAGAGCAAATTGATCACGGTAAAGTCCAACCGAAGGGTTGCATCCTAAGGAGGTACGCTAGGTACTATAGTTGACGCGTAGTGACTGAGATCAGACCGCCCAGCACGCTGTGCAGCTTTACGAGCCACGATCAATTCCGACCGAACAAGCCGGAGCTCAGGCTATGCATGTGACCGTTTATTCGCAGAGAGCTCGCAGACGATCAAACTATACTCTCTCAAATATCGGTGATGCCTAGATGTCTGTGTTGTCAATGCCGGTCCACGCAAGTTAAGTATGGGGCAAAGGCCCCATCTAATGTTATGTTACTTCTTTCTTTTACCACTTTACGTATCCCTAAATGGATTATTTTCAGCTATGTCGACATCAATTTGAACGCATCTAGAGGACTTGTCAATACTCATTGGTTGAGCAGATCGAAGTCGAGGGGTAAAATGTTCAGCTGTGTCGATCATCTTATTTAATGCACTATTAGTCAACTCCGCCACGAATAGCGTAAAAACAAGTCCTAGGCTAAGAGCCCTAATTCATCCCTTTTTCTGCAATAAGCAATGCCGTCCCCATTTCCTTCTAAACTTCTCAGGTACGAAGCTCCAATCAGGAATCCAGAGTACTCTTGCAAGAAGATGCGTGTTTCCCGCATCAAGGAAGGGTTCGCATTTGACGATATCCCAGTTTTCTTTGTCGGCAATGTAATCTGGCTCATTTGGTGGTAGGGGATAATGGCTCTCCGGATATTGTGTGTCAACCAGGAATGAGCATTGTCCAATTTCCACATACTTGCTCATGTCCTCCTCATTAAGGTCATTCATACCCTTGGTCGGTAGCCATGTGCCACTCCAGAAGCCAAAGCCAGTTCGCGCTTCAGAGAATTCTCCAGGTAACAGTCCGCGGAATTCTGATCGAATGAATTTTGCGTGCATATCTCGAGGCAGGAAGTAAGAGCTAGGGAAGCGGTACCATTCTTTGCCGAAGCATACGTGATCACCGCGTCCACCTCGACCCTGTTGGCCGAATACACCAGTTCCAAGCGGTTTGTAGAGTTTAAGAGGTGCAGAATAGGCCAAGTACACACCAAGAATGCGAGCTGCACCTATGCTCAGAGATAATAGCAACACACCAGCCACGGTAAGAAGTTTCAGACGTGCTGGAATCTTCCCAACAAGAGTCTTTGGGTTCGAATTCCCAAAGGCTGATAAAATAATGTGAAATCCTATGGCGGCATTCAGAGCGACGAATGGGTACACCGGGTACATGAATCGCTCCTCTTTATGTGGCTGAATAGTGAAGATGCCAAGCCACATGTAAAAAGGGGAAAGGAATACCACGGTGCGTATTCCTGACTGGAACCCATGTTGTTTCGTAGAAAACGCTTTCTGTATAAGGAACAGAGGTAGAGATAATAAGGCGAGAACGAACCACATATTGAAATTGATGGCAAGGTTTCGAAAGTAAAACGTCCACGGTTCCGTTCCGTAGAGGTTAGGACCCCCTGTCGAAGAAAATATGTTATACCTCACTATATTCCACGACACCACTTCAACCTTCTTGTAGAAGAAAGTATTGATAGCCGTATCGCCCGCCTATACATGTGAGAACTGGACGTCGAAAGTTTAAGGAGTGAAGCAACTTACAAGGAGAAGGAGAGCAGCGATGACACCTCTACTAACTCGCATAACGGCTTCGTAAAAACGTTGACGGTCGTTTAACAGGGCAAGAACAGCAAATATGCCTTCTTCCAGCAGGAAAGGGGCACATAGGGCGGATGCGAAAGGCCACCCTAGGATGCCACCAACAGCAAACCACCAGATACCCCAGGAAGTCTTAATTCCTCCTCTCCAGTTCATGAATGCGGCAGTTCCGAGTAGCGAGGTGTACATGGCAAAGCTAGATGGTAGATAGGCTGTGCTTGCATGAAAGTTTCCGGGTGACACCACCGTAGCAATAAGGAATAACAGGCCTATCCGAGGGTTCAGGGTAAAGCTGACCACGCGAAATAGGAGTACTTGACATAATGAACAGATAAACGCTAAGATATAGCGGACGAAGAAGAATTCGGATAGCTGTACAAGTTAGAATAGTCTTATTGAAGAATTGTATTACTGGTTTCATGAGCGAGCGTATACCTTTGTAGACTGGGGTAATAGTCTTCGGATGTTTCCGACAATAGCATGCAGTCCGACATAAGACCAACTTCGGATGCTAAAATCTGGTGAATATTCCCAAGTCTGTAGGCCGTAGCCATGGGAAAGATAATGGGTTGGTTCCCAATAATTGAAAGTCTCATCGCAATCCTGGATTGGGGCATATAATGCTGCAATAAAATTCGCAATCAGAAAAACATAAAAGGCCTTTATTGGCTCAATCATGAATGGTGTCGGTCCTCTACATTAGCTTGTTAGTGCATTCAATTTCTTGCAGCTTGCTCGTTATAACAGACTTCTTTTTGGCATGTTGGGCAGTTGGATGAACGAACTGCTCTTGTCGCTGGGCGTCTGTAGGAGGCATACTAACAGAGCCTAAACTCGGCTTGTAGATTCATGAAGTGAATGTGTAAGTGGTTAAAGGGTGACGAGGTTGCGCATTGAAGGAAAGACGGTAACTTTTATTTCGTGGCTTAAAAATGTTGAGTTCAGGTCAAGAGCCAATTGGCTCCAATTGGAAATGACGTTGCTGCGTGGCTGCTTGGAGATCCCTGTCTTCGGATACTTATCGGGATAAAGTACCGATGTACAAATTCCTACTTCAAGCCGATTGGCTCATAAGCGTACATTGTACGTCAAGATTATCCGGACCCATTTTATTTTTCTAGAATTCGATTGAGCTCAAGTTGAAGATGCTTTAACGATTTGAGTTCGTGCATGTTCATCCGAAAGACAATCTACTTGGAAATTCTTTTCCAAATCAATTTTGACGCCAATTTATTTCGTTTATTTCCAATCCAAACGCGAAGTTCATATAAAATTTTGCCAAATTGGAAATATTCGAAAGACGCGATTTTAAGCTGATACTTGCTACTCCGTCGCATTATCGTATGTCGCTTTCAACCATTTCTTGTTTTTTTAATGTTTTTCCTGTCATTTTAGCTCTATCGTCAAGAAATTAACGTTGCCCCAGGTCTCCCGGCTATGGCTGGAAATTTTGAGATTCCAGGTCTGATGACCTCGTCGGAACCAGTCACGGCTCAAAATCAGCCAAACCCCCAGAATGAAGCTCAACAGGTGACTTCTCAAGTGACTTCTCAACCTTCCACGGAGATGGAAGTTGACTCCACAGCCCCTACGGAAATCTCACTGCCTCGTCAATCTGATGAAATAGAAAAGAAGGGATCGGAGGATAATGATGCACAAATCACCGACGCGCCGCCTAGTCCACCTTCGTTGATCTCGGCATTAGAGGCTCTGCTTGGCGGTCTGGATTCCCAACCACAACCACAACCGCAACAGCAAGCATCAAACGCCACACCTGCCCTACCTAACGGCACAGAACAGAATGAGCAAACCAACGAGCAAGAGGTTCAAGGTGACCCCGAGTGGGAAGAGGATTCTTCTCCATACGAATCATCTTCCGATTCAAGCAGTTCAGATGATTCAGATGATGAATCGGAAGATGGCAAGAATTATAAACTGCTTGGTCCCGAGGAAACGGCCCGTATTCTGATGGAGATGGAGGGCGGCTCAGATGATGAAGGCGAGGGGAAAACAAAAGGACTCGGCAGTGGAGCCCAAGTTCGGACTAAGAATGAGATGCCCGAAGAAGTAGTACCCAAGCCAGATGTTACTATTACCCCAGAGATGACAGTCACCGAGTTAGGCGTTATTGAGCATATCGTTGAGAACACGGCTGTGATCAAGGCCAATACTACTGGCGAGTACCAAGTCCTCGATACCGGCTCAGTTCTCTGCACCGAAGGCCGCACTGTCATTGCGGCCATAGCAGACTTAATTGGCAACGTGAGACAACCCCGATATACCGCAAGATTCACAAATGAGGAGGAAATCAAGTCTTTTGGCCTGGAGTTAGGAACTAAGGTGTTTTATCCTCCCTCACACGCGACGTATGTCTTTACACAAGCACTTCGGGTACAGAAGGGCACGGATGCAAGCAATTGGCATGACGAAGAGGCCGGCGATGACGAAATGGAGTTCTCGGACGACGAAAAAGAGGCGGAGTATAAAAGACAGCAAAAAGCTAAGAAGAAGGCAGGTCGTGGTGGGAAAGGCGGTGCGGGAGTACGAGGAGGCCATTCTGAGACGCCATCATTCCCCGTAGCCAGTGGTTTACAGTATGACGACGACGACGATGATGGTCCCTACCGAAAATTGGCAAGGCCTTCGAATTTTGCGCAAAGTCAACCAGCTTCTTCAGAGACCGGGTTTATGAACAACCATGGGAACAATAATGGATCATTCCGAGGTGGTCGAGGTAGAGGTCAACGAGGTTATGGTCGCGGACGTGGTCATCGTGGAGATTCGCGAGGTGGCCACTCTCTACCACCTAGACCTCCCAGAGGACAAGACTACCAACCACAGTCTCACCAATATAACTACAATCCAGTCCCACCGCCTCCGGTTGCCAACACGACGTATCCACCACCCGTACCTTTCTACGGTACTCCCAATGGCCATTCACAACCCAATGCTCAATACCCTTTCCCGTGGCCACAGAACATTCCGCAAGGTTTCGTCCCACCTCCGCCGCCCCAATTCACTGGACAGCAATCGGGGACAAACCCATATTATAGTCCAGAGTTCTTCGCTGCTTTGCAGAGCCAGATGCAAGGACAGTCTAATCAGCAAGGAGGCCAGTGGCCTGGACATGGTGGTACTGGATAGAATCCTAATACCATGTTTGGCAACACAGGCCCAGCGGTCTAGACCACCTAGAAATTTGGCTGCTGAAATAGGAATTGAGTCTTCGACTCCGCTGCCTAGAACGGTATGACGGTGCCATGCCTTGGCGGTTTACGCTCAGTGATGGAGTACTCCGCATTTCAGCCACCCTCCGCCTTACGAGGCTCATCGCATGCGCGCGGAACCCGAGAAGTGAGTCATTAAACGTAATGTTGGGAAGGAAGACCGAGATGAATCTCTCCAGTCCTACTCGACGTGTATTTACTTGAGAGGGATGTTGTACATTGATAAAATTCGATTGTTCATATTCACAGCTGAAAACAGGCGTGACAAATACGAGAGAACATGAACCTACAAGGCATCAAGGCCTCACGTCTATAGGAGTATAGGAATATAGGAGTCTAAACAGGTTCTGTAATAACCTCAAACACTTCTATTGTCAAATGTGTTAATTTTTATTGGTGTGAATATTCTGGGGATCCTCTTACCGGACTTGATTCGGGATTGTTTGACATATTCGATCGACAAACTCCACATATAGCGTAACCTAAGTACCGAATCCATGCCGTATTCTAGATTCTTGGCTCACGGGCCGCCGGCAGTTACCGATGACTGCCCCCAGGTTCGTGATAGCGTCGGCCGCGGACAGGATCTAGCGCCCGAAGTGCCTATACGAATGATACTTCTCGTCGCAGTCAGTTTGCAGCACGGAGCACGGAGGATGGTACGTACGGTTTCGACGCACAACCCCTGCGATGGCCCTATGCGAAGAAACATCACGACCCACCTCGGTATTCCGTGAACACCGGCGTCCAGGAGGCTAAAAGGACCTTTGCCGGCCTCGCATATCCCTTACTTGCACCTGTCTGCAAGACATTCTTCATCTTTCCTGGACACGATCTTCACAATGCTTTTAAAACTCGCCGCCATCGTGGGCTGTCTCGCAGGTTTACAACTGCTTTACCGAGTCTTCAAACACGTGACTTCGCCGTTGAGGTCCGTTCCTGGGCCTTTCCTCGCGAGGTTTACGGACCTTTGGTATTTCCGGGCGTTGTGGAAGGCGAAGTTCGAGGTGGTTAATAAAGAACTACATCAGAAATATGGTGCGTCCTCTACCCTCTACCTAACTTGCATAACCTGGAGCGGTCGTAGTAACAGCTTTGCTAGGCCCGATCATTCGATACGGACCGAACCGGTACAGCTTCGACGATGTGACTGCTGCAAAGACGATATATTCCCACGGAACCCAGTTCGCTAAGTCCGACTGGTACGAGGCCTGGAGCAAGCCCGGTGTCTGGAACTTGTTCGCGGAGCGGGACATCACGCAACACTCGAAATACCGCAGGCAATTCCAGACTGAATACAGCATGTCATCGCTCGTAGAGTACGAACCCTTCGTGGACGAGTGCGCGGCTGTCTTCGACCAGCGGCTGCAGGAGCTGTCGCAGTGTGGTCTGCCAGTGAACATGGGCCACTGGATGCAGTGCTATGCCTTCGACGTGATCGGTTGCATCACCTTCTCGAAGCGGCTCGGGTTCCTCGACCAGGGGTTAGATATCGGGGGCGTCATATCGGCCATAGAGAATGCCCTAGTCTACTCGAGCCTCGTCGGCATCTACCCGTTCCTACATCCGTACCTCTTCTCATTCATCGGTTGGCTCGTCGGGGGCGGCACGGGATACGTGTTCGCCTATACGACGCAGTGTATGGAGGAGCACCAGGCCGCCGCACAGGTCATGGACGTGGACGAGAAGCCGATTCCCGGCAGGGCGAGGGACTTCATTTCTAAGTTCGTCGCCAAGCACCATAGAGACCCCGATGTATTTACCCCAGAGCATATCATGGAGGGCTGCTCGAACAATATGATTGCCGGGTCTGATACCACGGCCATCTCGCTCTCCGCCATCCTGTACTACCTCCTCAAGAACCCCAATACTTTAGCGAAGCTCCGCGAGGAGGTAAAGGCGGCGCAGCTGGCTGCGGGGACGTCTTCCAAGGATATCCCATTCAAGATGAGCCAGGCAATGCCGTATTTACAGGCCGTCATCAAGGAGGCGCTTCGTATGCACCCCGCGACGGGACTTCCGATAGAGCGGGTTGTGCCGGTTGGCGGTGCGACGATTGCCGGTCGATTTTTCCCTCAAGGTGTAAGTTTCTCATACATCCATTACTTACCTGCATAGTAGTCATCCTTAGAAATTCATATCTGATGTAAATCAATCTATTTAGTCAGTCGTCGGAGTCAACACTTGGATCGAGCACCGCAACCCCCGCATATTCGGTGAAGACGCGAACGAGTTTAAGCCGGAGAGATGGCTATCTGATGACACCGAGAAGGTTTCCTTCATGAACAGGCACTGGATGCCCGTGAGTCGCCCCTTTCTTTTCCCTTTGCGCAGGGGCTACGCTTATTTAGACAACATTTACTAACGCCAAATCACCTAGTTCGGACTAGGCTCTCGAACCTGCATCGGCAGACACATTTCCCATCTCGAGATCTCGAAGCTTATCCCTCGGCTGGTTCGCGATTACGACTTTGAACTCGCTGGGGACCTGGACAAGAATGAATGGAAGACTGACAATTATTGGTTTGTGAAACCGACCAACTTCTCGGTTCGTATCATTGCGCGGAAGGGTTCGTGATCTACGTGCTTTCACCAGCCTTGTGAGTGGGTTAAAAGCAATAAGGCGACGAAGATCTCATCAGCGTCCAGCCTTAACATTCAAGTATATTAGTTGGTGGGGTTGGAGTATTGGAAGAATGGTACATAGCCGATATCCGAATTACTGTAACAAATAAACGCCATGATTCTGCTTTTTGGACATTTCCAATGAAGAGGCTGTGAGACATTGAGATTGATACTTATCTCGGCAATCTACACGATATCCAACCTCTAGCTAAGACCAAGACTTAGAAGATACGAATTGCTACCAACTAAAAATATGAAGCTCGCTAATCGTTAGTACTGCGTAGTATCGCGGTCTAAGTACTTAGTAGGTATTTAGTATGTCCTCTAAGGCTGCATTAGCTCCAACCACCCCCTCAAGCTGTTGACGATGGCGTCATGCAAGCCACTATTCCTCTGAAGAGACGGCTCGGGAAGAGAGGTTATAATAGGCAGGTAGGAGATCGTGGCTTGAGCCACCGATTTGAGCCACCTAGTCTTACTAGACCGTTCGGCGATGAAGTCGCGTTTGCTCAAAAGCAACTAAAGTTCGTCGCGCATTAGTCTTCTCCAACCTACCAAAATAGGACCTAACCCGATGCATCGTATTTTGGGCGGAGGACCTATTCTCATATGGTCGAAGTGGATTCGTATTGTACAGAGCATAACTTATCTTCCAGGCTTCCAGCATAATGTTCTTGTTTTAATAGGTACCATTAGGCACGTCTTATCAGAGGTGCTATTACTCTTTTCTCGTGTCAACAGCTCGTTGAGAAGACAGTAAGATGTAAGGGCTTGCTGCATACGATAATGCGATGGACCACCGGATGGTTGGGAGCGCAATACGCCTTGCCTTGCAGATCTGGTAAGGTCCGTCCAGCCTCACAAGCAATTTTTATCATTTTCATCGGTGACCAGGATCGGTAGGGCTAATCCGCGCCGTTGGAAATCGGACGTGCGATGTCACGACATGACGACAGCTGAAATACACTTTTTATGTAATCGGGATTTTCTTACTCCCACGCTGTGATCAAGAGATGGTCAATTCGGTACACAAGCACATGTTCACAGTCTGTTCCTCTGCTTAGTGTGTAAAACGTGACGATAGTCGGTGATCCTCCACACACACCATCAGTGGAACAAAATAATGATCGACCTGTAAGCACGATAAAATGACAGGGATCAGTAGAGCCGGCAGTGTGACTGGTTGAATGGTGGGAGGATAGAAATTAAGAACGCGGACCGACAGACGGAAGTGGAAGATGGTTGTGGAAGGCGGGCGTTTCACAAGGCTAAAGTAATTTAAAAAAGAGGCACACAATCAGAATATTCGAAGGGTGTAGATTCGAGAAAGAATAAAGAATTAAAGGGAAAAGGCTGAATGGCCAGATTGGGAATAACAGCATCGGCCGAAAGTAAACTGGGGCATCCCAGCGACCCAGAAAGGGGACACGAACTCTCAAGTCCAGGAATCCCTCACGACCACGCGGGAGAAAAACGGAAAATCGGTAATTCCAAAGATAGAGGGGAGAATTGTGCAAGGAACTAGGTAGACGTCATGTTGCGTTCCACAGCAGAAAATATCGTGGCTTTGGCGTTATTGGAGTCGATTTGACCCAATGAGATAGTGTCCGTGTGGATCCTCATCAGATCATTGGTAGCGATATTCTGTCCCGTTCGAATCTTTAACTGCTTGCTTCGGTGGCTTCTTTCCGACCTCCCCAGATGACTTCCGGTCACACTTGAATAAAATCTTCAATATGAAAATTGAGAGATTCTGAACAAGGTATGAGGCGTTGGAGCAATAATTGGGTGTCCCTCAGTCTCGTCCCAGTGTTCAGCCACCGTAGAAAAGGAGGTATATTCATCAATAAATGCATGAAATCGTGCCATTGACTCATATGAGAGGGCCAAATGAATGAAGCTGACGACACAGACTATTCTGGATTTTGCTTGGGTTGCTTCTGTAGGCGAGCTTCAAGTGGTGTTTCTCCAGGTTGTAAAAGCTTAGAAGTCGATTAAGGGGCCAGAGGGGCTAAGTACGTAGGTACTTGCCTATTTTCGTAGCCGGCATCACGCTTTGGTTTTCTTTGTGCTAGCCAATGATAATCAAGTGGAGGATGTTTACCCCTGACATATCCCTGACGTATCCTTGTTAGCTCCAATCTCGCCTAATCTGCACCTTGAACAATGATCCAATTAGAATAGCTTGGTTCCTGAAGTGGCGCTTCTGTGCCTGACTAGCGCAGGGAGCTTGGACCAAGTCGGCCACCAGAGAAAGACCGAAAATGATCAACATCGAGAAAGAGACAAAGAAGACAGGGGGAGAGATGGGACGATCTTGAATTGGATTTTTTGGATGATTGCAAGGATAGGCTGGATGGAAGGAACCATTAGGTTCTGATAAGTGATTTGGTGATTCGGTGCTGACTGCGTCCCAATCTACACCACTGAATGGAAAGCTGAATTCTTCTCCTCGATTGCATCAACTATTTTGCGAGATTTGTTCCCGTATTTAGAACACGGCGGAACCAACATCGTACCTGTCGATGTCGTATAAATGTCTCAAAGTACCTAAACAAAAGCATACGTGTGCTATTATACGAGAACTCATGGCGCTAACGTGTATGTTCGAGTTGAACAGAAAGTCTCATGTAGCCATCTGGAAGCAATAAGAAGCAATAATAAGATACTGCCGTTAATGGCATCCTAACAGAAAATATTCTGTAGAAGGGAAGGTAAATTAATTTGGGTAGGGGAGGTCAAATTATTCTCAATGCGTTGGTACCTAGCAGTCTATTAGTACTTGTGAATAAAGATATACAAGTATTCGTGTTTATGCAGACACTCAAGAAAATAGCCGGCAGGGGTTTGTTATCCAATGGAAATTCAAGAATAACATTCCTTGCTAGGGAAATAGAGGAAACCACGATCGTCTGTGGTGTTACCATTAGTGTATGTAGCTGCCCTAGCTGCCTAAGAACCACCTAGGAGGCGCCTACCTACCCAGGTACCTGCCTTGTAGTTCGTCCGGAGTACCTATCGGAGTACCTGGGTACCCCGTAACGGGACGCGCTAGAACGGTTCATGTAAGCCAGCAGCCAATGACCCTTGGGAGTCTACTACTCTACTATTCCCATTCCTCTCGCTTCCTCCCTCTCTTTCTTCCCTTTCCTTCCTCACCGTCCACCTACGTCGCAACCACGCACGCGGTCTCTTCCCCCCCTCTCTTCACGAGAATTGCGTTTTCTTCGTTGAATCCGTTCTCACTTACGTTCTTTTTTATACCCTCACTCGATTTTTATCGACGACTAACACCTTCTTTACGCTACATATCGCGACTCGTCGCCTTGCAGGCCGATTAAATTCACTTCACCCCACGGTAAACAAAGCGCGAATACGAACCTCATTCACGCCCACCTCTGCAGGTACCGAGTCGCATACCACTTCCTCACGACACACTTACGTGCGCATTACGTTCATTTTATATTCGGATATAAAAACCCGTTGACCTTAGACGACAACTTTACCCCAAGTGTAAATATAACTTCGTACACGCAGCTTGAGTGCAACGCCTACGACATACGCGCAACACGATCGTACTTGGTTCTGGGGCAATTTTCGGCGGATAAGAAACATCGATATTTCGTAGTACTCAGATTAAACACAACTTGATCAAGATGCCGAGTCACAATCACAATCATCGCCATAAGAGGCGGGATGTGTGGGATGAAATAGCTGACGATGTTAAGAGCTTCGCCAGTGAAGCTAACCCCTTCAAGACGGCTAAGATCCAGGCAAAGGCACAAGCAGCATCGACTGTATACCAAACGGTGTACGAAACCATGGCGAAGACCTTCGACGGACCCATTGCTGGCTACTCGACGCTGGGACAATCCGACGATGCCCCAAAGACCCAGGTTATCGCGACGCCTACTTCGGTCGCGCAAGTGCAGGTGCTATCGACTGCCACGCAGGCTAAGGTCGCAGACACGACAGCTGCCTCCCTCGACACAGCTGATAGCACACCGACAAAGACTGCTGCCAAGACATCCGACAACATCCTCCCCGCATCAATTGGACAGACCTCTTCTGTCGATCTGGGTGATCACTCCACCCTGGCAGTCGCAACTAGTACGCCAACAACACTCTCTCAAGCGACTAAGAATCTAGGATCGTCTTCTGCTACTTCTGCGAACAATGCAGAGGCACAAGCCTCAGCCTCAGCTTCTGCTTCTTCTACTGCAGCAGCGGCAAGTTCTTCGAGCCCTGACACCGGTGCCGCCGCTAAGGCCGGTATCGCCATTGGTGTTTTAGGTGGTCTTCTTGTGGTTGCATTGCTTGTTTTCTTTCTGGTTAACAAACGTAGAAAGCAACAAGCTCAGCAAGTCCAGGATGATGAAAAGATTCACGGACCCATTGGTGGTCGTCCCTCGTCTATGCTTTCGACCCAGACCAGTGCTACGGCACCCCAGCTTAGCCTTCGACCGGTGACCCAGTTTAACCCAACCTTTGGTGAGCGCCGATCAAGCAAAGGCGCTGCCCTTGCACTTGCAACCGCTGGACTCAACACGCGCCCCGTCGATTCTCCTCGATCTCCTTGGGAACGACCCAGCCCTACTAGCCAGGCCAATCACCCTGAGAACCCATTCGGTAACAATGCAGAGCGCGCTTTTACTCCCACTGGCGAACGTCCTAACAATCCATTCGAGAACCCTGAGAATGTTGTTGGTGTCGCACAAACGACGAACTCGCCTCCTAAGCTTTCGCCGATTGTAACTGCAGCTGTGGCCGGTGCTGGAGCCGTTGGTGGTGCCGCCGCTTTGGGTCGTAAAGTTTCCACCCGCAAGGATGCTCCTCCTCCGTTGGATCTTACTATTCCTGCTGGCCCACCTAGTCCCGCCGGCACTGAGTTTAGTATCCACTCTGTCGGTGCGGGTCAATCTCCTGGTCCTTCTCGAAGCGCAGCAGCTATTGCCGCAGCAGGCGGACCTCCGTCGACTGCCGTTCATCGTGTCCAATTGGATTTCAAGCCGAGTCTGGATGATGAGATGGGACTTCGAGCTGGTCAGCTCGTTCGACTCCTTCACGAGTACGATGATGGCTGGGTAAGTACACTCTTGAACCATTGCGATTGATTATTTGCTAAATTGTCTGAATAGTCGCTTTGCATTCGTCTTGACCGCACTCAACAGGGTGTCGTTCCCCGAACTTGCTTGTCTACTCGACCTGTGAAGCCTCGTCCCGCTGGTGGACCTCCCAACGGTCGTAACGGTCCTCCTATCAACCCCAGCGGTTATCGTGGACCCCGAGGTCCCGGCCCGAACTACCCCCCCGGACAGCGACCCATGACTCCTCAGAGTGCTCGTCCTCAATCGCCTGCTATGATGCGACCCCAGTCGCCTGCCACGGGACGTCCGATGAGCCCCTACGACAGCCGCCCTGCATCCCCGGCTAACGGTCGAATGAGCCCTGGCCCTCGAGCCCAGTCCCCCGGCCCGCGACAGCAGCGACGATTGACCCCTCCCGGACCTAGCCCTATGAACCCCAACGCCGGCGGTCCTTCCCAACAGCAGCACAGCGGCGCTCCCCAGGCCGCCCAGGGTCAAGTTGGCCGAAAGCCTGTTCCCGGTCAGGCTTACTAGTGTACACCATTCTGAACACTAAAACATTAGCTTTGAGTAAACATTGCTGTCGTACATGAGATAGCATGCGGAAACCCCCACTTTTTCTACCCTCTTGATCCCCTGCATTTGGCTTCAATTCAGATGCACCTCGATACCACTGACCCTCAACCTTAACTAACGAACCTTGATGAATTTGGGAACGATATACACTTCTCGACACTCGCTTATAACCTTTACACTTGATACACCTTGCACTCTCGGGGGTCTCGGTTACATTTTCGCATTTTCTTTTTCAGTTCTGCATTTTCGATTCGCTCGCTTTTCAATATAGAAAGGCATTGGCAACCACATCATTCAAACTTTCAGATCAAGTACACCCAACTGGTTGAATGATGTCCGTCGCATAGACGCCCGGATCGGGATAATCTGGTAATTTCTTGTCAATAATTTCTAGTTCTTGGGAAGGAAGCTCGCGACCCTCGCCGGCCTCTCGAGACAACAGACGGGTTTTTACCGCCCCCGGCTTCTAGCAGCTTCTTTTCTTTCGCTTTCACAATCGCGACGGCTGGGTTGATACATCGTACACTCGTGTTCTTAGCCGATGTACGATCTCGCTTCGTCGCGATATCTTAAATTTCTTCTTGCTCCAACGAGCTTTGGAAAAAGGAGAGATCAAAATCAATTTGGGCAATTTAGATACTCTTTCTCTTCATTTCGGCCTGCACGAATCCGGGATGATGAGCACGCCTTGGTATCGGATGTTACCCTTACCTTTTTAGGGGTAGCAGATCACGGTTTATCTGGAGGGGTGGTGGGTTGGTTGGGTTGGATGGGGATGCGGGCACATCGAGATGTGCCCACGCGTTGGACAGGGTCTAGCCGGCGATGACGAGGATCCATGGCGGTGCCTGGGGATGCAGAGATGGATATGGATGCGAGTGATTCGTTGACGTCTTCTATGAAAAGGTCGTTATGGATGAGCCTCTGCGGCGGGGCCGGCTAGTCATGTCTGATGCCCGGAGGTTTGCTATAGTCAGACTCCATATCTCCATAGGAGCTCAATATAGTGGTGTACCACTACAAGTTTGGCTTTTTGCTCGTGATGTTTTATATGCTATGCTCTGTTGGTATGGACTAATATTTCACTAGAATTAATCGTGGTTCAACCAACAGTGGAACTCCCCATCCCACAGGTTTGGTTGATCGAGATCTTTAACACAGTACCCCTCACAGTGCTATTCATACCTCCCTTAAACTTACATATGACTTCTAGGTTCGTTTTCTTTCCCTTTAAACAGTTTTATTGTGTTACCTTGTATGGATTATTCAGCTTGAAAGCCCTTGGTTCAACACCTATTTCTCCTTGTGCCAGTTGTACGAACCGAATTTGTAAATAATTCACGTGGTACGATACCGCCCCAGGGCAAGTGACATCGGGTTCGTGAGGATCCCGAAATTCAAACGTCGTAGGATTCAACCGGCGAAAGACTCCCTGGCTGTACACGCGGAGGGGACTAGCGGGAAGGGAGTGAGGGGCAGCAAGACATGGCGGCTGACTTCTGAGCAGAATGATCTCCCAATAAGCCGCATAAGCAATTGGTAGGTGGTAGGTACCTACCTACTCTTAGGGTGTGAGCTCATGAGGCAACGCAGGCAACATTAAGGCAACCAGATGCATTGACACCTAGGTAGCGACGGATAAAATATTAATGGAAACCCGGTTGATGGGATGTTAGATGGTTAAAATTTCATCCCTTGCAAGTTATAACCATGGTTTAAATGCGTGAATCTTCTCAAACAAGATGGAGCCCTTTGACCCCCCAACCTCTCGAAATACCGGCAGTATGATCTCGAGGGCTCTTACCAGAGTCAAGTCCTTCAAACAGCAAAATTCGAGCAGTTTCGCCCTCCGCACTGCCAAGAGTCAGACTTCTGGGCGATCCGAACCTTTCAAGGCCCAGGCTGAGAGGGAGGCTGCTCAGCCAAGGAGATGCCAGCAAAGGGTTCGTGCCTACACTGGATTGACTTGGGAACTTATTCGTAGTTTATTATCGAAGAAATGGCCCGACGAGGACTTCAAAGAGGAGAGGGTGAGTATGATAGAATATCAATGACTCTGCGAAGATTCTATTTATCTAACGTTTTCCTCAATTATAGATACACGATTCTTGGGTATTTGAGACGCCCGAACCATTGACAAAGGTCAGTTACGAGTGACTTATGATTGTTAGTCGCGACTCATTAACGTGAATGATGAATAGGAGGATATGAAAGCTATCACGAACCTAAGGGACAAGAGCATGGCGCAGTCTACCGGTCGACGAAGGTCAGTTACGCCTGAATGAGGGCGATCAATGGAGCAGTGCGACCGCTATCGGAAAGGCACAAGAAGCCGGAATGTGCACTTTGGGCAGGGCGAATGGCGTATTGGGGGCTATATCAATGGGTGTGTGGCAGGGCAATGTGCTGTGGCTGGCGATTCTGTTTCATTGTACGGGTTGTTTATACATATTCAGTTCGGTGTGCGAACCCTGGGTCATAACTGCATACGAGCCTCCACGGCCCTATTGGGCTGACACATAGGGGTCTCCCAGGGCATTATTGCGAGGCAACGATGAGGCAATGTTATGTGTAACGCGAGGGTATTCCATTTAAAAAGATTGTTTTTCTGTAGATTATCGGTAGGTACAGGCCTGCAAGATTACCTAGAATATTATATTGAATTTTTTTAGAATAATCCAAAAACTGTATCAAGATGTCGGATATTAGCGTACCTATCGAGTTCCAACAAGCCGTGTTGGATTCGAAGTTGTACCCAATGAATACCATCTATAAAACGATTGACGCAGGTTCAAAATACTTAAAGAAGGCGGAACGTGGCCTATGCGAAAGAGAAGATGACCTGTTCGATAATAACGAATCGTCATGGGAAATCTGTATTCGAGATTTGGATACTGAGTGTGGGAAGGGTGAGTTTACCGAGATGATGCTCAGTTTCCGGCTAACCATGCTAGGTAGACGTTGACAAATATAACGTACACAGTTATGAGAAGCTATCTGGGTGGCTTGGTATCGAACTTCTACCAACTACCCATGGCTCGTCAATTACTATGGGAAAGAAGGATCCCAGATGTCGTTTTATGTGAGAAAGGGTTCCGCTCTCTAAATTGTGGACGAGAAAATAACCAGAATATAAGAAACATATACGGGATGCATTCGATGTCGAAGTTGAGGCTCACAAGAGCTATGCTTACGAAAATCTTAACTTTTCACCAAGTAATGCCGGCCTTCCTCGAGTTCATATATGTGTTTGGCCAACAGGACGACTCTGCTGACCTGCATTTTACCGGTTTTCGCGAGCAAGTAATTCTCACAGATCCACCTGATGGTCTGATCATTCCAAAACTAGGTAGGAGTGGAAAACATTATCAGATATGTTTCAATCTAAAAGGTGTCGCGCTGAAGTCGAAGAATAAAGATGACTTTACGCTCGATGACTGGTCCATTCGCCCTGCCGCTTTTCATCACCAATTCGACGTTTCCAACGGAAATACGTTATGGTTAGTTGTCAAAGGAAATCAAGAGATCCAAGATCGCTTCAAAGATCTGACAGGGAAGGATGCTCGGGCTCAGGACAAATGTTTCGACAGCGTTGAAAAATCTTTTCGTTCGAGTTTGTCGGCTCATTTGCTTTACTGCTACTGGGCTATGGAAGATTGGAGGTGGTGTATCTCGTGGCTCGAGAAGGCTGTTGATAAAAAGGTAGGTACCTACATACACCGCTAGGAGATCTCTGCAGCTTGCTAAGCCCCCCAAAGCACCGCATGGCAGTCCTCGGACCGTCAGGAGTAGGCCATGCTCACAAGACTTACACCCCTGCAGATATCCAAGATCTGCAGATATGGGAAGAGCGTACGAGGCAAGTTATCATGGCTCTTGAAAGCAATGTCGATATAATGTCGTCTCTTGTGGCGTTTTATCGCAGATTGACGAGGGACAAGAATTTCCCACTGAGAAAAACATGTTCGTTGGATGTCTGCTCATTCGGAAACCAAGTTCAAAATATTACAGCAGACCTTAAGATGCAGATAAAGCGGGCTGAATTTTTAATAAGGACTATTTCCGATCGCAGACAGCTGGTAAGCTCGCTGAACCCCCGTTGTAATAACCACCTGGGCACCTAAGCTAACTGTATTTAGGTCATTCAGCACCTTCAAAGCCAATCAGCTCACCGAGCAGAGCGACTGGGTCGTAGCATGGAACAAGAACAAATATTTATGCTTGTTATAACAATCGTCACACTTATATTTCTCCCCGCAACATTTGTTTCGGTCAGTATTTAACAATCTATTGGATAACTATAGCCTATCCCACTTACTAATAACCTTATAGACTTTTTTCAGTACAGATATAATCAAATACCAAGGTTCAGAGAGTCCTGAGGGATCCTTTTCCGCCACTGCGATGTCCAGGTGGCTGGAAGTAACCATACCATTGACTGCTGTGACCTGCGGGGTTGCTTGGTGGGCAAGGAGATGGAAGTTGACGAAGAGGAGAGAAAACGAACTTGGCCTGGAACGGCGGAAGACACACTGGAAACTGATATGTCCTTTCAGTTCTTCAATCACCGTCCTGCCGTTCCATGAAAAAGCGCCTCTTGAGACTAAAGATTCTTTTTTGTGAAGGATGACGAAGTATCGTATCAGGATGTGAGGTACTCAATTGCGCCTGTTAACGCATTGCCTACGATTGGTACCTAATACGGCATTTTGTATTGGGCACAGACAGCACTTTGGGGGTCGAGAGGCCTAGGCTTCGCTTATTGGGCTTCTACATACCAGTCGTACGCGAACGCCTCAAAAGCGCGTGGTAGGAAAATCATTACATTAATTACCTGGGTACATGTTAGGTACTTAGGTAGGCAACTACTAGGTATACTAAACATACAAGGCAGAGCAAAGTAGTTTTTATTATTAATGTTGTACCACACATAAATATGCCTATCTACCTTTCGGTTTTATTGTGATTTTATTGTGTTATGAGGTTGACGAATTCTTAACGAAGTACCTAGGTAGGTACCTACATTGAAGTTTTTTCTAAGCCATAAGCCGAGTAAAGTAAGGCTTATGGGACTGTAGGAGTGCCCGGGCAGCCAGCTTAGACCTACCTGTTATGTACCTAGTGGGCCATGAATGAGGCGCAGTGGTTTGTTGAGCCAGCCTTGCACTCTTCCTTTTCTACCTACTACCTCAGGAAATACTTTATTATACCCCCTGTCTACCTAAGTTATAAGAGACATATCCCATTGGATCGTTGGATATGTCTGTCATATATGACGAGGCTACTGCCCGAAATAAGTGCAGAAACGGACTCGGGAGATGATCGGGTCTGTGGTACTATGCGCGTAGCCGACAGGAATGGCTTGCACAGCAGATTTCGGGGCACTGCTATAACACCGTGGTCCATGGTGAGTAGACACTGTCACACAGAACTTCTATGAGGTATGTTACTGGGCAGGTAATATGTCTGATGTCACGCTTGAAGCAGGCTGGCAAGCTGGAAAACAGAAAAGTTGACCGCGAACACCTGTAGAAGTAGGGTATAATTTTGAAGATCAGCCTTAAGGGAAAACTCATCCATTCTGTCTTATTTCCTCATATAAGACTCAGCGCAATTTGTTTTCGATAGTAGGTAACCTTGGAACTATACGGGGACATATCCAATATACCTACCTACCTCCTTACTTCCTATACGCTGTATAATTCTGACACACCTTACACATAAACGGGGTTAACGTCGCAAGGCCGTTCAAGATGGAGTGTACAGCCTCTCGTAGGCCACCGCAGACCACACTCCACATTTTCCATGACAATTTGGCCAACAAATGGAAGTCTAAGGCATATTGCGGCCGCGAATATTATCGAAGCCATGAGATTGTCAAATGGATGTTACGCCAAGATACCACGGAGCGCGCAACCAATGCTGGATTGCTTCTCACCGAGGTGTACCACAAGTCAGGCTCCGTCCACGTCCCTAGTTCCTGGAAAATCTCTGATGGGGATTGCCGCTGTTTGATTGTGTTTGCCATCCTCCTAGAGTTGGATTGCGGCCATTTGATCGACCTCTTCCAGCGATATAATATCACCGACAAGCGATTACCTACGCGCGAGATACCCGATACCATGCTGTATGAGAATGACTTAAGGAAAGGGGGCATCCAGGACACGAAACAGTTCTGGAGATCTTTCTTGGATAAGATGTGGTTATATTATCCCTGTGTTCTGGATTATAGTATGCGCAATGCGTTCCTTGATCCTGGTCGTGGGAGGTGGATAATGCCTTTTGCCAAAAGGCAGGCTGTCAACATGAAGGGTGGGACAGCACAAGTCTGGGAGGTGGCTGTTCAAGAATCGCTGGTTCCTCGAAAGCTAGCAATGGAGGTAGGACGGTCAGAGTATGAGGACGCCGAACTTGGCAAAGTAAGTTACACTTACCTATCATTTTATATCTGGACAAGTCTAACATTGTAGTGTTACGTATTCGCCTTGAAAACGTTTACTCAGGAATATCACGAGATATTCGAGTGGGAAAGGGAGGCTTATCTTGCGGTACAGGCCAAGTCTGAGCTGTCTGGCATGGTAAAGTTTCTCGGGGAGTATGAGATCGACGAACAGTTAGAGGATGGAAGTGTTCAACGTACCTGGAACATACTTCTTGAATTCGGAGAACAAGACCTTGAAGAATTCTTCGCATCACAGCGGAATTACCCACCAAACCTTAACCCGGAGACGATCCAATTTTGGAACTCACTGTCAAACGTCGCACAAGCTCTAGATTCGATGCACAATCTCGAAGTGGAACGTGAGAATGGCCGGTACGATCACTTCTCCGGGTATGAACCCCTAACGTAGAAACACTGAGTAAACTCTTACTGATTCAACCGTAACTAGGTGGCACTGCGACTTGAAGCCTGACAATATACTGCGAGTCGATGGGGAGTTCAAACTGGCGGACTTCGGGTTCGCAAAATTCAAGCCAAAGAACCCGGGAGGAGTCCCGAAACAGTGTATAACTGGAGGAACAGAGACTTACGGTGATTACCTACATACATAGATACATGCCTCCACTGGTGCTTACTCTTCTAGGTGCCCCTGAATGCGATCGCGCACGAGACGACCCAACGAAAAGTGTCACTCAAGCAATCGATACTTGGTCGTTCGGTTGTGTTTTATCTGTCTCAGCGACATGGGTAGCCCTTGGCTATCAGGGCGTCCGCGCTTATGATGAACTCAGACGAATCGCAATCAAGAAACTCCGAGAAAGAAAGAAGAGAGGAGAGAACATCACGGTACCGGCAGCTGATGATGCTTTCCATAATGGCGTAGATGTTCTCCCGGAAGTGAGCGATTGGCATAAATACTTGAAAAAAGTTCTGAGGGTAAATGACACAATCACTGGGCGGATCATTGACCTGGTTGATGAGACGATGTTGTTGGCAGAATCCGTTCGTCCATCAAAGTGCTCGACGCTATATGATTCTATCCAAAGTCAATTGGTGAAGGCACAAGATCATTACGATAAACTTGTGGAGGATGGAGAACTTGAATCAGTCGCCGAATCAGTTCGAGAGGCTTTGCTAAGTGTTGAGAACGAAAGTTCGCTGGTGAACTCTCACGCTCTGGATGATAACGGAGCACCTGATTCCTCTTCCTCTTCACAATATCTGCTGCATCCTGTCGAACGTCACCCGCGCCTAAAATCTAGCAGAATCAACAAGTCCAGGAGGATAAATGAAGTGATTCAGGGGAAAGTTGCTCATCGCCAAGAAGCACTAGGAACCCCAAGCGATACCGCATTCAAAGCAATCCATGCGTATCTTAACGAGGAGATCAAACACTCCGAGGCCAGAGGGTCTTCGAGGATACCTTTGATATTAGGCCCTACCGAATCCCAATCCCGCGAAAACCTTGTTGTACGAGAATCCACCCAACCAGCTTTACGTGTGACACCGCCGTTTCAACATTCTACACCTCCCAGACCCTCAAAAACCCATCTCGAAAAAGAGGTAATTACGTCAGGTTCGCCATACTCTCCTACAATAATAAATCCGCTGTTTTCAGGATATGGCAACTCGGTCGTTGAAAGTCCAGACAACGATGACTTCCACATAGAAACTAAGCTACCTCCGAATGGGTACTCCCAAACCTCGAGGGAAAGCCGTGTACCTACAATGTCTGGGTTAGAACTCAGCGACTATCAGGACACATCGTTGGCGTCGCCTTCATCTGGAAAGTCTGGCATAGATCCATCGTGGCCAATGTATAAAGAGCATCAGTCGCTAAAGACCAAAGGGAAGGGGTTAAGTAGGTATCTTCATCCCAAGAAAAAGGACGATTTCCTGAAAAAGTTTCTATTTGACCGAGACATCGTAAGGCTCCGCTGAACCCAGTTGTTTATTCGCGTCCAGCCACTGATATCCACCGCAGATGTTCCTTGTGGACAACGATATGACCATGTTGCCACTGTGGGAGACGATGACAACCGTCCTGGAAACCTTGGTATCTAAAGTTGGCGGGTTGGATAAAAATGGACTAGATCTTGAGTTCACACTTGGAGGGGACCGCAATGCTTGCAATGTTTCAGACAAACAGCTTATCTCTAAGTTTAGAGACGCTAAGGCTGATGCCCTGTCCCAACAATATAACATCAACACGGATATGGCTAAGACTCTAACCCGAATCTTCGACAAGTATCTGTTGGACACAAGGCGAGCCAAGACCCTGATAATACTTACCGATGGGGTTTGGGGAGGGACGACTAATTCTACTGACGTGGAAAAGGCAATTGCAGACTTCCTCAAGAAGCCCGCTCTCGCACAGAAGCTGGAGAAGCGATGGTTTACTATTCAGTTCATCGCCTGTGGAAATGAGGTTCCGGATATACTACAGCATCTCGATGACGACATCGAGAAGAAGTACTCCATCCCGTATGTCGCAGCCTCGCGAAACGTTACCCAACATCGTATCGATATAGTTACTAACATTGCAATCCAGAGATGTCATCGACACCGAGCACATATCTGGGGACGTATACAAGATGATAATAGGAAGCTTCGTTGATGAGTACGATGTAGCGACATCATCCCAGATATCACCAACATCGCCATCGAACCCATCCTTCCCAGGTCTCTCATCCACACATGCGGTGTCGCCCTCGATGCAGGCCCCGAGGACTAGACCTGGCTCTTTCCGATCGGCAACGATGTCAAACATAAAGAGTCTTCTCAGATAAGAGAGGAAATGTGACATATTACGATGCTAACTCAACAGGGATAATGGGTTGAATGATTAACGGCTGCTATTGATAGATTATCGTATATGATATCTTGGTTATAGAACTAAAAGGGGCTTGTATGGTAAAAAGGGGTTATGCGATCGAGGGATTTACAAAATTTGTAGGTATTGTTACATGGGACGGGTATATTTTTAACAGATATCCAGACAGCCGTCGCATTATTTAGTCGCTATAGGTATTTGATGGATGGATTCAATGAGAGTGGGAGTCTCGACGTCGTCCTGTACCTACCAATTCTACACTTCTCTAAGCCTGCTACCAATCTCGCACGTGTTCCTCAACTCCGACATCCGGATCACAGTTTACTATCCTTCCAAACCGGCTTCCGCCTCTCAACAAAGCTCTTCACACCCTCCGCCATATTCTCACCCGCCTTCAACCGCTGATACCAGCCCGTCCGGAGGATCTCCGTGCCCTGCTCCGGCCCCACGCCCTCCCACCCCAACTTCAACCCCTCCCTCGTCACAACCACCGCATCAGGACTATTCCCCGCGATCCTCTCCGCCCACTCCACCGCCTTCTCCAGGACCTTTCCCCCATCCTCCACAACCTCATTAACTAGCCCCCAATCCAACATCTGGCGGGCATCGTACCTCTTCCCCGAAAGCGCCATCTCCGCGGCCCTCTGCCTCCCCACACTGCGCACCAACCTTGGCAACGCCCCCGCCACCGCAATAACCCCGATCGCGACCTCCGGAAGCGCGAACTTGGCTCCCGCCGCCGCGATCACGAGGTCGCAATTAATAGCCATCTCAAACCCGCCACCGAAACAAATCCCGTTGACCGCGGCGATAATCGGTTTCAGACCTCCGCGATTACTCATGCCCCCGAACCCCGCGCGCGGAACCAGTTCCGGCGGATTTTTCGAGGCGGAGTTGGAGGTGTTGGTGTCATCCCAGACCTTTAAATCCGCGCCGGCGCAGAAGGCGCGGCCGGAACCCGTGAGGATGGCGATGCGGAGGGAAGGCTGCGCGTCGAACCAGTCCCAGAGATGCTCGAGGGCGAAATGCTGAACGGGCGGGATGGCGTTGAGTTGGTTGGGTCTGTTGAGGGTGATGAGGAGGATGTGCGGTTTTGGGAAGGAGATTATGGTGTGTGGCACAGGTGGGGGTGGCGTGGTGAGCGAAGGGGGGAGTTTGGTGGTGGCGGACATGGTGGGAGAGTGAGTGGATGGTTCGGTATGGTTTGGTGAAAAGGGGGAATTGAGGTTTAAGGGTTTGAGGCTGGAATGTAAAAGTAGGTGGGGTTGATTTGGGAAGGATATAAGTCTAAGTGAAAAGAAAGATAAGCTTGGGCTTGGAATTATAATAAACAAAGAATATAATGTTCATATTACTGATGTATGTACCTAGGTAATTCTCACCTTGAAGTGTCAATATGATTACTGAAGGATTGGGGATTGGAGTTAGTTGTGGGGAATTGCCTCGGTATTCCGGTGGACCCACAGTTCTCCGCATACCCCGGATGTGGTAGCTACCCCTGACGTCCAAGGAATCGCAGCAAGCATGTCACAGAAAATGGATTATGAAAGACGGATAATTCCGCTGATGTTGCATTACAGCAATGACCCGCAACCATTTTATTTCCGCGATTAGGATGCAGCATCAAAGAGCTGTCCCTCCAAAGGTCATTATCCACACATGTGCTTATGGATTGTACAGAGGATCTTCATTATGCCCTCTCTTGCATGAATGATATAACTCACTAGGTACTCCTATGAGACCGTCGTCCTCAATTGCAAAGACCAACCCTCGTAAACCTCAACTCCCCAGTATCTCAAAGCCCTGTGTTGTGCTATGTAGCTACACGAAAATTAATTGATATGTTAAGAGGTCGAAGCATCAATGAAACCCTGAAACATCCACCTCACGCAGAAAGACCACGTTTCTCACTTTCGGTGAAGAAGATAACCATTCGCCAAAGCTTCTTCACAAGAGCCTCAGCTTCGTCATCGAGAGCCTAGAATACGCAGTTAGTAAATTGTTCGAAGTGATCGTAATAATGCATATTACATACCTCTGCTAGTTCCTCGACTAGCTCACCAGGTTTAGCATGCTTCCTTAGGTGCTCTTCAACTACCTCGATCAATAGCTGTTCTTGGACACCGAGATACTCTACCAATTTCTTTTCAACAAAAGGTCTGAGCTTCTCCCGGATGACGCCTTCATCCAAGTAATCCCACTTAACATCCCATTCCCAGAGTCCTTCCTTTTCGTTGGGAATTTCCTGAGCCAATGCACGCACGGCCTGGTCACGCTCTTCGTCGGACATAGCCGCAGCAGCAGCAGGCTCAAATTGGATAGGAATAAGCTGGCGTCTAGAAGTCGCATCCTCGTCTTCGTCCTCAAGTAGACCTTCAACTTCGGCGATAGTTTTTCTTTGGGGAGCTGCACGTTGTGCTTGTGCCTTTTGCGCGGCGGCGCCAAGAGATAGCTTGAAGGGCTGCGGCGCAGCGACACCAGCTCGGTTAACTTGTCGCTGTTCCATCTCCTGAGCTTGTCTCTCAAGAAATGAGTCAGCCATGCCCCTGGCTTGCTCACGCTCTGCTTCCTCCTTAATACGCTCCTGATCTTCGGCTTGTCGATCGGCATCGTCGGCTGCAATTTCTCTAGCTCTGAAAGCCGTACGGTTTCTGATCCATGCACTTCTGTCTTTGTAATAGTCCTCAGTTTTTCGGGAAGCTTCTGCGTCGTCGTCGAAATGCTTGAGTCGTTGTAAAATCTTGTCCCGGTTCTTGGCAAAGTCCTTCGCATCAGACTCATCGCGTTCCTTCTCTCGCTCAAGTGCGGCTGTACGAGATTTCTCTCGATTTAGCCATCGACGTTCGGCATCCAGGTAGAGTTTTTCTGTCTCTGCATTCTGTTTCGCAATTCGTCGCTTCTCTAGCTCGTCGTCGCTAGCAGAGTCATTCTCATCCTCTCTGTTATAAGATAGACCCCCATTTGTTGTACCACCGTTGACGAAATTGATTGATCTATTGTAATCCTTGCCCAGGTCAGATTTCTGACCCTTGGGCCCAGAAGGCGCATTAGGCATACCGCGTGGTCCTAACGGAATGTTATTCGCACTAGAGGGGGGAGGTGACGATAGTCGGGAGGGTCGCGATGCGCCATTACGCTGGCGTTCCATTGCCTCGAGCTCTTCCTCTCTCTTCAAACGTTCCAAATCGCGTTTAATACTTCGTTCTCTAAATGCGGCGATTTCGGCAGCAACGGTTTCGCGCATCTCAGCCGGAATGTCGGCTAGCTCGTCCTCCTGTGCCAAGGGGATATTAACCACCTCAACGTTCTCTCCATTCTGCGCAGAACTATCACCCATGGTGACATCCCCATCTGCGTCTGCTCCAGATCGCGATGTAGGATAAAAGAGATTTTTTATGGTCTGCTTCAACGCACCTCTGGCAGCTTCACATCTTGCCTCGGCACCTGAATCATCAGGTCTGCTTTCTTTATAAGCCTCCAAGTACTTGGACGAATTCTCATCGAACCGAATCTGAAGGGCCGCTTTCTCGAACTCGGCGTAGGTCTCGTCGTCGCCGGCGGGTTCATCTGATGATACTTGTTTTTTTATGGGTATCTGAATGTCTTTCAGAACCTCAGAGGCGATCCATAGCGACTCGTTATCTTCAAATTGAGCAAAACCGAAGGCCACCTCCTTGCCACTAGAGTCAGTAGCTCGGTCCCAGCGGCGCACTTTACCAGCAGCACCTAGTATTTTCTCGATACCTTCGTTTCCGCTAATACCGTCTGTTATGCCGCTCACGAAAACGGTTCGTATAATCTCCTCTCTAGTGGGAGGGACCAATGCTTGCATATTCTCACGCAGGGCCTGTCGAGTCTGGTCCAGGCCGCGATCCATACCTATGCCGGCCCTTGGTCCAGACGAAGACTGGTTCTCGCTGTCTTTGCGACCCGGCATTCCTGGGGTTGCCGGTTTCGTGGAGCTCGTACCGAGGCGGATAACGGGGGCGTTGAAATTAATATTGGGCATATTCGGGGGGGCTTGAAAGTTGGATGGTAGACCGCTAGGTCGATTAGCTTGATTGATGTTGTGCTGCTGAACGCCAGGCGGCGCCGTTCCTGGGGCAGACATGCCTGGAGGAGGTCCTAAAAGAAGTATCAGTGAGTGTCGCGCGAATATTTACTCTACCATAGAGCTACTGACCTAGACCAGGAGCAGACGGGAGTCCTGGAGCGGCGGCACCAGGATATGAATTGTAAGACGGAGGCGGGCCGAAGCCAGGCACTTGACGAAAGTACGATAGTTAGCACATACTCAACACCTAGATAGTTATATATCCAAATACTCCAAACATCAACTTACTTCCGCCATAGGGATTGTACGCCATAATTCGAGGAGCGAGATAATACTACAGTATAACGGGGAGTGGTGTAGGGATTTTAGGGGTCCGACGACGATGTTGATGTTGAGACGCGCGTGCTAATAATTAGACACCTCCTGAAAATACTTGAAGGCGCAAAGGTGGGTTACCTAGGAAGTTACTTCGCGTAGAAGATCTTCAAAGGTTGATGTTGAAAGGTTTGTTCAAGAGTTGAAGCACCGCCACAAAATATCGATGGCTGGAGCACAGCTAGTTTGAACCTTCGAAGTCGGAATTATGTGGGTCTCCAGGTACGGATGTACAAATTTTGGAATTTGCGACTGAAAAACGAATGCCCCGCATAATAAGGTTAAGCTAGACCGGTAATCGTGAATTACGGATTATCGATCATTCCGGCCGAGAAAATTGAGTGGATCTTTGTATGTCGGACCAATGAATTGCTCCAAGTCGAAAATCGTAACTGATGAAGCTTCATTATCACAAATGTCTATGGGCAACTCTGAAAGCTGATCCGCGATCTGGCTAAGCCCGCTCTGAATATGTATGGAATAAATCATCAATTTTAATGTGATGTCAACCAGCTAATTGAAACAGGGCTGAGCTTTACCGCGTCACGCAAAGCGCCTTACGATCTGCGTCAATTCTTCGAAGCTCTGCGTCCAGATGGCCATCAAGTCCAATGCCCTGCATACGGCAGCTGTCCAGTACACCGATTCTCCGCCCAATCGAACTTAGTAACGGAAGACTTCCTATAACCTATATTCAACACCATAATTATGCGTCATGGACCTTGAGAGATCCGCAGTCGATATCTAACAAAGGGGAGGAGATTAAAAAACCTGAGATGTCAACATACGACGAAGACGATATCTTTGCGCCCGAAATCGACTTCGAAACCGGTGAATTAACTAAGAACCCAGAAGTGCGCGCAGAACTCACCCGACCTCCGATGCGTCTAATTCCACGAACTGGTCGTACTATACGCACAGGGAAAACTGTCGATGTAGCAAGATCCTTCACGCTCTTAAACATGCAAGTGTCTCAGAACAGAGTTAGACAGGATTTGTTCCGACAGAGAAACCACGAGCGGCCAGGTTTGAAACGAAAGAGATTGAAGTCCGAACGATGGCGAAGGCAGTTTAAGAAGGGATTCAAGGCCTGCGTCGTGAGGGTTAAAGAGTTGACGAGACAGGGTTGGTAAGGTTACGACTCACTGTGTACGATATCTACGTCGGTCTAAGCCAAAGCTTCCCCGAACTCGGTTGTATCAATACAGTCGCACCATGCGTTATTTGGTCATCCTTGCAGCCGGCCTGTCGTACGTAGGCCAATCCGTGAAACGTAAATACAAGATCCAAGTGGTAACCGCATCTCAGTACCTTGGGGCTGCCCTTCAAAAGTAAAAGGATGAGAATATTACCAGTTTTGGTCCCTGGGAAACCGGTAATATGATGGGCGTGAAGGTGTGCCAGCAATTCTACGATAGTAACGTCGCCTCCATAGAATCCCATCGCCCATAATTCTGTGATAAGCCGGGCGCAGTACCAATATCCGAGATCTTTGAACATGTAGGTTCACGGAGAGCCGACATCGATTTACGTGAATGGATTGGAGGGAAAGATTTAGATGGTCGAGATGGATCTAGAGAAGGGACAGAAATAACAAAGCTAGAAGAAATAGAGATTTCGAAATTCTACATGCAGATGAAAGACCCCAAAAAGGATGCATCCTGATGTTTCGGGACCCCGCCGTAGGGAAATCATCAATACAAAGACGCATGGAAGAAAATGTGCGACGAGTTCGAAGCTGCAGAAAGCAGCAAATATTACAAATAAAGGAGATAGGCTTCTATCTACGGGGAAGATGCATAGGTACCTACCAACCTACCTATTCACATCCAACATTGCTCTGACTTTGAAGATAGGAAGGCCAATTTTTTTATAAAAAAAGAACAAAGGAGAAAGAATAGGAAGCATAGGGAACTTTAAGCGGAAGCTCCAGGAAATGCGTACACCACTGGAGATCACTATTGCTAGGCTACAATGGAGAAAAGAAGAGAACAGGCTAGTTAATCAACGCAAAGAACGAGAATTTGAGTCGAAGCTTGAGGCAACCTACGAAGGCTTCAAAGATGAAATTGCACAATTAAAGAAGGTTCACGACGATGAAATACAGACCCAGATCCGGGTTTCAAGGGAAGAATACAATGTGTAAGTCTATAAATTGACAAGCAGAATTACTATCCGGGGGGATATTTTGCCCAGAGACGTAAGCAAAGTTCAATGTGATGGTCGATGAAATGTGGAAAACTCTACAGGACACACTCTTGAAAGCCAAGAAACGAAATAGAGATAGATTGACTAATCATAACAGATTGAAAAAGGAACACGATGCCCTACTTGTTGAGCTGGGTCAACTGAACCGAGCACAACTAGGGTCTGAGATGAATCTTCAGAAACTTCACCAAGAGATAGATGCGTATGATCGAAGACAGGGACAAGCAAAACGAAGCTTCCAGGAAGCACTTGAAGAATCCCAACTCGAATTACAGAGCAAAGACAAACAACTACTGGAGGCAAAGACGCAACTAGGACGTTACACCGCGTTATTAGATGCTAGAGACCAAACCATACAGGGGTTAAGAGATAAGAAACTGGACTTAATAGGAGACTTGGAAGCATCAAGGCAGCACGAATCACAGTATCGAGAGCTTCTGAGAAAAGAGAGAGAACGCTTTCGATATCGGGAAAGGACGTTGGATCTAGAATTGCTAAATATGAAGAAAATCTCGGACGAGAAAACACAAGAATTGACGAAGAAGTTGCGCAGGGAAGAAACTAGACGCCGATCTCTCTTCGAGAAGGTCCAGGAACTTCAAGGGGCTATCCGCGTCATATGCCGCATTCGGCCAGACAGCTCACGGGACCTGTTGGAGTACGAGGTGAGGAATGGAGAGTTCCACGGTGATCCAGCTAGTCTAAGCGTAATCGATGAAAAGAGGACGGTGTGGGGAGATATAAGACCAACAAAATCAGAGATATACGAGTTTGAGCGAATTTTCGGTCCCCAAGACACGAACCATGACGTCTTTGATGAGATCAGCAACTTCGTCCAATCAGTCATTGATGGGAAAAAGGCTTGTATCTTCTGTTACGGACAATCTGGGACTGGAAAAACATACACGATGAGCAACGTAGATAGCTTCATGGGCCGAAAAGAAGGGGTTGACTACCAGAACGACGGCATCATCCCTAGGGTAAAGACGATGCTATTCAAGGAAAAGGAAAGACTTGAAGAGATTGATTTCGTCGTAAACATTAGAGGATGCTGCTACGAAATCTACAATAATCAATTGTGGCTACTGAAATCAGGTGGTCGTGAGAAGAAGTCCATCTCAAGGAATACTCGATCTGTCAAAGACCCCGGTCTTAAGAGATTGAATCATAGTAGTGACTTTGATGACATGGTCGAAATAGGGATGAACAATCGGCATTTCGGCGTAACAAAGCTGAACAACAACTCGTCCCGATCGCATTTCATTATCAGCCTTGAGACTAGCGTGATGTCGAAGAACACCCCTGAAGCACTCCGAGAGGGTATTCTCAATTTAGTAGACCTTGCAGGCTCAGAGAGGACACATCAAGCCGGCACCACAGGCGCAAAGCTACAAGAAGGGAATAACATCAACGCATCACTGACGCAGCTGTGGAGAGTCTTCATTAATCTTTCAGAGGGAAAAATACCAACATATAACGGTAACATCCTCACCGAGTTCCTGCAGCGTTCCCTCGAAAAGGGTTGCATGACGCTTATGTTCCTCATGATCAGCCTCTTGAAAGAAAACTGGCCAGCAACAAAACAGACACTACAGTTCGCGTTAGATGTAAGTAGGAATAAAAGAAGCCTTTTTACTTGGCTGATATTACTATTCTAATTCAATTTTATGTAGGCTCAGTCTGCGAGAAAGTCAGGCAGAGGTACGAAAGCAGCGCCTGCAAGACCACTATCCGGTAAACAACAAACAGCAGGCCAGAAGCCAGGAAACAGGAAGTAGACAGGGCTCCTATTGTTGTTCCTCCGATGCGAAGAGTTTTCGAGACTCGACATTACAGCTTCTCAAATTCTCATAAAATCCAACTTAGTCATAAAACTTAATTACATTTGTGGCAAGTTTATTTTTCCCTTAGGGATAGCTTTCTCCCAGTCTGGACGATTTTTAAATCCACAATGTTTATCATGATTATGAGGTTCGTTTCTAGGCAACTACGAGACCCCTGAATCTATCATAAAATACATCATTTTTCTACCCATGACACCCATGAGCGCGATTTTTACCTATTCTCTCTTTACTATCATATGTCACATTACATACTTCTTAATAGTTACAAACACGGTCTAAATGAAAGTCTCGAATAAAAGATAACCCCTATTTTCAATAACACGAAATATTGTTCTTTTCGATGTGGGTATCTCCAGTCGTGTCAAATCCACGACCAATCCTGGAGCAAGTTCCATATCCCATGTCATCCTGTGACCTCATAGGCCAGAGAGTTTCCATAGAAGCTGACGAATAGAAATCCCCGTCATTCTGATCCGATCACGTCGTATTCAGTGGACAGTAGTTCCCAGAGCACCCGTCGCCCCCTTTCCGGTAACCCGGTTTGTTGTCCTTGGCTAGGCAGCCAGGATGCGGTCTCCAAACCATAGACGCTTCACGAGCGTGGAATAAAGGGTCGACGTCGACGCAGATTGGATTGTTCTAGCCTCTACTCCACAGTTTCAGCACCCCGGGCGGAAAAGATGGGTGGGAGTTTACTGGCCCACGGGTCGGGGCGGCCTGGTGGGAGACCGTCTGCATCCAAGGCTGGTTGGTCGAAAACCGTAGTCGAATCAGGGTTCTACGAAGCCGTATCGTGACTGTGAGTGGCTGCCCCCGGCATGGTCAGCGGGATCCACCCGTCAAAGTGAGCCCGGACGCTTCGGCCAATGCGTCTTGCAGCTCAGAGCCCCCTCCCCCCAAAGGGAGACGCACTCCTTCGTAATCATGACACGGCTCCTTGCAGGACGTTAAAACGTGATGTATGTACGAGATAACAAGCATCCCGCTGTCGTTCGTAACGAAACGGGAAGGTCCATATCTCGGTAGCCCTCGCTTTTTCCTGCCCTGGTTGACGCCGATCCTATATTTCTCCGCGGGCTTGATGTGATTGCATTGACTAGCTTGGTTCCTTTTATGGTGTTCGTGTAGTGATAGCTGTAGTCAAGCCACTGTCGCACGAATCAGTCGGTATCCCAAGACGACAACCCGAGCATTACTTCCAATAGGAGAACCGGGACGTTTTTTCGAGATTTAGTTGGTAGGTTGTTCCTAAATAGTCGTTGGCTTAGGGCTTATTTTTACGTCCGGTCATGCTGTTAGTTACAGAGGTGTTTCCTAAAGGATGGGGGAGAGTGACAGGGAAGCCGACCCGAGAGGGCTTTGAAATTGGATGACAAAAGTCAGCCACGATTTGTCCTTCCACGGTATGAAATTAGTCGTTCCAAGAACAATTCTTCTATGGTAATAACCTTGATTTAACCTACCTACAGCTTTCCTTTAACCTCGTACGTAATTATTGAATTTATACGATCCTGTAAATTAGAAACATGTTGATATATTCTTGTTTTGGGCCAATTAGGACATGTTATTCGGGATAATGCACCGTGATGCGGCTAAAACAAGGAGTATGTGGATAAAATATACGGGCGATAATGTGATTTGGAAAGGAAAATCGGACAAAACATGTTTTGAGTCCCCTTGGTTAGCGGAAACATGACTACATGTGTCGTTGCCGAGAACTTCTAATATTATAGCAACAATGTAGCTTTAGTTATGCTATTCGTCACTGGGCACTTAGTACCTATTGGTGGAAGCTGAGGAAATAGGGGACATCGAGCTTAATCGATTTTTACTTGCTCAAATTCTTGTATGGTTCTAACAAATCGTATGACTTGATGGCTACTTTGTATATAGATTAGGTACAGCTCAGCAAGACAGCTAAGATCAATCAAGTGTTTCTAAAGTCTGGTTACACACATCCGATGGATCATATGGAATCTAAAATACTACTAGGTATTACATTGACATACCTACCTCTGTCCCTCTGGTAACCGTAAGGGTAAAACTAGAGACATTTTTACATTACTAACATGTAACGAGCAACTGGCTCTCCATGGGAAGTTGCCTATGTCTAGATACCTATTATTGTAAACCTGATGAGGTTTTATCCCTTCGATTCCAACCATTCGTCGTGACCTACGCCACTTCGGTAGGTACCTGTAGTGGAACTATTAGGCATTATTTGACACTGGGAGGCCAAGTATACCACAAAGATCCTCATGATTTTATATGAGTTCGATTGCTTCTAGATGTTGTACGTGTTCCTTGAATTTGATTGAAATTTCTGTTTTTCGGCGACTAAATCGGACATACTTGTTTTGCAATTGGTTCAAAATTGCATGTTATAACCTAGCACTAAACACATGTCGGTGTCGGCAGTTTCGTGCGTAAAGGGGGGTTTGTGGAAGGCATCGTATGATTCGAATTCGTCGAGAAGCCATGTTAATTATGCTGTGCGCAATACAAGAGGATAGCCGGCCTAATAATCAGGATTGCATGTTAGAGCTACACCGAGATCAGGCACAACGGCAACGTTACTATAACGAAAAGGAACTCACATTTTCAACATGACACATGTTTAACTTGACAAGCACTTCATAACAGATTTACTGCCAAGGGGTGACCAGATCTAACCAACTGTCCGAAGCAGCATAGCGACGGCGTAAACTTTTAAGAAGTTTAATGTTTGAATAACTAAAATTTCTTAGAACAGATAAGAAACTTTTGGATTAAATGCTAGGCATTGTCTAATCACTAGCAACACGGAATCATCTTCTTCCACTTCCATGGACAATGCATTTTTACTCATCCGGGCCGTGTCGTACGGATGGCTAGCGTATCCTCGCTTACTCCCGCGACGAAGTTTCATAGTTAGGGCTATAACTCAGTACTTATAAGGTATTACAAGCCCTGGAGGCTTGGGCTAATACACGGAGGTGCGAATAAGAAACTAGAGGTAACGAGGCGCGCGGCACCTAATCCTTAGGTCAGGCACCGAACGGACGGTACCCCCAAGCTAACGGTAGCATTTGACACCTCTCATTTCGACAAATCTTTCACATTGTCAATGGTAAATTGGGGACCTCACGTCATTATTCGGCAAGGAAGGGCTATGTCAGAGCGTATCCTTGAACAAAGTTGTCGTGCGTGCCGAGAAAGGTTATCCTTCACCATCCCCCGAGCACGGATGACCCGGAAAACTGTACGGATTTAGTAGTCTAATTCTATTTTAAGGCATCGATGGCGACGGGTACCGGCTGAAAAACCAAGTGTCTCGCGGAGAAAATTTTCACAGGGCTGTATTGTACCAACAATAGTGAGGCCGCGGCGTGGAATGATGTTGGTCTGAGCTTCCAACTAGACTCGTACTATTCCTTAGCTATGGCTCTTTACAGAGTACGCGTGAATTTCGCGTGGTGACAGGGATGTTGAAACGACGCCATCACAGGAAATGAGGCGGGAGAAATGAACTTGAAGTTATCTGACAAGTCGGCACTATCTCCGGTGCAACCGAAACACTTATATCTTGATGTTCGCCTCAAGCTGTCGTGTCGAATATAGGGTATCCAACATTGTGCCTGTTGTATGTTAGTTAGGAATGTGTGAAAGAAGGCTGTGTCAGATAGGGGAACGAATTAATTGTTACCAATTTAAATATCTATCTAGTCATGATAGACTATCTACCTAGGTAGGCAAGTAAGTAATACATCGTTTGGGCAACTAAGTGACCCTATATCAACGAAAAGAGTCTATCTGGCGAAACCCAGTAATTGGTACACACTCTTTTTTCTTTTTTTAGCGGACGAGCTCGCAACCACTACAGCCACCAACTCCGAACATCCCCCCACGAAGACACACCGGTTGGGCACGAACGCACACACACCATCAGGTCGATAGAAAGGCACCTGTACCCCCCTTTACCTGGAACAATCCACTTTGCCTCCGACAGACCACCGAATCGCTTGATCGTGGAGCCACATCATTATGTCGTAGTCGATGGTAAACGACTTTTCTCGAGCCAAGACCTCAAACAATTCAAATCGTTTGAAATGCTCTACGGATCCAGGCCAGCCTGGTTTGCCTCGCCAATATAGCAAATGGTGCAGTAGGAATGATGCGATCGTAGCCGTGGGGTCCACCGGGCCATACGTGAAGCTCAGCTTGGACACCACCTTCCCATAATTTAGAGGCGAAGGCCACGATCTCATCCCGGAAGGGTTCGGCGGAAGCACAGTCGAGGAAGGTGGGGGGCATTCTCGAGAGATCCTGTGCTCGCGCGGGCGCTTCGTATTCGCTGACGGCGCTGCCTCCAGCGCGCTCGCCGAGGAGACACCTCCAGGCAAACTTGTTTAGAGTCGAGTTATAAAAGGGGCCGGTGGAGAACTGCTGAGACGATACCTTCTCGTTTCTATCGTCGAGCATGGGGCATTCGAGAACAAGGCCGCATAGTTTCGGTCCGCCTCTATCGCGCGCCATCAGGGCAGCCGCCGCTGCTAAACCACCCCCGGCAGAAGTTCCGTATAGTAACAGGCGATCAGGATCGATGCCTAGTTCCGACATATGCTTACTAGTCCAGAGCAATGCCGCATAGCAGTCTTCCACAGGCTCCGTACCCGTGTTTTCTGGCGCACGTCCGTACTCCACACTGATAGTGATAGCACTGAAATCCCTTGCCCATATGACGCTGGTGTCCAGACCAGCGAAGCGATCCGCGGCGACCAAGGCGCCGCCGTGAATGTAGAAGATGCACGGGCGACTCTCGTCTGCTGGTGCTAGCGGCTTTACGACAGAGATAGTTAGACTCTGTCGGGGTCCCGGGATTGAGATGTCCTCGACATTGATGCTCTTATCAGCAAGTAAGGCGCTGGTGAGGGGTTGTGTTCGTGCCGACGCGTCTTTGCGAAGCCTCTCGACTTCATATCGCTCGGGCATGCCACCCAGGGCTTTGAAGATAGTATCTATCTCGGCGTCATATGGCGGTCTTGGCAAGCGATCAGCTGGCCCCGCCAAAATCTTGCGCATTCTGAGAGCGAGCTGTGATATGTGTAGGTGGTGCCAACTAGTTAGAATAAGGTAGATGAGGCTCGGTTCGGTGTCGAGTTATAATATATCTCGGTGAAGAGTTGTGGGTGTGGTCTATACATCGACGGAGACGGCCTGGCGAGGAAACGGGTTGACATTTATGTTGGAGCTGTGCAGGAACAGGGGCTAGTCGATGGCGACAGGCTAACCTAGTGTGTGGTCTGCAAGGGAAGAGCCAACTGGCGATCCCTTGAACCAATCGCATAAAGCATAGGCAGAAAATCTCGGCAGTCGGTGAGGGTCGAAGAGACTCGACTTGGAGATCGATTCCACAAATCTGAAGTCGGAGGAACCGGCCATCTCCTATTCTCCAAAACGACTCGTCATCTGCAAGGTGACTGGTCAGAATCGCACCTCAGTGATAAAGATGGTGAAAGTAGTCCCAAGCAAACTATAGCGACCCGGCAACCCGAGCAAGTTAGACATGCCCTTTGCCTATGGGGAATCCCGTGACATGAGTTATATGCATGCAGTATGCAAGCTGCAATTATCCATGAGTCAATATCCTTAATTTAGAACCCTAATTGCAGAAAGTGAACCTGCCAGTCTGCAAGAAGAAATCCCGAACCATTGGAAGCCGACTAGAATAGCGTCAATTAAGCGAAATTCGACAAAGCATAGACTTGCATCTAGACGCCACATAACCTTATATCGGGCATCCCTTTTTCAGACTTGTCACATTTCGCAAAAAAAAAGAAACAAAGATTAGATCGTATCATCTTACCATCTTACCGATCTTAACATTCTTGACACCACCATCTGCAACATCTGCACCATCCGCACCACCCATAGGTACCATCCATCCCATCCATCCCATCTCTCTCCTTCCCAAACGCCATAATCCACCAATCTGAATGGCCAATCGCGCCGTTCCGAAAACAACCGAGGTGATCCCCGGCGCAGTTGTGAACATCGTTCTCAAAGCCGATCAGCGCACAGGTCGAGAAGTGAGGGGAACCGTTCGCGACGTCTTGACACGCGGGGATCATTATCGTGGTATTAAAGTCCGACTTGCCGATGGGCGCATCGGCAGAGTCCAGAGCATCGCTTCAGGCGCCTCTTCTACCCCCGCTTCATCTTCAGATCCCGATGGTGTTACCTTGATAAGTACAGGTACAGGTACTTATACTTCAACGCCCGCTGAAGATGAGTCGACCGATTTAGCCAATCGGACAGTTCAAAATCCACGTGGGCGCCGCCCGCGTTACAGAGACATGCGACTTGATGAACCACTAGAAGCGCCACCGGACCAGACTGATCTAGGCGCGTACATCGTGTCCACCAAGCGCAAGGGTAAGGGTAAAGGTAAAGGCAAGAATAAGAATGTTCCAAATGAATCTGGCCAGCAAGATGATCCTATGCGACAAGATGGTGTATCAGGAAGTAACAATTCGAATTCGGTTATGGATGTAACTTCAGCCACATCGACTTGTCCAGTTTGCGGCACTTTCGAAGGAGACGAGACGGCTGTGGCTCACCACGTCGCGGAACATTTTGAATGATGCAAACTAATTGACAACCTTTGAGATGAACAATTTGACGGTGGCGATTATACCAAATGAATTATGTGTGGATAGGAAGGACTCGGAAGGCTTTACTTTGACCATACTCGAGAGCTTGGATGCACTCCTTCTCATTTTTCAAAGCTGATGTCACTCTTGAGATCCCCCGGATTGACCAACCTTTTCGCGATCGGTCTTGACCTTCAATCATTACCTTATACTTTCTACAATGAGATCAATAATTGCAGTCATATGCTTGAACGAGTCGCATTCGGCAGTAGTGACCTCAAGGTTGCCCTCGAGGAAGGAAAGATGCCATCAGGGTGCTCACCATGACCATCCATCAAGGTCCTCCCAACGAAACAACGATTCTTCTTATACCGGCTATCTTAGCTGATTTCCTTGCCACCACTTCTTCATATGCCCGAGAGCGATTCCTGAGCAACATAAAATGGCTGATATTCGAGTCCACGACGTCTTGATCGTTGGTGCTGGCCCTTGCGGCCTCGCCGTCGCGGCACGTCTATCTGAACATATGCCTGCCGCTAACTTTTCCGACGACGAGCATCAGAGATATCATTGGATCCAGAAACATAGAAATCGGGCTAGCATCAAGAACTATAAGACGGGTTTTGAGATACGCCGGAAATCATCCACCACCCCACCAGATAAGGCGGGACTCGACCTTTTGGTACTTGATGCGACCAACAACAGATGGATGGCACGATGGGATACCCTATTCAAGACATTCGACATCTCTCACCTCCGCAGCCCAATGTTCTTCCACGTCGATCCTGCAGAGCGTGACGGGTTATTGGCTTATACGTATCGAAACGATCGAGATAACGAATTAACAGAACTTCGGGGATGCGTCGGAAAAGAAATAAGTAAACACCAGAGGAAGAAGAGAGAAAGATCCGGGAGACAGTAAGGTTCATCGCCTAATTTACACGCGTTGCTATGCTAAGAAGTGGAAGACCTAGGACAGAACCTACGGTCGATGAACGTGATCGAAACGATTACTTCGTCCCCTCGACGCCGCTTTTCGCCTCGCATTGTGGATGCCTGATAGATCGATATGATTTGCGTGGTAATGTGGTGTCACATGAAAAGGTGGAGGATATTCGATTCGACTATCTCGAGGATTACTCCGAGGTCGACAAGATCTTCACTATCAAATCGGATAGGGGTATACATCATGCAAAGGTTGTGGTGTTAGCAGTAGGAGGCAACCCGCCACAAATCCCAGACCCACCAACCGAGGGAATGGAGGGAATGACCCACGCCATGCATATTAAGGAAATGCCCTCGCCTCGTGTTCGAGCGAAGGTGAATGCCAAGATCCAAACAAACGTTGTAATAGTTGGGGGCGGCTTAACCTCAGCTCAGCTAGCTGACCTAGCGATTCGTCGAGGCGTGTCTAAGGTGTGGCTGTTGATGCGTGGACCCCTAAAAGTCAAGCCTTTCGACGTAGGGCTTGAGTGGGTAGGAAAGTTCCGGAACTTCGAGCAGGCTGCATTCTGGACCGCGGACTCCACCGAAGAGCGGTGGGAAAAGATCAAAACGGCCCGGAATGGAGGCAGCATCACGCCACCGTACAAGAAGGTCCTTGAGCGACATATATCCACTGGTCGGCTTTGCCTACTTCTGAACACCACAATTGACGAAAAACGATGGGACTCTTGTTCTAGGACTTGGACCGTGTCGCTATCGGACAAAAGCCAGACGCTCCCGCCAATCGATCACATCTACTTCGCCACCGGCGTCCAGAGCAATTTCGAATGTCTTCCTTTCCTGAAATCGATATGCTCCGACTATCCTATCGAAAGTTGCGGAGGTCTCCCATGTATAACAGAGAACATGGCCGTAAGTGGGCTCTTTCCTACCTACCTATTATTTCTTATCCAAACCCTTCATCGTTTTTTCGGTGAGCCCTATATCCACTCACTTGAGTCTCCATCAATTGTTTTTGTACTAGAGGCAGTGGTCTAATTGACAGCATGCGCTATAGTGGAGAGACGACGTTCCCCTATTCGTTGCCGGCAGGCTTGCCGCACTACAGCTCGGTCCCGGCGCCCCTAACTTAATCGGGGCTAGGATCGGCGCAGAGAGGATCGCTTGGTCAATCCAGGATTTTCTGGGAGCGAGGGAGTCCGGGAACGAAACCGACTTGATGAAGCGCGAATTCGACTATCTCACCGGCAGAGGCAGTCGGTATGACGCCTTGGCGGCCGAAGTCGCATAGCTCCCTCACCCTGCCCTTCTCTGTTATCTTGCATCCGCATCGCTGGTATTACCAAATGATTATCAGCAGCTAATTTAATCGTGCTTCTCCGAGGTCTAGAAAAGTCTTTACGGTCTGTAGTTTCGGTGGACGGCAGATATTAGTATATCTTCACCTTGGGCAGATTATGTAAGATAGGACTAAGCAACGCTTACTAATCATATCCATATTCTCTGCAAATTGGGGGTAATGACATAGACACATAGATCCTCAGTGACACCGAGCTGTCAAGTTTAGTTGCATATATAGCGGCGTAGCATTGGCCTAAGCTAGCTCCTTATATGATAACCATGTCGACTAACCATTACAAGTTCGCTCCTATCCTACCTAACAAAGCGGACAACCATAGATGAATAGCACTTATCAGATATTCCAGACTAAAGGAATCACCTTATTAATGGAAATATTCCGCATTTTGACAGGCATTGAGAATAACAGGGTTGAGATGCATGTAGCGTGTATGTTGTCCCAGAACACGCACCGCGCTAACATTCGGGCTACTGCAGTTCATCGAGCCGGCGCATCATAGCAGCACCGTGCGTCAGACTCGTAGAATATAATTACTTTGTCATACTTGCATGGCTCTCGCATGAACCGGTATCATTCATCTGCGAACGGTTATTCGTGGCCGTTGTTGAACTTCTTTGGTTGTGGATAAGGGGATTCGGTGCGGATAACTTACTCGATTCATCCTATATATGGCAAGAAGACCCGAGGGTATTAGTCAAGTACATCCTAGGCAGGAGGTCACGCGCTCCTCTAGAGTTGATGTATCATATTCTTGCTATAGAATACGAGAGTCGCATGCCTTGTCGAACGGAATATGCCTATGCCGAGTGGTAATCCGAAAGAGTTGAACTGACACATAGAGTGAAGGTGTAGTCAGAGATGGCGGTGGGGGAATGGTCTGTATAGATTTTTGACTTAGGTTAGCAATAATTGAGGAAGCCTATTCATATAAAATATAGGTACCTAATGATAGGTATCTAGGTATCAAGATCTGGAAAAAATAGACCTACTATGATTTTCTCTCGTTTATGGTAACATGTTTAAATTGTATCCTACCTAATAGTAACGGTTGTGAACTCGTCGTCACGACATCAGTAAGTTAATATCCATGCATGTAACGATTAGAATCATTAGATCGACTGTAGAATTGTTGTATCGATTGTAGAATCATTTCTTCCAATTAAATCATTCCTATGCATGTAATACTTTGAGACTATTTAGAATTATTCTCATAAGTGGGATGTTCCCATTACAGTAGGTAGGTAGACACGTACAAATGATTATTTTATAAAAGACACTTCCTTATTAAGTAAATACTGCTAATTCATGGTTATGTACCTATATTTGCTGAATCTTTATGTTGTCTCTGGTTGTATTCCAAGGTTGTCATCGAAATGGACTAATATCTTATGAGCTTGGCGGCTACTATTACCTGCTAAGGTACTCATCAGAAACTCTTTCGTTGTATGATAATTTCGGTTTTGAATAAAACGGTTGGAGGTCACTTGATGCCAAATGAATTGTCACACATTTGACCGATTTATTACAGCAGAACTCCTTAGGGTTAGGGTTAGGGTTGGGGTAAGTTGATAACAACCTCTCTTTTTCCTGACATCTTAGATGGGAATATTGTTAACGACAATAATAGTAACTTGTATTTAGAATCATCTAGCAAGTTAAATAGACATAGTTATAAAAATGGACGATAGGTAGGTACGAACAGCGTGATCTGTTATCCATGGATGTTAAGCGGCACAAGTTACAATACCTCGCACTGGTTCTAGAGTCGAGGTATAAACATAGGTAGTCGAACAATCTCGTAGTCCCTCAAAACAACGGCAGACCCAAGTTTCCTGGTGGATATCACAATCGGCTTACTGAAGATAGGTAGGTAGTGATAAAGGAGTGGCTAAATATGGGTACGAAGGACTGGCTCTCCCTCCTCGCCTACAGCTTCTCGTCTCGCCATGAACCCAGGTGCCTCTATCGTACTCCTAGCACTATGTATCCACTCATCTACTCACCCACTCGTCACAGTAACGCATAGAACCTCCCATCCGGCACGGATGAGCTCGGCTAATGCCCGGAAGAGGTCGGGTAAACCTCCTAACGTAGGAAGACATATATACCATAATAAGTTTCCGATTTTCCAAGAATCTAGCAATAGATTTAGACACGATGGCCGGTCTGGTATAGCGGTGCTTGCAACCGATCCCACAGCTATAGCTCTGGGCATCCTGGTGAAGCATAGGCTTGGTGGTTCGATTCCTCCGGCGGCCGATTCAACCTTTTTTACATTTCTTTTTTTCCCTCTTTTTTTTTCCGGTTGCCTAGCACCACGCCGAACTCGCACGCCTTCCTAGCAATTCTAGTAGAAATAAAAGATGGTATCCATTCCTCATTTATACTAACGTCTTCTCATACACACGATACTCCGTCGGCCCTGCGAGCTGAGGCGCAAGGCTGGGGTAGTCAAGCGCGAAGTCGCGGCTCCCCGTGAGGCTATATCCTCGCTTCGTGTACCATAACTCCAACCGCACCTTGAACGTATGTGTGAAATGAGTTGGGACCAGTAAATCGAGTTGAGCAATAGCAACCCCAGAACCGCCACAGTTATCAAGACACCATTTCTCCGCCCAATCCATTAGGTCCCTTCCGATTCCACTCCCGCGCTGCTCGATAGCAACCGCGAATAATCCGAGCTCGGCGCGGTTTTCGGCAAGTTTCTTGATTGAGATACAGCCCAACGGGATACGTTTTGAAGTCGTCTCGGGAGACGGTGCTGATGCGACGACTAGGATGCCGGTTTTTATGAAGCTTGCGATCTCGCTTGCTGAGGTGCGCAGGTAGCCTGGCTTGAAGATGCCAGCTTCGGCCTCGGAGTATCCGGCATTCACGAGTTCTGTGAGCGCAGTGGTGAAGCCTTCATCTTCTGCGAGTGAGATGTGTGGGAACTCGATTGTGAGGTTTGAGGCCTTGGACGGCGAGCCTGGTTATGGGCCGTTAGTGAGTACTAAGGTCTTGAGGAAGCCATAAGGGGTGCTACTATGCGGATTGAAATCCTCTCACCATTAACAACATCACCGTTTTGTGCCATTTTCTATATTTAGATCTACTTATCTAATATGACTATATTTATACTCGTTCGCTTGATGATCGTGAGTCTAAGTTTTGAGATATATCCGGGACTCCGGGACTTCAAACGCCAGAAAACGTGGTCAAAGACTGTAGAACAGATATAATATGAGCCTCTATTTTAAACATGAGATACTTTAAAAAAGACTAGATTCGAATTGTTACATCAGGTTGTATTGATCTTTGTTTCTAACTCTCATGAGTCACGAAAGGGGTTCGAGTTCGGAGATATTCGCTGACAACTTTATGAAGACTCGGATGTTACAGTATAAGCACGGACCACAATGCATAACCCCAACCCCGCTATCGCCCTCCCTTGTGAGGCTCAAGCTCGGACATAATCTCACTTTTTGAGATTACATAATACGATTGTGTCCATGGTCACACTTGTGCTTCGATTGAGATGGTCTTACTGAATGCGGCGTCTGACTTGGAAATAATCCAATCATATCGTACGGGTCACAAGATGGTAATCATATAACTAATTTAGAATAAAGTCATCTCATAACACGGCATGTGGAGAAATGTCTTAGGTTGACTCTCATCGCAACTCGTCTTAACTAGGAAAAATGATGGAAATATTGCTTAAAGAAACGTTGGTAATTTATAGGTTGAGTAAGGAGTTATTTATCACATACGACAAGGTTATTCATTTTCATAGTGTCGTATGAGCTTGAGTATGAAATTATCACCCCCACGAGAAACAGGGCCGTCTGAAACTCGACTTGAGTGAAGTGCCTCAATTTCGATCAACGAACCAAAAATTAGCGGAGGTTTTTGAGGTATTTCTCCACGTGTTGCTAGAAAACGTGGGGACCACAGCCTGTCTGCCTGTCTGCTTCAACTACGGTGGTATATCGTGGCAATACGAATAGGTGGGGATCGCAGCAATGTCGTTGTCTGTAGGTAGTATACCAGTGAAGTGGTCCTCACACTGTATGGCGTCTGTGGCGCTGCTGAAGGCTGAATTACGATATTTTTTCTGCAGATGAAGTCTAGTATTGTAGCAAAGATGTCAAACGATTCTATCTACTGCTAGGTATGTAGGTGGAGGTTAATATTATCTAATGAAGATTCGAACAAGGGCTTCATGAGCTCTGATGCATGTGATTGAATTCGACGTCTCAATTATGCTTTGCTACCTATTTCGGTAGGTCCATCCTCATCATTCAATGTTTCAACACGTACCTGCACATATGAGGGACTTATGTAGGTATCGTTGTCGGTGACATACCGGTAGTGCATTGTTGAGAGTTGGAGGAAAATCATGATGTTAATATTGATCTCAGATTAAAGTCAGGAGGCATGTGCTGGCCGGTGGTCGATATGGTTATAAATCCACAAATGTGTAGCTGATTCTGAGGATGTAAGGGCGTTTGAATAATGACTTATAATATCTTTCTCAACGAAGTTGATGGATGGGCCATTTATGCTCAAGCTCCGATGTTTCAAACAGATTGTTGTTGAGACGCATTATGAACAATTGGGCGACCGAGATATCGAAGTGCGGCAACTAAGGAGGTGTGAATTGCAATGAAGTTATATTAGGGTCCCGAAAACAATGCCCGTGTGAATTCTGTCGGGGCTTTGAGGGTGTTGTATCACACACCTTCGGCAACCCCGGTCGATCTTTTACATGTCCGGAGTAAATATGCAGATATGATCTCTAAGAAGTCAATCTCAACGATCTGATTATTGATTCGATTTCATCGAGATTTACCTAACCTAGCAGCTTAGCAGCCTAAGAATTAGACACGGCGCTTAGATTCAACCTTTAACCCTCCGAGGAAAAAGGGACCTTTTTAACTGCCTTGGAGAAGCGCTAATGGAACCATGCGGGCCGCTGCGTGCTCGCTAAACGGGGCGATGAAAGCGGCATAATGGGTCTTTTAATCGGAATACCTCCATGGGTAACCGATCGACGGAGGCACAACTCCGAATATGTACGACGACAGAAATCCCCACAGAGTGATTTTCTCTGGGGTTGAAAAAAAAGAAATGGGAAATTCAGAAATATCATATGAAAATAAAATCAAAGAAGAGGAAAATACATACAGTACTAGATGTTGTATTTTGCGGGGTGTCAGCAGGCTTGGTTAATTTGTCCCGAGACGCCGGTCACCAGATCTCGCTTGCATGCGCCGCCTTTAGTGTTTAGGCTCATCCTGCCAACATTGAACCTGCCAACTTGCTACGTGGTTAGGGCTATGACGAAAGTGGAGGGGGAGGCATTACGGGGATATTGTGGGGATGTCTATTAGACTAGGGAGAGTTATGGATTTTAATGGATTTTTAATGGATGTCATTAATTTTATGGCAGGTTTTATTATCAAGTTTATGAATGGTTATGGAGATTTTGTTGCGCGCGCTAAGAATTCATCAAATCATCGGATGCTGCTCCGTCACGGCTTTTCATGTCCTCTAGCGTCACCAGGGTCTCATCACTTGGTCAAAGTTTTCGAATACCAGCCAACTTCACACTGCTTCGTCGGTTCTATTGGTGATAATTTGGTGATCTGAGCGAACTTAGGGAATCTCGGGAGCAACATAACTGACCCCTGAACACTTCCAAGGTCGAGCATAGGCTGCATAGCCCTCACACCGTTTCCCTCTGTTTCCTTAAGTGTTCCCAACTCAGTCAAGTGCCAAACCTGGCGACCCTGGCAGCCTGGAAGTTCACAGCCAGCCATCCAGCCAGCCAGCTCTGCAGCTCCTCGCTTCACCGCCACTAAAACAAGTCCACAGACCGCAAACATTAAAATATGGGATACTCCCTTTTATTTCTTTGGCTGTTTGGTTAACGGTTAACCTTATCCTACGAAACCTTACCCTACTCGGGTTATACTATTTAGATCGGCATATGCCCTTGTTAATCGCCTACTCAGCTACTGCACCTCAACCGTTTCTCACCTTTCATACGTTACCATTCGGGGCTTTTTTCTGAACTCGAGCTTGGTTCTGTTAATTGATACGATACTGTATCGCGAGATGCAGGAGAATTATTGACGTCTCCTTATACTCTTTTCGACGTGCAACATGATTCTCTAAGAGTTCGGACCCTCTTGTCTGAGCGTGCTATGCATGAACTGCATCCCCGAGGACATGCTTTCCCACAGTCCGGGCTTATTGATGGGGTGGACGTGAACCTTCCTCCTGTTTGTCTTTTTTTCCCTACATACCTACCTGTCTAGTTGGTAGGGAGTATATTCCCAGAGACGAAGGACCTGGAGGATTTTGGATTTTCTATTCCCGTAGAAAGAACAACTTTGCAGATCGTTTCGTTTCGTTTCGTGCCGCTTAACACTGGGTTGGGCATTTTTCGTTAGGGGCGTGTCATAGCGGATACCTCTTCGCCTAGGCCTCCTCTTTAACCCTCCTACAACCGACCAGATCACACAAATTGCAACCATGAAATCCGTCCTTCGATGCGAATGAAGTTTCGCTAGAAGCATGCCAGATCATTTATTCCTTCAAACGCATCCCGAGCCTCCATTTTGGCCTCAACAGCAAAGATGGCTCCCATAACATGGCAGCCGGGCGCCAACCTCGCCGAAATTATCACCACCCATAGCCATGGCGCCCTCTTCGAAAAACGCGACTCAACCCCGAGTTATATGGATAACCCAGAAATTATAGCCATAATGTCGATATCCCTCTCCATGGCCTCAATCAGTGTGCTTGCTGCTTTGTGTGCCTTTTACTGGTTCGTCCGAATGAGGAGAAGCTTCCGCCACGAGTAAGTCATTTAGACTAAGCGGGCACATCCCGTCCATCCCCATCCATGTTGTAGTACTAAGTGAGCTGACAACGACTCAGCTTGATAATGCTCTTAATTCAAAGCGATATGATGAAAGCATTATGGCTTGTAATCTGCCCCCTTGCTTTCTTCGCTAGAGTGCCCATCGATTCGAACTCGACCTTCTGCCAAGTTTCTGGCTTTCTCCTAACCGTTAGCATCGAGGCGTCGGATATAGCTGTTCTCCTAATTGCAGTACATACGGCCTTATTCATACTCAGGCCTCAGGGTTCACATGGTCCGGCCGGGCTTTATCCATACAGACGCATAGCATATACCTGCTGGGCCATCATCCCTCTCGTCCTGGCCGCAGTCGTACCGATTACCGGCGGGCAATTCGCAGACAACGGCCCCCATTGCTATCTACCCCTCCGCCCGACTTGGTATCTCAGTGCTCTGAGCTGGATCCCACGATATGTCATCTCGGCCTTCATAATCGTCGTATACACGGTCCTCTACCTCTACGTCGCCTGCCGATTCCGCAGCTTCACCAGAGACCAGAGGCGAGCCAGCACGGCCCACAGCGATCATCCGGAGCAGAACCGCAAGCATCACAACCACCGCCACGACCACAGTGGGGACGTCCCACCCACACCGCCTATTGCGGACTACGGTTTCCTAGATTCCGCTCGGGACAGCCTGGCAAACGATGGGGAACAGAAGGATCGCCAACACTCTGTCGACTCGACCATCAGCACGCTGGATTTTGGAGGGGGAGGAGCCTCCACCCCTCTTCCGCGGAGACCTGACCAGGTAATGAGGCACTCGATTCGATGGAACACAGTGAACTTCTCCAACGACGGGCCAACGGACTCTCAACAGCAACAGCAGCAGCAACAGACGAGACAAAGAAGCCAGTCAGGCCTAATAAGTCCGGCCTCGCCGTCAGTCGAAGAAGCAAGCCCAATCCAGACCCCCGAACCCGCCATCCACAGCCCACGCTCGTCACAGCAATCCTCACGTACGCCCTTCATATGGCAACGATCCAAATCCCCCGAAACACCCTCCCCCACACCCCCGCCCTCGCACTCCCACACCCACAGCCTAACAAGCTCCATCCACTCCGTGTCAAACATAATCTGCGCCCTCCGCCGTGGTCCCCCGCGTCCACGCTCCTCAACGCAAAGCACCGCAAACACCACCAGCACATCCACGCCCCTCTTCCTCTCCCCCACCGAAACCGAAGCCGCCATGCGTCGCTCGCGAGAAAAACAACAACGCCACCTGCGTCTCCTCTTCGTCTACCCGGCGATCTACATGGTGACCTGGATCGCGCCCTTCGTCTCGCACGTCCTGCAATACGACGACGACTACGCAGACCTAAACGTATCCCGGGGAACCGGCCGCGCGGCTCTGCAAATCGTCAGCGTAACGAGTCTGTGTATCGGAGCCGCGGTGGACTGCTGTTTCTTCAGCGCGTGGGAGAAGCCCTGGCAGCACTTACGGGGCGGGTTTTGGGAGAACCTAGCTTTGCGGCTGAGACTCCGGAGACCGGCGGGAGGAGGGAGGAGGGGCGGTGCGGGAAGGACTCGGGAAGAGCGGTTTGTGGATGCGCGGGCGGCGCGGAGTAGGCGGGAGCAGGAGGAGAATCTGGAGAATCTGAGTAGTGGGGCTGCTGTTGCGAGGAGGGCTTCAGGGAATGGGACGCAGCTTGGGTCGCCGCCGCGGGAGTGGTGGGATGTGCTTGATAGCGGGTCCGTGGAGCAGTTGGATGTGCGGAGGGGGGCGGTGACGGGGTGAGGTTGGGGGAAGGGGAAGGGAGAGAGCGGGATATCGGCTCGGTATATATAGCATTTACGCATGACATGACATGACATGAGATTACATGAGACAGACGACACACGAGCATCAGACACTAGGTACCGGCATCGGGGGTTTCGAGGGAAAACGAAACACGGACGACGAGGATCGATCGATCGGCATAACAACGGGGTACGAAACTAATGCATCAACATCCCTTCTTCTTTTTTTATCATCATCATCATCCTCATCATCGTTATTTTCTTCTTTTTTTCTTTTTTTTATAACGCACGGTCAAACGAACGGTCATGATAAAGAATTCATTTTGCATATATGCATGCCAGCGGTGCCCGGATTTATTTCCATTGGGGGGGAGGAAGGATGGATACATAATGGATGTCGGCCGGGTTTTGGAGGAAGAAGGGTGGGGATTTGGGGGGTCGGTCTTCTTCAAATTGGCTTATTATCATCGTTTCCCCATAAACCAACTTCTGGGACAAGATGAGGGGGGAAGCGGGAGCATACTAAAAAGGGGGCATTGGGCGGCGTTCATATAAGCATTGCGTTACATTAGGCATTGTGACGAGGCTGACCGGCCTACCTATCCGAGAAGGTATTGAGATGGGAGGTCATACCATGTTTGTAATTCGATAATGATTGAAAGGGGTTGGATGTGAGTTGGATGCACGACAATTCAACACGTGATGTTGTCTCACCCATTTATTATCTCTCTGGGCGCTTGTGTTTTTTTGTGATATTTCTTCATTTGATACTCATTCTCGTTCTGATGATGTGTAACCATAACAGCTGAGGATCGATGCGACCCTAGAAAGGAGTTAAACGCGACGCCCAAAATCATCCTGAAACGCTGAGTTGACCTTTAGTACTCTCATGCTTGATTATTCTTCAACGATGGGTATTACATCATAAACTTTGATGTCCACAGAATCATTGCAGCTCGGCGAATGGCCGAATAATCACGGCGGCTGGCTAAAGGGACCGAGTAACACAAAACAGCCCTATACGACAGTGGTCGTATCCAGGACATTCCTCCCTGCCGTTTTACGAGATAATGTTGTCGTGTGGTGGATATCAGTCTCCCCTGTCTCTCTATCTCCGCACTTTCGTGTATTTCTTCAATACTCACGCAAAAATCGCAAAAATGCCCGAGCGACAGCAACGCCGTCATGCTTGTTGTTAACACGGCGCATACCGTCCTCGAAAACGTCTTCGCTGAGGATGCCGCCATACCGACGCATCTCAAGGATCTCGCGTACCATGTCGCCAGTGAATTCGGGGTGTCCTTGTACCGTAATTACCCGTTTCGGCACGTATATTGCTTGCACAGGACAAACATCCGTGCGGGCAAGCTGCACGGCACCGGGTGGTAGCGAGAACACTATATCACGGTGCATCTGGTGAATAGCCTGTGCGGGATGTGCATGTAAGTATTCTATCGATGCGATACCATGAAGGAAGAGGATAAGAGGATAAGAAAGGGGAGGGAATGGAGGGGGTGGCAAACCAGCTTTTCTATCCCGAATAGCTTCTTGCCTTCGTTAGTGAGCTCATGCTCAGTAACACTCAACTCCCAGCCCAGAACATTCTTGCCGACTTCGGCTCCCATGGCACGGCCGACAATCTGGTGGCCGAAACAGATGCCAACTACGCGAACACGGCCACCCTCGAGACATTGTCGGGTGTACTCTACTAACCGAACGATCCATTCGTCGTCCTCATAAGCAGAGTGCTTAGATCCACTGATGAGGATAGCATCGATCGTCTTGGGGTCTGGGTACGAATTGAGGTCATTGACGACATCATGGTATGACAGTTCTAGCAAGGACGAGAACGGTTGCGGAGGGTTCAGCGATGCGCATGCCCGTTCGAATAAGTGTGTGAAGACTCCGCCATAAGAGCCAAACTTGGCCTTGACACCAGGGACAGGAGTGTCAGCCTCGAGGATGGCGAGACGGACTGGTGGAATATATTCGGAACCCATGGTGACGGGTCTAGGATGGGTGATGAGAGATTAGGTCGATGAAAGAATAAAAAGAACACTAAGTTCTAGAGGAAATCAAGAAACGAAACGTGTCGAGGAAACAAAGAGTGGATAAAGCTAAAACACTCGAAGCTAGTGGACGTGGACTAAAGATAAAAGTGTGGAGGAGGGACGATGGAGAATGGAGCAATGAGCGGGAAGGAGTATGGAGAATGAAGATATAAACTTGGAACGGCTTCTCAACACTTTGAATTGCCTTAACCTTATATAGTATTTGCCTAGGTCCTAGGTAAATACTGTACCAAGGTATATACCAAGTATATATGTGTGTCAATGGTGACCGATTGCCTAATGAGTCGAATGGGATGAGTTGAGAATGAATCAAGATGATTAGGAGGTGAGTCCCTCCCCTATTCGGAGACAGTCAAAATAGAATCAAATGCGAGAGACCCCTCCTCGGCCCCTCAATAGCGGCATTCATTACCCCCAATGATGAATCGTGGTTGTTAGGTACATATGAATGCATGTGCTAGGTGCCAGGTGCCAGGTGCTAGGTGCTAGGTGATATGTAGGTGCTACTAGGTAGGTAGGTGCTAGGTCATGTACTATCCGTGTGTTAGGTGCGCAAGTGTGATAGGTGTCAAATATAGATACAGTATATTTGATATCCATACTAGGTACTAGATATTTTCGATTGTGTATTTTTTAAGCTCGCTTCCTCGCAACTATTAGGTTGCACCCAAGTAGCATACTTGCATATTTGTGCGTGCCAAGAAATAGCTCTAGTCTCTATTTGGTTCGGAGATAGAAGTGTGAACGCGGTGTAGGAGTGTGGGGGGGTGAAGGAAAATAATGAAAAAGATGAAAGTGATAAAAAGGAGGGGGGGGGAAGAGAGAGATCTGGACCATATGCAGTAATAGGATAATTAATCCGATTTACATGGTACCTTCTTTAAAGATTATCATATCATCGATAGGCAGAAACCTAAAGCGGTGAACTATTTCGTCATAGTTCTGGGGGGGCTTGAGCTGCTTGGGGTTACCCAGCTGGGGTCACGACTTCCTACATACCGGTAAAGTATCGGTGGGTAACACCAATGGGGAGTGCCGATGTGAGCAACTTGTGCCACCCGGTTCCACATGTACTTCATGTACCGCATGTACAACACGTACCGCATGTATTGCATGTACTCATCTTGCTGTAGGGCAGCTTCCCAGGTACGTAATGCGCCTCAATGAAACAGCACGCGCACCTTTTCAAGGTTGCGGCTCAGGTCAGAACGTGGCTGGAGAGCAACATGATTCGTCGATTCGTTAATAAATAACTATAAGTGGCTAGGTCTCACGTCTTAGGTTAGCATCATCATACATGTACCTGGTAATCATCTGGCTGGAAGTAAGGGATACCCGTACGATGCCCATCTCATCAACACTTTTCCGAGAACTAATCGTGTTTTTTTCAGGGCTTACAGCACGCATCTCAGCTCATAACATCTCGGAAATAAGAATTTGCACTTTCTGCACCGTCTATTTCTTACATCAACCCCCCCTCATCATCGTCCAGCCTCGTCTTCGGTCCGCACTTTAAAGCATTGGTTCAAATTCAACTCGTTCGACAGTGTAAGTATGACAAATCGAAATTATACTTCGCTGTGTGCGTGCCGTAAATCAATCAATGGCCTTGAAAGAACGGTTGGCAAATGTCCAATTCGTCAAAGGATTCGTGTTGCTGGCCTCGGCTGCTCGGAAGATACGTCGAGGCATTCTTCTTGCAAGGTCGTCTGAACTTGGGCAACTTTCCGCGAACATGGGAATCGCTTCCCAGTACGTATCCGCAGGGAAAGGTTCCACCGTGGTTGATATTTGGCCTAGTTGCCCCTGCAATGCTACGCCCATTCTGGGGAAGACGTGCTTGGACCTCGGGGTCTGCCTGTCACGGCGTTTGCTATTGGTGTGGGGGCAACACTTTAACTCGTTGCAGACGTCCTATTGCGAAGCAGGATATGCAGTAAGCAGCCATTATTGTGGCACCGCGGTAGTGCCACGTCGGATAGGTGTGTCTCTAGGTACCTTTTCGGTACCTGGTTTTGGAAGCTATTCAGACCTGTTCTCGAGCTGGGGAGATAATGCAAGGTAGATTGTTTCAATATCGATTCGGCCGTTATCGAAAAGGAATCAAGGGAATCCTTTTGCTCCAAATCTAGCAGTATGATCGCCGCCCATGCCAGCAAGCTGGTTGTCTAGGAAGTAGACCGGCATATGCACGTTAGATGCACGTTCCCGCGGGTCGCCATGCCGGGCGTCAAGGGCATGGAGGATTTCAAGTCTACTTCTCCAACTCGAAGATATACCACCACACTATAGTCCGACATAACCTAACACTCGGGAGCGACGTAACTCAAGAATTACCTAAGCTATTTTTTTCTAGTATAGTTCTTTTTTCGGCGTTATGTAAACTCCCTGAAAGCTTACCATGGTAGATCCCAACACTGATTGTCTTTATTCCACGATAAAGGGGTTTGTTGGTCAAAATTGTCAATAGTTCATAAAAGTCCACGAAAATCGGGCTTGGAATACGCTAATGCAATGTTCTGGATGGCTACATATGCTCTATACGGTATCTACAGAATTCGACGAGGGGTTATTAATGAAGTATCGATAGTCCGAGGTATCGAAATCCCGATCAATCTCGATGCTCGGAAGAATTTCATATTTTTGCAACTTTCAGCGACGTAGCCGCGTCTAAAGTCGAGCGGGAGCAGACTACGAGGTTTAGAAGGAGTAAGTGCTTACCATGGGTTGGTTGTAAAGCTGACCTTTCCAGGAAGAGCCGGACCACACTAACCCGTCGTGCATTGGGGTGAAGGAAGGGCATCTCGCGGTTGATCAAGGGCTGTGTAGAAGGGTGTTATGATATTAGAAATCAGCCAATCTAAAACTGACAGGTCGACGACGCGCCCTGCGAGGTGATAGTAGAGTTGCTTGTTTGAGCTCATTACATCGGCATTTTGCCCCTTATGAGGGAATAGATGGTCGAGTGGAAGGATGGTTCATTCACCGAACATTTTGAGTGAGTAGAATGGAGACTCCTCTCAATGCTAATGCCTTGCCTTCCATGCCACCCCCGGGACTTGAAGCGTGCCATCAGGTCTTGTTATCTCTTTCTCTCTCAGCTAGCTCCCAGCACATGATGTCAAAGTGGTTACCTACCGTATGCAGAAGGGGCGAAAATCATACCATCGTCAATAATTAACTACACAATTTTACGACATCGTCTTCTCGTGATCGTAATCTATTCTATCGTGTACAAAATATTATGATTTTGGTGGTGAAATAGCATCTCTTTGATATATTATGATATCACTAAGCGACATTTTTCAGTAAGAGCTGTCCACTGCAGGGAAAAACTATCTGACCTGATAGAGCTGTGTATTCAGTTAGGGGTAGGTAGGCTGTTACCATCTGATCGAAGACTCGCAAGCTTAGCATCTCCTTGTAAAATCTCCAAATTCAAAAATTGGGTGTCTAGATACCATACCGAATCCGAGCATATAATATAGAGGGACGGATGGTGTGTTTTTTGTGTTGTTTCTAATTTGCCGTGGACTTTAGATTATGATAAAAACGAAGAATTGTTACCTAATCGTGAACAAAAATGAATTATATTTTATTTCGGATATTAGAATGATTATTACACCAGTTTCTGGAGATTATCGATTAAATAATAAGGCATGGGATTTTGAGCTGATTGCTCTAGTATAGATAGGTCAGGGGTTTACTTATTGTAATCGCGGTAGTCCCCGACCCACTGAAGGCAGTCCACCGAGAAAGGTGAGAATAGGTGTGCTCCCCGGATCTAATATTCGGAATCTTTTTAAGAAAGAGTGCATACCTATCTAATTGCGTCCGAGATATTCACAGTTAAAGTTACAAGCCGTGCGCTGATGCTAATTGGCCATCGTCTTGCTTATTGTTTACTCCTGCATTGAGTCTTTAACTCCAATAACATGAAATTGATATTGATGTTGAACATATTTACAGAACCGCAAGCTGGGTGATTAATAATCGGAGACATACCATGGACATGGTAGGAATGTCACTGCCATGATATTGCTGGATAATCGCAAGCAGGTAGATGAGGTTGTACAAAGGCGAAAGCGACTACGTCCAATTAAACTTAGGTGTACCTTACTGGCTTCAAACGTGGGACTAAATCGATTCTCGAAGCCATCAAGGCCTCTTGGCGTATCCGGAAAGTCCCGCCACTTTGGGATATAATGGAATCTGTTGAGAAAACCGGGTTATTATCTGATAGGCACAGGGGTATTGACCAATCAACGTCTATATGCCGGCAATTCTGCCACTTATAAGGCGACATAAGTACATAATGTAGACTAAGATACGTATGTAGAAAAGGCAGAATGGCATTAAAATATATGCCGTGCGGTACTATGCATTAGATAATCATAAGACACAAAGGAGAGAAAAACTGCAACGAACAAGAATACCGGAAAGTTAAGCTTCTGACTTTCATGGTATTTGGAAATTGCACTGGGATGATGTTTCATCCATCTAGATCGAAACATGAGGTGTATTATGCAAGCAACTTGTTTTGACGCCATTCTGCGAACTTGGTTCACCTTACTAGCAGGGGAGTGTGAGGCGGTGAGACAATACAGTAGAAAGAGTATATTTAACACCGTATATACTGTCTCTATCGAGATAACAGTGATAAGGATACCTATCTTTGATAGACATGTGAGACTGTGAGACATGTGGCAAAAATCCATTGAAAGGTAATTGCCGTCATCTTTGAATTCAGCCAACCTTGAATCCTGAAGGTCATCGTAACTTCAATATTACTACATACTACCCGCAAAACAGAATCCAATATTTTAACAGAGTAAATTCATTAAAAAAACGCTATCCATTCGTGATATTGAAAATTTTTCGGCTCGCGAGCGCGTCATCGCTGTCTCGGAGCAAACCGGACGCGTTTAGGGAGTCGAGGACCAGCTATCGGCTGATCTGGCGTGGTCCCGTAACACCTGAGCCCGTTATTTTATCGGCCTTCACTCGGAAAGACGGTGGATCAACAACATCTGATTACATTAAGATCGTAGACCGACATTACATGAGTCTGGAATTGGGTTATTCATACGAGCGAAAAGGGTTGTTGGTCGACTTATTCCTTCTTCGGCTGGCGCGGCTTACATCAGATCCACTTAAACGATATCTCGAATATCCTGTTAGGGGTCCGCGAAGAATTCGGAATCTATATAAAGCCTATAGATGGTGCCGATGTCGTGTCTGGCTTTCTTGTTGAAGCCTCGACAACGTGCATTATACTTCTGTTGACCCTTTCTGTGTTATCTTTGCCACAACCCATGTTGCACGCCATGGCGCCCTCACAACTCTCGATAGATTCGCTCCCGAACGAGGTACGAGATAGCTTCACTTTATTGACTGAGGTAATATTAACATATATCTAAAAGATCATCATCAATGTCCTGAGTTCTTTCCCGACTCGCGACCTGTTGCCCCTTGCTGCTGTCTGCCGCCGCTTCCATGGACTTGTTGGCCGTGTACATTATTCCCGTCTCATAGAGGCTTCGAGGTTACAGGATCATGAGATGATCCTTGAGTGCTACCACCCAAGCGAAAAGCTCTCTACGCCTGAGCTGTTCTGCGAATACCTCGGAACGAACGGGCTTACGGAAGCTGGGGACGAGGCTAACCTCGGAGAGCTCAACAAGCTCTACACACGATTCCGGCCATTCCTTGGGGATGAGAAGCCCCAACCTCGAAGCCCTTGGCAAACGAAAGCCATCGAAGAAATATCTACACCTCGGTTGCCCACACACCAAATTTTCCTCGACTCCAGCGAACTATTCTCTCAGATGTGCACCGTAACCAACCTGGTTAAGGTCGGACCAAGGAACGGCCTCTTTACTAGCCTTGCCAATGTCACAGACAGCGTGGTCCGTGTATGGCGCGACTGGCTTAAGCGTGCAGCGGAAAACACAGCAGCAGGGACGCAACAGCAAGCGAACTCGGACATCGATGACCCATCCATTTTATGGACTGACTCGTCAAAGACCGTTGGGTTGAGATTCAAAGTCGTTGAGGATGAAAGCGTTCCTGCGCCCGTCCTCTTCGGCCGAGATGAAGATCCATCGGTCTCGTACACATTGGAGTATCAAGGTATGTAGATCGGCCCCTGATATCCTCGGTTATCCGGGTTTAGACTTACTAATTCGCCACAGAATTGCTTATAAAAGCAAACTGGCTGCTGCTCAGTTACGAGACATCTGAAGCTCAGCAAGTCACCCATGCAGGTAAAGCAGTCGTAATTGCATCCTTGTGAAATCCAAGGCGATTCGAAATTACAACCCGTAGAACCGATTATTCCGGGCCGGTTACCTACTATTCCAGATATTCCGCCTCATCCTATGTGATGAGAAGGTTGCTATCAATCTCATCGGAATACCCGAGCCATCCACGGTCTAGCTGAGACACGAGCTCACTCGCGACTCGAACCGCAAGACGACGGACCCAACAAAGCTGTTGAGCAAGTTCCATCAGTCCGGATGATAATTTCCGGCCTAGTGACCGAATGCCGAACGGCAGACAACCATTGCAAGCTGCGTTGGCTGGTTCCGGCTATTGCCATAACTTCCAAACACCCTTGATTGGGTGCATATCGCATTATGATTGAAGAACATTAACTCACATTTTTCTGGTTTAGGGGCTATTTACTTCCCAGGCAGTGGCATCATTCATCCATGCAATACCTTCTTGCCTTGCGCAATTCCATCGGCAAACCAGTTTCATTCGATGGCAACCACCTTTGTCATGTAGTCGTCACCGGGTAGTACGACTGGCGGATAGCGCCACCACGCAATATGATGAGATAGACGATAGACATGGTGTTCTGGAGTTATAAACGGATGAGGAGTGGGGACCTACCCAACATGGCCACAAATTGCGCCATCCAGTTATGGGTCTTGGTCTTCAAATGATAGGGTACATGCATCGCATGTTAACGACGGACTGGATAGAGGTGGGAACCTTTCTTCAAAGACAGGATTTTAGAATTAGAAAATCCATTATAATGTAATAGACTACAGATTATTCCCATAACTCGCAGATACGTTGTGCAACTTCGGCATAAGTTACGAAGCCACTATCACAAAAAACGCGCAACCCCTTCAAGACAGGAGAAACCGAGATACCCATCTCTTTAACAACATCTTACACTTTCCGTAATGACTTGGAGTGAGTACCTAGATGGCTTCTCGTGTTGAATTTTATTGGCTCACATTTCCAACATTTTTTCTTTGATTCCCGGGCTGTGTGATCTGCGTTCGTTGCCATTCATGCTCTAATCTATAATCTACGATAATGAATCTCACCGCTTGCTTGTACATAAGCTGTGGCTGTCTCAGACCAAGTCATCTTAGGGCCGTGCGCGACGTTAGGTCTAAGGTCTCGACGAGTCCACCTATCGGAGCGTCGCCGTCGTCGAGTCATAGCATTATCCGGTTCTGTCCGGTGCCGTCCGGAGCTGACTGCATCGTTCCTGCATGGACCACGGACTAGGCACGCATATAGCATTGCAGATAGATACATACGATTGTAAGTAGAGGTTACCTTGGCGATCTCAACCTCCGACGAGATCCCGAGGTCTCCAGTCATACTCTATTAATTCTCCGAAGGATCTACAAGCTGAATGTCAGCATCTGAGGCATCTGAAAATTCTCAGCTTCATGTTAATAGCAGTTTAGGATATTATCAGCGATCAGATAGACATATGCCATTATAATAGGTTTCTAGTAGTCCTAGAATCCATCCTTACAGTATTACCCTCAATATTTTTCAGCTAGTAAGATTTAACACTGTAGTAATGCGTATGACACTTACCTCACCAACCTGACCGTCTCGAGGTATTTATCAAAGGTGTAAGTGTATTGACTTAACAGAGGGAATATGACGGGAGAGGAGGCGAGGGTGCGTATAAAAGAATGATATATCATATTGTCGAGAATATTGAGTTAGCAACACTTGATTCGCTCCGTGATAGTCGATACTTGTCTTCAGCGTTACAACGCGGGATGATCCGCGACACACCCCCTGCATCAGGCGAGTTTCAATAGTCTGGTCCAAGCGTAATTCGGAATGAGCCGAGTTCCAAGAGGTTTCTGGTTTTTCTCTTATCGTTATCCTACGACTCTCACGAGATGCTCGATCTGCTGGATCGAATAACCAAGGTCCAGATCATACGCCACGCCATTCCGTATTTCCGAAAAAGATCCATTTGCTTAGAGAGCCGCAAGTGATATGTCGAGCCTTAGCCTCGGTAATTGCTGACCGGCTGACCGGTTGACTGGAACAATGTCTCTTATCTAGAGGCTCCACGAAATACCGTACGAACCTCACCGTAAACTGTGACGATGATGATGGAGGATGTGCGGCTTTTTGCTCGATCTCCTCGAGCTGCACAATTCGTCAGCCACCGAGTCATGACTACCAAAGCTCAGGAGTCAGGCTACCTTGTATTGTTTCGTGGGCGCATTCGACCCGGCACAATTTTGAGATACAGCGAATAAAATCCTTGTTCACAATTGCTAGCGTCCGTGATGATCCATGAAGAGGAGGACGATCTCACGCACGAATTGTCCGTGCGACCCTGTCGCGGATGGAGACAGAGCTTAGTCCTCGATCGCAACTGATGAATTCTCTTCATCTGCGTTTTCAACTACATTTTGAAGGTTTGTCGCTCTTACATCAATTTTCTTATACACTTTCGCTTCATCGAAGTTGATCTTCGCGGGCCTGGCTGCCCTTTCTTTAAGTATTTCTTGATTGTATTAGCTACGTTCTTTTTTTATACATTCATTAATTGTGATTTGCCCGTCGACGACGCGATTGAGGGTCTTTTAAAGCGTAAAGGAATAATTACTAGGTGAAGATTGATCGCCGGAGAGTGGGGTAAAAGGACTGGAATCGATCATCATGGAACGACACGAGTCGACGTCGGAGTCGATGACAGAATCGATGATGGAGATATCCGAGGCAGAAAAGAGTTTTCCTATACCACCAAGAATGATACCAAGAACAACCGCAAATGTCCGAAAGACTCTTCCTCCGTTACCTCCGCCAACGCCCTTACCGATCCCAGACTCGAGTGTGCAAGAAGAGAAAGACGTAAATATAAATGTGGAGGTGAACGCGAACCGGGTGTCATCCACTACGAATACCCTCGAGTCGTTATTGACGGCGTTAGGAGGCAATGAGAGAAACGTCAGACTGACACTAGGGTCGCCGGAGATGGAAGAGAAACCCCCAAGGCCGATAACGAAAGACTGGCCGAGACCAGGGACTGCGGCTACCACCGCTACGATGGCAACCACGGCAACGGGGGCGTCATATTCAACCACAACTTCACAACGGACTATCAAGTACGGCACGGGAAAATATGCGAAAGTCGAACTATCTCCACAACCCAGCGAAGACCCCGAAGATCCTCTGAATTGGCCGCTATGGAAGAAGCATTTAAATTTAGGCGCGCTCCTTTCTATGGTCGCACTTGTCGGGGTAATGAAGACGGCGTATATCAGCGTGAACAGCGTAATCGCGATCGAGGAAACTGTATCATATACAGCAGCGGTCGCCCTAACCGCCGTGCCGTTAATGGTGTCTGCGATAACTGGGATGGCATCTTTAATAATAGCGAGGATATGGGGTAAAAGGCCCGTATATCTGGCGTCAATGGTAATGATATTCATTGGAGTGGTTTGGAACACTCACGTAAGGGGATGTTTGGCGCAGAACATGGTCGCGAGGATATTCCAGGGAATGGGATGGGGCGCATTCGATACTTTGGTCTTGGGCTCGATCCAGGACACCTATTTTGTTGGTACTCCTACCGAATTACTCTCTGAAACTCATGCTAATTGTCACAGGAACATGAACGTCATCTCATGATCATAATTCACTATACTGTCTCAATCGCTACTATGCTAGGTTCTCCATTACTTGGCGGCACTGCGTCAGCTAGCGCAAGGGGTTTCGAAGTTCAATTCGAGATCATGAGTGCATTCCTATCGCTTTCGATTCTACTGCTAGTCTTTGGAGCCCCTGAGACAGCTTACAACCGTACAGTGGAGGAAATACAACCACCAACCATCGAACGTTCTCAGGCTCTCTGGCCAACCGTGACGTACACGAAAGAAGCCGCTATTGAATATGTCACCAAGATGAAGCCTTGGTCATATCAAGCAAACGAAATCAACTTATCTCTAATCTTACAAGCACCCCGAGCCATGGTTGCACCGACCACCGGACTCCTTTTCACCGTCACACTTCTCCCCTACGCCGGTTTCTGGAGTCTAGCAAGCTCGCTCTCCCTACTCTTCTCTCCCCTCCCCTTCATGCTGCCTTCAGCACCCCTCGGCACTCTCATGACAGGACCATTCCTCCTCGCAACCCCTGTAGCCGTAGCGCTCGCCTCATCCATGTTCCAAATACGCTTCACACACACCGTCCATCTGACAGCTCTTACCGTCGGCACCGGCATCGCCTCAATCGGCATGCTCGGATTCGGTCTGTACCTCGCGGGGTCAATGGAGATGCCAACAGACGGCTCCGCCAAACCGTTCAGCACGCCGTGGGATCTGGGATTAAACCGGATCAGCCTGCCCGTCGCGTCATTCCTGCTCGGTCTCCTAGCAGCAGGGTCTTTGGCATTAGACGCCACCATCCGGCCGATCATCCAACAGTCTACGGCATTTACCTCGGCCAATCTCGCAGTCGGTCTGCGCAATACGGCGGATATGCACGGTGGTCTGACATGTCTGCGGAGTTTCGTCGTCGGCGCTTTTATCCTCGGCTTGCCTAATGCGATTTTCATGTGGGATGGCCTGAAGGCGGCGACGCTGGGGATAGGGATCACGCAGATCGTTGTCACGGCGGCGGCGTGTGCGGTTTACTGGTACTGGGATGAGAATGTGCGACGCCTTGATGGGCGTGTGATGGGGCTTATTGACTTGTCTAGCTTGAAGAGGACGGCGAGTTTCTTTGATGAGTCGGATTGAAGGGTTTCTTATGCCTTAGTGGTAGGTATAGAGAAATGGGAAGTTTGGGGAGGTCGATCCGTGGTGTTATTCGACACTAATGTTGGGGCAAAGGTGGATATTATGAGATTCAGAACCTGATATAAGTGTGTAATGGATAATGCAAATACAACTTATTGTTTTAAAGATACCTTTTAGACGCATAATAGCCTAGGAGCTTCAAACTTGCAGCGCACCTTGTCTTGTAATCGACATCAAACGATAGTAACAGTGTATACCAGATCCTTCAACCTTTCATCCTCAAGGTTGAAATCTTTCTGTGCAATAGGTGTCCACCCATAAGTATGGTTCATGATGGGTTCCAGTCCTAGTTTCCTTCTAATTACGTAGCCGAGGTCAAACTTTCCTGAAGCAAGATGCTGGGTACCAAATACGCCTAATCTGCGGTATTTTTCCTCCTGTCCACGTAATCTTTCCAAAACCAAACCTTCCTTCCAATGAGATCTATCACCATCCAACACAAACATAAATAGTAAAGACTGAGCCCGTTCTTTCTTCAGTCTATACCATCCCTCTGGGTCATACAGCTTAGAGGCCACGTTCTCGTCCCACCAAATAACAACAATGATAGGTCTCGTCCAAGTATCGTTTATAACTTTCGCGTGATTAACAATTTCCAGCCTGTACATTGAGCCTGGACTCCTAAAGTCCATTATTCGTGTAGCGACAGCCCGTATCGCAATTCCACGTAGCTCCAACGTACCTGATACAAAGCTATGCATATTATCAGAACTACCAGCTTCGATAGATGCCTTCAAAATTCTGATTAGAGGAGGGCACGAGGGGCCATACCGACTCCGAGTATATTCCTGAATATGCTGATAACCATACTTAGTATCATATCGTACAGGTCCATCTAAGCTCATCCAAGACCAAGTCGGAGCAATATAGGGCGAGTGTTTGAGTGGAAAATGCTGGCTCGGTTCGCGGCTTTCCCAAAGCAATTGCTTTTCGATGTCTTCCTCCCATAGTCCAGCGAGGTACGTGTAACCAGTAGCAGCCTTCATCTCACTGGCCAGCCCAGCAAGAGCCACTGTCTTGTCTGATGGCTTTGTAAGGTCACACATAGAGTATGATTCGACCACTTTAGACCAGATAAAACGAAGTTGGCTTCTTCCCACAGGATTCAAGCTCGGTTTTGCCGAAGCCATCGACTCTTGGTATGGATCCTGCATCTGTTTTGGAATACCTTTAGGGAAGTCTTCCGAAGCGCTGAGCTCTAGACATTCCCAGTAAACTTGGCTTTTGGCGAAGCTCAGCTGTTTCCTCGCTAGATACCGCTCTTGGATCACCCAGCCCCGCCTATTAAGGGGTGCCTCTATAACCTCAGATTTATATATATCTTCATCAGTTACCAGATATTCTTCTGGTCCATGATCTCCATCCATCTTGATCCTTGTACTAACATCAGACTTCAGACATGATCGTTCAGGATTAAAACACCCATCAGTGCCATCAGTACCCCACGAGGCCGCGATATTACAGCAGGCATTATGATAAATCTGTCCCATTAACGAAGCTTGATTTTTCCAGTCATCGGGATCATCTTGAATGATGCATATAGAATCTATCCAGATATATGGGACTCCCAACGACAATGCAACCCTTATAGCATCACGGTAGGTTTGGGGGAGGATAGACTCCGGTTGCTTCTCTCGAAACGGCGCGACTTTGTCCTTGATGAGTTTTATATGCTCAGACTCTCCCCAGCAGTGGCTCAGAGTTACGTATCTCGTAGTGTTGATATCTAAGCCAGACACTAGCCTCCAGTGGAGCGTATCGCCAGTATCAAGTATCTCAATTAATCTGGATGGGAGAAAATGTTGCAGTCCTAATTCCTTCTCACGGCAAACAGGGTGGGACTCAGAACAGGTGCGAAACCAGTAACGCCACAGATCTATCGCATCAGCTGTTGAAGTGCTCTGAGGCGTGATGCTAGGTATAGTAGGATCGATTTGTGGTGAAGAGAATACGAGTTGGGGCATTTTGATGTTTGCAAAGACACCTCCCTGTGCGTCATAGGGCAACGAGTATCGCACACTACAGGAGTCACCATAATGGTACGCTTTATACCCGATCAATCTGGCGTTATGATCAACAGTTAATAGAGCGTTCTCGAGCCATGTTTCGCCATCCTCGTACTGGCGTCCGATGTGCACTAAAATTCGTTTGCAGACGACACAGCCTTCTAGAACCGAATTTTTCAATTCGTGCAGCGATTGATGGCGAGTATTGTTTTCATAATCTGGAGCTGGACAATAACTAAAAAGGGGGATACATTTGATTAATGCTGTACAGATTGCACAGAGCATTGCGATATCATAGGTACGACGTGGCTAAAATGAGACAAGTTACTTGTCTCCTCAGGAAAATATAGGAAATATATATGTCTACCTACCTGCCCACCTGCCCTAGGTATTATTGAGTTTTTCTGTTGAGGTAAATGGTACGTGGAGGCAGCAGGCTATGAGGATTGGTGGCTGGCGTATGCACCTTAGTCTATTTAGGTGCAATCGATGTGCTGGCTGCATATGATAAGAGGTTTTCAGCTGGCCACAATACCTCCGACACGCCATCATCCAATGATCTCCATTTTCCGTAGCCTTATGAGGCATCCGCTCCTAATTATGTTAATATTAAAACGCCAATATGTACCTAGGTACATGCAACCCGCCCAGGTAGGTAGGTAGGTACAAAGTAGGCTGATTTTCGTTAGGCACTGCTCCTTTTCCTCGGCGACAAGGGCGAGGAGAGGTGCCAATAGCTAGTGCCATTAGTAATCATATTAATGGTCAATTGGGAATAGAAACGAGTGTGCCTAGGCAAGAATGAACTAAAAATAGTCTTTTTTAAAAAAAAAGAATAAAAAATAAAAGAGGGTGAGAGTGTGGTTGAATGAAAAAAAAAGAGTTGAGACGGCCGCCGAGGGAATCGAACCCTCAAGCGAGTATTCACCACTGATCCCAGAGCTATAGCAATGGGTCGATTATAAACACTGCCATGCCACACCGGCCATTAGGTCTAATCTAGGAATAGATTCTTAGAAAACCAGAACCTTCTTATGATTTATATGCCTTCCGTTACTAGGTAAGTACCTACCTACTTCGCTGCATGTAGTCTTTATAGATTCGTAGGTAAAATAGTGGTGTCTAACCACCCATTAAAAGAATGACCAACATGTACCTACCCTTTACTCCGATATCTCTAGAATTTCGACCTCTTCAGCCACAGTTTAATAAAACCACGTCTTTATGAAATGATATTGGGCTCGTATTAGTGAGCCGATTTCTTATTGCCTCGATCCAAGGACTTACACAACTTTTTGGGTACATAGGTACAAGGCTTATGATAGTCCCTTGCAAACGAAGACCTGATCCTATTTGAAAATTTATACATCTGTAAGTCACTATCATTATATCGCTGCTGGCAGAGCTGATAACATACCTAGCCCGTGGATTTCCTCAAGAAATTATGAAAGGATAATGTTAAGTCCAAAAATATGAAGTTCTAAGGATTTCTATAATGTCAAGTAGTGCTTGGCTTGTTAATTGTTATAATAGATTATCGTATCACTTACGAATGAAGCCAAATAAAGGAGATATTAAAACACCTACCTATACTTGCCCCAATTAACAATGATACCTACTAAGTAATTATATTGATGCTAGATGTTGATTTCGACGTATATGTGCGTTATAACGTTATTAGCTATGTTTTGTCCCCTCTCGAGTTCAGGCAGCTGCTGATACCCGGATGCTATCAAGTTTAACATACCTAGTAGCTACGTGGAACAGCTCATGTGTTATAGTATAACGAGCAAGCACTCGAAGCTACCTACTAATATGATATCAAATGTCTATAATGAATGTCTACCTAGGTAGGTAGATGTCCAAGAATAGGGTTATAACCCCTAAGTAGAAACATAGACAGTACCTACCCAGAACAATGAAGACGGCGCCCCTTCGACGATGGGATACTACTACGGGCTGGGCAGCAAATACCGTCTAGAATATCTCTAATGGAACCTCACAAGATATTCAGTATACCAGCAATTAGAGCCCATCTTAGGGTACTAGATAGTGATGCCTTTCGCATTCAACATACGCGTGTCCATCACGCAATTTTCCCATCATTCCTCACCACTTCCACCATTCACCTCGCGCATTTGCAGCTGCATAATCCTCTCCCTACACGCTTTGCAGATTTGCCGTAAGTTCTTGAAAATATCGCGACTATACCTACCTAGTACATTCATGTTTGGGGTCGGATTTGAATTGATTTACTTACGAGAAAGAATCACTAGGATCGTGTTGCAGTTCGACAAGATGGCTCCGCCGCATTGGCCCAAGCCTATGAAGGGTGATTTCATTCGAAGCGTCGCCGCTCACGGACAATTAACCTTCCCGACTGTGAGATGCCGACTCGGCGAGGTTAAAAAATGGGATGCAGTAGTTGAAGACATGGACAACAAGGGCTATAAACGTCTCCCTACACGAGCCTATCGGTAAGTTTATATATCTCGTGTACCCCTATAGATATTCTCACTCATACTAATTTTTTCTCAGCGAGATGTGGATGCGACTGTGCACTCGCAAGCCCCAATCACGAACAACCAAGCTATACGTGAAGCGTACGAACAATATGCTTATGGTTGAAGAACGACATGGGCTGGAAACGACCGAGAACTTCGAAGCCACTGTCGACGATGGCTGTCACTTCGACTCTTCGTACTTTGACGAAGACAAGTTCACAGCTAAGATGACAAGACTCAGCAAGCAAGATCGCATCAACGCCGCAATGAAGATGGCGGAGAAGATGGAGATCCTACGTCGAGTCATGGAGAAGGAAGATGGTTCGGAATGTGTCTCACAAGCTGTACGAAACTTGGGAACCAGAGACTAGAGGCCTCATGCTGTCGCTGATAGAAGCTGACAGAAGCTGATAGAAGACGGGCAGCATTGGCCAATTGGATTAGATCCCGTCTCTAGCATCTGCAGCATCTTCAGCATCTTCAGCACAGTCTTTGGTCTCGTCGAACTGTGTGTTGTAAGATGGATGGATAGTTCAAGTGCTTCAGCTACAGGGCTTACTGAAGCAGGAATCTGATCCTACTGGTCATTGCAGGTGGTAACTTAAGTTACCTATATAATTCACAACAATTAACTCCACTGCCCCCCTGTTCGTTAGATCTTCATAGGTGATCGATAATTGGTAGGTGCCTAGCATACTCCAAAGTTTACGGGGATTTGGGAGGGTATGACCCACCACCTGTGCCTGCTATGTCTGCGCGCCAGGGGTCTTCCCGCTGCGGGGACGGGCATTAACCCCTACTATCTTGATTCACAAATGCAGTGCTACGTCATATTCGGGAAGGTTTAGGGCTAGATTTTTATATCCGTGAGATCCGTAGATACGGATGATATCTCATAGGGCTAAAGATTAGAATGCGACTTGTAAGGGGCGGAAATGCCTTAAAAGAAATTTAGCTTAAAAGCAAAAGACGTGTAGAAAATTATACGTACTGTTCCAGTTGATAGAAATCCTACGCTACTGGCTAGGTACTATGTATGAACAAAGGAGGTTGGTACCTATCACCTACCTGGTAAGTACCTAGAATTTGCTTTTTGATACTACATAGATGTACCTATTTACACTATCTGATGTGGATATGGATGTCCGTAAACGGATTAAGCAGGCTCGGACTGTTCTACGAACCCTGCCCGGCTAAAAAAAAGTAATGCACGTGGTTACGCGAGCCTGCGCGTCAATCTTCAGGAGGTCTGTACGAACCGACCTACCGGTTCCCATTCGCCTGGGATTATTGTTACATTTGCTTCCTAAATTTTCGTTTGTACCCAAGCAACCGCCAGGCAAACGGAGGTGATCTCAAGCCTTGCGAAACTTACGGTGGTATGCATCTCCCTCCTCCAGTAGAATTGGTTTGCACCTGCAGCATAGTCTGATGAAGGCAATTTCAGCCTAACATTCAACCTTAGAGACCTTAAAGTGATAATTTCCAATAGGCGTCAGAGGCGCAGTTTAGTGTTGCCACGGCAGCATCGAGCCTGCCTCTTCAGCTACGTTTGCTGAACCCGGCGAACTTGCCTTCCAGTACACATTGTACATATTGTACAATACAGTGCCTACTGCCGTGCCTACCGCCGTGCCTACCTAGTACCGCCGTGTTTATAGCCATACCTGCCGTACCTACAGTCGTGCATACCACGCTGACCGTGCCTTCCTCTAGGCAACTACCTAGGAAAAAAAAACTCAAAATATCACGCCGTTACAATATAAATTCACAATGCCACCACTCTTTTCTTCCTCTTCAACCCGAGATTCGTTGGACAACCAACGTTCACAAAACCTCAAACGTGAACATTCTTCACATTCCCACTCTTCTACACCCACCCCATTTACTAACCACCCACAACTTGATTTTCCTGATGATAAGAGTCTTCTCGGGATTGATCGCCGATCTGTGATAGATCAAGACTTGCACGAAAAGGATAAGAGAGAAGCACTTCTGCGCGAAGAATATTTGCGAGTACAACAAAAACAAGAAGTGCGCCGCGAAAAGGAGCGAGTCCGAGAATTATCGCGCCGACAAAGTTTCATTCAAACACACCACGACAAGCCACTACAACAAAATCCTCATGGTGTTCCTCAATACAATCTGACACATCGGCAACATCACAGACACCAACACCAACAACCACTTCAGCCGAAGCAACAGTTTCAACCCCCGAGAATAAAAAGAGAAGCATCTGAAGTTGAACCTATTCTCAGATTTGCAAGAGCTATCCGGGTAAGATTTAGTATTTGCGTTTACTGGCACAATAACTGCGACATCGAAAATTTTTGATATGCTGACTGTGCGCCCACGTAGGACCGTTTTCCTGGCAGACCTCAGTTTGCCCAGGAATTCTTGCTCATGATGGGGTCCGATAGACCCGCCGAGGATTTCCTCCCCGATGTTTCTGACATGTTGCGACGTGCGCCTGAGCTTGTCTCGGAATATCAGACATCGATGAGTGCTTTTGATCAAAGCCGAGCCGAGCAGGTTGAGCAGCCTGATCAGGCTCGACAGCCTCACCAGCCTTATGTACCTAAGCTACCTCAGCTTCAGCCAGACCAAGTTCTGCGCTATCCACACCGACCCTCCGATGCTCACCCGCCGACTCCTGTTAGTGGAAATAGCGATGACCATTATGAAGACGAAGATGACGATCAGGTTGATGAAGATGATGAAGATGATCGTCCTGATTTTGCGCACGATGCATCGCCTATGGAAGCTCCACGGGCGCAGGAGCGCCAGGCTGTGCAACAACTCTTGCACCTGCCCGAGATTGATATCCGCCCGGAGCAACGAAAGGCCACGCCTGTTGCCATGTCTTGTACGCTAATGGACCACCAAAAGGTTGGTCTTACCTGGTTGATGGAACAGGAAGATGATCCGAACAAGAGAGGCGGTATCCTAGCAGGTATTTTTAAATCATCTAACTTACCTTGACTATGACAAGAGATGCTAACCGCTTAACAAGATACCATGGGTTTGGGAAAGACCATTCAATCACTTGCCTTGATCTTAGCGCACCCACCCACGCACCCTGCCCGCAAGACCACGCTTATCGTCGCCCCGCTTGCCCTACTGAGACAATGGGAGCGGGAAATTGAGTCGAAGGTGAAGCCCGCGTACAGACTCAAGACCCTCTTATATCATGGCCCCGAAAAACGTGGAGTCACGGTCGCTAAGCTCCTCGCTTACGACATTGTGCTGACCACCTATGGGACAATTACTTGGGAATTCAAAGCCATCGACGAGGGCAAGAAGACGAAGAAGCCCGTTATCCTCAGCGAACATGCTTTCTTCCATCGAGTCATTCTTGACGAAGCCCATCACATCAAGACTAGAACGGGAAAGTCTTCTCAGGGTACAAATAAGATTAAGGCGACGTACCGGCTCTGCATGACGGGTACTCCATTCATGAACAAGGTGAAAGAAATCTATGCTCTCATACGTTTTCTTAAGATCAAACCTTACGACGAATGGATCCGATTCAACTGGGATATCAATAAACCAATTGAGAATTGGGGCGGCGATGCTGGCGATAGGGCCATGAGAAAACTTCAAACCCTCTTCAGAAGCATCACCCTGAGACGGACCAAGGGAAGCGTGCTTGATGGCAAGCCAATCCTTCGATTACCTTCTCTTTTTAGAGAGGATGCCATGACCCAGTTCAACGAGGACCAGAAGGCCTTCTATACTGCTCTCGAACTTAAGCAGCAACTCGAGGTGAACCGATTTCTGAAGAAGGGAATGATCATGAGGCAGTACACTTACATACTGGTGTTGCTCCTCCGTCTACGCCAAGCTTGCTGCCATCCGCACCTCATTAGGGACTTCGGCATCCCAGAGGGTATACAACTTTCGGCGGATGACATGTGCAAGCTTGCTTCCAAGCTTAGAAAATCAATTGTCGAAAAGCTCAAGGGCCAAGAGGAATTCCAATGCCCACTCTGTCATTCAACAACTAAGAACCCGCTTATCATATACCCCTGTGGCCACCCGGTGTGCAGCACATGCTTTTCCGCTATGACAGAAGTTAAGGGTCCAGATACCCAAGAAGAGTTCCCATGCCCCCAGCAAGGCTGCGCATTGAAGATGAAACCCGATAAGGTTATATGCTACTGCTATTTCCTGGAGATTCACATGCCCCAGAAACTTCGAGCGGGCGCCGAAGATGATTCGGACGACGATTCGGATGATGACTCGGATTACGACTCATACTATGATGACGAGGACGATATTGATGATCGTGGAAACCTCAAAGATTTCATTGTATCTGGTAGTGAAGACGAGGATGAGGATGAGGAGGAAGATGACGAAGGCGATGCTGATGAGTCTGAGCATTCCGAACTAGATGATGACTCGCTTAAAGCTGTAAAGCCTGAACACCGCTCGGAGTCAAATCATGAGGAAGTTACCAAGAAAGAAAAGACGGATGAGAAGATTCCCGTAAAAGAGGGATCGGCGGAGAAGGGGGGTGCGGACGACTCCGACGCTGAGTCCCTGGCGTCTCTGACGACAATCTGGAACCGAAAACGACTTGCATCGACGAAGTCTAAAGATGATCCCGCGGAGTCTAGCAAGCGTAAGATCACGCCTGATTCAGAATCAGACTCGGATGCGCGAGAGTGGAAGCCGAAGCGCTCTCATGGTAAGCGAAAGCGGACTAACAACGAGTCCGTGGGATCGAGAAAGAAAAGCAAAGGAATTGGCGGAGTTGGCGAGAAGCGGCGTACGAGAAAGAACAAATTCATGTCATTGGCGGCCCTCAAGAAGGCCAGCTCTAGTAATGCAGCTGCGAAAGCCAAGTACCTTAAAAAGCTCAGGAAGGATTGGGTTCCAAGCGCTAAGACCGACAAGACATTGGAGATATTGCGCTCTATCAGAGAGAAGAACCCCAAGGAGAAGACTCTGATCTTCTCACTGTGGACGTCTTTCCTCGACCTGCTTGAGATCCCCGTAATCGATGACGGATTCAAATATGTGCGCTACGACGGAAGCATGGATCATAAAGAGCGAGACGAAGCTGTCAAGAAGTTTATGACTTCGCCTGACGTCCAGATCATGCTGGTTAGTCTGTCAGCTGGCAACGCAGGTTTGAACCTTGCCGCGGCGACCCATGTGATTATCATTGAACCGTTCTGGAACCCGTTCGTTGAGGAACAAGCCATCGACCGAGCTCACCGTATCGGTCAGAAGAACGAGGTTACGGTTCACCGCATCCTGATTGAAGGAACTGTCGAGGACCGCATCCGCGAACTACAGGAAAAGAAACGTACGCTTGTCAATGCAGCCTTAAGTGAAGAAGGCGCCCAAGGCGTTGGACGATTGACCATTGCGGAACTGAAGGGTTTATTCGGTATTCACTGATCTAACTTGAACCGGTCCCATAATAGATGAGTTGCGTGAACTCCAGAGGATGTTCTCACTCACCTTGACCCTGTTATCAGCTCTTGATATGGGTCTTTACGACTAAAGGAGGAAAATGAGAAAATCAAAATTCTCGATCACCTGGTTTGGTTCGATCTCGCTTTTAGATGGGTACGTTGGCTGCGTGAAGGAAGGAGTCTGCTGGCGGGATTGTGCTTGATACTTGGTGCTGGTATGCCCCTCAGGTTTGCAAATGTTACGTAGCTTGGCAACAAGGTAGCTTTTGATGTGCGCTTAATAACGATTGATTTATGAAAACTCACTATGGTTTGGAGAATGCTTCTGTGATATTAATAATTTGAGGAGCCGCACGCTCTTCATACCTTCCACTTAAATTAGCTGTGTGATGATTATGGGGCACTGATATCGAGTCGCCTACCGCCACGGACGACTGGGGCGTCGGCATGGTGCCGAGTTCCGGTATCGCGATGGTATATTCGGTCTACGTATGGTCGAGGAAATACATGTGCTCATGTCCGAATCAGGATTCACGGGCATCCGGGGATTTCTAGTTCCACGTAGTCGATCCCGTATCCCACCCTGTCAATTGCAATATGGATAAATGGGCTCGCTATTTCTGGATGCTGGTCTCCCACGTCCCGGATAATTAATGAGGGCGTCGATCGAGTACCTAGGTAGGTATTTTTAGAAGCTACAAGACCGACTCAAGAATGGCCATACATCTAGGATCGTTGGACGAGGAATGCCAAGTCAGGCCAGGGAACTGTAGTGAAGTTGTCTCAAGGGTAGAACTTGTGGGCTATTTCGTTTCGAGGATTCGCGATGTTCTAGTTTGAATAAACCGTAATTTTTCACCAACGTTCTTGACAATCGGATGAGATGATATCTTGTCATCCCAACTGGCCCCATAACTTTAAACCAACATATCAAATGTAGGTTCGACAGCCCTTACTTAGGTCCAAACTACCTATTACATGTCATCTATTAGCGATTCTCCGGATAATCATAAACAAGCTAGACTGCCAGGACATCTCGTATACATAGGAATATGGATATTAACTTAGCCAACCACTCGGTACGTCCTATCTCCATGCGGTTGTGTTACATCCGGCCACATCTCGCTCACCAAGGCCCTCTCGGCCGCAAGCGGTAGTCGGTAAGGACCCGGGAGGTCGAGACCGGGCTCGCGGGTACGCTGCGATATATATATCTGTCTTACTACCCATGCTGGTGGCAAACGCAGAAAAATAGATGACAAGGTGCCAATATCGAATACTCCCTTGCTCTACTAGATAAGTCAACGACGCGGCCGATCATCTTCTCGGTCTGACGTTTCCTCTTCTCTTCCTCGCTGCATCGTAGACTTTTCCCGCGAAAACCCCTTGCGTGACGTCCGATAAGAAATCGAGATTTATACCCGCGAGCTAGGATATTCCACACCGCATTGCAAGATGAAGGTTCGTTCGCTCGTTCAAAACCCCTACTTCCATCCCCCCATATCTACTTACCTTATCACCCCGACTCCAACCTCAAAACCAACTTCACCTACCTAGGTACCTAGCTAACCCACGCCCACCCCGCAGCTCCCACAATCCCTCCTCCTAGCCCTGCAATACACCACAACCGCACTCGTCCTAGCAGCACCCGTAACCGTGTCCACGGCCGCAGAAGAAGCGCCCGCGTCGTGGCGCCTGGACTGCGGGTCCCCCGGGATCACGGCGATGTGCTCGGCGAGCAACAACGGCGCGCACTGCGACCCGGTTTCTGGCGACTTGACGATTATCCTCGCGGGCACGTGCGGTGCGTGTAAGTGTGTGAGCGAGGGGCAGTGTTCGAGGGGGTGTGGGAAGGAGGTGGAGGATGAGTGATGTGTGGTGGTGGATGGAATTGTGATGGTGGTGATGGTGCTGGTGATGCGTAGGTGATAGATGGATAGGTGGTGGTGGCGGGGAGGGGCGGAGGGGAGGGGTTAGGCAGATTAGGGGGCGCGGGTTACTACACTCTTTAGCTGTGCTGTGCTGGTGGCGGATGTTGAATGAAGCGAAAATGCTGTATGGATAGATGTGCCCTTGGAGTGATTGATGAATTTGGAATATACGGCGCTGGATAACGGGTTTATAATCGGACAAGACGGAAGGGAAAGATCGCGGAATGTATTCGAATTATACACATGCTACCTAAACATCCTTCTGCGATATTTCGACTCGGGCATATGGCTCCTTTGTACTAATCTGTGTAGATGAGGAGCCTCGCCAGGAATTAAGCATTGCGACAATGAAGATAAATGAGAAGTGTTCACCTCGTGAGGCGGTATTGCACTTGATAACACGAACATTTGAAGAAGATGGCCTGATCAGGTATGGTTACAGAACTATAATGCCCTGTAGCAACCCGGAAGGCTGGTAAGTTCTTAGGGCTACGCTTAAAAAGAGACGATTGGCCAAACCCCAGGGGTTCGTTGACGCTAGCGATTGATTAATGCACTGTAAATCCCGAAATGGAAAAGCTAGCGGGATCAACGCCCTATCGATAAGCAGTGCAACCTTTTGACGCATGAGCGTTGGATAAATCAACAATTCCGACAATTCACAACTCCACCATCTTACACCTATTTATTCTGGCAGTACGGGAAGTCGTTCGACTAATTGTAGGTTTCAATACCTACGTGGAAGTCCTACCCATCGATACGTATGGCAAACTAGGAAACCCTTTCCATTAAACATCGTCAACAATGCCGCGATGTCGCTTCAGCAAACCAACTCGTCGGCGGCACGATCACGATCGTTACGCGTCCCCGCCAAATCTGCCTTGACCGCCCCTCAGCCTGTCTCAGCTACCATCACCTCAGCTCAGATACCTACCACTACATCGAACACAGCCCTATTCCTTACAAATCTACGTCTCCTAGACCTCGATCTCGAACCCGATTGGCCGGGAATAAATCTTGCAACTTTCTCTACGAAGGATGCTGCGAGTGGGCAGAAGAAGCGGATTCAGTGTGTAGAATGGGCTCTATACCAACTTTTTGCACTCTGGGATCCCAATGAGACTCAAAATGTATGTTTTTAAGCTAACAACTGAATAAGATAGATGTATTAATGCTTCGTAGAAATTACGCCCATTCTTCCCGCCCCTCGACCAGATTCAGTCTACCAACCTCCGGGCCGCTCTTCTCCGCGGCCTCGAACAAGCCAAGAAAAATGGCGTGCTTGGTCGTGATGCGGTGTTACGGAAAACTATGCTAGACGAGTGTAAAGGCGAGCGACTCGAAGAAGTTCTGGCTGTATTTTCCTCGGCAGTGTTGAAGAAGTTGGTGGCAGAGCGAGCGCTTAATTCGGGACCTGAATACCGACCTACTGTCTCGGAAAACATTTCGTTGGAGAACTGGGGTTACTCCGGAGACCGTACGGAACTCAATACACTACTACTAGCCCACAAAGCATCTCTGCGTTCCCTATTAACGAGGAAGGATGCTGCGCGAGAGAAGTATCGTGATTTCGAAAAGTTATTGGCTTCCAAGGAACAGGGTCTCAGCCAACGAAAAGAGCAAGTCAAGGCAGACACCGAACGAAGTGTGGCGGAAACATCGGAAAAGGCGAAGAAAGAGGTCTACAAAATTGTAAAGACTAATTGGACCGGAAACGACCAATGGATCGATTCATTACTTTTTAACGGTACTCCTTCGCGCAAGGGTGGGCTCTTGGGTAGCAAGTTTGACGATGTCTGGGCTGGTGTTCGAGAGGGGAGAATTTCTGACCTCGAAGACCAGAATTCTGGTCTCTTAGAGCAGCTGGACAATCGAGTTCGCCTCCAGAAGGCAAGGTTGGAGAAATGGGATGATTTTCGAAAGAAGATGTTTGGAAATATGCCACCGCCGCCTGCAGAGGGCTCGAAAGATAAGGGCAAGTCAAAGAGTATTGATCTCGGCTTCACAGCTCATCTGGGATTAAGCATCGACCCGGCAGAAATAAAAGACAGGGTTCCTCTCAGCGCCCCGCCCCCGCAATACGCCAGTATTCTTAGCAATATGAAAACCGAGCTTGACGCTATCGGAAAACCGAAAATTCCCGACTTTTCTAATCTTCTCAGAGGTCCGAGGAGGAGCTCGGTCATTGATACAAACTCAGACCTTGCAATACCCCAGTCAACAACTGATCCAATTTCCGATATTAGTGAATGGGAGGAAGAGCCCGAGGATATACAACCACCTGAGAAGATTGCAAAGCTTCCAGTTGGACGTCGTTACCGCCTTAACTCCACCAAACCTACTGTTGAATCCAAAGGGCAAATACCGAAAATATCTCTATCTAAAGCCTCTTCATATAATGAAGATGCTAAAGACCTCTGTCTATCACCTGAATTTGACAATCCAGGATTTGCAATCCCTCAATCTTTCACTTCAGCAAAGTCTTTGGGTAAAAGACAGGAGTCAGCCGAGCCAGAGAGCACCGCATCATTTTCAACCTCTTATACGGAGCCTTCCCGCGATGCCTCGCCCACGGAGCTGACACAGCCGAGCAAGACATTCGATGCCATACCACCTTCGCCAGGTCCTGTTTCTCCCACCCAAGCCATGGCCGATGAGATATTGGCAAATATGCTAAATGCATCACCATCTCCAATGAAGAAACACCGACACACCTTATCTTTAGCCGAGAGAACACGGATGTCCATGACACGCACGATGTCCTACGAGAGAGATGAAGACCTAACCCAACTATCCCCCATAAAACCGAGCCATGTACAAAGTAGCTCTGATAATACTACAAGTCACCCTGCCGAAAGAGGCGAAGAATACGAGGACCTAGTAGCCCGAACCCGACGATCTATGGCAGGCTTTGAAGCCGCCCAACAGAAAGCGCGATTAGAAAGGAGACGGTCAGAGAGGAAGAGCAAGATACTACCGAAGAAAGATAACTACTTCCCTAGATTGGAAGAAGAGAATATGAATGATACGTCAATCGCCGAAGAGCTTATGGAAGACGATGAAGTAGATTACGAGGCTGTTTTCAAGAGCAGGCCCCGCGTTCAAACAAGCCCTTTGCCTAGCCCGTCGAAGCCTTGGAATGGGCAGTGAAGGATGAGAGGGATACGATTTTTATGTGATGAGAATGATGGTTAGTTGATACGGATAGCATGATACCAAATTGATTTTTCCCGCTACAATGAATCGTTTCTCAGTCAGTACCTAATATGTGGCTTAGGTAATAAGTCGTGCTTACATAATAGGTCACTGACGGCTTTAGTCAGCACTGTGTTTTGCTTACGAGAGTTCTTAGTAATCTTTACGAAAAGAAACTGATATCGTTAATATTTCAGCAACACCCTACACAACTACCTATATATACACGCTCGCCGGCTCATTTATAAAACAACAAAGCCCTCGTCTCAATACTCTCCCTAGCCCCCGCGCCCTCCTGCTCCGGGTCCTCAAACGCACTGTGCGGCGCCCGTCGCGCGGGGATGGTCGTGTCGGAATCGAAGCATTTTATTAGGAGCACGTCGGACGGTTGTTGCGAGTGCTTGTAGTACCAGCGGTGTGTGGACCCTGGTTTTATTGTCCATGTCTCGTCGCGGTCTCGTGGGTATACTATTCCGGCGGCGACTAGGTCCTCGTCGGGGATCGAGGTCGCGTCGGCGGTTGCGAAGGGGTCTTTGAGGATTGGTTTGATGGGACGCCAGAGCTGGGGGGTTTGTCAGTTTATTGTCTACTCCACCGTAGGAATAATTAAAGGAGGGAAGGGGGATAGGGGAAGTACATTGATAATCTGATACCGCCGTTTTAGCAGGTCTTCCGCTGAGTCTGGGAACCACCGTCGCAGGACGAGCTCCGCGCCGTCGTAGGACTGGTCTACGTGCGCTCGGAATAAGGGTCCTCGCGAGGACCGATTACCTTTGCCGAGTTTGTGCCAATTCGATGGGCCGCACCGCGTCTTGTGGTCGAATATGAAGACGTGGGGTGCGCCGGTTCTGGGCTTGGGTTAGGTATGGTACGCGATATTCCTTTATGTTGTAGGCTTACATTTCTTTCAGTAGCCGTACTGATTCCGGGTAGTATCTTGATCTTACAGTCTCCTCGTCTTGAAACTCTTCCAAGGACTTGAGCTTGCTCTCATGCCGTAGGTACTGGAATCCGTGGCTGTCGAGAAAGTACTTTTCTTCTTCGCCTGTTACGTCGTGGATCGTTACTTGACGGGGTGTATGTGGACGCTCGTTCTTCACCGTGTTGCTTTGCGATGGTTATGTTTTGCCTTGGTGTTGAGAATTTGGGACAAGGAACTTACTTGGCGATAACGATAGGCATTGGAAGAGATCCGTCGCCCGGGTCCTTATAGTAGTTTATAATCGTCGACACGTCATTTTGTCTCCTTGGATGAGTCGATTCTATGGGTTCCTCTACGGGTTTTTCGAACGTATGTGGAAGTTGCGTCGTCGCAACGGCAGCAGCCATTTTCAGCCTATGCGCGCAATAAAGATAATGCCGAGAAAGTCTATCGAACAATTGCTATACTCTAGTTTACAAGATTCAATCAACTACACTGCTTGGTCGATTAATTCGGAGGTATAGGGCTAATCGCTTTACCACTACTTTGCGCAACGCGATACTCTAGAAGACAGGTTTAAACTTCCACTGATTGAACACATGATGCTATATCAATCGGTACTACTTTCCTCCTTCATATTTGCTACGTAGACCTGGGTTTCCTTCCGGGTGTGCGGGGTTATTCGTACTCATTGGGCGACGCCGGTTTCTGTCTCCGTGATGTAGTAGCAATGTTGTAACATAATAGGCTAAACCCGTGACTGGCGACAAGGTCTTGGAAGCCTTGGTTTTATATATCAATTTCGGAGTACCTACTTAATTTTAGATCAAAGAGGTTACTAGTATAATAATTGATTTTTCTGGGGGTTTTATGATCAAGTTACACCCCCCTTTCACCTTGAATCACTATGTAGGTACTATCTACGTAAGGTAGTATCTTAACGTTATATGTCTCGTCGCCTCAACTTAGGTCATTTTCTTGTTAGGAAGGGCTTAACTACCTAGGTAGTGAGATATTCATAGATCAAAATGACATTTGGTTAGCCTGAACAGGAGCGAGGGAGGTATCTATATGAAGTCACTTCGTCTAAGGTGCGGAACACAACATCAACCAAGATCAGAGCTACAGAAGCACAGAGAGATAGAATGCGATCTCCAGCAAATACGAACATCATGTTCCGAGTTTAGTAGAACCGTAATGAGATTGTTGTACAACTAAACTGATTGAGGCATATTTGATACAGATTATTGAAAGGCCTCCCAGATGTTCAGCGACCAGACCTTGGAGAAACATAGGATATCATCCAAACGAACCGCGATAACATATTGTACAACACTGTAGTCGATATGGCGACGACAGGAATCATTCGAGATATTTCAATGTCTCCCGGGGATGAGTTTTTCTATGGTTCTCTTGACCTTGGTCATTGAACCCCTGCGTCTCCTCTATCAGACAGTTAGCGATTGATCATCGCGGTCGGGTATCTTAGATCTTGCAGAATATTACCTCGTCCCGAGCCGCTCGCTCCTCGGCACCGTGTATTAGGTCGTATTCGGCCTCGGCCATGTCATCTGTGATTCCTCGCTTCATGGCGGCTTCGTGCTCGTGTTCTTCTTGCTCGGCATGATGCATCATGTCGTGAGCCTCCATGACAGCTTCGTCGGGCAGTCCGTGTCCGTGTGCAGACATGATGGTTGATTGTGTGTTCAATGTCGGTATCTTGTTTGATTTGATTCAATTGATTGCTTTTCGATGTGAGATGTTGAGTATACTAGTAAAAGCTTACAAGCTTAGAAGGAAAGCTTGCAATCTATATAATAGAGCTAGTTTCCTAGACAGGCCATCCATCTCATGATGTCTCGTGAGGGGTGACTTCATGTTCGATGTCAGGCATGCAACGCTGTGGGAGCAAGACTAACATCCCATTAAACGATCTCAAGATCTATTCGCTCGAAGGTTCGACCATTTGCTCATCGGACGTCATACGCTGTCGATCCACCGTCGTCCGTCTGGGGTAAAATGCGGAGGACGCGGAGGACCAACCCCGCTATCATCGCCGGCTCCAACCTTAGATCTATGAACGGTTCGATGCGATCTTAACCTTTACGGTCGGTCCGCGTCATATGTGACATTTCCATATAGCAATATGACGGAGGTGTTACCGGTAATTGGAGCAGCTATTGGGAGACGCCGCTCTTACATCTTCCTCACCCCTGAGCTCTTGAGATTAGCAATGAATCGAAGTCGCACTGGAATATTCTACGTGCTACAGATCCTTGTGCACATGATTTACACGTAATTGTTAGTAGTGTTAATGGTTGAATGGAATGCCGTACGTTTCCATCAAGGTTGGTGTCCATGTGACGTCTCCTATTTTGTTATAGCGACTGTTTAGTGCCTGCTAGGTAACCAATCGCTAAATTTTATTGATTAGGTGCTCCGACCTAGTGGCTTTAGGTAGCCCCAGAAACCATCCCTACTAGGCCTTACAGCGCACGTCACCAAAACTGTCACATTTTTTAACTTCTTTATTCACCTCCTAATTCAAGACATCACATTTTAAAACAATATTTTTTCTCGCCTACCTAATAGGCAATCAAGTTTCTCAAATATTCAGATAAATCACAGTGAAACGTCGCAAGATAGAGGGTGTTAGAGGTGAGGGTGTAAGGGATAGGGTTAAGGTTACCCCTCGAAATCCAATGGTGATAATGACTAAGCCAGTCCTCCCCAGAGGTGGCGTGCTTAATAAGAAATGCGTTTGATTACTCACTCTGTGTTACACATGAAAGTCATCAATTACATAATTTTTTATTTATTAGTAATTAGGTATTAATCGACCAGCATAACTCTTTTCCTCTTTTCTTTACTTTCAGGTTTCGACATCGGCCCTCCCACGACATAGCGCAGCTCGCGCCACCGCATCAGTATCTTGAAGGAAGACTGAATTCACCCCTGGTCTAGCTCCGACTGCTGTCACCCAGTGGACACCTTCCGTAGGAACACCAAGAACAAACCGTCGGTCATGTGCTCGGCCTCGAGAATCAATCGGATTATACGGGCTGGACGTCACATCTAACCCTCCAGTTTCGTAACCTTCGACGGTATGTGGTCGGCATTGACCCGTTTTCAGGAGAGATGACAGGAGTTCATCATCTGTGTGTTTGAGGTTTGGTTGAGGAATGTGGGCATCTATGAGTGTGGTTATCCGAACCGTAGAGTCCGACACCTTACGGCTTCGTGCGAGCCACGCTCTATCTGTTTCACAAACCTCTAGTTCCGGACCGAGAATATTGAGCACACCTGCCTCTATCAATGCGATCATCTGCTCGATACGTTTTCGAGGCGGGCCTATGGATAGGAACGCGTTTAGCGATGTGTACCAACCATCTAGGTCATGTTGTTGCGAGTCGCCTGATAGCCCTCCATGGTCTACAAGCTGCCGTATCTCATTGCGCAAGTCGCGCAGCATGTCTAGTGCAGCTTTTATAGGTCCTTGAACATTTCCGAGTTTGGCCTCTTTGACATCCGAGTCAAGATATCTGAGTAGCCACGACTTCCATTTGTTAGGCGCCGAGAAGGTACGCTCGCCATAGGGCTGTGAAATTTGGCTCCAGGACCAGCGCTTGCTTTCGGGGACGTTGAATTCATCTAGAACTTGGCCCTCGGTAGCACCGTTTCCTCGTTGCGCCTCCAGGAACCGGCTCCGAAATTTGTGGTTCTCGTGTCCGACCAAGCACTCATAGTAGACTAGCTCAACATCTTTAGCGATGTGTGGCCATATATCCCTTCTAAAGTCCGGGGCATTGCCAGCGTCTGCACTTTTACGGAGTCTCGCAATGCGCTCACCCGTGAGGTGGATTGGGTATCTACGACCGAATGCCCCCTTCTGATTGTCACCACGAGAGTGGTAGGGAATACCTCGTCGAGAAGAGGCGTGCAAACATGGCTCGAAACCTGAGGGATAATAACGGAGGCCTGTTTCGGTAGTTACAAACTTACCACCACGACCAATTGTCAACAATGACATGTAGTCAAAGAAGCAGAGACCAAGGCCGCGCAAGAGGACCGACTCGCCTGCAGTGATAGATGAAAGATCAACATCAGCTGGATTAGAAGGTGGAAAGTATAGTAAGTTATTTCCCTTGGTATGGTTGGACAATTGTATCTGCTTAATATTTCGGTGTAGCGGTAGGTGACCTTGAGCGAGAATAATGCTAGAGAGACCGGATATTGTATGACCGTAAGAGAGGGTGAGGGCCTGGAGTCCGGAGGGTTCATCTTTGAGGGAGATAGCACGTTCAGCGTGCATTTCTACCTCCACTCCTTCCGTGATCTTTCCAAGTTGTTGGCTGAAAAACCATTCTAGATAACATCCATACAGGGCGCGCGTTGGATAGTCATTTGGCTTGATTCTGATACCATCCTGAATGGCCCAATCGTACAAACTTGGACCCTCTCGAATTGGACCTGAGCATGCCACGGTAGGGTCGGTGAATAAAGTTACCTGACATGCTACAGTGTTCATCAACAAATTTGACGATTGGCTGGTGCGCCAAATATGTCCGGGTCCTGGCGAGTACGGATCAACAACATGTATTGTCAATCGTACATTTGTCGGGAGCAATTCCGGTGCAGAAGCGAGGAGACGTTCGAATGTACTCGTACCTCGCGGCCCCATACCGACAATACATATTTCGATGTGCGTTATCCGAGTTGCATGGTCTGCACGGGGGTGTGGTTCCGACATCGAGTTGGCTACTAGGTATCCGTTACTTGATGCCGAAGTTACCGACTAGGAAACATCCATATTATAGAGAATAAATAGATATAAATACCATTTCCAGTTGAAAAATAGCATGGCAAGAATCACTCTGAGAGTGGCGGTAGGGCAAAAGTCAATGACTGACACCCGCGACATTCCACTAAGCCGCGCCTTGGTATTGAATACATCGCGAGTACTTCTTAGAAATACTGTCTGAGTCACACCTGAGTCGGTCTTAATGTTGATGCTGCAGTAGAGACGCAAGGTGCTTATTCACAATGAAGCGGTGTTTACATATACACTTCGATACCAAGATGGTAGTATATAGGTCTTCTATGGTCGCCACATAGTTGTATGTGGTCTAAAGTGGTTGCAACCAATTCGCGTGAGTAACTTCACATATCCTATAACAGGTAACTAGCATTGAACATTTATTCATTTACTGGAAATTACATGACATTCACTCATTTTTCTTTTTTTTAAAGAAACATAATTATAAGTTCAAGGAGTTGAAGGAAGCGAATACCAACCTGTAATCGGTCAACTTACACTTCACGAGCTACCCCAGATACTCCAGAGCCTCAAAATACCTACCTAATTTAGCGCACTTTACTAGTGTTTACACCTTATTTTTTAGATGCCCCTCTAGAATTCGTGGAGTTTAGCGCCATTTAGCGCCAAAAGTACCGGGGATTATAGCGCACATTCATAAGTAGGTTATTTTAACTGACCTAGCAACATTCACTCAACTTATAACAATCCAACTAACGTTATAATTAATGAAGCTGTAGGGCTGCCGGATTGATCGATGTAGCATAACTATATTGTTACATAATATTTGTCGATAAAAATATGGATGTGCTTATATAAACTAAGGTTTAAGTCTACCTGACTCGTTCAGTCGTAGTTCAGTCGTTGCTGAGTTGTCGCTGAGCCTTCGTTAACAGTACCTCTCACATGAAATTTATCACTCTATATCCCTATTGGTTTCAATTAAATCAGCTTCGAAAGCTACCTAGTATATATTGATTTAGTTACATTACTCGAAGATGTGTATTTAACGTTGTCATTCTAACTAAAATGAAAATGCAGGAATATTTTGATGATTTGTCAACCTGCCTTCACTATCTTCGCGGAATGCTTGCTTGAATAAGCGCTGGCCCGATTACGCGTTCAATTGACCGAGATCACCGCGGTATCGATATTTCGATATTTTTGGACGATATAACTAATCAGTACCATATCGAATTGAATGAGAATGTTCCATAGATGCTTGCATGTTGGTACTTTTCTAAGGATGAGGGTTTCATTCGGGACCCATATCCGGATGTGACTTAGATAGGTAGGTAGTTAGGTACTTAAGTTATCCCTTTTAGGTATGCTAGGATGATTTCTTGCTTTCTTATTGGCGAGTTATGCACGTCGTCAGATAAGGGGTTATGGGTCAGGGGTATGCTGCGAGAAAGTAAGCCACACCGAACCACCCAGCTCTCTAGGTACTTGACGTGCATGACTCCAGGTTCAAATCTTCGATTGAAATGTTAAAATCCTCTTGGCTCTGTTTCGCAGGAAGCCTTCAGGATTGTTCTGGAAGTGTGTTTGAATGTTCTCACCACGTTGCAGATGCCAACCGAACTGTAAGGATGCTAACCGACCTGATGAATTTGAACCCCATCGTGAGATGGCGCTTTTGATATCAAATTATGTGATCAAATGCGTGCTCATATTTCGATCTATAGATAAGCACCTATGTTGAAATGGGAAATAAAATGCGAAGCTCGCGATCTTGAAAACCAAACTTCTAACATCAGGTAGGTAGTTATACCATGTGTTCCTTGCATCACCAGCATTATCGGAGCCGAATCGGGATCCTTCCTGTCAATTTCTCGAACTACGCCGCGGAATTGACATCCGTTGTCATTATTCTGGGCGGCTCCTTTCCGACTACCTACTCCTCAGAGCTGAGCTGCACTTACTATCACCGCCATACCCACTCCTAACAGCAATACCGAATAGGTGTGAAGATTCAAAAACAGGGCTGGGAGTCTCATAAAAACAAGGTCCTCTAACCACCTACTATATCTCATACTACCAAACTGATGTTGGGGATCGAATTATCGTATAAGTTCTCAAGTAAGCGTTACTCATTGCCAGCTTACAAGCAAGTAAGGGATTCAGCACCCTGTCAGCCCAGCGGCCTAGATTGAAGAGACTTCGGGGTGAGGATTGGGCGCCTAGCCACTAAACATCCTATTCTCATTTTATCCAATCAAGGTGGCTTCCTTTATAAGTTTAACGAAGGATTTCCTCGCCGTTTTTCAGCTGGGGTTATTGGCGAATTTTGCGATGACTACAACCCTTCTCCTGTTATCACCCCACGCTTGGCCTGTAACGGAGCCGGGGAAGGCAAATTATTGTGTTGATCGATGAACCACGTCAGCGAATCCAATAAGTTGAGCAGTCAATTTTCAAACTTGACTTTAACTTGATCAAGTAGCTAGGTAGTAGGTAATGCCTCGAAAGATGGGGCCAATGGAGGGGTACGCAATAGGGGTTATGCGTCCCTGTCTCTATCCCTGAACCAACAACAGCTGCGAGGCAAGTTTTGTATACGATTGGTAATTACGCGGCATTGAATCCTCCGCCAATGGGAATCTCTGGATCTAGGTAGCGAAAACGTTGCGATGCAATACATATGAAAAAGAGAGACATAATTTTCATATCTGATTATTTTCAATCGTGTTTTGTATAATAATAGACTGTAATACGAGATATGAAACCCTTGATACTACAAGGGCATGATGTATGCACATATACCTCTAGATCTACGTAGTCTATCTCTATGCCAATAACTCTTCAACGAGGACCGTCTGCACCTCCTCTAAGTACTTCTGGATATTCTCCGGCTCCTCAAACCCATCATTGAAACTATATACAAGTCTTAGCTGATCGCGGAAAGTGTAAAAGAAGAACATGCTCATTCCCATCACGACATCAACGCCTAGTTTAAGATCCGTAACCTTGATCCCGTTTCCGTATTCCCGCTGCACGTAGCGCTCTGCAACACCCAAGCTGCTGACTAGAGCGTCCTTGGATATTGGGCTGGCTAGGAACTCGGGCGTCTGGACGGCCCCGCATAGGACTCGCGTGAAGTGTCCTTTAAGCTCGAGCATCTCGGCGTTAGCTTTGAACGTAGTCTGATAGTACTCATGCAACGACTTCGCAATATCCGAGAACGAAGTCGGGAGGTCGACCTTATATGGTATAGGGGTATAGTAGACCGAGACCGCGTGCTTGCTCGTGCTGTACGGTTCTGGCAGATAGGGGCGTAGGTTAAACTGTGCTGCGGTTACGTATTCCGCGAGCTTCGACTCGGGGTCTGCGTGCTTGGATATGGCCGCGATGTATGCGGCGTGCACAGCTGCAGTTACGCTAAAACCCTTGCTCTTGCAGGCCGCGACGATCGCCTTGGTGGTCTGTGTGGGGAACACCAATTCCGTGTTCTGGCATCGTCCCGAAGGAGCCGCGCCGAGTTTTGACACGGGCCCGACGCCGGGCATGGCAGCGGCCCAGCTCATGAATAGAGATGTCGCTTTGTCGCTTTGTTCTTGCGTTGGTTGCTCCGCATAGCCTAGGGTTTCCTCCATGACAGGGGCGAGCCTGGCATGCTCGTCGCCGAACCTTATGTTCTCGATCGGCGAAGCAAGCGCATCTAGGTAGCTGTGCCAGAACAGCAACACGCCGGTGCCGTCAAGTGTGTGGTGATGGCCGCGGAATATTAGTTCCGAGGATTTGGGTAGGTAGTACAATGAGGCTTGCTTGATAGGCTTTACGGACTGGTACAGTTCCTCGGCGTCGGATGCCGGGGAGACCACAAACGTCGACTCAAGCCATTCTTCTAATGCCTTCTCGTCCGGAACTTCGTACACCTTCTTCATGCCATCGACGATGGTAGCGACTTGGGGCTGCTCATAGCGAATCTGTTTCCACGCATGCTTGAGGGCTGGAGTCACATCCTCAGAACCTGTCTCCAGTTTGATTTTTGAGAACAGCGTGTAATGTTCACGCCCCTCACATAGGCTGGCGGAGACATTCGCCATAACGACGAAGTAGCCCTCCAGGCCGTCCACTGGGCGCTCCCAGCGCGTATCTGACACCTTTGCCCATACCATGTTTGCGATTCACTGGGAATAATAGAAGAATGGAGTATTCGGTTATCTTTTAGATATAATTAGTGAGATCGACCTCAACTAAGTGAGCTATAGGTAAACGTGACCTGTAAATGGAGGGTTGGAAAAATGATGACGCGGTGCAAGTGGAGGTTCGCCAGGTTGGGCATCCTTTAACGAAGAAGATCCTAAAACTAGAGATGCAAGACCCCGAATAAAGATAGGAATAGTTATAGATTACTAGAGTTAGAAAGAATCAGTTTCGAATCCATCGACTAGTCCAACTAGTCTAACTAGTATTAGTAGGCTGTGTCGAATAGAGTTGCACTGCATCAAAGATCGTCCGCAGGATTCCTGCGCAAACATTTCTGCAACCAACGAATTTCGCCCGATCCCACATGACGTCCCATCCGTGCCTCTTCGATGAATATTCCAAGACTATCGTAGCTGAACGTCGAAGGATAGTTCAGAATGCGTGGTTGTGGCCCCGAAGGTGAACATTACGGCGGCACGGCGTGATCCGAATAATGTCGTTTTCCACCCCTGGTTCTCGTGACAGTGTAACACTGCAGTTCCAGTCAATATCGCATAATTCTTCGAAACCACGTTACGATACGACGCTGGATGGTTAACACTCTCTTAGGTAAGTACCTACCGTACGTGGGTAAGTCAGCTTACATGTAAGACCTATTAGTTACATGGAGTGATCCCACAACCTATCAGCCCGTCTTAGCGGCGGCACTTCTCTATAATCTGGATCTTGTGCGCAATTGGATTCGTTTATTTCCTTACTGTGGACTAATATATCTCTCTTTTTCTATTCGAAAGTCAGCTCACCGACAAATACAACAAAGTGTTCCTCTCCAAGACCACGGTATTGGTATTGCAACGATGGCGTTAGAAGTGCCAGCAGGAACACCCGACCGCGGCCCGGGGCTGGTGGTAATGTGCGCGCTTTTGATAGTTCTAACATCTATCTCAGCGGTTACACGAGTTCTCTCAAAGGTGATTGTGAAGCAACCCTGGTGGTGGGATGACTTCTTCGCCCTTATTTCGTTGGTAAGTCGAAGTTTGTGCGACATGCGACATGCGAATGCAACCTCGAAGACGTCGGTTTATATAATTCTAACAATTAAAACAGCCTATCCAACTCACTTTATTCGGAATCATCTTAACGTGGAGAAACATCGGGCTCGGGCTTCACGCCGACGTGGTGGCAGCGGAGAACCCGCTCTATCTTATACAAGGCGCAAAATACCTTTACATCGCCATCTTCTTCTTCGATGCTTCGATATCATTCCCGAAACTGTCGGCTATCTGCTTTTACGCGCGTGTCTTTCGCTCGAACAATAGGCACTTCAGAAACCACCTCTGGGTAGTTGGCTCCCTCGTTGTGGGTTGGCTAACGGCGTCTCTGATTTCCACTATTTTCCAGTGCTCTCCAATTGAGAAGGCTTGGAATTCACCACTACCAGGAACGTGTATACACACATTTGCCTGGTATTTAAGCACGTCAGCGCTCTCCGTATCGATCGACTTATACATACTGCTACTCCCGGTACCTATGATTTGGGCGTTGAAGTTGAGCTTGCGACGCCGTGTTTATTTGTTGGCCGCCTTCTTCCTAGCCTACTCCGTCATCGTTCTCTCGATCGGCCGCATGATCTCGACTATTGGCCTCATTCCTAATCTTGAAGCGGATATAACTTGGAATCTACCTGCCTACTTGTACTGGGCATGCATCGAAGGTGCTCTTTCGCTGATTAGCGTCAGCGTGCCCAACATGGTCGGGCTTGTTAAGGCACTAATGGGTCCGCGATGGCCGGGAACCAATCCCAAGAGTAGCAATAAACACACGGACCCAGAATCTTTGAATTACAATGCCTCGGCAGGCGTTCACGCAAGTCAGTCTTTCGGAGGGGACCATGATGGCTTCGAGCGACTCGTCAGTAGCACGGGATCAATCGCTTCGGGAATAAACGACCACGATGGAAAAGGAGCGGCGATAGCGTTAGATAGGATTCACGTAAAGACGCAGATCACTGTTGATAGAAGGTAATACCAAGACCTGGGAGGGATCAGCGCAAAACCTAGTACCTAGTAGTGTACCCCCAAGTTCAACTGATCGGATCCATCAGGGGGGTTTACCCACGTGTAGATAAGTTAAAAAAGAGCCCTGGAGAGCTTAATCACTTTAAGTACATACCAAAAGTCGGGAAACCTCGGCCCCCAAAACATAATAATACATCACGAACCTTGTCATCTTTCGTGCCACCCCCAAACGTGCGTAGCAATTCGTCATTTCGGGAAAAAAACAACGATGCGGCACAGCAATTTTCGAAAAATCGGACATCCCGGACAGGCGGACGTTTTTGTTTACTGCATTCGGTTCTGCTCCACGCCGTCTCCATTCCTATTTTGGCTCTTATTCGGTCCCATATCTCCATATTTTCCTAACTTTAGTCATGTACGTGCTGACTAGACTGCTAGACTCCTACCTTCTTGGCCTTTCGTCGGACCCATAATCGTATCCATACCCAGCTGCAGTGCCATGGCTAGGTGCACCCATGGATGCGGCGGTCGCTCTTCGGGTAGGTATCGTTAAATGATTCCACTTTATACACGATGGATTAAAGTTGTGATCTGTCTCGGCAGATGGAAGGGAAGATCGGAAGTATGAAATTAAGTCTATGCCCAACATCGTAGTCTGCTGGGGCTTGTGGTCTTTTGTCAATACGTAATTGTTGTATCTGCTTTATGCCTTGGCATCCCTGGGATAGCACGACTAGCACCCCTATGCCATATTCAGAGGCATGGATACCTCATCTTTCAAGCCAATTGCCATTATCGGCATAGGTATGTGATACTATCTGCGGTAGAGGTCCGTGTTCGTGATACTGATCAGAAGAGAATAGGCTGTCGACTGCCGGGAAGCATTTCCAACCCTTCACAATTATGGGAATTCCTCGATCAAAGACGCTCTGCCGGCGGAAAGCTACCAGAATCGCGTTTCAATATCGATAGCTACCATGGCGGCAAAGACCAGCCAGCAATCACAGAAGCCCTTGGTGGTTATTTTATCCAAGAAGACATCAGGGCTTTTGACAACCAATTCTTCGGTATCAATAATAGAGAAGCAGGTGTCATGGATCCACAGCAGCGTAAACTGCTCGAAGTTGTTTTCGAAAGCCTAGAGAGCGCTGGCGTCTCCCTAGATGACGCTTCCGGTGCCAACATCGGCTGTTATGGTAGGTTAATGTAACTATTACTTGTGTAGAACTGTATGTTGAGATCAAACAGTTGCCTCTTTTACCCCGGACTTTATTGCCATGCAAACCAAGGACGTCGAAAGTCTAAGTAGATATAGCCAGATTGGTATGGGAACAACAATACTTGCAAATAGGATTAGCCATGTGTTCAACCTGAAAGGCCCAAGTTGCGTACTTGACACCGCCTGCTCATCTTCGTTATACGCCCTTCAAGCTGCCTGTTCGGCGTTACAGGCAGACGAGTGCGATTCTGCTGTCGTCGCGGGGGTAAACCTTGTGCAAACCCCTGAACTACATGTGGCGATCTCCCAGGCCGGTGTTATCTCTCCTTCATCAACTTGTCACACTTTTGACTCGACTGCGGATGGGTAAGTCAACCATACCTACCTACTGAAAACCAACGAGACGGACCACTAGCTAACATATCGTGGAATACCAGCTACGGTCGGGCTGATGGTGTGAATGCGATCTTCATCAAGCGACTTGATGACGCCATTCGCGACGGTGACCCAATTAGGTCTGTAATCCGTTCTGTAGCAGTTAACAGTAACGGGCGCACACCTGGAATCACACAACCGAGTATCGACGGACAAGAAGCCGTCATTCGAAAAGCATATGCGCGAGCCAATTTAAACCCATCCGATACCCCGTTTGTCGAAACACACGGTACAGGTACCAGCGTCGGTGATCCGATAGAAGTCGAAGCTCTATCTCGCGTTTTTCAAAAGAAAGAGAGAAATCACCCTCTACTCTTAGGGGCCGTCAAGACAAATCTCGGACATAGTGAGGCAGCAAGCGGTTTAACAAGCCTTATCAAGGCCACGCTTATGCTTGAAAAGGGGCAGATTCCTGCGACCATTGGCCTGAAGCAATTGAACCCCAAGCTCAAAATCGACGAATGGGGAGTCCAAATTGTGACAAGCACAATCCCGCTACCAACTAATAGCCAGGAGATTCGTCGTGTCAGCGTCAACTCCTTTGGCTATGGTGGTGCTAACGCACACAGCATTCTTGAATCAGCACCACTGGCTAGCAACAAAGCCTTCATCAACAAACCTAGAGGTATAAATGGAGTCAACGGCACCAACGGTACCAATGGTACAAATGGTACAAATGGTACAAATGGTACAAACGGCACCAATGGGTACTGTAATGGCCATACCAATGGCTATACAAACGGCCATTCCTATGATCACGACGACGCTTCTGCGGATCAAACCTACCTTCTCCCATTCTCTGCCAATAAGCTCCCTTCGCTGAATGGCAGAGTCGAGAAATTGCTCGAGTTGGATTTATCATCCATCGCAGTCACAGACCTAGCATACACCCTCGGGCAGCGTCGCACGCATCTACCTCTTCGAGGCTACATCGTCACCAAGGAGTCAAGTTTTCCAGAAGACATCAATATCGACAACCTTCGTCTCTCCAATACGGAGAATGACTACTCGGAACGAAAGTGTGCATTCGTCTTCACAGGGCAGGGGGCACAGTATCAAGGTATGGGCCGGGAGCTCATGGAGTTTACGACATTCTCCCGCACTATCCATCAATTAGACGAGGCGCTGTCTTCTCTTCCCCATGCCCCGGCATGGAAGATATACGACGTCTTAATGGATACCTCTGAGAAGTGTCCGATCAACCAGGCCGAGTTTGCCCAAACCACTACAACCGCTGTGCAGATTGGCATCGTCAACCTGTTGCGGGACTGGTCGATAATCCCCCAAGGCACTGTTGGTCATTCCTCAGGCGAAATAGGTGCAGCATACGCCGCAGGCCTGCTTAGTGCCCGGGAAGCGATTGTGACTGCTTACTACAGAGGATATCTTGTCACCAAGCTGACCTCTGAAGGATCCATGGCGGCGGTTGGTCTTGGGTCCGATAGCACCAACGAGCGTATTACCAAGCTTGGACTTAGCGAGAAAGTCAGAGTGGCGTGCATCAACTCCCCCGAAAGCGTGACTATCAGCGGCGACAGTGACGGTATCGATGCCGTTTTCGCGGCGCTTCAAACAGATGGAGTTTTCGTCCGAAAGTTGCGAACCGACGGCAGGGCGTATCATTCCCACCACATGAGCGCAATTGGCCACGAGTACGAAAAGCTCCTAGAGCAGGCTTGGGCTTCAGAAGATGGATCCACTCCAGATCCCACCTCAAAACAGGCGCGGATGTTCTCGACAGTGGTATGTCAAGAGGTGAACAAGAAACACGTTCGAAAACCCTCGTACTGGCGAACGAATCTAGAATCACCGGTTCGCTTCAGCGAAGGCCTAACGTTACTTTCGAAGCTAACCGAGGGCCTAACTTTCATCGAAATCGGTCCTCATGCGGCGCTGAAGATGCCAGCCCTGGGCACTTTGGGCAAAACAACCCCTTACTTAGGATCGCTTACTAGGGGCAAAGACGCATCGGTATCGCTCCTCAGTCTCGCCGGCGACCTGTTCACGCAAGGATTCGGCATCGACTTTGCGGCGCTCAACAAGGCCCATACGAGACACGCCGCACCCAAGGTCTTGTGCGATTTACCTGCATATCCTTGGCACTACGAGGATCTGCTCTGGGCCGAGTCCCGCGTCAGCAGCGAAGGACGCTTCCGTAAGCATCCGCGGCACGAACTTCTAGGCAGCGAGATCCCGGGAGGCAACAAGACGACGTTTGGTTGGCGCAATCTTCTGCAGTTGGATAATGTGCCGTGGCTTCGGGACCATAAGCTTGGCGAGACGGTGGTCTTCCCCGCTGCGGGATACATGGCGATAGCTATTGAGGGGTTGTTGCAGACGGCGTCGGATGACACTCTTTCTACTGTGGGGTCAGTTGTGCTTCGACACGTAGACTTGCTCAATGCGTTGCCGTTGGTCGACGAGAAATCTGTCGAGCTTTACACTGAGCTTCGACCTCTTGCCCTTTCGAACACGACCACTTCTAAAATTTGGTGGGAGTTTCAGATATCTTCTATCTCGGATGGTGTCGCTACGATCCGCGCCAAGGGATCTCTCAGATTTGATTCGGGGGACTCTGTTATAAGCCTGGTATTACCATCATCGACTGGCCGTATAGCGCCGCAGTCAAAACGCCTCTGGTACGAAAGTATCGCGAGAGGCGGCCTTGGGTTTGGTCCTGAGTTCCAGATAATGGATGAGGTCTATACACCAGATCCAAGAGGAACAAGGTATGCTGAAGCCAAGACGAAACCATTAATCCCAGAAGTGAGAGAGGCCACGAAGCCCCGTTATATTGTCCACCCAACTTTGCTTGATAGTCTATTCCAAGTCGGCCTCATTTCCTGCACTGGAGGGTTCATCCACTCTATGGTCGCAAAGGTACCAACGAAGATCCGGCAGGTCACAATAAACATGCGTTCTTACGCCGAGGGCGTAGGCATAATCCGTTCTACGTCGAAAGTCATTGGTTTCTCTGCCAATAGTCTTGATGCCGCCTTGCTCGATTCTCAACAGCAGACAATAGCCCATTTCAAGGACGTTGATATCACCACGTTCGCCGGTAATGAGAAAGTAGAAGTCCGTCATCCTTTTCTTAGGATGAGCTGGAAGCATGACGTAGACAAGATTCAGGATAATGCTTCCTTTTCCCAAGCACTCGACCACATCCTGTCGATTACAGAGTTAGGATGTCTAGGCTCAAGAGGGCATATACTAGCCACCCTTGATCTGTTAGTTCACAAGAACCCCGATGCGCGTATCTTGTGTCTTTCCAGCGACCACGTTTTGGTCGTAACAGCGCTATTGGAAGTTCTGAAGGCTACGTCGCATCACCGACGTTTTCGTTCATTCTCCCTTGGCCGATTAACAAGCAACAACGAGCTCGAAGTAGCTGAGATCCGCAACTACACCACACCGCTGGGGTTGAAGTCATTAGGATACAAAAAAGACCATTCAACAGACCAGTACGAAATTGTCATCCTCCCTGACGATCTAGCCGTAGTCAAATTACTCGATGGCATGACAACGGCCCATACCCTGTTCCTCCGCGCTACTGCACCCAGTGTCGATAGTGAGTCTCTAGTCGACGGGCTTTCCACCATCTGCTCTACAACCACAAGGTCGCACAGCATCCAACTATTTCGGAAATCGCCCGTTCCAGTTACCCGCACCTCCGGTCACAGTCGCACTATCATCCACGTGTGCGGGTCTCCAGCGCACCCCAGCGCCGCCAAATTGACAGAAGAGCTTAGCACGAGTCTAGCAACGCCCGTGCGACAGATACCGCTTGCCGAAGTGACGGAATCGACCATCCCAGACGACACCCTCGTCATTTCCACCATCGAGCTAGAAAAGCCCGTGCTCGCTACCGCCGATCAGCACGCCTATTCCGGCATCCAGCAGATCGTCGAGCGGGCCGCCAGGATCGTCTGGGTGGCAGGGTGTGGCGTGAACAAGGGCTTCGACCCCACCCTGTCGCTGTTCGCAGGGCTCGCTCGGGCCATCATGATCGAACAGCCCTCGACGAAGATCGTTACGCTGGAGCTCGACCCGCGCGTTGGCCCGGGCCCCATGGCGCGCGATATTGAGGCGATTATCGCCGATCAGACCAACGCGTTGCCGATTGCCGACTATGAGTTCCTCAGGGATGGCGCTGGGCTTTTGATCAGCAGGGCTGTTCCTGACGATCGCATGAATGCACAGTTCCGAGATCGGGAGAATGCTGTTGCGACGACGATGTCGCTTGTGAAGGCGGGAGCTGCGGCGCTGTCGTTGCAGAAGGCTGGACAGCTTAGTACGGCGCAGTTTGTTAAGACGAGGAGTCATGATGTTGGGAGTTTGCCGGCTGGCCATGTCGTAGTCAAGGTGTTGTGCGTCGGACTTAATGCCAAAGATGTGTACGCTCTTGCCGGGCGCGTGCATACGACCGAGGCGTCATGCAGTCTCGAATACACGGGCGAGGTTGTTGCGACAGGCTCCGCTGTTAAGGAATTCGCTGTCGGCGACAGGGTGGCTGTCATGTACCCCGGGCACTTCAGCACTTTCGAGACCGTGCCGTCTTGGTGCTGCGTGAAGTTGAGACAGGACGAGGATCTGCGCGTAATGGCGTCGGTCCCGGTTGTTTTCGTAACCGCAATTTATGGCCTGCGTATCCGCGCACATCTGAAGCCCGGGGAAACTGTCCTCATCCACTCTGCGGCGGGGGGCGTCGGTATTGCGGCGATTCAGGTAGCAAAGCATTATGGGGCGGAGGTATTCGCTACGGTTGGGACGGACGAGAAGAAGCAGTATCTTGTAGACAACTTTGGTCTACGAGCCGACCACATATTCAGTTCTCGCGATTCAAGCTTCGTCTCTGGCATAAAGGCCGCCACGAATGGCCTAGGCGTCGACGTCATTCTCAACTCCTTGGTTGGCGAGCTCCTCCACGAGAGCTGGCAATGTCTAGCGGACTTCGGCCGCTTTGTCGAAATCGGCAAGCGCGATATCATCGACGGCGGTAACTTGAACATGGAAGTGCTTTCTCGCGGCACGACCTTTACGGCGTTTGATCTCAGTATGCTGGCTGAGTCAAAGTCCCCGGTTAACCAGCGCCTCTACACGAAGATATTGGGACGTGCTATAGAGCTTGTACGGAGTGAGAAAGTGCAGCCCGTAAAGCCGTTATCGGTCTTCAACGTCTCAGACGTGGCGTCTGCCTTTAACTACTTCAATAGCTCGAAGCGGATAGGCAAAATTGTTATCTCGTTTGAGGACCAGACCCAGATGGTTCCGGTCGTGCCCGATAAGTTTTCAGCTGTCCTAGACCCGAACAAGAGCTACTTACTCCTCGGATGCTTGGGTGGTCTAGGCCGTAGCCTTTCGACGTGGATGTTGAGCCGGGGTGCACGTAAATTTGTCTTCGTCGGGCGTTCGGGCACTGAGAAACCAGCAGCTAAGCGCCTGATTGACAATTTGGAAAGGGCTGGCGCAAAGTGCATAGTGATAAAGGGTAATGTGACGAGCGAAGAAGATATGGTGAGGGCCGTTGCCGCAGCACCAACTCCCTTGGGAGGTGTCGTACAGGCTGCCATGGGTTTGAACGAAGCCATCTTCAGGAACATGTCTCGAGAGCACTGGCTCAATGGTACCGAGGCAAAGGTCAAGGGGACGTGGAATATCCACAATGCGCTATCGAAACTTGGCAGGGAAAAGGAGCTGGACTTCTTCATCATGACGAGTTCTATCAACGGCAAGGTAGGCACCGCTACAGAGGGTAACTACTGTGCCGCGAACAACTTCTTGGACGTCTTCGCCCGTTACCGCCGTAGCCTTGGCCTACAGGCCATTTCACTTGGAATAGGCATGGTTTCGGAGGTCGGCTACTTGCACGAGAACCCCCACATAGAAGACCTTCTCCTGCGTAAAGGTATCCGGCCTATAACCGAGGACGAATTGCTGCAGATTTTCGATTTCGCTCTATGCGAACCGTCTACTTCAGCGCATCCTAAGGACCTTCTTTCGCATCCGCACCTTTTAACTGGTTTGGAGGTTACAGGTCTTCAGGACCAGCATAAGCAAGGCTATAACGGCTACTGGCAGTTCCTGGATGATGCGCGCTTCTCGGTGCTGACTAGCGCTCTCAAACGGAGTAGCGCTAGCGAGACGACGTCAGGTTCAGGTTCGCAATGGTCCGCAATTAACGAGGCACTCGACTCGGGGGATAAAGATGGCCTGGTAGCCGTTATCAAGGATTTAGTTGCGAAGAAGATGTCGAATTTGATTCTAGTCCCTGTCGCTAAATTGGACGTCAAAACACCATTGTCGGACTTCGGAATGGACTCTATGCTGGCGGCGGAGCTGCGACAGTATATATTTAGCACAACGGGCGCAGATGTTCTCTTCTTAACACTGATGGATAAAGCTACGAATGTAACGACATTGGCGGGAATAGTAGCGGATAAACTACAGGAATCCAGGAATAAGGAATCGTCCTAAATGCAGTGCCTAGGCGTCGAACAGTTGTTTGTTGAAGAAGTTTACAAGTTTGGATTTTAGAATTAAGAGCAATCGGGCTTTATTAGGGGGCCGTTATCGAGGGGCTGCCCCATCGGAGGACCGCTCGCTGTATGATAGTATGAAGATAAAGAGGCGTTCAGCCCTAGTTTCAGAAGTGTTCAAACATTCAAACATTGATATTCATCGATATTACCAAAACTTACCATGATCAAAAAAAGAGACACACCCCCTTAGATTCTACTTGCTTGCAGGATACCAGTTGAAGCTGTAGGTGTTTTATGTTCTTCCTCTCAAGCTATGGACATCCAGTGTTCACAAGCGTTCGAATCGAACCATGTGCCACTCAAGGCTTTTTGGCATGGCGGGTTAAGTGGTCAAGGCGAGATGCAAGTGCCCGTGAGTTTAGCTCATGGGATATTATTTTATATAGACTCTTAATTATCAGAATGTGCCGTCGCACCAAATGATCATTCTTAATCGGTTAGTTTTATTATCACTTATATGGGAAATATTTGCTTGTTCATACACCTGGGCAGCTAGCGATGAGCTTCCCGCCTCCCATCCTGTATTTCGTTGCGTAACACAGCCATGGTGTAAAGGAACTCGCTCCTTTGACAATAAGGCGAACTTCGAGTACCAGCAATGTATATGCTTAACTACAACCAACTCTAAAGCCAGAATGATGTCGAACTATGATTTCATCAATATCGTATCAAGTAAGTGCTCTCGGGCGACTCTCCGACGAAATCCGGCCGAAATCAGGATTAAGCATGCCGTAGCGGTGGTTAGTGAGTGGCCTTGATGCTAAGCCCCGGGACTTCCCTTCCTTAGGCGGGTGCGGGGGCTTTATTCCCCCATACCGGTACCCATTAGCATCGGCATATTTTACCCACTAGAACCCTACAGCTCACATAAGCCCTTCTTCCTTCGTTCATCCTCCAGTCGCGAAATATGCCTTAAATAGTAGCTATTTACAGTGCCTCTATCGTGGCCGCACGATAGCGAATTGACGGTTATTATGTTGCTTTTTCTACCCAGATTTGGTTTGCAATATAACTTTACCAAATTTCCGGGTTAAAACAAACCAATGTCACGCCTAAGCCGCGGATGTTTGAGATGTCGCCAACGACGAGTCAAATGCGATGAGGGAAAGCCTTCATGTCAGCGTTGCATCAACCGCAATGAGATCTGCGAAGGCTATCGCGATGAGGCCAGCATTGTATTTCGCTACGAAACAAAAAAGGTAATTGAGCAGGCCAACATAACCTCAGCAGCCTCATCATCCACTGCTTTCGAAAGAAACTCTAGACGAAGGAGCCATTCTACTGGCAATAAACCAGGCTCGAGTGGATCGTCAACCACATTTGTCGACCCCTCTGACCTTACGGAAGAAGAAATTGCTACTTTTAGGTTATCGAATTGTCTCCCATGGATCAAAACCATCCCGGTCCATTTACGACCTAGTCCTGAAGATGAGGCTGTCAATCGCTTCATCGAGAAATATGTCATATATCCATGTACTGAGACATCCTCGCCCGGCTTTCTCGAGCATCTTCCATCGCTGTTCAAAGATGTGAACGTAGAAGGCCGGTTCGCATTACGCTGGGCTGTCCGAGCTGCAGCTTACGCCGATCTGGCTAAGGACCAGAAAAGCACTGCACTAACCAACAAGGCTTTCCATTGCTATGGGATGTCACTTTCAGCACTAGGGGAATCCCTATCATCGCAAGGGAAAGTTCCCGATGATCATGACCTGATGACTGCAGTTATGTTAGATATTTTCGAGGTATGTTCTAAAGAGGTTAGATGACTAGCTGCAATATATGCTGAACTACTAGACTTTCTTCGTCGAAGAACCTGCGATGAGAGGAGCTCATGCTCAGGGCATGGCGCAGATCCTCAGATTGAGAGGTTCTGACCAAATTTACAGCCCCCGTGGATGGAGTTTATTCAGGCTTGCACACCACAGAATTGTTAGTTGGTCATCCACTACATCATTATAGTGGCTTACTCACACGCTGTAGCAAAAACAACAGTTGGCTTTCAATCTGAAACCTCTCGACGATTCAAAATTTTGGTTTGATCAGTTAGATGAAAATGAGCCTTCCGTCCGTTTGGAGAAAGATGCCTTTCGGATTAGCCAGACATGTGAACGAGGAAGGAAGTTGCAAGAGGCCCTAAATAATGGCAATTCATCGGTATCCGAAGTCCTTGACATGGTGCACGAGCTGGTGAACCTAGATCAAGAAGTGGCTAGCTGGCGGCAAAAACCTGAATGGTCCTTCAAGACATTGAATGTATCCGATTTACCTGTGTTCGATCCCTCGGTGCAGCCTCCGACCAACGCCATTCAACTTCATGCAGATCTTTGGATGGCATATGAGTGGAATTACCACCGTACAGCACGTATCATCGGCCACCAGCAATTGGTAAACTGTCTGGAGACTGCGATAAAAACCTCGGACCTACATAACTCGATAGAAGAGAGTCTACACATCATAATCGATCAGTCCACTAGAACAATGCAATTACTCGCCGATGAAGTCCTATCAACCGTGCCCCAAACCTTCGGCGACATTAACAGCTTAGGCCATGTACACGACCACGCTACCGGCCCCCCACGATGCCGGAGTATAGGAGGCTATCTACTCCTCTGGCCCATCAAGATCATCAAAGGAGCACAATTCGCAACAACACCCGAGCAAAAACGAAATGCGCAAATAGCCTTCGAACGGATCCGCGAGTACACCGGGATGAAATCGCATCTCGGATCTCTAAGCGTTATATAAACCACACCAACACCACTTAAATCCCTATTTCGCCGGCACCTTAATAACCGTCTCCCGCAACTCCTCCCCACTCCCCAACACCACCATCTCCGCCCCCACCCCCACAAACGCAATGCGACAAACCTCATCCGTGCGATTATGCCACGCATGGTTCACGCCCTGCTGCACGATAAACTCGCCCGCCTTCACCATCCTCTCCTCCCTACTATCCAAAGCCAGCACAATCTCCCCAGCCAACACGACCGCGTAGTCGAGACTCAGGGTCCGGTGCATCGGCACGCTAAAACGCGGCGCGATGTTCGTGACGCAGAAATTGACGCCGGAGGCGGGAACGCGGGGGATTGTGTCGCGTAGGTGGGTTGGTTCTTGGAGGTTGTTGACGGGGACGGAGGACCGGGTGTCGAAGATGGTGAAGGAGCTGCCGCTGGGGCCGAAGGGCGAGAACGAGGGGAGGGTTAGGTCGCTGTGAAAGGTGGATTTGCCGGATGCGTTATGGGTTGTGACGATGAGGCGGGCGCCGCTGGTTAGGAGGGTGGTGTTGGAGGACATCTTGAGTTATTTGGGGTTTATGGCTTTGGGGGGACGGGTAGGGTTGTGAGGGATGGATTTTATGAGAGTTATGTGAATATTGGAGTTCTCAGTTGGTTTTAGAGGAAAGGTGATGCTGTTTGCGAGCAGGTCTGCTGGGTTACTTTCTTCTTAGAGGCTTTGGTGTTTGTCTATGATTAATATTTACAGCAACACACTCGAGGATTCTCGATATTTATACACGAATTGCCCTTACGACCTGCTGCTGAACGTTTGTGTCGGTCATTTGTGAAGCTGTATCGAGGGTACGTACCTCGCGGCGCTAGCCGGTTTTGGTAACTGGCACGAACTGCGCAGTGGCATCTCGACGGCGTGGAACACTAGGCAAAAATAGAGTGTTATTCGGGATTCGGTTGGTAGAGTCCTAGATCTGCGTATCGTACGCTTCGGGTGGGATCAAGCGATTGTTAGATTCAGCCAAGTTCTTCAGGGGCGAAGGAAGATCTAGATCTGCCCCTAAGACAATTGTTATTCCAACAACTTTCTTCGTTTGCGGCGTGTGACTCGATGTCTTTCTTTTTCCTTATCTGGAAGCCCACGCGAGGATAGAGGTTTAGGTTCGCGTTTTCTCACTGTTATTCAAACGGGATTGTACCTATCATTCTATTACACGGGTTCGCGTTAATCTGAGAAGACATCACCGGCGTTTGCATGGAAGGTGTAGCTCGGCGCTGTAAGTTGAAATCGACACCAACCCAATCCGATTATATGGAAGCAGGGAAGCTGCACTGCAACCTCAACAACGCTCTATCCCTTTATCTTCGCAGATCTAGCAATGCCTACCAATTGACCTAAACCGTAAACTTTAACTATGAAGTACCTAATCAAGTCTAGTGAAAAGTAAATAGCCAAAATCTTGACAGTTTATCAATCGTACCCTTCTACACAGTACGCCTCGTACCATCTAACAGCACGACCTATCATACGCTAGCTTACTCCACATTCTGCCAATTGGCATATAGAGAACTGTTGATTAAAAATGACCAATCCTAAGCGGCCCTTATAGCTCAGTGGTAGAGCGCAGCACTCGTACTGTGATATACTTCTTCCCGAATATAGTTACAATTTACTAATGCTGAGGTCCATCGTTCAATCCGGTGTGAGGGCATTTCAGTTAATTTTTGGGTATTTAATTTTTACCCCTTGCACATGTTTTGATACGTGGTATAAGTAATCGAAATCGATTTTAACCCTTTTTTTCTCCTAAAAAGAAGAAGTAGCGATCGCGCAGCCTGCATAATAACAGTTGGGTCCTGGGTAATGTTAGTTAAAACGTTAGAGGTGACAATGACGACAACAAAAGCGACGGCAACAACGATCAAATCGTGATATACCGTATGTCTAGCATTTTTTTGTCGCATATCAATTCATTACAGATGCATCGTGCTAACGAATGATAACTCGGTACTATCAATCAACAATTGCATGTTATATTGACTAACCCACCTAGTAGGGAGGTATATAAGGGGCGAAGTTTCGCTGGTAATATTGAGCATGTCTGTGAGTCGATAGTCATCATCTCTTAAATTGGCGGGTTGATAGTAGGCCCCTTTCAATTTAAGACCTATTTCATTTTCATTCCCGATGGATGGTAGACTATCTTCCAACTGCCCCTACAATTCTATTCATGTATCAAAGGTAGTATACAGAATTCGAGGCTCGTCTTCTAGTGATCAGTGTCTCGGTCAGGAGATTTACTCAATAGGCTTCGGCACGCAAGATCGATACGGTATTTCTTGAGAATAAATTTACGCCAGGTAATTCAGAAATTTTGATTTTATGTGCCATATCCTAATGCCGTATCCGACCTCGACATTCTAACTGTTCCTAAATGTACCAAGAATTGCAATATATACTTAACGAGTGTAAGAAAAAAAAAAGAGCAAAAAACAACCGTAGATCTAGTTTCTAAGCAGGGGCAATGACTCGACTTTGCCTTACTCGACCTCCACGCACTGGGTCATCGTGGCACCCACATCCTTCTCATACATAACTCCCTTGTAAACAACCTTCTTCGTCTTCTTTTGCCAGACAACACGGAATTTCCCTTTTGCTATACGTTGAGGAGTTGGAGTTAGTATAACTCATAATTATTGTAAATATAGAGGTACCTATCCAGGTAGGTCGGTACCTATGTATCGTGATATTTTGACTTACTGTTACTAGCTCCATTCCAGAGTCCTTCTCGCAATAGAGGATATTCCCTCAAGTTTTGGGCCTTGTTGAAGAGTCCTTCGTGGTTCAGGTAAGGTTCGGGATATTTGCCGCCCACCGACTTGTCCGCCTTCTTTATGGCATCAGAGTACGCTGCTCCAATCTGGGATGCCTCAATAGTGACATCTCCGCATTTCACATCTTTATCGATCTTTCTGGCGTAGACCTCGGAGTTGGTGGGAGATGCAGAAGCCACGGCGACAAGGCCGAGCAGGAAAGCAGATTTCAGGTTGAAATACATAATGAATAGGTAGGTATGTAGGTAAAGAAGAGGGTTGTCTTTGTATTGTAATTCTGTTGAATTATAGTTGATATTGAGCGTGATGGTGAAGATAAAATCCAAGTAGATTTCAGAGTGATTCGGGGCCAACTTATATAGATTTTGAACTATCCTCATTTTCAGCTGTGGCCTTCATTTGGAAGTGATTTGATCGACTCGAGCTTTCCTCCCGCTGTGAAGAAGCCATCGACCAAATGTCAGTTCTAAATTAAGACCATATGTTGGGAATGCACCGATTTCAGCCCTGGCGATATATTGCCTTCCCATTGTAGTATTATGAGGCTAAAATTCTAGGTACACCAACATTTAAGGGGTGTACCCTCTACCTGCTCCTCAGTACTTACCTAATCTTCCGTTATAAGTAATGATACTCATAACCCACGTCTATTTCACAGCCTCCTGTCATACATCGATATTATCTACCAACCACTAGTTACCTAATAGGTACTTGTTCTTAGAACTCAGCTATCTAATTGATACAGTAGGTATGACACATTACCAACGTCTATTTTAACACAACGTGCAAGAATAAAGATGAGAGATTCAAAAGGATGGAAAGCCGTAGTTACACAGCATGGATCCTAGTTTGTCTTTAATTAAAACGTAGGTAGGTAACTACCTATGTTGCGAACTAAGGTTCTGTGTAACTATTGTCAGAAAGCTTAGCTTACTGCTTACTTGTCAGCTTCAAGGGTGCCTGTTTTACCGATATTAATTGATGACGTAAGAATGACGTAGGTAGAGTCCCTTTGGGGTAACAAAAGCTGCTAGAAAAGGCGGGGATTGCACCGCCTTCGTTTATTATGTCGGAAAGAGGACTCATATCTTCAGCTTGATCGGCGCGGACTTTTATTGTTTCTATATAAAGTAATTGGGCCAATATTTAACCCATACAGATCGGAAAACTCACTACCTAATCTTCGCCTTCAACATTCCATGCTCAATTTCTCTCGACGTTAATCATGACTTTTTCTGTTTCTCCCCTAGAAGGCACAGAGGAGTTCAGATCATTGAACTCCCTCGTAAACCAGTCTGATGTATCAGTCCCAGATACGATACAGTCAATTATTAACCTAAGCTTATCGACCACATCTAGCACAGCAGGTCATTCGGATGCTCTGGAGTTACACTGCGAACGACTTTTTGAATCCGTAATCGACGTAGCTTCACGCACGCCCATACCTCAACAGGTGAAGCTAGTTGATTTCCTTATCCAGCTACAGAAGCTGAATGTGATCGATCCCGTCACGGGAAAGCCTCTTGAATGTGACGGCCGGAAAATCTGGGCCGATCTTCCACGCATCGGCATGAGCTTTCGTGAGGCGTGGAACTTTGGTAAGGCCACAGAATCAAACGCTAGAACAGGTCGATACGAATGATTGTACCTAGACTAACATGGAATCTAGATCCACAAGACACAAACGCAACTCCAGAGGACAAGGCTGGTTGGGAGAACAAGACCGCCTTTTTAGCGCAGGTTACCGCGCTCTCTCCTATCGGTAATCCGTCTGAGATTACTACTTCACTTAATTGCTCTCTCTATGCTCTCTGGGCCATGCGATCCGCGTTCGAAGGTACCACGCCGGCTGACACGACATTACGAGCAGCATGCTTGTGGATTATTTACGCTGGGGATAGATTGTTGATGAACGTGGAGAATGAACTCACTTTCGAGGCTAATCTCGGGATTCCCGGCGGTAGTTATAAAAAGAAGGAGTGGAGGGGGTTTAATAAGGAGAGAATGGAGGTCTGGAAGAATGGTTTCAAGGCTGCTCAGACTAGACACGAAGGTGAAACTAGAAGCATGATTGATAGAGCGCTGGCGAAAATTGACGGATAAGCGGCATGAGGGCCACCTGTTGTGTCGAGGAGAATCCTATGTATGTTCACATAGTGTTGCCTTTACGGATGATTGGGTTCAATTGAATTCTAGTCGACTAGCCATCTGGACATATTATAGAACATATCTAAAGTCCGGATTTTCAAGATCAGTCTTATCATGCATGCCTAGTCTCATTCCGTCTAGCTTTTCTTGAGTTGTCTCAAGCGCCCCGAATTGGCGGTCTCTTTTCTTGTTCTCCATGACCATGTAGTAGCGAAGCGCAATGGCACAGATTAACGCCGCGCAAAAGAACACAAGGATTGTTGTGATAGCTAGCACGTACTTCGGGGAATCTTGGTCGCGGAAGAAGAAGGGCCCTGCAATATTCCCAGCGGCGAATACGACGAAAAGGAGCGTGTTTGTAAACGCCCGCTTTGTGTGACCTGCGATATTCTGACCGACGATCGTAAGACAAAAAGGCCACTATAACAGCATTAGTTCGAAAATACTAAGTACATGTTAATAATAGAAGGATCAAGACGAACCGTGACAGCATATGAGTTGATCAGCCAGTAGGCGACGACTCTGCCATATTTATTGGCACCAGTGCCTATTGTACCATAAACTGCGGCGATGCCTGCAATGGCAGGTAAAAGTGGGACTATCATTCCCAAGGTTCGTAGGTTGCCATATTTGATTGATAAGAAACCCCAAACTACCATGCTCCCAGCACTGACGACGGATGATGGAAGACCAATGAGCAATGTCTTGAAAGAATCGAACCCAAATCCAGAGATTACCAATGAGCCGAAACTTGTCAATCCGCCATTTGGCAACTGTATGAAAAGGACAAATACAAGGAGGAGCCAGGTCTTCACATCCTTAACTGCATGCCACATTTGATAATTCTTCCACTGGTATCCCTTGATCCCCATCATGTTCTCCGCGACTCTCTGGACAGCGATGATCTGTTCTTCGTGCGTGAGGAACCTGGCCTTGTTCGGAGTCTCGGGCATGAAGAACAGCCAAGCAAAGCCAACGATTAAGCTGAGGAGACCGAGGACCAAAAAGATATACATCCATGGCTTTAGCGCCGTATTCGTGATATGGCCGAGTCCATATGATAATAAGCTAGAGATGATAGAAAAGGCTCCCTGCATCGCTGCCCAGAGCATGGTTCTCATTACCTGCTCGCGTCTAGTGTAGAACATAGATGTGTAGAGCACGAAGCCAGGAGTGACAACACTCTCCGCGACACCAAGAAGAAAGCGGATGACCATCAACCCAGCAAAATTGCGCAATCCAAGATGACTACTTCTAAGTTAGTCCTCTTCTATTAGATGCAATGTGCATGTGGGACTTACGCGATCATCAAGACTCCCCAGGATATGACGGATAAGCTGAGGACTCTTGCCGTTCTACATCGCTGAAGGATATAATTCGCAGGGTACTGCGCAATCAGGTAACCGAAGTAGAACATCGAACTAGCCCACGAATACTCTGTTCCAACCAACCCAAGATCTTGACGGAAGTTGAACAGGACAGCCCAACCTAAGGCGACCTTGTCGACGTAGTTGAGTCCATAGAGGGCGCACATCAAGGGAAGGAGGTGAAGATCTATCTTTCTCCTGACCGCATCCTTCGCTTCTTGGGAGATGGGCTGGGGACCGGCTTCATCGAAGAGTTCGATACCCTCATCGGCAACCTCTCCCTTCGTTGCTACCTCTACATCGACAGTGCTATCGCGAGGAGCCGCAGCAGCCTCGATGCCGTCATTCCCACCCATAACTATTGATGTATGAGGTGCGGAATATCTCAGCCCCTAGGTACCTAATGAATTCGTGGAATATTGTAAGAAATATAGCCTCATCAAGGCTATGAGGGGACCATCTTTCATCAAATATTCCGACCAACGCGTTGTCGGAACCGGCTACCGAATGCCATAGTCATATCTCCGATTCATCACTGTTTATCTTCAACACCCCTGTTATTCCATGGTCAGTGTATCTAGGTGTACTATTCAATAAGAAAAGTCTTATCAGCCGTTATAGAGGGGCCATATTGCTCGAGGAGGCATGTAAACCCTCTGATAATCGGTTAGGCTAACTCTCCCAGGGATCGGGTATCTCCTTCCATTCGGCTCGCTCCGACGAAATTACCCCATTGGGAAACCCATTCGGTGGCTTTCGCCGTAGCTGCTCCGGTTGGAATCAATGATCTAATTGGCTACAACATCGAACGTTAGGCTCTGTAGAAAGTGCGACCGGGTGCAATTAGGCGGTTTCAATAGCGGCCAATTAGTGAGTAACGGTGAAACTACTTCTGTAATATCAGCGCCAGCACGCGGTAACACTCAGACTGTTCAAAGTGATTTCAATAAACAACCAAGATGCAGATACCAGAAATCAACGAAGACGAATGTCTGACATTCCTATCCAGACTCGTCCAGATTAAGAGCTACTCCCAGACAGATGGCGAGTTGGAAGCAACAGCATATATGGCGAAGGAGATGTCGAAAATCGGACTCGAATCCGAATTGATTTCCTTCGACAATGGCAAGAGACAAAACGCACTGGGCGTGTGGAGGGGGAGGGGTACAGCAGCCACGGAGGAGGGGGCACCAAAATCACTTCTATTCAACGGCCACCTAGACACGAACCCCGTCTCGGAGGGGTGGACGATAGACCCCTGGGAGGGCAAAATCGACGAGAACTTCATCTACGGCATTGGCGTCAGTAACATGAAATCCGGCTGCGCGGCCTACTTCTGCGCCGTCAAAACCCTGATCGCCATTGGCTGGACGCCCCGCGCGGACGTGATCCTAACGTACGTGGTGGGAGAACTGCAAGGAGGCGTGGGCACGCTGGCCTTAATCGAGCAAGGAAGGATCAAGGCGGACTATTTTATCAATTGCGAACCGTCGGACATCAAGGCAGTGACTATGCACGCCGAAGCACTGACGTTTGAAATCACGTTGAAGGGTATCACGCGCCACATGTCTGCGCGAGAGGAGGCACAAGACGCCATCATGGCAGCCTGTATGTTGATTCCCAAACTCAATGGTATGAAGTTCCGGGGCGCGAGGAGTGAAGAGCACGAGAAATGCAACCGGCTCCAAGTTGGTATCGTGCACGGCGCGCTCGGGAAGGAACTCGTAGAATGGCGGCCCGCGCAAGTAGCTGATATATGTAAGCTTGCTGGAAGCGCGCGGTATGCGCCTGGCCAGACCCAGGAAGGCGTTATGGAAGATATCCGGGTGGTTATCGAAAAGTGCTTAGAGGCGTTTCCGGGTATGACGTTTGAGCTAAAGCAGAGGTTTGAGCCGACGATGCCGGCGTTTGAAGTGTCGAGGGATTCTAAACTCGTCAAGTCTCTAAACGACGCGTATTTCACGATTAGACGCGAGGAACAGCCTACGGGAGTCCTCGCACCGACTTGCTTCTATGGATCAGATGCTGGGCATCTCTATAAATCTCTTGGCATGGAAGGCATCGTATGCGGACCGGGAGGAAAGTATAATACGCGCCCTGATGAAGCTGTTGATATTCCCGACTATCTGGATTGTATTCGGATGTTCATGCGAGTAATTGTGGATATCTGCGGATAGAGGGGCGGGCATCTCCTTCAGGGGATAGACCCCGCGGAGTAACAATGATAGATATAAACTGTGCCCTCCATCGGCAAGATCGCGACAAAGATGCCAAATTTAATGAGTCTTACGATTTATAATCTAATAAAAGAAAATAATGCGGGCCTTAAGCCAGCAAGATGCCGAAAGGCTTATCATCGAGATCCCAGAAGTTGATAGGCTTCGTTCCTGTTCCAAGTTGTACAGTGCGAAACCACATCTCGCTGGCGACCTGCAGCACGCGGAACGCATCCGAGACCTGTGGCGTTCTTACGGCATCCCCACTGAGCTTGTCCGGTACGATGTGCTGCAGAATTTTCCAATCCGTTCAGCCTTACATCTCCATTGCGAAGATGGCTCGATAGCCTTCGATGCGAGCCTGATCGAAGATGATGTGGCCGAAGATCCGACTTCAGCTCCGCAGAACGGGCTACCATCCTTCTTCGGGTTCGGCGCGCATGGCACAGTGAGCGCGAAGCTCGTTTACACGAACTTTGGCACATTATCGGACTTCCAGCTACTCGAATCAAAAGGCATATCCGTGAAAGGCAAGATCGTAATCTGCAAGTACAGCAAGGTCTTTAGGGGATTGAAAGTCCGAGCGGCAGAGCAATTTGGCGCAGTCGGGGTGATCATATACAGTGACCCCCAAGAAGATGGCGAATACACCGTGAAGAACGGGTATAAACCGTATCCCCATGGCCCTGCAAGACATCCGAAAAGCATTCAGCGTGGCAGCGTCGATTTCTTCTCCGTCTCTGTCGGCGACCCTACCACGCCAGGTTACCCGAGTTTGCCAGGAGACGATACGGAACGACGAGATCCAAAACACGCAATTCCTTCTATTCCCGCTATACCAATATCTTTCAGCGATGCGATACCATTCCTAGAAGCATTGAACGGCCGAGGGTTGGGTCCGGATGAGTTTGATGAGGGAGGGAGCAATTGGAAGGGGGCCTTAGATAGTGTTGATTATTGTACAGGCCCAAGCAAAGTCAACGTGACGCTATGCGCTGAAGGAGACTACCGTTATTCTCCTATATATAATGTTATTGGGACTATTGAAGGCCAAACAGATGAAACCGTTATCTTAGGTAATCATCACGATTCGTGGTGTTGTGGTGCCGTTGACCCTGTGAGCGGAAACGCGGCGATGAATGAAGCAGCACGGGGTCTTGCCAGGCTGGTAGAGAGGAGTTGGAAACCATACAGGAAAATGTGAGTCCAAGTCGAGTGATCACCTAATTTTAGACATATATACTAATTAGAAATGTGCAGTATCCTAGCTTCTTGGGACAACGAAGAATATGGGCTTGTAGGATCCACAGAATTCGGCGAACAGCACGCGGAATGGTTGACGGAGAACTGCGTCGCCTGTAAGCTCTCACCCCCCATTGACCCAACTTACCTAATGATTGTAGATATCAACGTGGATGAGGCTACAAATGGTGGCAATATTCTTGGAGCTTATGGGAGCCCATTATTGAGCCAAGTTCTTCGTGAAGCAGCGAACGTGATACCTTCACCGGTCAACGAAGGCAAAACAGTCTATGACGATTGGCTTCGCCTCCAGCAAGAAATTTCAGGTCCTCTCAACCAACCCAACTTGACTGTGATGGGCACCGGAAGCGACTACACGGTCTTCTTCCACCACCTCGGCATCTCTTCTTTAGATATGCTTTTCAATCAAAAGGGCACAGCTGTTTACCCATACCATTCCAACTACGATAGCTACTACTGGATCGACAAATTTGGGGACCCTGGCTTCAAGAAGCATCTAGCTATGGCTAGGCTCTGGGGTCTTTTAATCGTTAAGCTTGCCGGAACACCAATATTGCCTTTCAGAGCTTCCGATTACGCAGACGCCCTGAAAAGACATGTCAAGTCCCTTAGTGACAAGGGTATATCTGGCCTAATTCTCGAACCGTTGGAAAGGTCAATCTCTAGATTTGAAACAGCGACGAATACATTCGATTCGAGTGTGCATCGCGCAGAATTGGGAACGTCCCGGCAACGAGTACCAAGAGCGGAAGAGGTTAGCAAAGTCTATATGAAACTTGAAAGGTCATTTTTGTTGGAAAAGGGTGGATTACCTGGACGGCCCTGGTATAAACATCTGGTTAGTGCTTTCGCTCGGGATAACGTATGGGATGGGCATCAATTAATCATTTCTTAGATCTTCGCACCTGGCCTATGGGCGGGTTATGATGGAGTTGTCTTTCCGTGTATTACGGAGTGCCTTGAGAACGGCGATGTCCCCGGTGCGAACATAGCAATTCAGGAAGTTTCTGAAGTCATAAATCAGGCTTGTTCCATTGTCAATAAGAGGTGTCCAGCTGTCCGATAGGATACCGACCTACCATGGCCCTCTCATTCGATGTCTTACACGAGAACTGTGTTTTTCGATGTATAAGTACTGGATACCAAGTTCCAAGGTTGGCATTCTAACAGCTACATATTTACCCCCGAAAATGCTCATCATTTCTTATGTTTCCCGCCCGTCATTCCATGCCAGTGCTTCCAGTCCTTCCGTCTACACGAAACAACGCACAATATCATAAAAGCATGCAAAAAAGACATAATCCCTAAAACTCCTTGTTAAACCAGAGCTAGGAGCCGCACTGTCGCCATCCTGAGCTTGAAACATAGGCGACGTTGGAGTAAGCTTTCGAGGATACAGCCGCGTAGGGCTGATGAATGGCATGCAGGGTTTCGTCGTAGCACCGCCGGATGAAAATAAAACATCTATTATAGCGTGGTATCCTATTTAAGATTCGATCCCTTCTCATTGGCTCTGTGATGCGACAGATCTAGAAGGATCGCGTACAAGCCCACAACGGAGGCCTAAGAGATCGGCGGTTGACCGGGTATGATCTGCGGAACAGCCCTACACACAGCAATCCCAAGACCTATTGAATAGGATTTAGCCCGATAACCGAGAAGCCGCATCGTTACGACAGCCGTCAGGGTTAACTTCTTAGAAGGAATGATATTGCCAAGACTCTGGGGTAGTTGTTAGCATAGCTGCGAGATTACGTACCAGAGCTGCGTAGCATGGCGTTCTATATAAGCAACATCAAGCATCAGCAGTTGCTGTCAGTTGATATTGCTTTAGCAATTAAGTGTGAATAAGTAATATCAGGGGAAAGTACGCTGTATTCCAAGGTTAAGTCGTAGAGAATGGAGCTTTGACGCTGAGATATTGTCAATCACCCCTATTCGTCTATCTTTTTCAACTTTGAAGACCGATTGAAGCCTAGGTTAATCTTCGAAAGTCACGGTTGATCTACAGTGAGCGTATCGTGGAGTTACAGTTACTAGTCGGAGCTCGTCACCTACCTTCCTAATGTACAGGATGAAATCCCCAGGTCATTAACTTCAACCTCACCACAGTAACAGCGGCAGAATACCTTCGTTACCGCCCTAGGCTACCTACGAAATTCAACATATACCCAAATCTCTCCCATCCAACTTTTCTTCTTTTTTCTCTTCCTTCCCCATACCGCCCGCCCACACACAGCGGGAATATGGAACATACTGGCCATCCGCCTTTCCTCTTCTTGGATGGCCAGATGTTGGATATTCTTCCACTTCTTTTTCTTTTGTCCATTCTTCTCCTTGCCCTTCGGGGGTCTCTTTTGTCAGTCGCTGTGTGCTTGGACTGGGGCGTTACACTCAAGCTCAGCTTGGAATTTTTAGAACCAAACCACCCTTTGGGTGATTCTTTTTTTTTCATTGAGCTCTTAGCCTAGTGCTAGGACTTGAGGAAGATGTCGTCTACCTAGAAATATCTTGAGATGCGTGATACTTGTCATTCCGGGCCTAATCAAGTAATGTGTTGTCATTCTTTGGTGCCCGATAGTCGCTGTTATCTACATTTTGAGCATTCATACCATACCTAGGTACCTACCTACCTAATGATATGTTTTTATTTTCATATACACGTCCATCATACTAAGCTTTCCTCAATCTACGACCTTACAATTTCGAAAACACGGACGGTACGCTCCCACCCATCTCGACCAACGTACTCTTATTCCTAACCCACGCCTCAAGCCCCCTCCTCCCATTTTCCACGCCAAGACCGCTCTGCTTCCACCCCCCAACGGCCATCTCAGCCGGGCTCTCGCCCCAAGTATTAATCCACGTAATACCCGCCTCCAGCCTCGAAATAACACCATGACAAAGATCAATATCACGCCCAACCACCCCCGCCGCGAGCCCCAACTCCGTCGCATTAGCGCGCGTAACAGCCTCATCAACAGTATCATACGTCAGAATCGTCATAACCGGTCCGAAAATCTCCTCCTTCACAATCTTCATCTCATCAGTACAATCCGTAAACACAGTAGGCCGAACCCAATACCCCTCCCTCAACTCCGCCGACAACCCGTCCGGCTTCTCCAACCCACCACACAGCAGCGTCGCCTTATCCGTCTCGACGCCATGACGCACGTACTTAAGCACCTTCTCGTAATGCGCCTTACTGCTCAACGGGCCGAAGTTGGTATCCATATGGAACAGATCCCCCGCGCGAACGAATTGGATCTTCTCCAGCACCCCCGCTTCAAACGCCTTCTTCATCGCGCGGGGAACAAACACGCGCGTGCCATTCGTGCACACCTGGCCCGTGCTAAAGAAATTCGCCATCATCGCAACGTCGACGGCCTGCTCGACCTGCGCGTCGGGTAGGACAACGAGCGGGCTCTTGCCACCGAGTTCCATCGTCACGTACTTCATCTCGCCGGCCGCAGCGCCCGCGACTTTCTTCCCCGTGCTGACCTGGCCCGTGAAGCTGACCTTCGCGATATTCGGGTGTTTCGTTAGGTGAGCTCCGACATCGGCGCCACCGTAGACGACATTGAAGACGCCATCGGGAAGTCCTGCTTTCCTGTATATATCCGCGAGGTACTCTGCGTGCAGCGGCGTGAACTCGCTCGGCTTATACACCATGCAATTACCCGCGGCCAAACACGGCGCGGATTTCCAGAGCGCGATTTGAATGGGGTAGTTCCAGGCGCCGATGCCCGCGCACACGCCTAGGGGTTCTTTGGCCGTGTAGACGGATGCCGTGGGTCTGAGGCGGAAGGACTCGCCGTTCAATCCGCCGCTTGCTACGAGGCTGGCGAAATACTCGAGGACGTCGGCGCCGGTGACGATGTCTACGGTGGACGTCTCCGAGAACGGTTTCCCGGTATCGAAGGTTTCCACGCGTGCGAGCGCATCATTGCATTCGCGCAAGAGAACGACGGCTTTCTGTAAGATGCGCGCGCGTTCTATGGGCGGCGTGCCGGACCAGGCGGGGAAGGCGGCTTGTGCCGATTGAATGGCGGCATCGACTGATTTTGTTGACGAATTGTGTATCTTGCAGATTGGCTTGCCGTTGGATGGGTCGATGGTTTCATAACTACCCGAGGACTCTGCCGAAGGTTGTGGTTCGCCAGCGTAGAACGTGTGGCGGTCTACATCTCTGAACCCCATGATGCCGATATCGACGGAGAGTTATTGGTAAAGTTACACTCCGAAAAGCCCTGATAATAAACAAAAGATAGTGGCTGCTGGCCGTAAGCACTATCCTTTCGCTGCTTTACCAAGATGTCTTGCTTTCTCTATCGACTAAACCACGAGGCTGGCTATGAATGGCTCCTCGGCTGGCACGTCGTATAAGTCTTATCTTTTAACAGGGTGGCCCTTGTTATAAACTACTGCCGATGTGGAATGCGCTAATGAAAAATTTGATGCCTTTAGGACTTTAGGGACGATTTCCCGTGCTACTAGCCGTTCAACTAACACTTGAAACACGAATTTCGGACGTGGAAGTTCGACTAGTTCGGACCGGATTGGATATGTAACGTCATTCCAAGCAGAAGCGGAGAAGCGGTATTGGCACCCTGCGGCTCTCTGACCCCGCCCGATTGGCGACAATTTGGTTTAGAGGGGATGGAGATGCTAGTGATGATCCCGAGATTGATACTGAGTTTCCGGAGGAGTTCGGCCTCGTGGCGGCTTAACTACTTTAGTTACTAGCGTTGATTACGTCGTCGGATTGTGCGACAAAGGATGATTTCTTTCGAGATAAGAAAATTCGATGGTGGCGAGCTCCGTGGCGGTTGGTAGGTTGTCAAGTGGCTCCTAAAGTTCTTCAAGAGAACGCCCTTGCATTAGTGAACCTTCTAGGTAGTATGGGTTAGTATGAGTTAGTACGGGGTACTGGAAAACAAGGAAACTTAGTTAGGAATTACTGAGAAGTTTATCTTTTCCCAACCCAGATGGGATCAGCCACCGACGGACTAGTGCTCTCCACGCCTTACTGGCTTATGACGAGTCAGGCCATTCACCGCTCAGCCCACAGGATTTATTCTGCACGTACAGGGACTTGACGCCTTCATCAACCAATAATGGATGATAAGAGTTACATACTAAAAACACTTACAGCGCAAGACCGAGTCCCGACCCGGCTTGGCGTCTTTCCTCATCGTCCACCGCGAACGCCCCCGAAAGTTTCCTGCGAGGTTATTAAACCACTGACTGCCTCGCAATTGGAGCGTTCGAGACCTGCAGCTCAGACATATGTATATGCTGTGTTGATCTTCAACTATTTCTAGACGAATTAGCTGCCGCGAGATCAAGATGACTACTACCCAACTCCCCATATCAGATTCTGATAAGTACGACTATGTAGTCGTTGGCGGAGGCACAGCTGGCTGTGTCGTCGCCGCAAGGCTAGCGGAGTATCTCCCGCATAAGCAGGTGCTTCTCATCGAGGCCGGTCCTAGCGATTTTATGGATGATCGCGTTCTTGACCTTAAGCAATGGTTGAATTTGCTTGGTGGTGAGCTCGACTATGATTACGGCACAACCGAGCAGCCTATGGGTAAGTCTGACACCCCGCGTTTGATTACATCTTATCTTACCATAATTCATAGGCAACTCGTTTATCAGACATTCGCGGGCAAAGGTGCTGGGAGGTTGCTCTTCACACAACACCTTGATCTCCTTCAGGCCATTTAAGTATGATATGGACATATGGCAGTCTTTGGGGGCACGTGGCTGGACCTTTCCCGTATTTATGAAGGCGTTGGATAAGTTGAAGAATACCATCCAACCAGTTCATCAAAAACACCGCAATCAACTCTGCAAGGATTGGGTCAACTCGTGTAGCTCAGCGCTTGATATCCCGGTGATCGATGATTTCAACAAGCAGATCTCGCAAACTGGATCCTTGAAACCTGGTGTTGGCTTCTTCTCAGTGAGCTACAACCCCGACGACGGAAGACGATCTAGTGCATCTGTTGCGTACATTCATCCTATTTTAAGGGGCGAAGAAAAGCGACCGAATCTAACGATTCTGACTGATGCTTGGGTGTCGAAAATCAATGTTAGTGGTGACGCTGTTGAGAGCATTAGCCTAGGATTGAAAGATGGTTCGTCACGCGCCGTTAAAGCGAAGTCTGAGATAATATTGGCCGCTGGAGCAGTAGACACGCCTCGACTAATGATGCTCTCGGGTATTGGACCGAAGAAGCAACTTTCCGATCTTGGTATCCCCGTCGTTCGCGATATTCCGGGTGTCGGCGAGAATCTGCAAGATCACCCCGAGAGTATTATCATGTGGGAGTTGAAGAAGCCCGTGCCACCAAACCAGACAACTATGGACTCTGATGCAGGAATCTTCTTGCGCCGTGAAGTGCCGGGGGCTGGTTCTAAGAAATCAGCCGCAAACCCGCAAGGCCTTTCCGATGGAGATATCATCGATGTTATGATGCACTGCTACCAGATTCCATTCACATTAAACACCCTTCGCCTAGGATACCCCGATATTCCGGACGGATACGCCTTCTGCATGACGCCAAATATTCCTCGACCGCGCTCCCGAGGTCGATTATATCTTACTTCTGCAGACCCGAGCGTCAAGCCGGCCCTCGATTTCCGGTATTTCACCGATCCGGAAGGCTACGATGCAGCCACTTTGGTATTCGGCATGCGCGCGGCACGAAAGGTTGCGGAACAGGCTCCATTCAAGGATTGGATCAAGAAAGAGGTTGCACCCGGACCTCAAGTTCAGTCTGATGAGGACCTAAGCCACTATGCTCGAAAGGCAGCACATACCGTATATCACCCTTGCGGAACAACCAAGATGGGTGATACCACTAAGGACGAGCTGGCAGTCGTCGACGAGAAGCTAAAGGTTAAGGGATTCAAGAACCTACGTATTGTGGATGCTGGGGTGTTTCCAACCATTCCTACTATTAACCCTATGTTAACAGTATTGGGTGTTGCTGAAATCGCAGCTAACCTAATTGTCCAGGAAGCAAATTCCCAGCAGGAAAGAGCTAGATTGTGATCAAGTTGGAGATCTTGTTGGTGTACGAAAGGAATCTATTCACGTTTGAATGAGGATCATTGGCGCAAATTGAACGAGCCTTGCTGTCGATCTTGGTATATATTCATCTTATTGTCGACTATATTATAACATACTAGGTATGATGCGATACGAATAGTGTATATAGAAAAAAAGAAATGTCGATATATGAACATAATGGCTGTCACGGAAGATGTGTGAAAGTGACGGATCTGATCGTGTGCACTCTTTCCTTTTTCCTTTCGTCATCAAAGGCTTGGCATATCCACTTCTTATCTACGATGCTGAGCTAAGTATTTGTGGCTGAAAGGCGGTCAATATTATTGTGGCTATTCGTGGATATCACCGCCACATTTCGGCAGAATCCCCTCCAAGTCCGGTTTTTTTTCTAAAATTTCAGGTCGACATTTCTTTTGGAAGTAAATAGCAACGAAAGTCGCAATGCCTGCTGCTGCTCGTTCAAGTGGCCGTACACCACAAAAACAGCAGAAACAAAAAGAGAACTCAAAGTCGCTGAAGAGAAAGAGAGATCAGGACGATCTCCAAAAATTACAAAATGCTGTCGACGAGTTTGTAAGTCGCATTTCCTCCAACTTATGAATATTTGTTGTAAGGGTACAGTGAAGCTTACAAGATTTTCTTTTACAGGATCCTAAATCCGAAGACAACACCCAATTCTCGAAACTACCTCTCTCGAAGCCCACTGCCTCTGGTCTAGAAGCGTCGCACTTTCAAAATCTAACCGATGTTCAGGCCCAAGCAATTCCCCTAGGCTTAAAAGGCCATGATATCCTCGGTGCCGCCAAAACGGGTTCCGGAAAAACGCTTGCTTTCCTCGTCCCCGTCCTCGAGAAACTCTATCGCGCGCAATGGACTGAGTTTGATGGGTTAGGTGCCCTGATCATCTCGCCTACGCGCGAACTTGCGGTGCAAATTTTCGAAGTACTGCGCAAGATCGGAAGACATCATACCTTTTCTGCTGGCTTGGTTATCGGAGGCAAGAATTTGCGCGAGGAGGCAGAAAGACTAGGGAGGATGAATATTCTAGTTTGCACCCCGGGCCGGATGTTACAACACCTTGACCAGACCGCCGGATTCGATGTCGACAATCTACAAATGCTAGTCCTCGACGAAGCCGACCGAATTATGGATATGGGTTTCCAATCAGCCGTAGATGCCCTGATAGAACATCTCCCCAAATCTCGACAGACTATGCTTTTCAGTGCCACACAAAGCAAGAAGGTTTCTGATCTGGCTAGATTGAGTTTGAAGGATCCCGAATATGTTGCTGTTCACGAGGCCGCGGCCGCCGCAACTCCGGCAACACTAACACAACATTACCTCACCACGCCCTTAGCGGATAAGATGGAGACTCTATATGGATTTATCAAGGCCAATCTCAAAAGCAAGATGGTTGTTTTCCTATCGTCAGGAAAGCAGGTCCGATTTGTATACGAGAGCTTCCGTCATTTACAACCCGGTATTCCACTTCTACATCTACACGGTCGGCAAAAGCAAATACAACGGTTGGAAATCACGAGAAGGTTTACTTCATCTAAAAATTCATGCCTCTTTGCTACAGACGTAGTCGCGCGTGGTGTGGATTTCCCCGCTGTGGACTGGGTGGTACAGATGGATTGTCCCGAGGATACTGATACCTACATTCACCGAGTAGGGCGCACGGCGCGTTACGAGAGAAATGGAAAGGCAGTATTGTTCCTAGACCCGAGTGAGGAGGAAGGGATGTTAAAGCGACTCGAGGAACGAAAAGTACCGATACATAAGGTCAATGTGAGAGAAAAGAAGAAGCAGAGCATTCAGAACCAGATTCAGGATATGTGTTTCAAGAACCCAGATCTCAAATACCTTGGTCAAAAGGCTTTCGTCAGTTATACCCGCTCTGTTCACCTACAGAAGGATAAGGAGATCTTCAACCTAAATAAGTTAGACCTAGATGCATATGCCGCTAGCTTGGGTCTACCTGGTGCACCTCAAATCCGATTCCAGAAGGGCGAGGATGTGAAGAAGTTGAAGAATGCGCCTCGCGCGGGAATGTCAAGCGACTCGGAATCCGAATTCGACGAAGACAAGGCAAAGCGAAAGAAGAAGGGCGAAGTCCGAACGAAATACGATCGCATGTTCGAACGTACCAACCAAGATGTGTTGACAAACCATTATACAAATATGATCGGCGATGGAGAACAGGGCGAGAACGATGAGGACGAAGACGATTTCCTGTCGGTTAAACGCGTACTTCAAGGCGATGATCTGGATGGAGAGAATGAACTAGCGCCGGGCACTAAGATAATCGAGGGACTCGGTGGTGAAGAGCCATTTGTGGTAGATTCTAAGCGCAGAGAGAAGATGCTTAAGTCTAAAAAGAAGATGCTTAAGTTCAAAGGCAAGGGTGACAAGGTGGTATTCGACGACGATGGCACAGCCCACCATCCATACAGAATCAAAGACGAAGATGACTTCATGCAAGATGGATCCGCGGAGGCTCAGCGACAGAAATTCGTCGAGGACGAAGCGATTAGGGTTAAGGAGGCTGATGTCGATGATAAGCAACTTGCTAAAGATAAGCGACGGGAGAAGAAAGAAAAACGGAAGGCTCGGGAAGCGATGGAAAATGACGAGTCGATGGGTAGCATGCCGAGACTTTCAGGACTCAACAATGGGGAAGACCCCTTGGCTCTTATGGCGTCTTTGCCGACCGCGGGAGAAGGAAGCGAGAGCGAAGCGGAAGAAGAGAGACGGCCGACGAAGAAGGCGAAGAAGTGGTTCCAGGACGACTCAGAGGATGAGGGACAGAAGGCCAAGAATAAGAAGGGTAGTGGAAAAGTCATCGAAGTTACTGAAGCACCGAATACCCTGGAGGACTATGAGGCGTTGGCTACTGGATTGCTTGACGACTAAAATATTTAGGTCTCAATTAATACATTGTAACACAATGCAATTGTCCAATAATATTTGTGAATTAAAGAAATATCCATGGATGGATGTTTTCTGTGAGAGGGTGAACCAACAGCAACATCTGTATCGGCCACATGTTTTCCGTATTAGGCATTGGATGGGTAGCTTTCCGAACCGTTCAACGTGAATCCCGCGATTTGAAGTTGCTTCGGATAGATTAATCTTTCCTGTAATTTGGTACGATATGTAAGGTGCACATATGGGAGGTGGATAGTAACTTGGCATTCTGGACCCTTCGTTGCTATGGAACTTCTGTAAAGGCCGAGTGGACATGATTCCAATGGCTTCTATGGTTCTATCGAGGCTTCGATGCTTCGATTAAAGACCACTGGGAGGAGTTCGGTACCTATCGATAAGCATAAAGGACCGAAGGCAGAAGCTCTTTAAACCTATCTGGACCCTGCGACCCCTCCAAAACCCCTCCATCTCTCCTTCTAACGACGGTAAGAATGGACAAGGGTGCGGTAAAGGGACCCATAAATCTCTTGGTCTTACTGTAAGGCGCGGAACCAACGTCGTATTTAATACTCAACATCTAAGCCTCGATAGCTGATGACCGCCGACAACGAGGTCCACCTTACTCATATAAATCTTGCTACGATAAACCATCGCCGCGCTACCTATGTCGCCTCCGTCCGACGCGACACCGACAACTCTCTCCTAAACCTACCGAACTTAGAGCATGGCAACCGGCGCCTCTTGAATCATTCCCGTCATCGGCGTCACAAGGACGCAAACGTGCCAAAAATATAACCTAAGCAAGAGTTACAAGGCTTTACGGACCGGGCGGGGTCATAGAACATATCCTATAGACTTAGAGGAGAACAGTCGATAAACATATATAACAAGAAAGAACATGTCTGGCCTTCAAAACGGGTCGATCCCGCCTCAAACAAACGGCACCCGGCCTAAAGAGTTAGAGACGTTATGTCGCGAGCTGAAGACCAAAGTCGACACCTTCCTCGACACGCCGACCGAAGACGAAGTCCTCAACTCTGTGAAGAACCAAATAATAGTCGCGAGGGGTGTCATAGACGAGGCATTGCGACGGTATAGGTGCGGTATATTCCGATTATTCCCGCCCGCAATCTCCTTCCTCTTTATACATCGCCAGCTACACAACAGGCTCCACGACGCACCGCATATAAAAGATTGTGAGACAAGCTAACCACACGTAACACTACAGACCAGAAGAACTCTCGCTCTCCTACAACGGCGGAAAAGACTGTCTAGTCCTGCTAATCCTAATCCTCGCCTCCCTCCCCTCCTCCGCGTCCCTGCAATCCTCAACCACAACCACCACCACCACCACCACCCCCCTAACAACCCCTCCCCCGCCCTTCCCACAAAGTCTCCAAGCGCTATACATCCGGCCACACCTCCCCTTCGTCGAAGTCGACGACTTCGTCGCCGCGACATCGACGACGTACCACCTGGACCTGACGACAGCGAACCAGGCGATGAAGCCCGCGCTGACGACATATCTGCGCGAACGCCCCGAGGTCAAGGCCGTGTTCGTTGGAACCCGTCGCACAGACCCCCACGGCGCGGCGCTGACGTTCTTCGATGAGACGGATGCGGATTGGCCGCGCTTCATGCGCGTCCATCCCGTTATTGATTGGCATTATCGGGAGGTTTGGGGGGTGAGTTTTCTTGTTTCTCTGGGTTTTGTATACTTGGGGGGAGGCTAATGATTGATAGTTCATACGCGCCCTGGGAATCCCGTACTGCCCGCTTTACGACAAGGGATATACGTCGCTAGGAGGCATAGACGATACGCATCCGAACCCGGCGTTGAAAGGGGGGAGTAAAGCGGATGGAGGGCAGTTCAGGCCCGCGTACGAGTTGACGGAGGATAGGGAGGAGCGACTGGGTAGGGATCGATAGTGCATTGCACTTTTCTTGAGGAATTAGTCTTGGATTAGAGGTGCGGTGCGTGGACTGCACGGAGACGACGGTATGTAAGCATTAAGCGGGCTTTGGCTATGGGACATCATGTTGGAAATTAACCAACTCCTGACATCACAGGGCACGGAAATGCTCGAATCTCAACTTATCGCAAGGGTCGGATAGAGGTTTGGTAGGCCTTTGAGGTTACCTAGGTACATATATATTTTCCTTGCCTCTCTGGGGTTATATCGAATAGACATTATTACATTATTTATCAAGTCAACGCAAAGTTTCAGTCCATCCGCCCACGGATATTCAAGCGACAAGCACAACCTACGGAATTTCCAATATTACAAGACAGAGTTATCTCAACGAAGAAAAAAAAGTACGGCATGATGCAATTCAGCTCTAACTAGGCAAGACTGTACCCTCAAGTATTTGGTATCATCCACCCGCCCGCCAGCCAGCTACCAAGTTCAATCAATACGTTCACCCCTCCAACTCCGCAAACACCAAAGACACCACACAGAACCGAACGATACCATAACTCCCGAAGCTTGCTTCACCGATCCCCAGCTAGTTAGCTGCGACTACCACTGTGACCCATGTAGTCCAACTAACTTATTCACCCGTTCGATTATCTGCCTGTCTGTCTGTCTTTGTGCCTGTGCCCTGATTATGCTATGTAGTAGTCTCACCCGCCATGTATGAACGTACGAACGTGTTATCGTTGACGTCATTTTGCAATGCACACTGTATTGCCGGAAGCCCATTTTGGGCGATGTGGCTTATGTCTCGGTTGCCTGCATGCTTTCATTACTTCTCCCAGCTTCTTTACTCCCGACCACCCCACTCCTTCCACGGCTCTGTCTCCACGACCTCGCCGTATAACCTCAGGCGGTAGAAGCAGGTGTGGTCAGCGCCATAGTTGCTGATAGCTCTGACCACGACGCTGCTCGTGTGCGCGCGCATCTGGGACAGTTCGTCGCTGAGCTTGAAGATCTGGATGCCGTCGCCCGTGTTCTTGTCCTCGTACTTGAAATGCCCGATCTTGACGTACGCCTCGTTGAGCGTCTTCTCCGGCCCTGTCGGCGGGAAGTTGGTTTCCGAGAAGACACGCACCTCGTCGCGCAGCGTCATTTCTTCGATGGCAGCCCACATCTCGATGTGTTTAGGCATAGCGCCCGGGTCTAGAGTTGAGCCGGGTAGGATGTGTTCCACGACTAGGTTCTGTGGGATGACTTCGCGGCTCAACATTACCTGGACAGAGACTGTCTCTTCCCTCAATCCCCAAGTTTTGGGTCCGGCACAGAAACATTCGCCTTCTTCGGACCAGGGCGACAGGGCTTGCAGAACAGGTTGTGTTGTCCAACCGTCGCGCTGGTACCATTGCTTGGATCTGGGTTTGTAGTAGCATTTCGGTATCTGCCACGGCTTTGAGCTGTATGTTGGGTCAATGACTGCGCCAGAGCCGATACCGAAGAAGTTGACCTGGTTGGCGAATAAGTCGTTCGCGTACCCACGTACTTGGCCATCAAGTATGACCTTAAGCTTAATTTCCAGGATAGCTTTCTGGATAGCGGCATCGCAGATCTTTTTGATTTCTCCTTTTGTTATATTGGGAGACTCGTGGGCTGCCTTCTTAAGTTTCACTATATCTTCCCGGAGTTGCTGGATCTGCTCGTTCACACTCGTGAGAGAATTGCTGATATCTTGTGCATAAGATTGCATTTCTTTCTTGAATAGAACCATAAATTCCTCTTTAGTGATGGCAACTCCAGATACCGCCCTCTTTAACGCCTGTTGGTTTTTACTTATCCAGTTACCCCAACACTCCTCGCAATACTGTTTGGAACCCGCCAAATCTGTGTAGCCCGTAGCGTTTGTAGATTGTGGGGGTTTCAGCAAGTTACTCCCTGTCAACCGGTTTTTGATAGCGAGCCAATGAGCATCCGAAATTCCCGGCGCTTCCTTTTTGGCCTGTTCTAGAGTAAGAATAATATCGTCTTCTCTAATCAATTCTCTCAAGGCATTCCAGAAATCCTGTGATATTTTGTATCTCCCTTTCTTGTCTTTTTGAACGAAGACCTGTTCTGGAATTCTCGGAGCAATATTCTCAGCGAGATTTTCGGCAATCTGCGACGGCTTATCGCCAAATATCCTGCCACTCTGGGATGATGTTGAAGTATAGTCCCAAATTACGCTTAATGGGTTTGGGATTCTCGACGGGATAACTTGAAGGACATTATCTTTAACCGAATCCCACTGAGGCCATCGGATGCCGGACCCACTCGAGACGTTATTTCCGGCTGGTAAAGGACCAAGATGAATGCAGGTTAGGAATACCCAGACTCCAATTAAAATAGTGAGAAACACGAAGATTGCGTCCCACTTCGCTTTAATCCACCTGATCCATAAAGTACGTCTTCGACGAGAAGGTCGAGTAGACCTCGGCGTGCGAACCCCCTGGGGTTCGGTGATTGGGTCGGGCTTCGTAGGGCTTTTTGAAGTTACTATATATTCAGAGTCATCATCGCTATCTTGATCATGGACATAACCCTTTTGAGTGAATTGGTTAGGGGCCTGACTACTAGTCTCGCCAGGATTATTGACAGGAGGGGGTGGTTTATCAGTAAATAACGTTCTCGTGCCCGATTTTGGAGGACCAGCTAGGCTGGCAGCTCTATCTAGGTCATCGATAATTCTCCCCACGGTGACTGGGTCTTTCCCCATATCACGTATCAGAGCCCTGGTTGCTTGGATCTCGGCTGGCGATAAATGATCTAGAGACTTTACAGGCTCACGAGGTCCGATACTTGTTTGCGGTAGTGGTGGTCCCCGCATACCGTAAATAAAATTATTCACTATCTTCCACTCTTCTAAAGATAGTCCTTTGGGTATCGGATTCTCAGATGGATCTAGAATTGTGTTGTCGCTAGAACCAGATCCAACGTTGCGAGGTTTACTGGGATATGTCTCTTCTTCACCAGAGCCGTCATTCGTACCACCGCTCCCGACCGTCGGACCCTTACTTGAACTTTGAGTTATTTTCGGAGACAAGGGCTTAGGCGGAAGTGGCTTAGGCGTGGGTGGCTCATATGGAGCTTTCCCAAATGGATCTTCATCTTCATTGTATGTAAGTTCTTCATGTATCGGTTCTTCATTTGTCGATTCATCGTCTAGTACCCCCTCAAGTACCCCCTCAAATGGGGGAGCCGGCCCAGGCTGGGTGCCTGGGAAAGGAGAAAGTCCAGAAGAAGTCCCAGGTGCGGGTGCCGTAAGTCCCGTGGGTGCTATAGGTGCTACTGCACTCTGCGGCTGAGATGTACCCTGTGATTGAGGTGTATAAACGCTAGCGTCGCTATACAACGTGCCTTCACCGATGAAGCTTTTTGAAGAACTGGGACGGAATGATGTACCGTCATTTGGGTAACCAGTTCCACTCGCTACCCCGAAAAATGGGGTCGAGGTCGAGACTGGCGCTGAGGGCTCTCGGTTATGGATGAGAGAATCCGGATCGGCGGATCTGTACCGTGTAGTAGCGTGCGTTGGCCTTTCTCGGTTGCCTGGGTCAGGAAAGAATTGTTGTCCAGCGAGTGTAGGAATAAAGCCAGTCAGTGCAGGTGTACGGCTCGGAACGTACAAATCGTCCAAGATATCGTCGGTATTTTCATCGTCAATTGCTTGATTTAAGCCTGCTAGGATTGCTGGTCGCTGGCCTTGGGTGCGAAGTGGTGGGTCTAACCAAATATCTTCTTGTTCGTCCGGGTCCTCACTAGCCCTCTCGCCCCTTCTAGCTTCTTCGACAGTCTCTTCTGCAACCTTTTGGAGATCATTCTCCATATTGAAGCGATTGCCGTCCTTGCCCCTCACTCGTCTCGTGAAGCGTCTATCTTCATCATCTTCGTTAACAAGGTCGGATCTAGGCTTTCTACCCCGTCTTCTCCTCACGTTATCAAGATTAACATGAGTATTAACGCCATACGACCCGTCATGCATAGGATATAGACTAGGCAAATCCGCAGATGGGGGTTCAGAATAGGGCGCTTGCCGTGAACCAGGAGTGTTGCTGCCGGCATTTGCACGGCTTCTTGCTCGAGTGTTGCGAGACGACATAGTGGATGTATAGTTCAAATAACCCCAGTAATCTTAGGTGATAGGTAAAAACCAATAATCTGGATGCGAAATTAGTACAAACTAGAAATGACGAAAGCTTTTCTGGGAAGGCCTTTGCGAGAGTGCGAGAATATGAGGGATCATAGGTAAATTAGGTATGAGGATTTATTTAAGAAGCGTGCATCCCGTCTTTTCCTAAGGCGACATTGATAATTGTTCAATGTGCAGTAAGAAAAAAAAAGGATGCGCATGCTACTATAGTGCGTGACCATAGTACACCTCAAATAATGAATGTGAATATGGATGGGGTGGCGTAGGTGAAATAGTGAGGTAGTGAGGTGAGAGGGGACTAAGCCTTACCTAAGATTACCCCTACCGCTAGATCTTCAACTGCAGGTAAGGTGACGATGCTTCATGTGAATCACAATAATTCACGATGATGGATCCGAATGGGAGAGGCGTTTTTGGTCGATTAGGAATAAATTCCGATGAAAGATGTAAAATCAAAAGGACGACAATTTTGGTGGAAGTAAATGTAGATGAATAGTTTTGTTCATTCCCAGCCACCTTGCCTAGGAGTTCAAGATCCAAAGACCTGACTCGATGCTGTGATTCTGAAAGCGTTCGGGTAGGAAAAAAATGTTGTAGTGCTTTGTTAACGTATACCGCTGCACATATGCGGAACGGTTACCGGGTGCGGTAACGCATGTGGGCGTTTTCTAGGATGCATAAAGATGCCAGCCGGAGTTGTCGAACTGAGATGCGACTCGACGAGAAGTTTCCGAAGACGGGTTAAGACATGGGACGGACAATGACTTTCTTTACACTTTAGTGCATCTAAAATGATCAAAGAAATGCCTGGAATGAAATTATCGGCATCGAGGTAGCAGCATCATTCATAAGTGGACGTCTTAGATTGGAGGAATGAGATATTGTACTTGTCCGGTCGCGTCGCGTGGCCTACCATTTAATAGGCAAGTATGAAGTAAGTACTTTGTATCTCCGGTCAGGTCTGCGTGAGTTGGCAAGGTTCACCCGCCACAGGTTAAGCCACATTCCTTGGCAATCGAACCCCTAGGCAATTTAAGTACGTACCTGCATCCTATTAAAGACTTGAACCTTGAACGTTGATTGAGCGGAACATTAAATTCATCATCATCCAATGCACGCCATTCAAGCGGACCAATTCTTTTAAACATTTGGGGAATATTCCTAATTCTTAGGGCATTTACAGAATAAAAACTGACAGTTCTCTCTTAATTGCCCAGGTGGTATCTCTGTACCGAATTATACCTAGGTATTGTACATACGAAGAATTCCTAGTCCTAACCTAGGTTTAATATAATGTACTCAAAGTCGTCGAAAATATCTTTGTCATTGTAAACAAAAGACTCGGCAGTTGCCCTCTACCTATGTACCTAGTACCCATATATATGCAGGCAGTACTCATCTCACCATTGATGGCAGTTCATATTAAAAGGATAGAACTAAAATGCTGATGCTTCTAAATCGAGGATTACCATTATTGTTACTATTATTCGTAATGGCAGAAAACTAATATATTAGCAAGCTGCTTATACTTACCTCAACCTCGTAATGGAACAAACATCAATACCACCACAACGAAAGATATCTATAAAAAGACGCTGCCATATTTACGCATGTTACCTCTCGTCAACTTACTTAGTACTAGGTAGTACCTATCACTTACTTAAACAGCACAGAATGTTTTAACCAGTTAAATTCCCTTTAGCAACGACAACTATACCTAGTACTTACAGCGTTGATCTGACCCGTTTGTTTGGTAACTTTTGGCGGGTAATCGAACGACGATTAATACTTCGCAGTAGTGCTCCTGTCTTAGTACCTGATAGGCTGTAAACCTTGTCTTTACCAGTTAAATGGTGTGTGATAAGTTCCGCTAACTGATGCACCTAAACCGTGATACTGTGCAACCCCATGCCCCGCAACTACCTTACCACAGTATCAAATTGTCTGATTTACTGTTACGATGCCTGTCAGATAGAGGGGCAACCTTGCAACCCCTCCAATTCAAGGTTTCGTCCAATTTTAAAATGGAGATCGCTGTTGACCGCCGCACCCTCAAAAGTCGCGACTTCGCCCACAATCATCACACAACATCTTCTCCCCTTTATAGACAATAATCTCTCTCTTTTACGCTTTGAATCATATCAATTGGTCTTTTTTACTCGTTAAAATGGCTGTAGGAACCGTTCTAATCACCGGGTAAGTGTTTCTCCCTCTTTATTCCGTCCGTGGGAGCTCAATCTATTTCCTCGTTAATTGCCCACTTTGTAAGACGACGACACTCCTGAGCAAACATGATTATGACGGAGATTGAGATTGATATTCCATGCTAACATTTTCGCATAGTGGTACAGGTTACATCGGATCGTTCACCACTCTTGCGCTACTCGAACACGGTTACGAAGTCATCATTGTAGACAACTTATACAACTCTTCCGAGGTCGCCCTCGACCGTATCGAGCTCATTAGCGGCAAGAGACCTGCTTTCTATAAGGTTGACCTTACCGACGAACCTGGTCTTGACAAAGTATTCGATGCGCATCCTACAATTGACAGTGTCATCCACTTTGCTGCGCTCAAGGCAAGCTCCTCGATTGTCGATCATCGATACCAAGTCGCTGACCTACGATCCAGGCTGTCGGCGAATCTGCCGAAATTCCTCTTGAGTACTACCGTGTAAATGTTGGAGGCACCATCTCCCTTCTCAGCTCTATGAAGAAGCACGATGTCAGCAACATTGTCTTCTCCTCCTCCGCGACCGTTTACGGTGATGCTACTCGCTTTGAGAACATGATCCCTATCCCTGAACATTGCCCAATCGGACCAACAAACACCTATGGTCGGACTAAGGCCATTGTCGAGAACATAATTGAAGATTTCATTAGTGCGCAGCGCCAGAACCTGAAGAAAGCCGACAAGCCGTTTGAGCAATGGAACGGCGCTAACCTGCGATATTTCAACCCGTGCGGTGCGCACCCCACCGGTATCATGGGCGAGGACCCCCAAGGTGTACCATACAACCTACTACCTTTGCTAGGTAAAGTTGCAACTGGCGACAGACCTAAGCTCTTGGTCTTTGGCGATGGTGAGTTGAAATTCTGGGTAGAGTTTTGATAATCGGGGCGTGCTAATATACTTTTCGTGCAGACTATCCTTCCAGGGATGGAACTGCAATTCGTGATTACATCCACGTTGTAGATCTTGCTAGAGGCCATCTAGTTGCCCTAAATTACCTCCGAGAGCACAAGCCTGGCGTCAAGGCGTGGAACTTGGGTTCCGGCAGAGGCAGCACAGTCTTCGAGATCATAAATGCATTCAGCAAGGTCGTTGGCCGTGACTTGCCATACGACGTGGTACCGCGAAGACAGGGTGATGTGTTGGATCTAACGGCAAACCCCACCAGAGCAAACCAGGAATTGAACTGGAAGACTGAGCTTACCATGGAGAAGGCATGCGAAGACCTTTGGCGATGGGTTTCGAATAACCCTAAGGGATACCGACAGGAGCCCCCGGCTGAGTTGCTGGCTAATGTCAAGGCTAAGGCCTCTTAGGTCCCTACCTAGGTAGATAATTACTAGGTAGTGATCGGTGAGTAGATGGCTAGTTACCTTGAGTCGCTGGTCTGATTTGGTAAGAGAGCACCATTTGCATGGCCATGCAGTGTAGGAATTGCCAGTTTACCCCATAGAATAGACCCAAAAATATCACGTCAGTTTCAAACTAAGAGATGCCCAACCCCAAGCATAGATCGAAAAGAGAGAATAAACAAGTCTATTAAGAATGCGGTGACAATTAATTACCAGGTTATCTCCGGGCTCTAGAACCTTGAATACTACATGTAATGTAGAACGCCTTTATGTAACCGGAAGTCGTCATCAAAGACAGCTTTAAGCTTCTTCCCCCATCCCCCATCCCCCCTTCCCCCAATTTACAATAAGATGCTTAATAAATGGGGTTTGTCCACGCTATCCCCGCAAGTGATTGCCTCTTATTAATAAATGATTGATTCAATGATGATCTTCTAAATTCGACATAGCCACAATTTGTTTATGACATGCTTAGAGACAATTTGTCCAAAGAGGCGGGGTCGAATCAACGACTCTCGTTGTCCTCGTTTACACACTAGTAGGGCCGATCTTCTCGGCCACTTGCGCGTTGTACGCAACAAACTGTAAGTGGTTCTTTAGTGACTGCCTAGAATGCCAATCCACCATGCCGTAGAAATTGCATCTGAATGAACGAATGAGATACAATGGGATGCGTGGCAGTTCACGGCGGCACGAGTTTAAATGGGAATCTTCGTCGCAAACAAGCTTTAGACGCGCTGCCGGTTGCGCAATGTGACAGATGGGAAGGGGCAGTGCAAGAAGAATCGATAAAGGCTAAAGCCAAGGAAAATATGGAGATGAACAGAAAACTAGGCGGATTTAAGAAAAGTGAATGGCTGATTGGTTGGAGGAAGGTTCCGTTTCACAGCCACTATCGAAGATCCACTTGACGTCCCTGAATGTGGCTTAAGCTTCCCCTTAGAGCTGTCTCGTCTCAGTTGGAAGCTCGAAAAGACTTGAAACATCCCATCGTATTCATCTTTTTCTTTTGATTTCGCCTTTCCAGCCTGGCTAGCTACCTTTACATTCGTTCTTTTCCCCCTCTCGCCTGTATATGACACATCACGGTGAATTATAATCAATTACTTATTTTGCATCAATTGGAGTATTTGGAATCGTCATTTGTTACCTAATTCTGTTACATACCGGAGTACTGAAGCCGACATCTTCGTGCCTCGTTATTATCTCTTACCATCAGACGAAATCGAAATAAGGCTATGAGATACATTCAATTCTCGTGGACGTATAATTATCTTAATTATCAGGCTCGAATATTTAATCAGAATTGATTGATATTATCTACTCAGTACCTACTTTCCAAGGTTGGTGTTGTAAGCAAGGCACGTACTGGTACTTACCTAGGTACCTAACTTGACGTTCGAGGTTGGGTCGATCTCCACAGTAGGGGACCGCATCCTTCCGATGCCACATGCCTGGACTCATTAACAACATGGAGAACTCTCCTATCCTGGATGAGAATAGGCGAACGCGACTTCAATTGCTAGGTGAGGAATGGGGCATAACATGTCAGCCGGTATCATCACCTTCGCCTAGACCTGATCATCCACCATCTTACCGGACGGACAACGACGACTTTCTTGCAGACGAACTCCTCAAGAGACAGCGCACGAATGAATCCCAAAATGAGAAATCCAAAGGTGGCCTTTCCCGTGCCTTCACGACTAAGAAGAAAACATGGGAATATAAAGAGATTTATAGCGCTCTCATAGCTCATATCACCAATCTAGGGTCACCGGGCGTTGCAGAGTGTTTGATATTGAGACTAAATCTAGCTGGCGGTAACCTCAACTTGGCACAGAAGAGTCGGACCAGTTTGTTAAGCAGAAGGAAAAGTCTCGATCTAGCCGAGCGCAGCCAGGTACTCCAAATCGCTGTAAAGAATAATCACTACGAGATGGTTGAAGTTCTCTTGCCGTACGCCGATGCTCTAAGCTTAGATACCGCGTTGCCTAGCGCAATCCGGAACGGAAATGCAGGAATTGCTTCGCTCCTTATACGATATGGTGCTAGTGCAAGTCAGACGGCGGATGGTCAAGACGCATTTCGGCAAGCCTGTGTTGTTGGTGGGCAGCCCGACTTAGTTGCCCTTGTTCTAGGTTCTGAAGGCCGACCATCTGCGGCGTGGTTGTCACAATCCATGGTCGAGGCAGCGAAGGCTGGATGTCTTGGTACAGTGATCCATCTTAGCCAGTCAATAGCGGATGGAAATCACGATGGTGCTGCAGCCTTAAAAGCTGCTATCGCCCTAGGACGGAGGGACATTGCTCTCGCCATCGTTCTCGGCAATAAGCGACCAACACAGCCTGGCCTTAATGAAGCTTTCGATCAACTCATGACCCATCAAAACATTAACCCGAACGAGAAGATAGCGATGGCGGAGATTTTATTATGTGCTGGGGCAAATGGTGATTCGGTATCAAAAGCTCTAATCCACGCGTGTAGCACGTACTTTCTTGAGATGGTACACCTACTCATCTCTTACGGCGCCTCCATCGAATATCAAGATGCGATTGCAGTTCGCAAGGCAGTATCTAAAGGCAAGATCGATTTGGTGGAAGTGATGTTAAATGGGAAGTTAAAGTTCAGTTCACAATACGCATCGGAGTGTGTAGAACTACTACCGAAGAAGATGAGGTTTGAGGATAGACACACATTGCTAAATCTTCTGCTTCATAAAGGCGCAGCCGGCGCACCGCTAGACGAAGCATTAATTGATGCGGTGGAAACAGGCGACCTCGAAGCAGCAAAATTACTTCTTACTCCGTTGTTCCCTGGTGGAAAGATTGTCGGAAGCAAGGATATTCGAAAAGGTCCTCGAAGTATGATATTCGAACGACATGAGACTTCGTCAACAGATCATAAAGGTGCTCTGGCGTTACAAATCGCCGTGAAGAGGGGAGATATTGCTATTTCAAACTTGATCCTATCAAACAAACCACCCAGTCCTGTTGCACTAGCACAAGTCTTCCCTAGCGTACGGAATCTGCCATCTCTCGAACGGTACCAAATCGCGGAGATGTTTCTAAGAGCAGGTCTTACTGGGCCATGTGTGCATTCCGCCTTGGAAAATGCTATCGACGAACGGCCACCACATCGCGACGAAAAGCTGATCGCGCTTTTTCTCCGCTATAATGCTGACGTTAACTTCAACGAAGGGCATACAATCACCGCAGCTATCTCGCAAAATGATACCCGATTATTAGAAAGGTTACTCAAGAGCAAGCCGACCATTCAAGTAGCAGCAAGAGCAGTCCATAGGGCAATGCAGGTTGGCGACAGTGCGATACGCTTAGAAATGATCAACATGCTCCTAGCGGCTGGCGCGTCACAAGGCGGTCCCGAGGTGTCCACGTCAGTCGATGTGGCGGTGCAAGCTAATCCTCCAGATAAACGACTACTCAAAACCCTACTACAACAAGGCAATGCCGATGTAAACATCAATGGAGGAATAGCCGTGGAGCACGCCGTGCTGCAATCCGACCCGGAAGTCGTCGAGATGGTTCTTGGTCTAGGGCAGCCCAATGACGAAAGTCTGGAACGAGGCTTGAAGGCTGTCGCAAAGCTCCCAACATCCCCTAATAAAACAGACAAATTGAATTCGATACTACGCCGAACAAGATCGAGCGACACTGTTACTTCGCTGCTTATACAAGAGGTGCAAGCCGTGTTAAAGGTGCCTCCTCACGAGCAAAATTTCTCGTCGATAAAGGTCTTGTTGGCAAATGGCGCTGATATCAACGCTATGAACGCTGAGGCATTGTGCCGCACGATCGCTGCAGCAAACATGCAGTTAGCAGAGGTTCTATTCGCTACTAAACCGAATGCCAATTCAATGGCATTTGCTATGCCTCATGCTCTCCGTATTCGCGATTTGATGGATAGACTAACATTCACGCAAAAGATCCTAGAGAGCGGTATACAACCAAACGAAGTAAATAGGGCCCTCGTCTTCGCCGTTAACACCTACCCTGATGATATACCCTTGATCAATACCCTCTTGGCCGGCGCTGATACACGTGATGGCCAAGCCCTAATGGAGGCAATCAAGAGGGAGAAACAAGATATTGTGGAATTAATCTTACGCAAGAAGACTTTTCCAGTCGAGATTCTCAACACTGGCTTCACACATGCGACGAGAGGCAAAAACAAGAGATCGAGGAGTATGTCTTCTATGAATTTGTTAAAAGCCGGTGCATCAGGAGATGTAGTATCAGATGCGTTATTAGCAGCAGCGACAGATGGCGACCTAGATTTCGGCACGATCTTAGTACAGAACGGTGGCAGTGTAGAGCACAAGGACGGCCAGGCGATTATAGAGGCCTGTAAATCGGGGGCCGTCGAGGTTCTAGCAATGCTATTAGCAGGTAATTCTAAAGTAGCAGAGAAAACGCTACAAAGAGGCTTTCAAGCCGCTACGCAAGTGGGAGACCTAAAGAAGCGGGCTGAAGTATTCAAGTTACTGCTACAGATGGGTGTTACCGGAGAAGTGGTTGATTCCCAGCTTATATCCGCCGTTAGGTACGGTGACGATGGGAAAGACCTAGTGACACTTCTGCTGGTATATGGAGCAAGTCCCGATTATAACGACGGGGATGCTGTCGAAAAAGCGGCAAGAAGCGCTTTCTTAGGCAACTTGGAGATGTTATTGGGTATAATCGACGTCGGGGGACGTCAAAAACGCCCATCTTCTCATACGTTAGTTCGCGCAATAGATGCGTGCTGGGACCTTAGCAGGGACACGAGGTTTACCGTCTTGAATTGGGTATTTAAAGTAGGAAAGCCTGTCCCCAGCGCCGTCCATAATGCATTAAACCGCGCAGTCAACGAAGAAGAACCCGAAGAAAGACTCATCGAATTACTCATTAGTAATCGGGCATCTCCAGCTGCGAACGGCTGCCAGACTCTGATTGATGCGACAAAAACTCTAACACCCGCGGCCTTCGCTAATCTTTTGGAGTCGCGGATAACTGCCGAAGATGCTTCTTTAGTATTTAGCAAAGCATTCGTGGCTGAAAATGTCGCCTCATGGCTATCTAGTCGTGGTTATGAAATTGCGAAGCACCTACTTGAGAAAGGCGCTGCTGGTGATGGGGTGGGCGCCGCGTTCGCTGCAGTCCTGGGTCTATATGTTGAGACACATGCATCACTGGCCAACAATTTTGTCGACTTGCTCCTTAAATATGGCGCGGACGTTAACTATAACAACGGAGAAGCATTTCAAAATGCGGCTGCTCAGGGAGACCCCGATCTTCTGAAGAGATTATTACGAGAGAACCCAAATGCACAGGCAATGACGTTTGCGTTCCCTCGGATCTTCGATGCCACTGCATCTGAAGATGATGTGTACGACCTTATCACGATATTCATAGAACACAATGACGGTCAAAGCCAGATGGACGTTGCATTCACTCAATCTGACTCACAGCCCGTCCTCATCAGAGCATTATGCCAATTCCCTCGATCAACGAAGATCCTCGGTGCGCTTTTAGATGCTGGTTTCTATCACGACCAGATGACAACGTGCAAAGTGATGGAGGAGGTCGATGAAGAGCCCGTGACACTTCTAATGTGGGCGCTGTTACAGCCCCAGAAGAAAATCAGCAGCGGAGTAATCAACTTATTAATAGAAAGAGGTGCTAAGGTGAATCACGAGACACCTATTTCCCATGTCACGCCTCTAATGTTGGCCATACAATGTCATCGCCAGGATATCGTTAAATCCCTGTTATTGGCAGATGCCGATGTTGACATAACAGACGCTACAGGGAGGTCTCCATTGTCGATGGCGTCTGCCGTTGGCGGTGATCTAGCCATTACCATGATGTCGAACTTGCTAGCCGCAGGCGCTTCTAGGAACGACGGTTCGCTCCACAACGCAGCTCGAGAACTCAATCTGCAAGCCATGCAAATTCTAGTTCAATATAAACACGACCCTGATTTCCCAAGTTCGCTCCATGATGGACGTAGTGCTCTTGGTGAGCTATGCCTCCACGCTGCCGACGTAGGCGAAATTACTCCTCGTCGAGAGAAAGCAATGGAGAAGGCGATCAACTTCCTTCTTGCAAGTGAATCCGACGTTACCCTCCAATCTAACGGTAAATCGGTTCTACTTTTAGCGTTAGAGTCGGTTGACCCCCTCACTACTACGAAAGTCTTATTACGAGCAGATATGTGGAAATTCATCAACAAACCCTTCAATTACTACTCCGACGGCAAATACACATATTCTCCCACTATGTACGTCCAGCGCGTATTGCCAGACTCAGATCACAAGTCGCAACTCCTAGCATTACTACGGGCGAATCGTGGGATCGATGTTTACTATGCCAATACCGGTCCGCAACCCGACGACGCCATAGGCATGCCTACAAGCGTCCAGCTTGAGGAACAAGAACGAAAATCACGCTTAGCCCGCCTTCAAGAAGAGAACGAAGAACATACTCGCGCCATCCAGCGGAACAAGGAGCTTGCCGCAGTACAGGCACAGATATGGGCTAGCCAGGCAGAATTGGAGGACGCGCGCAAGAAGAAGTCGCACAATGCGGACTTAACGGCGATTCAGGAGCGCGCACGCGTCGAGGAAGAACTCTTCAATTCGGCGATGCGACAACAGCGCACGCGCCATATAGTCGAGGTTCAACACCAGGAGGCGCTTACCCACGCAGGGCTAACCCGGGCCCAAGCCATCGCGGACGCGGAACTCGCAGTTGAAGCGCAGAAACAGAGCCGCATGCTCAAATGGGAGCGCGATATGGGTAGCGAGCGCGTGGGCAACGCGAACCAACTGAGCAGTATCAGACTCAGAGAACGAGAAGAGCTGGAGATTTTGGATAAGGCTGCGGATCAAAGGCTCAAGGTCAGGCTGCAGGAACAGAAGAAATTGGTCGATAGCCAGAGTACGCTGGCGGCGAACATTGCGGGCGCTGGATCGGGCGCTAGAAGGCAGATTGGGTACGTTAGTGGGGAGCTCGGGCCTGATTAGGCTTGCTTTTAGCGTTGGAGCGGGGTGTATGGGGTTAAAGTTTTGGAAATGGTGCGCAAGATTTTGGAGTCGAGAATGCATTTTGGGGCTCCTGACATATTTGAGAAGAAACTACTTCGTGATATTGAAGATATGAAGCTACTTTGCGAGAGTAGGGATATCCGTGGGCTTGCTGTTAAGAGAATAGGGATATATAGATCAGTTATTCTATATGTCAATTGAGATAATTGATGGATACCATTTGAGATGGATGTTTCGATTCATTCCCCCAGAGCTATTTGTGTTGTTGCGACGAGAACTCTAGCGACCTGCTAGGGGTATTATTGAAGATGGAGTCGCCTGAGAGCTCTGTATTTACGGGCGAGCTGTTTTGTTTAGGGATGAATTTGGGGTTGCTGTGGGTGGGACTACGATAATACGGTCCTCTTACAAAACCGTCCCAAAAAATCAGTAGGTATTATACCTAGGAGGTTTAGTGCTCCAGGGCTGTATACATCCTGTATTTTTATCGTTTAATCTCTTCTGGGGCTGTAGTAGTAGGGGATTTGGCGCTGGAACTATGGAGAGTTAGTGATCAATTATGCTGAGCAGTTTTGATTACTGGCCCACTGTTCCCGGCAACGGTTCAGCAACAGCTTTCAATGAGGTGTCATAAAAGTGAAGCTGCTGCCTATGAGCATGCAAATAAGGCTTATATGTGACATGAAGATTTTCATATTATCAAGTACCTAGTATATTAATAGGTAGAACGAGAAGTTGAAGCCATTATCGAGCGCGACTGTTATTAGGTACTAGTGGATTTTAAATATGGATAGCGCTAACGCCCCTGTAGAAACAGGGGGCTTGGCGATGGAATACAGTGCTTGTGCACTATGGACAATGTACCTAGGTAGGGAAGTAAGGTTGGATTTTAGCACCAAATCGCCCGCTATCTAGCACTTACAAATAGCCTGTCCATAAGGAAGATTTCGTTGATACCTGGTATTTGACCTAGAAATTTTCATGTGACTCATCATGATATGTATTCTAGTCACCTAAATAACGACGAAGTTGTGGTTGGTTAATTGACATTCGGCAGGAATGTAGAGTAACGAAAGTCCTATTACCACATCATCCCACCCTAGCCTAAAGCCATGAAGTTGAACTATAGGAAGCTTTCGAGAGAAGTAGCACCCATAAATCAAACCTGAGCTTCGATTTCATCCCACGCGCAAGTGAAGTTTTCCAGGGCATCTTCAAGAGCTTCTACTGTCAGAGGTGTCCCCGTAGCCTGACAAATAATCGTTGCGCAAGAAATCGTGTTTTTGATCTATTTATGTTAGTATCTAGCTTTCTTTCGTATCTATGTATTCAACAACTTACCTCTCGACCATTGATTTCAAAACGAGCGAGTCCTTTTAGGGTGTCCTGTTCGAAGTCCGGTAGGAAGTTCTTCCAAATTGCTAACCGACTTTGCTCATTCAAGGGAAGGTAATTGAACTTGAAATGAATGCGACCTAAATAGGCACCCGTTAGCACAGAGTTGGCTATCTAATAAATTGGTTGATATGTGAAAGTTGGACTTACTCTTGAAAGCTTCATCAATGTCTTGGTGGCGGTTCGTAGTCAAGATAACTATACCTTGGAAGTATCTTGTAGGCGTCTGTTAGTACTACCTAGGAACTTATTTCGACTCAGATTGACTTACTCTAATCTTCTCAAAAATGCCCCTACTAGTACGTTCTCTTGAAGTTGACCATCTACTCGTTTCCGGAGAAATATTTCGGCTTCGTCAATCAACAGCACACAGCCCCACCGGCGAACCATTGACATGATCCTACTAAGCTTCATGTCAAGTTCTTTGGCGTCAACACCTAACTCACCCGCATTGATGATATAGAGTGCCCTTTCAGCCAATTCAGCTACAACTTCCGCTGTCAATGTCTTGCCGGTTCCTGGAGCACCACTAAGGAGTCCGACAAGACCTTTTCCTTTCCCTTGAATGATATCATCGAACCCGGATTTACAGGACCCATAGCCCTTAATCAGAGCCGAGATAAGATTTCGCCTCTTCTCACTCACGACTAGCTTGTCGATGGCATTTGTATCCCAGGTGACATCCTCCAGTCGAGTGATGGCAAAACCTCCCCACTTCTTTTGGTCAAAACTATAGCCTAGAACACGGTGATTGCAGAAGATGAGATTTTCGTCAGATATGTTCTCTGGTAGAATATGCTCGAAGACAGTGGGTAGAAGGAGGTCATCATTCGGAAGATTCATTCTGAAAGCGACTGTGTCGATCATGACCTTCCCGCTAGAGTAGAATTTCTTCAGGAGCCATCTCATACTTTCAAAACGGCATTCGACACCCATGCCCTCATATTCTTTGCATGAAGGCTCCTGTAGGCATATGTAACTTTTACCTCTATCTTTCAAAATACCAAGTAGATTGGATGCATCGGGATGGAAACGCAAGGGGAAAGCTGAGAGATTGGTGATTGCCTTTGTTCCACTGAAAAACGGAATCCGGAGCGTATTTTCACCCCAGCCAAGATTTCTCCCGTCGTGATTGATCATGGTAGCCTCAATCTGGTAGAATGTTTCCTGATGCTCTTTGATGTCTATAGTCGTTCCAGTGCTAAACTTATACGCCTGTGGTACATCCAGATGCTCGCATTGCTCGATGATCACACAACCCGGTGGGAATAAACTCCACAGATGCTTGAAGGTTATCTTTCCTTCTTGGTGTAATGATTGGATCTCAGATCTATCTGCACCATAAAATTGGTCCACAAACTTGTCCACTTCCTTTATATCATCCAGAGTTTGCGATCCTTGCGATTTATCTGCCCCTCCTTGAGCCAGGTATGCGCTGGTCAACAAAGGGGCAACATGGAATAAAACTTCTGGTTTGAACTACTAATGAATGAGAATGGGTTTATTTGACGGATATTCGGGGGATGCTTACGGTGGGTGGTACCTGATGCACACCTTCGCATCTTGTATCTCTGAGCACACTTTGGAAGAGATCTACCAGGTTTTGAGACTTGATTTTTACAGAAGTCTCTTCTGGGATTTCCCTGCGGAAATCGATATCTCTTTGCACGACGAGTGAATATCCTTTGAAACGATCCTTCTTTGGAGGATGTGTTGTCTTGGCAAAATGCCATTGACGATCTTTCCTACGGTTACTGTCAGCCTTCACAGGTAGTGAATACCCTGATAAGCAATACACTTACCGACTATAAACTCGGTCAACTAAAAATGTTCCCTTTGAAACCAGTGGCATGGTTTCTCGAGTATCTGTCTCCATGATGACTACCTGTTATGAATAGTACTATCCATAATATGACAAAGGTGAATTGAAAACAACTGAAGAGGCAGGCTCCGGGGTCCAGATCAAGATATAACAAATTCTCGAGCCTCGAGGCTCTGAGACTCCGAAACAAGTATATACCTAGGTACCTATCTATCTATACATTTGCGTTGATCTTTTGGATGAGACGTTCTTCTGGTCTCGAGTACCTCTCCATCCCCCCCTTCATTGGTGTGAAAAGGAGGGGTTAAAGGAGGCGAGGCTATTCGAGGCTATGTTAACTCGTGTGCATGAATTTGATTTGTTTACCTTTATGCAGGCTCTGTGATCTAAGGCAACTGCTTACCATGAGTCATAAATAAGGATGGTGAGGCATATTATCTCAATCACTGTGCATGATAAGGCTATCAAGGCAACGACAATCTAGTCCGCGCGATCCGGCTCTCCTCGACTACTCAAATCACATACACACAGAGTTCAAAAATATGTCTTAAACGTTTTCTTTCCCATCTTACCTTACATGGCAATTTGTAACATTTGTTTCGCGATTTCAAGATTTTGACTTCATAAGAAATTCCGCGCAGTATAGGTAGGTAGTTTGAGAAGGTAATTGCTGTCTTTATTACGAAATATCAATGAACATGAACCCTCCCACTACAGCATTTGGACATGCGATCCAGGCAATTCTAGATCAACCAACAAAGAAACGACAACCGAAATTTATTCAATCATACCGCAACAACGGCAATGTCCTTTCGGCCAGCGATGTGAATGATCTATTGGTGGGAATGGAGAAGGATACGAGTCAGAAAGGTATCAAGAAGGTTCTAAGGCCGGTTTTTGAAGCTATACGCGATTATGATGCCGTTATTACAACGTTGGGTATGTTTTATATAAGGTAGTGAAAAGTAGGTAACTATTGAACGTTTAAACTAACATGTTTATCATCTAGTTAATGCGTATCCAATGCCTTGCGCCTTGATTTGGGGGGGCTTCAAGGCTATGTTAGAGGTAAGGAAAGCTATTTAGTTGTCAATATCTGTATAATGGTACCTACGTACTCATGCTTACTTCCACAGTGCTTTAGTAGATACACTATGGTTTTTGATAGAATCGAACAGCAACTCAAAAGTCTAACCCAACAGCTCAAACGCTTGAAGGACTATGAGTCTCTATTCAAAGAATCTATCGACATGCAAAGTCTCCTAACTGAGACTTACATCAATATCATACAGTTCTGGGCACAGGTCGAAGAACTCTGTTCAAATTCAGGTATGGTAACTTACTGCTTGCTCTGGGACAGGTTGGCTCACTTCTATGCAGGTCTCACTCTGGCTATAAAATCGATAACTTCGGTATCACTGAAGAAATTGAATAACATCGTAGAAATAATCACAAATTGCACCAATTCTATTGTTCAGATAGTCCCTATAGTACAAGAGGGGATTCGAAGAGGGGAACATGAGCGTATCGTTGATGAGCACCGGAAGAATGGGGCTGTACTAAATGAATGGACCCGACTTCAAAAGGAGGAGCGCGTCGGTACGTATGTATTTGAGTACTTTGATGGTGATATTTACTAACTGCGCCAAAGAACAAAGACGAAGGACTATAGATTCGTGGCTGGGGGGAACCACATTACTAAGCAACAATTACAGACATCAACAGAATGGTGAAGAAACACTCCTTCCTGGCGCTGGTGAGTGGCTCATTGAAGACTCATCATTTAAGGCGTGGTTAAGCCAGAATGATGGATCAAACATGATATGGCTCCATGGTGCACCAGGCTCTGGTAAATCTGTCATATGTTCTCGAGCAATCATGGAGGCAAGGGCCAGGTCTACAAATCAGCCAGCAGCCGTTGCCTTCTACTACTACAGTTTCGACCAGGATGACGACTCTTATGTGGCTACAGTATACAAGAACGTCGCAGCACAATTATTCCACGAGTTAGTTGGACCAGATGATATCTCGGATCTCTTGATCAACCTTACGAAGTCCGCTGACAACGAAGGAGCACTGAGAGAATTCATCCAAATATTACTCATGAATTCGACACAGACATATATATTCCTTGATGGAATTGATGAACAGCTTAGACACCCTAAACGCTGGGAGAATGTGAAGAGAGCTCTTCGGTTCTTCGTGGGCCTTGCGCAACAGCCCAATGCTCGATTGAAGTTGTGGTGCAGTTCACAAGACAGGCAAGGCATTAGAGATGAGCTTCACAGCTTCCAAGAAGTAATTGTCAACGAAAACACAAACATCAAGGACATTGACGCATTCCTTGATGTTGGCCTCAAAAAGCTACAAAGCACATTCTCGACGCCTACAAGCCACTCCATGGCCCCGATTCTTGAACGGCTCAAAGGAAAAATCCACGGGAACTTCCTTTGGGCTAGCATGATGCTCGAGACTATCCGTGGCGCAGTGAGCATAAGAGATGTCCGACGGATAATCAAACAAGGCCTCCCCAAAAACTTTGAGGTTTATCTGACGCAGCAAATTCGTAACCTTAGATGGTCCCCATCCACTGTGTAAGATTACAGACAATCAATATCTGCCTACCTCTATTGACATACGCACAGGAAGATTCTATCAATCTTAACGTATGCGAAACGACCGCTATTCCTTGAAGAATTGTGTGAGGCGATAGAGGTCTCGGATACACCATACGGAGAAAACATTGGAGGTGACGGACAAGTCTTCCAGAACCAAATCACATATCATTGTGCACCCTTCATTCGCATTGACCAAGTCATGAGCAAGCCCCCAAAGCAGCTATGCAGACTATGTCATTCATCTGTGAAAGAATTCCTCATCCAAAACCCAAAAGTTCTTGGGCATCCAGGCGACATTAATGTGATAGAGATAAGCCCGATCATATTGGCAGAGTCTTGCTTAAGATATATGCAACAACCAAGATATTCCGAACTTCTCCAAAGAAAGAGCGACTACCTTTTCACAACTTCTTGGGGCGAAGACATACGAAACCAAAATTTACTCCTATACTGCGCCAAATTTTGGGGGCGTCATTTGGAAATGGTGACATTTTCTCAAGATCTAGGTTGGGAGCTTGAGAAATTCATCACATCTCGAAATTTTCTGACATGCATTCAAATTCAAAGTCTATTTATTGACGGTAGGTCGTTTTATACGAGTCAATCGATTTACCTCGGGGGCTATCTGGGTAGTATGATCTAACAAGAAAATTAGGTTGCTTTTCTGCCTGCATCAATAGTTCATGGCATGGCGATAAGTGTGTTGTTAGGCTCAACGAACTTCCAGAATGGTTTCGTACTAACTACCATGGTGGCGAATGTCTATACCAGCAGTACCGTACTGCTATGGATGAATGGGACAAGTTCCTATATTCCTGCTCCAGTATAACTGGTCCGTTTCCGGGTGAACTAAGAAAAGGCCTTTGGGGAACCCTCGGCACAACTAACATCTTTCACAAGCTGCCTAGTGAATTCAAGGCATATACAATTCAGGCACCAGATGATAGTTCTACAGCCGAAGTAACCATACTTTATGAAAAGGTTATTCCCCTGTCTTCTGAGATACTAATTTTCAAGTCTACCCATGCGTAAGTTGCCTACCCACCCAGATACCTACCTATACATCGTTATTTAATGTGTCCAGTACTAATGGAATGTGTAGCCTAGAAATTTATCCTCAATGGGACATCATATGCGAACAATGGCAATGGAGCAAGAATCACAAGCCAAAGTTGAAGAGGATTCAAGAGCTTAAGATGCCATTGAGCAAAGACGTCCCATCTCCGGCGGAGATACCCTATGATACGTCTATGAGAATGCCTTTCATAAGTCTTTCTAATGACGGGTTGTTCCTCCGAATTGGTCCGGAACTATACTTTCGAAATCGAGAAGGCATATTTGAATCGAGTACCTTGATCGTCAGTAATGGAGCTCGCTATATTCATTCAGACCATAGAGCGAACGTTTTCGTATTCGCCTCACACTACAGGCTTTCGGAGTTATTTGTAGAACCAGCGCAAGATGACGCCGACCTATCCTCTATGAGTATACTTCAGGACGATGACTCAATCTCTTCTGATTCGGGTAGCTTCGGTGGAAACGGAAGTATCAATAGCGTATCTGTAGATTCCGACTTTTATGATGACAGATCAAGCCAATCTCCGATCAATGATTCCCTCGAAGCATCCGTGGGGAGTTTTAGCAGGGCCTCGTCGGATTGGGACTTCTCAGAATCACGCTCCGTCCGTGAGTACTGGAGTGACGGATCATCCGATATGCTTTCTGACGAGATTACGGATGGTATCGATTCCGATTATAATAACGATTTCGATTCCGACCAAGATATTGATACCTATGAATCATTCGAATCACAGGGTATAGAAGGAAACATCAACGACGAGGTCGCAGAAAAAGAGCTTGATCGAATCTCGTTGGCATCAGGGTCTACCTCAGATAGCGTTACAAGCTCACCCCGAATAACTAGAACCGAGATCGATCCTATCGACCCCTTATTGACCAAACAGAGAAATATTATTAAGAAACTTCTACGGATTGATAGTCCAAATACGGAAGCCGAATGTATTAGCGACGTTCAAGTATTCCGATCCGAATCAGGAGGCAAATACATTCCAGTATTCCACTTCTCCCAACGTTCGCGTGGATCACTGATTGACTCGCCTCCAATCATACATCCGAGCAAAGATTTGATTGTCTGGCCCAATGGCGCAGGGGAAGCCATATTCGGGAATTTCAGCGACAAAACTTACTTTGCCTTAAAGCTTAATTCGCTCTCTCATCATTGCCTGATTTCCGTCCAGGGGAAATTCTCACCTTGTGGCCAATATATACACTTTGCTTCGTTCTACGGATGCTTCTGTTCCTGGTTTGACAACAAGGGCGTATTAAAGGATGGAATCGATGGGGAAACTTATACTGGCACTAAAATACTCATTACAACTCATCGACTATCCAGGCGTAAGCCTACTAAGAGACTACCGCGATTGGTGTTCCGGGAAACAGTTCAGGACTTCCCGCATAACATAAAATATAAGACTCCAAATTCAACTGCCCCTTCTCTCGGATTCACTTTATCATGGACGAAGGACCACCTCTTCATGACTATCCATAATGCAGTAAAGCCTCTGCTCAACATACTTCGCATTCCACTATTCCAAGCTGATCCAAGCCAAGAGTCCGCTTATAGAGGTATAGGCAGGGTATGCCGAAATGATGGAATTGTCTTCCTACCAAAATCTTCGGCTAGCCGAGACATTTATTACTTCCCACTCCATGCTACCCACGAGAGTCAGTCCTCGCTGGTGTCTAAACCGAGACAGAGCAAGGAGAAGGTTGCGATGATATTTCTGTCGTCTACCAGTAAGGAAAACTCGCAGATATGGCTCAAGAGTGCGCAAGAGGAACCAACTCGAGAGTCCAGTCCACCCCAAATTGTATTCCTCACTGCATCCCAACTGGGCAATTGGACTCCCGTCCAGGAATCGAAATTCTATAACAAAAAATATTGGGATATTGCTCAAGCAACAACTTCAGAAGGTGATGAGATACGGGCAAAATTCCATGCTGCCAAGTTCTGCGAGACCTGCGGGGAGATTTTGGTGAGATGAGAAATATGCCTCAACCCAACCTCTTCGCGGCACTGAATTTGCAAGATAGGATAACCGAAAGAGTTCCTAAAACTTAAGGGAATCCCGTGCTAGGTATTATGGATACCTAAATTTACCATCACTTTGTTCTTCTCGGAGGAATGCACTAGGTACAGAAATAGAAAAGATCTAAATAGATATTAGACCATTAGCTATCTGAGAAGAATAGGCTACCTAGATGAGATAGTGTGTTGCATTGACGTGGTTTGCCGTCACTCAAACAAGCCGAGAAACGATCTCACGGTGCTATCCCATATGTACCTATTTTCCCGTTACTCCTCAAAAAGGGGCTAAAAGGGGGTGGCTTGTGCCAATCTCACAGCCACAAAACATCGCCTATCGATATCGGCGTTTCCCATTCGGCCGAAATAAGATTCCGAGATGATAAGACAAACGCCGAATTATGTAGCTCATACGTAAGCAGGCTTTATGTTATGTTACACAGTCGGAGTATTGATATGCGAAGCGAGCTCGCGACTCCGAACATTGAAATCTCTCAAACGGGCTCGAGCCCAACAATCTTCCCTCCGAACTTTTCTTTCACGGCGTCGCATCTTCTACAATGGCCTAGATTTTTCACTCTACCTTTTTTCACCTTCAGAGACGTTTCGACTTGACCATGATACCCTCATAGACTTCAATTCCCCGCTTTTAAATCCCCCTGACACAGTAGATTGTACAGTATCTTCCTTACCCGCTTCCGCTTATACCTCACCCATCCATACACCTCGTGAAAGCCTCAGCGCTATTTCACCAAAAATGCCTCCCACCACATCCACAATCCTCCGCGCCGTCTTCCGGCGGCAGCTCGAGCAACTGCGCACAACACGGCTCCCGCGCTCCGCGCCGCGACGCTTCCAGTCCAGCAACTCCGGCCCTAAGCCCAGCGCCAGCGAGACCGCGAAGGCACCGTCGTCGCCAGCAGCCACACCTGCACAGCAACCCGTATCCATATGGCTACGCCTCGGACCCCTAACGCGCGCAGGCCAGGCATATGCGCGTTCGCAGCGGAACCGGCCCTGGGCGACGCAGATCGCAAGCGCGCTTGCCATCTATTTCGCCGCGGACATCAGCGCGCAACGCATCAGCGGCAAGGAGTACGTGCCGGAGCGCACGGTTAGGAATATGGTTATCGGAGCCGTGTCTGCGGTGCCGTGCTTTATATGGTGAGCTACGTCTTCTTCATTCACTTCCCAACTTTACCGACGATAAGCGGGGAAACCCGTGTGCGCTTAAGTCCGAGAGTGGAACACGTCTCTCTAACCAAGACGGCGCTACGTATAGGTTCGTCTGGCTATCGAAGAGCTTCAACTACGGCTCCCATATCGTCTCTATCGGTGTCAAGATTGTCGTCAACCAGATGATCTTCACCCCCACTTTCAACACCTACTTCTTCGGCTCGCAGGCGCTGTTGGCCGGAGATAGCCTTGCTGACACCTGGGACCGTATTGTCCGCACGGTCCCCATCAGCTGGATGAACGCGTGGAAGCTGTGGCCCGCCGTCCTGGCGTTTAGCTTCACTTACATTCCTATTGCTTACCGTAGTGTCTTCTCTGGCGCTGTCGCCGTCGGCTGGCAGACTTACCTCAGCTTTTTGAACCGCCAAGCCGAGATCGAGGAAGAGGTGGCCCACCAAAAGAGCCCTGTAGCTGCGTTACCCACCGTCGAGGCGGCGACCCTAAAACTAGAGCAGAAGCGGCCCATAGCGGCGTAGATTTGACTTCATTTTTCTGTGTACTTAGATGGTAGACGAGCGACACGCATTTGGCAGTAGATGGACTAGGTTTACGGCATAGACTTGGGATTGGTGATGTTCAATATCCACCATTCGGAACCAATAAAATGATAGAGGCTTTGGTGGATCCCAAATTTTATTCATTCGCTCTAAACATCGTGACCCATTTATGAACCTCACGCACCCGCTTGAATCGATACTGACTAAATATTTTCGCTTTTCTTGCCGAGAGCCCATACGTCCGATTAATTCCTGAATATACGATATTTCACAATTTTTTGGACGAGGCTACTTGAGAATTCGGGAACATCGACGAGCATCTTAGCGAACTCATCCACTTCGAATGCGTCTTGGATTATGGCGGCAACGTGAAAGACGATCATCTCTCGAATAGGATCTCCGACTATCGTGTTGTCATAGACGTGCGGTACCAGGTCTGCGATGTGTTTGATAGATTCCAGTGTCCAGTTGTGTGTTTGGAGCAAACTGCTGAGCTTGAAGGTCGTAATCTGTGACAATTTATCGATACAATACTTTTCCGCTAATATGTGAAGATCTGCGTGGTAGAAAATGATTTCTTTCAGGTTTGCACATGATTGAATCCCGATTGGATCTGTCTCGAGCTTCATGCTGTATAAATGAGCCATATCAATCTCGTAGAACCAATTTGCAAACGCTTCTACGACCGTTACCCTTCCATCGAAGCTCCCAGCCTCGGCGAATTCAAGGTATGGACGAACATATGTTTTCTTGTTCCTATACATATCGTAAATGGAATATGGTAAAGTCCCTTGAAGCCCGTTCCATGATGGACCTGGGTATGGCACAAAGGGTCCTTGCAGGGTCGTTAAACCACCTTTTTCACGATTCCAGTCTAAAACGTCTTTGTCGTTGGGATTTTCCGGCTCGACACAGTTGTAATCACCACAATAGGCGAACTGTCTCAGTTGGTCGAATTCTTCTTCAGTTACATCTTCCCAGACCACCTGTCCATCCGCAGCCTCGGAGAAGGGTCCATTGATTAAGACATCGAGGGGTTTTGAGAGGCGGGCAAAGATATCCGCGTGGACAGCGAACTCTTTTTTATCGGGACCAATGATGAATTTGAATAATCGAGTGTTGTATGGAAGACTAATGTGTTGTTAATAAAGTTCTAACATGGCCAACCTGGGATTCTACGGATAACGTACTCGTTGGATGGGGACGACATGTTGACTAGAATAAAACTAAAAAAGATAGATAAAGACTCTTCGGTATTGAATTAAATTGATGTCGTGGTAAACACTACTCTTCGATGTAGATATATTAACTGCGGATTAAGAACTATACGTAGGAAATGAAGATGAGGTTGAGTTGAGAATCAAAATAGGAGATGGTACCAAGGGAAGAAAAGAGTATGGATACCTAAGGCACTGGGTACCTTGGTAGGTAAAGTTACGTCTACTTACGTACCAGTATTAGGCCCGAAGGCGATTCAGGATTGATGTCGTCGCGTCGCGGCTGCCTGAGTAATATTTGAAGTGGTCGAGTGGGTGCTACCATTAGCTATCAGGGGTAATTCCTTCCACTACCTACTAGACTTCTTGGCAGATAGGTAAGTTCTTAGGTACCTGCGCATAGGACAACCGAATAGAAGACATTAGCCTAAGAAACACCACTACTATTGATCTTATAAATAAAGGGGGGTACTACCGCTTAGAGATCTGAAGGTACATAAGTGGTATCTACCTAGGTATGCGACATTATTGTACTGTGGCTTCACCATGGCACTTCCTTGCCATCCCACATCCACATCTTTCCGCTGTGGGTCTCCCTCGTTGCGACGTCGATTACCTTAATCATCCCTTGGACGCTCTGCTCAACCGATATCGCAGCCTCTTCATATCCAAAAGCGTTGGCGCCACGGTTTCCGATATCTGTTTGAACCCAACTGGAGATGAAAACTGTTAGAGAGTTTCAAATACGTCTTAGGAAACTATGAGAGACACATACCCTGGGTCTATAGGGAACGCAATAATCTCCGGCTCCTCCACATGAATTGCTTTCGTGTACCAATGCTGAACTAGCTTAGTTGGGGCATAAGCAGCGTTCTTCATAGGAATCATGTTCCTATGGAAAGTTAGTACATAGGCGCCCTACCAATGGTAGAGGTATCGTTACTCACTAGATATTGTATTAGTGGTTTTGTTTTTATAGGCACATATGATTTATGGAGGTAAACTTGCCGTTAGAAATGCGGCGCCAGAGCCGATAGTAACCCATAATGCATTGGGAGACTTCTTGAGCAGTGGAAGCGTGGCTTGGTAGAGCCAAATGAAGCCATAGATATTAGGGATAACGTGCTTCTGAAAATCTTCAGCCGTAACTTCGGAAACCTTGCACCAGAGATTCGCAACTCCAGCATTCGCGATAACGATATCCAGATGGTCTATGCCGCGAGATGCGAGATGCTTTACCATATCGGCAGCATCGGTCGAGACTGTGACATTATTCTGTACGATGATGAGTGAAGTACCTTCGGCCTTAGGTAAAGTTTCGAGAGCTTTGGAAGATGGATGTTTGATATCTCGATTTGCGGCAATGATGGTGTGATTAGGTTTAGCTAAATAGAGCTCAAGAAGGCCTTTGCCGATTCCTCGGTTGCAGCCAGTAATCAATACAACTTTCGGTGTCATCGTGATTTCAAATTAGATGTCTTGATAGCTGGAGACTCCAACATGATGGAGGGAGAGTCAAGAATAGATAGGTATATATACAAGAATATTTCACATTAAAGACAAGTTAACCAGGGTGCGGGCCACTTGATTTGTAATTCTATGTGAAAAAGAGTTTGATTTATCAGCTCTCTATACGCCTTAGAACTAACTGAAAATATTACAAGGACCAATAATTGTGTTGGTGGATGACCCGTTATTGATGTTATCCCCTAGGAAGGCTGGTAGAGTCCTAGAACCCCACTTAAAGAAGTGATATTACACACAACCGAAGTCAGAACTCCCCGAGTCTGATTAGCAACCCATTGACACTCACTACCTGCATCTTATCTTAGGAACTTTCGTCAGTACTAGGTAGGTGATATTACTGATTACCTATGTCGGCCAAAAGGAAAGCCCCCCGACTAGAAGGCTAAACACTCTAAAGTACCTACTTTTGAGGGGACTTGTCTAGGTCCCGTTCGAGAATTAACGAAATACCTCACAATCTCAATCCCATGACACCAATCTATCGTCTCTTCAGTTAAGAAAGTTTGTTCCTTTGTTCTTTACTGCTTAATTTCTTGCTTTTGGAAGAGACCTAAAATGGTAATTCTGAGTCACGACGCTCTCAAAATGGGAACAGAAAATGTAATCCAACGTACCCTCGATTTCTGGCATCCAAGGATCACGAAGCCTGCAGAAGAACTCACCCTTGGGCTCAACCTGGCCACGTGCATGGTCTTCCATTGTGTCATAAAATATGTAAATGTTGTCGCCTGCGTTTGCCTGAAATGTTGTATTAGTTCTCCATTTTCGGGTCAGAATATATGAGTAACCCACCCCGTACTCCAGCAAGGGACCCCCACAAGTGTCGCAGAACTCTCGATGTAGTAATACTCCATTCCCATTATCAGCTTCGTGCACTTTTATGTGATCCTTTCCTTGCGTGACCTCAAATGTAGACTTGGGGACTTTAGTTGTGACCCCACTTTCGCAACCTGTGAACTTCTTGCAGTTGCCACAATGGCAGATACTTGTGCGAGCTTCAGTTTCGGGATCTTCAAGAGTAATGGTGTACTTGATCAAGCCGCAATAGCAGCCCCCGGGAAGAGGAGTCATTTTGGTATTGTTGCTATGATGAAGAGGTTGATGTAGATAATTAATAAGAAAAACGATAATCATAAGATGGGGAGTTAGTAGGTCGTCTAGGTTGTCTTAGGAGTGTACTGGTGTATTTAAGCGTTGAGCATGACAGACCTGCCGACCTCAACCGATGGTCACACCATTAGTCCAACTTCAAGGTACGTAGTAAACACCGAGTGAATATTGACGTAAAACACCAAATAATACACTTGAAATTAATTTCAAGTTATTTGATAATACCTTGAAGATTGTTTACTTCCACCAAAAAATAGACGCAAGCTTTCCAAGGTTGTTAACCATCCATGACGTCCATTGAACGTCATAAAGACCGCTGTGAGCCGGGCTCGGCCCACTTTACCCGGGGTGCGGGTCAGCTTGTTGCACACAGTTCGGACCGCCATACAACTTGCGACTTCCTCATTCGGAAATATGATAGAATTGGAGCCGGAAGAAGGTACAAAGTACCTCGATGAACGTCGCAAGATGAATCACATCATTCTTCAAGCGTATTATTGCTTTCATATCAATAAGCAGTTTCATAAACATCACGAGAATTTTATGATACCTAGTCATCACATCCATAAAAAGTACTAGGTAGATAGTCACCTAGCCTCAACCTGACCACCTTGCAGCGCCCTGCCGCTATGGTATGACGAAAAATGTATCACCATATCTGCAATAATCAGCCTATCAAAATATTGTGACAACCCTGATGAATTTTTCAGCCTTTACTTTCATCAAGTCTTGGCTGAGACTGGCTCTCCATTCCTCAGGCAGTCCTGACATGTTCTACCAACGAAGTGGTCCTTATTCCCCTTTTCCTTCTTCTTCCCGCATTCCCTACAATGGAAACGGCAGAGGTAGAAATTACAGCCCTTAACAGGACATTCTACCTTCCAACGACAGTCTTGAGTCAAATGTTGCTCCCCACAAGGGCATTTCTTGAAGGAACATTTTCTGCCTGAGTGGCCTTTGATACCACACATGCAACATCGGAAAGAACACATCATGGCGTTATTGTGCCTAAAATGGCCGGGGTGGTGAGGACACCCGCACGCACGGGAGCACCGGATGTAACACTCCAGGGCTACATGATATTGGGGGAAAGGCCGACATTTGCAGCGGTTAGACGACTTGACTTGACAGCTGCTGGCTTTATGAAATGGCGACCCACAAAAGCCGCACTGAGATGGACAGTTTTCCGTACGATGAGTATACTGGGCGCAATTATCGCATCGGTGCTTGATTGGTTTCGAACCACCCTTTCCCGTAGGTTGTTTAAAAAACAACTCTGGTTTATCCGTGAACATTTCTCGAATATGTGTTCGACTAAGACTTCTGCGGCGTGAAAGCTTATCGAGCTCTGATAAACGACGACGAACGAAGTATATGATGAATTTTTTTTCAAGATGAAACCTATTATCAACGCTTCGGACCGCAACTGTGCCCCACGCGCCAACTGGAGGGACACTGCCCGAACGTTGGGGTCTTCCCCGATGTGATCTTGCTATATCTCGGAGTGGCGATTTTCCGAACATCTTGAACAGGAGTCCTTTGTGTCCTCTATTAGAATGCGAATCGGGGGGTTTCAAAACATTAAACCAGGGAGAAGCAGTGAAAGAAGGCCCAATGAAGAACCGGGCATCTGGAGAAACGTTAATCGGTAGGTAATGCCCACCAGAATATAAATGGAGCCGATATTGTGTCTCCGAGGCTGCTTGGAACCTCCTTAAATGTTCAACCACATCCTTCTTCCAGCCTGGACCACGCTTAGGGGTTGCATGCGACCAATAGGAATGGACGTGTTTAAGCCAAATTCGCATGGAAGGATTAGATTCGAGGAAATGCCGTTCAACCAGTCCCAAAATTGCGCTCTCGACTTCAGTCCTATTACCTGATGAGGTCAAGACACGTAAATATTTTATAATTAGGCTCAGAGGCGCAGCTAGTGGTTTCATGTCTTTCGGGTTGAATGGCCAGTTGTAATCGGTCTGTAGTATTTTTGATAAAACTTGTATATCAGTACCTAGGAGCCTATCCCAAGGCTTGATTTCACCGGATAGGGTATCGTGGATTGACTTTCCGTATAATTTGGCCGTTACTCCTGTTGGTTCCATATAATGTTCCATAATTCGATTAACCATTATGTCACGGGCACCAAGGGGTTTGTGTTCGTAACGACGAAAGTCAAGATCAAGCCCGTTAAGAGGATAATGCAAAGCCATCATGAAGATACCAAGGCTTCATGAATTATCCTAAATGCCTAGGTATGTAGCCAGTGATAGGCTACGTGACTGGGTGTATCCTCTATGATTATGTAAGGCCACCCGGTTTTGATTGGTCGATTTTCAGAGGTGAATGACTCGTCGACCGGGGTTTGGTTAATTACCTCCACTTAATGGCTAGCGATAAATATTCTTGGGTAAAGCAATATCATGGTGGAACCATAATAGAATGCTCGTGTATGAAGATATATATCTTTGGTGAAAAAAACCAAGATGATGAATTTATTTTGATGAATTGTAGAGGTTTCAAGATCGATGACCATTGCATCGCCATAAAGTAATGTGTGGCGGAAATAACTGCGGTCTGCGGCGCCAGTTGTCCAGGCACATATGCTTACATCATAAGGGATGTGTTGTGGCTTGATGTGGCTGATAGAATATGTGGCTCGAGAGACACGAACCCCTGACGCAAATAAGATTACTAATTCCCTAACCCCAAATGGTGGATCTGACGATGTGGGGAAGGGCTGGGGAAAAGGGGGGAAACCAAAACAAACCCTCCCTCCTCCAACGAAAGCAGCCAAGATCGCTTATTTCGGCCCGCGAAGCACGTCAACATGCATCCGTTTCTTAAGAACTCCGCTGCTACTCCGTCGATAGAAGCGGCAGGTCGGCTACGATCTAGGTGTACTCGGTCTAACCAAGAGATCCATGCTACTCCATCCATGCTGCGTCCATACTACTTTGAATGCTTCTAGTTGATCCTAAGACCACGAGTGGCATAGCTTCTATGGTAACCCAGCACATGTTCGACCATACGGAGCTTTTCCTTTATTAGTTTGTCAGCATATGCACGAGAGCCGAGTACAGCCCGCCCGATGCTGGACCGGAATTACATCGAACGTCTAGAGCGTCCAATGTCGTTCTGTGAATCCGGTCCTGGGACTTAGAGCCGCGACTAACTTCCAGGTTTACTACTCGCGCCCCACTTTATCTCCGGACCTTAGCATTAATCGGTCTCTCTAGCATGAGCCTTAAGGAGCATTGACTTGTGATAATGCAAGGAGACCATGGCAGCGCGACGACGGACTCGGTCGTCATGGATTTCCTCCTATCACATATATGACGTAGGGTAGCTTTGACGATAATGAATACCTGCCAGGGGAGTTACCTAGCCAAGTTACATTCGGCATCAATTTTCGTCAGCTCAAATATGCTTGTCTGGGTCGTCCCCTGCGTTTACAGTCATATATAAGGTATTACTCCAAAGCGTCCTCCTGAAAGTCGAGATCTCTGCTTTATACTGTGCGTGTGTTTGATTAAGTCCCCGGACAAGATTCTCAACATGGCTCATTTCGGATCTCTAGTAAAAGCACTGTTGCTTCTAGTAGTCTTAAGTGAGCAATCCCTAACATGGCTGCAGACCCAGTTCTTACTAATGCGGTATAGATGCCCAGAAGTGTCTCTGCCAGAATAGCACCCCGACCGCATATACGGACAGTGCCACCGGCATAACCTTTGACACGTGGATAGTTCCGGATAAAGCAAACGGCGCTGTCAGTGGCTCTATCGTAGGTGGCTACACTTTCGGCGTTGCGCTTCCCGAGAATGCCTTAACCACAAATGCGAATGAGCTCATAGGATATCTGGTCAGTATCAAACCCAGTAATTCCGTGCTAATACACTAATGTTTGGATAGAAATGCGGTTCGAATGGCACGACGACAAATGCCTGGTGTGGCATATCATTCGGAGGCACGATGACGAACAGCCTGCTTCTCATGGCCTGGCCATACGAAGATCAAGTATTGACGTCGTTCCGTTTTGCCACTGGATACAGCGCTCCGGCTGTTTACACTGGCAATGCTACGTTGACTCAGATATCTTCAACCATCGATGAGAACCACTTCAGTGTCATCTTTAGATGTCAAAACTGTTTCTCCTGGGATCAAGACGGGGCGACGGGTTCTGCATCGACCAGTAGCGGCACTTTATTGCTAGGCTGGGCTAGCTCACTCAAGGCTCCAACGAACCCAGCCTGCCCAGCTGATATCGCCCTTCAATTCCACAGCAATGGCGACAGCTTATATAACGCCAACTTAGACTCGGCTGCTGCTAATCCATCCTATACCGAATGGGTTTCCAAAGCCACTGCTACCGTGACTGGTAGCTGCGGGACAACAACACCTACGACCACTACATCTGTAAGCACAACTACTACTACTAGCGCTACAGGCGTTCCCGTTCCAACGGCTACTTACGATTATATCGTAGTTGGTGCAGGAGCTGGCGGGATCCCGCTAGCCGATAAATTGAGCGAGGCCGGAAATAGTGTCTTGCTCATTGAAAAGGGGCCCCCATCCTCCGGCCGATGGGGCGGGTCATTGAAGCCAGAGTGGTTGGATGGTACGAACTTGACTCGATTCGACGTTCCTGGTCTATGTAACCAAATATGGGTTGACTCGACAGGTATTGCTTGCACCGATACGGATCAGATGGCAGGATGTGTGCTGGGTGGCGGAACGGCCGTCAACGCAGGCTTATGGTGGAAGGTACGTTATCCTCCAAGTATGCCCTTGAATAGGTGCTAACTATTTGATCCAGCCGTACTCTTTGGACTGGGATTATAACTTTCCTACTGGATGGAAATCAGCAGATATGGCTGCTGCGACGTCGCGAGTATTCTCTCGCATTCCGGGAACATACGCTCCGTCAATGGACGGGAAAATGTATTATCAACAAGGCTTTGAGGTTCTTAGCGGTGGTTTGAAGACTGCAGGGTGGGCTGAGGTTACTGCGAATGACGTACCTGATGAAAAGAATCATACCTACTCTCACACACCCTTCATGTTTTCTGGTGGTGAAAGGGGCGGTCCTATGGCTACTTACCTAGTGTCAGCCAATGGACGTACAAACTTCCATTTATGGACGAATACGTCAGTAAAGAGAGTCGTCCGAACCGGTGGTCATATCACTGGTATAGAGGTTGAACCGTTCCTAGAGGGTGGGTATGCAGGCACCGTCAATGTCACATCAGTTACGGGTAGAGTCATCCTATCTGCTGGGACTTTTGGATCGGCCAAGATCCTGCTGAGAAGTAAGGCACCCGTCCCCCAAAAACATCTATGTCCGCTGCATTTCTAACTTATTTAGGTGGAATTGGTCCGGCCGATCAATTGGCTGTTGTCCAGTCGTCAGCTGATGGACCATCAATGATCTCGAATACCTCTTGGATTGATTTGCCTGTTGGATACAACTTGGAAGATCATACAAATGTCCGATAACCCCTGAATTTCAAACGATTTTAAGCATACTGACTTCCCACATAGACCGACACTGTCATCACGCATCCCGACGTGGTCTTCTACGATTACTATGGAGCCTGGGACAACCCCAATACAACAGATAAGGATCAATACATCAGTGAGTTATATACAACCTCGATCAAATACCTAACCTTCTAAATCTTTAAAAGTGTATTTGACTAACTTCAGGCGAAAGATTCTCGGTCGGGTATGTTCGCCCAAGCGGCTCCAAATATTGGGCCAATGTAAGCACTTATCCCAACACTCTAGTAATAACTGCCTAACGCTCTGAAGGTTCTGGGACGAAATCACAGGCGATGATGGAATTGTCCGTCAACTCCAATGGACTGCTAGGGTTGAGGGAAGCGATGGCACACCCAGTGGAAGTAAGAATTTCTTGTCCTCAATGGTGTTTGTTTTAATGCGCAAATTCTAACTCAAGTAGCCGCTATGACCATGAGCCAGTATCTTGGACGCGGTGCCACATCGAGGGGTCGAATGACGATCACGAAAGCATTGAACACCGTTGTCTCCACACTGCCATACCTGCGCGATGAGAACGATGTTCAAGCAGTTATTCAGGGGATAAAAAACCTTCAATCGGCCCTCTCTAATGTCCGGAATCTGACTTGGACATACCCGTCTGCTAATACGACAGTCGAAGACTTCGTTAATGATGTAACACAGCGCCCCCTGCTCGTGGGAACATCAAGCTAATGATCTCAGATGCTCGTTTCGTACACCAACCGACGTTCGAACCATTGGATTGGTTAGTTTCTATCTTTGACTTTTAATAACGGCAATGTCTAACAGCTTTCAGGAACTAATAAGCTAGGAAGCGATGATGGTCGAGCGAACGGCTCGGCTGTAGTAGATCTCGACACGAGGGTCTATGGGACGGACAACTTGTTCGTCGTCGACGCTAGTATCTTCCCTGGCCACATTACCACCAATCCTTCAGCATATATCGTCATCGCGGCTGAACACGCATCAGAGAGGATTCTTAGCTTGTCTTTGTCTCAGGCGCAATCACAGTCGGCTCAATGTGGGGGGCTTAATTGGACGGGTAGCTTCCAGTGCACAGCGCCTTACACTTGCACGTATCAAAACGCTACTTATTCACAGGTAAGCAGATATTTTCACGGTAGCAATGGTTGGTTTTACTAACATTTTGTGTTTAGTGCCTTTAAACTGTACATATACCTCGTAAGATGGGAAATTCCAGTACATATATCTCTCCATATCGAAATCAAACGATGTAAATAGTATCAGATGATTGGTATCGCTCTCATGGAACTTTCATCATTACCTATCTATGCCAAGCTTCTGACATATATCGTAAAAACAAGTAGCATGCCCCCTGAGCCCCCAAAGCAGATGTGATTATGTAATGAGGGGCTGACCAGTAAGGATCTGACTATGCCATATGAGAACCCCGCCCTTCCACGCCATGGCACCCTCGAAGTTGACTGACTAATCAGGAATGAATTACATAATCTGAAGTTCATTAGGTAATACTTAGTTAGAATTTGATTACATAAAAGGCTTTGATTACTTAGCTAGGCCACCCCATTCTAATTAACGCGTAGTTTTTTTTAAACCCATAAATATATGGTTTAATTTTATAAATGTTTAACTAGTTAAATATCTATAAAGTTAAACGATTACTTATATTTAAACGTTATATATTTTTAAACGTTTAGAAGAAGTCTAACGTTTCTTTCAAATAAATGTTTAGCGATAGCTCGAACTATTCCAAGTCCTTAATCTGGTATATGTAACCCTTTCAGTTATTATTTTAATCCAATCCGTCTACCTAAAATCTATATAAGACCTTAATCCCACCTACCTACCTCCAATCCTTCTTCTTTTTTTTTTTCTTCATCTTCAAAACCTCCAAGTCCCTGAAGACGTCTTTGAAGAAGTCTACCTATCCCATACATACCAGGTTTACCTCCAGGATCTCCAGGACCTCCAAGATCTCCAGGACCTCCAGGATCTCCAGGATTTCCAGGACCCCCAGGACCTCCAGTCTATCCGATTTGCTAGTAACTTGAGACTCAACTGCAGCTTTTGCAGATAGGTAGGTAATCTTGTAATTGTAAAAATCGTAAAAATCGTAAAAACGTAGAAGGCTAGATGATTCAACCTGATCTGGCTCGTTTACTTGTTTGAAACACCTATCCGCTAGTTCCTGTAGCTTTCCGTTTAGGTATATCGAAGACTTCATATTAAACGTTTAGAATCTCCAAACGTTTGGAAAAAAAGTAAACACTAATCTAAAATATAAACGATTAAATAAAAAAACGCGTAGTTGACGGTTTCTTTTTTTCCAAACGTTTGTATCGTCAAACTATAAATTTACGATGAATTAACAGTTAATTAGGTGCTACAAGCTTTGGTACGGTACTAATTGCGGTTGAAGAGGCTTAGCTAAACATTTCGGGTGAGAAATGATGATAGAAGCAGGATTCAGTGCCGTGTGAGCTAAATTTACAGTGGTCTTATCCCCAGAATTAGTGGTTCCCCACTATAGCTCAGGGAGCACACCCGCTAAATAATCTAAAAAACCACCTTAAGGTTTAGCTGAGCACTGAAATATGAAGCCCAGGGTCTTTCAATTGCAGCAATCCTTTACAAGTCCCCCATCTCAACAACTAAATTCCAGCTCGCTCTATCAAACCGTTGTCTACACCACCGGTTTTCTCAAAGGCCTAGGCGTCCCCTTGTATATCCCCAACCTCTGATACGTCTCATAATCAACCCATGGCCTCTCAAAAGCCGGATCAAACGCATCCCTCACCGTTCCCACCCCGTAACAAATCTGATTGCCCCCCCAACCGCGCTGCCCAAACATATTCTCCCCACCCCTATACAAAAACTCATCAACCTCCCTATCAACCCAAATACCGCGTCCCGAACACGGCTGAGCCACCATCTCCACCCCAATCGTAACCCTCGGCCGCGCCTCCTCATCTCTCCCCCTCCAGTCAAGCGTATCCCGCATCCCCTCAAGCAACGTCCTATAACACCCCCCATTATCCAAAAACCCCAAAAAGCTCAACTCCACAGTCCTCAGCGTCGTCGGCAGCGCAGCCAAAAACGCAATCACATCCTCCTGCACCACGAGAAAATTAGATAACCCGAAGTGTCGCAGACACGACCACTTCTCCACAGGAAACACCGTACGCAGCGGAACCAAATTCTCAATCCTCCCCGCGCTTCCCCGAACCGTAGCCCGCGCATCAGGATCATGGCACACATTCGTCCGGAGCGTCACGTGTTCCAACCCCGTCGCGTTCGCCAGTGCGGCGCGCAGTAATCCGCGCCGGAAGCAGGGCCACCCGAGGTATTCCTGGGCGTTTACGAGGAGATCGAGGTCTAAACGGCGGAAACCGGGTTTACCCAGAACGGCCACGAGGTTCGCGTGTTCGGCGCACGGCTGTTCGAAGATGCGGCTGCTGAGCCCCGTTTGCAGGTACCGCGCGTCGATGACGAGCTCGGTGATGGGGTGCGCGTGGTGCGCGAGTGTGTGCAGGACTTTGCGCGCGCCGCGCCAGTTGTTTTTGTGGGGCTCGTCGATCCAGTCTTCGGCTGAGGGGAGGGGGTCGCCGTCTGCGGCGCAGGGCCAGCCGCGGGGGGTGGGGTAGTTGAAGCCGTAGGGGAAGGCGCGGATCATGGGGGTTTCGTATAGGGGGGTGTATAGGAAGCCGTGGGTTGCGGCGGTGATGGTGATTCGCTTTAGTGCGGGGAAGCGGGTTAGGCCGTACTCTAATGCGCGGATGTCCTCGTCGGTGCGCAAGATGGGGTCTTGCTGCTGGAGTAGGTGTTGATAGTGATTCCACGACTCCTGGTAGGTCATTTGTGCCGCGATTTGTTTGGATCTTGCGATGTGGTCCGGGGTATCTACATCGCTGATCCTGCGTGAATTCAAGTCAAACGCATTGTCCTTGCATGCCTGTACAAACCAGAATGGAGCTCCTGTAGTTTCAAGGCTTTCTTCCTCGTCCCAAGCCTCCTCGGGTTCATATTCGTAGGTCCCCCTCTGTGGTAGGACAGGGGGCCTAGTTAGGCGCGCATCATCGTAGACGATCTCTACGATATCCTTGCGGAACGCTTCGTGGTCCGCAATGGCGCGGAATACCTCAATATTGCGCGGATTAGGCGATAAAAACACCCTGGATAACCGCAGGCGAGCTATTCTATGTAGAAATTTGCATGTTTGCCGTACGTTCTTAATGTCGCGATTGGGTAGGTAAGACACGATAGAATTAAGAAGTTCAGTGGGAAGAGCTGTGAGAGAAAATGAACGTGGGGGGTTAGGTTCGATGAGTTTATGAATTGACAAAGCCATTATAGCGGTACATGTCAATTTAATACCGTAGGCACCTAGGTATCCTAAGAGGAAGCAATTTATGAGCTTAGATGAGAGTTGAAGGATGATACCTAGAAAGCAATCAGGCAGAAATCACGAGAGATGTAAACTACGGCGAAAATTTGACCCCGGTCGCCGTGAGAAAATATCATAGGTAATTATAAACGACTTTGCCGCATGCAGGTATATTATTTACTATTTCATCTCTTTTTCCATTTCATACGCCAATTTTCCTCCCCCCTATCGCTACCAACTAAGTATAACCACTAATCCATAAGCTAGAGAGTTGTCGCCTAGCTTATCTCTCGACGATCTAGCACGAGTTTCCCCACGACGCGATATCCCAGCTCTGGGTTGACAGAAGGGTAGCGAACAGGCCTTCCATTTTTCTGGCCTCCCATTTCAACCGTGGTAGTGGTGATGGTGACGGCGACGGTCGTGGTGGTGATGATGATGGTGATGATGCCCGTGACCTGCGGGATGGTGCCCATGATGCGATCTGTGTTCCGAACGTCTCGGAGATTGATACTGAGGTCCAGCCTGTTGAGGTGGACCAGCCCACTGGGCCTGTTGAGGTGCAGCCCATTGAGCACCACCCTGCTGCTGAGGTCCAGCCCACTGACCCCCAGCCTGCTGGCGTGCGGCGGCCCTATCGCGAAGCTTGCTGATCATTGCACCCATTGTATCTTCTTGTTAAATTTAGCAAAAGGCGCGCTGAATTGATTTGTTCCCGTTAGAGTTGAAATTAGAAGAGATGCACTCGGATGGAAGATGGGAAGATTAATGAACTGAGGAATCTAGTTATATTTATATGCCTTGATAGATAGGTCGGTTTCTTGTTACACCTATTCCAATATATTTACGCAGGGAATCATTAACAGCGTGATTCATATAGGATTTATTGAAGTTATTGTCCACTTGCCACGCATCACTCAAATCACCCTCATAGCTGGATGCTAAAGTTGCCGCCCCTGAGTCTCCCAACCAGAAGTCGCAAGATGTCACAGGACAAGAAAATTTGATACTGATCCTCTAGACACCATAAAACCTCTTGATTACTTACCTAACATTGGGGTAAACCTATGATTCGACTATCAAGAATCATCGTCCATATCAAGGATTTTTATTTCCTCTCTCGCTCCCCCGTCAAGTTATACCGTCCAGGTCGAACGTTCGTAATATGGCCTCAAGTTCGGGTTCGTGATTTCCGTGACACAAACTTTGGGATTTCGGCCGTGTGTGAAGACGGGCGAGTAGGTGAATGAGCTGCTAGACGGATCATGGTAGACCCATTGCTGATCTTGCATGACATAGCACCTAGGTGTACCATCACGCTTAGCTTTCCGTCTGCTGAGATACTGGCCCATTTCTCGTTTCTTTTTTTGGCTGTCGGCTAATGAGTTCGAGGAATGGCGGAACACGTTAGTTGATCGTAGAGATAGGGCAATTTATGTATGATACTTGGTGATGGTAAGCTCATCGGAAGATGGTGAATATCAATATCCAGTGTCTAAAGGATGAAGGCGAATAGATTCGTGAACAAGAGGGTGGAATTTGGTTATTGTGTCTATTGTTTCTGCATGGAACAACTCCATTGTTAGGTATCGTTTCTGATATAAAGAGGTCCCAACCGTACACCAAGGAGGTGGGTTCTCCGAATAAGAAGTTGACTAAGACGTCCATTCACCATCTCCAGGACTCAGCTCGCGTGTATGACGCACCAACTCTTGTCATGCTGTGATACTAGTTACTTTACAAAGACTTAATATGGGATGAAAGCTTGCCCATTGTGCTAGTGTCCTAGGTTTGTTGTGTACCTAGGTAACCAGTAGCCTTTGTTGAATGCTTGAGTTTCGTCTCTTGGTAACATGCAGTTTGAGTCGATACTTTCTCGATCCGCAATCTCAAGGTACCTAGATGAACTCATCGTGAAGTAGAAGGATATTATAAACTTTAACTTTTTAGCATTGGAGAGCTATAATATTTAATTCGGAAGAGTAAGGTCGTAATATCAGGTAACCGCATTGCAATCATTAAAATTCATAAATTGCCGACTCCAAAAGTCCAAGGCATGCCTGGAGCGTGTAGCTGTATCTAGGGTGGGTGCTGTAATTCCGACCGAAGTAAGAAGCGTCAAAGTTGGTATCATGTCCGCGTCGAATCATGGCTCTAAAAGCAGGCAAGCAAATAACTCAAAAACGCCAGTTTTTTGTCAGGTGCTAGCACACATCACCAGGCCCACAGCCTCATCCACTATAGTCATAAAATAGACTGTTAAGAATTTGCCGTTGTTTAGACATCTTTCTTCATTCACTCTCCCAGTGATCCAAACCCCCCACGTCGCCATCTCCGTCGACCTCGATCGTAGTACCCAGAGCCTCCTTTCCCTGTCGGATCATATCTCGTAGTCTGGCATTGAGGTCGTTCATCTTCCAGTCGGTCTCCATCTCCTCCTGGATTCTTCTAGCTGCCAAATTCTTCGCCTCGGCATCCAATCGAGGACTGTTATTTCCTATTTCTTGTACCGAGTCGCGTCGCTTCATTCTGTTGGATGGTGCTGATGCAGCCGAGGCCGTACTATGAGTCCTCTGGTGGCTACGTTTCGGTTGGATGCAAGGGCTGGGAATGAAAGAAGGGTGTTGCGAAAGGCGAGCAGGTGAAATGGCGCATGGCGTTTGAGGGCGGCTTGGAATCGGAATTCTACTAGGAGTATATGCGGGAGCGGGGGATTGAGCCCGAGGTGAAGCAAAACTTGCCGGCTCTCGGCTGGGTAGAGACACAGATCCCGCAAGGCTCATCCTGCCGGATTGGCGTCGAGCAAAATTCGGAGTACTCACTCGACTCACAGGTCTACCAATACGGCGACGAAGAACCGGAGCGAATGCTTGCTGCTGATGTGTGTAATTAGTGGGCGCTCGGGACGCCCTACTCTGCGGCCTCGTGGTCTCAGGTTGGTCCTGAACCATGACCCAATTCCTACCAAGCCCCTCATCTCCGGTAAGCCCATCGTTGATTTGACGTCTTTTTGCTGCCGGCGGGGGTGTCGATTCCGGCGTTTCTCGCTCGTATTGGAACGGGGAGTAGTCTGACTGTGGAAACCCGCTAGACGTTCCAGTAGGATCCAAGCTAGGAAGCGTAGGAATATCATGTTCGTTACACCAAACCTGGCCATTCGAATTTGAAAATTGAGGCGGTGTGTTCATGTCGTAACCTCTCCCGCCTCCCGCGTAGAAGCCACGGAATACGCCGACCGTGCAGAAATCGAATACCTTACCGACGACTCCACCGATCGTATTTAAGGCAAAAGAACCCCATCCGTTAGGTGGTTGCGACTGGGAGGGAGACGGCTGTGTTAGGGTTGCGTAGTTTGTGGATGGTTCGATCTCGGAGTGTGGTCGTTTAGAAGCTAGCACACGCCTATAATCTATATCAGAATAAACGCTATCTTCCAGCGCACTATTCATATCCGTAGGAGCCACTCCATTTGGGGATTCCATGTGGCCGGCTAAAACGTATCGTCTTCCTCCTTCTCCAGCATACCTATTCATCTCGGTCTTCTCTTCGTGCGTGCCATCATAGTCTGATCTTATGTCATTCATAGGTGTAGATTCTCCGTATCCCCGTCTCTTTCTCTTTGTATTTTGGCCTGGCGTCATCGCATCAGAGTAAAAGTTTCCAGTAGACTTCCCCAGATACATAGAATTAGAGGGAGACGATGATATAGGAGGTCGGAAAATTCCAGGGTGGACACCAGGCATGGGAGTTCCATTAGGAGCTTCGAAGTGGAACGCGCCAGGCATGACCACCTGTGGTCCGAATGACATTGTAATGTGCGAAGGTTCGGGTTAAAGGCGGTGAGCAACAATTCGAGTTGGACAGATAATTCCTAGACTTGAAATAAAACTTTATCAAGTTAATAGCCCGTATAAAACGATACGGTCGATTTTGTGAGGCTTCTGTTGTTTAAAAGATGACGAGCGCTGATGGTTGGATAAGACGGAATGGCAATTAGTTTGTTATCATAGTATGATAGCACTGACGATGACGATGACGATGACAAAGTGTCAGCAGCCACCAACAAAACTGAACATCCGTAAATATTAATTGTTCGTGCCCCTCAATACTATTATTCGTCGTGATTCTGTCGTCGTGTAGATGTTTAGGATGCAACGCAAACGATGTTGCCGTCGCTAGTGTAGGTTGTCTTGTAAGAATTAAAGAGGACAAATAGAAAAGAGACTGGCGGAGGGTGGGATAAAAATTTGGAGCTCGTGATCACAAGCCTCTTTTTGAGTTCGCGTGGTCTCGGGGCGTACCCTGCTAGTAATGTCCCTAAGGTTGTGTGACGACACCTGTGAGGGATCGAATTGGCTGTCGGTTTGGTGGCTCCTACCTCTATTGTCTTACTTTTAGCTCACGTCTGCCTGGATAGCTTGATAGGTAAGCTCGACAACTAGTAGATTGCGGTTATGCTGAGTTGGTGGTAACTTTGTAAAACATCGTTTGACGAGATTTAGTGTAATCGAGGTGTAAAATCGTGACTGAGTTACCGAGATGCGATGAAAGACATCTACTTGTTTAGCAGGAATCCCGCTGGTCCAGCGAAGGGTAGCCAGTACTAACGTGGCAATGCGATAGCTAATAGAATGACGAAATACTTGTACTAAACTGGCTGGATTGACGATGTGCAGGATTGGAGATGATATAGTATAAAATCTGGAATTCTTGGAATCTTGATAGCTTCCAAGTTGTCTTAGACACTTGGATCCCGAATGTTGACAGATGGGGGATAGAAATGATTAAACTTTGATTTCTAGAAGCTTTGAATTGTTGAGATAACCCTTGAACTTGTTCGTTGCCGGGTCAGAATTAATTGTGGAAAGAGGAAGCTTGGATGTCAACAGTGCAGCCCTGTAGAGTTGGACCAAGCGTTGCTATTGGAAGGCAGGAAAGGTTAGGTACAATTTGCTAGCGGGCCAGGGTCCCGGATTTAATATAGTGGGCCATCGCGGGGCACTAACAAAATGCGATCCACCCACTTCATAACTCAAGTCGATGAATATCTACTCTGTAGATAGGATTCGTACTTTATAGAATGTAGATATTCCCTTATTCATAATGGCTGGATTGAGAGATTTATCATCAATAAATTTGCATAATAATATGTCGTTATTAATCATAACCATAAGTTTCGTCTCCATCTACGTACCTATTCTATGTCAACCATTCCGAAGTTCCCATCCCATTCTACCCGTTCGATGTGGTGATCCTCTATGTCCGGCATGAAGCAAAAAATCGACCAAAACATTCGGTATTGATACAGAACTAGTATCATGCTTCACATATCACTACGTCAGACCTCCTTTCAGGCCGGACCGCTCATTTGGAGTAATAAGCATCTTGGCCTTTGGACGTGGCCTCCTTCACACCGCCATTCATCCCAGCTTCGCCGTGGACGTGCGATTCCGTGCCCCAGAACTCATCACGTTCCTTGAGGATATCTTTCGCCCACTCCTGAGTTTCCGGCAACACCACCTTGGTAGCCACATATGCGAACTCGCCAAGGTCGAGCCGCTTATCTACCCGCTTCTCATACTCCACCATTTGCAACAACAGCTCCATCTTGTCTATGTCGTGAACAAACAGGCTGTCTATTGTCACAGAGTCTTCGTACTCCTGCCAAATCGCTCGGATCTCTTGTCCCGCGAGACCTCCATATACCTTTCCCAGAAGGTTCTTGGAAATGTAGTCCATCGTCTCGGCCTCGCGACGGCTTTTCTCCGGTTTCGGGACGCCATCTACGGGTGTAATATCTCCTACGATCGACTCGGCCATGTCGTGAATTAGGCACATTTTCATGCATTTATTAAGATCGACTTTAGGTGCGAGCGATGGAGGGCACAGGAGGGTCATTAGCGACATGCGATACATGTGGTCAGCGATCGATTCGCCTCTATTCCAACTGTTAGCTCTAGCTATGTTTTTAGGTATAACAGACAATTCACCTCTTGATACCGAACCGCCGCCATCCCTCCCGTTTTCCTGTCTTCAATCGCTCGAGGATGTGGAAGAAGGGAACTGGTGAATTGGAGTCCTCGACGGGAGCTGCAGGGTGAATCTTCGCCAACACTTTTTCGACCGACCAGGGTTCGGAAACCTTAGGGGTGATTACAACACCAGGATCTACACAGATATTCCGTTTAGATAAGTAGAATTCGCGGAATATAGGAATGTCGTACTCACCAACATTCTCCTCACTTCCAGCATTAGAAGACATTTTGCACCGTCCACAGATTAGGGAACTCTAACTAGGGTCCTGTGGTAAATGCGGTATTCCAGAGCACAAAAGATTAGTGGACGTGCGACGAAGAAGGCGGGGCAATCTACAATCAAAGATATGACAGGATACCAAGCAAATGACCGAATTGCTCAAGGAAATGGCATCTGTTAGGGTAAGCGAATTCCACCAGTCCAAACCGTCCTTGGGATGAGTTGAAGATTGTCAGGACACAAACAGCGGCCTACGTGAATTATAACTAACATAAAACTAAGAGGTGAAGAATGGAAGTGACGAATAGAAAAAGAAATATTCAAAATACAGAAGGCACCTTGCAGAAGAAAATGCGCCTAAGGTAGGTAGCCCCACGTGGCTGATAATGCCCGTGGGTTAGATATCCAGGCTTATCTATTGGTTACCGGAATTGTTACTGGAGATCTGAAAGACAAAAGATCGGGTTTTCGCGATTCCCCTGACGCCTAAAGTGGAGTTCCGGTACTCAACCATTCAACTAAATCCATCAGCGCTGCAACATCCCGCTCGTTACGTCGTCTGCGTCGACCGGTGACGGCATGTCACGGTTGAAAACTATATCTGTTCCAGGTTATGGACGGCAATCTACATCAATCATGTCGCTTTGTTGCTACCATCCTGGGTCGTACAGCATAAGCCACGTCAGACAGAATCAGGGGGAGCCAACATATTGAAATCTACTCCCAGCCTCCCGCAATTGAATTATGTCGTGAAGGAAACTTCCTAGAGTAAGTTTTCCAGAAAATGATAAGTGATATTGTAGATGCATGACGACACAGAAAAGACTCATCAAACTCGTTTAATATCTTCAACGATATATCAGATCAAACGTATATACAGTACATTACAACATTATGCGTCTAGTCCACCCGGGCCGTCAAGTAACCTATTATTCATCGCCTCCATCTCACCGCAGTATATCATCATTAATCAGCAATGATGATCTTGATACAAGGAATTGTCCGCCGCCAAATCTCCAACAATGAATGTTCCGAGGAAAAGACCACCTAGGACGGCTAAGAAGTATCCAACATTCATCGTCATAACTGCAAGCATCCTATGTTTCAGTTAGCAACAAGGGCATCACGGAAGCTGTGGATAATTCCTTATCACCAGACGGAAACCTACAGCAAATACCCAATAGTCGCTAGTGAGAGCTCGAAAGATGCCCTGCTGAGACTAGTCTTGAATCTCCATGCTGCCCAACGCCTTCGCATATCGCCATAAACGCGCATGAGAGGTGGTCGAGTCGCCATGTCTCCCTTTTGATAGCCAGCTTCATCGTTCGGTATCAGCTGTCCCCTGGATCCGACAACTGCATTCCATATCGACTTCTCGAGAACAGGTTTCAGCGCTAGCATGAAGCGCATGATAACCGCCAGAACAACTAGAAAGATGCAAGTACCAGCATATTCGGCTGAATTGGTAGGCGTCCATGCTTTTGAAAAGAGTGACGTCGTGGATGAGAAGAAGAAAGTCATCGACATTTGGGAATCGCCCATGTCAACCATGTTGCCTGTATCCATACTCTTCGCAGTATCTGACATATCCATCGCCGTTGCCATGTTATTCACCTGCCCAGGAACGAGCGGGATGAGTTTCCTCGCAACCGACACCGACAAGTTCCGGAACCGCTAAATAATAGCGGTGCGATGTGAGACATTACTTATCAGACACATCGATTCAGGCAATCGGGTCAATTTAAATTTTCAATGAATGTTTGTGAGAACCCCCAAAAGCCCGGGATCGTGTCCCACGAAGGAGTGAATCCTGTCAACGCCGCGCAAGTTTGCGCAAATTAGAAACTTCCGCCCGCGTGGACAGACGAAAAAAAGAGCTTATTGTTCGTTGTTATAGTGTTAGTAAGAGTCTTTTGTCGTTTCCTTCGCTTATTTCTTTCGCTTACCGTGTAGCAGGTTCGGGGATATATTAAGCTTAAATTGCTTCGTTGCGCGGACGTTAAATCTTAAAGTAGATGATCCGCATTGTCCAACCCAAGAGCTTTTTACTCGACGAGATGCACAGTAAGCGATTGGATTGATGCATTATATTATGCCTCAATCAAACCAGAGGATGATCTGGTAAGCCATGATCTGGCATATTCATTTGGTATATGCATAGGGCTGTTGTCGAATTTCTGTCTCATTCTAGACGGTCTAGCTACTAACAATTCTCAGTGAGGGTCGAATCAGCATAGATCTTATATTTTACCCACTATTCACTATGTTTATATTCTCGTCGGGGAGTCAAACAAGCAAATGGGTCCATACCTAGATCCGATCTCTTCTCTCGCTCAATCAATTTTCACAGTATCTTTTTTCCAGTGTAAATTCCATTTACAAGGCTGGGTTGATGCTGCGTTGATTAACACTTCAATAGCACAGTAATAAATCTAGAATAAGTATCAATCTTCGTCCCAATACTATCCTCACCATGTGTAGACTATCTTGACTAACTGTCTAGTAGCTCCAGAATCGTTGCTCCCCGTCGATATGTTTCGTCGAGTATAGATGCCCCTCGTGGTTTAATTGCCTACTACCTACTCAAACATCCAGGGGGTGGTTAAAACCCGCACCCGTTCCATTCTAATCACAAATGAGATCAAGAATAATCCCATCAATGACTTTTAAGAATGAGGAATAATACGGAGGCTTCCGCATACGAGTAGGGCTGAATCCATTCCCTTAACCCAACGCGTCAATGTCAATTATCATAAGATCTCATGGCACTAATTGCGCCAAGACGACCCAAATTTGATAAGATCAGAAGCCCAAGCCAACCTAAGTGATGATCCCGCTCCCTACCGAATACCTGGGAAGCTCCTACTGTTCCCCATACCATGTTTTTTGCAAGTCATGGAAAATCCACTTATTTGAACATGCCTACCTATTTGCCTCTAATGGCGCGCATCATACTCAGAGGCCCACAAGATGCCCAGACCCATCAAGTTCGTCGTGTCACCGGGGTCACTGAGCACAAATGAGCACGTTTGCTGTTCCAAAGTGGTTCTCACGTAACATACAGTATGGCGATATCGTTGTCATCTAACCACCGTGCTACAACTTGTGGTTCTACTTGTGACACCATGGGTTCATCTACATCCTATCAGGTACGTATTAGATACCCGTTAGTACGGAAGATTCCTCCGTCAAACCTTCCGCGTCAAGGCCCGAGTGATAGACCCGATTTAGAAAAACCGGAGCACCAAGTCAAGCTAACTGTCCGGGGCAGTATAGTTCCTTCTCCACCGGTCCCATGCCCAGTTCGTGTTAGCCAATAGTATATTCTACGTACGTGACCATGGCAAACAATACAGTATCTTCAACATTGAGAGGCAGAATTTTCTGTTATACGTGACTAAATAATGAGGTATCATAGAAATATGCTACCTGCCGCTCTTGACATTTCACCGCACAATCTGATGTTTCTAGCTAAGGCTATAAAACTCATCTCCTTCTTTAAGGAAGATGGGTAGTTGACACATCGTACCGTCTTCCGATTCTTCCGTGGTAAATATTCGCCCTGAAGGTCACATGGTCGTCAACTAGGTATCAACATGAAGATTCATATTAGTATCATGGCTGTCGCTCCCCTGGCGGCAGCCATGACCACGGCGGGCTATCGAGGCTATGGTCTGATCGGCCATGGCATAACCATGTATGATCCTACTTGCGCTTATTCATGCCACGACGTTATTAGCAGTTATCAACTCAATTGCTCCATGGTTAAGGGCCAGGGAGAAATGAGCGAGATGAGTGGTATGTCGGGACCAATGATCGTTACTTCGTCCAATTGCTACGCAACCGACGACAATTTCCTCCACAGCATGGCCTATTGTATCGAAACGCATTGTCCGCATGTTTCGCAAACTCGACTTGAACATTACTGGGAATATTTCCTTGTCGGCCGTTCGCCAAACCAACCTACGCCGAAAGAGCCGTACAGTGTTGCCTTACTCCATGCTGATCCGCCCCCTAAGGTGGTCGTCGGCCTCAAAACATTACTTAACACGACTACATTAGTTGTCGAGGAGGCATATTTGGCATCTTATAATGCCCTCTCTCTATGTGAGGAGATCGACACTAACCATAGTAACTTTGGGTATGTTCATAACCCCTTAAGCCCCCTTTCACTTCATTACTAAGTATAATTCAGACTAGTTGTTCTCATCACTGGTGCTGCCATACCTGTGGCATGCTCTCTACTACGTTTTGTGCCCTTCCCAAAGGCATTGGCAAGCCAATTCAACGCTTACTTCATTGAACCCCCTTTATTTGGTCGAAGACATCGAACCCCACTTCACAACATCGCGATTATGCCTACGCGCGGTCAAGCCATGCTAATAGCATATTTCTTCATTATCAACATTATATTATCTTGTGTCGGTTATCCCCAAGCAATGCCAAATTCCTGGTATCCGTCAAAACACGAGGAGTTAATAAGCTACGTCCGAAATCGCCAGGGTGTTCTAAGCTTCGCCAATGTCCCACTCTTAGTCCTGTACTCCGGTCGAAATAATATTCTCCTGAAGATTACCAACTGGCAACACTCGACGTTCCTCTTAGTCCACCGATGGATCGCCATCATCTGCACGCTTGAGGCATGTATACACTCGTCGATGTATCTGGATAGATACCTTAAATCAGGTGGTTTCCATACCCAGAGCAAACTACCATACTGGATATGGGGAATCGTCGCTACTCTCTCATTCACCATCTTGCTCCCCGCTAGCATACTCCCGCTGCGACAGAAAGCCTACAACCTCTTCCTCGCCTCCCACTTCGCGCTCTCTTTCATCGCGTTGATCGCCTGCTATTTCCACATATACAAGCGTTTCGGAAACCAATGGGGATACGAGACATGGATCTACATCGCCTTCGCGCTCTGGGCCTTCGACCGACTAATGCGTTTCGCCCGGTTAGCCCGAAACGGGATCCGATCCGCCGAAATCACCGTCGTCGACGAGCACAACATCCGCGTCGACGTCCCGGGCGTATCAGCACAAGGGCACGCCTATCTCTACTTCCCAACCCTAAGCTGGCGCGTGTGGGAAAACCACCCCTTTTCCGTAATGGGAAATCTAATCGCGCAGGAACCCGAAAGGAAAGCCCCCAGCATAACAACCTCCGAAGAAAAAACCAGCCCACCGAACCGCAGCATAGAGAAAATCGACGAAGAACCTACCCGAGACGACTCCATCTCCGTGGAATCGACAGCGACAAAACCCCCTTTCAAAACGGGTCTGACATTCTTCATCGCGACAAGCGGAACCGGCATCCGCTCAATCCTGCACCGAAAAACCCGGCTCCCGGTCCTCGTCGAGTCCTCCTACGCCGCCTCCTCGCTCGACGAGCTGCGCGCCGTGCCGAACTGCATAGTCATCGCCGGCGGCGTCGGTATCACGGCTCTAGCCCCACTCCTGCGCACCCGCGGGTCCGGCGTACGTCTGTTCTGGGGCTCGCGAAGCCAGGCATTGGTTGAAGCGGTGAGAAGCGCGTTAGGGCCCGGGGTCTTGGAGCCGAGTATTGTGGGAGAGATCTCGGTGGGACGACGTTTGGATCTACGTGCGATTCTGGAGCGCGAGGTTTTGGAGGGGAGTGAGACGGCGGTTGTAGTGTGCGGACCTGTTGGGATGGCAGATGAGGTGAGGGAGATTGTGTGTGAGCTTGGGCGGAAGGGGAGGGTTGTGAAGCTTGTTGATGAGGCATTTAGCTGGTGAGGATGGGAGGGCAAGGGCGGGGTATTACTGCTATGGGAAAAGGGGCGTCGCGGTGGCTGGCTGGAGGAGATATTGGGTGGCGTGGCGGTGATCTGTTCTTACTGATACCAAATATTTCGCAAAATCTATTGCCCACTCTAGATAGGACGATAGGTAGATTACGATATATACGAAACTATAAAGGAAGTATATGAGGTGTTTTAAAATGGTGAATCTAGGTACCTATAGATTTCTAATCGCAACTAAAAGGGCCACATTCGTACGCCTACCTAGGCTATCTTCAGGCAGTGGTTATGCAGGATCCTCGCTCCAGACCTCAATCTCCTCCACGATAAACTCAACCTCCCAGTCCCCTCGATTCGGATTCGCCTCATATACCACGCCCTCTTTCTCCTCGCCATCTTCATCTCGGTCCGGCTTTCCATCCACATTCCCTCCCCACTGCTGTATCTTCCCGCGCCGCAACCCATCACGCAAAACCAACGTCACACTCCCCTTTCGCCCATCAACCCCATCCACCACCCCAACATCTCCAAACACAAGATTCTCACCCTCCTCAGCATCCACAACAACACCCCACCCCGACTCCCCCACAACACCACAAAACACATCCTGCACCGGCGCAAGCTGGAACAGCTCGCACTGCCGCTGTCCCGGATTATCAGGACTAACCTCCGACGCCGCGCGGATCTGACTCCCATCATTCCTCGGTATGGGACTAAACAATCCAAACACGCAGGGTCCCCCCTGTTCAGCTGTTACGTCCGTAGAAGCGATAACTCGGCCGGAAAACAGCACGATAGCTTCTTCCGGAACGCTTATCATAGCCTGTACGACAGCAGCGGGGGCGGGGAAGTTCGGTGACACGAAGCGGTTTGTGCGGCGCAGGAACCCTGCATCCATGGACCCGGCGAGGAAGGAGATGAGTTGGCTTGTGCGGGGCAGCGTGAGGATTGCGTCGTTTGGGAGGATTCGAGGGGGGTCGGGGGGCTGGATGAGGGATTCTTTGTTCATGAAGGTGAGGGTGAGAAGGCGGTAGAGAGGCTCGACGATGTGTGGCGCGATGGTCCCGATCGCATGCGCGAATGAGGGCCAGGTTATTAGGTCTGATGTTTCTGTGTCGCGGTCTTGTGCGAAAGCGGTGCAGATGGCGTTTACCGCATCGTCGTATTGGGATAAATCCGCATTTTTGTCGATGCCAAGATTCTTCAGGTCTATTTGTAGCACCAGAAGCACTTTCACCAAGTCCTTGAACCGTTGCAGCGGTATCGCCAGAGTGCATAGCTCGGGAAGCTTCTCGTCTGCTTTGATCTGCTTCGCGATGTTGCGGAAGGCGTCTCGTGGTACAAGTGCCGACCAGCGCGGCCGCTCCTCCTGTGTGGAGTACAACACATCCAACAGATCATGATATATCTCATCCCCATCATCGTCGTGGTTTACAGCACAGCTATCAAGCCAGCCGTCCCACGAAACATCGAAGGAGTGTCGAGCTGTAAGTAAACGAGCATGGGCTCGGACCCTATCTTGCGCAGTGAGGGGGACGCTACCTGTAGCCAGGCTCTGGAAGAGAAGGCGCAGACGATCCCATCGCGTACGCATACGAGATAAGTCGCTTTCCTCTATAATATACTTCGCGCGGTTCGGCAAGGCCCAGACCAGGGCTCGGCTCAACTGAGCCAGGGATAGGGCAACCGTTTGGAAAGATGGCTGTGGATGGCTAGGAGGGTAAGGTAATGAGCTAAGATAGACCACGCTTTCGTAGATAATTCGACCAGCCTCGACTCCTTCAGGACCCTGGGGAAGGGAAGCCTTTGCTTGCAGAAGAGAGATGAAGGCTGGCTCGGTCAAGACTTGATCTTCGCCAGAAGAGGTACTAATAGAAGCTGACGAGAATGTGGCTTCGATGACTGGCTCTTCTTCGGGGTGACTCGCATAACTGTTCCTGATCCCATGATCAACCCGAGATAGGACATGCGCCCGGGTCAGCATGCCCCGAGCGACCCAGTCATTGATTTCCTTTATGGTCCAATCTTCGTCTTCCATGATGTTGGTCTAGATAGGTAGGTGAATGAGAAGAGTGGCGTCCTTGTCAAGGTAGAAATAAGATAATGCTCTATCAGATATGGATTACTGTGTCATGTGTGAAACTATCAATGGATGAGGAGACGAATACGATATCCTCTCACAGGTTATTGAGAAGAGTTAGTTTTTAAAAAGAGAAAGAATATTCCGACTCCACATCCCTGTTACATTTTCACCCTGCACCTCAGAAGCAAGCAGGATGAGGTTGATGCTCTCTACCTTCATAAGCACCCAATTGCCAACCGCACACCGGTTTAATATTCATTGCTTTCTATTACAATAATTATTAAAGATCTAGACCGTTATATCCCTTACTATTTTACATGTTCCTGTGGAACATTCGAGATGAGAGACGGTTGAATCGATTATTTAGCTAAGACATAAAACAAGATCTTACTAATGTCAATATATTGAACGACCACATGATTTCTGCACCACCAGTCTACACGTTTAGTGCTTACATACAGGTAGAGTGGATAGATTATTAAACTTACAAAGTCTACAGCATCGTGTAAGAACACTATCGGTACTCCGTGTAACTCCGCGAACTTCTTCCGATTTAAGGGCTAACATAATCTGTTCCTATTTCATCCTATATGGAGCACCCTAGGTCTGAAGGTAGCGACAGGAGGCAATGAATATTTTTAGTAGGCTACCTAACATAAAGGGGAAGCTTCAAGAAACAGAAGATGAACAACACCATATGACCGCATATGATTACCCCCTAATCATAAATTCATAGGTACATTTAGATGACCTAGTACCGGGAACCCCGAAACAGAGGATTGTTTGCGAATATCGATATTTTGGAGGTTTGTTGTATTGAGAGCAATTCCATATGATACGATTAGATCAAGTGAGACTCGGTAACCACTGCTGTTACAATCATCAAATCAATGCCAAGAGCACAATGAAGGGTCATAACGGCGAGCGTCTAGGAAAAGGAGCGAGGCGTGATATGGAGATTTTTCCATGCTGGTCGAGGTAGAGTTCGAGTTATATGAAGAGAACGAGATATATAAAACGGCCCGTCCGAGCCTCCAAAATCATGTCCCATCCACCCACGATCATCAAATTACGGAGTTATTCAGACTCGCCTTCACTTAGCCTACCCCTATTCATACTTCCAGCTTATTACAAACTCATATTCAATCCACGATGAGATTCAACTACTTCCTCTCGGCCTTCTTGGCTACGCTTACCATCGCGAGCCCCATCTCCGCCGGCGTTGATGTTGCCGAGGGTGCTAACTTGGTCACCCGTGGAGAGACGGTAGTGGAGACACCGGAGTACAAAGCGGCTATCATACGTCTCCCTGAAGCGGTACAGAATGGGTTCTACTACTTCATTCAAAAGGATATGCTCGGTGCAAAGATCCTGGATGGGGATGCAGAGACCCTCAGCGAGCTAGAGCAGCAGCAGAAGATCCTTGGGTTCGAGCACATCGGAGTCGTAGTAGGACAGATCAAGTTTACCAAGGTGGAAAACAAAAAAACGGGTGACAGTACGGTCACCAAGGACTTTGTGGCAACCTACTATCACATGACCAAGAACGTTCGTGGTGAGGCTCTTGTACATGCGCCGAATTGGAAAGCAGGTCTAGTAGACTTCACCAAGTCGAGTCTGCAGTTTGGAGGAGACACCAAGGCAAGGGGGCTGGAAAAGGCTAGGACCGCCCACAAGGAATACCTCCTGGATCCAGCCCATAAGATGTACAACATCCAGAAAAACAACTGCAACACATACGCTCAAACTATTCTCTATGCGTTTAGATGAAGACATGGTTCAATGTTGCAGCATGAAGTTGTACAGTGAATCCTAGGGTTGATGGTTATCGCGTTGAGAAAATTTTTTTGAACTTTCTTTTCTGTCTTGTAGAGGCTTCAAGCTAGGTCGCAGGTTATGAAGTGGTTAGCAGTTGGATACTAGGTACTAGATAGATTGGCGATATCGCCGTACATTCTTTTCTCTTCGTGTAAATACTCGCCCTTTTATATAAGTGGCTACTATCATTCTTTTACAAAATATCATTATATTCTCAATTAGTACCTCATGAGACTTGTTATGCTAGTAGATAAGTCTCAAGATTGGTCAAATAGTAGCGCATATCATCACTAGAGGCCTTAATTAATAGAGCGTCTTCTAGGGCGTAATGCGCTTTAAACATAAACAATAAGTCGAAATAAACAGATTTTGGGTAATAACCTTAGCATCAGTTTTTTAAACAGCTCTAATTGGTAGGTACTATGGGACACCCCACTAGTAAATTTATAGTGGAGATAAGTCTACCCCAAACGTTAGAATTGACTTACTGCTAGAGGCCCACTATAAACCCAACGAAACACCCTCTAAAAAGTCTGCGAGTTCACTACGCAATCAGTACATCTTTCATGATCACTGCAAAATACACACCACCAGGTAGTTTCAACGACCATCGGGCCATTCCCGCACTCGCACTATGAGAATTAGAATTTTAATAAAAGGTAAAAGTAAATGATGGCGTTACTTACACAAAACCATACAGGGGTACTCCGATTACCCCGAAATCGTCCCGGTTCCGTCGTTGGTTTATCATTCACCACATCCATAGCAGATGGGGAAGGGGGGTCGTGGTTTGATGCGTTAAACGACTCCATGATATCAGGATCTGACATTAAGCCTTGTAGTGAGCCTTGTGATGACATTGATGCGTCTGTCTCCCCATCATGTCCTGGGTCGCAAGAGAAGACTGCAAGAGAAATTTCTTCTAGATGATACGCCACATGCGAAATCATTGCAAAGCCGCCGCTAGGAACTACTTCACGGCAAAGAGGGCATGTTTTGTCGTCCCATTCGGGATGAAGCGCGTGGCCCCTTGCAAGGTGCTCAAGCCAGTCTTCTCTGGTTGTGAAGGCCATACGTTCGCAAGGACAAGAGGTTTGGCAGCAAATCCATGGCCGGAGATCAGCTAATAAATGTCGCCTGTAACAGCTTAGTGAACATCGCTTTAGGTTGAAAATCTGTGTAAACTTACTTCCATGTTCTCATATCCCTTTTCTCTATTTCTTTTCCGCATGCAATGCATGGGAACAACTGACCTTCTTCTATATTGCTCGGAAGTGGTGGTATACTCGCCCTTTTTTCACCATCTCGCCTGTATGATATAACAGTAGCCGCATAGTTGTTAGTAGATGCCACACTTGTCCCCAAACCGGAATCCTTGAATTCGGTTATTGCATTGCCGACTGTCTGTGCCCTGTTTTCATCAACCGGTGTGTCTGCTTGTTTTGAAGCTATTCTTTGAAATGCATGCCAATTGGCTTTGCCCAATGCAACAGCTAAATCGGAATCACATTTTGGGAACTTGGACAAAACTCGGTTGGAAAAAAATTGAATGGGATTCCAGGGGTCAGGAACTCTGGAGAAAATGGGGTGTTCTCCTATAGGAGAATCAAGTACAGGGTCTTCCAATCTTGGACCAAGATCTAGCAAATTTTCAATTTCAGCTAGTAATGCTTCTGTGACATTCTCCAGAGTCTGTGCGTTTGCGAGCTCAATATAACCGCCCGTATTATCGTCCTCAGTATCCAATGATGCCTCTTTAATTAAATTGGAAGCATATTGGTTCAGATTTGCCAGATTGGTATCAGAGCTTGCAAACATGTGCACTGAACATACTATTTAAACATTAGTGATAGCGATGGTTTTAATGGGAAGAGACAAACATTTCTGGAGGATGGCGCATATATCCACTAATAACAGTATTGTGAATTTGCGAAGCTGGTGCGAATTCTCTAGAAGGACATCTAGTCCACCGTCTTGGGCTTTATAATCATCTGCCCATATAAGGTAGTTTGTATATCCACTATCCAAGCGACGATATAGAGCTTTTGAGCCGAGCTTCTTGTCGTTGGTGTTTCTCATGAAAGCATAGTATAGATTGCGACCGACAGCATACAGCTTGGCTATCATCCCTTTTCCAGGTTCCCTAGAAACGTTATTTTGCCATTGCAGTACTTTTTCTATCAACTGAGTGGTAATATTGCCATTACCCAAATCACCTTTGTTCTCCATGAAGGGATGTCGTATTGGGTTGGAACGTGTCTTATCTGAATTACTGTGAGCTTGAAATAACAACAAATATGTTTAGCTTTAACTCATTTCTTCTTCATTTCGAATGCGTGGGCCCCCCGTATAAAGAAGCCGCTTGCTGGTAAACTAAATTACAAGACAATAAATTCGAAAAGGCCTTGTGTGGAAAAGCCTTGAAGAAAAAAACAACCATGTATCCCCATACCTAATCTATACCCGCCACTGCATACATAACTGCCTAGGTAGGAGGCACCTAGGTGATGTACGTCGTACGCAGGTGGAAGGGTCTGGAATTTCTGTCGTATGAGCTCAAGATCGCACTGCCACCTTAAATTTTAATGACATGAAACTGACACACTTCATCTTGTACATATGGAAAAGCCTCATGTAGAAAAAATTCTATACCTTGATTCGTAAAAGGGGCGCCATAGAGTGAGCAACATCTGCAGTAAAAAGCCACATTATGAGAGAGTACCTGGGTGCCTACTAGGTACCTAAGTAGGTAAGTACTTGGAGCTTCCCCACACTTCTAGCTTATAGCGAAAAAGGATGTTGTACTGCAGATTATGAGCCTCGTTATTCGGGCTATGCCCATTCGATGGTTATGGCGATGCGACCGATTCCATTTGAAAGGCGTGGAATAGAGTGGTGATATTGGTCAGCATTGAACCCCACAAAATACGGGTGAAATATTAAAAAGCATAGCCCAGCTGCCCGAATGACAACGCTCGAATAAAATTAGTTATTAGAAGGTCTGCTTGACACCTATCAATTCTGCCTACAGGAGAGAATGGGTTAAATGCAAGGGTGTCGCATATAAGCCCTGTTTACGTGCTCGTAAACAGCGGTGTCGCTTTTGCGACAGAGGGTATACTACTGGGTATTGTAATGGCTGTGTCAGTACCTAGGTAGGTATCTGCATCGCTATTTGAGTGCTACCAGAAATGCTGGCGGGGTATGTACTTCGTACAGCGCGGGGAAAAAAAGGCCCCTTTTTAGGTGGTTACTGTGTCAATAAGTTTAGCTTCGGGTTATTACTTTTCTGCCCCAACGGCCTGAAGCCTCGCCATTATGCATACCTAACAAGGCAGATTTACTAAAATAAAAGTACTTTAGGTGAAAATATACGAATTCCAAAGATTTAAGTTCCGAGTGACATATCTGTAGATGTTTATCTTGTATATTCCTCCCGCAATCTTAATTATAGCATTCAATCTTCGAGGCCACGATGGATCCAGTATCACTGGCCCTTGGTATCGTTCCTATCATCCTAACATCTTGTAAAGGCTTCAAAAAATTAACTAAAAAAATCCACATCTTCCGTCACTGCAGTTATGAAATTCATCAAGTCCAAAGAAAGCTCAGGATCCAAGGGGATTCGTTTCGGGACGAGCTTCATCTGCTCCTCCGCCAAGTACTTGATGATGACGAGATGGCTGCCACCATAGTGGATGGCAAAAACCATCCACAGTTGCAACACAACGAACTTGAGGATAGACTTAAGTCTTACCTAGGTTCCAAATATACCTTATTCGAAGCGACGGTAAATGAAATACGAGAAATAATTGAGGGCCTTTTGGAAAAGTTTTCTACCTTTACTCAGTCCCAAACACCGGTACGTGCCCAAGATTTATTGGGAGATGTGAGCTGACATTTTCTAGCATTCTCTATCGAAACGTACAGCGGATGCAATCCAAATCACCTTAAGGAAAAGCAACTACACAGAGTCACTTAAAACTCTAAAGGAGTCAAACGCAGAACTGAGAAGAATTCGAAAGGTGGTTTGGGAAATACAAAAAACTCCTATGAGGATGGACTGCATTTCATTACCATCTGGATATGAAACCATCCGAAATATGTCTTCGTCACTATATAACCTCCTACTAAATGGGTCTTTGTCATGCAGTACTGTCATCGACGCCCATCACTGCGTCAGACTCCTGTTGAATTCCACGGACGAGATTCACCCGAGTATGAACGTCTTTTTTGAACATCGACTGATAATTCAAAGCCATGGGGGAAATATCCATTTTCACGGCATTCCCCAACAGAACTGCGGCAGGGTAATGTTACCCATATGTGCAAGTTGCAAGGACGACCGTCATCTTGTCTCGACCCCTGAAGCTGGCAGGGTTTCACAACAGCCACACAATCATAGATCGGTTACCATAGATATGGATCATTCAGCAGATGAAGGCGACAATTTGACTAAAACCGGGGTTAAATGTAAAGAATTATATGTTCGCTCCGAAGCATGTTCTGGACCATCGCCTCGATCTCTAGGTTATCTCAATATCAGGGAGAATAAAAAGCTTGTCCTGTATCCAGGTCTACGGGGGTTGGACACCAGTTGTGATCTCTTAATTCTGCGAAGGACTACGCCCCTTGTGGACTTTCTTAGTCTTCCTGTCCACCATGTTATTACAGACATGGACCGCATTAAACTGGGGATTACCTTAGTAAAATCGATGTTGAAATATAACTCAACACCATGGTGGCCTCAGGAGTTAACATTGAGTCAAGTACATGTTCTAGGAGAAGAAGATAACGATTTATCGTCATCTCTCAACACGCTACATATTTCGATACAGCTCGGAGCGGCTGGCCTTGCCACCGAAGGCACCAAATCTCCTTCTATTTCTTTGGATGAAGAAGAACGTCGACTTAGCTTCTTGTCCCCGGAGTCGATTCAATACGCCATGGATAACCATGGTATACGAAATCTAACCCTGTATGGTCTAGGGGTGTCGTTACTCCAGATTGGCCTTTGGGAGAATATTCCATGGGAAGATCACGTACAGGTGCGCAGGAAAGTTGCGCGTCTCTCTTGGCTCGGGAAGCGTTATAGGGATGCGACTAAGAAGTTGATCAATTGCGATTTTGGTCTAGCTACAGAAGAACTCTGCGACAGAAATCTCCAGTCCGCCATCTTCAGAGATGTGATAGGAGATCTAGAATCGATTGTCAATCTGTTGGAAAGCTCTGGATAGGTAAAAATAGCCCATTTGCAAGGATTGTACTCCAGTGGATGGTGTTTCTCTAGAGCCTGATGGAAAATTCATGTACCCACATTTATAGTTTCGTACCTCGCTAGGTGCGCTGATAGATAAGGAAAAAGACCTGGAGAAGTCTTGTGGAATTGCACCCCGAGTTCCTCTCGGCGTGTTATCCAAGAATGGCGATTGGATCAAGCTTGTGGAGATATCATAATGGCTGGGTGGCTGCATAACGAGAACTTTCCAATTTCCACAGTGGAAGAGTTAAAAATTAATGGGTACCTGGGTACTTGCGTTGGCACTACCTACGTGCCATATCCCAACATTGAATCCCGTTGATTTGTCACCTATTCATTCGAGATTACCCGAAGTTATCATGTAACGGCGTTATCGTTCGCCCTCCTTCCCCGAATCCAAAAAGGGGGATAAACCGGAAAGACCCACAACCGGAGACTTAACGGCAACTTATAGAGACCCACACCGGGAGCATCATCCGGACGAAAAGGGGTGATCACATATATCGAGAACATCGGATGTAATGAAATACTATTATCTGCGAACATCTATCAAGGTTACATTAGATGAGACTAGATGCAACATAAAAAAGATGCATTTCGCATGATATCACACCTTCTCCAAGTTCTTAAGCACCTAGAGCAAAAGTCCCCGATATGTATCCCTGAAAACTACCTACCTACATTACACCACAGATCGCAACGAAATCAGCTTAGAATAGCCCGTTCAAAAGTTCCAACTAGCTGCCAACAACAATATAAAGCCTTCCACCAATTTCTGCTCAAGCTTTCAAGACATCTCTCAATCTCATACTCCCACTCTCAAAACCCAACCCATCCACCTACCTAGATACACAGAACCAAAAAAAACCACCCAACCACCATGCCCCACCCCCCAATAACCGACGTCCTAATCCTCGGCAGCGGCCCGGCAGGCCTCTCCTGCGCCAGCGCACTAGCGCGGCAACTGCACAGCGCCATCGTCTTCTCCACATCCGTATACCGCAACGCGCGCGCAACACACATGCATAACGTCCTAGGATACGACCACGTCTCCCCCTCCATATTCCGCGGTAAGGCGCGTGCGGATATCGAGGCGCGGTACGCGGGGACGATACAGTTTCGGGATGTGGGGGTTGTGAGGGTGCGGAGGGTCGATGATGGTGTTAAGGGGAAAGAAGATGGGAGGACAAGGTTCGAGGTTCTGGATGAGTTTGGCAAGACTTATGTAGGGAGGAAGTTGGTGTTGGCGATGGGAGTACGGGATGTGATGCCCGCGGCGCCGGAGGGGTATGCGGAGTTGTGGGGTTATGGGATGTGAGTTTATCTGATTTCCCTCCATCTTATGCCAGTCCCTTTCTTTGACACCTTTGAACTAGGGGTACTGATAGAGGATCACGTTAGTTTCCACTGCCTCTTCTGCCACGGCTTCGAAGAGCGGGGATCCGCCTCAGCAGGTGTTCTAGCAATAGGTCCTATGCTAGGAGGTGGTGGTAATGATACTGCACCGCTGATGGCACCAGTAATTGCGCGGATGGCTGCCCGGCTTGCGGGACATGTCACAGTCTACACGGACGGAAACGAAACCCTTGGATCGCGGATCCGGGAACAACTCAAGAGTAACCAAAAATTCCACGTCGAGAACCGCCGGTTAGTTCGTCTAGCAAAAGATCCGGATGTCGGAGGAAATGCGGGAGTTCTCGTAACTCTTGAAGACGGGAACGTGAATAAGGAAGGATTCTTGGTACGTCTTAAACCCCTTTCCACATTTTGGACCCCACCAGTATGCGCTTTTCGTCATGACAAGAAAAACAGGAATAATAATCACATATTTCGCTAACACGAAATAAAACAACCAGGCCCACGTCCCAGCCATCGAGCTCAACGGCTCTTTCGCAGCAGACCTCGGAGTAGCGCTCGCGCCTCAAGGACACATCGACGCACAACCTCCGTTCTACACGATGAATGTGCCAGGAGTCTATGCTGCAGGCGACTGTGCGACCATGATGAAAGCCGTTCCTATGGCAACCATGATGGGGAGCAGTGTGGCAGCAGGACTAGCGCATGTGTTGCAAGCCGAGGATGATGTGGAAGAGTAGAATGAGGCTTGTCCGGGTTAAGGTAGCATCACATTAGAAGGGAAGGGAGTCCTGGAAGTAATACATACCTTGGATTATACCAAATTAGCATTAGGCGTTCATAGATATGCTTGGGCGTGTAGATAACACGAGCGCAATATCATAGAGATCACTTCAATATGCGAAATACCCAATGAGTTGCAATACATCAATCCGGTATGTATTAGGCCATCCCCACCAGCAAAAAACATGCTCACTGCCATACCACGTTTATTAACTCTTTAGGTTGTCCCTCAACCTGAATGCTGGAGAATAGAATATATACATCGTAACAGCTCTGCGGCACTCACGGGCCGTATTCGTAAGGCATTGAATTCTAACTGCAAGTTCAGAATATCCTTAACAGCAGACTAGTGCCATTACACAGGTTGCTCTCCTATATTAGTAAACCGCGGGACATGCAAATAACCACCTCGCGACGCCTTACGATATATCCCAACCTTGACCTGATTCATAATCCATGTCGTGTTGATCTTGCGAGTTAGAATTGTCGACTTCACCCTCCTCCAACTCAGCGTTTACACCGTTATCCTCGGTAGTAGTTTTGTCATGACCTGTCTGCTCATCCTCCACACCAGTCGTCATAGGAACATCGTCATCAGCAGTTACCTTCTTCTCAGATTGGGGTGCAGAGGCGGTCCAGGCGATCTCGACCTTGTCGTCAAGTCCAGGAATAGCATTATTTGCAGATACCCCGAACATGAATTGTTCCGCCGTCTTTCGGTCTTTGAAGGTAACATGAGTTGATTTCGGGTCTGTGTGTATCTCCTTGAATTCGCCGATACCCTAGAGTTGGTTAGTCACAGTTGCAGAATAACACATTTCCACACCTACGAAAAGATACTGTCGGAGGGCTTCGTCCTTCTCCGGATTCGTGAAATCCACCCCAGATAGGACAATTACTTTTGGCCGGTTGTCCAAGGAATACACGGCGTACGCTGCGTGTCTAGCTTCGACACCTCCTCTGCCCTGGAAGCCATGTGCACCTCGATAGGCTCCAGTTACAAAGCGCCCACGGCCGCGGTAACCTCGGCTGCCTCTACCACGACCTCTAGGATTCCAGGATGAAAACTCGTCCTTAACGGCATCTGGATCGATTCCTAGCACGTTAGCTTCCTCCTCCAGCGCAGCTAATTGCGCCCGAAGAGCATCCGTCTGCGACACAGGTTTCTTGGCTCCATCTGCCGCTACCGTAGTCTCATTTCCGCCATTCTTGGTTAGCTTAGCTTGAAGCTTGAGCTTCTCCTCAAGCTGTCGCGCACGAAGCTCTTTCTGACGTTCCTCCAACTCTTGGCGCTGGCGTTCCAGCTCCTCTCGCTTCTTGCTCTTTTCCTCGTGGGCCTTCTGAGCCTCTTCTTGTTTGCGGAGGAACTCATCCATATCAAACGGCTCGGCACTAGGAGTATCGCTGTCGGCAGGGAAGTCACCGTTCATGTCTGTCTCAGTCTTGATCTTCTTAATCTTCCCATTTATCGGAGCCGATCCAGCTTCAGCCTCATCCTTATACCAAAACACCTTGACAAACCGATTGTCAAATATTACCTTGGGAGAGCTCCAAGCCGCATGAGCGGCATCCCAGGTATCAAATTTGACGATGGCTAGCGGATCGGGCGTCTGCATTGAGACCTCTAAAATATTGCCAAATTGGGAGAAATACTCGCGGATTTTAGCGTCGGTAAAGCATTCGAGGGGGATATTCTGGACTACAAGGGACGTCTTGGATTTATCATTAACAGACCCAACAGCAGCAAAAGGTACCTTTCCTTTCATGCGTTTTGGTCCCTTGTTTGCATCTCGACGATTATTTGGAGGGGTAGCTGGAAACGGAGGTAAATTGGATGATTGCGACTTTGGCAAAAGACTCTGGTGAATATTCGGTAGGGGCATCGTGAAGATCGCGTTGCTTGGGTCGTATTCTATCCGATTGTTAGCATATAGACCAATGATCTACCCACTGGCACTAAGAAGGTGTACTCACCGTCGCCTGCTGACGGACCAAGTGGAGGTAATGTTAACGAATCCATGCCATGATCGAATCTGCATTTGTTACCTCTGGAGCAATAACCCTTCGTATCATAATCTCTGCATCTCTTTCTTCGGCGTGGTGTGGGGATAGTTCCAGAATACACTGGTTTAGGTAGATTATCTTCTTGTGAGAATGTGAAGCCCAACTGGTTTAACATATTTGGATTCATCTGTGCCATATGCTGATCGTGTTGGGGTTGGAATTGTGAAAGTTGAGGCAATGGTGGTGGTGGTAAGCTGGGGCGATTGGGGTCGGAGAATGTGTGAAATGTGCTGGGAGGGAACGTAGGTCGATCGATTGACCCGTACGGATTGTCAAATCGTCCACGTTGTATGAAACCAGTGTCTCTTCGAGGTTGCTTGAATGGGTGAGGGTATGAACCCTGGCCATTCAGAATAATATCAACCTCATCATCTCGGTCGTTATATGGACGTTTCTTCGAACCGCTCGGGGCATACGTAGGCGCTGCTAGATTTGACAAGTTCGGGGGATATGGGATTTGGGCCTTTAGGTGAGGTAAGGGTTGGGCGTTTGTTGGGGCTGCGGGTAGAGGAGGGATGACAATATGGGCGGAAGGTGCAGGAGGAGCTCCCGGTAAATAGGAGCGATATTTGATGGCTTGAAAGACGTCATTGGTGAATTCAGCGGCATCTGTAAACTCATCAGCATCCAGAACACATCACTATTAGCTAGATTATGGAAGTAAATGCTTCATACCCTCTCTTAGAAAGTCCGGAATTTCATCCTCGAATATTTTGCGAATGGAACCAACGTCACCATCGTGTCGTAGGAGGGCTAAGACATAATCTGCAAGCACGTCGGCATCCGCGTCAGACCTGTAGGTGGGAGAAACAGTCAAAGGTCAGCAAACGTAAACAGGAGAAGTAAATATAACGATCCAATGGTAGGGATTCATATATGAACTTACGTATTTGCAAGGCGACGGATAATCCATTGCCTGAGCAGAGGCGCGTCTCTCTCAGGGAACAACATTGTCAATTGAGACGTGTCGTTCAATCACGACATGAGGGTTTGTGCAGTTGAGGAAAAATGAATAAGACAAAGAGAAGGAAGACGCATGTAAGGTTTACGCGTCGAAGTACATGTACGAAGTACTGATCAGAAAAGAAAAGCTCCAATGCAGCTGCCGTTTGGTCAAGCTTTCGTTAAGCTCTGACCCAGGAAAAGTACAAGGCTGACGACCTTGTTCTAGAAAAATACCATGTGTGGGGCGGGAAAGCACTCTTGTAAAAAGCACCTAGATCCGATAGGTCGCGGCTCTTATCCCTTGAATGGTCCGAGCTTTATCAGCTAAGTGGGGGGACGAGTTAAAATCTTTACGATTAGAATTTGCCTATCCCGTTAATGAGATTTTTCATGGTTTCCACGTGCTTGATCGACTTTCACGATTTAATCAGTAACAATATTTATTAGTCGCGAAATTGGATGACTAAAATGAATCTTATTTCTAAACGGCCTGTAACAGCTGAGTGACATAAATACATATGTACCTATGTACATAGTAAATGCGATATGACAAAGCGGTGAGACCCGCAGGATTGAAAACCAGGTACCCAGGCCCAGGATTACCTTTTCATCGGAAATCCGGGGGATAAGATAGCATGTAAGATTTCGAGCCCGTTATCAAATAAGTGGAATCCACTTCGATGCTTTAACACTCATATCATCATATCATATCGTCTTCACATGTATTTCATAGATCCCGAGTGATCGGGCTCTAATCGTATAAGTACTCGAAAAAAAGCAAGCAATTAGGCCGTTTCAGACCCTTTCCCGTTTGCACCCAACTCGTTTGCAAAAATAAGTGTGGCGCCAACCCCAACACTATAAGACTCTCAGTCTCAGTCTCATCTCACAACCATCACCACAATACTCCACTACCTAGATAATAGACAAAACATAAACTCATAACCACGATGGCATTCACAATGCACTCCCACTCAGGCCAATTCTGCCCGGGCCACGCGAAAGACCAACTCGAAGACATAATCAAGCACGCCATCAGCATGGGGTACACGACCATGGGACTCACAGAGCACATGCCACGGACCAGCCTCGAAGACCTCTACCCAGAAGAAGTATCCTCCCCCACCCCAAACCCCTTTTTCCCACCCACAAACTCACACCCCCCAGCTCTCCGACCCCCCAACCTCCCTCGCCGCGCTCCTCCCCCGACACGAATCCTACCTCCTCGAAGCGCAGCGTCTGCAAAAGCAGTACTCCCCGCAACTGCACATCCTAATCGGCTTCGAGGGGGAATGGCTGCGGCCCACGTACAAGACCCTCGTAACCACGCTCGCCTCGCACCCAAGCATAGACTACTTCATCGGGTCTCTCCACCACATCAACAGCATCCCAATCGACTACGACGCGGCGTACTACGCGCGCGCGGTCGCCTCAGCGGGGGGCACCGAGGAGAGCGCGTACGCGCGGTATTACGACCAGCAGTATGAGATGCTGCAGTCTTTGCACCCGCGGATAGTCGGACACTTCGACCTCGTGCGCTTGCTTTCCTCGTCTCCTGACCGGGTTATCTCGAGGACCTGGCCAGAGGTGTGGGAGCGGATAGTCCGCAACTTGAAGTACGTAGCCTCGTACGGGGGGTGGTTGGAGTGCAATAGCAGCGCGTTGCGGAAGGGACTCGCGGAGCCGTATCCGAGCCGGGAGATCGCGGAGGAGTGGGTGCGGCTCGGGGGGCGGTTTACGCTGTCGGATGATAGCCACGGGATCGCACAGCTCGGGACGAATTTCGGGCGCGCGCTAGAATATCTAGAGAGTTTAGGTGTGGGAACCTTGTGGACGCTAAAGCGGGAAGCATCGGCGACGGAGGGTGAGAAGGCGAAGTTGGTGGAGGTGGAGGTTCCGCTTCAGAGTGTGAAAGATGTTGTTAGTAAGTGGTAATTTATTGACAGAAGGTTTTGGGATGTTATCAATAGGGAGCTAGATAAAAGTATATAAGAAGGAACGGGGCGAAAAGGGGTAGCCGGATAGGAGGCAAGGAAAAGGTAGGGGATAGGCGAACTTAGATGAGACTATTCCAATAGTCCATTATGATTCATACACGCGGAAAATATTAGATTATCACGTCTCGATCGGAAGACGATAGAAATTAAATTATGAATAAATCCATATAGCTCACGCTACAACTTGTATTGTTTAGCAAGCCTTAACTAGCATACTATTGTACCCTACTATGTAGAAGGTATCGTCCTATCGCGTCTTAGCAACCGGTGTGTTGAGCTGCAAAAAGTCGCTTCTGTCGTGTTAAATGATCCCTTGCACTATGCATCCCAGCCGCAAAACACCTATTCCTCGACCCGACATTGCAAAACCCTGTCGGCCGTCGACACCGCCCCCTCTACGCCAGAGAAATAGGAATGTAAGAACTGAGAAATGAGGAAAATGCAACCGCGAACGGCTCTCCGTGGAATATGACCGCATGCATGCTTATTGGGGTATCTTTTGGCCGAAATCTCATCTCTCTAATCTTCCCGCCCCTTGTAAACGAGAATTGTTGTGTTGGTACATGTACGTGTTTTCTCCGTCGCGACGCCTTGCTCTGTTATGTTGCCCTCGAAACGATTAAAACAAATAAAAAGAAATTAGGTCATTAGTTGTCATTTATCATTAAAAGGACCCCCTCCTCGAACACGTTGAATTTTTGTGTTCTTCCACGGGGGTAGTTTAAGATCTGGAAAGTTAACCATCAGTGAGTTCCACATTTTCGAGCCACGTTCGAACAGCAGCTCGTAATGTGCTCTCCTTTTCGCGGCTCATTTCGTATGGCGCAGTTGGGCTTGCAACCTGGTTCTCCCTCTCGCGTTGATCTACCACCTCTTGTACGATTCCTGATAGTGCGGACAAGACAACTACCTTGCATTCTGCGCGTGGTACTTCTTGGAAATCGATAGGAAAGCTAGGCATATCTTGCTCCGTTAATTGGGAAACTTCGCTGTCTCTCCTTCCCCGCCTTTTACTAGTAGACCGAGAAGATGCAGTCGAAGTTCCCTTGCTCGCATCACTACTGTGCGCAATGACTCTCTCAACAGCATCAATAAGAGCATCGTCGAAGCTGAACAATTCCTCCTCTTCGATCTTATCCTGAATCGGCTGTTCGTAAGGTGAGAGCGCCGGTGTCATCAAGGACGAACCGTATGGCGTCAAGAAACTGGTGTTGTTTCGATCCACTGGTAGCTTAGGTTTCACAAGCCGGCGGTATCGAAGTCGCTTTATAGTAAAATTCGTCGTATCAGCAATGATGGCTGTGCTAACGTCAACCCAATGCTCTGCAGGCCAATCTTCCGGCATCGTGTTCAGATGAACTACAGGGGTAGGTTCCGCAGCTAAAGATTCTCGTACTTCGTCTAGAAGATTTTTCTGCGGCGGGATCGCCTGAAGCGTAAAATCGGGATGAAAGCGCTTAAGCCATCCCGCAACGTTCAGAGGAACATCGCCATCAATAGCTAGCCTCGAGAACTGTTCGAAGCCGTCAAGTCCACTACCCAGACCAGGGGTTGAAAGGTAGCCACTGCTAGATGGTGAACTAACAGCAGTCTCAAATGAAGTAAGGTAATCTGGAAATTGAACATCGACATCTATTACTCCATCATCGTTATTGATAGACGTTTTCACCGGTGATTCATATGCGCCTAACGGATCTGGGGTTCTTGACTGAGGCTCGAACTGCTTCTCTTCCAATCTTCGCGGAGTATCGGGTTGTTGGAGTGATGTAGGGTCACGATCCCCTGGTTGGTTCACGATTGTATCGAGAAGTTGGGCCTCTCTAACCATCTCTGCAAGTTCGTCCCTTATACTAGTGGAAGGTTGAGTGGGAGAGGAGAGTGCGCTGCCACGATGATTTGGCATGTCCAGAATCTGCGATGTAGTAGCAGTCGAGTCGCGTCGTCTTGCACTCCATAAGCCACTAATCACGCTACCCCATCGCGAACTTTGACGGGAGTCTGTGCTTCCATGGCTAGCGTGACCGATACTGTCACCTCTTTTCAGAGACCGTTTTAGGTCATCCGCAGCAAAACTGCTCCCGCTTCCAGGTCGACCTCCACGGCCTGTGCTACCTCGATGCATCGTAGAGAAGTGTGGAATGGCGGAGTCGGGAACTACGGTATTAGCTGTTGCAGCACTGCTCTTTCGTGTGTTGATATCATTTCCGGTAATGAGGAGATTCGCTGGCTTGATGAAATCGGACGATCGACGGTCTACATTAGAGGACTCCATACTAAGGTGTGCGAGCTGCGCAGGTATACCGGTTGCTGATCTCGTCGTAGCTTGCGACTGGATGCTAAAACTCCTAGTGTGAGAAGCACCTCTGGGTCCTTGCCGACGATTAATCTTCCGACGTAGAGATTCCTCCTTGTTGATCGGCACAATGTACGATGGAGGCGAATGGCCGAAGGCAGCGGCCGATGCAGAAGTCGCCGGGCGCTGAGCGCGAACTGTCGGTAGCTGCTGGTTAGCGGGCAGGAAGGCCGACAGTAAAAATATCAACCTCCTCGCAGCCATCTTATCTTTGGCGACTATGATCGTTCGTGATGGTAAAGACGTATCCTCCTCGCTTTTAACCTTCTGTTGTTGATACCGCCTTCTCCTGTACCAGATGGGACTCAACGCTTGAAGCCATTCGGTGTGTGTTGCCAAGAATGCCGTCAGTAGATTGAAGAAGAAAAAACCTTGCTCTTTAGTCCCAGCCCACTTCGCAACCCATCTTGCCTCCTCCCGCCACGGACCCCAGCGACCCTGTCCCGTAACAACCCTGGTGGCTCGAAGTCCCGACACAATCCGGATCTTTGCATCATCAATTTCGTCGCTTATACGCTGATCCTGAGCTAAGCAACTCGGCGGGAGTGCTACCAACTTCGCATTTGTCTTCGACGGCTTCATTTGAGAGCCATCGGAGCCCCTTCGTCCCTTGACGGATGTTGTTCGGGCGATCTGGGCGGATATGCTGGCGGGGTATGGATCGGGCGCCGCCATGTCCACTTGCTTTAGCATCGGAATCAGTGTGGTGGCTACAACAGATTGAAGGTGAGTAAGGGTTCTCATAATAATATCCCAATGTTGAGTAATCGCATCCATGCGATCCTCAATATCATTACTGTATGTCGATTCGAACGACTCTGAACCGAACCCTGAACCGACCATCGTCCATCCAGATCGGCGGGCAGATCCGAAGGAAGAAGGGAAAGTGTCTTGCTCGTTATAAGAACTGGGTCCTCGAAACATGGGCTTTGGTGCCGTTGCTGGCGTTGAATTCGGACATTGCGGAAGTTGCAACACCAAAGCGACTGCGTACATGGGCGTCCTCTTTTGTACAGGCTTCAACTTCTTCTTGTTTAGTTTGTTTTCATCTGGGGAATACGGAAACGGAAAACCCCCGTTATCATCGGAAAACCGACTGTGGGGGGAGGTAACCTGGCTCGGAGATTCAGGATCGTCGTTCGGTAAATTCACTGGAAATAATCGAGTCACCAGGATCTTGTTACGATCCTGCTGTCGAGAAGGAGTAGAAAAGGGTTGGAAATTTGTATGTGCCGAATCGGACGTGAAAGATTGTGCCAGCCTACTTGACCGCATACTCGACCTTCCCATCGAACCCCTGCCATCTCCCACATATGAACTAGAGATTCCAGACGGTCGAGTCTCACTTGGAATAATATGGACCTTGGTCGATGTCCCCTTGTAGGACATGACTTCTGAGTTGGCAAAGATGCAACTCGAGAAACTGGCGAGCTCTTCACGATACTCCCTAGCCGCCTTCTGGGAGTCAGTCTCCGCAGCGCTGTAAGCGCGGGACTGGATAGATCCTCGTCGATCGAATGCGCCTTGACGGGGTTGGGGACTACCTGGTTGAATAACTAGAGGCCTGGAAGATTGTCCTAAACTGCTTTTCCGTGGCGAGGTAGGCACTCGTCGAAGATCTTGCATTAAGGACTGCGAGGATGAAGTCGCACTCGGCGGCTGTGGCCGATCACCTGGCGAGACAGCCGATGGAGCAGGATGACTGTCGAATAATAAGGAGGGACTGACAGAACCTAAGGTATCTTGCATTATTATAACGCGAACGTCGCGTACATCAATATCGATATCGCCATCATAATCAAAGGGGTTGGCGGAAACCCCAGGTTGGATGCCTGCCGCAGAGGATAGCGGAAAGACCTGATCCTGACGATAGTAAAGAGCCTGCGTATCTGGAAATAAGAGGCTGCGCGTATGAATCTCTTCCTGGACCGATTCAGGGGATGGTTTCGTTGGCGTAGTTCCTTCTTGAGGATTTGCGCCTCCGGTGGTTCCCGAGGTCAGGTTAAAAAGCTTGCCCAACATGTTGGATCCGGTAGTTCAGAAGCCCTGGATGTCGAGTACGGATATGTACCTAGTAATCAACAACTCCTAGGGCCGGAGAAACCACCAGACCGTCCTTTAACAGGCTCCCGTCCAATGGCTAGAGCCTTCCGGTGCGTTGACCATGGCGTAGGAAGACATTTGAAGCGGACGCCAAGTTGCCTAGTTAGGTGGTGTCTGGGCAATGCAAGACAACGCAATAATGAGGGTCGGATGATGCAGGTATGGCGATTGGCGATTAGATCGAGTTGGCCGAATGCAGAGGGGAAAGAAGAATTCAATTAAAAAAGGTGATCGATTATGTTGAGATCTCGAATTAATTGATTTAGAACCAAGGCAATGGTATCCAATCCGTATGGTGGGATTTGTTTGCTGGATGTATAATGCGTGGACTGGCCTGTTTGTATGTAAGATGCACGCGTTTAGTTCTGAAGACTCGTGAGAGCGACGTGACGCTGTGCGCAATCGGAGATGAATAGATACGACGGACAGGGGCCCGAGGTCGAAGAGTCGCTTCCGAGGGTACGTCGTTAGTCAACGTAGTTTTTTGGCTTCTCTCTATTACCGTTTATTTATCAATTGAACATGAATATGATTGAAAAATGGTATAAAGATTAAGTGAGTGAGAGGGTGAGAGAGTGAGAGAGGGTGTGAAGTTTACACACGGAGATTTAGTGGATAAAAGGGTTTGCGACTGAAGTAATAAGAGAGTGTTAAGAGGGAGGTGTGCTTCTGCGAGTAATGTACAAGGTCAAGCTTGGTACATGAGACTTTTAGTCTGCCCAGTGTCCAATGTCCAGTGTCCAGTATCCAGTGCTGCTCAACTCGTTAAAACGCCCCGCGACCCGCGACGCTTAGGTACATATGGATACCTATTATACCTAGGTAAGTGTTAGGTGTATGCAGGTATGTAATACATGTAGGTAAATAAATGGACAAAATGTATTAGTTAAGGTAAGAGCAGTGTAGGTGGAAAGAGAAAGGGAAAAGAATGGAAAGAAGTATGCACCGCCGATTATGACGTCCAATCTCACTAATAGTAAGTATAATTATATATACAACATAGAAGTACCAGGAATGCCAAGGGGGGAATATTGAATATTCAATTTTATGTACGATGTCTACTACCTATGTACGATATGAACGAGTATGAGCAGCGACTAGACACTCATTAAGATAGTCGATACATAACTCCGCAAATCACTGTTCGTCAATGTGCTACTTTCGTCCAAGTACCTACATACCTCTTTACCTGGTACCATACAATCATGGTAGATCTTCTAGACCTTCTAACTAGAAATTGTTAAACATGCCTATAATAGTATGGTACACGCTATCCCATAGTTGTTACCATCTACTACCTAGTACGTGCCGGTAGGATTATACATAGTTGGTTATCTTCTTAGCCGTCTTCTAGAAGTTACTGCCACGGCTAATGTTAGTACTACAACCAACTATGGATGCATGGATTGATGGTCTCTCAGGAAATTTAACAGCATGGCAGCATGGAATTACCCCATGATATCACATATTGGTGTATCTCTCTGGTACTGTACTTAGGAACGGTCAACCCCAGACACTCCATACAAATCTAAGGTAAGGGGACTGGAAAAGAAATCCAGGATTGGAAGACTGCAGACATGTTCTTTTCCCAGCCTGTTGGTTCCGGAGTCGGTCTGAAGGATTCGATTGCGATCTGGCGGTGAATGAGAGATTACCTATTTGTACTTGGCTTGGAAGGCTTGGTAATCAATCAGCTTTAACTGTCCAGAAGTGAGAGAAAGCCTAGCCTCCATCAGGTAACGCCCTAGCCCTGGAGAAAACGTCCTGGGCGGATCTGCTGCTGTAGGCGATTATCCAATAGATCCACAGTTGGCGGGTACGCATGCAAGTGCTGCATTAGGTATTTTTCTTAGCCCTGGGATTTCCCTTACGATCTATTCTACTCAGGGCCACTTACATATATGGGTCGGGAGTTATACAGTGTCTGCCATCACTTGCGGAGCAGGCCGACGTGATGAATAGAAACCCGAATGGGAGGTATTGTAATATTATGAGGATGAGGTCAGAAAGACACGTTTATATCTAAGTAGTTACCTAGTACTCGTGCCTTAAGGATTATCTTAATGATAGCTATTTACACGACGTCGATCCATATTGAGTGTTAGATATATGCACGTTAATACCAAGATAAAGTAGACAGATAGAGTATTAAGCATCCGTACGGTACGTAAGGCACCAATCGTCCTTGGGCTTCATCGACCCATCTGTGGCATGCAGGGCTGTTAGTTTTAATCATTTATTACAGCAGCATCGCACCCATTTCCCTTTTAAGCCACGATAACTCGGGAAAAGCGGTCGCAGCTCATCCCTGCTTCGGGACTCTCACACGCGACTCTATTCTTAATTCTCTAAATTTCCTACGAACTTACATAGTACTATCCTCACATCATCTACTATGTCGCCGTATATATGTGACACATACAATGATAATAGTCTTACCTAGTACTTTATGCACTTGCTTACCTACTAGTAATACATATTACTCCGTTCGCAATTTATATCAAAAGTCCATTCGAACCCCTCACATGTGGGAAAGTTTTTCTATTAGTATGCCCCATGGATCTTCCCTTGATCCAAAACACCGTTTCTGGAGCATTTGGTCTAGTGTTATTTGGACCATCATCATTCGCCGGTCTACGCATGCATATGCTTGACATATGATCACATTTCTGCGTCTCTGCGCTACCTAGCCGCCTATGCTAGTCTGAACTACCTTAGGTTACCAAGGTAGTCCAGACTTTGAACCCGTCCGAAACCCTTCGCCCATCTCCAGACGAAGCAAGCATTTTCATCGGACGACATGTTCGAACTCCCGGCGGTGAACTATTACCCCTCAACCCCAGAGCTTCGAATGAATCATTGAATGGGCAGCCGAGGTGGGATAGATGTCTTGCGTCTCGCGAACATCCGCTGCTGACGCGGCTGTCGTACTTTGTGCGCCACGGAAAAAGTATCCTTTTGGACAATCTCGGGATGAGGCTCAGCTTGCTATGAAGTCCGAGGCCAGACCGTAGTGTCGCATCCGACGACACCTTTGCAATTTCTGTTTCCATCTAATAACGTAATAGACACTAGCTGACAACGGGGCTAGACCTTCTGGTCGGCACCACAAGAACTCTGTTAGGTAACCCACTTACGATTAAAATTGTACTATTCCGGGATACTCGCCGTGAAAACCCAGGCTCTTGTTATTTACTAATAAGTATTTCTCAACTCAGCCGAGTGCTTAGGTATGTAACCTTCGTAGCGTCGGTGATGTTGATGTAAGTCAGGTCATTGGTAAGCACCTGGGCAGTCAGCTCCACCTGCCAGTCCCGTCTACCTAGGTCCTACTTCTGCCAGCCCGCGCAGCCCGTGATGATTTCCCGTCGGCAAATGTATTTCTTGGCTACCTAGGTTGTTAGGTAGTTTATCCAGTGACGTCCAGCGGCACGTCTCTCGATCTCATCTCGCATCCTCTTGGCGCTCGGGTCACTTTTCGCTTGGTTGTAAAAAAGGTTCCTAAAATCAAGTCTTCACGTTACAGTCTCACGAGGATCGACATGTTGAAGGATGTAGCTAATTACATAGTAGGGCGCTCTAGGTCCATCATCAAGACTTACATATCGATTCTGCTAGTCCCATGGGTCCATGTTAGAAACAGACCACGCAGCCACGGTCCACGCTACGGTGATGCCGCAACAACCGGGTTGGACCCTTTTTTTCGGGGCTTCCTCGTGATGATTGAGGCTCCGAAATATGAGCGGAGACTAATTTTATCGATTAGACATGTAGCTCTTCAACCACGTCTCGTTGAGTCCTCATTGGATGTTCATTCATAGGCTACGCGCTTCGACTACCGGCTCAGCACTAGCAACTTGTTTGATTCTAACTCCCATGCTCTAGCAAACGGCAAATCGAATGCGCTATTTTTCAAGTGATCATCAGAATGGAGAAAGTGGAAAGCTCTAACCAAAAGCTTTTTTTACTCCTTACTCCTCTTGTTCCCCTTGCCGTAGTGCATTGACCAGGTATCCTATCAAGCGCGTGTTCCCGACGATCTCAACAGGACCCTTGTTCGTAATTGGGTAAAAGGCGTATGTCATCCTCTAGGTGAGATCTCCATTTGTTTGGGTTGTGCTCTCACCTACCTACGTACCTACGCACCTACGCTGCTACGGCGCAGCTGCCCCAGACTGCACAGACTGCCAGGAACATCACTGTCACCCCCAGAATCAGCAATGGCACGCTACAAAGTTCCTGTATGGCCAGGCACTTTAAATCATCTCGAGCGATCTTATCCTCGTCAAACTCGATCGGCGATTTGAACCGAAGATCTGGGGACAAGATCAGTGTCACTTAACCAGATGTATGCCCAGGCGTGCGTAATAGAACTGTGCGGAGCTGCGAGTGAAGTCATCTAGAACGCGTAGGTCCAGCGCCGGCGATCATTAATATCCAAAACATCGCTTGATCCCAAATCAGCGTTGATAAGCAGCGTCAGATCCATTTCCCAAGCCAACTCGCTCGTATGGCATGCAGGAATGGCTTCTAACGTTAGAGCCATCCTCTACGGGAGATTGGTACAGCCCCAACCTGTGCCTGCGGATCGTCGAGCGACACGAACAGATCATTCTCCTTACTTTCGCAATTGACTAGTGATTAGCAGAGAGTGGGTGATACTACTGTAAGTGAGTTGGTCGCCATTCAAGCGAATAGTCGCTAGTATCCGCTGTGACGCCCTCTAGCCCCGTGTGAAACCAAGCCGTCAGCTGCTTCTGAAAATCAAATACGACAGCGTTAATGAGAAAGCTATTGGCTGATGGACAACGAATAAGAACCTTGGAAATTTGTTTCTAAAATCCTCACATTCCCAGATCAGTATTTGTCACACCATGAATGCTGCAGTATTGGGCAAGTTCAGCTCTTTGAAACGCTGACATTACAATCAAATATTACAACAGCCAGATGACACGTGAGGTCACTCAACTATCAGCTATACGAAAACTCTTTGCTGTATGAGATAGGGACAGCTCCGATGGTCGAAAGTTATGAGAATTATGACAAGGAGATCTTCAGTTCATCTCCATGGGTTTTTGCGCCTTGAACAAAACGTTAACAATACTCGTGTTAATCCCGCTGTGTTCCGTCATGTAAGCAGCTCCCGCTTACGATGACAACATATTCTACTCCTTACATTTCGAGATCGAATCAACGAAGTATATCCTCCTACCCAGGCTGCCAGGTCGCCGTTTATCATCGCATAAGCATTTCTAATCACAGTCTATTCGTGGCAACATGTAGGGAGGCACCAGCGTATAATATTCACCTCCTTCCCAGACGTGAGAGGTAACGTATGAGATGATAAGTGCAGCTATGGTAAGGAAATATGACTCGAAATATGATGCAGTCATGTCTTGATGAATGTCATCAAGTATTCATCTCACTCCTGCGTTATTCAGGGGTATGTCTTCAACAACTTTTAAGCCCTCAACCCCTCGAGAAGGTAAATTTAGCTGTCGCTAGGCGCGCCAATGGATAATTCATAGTCGCAAAGTATTTCTCTTAGGTCGCCGACGACCTGGTTTTCTTTTCTCTTATCTCCCCTCCGTCTTCATCCCCCCTTGACGTCAGCCGTGAGACACAGTTGCTAGGTCATCTCGATAACTGGTCCGCATCTACGGATATAACAACTCATTGAGAAACCACTCAAGCGCAGTTTCCCCGCCGCTAAACGCCGAGAGATCCCTCTACCCCGGATCGGATGCGCGGGGCAGCGGCGTTCTTCACAACTTCCCGCCGATATCAGCGGACTTGATAGGCGTGGATATCGCAATCCTGGTCTCAAGTCCCCTGTGAACCGAATCCTTACAGCAAAATAATATTTCGAAAACGCGATCTCTAGGCACAGGCCTGTAAGAATACACGGTGTACCGCTTCCCGATTGATGTCGCACAAAGAACTGCTTAGCGAGAATGAAATGACACAATCAGCATTGGCATTCTCAACCTTGATTATACCCGAATTTACTTGAATTAGCATATTACCTGCTACGCGATCCAACCGTAGCCTGCTCAGGCGTAGCTAGGTAAAGCCAAGTCGTGATAATGATCACCGTTGACCGCAATTTCATGATCCCATGCGGCGCATACACGTACCGGTATCATATAATGCCGCAGAATGTAGCATTCCAAAGCCTAAAACAATAGGAAGATTGCCTGTCTACCAGGCGTATTTGCCTAACTTGTGCATTTCAAAGAGGCAGAAATGAGATATAATCATGATCTATGAGCAGACTGAGGTCGAATTCAACCATCGTCAAACGATGATACGTAATACGACCTACGTAATACAACAAGGCGAGAGTGAACGTCGCACATACATCATGAAAGAATCCCTCCCGGGCCGGGGCCGCCCGTGGCATTTTAGCCAGATATCTCGTGTTGCTACCACGAGTATCATCAAGGACAAGAGAAATGCGCATTTACCTAGGTAAGTATCTAGAAAGCCCTCAGTTTCGGTACCGATAAAAGCAACCTACGACCTCACCGGGCGCTCAGCCAGTCAGCCAGCCAAAAGGACCCCGCAGGCAGGGCATGTCATCCGTGGGCAGGCCATCCGCGGTACTGCAAGTGGTAGGTTGCACGCGCGCGATGTGACCGCGGCTGAGGTTGTGCAGGGCTGAAGTCCCCAGATCGAGGACACGATTCCCAGAAACCAGAAAGCGAGAAAAGGGGGGGCTTACGCTTACGTTGTTCCGAGAGGGAGAAAAAAAATGGCATTCCACCTTGGAAAGTCAGATGGAAAAAATGAAGAAGGGGATGCGAGAAAAAAATCGGTGTGGTTGCGCAGGTCGGCTGTACTTGCGGAATGCGGAATCCAGATCCCCTTCGCGGCTCCGTCGCTCGGGTCCTTTCCCGACTTGAGCAGGTGAGCGAGGGGGGCGCGTACACCCATCAGCGTCTGGACCAGTCAGCGCGCGTATTGACGGTGACAAACGACGCACACCGGTTTCGTCCCATGCCTGGACAAGATCGATTAGATTAGATCTCTACTTATACGCAAGGTGAAGCGATCCGACTTCGGAAATGAGGCCGAGTTGATTTCTGTTTGGAGAAAGAAGTTGGAGGTAGCTGGAGTCGTTGTTGCGGTTTGCTAACGAGGTCGTTCACATACGTAATATCCATGTGCGCTCATGCTTAATGAAGCAGATCCTAGTTACGATGCGGGAGGGAAGAGCTGCAGCTCGGATATGCAGAGTTGCTTCTTCCTGCTGCGGCTGCATGCGGGCTTTAAACCCTTGCTTTTATCCATTTTGCTTCTTCCTTTCAAACCGACCTGCGCATCATATTCCTTTTTTTCTCTTTGTTCCTTCGAGAGATCCAGCCCTGTCAGAACAGCTACGAACCCCCACCTTTGCAGCAGCCCCTGTCCCCCACGTTTTGATTGTAAGGTATCGCGATTTCGAACTACGCATGACATTTCGTAAGTGGCGTTGGAGATCTACCGCGATCCTTCTTCACCTAGGTATAGAGCATGTTACTACGGATATGTACTAAGGACCAAGCCCACGGGTTTGGGTTCTAGCTAATAAACGTTTACGCATGATAGGTACTATCAATATCGTCAATTAGGTATAGATGGCCTCAATTATTGACAATACCAATCCAGAAATTGCCACATGCTGGGTACCCCCAAGGCAGGTAGGTGGTACATAAATCAATAGGCCAAGCTGTATCGTGGTCGGAGTAGCTTTCAGCTCAGGCAGGCTTCGTATAGAAGGTATCATTTCATTGAAATGGTAACAGAATTCATCAGCTAAAGCTCATTTATTGATTCATAAGTTAATATCGAATCCCTGTTCCTAAGCCATGAATGTTGCCAAGTCTTTGATTCCTAACATACTAGCAACCCATCCCATGACTCCCATGAACCCGAAACATAATAATGGTCCTTTCCGTGACCTGCAGCTAGATACGCATAGTAGTTTTATTACAGCATGTCAAACCCTCGCACAGATTTCCACAGGCGATTTGACAAGGGGCTGCCATCTCGATACGTCGTCTTCTAATCGACGCACCTGAGGATGACACAATCCCACCAGTTTCGACTACAGGGCTCGTTGCAGTGTTATCCGTACTGATACGCTCCTCGTTGTCGTTGCTGTTATCGGCGGCGATTACGGATGATGCAGTTGTCGGCGTTGCAAGCTCAGGCTGAAGAGTTGCCGAATGAATGCCCCAGGCATGTAGACACTCGCCAACAGTACGTGCACGATCCATGAAGTCGCTCATCTCAGTATTTGACACTACTATGTGGGCTGTTGCGATGGACTTCTTCTGATCGAGGCGCCAGATGTGTAATTCGTGGACCGACTCAATGCCAGGGATCTATAGTATTAATGTTTCGTTAGCCTAAAATATTGTATAGTTATTTTGCTATGACGTACCTTCTCAAGGTCATGCTTGACATCATCTAAAGGAACATCCTTCGGGGAGCTCTGCATGAGGATCTTGCCGCTATTCTTGACGAGGGGAATCGATGTTACTAAGATCATGATAGCAATGCCCATACTGATGCCCGGGTCGGCGTAAAATCGAGCCTCGGAAGATGTAAGCCAGATAATCAAGGCGGCGATGATAACTCCGACATTGTTGCATGCATCGCCGATAACATGAAGTAATACACCCATCATACCAAGGTCATGACCCGATGACTGCAGATTCACAATCGTGTGTCGGTGCTCAGCATGGGCGCTGATAGGCTACATAAAGTTTAGTAACAGTATATATAGGAGTAAACTGGGGAAGCCTCACGGTTAGGGGAATTTCGTCATGATCTTCGACAAAGCTGCCATTCACCTGTCTTCCAGCCTCGACATTAACGTGGCCGTGATGATGATCATGTCCATGTCCATGATTCTCAGCATGTTCATGTTCGTCTGAATCTGAGTGGCTATGGCTGTGCCCATGACCGTGTCCATGACCATGATCATGGTCATGAAGTTCGTGTAATAAGGTCGCGCTGAGGAGATTCAACGTAAACCCAACACATCCCATGATGAGAACTAGTACGGGGTTATCGACACCTATCATATGTCAGCTAAGTAACCCAAAAATATGTCAAAATATTTTGAAGTTAGCAAAAAAACCTACGTTCGATAGAGATGAATCTCTCGATTGATTGGAGAAAGATGGATATGCCGAGGGCGAGAAGAAAGACGCCATTGAAGAAAGCACCCAGCAGCTGCGCACGCGCCCAGCCAAACGAAAAGTTGTCAGGGGGTGTTTTGGAATCGGAAATCTAAAATTCAGTACTGATTAATTAAGCTGTTAAGATATACTCGGACAACAATTCGTTTGACGTACAATAATTGCAGCTAGGGCCACACAATAGGCGATCAAATCATTCATCTAAGATGGATGGATAGATAGTTAGATATAAAATTATACGATAATATAGTTGGGCATATGACATACGTAGTGGAAAGCATCTGCTAACAGAGCGAGAGATTTGGTGAAGAATGCCACTGAAGCTCTTGGTCAGCTCACATTTAAATTATGCAAATTGCAGCAGGATTCGGTGTAACATACCAACCAACTCGGCAACGAAAAACGAGAATGAAATACATATTATAGCAATAAGCTTCTGCTTGGACGAAAGCTTGAATTTGCCCATGATGGGTCTACAATGCCGGCTTACGGAACCGGAGCCGGAATTGGAGGGCGGAGCTGACAATCCTTCCTAAAAAGTAATTCTGAGGAACGACCGGGCGAATGTCATAAAAAATATGGAAATCGCCGCCTTGGTTATTTTGGGGTCGGTTGAAATATGTATGGAAGGAAAGATCAATTGCCCATCTCAATGTTGCTCGTAGTTTTATATGGAAAGTAGAAGGTTGCGACCTGGAAGAAAGTAAGCATTCGGTAAGCTGAATGATTCACCTGAATTCACAATTCCATAATAAACTTACGTTATTAGATGATGATGATGGTGTCTAAGGGAGAAAAAGGAGAATTGGAAACATGATATAGAGACGTGAGTTTACCTGGCAAGAGCTTCTAATATGACTTCGGAGACCTGATCGGGGTGCTCTGTCGGGGGAGATCGTTGAAACGCAGATCAACCCCGTAGTTTGATTCAACGACGAAACGTGATATGATCCAGGGGCCGGGCGCCGGGCGCTGCACCGACAAAAAATGAAAGGAATCTTGGATACCCCGGACGGCAATTGAATATGTGGGTAAATACGACACGTCGTATTCCTTATTGTGCGTAAAGAGAAGAAAGCGTTCGGCCGATATCTAACTTATTTTAGTGATTAGATAGTTCAGGAGAAACAAGACATTCTTGTGAAATGTGCATGGACGAAGATTTTTGTATTTTGTATACTTGTGTACAGTGATATATTCCCGGGAATCTTAGCCGACGATGAGCTGTGAGACTTACCTAGTAGGTAGGTGCTTAAGTGGTGTCGTGGCCGCACATGAGTCCAGGGAATGGATCCAACGAACGGGTCGTTGGAACCCGGCGAGTATAACGATATTAGTATTGAATTGCCAGACTCAATTGAAAATTCGCCTTTATCTATTCTTGAGAAATAGAAAGACGCTGCCTGGGAGATATTAGAACGCATCTAAACGCTACGTGCGCTCCTCCTCGAGATTATTTCTTACCTACTATCTAGGTAGCGTTCGGTAGCTTAGATACCAGTCACTTCAGAGGCAATCCTTGAATCAATCCTGATGTTGAGTCGTGCAATGACACAACATTGAACGCTGTAAGCCACGTCGGATACCCACTTATCAGGTGGGATATGGTTGTTTGGTTAATATGTAGTGACTGCGGATAATCGGCCGAGTTATGAATATTTGAGTCTTGGTTAAGAAATCTTTAAAGAAAGCTTACGAAATGATTAAGATCTTGCCATATGTGAAATGATTATCTAATATAATGAACTTCATATTTAACGTTAATTGGAGTCGTTCCTTCTATGCAAGCAATTATTTTGGTAGGAGCGAATCTCAGATCTAACTAGCGGGTCAGCTAACTACCTACTAGGTACATACCTAGGCACTGCCTATTCCCCTGACGTCTACTAAGGAAAGCACCGAGTCACGACATCATGGATTGAGCGAAATATCTTTACACCTGCTACCTACCCAGGTCGATAATAGGATTGATGACTGCTTTATACATATCTATGATGACTCCAAAACGATAGAGATCCTGTATAATAAATATAATGGCAATCTATGAATCTAAGATGTTTGAGAAGGTACTGGGTATTGCAGAATCATTCGTACCACAATGCATGTTACATCTCACACATTTAGCAGCATATTCAATCAAGCATCTCTATTCCATCTCACTGCTCGCTGTCCAGGCTTCTATTTGAAAAGCTCGTTCAAAGTTGTGCTTAGCTCAAAAACATTAGTTAGGTCAATTCATCAAGGAACAACATCGAGACACCTCCTAGAGAATATGGACACCACTAAGGTATGCACTTTCATATATGTATATGACTGTAGAAAGTCAATATCCCAAATATTAGGGACCGCAGATAAGTATCGTTCGGAAGCCAAGCTAATAGCAAGCAAAATTAGAATACACTGGCAGAGAATTTTGGTGGCAAGGCCCAACACCTTGGAACCCATCAGTTCAACTTGGACCAAGTCCCAGACTTGTCAGGAAAGACCGCTGTAGTTACGGGCGGGAGTGAGGGTATTGGTTATGGCTGTACCTATACCCTGCTGAAGCATAATATCGCCAAAATCTATATTCTTTCTATTTCCGAAGAGGTTGTGGCAGGCGCGAAAGATGCCATCGCAAAGGATCTAGGCCAGGAGGCGGCAAACAAGACCAAATGGATACGTTGCGACTTGTCAGATTGGTGGAGGGTGAAGGATGTCGCAGAAGAGATCAAGAAGGCTAGCGACAGGCTCGATATCCTGATTAACAACGCAGCTAGAGGGATTATGACTTACCAACTCACCGACTATGGCGTGGATAGGCACATGGCAGTCAACCATATGGGCCATGTGATCTTGACATCTTATTTACTTCCATTGATGAAACAAACCGCCGAGGGAGGTAACATTGTGCGCATTTCGAATCAGTCTAGCAATGCGCACCAAGCGGCCCCGAGTGATACGAAATTTGAAAGCTTGGAGGAATTGAATCGCGATCTTGGGGCCAATGCTCAATATGGACGCAGCAAACTTGCCAACATCCTCTATACTAGGTACTTCGCGGAGAAGGTTACGAAAGGGGGTTATCCTGGGTTACTTATGAATGCAACTCATCCAGGATTCGTGAGTACTAAGATGAGTAATGAAGACATCTTCGAACCATTCCCGCTTGGCGGGTATCTGATGGCTACTGGCATGGAGCCCTTCAAGAAGGACCAATTCGAAGGAGCAGTCTCGACGATGTTTGCCGCGACGTGTACGAGGGAATCTGGCAAGTATATCTGCCCACCGGCTATACCTGAGCAGGGAAGCGCACTCGCACAGGATGACGTACTCAGAGACAATTTGATGAAATTAACTCGAAAGATTGTGACGGAGAAAACGAACGGCGAGGTGAATGTTGGCTTTGACTGAATGGAAACCACTGAAAGTATCCATAGCTCAAATATTCGAGAGTGGAATCTAGCAATAGGTATAGGTACCAATGAAAATAACATTAATGGTGAATTACAGCATGAGGTGAATAATGGATGCAAGTTGATCTAAAAATTGCAGGCACGAAGGAGGGACAAAGTTAAGTACATGTATATATGTACCTTAGGTACTTAGGTACCGTTTGCGCACGCTAAACAGAAAAGGAAGGCGGTAGAATGGATTCTGCCACTAATGACCCATACAGCTTGCTAGGTAGAGGTAGCAATCCTGGCTGTCTGGGCACATCGTCATTAGTAAACTTGCATCATACTTGAAACTATTCAAGTTATAGTCTAGCCATCCTTTGCGACGGCGTTGCCTCAATTATAGAAGGGTGGCTAGTATTTCCACAATGACGGGTTCAATTAATTTTGAAATAGGATAGTAAGGGCAAAATGTCTCGGAATTCCGCCCTCTCGCCTTCGGCGCCGCGACGAGCTTCGCAATGGACGTCACATCTGCGACAATTCAGCAGGTCGAGCCTCGACAGGACTTCGGAAGAGTCGCCCATATCTCCAGATAATGTCTCCGGGAACTCGACCTCGCGAGATCCTCTGCCACCGAAACGAGCGAACGAACGAATATGTAGTGTAACTATCAATGACTCCATCATTCGCGATGAAGTCCTTATCAATTTCGACTTGTTTGGAGGAACTATTCAACCTGGCGCCTTAATGTCTATCACCCCTATAAAGTCAGACCAAGATCGCGCACAAGGTCCTCAATATGGCTCCGTGCGACAGGCATCTTATAATCGGGGTTTCGCCAACCTTACTCCTACCGATGACCTTTCGAGACCTGACACCGATGCGGGCCGAAGATACGTTTTTATCGCTAAGGATGTATCGAAGGAGTTCAAGGCTAGGAATCCGAATATAGAAGTATATGTCTCGAAGCAGATCGGTAACGCATTCAATATGAGAAAAGGGACACAGGTGATACTTGCTCCGGTTGATCATCTTACGCCCGCCGTTGAAGCCTCGCACGTCGAGCTCACCTTCAAGGATATGTATATGTCCCGCGCGGACATGTGGAGACTTGCTGTCGCCGACTTAACGGATAGTACAGTATACAAAGGCCAAGTGGTATACTTCCTAGGTGCGATTAAGGCTACCGTAAGTACGGTTTTTGTTGAAGGGCGCAAAACCCGGTCTGCCTACTTCGGCCGCAACACCCGACCCATCTTTCGGAGCGAGTCCGCTAGATACGTCCTTTTCATACAAATGGCGCGGGAAATGTGGGACTTTGACTCCGACGGTTCAGGCGAAATCATGTTTTCCAAGGTTGTGAACGGCTTCCTACCCGTCCTTTTCAAAAAATGGGCTCTGCTGCAAGTTAAGCACTTAGTCAGCATCGTACTTTTCGCCAGGGTCGAGTATGACACAGGGCTAACAACTGAGTTCGCAAATTCGGCTCTTCACAATGACTACTATACCGGATACCAAACTTCCGGTGATAGGCGTCCATTTAAAGACTTTTACCGTGTTGTCGTGAGCGAGATGTCTAGCGGAGAGTGGACCAAGATATTAAACCAGTTGAAGATGGAGTTTAACGTCTTCCGCCGAGACATCAGTCTTCATCATCAAGATGCCATGAGCAATGATATGGAGATTCCCGAGGATCCCTCTGCAAAAAGCACTTCCACTAATAAGATTAAAGCACAATCTTCTTTGGCTATGTATGGAAATTTTCTTGAAGCTATTAACTTGGCATCTTCCTTGTACGCCCACGATTATGTAGATCGAGATCTTTTACGTACCGGAATATCCATAGTGGTCATCAGCCCGGGCCCAGGAGTTTTCGAAGTCGAATATGAATCCTTGCGACGGACGACGGAAGCCCTCGTCGGCAATGGAATTGGCATCGATCTAATCTGTATTCCGAACATACCACTGCATTCCGTTCCTCTGTTTCGTTATCGGAATCCACACTTCCTCGAAGCAAACCAAAGGTCACACCCTCGTCAAATTAGAAGCCGTGACAGCACGCCAAAACAACCTACACCTCTTGCCGGTAGCTATACTACGCTAAGCGAATCTGTGTCTCCCACAAAGGTAGGCGATTCGTCTAGCCGGGTCGATTCGGGAAGTTCTACCTTGTACGCCGATGAATGGGCCTTTGCGGTACCACAGTGGTTGCATATTTCCTACTGGACCGGCAAGTCGGAAGAGGCTTTGTCCTTCCAAGGCATTACTCTGTCTGCCTCAGCTCAATCCCCAGATGATGGCCAAGATGAATTTACAATTCGGTGCAGACTCTACGACCTCCAAATGAGGAGTGTACTCGAAACCAATGAAATTGAGACAACCCCGTTGCATGCCGATCCCGCATATTCAAGTACTGTTGGCAATTTTGAAAATAGGACAAAACTGGTGCGCGGTGACGATCGTCTATCGACACATATTGGGAATCTAAAGGTTCCTGAAACGTTATTCGATCCAGTATACGGTTTCCTGAAGTTTATCCCAGACAAGTTAACGAAGACCGGGGAGACATTACTCTGGAAACAACTGCAGGCTTATGACGAAACAAGGGCTCGGCTCCCAGCACATCGACCTTTACCGTCGACTCATCCTTATCGAGAACTTGAGGAGAGCACCGGCAAGCAACTGATGGAAGATGTTAATCTGTTTGGTACTTCAATAGGGGACAACAAAGATGCTGGAGCTTCGACTGGATTATCGTCGAGTGTTTCATCATCGAGTAGGATACGGCTGGATGTATCTGCCTCTACTGTCGTTTCTCGACGCAACTCTACCACCAAGTCCAAGCCCCCATCAGCGAGACAACCCAAGTTCATGAGGCAGATTAGCCTTGGCCAGCGCGGCTTTGGTATCGCTGCAGCCAAACCATTTACAGGAGAAGTAAAAACAGAGAATGTCACCCGAGTTGATGCTACTGGTCTAGGATCTAATACTCCTTCAACCCCAAGGATGACTCCAATCACGCCAATTAAATCTGCGACAAGGCCAGGTTCTTCGCACTCAGCAAGTATCAGAAATATCCCGTTAATCACAGCAACTGATTCGGTGACCGGTCTTACCCAAGCAACACCAAGTATCCCGATTCAAATAAAACCCCCGGTCCAGACTTTAGATCCTGCTGGTACATTAAAATCTGGCCAGGTACCAGCCACGCCTATTGCTAGAAGCGCGCGGCCCGATGATCGAGATCTCAGATATTCCAATGCTCTCAGAGAAGAAGATCAAAAGAGGCTATATAATTCAAAGCTGCGAGCCGGGGGTGTACCGGAATTACCCACCACACTATCGCCGACCACTGCCATGGCCCCTTGGTTGGTAGTTCTTAATCCGTCGAATCCGAATGTCAATAAAGTCGATGACTCGATCTTGTTTAGTCGATGGCAACATGTCTTTCCGCGGCCATCCGAAATGAGAGTCATGAAATGGAAATCATTGTCTTGCCCTGCAGCTGTTCCGTTGACGACAGAGTATTTCCCAACGCAAGCTCAATTCAATGTCGAATACCAACGTCAGCCATATAATATTTCTCAAGAAATAGAAGATGAAATTGCCGAGCAACCTATCTCGCGTGTGGAGTTTTTAAGAGAGTTAGTTAGCACTCGGTTCTCGCACGGATTTCAAGTCGTTACCGGCCCATCTGTAGCTAAGGCATTCGACCAAAAGGCCATAAGAATCGCGGATGTGTTCTCTATAGACAAAACTATCGGCGACGGAACAAGTATTTTCATGAGTGTTGGTAACACGATTCACCAACTATCGTGTGTTAATGGCACCGAAGTTGAAGTGAATATTTATATACGGAAACCAACCGAGCCATTAACTCAGATGGTGCAATTGCCTTCATATAAACCAGCAATACGTACTCTACTCGATGAAACATACCACAGTATCGATGTCGACATCATGACTCCTAAACCGGAACGTAATTGGAACCATATAGATTCATATCTTGCCGGGCATACGGACGAGATGACAGAGAACCTGCGGTTTTGGAGGGCTCGATTTGTGCTCATACCAATGTATCCTCGAACTTCCTCGGCTCCGGCGCCACGGAATGGGGATGATGAGGAAGAAGTGCGGCTCGAGGGCATTAAAAGACTAGCCCAACATTGGCAACGGTATCGATTCTTACCTCCTTCTGAACGTCAGTTTCAAAGTGCCGGAGCGAGGAAACGTGACCCCAATCCCCTCGACATCACCTACAAAACCGAAGATCCTTCGGTAGTGATCGCTGCTGAGATGGAAACGCTTCCATTATTTGAAAGCATGGAGACTACGCACCGTAAAGGTTTGGTCTCAGATAAAGAGCGTTTCTCCAAAACCAATTTCAATGTCTCTGCCCTGGCTGAAGCAATTCAACAGCCGGTCGAACTCGGTGGGATCCGAATGCAAACGCGACGATGGCATTTCCGAATTCATTATCATTGTTTCATAGGATCGGACATGACAACCTGGCTGCTTGACAACTTTGAAGACCTCGATAGTCGGGAAGAGGCGGTCGAGTTAGGTAATTCTTTAATGGTTCTCGAGGAAGATAGGATGAAAGATAAGGATAAGGATTATACTAAAGACGCGAAGAAGGATCGTGATCGTGGTATCTTTGTTCATGTAGAGAGGCGACATCACTTTCGCGACGGCCAATTCTTTTATCAAGTCGTTAGCGATTATGCGAAACCTCATCCTGTTGGATGGTTTAATTCGAGAAGGAGAGATGTTTCAATTCCTTCTACACCCTTATCAGAGAATCCGCCAAAAGACTCACCCCGACCTAATCAACCCGGGATGCAGAAGCCGATCTCTATTCATGAAGAGAATTCGCCAATATCGGGCAGCACGACACCCACTTTGGCAACAATTGGCGGGAGAAAGCCTAAGGTCGTCCTAAGTAAAATGATGAAGTATGACGTTGATCCTCGCAAAAGGTCATATCGCCCTGAGAGGATTAACCTGCATTATGACCGGCTCCATAATCCTGACAATTGTTATCATATTCGCATCGACTGGATGAATGTCACGGCGAAACTTATCGAAGATACACTCAAGACTTGGGCACTGACAGCAGCGCAGCATGGCCTCCGACTTGTTGAGGTGCCTATCGCAGAAGCTTGTCGTATCACGGAGATCAACCCATTCCGAAGACCATATAGTATTAAACTCGCACTACCGCCCCCTACTCAACATCCAGTGACATATTATGACCCTACTTCCTTCGGCCCACAAGCCCAGCCTGGGAAGCATTACTACCAAAAGGCCCTTCTGAAGAAATTCAATTATGTGCTCGACGTTGAGGCCGCCTCTAACTTCCCGAGCAACGTAGACATCAGCTATTCATGGGGCAAGCCGGATTTCAAATATTCCCAATATGTCCATCGTTCGGGGGTTATCTTGGCTGAGATTACTGATGAAGGTGATTTTCTCATTCTAGCCAATAGGCTGTGCAGTAATCGGGCAGCCGGTTTCCAGGCTACTCAACCACGCACTGAGGCGGTGCCCAACGAGCGCGTCTCACGGCTTATGAATACAAGCGGGTATACTAACTATGGCATTGCTGAACCCACACCGATATCATCACCAATGTTTAGGCCCGTACTATTTGCGTCTGCCGCGTCTCGAGCACCGCCCGAACCATCACCTAGCGGTAGCGGCAGCACGAGCGGACCTCAACCTTGTCCACCAAGTCCCAATGTTAATGCTCTTGGTGAACCGGAAGCTCTCAAAGACGCACTAGAGAAATTTTGTAGCGATGCGAGCGCACTAGAACTATTCTATAAGGAGACGCTCGAGAAAGGCGCAACTGGAACACCTATGGTCGGAGCAGCGCCGCCGGGACCCGATTCCATCCCGGAAGCTAACATTCCTACCCTTATTCTCGGAGGCAATAGCATTAGTTCAGAATCGGGTCCTAGTCCCAGTCCCAGAATTCCTACGCCCAACTTAGCTGGATCATTATTATTCAGGCGAGGAAGTATTCAACATTAGGCGATTACAGCCCGATGCAAGTATAAACTTATGATGCTAGGTACCTATTATATATTATTACTACCCTCAGATTTTATTCCCAATCAAAAGCCCGCGTTTGCGGTATATGAAACATATTCTTTGATTTACGTGCATATACCTACTAGGTACCTACCTACCTGAGACTTCTAGAAACATTAGTCCTGATCCCGCATGTTGGTTAAGGACCAGGGTGGTCGAAAAGCTCTTTGTTGTCGTACAAGAGGGACGAATTATTATCGTAATGTCTCGGCTCGCGAATTACACGGCGTATTAAGACATATCTGGCGAGATATAGACCCCTGACCAATTTCAGCTGCGGTCATACTTTTACCATGTGTAGATACTACATTAAAGATGACGCTTCCTTCTTTGTAACTATGGATATTTCCAATATATCACTAGGTACAGCATTTACTTAATGCTTACTTACATATAAGTAAGGCTTAAGTTCTAGAATAGGTGTAGCGGTGAGGCGCGGCTCCGATAGGTCAGATATTATACTGCCTCTCCGAATGCGAACGAAGCACAGCCCTAAGCCTATTACTATGCGTACCGTATAGTTGTCTAGAAGCTTTCTAGGTGGGATTAGGTTTAATTCCGGGGCCGAAAGGCTGGCTCGGACACGACACCGTAAGATGGCACAATCTGATTCGCAGGTTATTCGGGACATGCACCAACTGTCTTGGATTGGTTGTCCCCTCACATTCTATAGGAGGCGTTTCTCCCGCGGACACGCGTTCGGTTGGCACATGGATGGCACGAGGACGATATCAGGCGCTTTCGCAGAGGCGTGCTATATTCAACAGATATGATGGCGATAGCTAGTATCCCGTCGTTGTGAGGGATCCTATGCCGAGTAGACTATCCTTTCGCAATAGGAAATCGGGCGTATCGCTCTCCTCGATAAGGCGGCAGTTAGAAATTGGGGTCCATGGCAACCAGGGGTATGCACGCTTCTTTTGTAGGAGATCTGCCATTCCAATTTTCGAACTCGGTTGTACCCGCTCGCCCCCATGTCCCCAATTGCGTGTAACGCCCGACCTAAATAGGTTAAATATCGCATCTTTGCAATTCCAAGGTGTTGACAATTTTGTACCCCATTTCTATTTTTTGTTTAAGCTTCTTACGCTGTATATCTGAAGTTCGTTCTCCGTATCAGCCACATCTTCAAGATGGATATCTTACGTATTACCAGCTTTGCTCTTGCATGCCCCATAGGCTATAGTAAGATATGTAAGCTCATAATACCCAAGCTATCGAAGTAGATCCGTTTGGTGGAAATCCGCCGAGTTCGCGTGCGTGGCATAATACATACTAATCAGGGGCTCCCTAACGTGTTCTGCGTGTTGTCCTCTGTTTTGCCGCGGCTAGAAATTGATCCCTCCGGTCCCTCCAAGTTCCGATCTGCAGTCGGAGTATTTCTTACGAGGGGTTTACGAGGGAGCGGCGTAGTTCCTCACGGTGGATGTATTCCAGTGTTGAACTATGGGGAAGAGAATTAAAACCTTGGAACTTGGCGATTGCTGCATCGAACTGCATTAGACGGTGAAATTGAAAGGAGCAGATTGGACTTTCCCCTTGGACAATGGTCATAGCTTCTTGATTAGCTTTTAAGCTTGACATCATTTCACATCGACTGGGTCGTTTTGTGTATCCACGGGTACCCACGTTAGGCTTGTCTTGTAGCTAGCTCCAAATAGGGAAAGGCCTGTGAAACATTGAAAAAAAAAAAAAGATAAATCCAATAGAGAGCTTTTTCGCAGTGCCACGTAGGTAATGTTTCATGCTAATAAACAAGATTCCTTCTGGAATCTGATGATTTCTGGTGTTGACATATCATACCGCCATTAGGTATCATGAAAGTTATTCGTGAGTCAATGAGGTCAGTGAGTGTTACTGAATCGTGCACTTTTCCGGAATCCAGTCAACTTCGCTTAATACCCGCCCGGAGAGATCACAACCCGGTGCAAATGGTGCAAGGCAAGTGAACAGGAAAAAACGTGATGAGAAATTAACCCCATGGGCCACGGACCCCAGAGTTGCTTGCGAATTCATATCCTGATACGTAACTTAGGTAGGTAAGTAATCCAAGCCGTTGCAACTTAAGAAAAGATACGTCGACAATAGTGGCGCAGAGTAAACGAATCTATACTAATGGCGAATTTGGAATCTCAAGTTGAGTCCTACAGTAAAATGAGGCCTCCTTCCATCTGTAGTCGCGACAGTGTTAAAGTTTCGGCTGTGTTGAAAGCTTAACCTACACCGGTACTTAGGTACATGGATAGGGACTAAGCTCATCACTAACCTGATATGGTTGTTTGAATACGCACTACTTAGGTACGTGGAGAAGTCAATCAAACCCCTGTCAGAATTTAAATTGGGGCAGTCGAGCTTAGGTATTCAGGGACTGTATGTAGTTTTGTAGGAAACATCGATCCTCCAACTTGGGGGAATCGTGCGCAAACTCAAATAATAATAATAATAGTCATTCATCACACCAAGTCCTTCGTTTTTCCAGTTTTCTACCTTTTTGTTGATTCTGCCCTACCATTAGTTCATATCTACCTAGTAGGTCGCAGTGGTTCCCTCAACAATAGGCGCCTGATTTAACAGTGCCTTCTAATTATTCTAATTCTCTCCTTGAACAATATTTTCTAAACACCACCTCTTTTCACACAGCCCCTAGATACAATATTACTTGTCAACTTGTCAAAAGGGACACCGATATAAGAGTAATCGAACCCGAGTGGCGTCGAGAAGATCGTCTTTATCAGAAGAGATACCAACAGAATTCCTCATTGGATAGCTGCAACTTGCTATTACTTAAAACGAACCCGGACAGCTGCGCGACATTGCAGTTTATATACCGATCCAAAACGGCCCCCAACTCTCCACGAGGCCAGCGATAAATATTGCCAGCCTGCCTGTACCGATACCCATAATTCAGAGTAAGGCTGAACGTCACGTCACATCAAAATACAGCTCATCAAGATGGGCGACGAATGTAAGTGATTTATTTTGCAATCGGGGTTATCTCCCGATACTCTCCCTACTATACCCAATCCACGCGCAAATCAAGGGTAGCAGAGCAAGGTCATCAAGGCACAAGGACAACGGAAGAAGTGAAGCATTGGGCGGAATATAAAGCAATTGAGCGACAATTCGGCCTTCGGGTTGGAGTACCGTGTATGGTCTACCTCGTTACTCCCCACGCGATTGTCCGACCAGAAACGTATGACTCTTGTCATTTCTAGCCCTATTTGGCGCCAAACATGCTTCACCTTCATTCCATTCACCAATTCCTGCCTATTGTTTGCCCATTGTTCTGCACCTTTGATGGATGCTACTCTGCCACACTTCACTTCAAGATCTAGTACCAGCATTTTCGATACAAAGAGTATTGAATTTTGCTTGGTACATATTTCAACTGGCTGCACGCCCTACAATTTTTTATTCTACTGTTTTCCTATCAAAAACTCTACCATTGCATCGCCAGTTGCGCTGGTGATTGGCAATTTACTACCGCAATTATTGAATACATACTTACATAATGAACTTTGAAACAGTGAATACCTGGAAGATGAGGGCTAAGGCCCATGCTATGGGTCGTCGTAATTCTGGTGGTAGTGCCAGATTTAATCCCTTTAGACACATTTCCTATGGAACTCCAAAGCGGGCCAATACGATGGATGCTGCAGAGCAAGGAAAGGCACCTCGCGAAGCCGTTCCGGGACAGCTCAACCCCACTACGAGTGCTCCAGGTCGTCTCCTGACACCGATTCAGCAGTCAGCAAGGAATAGCAAGGAGCTAGATGGTAGCCCAGAGCAGACCGAGATATACAATTCTCAGGCGCCGACACTACCAAACGACACCGATGGCGCTAGTATACGACAACGTACTACCCAAGAGATTACTTCCAAACCCCAGACGCCGAACACTATCAAGGAAGCTGCCGAGGAAGACAAGTCAAAGAAGAGAAGAGACGAAGGTGGCTTTTTCAAGCATATCGAGCCAACCACTCCTTTCACCGTCCGCAATCAGATCCAGAGAGTATTCTTTGGATCACCTATTAATATCTTGGCGCTAGCTGCCCCTGCAGGTATCGCGCTATATTTTATAGGATACGATGGTAAGGTCGTATTTGCCGTGAACTTCATAGCCATTGTTCCGCTTGCTGCTATGTTGAGCAACGCCACCGAAGAGATTGCCATGCGAACAGGAGAGGTTTTGGGTGGTCTTATCAACGCGTCTTTCGGGTATGTATATTGGTCTCCCTAAAATTTCGTACGAAAATGCTAACTTTTATAGTAACGCTGTCGAGCTAATCGTGGCTATTATCGCTCTTACGCAGAACAAGATCAAGGTCGTGCAAACGTCGCTCGTTGGCAGTATCCTGTCGAATCTTCTCCTCGTCTTAGGGTTCTGCTTTTTCTGCGGAGGTATAAATCGCAAAGAGCAGTTCTTCAACACGACCGTTGCCCAGACCGCCGCCAGTCTGTTGGCCTTGGCTGTCGGAAGTCTTATCGTACCCACAGTTTTTGCGCATACCGACGACCTCAACTCTGGTTCCATCATACTCCCCACAGACGCAGTTCCTAGCCTGTCTCACGGCGTTGCGATTATCTTATTGATCGTATACGCATCCTACCTCTTCTTCCAGATGAAGACCCACGTCACGATGTTTAATGAACAAAGCCAGAAAGTCGCAGGAAAGCCACTCTTTAAGAAGAGTCTACCCGAGAACGCTATTGCATCTGGAATCGCCAGGGTGGGCGCTGGGGTCGCAATGGACATTCGTAGTGAGAACGGTGAATCGAACAAGATAATGAAGGATCCTGAGATTGAAGAGGAAGAGGAGGAAGGACCTCAGCTGAGCTTTGCTGTCGCTTTTGCCACCCTCATCGGTGCGACCGTGATTATTGCGCTCTGCGCAGAAGGAATGGTTAATGGTATCGAGGCCATTACCTCAACGGGCGCTGTCAGCGAAGAATTTGTTGGTCTTATTCTTCTTCCTATCGTCGGAAACGCCTGCGAGCATGCCACTGCTGTTACTGTCGCTATCAAGGACAAGATGGATTTGGCCATTGGTGTCGCTATTGGTTCTTCCATGCAGGTTGCTCTGCTTCTTATCCCATTGCTCGTTATTATCGGCTGGGGTATGGGCAACCAAGACATGACTCTAGCTTTCGACACATTCCAGGTTATCGTCCTCTTCGTCTCGGTTCTTCTGGTCAACTACCTGATCGGTGATGGAAAGAGTCATTGGCTTGAAGGGCTTATTTTGACGTGTCTATACGCTATCATTGCTACTTGTGCATGGTGTAAGTGAATCCTATACCCCCAAAATTTTAGATATTAACACTAACTCTTATTTAGTCTACCCTACGATCCCCGAAGGTGAATCGGGTTGAAACATGAACCCTGGACACCATCGTTTAACGCTTCTTTCCTCCGAGAATCTCCACAGCCAACTTTCGATTCCTTTGTACAAATCGAAATGGAATTACTCGAATTCGATATCCAGACTGTATATACAAGACCGACCCTTTCACTTCTATGGCGTTCTAGTCATTCGAACACTTTAGACTCGATACTTGACTACTAATCTAGAAGGCTGAGTCGCCTCAACGCTGTACTACCAACCGATTATACCACGGGTAATTCTTTTTTAAAGGGAGGCGGCGTTTGGGATAGGGAGTTACGATTTAAGGGGGTTCCTAAATGACAACCGGTTTATTTTGAACCCAGGTCCTAGGAGAATACACGTTTTTATTTCCGAACTAGCAGGATGAGGTGACCATATGTTGTTGTGCAATCGTTGTTTTTCTTTGAGTGAAAAGAAGATTTGGATCCCTAAGACGGGAAATTATAGGCGAGGTATTGAAATCTGAGTCTAGCCTTGGGATGGATGTATACTTGATGGTTGCCGTTAAGCATCTTGTTGTGAAGTCACTTGTATGCATGTGGAACTAAAGCTATGGCGAGAGTTGTGCGGCAGTACGTATTCAGTGCGATGGATGGAAACCAAAGATACCCCTAGTCTGTTTGTTGTTGCTTTTCAATTCTTAGCTTTGCTATACCTACCTACCTGCCTATCTAGTAGGGATGCCTTGACCTACCTGTATGTAACATACGCGTTCATAGGAAGCTACCGTCAAATGCTATTTGCTTCTTCTCCTTGTGTCATATCCAAGGCTGCATGCATGCATGCGTTGCGGTGGTGCTTTGTGCTGAGAAAAGAAGAAAAAAAGTCCTGCCGGCTCTTCGCGTCATCTAGATGCGCCGACGGGTATATGCGTCACCGAAGGGATAGGTTCAGCTCGTTGCCTGCTTACCTGGCAGATGCTATGCGTTGGGCGGCGCGTGGGACAAAGATCGGGATGGGTTTTCCGATGACGTGGTTGCTGCCTTACCTGTTACCTGTGGCGTTTCCCCCCTAAGCCTCGATTCTTTGTCTCCTGGGTGATTGGTGGGATTGTTGAGCGGTGTCGTGGTGTGCGACGTATCATATTGTGAGTTGTGATCAGGCTTGTCATTTATCTAGGTAGACTCTGGGATTTTAGTGGGAAGGCTGCCACCCGGTTTGGTATATCGGAGGATTTTAAGCTGTTCGGTGAGTCATAGTATGAGGCTGCGGGATAGATAGGAGAAGCCACCGATTCAGCCATATGCACTCCTTTGATTTGAGACCGGTCCGAAGACCGTAAACACCGAGATCTCGGTACTCCATTGAGGGAATCCCCAACTAGATCCCCAATAGGTGAGTCTACACGTGCGATGGGAATCTTGTCTCCTAAATGTGCATTTTCTCGGAGAATGAAATCGTGGGGTCACCGCCTCCGGCTGGTTGCCGGTCTAACTCTCGGACACTGTCAGCACGACCAGAATGATTTCTACCTTGCGTGTGGCATCCGATAGCCCGTTTGCTTTTCTTATCTATCAGACGCTACTGCAGTCAGGCTAACGACGCCTCAACTCTCAAGGCAGTCTCACGACCGCTGGTTGCTATCTCCCATTTTGCCTTAACGTCGGAGTTTTAGGCGGCGTAATCACACTTCTACACCATTAATTGCTGTCATATCTTGCATTGGCTCAGGTTTAACAACTTCATATTCACTTCATGACCACTTGACTATCAGTACACCGTCTATATTCCGAGCCTTGAATACTTGGTGATCCTAGTGGGTTTGATATTTTATATCCCAGGCCGAGACTTGTTGATCCCTCGTAAAAACAGAATTCAACATGCGATACATCGTCTCATTGATGGTCTTTTCCTCAGTGGCGGCAATCATCTTAAACGCCTTAACGACATTAGGTAGTATAAACGCACAAGTTAGGCGTTTGAAGATATTGTGCCTACGGAGAACATCTCAGGGGAAATAGGTAAATGCCATGATGTAGGAGCTGTTGGAGGTGCAATAGTAATTATCATTTTATAATTTATTCCTGCGCATGAAAAACATCGGAATGATCTGATAAACTTTTCAATAAAGGAAGGAAAATACATTATTGTCGGGCCAAATAATGAGACTTTAGACTCCACGATAGTGACAACATATAACCATAGCTAACCTCGGTGGCGCCTGCAGGAATTGTGGCTTATTTGGTGTACGTAATTGTAGTATCACGTGAACCCCTATTTTCAACCATTCGAGATCGAGATCTTCATTAGTAATGGCGTTTGTGTAACACCAAACTAAGAACCCCTCTATTTTCGTCATCTCTCTTGATATTTGAAAAGTGATTTTCCCGTATCCATTTAATTAAGCTACGGCACGAGAGATAAGTAATCGTCGAACTCCTCTTCTTGGATGTCTCCGATATGTTGTCGACTACTCCTGAGTTGGCGGGGTTTTCCCTCGTCAATGTAGGTATCTTCAAAAGTCCTACAAGCAGCGACCTTACACGACAGCATCAGCTGTTATATATAGGTAGGTGTTATTTTGTATATACGATACCTTAAATTTCTTTTTTTATCTACTTGCCTATGCACTTCTCTTTTTACTGACATTATAATAGGTATGTGCTCCTCTACATTCGTTCGTCTGTACTTTGATAGTATCAGCATCACTACCCCATTCGCGAACGTGAGCCTGATGTATATTGAGGCGCAACACGACTGTCCTATGAGATGCAGTGCCATATTCACAAAATGTCCCTTTTGTGACGCTGTGAAACAGGCCCCCAAGGCTGATTTCATTTGATATACTGCCGCATCGGGCGGTGACAATATGAGTTGACTACCCCCAGTCTGTTCTTCTCCTACCTGGTATTTGAAGGCATGATGATAAGATTCAGCACTTTTCTAGGCCTATACTTAGACTGCAGCATGTCTGACAAGCAAATATGACACGATATCATGATAACAGTCCTGTGAACGATCACGGAATCACCGCCGATAGATCTAACGAGAATGCGACGGCACAGGCTACACACCCCGATCCCTTTACAGGGACTGCTTTTCCGCTCTTGTCGCCCGTAAATACCATTGCAGAGACTGAAGATGTTGCATCGTTCATATCGTCTACCAGCCATGACCAAATATCCACACGACAAGTTTCAGTGTCAATTGCTGGCTCTTCGACAACACAGGAAACTCCACAGCTGGCCCCTCACCTCCAAGCTCTACTGCCCATGCCAAAGCGAAAACCGGTCCCCGGATCATCAGCATCACATCAAGAAACAACACTTGCCAGAGCCAGACTACTATGGAGACCTACCTACTTACGGAGGAGGGTATTGACATCCTTTGCGGTCGTCTTAGTAGGGATTACGATAGCGATTGAGGCTCTCGCATATGCTTCAAACAGGAATCAGGGTCTGGTTAGCAGCCAGTATCGTTTGCATTATCTTTGGAAGTACGGCCCTACGGCAATCCTCAGCGTACTAATGGCGGGATGGGCAAGAGTCGAGTATCATGCCAAGATAACCGCTCCCTGGTACCAACTCTGGAATGGCCCTAAGGAGGCACGGCAATCAGTACTTCTAGACTACATCTCACCACTCTTGCCGGTAGCTATATACCAAGCTGCGAAATATCGGGACTTCTTAGTGGTGGCCGCAATCCTTATCTCGCTCGCCTTGAGAATGATTGTTATACTGTCAACCTCCTTTATGTCCCTCGCTTCCATTCATGTTTATGTTCCGTCTGTCCCAGTAACACTTGGCAACACATTTAAAGATTCCATCGACTTATGGGTAGCTCCGGAGGGCCAAGAACTAGGGTCATTGACAAGTCAACTTTACACCTCCCTTGAAGCGGGACAGGCTACATATCCAGTGGGCCTTCAAAGGTCGTTCGCGTATCAAGATTTCAAAGCAGATCTGGCCCCTTACAACAATATGACGATGATCACGGACGCATTTTCTGGAACTCTCGAGTGCCACGAAACTAATTTCATGAACATTTCTGTGAACGACACGATTAGTTCCTCGGAATCTCTCTCTCAAAGTTTTGATGCTGGAAACTGCACAGTTAGCTTTGATGTAGCATTGCCTCAGGACCTGTCTAGCACTGTTCTATACGGACATGCAGAGATGTCTATATGCAAGGAGAACACCATTGTTACTCATAATGGGGACGAAACGAGAACAACGAGCCCCGCATTATACGACAGCAACATGACACTTCAAGTATACTTCATGCAAATCGACTACGGCGAGCGTTCAATTAATAACCAAAACCACACGAACCAAAGTGGGGTGATTCGGAAGTGGCTTGAAAAGACATGTACTCCATCGGAGGTACTACGCAAAGTAGCCATTACACGATCAAATGGGGGGAACGATAGCTTTGCCCTTATGAACCAGTCTTCCCGAAAGCTTCCTGGGATGAAGCCGTGGGCAACATGGCTAGATCTGAATGATATGTTTAATAAAGATTGGAATAGTTCAGACCTAATCACTAATACGACCTGGGTTCAGATATCTAACGGGGTTCCGGCAGCTATCGTGTTCGACGGGTTGTTGTCGCGTGCCTTAGGGAATGAGACGACGATGAATTCTTCAGATATTATCGAACTTGTCTTCAACTCAACCTTAGTCGACAACGGACTTAACAAATTATTCGAGTCCTACGCTTCTTTCTTAGGGTTCATGTACTTCAAAGAATCAATGCCGAGTCGTCCATCAAATGCATCTGCAACTGCAACACAGAATCGTCTATTCGTCACAACTGGAACAGCGCATGCGATGGCGGGAATATCTGGGTTCTGTTCGTTGCTGCTCATATTCATGATATTTCGAAGCCCAAGACATGGGATATTACCACGAAGCCCAGCAACAATCATCGATATGGCTGCGCTGATGTATCCAAGCCAGAGGTTTACACGGAGCTTGGAAAATAGGGGTGCTTTGAGCGAAAAAGACATCCACACATCTCTCGAATCTACAAAGTATAGAGCATATGCTTCTGTTGACAAAGAGGTTCGCCAGCGGAAACCTTTCTACTTACACGTGATTGAAGGCATCGAGAAAGATACCTATTCCCCGGAGGGTAGCAAGGATATTAGCGTGAGGCACCCGCTAGTCTTACACCCGACCTCTCGTACCGCGATGTCTGTCGTTGTCATATTGGTAGTCGTAACATTGGAGTATCTATTTCAAAGGTCTGACAAGGGCAGTGGGATTGTCGACCTGGAAAATACAGACCGCGTTCCGTATGCATGGACAATCTTACCGGCGATCGTTCTCAGCTTGATATCTATATATTACGGTACTGTCGAGACTCAAATGCGCCTCTTAGCACCGTACAACAACCTCCTAAAAGGATCAAAGTTCGAATTGACTCTAAGTCTCGACTTAGTCGACCGATTTGCCATCACAAGTCTCGTGTCAGCGGCTAAGTTCAAACTTCATATGGTAGTTGCTTCAATCGCGACCTCGTTTGTGGCCTTTTTCCTCACGATCGCTGCTAGTTCTCTCTTTTCTTCTATGGACGTTCCGAACCCTTCCACAGATGTACAACTTTCCGCTCTAAATACTTTTAATTATGCCACTTTCTGGGACGCAAACTACGATGATGGATCTCTTATCCTCGGTGCGAGCTTAGATTACTCCCCTTTCACGTACGAAGATCTTGCGTTCCCACAACTTCAGCTGAACAAGGAGCAGTCGAATAAGAGCAGCAACACAATGCAGAGTGATGATATCGATATCACAGCTACAGTCCCAGCGGCGAGGTCATCTCTAGGCTGCAGGATTTTTGACTCGTCCGCGATTCAAGCATCGTTTGAGCCAAACTCCAACGTCGCCATGACCTCCCCTTTAAATATCAAGATCAGCCAGGACAATTGCACAGACGTTACAATACAAGTAGATGATTTACAAGATTGGGTGGCTAGCAACTTCTACTTCGGAATCGCCAACCCGGGAAGCACAAGTTGGCGTGGAGCTGACTGGGTAGATACACAGGCGCAGAACTGTGGCGACTATTTGTATGCATGGGGACAGGTGCCAGATAAAACCAGAAACAATGTCTCGGCTGTGTCTGCAATGGTTTGCAACGAAACGGCTCAAGAATTAAACGTAAAAGCAACATTCCTTGGGCCAAGTTTAGAGATACGACCTGATCATTCACCACAGCCAGATGAGGATTCCGCACATGTGGTCAGCCAGTTTCCGGTATGCCAGGATGGTCTATTTAGAAAAGAAAACTGTAAAGATATGGGTGCCATGTATGAGAATTTGCGGCACATAGATACACCCCACGTACTGGACCGGTTCTTCTCTATTCTCACCAGCCCAGCGGGGCGGCTCGCTCTTGATGTCGCATCCCTCGGAGACGAATCAGCCGCGCAGTCTGTGAGCGATGCCATAATATCCCAACACAAGATGCTACGCGCTCACGCGTTTGGAAGTGCTGGCCGTTTATGGCCAAATTCCACAGACAGTTCATCGGATGACAACACGACATCCACCCAGGCCGCGTTTTCGCTACCGGCGAAGATACAATACACTACCACTAGGACTCGACTCGTTCAAGACGCTATCTCCACGAGAATACTCGAAGGCCTGCTCTTGGCGATCCTATTTCTTTCCCTTCTAAGCTGGTATGCTATGCCGAATACCAAATTGCTACCGCGAGACCCTTGCAGCATTGCGAGCGTGGTAGCCCTGCTCGCAGATGGCAACATCTTTGACTTGCTGCCGCCGAATGCGCAGATGATGAGTAACAAAGAGCTGAAAGATTTCTTCGGTGACGGAATTTTCTATATGAAGATTGAAGAAGGGGTTTTGGGTATACGGTATGAGAAGACGAACCCCGACCCTCAGGTAGGTACCCCTTAGTACACCAGATTCAAAATACGTTCGACGGAGACATTTGTGGGTATGTAGCAGTGATGTCATCTAGGATAAATCAGACCGCAAATCATAGATTTCATAGGTAAACATGTTGCTTCGATTTTTTCATACGAAGCTAACTTGCTGTAAAATCACACTCACCACCAACTGAAGACGTGCTAACCTTCCACCATCCCTTCAACCAGCTCATCTCACATATCACCAACCAAATCAACCCTACTCCTTAATCTTCAAAACCGCCTTCCCAAAATTCTTCCCCTGAAAAATCTCCACCAACCCCTCCGCCGCATTCTCAATCCCCCTCGTAACATGCAACTTCGCCTTAACACTCCCCTCCGCAATCCACTTCTGCACACACTCCTGATGGCGCCTCGTATACTTCGGTCCAAAATCCTCATCCGAAACAAGGAACCCCGCAACCGAAAGCCTCTTCGCAAAAATCTCCAGCAAATTCCTAACCCCGTACCTCTCCTCAAGCGGGCTATTATACCCCTCAATCATCCCACAAACCACCACACGTCCACGCACACGCAAATGCTCCAGCGCAGCCTCCAAATGCGCGCCCCCGACATTCTCATAATACACATCGATGCCCCCCGGAGCCAGACGTCCCAACGCATCCCACGGCCTCTCCTTCTTGTAATTAAACCCCGCGTCGAACCCCAGCTCCTTCAGGATGAAATCAAGTTTCTCATCCGACCCCACGGACCCAATGACCGTCATCCCCTCCCGCTTCGCTAACTGTCCGACCAGCGAACCGACGGCGCCGGCGGCAGAGCTGACGAAGATGGTTTCGCCGCGGCGCGGCTTGCCGATTTGGTGTAGCGAGGAGAAGGCCGTGAGGCCCGGCATGCCGAGGGGGCCGAGGAAGACGTCGAGGGGAAGACTATACTTGTTCTCCAGCTTTACCGCGGAGTGCAGCATTTCCGGGGTTACGGCGACGTATTCCGCGACGGGGAGGAAGATGTACAACACGTCTCCCTCCTGGAATTTCGGAGTGTCGGATTTGAGGACCCGGGCTAGGGCGTCGTTTGCGACGGGGGTGTTGAGCGGGAAGGCGGGTTTGTAGGAGGGGATGCTGGGGAGACGCATCCGCCCGCGGAGGTACGGGTCTAGGGATACGGAGAGGACTTCGACGAGGAGGCCGGATGGAGGGGGGGTCGAGAGGTCGATGGGGCGGTTTTCGATTACGAGGTGTTCGCCTGGGATTGGGAGGCCCGTGGGGATTTTTTTGAAGATGAGGGTTTTGTTGGGGGTCATTTTGGGTGGTTAGGGGTTTGTGATGAAGTTGTGTTGATAGGTATGAGGTATGTGAAGATTCAGGGGTAAGTAGCAGACTTGAGGAGAGCACGTTGAGGTTTACTTCTGTAATCGGGAGGTTTCATGGATTTATATACACTTGTTCTCTTTAGTCCAACTATGTTGACCTCATCATCATTTCATACCTGGGTAATCATCCATTTCTGATCGTGTTGATGACTGATAGCCAAGAATACCAGATCCCTTTGGGCATGCCCATCGCGTGTTGTTTCTTACTTAGTGATGTGACTAGGCGTATTGCAATAACAGAGTCTAACTACCTGAATATTGAAAGTAGCTTCGATCTACTAATTGGGTTGCACATCATTCTATTTGTTTCACAATCGCCGCTCATATTAAATTGTGAATCTGAAGATAGCGATATTGCCGATTACTCATTGAGGCTTCCTATGAAGATATCACGACGGAAATAGGGGCAGCATCTGTGTCATTTTCTGTGACTGATGGATTTTATTTCCGTATAATCTTATCGCCGCGGCGTTAGGTGAAGTAACAATATATGGCCGATATACTACCTACTTAGTGCTATAGATTAACACAAAGTAATACGAATTCCTTCTATCGATTCGGTAGGTAGGTACTTAGGTAAATCCGATGAATAGGGGTATTGTATGATGCCCAGTGTTTGGAACCCTAACCCTAACCCCAACCCTGACTGATTCGACAATACCGATCAGAAAGTAGCCCGGAGCGGTTTTAGTATATACCTGGTATCGAGAAGGGAATTATTTCTGCTAATATTTACTATCTATACTATAGAATGCTTGTTATTAGAGCCACCGCAAAGTCAAGATCCTTGATATGTTGTGGCATCATCAGCCCTCAAATGACGTGCTCAGAGGATCGCGCAACTTCATTGCACGACACCGAATTAGAGTGGGTAGCCTAACATATCATGGCGAACTAATTAGAGGCTGGAAACCTGTGTTACGCCGTGTTTTCATGTCATAAATACTCTTGATGGTTCCGAATCGTCAATCATAGGTGTAACGAGGTGACAGTCTCAATCAGGTGGAGTCGCACGCATTCATAACTAATCGCGACAGCAAGTGCTCTTATTGGAACACAATTGGGTATACCCATAGACGAAATGAGTGAGCCATCTGAGAAGGGAGAGGATATCCTCGCGCCAGAAAAAGCCGAAAGTCCAACTCCAATTAGAACCAGTTCAGAGAAACCCGTGAAGAACCAAGTTCCTAGGGCTGGCGCCGATGCCGCGCTTGAACTCCTCCAGGAAACGGGTGGCTTGCACCAGGCCTTAGATCCCGAAGCTAATCGCAGGCTCGTCCGGCGCATCGACACCCATATTATGCCATTGATCTGCATTGTCTGGTTAGTATCCTGATAGCTGCCCCTAGATCGCAATACTTCATATAGAGCTAACATGATATTAGTATGTCATAATATTCATCTCTCTAGCTATCCGTACTTGATGAAACACTGTCTTTAAGAAAAGGTTTTGAGCGAAAGACGTTGCTAACATGTGACAGACTTCCTTCAGTACATTGACAAGACTGCTGTCTCGTATGCTAGCGTCACCGGTATCACCCAGTCGACCGGACTTAAAGGGAACGAGTTCAATTGGGTGGCGTCTATATTCTTCTTTGGACAGTTAGCATTCGAATTCCCGACGATTCGCTTGATACAATTGTTTCCTCTCGCTAAATATACCTCCGTCAATGTCACTCTCTGGGGTGTTACTCTCGCCTGCTTGGCGGCCTGCAAGAATTACGCGGGGCTATTAGTTTGCCGCTTCTTCCTTGGTGCCCTAGAGGCTGCCATCGTGCCGGCATGGGTATTGTTTACCTCGCAGTGGTACACAAAAGAGGAGCAGGCCTTTCGCGTGGGTATATGGTTCTCTACCTGTGGGATGGCGCAGATGTTCGGTGGCTTTTTCGCATACGGCGTCGCAACCCACGTGGGTAAAGACTCGAATGCCACCTTGAAGGGTTGGCAGATCATCTTCTTATTTTTAGGTCTGTTAACCGCAGTCATGGGGATTGTGTTCTGGTTCATCATGCCAGATTCCCCTGCTGCCGCCGGATTTCTCGATAAAGAACAAAAGGGACTTCATCTCGAACGTATCAGACATAACGAGCAGGGAATCGGGTCGAAGACGTTCAAGTGGAGCCAGGTTAGGGAGGCCTTGACCGACACGATGACCTGGCTTTACGCATTTTGGGTATTCGCAGCTAATATTCCAAACTCAATCGCGACTTCGTTTGGAAACATCTTGGTTAAAGGCATGGGATATACGAACGAAGAGTCTTTACTCTTAGTAACCCCACTTGGTGCTTGGGAGATTGTAGCTTTGATTGGACTTACATATGGGGCTATGAAGACGAAACAGCGACTCTATTTCTGCATCGCGGGCCACATTCCTGCTATAGTGGGAGCCGTTCTGATGGCTACGACGGAGCGAGTGCCAGCTTTGGTAGGTTACTATACAAGCGGCGGAATTCCAATTGGTTGGACAACGATCCTCGGGTTACAGAGCTCGAACGTGGCGGGATCAACCAAGAAGGTTACCGTGGCTTGCATAGGAACGATCGCCTATACCGTTGGCAACATCATCTCACCACAGACCTTTCAAGCTCGGGATGCCCCACGCTACCTTCCAGCGAAGATCTCGATATGTATTATTTATGTCCTCATTACGATCGACTTGGTTGTGATGCGGTGGGTGCTCGATAGGCGAAATAAACAGAGAGAACAAGAGAAAGCGGCTCTGGGCAATGAACATAAGGCAGAGGAGAATCATGAATTCTTGGATTTGACAGATTTGCAAAACAGAGAGTTTCGTTACGAGCTTTGAATAGTTTAGATCGATGTAGAGCAGGTAAAAGGGATCTCGTTACCCCCTTTCGTCCAATATATCTTCTTTGATTGGTCAATTAAGTCTAGTTGGGTAGAGAACTTAATGCGAGAGAAATGGAGAAGGAGATGGTTTTTAAGATTTGTGAGCCCCCACGCCAGTTTCCGAGTACTTCGGTATGTACTTCGTACCAGGTACATCCCAGTGCGGGTGGCGCCCGCACATTAGCTGCATCCATGGGCGTGTATTTCTTTTTCGGTGCACGGGCTAGCAAACCCAGATCTAAGCTAGAGGGGCTGAGGGGGTGCCGATTGGAAAGGGTGAGGGGTGAGGAGGGTCTGGTTACGTGCAGGTAATTACCCAGGTGACGTTATTACCAGGAGATACGTACTTTCATCATTCCTGAACAGTTCAACTTCAATTAAACATCGCCATCGCCAACACATGATGGAGGCACCTCCTCCATACCCAGAGCTTAGAATCCTCCAGCAAAGTGAAAATGTACGTGCGCATGTCTAGTCTCATCTTACCTAACTCTAGACTTAAGCGTTCTTTACGCAGCCGAGCCCGTTCCATCCAATCCCAGATGCGGACCTAACTACCTACACTCATCCGCATACATTGCTGGCAGTCCGATCACCGTCTTCAACCGTGCTTCATTACTGGTCACCTCGATCCCCATCCACCGCTTCCATCGCACCTTTAGACAGTAATATACATACCATGATACCCATCAATCTCGAACCAAGCAGCATCCAGTTGATCCGAGGCTTTCACGATCTCGGCACCTTCACACTACCTACCACAGATAATAATAATGACACAACAGCAATATCGCAGTTCTTTTCATCGTTGGTCGGTAATATCACTCATGACGTTGAGCCTTCCTCGGAAATCATTACCCGCCTCTCCGCCGCACCGCGTCATCCGCCCACTGACAGTGGCCTCTCCATCCAAGTCTTCGCAATCCCCGTCCAGAGTAATACAATAGGTGACCTTTTTGGTAACGGCGTGCACAAGCTTGTATGGAAGTGGGCGAAGCCCGACAGCTACTACGAGCCGAAGACGGGCTTCTGGGAAGTCGAGATGGATCGAGCGGTCGAGGACGGCGAATGGCGTGCAGGTCGAAACTTGCAATTACTTGTGCGAGGCGTTTCTTCCAAAGAATTCGAAGCGCTGAAGAAACATAGGGTAACGAGGTTGGCTTAACAGAAGTCGATCCATGAAATTTCCCCCAAAAATAATCGATTGAGGCTATCTACCTGGCATTTAGGGTCTTGATCTGCAGGCAACAATAAGTTACATAAGAGTACCTAGGTAGGTAAGTTAAGCGGTTGTTCGCCAAACACTTTTCGGGTACTTCAATTGGAGATATAAAATTCTCAATATTGACGAAGAAAACGACTAAATACAGCAGATGTATCCACTTTATACCATTTCCCTGCTTTATACATTCAGTTATTTCAAATTCATCCCTTCCTCTCTCCGTTTCTCCGAAAATATTCCCTCTCTCACGAGAGCTTTAAGGAGACGGGAATTAACGCTCGCATCTTTCGGTTATCATGGCTTCCAAGACCTCAGCTTCTTGTGATATTCCAGATTTGGCAGTATATGCATATCTTTACCAATCCCTTTCTCCTTCAACATCTCATCAAATTGTGACATGTCGGTCTGCCTCCACCCATCCGCGACATCTTTCGGTACGGCTTTCATAATACAGTGAGGCTCTGTCCAGGCAGAGCCTAAGTCTATGAGCAGCCCGTTCTTGTAATTTCCTGCTTGTATGTCCCTATGAACGACCCCCCATCTGTTAAGTCGACGCAGTTTCTTAAGCATCTCCTTGCAATTTTGAGAATTGAATTCTGTTTCTTCCTCGATATACTCCTTCAATATTGCGCGAATAGGGCTGCCCTCAGCTTGTTGTCGATACTCGTCCTCTTCTGGGAGATCCCAGAGATCGATTCCCATCTCGGCGAGTTGCAACTCGTGTTTCTTCTGCAAACAGAGGAAGCCATAGCAATTAGCAGCAATCCGACTTTTTAAGCCTTTAGCTTCTTCCTGCTTCTGTATGCGGCCATACGCACGGCATTCCGCATAGAAAGGATCCACATGAAAGGCTGCTATCTCATCGCTGACTTTTTTGGCGCGTACCGGACTTAATAAATATTTGGCATCAGACGGTTTGAAGAACTTGAACTATATCAGATTTAGTAACTCTAACTTGTTAGGTATGATTATCAAGGAAATAAACTCACAACTTTTAGGGCATAAATTCGAGAGTCAATCTTCACTCGGAAGACATATCCTTGAGACCCAAGTTCTGATCCTGGAGACCTTTCCAATTGCTGGAGCCATTGGATCTTCGGTCGACGGTTAGGAAACGCTCGGAGTTTTGGTCCAATGCATGGGGGCAGCTCATCTAACAGACACAAACGTCTATTAGCACGAACTGTTTCTGTCACCATTGTTCCCCTCTCTTAGAATTAAAATTAATTCCAAAGATCCAGTAGATACCCCCCAAAATAGTCATACATCGGTTTTAACTAGTCTTCGCGGACTCGGGAATGATCCCGAATCCTCAGATTGGTCCGACAAGATGAATGCAACCACTACGCGGGCGGATCCGACCTTCCTCCTGAATTGTAACTATCCGTCTACCATCGCCAGCTTATGGCTTTTCGATACTAAGCTGTGGCGACCTATTAGACTCTGAGAACTTCTGTAACTACCCGTTCTGCATATGTGTGTCAATATCCTGGATGCTGTTGGTATGCAAAAGATCGCACATAATGCAACCTAAGAACATATTACCCCAATCGTGGACAGACTCTATCTATCCTTCTTTAATGGTGGTGATTTCGCAGGCAGATACGTGAGTCATTTGTCTATGGCATGGCAATGATAGTATGTATAAGACTAATCGTAGCCGCGTCGCAAATACCCTATTGTTCGATCATCTTAATCCTTTCCAAAATCAATTGAATTGATCTACTTATCTACCTTTTTTCTTCAGAGCAGATGCCTAAGGATCCAGCTGAGTCGATTTTCGAGTATTTAACCACCAAGAATCCGAAAATAAATCGCGTTGACAACTACACTAAAACGCTTACTAATGGAAGGAATTGGCTTGTCCCTAAGAGGATTTTACCATGGGAAGACTTTAACTTTACAACCCTCGAGAAGATATTCAAAGGCAAATTGATGGAGGAACTTCGCCGTGGCAACAGAAACCTTCGATATCCTTTCCCGAAACTTGACCCATTCACAGAGTGCATCGAGACGGGCGAGGACACTACCACCACCATCATGACTAGATGGACACGGCCGATGATACAGATAGCCCTTCAGGCGGTAGACGATGTTTTTAGCCACGTCTCGTGGGTTGCCTCGAGCCGCGTCAAGGCTGCACAAAGCCGCCCAACAACGAGCGAACCAGAAGAAAGCCCATCCCGAGTTCCTCCATCAAGGAAGATCAAGCCTATCCAAGGCTCGAGCAGGAGGAAAATTACATCAAGATCTATCCCAGACGGTGGAGGGGCAACCCCCGGGAAACAAGAAAATAGGTTACCATGCGAAATCAAGCCAGGGTGCTATTGGACCAGCAGCAAACTCATAAATGGGGAGCTAGCTGATGAGTCAGGTCAATGGAGGCGGCATCCATCTGGGTGCAGGGATGCAGCGCCGTTACTACAGATTTTCAACTATTGTGTCAAATGCGAGGCCAGATACGGCTTCCTTATTACTAGTAAGGAGGTTTTGGCCGTCCGCATCCGCCCCAAGGAAGTTCCGCTAAACCCAGACTCTGAGGTAATACATTTAGGCGTCTAGTCAGCCCCTGAGCTCAGAAACTGACGTGAATAAGGATCTAATTGAACAGCTGCACTACCAGGGGCTCATGGAATACAAAGCGATTTCTTGGGATAATCATAGCACCGGGGACGACTACAAGGAATTGACGATAAGCTTGGCTGTCTGGTTCCTGTGTATTCTTGCTGGGCAGGACCATCGGCCTCAATGGAATTACTGTGCTCTGGCGGACGAGACCCTTGCCGGAAAAGCCCAATCTGGCGATGTCCAAGACACCCAATCCTTGACACAGGTAAATATTTTACTTTGCATGCAGCCAAAATAGCCTCCTCTCATTGGGTTGAGCAATTTTCGAGTATCATCATATAAATAGAGCATCGCCTACCCATTTATTTAGCTTAATAACACATATTTTAGGCTTCTAACGTCGATTCTGAAGATGGCGACCTTGCGACGTCGAGTTTCACGACACAGGACACGCAAAGTACAGGGATTAACCATAGCTTCACTAGTGATGGGATTGGTATCCCGACCCCAAGGCGAGTTCGGAAAAGAACTCGAGCCCGAGAACCCCCTAAGGAAGAGAACATAAAGAAAAGGCGTGTAACGAAGGTTTGATTTTCGTGGGCGGTAGGTACTAAGCGTGATTCTGCAGTTTTGCTTTTTTTCCCCGGTTTGCGAGATCATTATCGATGAAATTATGACTTCTTACAAATTCTCAAGGTATTTGGACCGGGAATAGTTCTATGTAAGCAGCAGATAAAGCATTAGCCAATCAGATATTAGCAAGGCGCAAGCGATTTCCTGTTTTGGAAATCAATTAAATTCGGTCCGCGCTTACCTGTTTATGTCTAGCTCATGCCGGGGAATATGCAGTGATCGATTCAAATCCTTACTTATTTAGGGCTAGTATTCTCGCGCGTATCAGTGGAGTGGTGAGGTGGGTCCAGCATCAAGTCGCGGGGCAGTCATGGGTTAGGTGTTTTTGTTTTTATTAAGAAATAATCCCCTACCCTTACCCCCGTCTATGTTGCAACGCCTAATAATTTCCATCTCAAGGTGAACTGCACAAGGTACAAACCAAACTTAGTAAGGAAATATGTGATACTTACGCTTCAGTCTCGTCGCAAACCTAGCTCGATGTCCTCGTCTGACCTCTGCCCTGCTTCCTTCCAAGACTTCTCCAGGAACTGCCAACCCCCAAGGACAGAAAACATCAGACTGGCCATAATTGTCGAATTGGTGATTCGGTAACCCGAGGGCCATAACGAATAGAGTAAGAGGGATATGAAAGACATGATTACACCAATCACAAGTAGAAAGTAGTAAAAGGAGACTATCTTTTGTCGAAGCGGAGTCGAAGTCTCCTTGGTCGATACGATGCCGAATATCAGAGGCGATAGCATCGATGCAGCCACCTGCGCCACCATTATTGGGTAGCCGTCATCCCCAGGTGACGAGAGAGAATCTCCTGGGCGGTTAGGTGCTATGTCGACAGAGATGGTGGTCGCAACACCCATAAGGTGGCTAAAGATAACGACGACAAAACGGACCGTCGTTTTCATGTCCAATGCCGAGCGCAGGTGCACTAGTAAGGACATCACTGCTTTGCGGAGATGTATCTTGGATATTCCGATAGATATCCGTTCCCTGGTCGATAAGTTTGACTCGCCGTTAGCGTCCAACGAATCATGGTACGGGTGCTCGGTTGTCTCATTGTAATTCGCAACTGTGTTCGTAGTTGCGCGTGCGAGTTGAGATTCTTCAGGGCTTCGAGCTATGCCTTCGATAGGAGGGGATATAAAGTCAGGCAGTGGAAGCCCTTCTCCTAGATGCGATTGAAGGAAGACACTCTGCTCTAAAGTCCCTGGAGAGATATTAGATCCAATGATGCTTCCTTTTTTCTGATCCAAGACCTGACCTTGTTGGGAATTTGTGGGATTTTGTGTATCATTAAGGAGACCTCTGTCGATAATGTGGGCTTCAATACCAAGGAGTTGGTGAGCATCCTGTGGCGATACGTTGGCATACTCCAATGGAGGGTTATGGGGACGAGTTCTATCGTGACTGATGCGAGATTCTATAGGACTATCAAATTCGGCGATTCGCGATAAGGTCGGGTCTCTGCTAATATCCTCAGATCTGGCTCTTGTGAGATAAACTGGTGGAATGAGTTTGCGTGGAGTGGACATATCTACTAGGCTACTAGGTAGATGTTAACGCTTAGGGATTCTAGACAGCAGGTACAGGTCCTTCAAGTGCGACGTAGATTAAGAAGAATTGTCATAGATAATAGCAGGTAATATATTAGATGAGGTATATATCGTAATGTGAGGAGGAAAAGATGATTGTGTTAGATAGGAGGCAAGATTGGCAATATTTAAAAGACATCATCAGTACTATCTAGCTTAATTAGTAGGTACATATTGGTTAATCATCTTTTACCTTGTATGCCTCACAGAAACAACTAGTACGGTGTGGGATACTACCTAAGTTGCTTAAGGCTACGTAGAGTGCCAAAAAGCGATCGCGAAGCAAAAATTGGTGTTGATGTTGTCATTTCAGGTTCGTGCAAAAAAAAAAATGTTAGGTACTAGGTACCTAGGTAGCTAAAATCGAAAAAGCAAAAGCAAAAAAACCTCGAAACGACAAATAGCATAAGTGTCGATCATTACGATGTTAGGATAAAGTTAAAGTGTCAAGACCTTGTTGCAATCAATCACACCCCCAGCGCCCAACCACAGAACAAAAGACTTACACACTTACACATTTACACATTTACACTTACAAACTTGCAGACTTGCAGACTTGCAGACTTGCAGACTTGCAGACTTGCAGACTTGCAGACTTGCAGACTTGCAGACTTACATACTGACAAACTTACATACTGACATACTTACATACTTACATACTTACATACTTACGCACCTTCTCTCTCTCTCTCTCTCTCTTTTTTTCTTTGCAATTCAACCAAGTCAGTTAAATAGTATCTTCTATTCAGTTTATTCAACGTATTGAAGTCAGTCTAATCGAAACGAAGCAATCTGATGGATCTAGATCTAGTTTTTGTATATAAGGAAGTACCTACTTGGGTAAGTAAGTTGCTATCTAGGGAAGTCAAGGTTACTAGGTAGTATTTAGATCAGTTTATCTATCATACTAGGTAGCAACCACTCCAAAGTAGGTAGCATAATTACTAGGAGGTATGCAATCCCAAAAATCCCAATTCAGCTTCTTGGCAAGTTATCATTTTTGTTTCAAAACCAGTTTTTGTCAAGCAAATCATTCAGTTCCTACAAAATTGTCATTCATAATGGGCATACACAACTGAGGTTCTTGGCATGCAGGATTTAATTAAAGTTCTAGTGGGGATCGCGAACTCGTGGCAATCCTCATATGGGTGTACTCGTTCTATCGAGTACCTAGCACAATGAAGTCGGAAAAAGGACCCCATGTGCTAATCTTACTATCGGCACTGTAACCAAAACTATCCCTTCCACAGTCTAATACAGTAGGATTAGCACATGGGGCACTTTTTCTGGCTCCATTCCTGCCTAGCAACTACTAGGTACATAGTACATAATAAATTACCTATGTACCTATGTACAAAAGCAAAAAGGGCTGCGTACATACTCCAAATTTCCATCATCTGCGCCTCTTACCACCGCCCGCCCCAGCACCCTCAGCATCACCCTTCCGTTTCCTCCCCTCCTTACGCCAGAACTCCTGTTTTTCCCTCTTCTCCCTGGCCTCCTTCTTCTCGCCCATCTCCTCCATCTTCTTCTTGAACTCAGCGCGCTTCTCATCTTTCTTCGCCCTGCGCCGTGCCACCGCGTCCTTCCGGATCGTCGTCAGCTTGACCAACAAGTCACGTGCTTTTTTCTCCTCCCCTCCAAGCACCACTGCCCGCTTCTGCATGTACGTCTGCTTCTTCTGCGGCTTCGTCTGCACGATCTGCGATTTGAACGGAAGCTCTGCCGCGAGTGCGCGGGGCACCTTCAGCGGGTTGAAGTGTCGCGTCGCCCGCTCGATCTGTCGGTACTTGCTGTTGCGGTCCTGTGGCGTCGCGATCCCCTGGTCGCGCCGGACCTCGCCCGTCAGTCGCATCGGCTGCCAGTCGCCCACAAGGTTGGTGACCGGGTTGTAGAAGCGGCGCGGCTTGATGGGGTACCATGCGCGGAGGAACACCAGGTCGCTGATCAGAATCTTGTCTTCGAATGTGGCTCGGAAGTGGCCGTCAGGTTTAGACAAAGCGCGCTTGATCTGACCACGGATGCCGGAAACCGTCTTGATCGCGGCACCTTCAAATTTAGCAATTTCAAGCGAACTATTAAACATGTCCTTGATGAAAGCCGTGTTCTTGAAGATCTTGTACGGCGCTCCTGTAAGTTTTAGTTTCTTGACAATTTCTGTAGACTCGTCGACGGCAAGGACAGTTCCTGTTGCAGCGATTCGGAAGCCCGGATTGGCCGACGAGAAGGATTGAAAACAGACGAAACCAGTATTCGGTGCGATAAGAGGACCATGGAATGTACCAAAACAGTGCATATGTTCTGGTGTATACTTCAGCATACGATTTCTCGTGCGTGAATCCGAAATGCTGTATATCGGAAGTGACTGAAACCTCCTCCACCCAAGAGAGAAGATCAGGGGGTCGTTTGTTTTGAGGATCTTCTTGTGCCAGCGATGCCTCTTGATGCGGACTTGGACATAACCAAACCTATCCTCCGTTGCAAGGACGCCTCCAACGATAAGGGGCATCCGGGCATCGAAGTTGGTGACAAATTCGGCAGGAACCTTCTCAATTACAATTTTTGCGTATTTTCCGGCCTTGAAACCTTCGACCGTGACTCTTTGCCGTTCGTCCAAAGCTTCAAATTCGGCATTGTTGATGTCAAGCTGTTTTTGAATGAGCGCTTTTTGCGCGTCGTACCAGTCATCTTCACCGAACTCCTCATCCTCGCCACCTTCACGCCTAGCATTAGCTTTATCATTCTTAAATCCCTCGCGATCTTCCTCCTCAAATCGGAGCTTTAACTCCTCTTTTCTTCGAGCATTTTTCTCTCGTTCCGCTTCCAGACTTTCTGCTGACTCGGGTTCAGCCTTATGCTGCTCGCCTGTTTCAAGATCTTCAAATTCTCCGTCTCCCTCATCATCTTCGTCCCCATCCTCGTCAAATCCGTCAAACCCGTCTTCTTCGTCACCCTCGCCTAGAGTGGCTGCTGTGAAGCGCTTGCGAAGTTGTTCGATGTTGTCATCCAATGACCATTTTGTTGCTAGATCATCATAATCGTAAGTAGGTATGAAGCGGTCTTCCGATGCCGCATCCTCATCGTTCTTTGCCTTTTTGAAGAAATCCTCGTCCTCGGAATCTTCGATATTCTCTTCTTCCTCATCTGCATCGACTTCTCCTTTCCATCTACGTAACACTTCATCCGCAGTCAAGGATTCGTCATACATTAGACGGGCGAGATCTGCTGTCCGGTAAGATGGCCGGCCACCATGAAGCATCCGTGCTCTTCCGGCTAAGTCATCTTTCCATCGGAGGGCAGATGCCTCTTCATCATCGTACTCATCCTCGTCCTCATCATCATCAGACCCATCTTCGTCGTCGATTTCATCACCTGATATGGAGCCCAGATCTGAGTCGCTGTCAGCGAATGCAATATCCTCGTCGCCGCCATCCTTCTCCGATTCCTTAAACACCTTGCCCAGCTTTTTCTCACTGAACTCAGCTTCTTCGTCGGAATTGAAGTCCTCTTCTGCGCTGACGAAGCCTTCGTCATCGGGGACCTCGTCTTCGTCTTCATCTCTCTCAGCAAATCTCACGGTACGTTGATTTTTTCTTCCAGTATCTTCCTCCTCGGGGATATTGATTATCTTTTCGCCGCCACGGAAGAGCTGTAGACCGTCCTCTGTTTGGCCTAGTAGTCGTCGTTCCCCTTGAAGTCCGATGATAAGTTCTTCACCCTCACCACGTTCTGCATAGTCGACATCCTTGTCGAAATTGAAACCCTTCTCTCTTGTGATCCAAATCGCGTCTCCGTCAATCTTTAAACCGCTTCGGTCCGACATGGGAGCATGGACTTTCTTTTCCTTTTCATCTAATCTCCTTCTACCCGTTTTACCAGTTGCTTTGGCAAGAGCCTGCTCCATAGCGGGCGTCGGACATGGGTCAGGAAGAGCTTCTATACTTGACACAGCGAAATCTCCAAGGCCAGGAATATGGATACGCTGGTTATGGCCTGAGAAGTTTGTTCCTCGAAGATATCCTGAAAGTGCGATCGACCGGTCACATTTATCATCCTCTTCTATCTGTGTGGGATGCGTAACATCCCGGAAACTGTCGATGATTGTGTAGGGATGCGAGTTCCTCCAAATCAATGGCCGAGGATTCTTCATAACAGAAAGGAAACGAGACAGGTTGTGAACTTCGCGGTCCGGATACCTCCCATTTATAACTCCAGAAAGGTAAAACAGATGTGCGCCTTGGTATAGCTCACTCCATAATCGGTGTTTTAATCTCTTTTTGGCATCTTTGAGGGTTTGTGGTTTTCGGAAAAGGTCCAGATGTGACAAGATGCCGAACACATTTCCGGGCATACCTGTAGCGGCTAGGATATTTAAAAATTCCATTGTCTCCATCTCAAACCCATAGTTCCCATCAATCATAAGTAAAACGATATCGGCAACCTTGGCTAGATCAACCATCGCTTCTAGTTTGTTCGGACACTCGACGAAGGTAAGCCGTTGCTTTTTGGACGTAACTATAGTAATTGGTCCTTGAGGGTCTGTGATTGTCTCCTTAGTATATCTTCGAATGAGAGACTTTAGCAATGTCGTCTTTCCAACACCGGGCGGTCCGACAATTGTCACGAGTCTAGGTGGAGGTTCATCGGGCAATCTGTCGACAAGAGGTACGTGCAACCGCTTCTCTTTGACCTAGAATAGCCGTATTAGTATAACCAAGAAATAGTATGTACAATTGAATCGAACGTACATCATGCGATCTAGCAGCAGTACGTTGAAGTTTGCCAGGTCTTGAAAAGGCAAAGGCTTTGGGATTCCGATCTGAAGTTGTCAGTAACATTACAATAAGACATTTTCATTCTACCAACCGCCACTTTGCTGCTTCTTCTCCTTCGATTTACGATGAGGTTTATGCGCTTGTTGCTCCATGATTGCGGTATTGCAATGGCGAATGCGATTGCGATCGTCAATTCGTCGAAGCTGTTGCGACGGCTTTAGTTTCTAACTTGAATAGAAGGCGGAAAAAATGTTTTGGGTCCTTGAATAATTTCTTATCGATAAAAGAACTGATAAGATAACCTAGCGCTGCCGCTCACAGCTGCCCAGGTAAGCAGCTATGTGGGTCTACTTTTTTAGTCCGACGCCGAGATTCAAGCGGGGCAGGCGGGCTCCATCGTTCGGACCCTACGATCCTGCCGGCAGGTTATCGGCGGCTTTAACACATTGAATGTCATCGACAATTTCGGCATATTTTCAATGTTGTCTTAGACACCGAAGGACTGAAGTACAGGTCTAACTATTAGTTATCACGCAATACTAGCCATTCATCAGAGAGACCCCAATTCTGCCCTATAGGCCGATTTACGTTTAATGCGTAGGTAAGCAGGTAAGTTACAACACTTTCGGGTCATGGGAGCACCTCTGAGTACCTAGTATTAGTTATCAATATACTAAGCTGATCAACTACAGATTCAGGTGTTGTTTTACATGCATGAACTATCGTGTGAGTCAAAAACTGGTTCGGAATTGTACTTAAATAGGAAAGTTGTCAGACATGTGCTTCATCTTTGGATGCTTTCCCAAGGCGCTAAGTAGGTAGTGAATACCTAACAGTTCCTAACACCTAATAATCGGACGGGAAGTTTGTGTTTAAAGTCAGGCCGTGATGACGTATTCACTTTTCCACCAGTCCGGCTGTGCTTTCCCACTTTCCTGACTTTTATTGATGTTTAAACGCTCTGTGATACGTGGTTCAGGCACTACTACCTTGTACCTTTTCTCTCGACCAATCTCTATTAAATTGGCATGCGCTCTCCTTCAGCTATTTCTATTTCTACCTTCCATAAAACCCAACATTTAATCTCGCAACAACACCAACTTCCATCCTCTTCTTCCTTGTTACACCACATCGCAAGCAACGACTTCCGTAAACAACTACCAACCAGACGTCTATTCCATACAACCGTCTCTTTCAAGATGCCTACCTACATTGTAATTCTACCCGACCTTTCTATACTTTCCTTATATCGTCATATATGACCAGGCTTATGAAGAATGTTGCTCATTGCCTAATAGGTTACCTGCAATCCGGATGCCACCCCCGAGCAAATTGCTGCAGCAAAGAAGCATGCCGAGGACCAAGGCGGTAAGATTGGCCACGAGTACAATCTTCTCAAGGGCTTCTCGTATGTAGCTCTTTCATATCTACCTTTGATCGTATATCCGTCTTAAATGCATATTAACTTTGATTTACCTTCACTCAGAGTAACATTCCCTAACGATGCCTTCACTACATTGGAGTCGTACGAGCACATCAAAGGTGTTGAGCTCGACCAAGAAGTGAGGACTCAATGATCTCAGTGATGGATATAGTGAGACAGTGAGGGGCAATTAGGCAATAGGACATGGCACGAGCGAGCGCGTATTCGATGCGGGGTCTTCGGGGCACAGCTGCATCTTTTAGTCTTAAGATCACCTGGCAGAAAGCTTGACTGAACTTGGCTTATAGCTTATGCAACAATAAAGAACAATACATTCCTAACCTAATGAGTTCATATTTCATAACAGTTATTTCTTATCTGAATACAATACAATAATTGAGAAAGAGCTCTCTGAATTGCACCTGTCCAGTAAAGGGGAAAGATACTTACCTATAGGTACCTATGTAAGTCCTAGACAATAAAAGGTAAGATCGGCAGCCACACTAAGATAGCTGACCCTTATCAATTCAATAATTCTGCACTGACGTCGATGTTTCCGGGGTTTGGCTCGTGACTCCGACACATCAAAATTCATCCATATTTTCTCTTTCTTATTTCTACCCTCGCCTATGACTCCAACTGCTCCAACGTCTCCAACATACGACCATCCCCTTTGACCATTCTCATATTTACACCACACAATGCCGCCATGAGGAATATACTCAGGCGGCTACGGTGTTTTGACACACCCAACGCCTCGATTATAAGACGCAATCTTCTGAGACCGTGTTACTACTCGTCACACGCTACAACCAAACCCTCGTCCTCATCGTCCCATCAGAAATGGTCCCACCCACCGAGCACCGCAACGGTGACCGACGACGAGATAGCCGACCTCACCAACAAGCATCAGCACCCTCTGAGCCTCGCTGATCTGGTTAAGTAGGTCATTCTTTTCACCGCCACTAGTTATAGCCTTATAGGAGGGGGTATACCAATCCGTGTAACCATTGGAAGCCTCAATTCATAATCTAGATCACGTATTAACCAACCCTCAATTCACCAGGCACGGCCGTCCCCCAATCTCGGAAGACGCCCTCTTCTCCTCGGCCAACTTCACCCTTTCCCTCCTCCCCATTCGACTCGCCCACCGCATCCAAGCACTACGCAATCTTCCCTTTATCGTAGTGTCAAACCCGAACATCAGCAAAATCTACCACAACTACCTGCACTCCCTCTCCACTCTTCTCCCCTGGAAGCACCGCCACATCGCCAACCTCGACGCCGAGATCCGCTTCACCCAGATCCTCGCCGACCTCGTGCACACGCACCAGGACACCATTCCCATCCTCGCTAAGGGTTTCCTCGAGTGCCGCCGCTACATCTCCCCCGCCGAGGTCACCCACTTCCTCGATACCCACCTACGCACCCGCATCGGCACGCGCCTCATCGCCGAGCAGCACATCGCCCTACACTACAGCTCCTTACCACACTTCGACCCCGGCGCCTCCCCAACCCCCTGCCCCGAACACCCATCTTACATCGGAGTAATCGACACCGCGCTCTCCCCCTCTGAAGTAGTCGACTCGTGCGCCGGTTTCGTAGCCGACATCTGCGAGCTGAAGTACGGCGTGCGTCCGCACTGGGTAATAGACGGGGAGCCCGAAACGACGTTCGCCTTCGTGCCGATGCACTTGGAGTACATCGTAACAGAGCTCCTCAAGAACGCCTTCCGCGCTACCGTCGAAAGCGGACGTAACCGGGACCCCGTCGTAATAACCATCGCCCCCGAACCCCCCGACGCCGGCCCCCCGCGCGTGACCCTCGACCCCCCCGCCGGCGACAAAGGCGCCTTTAGAGGCGACGCCATCAAGCCACTCGACGACAACGCCCCCGGCGTCACGATCCGCATCCGCGACCGTGGCGGCGGGATCGCTCCCGAAGTGCTGCCCAACATCTGGAGCTACAGCTTCACGACGTTCAGCGAGGAGGACGAGGTCCCCGTCGGTGGTGGCGGCGGTAAGGACGCGCTAGGCGTGATATCGGCAGCTGGAAGCGGTGGAAGCTCCATTGCCGGCTTGGGGTACGGATTACCCCTTAGCCGCGCCTACGCGGAGTACTTCGGCGGCGGCATTGCCGTGCAGAGTCTTTACGGCTGGGGCACGGATGTTTATCTCCGTCTTAAGGGCGTTGGGAAGATCGATGATACGATTAGTGTTTAGGTGGAGACTCCTGGACTGTGCTCGTGCTGTTACCTAGGACCTGGAACCTGGGTAGGTTCAGTTAGGTTACGGTGGAATATGGAATATGGATACGCTTGCCTACATATGAGGTACTTCAGGGTCAAGAAGAAAAAGACTTGGTCATTATGATTTGTTCCTTGAGGGATAGCGCTGGGCGTATACGTAGGTTAGGTTAGGTTAGGTATGCATGTTATTCAGGCGTATAGAACGGCGTTATCATTGTTCCTGTTTCATGTGTATGCTTGAGGGGAATATGCTTACGTTCAGAGCTTACCCACGGGGTTTCTACTGAGTATTCCTAGGTAGATAAGTACTTGCGTGATATTTATATTAAGGAGGTACTTATCCGGACCTCCGGGTACAGAAAACTGCAACTTATCTCGAGTATTACGAGATCATGGTAATCGACGTCTGACCTGAGAAATGACCTCAACTTCTAATTGGCTATTACCCTATTGTATGCCTTTCGAGTAAGCAGTGAAAGACCAAAAGTAGATATACTCGACCGCCACGATAACCAAGCACTATGCCTCCATACCTAACAACAGCTCAAGTCAAATAAGCACATTTCACTACAACATAAAATTCACACATCCCCCAAACCAAAAATATTATTGAAGATTTCCGAGATTGATATTACCTAGCACGACCACCATACTCGCCACCCAACAAGGAGAGGGAAGCCTAACGATGTGACAATACCTATCCATTATATGCGATGACGACGACGACGACATGAACAACGAATCTACTATAACAACAACGATGCTATGCAGCGTACTTTATAAAAAGATATAATCCGACCGCCGATAATTCCCGTAATCCCAAAACCCGATAAAAATGAACGATCGATCGGGACCAAAAACAAACAACGATTCCGGCAGTACCTACTTAGTTTTTTCATCTTCTAAAAGAGGAAAAAAAAATAAAGGATCGACGCCACGAATTACATGGTACTCTTTTCTTCTCTTGTGCACCAAACTACGACATGATTCTTCTTCTGAGGGATGATCCCAGACCCTCCCTTAAAAAACATTGCTTCTTGTCATATCAAACATGATCAACCTGTGTTTTCTTAATTATATGTACATCCAGATTTCCAGATTACTCCTCCACGTTTTACAATTATCTTCCTTAGATTAAAAACGCAAATAGACGACGTAGCGTTTACATGTTAGCCAGCTCGTTATCGATATGGCGGTCCAGGAACGTCCTACGTTCTCCTGATAACTCTGTGTGTAGTCGCTGCTCGACCAGGGCGCGGACTTGCTTCTTGGTGACCGTGTCGAGGTCGACCTCTCGGAGCACGGATTGGATGGCGTCGATGATCATACCATCGTCAGGGCCAACGTGACCTCGTTGGAAGTCGAAGGATGTGGTGGATTGGTGACCTTGACCTAATGGTGCGCGAGCACCACCAGCAAAGCCAAGAGTGGCGTTGGAAGCACGGTGCATGTCAAACTGTGGTGAGTTGTTGGATACCGCGCGAAGATTGCTCATACTACGTTGGTGGCTGGGACCATCTTGGTAGGGCGATTGCATGCGTTTGGCATCACCAAACGAAGCAGTAGATTGCCGGTGTGCAGGGTTGTCGGTATACGCACCATATGCGGACTGTCGCATGTTCTGGAATGGAGCAGGCGAGTGAGGGGGCATGTATCCGCCACGGCCCTGGAGACCGGTAAGGACTGAGGGCTGTCTGACAGAAGAGTAGACGGATTTCATGTCGTCCATCTCATATTGATCATCATAGATATCCATTCCCTTTTCGCTGTGCATGCCACGGCGACCAGGTAGATTGTTCAATGCAGCGTAGTCATCCCATCGTTGCAGTGGGATGGATCTGGGATCAAAGCCTTCGTCGTCCACCGCGACCAACTGTTTATTACCTTTCTCACCAATGACGATACGTGTATTACCCCACGAGAAGTTGTCTTGGTTCCAGAACGAGTAGATCGGGAGAATGAACGAGTAGACGGGGAAGGCTAGTAGGTAGATGATCATCCATCCGATGTGTTGCCATTGTCTCTTCAAGATGAAGATGAGAGCCTGAAGACCGTACACTGCAGCAATCATGATAATGGAAACGAGAGGCAATGGGCCAGTATGGGTGATGACTCGGTAGAGAAGATAACCTAGGTAAACACAGGTGGCAGGGAGAATGATGGTTCCGGTAAGATCGATGAAGACGATGAATCGCATAGAGAAACAGCAGAAACCGCACATATCCTTGAGCAACATAAGCTCAGCCAGATTGTGGATAGTTGAATTAATCCATCGACGTCGCTGTGAGAGCAAGACGCTCCACTCTTCGGGGGCAGCAGTTTGACAATAAGCATCAGGAATAAACTTGTACGACATGTAGGGGAAATGCTTCGTCATGAGTGTTGTCAGATATCGATCTTCACCGAGGGACAACAAATTCTTCTTGTGCAGAGTGTCGACGTTGCAGATACTGTAATCCTTGATCATGCCATCGGAAATAATCAATGGTTTTCCCTTGTCGGCAGTGCGCAGACGGTACATGGAGAAACTAAGGACCGTATTAGTAACACAATTAAATATAGAGAGAACAGAAGGAACTCACCATCCGGGAAGACAAGTAACGCTACCAAATAGAGATTCGAAAGCCTTTGCCAGGTGATGAGAGATAAAGTACTCATAAACCTGGATCATACTCCACCATGATCGTTGCTCGTTTTGTAATCCAGTTTCACCGCAAATACCAGCAATCTTCGAGTTATTCGCGCAAGCAGCCACAAGACGGTTGAGAGAGTCTTCTCGTACACAAGTATCGGCATCCACCATCAAGAGATATTCGTATAGCTCAGGGTCAACACCGATAATGTTGTTGATCTGGTGGAAGATTTCGAGTTCAAGAGGGTTCATAGGAGCACGGTGGTGAACACGGTTCAGGAAGCTCATCAGCAAAATCTGAGAGTCACGCTTGCCACGGTTACCAGGCTTAGCCTTAGATTGTTCCGATTCCTTGCCCACTTTAACGATAACGATGTAGGGAACCACATTGCCTTCATATTCGTACAGACCAGAGTAAACCTTGCCGTAGTTGAGCTGTTCGCTGCCAGTTCCGACAGACTTGAAAGGTAAGGCGGGAGGATCGACTTTGGGATCAACTCCCAGAATATCCAGAACAATCTTTGGCGTGGGTCGATCGTTACCTTGACCAACGATGACACCATCACAGATAACACAGATAAGCTTTCTCTTGTTGTCATATTGAAGCGCGGTAAGGGAATCGAGTGCGTTTCTTAAAGAGTCTTCTCCTTCAGTGTAGGCCGGGACCTGACAAATGACAAACTTATCTTGAGGAGCGGGTCGTCGTTTAGAGCCAAACTGTAATGCTGAAAGGAACTTGATCACGATGACGGAACAGATGATGATGGAGAAAGCCAGGAGAATATAGTTGTTCGCTTGACACTTAGCCGAGTAACGGAAGTCTGGTATACCAACGTAAAAGGTTTGCTTGATACAATTAAGACTGTTCAATTTGGCGGCAGTGTTTGTGGCGTTTCCCTTGGCGTCGGAAATCGCATCATTCCAGAGGGTAGTAACATCCTGTCCCGGGTTTTTCTTAACTGCGTCGATCAAATCGGTGTCCAGGAAATTGTACTGTGCAAGGTTCTTATAGTAGTCGATGGTATTGAGGTAATCTGTGAGATCGTAGATATTACCGTCGTAAGTAACCCACATGTGATTGTTATTCTTGCCATCATCTTTGACATTTTGGGCATCCCAGACCAGATCACCGTGATAGTATTCCTTTATCCTGGGTTGAAAGTTATCGCGATACCAGGTAGAAGAACGTAACTTGGTTGTCTGGTCAGCCTGGAAGTAGCCGGAGGTGTGCACACCCTGAGGCAACGTAGGAGTATTGTTCTTCTGGAGCTGAATGGTTTCAGGAATACCCAAGCCGGGGCAGGTAAGCGGAAGAGGAGCTACGAAGTACTCGTCCAAGTTTAAGCCCGCGAATTGTTGCATAAGATCACTTGTCGTGTCAATGTTGGTATCACTGTGCTGTAGCCGCCAGAAATTTGTAATGTCGTAGACCTTTCCGTGAATACTGACCCAAAAATCGTCTTGGCCTTGATGACTAGCAACTTCCGTTTGCAACCAGGCCTTGTCGAAGTTCGGACAGATGAGTTGCCCCAAGACAATAATCCAGAACACGATAAAGCCGTTTAGTAATATGATGATGAAGACCAGGACAAATTTCTCTCGCCAAGCCATCCTGACGTCTGGCCGCTTCATTCGTCCGATGTGAGTGAGGGCGAAGGAAGGAATCCACCAAGTCAAAGCCCAAACGAAACCAACCCAAATACGACGAGTGGTAGTTTGGTCGGTGGTTTCGATATGTTTTCCTTTGGCGTCAGCAGCGTCGAGGTTGCCAATGAATTCGCCATCTGGCGTATAGTAAAGTTGGTCGCGATGCTGGTCTCCCTTTGACCCTAAGCCATAATCGCCTGCATAAGCGTTGCGCATAGCAGAAGGAGTGGCAGAGGGTGCCCTCATCTGGCTCTGTGCAAAGGTAAGCTGGCTTTGGTTGCGCTGATGACTGTTGAGGAGCTGATCCCGGCTACTGTTGGAGTTATGGTCGGGAATTTGAGGGGGGAAGAAGTCATTGGTGAACCCTCTTTCGAGGCCAGGGGTGCTAAACATGCTATTCATACCACCGGCCGCAGGATCTTGGGCTGGCTTTAGATCAAGCATGCTTTCAGCCTCCCACCAAGCAGTCTCGCGCATCCAGACTCTCTCCTTGCCAATCACAACTTCACCGTTGCTCCATCCTCTCTCGAGGATCCAAGTCTCGATGCCATCTCGACCCTCTCTACAGCCTAAGGGAGCAAAACGAGTTGAAAATTCGTCTAGATCAAAGTCCGCCGTGAAATCCAAGTTCTTGTTGCGGCGATTGGCCCACTCGGGGAGTCTCCAGGCGCGTAATTGGCGTGAGACCGTGCCAGCCGACCAAGCGGATGTGATCGAGGGCAGAGCAGCTAAACTCGCGGGAGCCTCATCAGTCGGGTGGAGTGATAAATGATACCATACGCGACTAGTGTTTAAAACAGCGGGAAGATCTAATCGTGCATTTTGGCCCAAGTTGATACCTTGACCAGGAACAGGGAAAAGCAGCTTCTTCAAGAAACCGTCTTCATCGCTAGCGAAACCAGCCTTCTCCAAAACTTCTTCTCTCTTCTCAAGTTCATGTTGTCTTGCTCGTGCAACTGGGCCATTCATAATTCCTAGATCGGGCGCAACCTCCGCAACGGCATTCTGCGTCTCTCGTAAAACTGAGCTTCCCACAGCTACTGCGTCCACACCGTCTTCTTTCATTTCGGCATTAATTCCAAGGCTGTCATCGAAAATACCACGCATAGCAATCGCTTTTCCGAGGTTAGGATCCGGAATTTCCACAACAGTAATGCATACAGTATCGCCGTTCTCATCCGGGGTTGGTGTCCTATGTCCGTCGAGGGACTCTTGGCCATCTCGTATGCGAGACATTTGGAGGGCAATGGTTTCGTTGGCCTTGGTGACGACCCAGTCGACTAGAGCCTCGTACAGTCCTCCAACTAAAGTTCGTCTATCATCCGTTGAGCATTGTCTAGCTAAAACTTCGGGATCAAGACCAAGTAACCCGCCAACATCTTCACAGACATCGTCAAGAACATCATCGTCAACGTTGTAGTCCAGAGTGTTGCCGAGTTTCAGAAGTCCAGCAAGGGTCGAGATGAAGTTCCGATGAGCTGCGCCCTTGATGCCAATGTCTTTAAGAGCAGTTCGGAAGTCATCCGCGGCAGCGCCATCGTCGGCCGTTGGAAGATATGAAGGAGGGTTATAAGTCCCGGACTTGGCTAATAGCGAATAGGTAGAGGCAGACTTGAGACCCAAAAACTCCCTTTCTGCGGGTGTTGAGGCGGATGTGAGAAGATAGTAAAAGACGTCAAATGCGCGATAGCCAGCCTCAGCAGGTATGTCAAGAAGGCCCTTCACAGTATCGATACCGCCCTGTGATAGCGCTACACTGGCGGCATGTAATGTTCCAGTGAGGTTTAATGTCAGTGTTACTGCCAAGGCAGATTGACGCGGCGTTGATGGGTTGTATGGCGTTACGCATCGTATGAAGGGTTGTATTACTTCAAGGGCAGTATACAGAGACGAAGGAATAGAGAGGGGCAGAGATGACAAAAATGGGTTCAACAACGAGGGTGTTGATTGATGAAGAGACCTAGATTACCTGTAAGCAACAAACTGATGGAGATTAGTACACGAATACTACATACCCTAGAATGATACAGCCATCCTCTGCTCGACGCCTAGCATGTTCCCAAGCTCTGGCTGCCAAGTTAGGGTCTACAGTTCCTCCAGTCCTGCCGTCTGGCCCCGCTTGAGTCGCCGTGAGCCATGTGTTGACGACGAGACTCGTTCCAGCGTCTAGTCGATAGGGTTGAGACGAGAGATAGATATTATGAATGCCGTTTAACAAGGTAGTTGTTGACACTTGAGTTGATTGTTGTCCGGCGCCTCGGGGGCCTCCAACGGAATCGGAAGCCACCGAGTACATGGACATTCGGGCTTGTTGGTTAGCCATGTTTGACTCGTTCGGAACGTGTTGTCCTTGCGGACAATCACGACAATGCTTCACTCCAAATCTGCTACTAAAGCGATCGAGTATCTATAATATCGGCGACGGGTTCAAATTAAGGCGCTCATATAGTCTTCAGGAAATCAAAGACTATTGAGATTTTTTTATGATATTATAAACAGTTTCGACGGGGCGGTTAACGAAGGTATGTCGAATAGATCTTCTCGAGGTGGATAGTATTATCGGGGGTAATGATGATCGGGATGGGGTTGTTCGCAGGGCAACAAAGCACTATTACCCAATGCTATAAAACAATTACAAGCAATAGCAATGATTAGAAGCGATAGACTATCGTCACCAGAGCGAGTGAGGTGACAGATGAGAAGGTTGCAAAAGTGTAAAAACAAGAGAGAAACGACAACGAGTTGATGCTTGTAACAAGACAACAAGGACAGTGAGTGTGAGACAGGGAGACTTCCTGTATGCCGTATGGGATAATGCTCCCCTATGATGAAAAAAAAAGGTCCAAGGAAATATGGGCAGATCGGTACCCTCGAAAAGGTACAAAGCACAGTGCGACAGAACTGTCTTGGCGTAGGGCTTAGAATAGACTAGCTTGTATCTAATTTTTCCCTGCCCCTGGGGAGGCTCTTAAGTAGAAAGGCTAAGAGAGCCCTGGAGCTGTAAGAGAATTGGTAAGATTGGCAAGCGTGGTACACACATGCGCAGTACACACCTGGCAATTACGAGGTACCTGTGTCCGGGCAATCACGCTAACATTTGGGAGTACATAGTGCAGTGTAGTGCGCTGTAACTACTTACACCTGTACAGACACTAACACGCTAACAGATTACTATGGGATTATAGTACAAATCACGATAGTGCTGTCTTTGGTATTGAGGCGTGCTGATCCCTCTTCCTTTTCACGGACCCTACCAGCTGTAAAGCGAGTCTAGCAAGAGCCTAAGGGGAAGAGCTGGGAAAGTCCCTGGTCACTTTTTAGGAGGATACTCTCCAGGGTTCCGCCCGACTTCCCCGATTCAGAAGTATCACAGGGATTTCATCAGGGAATTTCACAAGATGATCGCTGATCGAGCGAGACAACAAGAGTGAAGAGATTTGTATCGAAGCCGGTGGGAAGCAGGAAGATAACTAAAGAGAATTCAACTCATTATTACTACAATATACTTGGTATGCAAGTTCGGGACAAGAACTGCGAGAACTACAAAAAAACCGACGTGGCATCACAGATAATTCTTACAATTCGTTGGTTTGTTTATCGCATGACAAATTGGCATGGGATGATTCTGGTTTTACACGAACTAGGCCCTGCGAGCCGTTCGCGTGTTAGGTGAGCGGAGAAAGAAATACGAAGCGGCCAAATGGGAATGGCACTTTATGGCAGACAACTCCAGTCGATCAGGTCGATTAGCCTTCTCGAACTTCGAAGCACCACTTTTATTTATTTATTTTTGTCTTTTTTGTCTTATGCCCTCCAAGAGTGCCCCCCCAAGAGGTCCAATTGCACCAATTGCCACAGCCACATAAAAAATCATTATGCATACCTAGCAGCCTAGGTACACACACTTCCTCAATACGAGAACTACCCATTTTAGGTCGTTTTATTTTCCAGCCAAGAATTTTAACGCTTTTTCCGTTGCCTGTCTTTCAGGCGTCGAGAAGCTTTCGAAATGAACGGCATCATCGTTGACGGGTACAACGTAAAAACAGTGGTAAAACGTTTAACTATAGCGAGGTTTGACAGATGTATAATTCAGTCCGGCTTCGCGAATAACCTTAACCTTGGTGCTTTGCATTTTGACGGGAGTCTGTTTTGGTGTGACTTGTCATTTTATAACTCTATTAGCTAGGTAAGTAACTGTATTGGTGTGTGAAGTGTATGTATTCCCCTGACCTTTGCATCGATTGTAGCACGTCAGCCGACGACAAGCAAAAATGAGCGAATCACCTACTCAAGGATTGCAACATTCCTCAAGCAGATCCCATGAGACACAATACAGTTTACTGCATTTCTCGGTCAAAACATATTCTCTTGCGTTGGTAGAAAAAGCTGCGTGCAATAGACAATGGCCAATTCCTTGTCAATTCAAGCTGAAGTCTCTCGTCAGCTTAGCGGTTGTTTAGTCGTCTTCTGTTATATCATATGTCTCTCTGGTGCAATGTTATTAGTTGGTAGAAAGCCATCGCATCCTACACAAGCCTCAGGCGTCGCCGGCGTAGATGTTGGCTTGTTAAAAGGCTTTTACGCTGACACGGCATCCAAATACTAGGTAGGTAGGTAACATTGCTAGCCGCAAAGGGAATTGCCGTTTTATAGGGATCGTGTGCGGATATGCAGCCGGCCATCTTGTGTTTGTACGACGATATCCTGACCAAACCCGAGGATCTATTTACATGTGCGTATGTCACCATGCATGCCGTTCTTATTCGAGTATTTGACTTGTTCGTCCGACTAACAACAACCTATCAATCCCATAATCCTAATAGTCTATCCGAACATTTACAAAATGGAGGTAGATCGAATTCGGGACCGCGAGCACGCGGGGTTAATCTGAATTATGGATGGCAACAGTGGATTTGTTTGTTGATTCTGTCTCAGACATACGCCTAGTACGTAAATAAGTATCATTATTAATGATGCTCGGTGTTTTCCCCAAATTGCTGACATGCGTCAATCTACTTCATGAGTAGAGTATCAGGAACGTAGGAGGTAAACAAAAAGTCCATTCCTACTGTGCATAGTACTGTGTATGTAGGTACATACATGTAGGGATGCATTTTTAAAATACAGTATTTTATTTTTATATATTATTCATGTATTATACTGTATTTTATATAAAACACGTATTTTTCGGGATCCGGATTAACTTTTCGGTACTTAGATAAGATGCCCCACCCCCGCTAAATTTGGGTGTAGTCTCCATATTTATGAAGTACCTTTTGGGACCCACCTTTTAACCTAAAACGTACAATTCTAAGTATGTATTTCGACCAATTAAAATCTGGTCCGCACCTAAGATTGAATAGTAGACAGGTGCATATATCGAAGACTATCTTTTACTTGTTATTGTTGCAGTTGCTATTGCTGTTGTTATTACTATTACTGTTGCTAATTTATTCTATTGCGCGATAAAGGTAAATATTGAAGCTATTCAGAATATTACTAGTACTGGAGCGATTGCTTGTGTATGTAATCAATTATACCCGGAAGTGGATAATCCGGTTCCGAGTATAATACATATTATACGTATTTTACAGGGGTATCATATTATTCGTGTATTTTATTTTAAAATACGTATTTTATGCACCCCTACATACATGTCTACTGGGTAGATATGTACTCTTCAGCAGTGAACTCCGAATTGCCTATTACATACCTCAACCTAGTACCTATTCGTCCATTTTAAAACAACCTATGATGTAGTTGTCGATATCTTCATTTTCCAAGGCCCAGATCGATTCCATCTTGATAAAAGACAGTGACGATGCCACAATCCGTAGGATCCGGTAAACCCAACATTACCGGCTTCTGATTCCTGGAAGCGATGTTGTCATTGTACCTGGGATTTCAGGGTGATTTTCAGCGTCTGGACTTTCAGTTATTGAAAATCCAAACCCCCTGCTGGTTAACTCCGTACAGGCGCTGGGTCTGGTATGGGTTAATATGGGTCGTATGGGTCAGATTCCTTAGATCTTGCTAGAAAGCTGGGAAAGTTAGGGGGTAAAGAGAACGTTCCATTACACCACCTCGTTGCCTCACCATTTTCTCAGCTCCGTGAGCTTCCACTCATTTTTTCATTGAAGTCGAAGATCAGCTTTTACGGGGGAAATAAAGCAATGATCAAAAGATGCTCATGATTGTACGTACATATGTAAGTTTCGATCGCTCCGAGAACAAGTCGAGGCTTTCGGGGCCACCAGATGCACCACAAAAGGTCGTACATCCTCGTCTCGCATCCATCATGCAGGTATCCAAGAAAATTCCGGGCGATTCGATCAATGTGTTCGTGAGACCTGCTAAACGTGCTAACATTAATACTTAGCGTAAGGTACTAGAGTTACTGGAGGTACTAAAGGTACTAAAAGCACTAGGGCTAGGGCACTGTACGTGATACGGAGTACATTCCCTGAATCTGCCGTCCGCGACTAGCGAGGATTGAAAGGTAAAGCCTGGGCCAATGAAAGGCAAGAGGGTCACAGCGTACCCTCCCCAAGACTTCGTATGATGTGAATCTTCGCCTCGGGATCCCTGTCAGCTAAGCTAGGCTATGTACTTAGTCAAGACTAGACCACTATGCGTGGGAGGAAGCTGCAGTTAGCCGTGCACTGTACAGTCAGGTACCTACGTAGTTTACAAAAATAAACCTGTTCAAGGGCGACTCCGTCCGTATTGACTCTGAAGTCTCCTTTCATCGAATCCAACACCTGTGAAGCAACTGTTTGGAGAGAGCCTCAACTTTTCCGGCTTTTCTCTTTTCCTGTTTGTTTCCCATCGCTTTTCATTTTAATCGATATACACTCGTTTCTGTATACTAATGTACACTCGCTACGCGTAATTGTTGCTTGTTGCTGTGGGAGATAATTCGTAACATCGTTGTCGAAACACAAAGCGATAGAAATCAGGGGAACCACCTTTTCGCTCGTTGTAAAAAGTTTTGCTGAACTTTTCCCGAATCCGAATCGACCTATCTTTCTTAAAGCACACGAAGCGTCGAGCGGCGCTGAACAAATTCTACTGAGTCGTCAGTCCATCGATAGGCGCCAGCCTTTGGCCCTTGATCCAACATGGCTCTCAACCTCCCATCGATGGGCGGCAGCGGAGGGGCCCATACGCAACCATCGTTGCCCTCTCTGCCCGCCCATCTCCAATCCGATACACACCTGACCGCACATCTCGCTAGTCGTTTCCATGTTGCCATCCCGACAGCTCGTCTATCCTCCCATGCCCTCATCTCCCTAAACACCTATACCTCGTCAACCAAGGGCCTCGATGGGGGTAAGGAAGGGAGCGCCATGGCCGGCGCTGAAGATATGGCCGACAGAGCTTTTCTCAGGTTGGGACATCGCACTGAAAACCAGGCGATTATATTCCTGTACGTTGGTCAAGTAAAAACATTACGCATCGCGGTCATGAGTAGAAACTAACAGGATCACTAGGGGAGAATCCGGCTCTGGTAAAACCACCATCCGATCTCATCTGCTAACTTCGCTCCTAAATAAGTCTTCTACGCCGTTGTCGAGCAAGATCTCTCTTGCCGCGTACGTTTTCGATACGCTTACTACCACGAAGACGGCGACAACACCAACCGCTTCCAAGGCTGGTCTATTCTACGAACTCCAATACGATACCGCCTCGACCACCAACCCTCTACTAATTGGTGGTAAGTTATTGGATCATCGTCTCGAGCGAAGTAGAATTACCGATGTGCCAACCGGAGAGCGTAACTTCCACGTCTTATACTACCTTCTCTCCGGAACTAGTGAGGCAGAGAAGACGCATTTAGGTATTGATACGCCAAGAGATGCAGCAGGGCAGAGACGATGGAAATATTTGGGCCATCCTACCCAGCTAAAGGTCGGTATCAACGATGCTGAAGGCTTTCAGCTTTTCAAGACGGCCTTGCGAAAGTTGGAGTTTCCGAGAAGTGAAATCGCCGAGGTTTGTCAGATATTGGCATGTATCTTACACATTGGACAACTCGAATTCGAAACGACCTCGAACACCACCGCTACGGGGGATGACAGCGGCGGTTTCTCTCATGAAGGAGGCCAGACTATCACGGCTGCGCGAAACAAGGACGTGTTGGGAATTATCGCCGCTTTCCTTGGTGTCAGCTCCCAAGATCTTCAGAACACGATGGGATACAAGACCAAGATGATCCATCGCGAACGCGTGACGGTTATGTTAGACCCCAACGGTGCCCGCGCTAACGCCGACGAGCTAGCCAGGACGTTGTATTCACTTCTCGTCGCATACGTGATTGAGAATATTAATCAGAAGATATGCGCGCCGGAGGAATCGATTGCAAACACCATCAATATCATTGATTTCCCCGGTTTCTCCCAGCAGTCTTCTACTGGCTCTGCTCTTGATCAGTTACTCAACAATGCTGCCGTCGAGTCTCTCTACAACCTAACTCTTCAAAACTTCTTCGATAGAAAGGCCGATATGCTAGATACCGAAGAGGTCACCGTTCCTGCGACAAGCTACTTTGACAACTCAGATGCTGTGAAGGGACTTCTTAAGCCTGGGAACGGCCTGCTAAGTATTTTAGACGATCAGACAAGGCGACACAGGACGGATATGCAGTTTCTAGAAAGCTTGAGGAAGCGCTTCGAGGGCAAGAACCCAGCTATTAATGTGGGTTCTGCGACAGCCAGACTGCCCGGAAGTAATTTCATGTCAGAGAATACGGCAGCCACCTTCGCTGTGAAACATTTCGCCGGTGAAGTCGACTACCCCATCAAAGGACTGGTCGAAGAGAATGGTGAAGTCATTTCCAGCGACGTCATGAACTTGATCAAGTCCAGCAAGAGCGAATTCGTCACTCGTCTTTTCGGCCAAGAGGCTCTCCAAACAGTTATGCATCCTCAAGAAAGGACTACTGTTATGCAAGCATCTGTGAGCTCCAAGCCCATGCGAGCGCCCAGTGTCATGTCAAGGAAGACTGGCCGCAACATGGGATCTCGAAGATTTCGCCGACAAGATTCTGTGGACGACTTCGGTGGCAGCGAGGCAGGAGATAGAGAGAGAGGAGAGAGCCGTGCAAGGGGCGAGCCGAGGAAATCCAGTATGCACCATTCAGAACAGGGAGCATCTGGTCAGTTCTTGTCTTCACTTGAAAATGTGAAACAAGCAATTACTGCGCCAAATACCAATGCCTACTTCGTATTCTGTCTCAAACCAAACGATAGAAGGATTGCGAACCAATTCGACAGTAAATGTGTTCGTACCCAAGTACAGACGTTTGGTATTGCTGAGATAAGTCAACGGCTAAGGTCGGCTGACTTCAGCTTATTCTTACCCTTTGGCGAGTTCTTAGGCCTTAATGACGCCGAGGCTATCCTCGTCGGCAGTGAGCGAGAAAAGGTCGAAGCCGTAATCCAAAACAAACAATGGCCGAGTAATGAAGTGCAAGTCGGTTCCACCGGTGTGTTCCTGAGCGAGCGCTGCTGGTTGGAGATTGCGCAGTTGGGTGATGGTTCGTCCAACCGTTATGCGTCTGATGCTGGGGACGGATCAACTCCCGGCGAGTTGCCATTCGGAGCTTCGAAGGAACGGTTAGTCATGGGTAATGCACAGTACACGGATAAATCTCGAGGCGGGTACTTCGGCAGCAATGATATTGATGCCCGTTCTGATGCTGGCGCTTCGGCCTTCGGAGCCGGCGACATGTTCAAGAATCTGGACACCAGAGAACAGATGGCCGAACGTGGCAACGAGAAGTCACTAGTAGAAGTAGAAGAGTTCAAGGACAGCCCTAGTCGAAAACGATGGGTGTTCATGGTCATGGTCATGACCTGGTTTATTCCCGACTTTCTCATCCGCTGGATGGGTAGGATGCCTCGCAAGGATGTCCGACAGGCCTGGCGAGAAAAGTTGGCTATCAATATGATGATTTGGCTCAGTTGTTTAATCGCCGCCTTTTTCATCGTCGTCTTCCCTCAGGTCATTTGCCCGAAGCAGTACGTTTTCAGTTCCGAAGAACTTTCGGCCTATAACGGCAAGGATGGAAACTCTGCCTACGCCTCCATCCGCGGTCAGGTTTTCGATATCTCCAGTTATGCTCCTGCTCACTATCCTCCTTACCTTGCTACCAAGTCCTTGACTCAATATGGTGGACTGGATATTACTTCCTTGTTCCCAGTCCAGGTATCAGCTTTGTGCAAGGGCAAAGACGGATCAGTGAATCCTGCTGTCACGTTAGATTACAAGTCGACAAACGTCAGTGGTTCAGCTAGTGTCGTTAGCAGCCAGGACCTCAACGCCCATTACCATGACTTCCGCTCCTTCACCGATCTGCCTCAACCTTTCTGGTTCTATGAAAAGATGCAAATCTTGAAGTCATGGAAGAAGGGCACAATCGGTTACTCGGCACAATATGTCGCTACCCTCGGGACTAAGCAAAACTCCATCGCTATTCTAAATAATCGTGTGTACGATCTTACCAAGTATCTCGTTGGTGGCCGCCACGTCGTTGTTAAAGAGGGCGAAGACATGCCAACCGATCCTGATATTGTCAACTTCATGGATAACCTGGTTGTAGACCTTTTCCAGCAGAAGGCCGGTTCTGATGTGACCAAGCTCTGGAACGCTCTCGATATTGACTCTGGTATGCGCGAGCGTATGCAACTTTGTCTCGATAATCTCTTCTACGTCGGTGACGTTGACACACGAAATTCAACTAAGTGTCAGTTTGCTCAATATCTCATTCTCGCCGTTTCTATCTTGCTTTGCACCATTATCGGATTCAAATTCTTGGCTGCTCTTCAGTTCGGAGGCAAGAATGTTCCCGAGAACCTTGACAAGTTCATCATGTGCCAAATCCCTGCGTATACCGAAGATGAAGAATCTTTGCGCCGTGCCATCGACTCCGCTGCTCGTATGCGTTACGATGATAAGCGCAAACTGCTCGTCGTTATTTGCGATGGTATGATTATCGGTCAAGGCAATGACAGACCAACCCCTCGCATCGTTCTCGATATTCTAGGTGTGTCTGAGACTGTTGACCCCGAGCCTTTGAGCTTCGAATCTCTCGGTGAGGGTCTTAAGCAGCATAATATGGGCAAAGTTTACTCCGGTCTATACGAAGTCCAAGGTCACATTGTCCCCTTCTTAGTCGTTGTCAAGGTTGGCAAGCCGTCTGAAGTCTCCCGCCCTGGAAATCGTGGTAAGCGAGATTCGCAGATGGTCATGATGCGTTTCCTCAACCGTGTCCACTACAACTTGGCTATGAGTCCGCTAGAGCTGGAGATGTATCACCAAATTCGGAATATTATTGGGGTAAACCCCACGTTTTACGAATTCATGCTGCAGATCGACGCTGATACGGTCGTGGCACCCGATTCGGCTACTCGCATGGTTTCTTCTTTCTTGGACGATACACGGCTGATCGCTGTATGTGGTGAAACCGCCCTCACGAACGCAAAGGGTTCCTTCGTTACTATGATCCAGGTCTACGAATACTATATCTCGCACAATTTAGTCAAGGCTTTCGAGAGTTTGTTCGGTAGTGTCACTTGTTTGCCAGGTTGTTTCTCTATGTACCGCATCCGCGCGGCTGAGACGGGTAAGCCTCTCTTTGTCAGCCGCGAAGTCGTCGAGAACTACGCTACAATTCGTGTCGATACCCTACACATGAAGAACCTGCTGCATCTTGGTGAGGATCGTTATCTAACGACTCTACTCCTCAAATTTCACTCATCATTCAAGACGAAGTACATCTTCAGCGCCCACGCATGGACCATCGCCCCCGACTCCTGGCAAGTCTTCCTGTCCCAGCGACGTCGTTGGATTAACTCAACCGTGCACAACTTGGTGGAACTCATCCCAATGGCTCAGCTTTGCGGTTTCTGCTGCTTCAGTATGCGTTTCATCGTGTTCGTTGATCTGTTATCCACTGTTGTCCAGCCCGTAACGATAGCCTATATCGTCTACCTCATTGTGCTAGTCTGCACCTCGACATCGGTCATTCCTATCACAGCCTTCGTCATGCTTGGCGCTATCTACGGTTTACAGGCTATTATCTTTATCCTACGTCGTAAGTGGGAAATGATTGGATGGATGTTGATGTATATCGTCGCCGTTCCCGTTTTCTCATTCGCCCTGCCCCTATATGCCTTCTGGCACATGGACGACTTTAACTGGGGTAACACTCGTGTCGTTGCTGGAGAGAAGGGCAAGAAGGTCGTCGTCACAGACGAAGGCAAATTCGACCCTGCCTCGATCCCGCGCAAGAAGTGGGAAGAATACCAGGCCGAGTTATGGGAGGCTCAGACCAGCCGAGGCGGCGATGACACTCGCTCTGAGATCAGTGGCTTCAGTTACGCAACCAAACCTGGCATGCACCTTGGTGTTGCAGAATACCAATACGCAGCGTCGCGTCCAGGATCAACCACCGGCCAGATTCCACCATACGACATGAAGAATGCTGGCTACGCGAGTCGCATGTCTTTCGCCCCTACTGAAAACCGAATGAGTCATTTCGGCGGTTCACAGTTCTTCGGCAACCAACACGATGTAGAGATGTCCAACCTCGCAGGCATGCCAAGCGACGATGCTCTTCTAGCAGAAATCCGCGAGATCTTACGTACGGCAGATCTAATGACCGTGACGAAGAAGGGCATCAAGCAGGAGTTGGAGAGGAGATTTAATGTTCCCCTCGATTCCAAGCGATTATACATCAACAGTGGTATGTATTCATCCTTCCCTCATATTATAAATGATAAGTACTAACAGCACGATTAGCAACGGAGGCGTTGTTGTCGGGACAATTATAGAAGTCGGTCGGCACGTAGCGAAATTTTATGTCTCTGCATATACTCGGGTGGCCATGTTTTCATTAAGACTATATACATAATATACCACATTAAATATTCTGAAAGGAGAATGGAGGGGGCAACTCATCAAACGGGACCAGAATATGTCACATCTATCTGGGTTTGGACCACGGGAAATCATTCGGTGGCAAAGGGATTTTTCGAAAAGCAAAAAGCTGAAGCTGAAGAAGCCATATATCTATGTTATTACTCTTGGGATGTCATCTAACGAAGACCAAGTTTGGAATCCGGTGCCGAAATTCATGTTTTTTGTTTCGAGCGCTTTCGCGAAGTAGGTACCTAATAATGGAAATAATATTGGGATAATCTATTCCTATAATTATCATGTTTTTCTGAGAGATATGGTTGGTGATTGAGATGGTGGGAGTTTTGGATACCTTGATTCGAGGGGAGTTGTTCATGTTGAGTTTCGTGTTCATCATCGCTACTTAGCTATAGTAAATATTCATCGCAAATATTCGTTATTAGGGCTTCAATGATTAGGTTTCTGTAGTTCCGGCTTCCTCATACTTAGTATCCTTTTGACTCATATCGCCAATTAGGTAGGTAGGTAGATTATCGTGGCCCTTCTATTCCACTACTTTCTTGTCTCAGCCACTCTACTAATTCTACAGCAATTTTCGGAGACGTTTTCTCACTTCTATTATTCGTAGTCCCCCCTCTCAAACTCATTGGTTTTACCGCGCAAATGACAATGAGCAATTAGTTTCAAGAAAAGTGTCGTATACAGGAAGGGGGAGGCAAGATGATAGAAAATATAATTTTGTGTTAGGGGTCAATCATTAGAACATGTGATGTCTGTTCAGATGTTGCTTTAGTTCCGTCAACTTCAGCACGACTTCATACATGTCTACATACCTACATATGTCGTCTTTCCATCTCCATATTTCGTGTATTAATATGTCTCAACTTCGGTTCTCCTTTCCAACATACATACATATATACGATCCGAGCGTTCCGTATATGTACCTGAAAAATTCATAGAGTTTCGGTCCCTCATATTCGGTTGAAAGGAAACGGCGATGGCGCTGTTACACCACTTCTCCTTATTAGCGTCTGATGTCAGTGCACCTGCCTGTAATATGAGAACTAACTTATTCAATGAGAACCTTAGAACCTAATGATGTCAAATATGTCTCACGTAAACCGAAATATTCTCGTAGTATCATTACACTTGTTTATGTTTAGTTCCGAGAGTTAGTTAGGTAAGTATCTTGGTTAAATGATAGCCTGTTGTTAGGTATTGTACCTACCCGTACTGCCCGTAATACCTCCTTAGCATATGCGTACAGTATCCTTTTCGCATTCGCTCATCTTGCTATACCTACATATGTAGATACCTATGTATAACACGCTCTGCAAACTTGAGCTTGTTTCTAGTTGAAATATCCGCTCAATACTAGGACATGTAAGATGTTTCCCGATGTCGATGACCTTATGTAAGTTCCGTATAACGGGAAAGCCAAAGCCAATCAGAATACAAGCCCAGTATAATCTTACAAGATCGATCATTTTCTTTAGTTCATGATCCCTGCAAAAGGTTATCTCGTATTTTGTATAGTATAGATAATATATTGGGTACCTACATATGTAGGTAGTTGACATTAATAACAACATACATCTCAATGCATTCATATGTGATAGGAATAACTTCCGAGGTGTTGTCGGCCGCATATTGCATCCCCATGTGACGATCGGTTAGCTGGGATCATCTGAATTGTCAAGTTTAGTGGAGTTGAGTTACATCCTCGCCAAAGCTAAGACCATTTCTATAGTCACTCCTATGTCATCGAGAAGAGTCTTTGAGGTGGTTGCCATTGGATTAATATAAAAATTGAAGGGCAAAGGGGCGAGGAACTGTATCAATTTGAAATAGAAGATACGATATCATAAAGGTTAAACAAAGCTCCTAGGAGATAATTAATAATATGTATATATTCTATTGGTTTCCAGGGATCTCAGTCAGCAGAAATGCTGAATTTAATCAGTTGCATCGTGACGTAACCCTAATTGATACCTAGTAGGTAGAGATATTTGCACGTGTGACTATTGATGCTGTTATAGTTGGACAATATATCCATATGGATGGTTCAATGGCCATTTGAAGTAACAATATCGGACATCCATATGAGTATTTAATACTACTAGATAGGGAGTGTTGCATGTCAAAGCGATCAATACGCCATGCAATAGTTGTTACTGTTAAACAAAAGTCTTGAACTACGGATGTCTCCAGCCCTACGCGATCAAATGAGCCCTCAGCTAAGGGGGATCTTAGCCAGGTGGAGATGTTACCCATCAGAAACCCTGCGAATCAAAAATCTAATTAGGGTCTAGGCTCTACTAGCGGCGTTCAACGGGACGGGTCTGTTTCCTAATAATGTGGAGAATTTACCACTGTCCGCAGTCGCAAGTGGTCAACAGGTGGTCAAGCACATAAGTGCAAGTGCGGAAAGATGGGAAAGCGATGATGTAGATGCAGTCGGGGGCGGAGAGAAGGAGGGGAGAAGGAGGGACCTTGATTACCTTATTTTACGCTACATTTCCGGTACCGTGGGTACGATACTACAGCTCGAAACTGATAGTGGCGTCACTATCCCAGATAAGTACATATATGTACCAGGGCATGTCCATGTCAACATTTGAACTTTGAACTGTCGTAGAAATACCTGGAACACTTAAACTTGGCTTTCTTATACTGACCTTAAATCTACCAACCAGCACATTTACGGATCACCTACCCGCCCTTCAACCTCCATTGCTCCTGTTGCATGTGCCTGTGTTACATCGTCAAGGCAGTCAGCACCTCATTCAAACTTATCATTCGTCGCCTTTCCAACGTCTCTGCACCATAACTCTCGCCAAATTTTCCTGATCGCCGATTCGATTTGATTCAGACACACACTACAAACTTCACCACATTACAACACTACGGCACTACACCACTCTCGTTTTTGTTTTGGTTCACGACACGACATACCTTAGCACTTAGGACCTACCAGGTATTCTATCAGGTAGCCCATTAGGTAGCCCGTAGCCCGTACCCAACTGCGGCGCTTGCGTCTTTCCCCCACTTCGATCTTGTTCTTCTTAATACTCCAAGATCGACTGTTCTGCGACCAACCCGACAGTCATTACAGCTTATCCTAAGCCATCGTGTCGAGTTAAAATGTAAGCCCGCCATTGCACGCCCCTTCGCATCAGGTTCTACCATCAGTTGCACCCTGGCTAATACTCTCTGTCTTGTAGGCATATCACCGTCAACGTGAACAATCCGACCGTTGAGGCTTCAGAGCTTCAGCTAATAAACCTCGATGTCCCTCCCGATATGACACTCGCGGACCTTCGAAGTTCCATCGAAGCCGAAGGAATACCCGCGCCGTCTCAGAACATCTATCATAATGGCCAACTCATCACCGACAATTCTAAGACCTTGCAAGAGCTTAATATCTCTGACGGTGACATGTTAGCATTGCACGTGCGGGATATGCGTGGCAACACCGGCGTCGAGCCTGCGCCTCGCGAGCCCCAGAGACGACAGGCTTCCACCCTAGCCCAAGATCCCGAACTCATCCGTCTACAAGTCCTCGGCGATCCACGACTAAGAAGCGAGTTAGAACGAGCAAACCCTACTCTTGCCGGCGCCCTCGAGAATCCCCAGAGATTCGCCCAGATCTTCCGCCAGAGTGCAGACCAGCAAGAGGAAGCTCGCCGAGCCCGTATGCGAGAGATCGAAGCTCTGAACAACGATGAGTTTAACCCCGAATCGCAAGCCAAGATCGAGGATATGATACGCCAGCAAGGTGTCATGGAGAATCTCCAAAACGCCATGGAGTACAACCCTGAATGTACGTTGCTCTTATCCAAGTGTCTTAAATCGCGCTTACTAACTTATTCTCTTACTAGCGTTTGGCCGCGTACACTTACTCTACGTCGATGTTAAGGTCAACGGCATCAAAGTCAAGGCCCTGGTTGATTCGGGCGCCCAAGCTACGATCATGTCTCCGTCTTGTGCTGAGGCATGCAACATAATGCGCCTTGTGGACAGACGCTTCGCCGGTGTGGCTCGCGGAGTGGGAACCGCCAATATTATAGGCCGCGTTCATTATACCATGCTCCAGCTTGGCACGAAACATCTCGCGGCCGCATTCACGGTCATGGAGGGGAAATCTGTTGACCTGCTGATTGGCCTGGACATTCTTAAGGGTCACCAAGCGGTCATTGATCTTGTGCGAAACAAGCTCATCATCCAAGGAGAAGAGGTGGATTTCCTCGGCGAGTCGGATATCCCCAAGGAAACTGAAGAGGCGGTTAACCAGGAACCAACCGTCCAGGGACCAGGTGGTACAACTATTGGTGCCCGATCAGGGGCCGTCACAGGTCCCCAGGCATCGTCTTCTGCAGGTCCTTCTACTTCCTCCGCGCCTATCACATCCCGACCCGCGGCCCCCGTCGCCCGTCCTCCCCAACCGCAACCGCAACCTCAAGCACAGCCCCAACGAACTTTTCCAGAAAACGATATCAACACGTTGGTGTCATTAGGCTGGGATCGACAGCAAGCTATTAACGCATTGGAGGCGACCGGTGGCAATGTCGAGTTTGCCGCTTCCCTCCTCTTTAATAACTAAGACGTAAATCTTCCACTTGCATTTGATACATAGCATACGCGATCCGAGGGGCGCAATGGCACGCCCTGATAGCATGGCAAGCTCGGGCGTGGGGTTTGATCACCACTCGATCTATTTAGTTAGTAGAGGGCGCAATCTATAGGACACTGGCAGGGACTTTTGCATGCGACCTGGAGAGAGAGCTTTAGAAAAAGGTCGTTGATTATGATATCTTTATCATCATTATATTCGGCCTAAATTTCATGCAGATACTTCCGGGCCTCGTCTAATGAAAAAAGCTATTGCAGGTTAGATATATTGGCATGACGATGCGAAGGTGAACGGTGAACGGTTATATATGTGGTGGTGGTGGTAGTTTATGGATAATATCTTAGCTCGCCTATCGCAGCTTATAGACACAGGGCTTCAGAATAGAGTTCTCCTCCTCCGGCTTGCCCTGCTCTTTCGCATCGATGAACTTGACACCGCTCTTCTTCGGGCCAGCGCCTCGACTTGATTCCTTTGACGTGGATGTAGTAGCAACAACCCCCTTCCCGACGGTCGGCGACGCCGCTTTGATGAAATGCATCTTCACAAACATCTTATTCTTCAAGTCTACCGCGCCTTGTAGCACAAACCCCCTCTTCCGCAACGCCTCCACGAACGCCGTCACATCCGTCTCCTCCCTCTTATCATCCGCCCCATCAACCTCAATAGCCAGCTCAGCCTCATCCCTCTCCCCATCCCCACCTTCTACATCCTTCCCCTTCCCCTTCTTCCCCTGCACTTTCCTCCGATGTCCAACACTATGCTCCACCGGCGCCCCTACCACCTTCTTCCCCTTCCCACCACCGACAGGACCAAACCGGCTCTTGATCTCAGCGACCCAGAGCTCGCCTTTCCAATGCAGAATGCGGTACGCCTCCTCGACGAAGTCGAGCCAGTTGGTGCCCATGAGCGCGAGGCAGAAGACGACGACGTCGACGCCGCCGTCGGGGAGCGGCAGGTTCGCTATATCGGCTTTCGTGACGAGCGCCGACGGGCTCTGCAGATCGTAGCTGAGGATCGAGAGGCGGAGTTTCTTGCATGAGGACTGCAGCGCGGAGGCGAGCTTGGCGTCGCCGCAGCCGAGGTCCGCGATCGTGCTCGTGCCGTTTGTGCGCGGGAGGGGAATCACGCCGCTCGTTGGGGGTGGCGCTGGCCGCGAGCGGTGGGGTGCGCGCTGCGAGCCCCGCGATTGGATGTCCGCGATGTACCCGTCCACGGGGTTCTCCGGCCACACGTCGACTTGTCGCCGGAAGCCCTCGTGGTACTCCTGGAACATCTCCGGCGAGTCTTGGAATAACTGGAAGGAGTCCGCGGAGGGCTTCGTGTATAATGTCTCGTTGAGATGGCGGAACCGCGCTGATACAAGCTTTTCTCGCATCGCGGCTTGCATGGGGGTTAACTTTGGCGCTGCTGGGGCTGAGGCTTTGGTTGTTTGGGTTGTTTGGGTTGTTGCTTCGGTTTCTTTCCTGTCTTTGGATTTCTTCTTTTTCTTATCCTTCACTTCCTTCCCCGGTGCGGCATCTTGCGATTCCGAGGTAGGCTTGGGTTTCTTGCTCTCAATAGGCTCGCCATTTGCCGCAGCTTTTTCGGCTTCTTCTCGTAGCCTCAACTTCCATAATTTCTTTTTCTCCTTCAGAGTCACCTTTTTGGGGCGCTCTGTAGGTCCGTCTTCATCAGATTTGGCCTTTTTCTTTGACCTTCCTTCCATAACCCGTTCCCAGAGATCTGCAACGTTGGATGATGTGACATTTGGCCCTGATGGTCTCTTGCGCTTCCTTGAATCAGTGGATTCTTCTGGAGTGGCCTTGGGAGCTACGACGGCCTCAGGTTTGAGATTATCCGCCGATACGGCCCAACCTGGTACCGCAAACATGTCTAATCAAATGTATGGATCCCGATAACTTATTTTACGGTCAAAATCCCGTTTGGAGGCCAATTCTGGAATTGTCAATGTTGAGAGAAGAGTTTTGATAAGCTTGAAGTTAATGATCAAAGTTGAAAAGTGAGTTGATGTTGGAAACTTTTTTGCAGGGATCATGAGAGAAGTGGGTACCTCCGATAATGCTGATACGGACGTATCTGCCCCACCATAACCAAGGAACCAAGAAAGTTTAAATGCCACCGTCACGTGAACTAAATCAATAATTGAGGCAGAAGGTTCGATTTCAAGGATCTCTTTTCCATTTCTTCCAATGAATATATGCTCAATTTGATACCCTCTGCATATCATCCTAGTTTTATCTAAATATATCTTTTTCATATCAGGGATCAGTCGAATTCATCAGAGCATCCACGCCTTTTAAGGTCTTCGGACCGGAATAGCTTCGTTTCACGAGCCCAACAAGATATGAGGTTATCAAACCTTCTGTGCCAAACCTCCCGATATCTTCCTTGTTTGATGACAATCACATCACATAATCTTACCAGACTCGCTTCTTGACCGCGGGTTCCCACATGATTGCTAATAGCCCACTGACTGCTGCAGAAAAAACGTGTCGTTCTTAACCTACAATGTACATTACAATATCAGTCGACAGAGCTGCTTCGTGGCTTTCCCATACAACTCATACACCTAATAGCTTTAGTACACTACATGAGCCGAACCCCACATGAGGCTGCAAACTATATGAAACATCTAGGTCATAGTCATAAAGTGGGATGACAAGCAGGATGAAGATTTTCCTGAAGAAGTCCTAGTAGGGCCGGCCAGTACTCCGAGAAGGGAAGACTGAGTGTCTCTACGTAGGATCGACGGTGACACAACGGCTGGCCGTATGCAAGCGGGCCTTTTGGTGTCGATATCAGTTGACTAAGACTGCTAAGACTCCCTAGGAACTGCTACGGTTACTGCCTGGACGGCAATATCGCAGCCTCTTGCAGTTCCCTATTCCTTGCAGTACCACATGGGAATACTTGTTGCGCAACCGCTTCAGTCTACGCAGATTTCCAACCAAAGGGTTCATGTCACTACCCGTCTCACTCATAGGTACTGACTTAATCACCGCCACAACGGCCTGCTCACTTTTGCGATCGACGCAGTTCTATTACCTAATTGATAGATGCTTTCCCTCGCTGAGGAGAAAATGATGGCATTGTCGCTGTCGCTGTCGCTGACTCTTATCATACGGAGTCACGGGATAAATATCCTGCACTACGAAACACTGTTTCTATGCCGTGGCTATGGCGCCTCGGAAATTGCTGCTGTACTTACCTAGTAGGTATGAGCACAGATTATCATCGTGGTCACGCCCGACTCCTACAGCCTGCATAAGTACCAAGACCCCTAGGTCGCTGTGCATGCACGGCTGCGTCGACCGGCGGACCTGAGACTCACTCTCCCGAGACACGCGGGTACATTAGCTTCTACGCGCCTTCTCTACCTTACCTAGTTCAAACTCGATGATGTTGGTTTTTTGGAGTTTTTTCTTTTTCTTTTTCTATTTTTTCTTCTCCTTACTAAGAAATCTCATGATGATAAGTATCGATTGGGTATGTTGAATTGGCGACGTTGTGTCATGTGCTATGTGAAGCCGTGGAATGAGGTACAAACAGGCGGCTTGAAGCCGCTGATCATACCTACATAAATCTTAGAGAAGGGAGGGAAGATGTCTACCAAGGAGTTAGGTGTCTTCCTTCGTCCGTAAGCTCACTCACTAGTCGGCTTGGTTCCTTCAGTGCTGCCTAAGGATCTTCCTATCCACCTGAAGACTCGTGATAAGAGGTCAGTCAAGACGTGTGCGCAGCTGGTCGCAGCAAAAGCAGCCCGGGTTTTGCTATGTTATGTGTGTCTGGAGATGCGAATCGATGACCAGCCAACGGAAAGTAACCGGTGGGTAGGACAATTTGTCGTTACTGCAAAGGATGCGCGTTTCTGCGTAGCACAGTTGGACAGTATGAGCAATTGACCCTCTCCGAGGTCAAATTTCCCAGGTTGCAGGAAATGGGACCCCAACATCGTCGCGCATCATCAGATGTCGTACCTCGATCTACCGCAACTTGAGCAACTCTGGTTGAATGCATCAGCTTCGTTCATGGGACCTCCCTAGCTCAACGCCGTCGCGGGGCCCGTACAATTATATTACCTACAAGTTGCAGGCTGCAGACTACTGGTTACTGGCTATTACTGGCTACTACTGGCTACAGGTCTAATACAACACGCTGCAAGGATACGGTATCCGGTTGCTACGGCAAATCTGTCTTGCCACCTCTTTTTCCGTTATCATACTGCATATACTGGATATACTGCATATTTCGTCTTCACGTGGAGTTGGTGGTAAGGTTCCTCGGCGTTGGTGGTTGATGGTGGGTAGTAATAGGGCGGATTGGAGCTGCATATGGAAATCAGCTAAGGCTAGGTACTGTACCTAGCTGTTCCGGTTCAGGTCTCCGTCGCCCCCTTTGTATACCTGTACGAAAGAGGCTGTTCGCGTTTGTTTATGGCATCATGGCATGTACACAATTAAATTGTCGCGGGATCTTCCTTGTCTTTTTTTACGGTGGCGGCTCTCAATTTCACCGCCAATATTCCCAATTTGGTCACCATCACGGTGGTCTGAGCCCCCCCGTCGTCGATGGCGTCCGGCTTTTGAAGTCTACCAACCAGCCAACCTAGTGACGAATCTATTGCTGAGGCCGGGTCTGGACCGATCCGCTCCTAAGCTGAACTAGGTCGCAGAAACCCAATGGCACTACAGCATTGAAGGATCGCTAAGCCTAGCAAGTTTGCCCAGCTACGCCGAGATCTAAAGACCGCCCACTCTCCCACTGTGGCATATCCTTGCTACTACACTACTTTACTACCGCTACCGCTCGCGCTCGTCTGACTGTTCTCTTATTGGTAACAGCTAGCTGAACCCCACCAATTCCCACCATCTGTCCCGCGTCCAAATGTTCCCAATGTCCCCGTGCGTACCTCCAGGGCTAGGTACGGTATGTACGACCATCTACATTTACATATTGGGGCATCCGCTGAATTGAAAGACCCCTAGGTCTAGAAAACTGCCGTCTTCAAATTCGCAATTACCCCGTCGCACCCCGTCCTACTCCTAGAGGCTTGAGTGCCTCAATTGTCCACACCAGCGAGCAAGCATATTCCGGCCCTATTTTGTCGCACCAGATGTTTCACTGGTCGATATAAGCTATATCCTAGAATCAGGCCGTGTCGTTTATCTCTTCATCGTGTACTCTTACCACCAGTGTCCATTATATCCATTATATCCATTATTCAGCCTTTGTCCCGAATGCCCCGTCCCCATTTTGCTAGCTAGTCGGATCCTCGGAGACTTATCTTATACCGTAATTGCTTTCCGGGCTCGATCATTAGATAGACTGAACGTTGTGGGCTCCTGTTATAGTCCTCAGTTCGTGTTGAGGACCCGTCCATCCGCTAGACTGAGAGAACTACCCGCGAGCATGTCCGGCGCCATTTTGTAGTCGGTACTTTCCTAGCCCCAGATCGGGCCTATCGTCTATATACCATGTGACGGCTTAACATATTTGAACGGCTGGATTGCAAGACAATAATTTTACTACCCGGAGGCTGAATTAGGTAGTATAACGACGATCATTTTTTCTGAAATGGATTCGACGGACGAAGCGTCCCAAGACGCATCTTCGAACTCTCAACCTCCCCGGCCGCCAACGCCAGAAGATAAGGATGACGACAATTCGGCGCCTAAGAAACCGATTGTTCGGAAGCGAACGAAGACCGGTTGTCTCAGTACGTAGTAACTCATATGACCCCCATCCGTTCAGTTTCCCGCCCGGTTTCTATGAGCGGAACTGACTCATTGCTATTAAGCTTGCCGAAAGCGCAGAATAAAATGTGATGAAGGAAGGCCAACTTGTAACAACTGCTTGAAGTCGAAACGGCAATGCGAAGGATATAGCCAAAGGGTCGTCTTTAAAGACCCTCTCGGCGCATTTGCCAATGCTTCTTATGGTCCCATCCATTATCCAGCGCCTTCTCCTCAGGCGCTGGTAAGAGAGCAACAATTATCGGCAGCGCAGCAAAGGTCTTCGTCGCAATCTTTACAGATAATCGCCCCTAAACCCCCACCAGCAGGATACCATCAACTTGTTGCTCAGTATGGCCATGGATATCACGGCCAGGCAGGACAGACCTCATCGCCTCCTCTGAACTTCGATCCGAACGCATTTGGACCTCAACCTGCACCATCGAAATACACTTTCATTTCGCCAGCAACTGTCGATGCATTCTCACAATCTCAATGGAGGCCAGACCAACCGGCGAACTTTGGTCAGAATATCTCTCATATTCAACCAGAGCATCATCAACAGCAGCATCATCAGCAACAGCAACAGCTAGACAACTCTCAGCTTGACAAAGGCAAAGCTCGCGCTGAATCCGTAGTGTACATACAGGCTGATGCAGAACCAGAACTCGAGGAATGGGAATACCCTGTCTCGGACGATGAATCTATGGTAGAGTCGGATGATATGCCGATTGGTGAGCGGCGCACCTCACTTGACTTCAATGAACTCGGAGTCGTTGCTTTCCAAAGTCTCGATCAGCCGTATGATATGTTCGGAACTCAGACGAGAACTTTCTCCGCATTTGCACCTCAAAGCTTCCTCGCGACGTATGAACCTTCGCCAGCAAACTCACCTCTCAATGATAAACAAATAGCAGCGGTGTTCTGGCATTTTATAAACGTGACCGGACCTAGCATCTCTCTTTACGAAAGACATCCTTTCGACCCAACTCCCCTTTTCCAAGGAACATCAATACCGAAGGCACGCCAACACATTTGGACCTGTAAGTTGTTACTCTCTATTTATAATTGTGATCTCCTCTCACCTGTTTAGACACGTTCCCGATTCTAGCCTTGACTCATCCGGCTCTCCTTCACGCAATCCTCGCCATCGCAAGTTTACAGATTGCGAAACTCCAATCCGTACCGCCTACAGCGTCTCTTAAACACTACCACCTAGCTCTGAGGAGAATTGCGCGGAACGTTGGTCGGCCAAACAGGCGAGCCCAACCTGCGAACCTGGCGGCGACGTTAGTTCTATCATTTTATGAAGTATGGAATTCCGACCACGATAAATGGAGTAGGCATTTGCTAGGTGCGCGTTTGCTATTCAGAGAAATACCGTTCGCCGAGATGACGCGAAATATGATGGCAATCAAACTTCAGATGAGGTTGCAAGAAATGCAACAATCTCCAATCGATGCGTTTGGAATGTTCCCAACATATGAGGAAAACGGACCTTTGCATAAGGACTGGGATCTGATTGATGTGCCTCTACTAAGCGCAATAACTGGTAGAGATATCTCGTATGATGAATTGGGAATGGTCCCTGAAGAACGAAGCCAATATCGGAGATCGAGAACACAACACACAGAGAGGGATATGGAGAAGTACCAGCAAATGAGCGATCTTTACTGGTGGTACTGTAAAATGGACGTATACCAAAGCATCCTTGGTGGAACTCAATTATTGTAAGTTTCGCGCCATGTCGTGCACTTTAAGATATGACTGTGCTGACCAACGAAGCCTGGAGTATAACCAATGGACTCAATGCCCGCCAAGAGCCCCAATGGGGAGGCTCGATGCTATGTGAGCTTACACACCGCACGTGTCATATAACGAGTTATATAGTGCTGACAATTTATTAGATATGGCACGTACGACCACCTAATGCTGTTGCTCGGCCGTTTAGCAAGTTTCACGTCAAAGGACCTAACCCGCAAGCGCGAAGCGTTCAAGGCGAACGGACCGGGCCGCGGGGGTTCGCCGGGAATGTTTCCGGGCATGGTACCTCGCCATCCAGAGAGGGTGACGGTGCCGATGGGCTTCACCCCGCCGCGGGAGACGTCGCCGCCCAGCGACGAGTCCTCCGAGAATATCGACCTCGACACTAGTACCGCCGAGGCGTATCGCGAGTGGGAGGAGATCCGGCAGGCCTTCGAGACTTTAAAGAGCCACTTCGGTCCCGAATTCCAACCCCTCGGCGCCGACATCTACCCCGCGAAGGCGACCCCGTTCGGCCTCGCGGCTCATTACAGGACGTACTCCATCGCGGGCATCTGGATGAACTTTTACATGGGCCTTATCGTACTGCACCGCGCCCATCCGACTATGCCGCCTATCGCTATGGTGGCTGCCGGCCTTTCGGCGAGAACTACGGCGGGTTACTGTATGGAAGTTGGTCGCATCGCGGCTGGACTGGAGGAGAATATCGAGCAACTCTCAAACGTGAGTACGCTGATGGCGGCTGCACTGATTGAATGCTGTTTCCCGTTGTTCGTGGCGGGTATCCAGGTGAGTCCCCACGACGTAGACATACATAGTATGTATTCAAATATGACTAACCAACACCACAGTACCACGATGACTTCCAGCGACAATGGACAATCCAACGGCTCCACGATATCGCGCGGCTGACAGGATGGCAATCAGCGCGACAGATCGCCGTCGGATGCGAGTCCGCCTGGATCAAAGCCGCGCAGTTAGGCCGCGGACCGCCATATACAAGGTCCGTCAACCTGAACATCGATCCCCCGGGTTCGATCTGGGTGCATGCCCGCCGCCTCGACAAGCGCATCCAAGAGATCGATCTCGACGAGTCCAAGATCGTCCTTGCCAAAGGCGAGAAGGCATCTTATGCCATCGGCTTGCTGGCCGTGGAGCATGATCTCGAGAGGCTGGATTTAGAGACCAGTGAGAGGAATGGGCGGTAGGTTTTTTCTAGCCTGGAGATCTTATATAGCGACTTACTTATCTACTTGGATACTAAGGAGGTAAGGGATAGTGTGGGGGGATGTGGAGATGTAGGAATAGGATTCTACGTTTTCATGAATGCACGGACTAGATACGGGATACGGATACGGATGCGGAAATGGAAATGAAGAGGCGTTTGAGTTGAAATAAAAAAACTTAGGTGCGTTCGATACCTCGCGTCGGAAGAAAAGGGGATATTATGTACCTGTTAGTACGTCGGATGCGGTGACACTTTATAAAAAAATCCACCTGCGCAGCTTTTAAAGTCTAAGTCAGAGTCTTGATATCAGGTTCGGCTCAATAGCAGTAGTAGCAGTAGTGGTAGCAGTAGCAGGGCGGAATCTCTTATTCTGCCCCTATAGACACGTCTAATCGCGATGCTTTTTTCGGCCTACCATACATACCGGGATGCCAAAAACTCCTCGTCAGCGAAACCGTATAAAAATTTCCCCACCTAGGGTTAGGATCGCTTAATTTGCGGGCAGCCTCTCCACGACCTGGGCCATCTCTTCGTCCGTGTATATCCTGAAACCCCGCTCTTTCGTCACGCTCGCCAGCTGCACGTTCTTGGAGTCTAGCTTCTCCTCCATCACCTGCTTCAGGGTCTTCAGGACTAGCGTTTCTGCATCCGTGATCGTGAGGGACTGGGGAGATGGTTAGCAAATTCGAAATCGAATCGAATATTATTCGTGATGGATAAGGGGGCGGGGTAAATAAAAAAGTAATAAATCTTAGGCTTGTATGGATGTAGATGTAAAGATAAAATATACCTTGTGATACTCATTCTGCAACTCAGCCTGGGCGCCCTCGCTTCCCGAACCAATAGCCTTGGCATCGTAGCGGTAAAAGGTACCGCTGGGCTCAGCGTGGTAGAGCTGGGGGCCGTCCTCGTCGTAACCGGCGATGAGGAGGGCGACGCCGAAGGGGCGGCTCATGATGCTCTCCTCGCCATTAGCGCTCTCGCCGAAGCGCAGGGCCAGGTCGCAGATGGCCTGGGTGCAGCTCTCGACGCGCAGGTCCTCGTTGTAGTTGAAGTTGTGGCTCTGGCACTCGACGCGCGCGTGCTCGACCATGCTGCGGGCGTCGGCTTGCAGCCCCGACATCGCGCACCCGATGTGTCGGTCGATTTCGACGATCTTTTCCACGGACGACGTCTCTAGAAGAGTCGAGGTCACGCGCTTTTCGACGCCCAGGACTACGCCTTCTGATGTCGCGACTCCGATGGCGGTGGAGCCGAGCTTGATGGCTTCGAGAGAATATTCGACTTGGAAGAGACGGCCTTCGGGGGAGAAGGTGCTGGGATGCGGGTTAGTACGGGTATATAGTAGGGCTAGGACGATAAGTTGCGAGGGAGGGAGAATCGTGGGAGAGAGAGTCGTACTTGATACCCCGATCTAGTCGTCGTTCGTCATGTTAGCTTCGCAGATATATACCAGCTTTACGAGCTCGAGGAGGGGGGAGGGGCGGGGATTTACCGTATTCAGATCTTGACATAAACATCTTGACGGATTGTATTAGAAAGCTGTGTCGAAAATTGGGTTACGGAGTCGTTGTGTTGACTGGTCTATGCGGTGGAGGGGAATGGGAAGTTGGAGTTGGGAAGCGGGAGGCTGAATATCAGGGCGAGAGGCTACGAAGCTTTGGAAGCTTCAAGGCTGCTACACCGTTTACGAAGCTCGGGTCTTGTTTGCACCAACCGGGGTTTGGGGCTAGGCGTGACAGGGGGGGCTTTTAAAGCTTGGACCATGTGAAGTACTTTAGTACATAAATGCAACCTTGAAGAAACTCATCTGTTTATCGATAAGATATGTGGATAACCCCGGACAGCCGAGGGGTTCAACTCTAGAAATCTAGCAGGAAGCTCTTTAATACTTAACAGTTATTCTCATTACCCAGTACCTAGCACTAACAACAGTCTTTCGAGTTTCAACACATAATCCCTTCCACTACATCAAATGTACACGTACGATCACCTCTTTGGTCTAAATACATTTCCCCTTTTGGCTCTAGGCTGCTCAAGTTTCCGTCGCTTTATCCGTTGATTCTCAGTGGAATCATCATTTTCATCCTCCTGTTTTTCGGGGTTATCCTCTTTTTTTACGACATCTTTCAATTGAAGATTTTCTTGGATACGCTTCAATTCACAATTCGAACATAGGGCACTGACGGGGATTCTAATCACCGCCGCAGGACTGTGACAAAGGATAGGAAGTCTAGTTAGCGTCGATATGTTTCTCCCACATCTATATATCATAAGCTGTGTATTGTGTCCACACTTTAGAGAATAATATTGATGATCAGCACATCTGCATGTAAGTCCAAGTCCGCCAGGGATGCGTTTCCTCTTCTTGGAGCTGGCTCCAGTTTCGTCCATAGGAGGAATCATGGTGTACATAATTTTGTTTCTGTTAATTGGGTCCTAGACTATTGGTGTTGATTAAGATGTGTTTATGTTCAACATTGGTATTTTCGCGATTCTAGCAACGATATAAATATTCCTTCACGGTCCAGGTATAACACGTCACCTTCCAGCTGTAAGGTAGATCCATGAATATCTTCTGTCTCTAACATTTCCAAAACCACAGAGACCACTTCATCATATTCCGACAAAGAATATGGATCTATAGAGAGCTAAGATCGGTGATAATAAACCTCAAGCACCTTTTAAAGAATCCGGAACTGGAAACTACCTAGTACCTACTTTAATGGCATCCCAAATTAGCAACCACATCATAAAGAAAACTAGTTGGGACATATCTTTGTTTGCCAAAATGTTGTCTTATATACCTACTTAGTAGGTAGGTGTGTACAATCTATCTTCGACTTTGATTTTATTCGTGGCTTGCCTAATTTCCATCATATTATATTCAAATTACCTTTAGGAGTATATTATTACGTATATCCAACATGATTGACGTGGAAGAAACATTCAAGACGATCGCGCACCGCGATCATCAGTGGGACTACTGCCACGAGGAAGGCCACCTCAAGAAATATTCAGGAATGGTAACAACAACCATACTTTTAACTGACCGTCGCCGTGAGATTTTTGTAACGGCTCCGGCATCGTTCACTACGAATGAGGCATGGGGCAAAAACCTACTCTTCAAAAAACTATACAAAATCTTCCGAAGCCTTTCTCCTAAAGCTCTTATGCTCCGTCTGGACGCCGACGGTCTCTTGGAAGAGCTCTCATCAGACCCTGCAGAGTTTGAAAGTCTGAGAGAACGTAGCCCAATACAGACACTTGCGGATATACCAAAGCCACTTCTTTCCGATACTCCCTTTTCTACCTGGCCCACACTTCAACGCACGGAATTGATCGAACTGGACCGTTTCACATGCAATGTCGATCTTGTGAAGCTAGCCGGCCAGACTGAAGCGTCTCTAGTGGCCAAATACATCTTTGACGATAATGGGATGATGTTTATTTGGCATGAGATCAATATGTTGATGGCATTGCAGCCTCATCCCTCTATACTCCCTCTCGATCGTATCATATTAGGTGACAAGGGTCACATAATTGGTATAACAACTAGATACATCCGAGGAGGGACTATTTCATCTAAGAAAGATCGAGTAGTTAAGCTTAAGTGGCTTAAGCAGCTCACCGAGGTTCTAGATTTTCTCCACCTCGACCAAGGTACGACTCCATTATAGCTAGAATAACGTTTCATTCGTATATAAGTACTAACTCATTACCAGGCGTTATACATGGCGACCTCAAGTTGGATAACATATTAATCGATGAGGAGTCTGATAGACTTTTACTATGCGACTTCGAGAGGTCGAGAAAGGCTTTACCACATAGGATGGATGAGGAATTATCTAACGCTGTTTGGGTGTTATACTCACTTATCACACAAGACTATGATGCTATAATGACACAGTTTTGGGAGACATGGGCTCAGGGTAGAGTTGACCTTGATTCCGAGGTAATTGAAAGATTGCCCGCTTGGCCATTGAAGGCGAAGCTAGATTGCGACTTAAAAGAGTTTAAAGAACATCTCGGGGAATGGCTCAATAAGCGCAGAGAAACATTGGACGATCGTGAGCCAAAGAATGATATCCTTATGGAGTGGGAAGATAAACAACATTTCCCACGGCTGCCACATCTCGCGCATATCCCGTTAGATCCTGTCATGGCCGAAGGTCGTTGGGTGTCGAAAGCAGTGGATATTGACTGGGAAAGACCACCGTACGAGGAGGCGTATCCGGATAAAGCACCTAAAAAGGAGGAACCTGAGTCAAAACTGACCTACAAGCAACAAATAAGGCTCGAGCCTTTCTCGGATAAAATTGATGAAATCGAAGCCCCTTATATTTCTGTACAGAAAGAACCGGATAAGAAGAGGAAGACGTCAATCTCTGTAGAGAATCAACCACCATTGAAAAAGTCGAAGACGCCAAAGGTTGAAAATGGGGATGAGAAAGGTGAGGAGAAGGAGCAGGAGCAGGAGCAAGAGAAGGGGAAGGGGAAGGCAAAAGGAAAAGGAAAAGGGAAAGCAAAGGGAAAAAAGAAAGAGTAATATACCTATTCGGGGGTTTACTCTGATAAAGGGGTTTGAATAGGGGGGTAATTGTTGTTTAGATGAATAGACTATTCATTAATCGAAGCAGTAATCGTACTTATTTACATATAACGCGCTTGTGGCTTTTCATTCGACGCGACACACCTAATTATCGATAAGTTCCCAATTGGACTTCAAACAACTTAGAACCTCTCAACTTTGGACCTAAGCTGCATTTACTTGACGACAACAGAATTACGTCAATTTGACACGCATGGTACTGGGGCAAAGGAATTTCCCGATGTCGCCATCCAGTGACCATGTCTTCGAGGGTCTCCAATCATTCAGAGAGGCGCACAAATGGCACCAGCGATAATGACAGCAACCCAAGACCCCGCGGAGGTGGTCAACCTTCGCGAAGCTCACAACATCAAAGAGGTACACGTTCCCCACAGGCTGCCGATATAAACCCTCCTCACAAGCGGACCGCATCAGGAAATCCACGACCGGCTAGTAGGACCGTAGAAGAGCGAAGGACCGAGCGCACAACTATCACTACTAAAGAGAAGCTCATCTCGCGAACAAAAAGTCCGGAAAGACGATCTAAGGATGCGCCTCCACCAGAGAAATGGAAGGCGAAAGAGGCTCCGAAGTCTCGTCAGCCAGAGACGAAATCGAAGGAACCAAAACTTGACGCTGCACTAGGTGAGAAGAATATTCCTTGCCTCAAAAGCCTAGACTAACATTCCATAACAACCTATAGCCGTATGGGAACCTATAGCTAGATTAGCTAAACACTCATCTGCGCCTCTCGCGGTTCGCGTATCAGTCCCCCCTCCAGCTTCCCAAGCGCCGCAATCTTTACAGCCGCAGCCCCTTCACGAGTTATCCCTAGAAATGCAGGAGGCAGCCATCATCGAGGATATACTGTATGTATTCATGGGATACGAGGGACAATATATCCGACATTCCTATTCGTATGACCCTGATGAAGAGAGAGATCGACTTGCAGGCCCCGAATTTAGAATACTCCCAGGACTCGACCCTAGTCTTCAGGACTTGACAATATCAATGCTGAAAATGGCGACTTACTACTCTGCCCTCGATACTTTCATCGATGTACAGAGCAGAGCAGAATTTGGTGCTGTCAACCACGCCCTGTGCGCTGCCATTAGGAAGTTCTTGCAGGATTATCTAGTCATGGTTGCCCAGTTGGAGACTCAGTTCCTAACCAATGAGACCTTTACCCTACACCTCCTCAACGTCCATATCCTACCCACAAGTCAGATGATGTACCAGCTATATTCATTAGCCCACGAGTTCTTAAAAAGAAATGCGCTTGTCGATGTTGAGAGTGAAGAAGAAGATGAAGACGAAGAGGATTTCGATATCATCCTAGCGAACTTGCAACGAGAAAACGAGTACATGACAGGGAACTTAACGGGCAAAAAGATTTGCAAAGGCGGCGTGGTTATAGGTTTGATCACCAAGAGATTGGATACCATGTCCGGAGATCCCGCCGCAAGGTCGCTATTAACATCTTTACTACGCGACGCTAGTCGACCATATATGGCAATGTTAAATGAATGGCTCCATCACGGAGAAATCAGAGATCCCCATTCCGAGTTTCTTATTAAAGAGCAAAAGAGTATCAAGCGAGACCGACTAGAACAGGACTATACGGATGACTATTGGGAGAGAAGATATACCATCCGCGAGCGTGGTATACCCCCGCAATTACTGGGTGTCAAAGACAAAGTTCTCCTCGCAGGAAAATATCTCAATGTCGTGCGGGAATGTGGAGGTGTTGACGTTAGTAAGGTTGCCCAAGACGTCCCCCAATCTTTTGATGACGCGCGATTCTTGGATAATGTCAACAACGCCTATGCTCATGCGAACGAATCGCTCATGAAGTTGCTCCTAACTACACATGCTCTCCCTGCAAGATTGCGTTCACTAAAGCATTACTTCTTCCTCGACCCGTCTGATTATTTTACCTATTTTATGGAACTCAGCGCATCGGAGTTGCGAAAACCTGTAAAATCCGTCAACACCGTTAAACTGCAGTCCCTGCTAGATCTCGTACTACGGCAGCCCGGTAGCATCGTGTCTTTAGACCCGTTCAAGGAAGACGTTCACATAGAAATGAACGAGGTCAGCCTTATCAAGATGTTACAGCGCGTTGTTAATATCACAGGCATTGAGCAAGGGGAGGTCTTACAACCTCTAAGCAATCAACCTATTGAAAACGATAGGAATGCACTCGGCTTCACCTCGCTACAGCTTGACTATACGGTACCCTTCCCCGTATCACTTGTGATAAGCCGAAAAACAGTATGGCGGTACCAAGCTTTGTTCCGCTATCTACTATCATTGAGATATTTAGAGTCACAGCTGACGACAACATGGCAAACCCATAATACTGGTATCGTCTGGTGCCATAAGTCATCGGCGAGGCGCATTGAAATCTGGAAGAGACGAGTATGGACTCTGAGAGCTCGAATGATAGTTTTTGTCCAACAACTCCTCTACTTTTGCACTCTAGAGGTCATCGAGCCCAATTGGCAATCTCTAATGTCAAGACTCAAAGCTAAGGACGGTAGTCTAGATGGATCGGGCAAGCCAGATCGAACGGTGGATGAGTTGATGCAAGACCATGTGGACTTTTTAGATACTTGTCTCAAGGGTTGCATGCTTACGAACGGCAAGCTAATTCGAGTAAGTGTTCCTTGCCCGATACGGTTGTGGCGTTTTTACTTACATATTCCAGATTCATTCGAAACTAATGCAGACCTGTACCGTTTTCGCTGCTCACATGAACTGGCTGTCGCGTGAGCTGGAAAAGACAGATCCGGATCTGGTAGGTCACATACAACCGCCGAACATGACCGACAAGGAGTGGAAGCGATTCCAAACAGTAAAGTCTCAAAAGTCACATAACGACAGCTCAACCAGTCATCTTCAGGATGACGACGCCCGACTCAACAACCTAAACGAAATTATCAGAGGCTGGGAAAAGAATTTTAGCCGACATCTACAAATTCTATTAGATGCCTTAAATCACTATGCTGCGACGGAGACTGTGGTCCTATTAAGCTTGTGCGCGAGGCTAGCAACTGCTAACCAGGGAACCGAATTCGCAGGTCCCCGTCCCGAGGGGGAAGCAGCTGTATGAATATCCCATGTTAGTAATGGGTTTTCTGGTGTGGCGTAACGTATCGACGTGAGTGATGTTTCTAAGGGGCTGAGAGTCACGTATGGCGTTTAGGCGGGATGAAAATAGTTGGCTTAAGGCAGAGTCATCAGCTACGCAGTGAAGAGATACCTTTTACCTTTCCCTGTACCTTGAATTACGAGTTATCCTGTTTTTGTCATAACATTGGGGGGCGCTCTATTCCTCCGGAACATTGTATTACTTATTTGCTTCGTCGCCATCGCTCTAGTGTAGGGCTGCTTCCTTTGAGTTTTTTATGCATTCTATGGGAGGCAATCAACATGTATGGATCTTACCTCCGAACGCGCAAGTAAAATCGGACACTCCGTGTGATGTATGGATAAGTTATATTGAAATATTTATAGAGTGAAGATGTAGCCTATGGGACTTTTTATACGCCAACCGACCCAATGCAATTTTAACCGCATTTTTGTCATCGTCATCGTACAGCGTTCATGCAGATATCGCATAACTTTATCCTCAAGTACCTTCACCATGTTAAGCCAGAACAAACCGAAACTCATATCGAGTATGGAATTTCAACTCTTAACAAGTGTATGGTGCTCAAGGACAGATCTCTTCAAGCCCTACCAATCTTTCTCCCTATACTTACCTGCTAGATATGTATGAAAGGGAAAGACCGCTACGTCACTTCACTTCGCCTTTTACTTAGCCAAGCTCTTCTTAATCAGCTCCGCCATCTGCGACTTATCCACATCCGCACCATCCAGCGGCCCGCCCGGCGCAAACAAGCTCTTCATCACAGCGCCGAAAGTCGCCTTCTCGCCCCCAGCGGCCTCGACGGCGCCCGCCACCACACCCACCAACGCGTCGGGCGACAGTGTTCGCACCCCGCTCTGCGCTATGTACTCTTCCAGCACGGCGATCTGCGCTGCTTCTTTGGACGCCAGGTCCTCGCGCCCCGCGGACGTGAAGTCGGCGCTGGCGTCGGCGGAGGCGCGGATTGTTTTGCGCAGAAGCGCGACGAGTTGGATGTCGGTGCGGATCGGGGACGCGGTTTTGGAGGCGTTGAGAACGCTGCTTAGGATGCTCCGGATGGCGGAGAGGCGCGGGGCGTCTTTGGCTCGCACTGGGGGAGAGGTGTTAGTGGTCTGACGGAGCCGGTGGGGGCGGCGACGTACTGGCCGCCTTGAGGTCACCCTTGAGCTTCTGCAGCAGAGGTGGTGGGGGTGGCTCCTCGCTCGAGTAGAACCGTGCGCTATTACATCGTTGGATTCGGGCTATCGGTAGCGGCGAGACGGAGGGCGATGCGATGCGTGTCCGCGATAGGATTCGTGAGGCGAGGCGGGGAGATGGTCGTAAAGCCGCCATTTTTGTTGGACGTTCGAAGGATGGGAAGGAAGACTCGAGAGGGAGAAAAAAATTGGTCGCTGTCGTAAGTTGGGCAGCTTTCTTATGGGTCCGGGGAGAAATTCAGGGGACCTTAACCGACGTCGCGCCAATCGATCGTTGTTTTCGGTACGGTGATAAGTTCCGCGTCGGTCTCAGCGGTCGAGGGCGAGCCAATTTGTCTAAGCGTATGTGGCTAAGGTCGATCTCGGAGGGTTAATGTCTGGTTCCTGGATTTCTTTAAGATCACGATCGTCACGCACTTAAGGCAGAGGCTAGAGCGAAGCTAAAAAGTTTAAAAGCGAACTGTTGCGAGCTGAAGCGAATTGGAGCAAGTTAGTGCGAATTCAATATCGAATTGACTTTTTTAAGGGTTGCTCTCATTGGTCGGTCACAAACTTGGGTTACAGTCTAGGCTACGGTAACACACAATCTCATTAGAATAATACCTTCCAGTTACCAGTTAGTTACACAGCAGCTAAGCAGCTCGTCGATAACCATTCGATAGCCAACGATAACCATCGATAAACACTATCCCGGTCAAATCTCTTATGATTTCTCTCCCTGATCATATTAAATAAAAACTTTAGCCTGGATAGGATCATAGGATCCCGCAGTCCCGTAATTTCTATTTCCATAGAAGCACGTAACCCATGTCCCTCATGTATAACGGGAGCTGATATGATCGACGGTCGGGTTCGTCTGATGGTGTTTAGGCACAACATTAACTTCTAAACCTGCCGTCACCGTTTCAAGGAGACATTACTTGCATCACATTTACAATAGCATAGGGATCTGATAAATGTCACCTGACGGGTAATGGCAGCGAGATGGTCCATGATCTATTCGCGTAGCATGGGTCGGGATAACCCTCTACATCCGCGGTAGGGCCCACCATCACCTACAGCCCTGAGCCCACAGAGCCCAACGATTCTGCTTCTCTCCTTCCCCCCCCTTTGGCCGCCACCTCGTTACACAGTCACATAATTAATCACATCGAGAAAGCAAAGTTCTGAAGGGGAAGGGTAACACAAGAGCTTACCATCGCGGCCGAATACCTAATCTATGTCAAACAGGTAGGACGGATAGGACGGGATAGACAATTTTCGGGCGAGTAACCCGGGTAGGCTTATGAATCCTGCGGGTAACAGTAGTAGTAAGTAGTATGTGCCCACACACCTCACCCGCGCCCTCGCCCTCTCACTGCTCGTCGTTGCAACGTCTGTGGATGATGATGGTCATGCCGTTGCCCTTCCGGTAACAGTGGCAAGCTGGGTAGGGTAGGCTCGAGAGTCTAGAACATGACATTTTAAGGATTCGGAAACGAAATCAAGACAGGACCGGGGGCTTGGCCCACTGGAATCTGGATAGTTGGTCCGCCCACGACCAGGAGATAAAAAAGTACGGTGGTGCGGGATGCGATCAAAAGGGAGCAGCCGTGACAGCGGCCAGCATCTAGTGGCCAGCGGCTCTAGCCGCCCGTACTTTCCAGATTTACAAGATTTACACGATTTACACCCGTACAACCTGTTACTTCTCGCTTCTCGAGGCTGACCAGTAATATTGGCCACTGGGGACACTTTGCTTCTTTGCGTGTTACTTCACATCAATGATTATGTGTGTGTGTGCGTGTGTGTGCGTGTCCGATGTACCATTATACCAATATGCCTCATACCTTTAATGTTATACCTTATTCCTTATATCTTATATACCTATCCATATATACCCCGGAGTTACCTAGGGACACGCTGTGTATAGAGTTGGGCAGGTAGGTACCCTATGGGTATTTGTGTTCGGCGCGGATTGGGTTGAGACACAGTCCCGACTAGTTGGACCCGAGACTCTGGGTAGAAGGAGCAAAGGGCATGCCATGATTTGTTGCTTCCCATTTGGCTGCAAACCTTAAGCTGACCTCATGTCCTTCCGTTCCAATATCTCCACACGCCCCTCTCCGTTTTCTCCTCTCCTTTTAATGTATCACATGCCACCGGAAATCCTTGAAAAGCAAACACAAACCATCTCTATAACCGAAAACGTCTCTATAAATGCAGCCATAGCCCTGTCACCCTATCTTTAGATTGCTTAACGTATAAAGTGCGAAGTCCCAGTTCCCATCGGTAAGAATATGGACGACGCCATAACTACCTTACCACCGCGCCCAAAGCCTTCCAAGTTCCCTACCCATAAGATTCACGTCTCTTAACTGCCTAGGACAAACGAGCCATCAAGCGACACGATCATGAATCCATCAACTTGGTCCATGTCCACCTGTGCAGCGCCCCTATACCTTTTCTCCAACCCGGCAAGGATCCCCTCCGCAAAACCCGTCAAAAAATAGTCGCCCGACCATCTCAGCGCCTTGGCTTTCTACCGACGCATACATACCTTGAAAATCTAGTTGTTAGCCTTTTCTCGACCTTTACCTCGCTAGGACCTTGAAGAAAGGACGACTTACATCCGAAAATATGGCTGTAATTTAACAGCATTACCCGTCAGTATATCCACAGTTCACCTTAGACATTCGAGTTAAAGGATTGTAGTAGAGCCTTACCTTAAGTGCAGGGGTACTTGCCTCTACTCTTGCCTGGGCTACTAGAACGTGGAATTCCGTAATAGTCATGCTACGAAATGTCAACAACACCTCGAACAAAAAATCAAATGTCTTTGACGGGGGGCAAGAAAATCGGTGTAGGACGTACCCGAGTAATTCTGTAAATGGGTATAGAGCCAACGAACCCAACAACAAGCGAACGTTTTCTTGGTTGGCAGTACCAATATCAAATTCTCTCTGACCTAGACGCATTGTTAGGGTAAAATATTTCCAACAAAATGTTCAACAACCATACTATCAGACCAGCCGCACATCGGAAGGGGAATCACTATTCAGATATCAGTTAGCAAACGTGGCCTCAAAGAATTGACGACAAGATCGAATCTCAGGGGGAAACTCCAACGATGGACCGAACGAACAGATTCGATCTCTTAGACGGAGCAAATTAGGGGTAAATAAACCCTTAGACATACTTCGTTCCTCGACTTCGGTAAAACCAGCGTTTCTCATCCAATGCCCAAGACGCCGTGGTGCGTCTGGGTTTTTGAACTGTCCTGTTGCTGCTCGATATTTATCTGACCATTGACGAAGCGCGTGTCCTGTAAGAAACCCTTCGTGAGCTCAACCGTATTATGCATCGGATCTCGCCTCGGGCTTACCATCTGTCAATGTACCGTTGTCGGATTGCGCATTAAAGTCCATCTCGACCATCTGGCACCATCCGCCCCCACGAAGGCACCGCAGGATGTCGCGCATGTACCCATGCCATCGATTCCGGTCAATACCTCCAGCTACCAGTCTACTATTCACGAGGTCGAAATTATTCGGAGGGAATTGAAGCCTAAAGCGAAATTTTCTGAGACTTCTACTCTAACAGTCGGATATTTCGGTTCTTACGGCATATTGAGGTTGTCGACATTAAGGTAGAGGTTCTCAACACTCTCATCAGGGTTGTAGTGGTGGGGGCTTACGTCGATGCCGTTAACCTAAGCGTACTCCTGTGTCAGCTCTCAAGGGCCTCGAAACAACAAATAAAAATTTCTGCATGCTAATTGCCAGCATTGAGTGCATCGAAATATCCGTCTTGGGGTCAATGTACGTTGGTTAGGAGTATTTTTCGACTCTAGCCTGCAGCAAGGAGGCTAGAAAGTAAAACACGGGCTTTTGACGTCGCAAAAGGAGATGAGGCCAGGTTCGGTTCGAAGATGTAAGGGTCCAAGAAGACTTTTCCAAGAAGATTTGTCTCCTGAAAATCGGAAATTATGAAAAGCAATCGGTTCAGGAAATCAAACTATACATGCCTCGCATCTAGGGTTCTCCCAGGCTACCTGAAAAGCCCATAAGCCCGTTCCGAAACCACAGTCGAGCACTCGTCTTAATGCTCCCATGGGCGGAAAGATAGACCTTCCGTCGAACATCATGGTTAAGACATCGTGCTGAATGCGCAGACGAATCGTCTCATCCTGCAAGAGTTGTATCGATATTAGTCTCTAAGTCATACCTAAAAAGGGGTATTAGGGGCTGCAGACCTCGTCGACCGGCACAAAGTATATCTTGCGATCTATGGAGGCGCGCTGATATGTTCTGTTGTGGTGGATTATCGTTTCGCGAACTTCCTCGGTGAGCTCTTCGGTATCGGCGTGCCTGCCAACATTTTAGTGAGCAGAAATATTCTACTAATGCCAAGGGCCCTGTATCTACCCGGTCATTTTTTATAAGACAAGCTTTGTCGAAGGATTTTAAGCTAAAAAAAGTCTAGTTGAGAATACCGAGGGAATGGTTCATAGCTAACCAACTGCTCAGCTATGGAGTCGTGGTAATGTGTGACACAAACAAACAGCTATAGACTTCCGAATGGCGGCTTTTAACCAGAGCGGCACTCTCGGTTTGGGCCTTCAACTCCATCGACACACACCTCCTCCTCGACGAGAAGGCCGTTTGATCTCCTCTATTCCCTAGGTACATGGGGACCGTTAGTGGCAAGTGGTATATTGCAAAGAATAATAAAGCTGTTTAGGCGTGTGTGGAGCCAATGGCCCGGTCGAAACAACCACATTGGTCACACGTCCACAGCTCGCACCCCACGAGCTGTTGTTGCAGATCCTGGGTACTACGGTTACTCCCTATGTATGCATCAGACCTTCCTGATCAAATCCGCTCAGCTATAAACCACTGAGGCATAAGGGCAGGCATCTTAAGGTTCCTAGACCTGTTCCTCTCTGGTTACTTCCATGACCCAATGCACCCGCACTAGTTCCCGTCTCTGCTCGTGCATTTTTTTTCTTCTTCGGTATGAAGAGACGTTGCTGCCCAAGCCTGCTTCTTGCTTGCTGTGCTTGGCATATACGCCGCCCAATGGCTATTTGATTTAGGTGCTGCGGAGGGTTCATATTGCATTGAATGACATATAGCGCAGAAAAGGTCTTATATCTGGCTAGGTGGGATTAAGCAGCCACGTATGAGACTCAACTTAAGCTTGTGATTGAACGTGCTGGTTCGGCAGTCACTCGGTACTCTGGTTAACTTTCTTTAAAGATGCTGACAGTTACGGTACTGTGTCCAGTGTTACTTTCTAGCAATATCCGGGTCAGTTGATGCGGCCATGGCCAAGGGTTTAGAACTTTGGATGGCGCAGCCGCGTTGAGCGCGGACAACTCCAGACCTAAGGTGATTTTGATGGCGGCAATAGAGGGATAAAGAATCAAGCGCTCTTTTTCGAGAGTAAGAAATCTTTTCCGTCTAGACATTTTTGGCTTGGTCTGGCAGAAAAAAACGGCCGAATTCCGCAGGACCGTCTTTGTTAAGGGGAGTCTAATAAACATCCAGCTCGTGGGCTAGCTGTGGCTTTACCTCCCATGTGCCCCTATCCGGAGCACGCACAGGATGGCAGCCACACCAACGGGTACTCCCAGCGGTCCGTGGACCCTGGCTGCTTCTCAGGATTCTTTAAATCCATCCTGCCGCTCCTACTAAGAAGCTAGAATCTTTAAAGACCCCTGACAACCACCAAGGGGACGGCATGGGGAAAGTGTTTGGTAAGCATGGCGGTCGCAGCCTGAGTCAGAAAGAATATATTACCTGCCGATGAGTTTTTAATCTACAACGAGTTGGTGGATGTGGTCAGTCACGAACATTCGAATTCCACATAACGTACGTAGCAGACCATCATGACGACAGGGATGGAATGTTCGAATGGTCGTCCGGTTACAGTAACTTGTTCGCAAAGCGACTAGGTCGGATCATTCGCGTCCACTTAGTACTAGTACATATGCACGAGAGGAGCAGATTCACCCTCACCCGGGTCTTGGGACGACAAAGATTGGGGTGACGATCGTGGTGTCTACTATTACTCACAACTCCTTACGTGCGACTACCTGGACGGCGAAAGAGATTACGGGATTACCTTATTTTAGTATGGCTTCCTCACACCGCCACTGTGGTCTGATGGGAGCTAAGCTTAACATACTCGGCTAAGGAATCAGCAACGGTACCTTGGCCGTTTATTGTCCGTTTCGTTTCCCTATTTCGACGTCGGTCTTTAGCAGGGCGACGACTGCAACGACTGCGACGACTGCACAACATCTCTGGGACGCCCGTGGAATGTTTTATTATGGCTTGCACCGGTATTGAAGAGTTAGAGGACACATAGCACTACAAAGGATCAAAACAAGCGGGCCGTCGCAGTGGAGATGTCTTTTGAGGGACAACGCTAGAAATTGGGGGGTAGCGGCGATCTCCAAGTGGTCGGTACAGCAGTACCAGTACGTTTCCAGACAAGACGAAGGAGTACCGTAATGTACTCCAGCTGCCCTTCAAACAGAAGGTATCCCATTGAGCGGAACGCAGCGAGGGAAGTTTCCCCGACTGGCTAGAGGCTCGACGCCCGGAGCCCCCTGCCGAGAAGCATAACGAGCGCCTTATATGATGGCCCTTTACAGGCCTTACCGGGTTTATTAGGCGGTTCATAATTCGTAAAAAAACGATCGAGTACGGACCTGAGCTTGGTGAAAGCTATATCTCTACGTTACTAATAAAAACTCCTTGTCAAGATGAGTGGCATAGCTGCATAGATCCATTTGTTGTTCGACGCTAGCCAGTTACCCCTGGTCCACAAGACAGGATTATTGTCGGACAGGCCCACACGCGGTTAAAGCCTCGATGGTTGCTCATACTTACATACGGTACTGTACTACACACGCACGCAATTTTTCCTGCCGCTGGGATAGCGCCCGCCCCTCTGGAACACATACACGCACACACACGCACGCACGCATTCTCCTTCTCCCTCTCTCCATATCTACTTGCGACGGGTCTCCTAACGGGCCACGGCTGAAATCGGCATATCCGGGACTTCGGCTCAAGGGGTTCGCTTCTGCATTGCACAATCTACGATCTCGATTATAACCTGCGTCTTTTTGGACTGCATATCTCAACATCTCGCAGCGCCGATATGTACCTTTCTTCGCCGTCGTCATCATATACAATAATCATCACAATCATGTGCCTTACTTTATTATGAGCCATGCATTAGCGTGTACCGGAGTATCGGGTCAGACACTACAGGCGTGATCGTATCAGGATCTAAAAGAGAAATATAACGGGAAAAAACGCCGGGCAAAAAAAACGACCAATTTTACCCCCCCAGCCTCACTCTCCGCCGCAATGATCGCCAATAGTAATCCTTGCTCGCTTTTTTTTATTATTACCCTGCAAAATCTAGCAATCGTCCAATCTTCGGTAGCCCTGGTTGGGATTTGCCTGGTTGCAAAGAAGGAACAGCTCTCGTAAGCCAAGATCATCTAGCGACACCGTCTGCACTGCGTCCACAACAAAAATTTGATTAAATCACGTGGGGATCGATGGAGGGTCGTAAGTAAGATGGGCTACAGAGAGGGTCGTGAGTGACATAGCAGCAGCGTAGGTAGCAGCAAAGGTAGGTAAGTGGCATATTAGGTGGCATACCACCTAGGTAGGTAGGTAGGCTGGCAGGCTGATAGGTAGAAGGTAGAGGTAGGTAGGTAAGTAATAGGTGATGTACACTTACATTAGCAGGACTATGTACGCCGTAGGTACGCCGGTACATTATTCTTTGTATTACCAGCCCGAGCGACTGGTTCTATTTCCCGGAGTAGCCTGGTTAGCCTACCAACGCTAGGGACCTTGGAACTGAGGGGTCGGTTAGAAGGGTGGAAGAGCAGGGTGCTACCCTGCGGGAAGCTCACGTTGGGAACTTTTGAGGCTAGATTGGCTTGCAGTTCACCGTTCGTGCGGTGGCCATGATTGGCAGGATGATTCCAAGCCAAGACGTTTTGATTCCCAGCATGCGGGACACGCTTTCCCAGGCCTCTCTTTCGCAGGCTCGCTCCTTTCGGGTGCGCTGGGTGCGGCAGCATGCAGACGCGAGGCGAAGGTGCCTTACCGTCTGCGCGGAAACAACCTTTACGCTCCTGGGCTCCTGGGCTGCTGGGTTGCTGCTGGGTTGCGATTTTGGGAAGAGGTCAGTGCCCTTGCGCCTGTGCCTGTACCTGTGCCTGTGCCCCGTGCTTCGTGCCCGGGCGCTGAACGTTAGCTGTACATACACCCGGGTCCTTAACCCAGCAGTCTGGTAAGGCGATCTCTATGGATAGCCGACAATTCGCGCTTGGTCCTGTTCAGGATATTTCGCCGTTGTCACTATTATTATTTGCTCTAGCTTCTAAGGCTATCGGTAGAGCAGCAGAGCTAAAAATTTCCCTAAACTCCACCTAATGTAAGCCTCCCTTTTCCCCCTATTACAACTAATCCATAGACCGTTGTACATGATGTCGTACCCTTAATCAAACTTCACCACCGTCGCGCGGCGTAACGACGACCACGGCCGGCATGACGTATCCGTACAAGGAGGCCTCCTTTTTTTAAGTTGTTTTTTCGAACGATGTCAATGCCATATATCTGCCGAGAAGCGCGGCATCCTACGTTGAAGCTACCTATGCTAACCGACGTATACGCCGTGCTACGCAATCTGACTGAATTATATTGAAGACGGAGCTTTAATACGGCCGGAATAGCCGTGTCGACATCGACCTGATAGGCACGAACGAAGTACCGTGCCTTAGGTAGATACCTAGGTAAGTTAAAATCATAGGCAAGCACGTTAGTAGGGTAACAGAACAGAGTAGTAGTCCCGGGAAATGTAAGTAGACGTGCAGAAATGCAGCCATGAGCTGTTCTTTAAGCCCCCAAAACCGCGCCATTCGTTCTGATACATCAGGTTTTAGGTAGGTGGTCTTCTTCTCCCTTCCATACCCGCGGGATCCCTCCTCGTGTTTTTCTCTTCGTCTGTTTTTTTCTCTTGGGCCTTCGGTGTGTCAAGGAGGCGTCACTGGTGTCAGCCCATCCTTAATGGTCATTGACGTAGGTAAGGCAGATAGATGAGGTAGGTATGTATGTATGTATGGATGTATGTAGGTAGGGAGTATGCGTATGTATGTATGAATGTGGGAGCGCAGAGACATACATATTCCCGCGCTTCGTCGCTATCCAATGCGCGCTGGGTGTGCGATACCCAAGATATGTACGGCAGGGCAAGGCGAGACAGGGTCTAGGTGGCCCGACGGCGCGTCCTTCGGGCAGACCCCCAATCGCGGGCCGCCCGCGGCCTCGGTCGGGGGGGGGAAATGGGTTTTTTATTTGACGTGGGTGCTGGCCGCTATGGTGGGTTTTTTGGGGACTGCCCAGGTGGTTTTTTTTTGTTTAACCTTAGACTAGACTGCCCTGAAATACGACCTGTCATATATCACATCTCACCTTTCCTTTCTCTTCCTAGCTCGACCCTTTTCTTTTTTTCTTTCCTTTTTCGATTTCTTTTTTTATATGTACGTATGTACATATGTAGCTAAGTACGATGTACGAGGAAGACTCGTTTTTGGACTAATGGATATGGATATGGGTATGGGTAGGATGGGAATTGCTCGCTTCTCTCTCTCTTCTATACCCCCCCGGCGAATCCTTGCCGCCGCTCTTCCCTCTCCTTTGGAACCGCAGCGGGCTGCCGCTGAAGCTACTGCAAGTACCACACCCTTCTTTTCTTATCCGCGTATCCTGGCTTGGGTATGTAGCGCCTTTACTAGGTACCTACCTAGAAGGTTATCAGAATTGCTTTTTTTGTCTTGGGTTTCCTCAACGATTAACCTTTTTATTTGCTTTTTTTAATCAGTGAGATTTGTTTGAAACGAAGATATGATCTGTTTTCTTCATGTACGTTCCTTGTATTTGACGTATTACATACATATATCGTCATATTTAAATGGATATAAATGGATAATCCTCGTTTTTTCTCCATCCCTTCTTTTTCTTTCGAGGCTTGTGACTTGAAACGAAACCCCTTCCCTTCTTTCTTTCTTAGTAAGCTACCTAGTGACGACTTACATAGTACGATCCAATGTTCCATTTTGCCAAGTTGCTAGTTATGTACGTATGTAGATAGACATGTATGTATGTATGTATGTATGCGCCATTCGACCTCGCAGCCGCAGCCGCAATCGTACGGTATGATCGGGACGGCCCATTGGAGACGGTTGTCGAAACGAACACGCGGTGGGGGGGAAACGGGGAACGAGGAACGAGGGGTGAAAGCGAAATGCTACGCAGTACTACGACCCGCGTATGTAGGCGGAGAGAGGGAGAATAGTTTATGGGAGCTGGTTGTCATTGGTTCCCAGCCGGAGAGAAGGTAAAATAGCAACCCGCTCCAACACACGGCAACGTGACTTTGGGGGGGTGTTGGTTTGGAGTTTGGTTTGGTCTGGTTGGACTCGATTAGGAGTGGATTCTGTTTTCTCGGTGATAGGAGAAAACGACAAACAATGCGTGTTGGGACGATATTCTTTTTTTCTTCTCTTTTCGATTGTCGGTACCGCGAGATTACATGTCATATTATATTACGTATTACCTGACAGCCTCGTGGGATTGGGAGAGATGGGATTACCTAAGTATGTAAGTCAGCAATGCTAGGATTCGAATACGATACTTCGAGTATAATATTGCGAATGGAAGTCTATAATCGACTTAATCTTCACCTTTGGCATCCTATTAACTCGGTATCGACTCCTAAGATTACATACTTCACTACTACACATACACATGTGTAAGTGTAACCTTACCATGCACTGTTTAGAGCAAGATATGATCTCAAGACACTCTATCCATGTAAATGAGGGTCGGTTGGGTATGAATATGCGCCGTAAGTGTAATAGATTTCGTAACCTGCCATGCCTATGCCAATGCTGTGCTATCTGGTGTCTACTGTAGTTTGTTTTGTTGTACACTCGGTGAACCCAATTCCTTGAGCCGTCTACGTTAGTATCCATAGGCTATACAATTGAACGCAATTCAATACTCCCGCTTCCATGCCCTTCTTTTATTCATTACACGCACCTCGACTACCCACGTAGAATGTAGGATAGTGAGATGCTCTCGGTTGCTCTTCCTAGCCGACTCTTTTCTTCATCTTCTTTCGAGCAGCTCATACGATGTCACCTCGTCGTCGGTAGATCGGAGTCCAATCACCCCTCTCCTTTTTCTTCTATTTTTCTTTCTTTTCACTTCTCGCAACATTTTGCTGAGCTTTGAGACTAGCAACGCTCACTTGCCCATCAGCAGATAGAACCCATCACACATCATCCTCCATTAACACCAAGTAAACACCGGGTTTCTAGCCTTCACCGTCTCAAGCCTCTCCACAATCACTTTCCTCCTATTCCCATCCATCGTCTCCGCGGCCGCGTAGCCCAAATCTCCTTCAATATCTTCGTCGTCTTCGTCTCCTAGATACCCGTTTCCGTATAGTAGTTTAGCCGCGACATTTCCGTTGCGGGGCGTGTTCGTCGTCGTGGCCGAGTACCTACGCTCGCGGCGCGGCGAGTACATGTTGTTCATCTGTGCGCGGGCTGGACCCTGGTAACTGGACCTGGGGTTACGTGTGAGTTTCGGGCGGTTGGCGGCAGGCGCCTCGTTGATCGCGAGCGCGTCGAACAGGGTCTGGGGCGTGCCGTTGGGAGTAAGGGCCTCTGTGCGGTCCGGCGATTGGTCGTGGGGGCTTGCGAGCTCGAAGCGGCCAGGGTTCGGTAGGGGGCTAGAGAAACCAAGCAAGTCATCTACATTGGCGGGCGCTGAGGATGAGTTGGCTGCACCAATATCCATTTCCTCTTGTATCGTTCCGCGGGCAGCTTCGGCCCTGCGGCGGATGTCGGATGATGTAGCGCGCATAGGTACGGCCACTGGGACTTCGACCAGGTCGTCCCAGACGCATACCCTCGCACGTCGTGTAAGTTCCAGCGGACCGTGGTCTGGGGTTTTGAGCGTCTCGACGACGTTCCAGGCCTGCCCCTTCATTACTGCCATCTGGCGGGAGAACATCTTCTCTTGGAAATCCGGGTCGAGTTGGAAGACTTTGCGCAGTTCGAGCGATGTCTGGCTCCACCACTGCGTAGAAGTGAGAAGAGGGAGAAAATGGTCTCGGGTCTTCTGGGAGAAAGGCCGCCCAATAAGATCAACGGGGAGAAAGAGCCAACCGAAGGGGAAACTATACATAGTGAGTTTAGTAGGTCAAACAATAGTAGATATAGATGAGAGTGCTTTTTTACCTTCGCCATGCATCCGGATGCTTCCATGGCCATGACAGAGAATTGTCGATCGCTCCGATTGATATCTTAGGATCAGGCACCTTGCGTGTACCGGCTGCGTTCATGGGTTTTTGAGTCTTATAAGGATTAGGACTTCGGGATATACTCCTCGTCGGTAGTTCAACCGGCCTTGGGGCTTCCTCGTCTTCTTCTGGGATATCCATGTTAAGCTGTGGGGGTTCTGATGCGATTGAAACTGCTTGAGTTTCCCAGTCAACCTTAACCATCCAATTGTCGAGACCCCTATCCGTATTCCGCATGATGTAATCTAGAATCACGAGCTTTTCGAGTTGTTCCCGGAATGCCTGTTTTAGGGATTCGGTCCACATGAAATTATTCGGTCCAAGAGGCCTCTGCTCAGGCATGCCATTCTCATCCTCGCTCTCACTATCATCACTACGGGCCCGTCTACTAGAAGGCCGGCAGTTATCCGCCCATTTCCTTTGCTTGTGTCGGTGGGTGTCGTTTGTACGAAAGCTAGACCAATATTGATCCGGCCAGGGGTGTTCCCTCAGAAATACGTTGGCATCTTTGAACCCTTTAAGAAAAACTTGGAAACTTCCCGGCTTCGAGGGAAGAGGCTTCTTCTTCCTGTAAAAACTTCGCCGGTCCCAATATGGGTAATGGAATGACTTAGATGACAGATAGACAACGTCTGTATAAGGGACGATATGGGTACGAAGCTGGCAATCGAGGACGTACGCTGCTGCTTCGCTCACGTACGAGAGATTGGGGATTAGACTGAAGACAGGTTAGAAATTTGCTAGGCACGTAGCTTTGTCGCAAATGAGATAGATACTTACCATGCTCTACCAAAACAGCAAGGGAACAGATTCCTGTGAATCCATTTGTTCCACTTTGGATTTCCGGCGGCATACGGCTCCTCATCCTTTGGCTTGAAAACGCCGACGATCTTACCATCAGTATTCCGCGCAAAATAACTCCCCGAGCTCCCTTGAGTGATCATACTAGGATGCATGCCTTGGTCAATGGCATCGCGCACGCTCTCCACGATAGCTTCAAATTCATGCTTGGACATATCAGGCTCGGGCATAGTGGCAAGGGTCTCAGCTGTCGCGGGTCGTACACCCTCGGGAGGTTGAAAGACGCTGTAATGAATCTCAAGACGCTCTTCTTCGCCGGGGGAACCCTTTCCTTTCCCCCTTTTGAATTTAGAAGCGATTTCGTCTGCCCATCGTTCCAAGCGTGCGTTGATAGCCTTCAGGTCAACACCAGAATTACTCCGCATTCGTTTCGGCCGGTACTTTGGTTTCGGGACAGCTTTGGGCGAGGTCATGCCCGAGTGAGGTCTCGGTTGGTTGATGGGTGCAAATCGTGGAGCTGATTGAGGCTGGAGAGAAGCGGAACTCTGAGCGAGGATGTCATCATCGGATTCATCGCTGAACTGGTCGGCTTGAGCGAGACGTTCATAGCCTGTGGTAGCAGGCCGACTTCGAGGCATATTTCCGACGGCGGTTGTGTATGACGAGGGAGGGATTAGTTGGTGTTGGTATCAGTGTTGGTATCGATGTCAGTGTCGATGTCGATGTCGGTGTCGGTGTTGGCGATGGATGGAATTAGGTACTGGGTTTACATTCTATCACGGTTGTCACGGATCGCGGATCGCGGTTCAGGCTGTCAAAACCTAAGTCTAAAATTGTTTGGTCGTGCTTTGATCCTCCCCCTGTCTCGTATTTAATAAGTCCTAGCTAATGCCGAACGTGAATAATTTCCAATCGTGGGTCAAAGAATGGAAATAATAGCGGAGTAAAAGAGAGACTAAAAAAATAAAACATCAAATACTAGGCACTTGAAGCAAAGAAGTGAAGGATGATTGAACGTTTTCCTCTCATGTTATGTGAGTTGTAAGTTGATAGGATCTTCTAATTGAAGGTGTTGAAACACGTCACGTCAATAGGGTCGTATTGGTACCTATGTAGAGTGTTATAGGGGGAATATGCAACTCTACCGATTTATTTAGCTAGTACCTAGTGCTATGTAAGGTTCCCGGGTCCCTACGGGTAGCTCCACATTAACCCAATCCATCGTACCTACCTCAATTAATCGAAAGATCTTGATACTTGTCATGCTATAGCATTATAATAATCCTAATTTATGTAAATCCTAATCTATGTACTACGTAGCTGCCTACTAGTAGTATATTTATCTTATAGATATCTTAATTTTGATAACTTACAACTTTCGTCGATTCGTATAGGTAATCTACTAACTACTAGGTAAGTACTAGGTAAGCAGTTAAGAACACAATCCCCATACGAAATCCACCACAAATGTCGGGTTATATCGAAATTCCTACGTCGCCAAGGCCCCGTTTTGCGTTCTTAGAACCGGGACAAGTACGCATATGTACTTGACCTACCTAGGTTAAATGCCATCGCCCCCGCCCTATCGGAGGCTTCCGCCAGTTATTGGATCACCACATCTAATAGACACCGTCTCATACGAAACTAGGCAACCTAAACATGAACCGACTCATCAATGAAAAGAGAAACACATACATATATATTATTCCTAAATACCTCACAAGAACGACCACGACAACGCCGTCCTTCGTGGAATCGATCCTAGGTAATCCCTCGAATCATATATTTTCGATATTAGGAGATCGTCTCCAATCGATCCAATGAAACTGCCGTCACGCGATCCCATACATAATCCCAACCCAACCGCTTCTCAATAGGCTGGACTACCCGAGTCATCTGCAGCCAGAGTTGTACCAGAGCTATACCAGAACTCACACGCTTATCGAACCATCTTAAGAACCATTGCCAACATAGGCCAACATAGTATAACATAGTCCGAGCTTAGAAACTCTCGATTCCAAGCCAGCATATTACCGTCCCTCTCTAGGCTCCAGCTTGTCTCTCCGTTGTCCAGATTACCAGAGAAAAAGGGAGAGGCTCAGCTAATGGTGTCCACACAATCCTAAACAGAGTTTCTCTTGCATCGACACAGAGTTTACGTCAGTTGCCTTAGCTGGTTGTCCAATCGTATCTTACCCATCAGTCTAGAGATAAACCAATCCAAGACGATCTGATACGAAGATCCCCAGGAGTGAACGTCGATCCCAACCCTGCCAATTGGTTCTGTAGCTTAGACGGGCAAGTCTCGTTGATCCCTCGTCTTTTCACTCTGGTTTCCACTTTGGGGTTCCTGGGAAAGTTCTGGGGAGCTCTGCTTGGCTTCTCCATGCCGACTTGACCGACGTGATCCAGCCTGCCAGCTTACCTTTTCCGCATGTTTCTTACCCAGAGAGCCAGACTATTTCATCCTTAATCCCTCCACTGCCCCTCGGTCCTTGCATTCTTTCCAAGAACTCGAACCACTCCACCGTGCTGGTCAGTGTGATAAATTAGCTGATATATCTTCCATCCGGCCACCTGATTCGTTCTACAAACTGCAAACTACCTCACCACTGACGCTCTCCAATCATCTATTACATCCAATACTTGCTCTTTGGTAATTCTCTATAGCTAAAATACGGCGCTATCAAAAGAATTTCAGGCGAAGCAGTGTTCAAACTAGTCAGCTTCGCCAAACAATTGCTACCAACCTCAAGATGGCTGTTCAAGCAGTAGCAAATGATGGTTTTATCGATATCACCATTACGACGTTTTCGTCACCGGAACCTGATAGTCGAGGACGAAAACGACGGCGCAGTCCGCCAGAAACATTAGCAATTACAACAAACCGACTGCCATCGACAGATTCTACAACTTTCCGAGGGCGATGCAGACATAGGTCATCTTCAAGGCTTGATGTGTCACGAAACACATCAAGACTTAGAAGTGGCTCGTTATCACCCATTCGCAGGAAATTGATCCGTGCTATCCAACTAAATCGCCACAGAAGTCAGTCACCATCCAGGTCTCGTTCATTGAACGGCCAAGACTCTTCGAAGCGAAGGCGGCAAAGGACGAAAAGCCGAAGCCGCGACCACGAAGGCGAATCAAAGAAGACTGGTGAACCTATTGTGACTTCGTTTCTTCGTCATGAGATCGTGGTCCGCAACGATGGCCCATCCCAGAAGGCGAAGCAGGACGGATAACTTGACCGAAGCTCGAAAGCTGGGTCTTCAAGTATACAAACCCAATAGCGGTTTCCAGCCGAGCGAGACGTAGTACGAAAATGATGATATGATGTCGTACTGGAATACAGTCGTCAAGACTTGTACAACAAACGCATCACCAGCTGACTCGCAGAGCCGAGTTAAGGATGATGATATCGAATATTACGCTATCACGAAGATGATGGAATTAGTTACGGGCAGATGAAAGCCCATGTTATTTATCACGGGAAAAATAGTATGTTGGAATAATGCTTTATAAGTAAAAAGGGATGGGAAAGAAAATGCAAAATTCGGTAAAATAATAAAGAAATAAGGACGAAAACTCAAGCTGGGAACGGGATAGTATTGTATTTTTAAGTTACTATGTAAGGGTATTAGCAATCGTCAACTTATCAACTTCAGCAATATAGTTGATTAAAGCATCGGAACTTTGTAAGTTGTTGCGATGGCCAGGGCGTCTACCCGGTACCTAATATAGAGAGTCTGGGGAGAGCAAAGCAAACCAGGCAAGAGCAAACTTGGATTGGATCCATCTGCCAAGGAGAAGGGACCCCGAATAAGTAGAGGCAAGAGGACCCCACGCCGACGATGCTTGCATCTGCATCAGCTTAAATTGGGGACATTCAGATCTGCGGGGCACGTGGCCATGGAAGCACAAAAAAAGTGAGTAGATACTGCCAGACTGCATAGTAGAAAAACTGAATGTGGGCTTCAGCTGGTCAGCAGACCAATCAAGCATTTGTCACTATCAATTCTGATTTGCGACAGCATCAGCCCGCCCAGCCCGTCAAGGCAGTCACTCCCTTTAAGCTGCATCTTGGGCGGACGTGGTGGGACGCGGTGGACATGGTAGGGGTATATGGGGGCGGGGTGTGGGAACCTTGAAAGCTACACCTATCGGCTGCTAACCCTATCTACATGTTGAAAGGCTCTTTCTCTTTGACTTTTTTACATGTGTGTGTGGAATGATGCGTGTATGTTGAATGTATTGATACATTTATATAATATGTGACTACTTGTATGATCAGGAATGATCGATACATCTGATACATAAAATGTACTTACCTATCCATACTTTGCTAAATATTTTAGGTAGGTGCCAAGGGTAGGCACCAAGGTAGGCGCTATCCTCTCACGTCAACCTAAATGCGTCCCGAAGTGTTCCTAGTTAAAGCATCGAACCAACCAACCAACTTCTTCTATCTTGGAATTTCAGAAGCTTGACTGTCACATCCACTCACATACTGCACCTTACTGCAACTATCTCACCCTACCTGGTACCTAACGTTGTCCTCGTGACGACGTTGACTATTGAGATTTTTTTTAGTCTTGTTTCTTTTTGAGCTTGATTTTTTTATTATCTCAAGCCTTACCTTCTCGAAGATACCGAAGTTACCCCTCTAACCTCCGACCTCGTTGCGCGTTCCCATTTTCGCCTTTCATATTTTTAACATCAGCAATCAATAGTCAACCGTCAACATTTTCCTTGTTGGCATCCAAAAGCAAAGAAAAGCAGTGATAGCCTTGCCGATGCCCACCCAACACCGGCGCATCCAATTTATTCCGACGCGCATCCTTCTCTTTGTCATGAACCCTTAACACTTCTGCCGAACGCCTTAACGCCTTGACGCTGCGAACTCTGCATGTATCCGTGCTTCTTCGGTGGTAACAGGCCATAAAGCCAGACAATATGGCTTCAAACAATCATCCACAGGGTAATTGCCCTTCTTCTAACTTTTCTAGTACATCTTCCCCAGCCTCACCAGCAAGAAGTCAGCATGGCGTGCCTGAATCAACCCAACTACGAGATACCAAAAAATACTCCCTCACACAAGAGTCTCATGACGATGCTAACATATCATTCACCGATGAAGCCTCCATACAGAACGGATCCTCGAGACTCAATTTGAACCCAGCTCTCCTACTTAACCCCAAAGGCTATGCAGCCCCGTCTCCATCTCTACGTCAAAATGTCCCCAATCGGACTTTTAGCGGCTCGACAAACCCGACCGACGTTGAGTTTCAGTTCTCCAACCCGCAAGATGGCTTTGCCAACACTAGCCAATATACGTACACAAATGGACAAGCCTTACCTCAGTCGCACGATTTTGACGGTATGCTTGATCGAATAAACAATGTCGAACAACGTACGTTTGCGCCTCAGTCCAAACGCCGAAGACTCGAATCCGAAGAGAGTACCAACCCAATGCACGGATTTGGAAGTGGCGGTGGCGGCGATATTGGACAGTATATTCAGGAGAACCGACAAACGGCAGCCAACCACCAGCTCCCATCTAATCGCGTCGAGACCGTAGACCTTACCGATGCCAGTGAGTTATTTTACCTGATTTAGCTAAGTAGCTAAGTACATGGGCCCGTAGCTAATATCTCGTAGACGAAGAGAACGATCTGATAATAGTACAGTCTGCCAAGGAAGAGGAAGTCTGCTACGGCATGATTCTACACGCAAGGCTGAATTGTCACGTTGTTCCAAGGCCAAAGTCCGGCGCTATCTCCCTTATGCCAACCTACTGGCCTCAAGTAAAGATCTTGCTCAAAAGAAAATTAGGTGAGGCAACTAATACGATTCACGGCTGTGATTATACGCGCCAAATTGTTGGAACCGTCGACTCTGTCACCTCGTCCGGCCTCGCGGCACTACTGGATTCTCGCCTGGAGCTTAGGACCGACTGCAGAATACCTACAAGAATGAAGCAGATGGGAGAAGAGGAAGGACGGGCTACGTCGATAAGTTACACTCTAGATCTAATGCTTTATGGCCCTCGCAAGAGCGGAAAAACTGTAGCTAGACATCTCGCCCAGAGGAACATCTGGCTCCGTAACCCCCCGAGAGTCGAACCTGGTATCAAATATGAGAACCCGCAGCTTATCGCCGAGGGATCCAGGCCGCCGTCGGTGCTTAAGGAGCCCCCCAGGCCCGTTCCCATGGCTGTAGCACCCTCGGCAGTTCGTAATGTCGAGGAAATCCGCTCTGAGGTTATGGGAGTATTCGACTCGCTTACTAAGAGTGAGGAACTTCCCGAGATGGAGCCCGGTCCCCGAGTGCAGACGGAACTTCTCAAGCATCAAAAACAGGGGCTTTACTTCATGACAACCAAGGAAAAGCCCCGCCAGTTCGGCAACGATGGCAAGATTGCAGATTCTTTTTGGCAAATTCGTCACGGAAATAATGGTCAAAAAATATACTACAACGTGATTACAGGACATTCACAACGTGAACCTCCCCCGGAAACACTCGGTGGCATTCTTGCGGATATGATGGGTCTCGGGAAGACCCTGAGCATTTTATCTCTCGTCGCAAGTTCTCTCGATCAAGCTGAACAGTGGTCAGCTCTCTCACCTGTCCAACCTCAGGTTCCTCCTATGCCTAAGAAGAAGGCTAGTTCTTCAGGGCAATTTGATGTGCCCACACCCCAACCACTAGCCTTAACCGAACTGACGCAGAACGGCAAAGCAACACTCCTAATCTGCCCTCTTAGCACGGTAGCCAACTGGGAAGAACAAATCAAAGCTCACATCAAGCCCGGCCAGCTGTCGTATTACATCTACCATGGGTCTAATCGTATCAAAGATCCCAAGATTCTTGCCAAATTCGACCTTGTTCTAACCACCTATGGATCCGTTGCCAGTGAGGTGCAAGCACGTAACAAAGGCAGACCCAGCCCATGTCCCCTCGAAGAGGTTGGGTGGTTTCGTGTAGTCCTCGACGAGGCTCATATGATACGGGAGCAGAACACTTTACAATTTAAAGCCATATGTCGTCTACAGGCCAATCGCCGCTGGGCCGTTACTGGTACTCCCGTTCAAAACAAGTTAGACGATCTTGCGGCATTACTCGCCTTCCTGCGCCTGAAGCCGTTTGATGACAGGACCAAGTTCACGCAGTATATCACAGCTCCGTTCAAAGTCTGTGATCCCGAGATCGTGCCTAAACTTCGAGTTCTAGTAGACAGTGTTACCCTTCGACGATTGAAGGATAAGATTGATCTTCCTCCCAGAAAGGATGAGATAGTGAGGCTGGATTTCTCTCCTTCTGAACGCAAACTCTACCAGTCGTTTGAGAAGAATGCGCAAGAAAAGGTCCAGGTCTTTGCACAAGGCAGAGAGAAGATGGTTGGCGGTAGGACTTATATTCATATTCTCCAATCTATTCTCAGGTTGCGTCTCATCTCTGCTCATGGCAAAGATCTCCTCAGCGACGAGGATTTGGAGGCGGTGCAGGGCATGACAGAAGATTCCGCCATCAACCTTGATACCGACGAGGATGATGAGAAACCGGAAGTGGCAGAAGCAAAGGCTTACAGGGTTTTTGCGCTAATGCAGGAGACCAACAATGATGTCTGTCTATCCTGCTCACGCAAGGTCAGCTCCAACGACAATGCAGATATTGCATCAGAGCGTGAAGAGGATATCATTGGATACATGACTGCCTGTTTTCACCTTCTCTGTCCCAATTGCATCAAGAATTGGGTAGAGGAAGTAGGGAACCATGGATCGGGCACATGTCCTGTCTGTCAAATTCACGTTCGCTTCTCCCATAACGAAATCCGTAGAAGCAAGACGGAGGTCGAGCACGAAGGACATGATCATGCTCATAAATCCGAGGGCAAAAGCCGAACTAGAGAAAGTTATTCCGATTACTCCGGTCCCCACACGAAGACCCGTGCTCTAGTTGAGGAGCTGCTCAAGTCCAAAGCCGATAGCGAAGCTGAACCCGATGAGCTTCCTTACAAATCAGTAGTATTCTCTGCGTGGACGTCTCATCTTGACTTAATCCAAATCGCACTAGACGATGTGGGTATTAAATACGTTCGCCTTGACGGGAAGATGAGTCGAACGGCTAGAACGGCTGCGATGACGGATTTTCGGGAAGATAGGTCAGTGCACGTCATACTGGTGTCGCTCATGGCCGGTGGTCTAGGCCTCAATCTCACGGCAGGAAATTCTGTCTACGTAATGGAGCCACAGTACAATCCAGCGGCAGAAGCACAAGCTGTCGATCGCGTGCATCGACTCGGACAAAGGAGACCCGTTCGCACTGTTAGATTTATCATGCAAGGTAGCATCGAAGAGAAGATGCTGGAGCTCCAAGAGAAAAAGAAGAAGCTCGCAAGTCTCAGCATGGATAGAAACCGGGTTATGGATAAGTCAGAAGCGGCGAAGCAAAAGCTCATGGACCTGCGCAGTCTCTTTAAATGAGCGCCGCGTTCTTACAGCGCCCCTACGCCTAATAATTATCGACAGGTTCTTCATCACGGCGTTTCGGTCTGCGAGCAAGAAGGTAAAGGGAGGATAATGATTTTATGTTGCATTTGCGTGGGCGTTACGGTTGCATTTCTGATGCCTAAATACACTTGCTGGCGAGCAGGTCATCGGCGTTCCTATATCCATGGGGTTAGAGGATTAGTCTTCACACCTGGATACAAAGACGAGAAATCTCGCGAGACGGCATAACGGACAGGATAGGGAGGGGTTCTTTAAACCACTTGTTTCTGGCATAGAGCACCCGTCGGTTGGTGACTAACTGGGTCGAAGTAGTTGCTGTACGCCGTGTTCCTTTTTTCCGATCACGCTATCATGATATCTACTTCACTCGATACCAACCCGACGATTTCATCCCGATAATGGGTTTTTTTCTTCGTCCTACTCTTCGGATGAATCGAACGAATTGCATGAATTGATATTAGCTACGTACATCTCACGCGATAATACCTGATCACGTGCGATCATTTTCTTCTTTTTTTCTCTACTTCTACTCCGGACGGTTGCGTAGGTAGGTAGTAAGTAGCGAGTCTCGATATGCAGGAGGAGGTACGGTTCTAGGTATCTCTACCACGAACGAATTTACGGAAATGGAAATGATGTGGCTCTGGTTCGTGATGTCATCGTGATGGTACATATATACATACAGTGTCAAATTCGCTGCTCCGTATACCCGTCCTGCCGTTCTCTCTATTAATCCTAGCCTTGCCGATTACCTATACATATATACATATATACATGGCGGTAGGGGTAGATGAGGAGAGGCAGGTACCTGCGTAATAGCGTGGTAGTGTGCATGTCTAGCTAGCTCACCCGTTGGGGATGGGGAGAGGAGTACCTACCGAGAAATTTGAACGAACCCCAGCAAGGGTAGGTTAGGTTAGGGTAGTGGTTTGGTAGATCGATCGCTGGTAGGTAAGGTAAGGTAAGTGGCCATCGGCTCCCAACTCCACCCTCCATCTGTCCATGGATGTATGTAAGGCTGGCTTGACGGCCAAGTGGCAGGCTGTAAGGGTTTTTGTTTTGGGTGTGCTGCTCGGCGTATTGCTCGGGGATAGAGTCTGCGCTCGGTAAGAGTTGTGTGTGTTGTTGGTTGTAATGTAAGTTGTGAGGTGTAGGTAGGGGATACGATATATACGAGCCGAGGTACGTAGGGGTGTTGATATATATGGCGAAATCACATGGCTTGCTGTCGGGTATGGGTAGGGTTATCTATATAGCGATAGGCAGGTGCTTGACAAGAAGAAGTCTATCTAATTGAGAGTTGGGAAGAGGAGGATAATTGATAGGTATTAGGCAGGTACCTATGTAATGTTTGCTTCGTTTTTCCAAATAAGAGTTTGATGATGGCATGAAACAAAAAATTAATCTGATAAATACCAGGTAGTTCAGGCTAGGTAGCGTCATCCCTATTTAGATGGTAAGGTCTATTCCACCAGAGTACTCAGTATGCCTCAGATCTCTCGCAATGGAAAGCAGCCTTGTCTACAATGCAGGCACAAGAAACTAGACAATTTACAGATCACAAAATAAGTCATCAGTTAGGAAGAATCAATCTGAAATTTGATTTCTGCTAGTCGATACTTGTCTCGTAGCATTCAACGTTCAGTCTTTCGTAAGTGATACGCCAACGCCCACCATTATGTGAGCCTTCCCATTCACCAATTTCCCATAAACGCCGGAGGACGAGTTGCCTCAACATGCTGTAGCTGTGCCCCGCGGCTTTTTATGTACATAATTTCTTCATCAATCCATTCATTCTTAGAGTCACAAGACGTCGCGACGTTGTGACAATCCCATTATTATCCCCCGAATTATCTCTATGCCGATCTCAATACTAGAGAAATTCAAGCCTACGCCGCATTGGCGCTGGCAAGGGGCTGAGCGATTCTCGTAACTTGGTCGCCGGCACGAACGATTCGCTGGCCGGATGAGTCGGTAACGAAGGCACCGTCTTTGTTGTTCTCCATGTGGGATCGCTTCCAGATTTCGACTTCGCAACCTCCTCGGAGAACACCGACACGCATGGTAGACAGAAGATTGTGAGCGGCGTTGGAGTGGTCGTATACTCCACCGTTGAAGATAGCAGTGGCATCCTTTCCGATAGCCGAAGAGATGAGGGCTTTGCCACCAGGGTGGTCCTTGATGAAATCGGTCACATCGTGAATGACACCGGCAACAGCGACGAGGCCCCTGCCATTCTTGGCTTCGGAAACGTAGTCATCCCAGTCAATGACAGGTAATTGTTCAAGAGGAACACCCCAGTCGAGCTTAGAGCGCTTCTGGTCGAGCTTCTTCTGTAGTTGCTGGAGACGACCCTTCTCGATCTCGTTCTGTCGGAATTGCTTGAGGTCGTATGCGAGTCCAAGTTGCTTCCAGATCCAGATGCTCCACTTGGTAGGGTCATACTGCCACCACTCAATACCGTTGCGGTAGTCGGAGGGGAATTCGTGGTGGAAGTTGTGGTATCCTTCACCAAGGGTGACGAGAGCGGTGATAACGTGGTCTCGAGGGGAGTTACGGTCATCGAAGGGCTGGTCGCCGAGCCAGTGAGCGAGAGAGTTGACACAGAAAGTAGCCTGCTGGACGAAGCAGATTCGGAGAATGCCCGCGTAGACGAAACCACCCCACCAGTCATTCCAGCCAAGACCGCAAACAAGAGTGGGGACGATGAGAGCCATGGTAAGCACACACTTGATGTAGTGGGTGTGCTGGAAGACGACAACGGGATCATCGTTCAGATCGGAGATGTCGGTTCGGCCGATACGCTTGGGGTTCTGCTTCATTACCATCCAGCCAATGTGAGAGTACAGAAGACCCTTTCGAACGGAGTAGGGGTCCTTCTCGGTATCGGTGTAGCGGTGGTGAGCACGGTGATCTCTCGACCACCATCGGATGGAACCCTCAACGGCGGCAGCTCCGCAAGCAGCTAGATAGATCTTGATGGGGAGCGACGCCTTGAAGCAGCTGTGAGCCCAAAGTCGGTGGTAACCTATCCTGTATGTTAGATTTACAACATTCCGTGAGTTAGAAACCCGGGACAAAACATACCGGCTGTTATACCGAGACCGGCATTGAAGTAATAGATGACTGAGAAGACGGCGGTCTTCCAGTAAAGGGGAGTCCAGTATGTGCTGATCATACCGATAAGAGGGATGAAGATGATGAAGGTGGTGTTAAGCCAGTTAACATGTTTGTACCAGTTACCCCAGGTAATGGGGAATTCGGTGATGTGTGGCTTTTTCAAGTCATACTTGCTCGACCGGAGTGGCTTGTAATCTTTGGTGCCATCAGGAAAAGCCGAGGCGGCGACGGGCCCGGAGGCGCTCGTCGAGTCGGAGGCCATGCTGCAAATCAACAGACCTTTAAGACCGAAGAAGGTGGATGGGAAAAGGAAAAGGGACGGAGTATACCAGCAAGGCCTTATCGACAAAAGGCACTTGGGTTTGGCGAACGATGAGGTTGAAGAGGAAAAGAATATGAAGGAGGTAGTATGGCCAACTTGAGGGAGATATATTTATTATTTTTTTGGCGGGAGGAATGAAAAGGGCTATGGTATGTATTATGCAGTAGAAGTGGGTATGGGGACGATTGGGTGGGACATATAACCCTGCTGCGATTCTTGCGTCCCTGCGTCCGGGTGGGCGGGTGGCGGGATTGGGAAGGTATACTTGATGTATTTCAAGCTCCAATCAAGCTCGGTCTAAACGTGTCTAAACGTAAGAGTTGGTAAGAGTCGATTATCGTTTCGGTACCTGTGTTGGTACTAAAGAACGACTTAAACCCCAACTCGTCTCGAACCTGTCTTTGACCTTAAAGCGGTGTACTTCTCTGGCGGGAAGCCTCTTTTAGTCCTGCAAGTGTATTTTGTTGTATGTTATAATTGTTGATAGATGACGTTTCGACTAAAACGTTTGATAGTCGGTCGATGATTTGCCCAACTGTTAAGCAAAATGCTCCTTTTTCCCTTACAGCGTAATTACAGTATCAACTTAGTGGAAAGTAATCACCACTCTTAGAATTACGAAAATGGTGGAAACCGGCAATCCAGAACCGAGGATAATACCAGATGATAATAACAGATGACGACCAAGCAGCCAAGTTAGGGAATCATGGTTCTTAGAATCCTGCTTGTTGCTTGGACCTGATAGGACCCTGTGATACTGTACCTTGAAATGCTGGGGTTGATGGTGTGTGGTGGGAAAGGGAAAAAGAAGAAAAGCTCCAGGGCTGTTTCAATTCTACTACGGCAATGATAGGTACTAGGACCTAGTTATGTGACTGCTGTGCTATTGCAGTGTGTGTATTGTACCTACTATGTACATGTGTACCAGGTAGATAAAGCTGACACATGCGCGTGGGGCGATAAAAATGCAACTGTGTGACCTACCAAGTACCTGACAGATGCGACTGCCTACAGAAATGACCTCCGGGGCTTTCTTTTAGCAAATAACGAGCAGGAAACTCATTCTGTACATCCTTCGATGTTGTCTGAAATTTTGTTGAATTGTTGGGGAAGTGCTATGGTGGCGGTTTCGAAGCCGCAAGTGCGACCACCAATCAGAATTCATGCATATTCAAGGGTATTTCCGCTTTAGGAATTGTTAAACAGGCCATCATTCCTCACCTGGAGTATCTCCGTATTTGATCGGTAAATCTGTACCTAGTATTACCTAACTGGCCAGCTGTACCTTCGTCCCCAAAACGTTACTAAGAAATGACCCCTTCAAAACAAGATTTCTTCAGGGCCAATTGAGACAGCCACATTCATAATTCGAATCTAGCCTCGGCGCACACCGATGAGTCTCATCGCTACAACCTCCACGCTGCAGACTCGTGAAGTACAAGTCATACGGCAAGCTACATTCGGTATTTGCGTATGAATAGGTAAGAGGGTGATACTTTGCCCTTGCATGAACCTAGTTCTTACGTGTGGTGGCACAAAAAAAAAACTTCGACGTAAGCTCCAGGGCTCTTCAGCCCCCTCCATATAAGGCTACGGCATCCATCGCTCCCATCCTACTCATCCTCTCAGAACCACACTCCATTTGACAGCAGAGCTTGTTTTCGATAGCTCGGGCACATGAAATAGTCTTTAGGTATCAACGCCCGCTATGATGTCGCAAGGCTAGACAGACCGAGGCAAGTTTTTCTTCAAGATGAATCAGATAAGAGATGCCGATGCCGAATTCAGATCCGGATAGCGTTTTCCTTTACAGATGCGTTCTCCACATTATCTTCATCCCTGCCTGTCCTTCCTCCCCCAACAAACGGAATAGAAAATCTCTCATCTATCATTGGTCTAGCTGTGGGGCTTCGGGAAGGAGGAGAACTTGAAACTGCCCTATGAGCGGCTAGGTTCATTGTCAGAGTCTCCACATCTTCTAGAACAACCTTAAACGCTGTACAAGGGTGTTTGATTGGATTGAACAAAAAGGGTGCCACTCCGCGCCATGCGCCCCATATCCTAGATCGTGCTGAGCCTCTTTTCTTTGACCTCGATTTCATCTCATGAATGTTAAATCACTAGCTTATGCTGCGTTCAAGTTAATAATTGTCGTTTTCTATCCCATAACTGACCAAGTCAACACTAGGCCCTCGAATCTAGACGTAATCAAATCCGCCCTATACCTTCGATCTCAGTGTAGATGCAAGCCTCTCGCTAAAGAGTATAGTAATCCATAGTAATAGACGTCTTCTCGGCGCTCTATCGCGTATGCCTCTATTCTCGTAATACATATCTAATGATTATCAATAGATAGCCGACAAGTTTCAAGGCTGAAATATAATTCGTTATATGCAATAAGCATAAACACATCAAACGGAAAAATAAAAGGAGCCGATCCACTAGTCAAGATGGCTATAGGCTCGCAAACAAGCACCTTATACCAAACCATACATGGGCAGTACTGTGAGATATTAGTCAAAACAGCGGCTGTAACTCCAAAAGCCCGAATCTGCAGATACCGCTTAGTCATCCCACACAAAGTCTACTCCTAAATAAGGATGGAAGCCAGACGAACTACTAGATACCACTCACCAATAGCATACCTATATAGCAAAAGCCATGAAGGTGAGAAGCCACCACAAAATTCTACACGATAACACCAAAATCTCTCCCAGAGACATGCATGCCCGATCGGCCGATACCTAGGTCCTAGACAGTATGTCGAGTAGAAGCCATGAAGCCCATATGTCTCTGCCACAGCACAACATCGACAGCTCATAGATATAATTGTTGAGATCCCCATCTCGCGCCACCATCAGACGATGCCATACGCCATCGACCGATATCCACTCCTCCTCAGCTTCTCAGTGCATGGAACTCACCGCGTGCGAGCGTCTACCAGTAAACGACCCTTGAAGAAATCCACAAACGCCGACTCGAGTCTATCAAATACCCGTGCAAGTCACACAAACACACAGAAAGTTCCCCGGCTTCTTCTATGTCCTCGATCAAGTATTTTTGCTAATGCTTTATTTCCTCCGCGACCTCGGTAAGTATCTCCGAACTGAACATCCCATCCCCATAGCCATTATCCTCGTAAGAATTCGTTTTTTATGAGACATATTAAATAATCGTTAAATGAACAATATGGTAACGATGCTTCTATTTGTACACTTTGTGTTTTTTTCATGCCCATCCGCCAACCCAATAGATGTAAATGCCCGAGAAAAATTCATAAAACAGGATATCCTAAAATAGCATCCCAAAATTGCATTATGCATAAATGACTCCGTGCGCCGCTGTTATATGTATCTCAACAGCTATTTCCAAATGCGCATATCTCTCAATCGCAAATTTCTTAGGCTTGAGATGCCACATTCGTCGTCGGGGCTGTCGTGTTGGGCTCTAGGTCTTCGTCTGAGAAGTTTATATTTTGAGGAACGTAGCTGTCGTATTTCGATCCGATACCCGTCAGGTCGGATGGAACGTTATTAGGTTGGAACTCGGCTGTCCTAGACGGTGATGCTTCTGTTTGTAGCGCTTGTATATCTGTACTGTCGTGTGTATAATGATTTGATACTTCAAATCCTCCATCTTCATCTGTAGGAGGCCGGATGACCTCGTGGGTTTGGTTAGGTGCTAGGATTACGGACGTTCCTGCATCCCCTGGCTCATCGAGTCGTGTTACTCCAATTTGTCCCCAAGCTTCATTCTCGCCCCGTGGTTGCGAAACTTCCAGAGTTTGCTCTTCAGCCAGCGCAGCCTTCGTCGTAGGACCGTCAGCAGGTATGACAGCTTCTGTATTGTCGTCAGTGAAAGGTAAGGCCTTTTCGACGTCCTCGGCGGCTACCTTAGGCGGCTTGTCGGCGCTAATTGCCAACGCGGCTTCTTTCGTCTGGTTTTCACCACCAGTCGTCCGAGTTTCTTCCGCCGCTAATTCATTCAAGTCTCGTTCCACTTTCGCGACTACGTCTGCTGTCGAACGCCCTTCTCTTGGGGTATCGGCCGTATTCTCTTTCGGTTCCATGGCGTTGGTAGTCGGATCTGTATTGTTATTGAGCCATGCGTCGCGTTGTTCAAAGTAATGCGGACTAGGCATGCCGTGGTTACTCGGTAATGATCTAGGCGGAGATCGTCCCCTCGATGGGTAGTAGAACGGATCGTCGGAGAAACCTGGCGACGTAGCATGTGTATTACCGAAATTGGAAAATGACCAAGTATCTCGAGGCGGAATTGGTTTTGTTTGCAGATGACCGTTACCTTGATATCCGCCCACCGTATATTCTCTTAAAGAAAATCCATCGTCGACGGAAATCGAGGGTACCGTGTGCCTGTCATAGTCGTCATCGTGAGTGGGCTCGGGGAACAACCTTAGTAGTACGGTAGCTTGAAGTCGGACACGTGGATCCTCGTGCAAGCAATACTCCACCATCGTGCGATAGAAATCGGGGACTTCGATCTCGGGACTCAAACGAAGTGGGCGGCGATGCGCTTCCGGCTCGTCCTCCAACGTCGCGAGCGCCCACAATACCATTCCTAACTGGTAAAGATCAGATTTTACACCGATATACATCGAGATCCGCTGGTTACTATCGATGAGTGGAGTTGCCTCCGGAGGTTCCCATCCAACGGGGCAACCTCGTCTGTTAATGTCTATAATTTTTGCGTTGTCTTCGTAATCGATGACAATGTTAGAGAGTGTAAGATCGCCTTGTACAAACCCAGCTTCATGAACGTCCGATAGGCCCTGGATAATCTGCCTTGCCCACTTCTCTCGAAGAGCCCACGGCAGGAAACGGCCTTCCTCTTGCGAGTCGTATATCACGTCAATGAGAGCACCCTTCTCGGCATAGTTGATGAGTAAGCCCTTGACGGACTCGTCTTCATCGTCAACTACCACACCATGAAATTCGATAACGTTGCGGGAGAATCGCAGGGAATTGAGGGCGTTGACTTCGTAAAGGAACTCGTCTACTGTATCTGGTCCTGGGATTTCTTTCTTAATGAGCGTCTTCCCACCGACACGGACCTTGTAGACAAAGCCTGACATGTGAGAGTCGAATACGAGATCTCTCTCCCTGATGCGTTGACAATTTAGATGTTGAATCATGCGGACGGTGGGATAATTTATGATCTCCTATGAAGCTTATCATTAGTATTTGTTAATATATTAAAAAAGAGAACATACGTTGACGTCTTCTACCACATGCACGTGCAATCTTTTATCTGTCGTTTGTAGCTTAAGATTGGTGACTGTCGCGTAGAATTGGATGTCTTGGAGGCTTTCCCGTATAGCTTCGTAGATCTTGGCACTCTTCTCCCTTTGGAATTTGATATGTAGTAAATCTTTCTCTAGAGAGTCATCTGGGGCATTTCGGTAATCTAGGGAGATAGTTACCCGTCTCCATACATATTCATCTTCGCGATATGTGACGAAAAACTTTTCTCTCCTAGATTTATCTCGAAAGTGCATACTCAGATTAAGAATCCATTTTCGCTCCAATTCGTCATTAATGAGTGCATCATACTGAGACGTCGTAGTAGATTGGCCATCGATAGGTGTTCGAGATTCGGCGCGGCTGATTACCGGTTGGAGTAAATCGCGATGCTCCGGGATCGCATCCGGGGCTGCATCCTGAGCCGTATCCGGAGCTATGTTGGCAGTACTGGCATCTTGCAGGCTTAAGAAGTGTTTCTCGTCGATAGGGGTCTGAGGAGTCGATGATTTTGGTGATTTCGGCTGGGAGACCCCGGTGTTAGGGCTAAGCGAGCCCCGGGCGTCGTCGAGAAAGTCGGGCGCACTTGAGCGCGGAAGAGGCTGATTCACATGGGAAACACTGCGCTGAACGCGCATGCGTCTATCAACAGAAACGGCCCTACGTTCCACTGGCGTGGGTTCGATGACCTCGAGCTTCTCCCTCACTTCAGACTGTTGTCTCTTCCAGGTCTTAGCGCGGGGCAAGCCCGGGACCACCTTTCTCGAAACCCTGCGCAGTAAGCCCGAGCTAGGTGTTGAATCTAGAGACGCCCTAGATTCTGTTTCAGGGTTCGTTGTCGGGGATGTTAGCGCATGGTTGTTGTCCTTCCCCAGAAGCTTCTTGAACATGTTAGTTAGTCTACCATGTTCGGGCGATGGCGGGGGTTCATGCGACGGCAAGCCTGCCTGTGCTGCCATGACGGCGGTGTTAGAATAAAACAGTGCGTTATCGTTCAAGCTTCATGGACCTGGTCTGTTCTGAGATTTCCGCTATCGAAGGAATATGGAACGAAGGACTGTGCTGAATCCGCAGCTATAGCTGGCGGGGCAGACCGTGCTGTAATAGCGACGTGTTGTCGTGGCAATGGAGAACTCCAAGTCGACGGTGGTCCAAGTTCGACCCGACTTGGAGATTAGAGTGTATTGAAGATTGGAACAGACTGCGAGATTGTTTAAAGGGCGGGGAGAACAGATACAAGAAGCAAGGCGTAGCGGACCCGGACCAGGCAGCTGATGCTGTTGCTATGCGAGATATAATAAGATATGTAATGTATGTAGGAGGACACTAGACTAGGTATGTAGTCATGGGCGGCTTAATGCAAGCAGACCCAACGTCGAGGGGTCGAGGGGTCAAGAGACTAAAGGGAAGCTCGATAGGTAAGGCTGTCGAGACCCTATTGGTAGGTAATTGGCGACGACGGTGGTGGCTTAGATGTGCCGACATTCGACATTTGACATCGACATGGGCGACGAGATATGTGTATGTGCGTATGTGTGTATGTGTATGTAATATAGATATGTATGCCCAGGTGCGTATGCGTAGCGTATGTGTAAGTGTATTGATGTATTGATGTGTATGCGCGCGTGTCCCTGTGCTGTGTCCCTTGTCTTTCTGCTTTCCGCTTCCTGATTTCCGTTTTCTGCTCTAGTCTTCACAATTATTCTCAAGAACCAGGTATAATTCCGCGGCGTCTAGCTGCTACCTGTCTATGTAGACGGGATGCAGGAGATATGCAAGCTGAAGTTATTCTAGGGAACTCCGCTTTCGGGGTACAGGACGATATAGCCATTTGAAAGTGACACTTGGTTCGAAGTAATTGTAAGAGAATAAAAACTTTTTTGAGCGAATATAGAAATTGGAGGCGGACCGAGTTCTACGAAGGACCATTGAGGTTGCACCTTACCTTGCAGCAACCCTGGCTATCCTGCCTTCCCCCGGTACGTAAGGGTACAGGATACTAGCGATAGTAAGGTATTGTACCTGGGTACTTGACGTATCCATGTTAGTTGTACAAGCTGTTCCCGCGACGAACAACGCAGCACAAGGACCAGAGACAGGCACTGGCGTTAACTTATCTTATCTGACTATGCCGAGAAAGGATTAGCGACATAGATGTACTGCCAGCAAGTTGTGATATTGCCATGGACCAGGGTAGTATCGGCCTGGTTATTTTTTTTTTCTTTCTCGATGATCTCGCGGGGCTACAATTGATTTTCTTCTCTTCTTCAAGAAAATACATACATCATCCATCATCGCTGTATAAGTAATTCGCATTCCTTTTTTATTCCAATTCGGTTCGCATATGTTGTCGCTTATCAATTGTGGACGGATGAACCCGGAGCTTATAGAATTTTCCTTCAATGGCAGTTCAAAGCTGTTATAAGAAGCGTGGGAGGTAGTCAGACGTGGTATGCAAGGTTGTTGCTCTTGTGGAGTATTGTCTATAAATCTGGTGGCCTAAGACAATTTGGGTGGTGGAGAGCGCTGGGCTGGCTGGGAGATCTTTTTTTTCTGTGCCAATTCAGCTTCGTCGATATGTCGATATCAAACCCCTTCTCACATCCCTCCCTCCAAAACTGGTCATGCCGCCATGGTCCCTTTTCCGCTTGGTGGGGGTTCTTCCTAGGCCTTTCGCTAGGCCATTCAACCAAGTCGGGAAAATCAGGATGATTCATTGATGTGTTGTACAAAGATGCTAGTGGTCGATCCCGAAAAGAGGGGTGTCTGGGACGAATACCTAGGAGAAGGAAATAGGGAATTATACAATCGTATAATCGTACAATCCAGCTTACTTGGTGGCTTTCGTGGCCTTCTACGTATATCTGCGTATATCTACGTATCGCATGACCAAGTTTCCATTACATAGTACAAGCTCTCGAGAAGTCGAGGATCATCCAGGTATGTATACTTATTACTAGAGGTACTAGACAGGTAAGTGAGATTGATACCCAAGTGTCTCAAGACCCTGCTTGCGATGACTTAGTCTATCCGAAGACTAACCAAAGACTAACCTTAGAACCGACAACTAGGTATTGTACAGTACATGGTCTATACTCTATAAGTACTAATTATCTCTTGGAATATACGTCAGTCGAAATTCTCTATACAAAATTGAACGAATGAAGAGAAAAACAATTAGAATTGGCGAGTTATAAATTGCATCAAACACATGTATGACTTCACATACACGTGGAGCCATCTAAGCATGAATCCTTCCTATATCTGCAAGCATGCTAAACATTGGTCCTATAGATACACCGCTATCCTATTACGCTCACCGACTTTACATACAATCTCTACTATGCGTACATGGCAACAAGGCTTTACCTTTACCGGAGTTTGGTAAACAACCCTTATGCCCTATGTACCTACATGTGTCTACATATGCTACATATGTAGATAAGTTCCCGAATGCAGTTCGTAACTTAGGTTCCTATACCATTCCCAGGATCTTCCTGACTTCGCCTACTTTGACAGGTCATAAATTTAGAATAGCATTATTCCTTGACGGTCGCCCTAACCGCGAAACCGGCCCGGAACCGAGCTAACGCAAGAGTTATCCGCTTGCCAACATCGACGGCTAGTCATGTGGGCCAACGAAGCACTAGGTATACATATCGTAGCTAGAACTTACTGACATAGCAACAAGGCAACACAGCAACACACAGAGTAAACATAGCAACACAGACACATACACAAGTACTAACACAACCCATACGTAATCGAAAATGCACTACTAGATGCCTATGGTTCATACGGTTCGTATGATAATATAAAAATATATAAAAAGGAGATGACGTGTGAGAAATAAAACGGACCCTAGAGGAGAAACGAACCGGTTCACCAAAGCGAGTTCGCCAACCTACATGACATCCTGCAATCTGTACGGAATGACACCCATATAATATACGTATGGTCAGCTCATAAGTCAGAAGTTAGAAGTGTTCTCGAAAGTTCACCCAACCTCTCAGTTCCTCACATCCACCACATCTACCACATCCCCCTGTCGAACACAACCGGCGATGCGTTGTCCAAGGGGGTTAAAAAATGTCGTCAGCCCACGCTAGGTAGATCAACAGTTTAGGGCTGGACCCAAGCCAAGATCCCGCTTTCTCGATCCCTCCCGTCCCGCAAATACCTACCCGTATACATATGAGATTATTATCTCAAAAGCCGCTTGAACATCTATACGTACCTCATATATACCTACAATGCTACATACCCTACGTAACTGTATATGTATACATAATATACGTGCCCCCCCTTTCTCCCCGTGGCCGAAGAGAGAGAGAAGGGAATGAAAAGTTGTATGCGCTTCCCTTCCCGGGTGCTACCCAATCTAAGACCACGTTAGCCCAGGTGGCCGTTGGAACCACGCGACTGCGCTAGGAGTGCTACCGCTATCGTCACCGGGAGAAGGTGTCGAAGGAATTGGGCAGCGATGCGTGCGATAGCTTCTAACAACTCTCTTCGACCTACATACCTAGAACAACATCCCATGCTATCCATGGATGTTATGTGTGTTAGAGACAACAGCAATAGCGGGAAAATAAAACAACAACACAGACACACACGTCCGAAAGCAAGGCTTCTGCTTGGAGACAACTGGCTGCCAATGCGCATCGTGGAAAGTAAGCACCCAATAAAGTCCCGTTCGCTTCTACCTACATACCTACCTCCTACCTTCTCTTATTCTCCCTGCATGACGACAATCCTGTAAGATCCTCGGCGCCTCCAATTCGCGAATCGCACGCAACGCTGCACGAAGCCGCTCCTCGACCTCCCGGGACCTTACTGATCGTCATCTGGCCTCACCTGTACGGAAAAATCTCATTTTCCCATCCCCCATCGTCGATGTCTCCCTCTCACCTCTCACTTCTCACCTCGCACACGCGCGCGCACGTACATGTCAAACCCCCTTCCCTCCCCCCTCTTCCTACGCCTCAATGACGATCGCAAAGCATCCAAAGTGCACAAAAAAAGCCGGAAATCGATCTACGGGTACCTACGTTAAGTGTGACCAGAACGGCGCCCGCGCGAAGGATGAATTAGGCTTTTCGCGTGGGAATGCCCGGGAAGCACACATCAGAAATAAAAGAAAAAAGATCGCGGCATCTCGCCCTGCATTGGCTCCCGCGGGCTGGCCCTGACGCTCTCTCCCTCGCCTCGTTCTCCAATCGATTTCGCTGGCGTCGCTATAACCCCCCATCATTTATTAATTACTCCAAGTCATACATACCTAGTACATCCCGTAATTATTTCATACCACCTGCGTAGATAGGTACCTACATACATGATTCAGCGTATTCTCGGTATCATAGCCCGTACAAGCCCCTACATCTCCCCCAGAACTCCAGCGGTTCTCGAGCAACGCACGTAATGGAGGGAGGTCCGGGTCGGGCTTTTAGGCACGTAATCGGCGTAAATTGCAACGGGGGAACGTTTCTCGGCTGTCCTCGTTTATCGAGGTGGTCAGCAGAGCACATGCCACCTACGTACCTCATACCGATATCCAAACATACCCATACTAAGTATTACATATAACCATAAGCAAGCAAGCACGCAAGCAAGCAAGGAGCCGAGAAAAGAAAAGACGAAAGAGAGAGCCGAAATTCAGAGGAATTGACTTCTGACAGTAATACCGGACCAACGTCCGAAGGACCCAATCCCCGAGCCCTCAGCTGAATAATGCCTACATATATCCAACGCACCACACACCACCGTACCTCCGACCCGAGCATGCGTGCGTGAACCAAACCCGGCATGAATCGCAGGGTCCCCGACGCAACGGAAGACGTAAGTGTAGAAACTCAATGCGACCACCTGCAGAAGGCGGCAGACGGGCATGTAAGTAAGTATCTTCACCAGGCATTTTACCCTACCTAATCTACCTATACCTACCTATGTACATATCTGCCTACAATGTCATTTACCCTCCGGCTCCAGCACAAGGAACACAACGTACTTGGCACCTCCAAGCACCTCCATCGAAAAAAGGGGTCCAGTCACAAAGCCGTCTCGGCGGGGCATGTCACTAGGCAGTGCTTTGATATTCTGACACGTTGCCATGTACATACATACCAAGCGGAATCTTCGAAAAAATGTAATTTCATCATTTTCCCATCCCCTTCTTCTTCAAGCAGCTACATATCTACCTATCTAGACATGTAAGACGAGTGGAATAAGTAAGAGAGGAGAAAGCAGCAAGCGAGCGGAAACACAAAGACAAGTTCCGGAGCGCTCCGCCATCTATTTCCCCCCATTCCACCATCTGCAAGAGAGAGAGGGAAGAAGAAGTACGGGTTAACGTAGATCGTATGATACAAAAGTGCAATGCTTCAGAAAAGAGGTGAGGAGTGAGGAGTACATTGTGTAAGTATGTATGTGGTTGGTTAGTAGTTAGTGGTTAGTGGGTTTGGATCATGGGCTTTTTTCCATCCTCCAAAGCCGTTTCGTCGAGTCATTGTCTTGCCGCCTAAACGCCCGTCTGATGGCCCAATCCCGCAAATGCATTACTGTTAAATGTCTATAAAATATGCATGTCGACGATGGGGCTGTGGGAATGCCGTGGGAGTGTACCAGTCACTCCGATCTCCGCCTCGTCTCCTATTCGTCTTTTTCGCTCTCCGCTTTAGCGTCGTGCTCCTTCTTCCATTCGCAGATCTTGCATCGATTCGCTTGTTCCCGGTCCAGATTGGGGAAGACGAGGTCGAAGACTTCACCGTACCAGTTGGCCGGACGGCCCTCGAGACCCTCTTTGATGTTCTACATGATAATGTTAGCTTGAACCGTAACATTGGGCTATAATTGCTGGCTTGGGGCACCCACCTCAGGAAGCTCTAGCCAGTCGGACATATTATCCGCTGGGAAGATGATCATCTTACAACCAGCCCGCCTTGCCGCAACCGTCTTCTCCCGCAGACCTCCTATCCTAAGAACTTTACCGGTCAAGGTAAGCTCGCCAGTCATCGCAATTGTGGGGTTGACTGGGGCATCTAGTGCCAATGATAAGAACGATGTCGCCATAGTGATGCCAGCTGATGGTCCGTCCTTCTGCACTGCCCCTTCTGGCACGTGTAGGTGAATTTTGGCCTTGTCGAAGAAGTGGTTGTCGGAAAACTGCTTAGCCATAAACGCCTTGGCGAAAGAATAGGCGATCGAGGACGACTCCTTCATAACTGTCTTAAGGTTACCCGTGATCTCCAGGCCCGCGCGGCTACTGGGTCTCAATGCAGACTGCAGAATGGATTCTATGTACATGGCAGAGCCGCCTAGTTGGGTCCACGCGAGACCCATCGCAACACCAGGTGGCGTCACGTCGTACAGACGGTCGGAAGTGAATATGGGAGGACCAACGTAGTCCTTGAGGTTTTCCTTGCTGATCTCAACATGAACCGAATCGGGCACCTTGAGGGCTACACGCGGCTTCTCTGTAGTTTCTTTCTCGGATGCCTCGGGAGAGGTTGAGTCCTGTTCCTCCCTCTCTTCCTTCTTCTTCTCCGATTCCTCTAATGCTGCCTTGCCATCGTCCGTGAGAGCTGCAGACTCGGGCAAAACATCCTCACCTAATTCTTGAACAATCTTCAGGGCTGACTTGCGATAGACCTTTTCGATCTGCTTCTTTAGGTTCCGAACGCCCGATTCGCGACAGTACGACTTGATTAACTCATCGATAGCCTCGTCCGTCAGGATAACATCGGCCTCCTTCAATCCAGCAAGTTCCTTTGCTGCAGGGGCGAGATATTTATCTGCAATTGCTCTCTTCTCGTCGGAAACGTAACCGGAGAGTCTGATGACTTCCATACGATCCAAGAGGGGTCTGGGTATCGTGTCGGTCATATTTGCTGTGCAGACAAACAAAACCTTTGAAAGATCGACGGGAACATCCATGTAGTGATCTAGGAAAGAATTATTTTGCTCTGGGTCGAGTAGCTCTAGGAGAGCCGAAGAGGGGTCGCCTTGATAGCCTCGACCAATCTTGTCAACTTCGTCGATCAATATCAGAGGATTTTCAGTTTGGCATTTCTTTAAAGCTTGAATGACTCGTCCGGGAAGGGCGCCGACGTATGTCCGTCGGTGACCCTTGATCTCGGCCACATCCGTGAGACCACCTACACTGAATCTGTAGTATTGACGATTTAAGGCCCTGGCAATCGACTTGCCTATACTTGTCTTGCCAACACCTGGAGGTCCCACGAAACATAAGATTTTGCCTTCAACAGTACCTCTGAGTTTACCGACAGCGATAAACTCCAAGATACGATCTTTAACATCCTTAAGTCCGTAGTGATCCTCATCTAAAACCTTCATCGCATTTTGTATTCCAAAGTTTTCGGCGCTTCGCTGTCCCCAGGGGACTTGCGTTAACCAATCCAAGTAGTTCCTCGTCACGTTGAACTCGGAAGCAGCAGGTTCGAGATGAGCGAGCTTGTTAATCTCGTCATCAAACACCTTTCGGACTGCTTCGGGCATAGCTAGCTTGTCGGCCCGCTCCTTGAATTTCTCAACGAGTTTGTCCTTACCGTCGGACTCGATACCTAATTCGCGGCGAATGCCCTTCATTTGTTCCATCAGCCAGTATTCTCGTTGTCGCTTTGTGATTTTCTGCTCCACGTCCTTCGTAATTTTCGACTGGAGCTGTGCATTCATAAGCTCCTTCTTGAGAACCACTAAAGCCTTTTGCATTCGATCCTCGACGTTTAGACTTTCGAGAACATCTTGTAGTTCCGCTGGTTCTCCGGCAGATACAGCTGCTGCGAAGTCTGCTAATTTGGCCGGTTCCGACATGACGTTTCCTGAAGACTGGCTCATAGAGAATGTTGATATTTGATCTCTAAATAAACTATTCATCGAGGCGACTTCTTTAAACACGTTGACAATTTCGTTTGTGACCGCCCGAATAACTGGACTTTTGGGATCGAATGGTTCTTCAGACAAATTGTCCACGTTGACTAGGCTGACCGGGTACTTTCGTAGGAACGACGTAGGTTCGTATTTCTCAGCCGTACCGTCACCCTTTTGGGCCACAGCGCTCTCTTCAAAGCTTGCGACTACATCACCCTTCTTCTCTGTTTGCGGTTCCTCTTCTGTTTTTTGCGGTATCGGTTCAGGGATAGGCTCTGGTTCGGAATCTGCCTTCTTAGGCTCGTTGGTGCTAGGGGGTATAAGAGTGGATAGTTTTATGCGACGGTGGGGATATAGAATAGCCGTGAGACTGTTCTGTTCTCCGTGTACTGGGAATGCGCTCGTAACTTGGGCAAAGACGCCAGTATCGTAGACGTCGGCCGGGTCTCTAATAATATCCTCGTCGGCATTTTCATCCTTGAATAAGAATGCGCCAACATAAGGTTGACCTCTCTTAATCATCTCTAATATGGCGGCTGAGACGTGGGGGTCCTTGATGGTGATTGCCTTGTAAAAGCCGGGAAATAGAGGTCGCTTCGCTATAGGGATCGCCATAACCTGGGGGTATACGTCGGGCACTACAGGTTTCTGCAGCGCCTTGTCGGCCGACTTACGACCTTTTCGGCTGCCGTCTCCAGGCGCATCATTACCTGACCCGGATGATGAACCTCCTGCTGCACTGCTTCCCTTTCCATCCTTTCCCTCTTTGCCGTCTTTAGCATCTTTAGCATCGTGCGATTCTCCTTGACCCTTGCCAGACGGCGGAGGTTCCTCATTGGAGCTTCTCGCCTCGCTTACTTCCTTTTTAGATTCTTCTGCCTTCTCTACCTTCTCCGCTTTCTCCGTCTTCTTCTTTTTCTCCTGGTTTGCTTTCGCCTCTTCCTCTGACAATGGTTCTACTGGTCCATCGAAGAAGTCGCTGTCTTTTTTGTCTTTCCTTCTACTAGCTGAGGTAGAGAAGCTTGACCTTAACAAGACGCCATGTGTTGAGGGTATCGTCGGCCTGGAGCACGCGATCGTACTTTCGGTGGATCGGCTGGAGGTATTTATTGAGTAAAGGCGGGATACGAAATGGGGACGAAGCCTAGGCGCAAAGTTGGAGGGCGCTCTTACGGCAACTTGCCGCGCAAAGCGTTGTCGACACAGCATTGTTAAGAGCTCTCTCTAGCGGTAGAGGGAAAATATCGGTGGAGGGGTGATGATGATGATGATGACGGAATCGGAGGGGAGCAGGGAAGTGGAAGCGGGTCGTTATACAAGACAAATTCAAAGTCGCAGAAAAAAACCACCAGTTGAGATTAAAAGGAAAGAGGTGGCGATCTAAAGTACAGAAATTGCGGCAAAAGGCCTAAGGGAGAAAATACCCATTGCCCTGCCAAAAACGAAAAAGTGAAGGCGGTTTCTACTATCGTCTTAATAATTCTATTGGAGCTTGGACCCGGACTTATTTTCAACAAAATACATCATCGCTTTCTAAGCAGTTAAGCTAATTTTTTTGCACTAGCACTAGCTTCACTAGCCACACTTTAATCGGAGTATTATTGAAAAAATAAAATTGGGTTCGTGCCGAGTCGTGCCGAAGGCAAGTGCCACCATTGATTCTGTGGCTGAACTGTGATACCTTTTGATCATTGTAAAGGGGCATTCAAGGTTCAAGAGAAATAGATGCACCTTCCACGGTGGAATTAAACATCAATATAAATCGAAGAGGAGATTTTTATTCATCAAACTCTTTCATATGCAGGATTGATTGACCCTCTAACAACACATCTGTAACCACCTACTATGCGACACCCATACGCCAGCCATGCATTCATACAGATTTCCTAACTCATTCCTGTCGTGAATCCTGCAAATATCCCCAAAGCAAAATATCCGCCAGAACCATGCCAATGCTACTAACTCCAACCATCAATAAACGCCACCAAAGTCCAATCATGAATAGCTCAAACTATGCGAACTTGTGCCTTAACCTATTCCTTATTCAACTCTCTCTGGGAACCATTAGGAACTTGGTTAGATGGCTCCTCATAGCCTCGAAGTAAATTATAGCCTTTCGTTCGACGGTAAGCCGTCTTCTCGGCGCTCCTTTGTTTGATCTTGCGCTGTTCCTCTACCCATGACTTGTATTGGGAGGCCTCGTCGTGTTGACCTTGTTGACGTAGCATCGATAGGGCGGCAGCCTTGTCCTTTTCGGCAACTTCTCTCATTGCCTCATTGATAGCGTCCATCATCTCCTTGTATCGCTCTTCTAGACTGGCCGTCTTTTTCGATGGCTCGGTTGCTCCATGGCAGAGACGACATTCTGCTTCAACCTTCGGAGCATCAGGTCCAGATCTGCATTTCCACCAGCCGCCCTTTTTAACGCGGAATTCAAATTGCCACTTGGGATTGGGTTCGTGCCACGTCTTGTCCCACTTCGGCTTATCATCCTTCAATTCCATTGCCTTCTCCAGCGCGCTGAAGGTATTGGAGAAGCTCGTCCATCGAGACTGGAGGTCATCTCCTTTCACCGGTATTTTAAGAAGGGGAAACCAATCCGGTATATTGTCATTCTGCGGTTTGCTGGGAGAGGGTTGAAATAGGAAGGGTGCTGCTGGTAAAGACAACCCGGATTGAGACGGTTCGGCCTTGATTACGCTGGGGAGAGATGTGACTCTGGCGTTTGAGCCCTTAACATCTTCTAAGCCCGCAGCCACAGCCTTGTCGAAAGGAATAATGTACATCTTTGGTGGTGAGCCGAGGAAATACAATTGGCTGTTTCGAGGTATGTCTGTATTTGTAGATGATCCATCTGAACCAAGCAAGCGCTCTGTTTTTGACGGCTTTCGTGGCGGTTGTTGGCTTTGGTGCTTCAGAAACTCAGAATAGTGGCGTCGAATAGAAGCATGGTTTTCACAACCCTCGAGGCTCGCAAATGAGTAATACATCCGTCGCATTTCCGCAAAGAGGACTTGGTCTTCTTGGGAAGATACCTTAGTGTCGTTATCTTTCTCCTTGTCCTTATGTGACTCTCTCTCGTGCTCGATTTCTTTTGCCTTGGTACAGGCCAGTCCCATTGCTTCACAGAGAGCGATAGACTGTTGAATATGCTGGTCCGTAAATTCCTCTACATCGCGTAATCCTTTCCCAGACGCTCTCTTAACTTTGTCCAGGTCCAATCGCGGGACGGGAGGTGGAGGGAATGTTTGCCAGCCATCTAGAATTGGCACTTCAGTATGAAGGGGACGCGACTGAGTAATAGCGTCTTCAGAAGGGGTGTTGGGGAAGTGGTATGGGGCGTCAGACGCCGATCTAGTAGGATGCGCATGGTAGTGGCACGCCGAAGTAGTGACTCTACCATTGGAACTAGTATCGTCCAAGTTTATGGAGAATTCTGCGCATGATTTACGCGTGGTATCCCTGGCTTCCATCTTCATCATGCCTTCCCCCCCACTCTATACCAATTTGCCCGTGGCGGGAGGAAAGTGCGTCGATTTGATTTATAGGGACATGGGAAATTTTGATGAAGGAACGAGTAAGGAAGGTATTGGCTGTTAGGGTACGAATTGAAGAGGCGCCGAAGGTTGGGAACAAGACGCGGTTGGCGTTAGAACTAAGTTTCAAACCAATAGTACTCCTTATCCCATTATTCGCCGTATGTGCGCCCAGGTTGAATAAGTGGAAGATAAAGATTATCTTAAAAGTCGAACTATTGAAGGTTGAATGGAGGTTGATGTAATTATTAGAGAAGGGGGATTGTATCTCGGTGATATTCACGAATATGGAAACTCAACTTAGCATATCCGTGAAAGTTTGGGGATTATTTTTTAAAGGTGTAGTACGAAATGGAACGAGACGAAATGAAAGTGCATAAGGGAATGAGGGAATGACAAGAACTGTGTGGATAGTTTACAGTTTACAGCTGCAAACTGGATGAAATTGTCCTGTAATGTTGGCAAGTGCCTAAAAATTGGCCGCACACTAACCGTCAAAAATTAGAAGGAACCTTCCTTAATAACAGGACTCGTACGAACCGCATTCATTCCAAGTTGATATCAAGCCGCCTATTAGGCCGCCCCAAGCTCTTGTTATTAGGTTGACATAAAATAAGGGCGATTTCGTCAGTTTGCGTGTGTGAACCTATGACCTTGTGACCCTGTGAAAAACATCACGCTAATAAAGGTCCAACAACTACTTTTTCTCGTTCTTGTATGACTTTCTCCTTCTCCTGTGCCATAATCTGCTTTCGTTCCTTTCGCTTTCGATCCGCATCAAGGGTAGCAAAGCGTCCTCGAGCGCCGTGTCGCAATTTCGTTATCATATCTGCAGCTTTTCCTTTTGTAATATCCTCCGGTTTTAGTTTGTCCCCTTCCCCTCGCATCTTATTTAGAAATTCCAGTTGATTATCTGTAGGTGGCCCGTTTCGCCAGTTTTGGTACCTTGAGATAAGGTAATGGGGATAGTGTTCTGATGCATACTTGTCGCTCCCATGTACAGCATCAATCAAGGTGTGTGCTTGGAGTAGCTTTCGAGGTTTAGCAAACGGTGACTTTGATAAATCCTTGGGAAGAGCCCGGGTCTCCCAAGCAACGAATTTATGCGTGTCTAATTCCGTTGATTCCCTTTCTAGTCGAATAAAAGTCCCAGACGGCCCTGACAGAATCCACTTGGTCGGACCAACTTGTACCCACGCATGCTGGCTAATCGATCGGATATGCCTCTCTCCAGATGTGTCTGCTATCAAGTCGAAAACCGAGTCATAGTCGACGAATGTCACTTTTCGGGCTGGTTGGCTCTCGCCAGTTTCTCTCGTGCTTTTTAAACGCTGCATATCTGATACGGATGCTTTCTCGAGTAGCTCGGACGGGTCAAGGCCGAACAACGTAGGAGTTGTTACTATGCCGGTAGAGAGACTGGCTACCATGTCGATGATATGGCAATCGGTCTTATCTGGATGAAGTCGCATACCCCTTCCTATCATCTGTACTAATAAATTGCGCGAACGAGTGGGCCGTGCCAAAATAATACAATCGATGTTGGGGATGTCCGTTCCTTCGGTAAAAACGCCACAGTTAACTAATACCGGAAATTCTCGGTTTTTGAAGGCGTCAATGAGTTTACTCCTCTCAACATTCGGCGTCTCGCCGGTCACAAATCTGGCATCGACACCAAACCGATGAAAGGTCTCAGTCAATCCATCGATGTGGGAGAGGTCCACACAGAAAACCAAGGTAGATTTTCTACCCGAAGCTTTTGCGAGCCAGCTACGGACGGTTACTTCATTAACTTGTTTGGTATTCACAACCCTAGATAATTCACGGGTGTGAAAATCACCATTGGCAGCGCTGCCAACTTTCGAGATATCGGCTTTCGTCTCGACGGTGGTGAAGATGACGTCCGACAACCACTTGTCTCCTATCATGTCGACATAGTCCTTGTGATACACTATCTCGTCGATTGCAGCGCCCAGCCGTAACCCGTCGGTTCGAGAGAAGGTCGCAGAAACGCCAACGAGTATAGGGGAGTCCTCCTGTTTTGTATCTAGACTGAAGTGCTCTAAAGTTCTCAAGTACTGAGGAGCAACTATATGGTGAGCTTCGTCAACAAGCACAAGCTTAAATCGGTCAGGATTGAACTTCTCAATGCGTTCTCCGGAATTGATACTCTGAATACTGGCAATTGTGATGTCTGCAGATCCCGAGGCATGCATATTTCCCATCTCAATTTCAACCTTCTTGAGTGGGTACGCATTGGCACAGTGCCTTGCTGCTTGTTCCACGAGTTCTCTCCTATGAGCTAGAATCAAAGTCTGGTTAGCTTCATCCGAATCAGGCTTGATCCGGTCAATCAATTGGGTGAAGATGATAGTCTTCCCAGCACCCGTAGCTAGCGATATTCCCAATCTTTTGTGGCCATTATTTACAGAAGCCAAGACGGATTGAATACATTCTTCTTGATAGTCACGGAGACTTATTTTCTGTAATGTGCGAGTGGCGTCGGAGGCGTAAGTTCTGATTAGAGGCGAAACTTTTGTCCGATGATAACCCTTCACTAGCAAACGACATATAGATGCCTTTGAAGATAGCCATTGCGCAGACAAGGGCGGCATGGCATATTTAATGAAAAACAGGATGGACGTTGAGACAAGATTTGAGGCTCGTGTTGAAGTTTGGAATTAAAACTTCTTCTGTGGAGTTGAGCAAAAAACGAGGAGACGGATAGGTGATTAAGTGATACCCTCGACTTGTAATAGAGCGAATAGATATCCCGGTAAGGAGTAACTGAGGCAACATCGACTTTTGCTTCGCATATTCACCCAAAAGTAAATAACTGAAGTTATCAGGGGATATATTTTCTACCTCTTAGTTTGTATGTATTGACTTACGAAGTTCGTCGCTTCATAGAGTTGTTGAGTCCTTTGATATCTGCTGGATTAGATATATATGTCTTACGTCAAATACATCAATACAGGAATAACTACTACTTACTTAACGGGGCTTTGCACATAATGCTAACTCGGTAGAAACCCCGATATCAATCGTAGTTTCTCAATTTCTTCAATCTCTTTTCACATTTAATGAACATTCTGCTTTAAAATTTGATGAGCATCTCATCTCAATCCTAGCTTAGCAAAATCAATCAGATTCAAATTTCTATAAGTCACGTCGCGAACCCCTTTCTAACCGAAATATTCAAAGTTGGTCAAGGATTTTCCTGATGATGGAAATCTCCATTTTCGATACGCCCGAAAGCTACGGATAGCTACATATACACTTCATCCGGTCTCCTACATGAGTCTCAAGGGAATAATTTACAAATAAATAATCCGGGGAAATATAACCCATACCCCAACCCCCAAATATGGACCTAGGAAACGACTCCGAGTACAACCCCAGCAGCAGCGACTCCTCCCCCCCCGCCCAGCGGAAGCGGCAGCGGAGACCAACCTCTCCCCCATCCGCCCCAGCTCCAGCCCCTAAACGACAAAAAGGCGTTTTCAACCCGCAGTACCTGCACCTCCTAAACGAGGACATCGCCGACGCAGCATCCGGGCTCCCAAGTGAAGCGACAACCCCCACCTTTCCCCTGAACGAGCTCAAGCCCACCCAACTGGGCGCTGTATCCTGGTCCGTATCGGAGAAGCAAGCTTTCTTCGTCGCCCTAGCACGTCTAGGCCGCGATGACGCAGCCGGAATCGCTTCGCGGATCGGGAGTAAGAGTGTCCTCGAGGTGCAGCAGTACCTTCACTATTTATCCGCTGCGGACCGCGCCCGGCGTTCTGAAAGTAAACGGCGCCGAGACATCGGGCCGCTAGCTATTCCCTCAGCCGTAGAGCTTAGTGCGGAACTCACGGTTGCTTTGGATGCGGCGGCCGATGCGCTCGCCCTGCGGCAGGAGACGTACGAGGCGTCGCTAGAGCAGAAGCGTTGGGGTGGGCGATGGCTCGTGACGGAGCCGCTAGCGCAGGTATTCGCGTCGCGGATGCGGGCGCAGACGAGGGGGGAAACCGATCCGTCTCACAACCACTCCGACCTCCCACCCTTCGCAGAGCTATTCCACCTCCGCAACTGGCTCAGGCTTTCGGACCGCGTTTTCATGAATTCAACCGTAGAGGACGGGAACTGGCGCTTTGCGTCGGGTGAGCCCGAGGCTAAAGAGCGCCCCGCGATACGGGCCACGGCGCTGGCGGATTTTCACTCGCTGACGCTGAGTATTACGAGGCGGCTTATGAGCGCGGCGTTGTATGTAGCGAGTTCGAGGATACGGATGAAGCGTGCGAGGGACCCGACGCGGCATAGTGCGCTTGTGAAGAAGAACGATGTCTGGGCCGCGGCAGCGAGTGTGGGGCTGAAGGAGGGTAGTCGAGAGTTTTGGGCGCGGGCTGCGAGGAGGTTGAGGTTGGATGTAATTGATGACGAAGACGAAGGTGACATAAGTGAAGAGGGAGAGGGGGATGATGAAAATGAAGTGGAGGAGGATGAGGATGAAGACCTATCAGAGGAAGGAGAAGATCAAGATATGGGTGTTGACACTATATCCGAAGACGACATAATTGAAGCGGAAGAAGCTATCCCCGGCATAGAAGAACAAGAACAAGAAGACTCTGGTTACGACATAATGACCTACGACGCCGTCGAAGCCGCCCTCGGCTTCCCAAACCCCAACACAAATCCAATAAGCGACCCCCTCGACGAACCAGGACCTACCTCCAAGTCCGGATTCAGTACCACAATCGACTCACCCCCCACCTCCGACTCCGACTCCGATGCCACCTCAGAAACCTCCGAAATCAACGATCCAGAACATCAAGACCCAGACCCAGACCCAGACTCAAACCGCCCACCCTCGCCCCCAATCGACAGCGCCCTCCTCTCCGCCGATCTAAACGAAGCCCTAACCTACAGCGCACTAGACTACATCCCGACCTCGCGGTCCAAGCAAGCGCTCATCCACCGCCTCAAAGCGGAACAACACCTATGGGCGGACGCGGACGCCCTCGATGCCGCGACCAGCGCGGCTGAAGAGGCGCGTTTATGGGGTATGCTACGGGGTGAACCCGCCAAGTCCGAGACCGAGTCACCTAAGCCGGACCCGAGGCTAGTTCTAGGTAGCACTGGGAAGAAGTCCGGCTTGGAAGATCAGGGTGAGGATTGGAGGGATTGGACGGAGTATTACAGCGCGTGGGAGTTTACTGCGGAGCGGAGTCGTTTGGAGAGTTACGATGACTGAGGCATCATAATATACCTACCTACAAATCAGGGAGGTGTTCGTATATATCCCACTTTCGAACACCAACTAGAACTTACTCTTGCAACACCCACCTAATTAGTTCAAATAATCACCTCAAAAAAAAGTTCAGTAACCAGAAAAACAGCCTTTTCCATTTCTCACGGACGTGTCCTAGGTATTTATGAGGGTACCTAATCGATATGATCTTATCTCGCGTTATGGTAATACACAGCCCTTTTCGCAGAAGAGCATCAATAGAGCTTCTTCCCCTCCTTTGCCTACCCCCCTCCTCCTCTGCAAAGGAAAAACGAAGAATAAAAACAAAGACGAAGAAGTGCAAGATAGTTACCCTTTTTCTGGAAGAGCATACATACATAGCAAGGACCGGTTTGCGATGTGTCGAATTTCCCATGACGCCTCCCCGGAACAACGGAAGAAAAAAAACAGCTAGCGGTAAATAAGAAAACTGCGTTTGCCCATTCCATTTCCCTTTGGAAGCCTGGTTCGCCGCGAAATCACATTCAACCGACTCTTCTATCGCGCGTAAAAAACTCCAAACCTGACCTGGATGTTGCTTAGGCTTCGTAGCTCTTGATGTTACCGTCGCTGCCGAGTGGTTGGACTGAACTTAGGGAGGGGGCGGATGTGAAAGTTAAGCCGTTGCCGTCTGTCTTGATATCGGCGCCATTCACGCCCGCGCGCAGGCCGGCCTGGGTTTCCCTCACCCTCTTCTTAAACGCGAGTCGGTCCAAGAACAGCTGTTGTCTGCCCCGCTCCAACTCACGCCGTTCTGCTTGCAAGATGCCTTCCATTTCGTCAAAGAACTTCAGCTTCAGCTCCATCTTTTGCAAGGTCACATTCACAGCGGCGGAGAGTAATCTGGTCATCTCTCGCTCCTCATGAGAAGCCAAGCCACCTGCACGTGCACCCATAGCGGCGAGTGGTATGCTAGCCAAGTTTGACACCGTTGTGCTTGTGTTCTCTTGGTTGCCGTCAATCTCCATCGAATCACCCTCCTTTTCCTTGCCTTTACCATTAACCTTGGCCACTTCGCCACCCTCAATCTTGTTCCTTAAACCTTGTTGCAGCTCTTCAACAGACTTCTTCGCCGCTGCGGCTGTCGTCTTAGGATCCGCGAGGCTAGCGAGAAATCCGATAACGGACATCACAGGGTTGTCGGCTTGGCTGAAAGGAAGGTGACCGCCGTGCTTTCCTAGCATAGCGAGGCCCGTGGGAGCGTGGATGGGGGCTTCCGTTTCGAGATATTTATCTTCGATATCTAGTTGGAGGAATTGTAGGACACATTCTTCCCTGGTTCGCGTGCCTACGTGCTCTGCTATTTCAGCCCAGTCGTCATCGTATCTTTCTAACGCCTCGAGGAGACGAAGAATCTCAGCATCTGTCCACGGGGCCTCTCGGTCAGGGATTGTTGAGTAGGTCTTGTTCTCCATCTTGATAAACTGGGTGTTTGTCTGGTTGCTAGGTATTCTGCCCTCCAAGTAGCAACTAGGGCAAACATCATACTTGGTCTTGTTTGCGGAGTTTGCCTCTGGCAGATGATAGTAAACTCTGGTGCAATCGACGCCACAGTTTAGGCAGTGGACTTTGACAACAGGCTTGGTTAGATTTTCATCGGCGGTTGGTGAGGTAGCGCCGTTAGTTGTGGCCTCGCCATTCGGTTTGTTTTCGTTCTTGTTTATCTTCGTACCCTTCGCATTTGCTTCGTAGATGTTGCGGCCGATCTCAAGGTTTCGTTCGCCGGCAGCAGTTGCAGCAGCAGCAGCTTTTTGGTCAGTGTCATGGATCCTTTTACCTTCGAGAACAATAGGATCGGCTGAAGGTTGCCAGGGCTGAAGTCCGCGCGGTGTATCGCAGATAACTTGGAAATGACCAGTGAAGGGTGGCCCAACTTGGGACGGGCGTTGATCCGCATCAACCTGGAGTATGTTAGATATGTAATTGTGGCGAGAAGGGTCAAGCGAGTTTACTTGGTAGTTAATTAGTCCCCATTGTTCTAAGAATGCGTGGACGCGCATGATGGCGCAGACATCTCCAGCCAAGTTCCGTCTGCAGGCTGTCACAGTTAAGTATTCGACAGGGTTCAGGCGGTAGGTATTGATCATGAAATCACGGTAATCCTTGTAGACGGCTGGGGTTTTACTTCGGTTTCGACTGTTGAAAAATTCGGGTAGAGCCTTGCGTTCGATGCTGTGGATGGCATTCATATCGAACCAGGTACTGTAACTCGGTAGGACAATAGCGTGGGTTTGGGAGATGAGATGTTCGCGCGCGGCATTCTCGATACTTTCCTTTGACTTTACTTCTTGGGCACCATCAGCACCGGCGGCTACTTCGTCACCATCTTTTTCTTGTCGTCCATCGGCCTGAGCCTCGCCCATTTCCTCGTCATCCTTAGCTAATGTAGTTTCAGCAGGCGGCGCGGGAGGGGCATCGAGTGGGTTATCTGAAGTACCTGCAGGAGCAGGAGTAGTGCTATCTTGCTTAATGATCGGATCAGTCGAGGGTATTTCAGACATCTGCACATCTAAAGTGCCGCATTAGCATATTTAGATACGAGATAGAAAGACAATCATAAAGGTGGTCGTAGTCGCATTCTTCGGGGCTTACCTTCAGCTGCTTGCGCATTCGATGTGTCAGCTTGTAGAGGAGGTTGTGCTAGAATGAGGTTGCTACCAGGTGTAGCTGCATTGGCTGGTGAGCCATAGCTGGCGTGTTCGCCATCCATCTTTGTGGCGAAGGATTATTCCGACTAGTGATTGATTGAAAAAGGGAGAGATTGGGTGATTATAGGGCTGTTGATGAAGCGGACACGACGAATCGCAATTATCAAGAAATTAATTAGGATAGATAATTAGCGAGTGACGAGAATGAAATTAATGTGCGCCTCTGTATTCGTCGGGGAGGATTGATGAATCTCTTTTTATTATTTCATTGAATAGCGTCGATGTGTCGATGTGTCGATGCGATGAGCTTGGGTCGACCGCGTGTTTGGAGAAATAATTTGGCGCGACTTAGAAGAAGAACTGCAGGTGGGTAACGGAAAAGCATTGAACTTTAGGTCAGCCTACTAGTCTACCTGCACCTGGTCAAAGCGTCACCCGGAGAAGAAAAGCTTGGCATTATGGACATCACGTGACCACAATACAGAAATGATCCACCCAGCCACCTAGGCTGCTAGGCTGCTAGGTATATATGTACCTATGTACCTTTTTGTTGGCCCGCTTTTACCTCGAACCGCGATCGGCCCCGATTTATACCTCGGTGTGGGCCGCGAACAGCCGAATTCTATTCCATGTCGAAGACTTAGACGAGCTTCAATTCATTTTCGAGGTTGCTGAACTTCAGTCGCAGAAGAGCATAAGTAACAATGCTTTTCCCCATAGCGACAAGGACAGTTATTAGAAGCGTTGGCGCTCTGCCACGCTCCGCTTCGGCCTTTTCGAGTCCTTTTAGCAGCCCCTCGGCTCTCCGAAGATTATTGTCGTCATTAGCAGTCTTAGAACAGCGCGATGGCAAGCTCAACCACGGCTCCCTAAGCGCAATCACGGCCGCGAAAAAGCTAGGCGGATCGGTACATGGCTTCGTTGCTGGGAGCAACATTAAGGCTGTCGCGGAGGAGGCGGCAAAAGTAGAAGGCGTGGAAAAGATAATCGCAGTAGACAATGCTGCTTACGACAAGGTGAGGAACGAAGAAAATCAGCCCCTCTCTAACTTCCTGCTACTACCTAATACCTATTGTCGAGATCCATAGATAGATAGTTAACTAACCCTAATGGTATAGGGCCTACCCGAGAACTTTGCGCCTTTGTTAGTCGAAAATATCAAGAAGGGCGGCTACACACATATTATTGCAGGACACACTGCCTTTGGGAAGAGTTTGTTGCCGCGGGTCGCCGCACTCCTCGATTCTCAACAAATATCAGATATTACAGCCATCGAGAACGAAAACACTTTCGTCCGTCCGATATACGCCGGTAACGCCATCGCCACCGTCGAGTCTTCCGATCCCATTAAGGTCATTACTATTCGTGGCACAGCCTTCCCCGCTGCCGAAACACAGGGCGGTTCTGCCGCTGTCGAAGACGGTGCTGATCCCAACGTACAAATATCTGTAGAATGGGTTTCCGAAGATCTTGCTAAGTCAGACAGACCAGACTTGGCAACCGCTGGCAAGGTTGTCTCTGGAGGCAGAGGTCTCAAGTCGAAGGACGACTTTGATAAAATAATGCTCCCACTTGCGGACTCGTTAGGCGCTGCCGTTGGAGCTTCTCGTGCAGCGGTAGATAGCGGATATGCCGACAACAGTCTACAAGTTGGCCAAACCGGCAAGGTCGTCGCTCCTCAACTATATATGGCTGTTGGTATTTCCGGTGCGATCCAGCACTTGGCGGGAATGAAGGACAGCAAGGTAATTGCTGCTATTAACAAAGATGCCGAGGCACCGATATTCCAAGTGGCAGACGTGGGCTTGGTTGGGGATTTATTCGACAAGGTACCCGAGTTAACAGAGAAGCTGAAGAACTCGTAGTTATATAAGACTTAAGTACAATATGTTACAATAACCCGGGAGGGAAGTTTTTCAATTTTCATATGGTCTTTGCTGCCTCGGTCATTTCTGTCGCGCTTAGAAATTTCTCTCTTTCTTTTCCAATCCAACTACCCCGTAATTTTTCTGCCTTATTTATCCTCTGCCAGTCATCCCAATGAATGGCTTTGCTTTGTCCAACCTGTACCCCTTCCCGAAGGGCCTCCCAGCCGGCGTTGTTTTCCCCTTCCAGGAATGGAACACCGGCGTTCCAGTCGGAAGCAATTGCATCCCCCGTAGAAAATGCGTCCTCCATAGTTGAGGCAATGACACCCGTTGGGCCTCTTTTGACCCAACCTGCACAGTAAACTCCCGGCACATGCGACCTTTTCTGTTGGTCATTACTCTCGTCGCTTTTAGCTTGTAACACACGACCCATCCCATCGTTGTCGATAATTCCGTTCCTGTCATTGAATGAGATACCCGCCTTCTCAAACCCCGGTAAGGCGGCGGATTTGTAGCCAATAGAACGAAACACTACAGAAGAAGGGATTTCTACTCTTTCCCCAGTGCCGGAGACACCTGTAGATGGGTAGAAAGGCAATACCATAGATGTCTTCTCAAAAACGGTGCTGTCTACGTACCTACCAGGCCCAGCGAGGAATTCTGTCGGTGATAGACAAAAGTCAAGAGACCATTTCTTCGGTGCAGAATCGAACGGAGACGCGGAGCCTTTGACGAGTATATCCATAAGCCTTCGCGGAGCTCGGGGCAATGCCGAAATTTGATCAGGGATGAGAGACCTCTTGACTTGACGAAAACCAACCCCCGGAAGATTCATCAACTCTCGGACCTCCTTGATTGTAAATGCTGCCTAAAAACAGAGTTAGATATCAAGTCTCGTGCATTGTAAGATAGGAAGACTTACCTGCATCGGTCCTCTTCTTCCTACGATATGAACTCGTTTGATACGACTCTCTGACAAAGCCTGAATTGCAACTTCGGTGATATCTGTTTTTCGCAGTACGTCCACATCCTCTAAAAGCATCCTGGCAACGTCAAGAGCAACATTGCCCTGGCCAATGATGACGGCTTCATCTCCTCTAGTGAGGTTAGGATCTAAAGAGGCAAATTCTGGTAGGCCATTATACCAGCCTACAAACTCTCGAGCTGAATAAATTCCCTTTAATTCAGATTCTCCCGGAATGCCGAGCTGTTTGTCCTTTGATGCACCATAAGCAAAGACGACACCGTCGTAGTGACGCATCATAGAATCCAACGGTACTGTACATCCGCCGAAGTGGTCATCTGCGTTGCCGACGGCGACATTTCCAATAAAGGTGAAATCGGGCGAACTGGCAACTTCTTCGAATTTGGTTTCACAATTCTATTTTCTCAAATGATCAATGATTTAGTTACATGGACAGAGACATAGGAGAACATGAACATATTCTTATGTCACCCATACCTTTACTTCGGGATGATCTGGCGCAACTCCGAACCTTACTAGACCGTATGGTACGGGCAATGCTTCATACATGTCAATCTTCGCTCCAGGTAATCTCGACATAATCCGATATGCAGTATAGAAGCCAGCCGGACCTGAGCCAACCACGGCCATCCTTGGGTGTTTGCCATATCGATTTGAAGTTGGAGTTGAAGTCGAAGTTGAATAAAAAGATATTCTAGAGGCGAGTGGCATAGGGGCTTTGCGTCGACATGTTGCGCAAAGCCACGACTTCGTAATAGAAGTCATGCTTCAATTTGATACGCCACACTTTCTAGAAAATATCAATAAGAGTTCCTATTGCATTTCTTAAAAGACAACCTTGAAGGGTATACCTAGGTATGTAAGTGAATAATTAAAGGTGAAGCAGTTGCGATTTCCCAAATCTTAAAATGACGTAGAATTGAAATTTTGGATAGATATCCTTGTCTCGGTCTTCCGAAGTCCGACATCGCCGGTCGCAAAGTCATTGACCATTCATTGGCCAGCAATTAGAGACACAACATGCAACTTCTCTTCTACAAACTATTTTTCTGTTAGATTAATTAAAAATACGCATGCCATTTCTAAAATTTATTCAATATAAACGCTTCTAGATGTTGGCGCTTGATGGAACATTACACATCGTACGGACGTATCGTTACAGATTGTTACAGAATACGCAAAGTCCCATATAAAAATGGGTTCGTTAGTTGTCCTGTCGCCTGTTGCTGTGGAAACCCGCATTGTTTCCATTTTCAGCTCGACTCAAGGGTCAGTTCGGGCGTGTCCTACCCATCCCACCTCTGTCCCCCACTATGGGTGCTCCCGCATTTTCGCAATTCGTAATTCGCCCTTCGCATGCTGCAAGTTTTAAGACCACTCAAGACCGCACATTCCAACCTACCCTCCCTATCGTGAATGTCTCTCAGCCTTGCTTGAAGCGAGGTGGCGTTCTTAGATATGGGCGTTCAACAACCTTACATGTACGACAGCGACAGGCGCGATTCGAGATTGCCTGAAAAACCATTCGACCCTAAGGCCATCACCAGAGCGAGCTGGACACCACAGCCCAAGAAAAAGAAGAAGCAAAATGGCCCTTTATTAGGCTTTGGTCGGCATCCCGAGTAAGTAAACATCAAGTAACCATCGTATGCGACAGCATATGCTTAGTTCTAAAACTAATTCGCCAAAGTGCACAAGCTGTTCCAACTGGCCGGACTTTATTCTTTCGCCCCATGAGTAGCACCACCAAAGGGTGGATCAAGTCTATGAGATATGTCCAATTATTTCTTCGCGTACTCGAGATGATCGGGGGAGGCGGTCTGCTTACCCTCATGATTCTAATCGGGAATGTTGATCCTCTAACTGCTTGGGTCATGAGAATCACGGTATACTTCCACATACACCAGCCTAGCGCATATCCGAGATCTTGACTAACAGTAACATCTAGCCCGGTGTAGTAGCTATCAGCTGCGTTTATGCCATCTGGCATTTCATCCGACCCGTCAATGCAAGACCGCCCGCTTCTTCAGCGGCTTACCAACTATTCGCCGGTGTTATGGACCTGGCTGTAGTACCGCTCTACGCTTTTGGCGCGATCTCTGTCAACAACCACGGCACCGAATGGAAGCTGATTATAACGGCTTCCTCTCAGCTTACTGAGATCCTGGTCCAGAGCGAGTACTACCTCCTCATCAGCGCCGGCGGTCTTCATGTGGTCTCACTTGGTATCTCGATCTACCTTGGTCTCATGTTCCGGCGCATCGCAATTATGCCGCCGGATATGAACCCGCTCGAGAGCCATCTGACCTCGCGCGCCAACCAGCACAAGCGCAACAAGTCATCAGTCGCAACGAGTTACACTGCTGTTTCTGACGACACGAGTTCGAAGCGATTCTCCGGGCTAGAAAGCCATCGCAACTCAGGCGCGACTTTCGAGGACCTCTCCAGGCCCCCGAGTATCCCGTTCATGCACACGCGCACCGGATCGCGAGACTCCTTCGCTTCGTCTAAGCGCGACTCCCGCGCCGACCTGCCGAGCAGACAGTACCAGATCACTCCGGGCAACTCGCCCCGCAATAGTGTTGCGGACATGAAGCGCATGTCGAACGGATCAGGTCTGACCATCTCAACCTCACGCACAGCGCAACGCGGCAACTACACTGAGGTCCCGCTACACGAGACAGGAGTCTCAACACCAACATCCTCGCGGCCATCCAGCGGCGTGACACTAGCCCCGATGCCCTCGCCCTCAGCGCAACAACCGATCAACGCATCGCCGACTCGCGTCGCCAAGTTCACAGAAGCATGGTACGCATCCGAATCGCTAATCAACCGCACACAAGAGCGTCAACGCGCAATGAACGCCGCAGAGCGCCGACGCGAGCGCGAGTCGCGCCAATACGAAGCCGTGAACCAACGATACACCTTCGACGAAGACGACAGCTCAGATGACCGCGACTCAGACCGCGAGAACAACTACGACGTCATCGGGCCAGACTACTCCGACATCGAAGACGACGGCGCGCCTAGCAGCCCTATCAACGTCACCGCACATCTTCACCCGAACCCACTCCGCCTAAACCCAATCCCCGCCACACCCCCCAAAGACGCCATCGCAGGACGGCAGAAAACGCCCTTCCAACGCGACGGCGAAAGCGAGGCTCTGTCTGACGTGAACCTCAACGACAGACGCGTCAGCGGCAGCCGCGACATCGCAGACCAGCAGCCCTCGTCCACATCCGGCGTCACCTCCTTCTGGCGCCGCAGCACAATCGGTAAATCCAAACCGAATCTCAGCCCGCGGAATCGCAACTCCTCGATCCAGCCCGATGGCGATTTCTACGCTAAACCGTACGGCGAGCTGAAGTCTGCTACGCCGCCTATCATGATGGGGACAGGTGGGAATGTGAGTGGTGGTGGGGGACGCCAGGTTTCGTCTGGGAATGATTATGGCGATTTGGGGAGTGCGGGTATGGGGGTTGCGCAGTCGTATAGACGGAATGTGAGTGGGAAGGTTGCGGAGGAGGGGTTGGCTGGGAAGAGGTATTCGCGGTATAGTATTTTGAATGAGGATTGAGGGGGCTGGGTTGGGATTAAGGGGGGGAAGGGTTGTGGGGGATGTTGGGGGAGGGATTGGGATCGAGTGATTTCTATGATACCGCCTGGAGTTAGTCGCTACCTGGTTTTTATTGGATTTTTTGGAAGGGTGGAGGGCGGAGGGGGAAGGGGAGAGAGGAAAGGAACGGTGAACTGTGAACTGTGGTCTAGTCAAGATGTGGTGATTGATATGATGATGACTCACGGGTGTAATACTAGGTATATAAGGGATACTGGGGCTGGCTAGGTTAGGGATCTGGTCTCAATGGGATAATAACTGTTGTTTAAGAGTTGAAGGTGTTGATGAGTGAGATGTTGAATGATGGCTTTGAACGGGTTGGTTGGGCATGCTTCAGATGGATAGCAAGTAAAAAAATACATCGACTTATTGTAGAAATATGTGTTCTGGGTTATGTTTATCGTAGTCATTGCTTTCGAATATTGGACATCCATTCCTATTTACATGCCATTCTTCCATATCCAGTCGTCAATCTACCATAAAAGGGCTATTACCACAAAGGTTCCAGGGTAGTCGTAAAGCCCAAGTCATCACAGTGAATACTACTGTACTATATTAGGGATCTGTATCACTCCAACCCACTCTTCTCCCTAACATACGCGCCCCAATCCGTCCCCGGCATTCTCCCGCTCTCAAAGCCATCCCCCTCCCTCCACCCCATCTCGCTCCACGCGCCAACGCCACACAAATGGCGCATCGTCGGACGTCCGTGGGGACAATTCCACGGCTTATCCAACTCCCCCATATGACGTACTAGCTTCTGCATTTGTGGCGTGGTAAGATGTTTCCCGATCATGACGCTGCTGCGACAGGCCCTCATCGCGAACATCTTGCGCACCTTCGAGGGGCGCGGGACGGCGCTCGCGGACGCGGATTGGTGGTCCGTTAGCATGGACACGAGCTCCTCGAGGTCCGTGAGCGAAAACGTGGTCTCCCGACTCAGCGGCAGGCTGAGCAGTTGGCAGCGGGAGCCGACGGGCTGGTCGCCGCTCTCGTCCATGCTGACGATGAACCCGTTTGCTTCCAGCGCGGGGATGTTCTCCCTGATGACCTCTTCCTCGAGCGCTGTGAGCTCAAGGGTCTTAGGCTGGACTAGGCGTTGCGATTGTACGACTGTGTTGGCTTGCAGACGTTCGAAGTTGTACTTCTCGTCTGTCGCGTGTTGGTCTATGATGAAGAGCTCGTCGTCTCTGTCGCCTTTGACTTCGGGGTCGTTGTGGTCTGCGTTGGCTGGACGGACTGCTAGAATGAAGCCTAGGTTGAATTGTCCGATGATCCTCATTTTTCCAAAATCAGACTTCGAAATTGTTAGGGATAGCTTCTCCTCGGCATCTTCGGCGTCCAGTCTGTCTGTGACTAACTTGGAACTTGTTGATAAGGAGGTATCCTTCATATAGTCCTGGTGCATCTTCAAGGAATCGAGTATTTGGTCTTCATCCACACGTAACGTCTGTAGTAAGGGCAATGTCATGTCTTTTTTCTTCGTACTACCCTTTATAAAGCTTTGGGTGCGTTTTTGGGCCTCTTCGGAGGTACTTATTGCTACGTCTTGAGTAGCATCAGCTGTGCCACCTACTTGGACTTCAGCCGTTTCTTCTGTTTGATCATCTGGATGTTCATCGCCAGTTGGTTGAGTTGGCGATGGTGGTATGTCGTCTTGCAACTCGGCATCAATAGCTTTAGATTCTGGAGGCTGATAGTCGGAATCGTGATCTTCCCCTTCAAGAAATTCTTCATCTTCCTTGCTCTGGACAGAAGCTGCTTTTTCATTTTCCTGCTCGTCGTCATGTTCGTCTTCCTGATCATCTCCCTGTTCCTCATCATCGCCTTGCACGAATAAATGTTCGCTAGAAGCGTCGGACTCTTCCGAGGCATCCGTTGTCTTAGCAGTTGTTTCGATACGTGATGAGTCGGTTTGTTTTGATTGTGAATAGGCTGCGAACATCTGGGTCAAGCGCCCATTGAAGGTAGGGATTGTGACCGACTCTTTAATTACTCGTTGTCTCACCGATGCAGCTCGACCATTATTGTCTTCTACGCGTGGTTTCTTCAAAGGGGAACCGATAATACTAGTGACGGTATGGTTACCTACTGTAATTGTAGCAACTTCGGGTGCTGATCGCTTCAAGTTTGCAGACGAGCTAACTCTGCTGGACCTGATGTCCGACACGCGGGATGATGTAGATACAGCAGGTATTGGTGGTTCATCTAGAGGACTGCTGTCACGCCTGTCTGCTTTGTTTCTGCTCAATTCTGCGAGGCGCGCACGAAAATCAGTTTCCTTGCTAGGTGCTTCAGCTGGGGATATAATGGGTGCTGGCAGGTCCTGAGCGCCGCCTTCCAAATCGTCATCATCACCATCTTCTTCTTCTTCTACGTTATTCCTTGTAAATTTAGTAGAGCTATTTCGGGCTTCTTTTGTTGTTTCTTGATCGTGATCTTCTGATATCTTACTCGTTGTCGGAGGGGTGTTAGCACGTTGTGCCGATCTACGTTCGGCCCATCGGCTCACCAAGTTGATATTTTTATCGTCATGAGTCGGTGTCTTCCTCGAGGCCGAGCTATGTGGCATAGCCTCGTCTACAGATTTGTCGTCTTCATCCTCGTCATCCCCAACGCTGTTGTTTGGAATCACAGAGGCGGAACTTTGACGCTGTGAGTTATTGGCCGACGTAGATGGCATTGATCCACTCTGGGAAAAGGGAGTATTTTGCCTGCTGATAGAAGGCTTCTTAAAAGGTGTCGATTTTATACTGGACAACTGCGACGTCGGGAGCGCATAATCTTGTGATTCAAACAAGGAAACCAACGACTCTCGGAGGTTGTCGAGCATGCGGGTTTGGTCATGTAGAAGAATTGTACGTTTATCCGGGCTGACATTAACATCATATAGATGAGTGTCTAGCTGGATGTCTGCGAAGATAAAAGGGGATTGGGAAGCATTATAAGATTTATACACCTCATTGAATACCTTGGCGAACTGTGGTAAGCCACAGGGACGGCCGTTCACAAAGAACATCTGCCTATCAGGGGTCTGACGACCTTCACCATGGGCAGGGCGAGATACATGTCCCTTGATATGGACTTCTTGGATACCATCGTCATTTTGGCCGGCCCATTTCTGGCCCGGTGCATTTGTGGGTTCCAACTCTAGCTTTAGCTCTAGAGGAATAAGAACGGCCAGGGTTTTTGCTCCAAACACGTTGACAATATTTTCGCGAGTTGTCTGGTTTCCCTTAGTTGAAAATAGTACCATTCGCTTCCCTTTGGTCGGTTGCTGGGACACGGAAAATTTGAGACCAGTTTTGATACAGGCATATTGGTTGAGGACACCGATGACCCTATTCCACTCTCGTTTGATATTTCGCTCCAATTCACGACGACGGACGGGTAAATTGTGAAAAAGTCCTTCAATTACCACAGTGGTCCCTTTTTGAGCGGCTACGACTGTAGTGCTACGAAGTTTTCCGGATGTCTCAAACTCTAGCCTCGATCCCTTTGGGGCATCAGATGCTAGACACGTGGTTATCGTGAACTTGGATAAGGCGCAGAGGGATGACAGTGCTTCTCCTCGAAAGCCAAACGTCTGTAATGAAGCAAGGTCCGAATAAGTAGAAAGCTTGGAAGTATAGTGCTTAAGCGCTATCGTTTCATAGTTTTCTTTGGATATGCCCGAACCATTATCCTGAACTTCAATGGAATCTAAGCCTTGGTTTTTAAAACGGACTTCTTTACATGGACGTATTAGCAATTGGATCCTAATATAGAAGGAACAAATGAGGTAAACGATACGAACCTATGCTTGTAGCTCCGGCGTCTAGACCGTTTTCCACCAATTCCTTTACTACGGAGCACAGGTCGACAATGACTTGGCCAGATTGGATTTGATGGACCTTGACGGCTTAGCATTCACAGTGAGATATCAAAGTTCTGGACAGTTACTCACGGATCTAGCCTCAATGGCCTTAATAGTCGCCATCGGTAGGAGGGAAAGAAGCTCACTCGGCTTATAAATCAGAATAGGGGCTTATCCTATCTGAGTTGTCTAACGTAGTCGGCTTTAGATACGCCGTGAAAGCGTCTGTAATTATGCATGTGGGATGAACCGGTCAACCGACTATCCACCATCACTGCCCCCGATAAGATCCGTAGAGAGAACCACAAGTTCTTCGAATATCGTTAAGTAGGTACCATGTAGACTAATATCTTCAGCCTCGTCGCGTCATGTACAAATTATGTAATATGAAAACGCGTTGAGTTCCAAAGTTGGTATCGAAGATGTGTGGCGCGGTATCGAGAACCAAAGTTAATGAAATGCGTAAGCCACAATTGGTGGGTCCAATGTGGGTTTACGAGGACCGAGATTGGAGTTCTCCAAGTGGGGCTTGTACATATTGTGCAGAAGTTCCAAGTTGATGGAAATATGGAGTTTCATGTTCCAAGATTCACTCTGATCGTCCTTGAATAAATTCCTGAAGATAGAAATTTTCAAGTAATAAGTACACCTATCGACACGCCTATAGATGAAATAAAAGCCTCATAAAAAAAACAAATATAATAATCTGCAGGATGATCGATGTATACATAGGTATCGGCCAAACTATCGGGCAAAGAAAAGGAGACTTCTAGCGAAAAGTAATATGACGTCAAAAATCTGGAAAAATATCCCCCCGGGTTCGTATCCATCCCGGTCCGCGGCCGCCGGTCTTCTTATGCATCGGCCTACGTACATACTAAAACTTTAGTCTTTAATGGACCAAAAATTTAATGAGGAGTTCACCAACAAATTCGGCTTCTTCTTCTATAACAACGATAATAATCAACACATCAGACTTGCAAATCCCAAAGTTATCATGACGGAATAGGGGAACTGTCAGCGATCCATCGTCGTGGTGATCGTCACATTAGCTACATATGTACCTACATACATCAGCCAATCCTCCCGGAGCCCGGCAGAACCAAGACTCCAAATTGTTCTTGGCAAGCTTGACACTGCAGCAATGTTTGGCTAGGGATAGCTACTATGTAGGGATGCTAAGACCTTAGTGATGTCGACATGTCGATAACGGAATCTTCGGAAGCCACACACAGACTTGATATCCTTGCTATCCTATTCGGCCTTATTCCCAGTCCCAGCTCTTCCCACAGTTTGTATTACACATTGGATACACATTGGATACACATTGGATGTGTTTACGACCAGACTCGAAATCCAAGTTTACGAGAAAGCGAAGACGACTGGTTCCTCTACTCGGGTACCTACATCTTCATGTAGGTACGCAGACGGGCGAGTAATTGGATTTCTCCGTAAGATGTCATCTGAAAAAGCTTGGGGGAAGCTTTGACGTCTGGGAAAATTGAAAGATCAGATGGATCATTCTGTCATTGTACCCCGTGACCATCCCGGAGACTTTTGATGTGGAACGATGATGGATGTTTATCCATAGCAACCATAGGCGCTCTACATTGCAAGGGTTACATGTCACCCACTACGGTAGCTGGAAATATATGCACACTAGGCCACTGAGACATTGCTTCTTCTCACGACATCTCTCCCTATCCAACCTGCCAGCGCAAATCAACCAAGTGGAGCCATATTGGGCACATTTTCTTGCTCGAATACGGAATACAGCTTGATGTACCAAGGTATGTATGTCAAGTGAGCTCTCTATTTCATGCAACGTCTACTATAACGGTCTGTCAACACGAGCTCGGCTGTCACATTTTGCCGCGCATAACCAGAATTGTGGCGGCTCGGACAGCCACGCTACCACAAAATTCAAGACATCATCAAAACAACCATTAAACTCCCGACAATCTATAACTTTCTCGTACGGCACAGCATCGACCGTTGATGAGATCGCTGGGACTCTGGAGATTTTATTCTCCACAAGTACACGTGTGTGCGACTTGGGACCGTTGGTTCTATCGTCTGTAAAACACAAGCTGAGACGAGCGGATGGGACAGCGCGCAGTTTGTGGTTCGCCGATCGCCAAGTTTTTGCTAGCCCTGGAAGTACATCCCTTGTCTTGCTTTTCCCCGCAAACGGACGGTACCTTAGTAAATGTCTTGATTGCCTGTAGGTAAGCAGGTAAGCACTGGGCACATGGTAAGATGGATATAAGGTACTTTACTTCTATGTAAAAAATTTTTTGGTGAGAATTGCATGGGGGGTAACAGCAATTGATCGCATGTCACATAGATTATAGAGTACATGCCCTATGCATCCTTTGATTTAAAACATTATCCTTGATAATGTTACCCTCCCGATTCTTACCTTTTGCAGACGCATGCAGCAGTAGGTACATACATAGCTACAAGGTAGGTATGGATTTGATCTACCTAAGCACGCATGCTTTTGACTGTCTGGCGGTATTAACATATCGTTTATTCCTAAGCGGGCTTAGATAATTCGGTAGCTGAAGCCAAGCTAACGTCATTAATGGTACCATCGTGGGATAAGAAGCAGGAAGAGGTTGGTTTGGGCGGTTCAAGCCAGGATTTGGCCCGTGTGGACCCATTAAAATCCAAGTCCGATAAGAAAGAACATGGGTTTTAGACTCCACTTTACATTAGTTGTTACAAGGGTAAAGTTATGTACTCGTGCTACAGGTCCAAACCTTAACGTTCCTTGAAAAGTTACGGGATTAAGCACTAGACTAGTCCCATTAATTAACAAGAGCCTCCCCTAATTCCCCCAATTGCCCCCAAATTTTAGCATCGGGGCGCTAAATTTCAGTTTGCTCTAGCCTGGATGGTGGAGGAAAAGAACCTTGAAGCATTGCCAAATCGCATATCTCGATTATCCTCGAGATTTCCCGCGTTTTGTACTCTCCCATCCATTCCCCGTCAACCTTCGAAGCTACACGACACAAAAATAAAAAATACCATCACTCGTGGAACTACACATCCATCCTTTTGTGACCCATCCACCACCGAAATAATTACGAAACTAGTGGCTTGGAGGGACCGACATTCGTTTTCGACCGTTTGGCGAGTTGACTAGACTAAAAAAAAACATAACACACGGACAGGATTGAACCTAGGGATACATACAATTTACTTCTCTCCTTAATAAGATCAACCATCTTTTCGAGGTCCCTACCACATTTAACCTATAAATCCGACACTGCGCAAGTCGAATCTTGCCGATATCTCGATTAAGACCGTCATTGCGCTAGCTGTAAGCCGAATTTTATCTCGAAACGGCATCTTGTAGCGAATGACGGACGTCAAGCCAACCTAATCCATATCTAGGTATATACCGAGACCCAAACGACCATCGAATTGCTTAGCATCGCTTATCGAGTTAACTCTACAAGATAAGAGGTCTCTTACGAGAGCCTCTTCTTCCTCATGCAGAGGCGCTCGTCGGGGTCGTCCGAAGACAGCGCCGATGTTCCTGTCAAGACCTCGCGCCCTCAAGGACAGACAAGGCTGAACGACGCAAAATCCTCCGTCCGCCATTCCCACGACATTCGCCAGTCGGACCACCACCTCCAAAATTCCGGGACGAGATCTACGTCTGCAAGAAGTAGAAGACCGAGTAGTAATATTAATTGGCGACCTTCCCATAGTCGAGATGGCTCTACGGAGAAACCACCCATAGCTTCTCATCTTACACCAGCCACATTATCACCCGACTACCCGATCGAGAGTGAAAGAACGTCGAGGTTAAGACGGAGGAATAGACAACCGCAGCCATGGAATCCATGGGCTATATCGATTTTGACGCTTTTTACGAGCGTTCTAGGTATCGGCCTTCTATTTGGTGTTTTATACTCCTCCACCACTTTGCATTGTGATCCCAAGGGATGTCGCATGTCCTGGATGAGCCCGTCATACGCCAAGTTTAGCGATTTCGATACCGAACATACGCGATTTGCAACCAAGTATTCCTTATATCTATACCGTGAACAGGGGTTTGACAATGGACCAAAGGTACGGATGTCTCGCAATAATAGTCGCTTTGAAGCCAGTATTGATTTGATATACAGATTAAAGGAATACCGGTGTTGTTCATTCCCGGAAATGCCGGCAGCTATAAACAAGTTAGATCTATTGCGTCTGAATCAGCTAGATATTTCCACGATGTCCTACAGCAAGACTCGGCTGCTTTAAACGGAGGTGCTAGGAGTTTGGACTTCTTTACTGTCGACTTCAACGAGGACTTTACCGCCTTCCATGGGCAAACAATGCTCGACCAAGCCGAATACATAAACGAAGCTATCAGGTATATCCTTTCTCTCTACTTGGACCCAAAGATCTCAGAACGAGATCCGAGTCTTCCGGACCCTTCTTCGGTTATCATATTAGGCCACTCTATGGGAGGAATTGTAGCGCGAACTATGTTTATCATGCCGAACTATCAAGCAGACTCCGTCAATACGATTATCACCATGTCGGCGCCGCATGCTCGACCACCTGTCACGTTTGACCCGCAGATCGTCAGCATATACAACGATATCAACAATTATTGGAGGCGCGCCTATTCGAAAAAATCGTCAGCTGAAAACGCTCTGAATCAGGTCACACTTGTGTCCATCGCTGGCGGTGGTTTAGATACTGTCGTACCATCGGATTACGTGGGCTTGGAATCTATTGTGCCTGAGACCCACGGTTTCACCGCCTTCACATCTACGATCCCTCACGTTTGGACAAGCATGGATCATCAAGCAATTACATGGTGTGATCAGTTTCGTAAGGTTATAGTCCGTGCGCTATATGATGTCGTCGATAATCGAGGAAGGTCGCAGACGAAGTCACGAGCGGACAGAATGAGGGCCTTCAAAAGGAGATTCTTAACCGGATTAGAAAGCTTCGTCGAGAAGACTCTACTAGATTCGGCACCGTCAACATTACTCACGCTAGAAGACCATACTACTACCGTACTTCCAGCGGATGAACATCTTGTTCTTCGCACCCTAGGTTCACAGAGGAAGCCTAAGGCGTATCTTCTCCCATTGCCGTCAGGCGAATTTGCTAAGGAGAAGAGATTTACATTGCTATCAGACAGTCATCTGGATCGGCCGGATGAAGATGGCAAGCTAGAAGTCCTATTCTGCAATCTCTTTCCCGCACATGCTGGACAATCTAACATACCATTCTCGGCAAATATTGACCTTTCTAGTGATGATGGAGCGTCGACCAAATTTGCTTGTAAAAATACTGCATCCGACGTAGTATCCTTACCTGCCTCTTCCCGTTTCACGAAGGAAACCTTTTTTAGGGAGGACGAGTGGCAAATTCCGCCATTCTCATATCTCGAGTACGACATGGAGGACACCTTAGGCTATGAGTTTGTGGCGGTTGTCGACAAGACTGCATCTCCTACGGCTGGTTGGTTGCTGGCCGAATTCAGCGACAAGGCTGCTTCCCAAGTGACTCGACATATTGGTATGAGGCGCCTACTAAGCTTCGGCTTGTCGGTTCATCTTCCCGCGAATCGACCGATGGTCACCGAAGTCAAGCTTCCATCTGTTCAAAGCAGCCTTTTGGCATACAATTTGAAGATCGATGGCCAAACATGCAACGAACGAGAGCAAATATTCACCCCGCTTGTTCGCCAATACATATCTGAGCCCTACGAGTCAAAGTACTTTGTCAATGCTGAAGAGGTCGAGATTAGTCTTCACGGTGTCTCACCTTATGTGCCTCCGCCAATGAAGTCTAGACTATCCGATGATGGCCTTAGCCTCCAGTTTTGGACAGACCCAACATGCGACTCCGGCCTTTCTATTCGTATTACAATTGACTCCCTGGGTAGTCTCGGGAAGTTGTATATGCGTTACCGCACTATTTTTGCATCTTTCCCTTTGCTTATAGTTGCACTCGTATTACGAAAGCAATTCCAGGTCTACGACAACACCGGAGTTTTTATCCCCTTTTCGGAAAGTCTTGACTTCTGTCTGAGGCGGTCATTGCCGATGCTTCTTTTGTCTATGACTCTTTTGTCACTTTCGATGGGACAGTCAGGTTCGCCTGGGTCGAAAAGCCTTTCGTTTTGGCAGAACAATACGGGGATTATCAACTTCGCGCAGAATGACCTGTTGGTAGGTACTTCGGACCCGTTCTTCTGGTTTCTTATCCCGATGATCGGTATCATCTGCGTCGGAGTTTGCATGGGTCTCCATTATGTAGCGCAAATCCTCACTTGGTTGCTTAGTACCATCTACAGTTGGGTTTCTGCTCGGCCAGTCATTCAACTACAGGAGAAGAAACGAGCCCTATCGCCAGCAGTTGCGCCTTCGTCGCCAACGCGAAGACTTATTACTGCAGTGTTTGTCTTTATTTTTGTTTCGGCATTTGTCCCATATCAGTTGGCATATGTGGTCGCGTGTCTCGTGCAGCTAAGCACTGCCGTCAGAGCCAATCGATCTGCCCGTGAGACACCATCATTGGCCAGTTCTAACTTCAACAATTATGTTCACTCCATTTTCCTGTTGATGTTGTGGATCCTACCAATCAATTTACCGACCGTGGTTGTCTGGATACGAAACTTAACCGTCCATTGGTTTACGTCATTCTCATCTTACTACAGCATACTATCGATTTTACCATTCATAGTCCTTGTTGAAAACCTCACAGCTGGCAAAATGATCCCACCCTTGACAAGTCGGCTTCGACACATGACAAACATTATCTTCTTCGGCACAGCCGTCTACGCCGCTATATATGGCGTGACGTATGGATACATGATACATCATCTGGTAAATCTAATTGCGGCCTGGCTCGCTGCAATTCATTCAGCATCCGATTCCTGGACACTTTCCGGAATAAGCTCGATATTTGAAGGCGAACTTGCCGAAGATCGCAAGCAGGGCAAGGATCCTTGATTATCAGCTGAACTTGGGTTACTCGTTCCCTAACTGTATATGGGCGAGCCTCAAAAGAAAGACACGCCCAAAATGTTTGGATATAGACCGACCTCGAGGCTCGGTCTTGCAACCCATATCACATTAGATATCAATCCAAACCGGGCAGGATGCTCTTATTGGAACTTTTGGTTCCTTGTATATATATTTTAAACCCGTTCCTATGTTGCCGGAAGAGTTCGACGTTTACTTCCAGCTGCTCCTTGACAATCCTCTCATAGTCAGAGCGTACCTCATCGAGTAGCCCTCACCTCGTCACTCAGGACGAGGATATTTTCTTTTCATACGAATATTTTCCAGGGCCGCTTGTACGACTTCACATTTGCATTGTGGTTTGGAGTTTGGTTATCGATGGATCGGCAAGTCTCAACAACGACTACAGGCTCTTTTGCCCCTCACAAGCCACTTCGTGGCGCATCAAGTCTGCATAATGTTTAGCTGGAGAGTGTCGTTTTCAATCGGATCGACGACATGTAGTCGAAATTCTTGTACAAAACTTTTTTTCGCCGCTTCCTAATCCTCAGATACCTAGGGAATCCAAGGCGGGAGGCACGGGCTTTTATTCTAGTTACTTGCTATCTCCTCTCGGAGAACTTACACTACAGGATGGTCGGCCACGGTTGGGGATCTTCGGGATACAGAGTTAGGAGGGGAAGGGCTAGCTATAGATTTGGTTTCAGGACAAATCAAACCAACCACATCGCGTCCGACGGACGTGTACACATAATCATAATCCATTAGAGAGAGAGAGAGAGAGAGAGAGAGAGAGAGAGAGAGAGGAAGGGAAAGGAAAGGGACGCGCCGAGAAATTGCCGGAAGGGCCTGGTTTGGACAGACGGCATCGATGGAAGAGCAAGGAAGAAAGAAAGAAAATAATGGATTCATCCCCCCGAGAGAGGGGACTGCAACGCGTCTGCTTTGGCTACCTAGTTAAGTTAGATGGATACGTAGATGGCGTCTGAGTCATATACTCCTACGATAGCCTGAATCACAATAAACCCCTATGATCAATAATTACCTACCTATTTGCCTACTTGCTAAGAAGCTGTTCCTCTTCTCTTATTTATTATTGTCAAGTACTTTCAAGCCAGGTGGTGTGAAGATAAAGCAGTACCACGCAACGATTTAAATTATAACGCAACACAAGCGTCACACAACTCTCTAGTAACCCGGACGTAGCACGAATCTTGACTTCGCCATGAAACACGGGTAAAAAAAAAACGGAAATCTATTTCCACCTCAATCTATGTGTGTATCCCCCCCACTCCCATTCTATACCGCACCGCACGACCCCCACCAAAAACGCCGCTCGGATACGGGTTTAAACCATGATAATGATATAGTTCACGTCCGGCCCCCCCTCTAAAAAAAAACATTGAAGCTACTACCTAGGTATCGAACCGTGTATATATGTATGTGTATGTGTTCCCAGATCGTCCCTATATCCCACCTACATATTCGATGTAGGGTTTCTTTCTACCGCCTAGCCCCGGGTCCGGATTCCTGATACATCCCATACTACATACATATTATGTATTTAAATCGCTTTCGCATCCACCTTTACTTTATCTGCCTGCTTAACTTTAGATAGGTAGGAATCCTGATCTCTGCCTAAAACTACTCCCTCGCGCGGTTCTTTCCAGCCGACTCCGCGAGCCTGCTCTTCCACTGGTGCCAGATAACCCATAGGGTGACGACGAGTCCTAAGCCGCACGCGCCCAGAGTGACGACGTAGGCGGCCCAATAGCACTGCAGGCCCTCGGTACACGAACTCACACCGTCTCTATCTTTGATAGAGTGCGCGTCAAACACCGTACCGTAAAATAGGTTGAACACATTACTCGAGATGACGGGGCTCAGAGTCATGAAGCCCCAGTTCTGGCTCAAGCCATGAATACCGAAAGATTCGGCGACGATGGACGGAAAGACGCCGAACAGGAACCCATAACCTAGACCGCTAAACCCGGATACGAAGCCAAGGAGGTGCGGGTTCGTTACATTGAGGGCGCATACCTGGGCGATCGAGAAGATGCCCGAGGCGACGACTAGGCACCAAACGCGGCTCGATTTGAGGACCTTGACGAGGAAGTCGGAGCCGACACCGCTAAGGAGGCGACCGGAGAAGCTGCCGATGGATAGGATGGAGACGTGCAGCTGTTGGCGGAGAACGAGGGTCTTATCGTCGATAGAGTCGTCGTAATGCTTCCAGAGCGCCGTAACATCGTTTCCGATATTACTAAGTACAAATGGAGTCAGGACGACGAGGCCGACGAGGTGCAATCCCGGAATGGGAGGAATGGATAACTCACTTAATAGTCATGAGGCCGATACCGGAGAGTATGCCCATGATGGAAAACAATTGCCAGAACTCAATATTCATCAGGAGGTTCATGCCACGGATATCTACACGGTGAGAACGATCCATATCAACACTGCTCTGCACTAAGACTTCACCTGGCAAGGAAGAGGACAAAGTAGACTGGGAGAGAAGCGATGACGTCTCATCGGCACCGTCCTGGTTGCCTGACGCAGCTTCCTCGGTATCGACCGCTTGGGTGGTGGTGGTAGCAATTCCTTTGCGGTCTGCGTCTGGGACTGGGTTTGAGACTGGGAAGTCTCGGATGCTGTGCGCCCCGTCCTCTTGTCCAGAGGCTTCTTGGGTCTTGTTGGTGATGGTGGTTTCAATAGTATTATGCGACATACCAGGTTCAGAAGGATTGCCACGACCAGCGCGGGCTTTGGATTCCTGCGATGTGGTACGGCGCAACTCCCGGGAGTCTGCCATACCTGGCTCGGCATCGGGCACCGCATGATAAGGCGAGTGGGGCGGGAGTACGCGTAAGAAGAAAAATCCAGCGAGGGTTAGGCCGAAAGTGCCATAAGCGAGTAACATCAAGAATTTGCTTGGACTACCGGGGAAGAGTATGGAGCCTATGAGGGAGAAAAAGAATGCGCTGAGACCAAAGGCGGCAAGCGGAAAGGCGGTGGCGGTGCCTCGGTGATGTGGCCAATTTAAAGCCGACGTCTTCACGGCGGCGGCGAATGCCATACAACCGCCGAGACCAGTTAGATACGACACAAAACACATCCAGGGAACGGACCCGTGACCGGCATCGTATGCTTGGTGTAGCGGGTAATAGCCGAGCCCAAGTAGGATAGATCCGACGATAACAGCGGGCCGCGGTCCCTTACTATCGACGAACATTCCGACGGGCACACCCATCGAATACATTCCCAGATTACCAGCGAGACCGATCAGATTGCTCTCGGTCGCGGATAATAATAATTTATCCGCGAATTGAGGTGCCCATGCTGAATAGACATACTATCGCGTGTTGTCAGGTTGATATCATACATATCGAGGATGTTTCAACGGAGATGATGGGGGGAATCCCTTACATTCGTTCCGCAGGCCAGCGAGATAACGGTCGCAGCAACGCTCGACACGATGCGAGCATTGTAAACCTGGTCAGAAATAGTCATTTTAAAAGCAGTTAGTGTTATGGTAAAGAAGATATCATGTCTCTTTTTGCGACGTGATAGTCTACAAAGAAAGTGGTAGGTGAGGCTGAGATGGATGACGAGGATGACGAGTACGGAATATCTAAGACAGGAGTTGGCGACAGAGATCGGAGGTTACGATATAGCACAACAAGAGGTGCGATGTCGGGAAAAAAGGAAATCCGGGGTATCAATATACTGGACTTCCCATGCCGAACATAAGGATTGGGAACGAATGAAAGAAGGGTAAGTAATCGGGAGTTAGTTGCTGCGAGAGTTAAAGGGGATTGATAGGACGCTCGACGAATGTCGCAACAATTACGGGATGCGCTTATCGGCTTATCTCGCCTCAACCCCCTGCCGCTTCAGGCCACGATGCGGCTCGACCATCCTTATTGGAGTTAGTGCCGACCGGTACGTCGGCATCAACTGCTGCACCTGTGCACCCATTTGAAACTTGGCAAGCCAAGCAAGCTTGGAACCCTATCTGATCCGCTCGATTACTAACCTTGGCGCATGCCCAGTGCTAACATAACACTTGGTTCCACTGAATCTTTACCCGTATGACAAAGAGACATGTGACCTCGCGTAGGAAAGGGGTTATTTGTACGAAATATTGATGTTGAATTTGGTAAGAAATTGGTCAAAATTAGTCAAAGTTGACTTCGAATAGTTTTTTTCTTTCCAGATACGTATGCTATACACCGCTAAATGCGGTCCGCACTTTCTGCCAACGTCCAGGGGTACCTTCCATCTGGAGACTGTTACCTAAGAGTTGCCTCATAAGAAAGGTTGTCAAGATTTTCGGAAAGAGCTGGTTGCAATAACCTTGAGTCCAATATTGGCCATGTAAATTAAGGGATGAGTACACGCGTAACATATCTACCTAAGTAGGTTTCTAGGTAACTAGGTAATATCCCTTCAATTCCTGTTATTTGTCATCTACTATGTACGTATCATATTCAACTGAACATACGGGTATGTTAGAAAGTGTCTCTCTACGTTAGTCCCCGGTAAGATATTTTCGTCACAATCTCAGACACGGAGAAACCTCAAAAACATACCTACCGGGCCTTTTATAAAAGTATTATTAAGTAACCCTTAATTATTTCCAGCTAATTCAGATCGCCTTGGTTAGTCCTGACCCAACCTTAAGAATTCGGCTCACTGTAAGGCTTATGAAAGAAGCCACAAGTAAAGCACCACACCACACAACCAAACCGACCCAGTCCTCATCGTCGCCGAGAATTGCGCCAGCTATAGGGTTGCTAACGAGCATACCAAAGCCTATAAATGCCAGGGTCATGCCAAGGCGTGTGCCAATCTTACTTTTATCGGGACAGAAGCTGACGATACTAGCAGCAGGCAGCCCCATGAAGGCGCCAGCCATAAAGCCGTATAAAACGATAACAACGACCAGGGCAGCGGTAGTTCGGATCGCAAGCATGCTGAAGGTCAGCACGGCGCCTGCCAACGCTACAGAAGCCTGTGTGTTGAGGCTTCCAATCCGGTCAGCGTAGTAACCCGGGATGATGCGGCCGGGCAGTGAGGCGGCGTTAATAATTACGAGTAGATAGCCGGATAGGTGGGAAGAGACATCAGTTCGCTCCAATGCTAACAACTCGACATAATTAAAGATGATATAGAATCCCATGACGCCAAAGAAAAGGCCCAAGTTCAAAACGAGATAAGGCGTATCTCTAAAGGCAGTGCGATCGATCAATCCCCTAGTCGGTCGGGGCGGCGCAATCGATTTCATGAGGAAAACCGGGATGACAGAGGTTGCTAGAAGGATAAAAGCCAGCACGCGGGTGGCCCAGCCGAACCCGACCTGTGGCTGCAGCGCATTAAATGCGATGGGGTATATGATTCCGCCTAATTTGAATATAGGTCAGACTTGTATAAGTAATTAGGTAGGTCCTAGTTATGGTTTTACTATAATTCGAAGTAGCAAAACATACCAATAGCGCTACCGGTAGATGATGCGCCCATTGCCAGCGCAGTTTTGGCGTGGAAATGCTGGGAGACTATAGCCGGCGCAGGTAGGTATAGGCAGCCGAATCCAAGACCCATCATCAAGGCCTGTGTCAAGAATACCTGCCAGTAGGCGGAAGTGATGCTAGTGAGAAACATGCCGACGATCACCAATAAAGATGCGGACCAGAAAAGCCATCGAACATATCCTGCGTCGAAGAGGGGACCGGCAGCAAGAGAGACAAGGAAAAGTAAGAATGATTGGGTGGACCCGATCCAGGCGATGTTCGATGAGGAGTAAGAACTCAGCATGTCCAACTGGTAGAAAGTCTGGAAGGCACCAAACGAGTTCATCATGCCCCAGGTATTGAGGTTCAGAACGAAAGCTCCCAGGACCTGTACCCAAGCAAATACACCTTCTTTTGGCGTTGACTCTTCCGCCTGCACATCAAGATCCGTATGCTGCAGGGCATCGGAAGGCTCATCGCTTTTCTCAGATGCCATAGTCGCTTTCAACTCGGTCGTTACCATGGGCCTCTTCACAATCTGCTCTTTTCAAATTTGAAAAATGACGTTGGGAAGTCGAAGACTAAGTCCACAAAGAAACTATCAAGGGATGGCCCCGGTCCCCACCTTCGCTCTTTGATTGGAACATCTGCGCGCACGCGTCGATGTATGTTATACGCATGTTGGTACTTTATTGAGCTGTGTAATATCCCTTTGGGATGTTGGCGGCACTTACTTGGGAACTCACCTAGAACTAGGTACCTAAGCCTATAAGGTCGCCTAAAATAAGCTATGCGTCCTATTGTATCCGTACTATTTCCACTTAATAATTAGCGCCGATGCTGCGCTAACACAACCTTAAATGAACGTCTCATCCAGGTTTGATATGGGTTGCCCTTTTTTGAAATCATTATAACAGCTGGTGGAAGTATTCTTCGAAATTTGAGAAAGCAATATTGTAGAAGTGAGAGTGCGCGCCGTGCGACAATTTGGTGAGATCGAAATCTTAACCCACACAGCCACATCAATGACGGTCAATTAATGATCCGTCCGAAGGACATTCTATGGGAAATTGATCGCGGTGATTGATTGGCTCGATTATTCTTAGCGCGGCGCCCACGTCTTGGCAAAACCTTAAGTACCTGATTGGTTGCATCGCCTTCGGGTTCACTGATTAAATCTTTAATCTTCAAACTGAACTTCGAACTGAGTGTTAACTATTCGAAGAAATGACTTTTGAGCTGATCTCTCAACTGATTGTTAACTGAATCTAGGGACGGATTTACTGATTATTTCACAGATTGTTGAATTGACTTTCGAACTAATTCACGGACTAATCTAGGGACTGATCTAACAGATCTGACTAATCGTGAGCTTAACTTGACAACGGTTTTTACAATCAAGAACGCATTATTCAACATGTCCCCCTTCTTACATTCTTCAGTAAAACCTTAGCTTAAAAAAGTATAGAGAAGGAGAAAAATATGTTGTTTCAAGAATATTACCACCGCGATAAATCCGAGGAAGCAATAGTATGAAAATCCAAGCACGTCGGTATGTCCGCCATCGAACTTTCATGTGCGAGTCGGTGGTTACATGTTACTCGTCTATTCCTTGAGTATCGCCTCTACGATTCCGTCGGCGTCCTCTTGCATAGGCTGCCAGAATTTCACAACTTCGAACCCAGCCTTGTCGAGCAGCTCTTCCCACTGCCTCTCGGACCGTTCTATGCCTGAATTAAAGGCCATCATGGTCATATCAAGCGCGGCGTGGAAGGGTGATGCCCCCTGCTCCGGAATTATCATCTCGTGAATGAGAAGCTTCGAATAGCCTGGCTTCATCGCCTTTTTGAGCTGACTTAGTATTCTCAAGCCTACTTCATCAGACCAATCGTGGAGAATGTGATGGTAGAAGTATGAGCGTGCGCCTAAATGGTAGTTAGTAAATTTTTGGGAAACTTCATTCATGAGTAGTCGATTTATTTACCTTTAACCGGTTGCTCTGTGAAGAAATCATACGCCATCGGCTTGATGGAAGGGTCGAGAACTTCAAGGTTGTCTGTCACGGCGGCCAGGTCTTGCAGTACTAGAAGTCCCTGATCCGGGTATCTGTTGTGGAATGCAAGAAGATCGTGACCTTTTCCAGCGCCAACGTCAACGAGAAGGGCAGATTCCTTATTTGCGCCGTCGATGAGTCGCTCTTGAACCGGAAACCAATCGACCCAATAGTCTCTGGCTCCCATAGTATTCCCCATGAACAAGTTGAAGTCTTTCATCATAGCTGGCATTGTGCTGAAAAGTTGGAATATGTTCAACTTGGTTTGGAAAGCGTACTGGATGAAGCCATCATGAGGGTTGGTGGGGCAACGATGGCCGGATTCTTTGAGCCATTTGGGTGCCTTGGTTGCAGCACCTACGATCATCTCGCCACTGATAAGCTCATCAGTAGGTAGATATACAAATATTAAAAATAATATGAGAGACCAGACACGGCTTTGATGCCGATTTACTAGATACTCACACCATTCTATGCCCTGCGGCGATTTCTTCCGTTGCCATGGCTTCGGTGATTGGTGTGGCCTCCCACATCCGCTCCCCAACCTCTTTGATGAAGCCTGTGGCGGCCATAGGTCTCAAAACTCGGACTAATTAGGTAATCGTTAATCGAGTTCATGCGTAGGTATTGAGACACGCCGAGCTAGCATACTAATAAGCAGCTCTTCCCCGCCCGAAAGAGTGGCGAGCTTCTGGGAAGTAATAGGTCCGTCATGGCTAATAATCAACTTGAACAGATCAAGATTGACAGCGATTCTTGCAGCTATGGTAATGAATGGCTGTCAAAATAAGTAAGTCAGAGAGCCGACATATACAATCATAGAAGGAGGCAGAGTACCGCAAAAGCCAAATTCACAGCTGCATTCTTAGGCTCTTCAAGACTTGCCGCCAATTCTTTACTCAGCTGTAACGCTTCGTTATGAGCTTGAACATCATCTTTCAAAGATAGCCTTGAACTGAGGCTATTGAGCTTTTCGATTATGGTGACTGTCTGGTTCGATGCCATCTTGAGTAGCTGCAGCGTAGAGGGAGAGGGGTAACTTGAATCAATGTTAGTAGCAAGCACCAGGAAATAAAAAGAAATGGTCGATGGATGATACGGAGGGTTGATTTGTGTAACATTTAGAGTCTTACCGAGGTTGGCGCCAACCTTGCAGCCTCGTAATGTTTGTTGAGTTGTTGGTTTGCTTTTTGATGAGGTAGTCGGCTCTTTGAATCGGCACAGGACGCCGCCACACTCGCTTTATGTCTATGTACAGCATATTCTCTTCTGGATCTGCAATAGGCTCTCAGACTCTTGATAATTCAGTCTCCAATACACCAAGTATCATGCGACAGCCTCGGAGCGGCTGTGGTCTCCGTCTCGCGAGTCTTGCTACCATTTCTACGGCCGAAGTTCTTGCACGATTTTATGTCCGCCTACGAATCATACGGGTTCTAACACTCAACGATTCCATCATTGCAGCCATTCTTGTGAGAGCCTCTATCATACCCCCCGTCATGGTACCGTCACCAACGTCCGAAAGTTAGCGGATGCGTTGAATAGCTTCTTGTGCTAGGGGATACGTAGCATATTTCCATCGAGCTCGACTTCTTGGGGCTTGGGGCGACACACCAGAGCATTTATGTCATGCGTGCTATTAATTGGGTATACCTATGCGAGTTCTTTTTCATTTCGTTGTTTGGGTTTAGCCGAGTATCGTTTGCCATTTTACTCATCGGCCTTATGCTTCCAGCGAAAACACAACGCCGATTTATCTAGGCTATTAGAGATATCCTGTTCATAGCGTATGTTTTGATTATCATCAACGGCATTAGTCAATGTAAACGTGTTTGTACAAGCTGTATAGAAGCTAATTTCAGGGTTATCTTTGCTATTTCAATAGTGGTGTGGCTCAGGTCCGGAAGCGCGATCATTGATTGGCCAAGATCTCATTCGATAAGCCACATTGACTAGTGTAGATACAGATTATCAGAGACCTCGCGCCCTAACCTCAGCCACATTATTGAAATGCTATACTACTAGGTATTGAAATAGTATATCTGCTCCCAATAATCTTGGAATAATCACAACATTCTGACTATTCTTTGCTGGATGTACAGCACCGCCATAATCTCTTCTCTATTCAACATCAAGCTTCGGTAGTATGATCTCTTACTGACCCCCTAACCTTTATCGCTATGAACCTGTGGAGTCGAACTGTTCTGTTGCCTCAAGGAATAAAACCCCAAGGTAAGAAGCAAAGATAAAGACATCAATAACGGTAAGACCGTAATTACTTCGGCCTCCTTTTCGACCCACGTGCCTTCTGAACTAGCGGAAGACGACAAGGCAGCTAGTCCAACCAACAATATGACCCCAGATGTTAACTTTCTGCGGCGGCAATCCCCCATCGTCTTGTATAGAGAAAGAGTCGTCATACTATAACAGTGGAGCGCGAGCGCGAGCTTAGCTGTTTTCGGAATTGACACAGTGTCGGGTAGAGTGTTCGATGTTTTCCGTAACAATGACTATATGTTAGTTAGCAGGGAGTTTTCCCTCGCAATTTGTGTTTGGGTCCCTGAAATATACCGCAAGTAAAGATGCTGGTGAATCGGATCCCAGACAGGAGGCCAGCTGTGGCCCAAGTAATACACCGCTCGACAGCGAAGTGCATGCTGATAATATAATCGCCAGAGAGCTCGGAAAATCTGACCAAGCATAAATCGATCGTAGGAGATACCTTTCTTGTAGCCGGGTATCTGATGTGGCTGAGCCTGTTCGGATAAAGCGCGATCGAATTTCGTCTAATATTTCGCAGTACCGAGACATAGCTATACGTTATGATTTGAACTAAATACCAAACACCGACTTCTTTTCATGGAAAGCTCATACATTCGTCTGGGATTCAAATCGATTATATTGTTGTAAGATAAGAGACGAATGATAGTCATCAATCAGCAATAACCACAAGCCCAGGCGGACAGGAAGTAGGCGGGGTAAAAGGCGCAGTGTCCAGCGTAGCATCACTCAACCTATCAACATCAAGTATTCCGAAGTGGGCTGGATATCTGAGTGGCCATGAAAGCTGGAAACTCGCTTCAAATTAAATACTTCTCGATTTCTTTCACCTTTTTCTGTCCCTAACCAGCCTCTATTTTCTCTTGTTAGAATTCGTAGTGGGAAATTCTCACATTGGTTGTTACCAAATCCACCTACCGTTAGGCCTCTAGGTAGGTAATTAACCTCCTATTCCAGCCTCACAGCTAATACATGTCTAACAACTTTTCAATCTTTCTAGTCCGAGTCTAACTTCCCGCCGCAATCATGCTCCAAAAAGACGTAGCCGCGAATTTTTCCGACTACTTGCAAAGGGCGTCGAAGGAGCAATCTTCTGTTGTCGAGCGCATGAAAGAGTTTATTGCCTGTGGAGAGCGAATCAAACACCAATTGGAATCGAATTATCTGGATTTAGCTTCCTATGAACCGATTAGTGAAGTCCCTGTAAATACTACTCCCGAGGAAGCCCCCGCAACGAAGATCTCTCCTGATACTCAGGAGACCTATAATCAACTAAATCATGTTTCGTCATGTACGAAGCGTGAGTCGTCCGTCTCTTCTATCAAGAGTCGCACGCGGTCAAAATGCCCACCTAGACGATCGCGAGCCAGTGTGACGTCTGGTACAGTTTCTGATACAGAGTTTTCTTGCCAACCACAATTTGGGAAACTATGGAAGCCTGATGAAATAGCTCCTACTTCGACCCGGGACACTGCCGTCAGCGACGAACTGGACTCAAGTATGCCTATTGGAGAGCCTGAGAAATGCCTCAGTCAAGAAGAACTTATCGCCGAGGTCAAAGGTATATATGCCGGTCTCGTCATGGTGGAATCTAAATGCATTGAGGTCGATAACTTCCAAGAACAACCCATCGCCGAGGTCAATGGTATATATGCAGGTCTTGTCATGGTTGAATCCAAATGCATTGAGGTCGAGGATTTTCAGCCGACGCAGGACAAAACCCGATTGGACAATAGGGAGCGGAAAACAAATATTGCCCGTCTAGCTTCCCTACACGAAACAAGCCTGGCTTTCGAGGACGACGATCCCAAGCATATCACATCCACAAAATCCTTGACCGTAGAAAGGCTACGTGAATGCATGGAACGTCTTGAGGCCGCAAGTTCTAATCTTTCCTCCTCATTCCGGGAGCCTTTCGTGGCTCTATTTGATGCAATCAGTGACTGGACTGCTCGTCTCGTTGACGATAAACCTGGGCTAGAGAGATACAAGGTGAGAATTTGGCAGAATATAAATCTACCTTTACCACCTTTACCACCTTATTAGCAGCTTACAGATTACTAGGAATCGCATAGGATCATCGTCAAGAACCTTTGGCGCCTCATCCGATCTCTTCGTCCATCCTTATTCATGCCTCTAGTCTCATCTTTTCATAAAGCCTGTGCTTCGCCCCTTCGAGCCGTTCCGGGTATTGAAGATGGCAAATCTCAGGATCCATTGGCTTTTAGCATATTTTGGTACACATGCTTGCTCGGTGTGGTTCTAGGATATATTGCTCTTGCTGTATATCATCGTGATAGAAGCTTTCTAGGAGTAGGTATGGGCGTATCAGCCTGGGCATACCTAGCCATGGTTTTGGTGGGCGATGAACCCATTCATGTTATTGTCAGGTGAGTCGTCGAGCCTACTCTATAGCTTCTACCTTCGGCTTTATCTTGGTACGTTTTCCTGGGTGCTAATCGTAATTAGTGCCGGCACCGTATGTGCTTTTTTTACTTCCATGTGGATGTCTCTTGATCTCCACGAAAGCGGGATGAGAAAAAGCAGGCAGCAACTGTCAGTACTACTCTGACGCCATTTCCCCACCAACTTAAAGAGAACTCACCATTGCAACAGTTCAAAGTATTGCATCATCATTAGCTCCCTGATAATCGATGCTGCTATTAGCTTTTTGCTAGCACCTTCGGAAAACTTCCTTCTCGGAGCACAGAAGACTCAATCACCAGGTTTCATGATGGTGGTGTTCGGTGTGCCGTGTGCAACTCTCTCAGTCGTCTTGTTCAAGATGATTCGAACAGTTGCTGCGATCCTCGTCGAACCAAACGCGCCACTTGTTGGGAATGTCACTCCCGACGCCGAATCCTGATCGAAAGTCTCTAAAGGTTAGATTGTAGTCAGGTGATATCAAAGGAATGTATCTTAGTCTAGAAAGGATCTGTATAGTTGCCCGTTACAGGGCCTGTTGACTTCTATTCAAGTCTTGAAGATTCGGGAGCACCTAGTCAGATACAATTCATAACCTGCAATGCTACAATTAACCAACCTAGCATTAGATGGTACTTGCTCAGGTGACCCTAACTTGAGGCCTGACCCGCGCCAAGATGATGTATGCCTGGATTGCCCTGTATTTATATCAGCGGTATGGACGAATGGCCAGTGGAAATAAATAAGTGCCTAGGTAGGTGATCGTCATAATAGCTCTAAGACCAATACGTATCTTCGGCTTATCTGATTCCGTACACGGTGATTTGAGCTCCGAATACCCCTTTAGTGAACCAGGTTAACGAATAAAAACCACCAAGAATCAAAGTGACAAATATTTTTAGAATGAATAGGTTGAGATCCCACCGCTCGAGTTCGGAAACGTAGATTTAGCATCGCGTTACGAATATGTCGCCTTGGCCCGGATCATACTGTTGCATCTTATATGGGTAGAGAGGTGGGTTGTGGTTCCTGGTTAAGCATCCCAGCTATACATAAAGGCCTACACCTTCCCAACTTCTCTCATTCTTTTGGCCTCTTTAAGCGAAGCAAGCAGACCTATAGGAGTTCACTCGATCCTCCTTCACCATGCCTGTAACAACAGCCTCTCTCTTGACGCTCCTCGGCGCCTTCGTCACCACGACCCTAGGACACGGCTACGTGACCGAGTACGTGGCTGACGGGGCGAAGGAGCCCGGGTTCCTGCTGCAGTACTACTACGACAAGAAGAACGGGATGAGCGTGCCGCCGCTCGCGGCGTGGTACGCGGAGAACCTTGACAGCGGCTTCGTCGCGCCCGACGCGTACCAGACCGCCGACATCAACTGCCACAAGAACTCGGCGCCGGGCTCGCTCACGACGACGGTGAAAGCCGGGGCCAAGGTCACCTTCCAATGGGGCACAGCGGCGGGTGGCGCATGGCCGCACCCGTACGGTCCTATCATCGATTACATCGCGGCATGCGACGGCGACTGCAGCAAGGCGGACAAGACGAAGCTGAAGTGGGTTAAGATCCAGGCCACCGGCATCGACGCCGCGACGAAGCAGTGGGCCAGCGCGAAGCTCATCGCGGACAACAATTCCTGGACGACGACGATCCCGGCGAGCATCGCCCCGGGGAACTACGTCCTGCGTCACGAGATCATCGCGCTGCACGGTGGCGGGAGTCTGAACGGCGCGCAGAATTATCCTCAGTGCTTTAACATCGCGATCACGGGATCGGGAACCGCGAAACCGGCGGGTACGCTGGGCACGGCGTTGTATAAGAATACGGACCCCGGTATTCACTATAGCCCGTATGGCACCAATACGGATTACCCCATGCCGGGTCCGGCGCTGTTTACTGGATAGGTGGTTAGGCTGTTGGGGGTGGTTTCAGGGTTGTTGTGTTAGTATTGGTAAACGTATATATGAGTTCCTCAAGATATTGAAGTACTATTAGGGTGTTCTAATGGCGGTTTACACCATTGTCTCGTCCTATGTGAATAGAGTAGGATGTCACGAAATGATGAAAAAGTAGATCCTCTTGAAGATGAGTGAATGATACTTTCGTACTTAAAAAGTACATATACTTAAGGCATTTCTTATAGAGATCTATAAAAATAGACCTTTATAGATGGATTGAGCGGCTTCAGGATCTCTTAATAAACATGAATAGGAAGATGATTTTGTCAGGTGCCTTACATTAAAGATTGTGGATTAGAGTTTCACTTACGTAAGATATGCGTTATGTAAATATACTATCCATATTATCAATATATCGTTATACCAGGACATTACTACATTTATGTCTTAGTCGCATGACCCCTACGTAATAGATGGCCCGTGCTCGATTCCCGTCGCAACCGTCACGCCAGAACCAGAACATCAGCCCGGCGGCAACGCCTCAACCACTATCACCACTTTTCTTCGTTCCTTTTTTTTATTTCGTTTCTTTTCAACCGGCATCTCGACAATTCACTTCGATAAGGCAAATATTATAAAGTAATCCGGAATTGCAACTCGTCATCTAAGATGGGAGCGCTCCTATCTATTCCCATGCTGGCATTGCCTAGCGCTGGCGCGGTATGTTGCAGCCTCGGTACTTCTGTTGGGTTTATCGCCGACTAACATTCAAATAGCTGATGTCCTTCGCTGCCAGTTGCTGTGGTGCCGCTACGTGCTCCATGGTCTGTAGCGCCTGCGGGAAGTGTGGCAACAGGTAAGATAATTGAGACTCTCGTACTTTATCCTGTATCATATCGTACAGTGTTGACTAACATCGAATCTAAGTGTTGCTACCCGTATCGCCTACGCTCTCCTCCTCCTCGTTAACTCGATTCTCTCCTGGATTATGCTCACCCCTTGGGCTATCGAAAAGCTACAACATTTAATGTTGGACTACGTTAAGATCAACTGTCCCAACGGCCAATGTTATGGATGGCTCGCTGTTCACCGAATCAACTTCGCCCTCGGTCTCTTCCACCTTATCTTCGCCGGTCTCCTCTTCGGTGTCGCATCCTCGAAAAACCCACGAGCTGCTCTTCAAAATGGTTTCTGGGGACCCAAGATCATTGCATGGCTCGCATTTGTGGTTATGTCTTTCCTAATACCTGATGCGTTCTTCCAGGTCTGGGGTAACTACATCGCCTTCATCGGCGCCATGCTCTTCCTCATTCTCGGCCTCATCCTACTCGTCGACCTCGCACACACCTGGGCGGAGTACTGCCTCGAACAGATCGAAAACACCGACTCTCGGATATGGCGGGGCGTGCTCATCGGATCCACTCTAAGCATGTACCTAGGCTCGCTCGCGATGACCATAATCCAGTACTTCTTCTTTGCGCGGAGCGGGTGCTCGATGAACCAAGCCGCCATCACAATCAACCTGATCTTCTGGCTAGCCATTTCCTTTGTTTCCGTACATCCCACAATCCAGGAATACAACCCTAAGGCCGGGTTGGCGCAGGCCGCCATGGTCGCCTTCTACTGCACGTACCTGACCATGTCAGCCGTCTCGATGGAACCCGACGACAAACAATGCAACCCCCTAATCCGCGCCCAAGGCACACGTACCACATCCGTCGTCATCGGCGCCATCGTCACCATGCTCACGGTCGCATACACGACGACCCGAGCCGCGACGCAAAGCCTAGGTCTCGGTAACAACAAAGGCGGCATCAAGCTCGCCGACGACGACGAGCACGACCTCGTAACGCAACAACCCGGCCGCCGGGAAATGCGCGCCGAGGTCCTCCGCCGCGCCGTGGAAGAGGGCAGCTTACCCGCCGACGCCCTGCTCTCCGACGACGAGGACGAAGACGACAGCAGCAGCAAGACGCCCGGCGACGACGAGCGCAGCAGCACGCAGTACAACTACTCCGTCTTCCACATCATCTTCTTCCTCGCCACATGCTGGGTCGGCACCCTGCTCACAGGCACGGTCCAGGGCCTCGACCAGTCCCCGACGGACAGCGACTTCGCCACCGTGGGCCGCACGTACTGGGCTAGTTGGGTCAAGATCGTTAGCGCTTGGTTCTGCTATAGCATGTACATCTGGACGCTGGTCGCGCCGATCGTATTGCCTGAGCGATTTGATTTTTCGTGAGGGGTTGCATGTTTTTGGGCGGGTTAAGAGGGGGGAAGATTGTGCTTTGTATAGCTAGATTGGTAGATGTATGAGTTATGGTTACACACTGTCTATGTAGGTTAGGCCAGAATGCTGTTGTGTTGGTTGGGGTAATAAAATGCCGTTCTTTGCCGGTATTACTTCGTTCTTGAGCTACGCGTTGACTTTAAAATGTGACTGTAGATTTGTATTTAGATTGTTCGTTGGATTGATGGCTTGGGTGAGGACCTAGGGCTTATGGTTCGAACATCCTTGGAGCAAAAAGGGGTATTTGCTGCCTTCCAAGGTTGTTGTATGGGTGACTCAACACACTAGATACCTACTACTGATATCGAGAGTGTAAAAGATCTTTGAAGATGATGTTATTACGGAAGTATTATTGTATTGTCGTTATAGGTAGGATGATATTAGTCTCCTGAACCCCTAAGATGGCATCATTTCTTTCAAGATGGGAAGGACACAGTGGTGTCTAGTAGGTTCTGATAACGGCCCTGAGAACAATGTATTGTACGTGGCCCGTCACGACTCACCAATATCCGGCACAAGTGTCCTGTGTTCGTTCGTCCCCGGGGGAAAGCCCGGCTGTTACCTAGGAAATAGAACTCCAGTATAAGGTTTATAAGGTATGATAAACACTTTCACTTCAAGGTCGACCTGGAGTTAGACTCCCGCTTCAGTGACTAGAGACTTAGAAAAACACCCGCAATGGCCCAATGGTGGACCGGCTTATCTTCTGTTCGAAATTCGACAGAGGCTAAGATTAACCAGGACTCGACACCACGTGTTTTTCGTAGGTTCCAGCTTCAAGTCTGGAACTGAGCTTTTTTTTGCTTCTTTTTTGTGATATTCCCTTTTTATTCTCTGGTCATATTCATTCATACCTCTATGACATATTCCCCTTTCCCAACATATACCATGCAGGTATCTTTGATGTCAGATTCCCTCAATCCCCCCTCTTATACCATACTCCTTTTTGCAATCAAGGTTCATCTGTATATACTTTTTTATATATCAGCATACACATCTGCTAGTACATCATCATTCCCGAATATGAAAACATTCCAATAATCTTAGCTTCTATATTTGTCACCTGAGCCGGCTAGTTCCAGTAAGATGACCACAGAAATAGGGGCCTGTGCAACCCCAACAATCGCAACAGGATCGACTAGTATGGCAAATGGTACGATGTTCATATGTGTACCTAGCAACAAGAGAAGCCGAGCTATATAGCCACAGCTAATGTCCTATGAATAACCCATGAATGACGACAGGCGACGATTGTGGGGGTACATCTATTTGAGGAGTTATATTCCATACCAGTCACGGAGTTACCAATAGTAGACTAATGTACCCTCTATTATGATCTAAATCAGAAAGATACCATGATTGAAAAAGTAAAAATGAATGGTAGGTATATTCTTACAATGGGTAAGATGCGAATAGATTAAACCCCGTGTCTTAGTAAACGCCGCGAAGGTCCCCGATATATATTCCTTGACACATATATTGGTCCAGCCATGGAAACAAGCCACTTGATCGACAATCCAGTTTCAGGTTGGAACAAACTTACGTTTAGATGACGACACGCTGTCTAAGAGCCTCATCGGGATCCCGTGATATATCTAGCCTCCGGACATATCGTCGGTGTAACGGAGCGAGACGTCGGTGATAAAGCTCTGTACCAACTACGCCGGTCATCAACTGGCTGGGATACGCGGGGGATGGGATTTCAGCGCGCCTATATGTGCCTTGGGAGTTGAACAGCATTCGCGGTGGTGATCCGCGACAGCACATCACATTATTCGTATACGGCCCAAGCAGTTAGGTAGTCCGTACGAGGGAAAGCTCAACGCCCAAAATGTGACCTGTCATTCCGCGTTCTGCAGAGTCTAAGACATGCGTTGCCCATCCTCGAACCCTGACTAGGTTTCTTATCTTAGGTACGTAAGTAAGGCGAGAGAGAACGCGCGCGCGTTCTCTGTCCCAGAAGAACCAAAGCACCGGAAGGGGATAAGCATGGGAGGCCGCCCATTGTTTATGGCGAGATCCCCGGTCTGGTATCGAGAAAGCAAGAATTCCATGTTCGCATGTCGTATGCAGATGATAGATGCCCGGCGGTAGATCGAAATTGCGCCTGGAGTATGACGTTAAGAAGGGGAACCGGCATGAATCACCCCATATACCACGCCATATGCTTGGTTGACTTATCTCGGACATTCTCTTGGTGTGCTCATATTCGCTTGTCTAGATTTTAGTTTGTTTGCTCGGGTGCATATGCTGTATAGTAAGGGGCTGTAGTCAGCATTAAGTAGGGTAAGGTAAAGTTGATCCTCTAAATTGCCAAGATATCAAAGTTTAGCATTTTCATGTGCTACTGCTTCAACTTTTCGCTTCTTTTTTGCCTAAGTCGTTGAATTAACGACAGTTAAACGAAGCCAAGACGGGAGTAAAAACCTAACAATCAATTTCAAATGATTAGTGAACAACTCCCCGAAAGAAAATAGGCGCCCATGCGATGCGGCTCCTACGATTGAAGATCGTGGAAGATGCTGTCGTGGACGGCGGCAGATTTGGGTAGGATAAGCGAATATTTTCGAGGTAGACGATATCCAGAGGCTTGAAAAAGGAATCTAATGACGGTGTAGAAAAGCCGAAATGGCGGGATGGCCGGCTCTGGGGTTCCCCGACGTTCAGGTAATAGCAGCTGCCACGATGGCGTTCACGGGTAGCCGCATTTTCCAAATGCAGGTAGCTGCTCACTTGACCATACAACCTCCCACACCCTCTTAATGTCAGTTCGCTCGATAGATTCCTTTTAGGCCGATCGATCGACCGGTGGCGGCTCCTAAACTGGACACCCTAGTCGGATATTTCTTATTGGGACTAGGGAGTTGAGACCGGCGACGTCGAAAAAGCAAGATGACACCCCTTTTCTTCACCGGTTTCCAACGTTCGAGAATGTCTAGAAATAGAGCGGAGAGGGAAATCTGCGTGCCCGGACATCCATGCAGGGCGTTGTACTGACGAAGACGTTAGCATTGAAGTTTCAGGTTGAGGAGTTCATCCTCCGCACGTCTATTCTTCGCTAAGCCTTACCATAAAAGCTGCTTCGCTCGCTAACTAAACATGGCGTATATTAGACCTATGCAAGCCACAGTAGCACGCTCAGGTTAATAGCGAACAGGCGTCGTTCCACCACCAAAGCCTAATTCAGTGTAACATGCCCCTGTGCTATTAGATAGCCCGAGGATGAGGGATAATCATGGGTTGACCGTTAGGTAGTAGGGCTAGCTGTGTCATGCATAGAACTTTGGAAGATATCACGATGACATTCTGCAGCAGAGGATTCCGATAGTCTCTATCAGCCCTGATCCAGATCGCCAATCGAAGGCCGTATTCAAGATACCCTGTTAGTATGAAGACCGCGATATGTCTTGAGACCACATTGAAATGCGGGTGTAATTCAAGTCGACACGAGATAAGGTCTCTGATGATTCGTCTATATAAGGGTAAGATTTGGACCTCTATGATCGAGAAATGATGATAGAAACGTCAGATTCGCTCAGTCAGTTTTAATCTTGTATTTTCTAAGATATTTCTTTCTTTAAATTTCAAACGCCTTTGCCGAAGCCACATTGGCTAATTTTAAACACCTCTACCACCAAATTGACCTTTTTGTGAACAAAATGCCACACAGTACTCATGAGGTTGATAAGAGGCCCAAAAGGTTCGTCGAGGGCAGTAACTTGATGTTAAGATATGGTTCTGATATGTTGTATAGTGGCCGTGGCAAGAAAGCCCACTGCAACTCGGCGAAAGCAAATGCTCAACAGGGGACGCGCTCTTCCCAAACTGCTATGTTAGATCGTTGGGCAACTCAAACATCAAGATCGGAACTCCCATTTACTGAGGTGGTCCAACAGCCGGACGCCGAGTAAGTATTTTCCCATCCTCCCCACATCTCATCTAGATGCTAAATATATGTATAGATCCTCCGCACAGCATTGACTCGTTGCGAAATTTCGAGTCGTCGTAATGTAACCAAGACCGAGTACTTGCACCGGAGGCGAGCGTTGTGTTACTGTCTTCGAGCGTGGAATATTTTAGGTAGAGCAGTGGATGATTAATAGAATCTTCATCTATATGGCTGGAACATGATTTCCCTGCAGTGTTACGCAATGACATGTGCCTTTGCTCCGAAACACGGAACTCCCGCAGGATCTCAAGATAACGTAGCCCTAGACTAAGACGACGTATCGTTGCTCGAACTGGCGTTTCCGGCCTGTGCAGCTGTGCCTGCGGCAGCGATGCCGTCCAGTGTAATTGTCACGGCACCGGCTTGTACGAGCTACTTAAGGTTAGGAATATAACATTGATAAGATGATTCATGCTGTGACACTTACTGCGCGAGAGAGGTCGTCGACTAAATCGGTCGCGTCTTCGATACCAACACATAGTCGAATGATGTCTTCGGGCATCTGCCGCTCCTTTCTCGTCTTTGCATCGATGCTAGCATGGCTCATACGGCACGGCATGCTGATTAGGCTGTTGACACAACCAAAACTCACACTGATCCCAAATAATTTTGCGGCCTCGACGATTCTCTCGGATAAGGTAATATCACCGGTTTCAAATGACAAGACACCTCCAGCGCCTCGTGCCATAGACCAGTGAAGATCGTACTGCGGGTGTGATTTCAAGCCGGGATAACGCACGCGGAAGCCGTGGGATTCAAGAAATTCGGCAAGGATCTGTGCATTTGCCTGCTGCTTCTCCATGCGAATTGCCAATGTCTTAACCCCTCTCATAAGAAGGAATGAATCGTTGGGAGCGAGACCACAACCGGTTGCGTTAATGGTAAAGTACATCTTATCACCGAGAGCCGTGTCGTTGCATGCGATAATGCCCGCCATAATATCATGATGACCTGATAGGTATTTGGTACCTGATTCGTATACTATATCTGCACCCAGTTCGAGGGGGTTGCATAGCATGGGCGATAGCATGGTGTTGTCAACAATGACGAGGGCCTTATCGTTGGCATCATGAACGGCCTTCGCAATGCTCGGAATATCCACAATCTTGATTAAGGGGTTGGTCGGAGTTTCCAGGAGTACCATGGCCGTCTTGTCTGAAATGACTTCTCGCACCCTTTCGACTTCGGTGGTATCCACATGGTGGACGATAATGCCTTGATTCGACGACAGATATGTAAGTAGCCGGTTGGTACCCCCATAGAGGTCGTCGCCTGTGATCACTTCATCCCCAGGACGCAATAACCTAGTGATAACGTCTAAAGCACCCATGCCAGAACCAACCGCAAGCGCTCGATTGGCATTCATGATCTTGGCCATATGGCGTTCTAGATGCGTCCGGGTCGGGTTACCCGATCGCGTATAGTCATATTCATTACCGCCATTGGAAGATGTTTGCTTGAATGTAGCAGATTGATAGATTGGAATACTTGAAGCACCATATTGGTCCTTGGTTTCTGTATAGACCAGCTCAGTAGCTAGAGCATAACGACGGCGGCCGTTAGACGGGCTTGAAGGAGCAGGCGAAGGAGGTAGGTTGTGGCCTTCGACGTCAACCTTGGAAAGGCCTTTGTTAAGAGGTTTAGAGTCCATAGCCGATGCTGATGAGGCGAAACCGGCGATTACCGGCGATTCCCGGTGGGATGAAAATAGTTTAGCAAGCTGAGTCTGGACCCAACCAATTTCTATATAACCGACGATATAGGTAGGAATCAATTGACCAGTTCCGCACTTCCTCGATGACTCTCGATTTTCTTGTATAGAGAGGAATAGTATGAGTCAATTAGAAAGTGAAGTTGAGATTTCGTGCTTGCAGAATGTATAGATTAAAGAAATTCCGTGATTACAACTCCGAGTGGTACGAATGATTCAAGAGGGCGGTGTGGGTCTGGAACTAGGTTGTGACCTACCAACTCCCCTTGCAGCTTCCGGTTATCGGTTGGAAGAGTCAAAATCTGGGGAAAGCGCGGGTATCGCTATGAATGACGTGATTTTCGGAGTGGGTAACGCGTTTCCATGTGGTCTAGGTGTCTCTAATGTTACGAAATGGTCTGTGCGTCTGTACACCAAGACTCTAAAGAATCTCCAGGGCTACCTACAGACCTACAGGGCTGATGACGAGAAGCACCTATGCAACCTTAAATGTACCTGCCAATAGGTAGCTGTTTACCCAGGTAGGAAGGCACTTCGTTTTAATGCTGCCCCTTCAACGTCAGAAAGGCGTTAGTACTTTCCTATATGAAGCCTCTTCGTCGTAATAGTCAGGTACTATAAGTACATAAAGTTGCTAAAATAGACCAGAAACTTAGGTATTTATCAGTGTACAGTTTCAAAGCCGTTATTGCATACATGTAGATAAAATGGATATTATCAGAACATCAAATGTTCTCCATCTCTGAGTTTGCAATAAGGGGTATATCATTGTACAAAGTAATGTCTCTTAAACCACTGTCTAGTGCCAATGCAAGACCCGAGTAGCGATAATTTAACCCTTCAAGATATCCGTAAGTAAACGCCCTTGTCCTAGTCCCTCTTGATTGCTCATATAATATTCGTTTCAATGCAAACTTAAGCAGAAGCCTCCGTGGGCTCTGTAGCCTCTGTAGTCTTCGCACCTGTCGTTGATGTTTCAACCGTAACAGCATCATCCTCAACGTCTTCGTACTCGTCACTAGATGACTTCGCTCGCGAGGAGGGAGGGTTTTTCATCAACATTTGACCGGCACCTTTTCGCCCAAAGAAATCTTCCGTGCGAATTCCTCGCACCTTTGATGGGTCAATGGAAGACATGGAACTTCCATTTGCGCGGTGCTCTCGAATAAACTCCCGAACTGGTGCCATGGCGGCATCACGGCAAGCTTCCTTGATATCGCTACCGGACATCCCTGCGGTCACCCTGGCAATATATTCCACGTTGAAATTGTTAGGGTCGGTCTTAGTATCCTTCAACACCAATTGAAGTATTCGTAATCGCTGGTTCTTATCCGGTAATGATACGGGGAATTTCTTGGGCATTCTGCGTAGGATTGCTTCGTCGATGTCATGAATACGATTCGTAGCTCCGAGGACGACGATTCTAGCAGGGAGCCCTTGAGTATTCGCTGAAGTTAAGCCATCCCACAACGTCATGAATCTATTTTCATTAGCATCGTAATCCATTTGTGTAAGGTAGCATAAATCTTACTCTGCTTTGACCATGCCACTAGCTTCATGTTCACCGCTTCTTCTGGTCCCCAACACTGCATCGATCTCATCTATAAAGATGATAGCGGGCTGTAATTTTCGGGCTAAAGAGAACACTGCTCGTACAAGCTTATTAGAGTCTCCGTACCACTTTTCGGTCAAGGTCGAGATGTGAAGGTTGATGAAGGATGCACCGCTCTCGTGTGCGACGGCTTTCGCTAACATGGTTTTTCCACATCCAGGGGGTCCGTAGAGTAACACGCCCGACGGCGCGGATAACAAGGGAGCTGCGTGGGAGTAGAGATGCGGCATCGTTAACGGATATATGACGGATTCCTTCACTTCTTCTATAATATCTTCCAACCCACCGATGTCTGTTATCCATATTAGAGATGCATGTCCAACCAGGAAAGTCTTCGGGCGCGGTAAGCCTACCATCAAACCCAACAGGTATATCTTCGGGAGCAACAACTTCCAACGCAACTAGGTTCTCATATTCGTTAAGGACCAACTCTTCGACTCGGGGACCTCTCCCTGTACTACTACTCAAGTCGTCCTCATTGCCGTCTTCGAGACTTTTCGCCTTCCGTAGCCTCTGGAGGTTCGCTTTCGCTTTAATTCGTGCTTGTTCGCGTTTCTCTTTATCTGGGTCGGCGAGGGTTCCTTGGAGGGTTGATATGACATTTCTGGTTAAAAACCAGGCTGCTCCGGCCTATCCAACCAGCCAATAATGTTAGTAGATGTTAGATAATAAAGATAGATGCCGCTCTTTTTGTTTGTCACTTGTGCCTCAATTGGAATTGTGGTTTCAATCACATACAGTACCTAGGATTAAGAGTACGTCCCAGATGTAGTCGGTACCATTTCGTCTTCGATCAACCATGGTTAAGGACTGCTTAATCCCACTGAGAATCATTTGATATGCCTCCCAGGCGGCTGGGAGAGATTAGGAAGAAGTTAAAATACAGGCTGTGATATTTGTTGTAAATACGCCACGCCACAATATTGGACGGCTGCGCATGCAAGTTCCGACTCGGATTCTTGGAATCGATTGCTGAAATATCAAGGGTAACCTGGACTTGGTACCATCCAAGGAATTGACGCCACATCAATAAATGTGGCTGCATCTTTAGTACCGGAGCATCTGCTCAGTGTTTAGCTCACACCCCGGGTCTTATCGATTTAAGTGGACCCATTATAGCCCCTGTCAATCTTTTGTTTACTCGGACCCCTCAGCTGCAAACATGATTGGTGAAAACTTGTCCCGCCATGCTTCATCATAACTTATGTAGGATATGCATTCATACTGTAGGTATCTTCACAGTATTCACTTCTCGCGATCGATAATACCACGACAACAACAAACACCATATAAATCTCCGATTTACGCAATTGCACAATCAGGATCGCGCCCACGTATAATTGGCCGGAGCCGGATTTTCGAATAACATTTTCAGGAACCTGAAGAATACTCTATCGTTAAATTACCGCGTTCGATGCCAAAAGTGAAGGGTGTTGCGTTACGTGGGTTAGTGGAATCGGACGACGAGGCGGCGGATATCCTGGGGGAGGATACGGTGGTTGGCGCGAAAATGGCTCCAGCGAAAACCCGCACGACCGGTGCGAAAGGAGCCGCCAAAGCAACCCAGAACGCGACGCGTCAGACGAGTGGTAAGACAGCTGCTTCGAAAGCGCTAGCGCGAAAGGTTTTGGCTGATAAACCGGCAAATGTTCAAGATAAACCCATGCGAGGAAAAGGCAAAAAGCGAGCAGCGCCAGAAGAAACTACGCCAGCAGTAGACGATGAGGACGACGAGATTTCGATGGCTGTAGAGGAAAAGCCTAAGGGCGGCAGAGGACGCCCAAGAGCCGCTAAGGCCGCGAAAATATCCAACGATTCGGACATATCGACCGTAAACCAACCAGAGCCCGCAGCTCAACCGACTGGCAAAAGAGGGCGTAAGCCAAAAGCAAAAGATAACACCCCGCCCCCCGAGAAAGAAATACCCGAAACACAGCCTGCCGAGCGTGAAATTCCAGAAACACAAGCAGTTGAGACGACGGAGTTAAGTGTCGAAGAGCATGATCGGATAGAAGACTTACCTTCTCACCAACCCGTACTCTCATCCATTCAACGTCCTCAGTCACGAGATCTTTTCGGTACAGATCGAAGAGGGGTCTCGGCATCAGATTCGGACGAACCAGCAATGAGAAGGCGAGTGGGAGATCTGACTAGAAAATATGAGAGTTTAGAGGCGAAGTACCGAGACCTACGAGAGATTGGTGTTAAGGAGGCGGAGCGCAACTATGATCTACTTAAAAAGCAATCAGAGGATAAAGCTAATAGTGAGTCGCAAGAACGGAAACCCAATATGAAGAAACATAATTAACAAACTTCTAGCCGCCAATCAGCTTATCGCGACTTTGAAAGCACAATTATCTACTCAGACTGAGTTGGCTAAAGAAACACAACGCCTAAAACAACAATTAGAAGCCAGTCAAACTAAAGTAGAAGAGCTACAAAACAAGGTTGACGATACCAATGCTTCTTTAACTGGAGCGAAGACAGAAATTAAGACACTCACTACGAAGTTATCCGCTGCTCGATCCGCCGAAACAGTGACAACGAAGGTTCCAGGCAGTGCTATAAAAGGAAACAACAATCTTAACAACCGACTTCTCGCTAATGCCGAGGCGTCTGCACATATAGCACAGATGAAGGAAGACCTATATGGGGACTTGACCGGTTTGATCGTTCGCGGTGTTAAGCGAGAAGAGAATGGAGGCGATACATATGATTGCATCCAGACGGGTAGAAATGGGAGTAAGTTTTCCCCTCAAATCACATGCATTATATATTTCAAGTGATCCACTAACTGTTTATAGCTCTCCATTTCAAACTTGCTGTGGGCTGCGACGAGACATCAGAAAACCCCGATGAGCCTCAATTCGTATACATGCCCCAACTCGATCCAAACCGTGACGAAGACTTAGTCGATATGTTACCCGATTATCTTATAGAGGAGATTTCTTTTCCCCAATCCCACGCAGCAAGATTTTATGCACGTGTCATGAGGTCCTTGACAGAGCGTCCAGAATAAATGTTGTCGTAGGTGATAAACGGCGTCTAGGTTTGGTTCATTCGGTTACATGAGGGTTGGGGCGAATGGGGAAATGGACTGTTGTACATATTTGTGACCCGGATACCAGAATAATACCATTGCATGATTCGGACCCATCTAAGGCTGAATAAGCGTGCAGGCGTCAAAAGGGTTTGCATAAAGGCAACAATTTTCTCTAATTTTTGTGATATAATTCGAGTGGATCCATCGGGCGTAGGCCGTTTCGGACCGGTGCCACGTCCCCGAACCCGTAAAGCTAATTGGAGCTTTCCGCAGGAAATCATGGTACGTCGGTACGTGATCAGCCCTGTAACGATCCCTGCAAGCGCAAACGCGATTCCCCGGATGATAGTGGACCTTGACGGCCGCAGCCAGGGGAGCAGTTTCCAATTTGCCAATCCCAACTTTTTGTAGATTTGTCTTTTTCGGATTCCATTCTTTCGTTCTTTCGCAAAATCACCATTCTTAGTCCGAGCCCATGGCTTATACACCGGCACATTCCGCGCCTATCTGTCTACTTTCCATTTCTCATACGTATGGGCCGTGATCGGGTTGACCAATATCCTGTGCCTGTCTGAAAAGTCGACTCTACGATCAGGCTCTCCTTCGGTTTACATCCGCTTACTCCGCCGCATCGACACAACCTCACCACCTGCCCATTAGAGTATACGGCCATGGCGGGAACGAGCCGGTTTAGATTCCTGGCTATAGCCATGGTATTTCATTTGATTTATATATACTCCATCTTCGATATCTATTTCGTCAGCCCCATCGTTAGTGGGATGCAACTGTTCCAGGTAGAGAGGCCTGTAGGAGTGAAAGCGCCGGCGGATCGACTTGTTCTTTTTGTTGGTGTGTACCGTTCTTTGCAATGTGCTATTATGAAGACTTCACTTGCTAATACCCACATCCTCCAGGTGATGGATTGCGCGCCGACAAGGCTTTCCAGTCGCATCCCGAACCATACCCAGAAACCGAAGCGGACAATACCCCGAGACCACTCGCTCCTTACCTACGTTCCCGCGTATTAGAACACGGCACATTTGGCGTATCTCATACAAGAGTGCCTACAGAATCTAGGCCTGGTCATGTTGCGCTGATTGCCGGGCTTTACGAAGATGTTTCTGCTGTCGCAACTGGCTGGAAGCTCAACCCGGTGAATTTCGACAGCGTCTTCAATAGAAGTGCGCACACGTGGAGTTGGGGCAGCCCCGATATTCTTCCTATGTTCCAACATGGTGCAACTCCCGGCAGGATAGATGCAGATTATTACGACGCCGAGTTCGAAGACTTTTCTAAAGGTGCAGTGGAGCTAGATCTCTACGTTTTCGATCATGTGAAAGAATTATTTGCAGCGGCGGAAAAGAATAAAACTTTGAATGATGCTCTTAGACAGGACAAGATTGTATTCTTCCTACATCTCCTAGGACTCGATACTACTGGCCATTCATATCGACCCTACTCGAAAGAATATCTCAATAATATTAAAGTTGTCGATAAAGGCGTTAAGGAAACAGTTGAACTGATCCAGAAATTCTATAGTGACGATAGGACTGCCTTCGTCTTCACAGCTGACCATGGCATGAGCGATTGGGGAAGTCACGGAGATGGCCACCCAGACAATACCAGGACACCATTAATTGCATGGGGATCAGGTGTTGCAAAACCATTGGTGTATCCGGGCGCCGTCGCACCCGGCCACGATGAATATTCTTCGGATTGGAACCTGGATCAAATCAGGAGGAATGACGTGCAGCAAGCCGATGTTGCAGCCCTAATGGCTTACTTAATTGGCGTTGAGTATCCAGCTAATTCTGTGGGTGAGCTCCCGCTATCATATCTCTCGGCCGATATCAAAGAGAAGGCCGAAGCGTCACTAGTAAATGCTCAAGAGATCCTCGAAATGTACAAAGTGAAAGAGAATAGCAAGAAAGAAAACGAAATTAGATACCGACCATATAAACCTTTAAGCGCGGAGAACGGTTCATCCCCTGAGAGCCGAATATCATATATCAAGGAGTTAATCAACAAAGGAAATTTCGAAGAGGCCATCGAAGAATCCGCGGCGCTGATGAAAATCGGACTCGAGGGGATGCGTTACTTACAGACCTACGATTGGCTGTTCCTAAGGGCTCTCATCACTATTGGTTACATTGGATGGATGGCGTACGCTCTTACAACCGTTCTAGATCTGCATGTATTGCAAGGGACGACAGTGGCTTCGAGAACTCTTGGTAGTACCGTAGTTTTCACCTCTGTCCTCATCGCACTTTACTCGTCCTTCATCATAGTTCATTCGCCCATTACGTACTATGCATACGCTTTCTTTCCCGTATTCTTCTGGGAAGAAGTTTACGCTCGCCGAGATAGTTTGGTCAAGGGACGACAGGTATTGTTTGGACATATTAAGACTGGGCCTAATGTGCTTACTCTCCTGATCAACATCGTCACTTACGTTGGAATTCTCGAGTCTCTGGTATGTCCCCCTTTCTAATCATCTAACCATCCACAATAATAACATGATTCAGGCACTGGGATATATCCATCGGGAAATCTTTACCGCCTTATTTATTGTCGGATCACTCTATCCATTAACCTTGGGGATCTCTTTCCTTCAAAAACATGCTGCTATATCTGCAACCTGGTTCATAGTAAGCCTGCTAATGAGCATTTTTACTCTGCTTCCAGCAAACAAGACTGAGAACGTTCCACTCATGTAAGTCAATTTAACCATGATCTTGAGGTTCTAAGCTAACATATTATAGCATGCTTGGTGGTTTAATCATGGTCATAGTCGGTCTTTCATTCTTGATCTTTGAAGACAAACTCTTGGTCAATTCCTCAAGTTCGACGAAATCCACTACGGCTAAAACGAGAAACGATATCTCGAGGTCGTTGGTTGGTATTCAAGTAAGTACTCTGCCTCTATATTACCTCTGTATAAAACTCGCTCTAACTTTCATCAGATTGGACTCATCCTCTTGACTATGATTTTAACCCGGGACAGCGCTCTATCGCTACAAGCGAGGCAGGGTCTTCCGCGTGGGAATCAAGTTGTTTCATGGCTAGTGCTAATTATATCTTTTATGATGCCGCTTGCTCATCGACTTCAACCCAATAACCACTACCTTCATAGGCTTCTAGTCGTGTTCCTAACATGTGCACCCACCTTCGTTATCCTCACGATATCCTACGAAGGCTTGTTCTACTCTGCTTTCAACTTATTGCTAGTCACCTGGGTAAGACTAGAGCACCATGGATACGAATTCCTGCAAGCAACCAAAAGAGAATCTGCGGAAGAGAAAAGCAATGCCAAAGCAGCCACAGAACCGGCTGTGTCTAAGTTCCGACCACTAGCGCTGTCGGATGCTCGCGTGGCGTTATTCTTTTTCGTCCTGCTCCAATCAGCCTTCTTCAGCACCGGAAACGTCGCATCACTCTCCTCATTCAGCTTGGAGAGCGTATGCCGCCTCTTCCCAATGTTCGATCCATTCAGCCAGGGGGCGCTCCTAATCTTAAAAATTATGATCCCATTCGCCCTCATATCGGCCAACCTAGGCATACTTAATCAGATGATAGGCGTGGCGCCATCAGCCCTCTTCATGGTTGTAATGGCGCTAAGCGACATATTAACGCTCCACTTCTTTTGGGTGGTGAAAGATGAGGGCTCCTGGCTCGAGATCGGGTCTACGATCAGTCATTTCTCCATAGCTAGTCTTCTGTGCGTTTTCGTCGCTGCCCTCGAAGGCGTGAGCGCGTTGTTCATTGCCGGTGTCGAGGTTAATAATTCACCCGAGCCGGCGGCTGCTAAACCTGTAGCGAACGGAAAGACACCAGCGAAGACGCCAGAAGTACCAGTCGAAATGACTAATGGGGACGTGAAACATGAAGATTCGTCGCCCGTCGAAGATGAGAAATAGGTGCAATGATTTATGCGAGGCTTGCTGCCTACACCCATAGATGAAAAATAGGAATAAAAAAATTTGTATATGCTGACTTGTGGATTTCGTGGTAATGGCGATGTGTGAGTGACTTGCTCCTCGCAAGTTTATTGCGTATATTTAGCACATAACCGTGCATTTACAGCAGTCACAAGAGGACAGCCTCAAGAAGGCATATCGTATTCAATAGGTGAAATGAGATTTACTAATAACGACCCATTTTCCTAACGACCTCTACCACCCAACGCCAGTGCTACCAGATACTAAGAACAGAGCTAAAGATATGTTTCCTGGGTATTCTGAACTATTTATCTGTCGGAAGAGCTTGAAACCGATGCTAAGGTCTTATAATTGTATGGTCCCTTTCTTAAGGTTGTCAGGCTCGTACTTCTAGGAACCCGCACACGAGAGAAGTGCAAAGGCAATCGTGTACTCATGGTACCAAGCTTATAACATCAAGATCTTCGGAATGAGAAAACAACGGGTTTAGTTTTGGCTCGTTGCACTAAGGTAAACCGAAAAGGATTAGGTCTTCGCTTAAAATAAGCAGCCAGAGACGGTATTTTTCGTTGGCACGCAGGCGCAATGCAGCAGAGCTACCAATTATGCGAATCCTGGTAGGGTGTTGAAGTAGTAGTTGTTGATCCCAGGCTCTGCCTGAGGAGCCAATGCCGCGAGGTCTCTACCAGCGGCTTCGGTGCCCGTCCTGTGGCCCTCAGCTTCAGGGTCTTCCCCGGCCTAGCTGATTCTAGATCTTCTCCATCTATAAACGGGGGTATTGGAATAGCTGTATTGCTGGCCTTCCTCTTCGCGACAAGAACCGGCTGAGCTATCCAGTCTGAGAGATGTCCATTCGCTGCCATACTTGACTCATACAATCCAGCATCAAGACACTCTTGTGTCAGCTTGGTCAACCAGTACTTCTGTGGGGGAGTCCAATGTCTTCGTTTCGAACGATTCCATGGTTTAAGCCCAGGCTTCAGTCGGACTCTGTGCACGTAGAGATCTGTAGGGATAGACATATCGGCTATATCTCGAGCACCACAATTTTTATAGGTATACCAAACTCTCATATGATGCAACTTCAAGTGTTCCGGAACAAGAGCACCAAACCTCGGCCCTTCAGCATCCTACCAATTCTTGATCTCCTCTCCTTGTTCATCTGCGTGACGGCGACCAACGGGGACTACGGGATTGAGATCTCTGTAGTTCTTCATCCAAACGCTTTTCGCTTTCCGTATCATGTATGAAGAGCCAAGGCCAAAACGAACGACGTCGGAGACAAGACCAATACTAGCGCCAAATATGGCAACGACAATGAATATGAGCCTTTCCATGTAGCTTTCCGGACGCCTTTCGTAGACATTTTGTCGGAATTTTAGTCGTTGAAGGTTTGGTCGGATTGGCTTCCAGCTCATCGGACTTGAGTCATTAAAGAGCTGCATAGACAGGGAGCTCTGTTTATATGTATACCATGATCGAAAGTCCCTAGGTAGATGAGTTTAGAACTCCCCGCGCAACAGGATTGTTGTTATCATACCCAATATGTTCACCCCTGCGGCGTACGTCTTCCCGCTCCAACCGTTAAGCAGGCGATTATAGTATAATCCTATCGGACCCGTTGATGACAGGATGGACAGACTGAAAGTATTTTGCCTCAAAACCGGCTATAACAGTCTGTTTGATGCGTACGGGGGTATACCAAGTCTTGTTCGCAACCTCCTGCCAAGCCTCTAGGACTTCCTCACCCGGGCCTTCAGGCGCTGTGTTTGTTCGTACCCATTCGATGAGCGGGTCTTCATGGTCTCTCGTATAGCGAAATACGCAAAGCTCAGCGTCGTACCCCCACCATATTTGAAGCATGCGAAGTTTAGGCATGCGTGAGGCAGCTTTCGCAACACCCAGGAGCAGACTGGTATAGCCCTCATTCGAATCCGGGCTGAGAAGGGAGGATGTCATAGAGAACCTTTCTAAATTCGGCCAATACTCATTTCCCGAGAATCCATACATGAAGGTAGCGAAGAAGTATCTGGCATCCATGAAAAAGGACACGTCGATCTTGTAAAACTGGTAACTTGCTTTCCGTAGCATATGTGTGGAAGGAATATCACTCCTGGAAAATCTGTTCCGTACCGATAGCATAACAGATGTATCTAGGAAAGCCGAGAAACATTGAAGTCGAAACGGCAAAGCTTTCATGACTTGGCGAAGAAGGGTATAATCGTCGATGTTGTCTTTCGCGGCGCGGCGCCATTGCTCAAAGCCAATACGTTGCAAATTCGGAAAGCTTTGCGCGATGAGGCTAAGAATAGGTATGTTGGCGTAGAATTGCCTTGGGATAATAAAGCCTGTAACAAAGTCCAACTTCGGTAAACGAAGAGACGAATCTGCGCTGATTTGACTCAAGTCAAACTCACGAGGTTGTCGATTTAGTAACCAGGGTTTATGAACCGTGTTAAACCAGATATCTGATCTAAAACACGAACATTTGGAAGGACTTCGATGGCTGCATTGATATATAGGAGTCGGAGGTTTATTTCCAGGGGGATAATCCATCGCATTGTATCTTTGATACGAGGAACGAGAATCATCGGGTGAGTACGCGTCAAAGAGAAGAGTAAGTGATAATTTTCTAGGTTGTGTCTTCTCCCTAGTTTCCCACTCTTTAAGTATCGTGAATAGCTTCCCTATCGAATCCGAGAAGATATTAGCGTTTTCGTCAAGCTCTTTAGGAATTTCCTCCGTCAAGTCTAAGTCTTGATAAAATGACCGAAGCTCGACCTGTAGCCACAAGCGACGTAGAAAAGGTCTTCGACGCGGAACAAGGACTTTGCCGAACTCATGAAGGTCTGACTGTTTTATAGTTAGTTTTTTAAATGTCCGCCCCTCGAAGAAATCTTGCCACTCTAGTGATACTGTTGCGTATGCAGACAAATGAGAATTATGCAGGAAATCTTTGCCATGTAGTCTTAGAAGATCGCTATCGTGGTCACATAGGTATCCGTAGATTATCAACTTCACTTCGGAAGGTAAGTCATTCCATCCAGCCATGTTAGGAGTGTTCTGAAACCAACAACAAATAGTGCTGATAATGTGCAGTGAAGAATGGAAGCTGATGTCGTACATCTATCAACATTGTTGAGGTGATCTGTTACCTTTTATACATGTGAAGACGTAGAAAAGAGTTTAAGTCTTCGGTTAGGGTTTGATAGGTAGAATACCTACACTTGGGTATAGATAATAACTCACTCACCCTTGTCTTGAATAAGGTTATGAAGTATAAAGTATGATTATACAACTATTAAACCATAGTAGTATGAGAAATAGGGGCAGCAACACATCACGTGATATCCATTTTCTTCACCATCGCGCCTTTTATTACCTAGCAAAGAGGGCTTTCCTGTACGATTATGCCCTTATTACTACTAGGAAAGAAAAGAGTTCAACTAGACCGTGATATTATGAAATTTTAATAAGTATAAAGTTGGCTATTAGTTGAGACATTTGGTTTTAAAGTTGGGAATATTCTTATATAAGTTTATAGGTTAAGAAGAATTGAGGCAATAAAATTGACGCTATTACCTCCTTCCTGTAAGAAGCCCTTAGTTGAGAAGGCCAAGCGGCTGCCAGGTGCTTACATATGGCGTGAATAACGTTGGACCAATAAAAGTTCTAGTGGGTAGTATTTAGTCAGCGTCACATGTCCTGATTACGCATCAGTAACGCTGTCGTCATAATTTTTGCATACAGTCGAATTGAGACACACTTACCTGCAGCTCGTCCTCAAGCAACACAGTCAACGGGGATAGAAAGCAGCCTAGAATTCACGGCAATGACAGCTCTTACAAGTCGCCCCGGATTTTTAGATCTTGATTACGGACGAAAGTACCGAAACCAGTTCATTGCCCGACCGTTTATTAGAGGGACAGGGGTAAAGACTCAACTAAAACAGCGCGGACTTGCCGCTAAACTCAACCTCCCACTACATAAGACATATCCAGCATTCACATGTCAATAACAACACGTATATAAACGAGGGTAGTACAATACCAGACCCTCTCGGAGCAAATAGTTTCTTTAGATATCGAGAGTGCATTGCATAACCATCGTCTGACCTTTCTAATTATGAGGCAAACAATCAATAGATCTGCACGAAACGATCAAGTGACTTTACTGTTTCCTAACTTACAATCCCGTACCCAAGATACTTCCTGAAGGATTGCTTCAAACTATGTAGGTACTCAAACTAGGGCTGAGTACCCCTTAACACGGAATAGATTCTAGAAAAATTGACGCGGCAAGGAGGTGGCACGACTTTGAGATCTAACCACGTGTAATCGGCGGGAATTGTAATAAATATCAAAGGATAGAGACAGGAGCTTTATCTGTATGACATCAATCAAGGATAGAAATGTCTACGGCATAATTGAGGCTACCTTAATATGTCTAATAGGAAAGCTTCTTGTCTTATTAAACGGATCCGTGCTGGATTATACAATAGATCCTGGGAGGTAAGATGCGTACTTCGTAACAATCGAAGGTACTTGACCTCCCTAGTAAGATAGGTGGCACGAAGGGACAAACGGCGCTAAATGCTCAATGTCCGTTTGTACCGCTCTGCCCGATTTCTATGCAAGGTACGGTCATAGTTGACATCAAATTTCTCCATACCGGCAGCTACGGGCGCTGGGGTATCCATCTTGTAATAAACGGTCGATAATAGGAAATAGGAAGCTCCGAGTGGGAAGTATACTTGGAAACTCTAGCTGTTTACGGTAGGGACACCTGCCAGATCTCAAAACTTCTTCAGAAGCAAGAGCGGGACAATCTGGAGTTTGTGAAAATCGAAATCCGCTTCAACATCGTTCCCCTTGTCACCTTGTCACCTTGTTACCTTGGTCGCATCAAGCATAATTCGCATCCCGTCAGCGCATCGCCTCTATTTGTGGTCCCCCAAATTCTTTATTCAGCAACTGGGCACCCTCTCTTTTCCTCGCGCACGCGCAACCCGTTTTGACAACATACTATCCAAATAATACTTACCTACTAACCTACTGACCGACACCTGGGATAATCTTCGAGACACATTTTACCTGTCGATACTCTCTCTCATCCTATCGCGAGCGACAACAAAGTTGACCCCAAATCCGGGCTCGCCGACAGCATTCTCTTAGATACGACGACGATATTAACCCGGCTGGCACGTGCCTACCCGCTCGTATTGTCGATATAGATACGCATTGTATTGTTCTCGGTGGGCGACGAACCCCGATGGATGTCGAGATGAATCCCAGCAGCGGTGAACCAGAAAATCAGCAACAGCAGCAGCAGCAACAACAACAGCAGCAGCAACAGCACTTGAATTCTCCGTCGCAATCGACGCCTCCCTCTCAGAATACGCCGCCAGGGTCAGCAGCGTCAATCCAAAATGCGCAAGGTCAAATGAGTTTCCGAAGGTTCGTAGAAACGTTCGCGTTGTAGTGTCATGTATACGCCTCCGAGGCTGTGACCAATTGGCTGACCGAGAATAAACTTCGATTAGGCAACGGGCTTCGAGAGCGTGTGAGGTGCGTAATTCATTAATTTTCGTCTTATTCCTTTCGGAGGGGTTGGTGGTTGTTTTTATCTGCTCTATTCTAAGCGACCCGAGCTACCTCTCTGGGGCTCGAAGTGGGATTATTCTAGACATGCCGAGGCATCTCAAGAATGCGGCCCATATTCCTCTTACCTCGTTCCCTCGCGTCCTTGAACCTCTTAAACTGACTGCTCGGCTACCAATAGACATGCCATGCTAGGAAGGTACGAAATTATCCGTTGTTTTATTCTAATTCGCTAGTTCGAACACATGCGAATATGCGACCGTAATCCTTATGTAGGAGGGGATCGATATTTACAGAATAATAGGTGCGATGCGATGCGGCGAGCCTCGGTGTCCCGTGCACCAACTGTGTTGCCTTCTCAATCGAATGCAAAATCCCACAACCAAAGAGGAAGAAAACACAGGCAAATGCAGCAAAAGACTCGGATAGGTGTGTGCATAGTCTTTCCATCTTATTCAATACAGTAGGGTAATAAAGTGTATGGTGGTTGACTGGCGAATCTATAGCGATCGTGGAGATACCATCGATGACCCCTCTCCAAAACCACTATCAACACCCACACCGGCACCACCGCCGCCAAATGCCGGTTCGTCGAATACCTTCCCTGCGCGACCTGCCGTGTACCATTCCTCGGAAGGTATACCCTCGACAACTCTCTCCGAGACCCAAGCTAGGAAAGAGGAAGTCGACAACGATACATACGTCAACCTGATCATGAAACCGAAATTTACGAGAGCCCCTATTACTGAAGCTGGTCGGGTTGCCTTTTTAGGAGAGTCATCAAACCTAACGCTGTTGGTTCACGATCGCCAAGGAGCTTCAGATGTCGTGCATTATCCGCTTCCTGAGAATGTACGCGGTTCTAGGGCTCGTTTGACCGAGTTAGACAATATCGAGATCGATATCCTTCATCAACGAGGAGCTTTCCTACTACCACCTAGGACCCTTTGCGACGAGCTGATTGACTCCTATTTTAAATGGGTACACCCCATCGTGCCTGTCATAAATAAGACTCGTTTTATGAGACAGTATCGAGATCCAAAGAACCCGCCTTCACTTCTCCTTTTGCAAGCTGTCCTTCTTGCTGGTTCTCGCGTTTGTAACAACCAACAGCTTATGGATGCCAACGGCTCAACTACCCCGGCTGCGTTGACATTTTATAAGAGAGCAAAGGCTCTTTACGATGCCAATTATGAGGACGATCGCGTGACTATAGTTCAGGCCTTGCTCCTTATGGGTTGGTATTGGGAAGGCCCGGAGGACGTTACAAAAAATGTCTTTTACTGGAGCAGAGTTGCTATCATCGTCGCCCAGGGATCTGGGATGCACAGAAGCGTAGAAGCATCGCAACTGAGCAAAGCCGATAAGAGGTTATGGAAGCGTATTTGGTGGACATTATTCACTCGCGATCGATCCGTTGCTGTTGCGCTTGGGCGGCCGTGCAATATCAACCTAGACGATTCGGATGTTGAGATGTTAACTGAGGATGATTTCATTGAAGACGAGCCGGATAATGCAAGCGCGTTTGCTCCCGATCCCATCCATGTCCAGTTCTTCTTACAATACGTCAAACTCTGCGAGATCATGGGTCTGGTTTTGTCGCAGCAATATTCGGTAGCATCCAAGGGCCGACGTCAGAATGCTATCGATCTCACTCATAGTGATATGGCTTTGGCGGATTGGCTACAGAACTGTCCTAAATTGGTATATTGGGAGATGCCGCGGCATCACTTCTGGAGCGCGCTACTTCATTCTAACTATTATACTACCCTCTGCCTCCTGCACCGAGCACATATGCCCCCTAATCATAGCAACGCGGCGAGGTTCCCAGACGACTCTTCTTACCCTTCTCGGAATATCGCGTTCCAAGCGGCAGGAATGATTACATCCATCATTGAGAATCTGTCAGCACACGATGAACTCCGCTATTGCCCGGCATTCGTTGTTTATAGCTTGTTCTCCGCTCTCATTATGCACGTGTATCAAATGCGATCTCCTGTACCATCGATTCAACAAGTTACGCAAGTTCGGATCCGGACATGCATGGAAGCGCTCAAGGAAGTTTCTCGGGTGTGGCTTGTAGGGAAGATGGTATACACGTTATTCGAATCTATATTAGGTAATAAGAATCTAGAGGAGAGATTGCAGAAAGCTGCTGGAAAACGACATAAGAAAGTACAACAGAGCTTGGCTCAACTGGAGCAACATCATCAAAGACAACAAGAAGCTGCTGCGGCAGCAAAACGGAAATATGATGAAATGGCTATTGACTTTAGTATAAACACGCCGGTGCATCAAGAGTCGTACGAACGATCACGCCCGCAAACCCCGAGGAACGAACCAATTCCAAACCAACCTCATATGGGGCCGCCTATCAACTCACCAAACGCTAAATCCGGGGACACTTTTATGGGAGGGACTAGTAGCAGGCCACACACTCGACCTGCGACTCCATTCAATCCTTCATTCTCCCTTCCGACCACACCGCCAGATCTATACCTCGTGACTCGCAACTCGCCGAATATTTCACAATCTCTCTGGGAGAATTTCCAGCCGGACCAACTATTCCCTGAGAGCTCGCAGATCCCATTACCGCAGCTGTCTCCGCCTCAAAACCAACAGAGCCTAGATCCAAGTCTCGTTAATCCGATACAGGCTGGTATGTCTCCACAGTCGCCCGGGCAAACCAGCCAGTTCCAAGCTCGAATACCGAACAAAACGACGGTTGCAAGTCCCCAGCAAGCTAACAGTTTTTTGCAACCAGGAATTGGAGGGTTCCAACCCCAGAATAACAACTTGTGGCCAGGCGGCGAGGTTAATACAACATTACCGGATGGTCAAAGCCCTGACAGCTGGAGCACGGGATCGGCTCAGGGACAGCCGGTTCCGGCTACATTGAATGTTGAAGACTGGTACGTGGCACAAGTTATGAAGCTCCGAACTTTGCTAATATAGGTACGCGATTCTAGGTTCCAATTCTTCGGCATCAACGGGAGCGAAATAAACCTATCTGGACTTGATATGCCTATGACCTGAGTGGGGGGCTCAACTGTACGATGAAGGGAACGGTATTATATGTGATTATCATACCTTGGCCGATTTCTTTCATGGTATGAATTACGTGACGCAAGGCAAGGGGCTTGTACTATCCCTCTTGCTCGGAGTTTTGGTGTGTTGATTCGAGATGGATCCTATATAACCGGCCTGAAGATTGGTCTTGTGATATACGGATGAGATACTAGCCATCTACGACAAATATTGAAAATATACGTATGATTCACGCGAAGGCGTATGTGTACTTGTATAATATCGTCCTTGGGTTTTCGAATAATTGAAAGTGTATTTTTGTATATGTGTCATTAGGTAGTTATATGAATCTTACTTACCCTTACCAGGTAGGTACGTAAGTAAAAGAGAATAATAATATGAAGTTATCCAAGTCTCTTAAGGAACCTACTACCTAGTAAGGGACTTACTAGGTACGTAATTAATTGTCGTTAAGTCGGGCATCCGGTGTCCACAACGCCGTTCCAGCCGTCTTGGATTCTTGGCCGTATCTTGGTGACACTAAAAGTAAGCGCACTAGCCGAATGGGGCTAAAGGCATAATACATCGAAGTATGTACATGCCATACATAGTACATGACGTGCATACCCTTGTCAAATTGTATGTTCCTAAAGGGGTCCAATGGTCGGGTACGTGTACAATTCGACAAAACGAGAACTCCTGTTTAATGTAAACTCTTGACTCTTTCTGACAAACAACCTTGGAATAGTGAGACCCGTAGCACGCAGATAACCGGTACGAATCATTCTGATACTTCCCTCATTCCCCATCACCGGACTTGGTATTTCCTTCTTTCTTTTTATATTTTGAAATTCTCGACACCAACCCTCCGATCCTCACCGCACAAGTTAATTCCAAAACGTACCATTGACGCAGCATCCACGCATGTCCCCGTTCGGCCGATTCCCGATTTGAACGTCAGGCCCCAGATTTTGGACATAGGTTCCACGGCGACGATAAGACCGAAACCGCTCACGAGTTACGTTTCCTCCGATGAAATCAATGTTCTCTATCGGTCAACACCAACCCTAGCCTCCATAGGCTCGTATGGTCCTAGAACATGGCCGATACGGGTTGGACATCAGGCCCCACCGCACGGAGGTCGACAACCGGTCTTGTCCCATCCGGCGTTGACGATGCTACCACCGTGAGGTCTCGGAGTAGGAGGGCACCCGCCAATCGAGATGCACCAACAACGTTAAACTTGACACCCGGTGAGAGTCCCACCACTAGTCGGGGTGCGAGTCCCATGCCGTCAGCCCGCCTCGGTAATAGCAAGTTTCTCTCGAGCGGACAAACGACTCCTTCGAATGCCGCATTTTCGCGCGGACTACTCGAGGGCTCATGGGCACCAAGTTGGGCATCAGTCCAGGACTTCGCATCCTCTTTCTTGGATGGCGGTTATGCTAGCGAACCCTCGCGTCCTAATAGCCGCAACGGAAACAAGGCACGACCGAAATCAATATGGAAAGGGCTTGGGGGTGGCACTGCGAAATCCGGAAAATCGTCTAGCAGCTGGGGACCTGCTCCTCCCGAGGAATCACGGCCGGGCGCCAGGGATATCGCGACAGGGTCGCTTGCTGAGCGTGAAGCACAACTGAAAGCTAGGAAGAGAGCTAGTGTGTTGGAGAGCTACGAGGGTGTCAATGGCGGCTTAGATGTAGCAGGAAGATACAAGAGGAGGAACTCAGACGAGGCACCACGAAGCACAATGGATTCTGTTACAGAGGAGCATTTGGTCTACTTGCACCATGTAAAACCTACGGACACGTACGCGGGCATCGTTCTTCGATATAGGTGTCAAGAACATGCATTCAAGAAGACAAACGGCTTATGGTCTAGGGACAATATTCAAATACGGAAACATTTGATGATACCCGTCGACGCATGCGAATCCAAAGGCCGGCCTTGCGACCCCCCATCTGAGTACTCCCGGGAAGTTAATCATCTGGCTACTACACCGGAGACTAGTGATTTCACCCTCTCGTCGGTGTCTACTCCACAGCGACGACAAGCCTTACATGATAGTTACTTTGAATCCATCGGTGGAAAGTCAGCAGGGCAACCCACGGAGGAAGACGAGGAACCACCATGGACCCATGTACGATGGGTCAAACTCGATTCAGTTCAGGAACCTGTTGAAATTGTCAGGATCTCAAGGAAATCATTGGGTTATTTCCCTCCTCGGCGAAAGAAGAGTATCCACACAACTTCTACCTTCTCAACACCACGACACTCACTCGATCTATCTAAAGTAATCACAAATTCTTCTGAAGTTGTCGATAGCCCAGGAAGATTATCATCAAGACGGCAAAGTTCTCTTAGCGCCAGGCCAACACCCGCGAGCCTCGGGACTTCCTCCTCTGCTAGAAGCAGAGTCACTAGTTTAGGGGAAGGAGACGGTGTTCCGGCGTGGATGCGGAGGCCGGGAGGAGTAGGATCTATGGGAAGGAGTGTGAAGGCGCCAGGCCCAGCGAAGGACTCCTTAAATACGTGGGTCAATAAACGATTACCTGGCTTCAACATAGATTCGATGCCGTCCATGTCGGTAATGGGGTCCGAGACGGCACATTTTGGATTTAATAACACGGCGGAAGAGGCTGCGGGAATCGTAGAGAGCCCATTCGAGGAAGGCCGAAACGCGACATCACCACCTAGGAATGGGATCGGCCTCGAACAAGCCGCTGCATCTATCGAATCGTGGTTGCGCGGCGCGTGGGCGAGAAGACCGAGTACCCCGAGACTGGGCTCTAATCGGAGACCTACCGAAGATCTGGACCTAATCGAGTTGACGGACACTAACAGTGACGAAGGCGGTACCCCGGGAAGAACGATGGAGACTGGTCTGCTGAACCAGACTTTCGCCCTTTCCGGCTCGACGGCGAGAAGCGACGGAGCGGGCTCGGTTAGAGGACGCTCCGCGCCACCGATGGCAACGGGTGCGGGGAAGGGAAAGAAATCCGATTAAGATGGGTTACTACTACACTGCAGGTGATAGGAGAGAGCAAAGGAAAGGCAAGGCAGGGATGGCAAGGCAAAGACAAGTGATAATAGAAGAATTTTCAAGACCAGTTCGATAGATGAGATCCGACGTACTCAAGTGCCCATTTTCACTTAAAGAAGGCCGCGCGCTCGCTTGCTTGGTCGGCGCGGCTGGGCTACTTCTTGGTGCACGCATTGCTGGAGGCGTTTTTGGGGGTGTACCCCTCGCGTGGCGTTTTGCTGCTCTTTTTTCGATTTCGAATCTTGCTATGCGGGAGCGGATGCTGCGTCTAGGGAGGGTTGAGTTGTTGTGGCTTTTTTTTTGGGGGGGGGGGCTCTTTTGTATATATATGAATATAAGGTATATATGTATGTGTGTGCTTTTGCTGGCTTGGTGTGTTAGTATCTAAAGTGTCTCCGGGGGATGGGGTAGAGGGCTAGAGAATTGGTTGGGTTTAGCATAGGTGGGTTTTTAACATAGAGTAGAGGGAGAGAAGAGATGGGGTAAAGGGTGGACTTTTTATAGATTATATACATGTTGAAATAATTAGGAAGTCTGATTCGGTATTTGTGTTGTGGTGATATATTCGCTGGTGTTTCGTTCCTAGGTGGAAGGAACCTTGAACCTTGAACTCTATGGCTTACCTAAGCGAGATATAGCTCGAGGTGATAAGATAATGGAGCTCCCAAGTTCGAGGTTAAGGTTCGATCTGTCGAGACTCGACACCAAGTCAATCGGAATTGAATTTTGGACATACAATTTGAATATATGGATTATATAGTCGAGATGCGATTTAATATTCGGTATAAGAAATGAGAAACAAGTCGATATCCCTTACGTTTCAACGACCGTCCTACTTATTCCATCCCACCACGACACGCGTCGCGAATGCCCCTCCCTATATCGATCCAGGCGCAAGGTAGCAGGTCGCAGGTAGCGGCGCAGTAGAAAAGACGAGGTTGAGAGTAATAGAATAATACCCTTACGAGAAAATGCCGATCTGCATCGAGTGCCGGCACCCGGTTAAGACGCTATGGACGCAGTACTCGGGCGCGGGCGACCCGTCGAGCGGCCACGGGATCCGGCTCACCGTGTGTAAGAACTGCGGCCGCTTCTGCGACAAGTACGTCGAGCACGACTTTGTTGTGCTGTTCATCGACTTGGTCTTGATCAAGCCCCAGGTCTATAGGCATCTGCTGCACAATACGCTTATGCGCGAGAGGGATCAGTTTGATGTATGTTCTCTTCCCTGATTTTAGTCACACATGTTTAGGAAAGGTTTATGGTTACGATTACGGTTGGGAATGGAGAATGGTAGTGCTGACGAGTCATGGTTGATATAGCCGTCTATCATACGCTTAGGAACTTTACTTCTACTATTCGACGTTTATCTCACATGGGCGCGCATCGAAAAGCAAGCCGCGCCTGACACGGGCTCCCCCGTGGCAGGGAGTAACCTAGGGACTCTAGCACGGCAGCCCATTGTGTGCCAGTACTTATTCTTCCGTAAGCTTTCCCTCTCTTTCTAACATCTTACCTATCAAACCTTCGTGACCTGAGCTAACACGCTTAACCCTCAGTAATCCTCTGCACCTTCTCCACCTTCGCCTTCCACATGAGCATCCGCTTCCTAACCTCCTCTCCGCTCTCGCCCTTGAACTTCCTCGGCCTCCTCCCAACGTATGCGCGCCCGAATTCGGTATCAACGGCCCTCCTCGTCTCATCCTCCACAAAACTGTTCCCCATCCTCATGGTCATCTGGGATTATGACGTGCCGGCCGCGGCCCGTAGTTTGGGCTGGGCCGTCGTGGCCAACAATGTGGAAGCGCTGAAGATCCTTCTTGATTGCGGGTATGGCGTCGCGGTTATATTGGCGGCAGCTGGAGCGATAGCGAGGTGGATGGTAGGGAGGGCGGTGCTGTGGGTTGTTGGGCTGGAAGGAGTTGATTCTGCGAGCGAGAGCGGGGTGGCAGCAGACGGTAGGGCGTTATGGGCGGCGGTTGTTTATGTTAGGGAGTGGGCGGGCAGGTTGGCTGTTGGGTGATAGTTGCTTTGCTTTGCTATGGGTTAGTAGGTTAATGAGCCAATAGACAGATATAGAGCGTAATGAAAAAAAGCGAAATGATTGAATGAAATGAAACAGAATAGTTGTTCGAAATGCGTTTATTATGTCTCCTAATATTCCCGGATACACGCGCGCGCAAAAAGACTCTCTAGCCGCATGGCCTGCTCAGCTGCTGAGTATTGATGGCCTCCCATCTTCCAGAACGCCGAAACCAATGTAAACAATGGTGGTGATGTTTGTACAATTCCACTTCATCTCGGTGATTCTCCTCTCCCTTCCGTTCCGTAGCAAGTAGTATGCTTATCTTCCATTCTTCTTTCTGTCACGTTCGGATCGGATGCTGATTTGTCTTATGTCCGCGTCCGTCTTTCTAATCCTTACACGCTTGATGGTTCCTACACCCGTCGGGCTACGTCCTCGCATAGGTTCGTTTCGTGGTCAATGTGATATAATCGGAGTTTATTCGTGTTGGAAGCCTTCCCGTATAGTAGATCGTCTCGGTTCAATCAGCGGGTGAAGCTGCGCCATGAAGGTGATGAACCACATTAGGTAGCAGCTGATGAAAGCGAGGATGAGGGAAGAGCGCCATGTGCTTTTTCTTCGGTCAGTATCGATATCCAAGGCAAACTAGTATAATCCATGGCTATAGATGATGTGACAGGAAGATAACTCACGTCTGATTCTCGCCCTTCGGCGAAAAGAACCACGCGGCGACACACAAGGCGGCCACAATGGCAAGGCCGACGAAGACGCTATAACTACGGGAAGGTCAGCGAGTTTCTCTAAACCACGAGAATTGAGACAACTGTACGAACCCCTTTGCCATTTTGTAAGCAGGGTTTTCCTAGTCTTCAAGATGATGTCTTAATAGCTTGTAAAGATGAAGTGTGAATGCGTTTATGCGTTTAGAAGCTAATAAGGTCCCGGATTAGAGCTTGCCTGGCTGACACTTCCTCATTGGAGGTAACGCTAATTTACGCTTAGTCATCTTGTCAGGGGTACGTATCCTTTACATTTTGCTGGGTCCTTTGAATTGAGTTTCAACGTTTGAATTATTTATTCGTATTCTTAGCAATAACTTCAAGATTTAGTATTTATTTTTCGTTATCCTTTACATGAAGTAATAAGTTATGTATGTTGAGCCATATGTAATAAATCAAACATCGTTCTCATACTCCAACCCGGCGTTCTTCCTCGCGGCACCGTATATTCCCGCGATGTCGCCTTTGTCACCACCCGCATAATCAGCAACACTCTCCAGATACTCATCCGCGACCTTCGTTAACCTTAGCTCGGCACCGGCATTCTTAGCCATGTTCATGGCGTGACCCGCATCTTTGCGTGCGTTGTCAGCCGAGAAGAGCGGCTCCGCCATCTTCCAGTACGTGCCCTGGGTTATGCGCTGCGAGTACAGACTGTATATGCCGCCAAACAACAGGTCTATGAATTGTTTCAGAGCGTCCGGCCCTATGTCGGTTTTATCCGCTACTGCAAACCCCTCGCCTAATTGTGCTACCATGTTGATGATAAAGCTGTTGCCGAGAAGCTTCAGTTTTAGCGAGGTGCCTACTGGCTTATCGTCGAAGGCGATCTCAGCTTTGCCCATTACGCCCTTGATGTAAGGACGGAGTTTATCGATGCCCGATTTGGGGCCAGCGGGAACAAATCTGTGTTTGTGCTGTTAATAACCACTTAGTCATCGGTTTACAAGAACGCCACTTACATCAGTTGGCCTGCTTCAGCTGCAGGTGGTGCGCCAAAGATGGGGCTCGCAATAAACTGAGCGCCCTTCTCTGTTGCTAACTTGGCAATTTCTTCCGTAGTCTCCGGGGCAATCGTAGAGCACTCAACAAACAGCTTGCCTGCAACATCTCCTTTGAGAATAGTGTCGAAATTCGCTTTCACCACAGCGTCATTAGAGAGGATATGGAAAATAATATCGGCCCTCTTGACGCCTTCCTCAACAGAATCGACAATCTCCGTCTTTCCTGTAGGAAGTTTGGCTGCTAGTTCTTCGGCACGTTTTCGAGTCCGGTTGTACAAGATTACGGGCTTGTCCAAGTTTCCTTTCTCCACCAAGTTCTTCACCATTCCCTTGTGAGGGGTTAGCAAGCCGATATTTTGAAGTAATAATGCTGCATACTCACTCTTCCCATATTCCCTAAGCCAATCCATAGTATTTGGGGAGCCATATTTGGTAGTTTGTCGCTGATAGGTGAGTTGGGTTGCGATTACTAAGGACGAGTTCTCAGATCAGCTACACTGAATCAACCAACCAAAATCAACTACAGCTGAACAATAAGAAAGAAAGAAAAAAACATATACATACGTATTCAAACCAGGAGTATTTCAAATATCAACCATAACTAAAGAGAACGAGTTCAGGTAGCTAGACACACTAGGTGCCAAGCCGGCTTTTATACCTTTCGCTATCCTATTACGGCCGATATATCTCCCAAAGAGCCCCGCAAACCGGCAGCCCGAGATCATACGGCGAATTTTCGTCATTGACTTCCGGTTCCTGCTTACATATTCAAGACCTTCACCTTTGTTACCTAACCTAGCCCGCACCTTATTTCCCCAAGGCCACCAATACATGACCGAGTAAATCGTAATCATGCGATCGACGCCCCACGATGTTATTAAGTAGAGGTAGCAGGGTACGGGTCGGCTCTCGCGCAACACTCCAGCAGCTTACAAATCTCGTGCAAAGGCGAAGACCCGACGATAGTCGTCGCTCGCTTCATCTCGCGCCTCCGTTCTTGCTGGAAGATTATATCCCAAGGTACCAGCTGCTGTCTGAGGTCGAGGCATCTAAAAAGCGCTCTCTCGCGTATGCGCACCTTCGGAATTGCAACTTATGTCCGCGACTTTGCGGTGTGAACCGTTATGAGACGACGGGTATGTGTCTGATTGGCCAAGACGTCAAGGTCAATGTGATAGCACCGCATTTTGGAGAGGGTAAGTAAGATTGAGTCTACGCATCTGAAATTCGGACTAAGATAAGGTAAAGAACCCTGCATACAGGGCCACAATGGTAGTGGTTCCGTCTTCTTCTCCGGCTGTAATCTAAGATGCACGTTTTGCCAAAACCACGACATCGCTCATCAAAGGAACGGGTTCGACCTGACGCCTGAAGAGTTGGCTCAATGGTACGTTAAGTTGCAGGAGGTGGGCAACGTCCACAACATTAATCTCGTTACTCCCGAGCATGTGGTGCCGCAGGTCGCTCTGTCTATCCTAGCCGCGCGCGATATCGGGCTCAAGGTCCCGATCGTGTATAATACGTCTGCTTTTGACTCCCTTGCATCGCTGGAACTTATGGACGGTCTCGTCGATATCTATCTCCCGGACTTCAAGGTCTGGAACAAGGCCACCTCGCAGCGCTTGCTAAAAGCGGAGGATTATGCTTCGACGGCTACAGAGAGCGTCAAGGCTATGCATGCGCAGGTCGGCGACCTGTGTTTCACCGGCGACGGCATAGCGAAAAAGGGTGTTCTGGTAAGGCACTTGGTTATGCCAGGAAAAGAGGCTGAAAGCGAGGAGATCATGAAGTTTCTGGCAGAAAATGTGTCGAAAGACATCTTTGTTAATATCATGGAGCAGTATAGGCCGGCGGCTCATGTTGGGAAACCGAAGAGAAGAACTAAGAAAGAAACGGTTGAGCAGGGAGACCAGGAGGAGGTGAGATATGCGGATATAAATCGACCTGTTACTAAGGATGAGATCTCTATTGTGAGGAAGGCCGCGGAAGCTGTGGGTTTGGTAAGTGGTGTCCTATGGAATCCTTTTGAGTTGTATCATGATTCTTAAGATTGGCGGTGACTAATTTTGACCATAGTGGCGCTTTTGCGACCCTCCAAGACACGATGGTTTTGCCATATGAAGTCTCTAGTTGAGATTCCACAAGGTACATTACTGCGGCCTGTCGATATAAAATTGAGATCATTACGAACAATGCGACTATCAACGTAGAAGCCATGCGTATTTCTAGAACCGGCTTGAAACAGCTCTCAGTCAAGATCTCATATCTATTTGGCCGCGGAAGCATCAAATATGTAAGACCTTCCAAGTTATTCGAGTTCATCCTTTTGTTTATGTTAATATAGGACTTATAGAAATAGGAAGACTTTTAATGTCACGATAGATATCTTCACTATTTACCTTTATTCCGAAGCGTCTAGCTACTGCTAGGCTTACATCACTTTGTACCGATATTATTCTCATGGAGAATAGTCCAGAAGGTTTTTGTTCCTGGCATCTCCTTGAAGAGTTATCAGTACTATCAAATCATTGTCTTATTGGACTTATCTCGTGGATGTTACATAGATATAATAAACTTGCAGCTCCCGCAATTTTCGAATCCCACACACACATAACTTGGAAAGGACTCACTGCATCTACTTGGAAATCCATCCACGATGACATCCAATGCACGAAAAAACTCTCAGAATGTTGCCCGCGAGCATTGGGACAGCAAACAGGAACTGATACCAGGCCATCCCATTGGACTAAGACCAGAACCAACGACTCAGGTCCGCAGTGACCCTTGGCAATCAGTCAGTGCACTGCAATTGGGATTTCAGCCACGGTCGTTTGGTGAACTGCACACAGAACGACTGTACCTACTTGAGATGCTTCAACAGTACGATAGGCGAGCCTTCGAACTATTCACGAAAGTACCCCTCGTCGAACATAGAGCCTGCCAGGTCGATGATCCAGCAAGACAAAAGCGAGCTAAAAAACATCGAGGTTGGCTGAGACATCGTATTGTGGACACTGTCGAGGAAGAGAAGAAAATATTGGCGAGACTAAGTGAGCTACATGTTGAAATCCAATGTCGTGAGAGATGGTCGCGAGTCGAGAAGGAAAGAGAAAGGATACACCTTACACCGCAGCATCTCTCTGATTACCCAGATCTTCCTACCTATCCACGAACGCCTTGGGGCCCCCGAATGTATCCATTGCCTCCTCAACTATATGACCCTCAGTTCCAATACTATATGTACACTGGAACTCCACACATGTATTATGAGAGGCCAATTTGGAATCACGACACTCCGACATACGGACAAAATACTTCTAATAATAACTCCAAACCCGAAGAGCATGAACTGGATGGCACACCTATCGACAGTACACAGGATTACGAGTCTCGTCAACGTTCACAATCTTTAGGGGAACTTACGGCATCGAGACCTAAGAAGCAGAATAGTATGCCTTCATTAGGTCGTAGATGGAGTGGACAAGACGAAGAAAACGTAGGGATTGATACGTAATTTGAATTAGTAGTTGACTCCTTCCAAAGATTGTAGAGGAACAGTGTATCTTAGTCTCGGTGTGCATAATATCAATTCATTTTGTCCTAAATCGCCTTGAGAGGAAGACTATTACCAAGGACACGTTTCCAACATAGTCTATCACAGTAATGAATCGTAGCTAGGAACCATCTAGACTGGTAGTAATAACTTAAGCGAATTCTCCAAATTTCCCATCATCGAAACCCAACTTCTGCGCGGACAATCGTTTCGCTCGTGCGCTGGTGGCGGCTGGTGGCGGCGGCGGAAGAATACCCGAGCCGCCACCGGGAGGCGGAGGCAGCGAAAATGACGAGAGAGCATCGTCATTAGAAAATTTCGGAGGCGGCTCTGGCTTCCGTCTGCCAAACCTGCCGGGCAAGTTAATCGTGATCGTCTCGCCGTCTTTCAAACTGAGGTCGCGCTTCTCGGCGCTATCCTTGCGCTCGACGGCAGCCGGCTTTTTGCCAGCGGTACCGGCCCAACCAAGAGTCTTCTGGGCCTCCTGTAGGGAGACGCCGAAATCGAAGGCCTCGCTCCTCTCCTCGAAGCCGATGCCAAGCGTGGCTTTCCGGCCAGCCTCGTCCTGCACGCGCAGGGCAAAGAAGCGCGAGCTGTCGGAGACGGGCTCGACGACGGCGACGGCGGTGTAGGGTGCGGCGGCGAATAGGCTGCCGTTGCTAGCGTCCTCGAGTGCGATATCCGTCTTCACCTTCTCGTCGCCGCCGTCCTCGGTTGCGGGGATAGCGGTCTCGATTACGCGCACCCGCGCGGTGAAGATCTGCCGCTTCCCGTCGTCGGCCGTCCAGCTCGCGGCGACGTGGCCCTTGCCGGGCGTCATCGGCGGGATGTTATAGACGTGCACGGAGTTCGCTATGAAGAGCACCCTCTGGATGGCGTCGGAGGGGAGCGGTCGGCCGGTCGCCGGGTCGAGTACCTCCATTTTAATTTTGGCTTTGTCTCTTTCCTTAAAGAAACAAATGCCGTGTTTAGTTAAAAGTTTCCCGGGCGTAGGCGATGAGGCCGGTTTCCGGTGTTAGTTGGAAGGTTGATGACTTCGCTTCTTTTGGGTTGCGGCCGGCCGAGGTTCAGCTGGTGGAGCCTGTCTTTATCCTCCTCCCCCCTGAACCCCTGCAGGTGCGGTACGGCCCCTATCTATTTTCTAAGGTTGCGATTCTGTAGGACCGGAAGGAAGTTAGCGCGCCAGGCTGCACTTTATCGACATAATTCGTATTATCCCACCCTGGCGCGCTAATTAACGCTAGCGCTTACAGGTACGTACCATATATAACTCCGCAGCTAATCGATAAGAAATTGAACACCCCGCCGATGATTTACCGAGTCAGTGAGATGCGCCGTGCGGCTTCATCGAAAAATCCTCAATGAGAAGCTGTCGAGCTAATGATCTAATTGCTTAGGTCACCGTCGATATACCATTGAGCTTGCCACAGAGCTCACAACTCCGCACGATGGCCGGCCGGAGTGTTTCACCGGGGGCGGCGCTTTTGAGAACGTCTAGGATGTTCTCAATGCCACCTCCAATACCATCTCCTACCGGCGATTATTCTTCAGCAACCAAACATTACTCGCCAAGTGCCACCATTCCTTTCCCGACACATCTCGCCGTTACAACGACATCCTCTTCTCGTTTGGCCGGCGATTGGGGTTTCAAGCGACCGTTTCCCTTGAAGACTACGACGGATACCACCTACCCCCTCGTACGAGTGAAGAAGGTCGATTCTATCGAACAGGTCACAGATTTTGATTCCGCTTCGGATCATGTCATTACTCTACGGAAGTACCAGGAAATGGCCCTGCCGGTTTCAGTACCGGCGGTAAGCGCTAGCAGATATCATAAGTCGGTATTCGAGGAAGATTCCGATGTGACTGCATTAGATGATGAGAAGAAGAAGGAGATGGTGAATAAGAGATGGAAATTCACGGGGCCATGGCTCGCCGGGATGACGGACGGCGATTTTAGCAGGTTCCTAGAGAAGACGGTGCGGGGGAGGCGCATAGAATTTCGCGCTTTTCTGAGGGAAACCCTTGCCGCCGAAATGACGACAGATCAAGCGAAGGCAGCTAGGGAAGCGGGGGAGCCAGAACCACCCAAAGTAACGGCCTCTGAAATTTCGGAGCAGCAGTTGAACGACTTTATGAGAGTGCTGAGGGTGGAACGTATGACCTTATACAATCTCGTTAGCCAGTTCTTGGACCTTGCTCCGGTCGACGTAGACGTATCCCTCCGTCTCCTTGGCAAATTTATGCCGGGATCGGCGAAGGAATTCGAGAACGGCAGCCCGTACGGAATCAGCGGCCCTCCTATCACACACCCCTCTGCCGGTATCTCCTATCTGCGCACGCGAAGTTTCTTAGAGAACCACACGCTCTACGGACCTCAGAAGCATCACGCTCCTATCCAGGCACGGATCTTGAAACCCACGAACTTAGCGACGCAAAATTTCAGACCTAGCATTGGTGTAGCCGGATTCGTCGCTAACACGACGAATGCTGACACGGCGTTTAACGCGGTGAGGGGCAGGGGCACGACCAAGTTCCAGAAACAGCTATTCGGCTTCGAGCTCGAGAAGCGCGGCGGGTCGAAGGTCTACGTGGACCTTTCCTCGGCCACCATCGATTCCTTCGGTAAGATCATCATTAACGTCGACGAATCCTCTTCGGAGTCCGAGGTGGTGCAGAAGGAACTAGCGGGAGAGTTGGCGGAAGGGGAGAGCGTGTTGGAACATCTTGTCAGGGCTAGGGAGCGGGCGCAGGAGAGGTCCCAGATCCCTCTTAACCCCAGGAGTGGCTTGAGTGGCATGAACTCGTATAATCGGCTCCAGGGCAGCGCGAGTAATTACGGGTTAAGATCATAGTAGGTTAGGTGTGAGAAACTAAATAACTACCTAACTAAAGTCGCTGGATGCTTCCTGTACATGTCGAGGGGCATCATGTAATATATGGTGTATACTCTATGCCTTATAGGATCTCTGTATATATTGATTAAGAGACTTCTATTGTTAAGTGATCTATATGTGAATCTTGCTTTGGTATTGCACATTTAATGGGTATTACTGGTTTCTGATTTGATATATCATGTCATGAAGCTATTCGGCTGGCTTGTTCCTTTTACTTCAATAGATCGTTTTATTTGAATTTATTTTGTTAGTAGGTATTATTGTTATATCCGTTGTAAGATTTCATGCACAGAGTACTTAGGTACCCAGCCCACATTTTCTTTGCCCTAGGACCCGCTTTGAATTTTACCGATATCTCCCCACATAGATTTCGCCCACTCCCAATAATTCTTTTCCAAACATTTTCAACCGCAGCTTCATTGACAAATCTCGAACTTCCTTCAACACCAAACACCATCCGACTAACCCACAGCCAATACCGCCAAAATGGGTCGCGTTCGTACGAAGACAGTCAAGAAGTCCGCCAAGGTCATCATTGAGCGATACTACCCCAAGCTCACTCTCGACTTCGAGACCAACAAGCGTGTCTGCGATGAGATCGCCATCATCGCTTCCAAGCGCCTTCGCAACAAGGTTAGCAATCCTCGAAACCGAAATGATTCCTTCATTTTACTCGTATCGCGGTTGCGATGGTCAATATGAAAAAAAAAAAGGGATTAGTAGCTAATTTTGGATATGTTAGATTGCCGGCTACACCACGCACTTGATGAAGCGAATTCAGCGAGGACCCGTCCGTGGTATCTCCTTCAAGCTGCAAGAAGAGGAGCGTGAACGCAAGGATCAATACGTTCCTGAGGTTTCTGCTCTCGACTTCACCCAGAACACCGAGGCTGGCCAGCTCGACATCGATGTTGAGACTAAGGACCTATTGAAGCACCTTGGCGTATGTTTTCCCATTTTCACATTTTACTATTACATTTCTAGTAGTTGGTTGCTTACGATAATTAATGCAGTTCGAGAACGTCCCCGTCAACGTCGTCCCTGTTACCCAGCAGCAGACCGCCGAGCGACCCCGACGATTCGGTGACCGCGCTCCCCGGTAAATTAATACTATATACGCGACGGATTCATGAATAAGGATGGGTATGGTGGTTGATTTGGGCAACTGGCATATGGCTTCACGGCTTACGGCGTCTCTACTACAAAGATAGTAGGTACATTTTAGATCCGCAATCGACGAGATCTCCCCATACAAGGTGTCCCCGATTCTCTGGTGCAAGCCGGAGATGACGGTTGATGGCCAATTTTTATCCTCTTTCATTCATCTGTGACTTGCTCTTGATTAGATTTACTATATCTAGGTTCTGACCCTATGGTTTCTCTACAACCTATAACAAAACGGTAAGCGTAGACATACTCAATAAAACAATCTTCAAATTTAACATTTTTACGACTACAAAGTCGTCCTGCTTTGTATGGGTATCGATGGTGCTAACCTAAACGCCTCATGTATGCTCTATGCCAACGGTGATAAGTGCATCCTATAAACCGTAATCACTTCTCGTCCTCATCGGCGTCGGCCTTAGGGTCAAACTTCGTCTTGTATCCATCAAGAATCAAGTGACCGTCGTCATCCGTATCCAACGAAGGCTCCTGCGCCGCCATAATCACCTTCTTCTCCCGGATCGTGACCGTAACCGGATTCGTAGCAGAAGGCAAATCCGTCTTATCGCCTCGTTCCAGTGCTAATTCCTTCGCATCTCGCGTCGCTTTCCTCCCCTTATCCTCCAAGTCCCGCAACTCCTTCGCAACCCGTCGTGCCGGATCATCCCCATGTTTCTCCCCCTTCGAATCGCCTGCTCCCGCTCCAGCCATAGCCGTAGACTTAGACTTCTCTTCTTCCTCAAGTAACTCGATCTGAATCGACTCCACCCCAGCCCGTTCCGCAGCCGAGGTCTCAACAAGCTGCACCTTGACGTACATCGCGCGCCGCGCGCACTGCCGCGAACACCACCGCTCCAACTCCCCGCGCGGCACGATACTAAAGTCCGCACGCCCGTAGTTCAGCAGTTTGAACGACCCCCCGCCGGACAGCTTGATCCGTGGGTTCGGGCAGAGACAGTACCCGCATTTACTCAGCGCGTTGCGCTCGAGGATCAGGTCTTCGTATTCGCTGGGCTGGAAGAGGCGGACTGTGGAGAGGAAGTGAGCTGTGTCGCTGGGTGAGGGACGCGCTGAGGAGGTGTTGCTGGGTGGGGAGAGGGGGAGCCGGGCGAGCTCGATTATGGAGTCTTGGATGCGGTCTTCGTGGTCCCGTTGCGCTTGGATTACGAGCGCTTGTTGGATTGCGAGGTCGCGCGCTGTGGGCTTTTGGGAGGGGGTGGGAGCGTGCTCGGTTATTGGGAAGGGGGTCATGGGGAAATCGGTGAAGTCGGCGGCGGTTGAGGTTGTGGTTGTGTTTCTGGTTGACTTTGATGTCGAGGGGGTGGCGCGAGTAGACGGCTTCTTGAGGATGCTTTTGGGTTTTTTGGCCGCTGCCGACGCGGGTGTAAGCGTGGACGCGGGCGTGGGCGCTGATGAGGACATGGTTGTGAGGCGTTTGTGCTGGTTGGTGACGATCTGTGGTGTTGACGGTTGTAATTGAGCTGTTGAGTCGCGTGCGCGATGAATAGTTCACAATGAACGGTGAACGGTGGACTGCGAATGGAACCGCGAAATAATGGAAGCTTTTAATCGGATCTGAATTTCTTTGGAGATGCCGGAGCTTACATTACGTAGATGCGAGTGTAGTACGCTTATCCTAATCGGGAATAGCCTCTTTTTGTTCTTCGTCCATGTAAAATGGTAACCTCACAAGTCACAACTAACAGCCTCACAAGATAAAGCTCAAGTGTTTGGTTAGATTAGGAAAGAAAGTTACGAGAATACTATTTGTATCAAGTTATTAAGAAAACTTTATACTATATATGTCGTAGTTAATTGAGTATATAGAAACCTCTTTTCCTAGTTAATATAGTCAAGTATTCACCAGTTTCCACGATGCTTCATAGGCTATTCTATTAGTTGCTCACTACACTCCACAATGAATTCAAATACGTCTCCCACAAAACAATTTCACAAGCTCAACACGACACATAAGACTAGCAAAGACGACAATGTCCCAAAGAACATATTCTATAAAAAGAGAATAAATTAACAAAAAGAAAGTCTTCCAGTATTATGTCCTGGGTGAGGCTCGAACTCACGACCTTTGGATAGCTCACTCTGGGAGTGCTTCATATTATGAGACCAACGCTCTAGCCAACTGAGCCACCAAGACAAACCTCTCCTAGAGGGGTAGGAGATTATGCCAAAATTTGGGTTGTCATGGCCTATAATCCTAGGCTGAATAGTTCGAAATTCTAAGTTACCATGCAGCCATGTTCCCCGCAGCATTGATGAGAAAGAAGAGAAAAAAACTCTCAATGCACGTGATAGTTAGCTAAGACGGATAGAGCAGATTTGGTGCATGTGGTGCATTTGGTATCGTCATTGGCCCGTGCGTCTTGCCTAACCTTCAAGGAGACATAAGGTGGCAGCAGGCAGGCAACAAAGTTAGGAGGGTGAGGGTGTTAGGATGCTAAGGAAGGGACGTTCGGAAGCTTCGCAAGGTTCAATCAAAAGCCAAGCCAAATCAACGAAACCCTGCACCTGAAATGCACCAGAAAGTGAGAACATTGCATTGCATTACCATCCTATTCAATACCATCTACCACCATCCGCCATCCTTTCCCTTTTACGCTACTCACGTTCCAGTTTGACCCTCTCCCTTTTTTTTGTGTCCATGCCCATGTCCGTTTGTTGATTAAATTTACCTAGTTCTCACTTCTCTTTACACTAATTACCTAGTAATTCAAGGAACTAAGATCTTTGACGTTATCAATATTCGAAGATCAATCAGATCATTTACATACAAACCATTCGATACGCACGATACGTCGATACCTCGACCCAACCTGAGGCACGCACGTCAGTCAACTTAGCCAAGCTTGGCTCCAGGGCTTCCGCGGTGGGTTACATCTCGTCTACTAGGTATTATAAAAAAAGGATAGGGTACAAGTTCATGCGCTGACGTCGACCTACTCCAGCCGCGAGCTGTGACAGGCTACTTTGCGTATGCTCAGCCTCATGCGTTTCCCCCCTCTACCTAATTTGACCAGTTGTGATACACTGATACACTATTACCCTTTGGATTGTTTTAACGACTCGAGATAGAACGTTTGTTCCATCGTTATCGTCAGCGTCACCAGCACAGCACCAGGCAAGAAAGGCTAGAAACCCAATAAAACAAATTGTGCATCATACTGTTATTCTGTCATACTGTCGCAATCATCTCGTTTACAACCTACGACCCCGCCAACTCGCCAATTGTGCATCGAATTTCCCCTAAGACCAAGACCAAGACTCGAGTTCCACACTAGACAGCTCCAGCTTACGACGCCGATGCATCATGGCGGCCGTGCCATTCAAAGTAAAGGCCATCTATGAGTACACCTCTGGCCACGAGGACGACCTACCTTTCAGCATCGGTCAGATCATTACTGTCACTGACGAGGAAGATGATGACTGGTACGGTGGTGAATATGTCGATGACTTGGGTGTAAAACGAGAGGGAATCTTTCCACGAAACTTCGTAGAGAAATATGAGCCGACCGCCCCGCCGCGCCCAACGAGGAATCGGAGGAAGGAGGTTGAACCCACTGCTTCTTCACCTCCTCCGCTACCGCCTGTTGCTCCATCAGAACCCCCCTCTGTGGAACAGTTTGTGGATGTACCATCAGACGTGGCTCATGACGAACCACATGTTGCTTCTCCAGCCCTTCCGCCTCCTCTACCCCGTTCCCCTCCAGCTCTAGCTGCCCCTGTGGCTAAACCGCCACCGCCGTCTGCTATCCCGGCTCCCGTCCCCGTCGAACCTAAGATGCCTGAGCCAGCAAATCCGCCTGTTGCTGCTCAGCCGGCAGCAAGAGCTCCAGCTCCGGTTCGGGCCGGTCCTCCCCCGGTATCTGAGAAGCCTGCTACCAACTCATTCAAGGATCGTATAGCTGCCTTCAACAAGCCAGCGGCCCCGCCCGTTGCGCCTTTTAAGCCTGGTAAGCTAAGCTCCGGTAGTACCGGCTTCATCAAGAAGCCATTCGTTGCTCCCCCGCCGAGCAGGAATGCTTACGTTCCTCCACCTCGCGACGTACCAACTGCCAAGGTTTACCGACGAGACGAAGATCCCGAGATAAAAGCTAAAGAGGCGGAAGCTCTGGAAAATGCTGAGAAAGCTGGTCTTGTTCCTACAAGTACCGCGGAAGGCCAAGCGGAAGATCAGCCTAAGCCAACTAGCTTAAAGGAGCGAATTGCTTTACTCCAGAAGCAGCAGGCCGAGGCAGCCCAGCGGCATGCCGACGCTGTTGCCAAGAAGGAGAAACCCAAGCGCCCTCCGAAGAAGCGCATCGAAAGTGAGGATTCTACCGCCGCCGTCGCCGCCGCCGCTACCACTCCTGTTGAGGAAGCAGTTGATGTTTCAGCTCCGTTGGAGAAACAAGATACGGCAGAGGTTGCTAGCAAGAAATCTGTCGACGAGCCTAGACCAAGGCAATCATTGTCCGTTCGGCGAAAGTCTACTACAGCACCCGCTGAAAATGATGGGAACGAGGCTGACATGTCTGGCGCCGGGGATACGACGGAAGGACAGGAAGATCTCACCGAGAGGGATGATAGCGATGAAAAGTCGCGTCCCCATACAGCCGTCGTCCCTGAACCGGAAATTCCGGAGGGCGAAGAGGAGGGTGCGGGAGAGGAGGATGTCGATCCTGAAGTTAGACGAAAAGAAGAACTTCGTGCTAGGATGGCAAAGATGAGCGGTGGCATGGGTTTCCATGGCATGTTCGGTCCGCCTGGTATGATGTCCATGGGGCCCCCAGCAAGTGCTAAGAAGCCTAGGGCATCGCCGCCATCTGAACGTCGCTCTAGTGAGCTATCAGAGAGGCCTTCGTCATCTAGAATGGCGGCCCCTCCAGTACCAACTATGATGGCTCTACCCGGGATGGGGATGTCCAAGCAGCAAGGGGAAGAAGTTGCTGAATCCGAGCATGACGAACCAGGTGGGCAGGACACGACACCCGTTGTTAGCGCCCAGCCCACCGGTTCTATTACAGAACGTAAGTTTCAACCTAGACGTGTGCTTTGTCTTATTATGACTACTATAAGACGATTAACACCACGGGTAGCTCAATCAAAAACACTAGGTGCCCCTCCTCCTGTTCCTGGAGGACGACCTGCACCACCTCCGGTTCCTGCGGATTGTCAGTCCGGCCCCGTTCAATTTTTAAAATAAAAGCTAACTATTTTCCCAGCTCGACCTCCGACTGCCGGTGTAACTTCTCCCAGCCAAGGTTCCGAATCCGATGATGAGTTGTCCGAGAACCCTCAAAGAGCTCTTGAGACCCCTCGAGGCGAAGCTCCCGCGAGTCGAGCTCCCCCTGTACCATTAGGATCTCCTGCAGTTCCAACATCGCCGCGGGTGCCTAATAGACGCACTTCCTACATAGGAGAAGGGTCCTCGCCAACCTCGCCGCCTCCTCCTCCACAGCCGAGTAAGAGAAACAGCCGTCCCCCACCCCCTATTCCGGGCGCTGCCCCTCCCCTTACCCAAAACCGTCCTCCTCCCCCTCCTCCCCCCGGTGGTCCCCCAAGTCGCTCGTCTACTGCTGACGAACGAGTCCTTTCCCCAATGAGGCCTGGAGCATTGGATAATGGCGAAGAGGGAGAAGTTACAGAGTATGAAGGCGACTACGACACTGATATTGGATCTTCAGTCCATCACAAGGATGCGCTAAAGGCGCATGCACGGGATTCCAGCTTTGACGATAGCACACCGATGCGTTCACCCATTGGCGAAGGTCCACCATCTATGCTTCCGCCGATGCCGGGCGCCGCTGCCCCGAGAGCTGGTCCACCACCAGTTCCGAGTTTACCGGCACCGGGGCCGAGACCATCTACAGATGCACCTCGTGCCGTCCCTCCGCCACCGCCACCTCCGAAAGAGGTATCATACTCTTTTGATGACGAAGATTATGATCCTTATAATTACAACGCTGCACAGGACCTTGCCGCTTCCGCCCCCCACAGCAGTGTCGCCCAAGATGAGGCAACCCCGACGCCACAATCGGTTTCAGCTTACCATTCGCCGCCTCTGCCTCCTCCGGTTAACCGAGGACCCCCACCAGCACCACCGGTTAATAGGGGTCCGCCTCGAAAATCCTTAGACTTACGAGCGGGTGGAAGGCGATCAGTCGATGTCTCTCGGCCATCTATGGAAACTGGCTTCGTGGCAAATGAGATTGATCTAGCTATTCATACTCAATGGTGGCTTCAACCAAATGGAGTCCCTCCAATTTTCCAGGGCAGGAAGGATATTTATACCGAATGTGATGAGTCAACGGCTGGAACAACAGTGACTAAGGAGGTTTTCCTCCTGTTCCAAGATTACTCGCAAACTATTATCACCGTTCGTTTCGATACTCAAAATCCCGCAGGCACTGAGCTTGAGCAGCGTCACGAAGGTCCCCCCCGGACTCTTCGTCAGGACGAGCTGGAGGAGGCTTATGAGCGATTTGGTCGATCAATTTCTAGTACAGTTGCGTCAAAGAAAGATTCGGTTATCGGCGACGGTACCCCTCAAGCGCTGATCCACGAGCTTCTCAAGCCCCTCAAAGATGCCCTACTACCAGTCGGTACACGCGCTTATGGTGCTTTGGTTTACGCCAATCTAGCCAATGCTTCAACACAGCTGTATGATGAGATCAGACCGGGAGACATTCTTTGCATCCGAAATGCCAAATTCCAAGGTAAACATGGACCTATGCATGCGAAGTACACCATGGAAGTAGGCAAACCGGACCATGTGGCTATCGTATCGGAGTGGGATGGTACAAAAAAGAAGCTACGGGCTTGGGAGCAAGGTCGTGAGAGCAAGAAAGTAAAACAGGAGAGTTTCAAGCTAGAGGATTTAAGAAGTGGCGAGGTCAAAGTTTGGCGGGTGATGCCTCGCAGCTGGATTGGGTGGAGTTCGGACTAGGAACCTCGAAGACCATCCTACGAATATCTGTGTCCGATACTCATGAGGGTCAGCACAGATGGAAGGGTCAGTGTGGATAGTTCTATACGGATACCGTTCTAGTCTTCATCATTTTTTCCTAGTAGTCTAGCAACAGGAAGATGATGACAGCGACAACGGCTTGGAATGTTAATAGAATCTATGATACGAAAGCATGAGATGGAATAGTGTTGTGAAGATAGTGGCAATGGCAATAGTATTGTCGTTGTTGTGAAGCGCAAACAGACAGGCCGAAAGAGGGGGAAACACAAAGCAAAGCATTCGTTGAGGAGTCAAAGTCGTTCAGGCCAATGCTAGTCATAGCTATGGATGATGTTTCTTCTACTATGACAAACATGATAACGTGGCTATTGTGAATTTAACCTCAATACTCGTAAGATGTCATCTGTAGTCTAGTCTGATGATATCCTTATCAGGAACGAGAAGCTTATATTACGTGTTTGGTTTGCTACCTTCACTCACTCTGACACTTTGTGCTTAGAGATAGAGCATGGAACATACCTATTCGCATGCACCCCTTTCATTTCGTTTCTTGAATAACATGATATGGCTTCCTAAATTCACATCCATCTATAGACACCTGAAAAGATAGGTAGATACCTAAATTATATCCAGCCCGAAATAATACTCGTCACATTTCCCCTGACTCAATCCCCTAAGACCTCCAATCCCAAGCGTACACAAGTACCAGGCAAGCCACGTACCTACATATATCAGCAAGTATGTATGTAGCACAGCGGAGAAAACAGGTGTACCTAGGTAACCGACCATCTGTGTCTCTCGAGTCTACGAAAGTGGCGCAGGTCACTTGATCATGCAGCAAGGGTTAGGTATGTAGGAAGAGGGAGAAAGCAAAGAGAAGGAAGGAAAAAGTCGTCGGCATCGTATGATAGGTATGTACGATATCCTCGCGTCAATCGTTTTTCCAGCAGCGAGATCGAGGGTAAGCGGATGGAATTACGTCTGTCGCACGGGAGTTATGGCCTATTGAGCAGGTTTCATGCCCTCGCGCGTATGTACGTACATGATGTCGTACTCCTCTCTCGCTCCTCCTACACCAAGGCAAGCACGTCTATACTTTCCATCGTGGACTCGCGGCTGGAAGAGCGGGAATCGGTTGGCGGCGACATGATGATATACTCTACGTCATGATCTAGAATCGAATGAGATACACCGCTGGGCACTCGTTCTTCAGCGGGAAGCCGGGTTCTGGCCAATTATGTATACATCAGATTGATCCTCGGTGTGCGACACAGGGACACCGGTGAAGGGGTTAGGAGATAGGGGACGTCATCAATTTATTGTTACCAAGTATCTAGGATTCTAGGTAGATACGGCAGTATAACCAACAACTATCGTGGTTTTGCATGAAGAAAAAACGAACACCTCAAACATGCGATACTGCCCAATGCTTATCTAAGCCTTCAAGCCTCTAAGCCCAGGCCAACAAAGCGCCAGTAAGCCCGTAAGCACAGGGCTGCATAATGACATCGATACCTAGCGGCCATGCCGCCTCTTCTTCTTATCTATACTTATCCAGCCGCCGCTTTCTTTCGGGCTACGGCTAGTTCGGAAGTGCGAGAGTGCGAGAGTGCGGACATCCGAGACCAAATTTTGCTTGGACATACCTGACCTTTAGATTTGACTAGAACGTACTATCTGGTAACGTCGGGCAAGTCTCTGTCCAACTCTCTTTGCTCTGTATGTTTCGCGTACCTTGCCGGTCTCGTTGCAATCTTAGTCTAAGACCCTAAGGCTCAAAGCATCGCGACGCTAGTATCTGCGGTGAGAATCCGATCTGGAAGCACGTCTGATCATGTGTTCGAGCGCCTTGGGCGAATGGAACGAACCGTAAGCTGTTCCTATCGTTAATTATCCCGTTGGCGTTGGACTTGTCTACAACCTCAGTCCCGACGATGCGGAATCTATCTAAAACCACGATGATCGGCCTCCGCGGATTCGAGGGTAGGCAGCTGGTCTTTGCCTCCTTGGGTGGTCCGAGCCTTTGGATTGGGTCGTGATTGATTCGCAATTCAGTAAAGCGTGACACCGAAGCGTAAGACAAAAAGGTCATCGGAGAATATCCCGAGCCGCCAAAGGTGGCGATCGCAACGAGCGACGGTCTAGAGCGTAGATTATAGCCAATAGTTTGGAGGCTATAATACTCTTGTGCCCAATATAATTCGAGTGCGACCCACGCCCTCGAAACGAAAGCAGATCGGATACATGTCGATAGGGTGTCGGGTAAGTAAGCCAATATCCCCTTCACGATGTTTGCTAAGCCAACCCCATCATGACATAAACCGCCTCAGCTCGAGACAAATGAACTATGTTCTCAACTGAGCCATTTGCAAGAAAGCGGAATATATTTACTCGATGGCGAAAATGACCCGGAAAATGGCGCTGAGAATGCTCTCTGACAGGTCAAGCCTCCAAAGCTGTGGAAAGTCACCAGCCAGTAGCAGCGAGTGCGCAAAACGCAACGGGGTATGAACAAGGTGGATAGAGAGGCAATTCGGACCTTAATTGACACTCCAAGAGTTGCTCGCTGGATTTACCGAGGGACCCCGATAGGATAAATCTTGCATCGCAGGGTCACAGTCTTACTACGGGGTACATTTATTATCCAATACCCGTCGACGCCCACGCTCCCCACGTTCCCAGCTATGAGCATATCGGAGAAAAGCAACACATGTGTTGGTCGGAGCCACCGTGAGCGATCAAATAGTGAGTTGCTTATCTCTGAGGAGTCAATTGGAGCTACTAATTCTTAGGAGCTCCCCTCTTCGAAGTTCTAATTCACGGCTTCTGAGGACCCTGGATCTTCTTTGGTTACCAATTCCCACTGGAAACGAACCTTATGCCCGACCTAGTGGACCGATGAGGAAGACGTGGAGACATTAAGAATCTTGCCCATAGTTTTTTGCCAATTGGTACCCAGGCTTTTCCTTTTCTTTGCCCGTGGTCTTAGCTTGCCGTTCGGGCATATTTGGGCATAGGATTCGTGAAAGCGATGTCAATGTTGCCGCTCTATGCGCTATGAAACTTTTCAAATGGCGACGTTACAAGCACCCTACCTAATTGTAAGAAGTAGCAAACTGAGTTGTCAAAGATGAGCGGCTATTACGTCGACTAGACTTTGAAATACACAAGAGTGCTTATAATGAATGAGGCCTAAAACCATTGCTATGAATACTGGTACCACCGACGTCACGGGTTTTCAATTGACCCTGAAAGACAAGTGAAACTCGTACTCCGCACAAAAAAGGACGGGCCATATCTTTAACATAGCTTCCAACATTGAAGATCGCCCGCCGTACATAGTTCAAGGGGAGGGGCTATGGTTGCTGGTAAAGTAGGTCGATTGCGTCAAGGGGAACACACCCGGTCAAATAGGGTATCCAACGATCTGGGTGCCGACTTCGGCAACCTGCATGTGTGGGGTATGAGGCAGGGCAAGGAGCCGCGTACGAGACAAAGGGTAGATCAATGCTAATCGGCAAGGAGGCTATAATCAAGAGGTTGGCATCGTGAAGATCGCCGACGGCGAGAGCGAGCTGTCGCTCTTCGGCTGTCGATGAACTGCCACATACCCCTTTTTCGAGACACGAACGTTGGAAAACCGCTTCAGGCCAAGCAGGCAAGAAGTTAGTGTTCTAAGGCATCGATGTCTAACAGGCAGCTCGTAGGACCGAGATCCTCGCAGGATCCAGCTTGTCCGTGCCATCGTGGCATAGTCTTAACGTCGACGTAGATGGCACCAATGCTCCTCGGGCAGACCCATTATAATATGCGGATTAAGAAAGTATCCGAGGAACTAGATTTCCATTCTTGGAAAACTCAGGTGCCTAGGAGGTATGCAGGGTGACCTAACTACAGGAGATCTCTAACGCTGCATTCCTCGGCAACGCTTCGTCCTCAGGATAGGTAATGAGACTATATAGCCAATCACGGAAGTCGCCCTAATATTTTCTTAGCCAGTATCTATCAGAGAAGCTCGAGTAGCTGGTTGGCCGGCAGCACGTGCGTGAGCCTCTCTGTGCGCATGGGTCTCACATCTGACGTTGAGGTTGGGTCCAAATATGCCAACGAATCAGAGGATGACACACACGATGACCCGTATTCGACGGCCTGCAGACGACCAGGAAAACGGCAGGAACAGATGCACTAGCTGATGCCAGGCCGGAAGGAGTTTGGAAGATTCATTAGAGCAACCGATGGCAGCTCACCAGCTGTCGCACAGAGACAAGCGCGTTAGAAATGGTGATTGATGGCGACAGATGTTTCGTGTGATTGACGCCCATGTGAACTGGGCACTAGCGAACGCAGTGTTGTACAACATGGAAATGATATTCCTTGCTTCGACTGAGTAAGAAGCTTGTCATAACTCTCGACGAAACACGAGCCGTTAAAATTTTTTGACAACTTCAGTCCGTCCATGAAGAATCGCGTGTCCTGGAATTGATGGCAAACACATCCAAGATCGCAATCTGTTGAGGTGGCCTGCTAATGGGAAAGCTTGGTCCAATAATCCATCCTATATGCGAGTGAGTAGAGATTCAAGTCCAATGCCAGCCGCTAACAAAAGCTCAAACCAAATGTATTGGCCGGGCGTAATGGAGGTGCAATGGCATCTTGGGTAGTGCTTCTATTTTCTATTGCGGCATCTAGAACCCAGGCGTGGCAGTTAGAAATTAGAATTGTAAACAAATTGAGTGTGAACTAACCGTCGACAACGCAGAGAACGATGAGAAATACCAATCAAAAGCTGCAGCCCTGATATGGATGGACACGATGTATTCTCCTAGGTATTAGACGATGCGCTCTGGTTGGGCACAAAGCGACACCCCAGATTCAAGCGACCTAAAGATGGTAAAGGTGGTAGGGGTGGCAAGGGTGGTAAAAGATTTACCGAGCTTGCAGGTCGCATCTGGTTCTCCCAGGTGCCTTTACCGGGGACAGGAGACGGGAAGAATGACGACGGTGGTGTACAACGTTTGGTAATAAACGGGTAGGAGATGCAGTTCCGCAAACAGTTCCGAAGTTGAATACCTACTAATAGAACTGATAGGTAGGTAGCCAGTTGAATAGGTACCCAGTAGGCAGGTAAGCACCATAACTACCATGGCTATGGAGTATACGGCCATCGCTGTAACGTCATAACGGAGCACGATGCAGGAGTAGTTAGTTCTAAGGTTGATGGATTCCTCGAGTGCTCCGTTTCGAGATCCTCTTTTACTTTTATTCTTGCTGCGATCTCATTCCGCGATGACATGGCAATTCGTCACTCAGACATGCGCCTCGCTGGACGGACTCGTGGCTTGTATAGATGAAATTTATGGGTTATAGGATTCCCATCGCGCTGGTTAAGCACCCGTCATCCCGCAGAACCAATGACTAACCTACCTGATTGCCGGGATAGGTAGAGCAGGGGACGAGGGTGTTGTAGACGTTGTAGACGTTGTAGACATTGTCTCTCTGAGCCTCTTTCCCTATTCCGAATATTCTCGATTAAGGCTGACCGAGAGTGGTACGGTCAGCCCATTATGGCTCGGAAACGGCTACTAAGAATGGCAGAGCGGCAGAATTGGCAGAATGGCATATTCTTCTGCAAGAGCTGCTCAGGTAAGCTGCTGTGGAACGAAATCGAGTTGCCGAAGAATAAGTTACAATGCGTCAATTATGGGGGATTGTTAAAGGTCAATTGGTCGAGAATTATGAAGAAAAGAAAAGAAAATCATCTGCTGTGCACGAGTTAGAAACAAGTTGGAAGAAATTTTAGAAAATTTAGAAATCTTTCCGTCTTCTCCTTCCAATCAATGATGCCACTCGAGAATTGAAGATGGAAGCTGCTCTCTAAATGGTAATTCCCTGCAAGAACTGCCTATAATAGATGTATGTACTATAATAGTATAGTAGATACTATGTACTTTTTATTAGCCCTATATACACACCGAACTCCAAGTACCTGTTTAGCGTATATACTTAAGAAGTAGTGATGTACATACTACCTAGTATAAGCTGAGCTGTGCTGATCCCTGAGACAAAAAATTCGCTAACATGAGATTTTTTACTTTACCTACTTACTAACAACCCTCGCTTCTCCCCCCACGTACAATTTGTCAAAAGACAACAACGTATAAATGGCCTCGTGACGATATCGTCACTCTTGTAGTACGGCTTCTCAGGCTTACTGATATCATACCTACAAGCGATGAAGCTAATGCGATAGCTTCTTGTTTTCTATCGCCGGCGAGCTTGCAGAAATTGCAAGTGTAGCGTGATGGTGGTGCGACGAAGCTCGCCACTGTTCGGGGCATACCTAAAAGCCGTGCAACGGAGGGCGATGGGAATTGAATCTTTCCAGTACCCCGTACTGCCCGCGTACTGCCCGTGCTACTCCGAAGAAAGCGTAGTTTCTTCCAATATAGCAGGTACATGCTATGCCGGACATACGTAGCCGTGTCTGTACGCATACATAGTATTGTACCAGGTGCCACATTTCGAGTCTAGGTCTTGACCTTTCACCTTTCGACTCTGGGACTTGGCTGTCAGAAAGTCAGAAAATCAGAGAAAGTCCCCCCACTCGACGGTGGAAGATTCCTGGGTGCTCTGGCAATTCTAGGCTAGGCTCTCGCCTTTCTCGCCTTTCTCTTCAATCCCACCAACGGGAGCGACCTAAGATATATGCTGGGTATATGCAGCTAGTTCACGACAATTACCTAAGTAGGTATCAGTGTGCTTTGCAGGGTTAGCAGGGTTAGTAGCGCCGCCCTTTTCATCCCCCTGTTTTTTTTCCCGTCTCCCACTTACTCACCCCTCTATCCTCCCCCTCCGCCTGAAGGGCGTTTGTCTTTCGTCAGCTCAGCTCCAACCAATATCTTCAAGTCAAGCCCCCCCTCGTCGTCCCACCGTACCTTATTTTCTCTCTTGTTGTGCCATGTTGCTCCAGTAGCATGTGTTCGTTTATAACGGATCTCGTCCAGACTCTCGTGCATAAACTCCCGCTCCATATCCATTCATATATCCATAGTCCCCTTCCACGTCCATACATTCTCATCCGCCCTACATATTAAATCATAGGGTCCATACTGTTCTCCCCTTTCGCCATATAAATATCCTACCGGCTTCTTCCTTTATTCCCCGGTTTGGGCGCATGTCGAGCAGCTCTCAAACAAACCCTTGCGTCTAATGATCAACATCTATTATCAGGCCTCAGTGGGTCTCTTGTCGAATCACCACTGTTTGAATTCCAAGTGTCCCGCTCACGACTGCGCGGCGCAGGACCCTGAGATCGACCCGGACCGCATATCTTCCAGCTAGCCGGCTAGATAGATATAAGAGCCCACTACTTACCATCTCACCCTCTTACTATTATTCAAACCTACTACTCTTACCACTTACCCAACAGCACCCCATGAATTCGTATCCTCCTTTCACCAACATGACACGAAGACGAGATACCGACTACTCTACTCATACCGCTAGCACTCGGGATACGAGGCGCAGCGCCGACTCATATGACTCCCGGAGTACCGCCCCTACCTCTCTCTATGACAGCCCTAGGCCATCTACGAAGGAGTCGGATTCTCGAGCTGCAAGGCTCCCGTCGAGCTGTTACGATGAGGACCTGTCGCCATCTACGAGCTTGTATCCGCGGTCATCTGTCGACACATATTCGTCACAGGCCTCAAGCGAAGATTTTGAGGACGATCTAGAGACGGAAGATTGTCAGTACTTGTCGGATATTCCCCAGTTACCTGCCTACCGACATGAGATCGAGGATATCAATGTCAGACCTTCGACGCCCGAGGACTTCGCTAGCCTGTTTCCGTCCATGAACAGACTGACTATTCGCCACGACGACTTTACGTCGGATGGAAACATGAACCTAAGGGTAGACACAGTCGTTACGGGTAGACGAAAAAAGACCATCCAGCTCTTCCACTTGCGCATGTACGATCTGAACAAGCGCGAGTTTTCCCTCAGGCGGTACTGCCGAGACTCTGGCCGTGAAATTTGCAATTCGAAACGCAAATACATCCAGCCATCCAACACAGCCCGGCCCAACTTACAGCGGTCAGTATCGACCGCAGTGAAGTCCCTAACAAGACGGCCGACGCTCAGCCGCATTCCCACCAGCGGGTCGGTCTTATCTAGGAGTAGGCCAGGAACAAGCAACTCTGCTGCGGTTGAGGTTGACGACGTCTTCGCCAACACCCTTACCCGTGCCATTTCCATTGAAAGCAAGAAGGAGAAACCTCGCCCGACGGCTACGAATATGATCAAACTCGAGTTCTCCAACTACGCGCGGGTTGATGTAGTGCGGCGTGGAAACAGGAACACGAAGAGATACGAGTTCGAATGGTGGGGCCACAAGTACTCTTGGAAGAGAGTCGTCGACAAGCTCACAGATTCTGTCTCATACCATCTTCTACGAGACGGCCAAAACCACACACCGGTTGCGCACATTGTTCCAGAAACTCGATCACCAAACCAAGTTATTGCAGACGAAGAAGCCAACGGTTGGGTACCCCCTTGCCATATGTGGATCAGTGACCCTGAGTTGGTTGGCGCTGTGACTGATGTTGCCGAGTAAGTCTCAATTGATATAACACCTATCTATGTTCGATCGACCCATACTAATGATATTACAGCGTCGTCGTCGCAACCGGTCTGATGGCACTCGTTGATGATTGCATTAAGGAACGTTGGCAGACAAAGAAGGTCCACAAGATTGGACTCCCACTCATGTCCAGATCCCTGGATGTGGAAGTCGTTAGCCCAAGGACTTTCATGCAACACATGTTTGCCCGTCGGAATTCAGAGCACCATCCAAGCCCATTACGCTTCAACCAGCGAACCGTCGCTGCTTACTGAAAATCGACCGACAAATGAATATTTCGGCCGACGCATCACCTTAATGATTACGGTACCTCGGGTGATACGCCATCCGAGGGCAAGCAACTTCTTTTCACACGGCACCGTATTCCCAGCTTACGGGTTGAAGGAGGAAAATAGAAATGCACTGCCCAAGTGCGAAATTCCAGACCACGATTGATGAATGACGAAGGAGCGTCTCATCTTATGTCACCAAAAGTTATGCTTCATCTACACTGTCTTATCTTTATTCCCCCATACATTTTTCTTGTCGTTTATTAAAAACTATATTCTCTCGTTCTGGTCAACACCTTCTGGCCTAACGTCGTCTTTTTTACACGGTGTTCGGGCATCAATTATAGTATATATTATTACATCACTTGAGGTATGCATCGCATTGGGCGGCAGCGGCAACGGCAATTGGCAATTGGCAACGGCGCATGCATACTTGCTTTACATTGGACTTGGTCTGTATATATCTACTTCCCTTTGTACCTGGGACGACGGAACATGGAGTATTGGGCATCGGTCGGTGCATGAGTCTGCGGGGTGTACAAGTCTGTTATGATTTTTGGGTTTATCATTATATCACCATCCATCAATGTCCTCGTCGCTAGGAACATTTATACCTATATTATATAACTTACCTATATACCTACCTACCTACACATACTAGCTAGTATCGTTCATCGTTTTCCGTTTGTATCAACTGGGACACGGCTGTCGCTGTCTCTTCAGCAGCAGAATGCTTTGAATGGAGAACACATATGTACATACATATTATCTATTATACTATCAAAGGCATTCTTGCTTTACAACTATCGATTTGACGTCCCGCGAATAATCTTTATTGATGTGTAATGTTATAATAATACCTTACTAAAACCACTATCCTCTAGCATAGGTATATGCGCAATAGACTCTATTTACATACCTACCTCAGGAGCTCACTGGGACGAGTCTTGGGTTAAATATCACCTCGAGTCATGACACTATCAACAGCTATTAAAAGAGCCATTTAATTAGGTACCTAGAAAACGCACATTGCATTCCCGGTACATGCTTCAGAAATAACCTCATACCTCACGTAGACCTACCTTTTCGCACCACACCTAACTAGCTTACCCAAAGTCACAGAATCACAGAATCACAAAATCAATTCCAGCAAAGCATTAAACAATTTACTACCTCCTACTCGCATCATAAAACCATCCACCATGCCTCAAAACCCATCATCCTCCCCAACCCCATCCCCACCCCCAACCTCCCCCTTCCCAACATCAAACCACCCCCCAAAATCAAGCTTCATCAACAACCGATCAATCCCACCAGTCCGTCTGGGAATATACCCGCCGCCCTCGCCAAGCATATCATCAGCCGCAGCCGCCGCGCCATCATCATCGTCATCGTCCCCTCTCCCGCCGTCCTCAAGCTCAGCCATGAAAGCGGAGTCCATACTCAGCCCGCGCAGCACAGCGATGACGTTCTCGATGCCGCTTTTGACTTGGCGCTCTATATCGCGGATGTTTTTCCTGACGTCTTTCTCCTCCGCGGAGAGGTCGGAGAAGGCGTCTACGACGCCCTCGTCGGCTTCTAGATCCATTGACGTCCAGATCCCGTGGAGGCGGTGGATGAGCGCGACTAGGTGGTCGATGTGGACGAGGAGGTCGTATAACGCGTCTGTGAAGGAGGGGTTGGTTAGGAGGAGACGGCGCGAAAGCGTTCGCAGGTACAGCCGATGGGCTGTGGCTAGTGTCTGTGGGTCGTGATGGGGAGGGCTTAGGTTTTGAGTCTGGGCTTCTTTCGGTTGATCCTTAGTGGAACTAGTGTCTTCTTCGTTGGGGGCGTCATTGGTGTCATTAGAACGGTTGTTGGTTGACGGAGCATTGTAATGCCCGTTATGCTCACTTTTCCCCGTCAGCCAACCGAGAAAATCGTCCCAAAGGCTTGCCACGACTTCGATTTGCAGGTATGTTTCGGTTTCGGCCAAGAAGAATATCGCGGCGCTGCTTGTGCTCCAGGTGCCTCGCATCGTAGATGAGCGAGCGGACCAGCGCTCGCGAAGGATCTTCGTTCTTGCGACACCACCTTTCGTAGTACTATAGGGAGGTCTTGGGGGTGGTGGGTGATGACGTCGGAGGGAAGTTATTTTCCACAAGTCTGTGAGATGAAGATGGGAACGGCGAATGGATAGAAGGTATGAATTAATAGAAGTGTAAGTCTGCACATCGGGCGTAGTTAAGAATAAGTCCAGTGGTGGCGGGAATAGTGATGTAAGGACGACGGGAACAGAGAAAAGCAAGTTTCGAAATGGTGTGTTCGCGATAGTGCCGGGTTGCTCGTTGTTTGCACCAGCCTTTGGCTTTTTGGGTGTTGGCGCTTTGGTCTTAAACAGATTTAGTCGTAATAGATCGCGTGCTATCTCAAGACCTTCATCTTCATCTGCGTGCTGACCCTGCATCGAACTTAATAAAGCCCAAGTTTTGGTTAGAACCGCAGCGACTTCGCCTTCTTTGACCGTCACATTATTGAGCCCATATCGCTTCTCGTAAGCGAGGTTATCAGCGCGCCGCCAGCGGCTCCGAATTACTTCGTCGGCTTGCTGCGTAAGAGCCATAGCAAATTCGCCTCGGCCGATTAGAAAGAAATCTCGAAACAAATTTAACATCTCAAGAACCTTGGTGAGCGGCAAGAGTTTCTGCAAAGTCGTTCGAGACAATGTGAGTCGGATTGATGTGATGGCTCTTGAAAATGCCACGCTATTAATAGGAGATGATACATCTGCAAGGGTCTGAAGTTGAGATGAGAGATGGTCTAGCCCGCTGTTGCTTGACTCTATACTATTCTTCGTTTTTACCCGGTTTAAAGAAGTTCCAATGAATAACATTGATGAGGCCGTGGATGACATTACAAATGAAGGAAGTAATTCGTTTTTAATCGAATAACCCTGGTCAAATTAGTGATGACCGCCTTAAAAAGAGGAAAGGTAAAGTCTCTTACTAATTCGTCATCTTCATCCTTCTGGATGAAGAAATCGGCATCGCTAAATGCAGGTATCTTGCCGTAGAGGACCCAAGCTGAGACCTGCTTTAGCCATGCAGTTTCAGCAACCCGAACGAGACTGAGTGCAGTCTCCCCAATGTCGGCATAGCCAGTCTGAAGCTCAGCACGCAATCTGTTAATAATTCGCGCTCCTCGACATGGCGAACCTTCGTTCTCTTTATCGATGAACTGAGCTAAATCCCATAGCCATTCCATTCGGCGAGTCCAATTCGAGAATTCACCCATAATTGCAGTCAGGGGCACAATATTATAGGCGCCAACGAGGGAAGCATCCTTTCGAAGAACGGTATCTTCTACCTCTAACACCTTCCTCTGAAATGCATTGAGGTAAATGGAATTGATAGCGGTTGATACTGCACGACATATTATAGAAGGGTGAGATGCACTGATTTGTGCAGTATAACTTATAAGTTTGCAATGAAGATCGCTTAAATGACCGGCTGTCTTCAACAGTTCTCTCTCGGGCGGCGAGATGATGGACTGAGCCTTGGGATCGGTATAGTCGTTCCTGAGTAAAGGCGATGGGTGCCCCGATAGGGAGAGCAAGATCTCATGGAGCATTGTGGAGCTGATGAGCTACGATGTTTGTTAGACAAAGTCCGTAGGATTACTTGGAAATGGGAGCCCAACCCTTGTAAGACATGTGGAGGTTTCTTAGACCGGATCTTATCGCCGATATCTTGAACCAAGAGAATGATGGAACCAAGACATTCGTAGCGACACATCTGAAGGAATCAAAGCGCGAGTCGTCGTCCGGCGTATTGTGGACATCAACTGGTGGATCGATAAAAGACAATTAAAGAGAAGTGAAGCTAAGGTTCCCGGGTATGTACCCTTTAAATTCAAGAGCCCTGAGTGTTGGGTATTTTTTTTTTTAAAAAAATTGAGTTTAGATGTTTAGATCAACTCGAATATCTCAGGCATTTTTCTCATACGAAAAAGAATTCAGATGATAATTGAGTTTCGCATTTTATTGTTGTTTCCGTGTCACTTTTTGGCTTGTCCTTCGCGACTGCTTCACTCTAAGCGCGTCATGCTTGAAGCGTGTATCACGTGATTCCCGTAGAGGATCATCCATGGATCATGGCCACGACTTCGGACGGTACCTTACATAAGCTTGCACCTTATTTCATCCTTTACATTTAAAGTTTTATTCATTTCAAATCATACATCAATCGTATAGTCTATTAATTAATACAGAGGTTTATGCCATGAACTATTAGCGTTTTGGTGCTTTACCCTTCGACGCACCATTGCCCCCGTTGCTGGACGAATCAGGCGTTAAATCAGCCCTTGAGTCATTGGGTCCCTTTCCTTGTATACTATTGGAGGTATCATCCCCCACGATAATTTCACCACCTCCCTTTACTTTTCCAACCACCATGCCCTTCCCAACAGCCTTGATGACGGCTTTTCGGGAGACACCCGTAACATCGATATAGACCAGGCCAACATTCTTGACACTGCCACCGAGATGTTTCGATATCTCTCCCGCTTCTGAACCCCATCTGTGAGTTACCATACTTGTCGCAGACGATGATGCCGAAGTCAAGATATTACGCGTTGCGTGGTCAATTCCATCCGTAACGGTTGCAAAGGCCATAAGACTCTTGTTCAATATGCCGGGCTTAAACGACTCGAGTGGCTTCCCATCTGGCCCATATCCCCTTTTGCCTTCTTTAGGACCACGCCCTGATATGGTTGCTCCTACATTTTGGGCCAACTTAGTGACCTGGCCTACTGTTTTAGATGACAGGTCAGCCACGCCACCGGAAAATTTGCCTATCCGACGGACGCGATCATGTGTCGCTGGGGTGAAGGTCACAGCTTCGCCCACAGGCTTCGTCTTTTTTGTGAAGCTGTCTGATCCGCTCGCCATAGCATTCGATACGAGGTCCGAGGTGGTAATAATTAAGCGAGACGCATAAGCCGCTTTCGATACGATGAATGACTTCTGGTAAGCTGGGTGTAGCTCTATTTCTAGGGTCTCTGGTGATGCTGGGACAACTGCAAGTTGGGTTTTGCCTTCTTCGGGAAGAGTAATCTCAACAGGATCTGCGATCGCATTTAGCTTTCTGGGACGCCTTAAAATCGAGAGAATGATAGTTCATTCATACCTTTAGAGCCCGGCTTTATGTCGGAGTCAATGACCTGGTATCCCTCTGACAGTTCCCCTATGACACTTCCATCTTCTTCGTCTACTAGCACAATCTGACCGCCTCGCTGAGAGCTTTGACTGCCTTTCACGTAGCCCTCTCCAGGTTTATATGTAGCAGGGTTATATGCCGCAAGCTTCTCCGACGACGCAAGTTTAGCTTTGGACATTGTCGGCGATGCTTTTCTGGAACTTGGGGACGTTGGAGAGGATGACTTCTCCCTCTCCTTTTCCTTTCGCGTAGTCTTCGGTGGTGGCGCTCTTTCGAGAAATGCCGTGCATTGTGCCAAGATGGTTTCAAACGTATCCACATCTTCCTGGAGGCCCTTGCGACTACCGACTGGGGGAAATTCGATACGAGTGAAGGCGCCGCTATCAGGACCAAGATCCCATCTGGGGATGAGATAGCTTCTTGGTGGTTGGTGGTAGATCTGAGTAGTCGCGGGCAGAGGAATGTCTAATTCGGGTGGTAGATGGAGATGGAGATAGAAGTCCTCCGGTGGCGCATCTTGATTATCGAGTGCTGGATCGGCGTACGGAGAGGATGTTGGGACCATCAACAACGACAAAGTCTGTGACCCTGCGGGCGTAAGCAATTCCTCTTTACCATAGGCGAGATGGTAGGCCGAGACACCCGGGATGGCGTATAATAATTTGGGGTCCTGTTGGTAATGCGATATCAGTATGTGAGACTATAGCGCCACATGACATCGTAGATGCAGAGCACGCCAACTTACATTATGTCCAGATGCCATCTTTTCTAAATTGTGAATGAGATTGCGAGAAGGGATTGATTCTTAGGAAAGTATTAATAGGTAGCGAACGACTTGATATTTGGGTGTCTATTGTGTCATGTGTTCCAAGTTTCGACAAGATACAGGCGTCTTGGCATATATCCCTTGGAAAGCGTGCTAAATGTGGTGATACACGGCTGGAGGTACTCTAGTCTCTAGCACAGCCAACAAGAATACGGAAATATTTGAATATTAGCAATAAATCAGTGACTAAATCTCGCGTATTCCGAGCACAACTGTACACATGATTCACTCGTATCTCAAATAAATAAAATCTTAAAATACCTAGTAATTACCTATTATCTGTATTATCTGGCAGTCTGAACAGTTGAATGAAACAGCTTTCAAGCGCTTAGAGACAAGCGCCGTGTGGGTTACAAGGCTGGAACTTGCTTTGTTCGAGAGGCCTCACAGGCGACGTCATTGGGTGGTTCAGATGTGATCGCCACCAGAAACCTGATCACCTAACATACCCCCTTGTACTTGACCTAAACAGCTAGCTAAATTTGGCAAGAAGTGGACCCTAAATAAAAGTCAATGATTGGCTAAATTTCATGAAAAAAATTACCCACCTCGTTTACCTGAGCCACTTATGTGCCGAGCCACTGCTTAGTAATACGCTACCGTGTATGGACACACCTTTCCTAATTGGGTAACAACTATTTCAACTATTCTTTTGAATTACCTAGCTAGTTCTAAGTCCCATAATTAATCATTAATCAATCACTGATTAATCACTGATTAATCACTGATCAATTAGTAATTAATCACTGATTGATTAATGATTAATTGTCAAAATAATAGAAACGGAATTGTCATAATTTTAACTTCAAAAATGAGAAAATAATATAAAGCTTTCGATTTCAAAAATATATTACTGAATAAGGCTAATAGATGCGATTAATTCTTAGTTGACGAGATGCAATTGGCTGCACGCACTTGAGTATGTCAAGTGTGTGGCCCAGGTGTGGCCCAGGTGTGGCTAATGTGGCTAAAAGACTTTTAGTTGGCCTAAACGTGGCTACAACCCACTAATTCCCCAAGAGGGCTAGCTGTTTAGGTTATGTACAGGGGGGTATGTTAGGTTATCCCCCCTCTCTAGCTACACATGTACACATGTATAGATATGCACAATGTATAAATAACTCACATTCATCAAGTGTTTACATATGTATGTACATAATATAGCATAATATATGTACCTACATATGTCGGTATACTCTACAGGTACCTACCCAGCTACCTTCCTATGTGATGCCTCAAATATCTACGAGATGAGGGGCAACTTCGACCAACCTTTTAACTTATGATTTCTTAAGTGGGGGTCTGAGGGGCAGAGGGGAAGCTTAAAGGAAAAGGGCGGAGTAAAAGTCCTCCACCTCCAACAAGGAACAAGGCGTCAAAGCGTTGGTATCACGAAAACCCATCCAACATCCGCCCAGCCGGTAATGAGCGCGGAATAAATTTTGTTGGTGACCGGACACTACCAGAAACAGTGAACCCTTGACAATAGGTACCTAGCCTGTTTAGCCACCGTCATGCATATCGCTAAAATCATCATACCAAGTCGGTGGCAATGAATGAAAAAAGGCTTTACGAGTCCCGCGATTGATCAAGAGTCAAGACAGCAGCCTCTTGATTCTTGGTCATGTGCTGCTACAAAGAGAAGGTGGTTCGAGCAGTCGAGAAAGCCTCAGAAGAACAGTCTTTCTAGGTACCTAGGTAGGTAATCATCCAAATCCTAAGAGAAATTAGGTATTTGGGAATAATTGTCCGTGGCTGTGGATATTGGACCGCCTCTAAGCTTTGAAATAGCCGACCCTCGTTGCCATGTCTCAAAGTCTTAAAACAAAATCGGAACCAAGATACGAAGTGAGATTTCTATCTTCATCTGAAGCGAACCCGCACGGTGATTATGCAGATCGGGGGCACAAAAGGAAAGTCGTCACAGTTGCCAAAAGCTGAGAACTACATATTATGACAGCATCTATCGAAGGCCTCAACATCCTGAACATCCAAGATGCCCTACGTCGGCAGTTGGAATACATGGTACAAAGCCAGGTATCATGCTTTCGAGGGTCGGGTCGGGCCGACAGACCACATCAGTCTTAACTGAAAGGAGGGAAAAAGATGAATGCCAATATCTTCGCACAACATTCTTCGAGTACCAATTCTCGGGCTGATAAATCATAAAGGAGATCACATTCCGCCGCCTAACACCAAACCGGCCCCCCCACGGGTCGTGGATGTAGGCGTCGGTGATTGGACCAAGACACAAGTACGTTCCGAGGAACGTTGCAGCCTACCACATTCGCACATTCAGACTTACAAATTAGCAATGATGGACTGCTATCTAATTCCAAAATAAGAATGCAATGTTGGGACATTCTAAGCAGGCTATCGAGCCAACTCGGCATATACCTGCTGGACTTGCTAGACCTGCTAAACCCGACTTGGACTGCTTGGTATCTAAGCACTACTAGGTTCCGTCTTACCAACAACCTTGGAACGCTGGCAACCGGTGGTCAGAGTATAAACGTTCACAATGGCAGAAATGGTTCCTCTTTTGTCATCCTAAGGCAAGGAGACGGGGCAATCGTTTATCTTAGCGAATAGGGGAATCGTCTACATACGAGGGATACATCTTTACAGCCATCGGCCCGTGGGCATGTCAAAAAGGTTAACACAACCTTACCACTATTAAAGTCTTCCCAACAAGCGGCTTACCATGAGGTTTCACGATCCACGATCCACGACCCACGACGTTTGCTTTTAATTAGGTATTCTGCAGCATTATATGCTGCTGTAGATGGCGTAACATATAACGCCTCCCTGCGGCCGCAGCCTTGTTCTCGTAGGATCGTTGACACCAACTCGCCGTACGATCAAATCATCTACGGTCAAATCTGCACCTTTCTCTTTTTTTATTTTAATTTTTTAGGGATCCCTCCATCCCCGCTGCGACGTGCATATGAGCCTGTCGGGGGCCAGCAACCGCCGGCCTGTGCGCTAGATGGGCGCTTTCGATCAGGACTACGCCGCTAATTCATTGGACGTTTACTCGAAGAAGCCGATCCTCGTCCGCCATTCAACACTGTTAGCTCGTGTAGATTGGTCTCTACCCGACCCGTCCGCGTCCGGGGAACTTAATCCTGGTCCCTCTCAGGTGGTCTTCTAGACTGGCTTTACCCGCCAACGAAGAGCTTCTTCCCTTCCTCCAGTACTCATTGTAACCTCATTGTAACCCATCCCAACTATCCTCATCCACCAATGTCAAACCCATATTCGCGAGGCGTTGTGCGCTTGGGCTTTTTGTTCATCCATCCATGATATTCCACATTCCAATCTTTAGTGCACCGCAGTCTACTCGACCTATTTCCAAACTCATGTTGTCGATCCGTATCATCGGCACCATCTCTAGATTGATTCCTTGCCCATAACAACATAACCCAATTTTGTTACCAGTACCAGTGTTGCTAGATGTTGTATCCGACCTAAGAGACGAAGCTTGCTCTATTATACTATTGCATTCCAAGTTTAAGGCAGTTTTAAAAGAATCTCAAATCATAGCCACGATATCCAAAATTACAGCCGTAGTCGACGAGTCGCGCCATTAGCGGCTAGTCGCAGCTCTTCGACGCTGTAGCACATTACCAGGAATCGCGTCTAACCATTCAACACCACAGAAAGGCAATCTAGAAGCTGTCTCTGGAGCACAGAAGCCTAGGTTTTTCGTTACCCAGACATTAACTCCCATAAAAAATACGAACGCAGCCATCCCCGCCCGATTTTGTCACCTTTTCGAAGTATCGTGTTCGATAGCGCGGCATAATCCGCCCTGCGAGTCATCTCGAACGGCCTGCTAGGCCGCTTGTACTTCCTCTAAGTCTTCCGGGTCTACCCTGGACCCAGCCGCCACAATTTCTACTCCAATCCGCATCCAGTCGATACTTTCCCCTCCTGATCGGTCGGACGCCGATGCAACTTCAAATAGAGCACACTATCAGGCCACGCCGCAGAGGAAACTCGAAAAGACCTACTCTCCCCCGGATAGTGGCCTTAGACCTCCGACTCCACCGGTACCTCCAAGTCGGCAACCTGTGAATACCGACGCAACACGAATAGAAGCCCTTGGAACCGTTGCCGTTCGGGGGCTGGGGGATGACGAGACAAAGGCCATGGTAGCAGGCAATCTTGAGGGGAAGAAACCCCCCAAGATGCGTCCCCCAATGCGATCAAGCATCGCTTGTACAAGGTGTCGAAAGAGTAAAATAAAGTGTACGTCACTTCCCCAAGAACCTATTCGTTTGTCTCGGGTACACATAATAGAGGAACTTTGCTATTCGGATTACATGTCTTCCGAAATCCCTCTTATTTGTACCGTCTAGCATCAGGCTATAAGAGTTATGGTCAAGTAGTAGCTTCTGTGACCATTTGCTAATTCAATTACCACAGGCGAGAACAATGGTGGCACTAGCCCTTGCGATAGCTGCATTAAGACAGGAAAAGAATGCGTCTTCAAATTACCCGACCCCGTTCCCCCGAAGAGATCCGAACCGCCTACGGGAGTTAGACAAGAACGCGATGGAGGTTCAGATAGAAAGAAGCTTAAAAAGATAGATGATATATCTAAAGTGGATAACCAGAGAGCGAGTGTTTACGCCGAGGAAGTGCTGTCTGCACCTTTCTTAACAGAAGATTTGTGGGAGCAAGTACTAGATCTCTATAAGTTACATTTTGCTCCGGAGCTTTCCTTCTTGCACCTACCTACGATGAAGGAGAAATTAGGCCGGAAGTTCAAAAACGCTCAACCAGAAGCTAGTTCGGAGCTCAATTTGGTGCTGCTGGGCGTTCTAACCCTTACTGCACGTTTCCACCCGGATCTCGTTAAGTACCTCGCCCATATCTGCAATAATCAACCCGGCAACGCCAGGACTCGGCCAGTTCAGACGCAGCTTGACCCTGCTGCCGCTTCCGAATATTATGCCGATGTTCTCACCATGGCCCTAGGCCCACTCCGAACCGCGATGAAGGTTGCGTCTGTCGAGAGGGTATCAGCGTTACTTATGCTAGGGTTATACGAATGGAGTCAAACGCGACCTAAGACGGGAGGGCTTGGAGCTTGGATGTACGTTGGCCTTGCTATAAGGATGGCGCAATATTTGAGACTTGGGTTTGGTGATGTTCCTGAATCGGGAGACCCTCATGCCAAAGCTACTGAGCTTCAGAGAAGAGATTCATGTCATCAATCTCAAATTGCATTAGAAAAGGAAGTCAGGAGGCGAACGATGTTCAGCTGCTTCATTCTGGATCGTATGCTCTCTTGCGGCAAGGAACGAACGTCTATTGTACGACCCGAGGATATACAAATCCAGCTTCCGTGCTCTGAAGATAAATTCGATTTAGCCATGGAAGTATCGACAGGCTTCCTTGAGGATAAGGTGCGCCACGGCATGGACGATAGTGTGCTAAGCCGATTTATTCAGTTAGTGGACTTATGGGGAGAAGTATCGAGATTTAGTTCAGACGGTGGCCGTCTTAACAAGACGGAAAAAGATTGCCCGCCATGGACTAAAAACAGCACATTCTACAAGCTGAATGTGAAGCTTGCCGAATTTGATGCAGGACTTCCAGGCACATTTACCTTTTCACGATCCAACTACTTCAAGCATGAGAACCACCAGGCATCCAGCGCGTACGTGCTGCTTCACATGCTCAGATCTCTCTGCTTGATCATGCTGCATCGGGAATATATACCCTTCGTACCTATTCGGTGTGAACGACCCGAAGGACCGCTCGACAACCCAACTTTTCCGGAGGATAAATACGGTTCTCCTCCAGAAGGATTTTGGATAGCCAGTGCGGAGCATGTATTTAAGGCGGCCCGGGATATTATCGATTTAATCGAGATATGCCAGAGGAAAGATAAGTTGCCACAGTCAACTATGGTACTCTTCGCTATTTGGACAGCCGGTTTTGTGGGACTCTATGCCGAACACTTCCCCGCAATGGACACAGAGAGGCATATGCTGGACTACGAGTTCGAAGACACTCGACAACCCGAATCTGTAGCTGAAGTATTTAGGCATGGGTCTGTAGCATTTGCATCCGTGACGCTTCATAAGATGTCAATGTGGCTCAAAATGGCGGGTACTTACGGAGCAATCCTACAGCAAATGGACAAGTATTTCGATACTATCAAGCAGGATTATTGGCGGTTTGCCACGAAAAATTCAGGGACGGTTGAGACGACATCTCGGGTCCGCGAAGGCGGTACTGGTGGTGCGCTCGAAGAATACAAACCTATGACCAAGAAGCTAAAGGACTTCGGGGTTCTCCGACCTGATGACCACGACCACGGCGATACCTCAGATCCAGCATTTACGATTCCTGTAGATCACGTGCCGGTAGGAACAGATGTTTTCAATGGGTCCATAGCGAAGAAGGGCTCGAAAACCGCTGCCTCGGGTTCTTTTACCGCAATCAACCACACACCGATCATGCCAGCGCCGGATGGCGGGCGCCCGTTTAGCAGCGGAGCAGGCTATCCAACTCCCCAGCCCGAGGCATATGCCGACTCTTGGCGGTATCACAGTAACAATATGCGGCAACAGCCAACACCTACCCAGGCATATCCTACATCGGAAGCAATAGCCGATCCTACCTCTACCATCGCCGCCAAAGCTCACGACCAAGCCTTTTGGGACACCTTCCAAAAGGAAGAACCGCGACGAATCGGAACGATAGGAGATCTCGGATATTTCTCGTGCGGCGACTCCCAAATCGACGTGACCGAAATGCCCTTCGGAGACTCGTCTTATATCCCGGTATTGACAGATACGTCTTACCAGTATCTGCAGCCGGTAGATTACTGAACTTTGAGCCATGCCGATCGGGGCTAGGTGAGGCGAGACGGGGAAGCGATATACCCACCGCGGAAACTTTGAACCGGGGGCGTCTCGGGGAGGGATCGTGGAAGGGAAAAGGGACATTGGATTCACAGCTAGGCGTTAGCGGTGCTGCTCGACATTTAGCGTCCGTTGTTCTTGTATGTATGTACAATGTCACACGCATCGAAGGTTGGACGGAAGGGATTTTTTTTTTACTCCTAATGGTCGGTTGGTTTTTTTTTGGCGGTTTTTAGTGTTTTTTCCACCGTCTCCTGCTGTTGTTGTTGTTGTTGTTGTTTTTGGCTTCCAGATATCCAGGAAAGTAAGTAGTTACGCATTGCGACGACGGACGTTGGCAGTGTTTGTGAATGTCAGATATATACCTACCGATACTCAATCGATGATGTAAATTCTAGCCTTCGCGAGCTGGGTAGGTACCTGGTGATTGCATGTGGGTTGTTTTGTCTATGGTTTGTGTTAGCGAGGTGCTGTGTGAGTGGGAAGGTTCCCCGAGTTCGAAGAGACAAACAAACTGCCAAGACGCTGTATTACCGACTCTCTGGGAAACGTGAGACAAGTTGTACAGCATCGAAAACGTGGCCATGGTTGCGCTGCTATACACTCGTTGGGACGGGCCGAGCCCCCGGCCTCACGCTCGCACTTCGGTAACTCGTCATTTGCGTTCCATTCCGCGTAGCCTGCTTCGTTGGTGTCGACGGGAAAGTGAGACAGTATGACCTAGGGCCTTGTGACTCATGAGAGCTGTATATATGATCGTTTTCTCTTCTCGGGGATATGAAAGTTAAAAAGGAAGGGCCGAGTCTTTGTATCGAGTTTCCCATCTTCCCACATAAGTCGAGGAATAGAACTCGGCGCTGAAGCACTATTGACTTTTGGAGTTGTCGGGAGGTTTGTACACCTGGCCTGTCATGACATAATAGATGTATGGTAGGAATGTGGCTTGCTTAGCTCTGCTATATGGATTCCGAGGTTGACTGACGTATTAGGTAAGAGGACAGTGTTGTAGGGGCAAAAATGATATATCAACTCTTCCAATAATATTGAATAGAGCATGATAACTACCAATTGCCGAATTATGGCTTCAGCCCAAGGTCAAAGTTTTCCCAGGGATCGTCAATAGCCCACGTTGGGAAACGTTGTTGAAGCATAACACATCCCATTGAATCTCGATTCACGTAAAAGCGTGTAGTAAGCTGTGAATACCATGCTCACATGTCCTTATGGCATTGGGGGTTTCATATACCTATATGAGAAAAACAGTTGGCATTAGTCTTCGGGTATGCAAGTTCGAGGATCGCCGCGCCGGCAGTCGAAATGTGACTCTATGCCGGTAGTTTGCCGAATAGCAACACTCCTGTTTTTTTGGTAACCATATATATCCGTATATTGATAGATGTCGATGTTATAAGTATTAGTTCCTGTGAGGTGTAGTCAAAATCAAGTGATCAAAGTATTATAGTGGCGGATCCACGATTAGGGCAGTCCCAATCACTTTATACGTCCCGAGTCTCGCATTCTAAGCGGTATGAATTCGCCGTCCTCTCGGGATCTACATCGCGCTACCGCCCGTGCGGGCCGATCTTCTTGGGTTTCGGCCAGTCTCGCTCCGACGCCGCTGGTTTACTGGTTTATTCATATGATACCTTAGATATATTGGACCTGTATATAAGGTGATATTGTATTATTTGGATAGGGTCGCTTCGACGTTCAGAGTGAAGGTAGTGAGGGATGGTCCACCGATGAAGGGTTCTTACTGATAATATGGATGAGTGATGCTAGGTACAGTTCACTCAGGCGATTATTAAGACACCACGGGCTAACCGATATCCTCATTCCCTCTACCTCCGATTTGGGCGGGCAAGAGGAAAATCAGATGCTCTATTACATTTCGAGCACCTAGAATTATGGATTGACAAGCTTGGTGTATGTTTGTTTACCCCTAGATGAGGGGACGTCATCGTGAGAGTTCATGTTCCTGTTGGTCTTAGACATTTAGTCATTTTAAGCCTCTATGTAAGACCACATTCTTAATTGCTGTACGGTGACATTTCAACGCTGCGTTTAGCAAATTACGGAGGTGTGCAGTAAATAACGAAGGAATATTCCGGGCCGGTACCTGGTTGGTACGGGAGAATCCTTCGGTTTAGATAGGCGTTGGCTTAGTCTTCATTTGGATTTCGAAGAAAGTCGAACGAGGCACGCATATACGAAGGGATGGCTCTAATATTTAGTTGAATGAGGAATGTGCATTACGTTGCGGGTTACGATTGATTGCGTGTTTCCGCTGCATCCCGCAATATACCTAGATGAACGACGAGGCCGGGATTAGATCGCAGTTCCTCACTCAAGGCGATATCAGGTACGCGCCACACACGGAAATATCTACTGAACTCCTTGATCCAGCCTTCGAATATCTCCGGATCCCTTAGTTGTTGCGCGACTAAACAGACAGCTGGCTTATCGGTGGCGTTTTTATCTGCTGATCTCAACTCGCATACGTCAGCGCAAGTTTGCACCAGAGGTTGAATTAGAGTATCATTGTAGATACAATCGCAAGCAATGACAACGTCAAAACTTTGAGCTTTATTATCGTCTCCAGTGAGTGACGATGCAACTTCATCTAGCTCCCAGTCGAGAGGCAGGAAGCGTAAGTCAGCTTTCGATTGAATAACCGATGACTTCCCCTTTCGTTTCTGGGAGGATGTACTCGGTTTGCTAGGGTTTTGCAGATGTCTATTTTCATCAATGTTCTTTTCTACAAGTCTTGCGACATACGATTGATCTGTTAGGGTATATCTTGATAGTAATGGTGAAAGTACCAATCCGACGAGGCCGGATATTCCGCAACCCAGTTCCAGGACATTGGAATTGGATGATAGGATGCCAGATGCCCAAAGAATATTATCGGGACGAGCCAACCAATCAGCCACCAGCGGTGTGATTTTCCACACAACGGCACCAGTGGTGCTTCCTGGACGGTTCAGAATGGTTGGGGATTGGTGAATTACGTAGTCTTTGCCAGCAATGCTGAGGTCCAACGTGGTTGATTTAGGGTCCACGAATCCAAGATTTTGAGAAGGAATATCCTGAGAGAATAATAGAAATGTTTCTGAAATGCCGTGTTAGTTGATGAGGTCGGCATTTAAGATAGCGAGTAGCCGATTCCAATCTTGCCTTCTTCTGGATCCAATATCTCTAGCCCCAGCCGATCAAATAAGCACTCCAAAGCCATAGTGATTTAGCTGCGCTGCCGTAACGCCCCTGAGTCCCTGACGCGCAAGTGCTACGGCCACATGTGAGTGGAAATGCTTTTTGATTCGTGGTGGGTCGCCGCTGCGCTGAGGATGCTGCAGGTTATATATGTAGGCAATCAATGTGCCGCTTGCAGATCTTACGTGTCCAGCTACTTGAAGATCTTACATACAAGTTGCGGCTTACAAAGTACTTGTTAGCTAGGTACTATGGTATTATGTAAGTAATAAGTATGGGAGGTGTGGTTTTCAATGTCTTGGCTAAATTGGCCTGGACCTACTAAGAGGATTGTTCGTTCTCTATCGTAATGCAACCTGATCCGAACTCCGATGATATACAAGATGCGCTGGTTGGTAGCTGTAGTATTGTGGTAGATGCTAGGTAGAATTTGTAACTGCAACGTTGTTGTCTAACGGCCAATTGTTGAGGTGGAAAGCCGAAAAAAGGCGATCAGTTCACTAGTCTTCTTTAGCGAGTGACGAAACAACAAGACGGGCATAGGACTAACAAATGAGGCACATGTCTGTGTATGAATCTATGTAGATGTAGATACGATATGATACACATTAGATAAAAAAAGTAAAGAAGAAGAATTGGAAATGATCATAACGAATTAGAAGCTTGATATACCTAATTGAAGTTGTTGAAGGTTTCGACGGATTGTAACGCAGTTACTCTAGTGCCGTCCCTGTGGATCAAGTCTCGGCACGCAGGTCAACTCAATTTGGCAAGGTTGATTGGGAGTGGAGGCAGACTAGTGTCGTCATGGGACAAGCTTGGTAGGTGAGAGTAACTGTGCAGCTGCCTGTGGGTTAAGTCCCCATTGGAATGCCCCAAAAAAACCGCTTGGCATCTTCGAGCTTACAGGAACCAAGAATCCACCAAGGAAACTACCAAATAGAACTCCAAGCCCAGCAGACCTTCCTCAATTCCTCTTCATATTAATATTATTACACTCCAACCTAGCGCCTAGGTAGTAACGGCCTATCAAATTTTATTAACTCCTTCCTTATATCTATATCAGAAAGTCGTCATCTGTGTCTCATCCCACCTGTCCCGCCACTTCTTGTTACATAAACACCAAGACTAAGCCATAACTTGGCATCGCCGCTCATCTGCATACTTGCATCACGGTCTTACAAGCTCCCCAACAAACATTCAACCCCCTAAACCTCAAAATCACACAATAAAAACAAGCGAAAATGGCGAACGAGTGGCGTGAATCTAAGTTGAGAAATTTACCCCTTCAACCTAAGGCTTCTGCGAGACCTCCGTATTCTATCGAGTCGCCCGGTGCCGAAGCCATCGATGGAGAGACGAAGCCTCGCCGGCATCCTCTAACAGCAGACGGACTCATCACGAAACCATCCGATGATATCAATACCATCTATGAACTTCTACGTGTGAGCGTAGCTAAATATGGCAACGCAAAGGCCATGGGCTCGCGACGCCTTGTACGCACCCACCAAGAGACTAAGAAGGTGAAGAGGATAGTGGATGGCGCCGAACAGGAGATGGACAAGGCCTGGACCTTCTTCGAACTAGGTCCCTACGAATACCTCACGTACAATGACTTCGAGAAGTTGGTCATGAACCTTGGTTCTGGTCTCAGGAGACTCGGTATGAACAAGGGAGACAGAGTTCACATCTTCGCCGCCACGAGCGCCAACTGGCTTGCTACATCGCATGCCGCCGCTTCCCAATCGATGCCTATTGTAACCGCCTACGATACACTTGGCGAGGAAGGTTTGCGACATTCTATGGTTGCAACCGGTGCCAAGGCGATCTTCCTAGACCCCCACCTGTTACCTACCCTCGGCAATGTCCTCAAGGATGCTACCGAAGTGCGCTATGTCATCTGGAATAACCAACACCAGGTTAGACCCGAGCATATGAACAACTTGAAGAGCAACTACCCCCACATCACTGTCAAGAGCTTCAAGGAGTTGGAGAGGCTCGGTAGGGATGATCCCGTCGATCCTGTACCTCCTACCCCCGAAGATCTTTGCTGTATCATGTATACATCAGGATCCACCGGTACGCCTAAGGGTGTGCCCTTAAAACACAAGAACCTCATCGCTGCTGGTAAGTACATATCACCCCCGTAAATGAGTATATGCAAAGCTGATTTGGTGAATAGTTGCTGGTGTCAGTGTTGTTGTCCAGCCATTCGTTGGTCCGGGTGATGGCCTATTGACATATCTTCCCTTGGCCCACATTCTTGAGCTTGTCTTCGAGAATGCAGCTCTTTACTGGGGATCGACTATGGGTTACGGAAACCCGAAAACCTTGTCTGATACCTCGGTCCGCAACTGCGCTGGCGATATTCGCGAGTTCAAGCCCTCTATTCTTGTCGGTGTACCCGCAGTTTGGGAGTCGGTCAAGAAGGGAATCACTTCTAAGGTTGCTTCCCAAGGGGCAATTGCGCAGAACCTGTTCTGGGGTTCGTTGGCATTGAAAGCTAGGCTATTGGCGACCGGTCTGCCAGGAACTAGCGTACTTGATTCAGTTGTATTCAGGAAGATTAAGGAAGCTACCGGTGGTCGGCTTAAGCTCTGCCTGAATGGTGGTGGCCCCGTCGCGAAGGACACGCAACGATTTATTTCCATGGCCATCGCTCCGATGATTATCGGTTACGGCCTCACAGAAACAAACGCCATGGGTTCCCTCATGAACCCCCTTGAATGGTCATCTGAGACAATCGGTGCGATGCCTGCATGTATTGAGGTCAAACTCGTCGACTTCCCAGATGCGGGTTACTATGCGACCAACAAGCCAAACCCGCAAGGAGAGATCTGGATTCGTGGCGAAAGTGTCCTCGAGGAATACTACCAGAACGAAAAAGAGACCCAGGAGAACATAGCACCCGGTGGCTGGTTCAAGACAGGAGATATTGGCGAATGGGCCTCTAACGGCCACTTGAAGATCATTGACCGAAAGAAGAACCTGGTCAAGACTCTGAACGGCGAGTACATCGCATTAGAGAAGCTCGAGGCCATTTACCGATCAGCCCATGTCGTGGCCAACATCTGCGTATACGCAGACCAGTCAAAGGCTAAGCCTATCGCGATTATCGTACCCGCGGAACCGGCGCTGAAACAGCTCGCTGCGGATAACGGGATACAGGGAGGAAGCATCGAAGAGCTCGTCCACAATAAGAAGCTTAACGGTATTGTATTACGGGAGTTGCAAAACGCGGGACGAGCTGGTGGCCTGTCCGGCATCGAAATCATCGAGGGTGTTGCCCTGTCGGACGAGGAGTGGACGCCATACAACGTAAGTTTTTTCTCCTCTTTTTCCAAGTTATGATTTTAGCTGACCTATACTCTTAGAATCTCGTGACCGCCGCTCAGAAGCTTAACCGAAAGGGAATTCTCAACAAGTACGAGAAGGAGGTGAAGGCGGCTTACAGCTCCTCGAGCTAGACGTTACAGAACCGTAATACCTAGGGTAACTTTGTAGAGGGGTTTCGAAACATGAGGGTAGACCGACACGGCGTGGTGCAGGGCAAGACTGCAACTGAGAGCGAACGGGGCGAGACGGGATAACGTTGCGTTGCGTTTCCGCTTTCTTCTTTTCTTTCTCACGGGTCGGGGTCCTTTAATGCGATGAATTTATTGCCTGAGCGCGTCTTTACGTATGTACGTTTATACATCTCTAGAGAGGTTAAGATTGTAAAGGCTCGCCCCTTTTTTCTATTAGCTAGCTGAGGCGTGAGCCGGGTCCTGGGATTAAATGAGAATTCGGGTTATTACTTCGTACGTATGTATATGCGGAATGTGTGTCTAGGTATATGTATGCCTAGTATTATATCGTATGTTCTACGGATGTGGTGTGCCTTTTTGGTGCTCTTATATATAGAGCAGCCGAGGCTTGTGAAGGCGGTGGAGATCCCGCCGAGGCTAGTCGTTACTATATTCAGGTAAGGCGAGTTTGTTGCTGGGTAAGAGACCTATTGGAATCGGCTTGGTGGGATGTGTGCCATGTGTTCTTCCCGCCTAGACTGTAGATGGGTTAGTCGTTGTGGATTGAGAGATACTGCATATACTTATAGGTAGCTGGACGTCGGTTGTGGTTGGCATGTGTTATTCTGGGTTTTGTGATAGTGTTCTTGATGTTCTTGATAGCTATAGTTGTGGATATACCGGGTATAAGGTAGGTATATTAATATAAGGATTTTTTATCTCTATTTCCTATAGATAAATCAGTGGGTATTTGAGATATAGTTGCCTATACTCAATTGCGCAGGACCGGAAGCTGAGTATAACGTTCCGTTTATGGTAAACACCTGCATCGTCAGCTCGAGGAGATAGGCTATTGCTTGAGGTATTTAGGTAGCTTATATGTATGTATGATTCTTCTGTTCCTATTATCTGCCCGCGGGGAATATTTACATGTGAGAATGATGAGATACCTTTACAGCCTTGCTCATCGCTTGTTAGGGTTTCGATGGGGGCACCTTCAACGTTCTACATGAGCTTGTAATAGTATACATGTTTCTTACTTTAATTACAGTTACGGTCTTGTATTAACCAGCCGTTAAATGTATACCTATCGTTCTAGATGCCCCTGTCTCATTTTCATATTGCAGGTACTCATGAATAGCCACCCCTGAGACAACTCCTCTTGCATGTAAGTAGCATAGCCCACCTCTTGCACCCATAAGCCACAGCCAATCCAGCGCCTGTTAGGTAGTATAAGTATGGTTTGATAGGACGCACATCAAAGATGTTCCCCGGATCTCGTGACCAATACCAGGGAGTCTCCAATATGTCTGGATCCTATTTATATCAACTCCTTTATCATGCATGCAGTGCTCCTTGTACGTGAACCAGACTACTGGGTCGATTCAGCGGCTTGGGCGATCTATCCTTGTACATTGCGACTGTAGTATTGTCCCATAAAGCAGCCAAGTGGTCTAAGCCTTCGAAGCCCAAGGGTCTCCGGTAGTTGACGACGTCTAGATGCGTGAAGCCGACTTAACCGTCGAGACACAGCCGCTCTTGAAACAGACTAGACTCAAGCAGACACAAGGATCGATACGAGGTATCATCATGATCACTATCTAATATGGTAAGTGGCACTGACGTCTAATCTTATATAGAGATCGCCTATCTAGACGCTACCTGCTGCGCCTCATTCACGGCCACCTGGAACATACCGAAGCGACCGGGAGAGCGAATACATATAAGTAGCTAAGCCCAGGTCCCGGTTTCAAAGATGCGATATTGTAGTCGATGCTTGATCATCACGTTAGACTACTCCTATCCAGAATGCTAAGCCGGGACCTGAGTCGACGTACAACCGCGTTTATCCTCTCTATTGGTGAATAGAAGCCCGTTGTAGGAGATAGAGGAAAGGGGAAAAATAACACATTGGCAATAATCTTCCAAACCCGGAACCCGGAACTCTCAATGCGGCGCCGTCGCCATTTTTTCTTTCTGTTTTCGGCCCATACTCCTTGCCCGGCCCTTTCCTTAAAAGTTCTTTGCTCTGGAGCACTTCGTTTCTGTCCACTCTCTCCCGATTAGACAATAGGGATTACACTAGCCCGTCATATAGGGATAAGGCGGAGACAATGGTCTCGTCACGTTTGCTACCCTCCTTGAATTCTTCCATGTCTAGACTACCGTTTTCATCTTTATCCATCATGCGGAAGATCTTTCTGACGCGCTTCTCCGGGGTATCTTCGTCTTCGGGGAGCTTCACCATCGAACCGACCTAATACAAGTCACGATGTTAGCAAGGATTGGCCATTGGCAATTCTTAGAATCCAGAATCAAAAATGGTATGTCCGCACCATCTTGTAGATCGCTTCCACGATTTTCAACATCTCGTCATAGCTTATCTTGCCATCACCGTCGATGTCATATAATTGAAATGCCCAGTCGAGTTTGTCCTCCATTTTACCCCGGCTCGTGACACTTAGGGCACAGATGAATTCTTTGAAATCGATTGAGCCGGATTTGTCGGAATCGAAGACATTGAAAACATAATCTGCAAACGAGGACGGGTCACCGAATGGAAAGAATTGCCGGTAAATCTTTTGGAACTCTTCTTTTGTGAGCATGCCGGATGGGCAATCCTTTAGGAAGCCTAACACATGATGAGTACACATTGACCTAGCAGGGCGCAGCCGAGAGATGGTAGGGTGAGGGAGAGCTCGGAGGCAACCAACCCTTGTACCATTGCTGCAATTCCTTCTTGTCGAAGTGCGTGGATTTCTGGAGTTCGGCTAGTTGCTCCTGTGAAAGCTTCGATTGACTACATCAACTCGCATTGATTAGAACTATTCGGTTCTCAACAAGGAAAACAATGGCCACGGGAGCATCCTTGGCATCTCCTGTTTCCTGCCTCCTGCACAAGAGAGAGGGAATTCCCGGGATCTTCGCGCGACAAAGAATATGATGCAAGACTATTCGAGGCTGACTTACGATTTTCCCATATTTGATTGTCTGGTCTGGTGGCAATGATAGGATCAATAAGCAGTTTCTTGGTAACAGGAAAGTGTGGCGTTCGTGTCGTGTCGGGACTCGCGAGGTCGAATGAAGGGGGGGTTGTCGATTATGCGACAAGTTGCAAGCCGAGTGATCGTAATAAGGTGGGGTTGTCGCAACGGTGAAGATAACAATAAATCCGACTAGGGAGGTCTTAAGTGTCGCAGGAATAACAGAGAAAGACCGAAAAGGCCGAAATATACAAGTCGATGAAAGGGTTTGGAATATAGGCAACGTTTGCCTTTTGAAATAAAAACAGAAACAGGAACGGAAACAATTCAGAAGAAAAAAAAGATACACGGAAACGAGAAAGTTTGTGTGTTATTTGATTTTCTTGGAATGGATGCGGCGGCTGGATACCTGGTAGGTATGGTATGTAGGCAGAAGACCAGTACAAGCCTCAATGATGCTTCGTAAGAACTCTAGGAGCGATATGGTAGGCTACCCGACTTGGCTGATTCGGCCGTGGATCGAGGCTGGGCTGGCTGGACTAGGTCACAATAAGGCGGCCTCGGAATAGGGATTAGACTGTAGAATGTGCATTCATTAGCTACCTAGTAGGGGACGGATGACGGATGATGGATAATGGGTCGCAATTGAATAAATTCTGTAATCAGTGCAATCGGTGCAATCAGTGCAATCTACACATGCAAAGAGGGACTACCTGCGCAGTAGTGGATAGTGGGTATGGAGGCGGCTGTATCTGTGTATCTGTGTAGGTCGGTGCTTATGGTGGTGGTGCTTGTGGCCTGGTACTGATGTATGTAGATTGGAATGAAAAAAAAGGGGTGGGCCTCTTCTTGATCACTTACATGATCTCTAGGGTCCAAGAGAGAGATGGTGCTGATCACTTAGGAACAATTGCGACGATGTAATGCAGGTTGAGGTTATCTACCCTTGTTATGACCCTGAGATTGTCAGTTGTATGCCCAGTGTTTTGTATGTATATACCCCCTGTGTGATGCAACAAATAGTAAAATGCTTTTTTCGGCTTCTCAAAGACAGACGGTATAGGCTAGGTAGATTATCAAATGAAGACAATAGAGGTTTAAGTGAGCGCAAGCGTCATTCTCATTTTCTCGTAGAGAAGGCCTCAAGACTTTTGGAAGAATCAAGAACTGGATTTAGTCAAATTAGAACCTGAAGAAATGGCGAACATACCGAAATACCATGGTACATCGAATAGATTGAGTTTGGCTTAGTTAATTATACTAGGCACCTGGCATGTACCTAAAACTCTCGGATCGAGCGAGGTCCCTGGCGGGGTATGCACCACTTTAGATCATTATCAATGGGGAAGCTGCCACAATCCAGGATAACTCATAATAGCGCCTGCTCTTTTTGCCGACTACCAACTACATGTGTACATACCTCCCTCTCTATGCAACGCGTGTGTGACTGACGTAATTGGGCTAGACTATTTAGATTAATCCCAACCCTACTTCAGCTCTGTTCCTTCATCTCTCCAATTGGATTACTCTCACTATCAACTACGTAATACATAATAAGAACCGAGAACTAAGTAAATACACATCATTCCCCCTACGCTTAGTTTCGTGAAGCTGCTGTCCGGTTTACATACCTAAAGTATTAGTTTCATGTTTCATGCAGAAAACCTCTACCTACATTACTACTACAGATTCGTCATGGAACAAGTGAAAGCTAATGTTTCACAAGAAATAGCCTATCCGATGTGCTATTCGTTAGGAGCATCGGCTGTTAACACCGATCCTTGATTATAAACTAGAAATGATATTAGCAAAGACATTGGTAAGTGTCATCTTCGAACGATGCTAACCCTGATATGCAAGGTTACGGGCTATCCCGCCTATTCCGTGAAGCTCTAGCAGGGTTCACAGACGGAACCCGGGGTTTAGAGCTTCTCCTTATCGATCCGAGGGGACCAACATCCAACGGGTCTAAATAATGACTTCACCGATTTGGACGTCGGTGGCCAGTTGAACACGCCGTCTACATTCGGAATAAAGAGCGGATGTCGTCCCGAGATCAACCAATAGCGTTCGTATTAGCTTCCCCCTTACCCATACAGATGGTCCATGGTTCACATACATAAGGAGAGATATCAGTTTCGGTGAAGCAGTGGTCATCTCTCTAGGAAGTTAAATTTCTTCTTGGCGAACTCATATTGGTGCATTTAAGATAAGTTACATTGATGTTGTGGTTGAGGATATTGTTAATGATGACCGCATGCATAACGTCTACTAAATATGGTAGGGGGCGTACACAGGTGTCCACAGACACTAAGGTCTAATTAATCAGGTACCTACGAAGTTCTAGGTAATGCATCCATACACATCCATATCTTTATTCCCAACAGAGATGATATCAACTCTGCAAAGTAGAGTATTTACAACGTTCAGACCCAACACCATCCTATTGCCTGCCCATAGCCATTCATGCATCATGTAAGTTCTAGCAATTGTCGCAAATCCCATGCCACTTCTCGTGAGGTATCTTTAAAATGCCCAAAAGGAAATTTCGTAGCTGGTTGGCTAGCAAAAGTATCCGAATGGATGAGATGATATTAACCAACGACCGTCTTCTGGCTTAAGCTCTCAAGGAACCCGCCTAGATCGTCTTTCCGTACCTCGACAACGCAGTGTTCGAAGCTGTCAATCCGTATGCGTGCATTGGTCTCGTTAACGACGTCTTGGAAAGCATTGCCGAATTTATTTAGACCATATCCGTGATCTCTATGCTCCTCGGTCTCATCTTCCGAATCTGAATCCGAATCTGAAGCGTCGCTTTCTTCGGATTCAGTCTCTTCATCGTCTTCATCACCTGCCGCAGCCTTAGCTGCACGCTTCTGTTCTTTAACTTTTTCTTTGTTTTTCCGCTTCTGTTCGCGCTCCTTGGCTTTTGCCTCCTTGGCAGCCTGTTTAACTTTTGCCGCTTCCTTATCTAGAAAGGCTGTGTCAGGGCCGCCGCCGCCACCGGTGCCGACTACCACATAGACACCTCTCCTCTCGTTTAAGCTTGCCGCAACAAGCGGCGTACCGCGTCCTCCGTGGGCCAGTTTACCAAGCTCATCTTTGTCCTTCTCGGCGAGAGCCTCACCAACCCAAAGAGCAAGCTTAGTCAGCGCTGCAGGGTGATTGAATAAAGGAACATCTGGTCCGTCTTTAATAACACAAAGACGGAAAGCATGCAAATGCTTGATTTGTTTTTTGTGGAGGAGTGAAGTTCCTGTTCGGAAAATGGCACGATGGAGGTGTTTTGCCGTAAATAGAGCATCTTTAAGAGCAGTAGGACTGTATAACATTAGCATGCTGTCGTCACTTTGTTAAGCTGATACAACTTACTTTTCAACGGCATCGTATGCGTCCCAGAACCGAGTGACCCATTCTTGAGTTTCGGCGGCTCCGCCATCGTCTTCCAAATCTCCTATTTGGCTTGCTTGAAAGTCGTTACCGTTGGTTATGGCATCGCGCTTGCCTACCTCTAACATGGCACCGATGATTACCGCTACATCTTGGGCGCTGAGAGTTGCTAGATAACCCCAGCTCCGGACAAAGCCCCACCCATCCTTCGCACCGGCTCGGTCGTTTCCATCGGTTTCAACTGACGGCACCATATCATCAAGGTTATACAGAGACGCATAACGTAGAAGCTTCTCCCGCAACCTTTTCTTTACATCCATATTCATATGTGCGTAGCTCTGCCTGCATTCAACGAGACTTATACCCATCTTGGCGAGCAACTTGTGTAAACGTTTGATACCACTTTCACTCCATGTGCGTAACCTGGAGAATAGGTATGGTGAATGTAGCATACTGTCGTAGAGACTCCAATGCCGAATAAGCAAGAATCTTGGTTCAGGAGACAGTTTGATACCTCTATCATCGGCGCTCCTAGCTGTGGTAGGCATGACTCCGGTATCGTCTTTCGAGGATGTGTTGATGTCTGGCGGATTGAGACGCCTGACTTCATCTCGTAGAAGTTGCCGTAGCCGAGCCCCGCGGACACCCATCCAACCATTTGTGGGCCTAGTATCCGAACCACGGACTGTGACTGCAAGACCAGCCGAAGAACGGCCATATAGTTCCATAGATGCGACACCAACGATCGATAACCAGAGCAAGTCGTTGTCTTCCCGACCTAGTTCTGATACTAGGGAATAGATCATCGAGCTGATAGGATCGGAATATGAAGATCCCATTCGATAGTATTTCCGAAGTACACCTTCATTCTCATTTCGCATTCTTAGCAACCGTCTCCGTAGGCTACGGGCTGATGGACCTTTAGGGGGCTGAGCGCCACTCGGCGGGTTTTGATCAGACTCAGAAATACTGGCATCGCGTATAGATAGTAACCCTCGCTGGGGAGGGCGTTGCGGCGAGGAAGGGATTGCATTAGACTAAGAATATGGTTAGCAAAACTCCTCAACCATGGTATGAGGGCGCCTACGGAATTGCTCCTTCTCCTCTGTGATGGTCGGCCATCATCATCACCGCTACTCTCGTCATCCTGATCTGACCAGGACTTCCTTTTCTGGCCAGAGCGCGGTGATTCGTCCTCGGCTTCACCTTCACTCTCGGAATCGCTGCCCCCAAAAGGCTCGCCATCATCCTCGATATCAGGCATATCAACCAGCGCCAAATACGCATCTCGCTCCGCGTTTAGTCCTTCTTCGATATCACCATCGTCGAATACTACAATTCCTCCTTTTCCAGGCTTATACGAACGATCGATTCGGCCTGCGTTTACACCTTCGGGGGAACGTGCTTTGTAGCTTGAGCGGGCTTCGGAAGCTGGTTCTAAGGGGTGGCCGCCGAATACATTGCCAAGATTCCAGGGTCGATGAGAGTCGATGACCCAGACTTCGACACCACTAAAACTTGACTCTTCACCTTCGACCTCGAGACCTAAGATTGTGCCCATATCAACCATACCTCCTACACCAAGACATACTACGACTCCTCCAGGCCCCCCATTCGACTCCATCATTGGCCTGACAAGGTCATGGCCTACTCGTTCGAGGTCCCCATACCCGGAAACGGGGTGTATGGTATGTTGTATATAGTCTCTTTTCAGCAGACTTGTGAAAATGCGACAAGCGCAGAGGGCATCGGGTTCGAGGGCGACAAGAATTAGAATGGTAGGGGAGTGTTGGTGACGGGTATGCTGAAGATGAATATAGAGTTTCGATATGAGGTCGCGCGGTAGATACATAATTTCGAAGTATCTAAACGCGTCGTCGTAGTTCTATCGTGGATTCATAGGATCGAGTTAAGGCAATTAAGTATAACAAACACACAGCGAATCTCACCAAGACTGTAGGAGGCGGGAGGTAGGAAGAGAAAGATCTAGGAACGCAAATGAGGTACGGGGTTAACAGCAAGTCGGAGACGGAGACAAGTCGGCAACAAATGTCTACTTGCGTTGAATATCACGAATTGAATCGCGTCAATGGAGATATTCCATAAACAATTAACAAATGAAGTAACGTAAATGTGGCGTCTGGGGAACAGCAAAGAAAATTAAAGATTGAAGTTAGTGTGAGTGATGTATAACATTTGATCAAGTGTTGATGGCTTGGTGGACCGGACGCGATTTGAAAGTGGATAAACGCGACTTGGTACTTTCAAAAGCGTGTAGCGTGTTAAAGTTCTTGAATTCGGGGCCGTATAAAGTACATAGACTTTTACTGTGCGGGACGATCCTCACTGACCCACTTTTGACTTTGACACTTTTTGGTCCAGCCACATAACCCCTGCATGTGTTATGTAATCCTTCTCTTCCAGCCTCATTGTGACAAAATGCAATTAGGCAAAGTCAAGAAAACATATCCGTATTCTACCTGTCATCCAGCAGCGAATTAATCGTTCACCTCGAATCTGCTTACTTGAACTTAGTAAAGTACTATGTATGCGTTTCTAAACCCGAAAGATACAAACATTCTTTGAACCTAGTTCCGTCATTTATTACTATGCAGCTCCTCGAGCTTTGCATTGGGGCAGTATCTGAAATACAAAACGAATGTGATGCGGTAATATCAGGAACATATCAGCCCGAGGATGCGTGTTTAGCAGGTTGTGGCCATGCTCTAGTTGATCTACTGTCTCGACAGGCTCATCAAATCAGTACTTACTATCAAGAGTTGCAAACTGCAAACACGAACCCGACGGAGATCCCCATAGAAAAGCAAAGGCTCATACTGAAGAGATTAGACGATCTAATCTCAATTTCCTACTCTAAATTCTACGCCTATCTTTTCAGAGACCTCCCGGTTTGTTGGCGACAACTTTATACCGACGCAAGCATACTGAAATTCTGTATCAATGTATTCGGGTCTCCCTACATCTATGACCGAAACACAGAGAATAGTCAGGATTTACAGGGGAAATTTTGTGAGACAACCTGCGAATTGAGCGAGCTTCTGAAAACCCTTGACCTCGCCTTAATTCTTGCTGGGGCTGCCGGTGAGAAACGAGGTAGGAGATGGGTCAACAAAGCCCTCGAGTTGCTTCATATAGTCTGGAGAGAAACTACCAGCGCCACAGACGTGTCGGCTCTGAGACGGTCCACAAAAAGAAAGAAGCCAGGTTCCTCGAGTGACGAGCCCGAAATTGGTGGCGTTTTTTCCACATCTGAACCATTCACGCCTCCTATCAAACACCCTATCAACTGTGTTAATGCTCTCTCTATGGAAAAGTTTCAAGTATATATGGATAATCCATTGAATTCAAAATTAGGGCCGGAACCACTCATAATACGTGGCGCTATCGACCACTGGCCAGCCCTAACTACGAACCCGTGGAATCAACCATCATATCTTCTCTCCCAGACTTTTGACGGTCGGAGGCTCGTTCCTGTCGAGATTGGACGTAGCTATGTGGATGAAGGATGGGGTCAGAAAATCATTACGTTTGGTGAGTTCTTGCGTGAGTATATCGATTCATCCCTAGCCGAGACCCAAAGCAATTCGGATGATGACACCGCTCTCGCTACATCGCAAAAGAGGCCAATAGCATATCTAGCCCAACACCCACTTTTTACTCAACTTCCTACTCTACGAAATGACATACTTATACCCGACTATTGCTACACGGCGCCTCCCTCGCATCCGACAGAACCTAGTATTGACCAGCCGGAATTGGATGAACCCCTTCTCAATGCTTGGTTCGGACCACCGGGTACTATTACACCACTACATAATGACCCGTATCATAACATATTAACACAGGTCGTTGGTCGTAAATACCTGCGTCTTTACTCGCCTCTGGAGACGGAACGTATGCAGGCACGAGGAAGGGAAAACGGCGTGGAAATGGGTAATACTAGTTTGATGGATGTCGGAGTTGTCGAAGGTTGGGATACGGTCCTTGAAGATGACGAAGATGGGCATACCGATGAGGATCTTGCCGCATTCAAAGAGATTCCGTTCTTGGATTGTATCCTAGAACCTGGCGATGCTCTCTATATCCCTATCGGGTGGTGGCATTATGTCCGTGGGCTGAGTGTTAGTTTTAGTGTGAGCTTCTGGTGGAACTGACAATTTACTATCCTCTCTTAGGATATCAAACAACGTGAATGATTATTAATATTACTTTATCTAGCCATGATTTGAAGTTTTGCTAGTAGTTTTAAAGATATATGCTCAAAAATGCGATTAAAACCGATTAGTCATCGAGTTATGCATGTAAGCATGTTGACTAATATATGGGGAAATGCTTATGATGCTCAAAACCCACATAATTGTAACCATACATGCATCTACATGCACCTTTCATTAGGCATCTCTTTTACGAAACTCGAAGCCTGCGATGGTCTACGTTCTTGAAAACTTGAAGACTCGAATATATCTGAATCTATTCTGTGTTCACATTTCTTATGATACTTTATTATCGTACACGAATAGCTAACTCGAAATCAGCGGAGAACCAGATATTCTCCTGATAATATCCCCCTTCTAAATCCGCAGGTTTTGGGTAATTCAATATTTAGTGAAAATATGGATGCTCCCGAGCAAGATCGAGATAGGTATATCCAGAAGTATTCATCAGACCTAGTCTCAGATTTTGATCGTTCTCTTGCTTCATTCTTGACGAAGCCTAACGGTCAGCTTCGAAGGCGTGTGCGGAATAGGGAAACAGCCAGACTGACATCCCATGTGAGTATATTCTCGTATATGTCCCTAAAATAAAACAACCAAATAGACTAATAAGTTCTACCAAGGTCTTGGAGCCATTTCAAGAGTTACCACAACTACTTGATCCACAGTTACCTAAATGGTTGCCAAGTTTAGCGGGAGCATACCTGGGATGTCTGCGAGACCATCGTAATTATAGGTCGCTATCTACACGATCACAGCTTCTACTTCCTCTTTCAAATGCCATTTGCCAGATCCTCTATTCATTCTGCAAGATCCGAGGAGAGAAGGTTATTGTCATGTTTCTTAATGTGGAGACGAAATATCTAGAGCTTCTCCTACTCGCCATCGAAGACTCGGAGCGCGAGACTGATTCGGCAAATTCGTGGACCTGGCACGAACGATACATTGTCCTTCTCTGGCTGTCTCAGCTGTTCTTCGCCCCGTTTGATCTCTCAACTATATCTTCTGGCGATGCCGACGATCTCGATCGGTCTATTGTACCTGGATTTGAGTGGCCGTCTCAGATTCCAGGTATCACTTTACGAGTAATCCCTCTAGCAATCAAATATCTTGCATCACCAGGAAAAGAAAGGGATGGAGCCAAAGCCCTCCTAGTCCGCGTTGCGATGCGAAAGGACATGCAGGAGCTAGGCATCTTGAATGCTCTTGTCAAATGGGCCCTATCGACCCTAAACCCTTCGAAAGATCAGCCAGTTGAATCCCCGTACTATTACATCGGCACTCTATCATTCCTGGCTGGGATACTTAGTGCTTCAGCAGATACGTCCATCATGGATCCATATCTGTCAGCCATTTTCAACGCTACACAATCTATTGACACGGAAGAAAATGCTGCTTTCGATGTTATCAAGGAATCCGCGCTTGCTCGGAAGATGTTGATCAAGGTCATGCGTTCGGTTGTCACTCTAGTATTACGAAAGACGGAACAGACTGCTTCTGATACCGAAATGGTAGAGATATCGATCAGCTATCTTCTGGGAAGGTTAGCAGACAATGACACCCCTGTGCGACTTGCTGCCAGCAAAGCCCTCAGCATTATCACGCTTAAGTTAGAGCCTGAAATGGCCTCCGAGGTTGTTGAGGCTATTCTAGGAACACTCAACCAGAATGTCCTTTGGGTGAAGAATAAGTCAAATCCATCTGCTCCTCCAACTAAGGATATTACAGCGGTTGACCCGTTGGAGTGGCACGGTTTAATGCTTACTCTGTCCCACCTTCTTTATCAGAGGTCACCACCGGCCGAGAATCTGTCGGACATTATTCATGCTCTATTAATGGGACTTTCCTTCGAAAAGCGAAATCCATCAGGGGGTTCAATTGGCAGCAACGTCAGGGACGCGTCTTGCTTTGGTATATGGGCCCTTGCTCGTCGGTATAGCACGTCTGAGTTGCTTCAAGTACAGACAAAATCCATCTTAGTCGCTAGGGGGCATGATCCTACAGCCTCGATATTACAGGTGGTCGCGACCGAATTAGTTGTGACTGCTTCGCTTGATCCCGCTGGAAATATCAGGCGTGGTGCATCCGCCGCCCTTCAGGAACTGATCGGTCGACATCCCGACACCGTAGAGAAGGGTATTTCCGTTGTGCAGACGGTCGATTACCACGCCGTCGCCCTGCGTTCAAGAGCGATCCATGAAGTCGCTTTACAGGCAACTAGACTCTCACCGCACTATGGACGTGCACTTTTAGAGGCGACCCTTGGATGGCGAGGTATTGGGGATATGGACGCAGGGGCTCGAAGAGTAGCAGCCTCTTCCTTTGGTAATCTAACAGCAGAAGTCATCAAAGTCGAGACCTCCAATCCTACAGAGCGCTTTAAGGAATCCATCGACTTGCTACTCTCGCGACTTCGAGCTCTGCAAGTGAGACAAGTAGAAGAGCGGCACGGACTCCTACTAAGCCTTGCGACTGTCCTCGACCTGCTTCCTTTACTTCCCAATGAATCCCTTCGAGATACACCAATAACTGAAATATGTGCTGCTCTGAAAGAAATCCTACAGGATGCCAAGACTAAAACCTACAGAAAACCGGAATTAATTGCAGAGGCTACCGCCGGACTGGCGGTGTCCGGAGCGCCAGCTCTTTTGTTAAACGTTACACGAGGAGAGTCTCGACTTGAAAATTTGCAGTCCGGTCCCTTTATTGTTGATGAGGCTAACTCGGCGGCCTTGAGATCGGTCGCGGAGTTTTTAGACACATTGCAAGTGGATCGTCCGAAGCAACTCGATGAGATATTGGCTATTTTGCAGGATAATCTAAACACATGGCTTGACAGAAGTGAAAGCGAAGTAGTAAAAGCCTCGTCCAAAGCCGCATTGATCCTTCTTCTCTTTGCTCACCGGCAACAGTGCATGCAGATCATTGAGACATGGGCCAATAAAGTGCGCCACACGCCAGCAACACGCAGCAAGCACGGTGACGGGTTCTTCCATGCTCTGTCCGGTGCGTACCAACTTCAGCAGTACCGACACGACCAATCAGAAGGTGTTCTGGTGGGAAATGTCCTCGCAGAACGATGGAATTCAGACAACTACATCGAGACTCGCGTCGCTATTCTCCAGAGCCTAGTCGGTAGATCAATCCTCAAAGACAGAGCATTGGATTTCCTAGATATCGTCTCAGGAGGTCTTGACGATTATACCACAACTGCTCGTGGCGATATTGGCTCTCATGTGCGACTAGAGGCGATCAAAGCAACCAAGACTTTATGGGACGCGAAGAGAGATGACGAACAGGTTATCTCGGTTCTATTCCCCCGCATACTCCGCTTGGCTTCTGAGAAACTAGATCGAGTTCGTATTGTGGCGCAGTCTGTGCTGGCTACGCTCTTGGAATCGAGGTTCGTGCACATTTCGTTACTCCAAAGCCGATATTCTTACTAATCACCAAACAGACACGCTAAAATATTCTCTGGGTTATCTTTCTCTTCGAAAGATTACTTCGACTTTCTTCTCCGTCTTTGCAATGCAGAGCGACTAGACCAGGGTATAGTCAAAGTGTGGACGCCCGACGAAGAGGACTGTATATCAATATTATTAGCGGGCTTGGTAACCTCAGCCGACACAGGTAACGAAGATCTAGTGATAGTTAGCAGAGCTGCGCTTGCCGACTTCTGCGTAGACTCGTCTGAGAATCTAAAGCGGATATGTGCTGCGCTTGTTCACAATCTCAAGGTATACCAGGGCCAGGACCGAATCGTAATCCCTACGCTCGAGGTCGTGGCGTACTTATTCCACGCCGGTCTGCTGCAGCTCTGCCCCGAAATTAACCTGAGGCAGCTGTGCGTGCTAGTGCAGAAAGCGGCGTACAAGACCGGAAGCGTGCGTAAGCTCGAGGCTTGCATTAGGGTCTACGGCGCCATCGCGGCTGTTGACGTGAACGATCAAGTAGCGGGTGAGATGGTGACGAAGAGGCGCGAAGGCGTTCTTGAGGCGAAGAAGAGGCTCGGCGCTCTAATGACGCATCCATGGCCTCGGGCAAGGTGCCTAGTTGTCGACGAGCTGTGGAGTTTGACGGATGAATATGAGAACGCAGAGATGAGGAAGTTATTGACTGTGGATTGGAGTAAGGCTGAGAAGTCTTACGTTAAAAAGGTTGTTGGAGAGCTTGGGCTTGAGTAGTAGATCTTAGTGCTAGATCCTATGCATATTTTGAGCGTGAGACTGACAAATTAATCATCAACCTTGAACCCACCAAAGGAACACTTGTGATAGATTATTACATCCCATTAAAGACTTAATAAGTTGACCAGCCTACCACAAATCTCGGGGAACGACACTCGTGAAACATGAGGTAGTTTGACAGGAAATTATACGATCACACAAACACATTGAGGGATATAAGATATGAAATACGTGTATAGAAAAGCCCATTTGCTTCCCTAGCTTTGGGAGACAAGGAGTTACAGGAATAGACACTTCATGATGCTGAGTAAATTTCCACGGGATGTCCGGAATGAGTGTTAAACGCGTATTTGCGTATTTGCAGCATGTGAAATGTGTTGAAATCTGTGAAATCATGACACACGTCACCGTGTCGCCTCATACCTTGGCGTAACACTGAGTTGAATGGTTTCTTGCAACGTTAAATTGGTCTCGCGAAGTGGCAATTGGCGAGTGTTAGGTTTTTTCGGTGCGAAATTGGAATTAGCCATGAGCTTTGAAAAATTGGCTCGGACAGTCTATGTAGGTGGACGCGTAGAAGATAATATAGCCGGAGGTAAGTTGAGGTTTCAGGTATTTCTGTTACTCGGAAGCTTGCCTAAGAAGGCAAGTCGCGGGAATACCACGTCGTCCTTTTTTTTGCAACTAAAGGCACCGATGGCACATCTTCATCCATCCATCACGCCATCATGCACATGAGCGTCCTTGGTAATTTCCCTTCAATTACCTGAATTGACTTGGTTATAGGTATAGTGAAGTTGTCGTTGGTGAAGCCATCCTGTACACCGGGTTCGAATAAGGATTTGTAAGTTGGCAAGTTGTCAAGTGTCACAAGCAAGATCAAGATTTCTATGGATGTAATGCAAAAAATTGTTACCCCGCTCTATTAACCATGGCACGAACCTATGCAATTATCCATATATGTACCTATACTTAGGTACGAACGGAATACCGGCAAGGCGCATCGCCTATCTTTCCAAACGAATCCAAGGTTCTCGATAAGGCTTACAACCTTGAATCGAAACCGCCTTAATGGGCTTTTCGTCCGTATCACGGGATAAAGCCGCAAGGCGCAAGACATACATAAATATAGACGATATTATAGCTAGCCTAGCAATATACCTAGGTAGGTTCCTATATTTACAACAATTACGATAATTATGTACCATAATATTATGTAACTCTCAAAAGCTCGACTGGTTCGGCAATTATTAGAACTCACAGACTCATTAACCAATGCAACGCTCTTAGACCCGACCACCAGATTTTGTTTGTTGCGGCTCAATCCTGCGTCAGCAGATGATGACATAAGAGATTTACATATTACTCTGGGGAAACCTGGGCGCCTTATATATTACGGGGCCAAACTGAGACATGGAACTGGGTCAATTTTTAACGTCTCCTCTTGCTTGCGTCCGCGGATAAATTTCGGATAGGCAGTAGTCGTTCCTTTTTACCGTCATTTGACCCCTTGAGGGCATCGCCGTTGTAAGCCCGAGGTGATCGGTTTTAATTAGGACGGGAAATGGCGTCGGTGAAGAAGCTAGGCCGAGAAAGACAAGGTCTCACGTGCTTCCAAGTTTCACGGAATATCACCTTAATTAGAATTCGGTGAAGTCAGGCCTGATATGGACTAGTTGAATTAGTTCGGGTGAAACTCTCGGTGGATTTTAAAAACTGAGTATAGTAATAGTGGTTAGTAATAACACTTGAAATCTTGGGGGGCAGCAACCGCTAGGTCATTGATGCGGTTGTGGGTTCCGCTTCAAATCGGCCACTTCCACTGTCCCATTCATGATCCTTGCGCATTGTCTCGTACGCCCCGCTTAAAGGACCCCTGTCTCGAGATTCGCACATCGATCTGCAGGCAACCCCTGCCCAACCATTTTTTCTGCAATTGGAAGCTCCCAAAAGATAAGTTGCCAAGTCGCCAAGTCGCTTCTCCAACGTTTTCTGTCATACTGACTTTCGAAAAGTATATTTTGAACCCTATGATCCAAATAACTAGTCGGAAGAAGTCAACCCATCGGTCGTCTTATTCAGAGTCTTCCATGTTATACGGTAATACAGTACGAGCACTACGTTCGACGTTGAAAATGAAGAATATTGCCGTTCCGAAATGATGAGATCGCCGACTGTTCTTTCGTTTTCATGACGATCCCGTGTTAATCAGGTCAATCAGGTCAATCAGCACAGACCCTGTTCACCAATCGCTCGTGACGAATCGCCCCAAACGGTCGGGAACTTGGTTAGGTGCATCCCGTCGCAATTAATTCCTGTGTTAAAGTACCTCCCAGTACTTTTCTCGCGGTGAAGGGGGTGCAAGGGTAAGCATGCGGGATAACTTAGTAGGAATGCTAAACAGCGTGATGATAGCAGAAAGCCTCGAGTCTAGACTACAGGAGGAAAAAAACGCCACAAAGACATTCATCCTTCCTTAGTCATTAGGCATAGTTCGGCCTACATCTATTATATTCTATCAAGAAAGGGCTATAGGACTATTCGCAAGCCTGTCAATTCTTTACGCGCTTAAGAAGGATTATACGCTCTATTGATCTCATTGGCAAACTGCTAAGAGTCGGACCAATCTACTGCTACGGTAGTTGAGCCGAAATACTGGGTGTCACAATACGAGAGACCCTACCAACGTAACTACCTGCCTTAGGTACACGATCTATTTTCTCACTCCCTTCCGGAGCACTATACGCACGCATGTATGTAAGTAAGTATGTTACTATCACAAAGTCTGCCCGTGACCGCGTTACAACACTAGTAAGTGCTTCTCAGCTTGTTGTTACCTTTTGCATAGTACGAAGAACATTGCATGCAGATCAGCAGTTGCCCTTAGGTGGTCGCCGATAGCTAATCTTTGACAAAGCTCTTACAATTGCTACATGTAACCTCGATAAGTAAGCTCTCATCACGGATCGCTTAAGAGCCGACAGGCAATATGCAACAATGGTTGGCATACCGTGGGAATACAGTTCTTCATAGAACGATAGCAATGTCTTCTCATGTGGGAGGCACATGACTTCTGTTTTAACGCCTCCAACTTGAGCCGAGAGAAAATAGCTACCGTGCTGCAGTACTAGAAGGTATCTATAATTTACCTATTTCAATGACTAACATAACTATAACATAATGCCAGCTGAGAAATCAAATTGGAATCACTATCTGAGGCTGAAAGATTATAATCATGAAGGCGACTTTTTGGGATTAGATCCGATGAGAAGATTCCTTCGGAGTCTCGCTTTCGCCTCGCCCCCTCTAGTTTGAAGATAGACAGCTTAAAGTCTCGATCTAGACCTGCAGATTGTAGTACGTGTACGTTTACGTCCTCTTATCTTCACTATCTACGCTCAGGCTTCGAGTCATCACCATCGAACTTCAGAAGATATCAAAATTCAACGGACCTGGTTCGATAGATATCTATCCCTTAACCCTTGCGATTCTTTTCAACAAAAGGCCAAACCGGGGTTCGCGTTGCGCCAATCGTCTTAAGTCCCGGCCGAGAATCCTCTAAGCCACATTGATGCGACTCGCTTAACAACCATGAAATTCGTATTAAGCCAATCTGTATTGGTGACGGCGGCGGCGCTAATTGAGCGTGGGGACGGCATAAGTTCGCTAGGTTCTACGACTTTGCCCACCACACACCTCTCTGCCAATGCAAGGACTCTAACCAATCTCTTTGATGTTGTATAGGTACAATACGCTAGCAAATACGAATACTATATACCCTAGGAAATGCGATTTTCAGCCTTCCTCCGCGGCCGGCAAAGGATGAAGAAAAAAGTTAGCGCCGTACTATCACAAGAATCTCTCGTACGAGTAATCATGGTATGGTAATAATGGTAACAATTATATGCTCTAATAATAATGAGAAAACCGTGTTACCTTAGCACGCGCTATCGATTCAATGTCCTACGTCGTTCCTTCATGAGCTGCAAGCGTCCGTCTTATACTCGTACTTCGAAGTTCTTGCTACTTTACTTAACACCACGGGACATTGGGAAATGGTGTGCTCGCACAACATATGTAAGTGTAGGTAGCACCTACCCTCAGGCGTGGGATCTTATTTTATAGGTATAGTACATCGGTACATAGGCGCACATATATGGATGCATGTATAGGTATTCGCTTTACTTTAGTGGCCGAGGTCATCGTGCATGCGTGTCTGCGATGTGCCTGCGATGTATCTTGGATACATATATGTAACAGATATTGACATATGTAATGATAGCAGCACGTCCCGACTCGATTAATCAATCCCAATTCCAAACCGAGGTTCCACCTAGGCAGCTGGGCAATCCCCTATCCCATCTAACGGGGATCCTAGCCAAGGATTCAAAGTCTAGAGATCTGCATTTGTAACAGTACGTACTACCTACCCTAGGTATCCTTGCAACCAATGTTGAACTTAGTCGATGGTTTTATCTCATGTGGGACCATCAATGAGCTGTCGTGGCGGGTACGTATCTAGTACTATACCAGGTAGTACTTAGACGGACTAGGTTGCAAGGTGACCCTCGGATGTACTTTTTCATATCAATATATCAATTGATGCCCTCGTTAGTCACATAGGGTACAAGCAACTACCCGTTCACACCTTACACTTGACATGATAACGTTTAACCCTCACCAACCTTCCCCAAGTTTGGGACCCTCATCCCATCCTATTCCATGTCACTTCCACTACTAGTTTCTTACCAACCAATAACTTTTAACTACAACATCTTCTCGTGCTCTCTCTCCCCGTACGCTTGCTCTCTTTTCGTTTTCCTACATAATCATATCAACTACCAACGCGATATCTTTGTTACCCAGGTACGATGCGCAGTCCAAGGCCATTGATGTCATACGCCTTTCACCGCCGACATCGTTATAATTGTGTAGTCCATGCATCATCGGATAGACTTGACACTTGTGCCGCTGGTAGAGGATCACAGACCACTTGTTTAACGTCATAAGTGGAATACGATATTTTAGATCCGTTCGGGCTGCAGATGGTTTCTCGTAAATTGGGTATCGACTCCGAGTACGACAAACGACTCCTGCACTTCCGCTTTTGCCTGGATCTTAACGAGAAGGAGCCAAAAGGAGGAAGTATCAAAGCTGCCGTGGTGGTTTCCGAACCTATGTGGCGGTGGCTTAACTGATATTTTTTTCTTTTAACGTGAAGCTCGTCGGTTCTATTGAAGCCGGCGTCTTCTGAAGAGGTCCTTTTATCCCCCGCTCGTCCCTCTGCGGAGGTTGACGGGCGTGGTTGATTCTGAGCAGAGACAAAATGTCCCTGTATACATCGCCGCCACCGCTCCATACTCCCGATCAAGACAAACCAACGCTTCTGGTTTGTTGGTGGATCACATTATTTTGTACCACGATAATTCTGTTGCGCATCGCCGGCCGCTTCGTCAGATCTGAGAAGCTGTTTAGGGAGGACAAGACGGCTGCGCTAGCCATCATTCCGTTATATTTGCGCATGGGATGTGTTCACGTCATTCTTATCTACGGAACTAACAACGCACACTTCACCGAGTTAACCGCCGAAGAGATTCATAAGAGATCCATCGCCAGTGGGTTGGTCCTCGCCAGCCGGATCTTCTATGCAGCTACGTATGTATCTTACCCCTTGGTCTCTCCTCAACCCCTTGGTGTAGCCTGTCAAGACGGCTGTATCTTAACGAATCATATCGGATGTGAACCCATCGTGTACTTGCTAACTTGTTTTTGCTGAAGGCTTTGGATTCTTAAGAGCGCCATCCTCGAATTCTTCAAACGCTTAACGAGTACCACCTGGAATCGCTCTCATGGAATAATCTTGCTTATTATACGAGCTACTCTGGTCCTAACGTTTGTGGCTATCGTGATAGCCGATTTAACAGAATGCCAGCCATTTACCCATTATTGGCAGGTGATGCCCGACCCCGGAGGCCAGTGTCGTCAAGGTTACGTCCAACTCATCACGATGGCGACTTGCAACATCACGACAGATCTCCTCCTCGTTATCTACCCGGTTCCTATAATCCTCACAAGTGCTATGAATACCAAGAAAAAGATTCAACTGACCTTGTTGTTCTCAACGAGCCTAATCGTTGTCGGAACCACCGGATACCGAATTCCTCGAATAATTCGTCTCCATGGAAATCAGCAGATCCGGTCTCTACTTGCCTCTGTCGAGCTGCTATTCGCCACAGCCTCCGCTAATACGTTGGTGCTTGGGTCCTTCGTCCGAGATAGGGGTGTGAAAAAGTCTCGTTACAGGCATAATTCTGGGCCTCCAGAATCCATCGACCGCTCATCTGATCGGAGACCTACGCTTCAGAACCATTGGGGGAGTGACGAAGATTTAGTGAGAGGTCTAGGGCTTGGTGTGGACCGCGAAATTCGCCTTGCCGCAAAACAGCAAGATCAGGGAGATGATCGCACAAAATCCATTACGGACATGGAGAGCTGGAATTTTCCTCGACGAAATCCAAGCAGTGCTACACGTAGTGACGATTCCCTATTAGGCCGGGATCAACTAACTTCATCACGGAGCAACTCTACCTTAACTCCTCGCAGGGTTTCTTTCTTCGATGTCGGCGGTTTGCTGGACGGTGAGCCGTCTCGGAGCGTACGGGATAGCTACAATTCTAACGTCGAGCCGCCATCACCACTCTCTCCCGCCTCTCCTTCGACTACTATGCAAGCATCTACCAATGGCTTCCGACGAGGGTCTCAAGTATTACTACAGGATTTCGGTGGTTTTCTTAGCCCATTTACGGCTAGACAATCTCGATCGAGTTCCAGAAATGGTACGGAACTAGAATCAATCCCACAAGACCCTAAAGAACCAAACTACGCTTCTACCGATAGCCGTGGAAACTCGAACGAAACAGAGCAAAGAATGAAAAACTTGGAGCGTCTCCCTGAGACGAACATTGTGCGTTGATGATGTTTTAGGGGAAGGCTCGGGAACTCATCGTTTACGGATGCTACTTAATCGATTCACATGCGATTCCGACTCGATCCACACTGCAACTTCTATACAATACCACACTGGTAGCCTCAGCAAATATCGAAACAATAGTCACATTACGATACTTAGTGTCGTTATCCTTCGTCATCTCTTACAAAGCTCCGAATCAGCAAGGCAGAAGAATATATCTACGAATAAGGGCGACTTGCGGAATTGACGATAATTAACCATTTCATTAACATATATTTACCTACATATCTTTACCTCCTTACGACATGACATTTACGACGTTAACGCCGCCATTGTACAAATATATCTATATACGAAGAATTTACACGAAACGATTCGGGATGAATATTTAATCAGGCGTATTCTATACTGGCGGGGTGGAGAGATGGTCTTAAGACTTATGTGGCGTTTTCTTGGATCACATAGGGGGTTTATCATGCGCATCAAAGGCGGAAGGGGTTCGGCCGCGCCTACGGAGTTATTGGAGGATGGATATACAACAGAGCAGGGAATATCGGTATCTTCTAGGGACAAGCATATGATCTGTGCTATCGGAGCACGTTAGGCCATGTCCGTACTTGAGCCTTGTGTATGTGTATCTGGGTTCGTCATTTGTTGCTCTGTATCTTATTATTATCATTATACCCCTTGGGCATTAGGCCCATTTTGCTTTCGATAAATTAGGACAGAATAGATCTGTGATAGATCTTGACGTAATAGATGATATGTCTACATCTTTCTCGCATTTGTAAGAGACAATTGGCGATTTTTTTTTTTTGGGATACACCTATTTGAAAAGATAGTACATGGGTTTTAGCTTCCGTAGAAACTTATAGAAGGTCTTATATTTGCATTCTTTCTTTACTTAGTGGGGTTCGTACTCTCATTGACACCAGGGAGAAATGGGAAACACAAGACTGGGCATTTAATAGTTTCTATACTGCGTTTTCTACCACTAGAAACCAAGAACTACATCTTCCTAGGAGACGGACTAAGACGATAGGAGAAGAAGCTCTTACTTCAAAATCTTCTAGGACCCCATTTATAGGACTTATTTTAGGATGTAGTCATAAAAATGGCGATCATTGAAACGCGTAAACACCCGATTTCGTAGACCGCGACATCCCCTTTCCTACTCCACAGCTGTGGGCAGTTACTAAGAGAATAGCATCTCATTCATTAGTAGCAAAACCTTTTGACTAACTACAGGGAACAGAAAATCGGAATCTGGAGAACCCCCCGAGTTGTAGACCACAAAACGCCACCCAAGCCAAAGTCAAGTTTCATGCTCATAGACGCCGGTTTCTGCAATGATGTTTTCTTTTCTTTTTCCCTCGCCTCCTTCTTCTCCCTTCCTCTTGTCGGATTAGACCATAGGGTATGGAGTATAGGTAGGTGTAAGGTATCGATAGGTATAGAGCTGACGAGATACTCTGCTCATACACACAACCGGTAACTCGCGTACCGTCCAGCCGTCTCGGAGGAACGGATGATCTTGACGACCTGTCCGCGCTTCATGCCGTAGTACTTGGCGACGGGGTCCTTCTGGAGGATACGAGGGAGTTGGGTCTCCTTGAGACGGTAACGCTTGAGCAGCGCGACCTTCTCTTCTCTAGAGAGGACGACGTGGCGCGGCACAAGCTCGTGGTGGGTGATGTTGATCAGAAGGTCCTCCTCGAGGAACCACTCGATGGAGGTCCACTGGGCGAACTTCGCGATCTCCTTCTTGGCGGAGGGCGAGACGGACACGTGCGAGACTAGGATGCCGGTGTGGTGGTTCTCGTGCGCGCAGAACTTGCCGAATCGTCGCATCTGGTCCGCGCCTAGCTGTTCTTCGTCGAGGAACTCCACCCAGATCGTGCCCACGTCCGCCTTCGGGTCCGGGTTCGACGGTGTTGCGATCGGCGTCATCTTCCTGATCATCTCCGGACTAGGGCGAGCCGAGAATTTGAGCTTCGATCGCCTGTAGGTTCGTAGCGGGTTAGTTAGCGAGTCCATGGTTTCTTTATTTTATTTTTTGTTAGGTGATGATGGAGCTTCAGAATACGTACACGACGGAACCGTCGAAGTTGCAGTAGATGTTTTTGAACGTCTCGAGGGTCATGTTCACTTCTGTGTCAGATAGTTCGTAACCCTGCTGGCGCATTAGTGTCTACCGAAACACACATATCATCTTGACGCGGTAGAATGGTAGCGTGATGTGAAAATGCGATTGAGCTGCATTCGCGCCAAAATCGTAGTAACAGTACACGTTTGAGGGGATCGAGGCTACGGGTAGACTGGGGGTAGAATCGCTTGCTTACTCGGTCCTGAACCATCTCGTGGATGGTTCGCCATGCTCGCCATGTCTTGACGGTGACCTTGTCGTTGGCGTCGTTACTGGTGTACTCTGAATCCGCCATCGTTGAAACTACGCGGTTTTCAATTAAACTTGGGAGATTGCGTAGATAGAGGTGAGTTGTCGCGACTTTGCGCGAGGTTGAAAGTGGGCTTATTGGTCGGGTCTGAATGAGAGTTGAAGAATTGACAAGTAGAAGGACAATGAAAGTTCAGCCTTGCGTGACGAAGAAGGTGAAAAATTCCAAGGTATCTGAGTACCTATCGTTCCTGGCCTTATCTGCAGGGCAGCAGGGATACACATATGTGGATAAGGTACGTATCTGAAAGAATCAGACGCTAATCCCTGCAGGGTGCATATTGATGGATCCCAGCTCACCGGTCATACAATAATTTGAAGTTTGTACCTCGTAGTAAGGTTTGCTTACTGGAGACGGCAAAAGTCCGGCAGAAAGTGACCTGTAGTGGAAAGTGCACAGGTCTAACGGAAAAATAGCGTGGTAGTGAATTGGATAATGAGACATTGTGTTGTGCTAGAATCAAAATTCACTTTTTTTTTTTCTTTAACCAGTGGACCTCGACTCCGAATTTTTCCTCTTACCTGAATTTGACAGGCATTAGGACCCTGAGATCTGGCCTCCTAACCTCTCGGTTCGCCGACCATTTCTTATTACCTATTTGTACCTTAAATCGTCTTCTTTCTTTAGATATTGATTGTGACTTTTTAATTTGTCGCTGTCTTTATCTAGTTTCGTCCATTTCCTATTCCCGTCCGACTCGTGCTCCATCCTCGATAACGAATTTCGGTAAAAGACACGACTTACGCTATTTTAACCAACATGGCTGAAGTAGCTGATACCCCGGTTCCCGCCGCGGGTGAGAAGAAGAGGCCCGAGAAGCCCAATGCCGATCTCTTCAATGAGCAATTGGCTAAGGCTGAGAAGGAATACCAGGAATCATTTGCTAAATATGTTAGTTTGCGCACATACCTGTGTAAAGTAGTGATAATATTAACCGTCATCATAGAATGCTGTCAAGCAGAAGGTCGAAATTGCCGCCCCGAACAAGAACAAAGAGAACCAGTCACCTACCCAGAAGCGCCGCCAGGAGCTTATTGCCCAAGCCAACGAGATTCGCAACAAGCAGGGCGCCGGCAAGAATGCTCGCAACTCCAAGCTAGACCAGATTAAGCGCCTCGATGAACAGCTTCGCTCCCGGATCTCCGAACAAAAGAATGCACGCGGAAAGGTAGCTTTCAAGAGCGTTGAAGATGTGGACCGTGAAATCGATCACCTCGAAAAGCAGGTTAATGGCGGCATGATGAAGCTGGTCGATGAGAAGAAGGCACTTGCCGAAGTTTCAAACCTCCGAAAGCAGCGCAAGAACTTCGCCCAGTTTGACACTTCGCAGAAGGGTATCGATGAATTGAAAGCCAAGATCAAGGAGATCAAGGACAGCATGGATGACCCCGAAACCCGCGCACTTAGCGACCAGTACACTAAGATTCAGGCCGAGCTCGACAGCATCAAGGCGGAGCAAGATGAGGTATTCAAGAACCTCAACGTCCTGCGCGATGAGCGAAGCAGACTTCAGGCCGAGCAACAGGAGAAATTCCAAGCCGTACGGAAGATCAAGGACGAGTACTATGGTGCGAAGAAGGTATTCGCCGAGTATGAACGTGAGGCCCGTCAACGAATTCGGGAGCGTCAGAAGGCTGAGCGCGACCGTATTGAGAAGGAGCGGAAGAAGGAGCGTGCGCAAAAGTTGCTCCAAGAGGCTAGCGACCCGGCCTATCTCGAAGAGATTCGCAGAGCCAACAGTCTACTACACTTCTATGATCCGTCTTCGACCTCGACCGAAAAGGCGCCTCTTCTGGCTGACAGCGGTTTGGGCGCTCAGGCTTCGCGAAAGGTCGACGATTCTGGTTTGAAGGGCACTCGGTTGGTACGAAAGGAAGACCGTGAGGACGACTATTTGCCAGCCGTCAAGAAGGGTAAGAAGGGCAAGAAGGCTGTTGTCGCAGCCGAGAAACAGGGTTTCAACTGCCCCCCTTCTGTTATCGATGACTGTGGATTCCTGGGAATTGACCCACCCATGGCCGCCTCTGATGTTCCCGCTGTTATCGAGAAGGTCAAGGCCAAGCTCGAAAACTGGAAATCTGATCAGCAAGCCCAAACCCAGCGTGTAAGTGATAATTTGTGAAATAAAAACCAAACCTGAATAGTTACTGACAAATTCTAGAACATCGACAAGGCCAAGAAGGAGATCGAGAAAATCGAGGCTGAAGAGGCAGCTGAAGCTTCTGGTGCTGCAACCCCTAATGGCGTCAACGGAGATAATAAGTCCGATGATAAGGTGGCTGCTGTAGCCTCGGAGTTGAAGGAGGCGTCGCTTGAGGAGAAATCGGCCTAGAAGTCCGAATTACCCCTAAAGCCACAATCCGAGGATCAAGATTTGACCGAGGTCAAATAAACGGTTTTCTGGTCATCAGACCTTCAACACATACACGATCTAAACTCATCCCTTTATTTGAGAGAAGATTAAGTTTCTCCGGGGACACAAAAAAGGCTATGGGAAAATCAAGGTTTAGATTTCCACGTCGTCACATGTATTTAGCATCAAAGCGCCTCCAGCTATACCTATACCTACCTCCTCTACCCATAGTATGCACTCCCGCTTTTCGTACCCTCTCGACGTCTGTACGACTCGCCTATCATGATGGGTTGTCGGGTCTAACAGCGTCTGAGACATGACATGACATGACACGAGACAATGATAGGATAGCATAGATATGAAAGGTACCTTCTCTACGAATTAAAAAGAACGAAAAGTAAAAAAAAAAAAGGAGTCTGTATCACTTGTATGTTATTAAAATGTAAGCCGTAGCGGCATGGCCCGACCCTTAGAACTAACTAACTCAACTTAGCTCGTGCGTGTCGTGGTCCACTCGATATGTAGTGTATGTATGTATGTACGTACTGTATCTCTCGTCTCTCCATAGGGATCCTCATTCCCTATTCGGTAGTCCGCTCCCCGTATTCCCCCTTCCCACATCCATTACGTGACCGTCAACGCTTCCCTCGAATTTTTTTTTTCGGTCGGGATAGGGGTCTTGATTCGTCCACGCTCCCAAAACGTCCCGACGCCTTGGGGAAAGCTGGTGGAAGGGAAGGGAAGCGAAGGGAGGGGCTCGCTTTGGTTTCGTTTGGAATGATAGTAGATAGGTAGGTATGTGTATGTGTATGTGTACTCGTGACCCCCCAGCCGTGCATCGGTCGCTCTCTCTCTCTGGCTTCATTGGGCTGGTGTTGGGTGTTACCTCTGTACCCCGTCTGTCCATCTCTCTTGGGTCCCGTCGGCAGATGATGATAGATCCCGCGTACATACCTACCTACATACATGGATACTTTCGATGACGGCGATGATGGGCATTGCGCATCGCGCGTGTGCTCTGGAAAAGGAAGGTTCAGGGTCCTTTCGTTCGAATCGACGGGGGTGAGTCGATCTCGCTCTTTCACGTCTGGTTGGCTTGGTTATGCGGACATGCAATACACACATACACACGTACGCACATGTTTTGCCACTGGTACGTATAGGATTACCTAGTAGGGAGGTACTGTATATAGCTCTGTAGATTTAAGGTCGGTTTTTGGAGATATCATAGGCTGGGGTTTTATGTCCACAAATAGCTAGGTAGCCAGTGGAAGCACCCAAGTAGACAGACAGACAGATGGACAGACATGAGGCGTAGTTAGGGGTCTTTCGTTTCGACATACCTACCCACCAATCTGCCAATCCAAGAGCCTTACCTCCAGTATCCTATCTCCTTAAATCCCCGCCCTACCTGACCTCCGTAGGGCATCTAGAAAGCGTGCCATCCATTGCGACGAAAGCTCGTTTTTTATTACCTACTTTACGTCCCTACCAATCTTCCGCCATATCTACCTAACGTATCCATAAGATATTCCTCGCTGATTGACATCCCGAGCTCGAGCCGCGATTTTATTATTGTTATTATAAAGCTGACCCAGTTCTCGTTGCATACGTGTCAGCCGCATCGCCTATGGCGAGAGGGGGGTCAAAGATCTGACGCGTGACTTCTCGGCAAGCTACTGTAGCAGCCTGCCCATCTCACATTTTCATCTTCTTCATGCCCTCACGCCTGAAATCTGATGTCTAACCGCCTCAACGCTCGTCTGAGTGATGAACACGTCTGCATACTCTTGAAATCGGCCGAAAAACCAGCAATTGACGTGTCTGTCGGTGCCGTTTCCCTGGGTCGATGCGAGCAATCAGGAAGAGGTTTGATTAAATTTTGTAGATTTGACTAGCTCGTTCTGCTTCTGCTTCCGCTCTGTTCAGATAGAGATGATGATAAGTTGACAGGTATATTGTAACTCCGATCTGGCCAAAAAATTCCGTCCCTATGTAACCTCAAGGTAGGCGTTGGACAACACACATAGAGAAGAGAAAAATAAAATAAACAACTGTTGGGACCAGACGCAAAAATAATGCCAGCCCCTTTCCTACTCGTCCATCCGTAATCCTATAACACTCCGTACGCCCAGTAAAAGTCCCCGGGAAATTTGCCACCCGTCTTAGATGACTCCAAGCTCGAAGTAGGATCAGTTCCTTAAGAAGAAAAAAATGATACCAAATAACAATTGGTTGGTTATGTTAAATAAGTTTTGAGTTCTTTTTTTTTAAAAAAAATAATCGCATTGGTTGGTCAAAAAAGTGCAAGGTCTCGCCGCTATGCAGAAAAGAAATGGTATCTGGGACATTTTCCCTCCACCCATGCAACAGATACGGTGATCGTAGTGCTCTTTCGTAGTCTCGTAAATGTGTTCGTTCTTTCTTTCGTATTAAGTCAAGGAAAATAAATGGTCGTATGTGTAGATGCAAGTTGTGCTGTGGTACAATTTTACACGGTGTGAATGGTGGGCTATATGAACCCGGGCATATAGCCGTCGTCGCCGGGATGGATCACACCTCTCCAACGGCGAGTAGGTAGTTAGTTGTACTGGAAATAGGCCGTTGGCGGCGCGGTAGGAGGTCGGAAGGTGCTATGTCTTCTTTGTGATGGTGCGAGTGGATTATGAGGTGGTCCCGGCGTCCGCCGCTCAATTTGCGGGGGAGGGGGCGTTCTTCTTGCGAGAGGATTCACACTCCGCTCCCTCTCTTGAAACGGTTCCCCGGCTATCGTGGCCGTAGATTGGGCCCGCCTGCTAGCCTTCCGTGATCCGCTCAACGCACTTAGCGGAGGGTCTTTGACGGCAGGTTCGTCGTCGGTTGGGAGTGTTAACTCAACCAAGCTGTAGAAGTATTCCAATACCTCTGGATATCGCTGAACGCTGGATTGCCAATCCTCGTCGATTCCTCGTTTCAGAGTCGCTTGGGCGGCGGCAATCTCGTTTGGATGCGGGGGGGCGTGGTAGTAATGGTAGGCGTGGGCTGTTAATCGTTCAAGATGGGACGAATGTGCAGCCTTGCGTCGTTCGGTGAGTAGGCGGAAATACTCAAGTATATAGTCTTGAGCGTGTGCTCGAACCCACGTACTGGACCAATGTTTAGTAGGTTGTCATACAAAGTTCGACGGAAGCGAGGGAGCAGATGAACAGCAAGCAAGCAAGCGAACGAGCGAGCGAGTAACACAAGCCAGCAAAAGTAAAAGCAAACCAAAGCAATTAGAAATTCACTAAACGCAAGACATAATACGAAGAAGTAGAAAAAAAAAACATTGCTCTTACCGTATATCATTATACACAGATTGCATCATACGGTTCTCTGCCTGCTCGATGGCGATCTCGAGACCTTTAGCCTCGCAATCGCAGGCGAGGCTGGCAGGAGCATGACAGATGGCACAGTCCGGGTCCATTCTGATGATGGACTTGCGGGGTTTATGTTCCCTGGTATACATCTTAGCGGCGTGAAGCCGAAGGCGGGCAGGAGAGCCGGGATGATGGAAGAAGTGGTGAACATGAGCGGAGAGATACGGAGAAGTAGTGTAAGAGTATAGATCAACTATTGTACAACAACGGCTGTTCACTTGACGACCCGAGAAGGGTCCATGTCTATGGGTAGGAGGAGGGAAGGGGAGAAAAAGAGAGAAGGCGGGTCAGGGCAAGACACGACAGAGAGTGACTGACCTGTATTATGAATGATGGCGAGAGAGGAAACAACACAGCACGCCTGAGAATGGTGGTAGAGTTGCAGCAAGCAGCAGACAGCAGATAGCGGACAGCAGACAGCAGACAACGTACGTGTGAGCGATATGGGGGGGAATTGGGAATTGGGAATTGGTCGAAAGGTTCAGAGGCAAGTTCAATGGTTAGCTCAGAAGCTCGGGGCTGCAGGAAAACGCTCTTTGGCTGACCGCCCCCGGTTCGAATGGCCGCGATAGTCAATTGAGTGTAGCAAATAAGGAGGACGGGTAAGTAAGTTTGCGTGCCGATGTCACCGATATCTGGGCGTGCAAGATACAGCAGACACAGACAGATACAGGAGATACAGCGAGATACGGGTTTGTACTGCTGTATGTCGCTTCTGAATGGAGCGTGGGGTAAGGTAGGTAGGCGGAGAGCAGGACAAAGTGAGAAGGAAAAAAAGGCGTGATGAGAGAGGTCAAAGAGGACTTGACGATTCAATGCGTGCGTGATGCTTAATGCTTGATGCTTGACGCTTAATGCTAGTTGATACCTGGTGCCGCGTGCTTCTTCTTTCCCCCCTACGGCGAAAGCTTAAGAAGTTCAGGAAGAAAGTGGTGTTTGAGAGGCTGGTTTCGAAGCTCGACTTGCAGAGCCTGCAGCAACGGAGAGGCAATGGAGGTAAGTGGGAGCACTAGATGTCCACGATACCCACTAAAAAAGCCAATTGCTGACGGGGGAAACGGAGAACTGACGCGGGACGATGGGAAGATAGACTAGGATAGACTAGTATGAACGAGGATAAGTCAAAAAAAGGTTACAAGTGCGACTGCCCAGCGGAGCCCAAAGACGCCAGAGACGCACCGCGAACGCACCAGAGATGCTTTGGTCGAGCTTAGCGAGCACTTGAAGAGCAAGGAGGTTGATGAGGGGGGACGAACGTTATGACCACGTTTGGTCTGAAAGGAAGAAATTGACTGTCGTGGCTCGAATGGGCGGCAGGATTACTAGTAGCATGCAGTGTGCATGAGGGTAACCCAATCGAGAGTTTGCATAATCCGGCCGGTCTGGCGTTGCTGCACAGAGCCAGTAGCGTTGGAGATTATAAGTAGAATAGGTAGTAATATGTATGGTATGTATATGTATATGTATATAGTATGTATGGTATTTAATGTTTTATAAGTAGGCGGTATATAGGTAGGTGGCTGGTATAGTTGTATGTAATGTAATGTCATGTAATGTGTGTGATCTGTGATTTATGTGATATGGATATGGATATGTAGGTATATGTAGCGTGGTGATAGATAATAAGGTAATATAGTGCGTGGAGTTCGATGTCGGTTTAATGTTTATTACTCTTCATACAAAAAGGTGAAGTGTTCCTCCTGGAGATAGAAATACTAAAAAAGATCACTGACGATCATGAGGAGATAAAGAAAAGTAAGACCAGTAAGACCAGTTCATACATACAAGACCTGCCAGACGTACAACGACGTTAGACCAAATAGATATGAAAATGGATACCGAAGAGGAGGTGTTCGGGCGTTCAAGCGCTTGCTTGATCTGCTTGGACTACCTGGAACGGATCGGCTTTTTTCCAACGTGGCAGTGGCAGTGGCAGGAGTTCAACAGATTCCAATACAATAAATGGGATCTGATATTCTGAGGGACGCAGGCAGCGTGCAGGAGACGTAAGAGGCGAGACGCAAGAGACGATCTCACAATCTCGCAATCTCGCAAATCTCGAATACTGTGTACCTAATAGTAGACAGCCCTGAAAGGTACTTATTTGAGGCTCCAGGCGCTGCAGAGAGACTTTCAGAGGCTCCGAGATGCTCTCAATGTTTAGTTCTTTAATAATCTTTAATCTTCTTTTTTTGGTGCTTGGCACTAGATTGAAAAAAAAAAAACATCGAATGCCCGCAGATGGCAAGGTCTGCGAAATCTGCAAGGTCCCAATTTGTACGACGTATGGCGTTTTGATGAGCTCTTGTTGGTCAAATGGTGAAATCGGTCCATGTTTGGTTCGTCCGGTTCGTTTGGTGCCTCGTAAAAATGCTCACCGCCTTTCGAGCGCCTCCAGCGGCTCTTGAGACCGACATGGACGGAGGCAAGCCATTGGCGGCTATAAACCCCGGTGAAACAATTGGGACTTGGGGGACCTTGGGGACTTGTTTAGATTAGGCCGAGGTTATTGTCAGGTGTTATCGTGCCATTCATTGGCAATGAATATAATTAAACGTTGTACCTACACATCTTCGAGCCAGTACGAATATATTAATCATCGATTGGGTGCATTGAGAAAATCTGTAGATTCTCGTACACACTTTTCTTTTTGACCTCGACTTACATTACGAAAGACGAAAAAAAAAAAGGTTGTTTGTGTGTCGTGTGAGGTTGGATCCCCCGCCGTCCGTGTCCCGTCCCTACCTATTACGGTAAAGATGTCCCGAAGCTCATGTGACCTACACCTTTTTAGCCGAAGCCGGCAGGTGCCGGCATGTGAAGTACCAGGGTACTTGTAGGGGCTCTAACTGGGGCTAGGGTTAGCTCTTCTTATCTTATCTCCGCCAATATCTTATCTGCATATTGGTGAAGAAAAGAAAGAAAAAAAATCGTTGGAAGGATCATGGAGGGATGCATCGATCCCGTCATCGATCACCCAACTAGCCGAAGCTGCAGCTCTCCGTCCCGACCAATCAACCAATGGACGGGAAGCCAACGAAAACTTCAATTATGAATTTTATAACATAAACAAAAGCCCAATTCCAACTCAAAAATGCCGCCCCGGTGCCCCTCGAGCACAGGAATCCTCCTGCCCTTCTTATACCCCTCGCTCTTCCGCACCGCCCCCCGCAAATCCCTCCAGCTCTCCATCCCGCACCGAGCCGCCCTCACAATCCTCCACTCGACCTCCGCAGACACCCCGTCCCCAGGGTCTACCTCAACCGACACCTCGCCCTCCGAATCCAGCTCCTCACTTCCTGCCTCACGTCTAAACCCCCCACCAGACGACTACGCGCAATCGACATTCGCAGACAAAGCGCGCGTGACAGTGCACGCCGGAAGCGGTGGTCATGGCTGCATCTCGTTTCTGCGAGAAGCGTACCTAGCGGAAGGACCCGCGAACGGCGGCGACGGCGGACACGGGGGCAACGTGTACATCCAAGCCGTGCACGGGGAAACCTCTCTGCACAAGCTAGCGCGGCGACGGGTCCTCCGCGCCGGCCGGGGCAAAACCGGCCAAGGCAGCGCGCGGGGCGGGTCGCGGGGCGATGACATGGTGATCCAAGTGCCCGTGGGGACAGTGGTGCGGGAAATAGGACGCATCGACCCCGTCGTAGAGGAACGGCTGCATTTCAAGGCGGCGCGGGAGAAGGAGCGGGAGTACGAGCGGTTGGTGCGGGAGGTGGAGGCGAAGAATGCGGAGCTGGAGGATGTGGAGGGTGCGATTCGCGCGGAGATGCCGGAGATGCCTGAGCGCCCGCACTTGAATAAGTTTATTTTGTACCCCGGGATCTCGGAGACTGAGAAACGCGCTATATTGCTGCCTCGCTTACCCAGGCGCGAGCGGTTGTTCGTGCAGCCCGATGGCCCGATACACCTGGACTTATCGACGCCGACGCCGCGGCCGATTCTCATAGCTGCGGGTGGGATAGGCGGGTTAGGGAACCCGCACTTTGTGTCGAAAGAGCGGCCGCGACCACTATTCGCCACGAAGGGCGAGCGAGCCGTGACTATGCAACTCGAGCTCGAGCTAAAGCTTCTCGCCGACGTGGGTTTAGTCGGGTTGCCCAACGCCGGTAAATCGACTCTTCTACGCTCCTTAACTAACAGCCGCGCGCGCGTCGGAAACTGGGCTTTCACAACGCTACAACCGAACATCGGCACCGTCGTGCTCGACAACCACAAAGGGCGTCCGATACCCGTCCCCAAGCCCTCACACCCAGCGCCCCACTCCGTGATCCACGACGCGCAATACGGCTCCGTAGTCCTATCCCGCCAACCGGACCACTACTCTCTCCACACACCAGGCCCCGAGCCACGAACACGGTTCACAGTCGCCGACATCCCCGGCCTAATCGAAGGCGCGCACCTCGATCGCGGCCTCGGCGTCGCCTTCCTGCGACACGTCGAGCGCGCCGGCGTCCTCGCCTTCGTCATCGACTTGAGCGCCGGCGACGCCGTCGAAGCCCTAAAAGCGCTATGGACCGAAGTAGGGCTCTACGCGCGAATGCGCGAAGAAGAGGAGAAAGAGCGGGAGATCGGGAGCCGGATCGATTGGGAAGGCGACGGCAGTCGCTCACCGATGATGAATTACGGGGGCCAGATGATCGTCGCAGACTTACCCGAGGCGGATACTAGTGGGGAAGGCGGACTGCATATTGCGGCGAAACCATGGTTCGTGGTTGCTACGAAGGGCGATTTGCCCGGAACCCAGGAGAACTACGCGCGGCTGAAGGAGTACCTCGACGCTGTGACGGACCGGCGAGAGCCGCATCCGAGTATGGTTGAGGGTGCGTGGATAAGCGACTGTGCTGCGATACCCGTGAGTGCTATCCACGGACAAGGTGTCGATAGAATTATACACTGGACTGTGGGGCTACTAGATGGGGAGTGATAACAAACATATGTAGATGTCCCCAAGGGCAGTTTTTTGTATACCTATTGATAAAAGCTCAAGCGATCTGTTGTACACCTAGTGCCGACCCGTATAACGACCTAAAAGCAAATGAAAATGCCAACTTCCCCAATTTTTAGCTCACGCTGTTTTTCTCCAGTTCCGTAACTGTAAGGATCGCTTTAGAATTGCCATGAACCCCTCTCTCAGCACGCCTTCCAATACCTCGTATGCCCTCATGGAACGCCTGTTGTAGTGTTGGTGATCTGTTATGGTCGATGTCCGAGTGAGAGTGGACATATTTCAAGTAGAACTCGTGTGGTGGATGGATGCAATGCCAACGTTGATGTACTATTCCACAACCAGCTCATCATATCCTTAGGCACTTCCCGTAGCCGGTCCAGCTTCTGCCTCAGCCTCCTCTGGCTGCTCAGATACCTCGTTTTCTCCATTTGCTTCCTCGGCCACCGGGGCATCTTCCAAGGTTTCATCCTTTGTTTCGGAATCGACAGCCGCAGCTGCGGTCTCAGCTTCTTTCTTTGCTGCCTCCTTCAGCGTCTGGTTGATGACAGGGGATGTGTCATTGAAGACACGAAGTAGCATTGCGGACCTATCCTCCTTCGGGAGCATAAGGTTTAGGGAATGGAAGCTCTTCCACAATGGGAGGACCATACGCTCAGAGAAATCGGGGTCGCTTCCGTCCGGTTCGATAACAAGTAGACAGCAACCCATTCCGATATCTTTCGCGCGTTCTCCAATCTCATTCAATTTCTTCCAATCTTCGTCGATGAATTTAGGGAACATTTCTTTCAAAAGCTTGTGGAATGTCTCCTTGTTTGTTAACCGTATAATACGGTCAGGTCCGACATATCCTTCGATGATGGGCATGCCTTCCGATTGTATCCGCCATCTGCAAACCTCGGCAGACGGTGCATCTTGCTTCATGAACATCTTGACGCCTCCATGCACGAATTTGACGCCACGACCCTCGTTTTCGGTGAGGATATCTCTAAGTAGAGCACTCGTGTAGTAGATGGCCTTTGCAGGCTCACCAGTAGCGTTTCGTACCATGAAACGGTCCGCGGGGAAACGAGATGATATCTTGTAGAATTTCTGAATATCTTGGATGACAGTGTGATCCGGTGGTAAGTATTTGAAGGGCTCCTCATAGTTTCCATCCGACGGTTTAACTCGTTTATCAGGTTGAGCACCATTCTTGGGAGTGGCCTCCGTCTTCGGTTTGACTTCCTCTGTCTTAGTTTCCAAAGAAGTTTCCAAGGGAGTGTCTGCTGGAGGCTGTTCAGTCTCAGCAGGAGCTTCAGCCTCGAGTTTTTCGGCAGGGGGAGATTCAGTCTTTTGTTTCTTGGCGTCGGGTTTCGTCTCCGCCTCATCATCCTCTAAAGTCCTCTTGGATCCTACTGTCGGGATAACGTCAGTCGGCTCACCCAGCGCGGCCTTTTCTTCTTCAACTTCCATCTTGATCTCAGCATCAGCCTCTTCGACAACATTGACACCGGTCGCCGTGTTCGGGACCCGGGTCTTCGTCTCTGGTTTGGCTCTAAATTCCTCCTTCTTCTCTAGCACCGTGATGAAAAATCCGCCTGTGTCTTGCTGATGAGCGTAGACTCGCATGCAACGATCTAACGGGAGAGTGGAACAATCGCTAGTGTCTGGCCTAGCAAACATCGTTTCCGAGAGTTTGCCGGGTAACTGACTTTCAGTTGTCAAGACATGGTGTTGTACCTCCTCCCAACTACTCCAGATACGGCCAGATTTATCGATAATCTGCCATTGGTGCATTCCAGGGCTTCGCTTGAGCCCGGGAAGTCTTTCTTTGCAGTCGATAATATCAATCTTGTCGGGGCCTCCGCAGCGTTCGATCGCGGAGACGACTACAGCTTCGTTCTCGACGGGGTTCATGCTGCAGGTTGAGTAGACAACTCTGCCACCGACTTTCAGCATCTGAAGGGCGCGGACTAGGATCCGAACTTGTGTAACATGGAGCCCTAGTGCATTACCCGGCTGCCAATCCTTCCATAAGTTGACGTTCTTTCTCAGCGTTCCATCACCCGAACAAGGTACATCTGCGAGAATTCTGTCGAATCTTAGGTATTGGCCTTTCTCGGGACGGTTTGGGTCTCGTGGTAGTTTGATGGCTGGGTAAAGAGTTGCGTCGTGATTTGTGACGAGCATGTTTGGGGAAGAAAGTCGCTTAAGCTGGTGGACGAGCATGTGACTCCTCTTATAATCTGCATCATTGGCAATGAGCAGTCCAGTCGCACGGCCATCATCGCCAGCATCTACCGAAAGATCAACATCTTCTTCATTGCCAGCCTGCGGCTTGGCATCGCCGAACGATTGCATGAATTTCCGAATTCTACCCTCCTCCCCGGAGTGGACCATCTCGAGTAACTGGGCGGCTTTGCTTCCAGGTGCCGCACATAGATCCAAAACCGTCATTCCAGGCTCGACATCCATCAGCAATGGAGGGATCATGCTAACAACCTCCTGTCTACTTATATTGCCGACACTAGTCTCGGAGACCAAGAACTTCTGAAAGGCGGCAAAAGGTGGGAACTTGCGGATGACATGCTTTGGGGTGTTCATAGAATAGGCGAGTTGGTCAGGGTACCATGTAACCGGCTGAGGAGCCTGTACAGGTTCGCCATCGTAGCGCTCAATCGTGACGATTTCGGGGACGTATCTTGTCTCGAGAAGTCGTTTGACAGCGAGGGCATGACCTTTAGATCCACAAAAGCGGAAGGAATTGGGGAGTTCTCTCTTTAGAGCATCCCAGAATTCAGATCTCTCCGAATCATCGATAGGTAGCGCGGAATTGTAGTACTTCTCCAAGTTTTTATTCTCTTTTATAATATCACTGTATGATCGATACGGGACAGGAGCGTCCCCGCGAGGAGCGCGATTGGATGCGCCTTTGCGACCACCCTATACCAAAGTTAGATAAATTTACAATTGATTGATCGCATTGTAGCCTTTATGGATGTGTTGAAGTTGGTACTTACTCGAAACTTCTTTCTACCCATCTTCAAATATTGGAAAACGTTGTTTGAGTAAAGAACTCTCAAAGTTAGTCGCATTTAAATATTGAAAGTTTTCAGGTTGGAGTTCGTAAGAAAATCGACGGAGCTTTCCTAGTACCCCACCAACGTGCCCCACCAAAGCTTTTAGTTCCTCCGTTAAGTTCATTATCATGCATTGAGAGTGGACATGTATTTAAACATAACGGCCTGAAGTTCCTCTAGGGCATATAAGGAAACTAAGCAACTAGAGATATGTGCAGGTACTGGGTACCCCTAAGAAGGGATACCCCTGTCTTTGATGGATATAGCTTCATTCAATATGACAAGTCAGGTAACGCGAAAAGCCACCAAGCCGCTTCCATTTCCACATTCTGTAGGGACATCTTGATACAACCAGCCAACTTATTTCGCTCCTTGTCAATACCATGGAGTTACCTAAAGAGACTTCTTGTTGATTATAATTACGGTGGAGAAGCGAGGTCACGAAAAACGAACATCGAAGCTTACGGCATTTCTCGTATGGAAAAGACAATCTTGAATACAAATTGTACAGTTCTGTCAGTAAGTACCCTACCCATCCGAACCAAACGCCGTGAGGAAGAAAGCACCGATCCGACATAATCCCCATCGACTAGCTTACATGATTCACCTTCGTCACTTAGCTTAGCCTGATCCTCTCAGCACTTTTAAGGCGTCGTCGAAGTTCTGAATGTCGCGCACCAGCTTCTCCCTGCGGAGCTTAACGGGGGCATCCTCAGCAGCGATCATGTCAAGCTGATCCTCGTTAAGTTCCTGGACCATCTGAGTACTGAAGATAGTGAGAGGGCTGCCCTCGCCTCTCAATAGATAGTGGTTGACGGCCTGCTTGCAGATGACGTCGACGAAGCGTTTGCGAGATACCTTGTAATAACTCTTCAGGATGTCGTGGATCAACTTGAGATTGTATTCTGAATTTCCCATATTCAATGATAGGGCTTTCAATACCGCCTTGCTGAGGAAAGTTCCTTGCTCAAAGCTGCGGACGTTAGTATGCTTAGTATCAACGGGCGCTTGCATCTCTAATCCGAGCTTCTCTAAGGCGACTACAAAATGTTCAGCCTGAGACTTCTGAAGATTGTCGTTGTAGTAATGGTTGTAGGTCATTGGACTTTCTTCACGTTCGATCTTGAGCAGGAGCTTCGCTTGGTCCAAGGCTACGCGATACGACTTCTGGAGCCCCTCGAGAAGATATCCGTCCCATAGCTCTTCGCGTACACGTTCATCGGGGCATACTTGTTTGAGAATTTCTTTGATGAACAGATGAATTTCGAAAATCACCTTAGTCATATAGGAGAGTGTGATGGGCTTCCATTTCTTGGTTTGGTCCTTGAATATGGCAGATATAACGGTGTTGCTGATCTACGTAGTTTTAAGTTAGTTAAATGTCTTCTTAAGTACTGCAATTTGACTTACTGGTACGAGGTCCTGCCCGCGGCTTTCTTTGTAAACACTCTCTATATAACCCATTATGTCACCCTTCTTGTCTGTGGTTGGCATAATAACATCTGAAGGGTCAAAGATACCCTCGAGTTCGGGGCAATCAAAGTCCTCAAGCTCAGGATAGGGGCGAGCAAGCGTAGGGTCGCTTGACTCATCAGGATCCTTATCGGGACCATCGGATTCGAAAGGCCTCGTGTGGCCATTCTTCGACATGACATCCGAGTACTTTTCACTCTCATCGACAATACGAGTGATGAGCCTGAGCTCGTGCTGCTCGTCGAATATCGCGTCGTTGTCATAGCAAGCATTGAGTGAATCTCGAGCAAGCGTTTGGAATGCTTCGCCCATCCTGTTGAGGTAAGCACGTTGCGTATATTGGTTATTCCTAGATTGTCCCATCTTGTCCAGTTGAGATCTCAACCCGTCTCTCTCTTTGACAATGTCCGCCTTGAGCTTTGGAAACTCTTTTTTGATAAGGTCGACGAGGAGCTCGCGCACACGAGCTTTCAATGCAAAGACGCCAGCTCTGCCCGTATTTCGAAGAACTGACCAAGGCTCGGTTGCGAAAAAAATACGTTCCTTAACCTGACCCTGTTCAAGGGTCATACCGAGGTCATCAGGACCACGATTTTTGACGATGTAATATCCTAGTGATAGATCACTCCGTCTACCCAGAACGTGCTGAATAGCGATATTCTTCATTGTGCTCTCGATCGCTAGATCTGGTTTGGTAAGAACGGCCATAGTCCTTGTCATCGTTGGATCAGCTTTCTTAGCTAGCTTCAAGATCTCTTGTGTAGCAGGATCCACATTAGCAGGCATGATGGCTAAGATTATTGTCCTGGTATCCTTCACTATACACGAAGTTAACGAGCCGCAACGAGGGCGTGTGGAGGGTAATGGATGCTTACTATAATTCTTAACCATGTTCCTAACCAGTTCGATATCGCCTTCGGTGGTGATGCCTAGGAGGATTGATATTAGCACTTCTACTCAACGGCTGAAATATGAGATCATGTAATCCTCACCTTCGGTCTCCTTTCGAAATATACCTGGTACATCGATCACGGTGAAATGCTCTTCCTATTATCGTACGTTAGACATATTATCCCAAGGAAGAGTGCTATCACATATTGTGGGACTTACATCAGGACCAAGCTTCTCAATCTTGAGAATGTGTTCACTAAATGCTGAAAGATTAATGCCGTCGGCTGAGGTGGACTTTGTAGAAGTTTTGATTCCCATGGCATCGTTGGCCTGTAAATAGTCGTCAGTGACATAGATTTTCATGGATATGCTTCGCTGGTACGGTGGCCACCAACCTCTCTGAATAGCTCTGCGAGACTCTCCTGCTTCATGGTTTTCAAGGTGCGATGGAATTTCTTAACACGCTCCTTCTCGTGGGGGGGCGCATCGGCATGAGGTATGATAGAAACATTGATACTCTCTTCGATCTCACGACGACAGGTAATCTGAGTCGCGTATCGCGTGCAAAGTTCGGCATCTCTTGGGAAGCCAAAGCCTGTTAAACCTTCAAGCACTGAACTCTTTCCTGAAGACTGGTCTCCGACGACGACAAGCTGAATACTGTTAGTGTTTCTATATTTGTGATACCTCATATTATTTCGGACAACTTACTTGTGGTAGCGCAACCTTGGTCCCAATGAGCTCACGCAGCTTGTCGACCTTGGTCAGAATGGCGAGGTTGCCAGGGGTGGGCTGGTCGTGAACCGCGTCATTACCCGCATAGCTGCCCATCTTAAAGATTCTTGTCATCAAAGTAGGCGTAGAAATTATTGATGAGATTCGATGGTGTTGGGTTTAGGCGCCTGAGTGATAAAAGGAAGAAATTGTATACAGAAAAGCTTCCTTTATTTTTTGTCCTAAGTAGATACCATGGACATACTTAAGTAACAGATGGAAATTGGAAGAAACGCATACTTCGCTTTGCTAGTATTACGTGGTGGGTTAGCCTCGAATTAGACGACTGCCATGATGCCTCTACCACCTTACAGACCAAACGACTCGACCATTTTGAAGCCAACAAACCATGGTTACTGCAGTCTGCAACATAGACTTGGGCGAGGCCACCAACCAGGTTGTGAGAAATCAGACTTGGTCTCATCGTATGGCCTTTCGTTTCCAATGTAATAGCTAAGGCAGTTTATTGACATTGTCAATCTTCTTTTCTGCCTAACCGTCGAAATAACGCCGATCACAAGGCTCTGGCCCGTTTGTATGTATGTAGGTAGGTTACCTAGTAGGTAGGCTCACGGGTATGTGTAATAACTCATAATCAGGGGTACACGGTAGCCGCCGAACAGGGTGCCAAGCCACCTACAGGCCGCAGCCAACGAACCAACGAACCAACAATGATATTTTGACCGAATTCAAACAATGATAATTCTTTGTATAGAAAAGCAAAGACGCACATACAGTCACATCTACCATCTTGGGCAAGACCTATGGAAGTTCGATGTAGCTACCCGAAGCTATCTAGGATGCTCGAATCGGATGTTGAGCCTCTCGTTTCACAACTTCCAATGTGCAGAAACTCCTACCAATGGGAGCACAGCTAGGCGCATCCTACAGACACGCCGCCATCGTAATATGGAAACCTCCTAATTTCAGCTGATAAGCCTAGCCCTGATATGGGGTAGCGTTTTATTTGACCTTGGAGAGCAGTTCTTCCATTGAAATGGCTGGAGAGCCGTGTTCTCATAACAGTCGCTTATTCTCTTGTTTTAGATGCTTCCAAAGTTCAGATATGTAGTATCTCCTAGGTACGTAACCTGTCTTCGTCTCATCATATCAGTTCAATATGTCAGAGCACACTTTTGGTGTATGTAGACTGCTAGTCAACAAACAACAAAGTCGCTAATCATGGAGATATTTATAGCGCCTTCTCCCTTGGACCAATGACCTTTTCGAAAGTATCCAAAGCCATGGTAAGAGTATGCCTGCCCTGAGTCTTCCCGCGGAGAAGAGTATCGTAGTCGAGCATCTCCACGAACGGCACGCGAGCCGTAATCTCCAGCATCCGTAGCCGACCTTTCCGTGTCTCCCGAAGAGTCGTCTGAAACTCGTACAGATCCGGTGGGGCATAAATATCAGATACATTGATGATGTTACCTTCTCGGGCTTCTGTATCTTCTACATCCTTGACTTCGAGGACGTGGCCTCCACGAACTGCGTGTAGGTCGTGCTGGACTGCGCCTGCTGATACTTCGGGACACACGATTGTAACCTTCATGACCGGTTCGAGGATGCCGATGTTTTGCTGCTGGTGGGCTTCTTTGAGAGCTTCTCTTACCGCCTTGTTCGCGGCGCCGACTAGATGTGAGCTCGGGGATGAATCGAATAAATCGGTTGCCGTATCGTATGTAACTGTAATAAAGCACTTCTGCATCGGGGAACTGCGGCGGGGACCCCTCGCGAGTGCCGAAAGTACACCGTTCGTGAGTTGTTGCTTTGTGTGTTCAATGTCGGCGATGAGGTGCTCTCCGACGCATACGATTTTAATGATATTTCCATCCCGCTCGAGATATGATCCAGACAGTGTCTCACGATAATCGTCACTGAGAGGTTCGATAATCACGGAGCAAGCTGCCTTCCCGGGCTTTCCCGCGATAACCTTATCGAAAACTACCCGGCGAAGAGGCGTCGGCGTTGTCAAGCATTCTTTGTAGTCAACTGCGATTGAGCCCCACTCAGCTTCCGCCTTGTAGTGTTTCTCAAGACGATCGCGAGCAACTTCTAGGTGAAGTGTGCCCATTCCGGATAACGTATACTGCTCCGTTTTTTCATCTTGAGACCACCGCAAACTTGGATCTTCTCTTGAGAGATTCTCTAGAGCAGTTTCGAGAGCTCTTGAACCGGTTGGGGTAAATGCGTCTAAAACGATGAAGGCTACAGCAGGTGGTATATCTGGTGGCCGAACCTGTATTGTCGCAAGTTCTGTTTGCGGCGCTTTACTAGGAGCAAACACTACCAGGGTATCTCCGGTTCTTGCAGTCTTTAGACCTGTAATTGCCCCAATCTGTCCCGGAGACAGGTGCGGTATCTCAATAGTTCGCGCTGCAGATATCTGCATCATGTTTAGAGGTCGTTCGAATAGTTGGAGGTTTGCATTCCACATCTGGATATTCTTTCTCACTACACCATGGTAAACTCGTACAAAAGTGAGCATGCCTCGACGGGGATCATGAGACACCTTGAAGACCGAAGCTAACGCCTCGACATGTGGTTGATGCTTTTTGGAAGGCTTCGCAGAGTTAAGAACTTGGCTAAGAGGTTGATGTGTTCGTCCAATCCGGACCTCGAGCTCGGGTCGATCCGATGGACTAGGCAGATAGTCCTTGACTGCGTCAAGTAAAGCGGCAACACCAATATTTTTAAAGCTAGCTCCTGCGAAGATGGGTATAAGAGATCCGTCGCCTTTGTTAATAATTCGGCGAATACTTTTTTTGATAGCTGCGGCGGATATGTCTTTTCCTTCGGCGGTAAACATTTCCAGGAGTTCATCATCCTCCTCGCAAAGTTGCTCGATGAGCTTCTCACGTGCATGCTCAATCTCATCTTTGATGGTGCCCTCGGGTACCATCTTTAGGAGTTCTTCAGGGGTGTCCTTAGTCCCTCCCCAACTAACAACAGAGCGAGAGATGACATCGACCACACCTTTTACAGAATCCTTACCCCACCAGGGTATTTGGCAAACCAATGGCATTCCACCGAGTTTCAATCCAATATCTTGAACTGATTTCTTAAAGGAGGCGCCGTCACGGTCAAGCTTGTTGACGTAGATGATACGAGGTACTTTGAACTCCTGGGCGGAAGCCCAAACCCTCTCGGTATGGGCTTCGACACCTTCGACGCCATCAATAACGCAAATAGCCCCATCTAGAACGGGCATGCAACGCTCGACCTCAAATCTGAAATCCACATGGCCGGGCGTATCAATTAGGTTGATAGTATGCGGTTGGCTGTTTGGTTCCAGACGTTCCTTGGGTGGCCAGTTGAAAGTAATTGCGGCGGATTGAATTGTGATTCCCCTCTCCCTTTCCATAGGCAAGAAATCAGTCACAGTATCTCCCTGATCAACGTCTAAGATATAAATTAGTTGAAATCTTCTTTCGGGTTTCTAAGTGGTATATTTATAGATCTGGTGTATACATTATACATGTAATAACTTACGTCCTGCTCGATTCAAAGCACCACAGTTATAGAGCATTTGTTCTGTAGTGGTAGTTTTACCCTACATCGCAATAAGTATTTGAAATTCATATGTACATGTGCTAGACAGTATTTGTGAGAGACGTACTGCATCGACATGAGCGATAATTCCTATGTTTCGGACATATTGAATCCCAGTATCGTGCTGAGTGATAGTATGGCTCGAGGACCGCCTGATACTGAGCCGTGTAGTCTCGTAAAGTCTCGAATAGATCGATGTGAGTCTAACCAAACGAGAACATCTCAGGGGAACTCGGCACTTGAGTGCGAATAAGCTCATACCAGCAGAAATGAGGAGTTCATTACTAGAGGCAGTAGGTATTTATACGCCGTCACAAGTTGAGAGGAAACTTAAATTAACTCGACATTGAGTGAGAATTTAAGTTCTCTTGACATTCAGTCACTCCAATTGACTTTTCAAATAAGTACTGATATAAAATGTTGGTTTCAAACAATTTTACACCTGCAACTGCCTCTTAGTATATGTATGCACGGACCATATATGATTGGTTGTCCATCGGTGAAGTCGCAGCTCAGAAAGCTGACAAACGCACGGGCCATCCAATGGCAAGTACCACAGGATTCCCCACTGATGATGATTTCAGTGCAACTCGTGAAGGCAGACGATTTCCTACAAGTCCATGTACTTCAGCATTCTAAGTGATTGCCAATCCTCAGCAAGCTAATCCTTAGGTGACTCTCTCGAGAATTCGAGATTGCGGCTGGGACGGCGAATCCTAATATTGACAATCAAGCATTGTTGCTACTGCTGTTCTTTGTGGAGTGCAACCCCTAATGCTCTACCTGCACTCTACATCCCTACTAAATTCTCTAAGCCAACTTCTATCCTCTCCTTTACTTCTACCCTCCATTTCCCTTAGCGAATAGGATACCATGGATTACCGTTCTTCTATAGCTGATGACGAGCACCCAGCCGGTCCATCCCCCTGGGGATCATCGTCGCCATCTGCCTCGCCGCGCCGCAACGATTCATCCTTCGGCTCTCTAGGCAACGAGCATCAACCCTCCTCACCGTATCAATACGCAGTCCACGACCCCAGCAACGGTTTCGCGCAAGAAGACCCAGGCGTCAACGCTTTCAGACGACCAGGCACGGCCAGCAGCACAACCTCCACACCGGCGTACGACACCCCAGAACAGCAAACATCCTCGCAGCAATCCGAAGCCGGAGCCGAAACCGAGCAGCAGCCGCCGAGCACACCGCAGCGATCGCCGGCGCAAGGTCAGGCCGCAGGCGACAGCCCACAAGAGCAGCAACCGCAGCGATCGAGGGGGCCCCAATATAAGCTACAGGCCAAGATCACCGGACTAGAGCGAACGGGTCGCAAAGATCCCATTTTGAGATTTGACGTCCACGTGAGTCTCCTCGAAGACAGTTATTTGTGTCCTACGTCGCTAATATACACAGACGAATATACCCAAGTTCCGAACGACCCAGTTCCGCGATGTCCGCCGTTTACATTCTGAATTTGTCAAGCTTGCCGAGCATTTGATATCCGCCAACCCCGATGCGTTTGTGCCCGCCGTTCCGCCGTCTGTGACGTCCGCAGGCGCTGGGACTGACGAAGACGAGACGAGGGTGAAAGCCCTTCTACAGAGATGGTTTAATTACGTATGCGGCAATGAAGTCCTCATGAGAGATGATGAAATGGTTTTATTCGTTGAAAGCGATTTTGGTTATAGTCCTATGGTCAAGAAGAAGCAGCCGGCCACCGGCGTACGGAGGAAGCTGCTGAAGCAATTCGCACCACCGCCCGATGATACGCCGGAGCTGTCCGAGGCACGACCCATAGTAAAGCTATTCTATCTAGGTTCAATGGATGCGGGACACAAGGTCGATCGACTTGTCAAATCCCGTAGAGGTGCGTTGCATTTTGTTTCACTTTTACGAACTTACTGATAACTAATTCATAAATAGGGTTAGGATTATCAGAATCCGACTTCGGAGTCAAACTTGGTGCAATGAACGTTCAAGAGCCGCACCAGGGCCTCGCGAACGCATATCGGAAACTCGGCAAGATTGTACAGACTGTGGGTGACTATCATGCAGCCCAGGCCACTGCTGAAGCTACAACACTTGGCGATCCGTTTCAGTATCATTCACAGGATGCATTCATCGTCAAGGAGACTCTAACAAACAGACAACTTCTGATTCGCGAATTCTTACAAGCCCAAGAGAGCACGCGGAGCAAATTGAATGCCGCGGACAGGTTGAGAGCTAACTCAACCGTACGGCGCGAGAAGGTTGACGAGGCGATCGCTGCTCTAGACGAAGCAAGAAACTCAGAGCTGGAGTTGGCGCAGAAAACTTCGAGGGTAACACATAATCTGGTGCAAGAACGTCGCAAGTGGTTTGCGAGAACTGCCTCGGATTTACGTCTCAGCATTCGGGAGTTTGTAACTCGTGAGATCGAGGCCGAACGACGTACCCTCGCACTGCTAGAAAGTGTTCGGCCCGATATCAGAGCCATCGATGCTTCAGGCGGTCTAAGTAGACTAGGACGGGAAGCTCATCCGACGGTAAGGCGCCCAAGCCTTGCAGCCAGCCAAGGTCCCAAAGGTGATGCGTGGAGCGGTGTCCCCCGCCGCACGGATAGGAGCATGTCGGGGAGCTTCATGTCAAATGTTGCCGAGGAAGACGATGGCGAGAACGGGCAGCGCCCAGGATCCAGGTCGCTCAGCGGCAGCGGGATCAGTACGGGATTGCCCGGTCTTACGGAGGAGGATGACGAGGACCGCGTGGATGCCAGGAACGCTGCCAGTCGATTGGCGACGAGCACATTTTAAAAAAATGTTCAGCGAACCAACCTTTTTCGGGAGCGGGTCTAAAAAGAGCCTGAATCCCTCACCGTAACGGGGAAGTTTTGTAGTATTGTATGTATGTGTGGGGTCTTCTTCCACAACCTTGATCCCAGCTGTTTTTTTTCGGCGTGAATTGAAAAGAGCATAGGTACAGCTTTGTCTCCCCCTTGTCCTTTTTTTGCTCTCTATCTAAAGTGCTCCTCAACTATAACTCCGAATAATTCTAGATCGAATTGTGTAACGAGGGATCCCGAGCCTTGCGAGCTTTTGTGATTCCTCGGCTACATGCCGCATCGGTACGACGGTAGCTGCGGCGCCCAGCCGCACTAGGTATGTAATATGCGAGATACGGCGCGCAGGAGCCTATTTCCTGCGGCCGGCGTCCATGCATGTTCCGTTGAGTCTCGTCAGCTTTTTGACGCCGGCGTTTCCTGTATAGTGCCTATCTTGCAGTCCGGTATTAGAATAGGTGACAATCGCCATACGAGGACTCCTGGGGTGGCCGGTCGTCCCACCAATCTCTTCATCGATCAGATTCCTACCTACTAGAATGCAGGCCTAGTGAAGTGAGTTGAGCCATGTCCCGGCACGACTGTCCGTTTCGTTTCATTCTTCTCCCAGCATGGCATATTCGCATGGCGTCATTATACGATTTTCCAGGGATGTAACATCTGCATATCGTCGTAGCTTTACTACCTTCAAAGGCCCGGATCGTCGCCTATCGCTTTAGTAGCCATGTAGCGGCCCCGTCTGTACATGCTACTAAGACATACAGACCTCGCACATATGCCATGCACGTTGACCCTTAGATCCCAGAATTCCGGCCAGATGCATGAGACTTCGTAATTACAATGATGAGCAGACTATTACACTTAACTAAATTCGCCCCCCTCAAGCCGAAAGTAAACAACACTGCAGGTGATAGGCGCCAAGAGATATAGCAAAGGTGAACTGATCGTGATCTCTGGGGTATACTGAGGTACGCTGTAGTCTTGGTGTGTCGATCGTGGGGTTAATTTGGGGGAGCTCAATAGAAAAAAGAATATATAGCAAATTGCCTAGCGACAATCCCAGGCTCATAGCAATGTGGCTGGACGGATGCCATATTAGGTGGCGACAGTGAATATAGAGGCACATATGTCCGAGTATACCAATATCTAGCAGAATGCATATGTAGATGCTTCACAAACAGGGATAGGTAACTAGCTGTGGTATGTAGTGCATGCAGCGTGCTCTTGGGTAACATAGCTGCGAAGTTGGCGGGCATACATCTGTATGCATGATAATGTTACTCGGTAGTGTTGATATGCTGCTTTACCTATGACTTACCTACCTACCTAGGTAGCTTCGACGGTTTTTGCTATCAAGAACCACTAATACCCTGGGGTTTCTAGCATCTTGATACAATCCTATAAACGGTCACATTTTGTGTATTTTTTGTGCGCCAGCTCGCTCGCTCGGCAAGGACTTGAGGTGGGTGCGAAAATTGTCAGTCCGAAGTACTATGGGCCGCCGTCTAAGTCGAACATAGAATTGTAGCGTAGCAAGCGCTATAATGGCCATCTGCATCATTCATGTAGTACGACGCGAATATGGTGTGAAACAAATAAGAAATTTGTAGGCTGTTTAAAAATAACTCCGTGTGTGTCAGGATTGCTATCAGAGGCCAGTAAACTTCCCGAGGGTAGGGAGGTAGGTGTGTACGGCAGCTCTTGACGACCCGCCAGCTACCCGTCACGAATTTTGACCTCGGTAGTTCGATATCATCGAAGCTAGGTAATCGATGAGGTCAAGGCCGGATACTTAGGCGGTGCTGACCCGGGCTTGTGAGTTAACTGCTATACTATAGGAATATTTAGGATATCCGGCCTACATTTGATAGCTGTTCTAGGGGCTGGGTGCTATCGTCATAAACCGGGTCGTTGTCAGTTTAAGCTAGAAAAGCTCCGGGATAAAAGAAATATTATTGAAGAGTCAATTTGATCCCAAGTCTTGGTTGCGTGATGACCTATCATAATCTCTGCGAGATCGGTCTAGAGGCGTGATATGCAGTCGTTTCACAACGTCCCCGTCTTTAAAGAATGGCGCATTGGGATGACATGCTTAACGTCGAGAAACTTCAAGGGGTCAATCGCCGAAAATGCTCCCGAGAGCCCCGTTGCGTTGCATAGGCTCTACGCAAAGCCTCAAAGTCGTTTTCGAGGATCCATCTACGGGGCAATAACGTAGTCTGTAAAATACTTACCTAGGTAGTTTCCCCTCCGGAAAACAGGGTAAAAGACGGTGTGTTTCCGAGCCTAGACCAATCTCAGTATATGCTTAACTTGTAGAACAAGTCGTGAGAAAAAGGTTCGAGGTGTGGTCGGTATGATCTCCAATTTCTCCAATTCTAACCAGCGGGACGGATCCCCTCAGAACGTTAGGTTGGGGCAAGGGGTCCATTCATCCATCTCTCATATTTGATATAAAAGATTGGCAAATTATGATAACATACTTGTAAATGCATACTACTTTATGTAGCAAAGGGAGAAACATTCCGGCTTCCGTAGTATTATCGACGAAGCTCAATTGGCTATGTCCTAAGGTGCGGGCAAAACTCCGTCGACAGATATGCAGATCTAAGACGGCATCGCCCAGCTCTAGGCAGTTGATCATTACTTGGATACAGGAAGACCGGCCACGACTCCGAATGAGTTTCGAATCGGTTGCGATATGGGCGTTCTGATGGTTGATTGATTCCCAATAGAATACGAAAGAATTCTATGGCTTCTTGCTGCAGAAGGAGTGCCGAAAATCACAATATCTTTTGGTGTTTTCATCCTGCAGAAAACCGGATCAGACATGTGAAAGATGATTCCTGTCGTACGACCGCACTTAGAAGCGCAATCTATTGATGCCGTGCCGGCGGAAAACAAGTTGACGACACCCAGGCACACGGCAATGGTGATACGAATTCCGATAGGTAGGATATAGGCATTGGTCAACTGTTTCGAGGTGTGCTTCAAAGCCAAGACTTGATTGCGCGAAGGGCAGAAGACAGAATCCATTCATGTCGTTATCAACAGGTAGATCCATCTTGCGAACGACCTCAGTCAAGCGTCTAGTTCAAGAGTTCAAGGCTTAACCCGGTCCTTTTTAGTAATATTAACGGCAGGTTGTGTAGTAGTAGGCTACTAGTACTATTTCGTTACGTTCGTTTGCTGCCGTCCCTGTCGCCATGTGCAAGAGGTCTCGCCACGGAACCGGGGGTTACGGCAAAATAAATTCTTGGAGAAAGATTGCATACCTACCTAGACAAACTCGTAGAATGACAATGCTCTTCTAGGCTAATATTTGATGGCAGTCCCAATGAGAATATTCATGCCTAGGCCTCCAGAGACTGATCCTATAGTTAAATAGAAAATGCCTAGTGTAAGATCTTATGAATGACGCTGTTGAGGTGAGGAGAGTTCCGAGGTTGTTTTTCTTTGGTTCTAAACTTCCAAGTTCTAGAGTTGTAATGACAGACCAGTTGGGAACGGAGGTACCTAAGTAACTTTGACGTTTCACTGAGCAAGTTAAAAAGGTTTCTGGGACGACGTTCCTTCCCAGCTCCGGGGTTTTTAGTTATGGCGTGTATCTATGTGGAGGTGGGTACTAACAGGTTAAGTACAGATCTGTACATGTAAGGGATATTTGCATGCTACGCACTATGCGAGTGAGATATGAGATACGTAAGGGTTAAGTCCTGCAGCTTTAATAGGTACCAAGAGCATCGAGAATAACCAAATCAGGAAATCCAGGGCTCCGCTCTTCAATTCCATTTTCATTCTTGGAAATCTCACGACCTCTTATATTTCTGACACGCTGCAAAGAACACCCAGTTTTGGCGAGATGCATAGCTAGAGCAGCAGATCCGTGTGTTTGGGAATTCAAGACCCTTGTACTGGTCCAGCTTAATATCACACAGCATCTTAGGGTCTTGCCCAACCTTATACGCAATTTATTGTATCATCTGCTCACGAATTTTAATATCACGATGACGGCGAAATATCTCCCGTCTCCTTTGGCCAGTCCCGTCAGAACGAGCTCGCAGTCTAGCCTCTTGGTGCAGCTTTAGTGGAGCTACAATGGATTCCGCTAAATCCCCAAAGAGGGTCCTGTCTAAGGAGTATCCAGTTTATGATCCGAAGCCTTTACTGCTTCAATATCAACCTAATGCCGCGCTTAGGAGACCTTTCCGAATTCACCGCATCGAGAGTCCATAAATCGAAAGGGTACTCGGTGGTATTATTACATATGCCAACCATCGTTTAGGGCGAGACAATTTACAACATGTGTAATTTCTGATGAAGCCGCCATTGCGTTATCACATTGGCGAAATTTGTCCAATTGCTGTCCCATATGGATAGAAAAGCAAGAATGAGTACATACCGTTGAAGGCAGGGCGAAATCCAACCTTAAAATCGTATACTGCTTTTCTATACGTACTACGTATGCGATACTACCTCTCGGCTCTCCAGCCTTGTCTTCAAGTACCGTTGGCATAAGATGTATAGGTACGAAGTATGCAAGAAACAATGTCTACAACTACACACCACCCTCGATACCCCTGGCGGCGCCTCGTTACCGAACTTGATATGGTCGCATCACCACTAGCTTCTTGCATATTATCTCCCGAGATTATGAAGTACCCTCTACGCTTCTCAAGATAACTTGTTGATCTTTGACTGGACCTGGAAAAATTCATACAATGCTTCACAAGTCTACGAACCCTTGTATCTGCTCCGGTCTCAGGATCTGCCCTAACAGCAATCAATATCGGTATATACTTACATACACATGTAGCTTGTTAGGTATTTCCTCATATCCAGATACATAAGGGAGTGGGGGTCCTCGCGAATTCTAGGTATCACATTCTCTTACACTCGCATCTCTATCACGGATCCTTACCTCCTATATTTGGATAATTCTTTTGTCACGAGAATCAAGGCAAGTCAGCTTGGCTTGATCTGTCCCCTTCATAATCTCATATCATCCCGCGAGCTACCAAGCCACCTACCCTTTGCAGCTCAAGCTCCCTTGCCGGTTACCCCCAAAATCTGTTGCCATCCTCCACGCTCCAATATAACTCCATAGTCTAAAGCGTCTAAGACACTCATTAGCTTCGATTTTCAGTCAATATCCCACTTCATCCCGCGCCACTAGACGTCATTGCTTGACAATGGCGCCCTCCGCAATGGCTGATATCGCACCAATGCAGCTACCCGTTTACTCAAAACACTCGAACAAGGTCAATGCCTCCGTCTTGCATGGGCCTCGAGATCTTCGATTGGTGAGCCCTACCTTCTGTCACGATCGAAAGGTTGCATTAGACGAAGGGTCCATATTCTGTCGTATTCTTACGGGTAACTAACCTTAACATAATAGGAAGTTCGAAATATCGAGGAGCCGGGCCCTGGTGAGCTTCAAATCGCTATCAAATCTACGGGTATCTGTGGCTCCGATGTCTCCTATTATAAGAAATTCGCCAATGGGGATCTTTGCGCCTGTGCTCCGCTGTCCCTAGGTCACGAATCATCTGGAACGGTTGTGGCTATCGGATCCCAAGTTAATGGGTTCAGGGTTGGTGACCGTGTCGCTTTGGAGGTTGGTGTCCCGTGCGGTCAATGTGGTATCTGCAGAAAAGGCAGGTATAACCTTTGTAAAAGGATGCGATTCAGGAGCAGTGCCAAGAGTATCCCCCACTACCAGGGAACACTTCAGGAGCGAATAAATCATCCGGCCAACTGGTGCCATAAGTATGATATATACCCAATGACTCCCTTTTTATATCCACAACTAACAAATATCTATCTCAGGCTTCCGGAGCATGTCTCCTTCGAAGCTGCTGCCCTCCTTGAGCCACTCTCTGTTGCAATCCATGCTGTAAACCGCGCCAGTCCCACGCCGGGATCTACAGCTCTGGTCATCGGCGCCGGGACTGTAGGTCTTCTAACTGCTGCAATGGCGCGACAATCTGGTTGCACGTCTGTCACCATTACTGATGTGGACGCCGGGCGTGTTAATTATGCCATCAAAAAAGGTTTCGCCACTCATGGTTTTGTCGTCCCTCGCCCATCACGCAGCAACTCGTCCGTCTACACAGATTCTGGAAGTTCAACCCCATTGGAGTCCGGTGCCACGACGCCTGCAAGCCTATTTCCTAGCACCATTCACGATCAACTTGAAAGTGCCAAAAGTTTAGCGTTGGAAATACTCTCCTTGACGAAGCTACCGGCTAACTTGCAGGACGATGACGAAGATGAGGGCGTTGACGTAACATTCGAGTGTACTGGCAAAGAGGCGTGCATGCATACGAGCTTGTATGCTACTCGGCCTGGTGGCAAGGTCATCATGGTCGGTATGGGTACACCAATACAGACTCTCCCAATGTCTGCTGCGCACCTAAGAGAAGTAGACATCTTAGGAATTTTCCGGTATGCAAATACTTACGGAACAGGCGTAAGATTACTCTCTGCTCAGCGGTATTGCGGGGCGGGTTTCACTCTCCCAAGCCTCGACGATATGGTAACCCATAAGTTCAAAGGCCTCGGTGCTGCAAAAAAGGCGTTCGAGCTTGCCAGCAAGACCGTGGATGACGACGGTAATCTCGTACTAAAAGTCGTCATCGAGGCTTAATTCGCATATTCAGCGATTGGCGATACACGCGCCAGTGTCGGGATCTTGGATATCCTTTCTCATGATCACCTCATTTATAACTTCCTAACAACGGTATAGAATATTAACGAAGAAAAGAAAAGAAAAAGCATGAAAGACTTGGGGGTGGCATTGCACTGATGATTCGGGGAAGCATGGCTTTTATGAACGGCTGGGATGCCCGGTAATGAAAAGTACTGCTGCGAATTAGGGTAGAACCGAGACGCAAACCTGACATCGGTTCACTGGCTGGTCCAAGATAAATTTCCTTGGATGAATTTTTTCTTCTTTTTGGGTGCTTCCATTATGTTTTTTGTTACATCCCTTATCGCGGTAATGCATGAGATTGGGTAGACCGGAGCCCTTGAGGCCGGCTGGGGTGGCACGAAACTCAGGACTTGCGGCATTCGCATTGGGTGCAGATATTCTGTCGTTTATATCCCGACGGCAGTGGTTATTAGTATTTGAACACTTACCTCTTCCACCTATATATTTCCCCCTCGAATTGAAAGATCATATCATAACTTAAACAAGTGCCTAATAACCATCACGTCGCATACTTCAGTATCTGCCTAGGTAGGTAGATAGTTTTAATAAACTCCAACGTTTATTATCGTAAATAGTACGAGGCCTGGCATTTACAGCCTTATTCATTACAATCATACCCCTGTCGTAACTTGCTTTTGGGTGGTCGGTGTTCAACGCAACGCAACCCTCGGAAAACTTGCTTGACCTAGCCTCTCAAAACGCCTCTATCGCCTCGCAAATGCAGGTAATATGCTGCAAAGTATCAAATGTCTCAGGTTCGCACGCCGGTGCCCCTGCCTCGTTTCCTCTTCTAGATGGCAAGGTCTCCAGGGCCGGCGAAGTTAAAGCTGGAACTAAGTGCCGAGGATTCCATCTGCTTCTTAGAGTGGAACTTGGAACTCTCCACGACACCATACTTCTTGCCCGCATCTCTAGCTTCAGTAATGCTCTCCATCATGTTGTCTAATAGCTCCATTAGGTGCACGTCGTTTGCTTCGCTAAGCATTTCTTGCTCATAAGCCTGTTTGTCGGATGGTACTAGAAGCGACATTCGGCTGACGAGTGCCTGGATGGATCGGAGAATCGTGTGTGAAGGAATCGTATATTGTGCTTCAGAGAGGTTTGTCGCGTTGTTGGGAGAAAGATATGAAGGAGGTAGTCGCTCAAGGTATGTTATCAGAAGGTTAATTCGTGATTGCAGCATCTTGATAGCGTTTGCCTTGGCATTGAGCGCTGCTATCATCTCCTCATCCTCTTTCTCCAGCGGGTAATCAACGATATTTTCCTCGCCCGCGTCTTCAGCTCCGCCAGCCTTCAGAGGTTGCTTGCCTTTCGGATCTGCCTCAGTTGTTGGCTTAGAACTCGTCTTCTTCTCGACTACTGTTGCATTTCCGGCACCGCGTGCTACAAAATCCATACTAATCATCTCTGCCTCGCCGGTCTCAACTGAGTATGGTAATTCTCTAAACTTCAGCTTCAGAGGTGGATCACCATCTCGCATCTCTTTGTCTTCACCCTGATCTGCTCTGGGTTCATCGGCTTCGTAGTTAGACTCATATATGGTCAAAGGAAGCTTGCTGCCGGCCGAGGGCTTTACGGCTTCTTCGGGGTGAAATGCGAGCAGGAGGGATGATTCGTTGTGCTCTGAAAGAATCCAGTCGTGAATAGGGAGGATGGATGGGTTTGGTCCGCTCTTAGGCAATACTGTATACCAGCCGACAAGATCGAGTTGAGGAGACTTGTGTATTTGTTTCACTACATGATCGCTATTAGCAATTATACTCTAGGGACAAACCCAGGTAGGGAATAACTCACTCTGGTCTAATCGCGTTGTAAACCAATCAGGAGTCAGAATGATTTTACCATGGTCTTCTTGAGTTGCACACTCGAATGCATGCTCGATGGTAATTTCTCGACCATTCTGCTGTCCTAGAAGAGCGCCAACTATAGGACCTTCCTGCGTTCTCAGAGTGTGTCTTGTAATGTAATCGGAGATTGTGAGAAGAACGAGAGGATGTAGGACAGCTTGCAATCCAGAGTCCGAAGACTTCTGTGAGGAGAGCAGCGGGTTTGAATCCACTGAACCCATTTTGTGAAAACTGACAGAGGAAAAAATGTAAGTGATCAGAGTAAAGGAGCGCGTGAAAGTTGTTGTCCAGAATGAAGTTTGTTTGTGGGAAAGTTATCGCAAGGCTACAGCAGTAGCACCCGGTAGCTATTCCCCCAAGATGCAGGTGCTGTACTTTCCTCAATGCCCCGCGGTGGACCTTGTGGGACCTGTGGATTCAAGCGTCATATCGATAAGCCACCCTAGTTAGATTAGGTAAGATCTTTCATGGCATACCTAGTATCATGGATCTTTACGTGCCAGGTGGGTCTAGTGCATCTCCCATCATGACATCTTCAACTTCTTGAAATATTCTATGTTCAGTAATGATACAATACTCATTTGACGAAATCAAGTGCCTAGTAGGTTAACTTACCGGGTATTTATATTTCATTCAATCCTTCTATGTAATAGCATAGTGACCTTTGGTTTCTTCAATTTTTTCAACATCACAGAGTCTGGAGGCCTTTCTAGACTTTCTTAACATTTCAGGTGAAGATGTGTTCAAGCAAACCCAACATTTCATCTTTTCATGTTATTTTCGGCTTTTTGATGCTTAAGCGCATTTTATTTGTCTTCTCTTATTCCTTTTCCGCTATATATCCTTGAAAGAAACAAAATGAGATTCTGCATGATCTAGACTCTCTTCGTCTTTGAGAATGTGATGAGTTTCCCGTGTCTTAGTTGCTCCCATTTGTGGATTTTATACTGAACAGCTCTTCGATGTACAAATATTCAAATGTCCTAGCTCGTCCTTCTCCCAGTGTTTTCGGCTCTTCAGATCGTCATATCAAGTTGTCTGGTTCAGTTGTACCAGCCAGTTCTAGACTTACGATTATACCACACTGTTCGCAATGTCCACAAGCTTTCAGCCTCAAGTCCAAGTGAGCACACACTTACCTGGTAACAGGGGACATGTTGGCGCGTGTCCTTCACTTTCTGCGCCTCCGAAGTCAGTGATACCTTCAAAGCGACTAGATGACGACGATGATATTCAGTTTATATCATCTCAGCCTGTTAAACGGCAGAAGATGGTCGAGCATATTCCAGAGTCTATAGCCCAGCAACATAGGATACCTATGATACCTATTGCTCCTGCATCACCTGTTACTATTGCACCTACCGAACCTAGAGACACGGATAGACGAATCAGCACTGGCATGGTTGGACTCCCTTCAGATATCCATGTCATGGAGCTCACTTCTGCCCTGAGAGGCGTATCGCTTCCTGTGCTAGAGAAATTCGTTCTCAACCAACCTGTCCGCAAGCCAAGACCTCCGAGCCCACCAGAGCTTTCACCTAAGCAACTACCTCAAACAATAGTATCATCAAGACTTGATGCCAATGCCAGTAAGACTGGTTCTAGAGACTCTGGATTTGATACAATACCTATGGCACATATGTCTACTAGCAAGGGTTTGGTCGAGTCAATAACCCCTACTCCAAACCCCATGACCCTTAATTCGACAAGTGACGAGCTTCACGTTCTCAACACACCAGCAAACCATATGAGCTCCTTTTCTCCGCCGCCAATTGGATCCCCTAAAGATACAGACCATAGAAATCCAGTGATGCCACCACCCCCGTTACCAAGAGTCGAGATACCGAAAACCTCCAAAGCTCCTTCGTCAATGAATATTGTTCATAAAACCCACCAATTTGATCCGACGACGCATCCGTGTCAAATTTGCGTCCGAATGCGACAGCATGCAAATATTGCCCAGGCCCAGGGACACCCTATATTACACCATAATATAGCACAGCACATGATTCCGCAAATGGCATCTCATCCGCCGTATAATCAACATTTTCATCCCCAAATGATGACCATGGGACCGAATAGCATGCATCCTTTCGGCCCAGGTTTCCCCCAAGTTATGATACCGATGCCTGGAAATAATCTTGCCGCTCTTCCATCTCATATGGCCGGTCCGATGCAGATGCACCAGGACCAGGAGATACACTCTCCGCCAAATACTGAAAAGTCAGATGATCACGCCCAACCCTCGCCGCCACCGCCGCCACAGCCAGTGCCAGAATTAGTAATAGCAGCAGCAGGGAATGACGAGTCACACACAACACCGAACCTCGTGAAGCCACCATCATCCCTCATTCAGCCTACCTATCGCAAACCCTCGCCTAACCTGATCGTAGATGTAGCAGAGACCTGCCAGGAGAAATTTCCCTTTGACGAAGTCGCTAAGAGGCATAATGTACCCGTAGAAAAAGTCTTCGACATATTTGCAGCTATCATCCAGGTCCCGCTTTTACGTTGTCCTACGGATAGACGAAGAGCAGGGAGGCTTGCTACTTCGCGGGTCAAGGAATACACAAAAATCAAGAAAGCAATACAGGAAACTGGTAGCAAAAGTAATTATAATTCTAAAGAGGAGATAGCTGTAAAGCCGTCGGACATTGCGGATCGTCTAGGTCCGGTTGGCTTACCGGATGGCTTCAATCCCGGAGACTAATGAGACATTCTGCAGGAAATTCCAAGGTTGGTACACATTGCATTAAAAAAGTAAATTTACATGGCTATGAGGAGATTATGTATTCTGTCACTCTATCAAACTATGCCGACAATATCCGGTCTTGAAAACTAGGTACGAAAGGGTTTCTCGGCTAACTTCAACCATATGTCTTCATACAAGTCGTCATCATCTAGCGCAGCAGCGCGTGCATTCGGCTCAGTCGGAGAGGCCCGGCTATCCCGTTCCTCCCCTATGTACTTTACGGTGACATCGGATCCCGAGTCTGAAAAGTTGCTGCGATTGAGCCCGTCAGTGACTTTCTTTGTCCGCCGAAGATAAGGCTTGGGTCGTACTTCTTGACTGTTTTCTAAAACCTCACCGAAAACGACTACACTCTCCCGTGGGCCGGTATACGGCTTGTTAGTGCGCAGTCGAGGGGGGGCGGTGCTCACAGGCTGCTCCTTTTCTTCGGGGAGCCGGTTGAAATACTCTTTCTTAGTCCTACGCAACCGCGGAAGAGCCGTGGTCAGGGGTTCGGCCGGGACCTCGACCTCAGCCGCCGTAGTAGACGTGGCGGGAGTAATCTTCTTGATGCGGCTGCTTCCCGACCTATGCAACCCCTCTTCCTCTCCCCACACACACTTACCGTTCACCCACTTACTCGTGATCGTCGGCGCCACTCTGTGGTTACCACTACCCGGGAACTGGACGTCCGCGGAGAAACCCGTGGTCCTTACCTCGCCGATCTCTCGGTTCATCGTGTAGCTTAGCTTCTGCATGCAGTTGAGCAGTCTTCGGGCTTCCTTGGACCCGTTCACTCGCTTGTCTGCTATCAGCTGCGCGACTAGCTCTTCGTGCCGGTTCTTCTGCTCTCGGCTTAGCTGGCTTTTCTTGAACTCCGAGTCGCACTCCGCACACGAGTCTGCGAGGTGTTGGCGTGGGCTGTCGGATTTGGGCTCTGCACATGGGCCTTTCTCGCAGCGCGACGTGTAGTGCGTTAGGACGTGGCCGCAGGCCATTTCTGTTTGGTTTCCGCTGCACATGGTTAGGTGGTTTTGCTTAATTTTAGGTAGGTAGGTACTTAGTAGTTGATGATTGAAAGACGGGCTATTTCACTCTGGAATTACGGTATGAGGTTCGAGTGAAACTTTTCGTCTACTATTTGGGCAACTCCTAAATTCCTATTTCCTTGGATTTCCAGGAGTTAAATAGGATGCTTCTAGCAGGATAATGGAATTGTTGTTCACAAACAGGAGAACAATGTAGAAAAATAAGTAGATCTATTGATTTCTAGGTACTAGGCCTTGTCTTTGACATCTTTGTCCGTGGTGTCAACAAGCCTATTGTGAAGATAATTCCTCTATAAAGCTTCAGGCAGTATTTCGCACTATAATCGAACAAAGCTCTTGAAGTATAAATTTCATTCCCCCAAGTGTCACGTCATCTACGCGGTAGTCGCTTTATTAATGTATAGCGCACTCTTTGCTGAGATATACCCCCTTTTACGTTGATACCTAGGTAAGTAGGTATGTTTTCTCCATACTTATGACGATATTATTTTTATAGGATCCACCCAATCCTTTCATATTCAAAATTGCCCATGATGTTCACCCAAACTCGTTCTACGAATAGTTACATCACAGTATGGGGATGATAATATCTTACGTAAGCCATAGATGTGGCCCTCGCCTGAAAGGCTTATTTTCCTATAGTAATAATGTACGTCTGTAACTTTGGTCGATATCACATTATATCGGCGGATGACTCTGGAAGGTACGAATGCCAATTTAGGCCATAGATGAGCTCCTGAATAGTAGTTAGCAAAATGAGACCAAACTGCCGTGTCGTGCTGTAAGCGCGATCCATGAAAATGAGACCCATGGTATCTATGTTAACATTGTAATATGCCTAGGCCCTTCTCAAAAAGCGTCATCCTATCTATAAGAGTACGTCAGTATGCGCCGGGTCTAAATTTTGAGACCGGTAGAAGTAATGCCGTTCGGAGGCCTCATCGAGGAACAGTAAGAATGTCCGTAAGGAGTCCGGTTTAGGTTGGTAATATTTAAAATAGGAAGTAAAAGCGATAGGACGGCTCGTGGCTTTAATCGAATAAAGTTACCGACCTAAGTGGATTCGTTGGCCAGAAATCCGGATACATGGTGAGTAGTCATAATTGGCGAGATGATGTTACAGATATTAGACGGTATAACGGCGCGGGCAGCCTGTCGTAAGGTCCGGCCTAAGGGAATAACGAGAGGGTAACATCAGATTACCGGTTACGAGCGTAATATAAGACACACGTTAGTTAGGTACCTAGTAGGGGTATAATAGACTCCGGAATATGACGTGGAAGAGAGGGTTGGGGGTACGCGAGTCAACACCTTGCCGGCAAATTCAGTCCAGCTATTTTAGGAGAGAATACCAACCTCCCGACTTCGGCAACGGATCTCGCAGCATAAGTCCCAGACCACACAGATCTCTGTCTTGGCGACCTATATGATAACGGAATATAAGTAGCTTTTTCCAATGACGTGTCTAGAGACTTGAACCGCAATCGGAGCTCACGATCGAACGTCTAGTCTGGCTTCTATTAAGTGATTATAGAGCAGGCTATAAACTCCTTTCGGCATTGAAGCCGGCGGACCGGGAAGTTCTTCTTGATTCGGGGAGCCGGAGAGTCGTCTTGTCGTTACACATACGAGGCCTATGTACAACAGGGGTGATGACCCCCACGCTAATGGAAGAGATGACACGCCTCGTATGGTGTATGGCGATTGTCATCCGGCCTCGAAATTATCCCATATTTGCTCCATGGCCATTCTCGCCCCGGTTATGAATTTGACAAGGCCCGAATATGCACAACACTCTCAGGCTGGTGCCGAGACTAGATTTAGCGGTCCAAAAGAGGATGCCCAAGTGTTTCGCATATTGATATGCATCTCCCCTTGATGATGAGCCCCGGCTGTAGATGTTGCATCGTTTCATTGGTACATCCTTTGTTTCCAACGGGAAGCATTGGGTGTATCCACAGATTGGCGAGGGTTGCCAAGATCTACAAGGGTGGGAACTCCTTAGTTGTCCGGTTGTCAACCTTCACGATGGCTTTGTACTGTGACTTCTGCGATGATCAAGGAACATCCTTATAAACGCAGCCTCTCATGTAGGTAGGGCAAGACTGTTGCAACAACCGACAAGGGTACCAGGTGGCAAAGTCGCTGGGATAGACAATAGCGCGGATGCAACAGATTGCATAAAGCCACATAGACCCCTGTGATTTGCATGACAACAATAAGTGATGCGAAAACGAGAAGACGGAATACGAAAAAGGAAGAAGTTTCGTAGAAGAAATGTGGCGCTTAATATATTTGATGAAGTTGAGATCGCCAGAAATGGATTTGGAGCCTGAGACTTGAGGCTTGAGACGTGGGGCTCAATAATTGTGGCGTTAGCTATACCCTTGCTCGCCCCGGACTCTTATCCCTGTCAATCTTGAATCTTACTAATTGAATGGGTCTACGATAAGCTACCCTTGTAGATCTTATCGACCCCTAGCAAGCTCAGCCTCAAGTCAAGTTTTCCCAGCCTCGTATGACGTCCGCAAAGTAAATAACACCGAGTACTTCGTATCTCAACTGAAGAGATTCATATGCCCTAGAACCAATTACACACAATGGCGCACATGACGAACCCCCTCGCGACGCCCGACCAGCTATACCAGCGGACCTCCTTCAGCGCGCTGCCCTCCGACCTCCAAGACATCATCTTCTTCACCACACAAGTCCTAACCCAAGCCGCCGGCGTCCTCCTCCGGATCCCACAATCCGTCGCAGCACAAGCCGGCGTAATACTCGCACGATACTGGCTAATCGCCTCCCCCCTCTCCCACGAATTTAGCGACACCTCAGCAGCAGCCCTATTCCTCGTCGCGAAGCTCAGCGCACACCCATGCCCACCCCGCGACGTCTGCAATGTCTACGCGTACCTCCTCTCGCCCAGCTCTCCTCTCTTCCGCAGTCCCTCCAACCCTTCAACCACATCCGATAAAGACCGCGACCCGTCCTCGTATTACCTCTCCGAGAGCGCATACACCACCTTCCGGACCCGGATCCTCAGCCTCGAGGCGCGCATCCTGTACTCCCTTTCCTTCGACACCCACGTGGCGCTGCCGCACCCCCTCGCCGTCACATACCTACAAGCGCTAGACTTCCTATCCGCGCCGAAAACAGAGATCGCGGGCCGCGCTGTTGCATACCTGAACACGGCGCTGCTGTCGCCGCAGCTATTATACCTGACGCACCAACCGAACGCGCTCGCCGTCGCGGCTATCTACGCCGCGGCGCGGGATGTAGGGGCCAAGATGCCGGAGTGTGCGTGGTGGGAGGTTTTCGATGTTGAGCGCGAGGAGCTTGGGTTTTTGGTTGTTGGAATGAGGAGCTTGGAGGGGTGGGCGCGGAAGCAGAGGGATGGGTTTGAGGAGTTGGGGAAGGGGATGGTGACACGGGCTTTTGTGGAGGGGGAGATGAGGAAGAGGGGGTTGAGGATTGGGAATGGGAGTGGGGGGGTTGTGGTTGAGGTGGAGGATGAGGAGGCGGTTATGATGCGTAGGTTGGATGAGAAGGCTGCGGAGTTGGAAGGGTGAGGCGTGGATGTGTGCTTGAGAGGTATGTACCTATGTAGCTAATCACGTTGGTTTAATGGGATTCGATTTAAGGAAATGTAATTGATTTTTCATTGTTCCTCGCAGATCGCATGTCTGTCTAAGCTAACTATCTACGTAAACGTGTCTTATCCTAAGCCAAATGAGTGCATTCCGGGATAGGAGCGAATAAAAAGGGGTAGAAGAAAAGAAAGGTAAGGAAAGAATAATAAGGAAAGAGCAGTTAGGAAACACAAAAAGGAAAGAAAGACAGATAAAAAGAGCAGGGATGAGAAGGGTAGTAGTATGAAATCAGACTTTGCGCATCGATGAAACCCATTCGTAAGTTTGCGTCAACGCCAGACCATTCTCGGTATCCATTGCCGAAAAAAAAACTCCTTCCCATTCCTATTACTTTTCATATGTCTCCCGTCAACGAATAATATTTTCTCCATGAGGGAACGGTGAAACCTGAAAAACTGAAAAACTGAAAGCTATGCAAATCGATTGGCCTTGAAAGGCGCACTGTTTTTCTTAATTAGCTAAAACTCTTATCTTGGGGGTTGGAGGTCATGTACATACCTTCTCTTGTCAAGAGTATTTCGGCATTGTGGGAAATCTCCGAGGGATGTCGTTATGCTTCAAGAAGCAGCACAATCACCCATAAGATCGGATGGTATTATTTTGTATTGGCGAACCATTACGTCGAGTCTACTCCGAGTCGCTTATTACGAATACTTCCACCTCCTCGGGTTCGTCATCGGATGAGTCCTCCATGTCCTTATCCCAATAGTCGTAGGCATCTGAGTCTGAATGCTCCGATTCCGACTCTCCCGGATACAGCACATGGTCTTCGTCCGCCGGCCAAGCATGGTCTAGGAGTGCCTTCATCCGCTTGAGCGCTCTGATTGAGTACTCTGCTCGATATATATTATAAGTAGACCATGCAAACTCGAGAATCTCGCTCTCCTTCTTGGTGCCCAGGCAAATCTGTATCATGGCCTTTCTCTGCACTTCAAATGCCTTAAGTTCAAGGCCATAGCGGAACCATTGGACGAGCTGGTTAAGATCCCATATAAGATTTGCGGTTTTCTTATCCTTGAAGACTTGACAGAGGATGATACAAGGATTAGCCACAGGGGCGACATCGCAGGCCTGCGGGTTATTTCCATGGAGCTGGAATGCCTCGCGACAATCGGCGTACAATTCGGGCAGCGTCTTAAGAGTGATGCTCATCTCCAAGGCTTCGTCTGGGACACGCCGGCTACATGAAGCGAGACTGAACACACGCGAGAGCTTCATGGTAGGACACCATTTACGAACCCACTTCAAAGTCACCTCGTTGGTGACGTCGAAGATACAGTCGACTATCTGACTGAGCGCATCCATGCTCATTCCAAGGAATTGCACATGAGGATGGTTATTCAGAGCCTCTTTCAGGCGTTTGTAGTCAGAATGCTACAGTAACACATGGTTAGTTCATAACGGCTTCACCAACCTGATGTTCATAAAGGATCTGAGAACAACCTCGCAGCTACTACATGCAGTGGATTCGCATATACCTAGATATAGATGGCAATGCATGAGGTATGAAATATATAACTTACAATAGGCTGAAATATAGAACGCTCAGCAGGCTTCTCGACTGGAGCGTCCGGATGACCCAATGGCAGGGAATTCTTGGTCATGGTAGAGCGACGAACTTCATTATCCTCAAATGGAGTGGATTGGAGATAGGTAATGGATGGTGTGCCTATGAAGCAAACTTCCAGATTCTTTCGAGGAGCGTTCTCGAAAGTCAGCAAGCGGGTTTCAACACCAGATACGTCCCACTCCGATTGAACAGACGCGAGAGGCATCTTCGAGCCTGTTTCGGGCAATTCTCCTTCGGGCTTCTGCTGGGAGACGTTCGCTTGCGTCGCATACTCTGCTTTCGCGGCGGACTCTCTGGCGGCAACCTTTCGGGCAGCTCGCTTTCGAGCAGTACGTTGTGCTTTCGATCTTTTGCCTGGCATCTTGGGGTTATTCTGTGGAATAAACTAGGAGGAAGAGGTGATTTGGGAGTAGAAAAGTGTAGAAACCGTGAGAGAAAAAAGCGTGTGGGAGGGAGAAAAACCTGGAAGAAAAGAATTCTAGAATTTCTTAGGTTTAAAGAGTGCACAAGCGGGCCAGAAGATAAAAAGATGGGATAGTTCGTAACTATTCTCGGCTTCGAGGATAGGTATCGCGAAAGGGGCGTCAGCCGGACGGTGAAAGCACGATTTCATGATGGAGTCTCTATAGGGGTGTGCCAGCCCCTTGTCCTATGATAGTTACACTTCCACCACATCATAAACCCACTCTTTGAAGGGTGGAAGAAGTTAATTCTGACCAAGGTTTCAATCAGAATAATCGAGGAAAGGGTGTTTGTTTATAGACCTAGGCCCTGCTTAATACAAGAGCATTGTTATAATCTGGCATGCTAATCTTGCATACTATGTACTTGGTTTGAGCCCAACGATGATTATCCGAATAGGATTTGGTTGATAAATTACTCAGTACATGATATAACGCCATAGTATGATGAGTATCTACCTGTTTTAGTTGCCTCAGACTTATTCCCTGTGTTGTGACAAGCCCCTTTTTGAGATTTTGACTTTGAAATATTCAAGAAATAATTTGTGGAAGACAAATCGGGTGCTTAGGTATACACGTATTAGCTACGCCAGACGAATAGATACCTAGATAAATATTTAATGTTGACTAGTAGTTACTACGATGAAAGAACATAGAATAAAATCATCTTTATTGTGACAAAAGCACGCGTCTAAAAAGGGTTGCAGTTCAGGGGGCTACTGGCAATGAGACAACTCGGAGCTCAATCAAATCATTCCCAAGAATAAATGCTTAAATAACATCATAGTCACGGAGAAATATAATGTTGACAATAGTTGATGTTCATTCAAGATTCCCATATTCTAGGGCTTATAAACTGCATAGGCATCTATTTAGATACATTTAAACATAGGGGCCTCCCATATCCAACCCGAGCGCCGCGCTCATGCATACCGACTACCACAATATAACCATAAAGTTGCCTCATGTCCTATATACAGTCCTTTTAACCCGGAATCCGTAGTTCGGAAAGCTGTCCGCTAACTGGGTATTCACTTTAGCAAACTCCCCACATCCTGTAGCCGTATATTATCCATGGCGAGAGGATTCCCGCCTCTATCTATCCTGCCCCAACCCGCTCCCCAGCCGGGCAGTACACCTGCGCTCGCTACGACCGTATCACCAGACCCCGCAAACCCGGCCGTCGAACTCGAGCTTGCGCCGCAATTTGCCGTGGTGGCGGTCCCTGGGCGGGTTCGATCGCGTTTCCAGAACATCCAGCTCCTGCTCGTCATCTCTGCGTCCTGCGCCATTAAGTCGGGCGTCGTCATGATACCTGTGCGACTCCTAGTCCGACCATTCGTCGCTACGCGGGGGTAGAAGAAGCCGGCTGGTTGGCCGCCGGAGAACGGGTTCCACCACCGCGTCTTGGTGGGCGTCTCCATGAAGCTACCGTTGCGGCCGGAGTTATACGATGTCGGAGGTTCGCCAGCTAGTTCTTCGAGCGTATAGCCCTTGGTTTCGGGGATGAGGAGGGACGTAAGTGTACCGCAGAGCATGAATAGCGCGAAGATCTGCATCAGTCGGTCGAGCCAAGGCGTACACTGCTTTCCACTGCACGGATTCGGCGCGTCTTTCGTGAGAAGCGGTAGTGAGATGACTTGTGCGACGATAGCTCCAACCTTGCCCATAGCTGCCGAGAGCCCGTGGCCGGAAGAACGGTAGCGGGTCGGAAAACATTCGCCGGGGATAATGAATGTGGTGGTATTAGGGCCGAAGTTAAAGAAGTAGTTTGCGACGATGTAGAGAGCTAATAGGGCCCCCTTACTAAGGCGGTTGTAGAGGAAACCTAAAACGCAAAATGTGATGGTGAGTATGATAAAACCGATAATTTGAAGTGTTTTCCGGCCGATAGTGTCGATGGTAAGGATAGCGGTCCAATACCCGGGAAGAGAGCCTGCCACAACTAGAATGATCGTGCCAACCGCACTGTTGAATAATATGTGATATAGTGAGTCGCCATCAGCATAACCAATTGCTTGTAACACAATTTGGTTATTTAACCCTAAGCCATAGAAGGCAAGGTCCTATACCAATATTAGATAGGTCTAGTATCATAAAGACGAAGGATACCTACCAGGAAGAACCAAGATAACGTTGTCCCTATCAGGACTTTGGCGTTCTTCCACTGTTTGAAGTATTTGTAAAGGTCATGCCAGGAGGCCGAGGGAATGTTAAGGGCTGGAGCTGCGACCTTTTTCATCCTCGCTTGCATAATCTCATCGACTTCTCCTTCTCCCTGACTGGCTATGTATGCCTTGATATCAGCAGCAGCTTTCTCGACGTCTTTGGCAACTTCGAACGTATATCTGGGAGTTTCGGGTATAGTAATGCGATAGTACAGCGCAAAACAAGCTGGAAGGGCTCCGACTCCGACAATTATACGCCAACAACGGTCAGCTGCTATCTGACATGTGTAATCACATTGGTCAACCCCCGGCACATTAACAAATGCGTCTTTGAAGGACGCTGTCACGATTAAAGCCACGACCGCTGCTAGCAATTGGCCCATCCCCTGCATTGAAAATACGGCTGCCATCATAGCGCCACGCCATCGTGTAGGGGCGAACTCCGAGGTGATAACGGCACTTAGAGGATAGTCACCGCCTATACCGATTCTATTATATATATTTAGCATAGTGTAGCTCTAAATTGGTGATTCCGACCTACCCCATCATGACTCTCCAAAATGTCATCAATCCAGTGAAGCTTACGGATTGGGAGGCGGCGACTATAAACATAGAAATATCATATTAGCAACTTATAAGTTTCCGATATTGTGACGTGTTACAAATGTAGATCGGGTGTTTCTAATGGTGTACTAAAGGATATTGTGCTCTAGCTTGAAGCAAATTTTCTTACCTAAACAACATGACATTGTTGAGAAGACGATAATACCCAATTCAACTCCGTACATTCTCCTTCGCCCGTACCTGTCTGCCATCCATCCAAATAAGACTTGACCGACGACAATACCTGCGCTTGTCGATGCCTTCAGAGTCTGACTGACGGGGGTCGGTAAATGTCCGTGATTCCCTCCATACCCATTTTTCGCGCTTGATGGAGGACCATGCCAGAACACGACGCCGAGTAGTGTCGTTACAAGGTTTATAGCGAATATGTCGTACGAATCCAGGAAGAAACCTATACCAGCAACTAGCACAGCTCTTACGTGGTACATGCCAAAGGGGACTTTATCGATTTCCGATAGCGCGAGTCGTCGCCTCAGGTTGGGGTCTTGGATGTGACTGAAATCATTGAAGAAGTTATGAAAAGCTCGGTTGCCGCCATAAGTGCGATCATAGGTCGCCGGAGTCATCGGCTCCGGCGTGGGCATCCTCGAAAGCTCGGTGATCTTCGTCGGTCTCGGGTGTTTTGCGTTCTAGACTGTATAGAGATAATAAGAGCATAGCTTCTAATAGGCGATACAAGTGGTGACTCGATTCCAGGACAGGTTATTCATGGTGTCGTGTGTTTGACCAAACCACCTAATGGAAATGCGTGATGCGGTTCTACGTAACACAGAATCTCACGACCGTCTCTTGTACAAGTTTGATCGTATTACCGAAAGTAGATGGATATAGTCGACGATATAGCCCGATACATGAGGTTAAAAACAGGAAATAATAGTCAAACTAATAGCAAGGGAATAATAGAAATAGGATCTTGTAATTCCCTCGGAAGAGCGTGTATATAGAGCCTCGTCGTGGTTAGGGTGGGGAGGGTTTGATCTGACGCAGTCTGGAGATCGACCCGGTAATTAAACGATTTCTAGACGTTACACGGTCCCATAGACCCGATGGCGCGGGCTAGCTGGGTGTCTCGGTACGTTCCTAAAAGGATCTAGGAGCTTGCGGGTTGGGCTGATACTATGACAGGATGTGATCCACCAATGCGGTGTAGGGAACGAAGACGAATGCTGAAGGGAAAAGATGTAAGAGGCGCAAGAGTGTGTTTCTAAACAAGCATTCGTGACTAGCCTCGAGCATCCTTGACACTTCTTCAACGACCTTACCTATTCGTTTTGCTAGTGCAACGCCTCATCGGATGGTCGTCGAAAGCGTCGAAAGTGGCAGGTTTTTAAGACGTAATGTGATGTGCTAGATTGGAACACGTTATAAACCACCATACTATCAAGAAATTTCAAAGCCTCATTACCACGCCCTTTCACTCGGACCGTATAGGAGTCGTGATTGGTTATGTTTCCTAAAGATGATGGATAATCCAAAGACTAGTTCTAAAGAGGTAACATATAACGGGAGACAATTCTAGATGGATTATAGCCTAGCTGACTAGTTAGGGTACCAAGAATATGAAGGGTTGGCGTGGAACTTCAGCTGAGCATTGCCATATGAATCAACTCGGTGAGTTTGAAGTGGAACTCATCGTGATTTTTCTAGCTTAAAGCCAAGGTCCAAGGATGGGTTCACTCTCTTGGCTACTATGATTCTTGTGCGTGTGTGGGAGGAAGCATCACATGATAGCCGAAGTTATTATGCACATGTATGTCGAAGCGGGAGAGTAGGAGATGAGTGACAAGTTAAGATCTCCAAACAGCAGGTCGAAATTGAAGAGTCTGAGGGATCCTTCGGAGCGGCATGGACTTGACAGGGAATACCAAGGTAACTACTAGTACTTAGTTACATGCATTGGTCCATGAGCCGCCGGGTGAGTGGGTCGTTTTCCGGGGCGAAGCGAAGCACGAGCCATCCGGACCGCAATTTTAGAGTTTAAGATTACTTAAGCATCTTATGATCCTTGTAGCTTAGCTGGCTGAATTAATTGAATGGACTTCAAAGCTTCTTCAATTATTATCCACAGATCTTTCTTAACTTTGATATTGCGAACGTGAAGCTCGAAATTCCCTCATTACCCGAAAACATCTTTCAAAATTTAAATGTTACAAACCTGCCCTTTCTCAGGAGGTCAGCATTGTCAGGATTAAGTCTTAATACCAAGTGACCTAACGAGGAACCATTCCACTTGGCGGGAGGTGCTCACGTAGTCACATTATGCAAGATCTTCAACGCCAATCAAAACGCAGCATCTCGCAACGTGGTCTAAACCATTCGACGTCAACAATACAAGAACCTTTCAGCCACCGTGCCCATGCTTTGCATGCTACATTACTCAACTCGGCAGTGACAAACAGAAATGCCAAAAAATACCATCACATTTAAACCATCTCGGTAACCGCTAGCGAATATGCAGTTCTATGGCTCGATATCTCCTTGACATTTGCAATGTCGAGGTTGCGAATGCGAATCTGTCTTTGACCAACACCAGCTTTGCTCGTGGGGGTGGTTCCTCGGTCACGAATACAGTATGGCAAGCTGAATTCATAAAAACCCGCCAACGGCGTTAGGAATGTAGGAACATTACATACAGACGATTTCATAGTGATATTCATCTGCGTTCCTGCAGCTGACACTAACTAACCCAACTATATCCTGCAGGGACTCTGATTCACTATACAGAATACCTATGTTTGACTAGTCTCCCTTTCCCGAGGGAAGAAACTAAGTTTCGGCCGAAACTACGACGGTTTTCATATTCGTAAGTTTTATGATGTATTTTAATGAGCTTCACAGTTTCACGCGTACATCAAGAAATCCAACGCTCCCGATTTTGTCCTTAAATTATTTGGGTCGGTTTCAATGGCACCCCACACGACTCGCTGCGGATACTAGGTCCGTTACTGGTTCGATTCGATGCGCATGTCGAAGATTGAACCTCTGATTCGACGCTGCTGGTCTCTACCAGAAACTCGGGACACGTACATAACAGGCTTACCCTGTATGTCTCTCGATTCTAGGCACTAGCGCGATCTGGCACCGCCAAGCATCAGTTCTAGACCTACACCATGGAGCGATGCGTTTTGACCATTGTATGGGGAAATCGTCGGATAGTTTCCAGTATCGAGTCATTTTGATAGTCTCTGTGTATTGACTATCTACCACGCGGTTATATCCTCTACTTCAGCTTCTCCAAACGTGCTGGATTTAGTTAATTGGCCGACGCTAGCTGCCTCCACGTGGTCCCCTTGTCTAGCCATAATATCAGGGAGCGTTTCGTGCAGGAACTCCAGAATGTATTTATTGACTTGCTCGAATTGCAGCAGGAAAGCGTCATGACCCTCCTGGCTGTCTATCTTCTCAAGCCTAGCATTCTTTATGTGCTCCGCTAGCTCCTGTTGCTCGGCGAATGTGAAGAGCCCGTCGCTTTCAATTCCCAGAACGAGAGTAGGCTGTTCAATGAGAGCGAGCGCCTCCGCGATGCTATTAGCCCGATATCGTGAAACATCGTGCGTGTCTAACTTTCGCGTAATAGCAATGTAGCAGTTGCTGTCAAAACGCTTGACAAATTTCTCCCCTTGGTAGCGAAGATATGACTGAGCTGAGAAGTAGGTTGTCGTGGGCAATGATTCTTCTTTACTAGGGCTGTCCGTCTTCGGACCGGAGAATTGAGGATCATGCGACTGACCATTGGTACCATTGGCTTTACTTGCATCAGTCTCGTTGGAGACAGCTAGCTGACTGTCCGTGTAGCTGTTGTTCCTTGATAGCCGCGTTGTTTTGTGGCCATCATTGTGAATATGGAAATGAGCCTCAGATGGGGTACTAGGGCGTGGCCTTTCTCGGATCGTCTGGCGCCTGGCCGGGTCCGGAATGTTGCGTCCGAAACGGGCCTCAAAGGAGTTTCGGCTACGATAAGTCAAAAGCGCCGACATACGGGCTGCCCCAAGGCCGGTCGTAGGCGGGTCGGAGAAGGAGTAATAACCATCGTCATACTTCGGGTCCGCATATATGCTCTGCCGTTGAGCCTCGCCCCAACTAATCCCCCAAGCGCTATGTCGGCTTGAAGTAGCGATTGGGACAATGCTTCTCACGTAATCCTTACCAAAGTATGCCCATTCAAGTACGAGCATACCTCCCATAGAACCGCCAACGACGGCAGCAATCTGACGTACACCTAAGTCATCTAGGAGCATTTTATGCAAGCTGTCTTACGTCAGAAGCGAATCTGCAGTCGGACTTTGTTGTGGCTTACTTGACATCATCTCTTATAGTGGTAAGAGGAAACTCAGGTCCATATCTCTCGTTGTTCGGATCGCCGTCTTTGGCAGTTATTGGGCTTGCTGTGCCATAAGGGCTACCTAAGCTGTTCATACAGACGATGAAGAACCTCGAGGTATCAAACGCCCGACCAGGACCGCCGAGCAGGGGTCCCCACCAGTCACTAACATCAGCAGAGCCAGTTAGAGCATGGCATATGACCATAGCATTGTCTCCGTTTGGAGACAACTTTCCTCGCGTTGTATATGCCAATGGCACATTTCGCAAGGTAACGCCAGATTCAAGAGTGAAGCTGGGAACGATAGCAATTTTTTGATCCGGGATTAGATTTGCGAACGGATTCTCAGGTTGCTGCTGAGTTCTTTCTTGGAAGTATTCAGCCACTATCCTTTCTCATAATGGATATTAAGGAGTATATGCGATTGGATCGAGAACATAAATTTGGTGTAAAAATTTGAAGAAAAGAGAAAAAAAGAAAAAGGTATAACTGACCATATTTTGACTGTTCTCCAACGCTGCCTTCGGTTGTCATCTTGTCGCGGAGCCAAGAGGCGTAAGTGTGGGATATATGTGAATATAAATGTAACTATTCAGACAAGTTTGTTGAAGATAGATAGATAGATAGATAGATAGAGGTATATATGGAAACTTAGATGGTGTCGTTTGCGAAAACTTCTAAGGCTGTATGTAACCTATCGTAAAACCTATATTCAGAAGAGTGCTGAATAGTGAAGTACTCCCTGAATATGCATGTATGCCTCTTTAAATACCTGCTATTGGACCTGGTTTGAGTTGCACGTCATTTTGTAAAAGTGAAGGTTGTCCAATTATGACTCTCATTCGATATCGGAGATATATGTACGTACCTCCAAATTTTCGCTTACATAAGAACGACCTCAATGGATGGTGAATTTGCCACCCACATTATTTAATGGGTCTGAGACTTTTAAGTACTTAGTACTTGTATTTCGATGGATATGTCTGAGTAAATCAAAGTTCCATCTACATACTTTTTTCCTGCATGCAGCCTTACCCTTTTGCAAGCTTTGAGGCTGCATATCTCTTTCCATCCACCACGCGATAGCTTCTTGACTCCAACGCGAAACACTGTCCTTAGTTAAACGGGCATCATTCCCAACTCACCACTTTTCTCTTCTCTTTGACCTTCACCCATTATTCAAGCCAATAGCTAGCCTGATTATTGAGGAGAAGGTAATTCTTTGTACAACATATACAATCACGCGCACGTTATACCGCACCGCACTTTCTTTGTTCTTCCAACTACTCAGTACCTTCTTTTAATTTCTTCTATCATCAAATCGCGATTTTCTGACTCTCGACTTGTCAACCTGTCGACCTTCACTTTGGAAATACTGCACCGCTATTCCAACGACATTGTCAGAATTTGCAACCAAATACCTTATTCGAGTACTGTACGCTGTACACTGTATTCGGATTCATCTTAAGCATGCTTGAGATCATTTCTCCCATCACCTAATTCATCATCGCTATCATTTTGGTCTTCAGCCTCATCTTCTATGACCCTTCCTTATTGCATAGAATTTGTCGCATATAGCCAAGATGCCTCCGAAGCGAAAGAGAAATGAGAGGCCATCCGACGCCGGAGCGAACCGGCCGGCTCCTCATCGCCCTTCCGACACAAACCTCGGCCAGCACGACCGAGATTTCCAAGATACTTCTTCTCCCCAGAACCGTCGCGCCCCTAGCGGTAGAAACACTAGGAGGAGCAATAATAATAATGATCGCCGGGACTCATCGGGTAGCCAGCTAGGCCTCAACCCCAATCATCGAGCTCCCATCTCCCCGTCGGCTGTACGGCCATCTAGTTCATCCTCGCAGATTGCTGCTCCTGCACCCGTGTCTGCAATCCCTTCTACGCCAACCGCCCCTCAACTCAACCAAACCCAAGCCCAGAATCAAGTCTCCACTCCCTCGAGCTATAAATTTGTTGTCCTGACGGAGTCGCGCCTTGCCGCGTGGCAGCAAAAAGGCCGCCAGGAAGTGGTCGATCATGGTATCAAGTCTCGTAACGACGAAGACGTTGAAGAAATATCGACTATTTCACAAGAGTTTACACGTGCTGTGCTGGAGGGTCGCCTGAACCCCGTTGATGCTGGAAATTGCATGAAGCAAATCCTAGGTCCACCTGTTGAGAATATTGATGGTTCCGCATTCGGTTTTGACTCGCAGGCGCTATTTCTCGACAGCTTCTCTATCTTCCTCGACTCTGATGACAACGCATCCCAGCCGCAGTTGCGAGACTTCGTCTCCGCTACAGAGATCTCCCCAAAGCTTATGCGCGATGTCCTAGATGCATCGGCTCTTAAGCAACTTGGTTTGATCCGCGACACGTTTGTCAAGTTGGGCATTCGCTATGCTACCAACCAGTTATACCGTCAAGCCAACTACAATCTCCTGAGAGAAGAGTCAGAGGGTTATTCGAAACTTGCTGCAGAGCTCTATCGTACTCCAATCTGTGGTGCTCGAGAAGGCCACGATTTTGTCCTCGTGCAAGCGAGTTGGGAGCGAGTCAAGGGGTTGATAGGAACCTTCGACCTCGACGTTGGTAGAGTTCTTGACGTGGTTATCGACGTATTCTCCGCGACGATGCTTAGGACCATCGTATTCTTTTCCCGATTTCTACGAATTAGTTCTTGGTGGCCTCGCACTCAAGTTGAGCATGCCGAGAAAGTCTTCACTGGTGGCTTGCCAAAATGGGCATTGCCTCAATATGAAGACGTCCCTAATGCGGAACTCCAAGCTCAACTTGCTGAAGAGTGCTATCAACGCGACCTCGAATTCTGGGATAGAGCTCGAGAATTACACTTGGATGCCTTTTTTGAGCTTGGTGGAAGACGGGTAGAAGATACCAACCGTCCCGACTCTACAGAAACTACGTCCAGCCTCAAAGCGAGCGACTCTAGCCTCGATTGGATTCAAACTACAAAGACACTTCCTCCTTGTGGCAATAAGATCGCCGCACAGCTGCTAGGCTTCAAGTTTCGATTCTACGCATCTGACGCTCGAAACAAAGAAGAGACGATTCCAGCAAATCTCTATTATCTTGCAGCCTTCTTAATCAAGATAGGTTTCATATCTCTTGCTGATCTCTACCCTCACCTTTGGCCGGATGATAGCCAGATGGAGCCTTTGAGAGAGCGACGAATGCAGGAGCTTGATGAAAAAGAGCGCGCCAAAAGACAAGGCAACGAACCAAACGCCCTCCTTGCAGCTGGTGCTCTGACCGATGATACTTTACCGTTCCCTTCGAAACCACGAGAACCCGCCACTGCGAACGCTGATGGCAACCAGCAAGAAGCGAAGTCCGGTGAAGAAGACGATGGATCACCCCTTCCGGAACCAAAAGAAGCCCATAAGGCTGATCTTGTGTCTCACTTATTAGTTGTGGGCGCGCTTCCCGAAGCTCTATTCATCTTAGGACGCTTCCCGTGGCTTCCTGAGGCATACCCCGACGAGATATTTCCCGCTGTCAATCGTATCCTACTACACAGCATTAGCAAAGTCTTTAACGATATCCGACCTACCGAACTACGACCTATAACCAACAATCCAATCAAGCTAGAGGTAGCACAAGATCAATCCGGCATGACGAAGGGCAACCTGAAACTTACCGAAGGCGCTCCAATTAAGATTCTGAAGTGGCCTCACGCCGATGGGAATCATAAAGGTACTCTCTATCGATTCTATCTCGATGAATGGGCAGACAATGTTCCCATCTGCCAAACAGTCGAGGACGTCTTCACTCTCTGTAGCACTTTCTTGAACATATCCGGAGTCAATATCGGAAGGGAGCCTTCCCTGGTCAAGAAGTTAGCTTCTATTGGTGCGAAAAGCTTCTCACAGGACCAGTCACCAGAGAATGTCGCTCGTTGGCAAGATCTTCTTCGACGGACTCTTGTTCCATCCCTGTGCCTTAGCGACTCCAACGTTGATGCGGTGGACGCCGTTTGGGATCTTCTCAAACACTACCCAACACAAGTGCGCTACAACATTTATTCGGAGTGCTATGAAGGGCAAATATCTCGACTCCCCGCCATGGCGAGGGTATTCAAGAACGCTAGGTTGGATACACTCGCGACACTAAAGCGTCTATCCCTACAGAACATTTCTAGTTCTGCGAAGAAACTCGCAAAGGTAGCCTTGTCCTCACCAGGTATCGTATGTAAGGTCGCCCTTGACCAAATCGAGGCGTATACCAACCTCATCGAGGCTTTCGTGGAGTGCACCAAGTATTTCACGGAAATGGGTCACGACGTTCTCGTTTGGTCTCTCCTTAGTTCATTGGGCGGCAAGCAGAGAAGCAGGACTCAAGAAACCTCAGTGCTGTTAACAAGTCGCTGGCTGCAGGCTCTTTCTAAATTCTCGGGGAGAGTCTTCCGACGATACAGTAATATGGATGCTACCCCGATCATTTCTTACGTGAACGACCAAGTCGCCCACGGAAACTCAACAGACCTAATTATTTTACGCGAGTTCATTACCTCAATGGGCGGAATTGTCTCGGATGTTGATTTTACGGAAGCGCAATTATTTGCACTAAGTGGTGGCGAACTTTTACGTCGTCAAACACTCATCAGCCTGGGGGATAAACGCTACGAGTCCGCCAAAAGCGCCACCCGTCTTATGAAGGCATTGTGGCAGACGGATCTCGCTTGCCGTCTTTTGACGAATATGGCCCAGTACCGTCAGTCCGCCATCTATCGTCTTCCAGAGAACGAAACACATATCAAGTACCTAGCAAACGTGATCGATGACTCTCAGCAAGCACTCGTCCAGTTTGTAGAGCTGCTACGAACCAACCTACCACCCGACCAGTTTGATGCACTCATACCAAGTATCCCACGGTTAATGACAGACTTCGGCCTTGATGCTAACCTAGCCTTCATGATTGGTCGCGCCAGCCTCCAGTATTTCATGATGGGTCCGGGAGAAAAGCTCGTGATAACCAATTCCGAATCACCGAAGGATGTAGAGGGCGACATGGTCATTGACACAAAAGAGAATGATGGCGTACCACCATCTTCGGTTACACAAGATACTGAAGATCAAATGATAGTGGATATGCCCGATACGGAGGGAGCAAGCCCTCCGCAACAACCAGTAACAGTAAACGGTCAAAAACCTGACCGTTTCTTGGATGTTCTCGCACCTATTGTCCAAACGGTACGCACATTGTTGCCTTGGGATGTATGGGATAAAATCAGCCCCGAATTCTTCGTTCTTTTCTGGTCCCTCCAAACGGGAGATCTTGTCGTTCCGATGACTAGCTACGATGCGGAAACCGCGCGCGTGGAAAAACAATATGCCGAATTGAAACGCGATCGAAGCGATATAAGCATAAATAACAGAAAGAAGTCGCTCAACACTCTTATCCAAACCACCAAGGATCTCGCTGCCGAAGCCAGTGCTTGTCGTGAGCGAGTTAGCAAGACTAAGCTATTACTCATCAAGCAGAGCACACGATGGTTCAGCTCATCAGCGAAAGGAGACTCGATTGCTGATACATTCATTGAGGAATGCATCATTCCTCGAATCCTCCTCTCGCCCGGCGACGCAGACTTTTGTCACCGCATGATCAAGTTTATGCATTCTAACCGAGTAGCAAACTTCAGGCTACTTGATTTGTACGACCGGTTCTTTGGCGTAAACAGGTTACGCTTGATGATATTCGGTTGCACTGTCCGGGAAGCAGAATTCCTCGGACGCTTCATCAAACTCACATTGGGAGACCTTGCAAGATGGCATAAAGACAAAGAAGTTTACGCCAAGGAAGCTATTCAAAACGGGAAACTCGGGTTTGCAACGGCCTTCGACGACAATGGTAAGCCAACGTCGTTCATGGAGCACGATCAATTCCGTGATCTGCTCTGGACCTGGCATCGGAATCTATCCGCAGCACTACGAGCATGCCTTACTGGGATGGAGTGGATGCATATCAGGAATGCTATTACTGTTTTGAAGGGGGGCCTTGAGCACTTCCCTGCCGTCGACTTTATGGGTCGGCAATTCTTGCAAACACTCGGAAAGATTGCAGAGCGCGAAGCCGCTTCGAAGAACGAGGGCGAAGATAGTCAAAGTCACAGGGTAGATCTCTCGGTCACAGCAAATACCGCAACTTCTGCCCTCAAGAGATACTCTCATAAATGGGTCATGGTTCAAGCATTCCGATCGAATACTGTAAGTCACAAATGTAATACCAGAATTTGTCATACGCCTACTAACTTTTACGGCAGAGCGGCGATTCTACCGAGGACAAGAAATTGCTAGAGTCTACAAAGATCGTACAAGCATCATCAAGTCTACGAGCAAGTGCGGCAGAATTTAAACCTACACCGGCAGGGTTAGTTCAAGCCTCTAAGAGTACTTAGATATATGTCTTACAAATTTACAGCGTGACCACCCAAACGAAAACAAATGCCGAGGAAGAAGATGGCGAAGTCAAAGATGTAAAAGTGTCGAGTGGTGTCGAGTCTATTAAGGAGGATATGGGGAATCCACGATCAACACCCTCGAATATAGATACCGCTCAAAAGCTACCGACCGCTCCCCAAAAGCCAGACTCTAAGCCAATCCCCAGTCGATCGTCAACTCCAAGATCGGTACCAACAGCTCCAGCCCCAGCATCTGGCCCCAGGGCCGAGCCATCTCGACCTTCCACTTTAGCTCCCGCGCCCGGGCTGCCTAGCCGACCAGAAGTTCCATTCCCCGCGCACTTCACGCATGATAAATTCGGACAGATTACAACATCGGCACATCCTCGTGATCATAGAGAACCTAGGGATACAAGGGATTCTAGAGAGCCTCGAGGTCCCAGAGACACAAGAGATGTTCGTGATCCTAGAGACCCCAGAGATCAGCGATCCTTTTCGCGTCCGGATGATTCGCGTCCAGTTCGAGGGCGGGATCCACAGGGGGTAGATCGCCGAGCCCCCGAAACCATACCAAGAGAACCTCAAAGGTCTGAGAGAGATCGACCACCGCACCGATCAGACTCTGCTCGGCGGAATGAAACGAATCCCCCTGACCGTGAAAGTCGCGGTCCACGAGACCGACCAGCACCCCCTAGCGGTGTTAATCGAGGCCCTGACCCGACCCGACCGCAACGCGACAGCTCCGTTCCTGCAAAGCCCATGTTACCTCCTCCACAACCGGAGCCACAGGGGCCAACGGTGAACCCAGACCGTGCGCGACTCATAAATGCGGATCGCCCAGATGAGCGTTCGAATGTAAATCCTGCTCGTGCTGCCCTAATCGGCGATGTGAGGCCCCCTAGTCGCCAACTAAGAGATGAAAGTCGAGATCGCAATGGTTCTCGACCACTCTCTCCTCGACGAAGTGATCGCCCCGATTCCCGGCCTGGCGATTTGTCTCGCGAGGACCGACCTGGCCGACCTCATCGTGTAGATCATCAACCCCGAGATCATTGGAATGAACCATTGCCGTCAACTGGACCCAAAGGTGGTAGGTTTAATGATCATGATGGCGATCGAGGTATGCCTGATAGGTCGCGCGAGCCTATGGCATTTCAGGGACCGCCTCTTGCCGCTCGAGGCGAACCTGAACATGGAAGACTTAACAATCAAGATCCGGAATATGGTCGTCTGAGCTCGATTCCTTCAATTGGGGACACAGCTACCCCTCCCGAGGGACCACGCGGCCGTGGCCGTACCTCCACTCATACCCCTACAAATCCCCCGCCAGGACAACCAAATCCCAGATTCCCAAACAGTGCACCTCATCGAGCTCCGTCACCAGACAGGCATCACCCTCCCACCGGCCCTGCATCGTCTAGGCCACGTCGGGGCCAGCCAGGAGGACAATACAGCCACGGAAATGGCCCAGCCGCTTCTCCGAATACTACCAGTTCGCCGGGAATCCACCCAGAGAGGCTACGACAATTGAACCCTGGCACTTCTAGCGTCCCAGCCTCGTCTTCTCAGTCCTCGTATGCATCTCCTGCGCCTGGCCCGGTCCCCGTACATCCTGATCGAATGGGTCAGATTGCGCCAATCCCCTCCGGTCCTCATCAGGGCAGTCGTTCCGCTTTACCGCCGTTACAGACTTCCGATCGACCACCTCTTCCCGGAACCTCGGGTCATCGCCAACCATCTGGAAGCCATCCGATGGGACCAGGATCGGAAGCTGGGAGTATTATGTCTGCGCCCACAGGACCTTCGTCGTCTAACGAACGTGCTAGGACTGGGGGTGGAAGAAGACAAATCTCCGGTATCAACAATATTCTTTCGGGGGGGAGTCCTACTATGCGTACAAGAGGCTCTCGAACCAATCTAGCCGGATCTGACGCCCAAGTTCTGACAGGCGCATCCCCTCTTACGACGCCAGTCCACGAACGCCCAGATCCCAACATCCTGAACGAGCGAAGTACGAACGGAAGCGAACGTCCTGGACGAAATGACCACGAACGAGGACGAAGAGACCATAGTAACGCCGAGCGATCTTTACGTTCCTCACGACGAAGCAGTCGAGACCACACTCCAGAAAGGGACCAGAGGCCAAAAGACCATCGTGATTACCGAGATCGAAAGTCTAATACTGGGCCTCCTAATCATGGAAGGGAGGGCGAGATGGAGCCTCCACGCCGGCCGGGTCGGGATCCCGCTGCTATGGGTCGAGAACTTTTGCCCAGCAGCGGTAGGGGTGAGTTGATGGGTAACGGACGTGACGGGCAGCGAGAATCACGTCACCGGGGAGATGGCGGTGGTAGACATGAGGATTATGGACGTGGCAGAGGTGGAGGTGGAACAGGCGGTGGACCACGTGGGGGCGATGATCGACGGGAATCGAGAGGTGATGACCGAGGTCGTAAGCGTCGAAGCGATGAATACGGAGGACCTGGCGAGAAAAGGCAAAGACGTTAGTACCGGGGCTAAAGGCCATATTTTGCCACGCTATGTGAGGATACACCGATAACAAGTTGCTTCTTTTCGACGATGTATTATGGAACAGTCTCGGGATAACGACGATCAAATAATCACGCACAATGGCAGGGGCAACAGGCAGGCATTGATTACATTTTATAACATCTTTTTACATCGGTGCCAAGACGAAGGGTGCGGGAGCTCTACCTGCTCTAAAAGCAGCCGCAGTAACATTAATTTCTCCTTAATTTTTTATGCGAGGGAAACAGGCATCTATCTTCGCGACGGGGATCAGGCAAGATCGGTCAAGATCTAATGACGGAACCCAAAAAACACCCATCTTTAATTCTGAGAGTTATTCCCTTTTTCCTAAATTTTTTCGCATCGCTTTCGGCGTTAAAAGATATGCCTATCGGAGACCATACCTGATGTACAACACAATAACAAACTTCGTCTACGCGTCATGATACCCATTTTTCAAGCAACCTTTGTACAACTGTGAGATTTCGGCGTCCAGGCAAAAATTAGTACCATACCCCTGCGCATACATAAAATTGGCGTTCGAGGCATTCTCAAGAATAAAAGGGAAACTGGGGAAGGAATAGGCAACTGTAGGAATAGTAGTGTAAGCAAGAGCATAAGAGCTGGACAAGAACACGAGGAATGAATGGACAGAATCGCTAGGAATTACATTCTACCTATAAAGGGAGACGAGTCAGGACTCCTAGGTCAAGGAATCTCACGTAGCATAGTAGATCGGGTCTGTGTAACGGGTTGGCATATACCAAACCTACATCGTTTAGATGTCCCCCCCCAGAAAGAATGGCCTGGGATTCATTAATGAATTATTGTAGAAATTGTAGCCATGTTCAATTGTTTGTTCTGGTCTACCTATTTAGGTACGTCCGACCATCCCAATCTATCAAGAATTGTCTAACTAGCTAGAATAGGAAAATATAGACCGATGGTCTCTTTCTCGCCAAAGACGATGCTGTAGGCAACACCGGCATACTCCTTGACGACCTCGCAGAGCTCAGGCGCGAGTTTATCGTACGCAGTGAGCATTGACGAGAACGCGTAAATAACCCCTTCGTTTACCTGCCCCCAGCGTTTTATCTGTAGCTTCGCCTTCTTCTCCTTCTCACCCTTCTCCCTCGGCATGCTCGCCTCAACAACATACCCAAGCTCCTCCAACCCCTTAATATGCATCTCCAACCCCTTGATATACATCTCCAATTGCTCCTCTAATCGCTCCTGCAACTCCCCCACCAGCACCAGCTGTATCCCCAGCTCGGAAAACGCTTCCCACAACTCGAGTCGCAGCACTGGCTCCATCTCTAATAGCACTGACGCCATCTTTGGTCGCGGCGCATACATGGACCCCAAAACCCCGGCGGTCTCCAACGGGCGCGCTACCCCCGCCACCGTGTCAATCTCTCTCACTAGCAAGTGGAGCTCATTGCATACCACCTGCCGCCGCCACTCCATGTACCACCAGGTAACCTTTTTTTCTCGGCACAGCGCGCAGGCGCACATGAAGCCCCATCTTTGCAGCGCTTTGCACGTCTGGTCGTATGTCTCATGGGCGCGCGCGTGGCGGTAGTCGTGGAAGATCTCGGTGTTGGCGACGAGGTCCGTGCTGGACCGTATGAGTATCATGTCACCTATGAAGGACCGGTGGCTGTTTTCGTTGCAGGCGTGGTTTATACGCGCTGCGAGAGGCCAGATTCCGCAGTTTTTGTAGAATACCGGGGGTTTCTTTGGTCGGGAGTTGGGTTCTGGTGGGGCTAGGTCCTTCAAGGTGCTGCGGCCGGCGCCAATGGAGTTTTGTTGGACTATTTTGGTGATGAGGAAACTGAGTTGGGAGCGTTAGCTTTGGTAAGGGTTTGGTGGAGGAGGGGGACTTACCTGTCGACTACCGGGGCTCCGTCAACTTCGGATGTGGCCACCTTAGGATAGTCGCCGTGGTGCAGTTCGGTGACTACTTTTCCCTCGGCGTGGTTGTGGTATATCTTCTGGACGACCTGCGCGATGAGGTTGGCTTGCCCGCCGAGGGTCATTGTGTTGGAGTTTAGGTCCATCAGGAATGTCATATTCGCCTTACCGATAGGGCAGTCATTTTCGGCGTAAGTATACGCAAAAGCCTTCTCGCACAGCAAGAGCTCTCCCGCTTTGACTGGCTTCGTGGTGAAGAGGCCCTTGCCTTGGCCAGGGGAATCGCGGACTTCCACTGGTCCGACGTATGTTGCACAATCTATTAAAGGCGGAGTGCACTCGGACTGCTTGTGCATGTCAATGAAGTCATATACGCCTGTTTCCTCCTCCTGGATTCGCTGCTTGACGCGCTTGATCTCGGCCCACGCGTCCGAGTTCTTGGGGTTGATACGCACGACGGCTGAAAGCTTCTCAAGACATGGGTTGAACTTCCGCAGCGAGTAGAGGGCTTTGGCCTCTCGGAAAAGAGCTTTTTCGTTTGGCAAGTCCTTGTTTGCGTGGCCCTTCAGTGCGTCGTCGAGAGCTTTTCCCGGCCGCTCAAGGCGGAGGTTCGCGAGGGAACGGTTGAGGTGGGCTAGCCGCTCCTCTTCGGGGGTTTTGGCAGCGCGGATAGCGTCTGTGTAACTGTGAAACCGGTCAGTATATATCGAAATCTCCTAGCTTCCCTGTCAATGCTTACAGTTGCTCTGCTTCCGCCCATTTCCGGCTTTGAACTGCCGCGTTCCCTTCTAATCGTATGTCCTTGGAACTTTTGTCGGGGGCCTGAACTCGCTTTCTCCACTTCGGGGGAATTCGGGGGTCGGCATCCCGAAGCCAGATAATGTCGCTGGCATGGTCAACTTGGATCATATAGTCGTTGCAGATATTGCTTCTGAAAACTGGTTCCTTTATGATGCAAACATCACCTTGACGCAGGATTTTGTCCGCGCCGACCACTTCCTCCTCAGGCTGGTTGTAGAGCTGCATTAGAAGCGCAGTGCCTTCTTCATCTTCAACGACGGCCACGACGTAGACTTCCCGAGTAGCAGGTGTCAAGACGCGAATCAAGGTTTGTTTTCCCCTGTGGTGAGTCTCAAGTGTCATTTTTGATATCATCAGGGGTTCTAGCTCCTGGACTGGGCGAACGCAAGGCGGGTAGGAGATTGGCACTCTCGCCGCAAAAACCTTTTGTGAATTCGTACCTAGCGGGCTCTTATATTCGTAGTCTCTCGACGTTATGAAGTTCTGGGCGAGTATCTTAGGAGGAGGGTGATCTTGGACCTTTTCGCCCCTCCGACTGTAGGCTTGCTGCGCCTCCTGTTTGATCCAATCAAATAACCCCTTGTACTTTATATGTTCAGAAAAATCTCCTATATCCATCGTGGTCGTAGTTCCCCTGTTATCGACAGAACTTTTTAAAATATTTAGGTAGGGTTGAGTCTAGCAAGATGGTTGGGATTTCCTAAAACTTTTCAAGTGGTAGGAGGGATGATGATGATGATATCTATACTATCTCAGGCCCTAGGCAATTATTTTCATGGGAGTGGTAAGTATACTCGTATATGCTCCATCGTCGGGTCGTTGCCTTGCTTTAGATCCTGCAAACGAAATTCACCGTTTGTTCAATGTCTTTTTTGGTGGCTCCAATCAATGAAACATGTCCCCCAAGTACCTAGGTATAATCGGCTCCCAGTGTAGTTTGCTCTCTATGTTGCCGGCCAAGTTAATTAGGCCATGCAGGTATCCCGAAACTCGTACTCTCTCATCTCGGGCTACATCGACGTCACTCCGAGCCAATCATGGGATTTCGTCGTCAAACTATCTGTCATTTCTCAGCATCCGTCCTCAAGCCTGTAAACTTTCTGTGGCTAGACTCAAGAAGTATATGCGTACTCAGTACCTAGATCCATGCATCCCCCAATATACATGTATGTACCCGTAACGCTCTTTACCTGATTGAGTCACTGGTGGCAAATTCAACTAATACCTAGGGTCAAAATGATATTCTACCTAGGTGCTTACCTTCATAATACTAATTCATAATGTGTAATTGCATGTGTGTTTCATTGGCTATAGTGTTTTATAGAATCATGGTAGTTTAGAAGTTCAGAGGGGCTTTGGCTTAGGTGCCTACTAGGTACTAATGGTACAAACTATACTTCCAGATAACAAATCACCACTCAAATCCCATGAAACACTTTCTTTGTCTTATTATCTAATTTTTCAAGCCTGTCAAGTCCCTTTAATTTTGGGTAAGGATGATGTTGAATGAAGCCTTGACACCTTCTTTCCAACCTCCAGGCTAACACCACCTCATTGAGTCATTGACAAACTGAGACAACCAACCCAACCAGATTTCCAAGAACCCAAGAATCAGCCCAGAACGCCCCTCAACCCCCCCCCCCCTAGTTCTTTACCTTGTACACCAAGTACTCAGCTGCCAGTCCTTTCTCATCGATATGCCAGCGCCCTTGACCGACCAGCATATTAGTCTCCATCCACTTCAACCTCTGATCCGTCGTCTCCACATCAATGTTTGTGAACCAAGTCGTATCTCCGAAATTCGTGGCCTTGGCATCAGGTGACTTAGCCAGCAGCTTTTTCGTGCCTTCATCCATAACCAGAGCTCCGGTATAGTGAATGTACATTTCCCCTTGGTCTGTCTTGGCCCGAGCTCTTGCGTTGACGTGGAGGACATTGGCGACGTAGTCTATAAGGGGCCAATCACCGCCGGGCGGGATGATTTGGGCTTCTATCTCAGGATCGGTGAATTTGAGGAAGCCTTCGGTCACGTTGGCCATTAGTCGAGTTGGTCCGGATAGTTTGGGGCCAACGTCTGCCATGTCGGGGTGGAGATATTCTCGCATGGTGAATACATATTCGAGAGTTGGTGCCATGACTGTATTTTGCTAAGGGGTCTTTTGATAGCCGATTTCGCAAGAGATGAATTATTATGAGTTAGGGTAAAGCATAGATGGAGTATGTCCCATTATTATATTATACCAGCTCTGCTTGAGTTTGAATGACAATCGCTGGAATTATAGCTAAACCACATATACTAGGTACCTATGCAGTGTCAGTTATGACTCTTCATAGGAAATATCCCAATCGGATGGCACGGAAATGATGACCGCCATCCAATAGGAGTTAACCAAATGACTTCAGCTTTCGAAAATGGCAATTCTAGTGCCTAGAATGGTGAAGCCGAGAGGATCACGCTGTGTGCTGACGGCGTAGTGGTGGATACTTCGCTCAACTAGATTATTAATCAACCCAGATTTATAATACGGCTTCCATTAAATGTGACTACACCGCATTCTCTGGTAATAGGGCTATGGGAGTATAGAATATATCTACACCCATATTATTGGCAGTTTGCAAGTCCCCGAGTGCAGGTGGTTGTCTCGACAAATGGGTAACTCGCTAACTGGCTTTCCCCCCACGTCCTCGAAAGGTATCAATCGTCAATCCAAAGCAACAATTAAAATAACGAAGAATCATAGAGAATCATGGGCGACAAGACTAGAAATAAGCAAAAGAGCAAGAGAGAGGAAAAGTCCTAGATTTCCCTCGGGCATGTGGGAGTAGATATTCCGAGTCTCTGCGGGGTAGTTGAAAAAGAAAAAGGGGCTTTCGGCCCCACTGTAACTCCGAAGATAGGGGCTTAGCCCGGCAGCCCGGATATGCGGCAAGGACGCCCCAAACTTGAGCATACGAAGGTTTACAAGCTGAAAGTACCCCCTTGCATTTAAACTTTCTTAACGCGCGCGTATAGCGTATCTGCACAAAAAACATAAGCATAACATAGCCTCATTGCGTAAAAAGGCTATTACGACAAGTCCTACGATAGAATTGTATCCGAGTCCGAAGTATTGACTGAATGTATACCTATGCTGCGAACTTTGCCCTCACAGCCTCGCAGCTCCCTAGCTGCCTAAGTCACACAGCAATCTCGTATAGGTACTAGGTAGGTATCTACCTATAGTCACAGGTGATCAATAAAGTCAGATAGGGCAGAATATTGCGTATCATTTCATTATACAACAAACACAAAGGTATCTATCTATATGCCTCGCAGCTGCCATCCAGAACAGCTACTTTCCTATCATAAGCCAAATGGCGCCCAAAATGCAATGATTCACCCAATCAATAAAACAAAGGCGAATCATATCATCAAGTCCCGCCTGGTATTCGTAGCGGACCAGCTAGAACGCCATGCCTCAGTAGACTCCTTTCAAATGATCCTAGAACGCCAAATTTCAAGGCTGACCCTACCACCCAAATATGCACCGTACCAAGATAGTAAATAAAGAACGAGATCTTCTTATCTTTGCCATTAGTGAAAGGCCGCATTACATTGCGTTACCACGCATATTACGGTCTCCCCATAGCGCATTGCCAACATGAACTTGTGTTGAAGTTCTCTTGCCGGGCCTGGGTGCATTTTGAGGCTCGCTCCAACCCGCCGTGCTCCCGCCTTGATAGCTGTAGGCTTCGTTGGGGTCATACTCGTACCGCGCACGTCCGGCGGCCCCAAGATCCCCCCGATCGTCGTCATATGGCGCATAGGTTTCTCGCGGACTAGGATCGTATAACTGAGGTTGTCTTGGGTCCGTGTACGGATTGGGTTGCTGCCTTGGTGGGCTTGCAGGGTTCGGTTGCGCATTCGTAATCAACCCGGCACTCTCCTCGGGGACAGGATCGCCGGGCGCCTGCGGAAGACCAAATGCACTTCTGCGGAATTCGTTGGCGATCGGTAGGTGCTCCGTACCTTTGTTGCCGGGGCCGGCTGCGTATGGTTTCATAGGGTAGCTGGTATCGATATCTTCGGACTTGGTCTGGTAGCTAGGATCTTGTTTACGGCTCTTAACCCCTACAAATAACCATCGCATACCACGACCAAAGGCCTTGATAACATCCCATAAATTGAGAGCATGACCAAAGGCTTTCAACCCCATAAAACCGCCCATCTTACGACCATGCTCGTTCTCGCGAGGCGGTATCCCCATCGATGGATCGGGAACGGGGTAGAAGCTCGTCTTAGCATTTTCGACGTACGGTGCGTAAGGAAATGCCCAGAGATGCAGAACCGAGAAAAGTGCCATCTCAACGCAAAGCATCAAACTAGGTATGCCAACTTTCAAATCCGGATAGGCGAGGACCGCATTCGCGCTCACGATGTGAAGGGTGGACGTTCCGAGGGATATAGCAATGGTTTGCCAGAAGGATAGGAAGATGACTAGTTTGATAGCCAAGACCTTGAGGAACGGTTTATGCTCGGCCAGTGGTTCCTTTAACTGGATGTAGAACTGGATGACGCAGTACATAGCAATAGTGACTGCTATACATTCGATCGCAATGACCTATAACAATGTAAGAATTTTCTCTTAGTTCATGAGGCGAGAAACATACCCAGATGTGCGCGAAGACCGGGCTGTTGGAGCTCTCGCAGTACTTTTCAAAATACTGTGTCACGACTGCAGTAATAGTCATAGCAACTCTGATAAAACAATAGTGGTAGATACCAATCCAAATAATATTGAACCACGTCAAGCCGCTTTGAGGAGTTCTCCAAGGTCCCCTCTCCCCGCCACAAGCTTTGGCAAACCAGTTCACTGGCCATACCCACGCTTTTATCGGGCGCATGTGTCGAAAAAAATCCTTCTGCTCGTGCAAATCCGGTGCTACGTAATGGCATAGTAGGGCGAAGAAAGAAGCGATAGCAAAAGCCTCGTAGCAATCGCTGAGAACCTGGAAGTAAACGGCATGCCAGTAATACCATATACATAGGAAAGACGAGGTGGCATATACGGGGACCATGAACAAGATGCGAATGATACTAGCATCAATTAGTATGAATATCCGTCGAATATGGTAGCGAATGGACTTACTGTCTCTGTTCGAGAGGTTTCGTGTAGTTTATAGCATGTCGCCACATCAAATAGAAGCTCATAATATATGCGATTATAGTACTCGCGCCAGCTATGATGAGGGCGAGCTGATGGAAAGTTAAGGGTCCCACGATCTTCTCCTCCGACCCGACTATTTCAAGACATGTCAGCACGGTATCTTGGCGCCAGGATTCCGGCGCTCTGGGCATGCGGGAAAAGAAAACGGTGGAAAAGCTTGTTTGAATACGTACTCTTCATTTCCTCCAACGTTGAATTACATGTTAAATTCATCGCGCCGACTCCGACTCGATCATTCGTAGAGAGAAGTGGAATATAGAGCAAGATTCGGCGACCGATTTATTGTTCGTCGTTTGATCTTTAAACTACCCTGTCCTCCCACCAGTAACAAATTTGCTACGTATTCTTTTCGATGATAGTACTGAATGAATAGTTATATCGTGCGCGGATTCGTGGTTTGCGTGGCCTGTGATTGTCATGAGCGGGATTCAGCGGGCGTTTGAGGCAGTGCGAGCGGTTGCGACGGGAGCGGAAACAGGAGTAAGTCGGGACTTTTGAAGGTTTAGTCGAATCGAAACTCCTGAGCAACGTTTTTCGGTGTTCCGTTATCGAACTAACGTGGCCGACCGGCGGGTGAGATTGTTCTGACAGGCTGTAGAAGTTATGGAAGTTAGTGCTGATGAAAAGATAAGGTGGAATAATGTAAAGTGTTCGATGCGTTGTAGAATTGGGCAGAGACAAAGGAAAGACGATGCTCAGCCCCGTTAGAGGTTAGAAGTCGCACAGGGTCCATCCAGCCAATTCGCGAAGGTTTTGAAATTACAGGCCGAAAAGCCAAGAAAATCTACTGCCAACGGGTACGTACACCCTTACATCCCTACACCCTCCAAGAAGAAACGGAGGAAACGGCTTGGCAAGGGGTATGGATACGTACATGCGTACATGTACTATGTATTGTGCTGATGCACTGACGCACATCGCACATGCTTGCATAGTAGGATCGGCCGGCTGTTGGATGTTAGTTGCTGCTGGTCGCTACTGGTCCAAGTCGAAAAGCGGGAACAGAAGAACCCTGTCAATTCTGACGGGTAACCACCGCGCTAACTTTAATTGAATCGGATTCAGACAGCCTCTCTACTTCTCCCTGCAGTGCCTTGCTCTCACACCTAAGCCACCTAGGTCAGCCACTACCTATTACGCATTAGATCTTGCTATGTATTCCAGGATATCACATCCTACGGCATGAAAATCAATGAGGATTGGTTCTAAAAAAGAGAAGGAACTATTGATGACGCTTCAAGACGAACTTTGAGTTATTCATACCCATCAATATGTGCACTGTAATAATTGACAACTACCACTTCTTAGCTTCGCGACCTATATCGCAAGATAGTAGAATGTTTCGGTTTATATATTACATGTATCGCTAACATAGAGCTACAAAACGCCATATCCATAACCGTACTAACTCGACTTTAGGTCGTGTAAGAGATTTGCGGCATACGTAACTGACGCCAGTTAGTTACCAATTGCCTACGGCACAGGTTACTTAGTGCTTGATTCTTGAATCATCAACTGTTCATTCTTTTAAACTACCATTATTCCGTCGCATTTCTATGAGTAAGTCAAACTTTCCCGATAATAAAAGCTCAAACTAAAAGAAGACATCACTATGAATCAGCATACTCTAATAAGTGCTTGTCTAGGTAGGTAGTTTTCGCAGCTCAACGTCCAGAACTTCGGGGTTACTTTAGAGATTGTATATCCACCACAGCATTTTTTCGCCGCAGTCGATGTTGTAAACTGTTGACGCACACCGTTAGAGGATGGAGGGCCTGGTACTTGCAGTCCTTTTCTCTTTCCTTCACTTTTCGCTGTTAAATGCCCAGTGATTATCGCAGTAGGAATGATAATTACTCCATATCCCATACTAACCATCAATTACATCAAGTATATCATAGTATCGTTCTATCAAATTTCCTACCTACCCCTTAATTGTTCCTATTAAATTTCCACTCTGATTCATAGGCATCTGCATCTTAATTTGCTGTTTATGATATAACAGCATTCCAACGATCAAAGGGGTTCGGAGGCTCGGATCCGCGGGATCTCTTCTAAGCGGAGCCGAACCGCAACGACTTCGATTGTAACTGTTCATCAAAATTGAATAATCCTGTGAAACAATGAGATTGACACGCGTTTCCCTCATGCCCCGGCTAAGACACCTTTCCTTTGATTAATATACACTCATTGTCAAAGTTGAGAATGGAAGCATTCCAGAGAATGTGACACCTGATCTAGCCCTTAGATAGGGTAACTATTCGGATTTCCAACTTCCACAGATCGGAAAGCTTATCAACAGTCGTAAACGGTGCTGCCATGTAATAAACTTGGCTATCGACTTTTTTCGGTTTCTATTTACATGTTTATATACCATCGCGTATGTAATTTATATATTTTAGAGATTACCTAGGTAGGTAGTATAGCTCCCATTGAATACGTTGAGACCTATAGAGCTTCAAAAGCTTAGCTAGAAGCTATTGTGCTTGCGTGTATAGAACCCTTTGTTAGTAGCATTGCTAATCATCGGACTAGATTACTACAAGGGGAAAGGTAGCTCAACTATCATATAAGGCTATCCAATGTGCTGCGATTTAGGTGAGCTATAGCTACGCCTACGGGACCGACCGAGATAGATGCAGGTGGGCAAAGAAAGAAAAATTGAATCTCGAACGATATCCCCAGATACTCATATATAGACGAAAAGATTCGGGTCCGCCGGATCTGAGATAATCGTCTTCTATTGCCTATCTGGGTAGGGTGATATCTTGAAAGGAGTCTTTCTACATGGCCATAACAGCGTCAGTAGGAAAATGCATATAGTATGTATATAAAGGAGGTTCACATCTCCCTGAAACCAGACTTTTCTGGTGAAAATTAGGTAGGTAAGGTAATAATACTATTCTCAACTACTCAGACTTCAATATGCAGGTAGTTTCGACACTCCTTCAATTTTTATATTTCGTGGCAGGGGCTTTAGTCATTGCCTCTCCTGTTGCCTCTCCTATCAACAGGCCTACACAAGGGGAATGTGTCATCGTTAAATGGGTGATCGATAAACTCGTTGGCATACAATTCGCAACACCATTCTGTTCGGATTATCTCCAGATCTCAAAGGCCACGAAGACATCATCTGTGCCCACTACGGCCTCAACCACAGCTACAACTACCAAGAGTAGTAGTTGGAATAGTACATCTACTGCGAATGGCACCGTGTAGGTAAATGATCTATATAATACACATAAGCAACATAAGCTCATCATACAAACAGTTCAGCAACTCCAGCAACGACGTATATAGAGGTTCGATCTCCAACTAAAGTCACTTCTCTGCCTGATGTCCTAGCTACTATTAAGCATGACGAGCTCTCAACGGCATGCGAGTGCTTTATCTCAGCACCCGCCACCACAGCTACAAGCACCTCCTCTTCGAGCATCACTGCAAACAGCCCCGTAGTCACCACTACAAGCACTGGCACTGGTTCAAGCGCTGGCACCGTGACCGCCAGCCCCACGACAACAACCACGTCCTGCCAAAAGCCAGGGCAATGCGGGCTCTCCTGGGCTCCATTCACCAACGGCACCGGGCAGACCTACAGCGAGACGAAGCCAGGACACCATAAGACCCAACCCCCTGAGCCCTCCGACACCACCTCCGCCCCCGCCAGCGGTGTTGTTAGCAACTCCGTTTCCCTATACCCAACCTTCCCATCCGTACTCCCCTTCCCCAACCAAACCACCAGCGCTACCTCCCCATCCTACAAACCGGCTCCTTCAGCGTCAGGCGGGATCCAAAACTATACCGGGGTCGTGCACGCGCGAAATCCAGGTTGGCTATAAGCTACAGTACTGACGGGAATGGGCTAGGTAGCGGAAGTGTTAGTTTCCACATGAACAGGGGTAAATATCTAGCGCTTCATGTTATGTACGAGTAGGCCTAGGGGGGTAACAGGTTTCAATTACGGCGTCGGACGGTACTGTCTATTACTTAGCCTCTGAAGCGACGGACTCTCGTTATCTCGTTCGCAATTCCTTCGCTTGGGTTGCTGAAAAGCACTTCCTTTCTTGTATATATTACTGTCAACCAAGAAAAGAAACGTAAAATTAAGAAAATGTCACAACTGTAATATCAGTGATAGGGTGGTAACGTTCACTAAATCAAGAATTAGACATCGATGAAGCTATTTTATTTTTCAGTAACTGTCGCCTGAACGCGGAGCAACGACGTTGTTTCTCTAGAAGCTCTAAGCTACCCTGTCTAAGGTCCACGACATACAAGCATGCCTAGTTCTTTGTCTACTCTGCTCCAGGACAAGGATTTCTTACGGGACCGAGGCCCCTATCTAACTAGACCTTTGATAAGCTATATACTAGAGTATCTTGGTCCCCCCTCGCCTAGACTCGACGTTCCATTGCCTTCTGTGTCACAGATGGACGATTGATGGACTAGCCTATGCCATGTATGCCATTCTTCAGTAGTGCAGCCATGCCTTGTCTACGTCCTCTAGCTCCTTCTATTCCCCCATATCGGAAGAAGCTCTTAGTCAAAGGCTTGCGCTGTTTTTTTTTTTCCAATTCTTTAAGCCAGATGTCCCAGCTCTCGATTTAAACCCCTAGCTTTGCCCCTTCCTAAAGAGGTACTCTAGACGTCTCATGAGTCTCCACGCGTTGTTCATATACACACTAAATAGTATGTAGTTATGTACTCTCGGACATAAACAAGCTTATCATCAAACCACATACGCTGGCCTTCCTGGCTTCCATCTGATCGAAGAAAAACTCAAACGATTTGACTTATATCATATCGAAAAGAGATGGTATAAAACCCGGTTGGTACCTATCTAAGTGATGTAAGAAAGAAAAGCTTGCTCAACTTGTTTGGGATACTTCTTACCGTCATCCTTTAACTTTTCGATTTGTTCATCAAGGTTATCATTGACGTCGGCATCAATGAATACCCGCTCCACCCCGCTCCCCCAATCCCTCTTCATCACTCTGGTATAATACCTCGTCTTCTGATAATGCACGTCCTCTCCCATCTCGGCCGTCTTCACCCAGCGACGGGTGTGGTGCCGGCTATGACCTCAGCTACCCCCACCTCGACGGGAACTCGAATAGGAGCGTCCTCCTCGTCAGGGGCTGCGAGGTCGGTGGGAGTCATAAGCAGGTCGGCCTCGGTCATAAAGGCCGTAGCTCAGGCGGCGGTCGAGCCCTCGGGGGGTGGAGCGAGCGGAGGGTGGACTGATTGATGGTGCCTTTCATGGGCATGTAGTCGGGATGTTTTCAGGACGGTGAAGTGGACAAATGTCTTCGTTAGATATGAGGCCGGTCATCGCGCTGGCTCCAGTAGGTCTCGAAAGCATTGCTCGACTCTTTTGGGGGGCCAATATTCTCTTAGTCCTTCCAATTTTCGTCCCCTTCAATGGCTTTGGCTTGGTTAACATAAAATGGAATTCCTTAGATTTGGCGCTCCTGTATCGACACGATTTTCTTCGATGCTAGCTTTGAGGCGAGGTTCTTAGCTCCGGCTGCGAGTAACTGAGTGCGCGAAATAAGTCTCTGACTGAACTCACACGTAATGACAGATACGGAATCAAGGTATGTACTTACGACCATCCATAACTCATGGAGATGTTTTTATGTGTACCTAGGTAAAACTTTGGGTAGGCCAACTATGAAGTCCCAGGCGATAGGTATAGCTGGAGAATCAACCAAGTATCTTTTTGGATTAGATCTGATTTCTTTGATACAGAGGAGAATGCGTTATTGATGTTGTGTTGCACCTAGTGTTGCTTGTTATCGCATGAAATTGCAGTGCCAAAAGTCTATATTGTTAGAGGAGAAGCCCGTGGTTGGAGATTGTCACAGAATAGGCGGTAGCAGTTAGCTCGCTGTAGACTCGCTATAGGTTCATGGAATAGTAATAGTTAGATTTGAACAGCGATTAACGCCCACCGTTTGTTTGAAGCCTTCGGCCTCTTTTATATTCGTCCGTACATGTTACACAACATACAGCTAGTACGTTGTTACCCTCTTAGGTGTGAATATGAGAATCTCGAGCACGATATCTAACGCACTCTAGACCCTCTTTCTCGAACTTAGAGAGTCTATTGAATTAAGTGCTTGTCGCTTGCTTAAAGTTGGCTGGTCTAGGTAGGTACCTAGGCATTTAAGTACCTAGTAGTTGCCATCAAGAGAAGCGTACCTTCTTTTCATAGTCTACCTAAGTACTTGCAATGGAATTATAGTGAACGGGGCACAGCTCTTGATAAGTCACTATTAACAATAAGAGAGGGTTCTGATATCCTAACACCTTAGTTGATGTCTCTAAGACGACTGATTGCTTGAATCTTTAATCTTTCCCCCAGGCCCCCATCTGAAATACCTGGGCAAACCAAAGCGACAATTGGTAATATGAATATCTGAAGCTTGGGCTGACCTCTATCTGGGTAGCGAGCTGATGAAGGCCCCTTTATATATCCCTTATAGTATTTGATGATGCCGTAAGTGTTATGATAGAGATGGGAAGCTTACGTTATAGGATCGATTGAAGCGCTCGACTTTCACGTAATCTTTTATTAACATGAAACAGCGAAGGAAGGAAGCCGATTTAGGATCTGAAAACCGATTTTTGCCCCCTATTTCCTTGACTAGTAGTCGTCAACACCCCTAGATTTTGAGAAGTCAAGGTCATTTCTATTATAGGGTTCTACCGAGAAATGTGTCTCGGAGGATGAAAAAGAATAACCAGACAGCATGACTGGAACGAAACGTACCTATCCAATATCTTCAAGTCAGATCGAAGCGGAAAGGGCAGTGGAGACACCGTGTACCGATTTTACCATATGTCTATTGATGTCCCAGTATACTGTGCATACTATGGAGATACACAATAATGCATTCGATATCTCCAGAGTCTTATACTTGCACAATTTCAAGGGTACCACAAGAGACATCTGGATCCGATCTTGAAATTCTCCGGAGAATTAAGGGACATTACAATGCTTGCCTGCCCTGTCTGATGTACGAAGCAAAGCCACCTGGGTGGTCTGACCTCGCAACAAACAGAACTGGAATTATCTTCTGATGAACCGATTATCCCGACGGAGATGAGGGAATAAGATCAACTCCGTTAGCACAGTCATCCAGTTACCGAGCATTCCGTCTGCCGGCCCCGGGGAATCGAGAGGGGGAAGTCACCGCTAGCTGCCTGTATGCACACTCAGCACTCGAGTGACTCGAGTCTAGACTGCAGTTGCACCAGTCCGTCTAGGGATTCTCACTGGAATTTACCACTCCAAGTTAAGGGGACGGCCCGCTCTCCCCTCCGGAAGTCTTCCGGCCACGTGGATGCCGAGTCAACACCACACGCTTCACACGTTCTGCTTGCAATTACAGGTCATTCAACTGCACATTCCTCACACGCCTAGACACTCTCAAACCATGCCATACCAACACGCCAATCGCGCCCTCGAATTCCAACGGTCGCCCATAGCACACTAGACCAGATCCAGCACCGTCGCTTGCGTTGTGCCGCAGGAAGACAACCGAGCTGACTGGCTTGCTTCGTCCCCAAATACGAAGGCTCACCTTACTGACCTTGCTCACCTAAGGCCGGGGCTATCAGGAACAAAGAAAATTGCCCAAGACGAGAATATGAAATTGAGACCCGTTTAGGAACAGGTACCTAACCCCAAGCAAGCCCGAGATAATCTTCAGGAACCGAGAGCCGGTCTTTGGGAGCACCCAATTTTGATCTGCATTCGAGTGGCGCGCGCCAACAGACGCCAATTACGGAGACTTGGCCAGACTGGCCTTGTTGCCCTGTGTTACACACAGTACGGAGATTTCCCAGAAATGCCGAGCCGGTGCTCCCCTTTTTCAAGCCTTTGTATTATTAAGAAAAAAAACCGAAAAAAAGAGCCCAACCTCGAGTATGAAATTCGAACATCGTATTGACGAGTTATTAATAACTTCTTTATCCGGTTTCGATAGGGCTATTATAACCCATAATAACCTATTATACATGTGGCGACAGCTGAAGTCACAGAGGCTAATAACTCAACAGGTTTTTCTTCTCTTTATTTTACGCTGTGACCTTGGAAAGCAATATGTGCGTTGTAATGGTTAAACTACACTGAGACATAGAGCTATTATTTGTATTGGCCCATTGGGCGGGAAGGCTTCGTCATGATGTCAGTGGCTTGTGACTAGACCGAAAATCCTCATCTTAAGATGTACGCAACACGCGCTAAGCCTGTCGCTATCTAGTAAAGAAAATCTGCTTCCCCTGGACTAGTGTCAAATTGACTGATTGACAACTCACAATTCATCAAAGCGACAGGAAGCTTATGTACAGCTTACAGAGGTGCCGCGCCAAAAAAAACCCGCATTCTCCAGGCTTGCATTCAGGGGTTCTTACTAACCCGGAAAACCCCGGACTAAACTCTCCGGACTTATTGCCGTGAGATGATCATCTCTAAAACTCGAACTCATTCCAAATTAGGTAGTTGTGCCTGATAATTTCCTAGAGGTAACACCTATCATCAATAATCATCGACAAAGAACTGGGCGCTTACACATCAATATTGGAGAGATAGGCAGGTAGGTACCTAGGTAGGTAGTATGATTATAGTCTAGATATCAACAACAACAGCTCTTTTATTGACTCCCAAATTGCCTAGCCAGCTACTCACTCTTAGGTAGCCCCATTGTCCATCCCATTAACCCCCGTTGATTGCCTATTGGCCCTTGTTAATCCTGTATGTACTGGCGACGCCTTACCACGCCTATTCTCTCCCTGTTCCTAGTGTGGTGTGTTATGTTCGTCGTCCATCCTCCACATCTCCAGTTATGGAGTTGAGCGATCCAAGAATTCCATCTAGATAATTGCTTTTTTTTCTTTGGTACATGCCGGTCTAACAATCGAATATTGCTGTAGACCCTCCCCTCGCGGTGGATGCTCATATACCGGGCCTGAGAACGAAATCCGAGCTAAGAATCGAACGTAGCATCGTCTAAATACGATGCTATGTATATGTGTGCGTAAAAACCCCGTAACTTTGTCCTAGAATCTCATTCTCCTAAAAACGCCGGCCTGGTATCTCGAAAATGCAATGCAAATGACTGAACCAATGTTGAACCCGACCGAAAAAAATCGTGTGCATCATTAACTGTTTTTTAATAAACGATTTCCTATCCGTCCCGAGGCAAATCCATCCACTCTCACTCCTGGTCAACTGGGTCTGGGTTCGTAGTTCGAAGTACTTTTCGCGAGTAGTCGTGGTTGTCCTGTAATGTGTTGATACTCTCGTGACTCTTGTTCTCGAAACGACTATAGATATTGGCAGCGTATGGGTCCATACGAGGGTCGTGGGGCATGTATCGACTATTCCTCCGACCCGACGAGGTATTATCGCCATCCCATACTGATGCCATCGCTGTGGTTGGTGTACTCATCATTCCGGCCGAGCTTCCCCGATGACTTCCTGGTGAATCTGAGATAGCATCCCCTTGTCCTCGTCTCCTACGGCGGAGATATAAGAAAACGCCGACTGCTACGGCAATGGCCACGATAGCTAATACGCCAATCGCAACGCCAACCGCGGCGCCTGTCGAAAGCCCGTGTTGACTGGTACTCGCTCCACTCGAGTCGCTGGCTGCTGTATCGGCCCCAGTTGTCGATGTAGGAGCTACAGTAACCGTCTGAAGACTGACGGTACCCCCTGCAGTAACTGTATGGACGGATACAGTCGGGGTAGTCGCCGTTGTTGCAGTAGTCCCTGATGAAACCTGAAACGAATCAGCACGCCTATCCCTGATAGAATGGCTTTACATCAAGGAAAGACAAGATATATCAGAAATTCGTAGCGCATACAGAAACAGTCGTCGTCGATTGAACTGTTGAAGAAGAGGAAGGAGAAGAAGCTGTAGGAGTGACAGTGACCGTATTATGTACGGTCTCCGTAACTTGGTCCTGATGTCGGACAGAGTTAAAACGAAATGTCCCCCCTAAGCGTATCGAAGAAAGAGAACCCAGACGACATGATTCGAAGAGGTACTAATTTCCTCAGAGAAAACAAAACTGGAACACTTACTTTTGTAGTCGTAGAGCTGGTGCCGCTACCTTTCGTGCCCGAAGGTGATTTACTTAAGGACATGTACCCATATAGTCCATCACCGCCGCAGGTATCAGACGGGTATCCGGGACAACTTGAACTGCATTTGGTGGTATCTTCTGTAGTCGAGTCATCGGGTGTGTAATTAGTACACCAACAATCGCTGGCCTGAACAACAGCATACGCAAAGCTATCCACGCAAAAGTTGTAACATAGTCCATCGGACTGAAATGTACTCGAATCTTTCAAGATATTAGCCTGTGGCATGAGATGATTCCAATATACAACTAATCTACTTACTGGCATTTGTTGTAGCGGTATTGATAGTTGCGCAATAAGCCATATCTAAGGCTGAGGCAATATGTATATTAGCCATGAAGGCTAAGAGGCCAAAGAAGGCCATAGTCCGGCTAGTGAAAGGCATGGTTCGGAGATGTTCGATATCTGAGGATCTAAACAGAAGTTTCTCTATTAGCAAACGTACAAGGTATCTAGGTAAGCAGCGATAACAACCAGCGACCGAAATTCACTCGTGTCGCCCAACCAAACAGGCTGTCAACAAGTAAAGACTTACCAAAATCTAACGAAGGAAGTTGTCTTGAATACCAGTCAAACAACCTGAAAAAAGACTGCATAAACGTCACAGGCAACGAGGAATGGTGCTCTCGAATATGGCCATGACAAGTAAAGCAGTTCCCAATTGAAGAGAGCGGGTATTCCGAAAGGTTACTGGCTTTCGGAAACAAAGCCTGTAACAAGCCGGTAAACGATATCGTTGAACTGCAATGCCTTAAAGAGAGGCGGAGGAAGGCACGGTTCACGATGTAGTATGGACCGCCAAGTCTCAAAAAAAGAGAAGAAAGCACGAGCGAACGGACGGGGAACAGAGTGGAAGGGATAGACAGGCCTTAAAGGTGGTATGTGTGGGTGTGGATAGCAGGCTAACAGGGTACGAAAGCAGGGAAGATAGAGCAAGGATTAGCGGGTGGAGGAAACGGATTGGATAAGGTAAGGATGGTAGGTATTAGGTACTAGGTAGCAGCGGTCGTCGGTCGGGAGAAGCTGGGTGCAGCAGCGAACACTGAACACTGGGCACTGAGCAGTGAGCACTGCTGTATGCAGATTGCCAAGTCCAGGACCGATCGGTTGGTGGGTGACCTTTAGTGACCGTAAATAAGTGGGTGTAGGTTCGCTCAAATTCGACTTTGCCGACCCAAAGAGAGATTGACGTTGATATTTCTTTCTATCGGTCTATCTCGTGTAAGTTGAAGCCGTTTCTTGTTTCTCGTTTCCTGCTTCTCTTTTTTTTGGGACTAGCCCTGCAGGTATAGTAGCTAGTAGCTCGTAGTTGAGAAGAAGAGAGACAAAGGCCAAAGGGCGAAAAGATTGTATTGATACGCAGGACGGTGTAGCAAATTCCGAAAGCAATCAGTTTTCAGTTTTGTCTGTAACTAATAACTCGAGAGGAATTTCCCACGCGGACAGGGGTGGGCTGCCTTGAGCAAGCCACGGCGAAGAATGAATGGGGGTCGAGCGAAACTCGGGAACGAAAAAGAGAAAAAAGGACCGGAAACTGCCGTTTCTGTTGGACTCTCAAGGTCTCAAGCTGTGGCAATGGTATGGTATAGATAAGAATTACGAGCGAATTGAGCAATGTAGCTATATGGAACAAGGACAGGATGATATTAAGGACTGGGTGAACAAAAAGGATGGAAATAAAATGTTGGAATGAAGTGAGTGGTAGGATTTGGTGAGAAGAATTCTAGGAAACTCTAGGAATAACGAATAACAGTTGATAGAAGCCTCAGAAGCTAAAAATTTCAAGATACTTGGAAGACATTTGAATATTGAAGACGATGTATGTACAATGTTACGAAGTGGTGCCCTTTCGGGCTTAGACGACAACGCCGGCCAATCTATCAACCTCTAAGCCATCGTTTTAAGTTAAGGTAGGTACCTGCCTACCCGACTAACGCCAGCTGAACTCTAAGTAGCTTCCACTTTAGAAGCATTTTAAGGCTTTACTGGCCAACCAAACATCGACTCAACGCCTGCCAACGTTATTCGTAAGGCCCCCATTTTATTAGACCCGTTGGCAGCTCAGGCAGTTTCAAACGATAGAGGAACAGCTAAATTCAATGGCCACACAGGGAAGGTGAGCTGGGGTCTAAACATCACCTGTCGTCACTATTTTGTAAACGCTCGCTAATTCGACGTAATCCTACCAACCTCTTGGATCCACGAAATCACGAAACCACGACCGTACATACATATCGATATGTACCTAGGTATGTATTCGTATATTATCGGACCCTCTTGTTTCACTCTGTACCTCGCCTGCTTTTCAAAGATGCGTCTCGAGCTGCGACAGCATATATTCAGCTAACTTCCACATATAAGGGATCAAGGATTCAGAGACACGAGATGCCGCTAATTTCGGTAATACACCCATACATATACCCATACAGAGCCCATATAAATCATGATAATATGTAAACCAGACGATGGCTTATTATTTATTTTCATCGCGTATATTGCGCATGCATAGGATATGCATGTGCATGACGATTACTTCCCACTGGACATCTGGATATCTTAAACCACCACTCAACGGCAACGCCACACTTTAGCTCACCTTTAGTCTCGATACCTAGGTGTCAACAGGAGATACACGGTAGTTACGGTGTGGCTTCACGGTTTCGTGGTTTCGATTTATGGCTTCAGGTTGATATACATACCTAAGGTACCTTATAGAAGAGACATCAAGAAATTATAAACTCGTCCGGCAACCCACGTGTTAACACCGACATTAAAGCCATTACAACAACCTCCGTCACGCTACAACCGAATTGCTTACATCCGTTTATGTTACTTCTCTTTTTGCTTCACAACATGTTCCACGACGTAATACAGCTGCAGGGTCGGAATTAAGGTCGCCCTGTCAATTGACCGGCGGTACGACAGTTTAAGGTCATGATGGGGGACGAAAGCTACGTACACTGCCGGGTTAAAAGTTTAAGTCCGTTTTGTTAAGCCTTAAATAGTGCTAAAACCTTACTCCTAATCGGGGAAAGCTTATACTTAATTAGGTAATTTGAACTTTATTATTTTATAATTTTAATTTTTATTTTTATAATAATATTTTTTAAAATTATTATAATTTAATAAAAAAAATTTACGTTTTAAATAAAAATTTAAATTTATAAATTATATTTTATTAAAATTAATTTTATTTAAATATATTAATATTATTTTAATATTTTTTTAATACGATTAAATTTATAATTATACGCGAAAAAATACGTAAAAATAATATGTTTTTTTCGTATATTAAAAAGTTACGATATTTTTCGAAAAAAAATCGAAATTATTTATATAATATTATATATTATATTAATTTTTATATATTAAATCGAAATTTTTTTATTTATAAAGTTTAATTTTAAAAAATTAAAATAAAAAATGTAAAAAGTTTAATTTTATTAAATTATTTACGTTAAAAAAATATTTATATAACTTAATAAAAAATTATATAAATTAATAAGTTTTTATTTTTATTTTTAATATTTTATATTTATTTAATACGTAAAATTTATTTACGTTTTATAAATTATATTTTTAATAAAATTATTAAAAAAAGTTTATTATTTTTTAAAAATTATTTTATAAAAAATTAAATTATTAAATTTAATTTATTATAAATATCGTTATAAAAATATTTTATTTATTATTTAAAAATAAATAATCGTTAATTTATTATAATTAACGTTATTTTCGTTATTAAAGTTTAATTTAATAAGTTTTATTAAAATTTTAATTACGTACGATAATTTTTTAATTAAAATATTTATATAAAATTAATTTAGTTAAAATTTTTTTTTAATTTTACGGGTATATATTCGATATTTTTTTTAATATTTTTTATTATACGTATAATTTCGAAAATGTTTTTATTTAATAATTATAATTATAAATTTTCCGGTATATTCGTTTCGTTTTAATTATATTTATTATTAAATCGATAAATTTTTTCGAAGATTTTTATCGTATTTTAATAAATTTTATTTATTAAAGTTTTTTAAAATACGGAAATAATTAAATAATCGTTATAAAGTTTTTTTAAAATTATTTTAAAATGTTTTTTTATTTCTTAAAAATAAAAAATTAAATTATTATTATTAAATTAATTTACGTAATAATTAAGAAAATTTTTCACGAATAATTTTATTTTTTTCGTTATTAATATTAACGGCATTAATTATATTAATAAATAAATAAATATTTTATTAAATTATATTTTTATTAATTATTATTAATTTTTTTATTTCGTATAATAATGGTAAATTAAGTTAAAAATATTTAATATTATTAATTATTTATTTATTACGGTCGTTTTTATTATTTTTTTATAATAAATTTTATATTTAATTTATTATTTCGTTTAAAAGTTTAACCATATTATTTTTAATTATATTTAAAGTTTTTATTATTTTTATAATTTTTAATAATAATTTTTAAAATAAATTAATATTAATTTTATTTTCATCGTTTTTTTTATTATTATTATTATTATTATTATTATTATTATTATTATTTTTATTATTTTTTTTATTATTTTATTTTTAATTAATTATTTCGTTAAAAGTTTATAAACTTAAATTTTTATTTAATATTAATTTCGTAAATTTTAAAAATTTTAATCGTTTTTTAATTATTATTAATTTTATTTATATTTTTTTAATAATTATTAAAATACGTTATTTCGTTTATATTTCACGGTTAAATATTAATTTTAAATAATTAATTTATATTTTTATATTAATTATTTTTATTAATCGTTTTATTTATATTATTTTATTATTAATTCGTAATATTATCGTTTATATTTTAATATTTTTAAAGTTTAATAATTTTATTTAAATATTATTAATAAAATAAAAGTTAATAATTTTTTAATTTATAAATAATAATTTAACGTATTTAATTAATAATTTATCGATTAAAATATTAATTATAAATTAATTTAAAAAAAATATTAAATTTATAATTTATTTTTAACGAATAAATAATTTTAAAATTAAACGTAAAAAATTTTTTATTTAAAATATAAATAAAATAATAATAATTTAAAAAATTTAATAATAATTTTAAATAATTATTAATTCCACGTTTTATAAAAATTTTTTTTTAAATTTAATTTTTTATAATTTAATAATTTATGTAAAAAAAAATTTAATTAAAATTAATATAATTAATTTATTACCGAAAAAAATTAAAAAATTAATAAATAATTTTTTTAATATATTATTAAAAAAAATAATAACTTATATTTATTAATAATTTATTTAAAATTATATATAAAAAATAATTTATTAAAATTATTTATAATTTTTATAAAAAATTTTTAATTAATAATTTATTTAA